TTTTGCATAACCTAGCCTAGCCTAGGCCCCCAATTTTGGTTACAAATACTGCAAACACATTTAGGCCCGTGACTATATAAAGTTTTTACTTATTATAATAAGTATCTCTATTACGAACCTATATTTTCTAATATACCTCAATTATAGCCTCCTATTCCTTAGTATTTCTAACTAGCTCGATATTAATCTCGTCAAGCTTCTCGTTCTATTATAAGAGAAGAAATTCTTAAGAAGCTACGCTTCTTACTCTTCTATATTAAACCTTAATATATGAAAAAATACTATTAAGCTTTCGATTATATAAGACTTTATTCTTCCTTAAGAATGATAATAGACGTCCTGGGCTATATTGAAAGGCGATTTAACCCCTATACCTATGATAGGAAAAGAGAGGGTATTACGCGTAAGAGCGATAATTACTAGGAAACGAGTTTACTTCCATTTCTAAAACGTAAGAGGCACAATATAATTAGGATGTAAATGTAACTTAGTAAGATTTGCAATTAGCTTAGTTAAAACATACCACTAGGCTTAATTAGTTATATATCGCTTTTATCTAATATCTTATCAAGCTTCGAGCCAATCGAGCTATTATTTAGGAGCTATCTAAGGACTAACTAATAAATATCCGAGTTCTTATATCTTAGATCCGTATTAGCTTAATAATATTTCCTAAAGATTATCAAATATCTCCTAGCGCTAAGAGCTTACTTTTATTCAGATCATAAGATAGCGGACTTAGGGTAAAAGATACCTCACGATTCTAGTGCTATTTGTTTCAATATACTAATCTTGATTACTTCTCTATCTATTTCGTCTCGGTCGAGTTATTTAGTAGAACTACCTTGATACGATTAAGAAGCTAATTTAGATTAAATTATATAATGCAAATAAGTTATAGAATTCGAATAACAATAACGCTATCTAATAGCCCTATTAGAGAGAATTAGATAAGATCTTATTATTAGCGTATTTCCTGGGCGAGCTGCGCACCTAAAAACACTATATACTTCAACAACAACAAAATTTCCCTATTTTGTCTTTTGTATGTTGGGTATTTAGGGTAGGATAAGCTATTTATAGGAGCATAGGAAGATCCAATAATTTGGTTAATCGATTTGAATAAAATACACTGTAATATTACAAATTAGCTAGGAACACATATTATCGAATAATCATATCTCTAAAATCAAGATATACAGTAACAAATTGGTAATCACAAAAAGTTATTATAAAATATCGTGCATATTTGTTTAGATCTCAAGTTATAATTTATTGCGTTTAATATAATATATTAGGGTGCGTAGCTCGGCCGGGTGTGTACGTTAGATATATTATCTAGTATACCCGTCCAAAACTGTTTACCCGCTCCACTTTTTGGGGTTCCCCTTCCAATATATATATATCACTTATCTTCTATATAACCACCCTATTTTATGGTCCACGATTATACATTTTTTTCTATCAATAAGCTTACTGGCCGCACTTTCAAAATCTCGCGTATGATAACCCTTAGCCTTCCGTACTACTTCTAAACGTCTACCTATACTCAATATTAGGGTATCTATCTTCGACTGATCTAATACGTTCCAAGCTTCTACTAGGCATTTTTTTGAAAATGCCAATCGGTCTCCTTCCTTCCTATACTAATAAGCTCTAGAAAGAGCTCGAAAAGTTTCAATTTTAACTAGCGCTATACCGGTTCAATTGGGTTTAAATTAGGTGAGTGCGCGGGCCAATCTTCGACGTATACTCCCCGTATTTTAAACCACTCTTTTGTTAACTCTGCTAGGGAAATCTTCGCGTTATCTCACTAAAATACTATTCTAGGGGTGTAGATTGGTAGTAGACCTTTTTCGAGCGATTCGATATACGATTTTGTAGTATACCCCCTCCCCGAATACGAGTCTTCGTCCTATTGCATAATTATTAATTCTATTCGACCACTTAGCTAGATTCTAGCCTAAATTATTTGTGCATATCTTTTACGTAAACCTTTGTATTTATAAGATCTTTTCGAAGGCCTTCCGAGGTCTTACGGATACACTATCATAGTCCAAAGTTCGAGATTCGTTACACTAAACACTTATCCGAGAAGATTAACGACTAAAAGTTTTTACGCCGCTATTTTCTTATATAATTTAGCTCTTTCTCTATAAGAGAAGGATTAACTAATATCTTGCGTTTCGACCGGCGTTTTAAAAAAACTATATCTTCAAAGTTCGCCGTATAATAGACCGAGAAGGATAACGGGGTATCGTAGTACTTAGCTATTTATAGGCCTAAGACGGGTGTTAGCGCGCTTACAAAACAAGAAAATAGTAAGCTCGAGAGTCTAGCCTAGCGGGATAGCCGTTCGAGGAAGTAATTCGAAGGATTAACGCTCTTTATAGCGTTAAAACGTATTAAAAATAATCTTACGCGTACAGCCGAAATCATTAGCAAGTTTAGACTATGAAACCCCTGCCTTATTAGTGTAGATCATAGCTGACCTTTGCTCAGAGCTTAATTCAGCCCTTTTCTCTACGTTTTGGTCCAATTTTCATTGAAAACGAATACTTAGGGGTGGTGTAAGAAGAAAAATTAAAAGGTGGCTGGTTGGGAGGGCAATTTTTTAGTTAGGCAGTGGTTATATAGTTTTGACCTATATCTATAGTATTAATCCGAATACTCGGACCTCTCTAAGTTATACTTAATTAGCGTTTTAAGAAGAACATTACTTAGGTTTGCGCCTATTTACGTACTATACGGATATTTAAGCCTAAATAGTACCTTACGATAGACCAAATTTTAATTTTTTAAAAACGCTAGTAATTACTATAAACGCATACGAGAATAGAGATATCTAGTTATGAAGCGTAATAGATATCTTTAAACTAGTAGGTAGTATCTAAAAAAATCCGCTCTTGCCGATCTCTAACAATACTCCAAGTCTACGACGAATTATATTAGTAGATAAAATAGTCGGAGGTAATAAAGCGCTACGAGCCCGAGAGATAAGATGCTAAAATACCGGATACTTAATCAAATAAAGTAGAAACCGATCTAGTAAAATAAATTATCGGATTTCCTCTTCCTAGGATACTTACGAGGACAGTATTTCGGCCTCTTGCTAAGATTAGTACAAGTATGTATAAGTAAATAGAACAAATAGCTTGATTAGGATATACTCCAGTAGAGAATCTGTGATCTATAACCCGCTATATGAAGATATCTCTATATTTTCAACATACTTGTCACGCACCCCATGGGGACATTGTATCACATCAGTATCAACTCCTGTGGACTACCCCGCGTCTTGCCAGCGTATCCCTGTAGAGTCGTCAGCGCCGACTCACCGCCTCTTTTGATCATGTTAAATAAGTCGTTCTTGGTGAACCTGGGAGTTCCCCAAGAATCAGTCTCTGTACATCTTGCAATAACTCTTGTTCCGAGACATCTTTGATCTTACCTAGTTGACAGGCTCTATCCTGTAGACACTAGACCTCTTTCTTACAGATAGACGGAGAATAGAGAACCTATAAAGTAGAACCATCTATTAATAGTACGTAAAGTAAGTAAACGCGATATCTTAATTTAGAAGAGGACTTGAAAACCTACGGTATACTCGTGGTGAATTGGTTATATTACTCTACCTTCGTATGTCTAATCTAGTGACCTAGCAAGAGCTTAGAAGACCTATTGATAACCTAATTCCTACCCTAAATTCTACCTATAATCGTCAAAAGGCTTTATCCTACCGCGTATTCCCAACAAAGACTAACAATCAATATAATCAATATATGTAATATATAATATTCGAAGCAGCAATAAAGGAACTCTATAATAAGTGTTTCAAGTCTTAGTAGATATACTACCAACGCTATATATAGTAATTATATACAAGAGCTCAAACCATAATTTCTGATAGCCGTCAAAAAGCTAGTACTCCAATTAGATAGCCTATAGTTCTAATAGCCATTGGAAAACCCATAGTGTCGCCTAAAGAGCCTATTCACGTATATCGAACACAAAGTTAATAAAAGAGGCCGTTACCACGAATTAAACACTATAATAAACAAAGCAAAATCCTACCTATAAGAGCCTAAAGAATTATTGCTATTTATCTGAGTTTGATTCTACGGTTTTTCGGTCTTTGACGCACTCTAGTATAATAGAAAAGTATAGTGGTTCACGGTCTAAACCAAAACTAAAAAAAAAAAAAAAAAATAAATTATAGTGATAATTTGGCAACCTTATGATTGAAATTATGCAAAAAAAAAAAAAAAAAAAAAAAAAAAAGGTCGAGTTGGGTCTAAACTGGATTTTGCTAGGGGCCTAATGCTAAGCTCGGGTTGGGTTTTGGGTCGGAACGTTCGGCCCAAAATGGGTTATGCGGAAGTCTATATACATCCCATTATAAGTTTGATGGACTACAAGTATCGTCTTTACCGAAGGATAACTTGAAATCAACATCATACAAAGAGCAATAACGTGCGTAGAGAAATATATACAAAAGCGGTGACAGCGCGTGACAGCGACCCGTATTTTGGTACTAAAGAACTCTTTCCACAATCGCCTCGGGATTTCACATCCTACACACCGCCACTACACGTACTATCTAAAGAGCCATGTCGGATACAAATACAGACTTCGATATATCACAGGTGAGTTGGTTGAACACATCCCATCCCTGTAGGCCTGGTGACAACTTTCTCCTCCTTCCATGGTGCCCTCAACATCTACGCCGAAGCACAACTTACACAGATCGCTAACCTACATAGGCACTCGCTGATCTTGCCAAGTATGTTCATTTGCCTAGTATTGATGTTGGTTCCAATATTTACCATGATATATTGCAGGGGTGAAATGACTGCGTCGGCATTAGAAAATAATCTCAGCGCCATCGAAGGCAAGGTTGATGAGCTTCTGGCGGTTTTTGAGAGACAAGGTGCTGCCCTGGGGGCTACCACAGAAACAGAAACCCATACCGAGAATGGCATTTCATGCACTGGCCAGGATCAAATGGAAGAATCAAATAGTCCACCTAAATGATACTGACCATCGGAGCCTTTCTCTACAACACCGACCTCCGTGATAATGCCATCAATCAAACTCGACGGAGTAATGTCAAATGCAGGGTTCCAGACGTTGATCCCCGGCGCAGCAATTTGTACAGTCTCGATCGCAATGTTGTCAGCAGCCTCGGCTCCCCCACGGGGTCCTTTGATGCTCGTCACCTCGGAAGCTGGACGTTGCTCAATGGTGATATCCTGCCCTGATCCCGTGGCCAAGTCAATGGTTGTGCGTGGTGCTGCAACCAGGAACTTGACACCATGATGTCTTGCCAAGACAGCCAGGGCATATGTACCTATTTTATTGGCAGTGTCGCCATTGGCTGCTACCCTATCAGCTCCAACTACAATGGCATTCACACCCACGCGGGTATCAGCAAGTAACGCGGCCGCCATGGAATCCGTGATGAGAGTAGCTGGGATCTGATCATGGACCAGTTCAAACGCTGTCAGCCGAGATCCTTGGTTGTAGGGTCTGGTTTCCGTGCAATAGGCATGGCGTAGGATATTCTTCGATGCCAGCGAGCGAACCACACCCAGTGCTGTGCCATACCCAGAAGTGGCGAGAGATCTGAGACGATTCAACATTAGCTTCAGTATGTGAGAATGCGAAAACTCAAGTATTAGATTGGTCCTACCCAGTATTGCAGTGAGTCAGGACTGCAACTCCTGAATTACCCGGCTTAATGGCGTTGGCAGCAATCCATTCTGCACCGTTGTGTCCTATCCTTTGATTATCCTCCAGATCCTTTCCCAGCATGTCCTCTGCCGCCTGGATGAACGCTGTTGCGATGTCGCGACCATGAGAACCTGTCACTTTGGCGCAATTTGTCACCACGATCTCCAGCTTGCCAGCAGCGTCGCTGAGATTGACAGCAGTTGGCCGACTCGTCACCAGATAAGTAAGTTTGTCACGGATAACGTGGCATACCTCCTCCGGCAGCTTGGAAAGCTGGTCGTTTTTCATGGCAGCGGTCAATTCCGAGGCGAGCGCAAGCATTGCCACTATGGCAATGGCCGGTGCCCCGCGGACCTTCATATCCTTGATGGCGTGCCACCCATCTTCGGCAGTTTGGATGGGGATATATTTCTGAACAAATGGAAGCTGCAATTGGTCCAGAATTTCAAGGTCGCCTTTGTTATACTTGATTGCCTGTAACATCTTGAACAAATGCTCTGGAGCCCGGGGATGGACAGGTAGAAGATAAGAGAGAAAAAAAAAGACCAAGAAAGGCTTACTTAACCCACCCCGCCCCCTCATCTATACACAAACACTAAGTCTTCGAGGAAATGATTTATTTTCAATACTTATTTAATTATCGCATTTAGGTTCTGTCATAAGCATACCGCGATTGATCCATAGGCGTTGATATCAGGACGGAAATAACCAAGAGAGATAGAGAGCGCATACCAATATACGGAATGATATATTGATTCTGATGGTTCGCAATTGGGTCTTGCTGCCATTTATAACACTAAGTCTATGCTGATTCGCCTTGAGGTCAGGGATAGGAAGCAAAAGAGCACGAGTTTTCCATGCCAAGGGTGTTGTGCAGGGGTATCAGATGTTGGGATGATATCGAACCACAAGACGACATAAGCCAAGATATGAGCCAAACACCACAGAAGACAAGGTAGGCACATGCATATCGCAAATAAATAGAGGGAGAAAAAAAAAACGAATTAGCCCCGGCATTCTGGTCGTGATTTCAAAGCTTTTCACACTCGAACCTGTGTCTTTGGACTGTCAAAGCCAGCAAACTAAAAACCAGGATTACCCTTGACATAGTGCAAAACACACATAAGAATCACCCGTGAGACATGATGCGTCGGTGTTAAGACCGAAAGCGCCGAAAATCAAATTGGATGTAGATCAGCTCGCAGAGATGTAGAGTACTACAGTTCCGTAAGCGTTTACTCGTCTCAAATGAAGTAAATCGACAAACCATTGTTTCCGCGCACGAATGCATCGCCGTAATTTCGTTGTAGATGTCCATTTACGTATTCCTCCGTTTTTTCGAGAGCAATGTTCATATAGCCGTCAACCGATTGGAGTTCACCTGCAGAATGATTAATATATGACGTGAAGAACCACTAGACTGCATTCTACCTTTGTACACCACCCCGGAGTTTAACTTGACAATCACAGGCGCGCCAATAATCTCGCTGAGAAAGGCCGAAGGGTCTTTCCCTTCGGAGGATGGGCCGTTCTCCATACTTGGCGTTGTTCAACCACTTGCTTGGAATTAAGAAGTCTGTAAATGTATTCATGTTAGCCAGGTTGAAAGATTGGAGAACCAACGAGGACCTACCAAGCTGTGATGCTTTTGGCAAGTGATGTGGCGGATCGGAAGTGAGAGGCACCTGGAAGGCGGTGAGGCGATTGCATGTCAGTGGGGGACGTTCAGTTCCCCGAGGTCCTTTCTCCAGCTTTTCTTGTATAATTTAAGCTCACTGACTTCATTGGAATTCTCGACTCATTTATTGCAGGCACTAACCGTAACTGATCAAGCGCATAGCCACCGGACTAATTAATATAATCTGACTACCCCATATGTACTTGGATCTTTGAACTCAACCCTCACTCTACATACTCTCAGATCATAATGCGTTCTTTTTTCAAGAAACCCGCATGGGCAACGAAGGAGGCTGAAGGAGATGGCGCTGAATTCTACCGCCGCTCAGAGCAAACCTATTCTGATATTGTTGCTGCGACTCGAGAAGCTCACCGAAAGCCGAAAACACCGGAACTCACGCCTGCTGATGATGAGTTTGCTGACGCCACGGGACGAAGCAAGCGGCGCCGGCTTTCCCAAGGATCCAAAGAAGAGAGCACAGGCACTGGTCCGACTCAAACCATCTCCCCCAAAACTGACGGCGAGACAAGCGTGTCACCGGAAGTGTCACAGCTTAAAAATTTCCCGCCAAATCCCAGCAACAATAGAGAAACACAGGGAACCGAATCATCCGGTGGAGAGAATGTGCGTTTTGAGAATGTTGATTCACATCTTCACCCAGAAAAAGAGTGTGAAACAGTCTCATCGCCACTAGTCAATTGCCGCCTGACCACCCCGACCTTAGAAACCCGCTCGTGTGAGTCCTCCAAGAAAGTCAATCACCCGGAGAAAAAAGCTGTTCAGTCTGCCCTACCACCAACACCCCCGGACGACCCGGTTGTTCAGATCTTGATCTCATCCGAAATCACCAACACCAAGCCATTACTGGTCCACCGAAAAATGTCGCAGGGATTAAGAGAAGTGCGTTTGGCATGGTGCAATCGTCAAAACTTCGATCCAGAAATTCAATCATCCATCTATTTGACCTGGAAGGGCCGCCGCGTATTCGACGTGACGACCTGCAGGAGTCTCGGAGTACAGGCTGGGAGAAACCCTATACACACGAGCATGGACGAGGATCTTATTACGGGCTATCCGGAGCTGCGCATACATATGGAGGCGGTCGCCGACGGGCCGTTACCAGTCAGCCACCGAAGCTGTTCGCCTGATAACGGCAAGGTCCCTGCTGCGGCACAAACCACAGAAGATGACAAGGAGGAACCGATGAAACTTGTTTTGAGAAGTCCCGGACTGGATGATTTCAAAATCAAAGCAAGAGCAAAAACCCAAATCTCGCGACTCATTTCTGCTTTTCGAACCAAACAGAATATTTCCATGGATCAAATGATCTCCCTCCAGTTTGATGGAGACAAATTGAATCCCGATGATTGCCTTCGTGATTATGACATTGATGATCTAGATTTGGTGGATGTCCAGATCAAAAGACGGTCCTAAATACCCGGAGATCAAATCAAATGTCGCCTCATGAAGCAGTGCATATTCAGTCAAGTTGTAGTCTCGTAGCATATCCATATCGTTATCGATCACATGATATCCGATAAGCCGTGGGGCCTCATCCATTTTTTTGGGTGTTTCTCTAGACTCGCACTCTCTCATTTTTAGACGCCCTTTTTGAATTTGTGAGATATTGGAAGTTTTCTTCAGGATCTCAACCCAACACAATGAAAGTAATCACTGCCAATTTCGTGACATGCGCCGTCAAGGAGTGCAAGACATCACCAGCATCATACCCACTACATTTCCATGATGCAGAGCTGGAGCAACAGGAACAGGAATTCCAGCCAGAATTCATTCGCAATATTGTTCCTCGGATTGACTGGGATGCCTTGCGGACCACTTCCAATGAGGTAGCTAGATCTCCATGAGTTTGAGGTACATCGGCTGACCTTGCAAACTACTAGTTGGGCTTCCCGGGTCTCCCAGAATCGAAACCAGAGGGCGAGGCACTCGACGATGAGCAGATACTGAAAGACCTGCATAGACTGTTACTTGAAACACAAGTCTCCGAAGGAAAATTAGTTTGTGGGAACTGCGGCCATGAATATATGATCAAGGAAGGAATCGCAAACTTCCTTCTTCCGAGCCACCTAGGTGAGAGGGCACAATGCTCTGGGGGATAAAAACAAATTGCTAATGGTTTCTAGTCTGAACAACGCTCGCAATCACTAGAAAAGTTACCTCTGAAATATCGATACCCCCCAAGCTGGGATCTAGCTGCTTGGACGTAATCTCTTTTCTTCTCCCCGAGACCATGCGCAGTGCAATCAAGGGCGAGGGACACCCGAGTTGACTGTTGAATGATGTGCACTGAACCATTCCTGCCTTGTTCTTCCACCGTAGAAACTTTATGATAACGAAAAAGGAAAAGCTGGCAAGAAATCTTTTGGAATTGATATATTGTACAAGAGCTGTAGCTCAAAATCACGATTGCCCATGCAGACCTCAATGCTTCCCACCTTAAAAAAAACGCCAGTCCATTTCAACGCCACCCGGTAGATATGATTCAAGAACTCCAAAGAGTGGCTAGTTCAGGAATCCCTTGCAGCCCGTTGAACCACAGAGACAGGGGATTCGGTCATCGCTGTCCCATTCTCTTTCGAATTTGTAATCGTAGGTAAGCTCCTCATCTGTTGTAAATCAGTAATTGCACCTGTCGCTTTCAAGTTTTTCACTGACCTCGTTCGATGTCTCTGAGCGCATAAATCACAATTCGTTTACTGCCGTCTACTTTGATAATTTTCGCAGTGCAGTTGGGTGTACAGCTGTGGTTGATGAAGCGTGCAATTCCTCCTCTCTTAGTGGCATCGATCACGGTGTTCTCGTCGATTCGGAAAAGGTAGCTGCTGCCAATACCGCTCTTCAAGTATCGCCTTTCTCTCATGTCGGCGACTTGTTGACGTACTTTCTCGCCGACGTACTCAATGATCATGTCGTTGGCAGTAATGTTCTCCTCGGCATACAATCCCCAATTGTGAATCGCAGAGCGAGCGAAACGAACGGGCTTCTTGCGTTTTTTAAGCTGGTTGAAACGAAGCACATCTCCTTCGCCACTTGAAGTAGGAAGAGCTTGCTTTTGCGCATTGATGTCTGCGATGAGCCGACGGTTGTTGACGCGTGTCGACCGGGACGTCGATTTGGATATGGTTTTGGCAGCTGCGATTCTAGCAGCTTCAGCTGCTGCTGCTTGGGGATCTGCTTTCGCATTGGCTTCGCGCTCTTCTCGAGCTTTTTGGACTTTGATACGGTGAGGTAGATACTTGGACTTTTCTGCCTCAAGGATCCTTTTTCGCCCCTCCGTCCGAGCGGCCCCAGAAAGATTTGGAACATAATAGCCAGAAATACTAATGGCGTCTTGTGTAGTCCCTCTTTCCAGGCCGTTAAGTGTTTTGATCTCCTTTTGTTTCCAACCCCACGCAGCGAGGTTTCCAATACTGGATTCCGATTGATCCAGCAGAATCTCCCGCAGGAATCGTAAGTCTTCATCGTCCTTGACCAGATGTTGCCAGCCATCCAAATCGAGAACAATATTGTCATCATCTTCAACTGTCGCACGGGGTTCATCCCTAGACACGCCCCATTCAATCTCTGTTTTAGGTTTATCGATGGGTTCCGCTTTGTATGCTTCGCTGACAGAGAAGTCATCGCGCTCGGAGTCCTTGCTCGGAATGTGTTCGTTGATTTCATCATCAGGTTCATCGGTAATTAATTTGGCGTCAACCGCTGTGTAATCTTCATCAACAGTAGCGGGCATCTCCGGATCGAGGTCAGTCTGCTTGTGCCCAGTTTTATCCGAGTCAATTCCGAATAGCTCATCATCTTGTCGCTGTCTTTTGCGTGCGTCGTGTTCTCCAGTCAGCCGTTTCCTCTTGCGAGACCGAGGGGATAAGTCATCAAACTCATTGGGAAGGCCTTGGAGATCATTTTTGGCAGGTAGAATGGCATGCTCTTCGCTTCCTTGCAATGTTCTCAAATCATCAGACTGGTATCCATTGTCTTGTTCAAACTCCGATGATGCAGAGCTTGCGCGGCTAGGTGGTCGACTCTCTCGCTCATCAATATCTCTTGCAACAGGGGTGCGCTGTTCGTCATCGGAGTCCTCGTCATCATGTAATTGTTGTAGGCGATGATACAGAGGTCTGACTTCTTTCTTTCGTAATGGTTGTCTCCGTCGTTCGTCCAAGAAGGCAGCACCAACACGGTCAAGACCATGGGCTTTCCGAATCCGAGGAAGAGCAAGAATATTAAGACCTGACGATGACCGTAGAGGGTCTCGTCCGCCGGAAATTTCGGATCGAGAGTCAGGGGTGCCAAGGGCACTGTCAATCCGGAAAACGGATCGTTTCGTACCTTCGGGTTCTGGGATGCCCAGTTTCTCTCTTCTCGACGCATGCTTGCTCGGTTCCAGATAATCATATAGAGCTGGGGCGGCTATGCGAGACTTGACGTCCTCGAGAAGCTTGTCCCTGAGGTCGCGGATTATGATCGACAGCACTTCCCGACATGGGTCCAAGAAGATTGCCCGTTGCTTTTTTTCTTCCTCGATGTCCAAATCGGCTTCCTTCTTTGCCCTGTCTTTTTCCGCTTTGTCCCGCCGATCAGCCCGCAGACGTTCGGGGCTCGGACTTCGCTCGTAGTTGGGATTCCCGTAAGGTTGGCTCTCCATGTTCATGATATATGTGAACAATGGCTGCATATGACACTGTCGGTGGCATCGCTCGGTTTCTTCTTCACCTCGCCGTGAGTTCTCAAAGATGATATAATAACCGGTCTTGTCACAACGAATATGCTTGTAGCCAAAAAGTCGGAGCCTCTTTCTTAGATGCGGAACAGTTGTGCTAAGAACTGGGACGTAGCAGTGGGCAATGAAAATGTAAGGATCGCGCTTGATCTGACTTAGTATGGCAGTCTCCTCAACTAGAGACTGTACGACGGGGGATCGGACACCGGCCCTGGGTCCGTCAGGAATGACGACCCCGGGGCGTATTGAGGACCGGCCTGAGGGACCCTTGGGTGCGGTGGGTGGCGGCTCGCTTTTCTTCACCTGATTATCCTGCCTCGGCTCGCTGGCAGCTTGGTTGTTACTTTTAGAAGCCGATCTTTGAGATTCCACAGCCTTGGCAGCCATCCTGTCCGAAAATTTCCCATCACGATCTAGTTCAACCCTGATCCTGCGTGTTCCAATTCGTTGTTCCTTTTTGCATTCGAGGTAAGCACGCCTTGCGGCGTTGGATGCTGAAACGGGGCCGCCTCCCCGGGATGAGACGCTGTCTTTGTATTTGATGGAACAGATCCCAAGAAACCGGCCAGTGATCGGGTCTGTGCGGTTTTTGATTTCGGCGACGTCTCCAAAGCTCGAGAAAAGTGCACTGATCGGAGCAATTGGGGTCAAAGGATCGAATCCGGTGACGACCACTTGGACCGGAGGCCCTGGGCCTATGCTCGCCGCATCATGTGCCCATGGCTTCAAAGTGTAAGGCGCAGGTCGGTACTTTGTCTTTTGCTTGCAGCTAGATCCACGGGTATAGTTGGCGATTGTAAGACGCGGGTCGGGTGGACAATCACCTGGCGCATGAATAATATCGACATATTCAGCCTTTTTGCGTTTTTCCTTCGAAGAGGTTCGTTTATCCAGATCAGGATCGTACACGGCCTTGCAGCCTCGCACGCGGTGTTCATGCCGCGTCTGTGACTGGGGAGTGGGAGGAGTGTGGATGGGAGTGATGGAAAGTTTGGAGTGTTCGGGGTTTGCCCGTGAAGAGGTGCCTGTATAAGGCTTATCCGCCACGTTGGACTGCGATGGACTAGTTATTTTGCATGGAGGTGATGACTCGGCGTTGGTGAGCGGCGTCAAGGTGTCGATTTGGGACGTGAGTGAATTCGTCATAGGCGCCGCAGATAGCACAGCCCCATCCGACCCATTGACATCAGCAGGAATGATCAATTCAACCCCGTTGAGGGCTGAAGGATTTCGAGCTTCCCTCTTATCTTCCGAGGTCCCGACGGTCGCAGATGCGCTTGAGCCCGCGGGTCCCAAAGAACCAGGCATCTCTTCGGACACTTCTTCGCCATCAACATGTTTAATTCGTCGATCCTGCGATGTTTTGAAGCGCTTTTGTTGGAGGACCGATGGGGCGGTTGGGAAGAAGTCTGCAAAGCCGGCGGAGGCGCGTGACATGGTGAGAGGTTGGCTATACGCCAGAAACCGTGGCGCAATCCAAAGGCAGCATCCTTGACAGTGGTGTACTGGCTAGTGCGAATACATGCGACCGAGAAGGTCGCGACGCAGCAGAACGGGGCGAAACTCGGGAGAAAGGGATTATAAAGGAGTAGAGTTCAAAGATGAAATCCGGTGCAATCAAAATGAATAGAAGAAGGCAAAAGAAAGTGGTAAAGAAAATGACGAGAAGCGAAAGGATGAAGTGATTAGAAATCCCAAACTGCAATCGCAAGTTGAGGTTTGCGGAGAGCCTGACGCGATTCAAGAGTTTGCAGGAGGCTAAGACGCGATCGAGCGGAAGGAAGTGGAATGGTGGGGACTTGGGGAGCAACTTCACCAAGGGATAGCGAAAGGCGATAGATGTAAAAAAAAGGAGGATTTGGAGGTTTGTGTAGAAGCTCAATAGTAAAAGATGCCTGAGATACCAGAGACGCCAGAGAGGAAGTTTGGTGATTCAGCGGCTTTTTTTGGGGGGGCTTGAGAGTGACCTCACCGAGACCTGGTCCACCACTGTATTGATGCCTGTTTAACAAGTACCTAGGAGGTACTCTCATACTAGATAATCAGACAAATCTGCAAAAGCTATATGTTTAGGTATCAAATCAGATATTAACAATGGCCAGAACCATATACATGTGGATAAGAAGACATGTCAAGTACTTTGAACTATGCCTCAGGCTACCAGGCTACAGGACTTGGTTCCTCAGGCCGCAAGGCACACAGACCACCAGGCTCTAAGGCTCCAAGGCTTCAGGCTCAGGCACACACAGGCACGCTCAGCCCCAGGTGGAGTTTTTCACTAAATCGACTTTCCCCTGAGTGTCGGCAAAAATAGCAACTGCAGCGTGGAACTACCGAACCCTTCCAAGGTTCCCGACCCAAGGAATGTGCCGTATATAATTTTAGATACCTAGGCCAAAAACAAACAAGCTTACATTTTCTTACTTTGACTTCGCCTCTGTGGCAATCAGCGAGAGGGTCAAAATAGCCAGCGTTCAGAGTCTGGTATAAAATCCTGGTCCGGCCAATCCCAAACGAGACCGGAAGATGACACGTTGACAATGGACATATGATAGAGAATGTAATACTTGGCAGATCTGATACAATATATAGGAATATAGATAGGTATATAAATAATTCATATAAAATGTGGGTATGTTTTGCCAAGTGAGACATCGGATTCCCCTAGAAACGTTGGTCCGAGCACTCCGCTTAGCTTGAAAGAGCTAATAATAATCGCCCCTCCCCTTCCTTATTTTCCCCCTCTATAAATACGAAACCTGCCTTCCTTGCTTCTCTCTACTTTCATCCCCCCTCCTTGTTTTAATTCATTCTCTTCATCATGTGGTATGTGTCGCTGTTGTTGTTGTTCTTCTTCTTATTCTTCTTCGTCCTTGTCTGATTACTCACCGTTTTTTCAGTGGAATCTTTGGCTACATCAACTACCTCGTGGAGAAGGACCGCAAGTTCATCATTGATACCCTGCTTAATGGTATGTTGTTGATCCTCGCCTCAACCCACTATCCCCCGACTCATCCTCAATTGCAGGTCTCTCCCGATTGGAGTACCGCGGCTATGACTCCGCTGGTATGGCCGTAGACGGCAACAAGAAGAATGAAGTCTGTGCCTTCAAGGAAGTTGGCAAGGTTGCCAAGTTGAAGGAACTCATCGAGCAGAGCGAATACGACATGACTAAGACCTTCGAGTCTCATGCTGGTATCTCTCACACCCGTTGGGCCACTCACGGAACCCCGTCTCGTCAGAACTGCCACCCCCACCGGTAAGCTTGCAACTTGAACATGATTCTTTTAACTCGAGGCTAACCGTTCCTTGTGGAATAGGTCTGATCCTACCTGGGAGTTCTCTGTCGTCCACAACGGTATCATCACTAACTATAAAGAATTGAAGGCTCTGCTTGAGAGCAAGGGATTCCGCTTCGAGACCGAGACCGATACCGAGTGCATTGCCAAGCTTGCCAAATACCTCTATGACCAACACCCCGACATTGAATTCACAGTTTTGGCCAAGGCGGTCATCAAGGAACTTGAAGGCGCCTTCGGTTTGCTGCTCAAGTCGGTGCACTACCCCCACGAGGTCATTGCGGCCCGCAAGGGTTCACCCTTGGTGATCGGTGTGAAGACATCCAAGAAGATGAAGGTGGATTTCGTTGATGTTGAGTTTTCGGAAGATGGTGCCCTTTCCGCGGAGCAGGCCTCCCAGAATGTGGCTGCTAAGAAGTCCGCCACGAGCCTCCTTGCCCCTCCCGACAAGTCACTCCTGCACCGCTCCCAGTCCCGAGCTTTCTTGTCGGACGATGGCATTCCCCAACCCGCAGAATTCTTCTTGTCCTCTGACCCCTCTGCCATTGTGGAGCACACCAAGAAGGTGCTCTACCTCGAAGATGATGACATTGCCCACATCCACGAGGGTCAGCTCAACATTCACCGTTTGACCAAGGACGATGGCACCTCCAACGTGCGTGCTATCCAGACTATTGAGCTTGAGCTCCAGGAGATCATGAAGGGCAAGTTTGACCACTTCATGCAAAAGGAGATTTTCGAGCAGCCCGAGTCCGTTGTCAACACCATGAGAGGTCGTCTGGATGTGGCCAACAAGAAGGTCACTTTGGGTGGTCTCCGCCAATACATCTCCACCATCCGTCGCTGCCGCCGCATCATCTTTATCGCCTGCGGTACCAGTTACCACTCGTGCATGGCTGTGCGTGGTATCTTCGAGGAGCTTACCGAGATCCCTATCGCAGTCGAACTTGCCTCCGATTTCCTCGATCGTCAGGCCCCAGTCTTCCGTGACGATACTTGTGTGTTTGTCTCCCAATCAGGAGAGACTGCCGACTCGCTGATGGCTCTTCGCTACTGTCTGGAGCGTGGCGCTCTGACTGTTGGTGTTGTCAACGTTGTCGGTTCTTCCATTTCCCTCCTTACCCACTGCGGTGTGCACATTAACGCTGGTCCTGAAATTGGTGTGGCCTCTACCAAGGCCTACACCTCTCAATTTGTGGCCATGGTCATGTTCGCTTTGTCATTGAGTGAAGACCGTGCCTCCAAGCAAAAGAGACGCGAGGAAATCATGGAGGGCCTCGGAAAGATTTCTGAACAGTTCAAGGAGATCTTGAAGTTGAACGATGCCATCAAGGACATGTGCGCCAACCAATTCAAGAACCAGAAGAGTTTGCTCCTGCTGGGCCGGGGTGCTCAGTTCCCTACCGCCCTTGAAGGTGCCCTCAAAATCAAGGAGATCTCATACCTCCACTGTGAGGCCGTCATGTCGGGTGAATTGAAGCACGGTGTGTTGGCACTTGTGGATGAGAACCTCCCTATCATTATGATTCTCACTCGCGACAACCTCTTCACCAAGTCTTTGAACGCCTACCAGCAGGTCATTGCTCGTGGTGGTCGTCCCATCGTGATTTGCAACCACGACGACCCTGAGTTCTCGGCTGCGCAGACCGAGAAGATTGACGTGCCCAAGACTGTGGACTGTCTCCAGGGCCTGCTGAATGTCATCCCATTGCAGCTCATCTCCTACTGGCTTGCTGTTGGCGAGGGTCTGAATGTCGATTTCCCTCGCAACCTGGCCAAGTCGGTCACAGTCGAGTAAACATGTTGCAATTGGCGCGGTTAGACGATTATCATGATCCGGTCATCTTTTTATTTTTAGGTGTTTTAGCTTCGGGGGAATGGAATTCCGTTTCGTTTTTTTTTGTTAAACATTAATCAAGTGTGTAAACTGCATACATCTGTAGAGTATGTGTATATACTACCGCACTGGGTAAATTGCCATATTCCCTAATGGCATTCCGCCCCCGCCAAATGCGGGACCGATGTTTTCGTCGCCCCTCGAGCTTTCTTGATTCACCATACCCCTGTTCAATTCCCCTACACTCAATCTATCATCTCAAATCACATCTTCAACCACTACGAGATGACTTCCATCAAAGGTCCCGGCGCTGCTCAGACCCACGACGGTGAGAGAGGCAACCCCACCATTGAGGCCACCCTGCTGATCACCGGTTGACTCTAGGTTCTGGACTTCGCGTGGCTATTATCCATGCCAGGTGGAACACTGCCATCATCGAGTCACTCGTCTCGGGGGCAAAGAAATCCCTGCTGGCGGCTGGTGTGACTGAGGACAACATCTCCGTCCAGACGGTTCCCGGCAGCTATGAGTTGCCTCTGGGAGTGCAACGGTGAGTCCAGCACGCTTCTACAGCCCCCTTGGCTATCATTTGTCTAACTTCTCACTCCTAGGATCTATGCTGCTTCCCAGCTTCAAGCCAACTCCTCCGGCGAGGGCATCAGTGCCACCGATTTGCTGTCATCTCCCACCACTGAACCGTCTGGGTCTGCGATATCAGCAACCCCGAAGAAGCCCTTCGATGCTATTATTGCCATTGGAGTCCTCATAAAGGGTGCTACTATGCACTTCGAATACATCGCAGACGCCGTCAGCCACGGACTCATGCGCGTTCAGCTTGATTCGGGTGTCCCGGTCATCTTTGGATTGCTGACGGTGCTGACCGAGGAGCAGGGTTTGGAGCGAGCTGGTCTTGGTAAGAATGGTATGCACAACCACGGTGAGGATTGGGGCAGCGCTGCTGTCGAGCTGGGCCTGAAGAGGAGGGAATGGGCTGAGGGCAAGATTCTCTAAAGTTTTCGAAATATCGCATGACAATGAACCTCCAGCGTACGTGCTGTGGCATGTACCTTACTGAGGCTTTATTTGGGATGGCAGATTGTTTTCATGTGCAGCAAAAAAGGAACAGCTCCACAGACACATAATTCTTTGGCAGCATAAATTATGACACGGTTTACTCTTCCATCTGTTCACCTTGACCCTTGTCTTCCTCCTCCTCGTCATCCCCTTCCAGGGCCCGCCGTGCGGCTTTCTCTGCTTCTTCAAGGAGCTCCTTGGGAACTTCCTCATGGCGGCCCTTGGTAGGCCCATCAACTGAGCTGATCCATGTCATCTCCAGCTCGAATTCCTTATCCTTGCTGTCTTCGTGGGCAACGTAGATGATGCGGGCAGCTTCCTTCACGCCATCTGCCAGAGACAGATTGCCAGAGGTTAGGTCTAATTTCTCCAGCTCGGCTTTGGCGGCCTGTCGTCCTTTGCCGGTAGCAGCACCGTAATAACCCTGAGATTTTCTCTTAGTACTCTGTTGACCACGCGTGCGAGACTTGGCTTACCCAATACAATCCACTGGGCTCGATCATGTAGAGGCCAGGCCCTCCCGCCTTGGCGCCTGGGACCTTTCCACCAGAGCCTGACTCGGGTCCGCTGCCAACCTGTCCATCAACGGCGAGTTCTGCCTCGGTATCCCAGCCACCAACGATCGCGGTTACACCAAACGGCCGTACGCTGGAGTAAAGCGTATAGGCCTGCACGTATCCTCCTAAGCGATTGGCAAGCGCCGAGGTCGGGATGGGGCCTTTGTATACGCCTCTCCACGAGGAAGCCTCATCTCGAGCTCTGGAAACGAAGTGACGGCCATCGGGAACTAGTCCAGCAGAAACCTGGAGAAAGCTGTGGTCAGTAACAGCCTATCAACGTTGACTCCTTATTTGTACGCAAATATGTTATCAAGAGCAACGGGGTCTCTGGATCTCTCACAATGCCGACATGACGATCGACTGTCGCGATTCTCTTGTTGGCTCCTGGTTTTAGAAGCTTGCTGGTGATGATCTTCTCCACTGCCAGCACCACACCATCCTTGCACCTGATGCCGACGGCAGTACCTCCATTCTCAACTGCCTTCACAGCGTACTCGACCTATAAAACGTGGTAAGTATCGGATAGGCAAGTTTACAGCTCATTTCGGAGCTAGGTAGGATCCGAGTTACCTGGAAATTCCGGCCGTCTGGCGAGAACACCGAGTTGGAGAGATCGTAACCTGTACCAATTGATGTCTAAGAAATAACTCTGTTAGCTTCATGGAAAGATAGCACACCAGGGATGCGTGGAGTTCACTGACCATGGCTTTGGTGAGACTGCGATTTGGTGTGCTTCAAGGAGGACGTCACCACAGATGGGGAGAAGTCGAGATAGTAAAGTCTGAATCACGGAAAACGAGAGCCGTGATAATTCAGAGGTACAGTAGGGGACGAAGTGAGGTTGGAAGCTCTGGGGGGTGATGGATAACAGTTCCTAAGCAGTGACGCTGCGCGTCACGGGGTTGCCTGCCAGCTCCTCGTCACATGACTTTGGAATCTCTTGGATGTGGCAGTACTCCTGCACACTTGGAAAAGACCAAATCACTCGAATCTGGAAGTGCTTTATTCTTGAGTACTAACTTGAGTACTAACTTTAGAATACAAGATAATTACACTTCATTTTCATAGGTAGCAAGTATCATGTTGTTTGGGTCATCCGTCTCGAATCTTTGAACCAATCCAAAGGCTTGTCGAGAGATTACCTATATCTCCCGTCGGTTTCAATATGGGATTCAAGACATCACATGTATTCATAGTATGAGGCAGCTTCTGTATTATGACTGGGCACATTATAGCCGGGTTTTACTGCATCGAAATGACCCTAGTGGCCCGAACTGCAGCCCAATCCTCAACTATTTGGGCATATTTGCCCCTCTGATATCCCACTCTCCGAATTTCTTCTCTCCCGTCTTCGTACAATCGTTTCTATATATCACTTTTACTATATTTGAGTCCGGCCCATGTCTTCCTCTGTACTACACCAGTGCCCGCACTGCGGGCATACGTCTGACATATCCAATTCTCTCGCAGCCTTTATTGAGAACCCCTACTGTAAACAGGTAGCTTGCGCCTTCTGGCTCTTACCTTTTCAAAAATGCCAACTAAGAACATAAACAGTGTGGTCTATCTGCATCTGAAAGCGACCAGAAAATGCAAGATGACCTGGCAGATTTGTTTGATAGACAAATGACTATGGCACAACTTCATACTACGAATAAAGATGAAGCTACATTCCCATCTCAAGTGCCACCAATCTCCTACTCCATTACCCAGCACTATCATCACTCGGCCCACAAAGTCACCCCAAGCATTCCTATCCAGTCTAGCATTGATGTTCTGAGGCATCATGGTCTCGATCCAAGCACCATGACAACCAGTCAATTGAACCTCTTTGACAACGCCGACATGGAGCAGAGAGAGCGACTGATCCAGACATGGCGACTCTATTCACAGCTCTCAGACAACACCCAGTATCATACAATGCATGACTTTGTCATGGATGACAATGAAGATGGGAACCCCGACGCTGAACCCTACATGATATCTGGCTATGAGACCATTGCCACTGGAGCCGCTCACTCTCTTCCCAGTAACCTCACAAATGACCTCCCGAAAGAGCCAACTACAGGAGAGCCATACACTGGTTCAAAGGACCCTGTATATCAGGGTCAGCAGTGGTGGGAGTTGACAAACGCTGGCCCGATGGAATCCCATTACGGGGCATTTGAACAAATGAGGCGTTATTCTGGTTACACTTAGGCGTTTGGAACCCTTTGAATATGATTTGAACGAGATATCTGGAGCCACAGATAATATGGCTCTTTGGCCCCACCCTCTAGAAGCATAATGATTAGAAAGAGTCTGCGTGACAAGGCATCAGAGGCCCACTGCTTTGATACAACAGGGGACCTAGATCTGTTGATAGCGCTGTGGGGTATTAGACAATTTCCGTACGAACTCCTCCCAGCGAGTGTACTATTTTATGCCTTGTTTGGATCCTAACTCGGTCTCTTTTTTCACCTCCTGTTTCACCTCTATTTTGTTCATTTTCGAGTATCTTGGGTAAATCAATTAGATCAAGGTAAGCTAGCGACGTAAAAGGATTTATAGCAACAGTCATAGGCAGGATTCCCCGTGGATAGCGTTTGGAATTCACTTACGTCTACATAACAATGTCCCGAGAGGATGTGGATTCTTCCATTTTTCTTTGTTAGATGCTATGGATCAATCAACTCCCAATCAATTGCCGTCTCCAAAAAAAAAAAAAACGCAAATGTATGGCTAGTCAATTAAAGGAGTGTCCGCCATGGAAATTCACATTCAGACCAACATGCCAGCCCTGGCGTGGGTGCCTTCGTACCTGGTGAAAATGTTGTCCCGAGTAACGTTTGGAGATCGGGGCTACTGATGATACGCCCAGAATCAACGACATTGAGGTTTGTTGAGCCTTTTAAAACATCAGTATATTGGATAGAAAAGAAGAGAGGTTGCAACATACGTTTACTCCTCCTCATCGAGGGCAGCCATAGCGTCAGCGAGAGCATCGGCGGAGCGCTTGACTTCGTTAGCGGCCTCGGCGGCACGCTTGGCCTTGAAGCAGCCCTGTCCGGGGTGTCCACACCACTTCTGGAGAACGAGAGGGTGGGAGCCAGCCATGGCATCGGCGAGAGCATCAGCGTGGCGCTTGACCTCGAAGGAAGCATCGGCGGCGCGCTTCATCATGTAGCAGCCCTGGCCGGGATGACCACACCACTTGGGAAGAGTGGCAGCCTGGACGGTGGAAGCAGCCAGCATGGCAATAGCAACAGAGTGGAACTTCATCTTGGAGAGTTGGATGAAGCTGGAAGGTAATTGGATTGTATTGATGAGCGCGAGACGAGATGGAAACAGAAGGCTTTGTGAAGGATGTCTGCTTTCAAAATCGAATACTCGAGCAGATCCAGGCCTTTTATGTCCAAGATACCAGACATACTTGCTGGCTCAAAAGACTGGAGTTGCTGTTGATCAAAGAAGATGTCTATTGAGAGCCCCAATCAACCAAGCGCTGAATAGAGGCATGGCTTTGAAAGACGTTATTCATCATCGCCTCGAGCGACACCAGATCAATAGACTCAATTAACCATGGCGAAAACAGTTGTCAGGTCAGCCATCGGTCCAAGGCTTTGTTCACGCAGTACACTAGGCGAGCTTATTAGTGACCCCCGAGAGCTGAATAGAGGCATAACCGCGAGAAGAGTTATTGAGCATCACCGCGAAGTATACCAGACCGATAGAGTAATTCGCCACCGCATGAACAGCTCTCAGATCGGCCATTGTTTTGTTGCTGTTAACTAGCAAATTGGGTGAATAAGGTATATTCTTTTTGTCCGAGTCCACAAATCTGCTAGACCTGAAGCTTCGCTCAAATAGCATGTAAATAAGAACCGAAGACAGCTGGATTGCTGTATAGATCGTCAATAGGAGGGTTTCATTGTTTAGGAAGATAAGATCGGGCCGGCGCTAACCACAGTCGCGCGATGCCGAGCCCATCCGGAGGCTTTTTTTCCCGTTTTCCCTGTCTGATCCTTCCCTTTCCCCCCTTCTGATTCTCTCCACATCTCTTTGAACTGCCAATTCCTCAAAATGTTCTCCAGAACGGCTCAACCTGCTCGGGTATGTTTATTTATCTCTTTTGAAGTTTTTACCTTTTCCTCCCCGGCTTTTGGCTAACACCCCAGCTAGACCCTGCTTCGCGCCTCCGCAGCCCCCTCTCTGGCTCGCTCCGTTCCCGCCAGATGTATGCCAATTGATCTGATCTCTAATTTCCTACTTGCCACTAACCTCTGCGCCTAGCCTTTGCCAGTGTTCAGTCGGACATTTTCAAGCCCACCAAGTATGGCGGCAAGTACACCGTGACTCTCATTCCCGGTACGTCCCTACTCTTTTATGCGCGTGTGTCTTCGTCGTGATCTGACACATTTTCAGGTGACGGAATTGGTGCCGAGGTCGCCGAGTCGGTCAAGACCATCTTCAAGGCCGACAACGTGCCCATCGAGTGGGAGCAGGTCGATGTCAGCGGTGTCGACACCGGCAACAAGCACTCCGAGGAGCTCTTCAAGGAGTCCCTCGCCTCTCTCAAGCGCAACAAGCTTGGTCTGAAGGGTATTCTCCACACTCCCGTCGAGCGCTCCGGCCACCAGTCCTTCAACGTCGCCCTCCGTCAGGAGTTGGACATCTACGCCTCCATCTCTTTGATCAAGAACATCCCCGGCTACCAGACTCGCCACAAGGATGTCGATCTCTGCATCATTCGTGAGAACACGGAGGGAGAGTACTCCGGTCTCGAGCACCAGTCCGTTCAGGGTGTCGTTGAGTCCCTGAAGATCATCACCCGTGCCAAGTCCGAGCGCATCGCCAAATTCGCTTTCAGCTTCGCTCTTGCCAACAACCGCAAGAAGGTCACCTGTATTCACAAGGCTAACATCATGAAGCTGGCCGACGGTCTCTTCCGCAGCACATTCCACAAGGTCGCCGAGAACTACCCCACCCTGGAGGTGAACGACATGATTGTGGACAACGCCTCTATGCAGGCTGTTTCCCGCCCCCAGCAGTTTGACGTGATGGTCATGCCTAACCTGTACGGAGGTATTCTGTCCAACGTCGGTGCTGCCCTCGTTGGTGGACCTGGTCTTGTCCCCGGTTGCAACATGGGCCGTGACGTCGCTGTCTTTGAGCCCGGTTGCCGTCACGTCGGTCTCGACATCAAGGGCAAGGACCAGGCCAACCCTAGCGCCATGATCCTTTCCGGATCCATGCTTCTGCGTCACCTCGGCCTCGATGAGCACGCCAACCGCATCTCCAAGGCTGTTTACGATGTCATTGGCGAAGGGTGAGTCCCGCAGTTCTTCTGTGTCAATTGATATAAGTACTGACATCAACTTTTTCATTTTAGCCAAACACGGACCCGCGACATGGGTGGTCAGGCTACCACTCACGAGTTCACCCGTGCTGTTCTGGACAAGATGGAGGCTTCTCTGTAAATTTTGGAAACCATCGCGTTCCACTGTCCCAACTGCTACGATTGAGGATGCTGCCTGCCGATTCCTGAAATGCGGTGGATTCTGCAACCATGCATCGGCCGGTGTGGTCCTCATTGATGTATTATCTTCATTTCAATTTAGCTCGAAACGTCCCCCGGTTATAGCAATAGACACCTTTTTTCGTTTGTGATCATAACTTCTTCATTAAATTGGGTATATCAAAATCGCATAGGCTATCTTCAGCCATGTTTGTATCATGGATCTCGGTAAGAAAAAAAGAACACTTTTAGCCTCATACTGGTTCGTCACAGCAGTCAATCAGAACGCAATTCGTCGTTTCCGGCCAGTGTATTTCGAACTGGCCTTGACAACCTTGCCCTTCTTCGCCATTTGTTCTTTTTTGTTCAAAATCCAAGCCTTGTCTCCCTTGCGAGGCGCTCTAGCGTTTCCGATTTCCATAGCCTTTCGTCGGGCATCCAAGACGCTGACATCGTCCATGCCATTCACAACACCGGTAATATCACCCGGCAGACCACCGCCACCCACAGTCAGAACAAGATACAGTTTGCTACTCTTGGTGCCGGGGTCATCCTCGAGGATACCCGCACCAAAGCCAGCCTTGATTGCTGCGCCACTAATCATACTCCGCTGAATATCATTTTTCGGGTAGAACTGGCAGACTGCGCGCCCACCTCGGCGGAGGCTGGCGTAAAGACCTTCAAAAAAGCGGCGAAGGCGGCCTTCCGCGGTGACATCGCTAGTTTCCGCATTGCAGAGCCACTGGATAGCACTGATACTGATCGCTGCATCGAAGGTTCCGGGCCGGAAAGGAACTCCTTGGCCAATGTCGGCAAGAAACAGATCACCTTCCACGTCACGTTGGAGGGCCACATCCAACATGCTGGGTGCGATATCCATTCCAATCCATGTGTGCGGGCCACCTTCTTCGGGGGAGACTTCAGACAAAATTTCGCCAGACAGACCGGAGCCACATCCAACATCAAGGATAAAGGAAGGCGATTTGAGATCGAGAAGTTCAAGAGCGCGGTGCGTCATGTTGGCCTGAATGTTGCGAATTCGCGAAGACTTCGTGTACTTTCGTGATTCATTGTCATTGTAAAAGAGATCGGCGGGACTGAATCGAGTTAGTTAAGGCATTTTGACTAGGAAGAGGGAACATACAGAACATCCTCAGGGCGCGACATGGTGGTGGTGTTGGCGAGAGTTGGGAGTTTGGAAAATCATAAATTCTTTTGGGATGTGGTGGGGCCTAAGGCCAAAACGTCCACGTTCTCCGATTGCAGCGATTCTTGAAGCTCTTTGCTTCTGCACTCCTCTCCATCTTGGGTCTTGCTCGATTTGATCTGGATTTTGACCATGTGGATTCTACCGCTGGTGGGATACATCGGGGTGGTGGTTGGGTTTGCTTTTCTCACTCTGGCCATAGGTAAGGATGCGAGGCAGGAGACTAAGAATAGGAACTGACTTCAATTTATAGCTTCGGGGCTCTATTATCTCTCCGAATTGGTTGAGGAACACACCGTTCTTGCTCGCCGACTCTTGAGTCGACTGATTTATGGCATCATTGCAATCCAAGTGCTTCTCATGCTCATTGACCGGTTCCCCGTGTCATTATCTCTGCTGAGCATTATTTCACATCTGGTCTACGCCAGCAATTTGCGTCGATTCCCTATAGTGAAACTCTCCGATCCTCTTTTCATCCTCTCCTGTCTTCTTGTCGGCACCAACCATTGGCTATGGTTCCGCCATTTCTCGAAGCCCTTACCTCCGTCTGCGAACAACTGGCGCCAACCGTATGGGGTCAATTATGAGGAGATGCCTTCTTTCTCTGAAGTTGCATCGTACTTTGGACTGTGTGTTTGGCTTGTTCCGTTCGCCCTCTTCGTCAGTTTGAGCGCCGGAGAAAATGTGTTGCCCAGCATGGGATCTGAGTATGTTACTGGGGACCGTGTCAACTCTACTAGTTTGGGTCATAGCCGCGGTCCCTCTGATGGCAAGTCCAAGAACAAGGGAATGGCCAAGGCACTGGTGGACGGGGTCAGAGACTGGACAAGAGAAAATGGTGAGCTCATGGGTCTCTGGAGAGGAGAACAGACGAGCCGATTCTAGGCGGATTTTATGTCAACTGTTATGCCTAGAGAATACTAAATAATTTCACGAGTGTCACAAAGCGTATGAATTGTATAAATTGTATAGACGAATAGATGAAAACCTCCGAGCCTCCCACCGCATGACCGCAAACGGCCAATTTGCCAAATAGAGAACAGAGAATATGGACAACATCAAAGAAGCGCTGGGAAAAGAAAAAAGAGAGTAAGGTATAGAAGCAAAAAAGAAGAAAAAGGGTATAACGACGGTCAAAGTTGCTCGGGTCCACGTTGACTCAAAAAAGATGGATGGGTCATCAACCTTAGGCGCGTCCAACGTCTGGATTACCATTATCATTAAACATTCCCTCGCGACTTACATGGCTGAAATTGCCAAGGTAGAGTCATCATTCCGCGTGCAAGTCGTGATTTGTCCGGACCAAAGTGGAGTGAACCACTGCAAATGACCGAAAATTAGAAAGGCGACATACATCAAGAGAAAAAGAAAGTTGTCTTGCAACTCATTTCCAGCTTTTGAGTCTGCAAACAATTAGGAGTGGACTGCAAAGAAGTCGCAAGGAAGCGACTGAGCGCTCTTGTCACTTCACAGACTGTCCATAAAGAGCATCGAACTCTCGCGTCGTTTCGTTTTCGCCGAGCGAGTGTCGTCTGAGTTTGGCACCAACATGCCGTTTAAAGAAGAATAGGGTGCTGAGGATCCGGGGGGTTGATTATATTGTTCATGGCGGGATGCCGTTTGGTCATAACTCGGTTGCATTGGGATGAACCCAGTGTCATAGTGTGTTCTGGATCCCGAGTCCGCAGCCTCAGTGTTTCTGAACGAGGTCTGCTGATAGGAAGGTGTTGGAATATCGGAGAACATTTGATGGCGAGGGGAACGAATATCATCGGGCGAGAGTGTGTGGTCAACTGTCAGCTCCGTAGACTTGGTAAAGCTCCTGTCGTCGCCAAAGATGCTGTCATAGTCTGTAAGGAACATGGAGAAAACGGGTGCCGGGATGTTGAGAGTTGGGGCAAAGACAATGCCCACGTTTCTGACAGTCATCTTGTTGACATCGGAGTTGTTGACAATTTCAAGCAAGAACTGGGATAAAGCTCGCAGCAATGCCAAATTGGGCCTCGGCAATCGATGCACCAGAGCGTTGAAGGCTGCTACCTTCTTTTGACGATCATCAAGTTCTGGTAAAGTTAGCAATGTTTCGGCAACACCAATGGAAAGGATGCATACCGAGAACGCGAAGGAAGTCCAGATGAAGCTCTCGGGTCAATACCGTGGTTGGAAGCTCTCGAAGATATTGTTTGAAGAGAGAGGCCACGGCGTGGACATCATAATACTGATCGCCGGATACAAAATCAACATCACCTTCAGTGTTGAAACGTTCCTTCAAAGCTTTGATCACCACATTCGAGCCACTCAACCGGAATATTCCCTCTTCCAGGGCTGCTTCCTTGGCGTGCAGGTATTCAATACAGCGATAAACAACTGCGGGCAGTTCCACATCAATGCCCGGCGGTGCACAATCTTGCACAGCCTCTGCTAGGGGTATACCAAACACCGGTCTAACGGGACCGTTTCTCTCCGCCTGGACATTGCTGGTGGCAACCAAGGTTTCACTGCTAGCCTGGGCTTGTGCAGCGAGATCAAAGGAAGACCGGGTGCGGAAGCCCCATATACTGCGCTTCTTCTCTTTAGTTGACGTTTTTGCCTTGTTACCCCAGGCTTCCACGTCTTGGATGACTGATCCGTTTGTAGGTCCAGATATGAGCCTAGGGGACTGCAGCGGTTGTTCAGGAGAGGACATGGTCATGTCTCTGAACTCCGTCGACAGAGCTGCCGGAATCCGTGGAGATCGAGGTGCCTGTTCGAGGGTGGAACCGATTGTGGGAGGCTCCGCTTGCACAGCATCATCAAAGCTAAACCCCTGCACAGAGCTTCCATGATCTGGATCGGGACTATCAACGCCCCTGCCAGAGTTCTTGCCTCCGTTGTTGAATAACTTAGACCTAGGATCAGCTCCAGATGGCTGTTTCCCTTGAGATTGGTTGTGATCTTGAGGCGAAGCTTGACCCTTGGTCACGCTACTACGCTCCTCGCTCTCAGAAGAAGCACTCTCGACATATTCCATCAGAGCATCCACCCAGGCATCGCGCTCTTCATCGCTTTCGGCACAGAGGACATGTCGGACGAGTGCAGACGAATCCTTCTTCTTTGGTTCCAGGACCAGGAATGCATGGCGATACTGGTTGTCGTCCTCGTCTGCTGAGTTCGATGGTTGCTGATCGCTGGATTTCGGCGACTGCTTGCCAATCTGCGCATGATGGAGTTTAATCGTACCCATATGGGGACCACCTGGGGACTCAAAGTATCTCAGTTCGGGTCCATCAAGAACAAAGTATCTTGCTTTCCAACCACCGAAGTTTTTGCCTCGCTTCGTCAGATAGCCTTCCTTCTGGGGATTTCCGTCGGGCCCACGAGGCATATCTGACTTTGCAGACCCAGGGCCTTTCAATAGGCTTGTCTCGTCATCTCTAGGCTCAATGGCATCGTTTGTCAGAAACTGGCAAACAGCCAATGCTGCATTTTCGTCCATTGGTGTATCCAAGAGACTATCAAAGTATGCATTCAATGCAGCACGCCTGGAGTCGACCTTTGCGGGAGAGTGGCCATTGAATATGCTTCTATCAGGCAATTTGCTGGCGAACGAGGAGGTCTTTCTTATTTTCTGGTCCAGAGGAGGCAGAGCCCCGATGACCTTCTCAACTCGCCAGAGTTCTGAAATCTCTGATCGAGAGATCACACTCAGCGTGAACACGGGCTCCTCATCCAAGGGTCGAGACACCATATAACTGTTCCGGGAAGGCCGCAGCCGTGACGATGATACTCTGACTTGGATCAAAGGAAGGGCATTTGGGGGCAGAAGTAGACCGGGGTATTCATCTGATACCAAGCCTTGGTAGATCCTGTCGTCCTGGAAGTATGCAGACCTTGGGCTGTCAATTTTGACCGTAGGATCAATTGAAGGCATAGCCCCTACGGATCTTCCATTTGAAGGAACTGGGGCAAAGTTGGAGGGATAGTTGCCCATTCGGGGAGAGAGCGGTAATCCAGGGGTCTGATAACTAGCCGTCATAGGATTCGACATATCCCGTGGCATGCGAGGTAAAGGAGACCCAATGGGTCGATCTTCTGGTCTCGGGCTCAATGGCAGTCCAGGGCTCATAGGCATGGGACCAGCAGAACGCCCGTTAAAAGAGGAAGCGGGGGTAGCTTGCGAGCCCAAAATAGACCCCAAGGAACTAGAATCGCCCACGTTCGGTGGTGATCTTGTAGCAAGTTCTCTAGGAATGGTCTCCGGGCTGCTAGACACCGCTGCATCCCGAGAGCCAGAGGCGCCTGATTCAGTCGTCATATTACCATAAGCGCTGATATCATTCTGCAGCGCAGCTTCGCGGTCCTGGTCATCTTGCTCTCTCGTCTTTCGCCTTCCGCGATCCATGCTTCCGCTCGTTTGCTGGGCATCTCCATAATCGGAATCAGAGTCGGAAGACGACAGTGCCCTTTTTGCTTCTGCTTGTTGAAGGTTCAAGGGCGCCGGTGGGGGCTTACGACTGGGATGGGGGAATTTGCTCATTCCATCAACCGGCGATGGAATGTCCGTGGCAGACACCGGACTAGTAGTACTTTCAAAATCTCTCCGTGTCGCCTCTGAGGGCGGAACAATAGAAGGCTTGCTAGCTTGCCGCGAAGCATCTTTGCTGTCGCTCTTTGTCGACTGTTCATCAGTCACGGTGGCAGAGGCCAACAGGTTTGTGGTTGGCAACGGAGGCGCCTCTTGAATATCTTTCAGTTTCTTCCTATATTTATCTTTCTCTTGGAAAGCACGCTCCAAATCCTTGTTAAGACCAAGGATCAGAGCCCTTTGCTTGTCAACCAGTTTCCAAAGTTGCGTATTCTGAGAGGCCGCATGGTGCTTCTCTTTCAGAAGGTGCACAATGACAGCCTCGGCCGAACCAGCGGCATTGATGAGGTTATTGATATCGGCTGGACTCAGGGAGTTCACGTCAAAGGCAGATCTCTGGGACGTGGAAGATAGAGAGGAAATTGCGGAATCGATCGATGAGGTACGGGGCATGACACGGTGGGCAGGGCGATCGCCAGGCATTGAGTGCATGGAGTTGACGGAGGAGGATGCAGATCGATCGGGCTCAGGCGCACTGGGAGTTTTCGGTACATTATTCTCATCCAGTCGTCCGCTTTTTTGGTCCGATTCGGGCCCTGTCATTATAGGAGATTGCGACGAGCTATGGCTAGAAGACGGAGGTGCTGGAAATGTAGCATTGGCTACACGGGCGATTGGCGATCGATTCTGGGAAGGCGAGGGGTTGGAGGATCCCGGGGACAAAGGGCTCTGTGAAGAAGCGCCGTCGACGCGGTACGACTGGGGTAAAGAACTAGTATGCAACGGAGACGGTGTTATATGCCGTGAGCCAGGAGCAGGTCCTGGGCGATCCGATCGAGCTAGATAATCCCGAGGGATGAGGCCGTTGTTCATCGATGGGTAGGCAGAGGACAGGTTTCTCGGGGTCGATGAGCTCTCATCGCTGCCTCGTCGCGGAACTTGCGACATGGCTGGTACAGGGATCGAGACTCATCAGAGGGTCACGTTGGGGGGCAACACGAGGCAAAAGACCGAGGGGCGAGAGCGCGGAACCCCGGAAGCTGAAGCTTAAGCGCCAGGGAGACAAGAGGGGCACCTCAACCGATTGGTGTAGAAATTATACTCGAACAAAAGAGAATAGCTGGAAGAAAGTGAGGTGGGGGGAAGGGGGAGGAGGAAAAGGGGGTTCAAGCTAAGTGAAAGCTTGGGAGTAAAAACACCAATCTTCGCGAGTGGAACTTTAAAGAAATGAAATGAAGAGAGACGAGAGAGAAGATGATAAGGACGTGGCATTGTTTGGCATCCAATCCCTTGCTGCTCTTATATAATTTGCGATGTTCTTGATCTGCATATAAAGCGGTCCCATAGTGCAAAGTATACGAACGTGGTGTATATGTTCTGCATCTATTGTTCTCATGCCCTCTTCCTGGTCAAATACTATTGGCTATGCTCAGTCGGTCCCCAAGTATGTATTTTAAGACCAAAATGCCATCTTCCCCAAGTCTTCTACTGAGATGTATGCTATTTGCGTGTTGGGGAACCTCGCATCGGGCACATTCGAACCAACTGTTGGCTCTAGTTGCAGATAATGCAAAGTTGAAATGCCAGCGCGATCCAAAAACTCCAACACACGGTGGAAATTCAGGGCAACTTGATCAACACCATGGCTGTCATCGGACAGACAAAAACGACCACCACGCGCGCCAAATTCCTGTCATCCGTTAGAATGAATCGGTAAGCATCGCGAGTGACCAACCTTGCAAATCTCTGCTTTAGGGTATGGCTCACTCATGCCCTTCCGAAGTGCAGCAGAGTTGAGCTCCAACATGCCACCGTAGGAGGCAATAAAGTCCAAGTTCCGCAGGACTTTGCTCCAGACCCTAGGCCACGAAGTGAAACTGCGTTCCATATCATCACTCTTGAGACGAATCAAGTCAAAATGACCTACAACAAGAGGTTTCAATTGCTGCAGCATATCTAGCTGAGCATCGAAATAGTCCTCGAACAGCCGCTCGTCAGTACCGCCAGCTAGCTCTCGGGCCTGCTCATACATAGGCCTGTCATAGTCGATCGGCACAGTGTGCATATGATGGATTGAACCGATAAAGAATTCAAAAGGGAACCGAGAAAGTGAACGGTCAATGAGTTCTTTTGAGGCAGGGCGAATCCAATCAATCTCGAACCCGATGATGATTTTGATCTGCGAGGCATATTTCTCGCGCAACCGGGCTGCTTCTTCCCAGTAGGCGGCTTCATTTGCTTCGTGACTAGCCTCTGTATTGCCGGACTCAACCTGCAGACAATTAGGCAAGAATTAAGCCGATGGCGAGCGTGCTACATACTTCTTCGGGGTAGAAATCTTCTTTATGGCGGGGCATATGCTCAGTCAAGCAGAAGACTTGCATCTTCTTGCTGATAGCAGTCCGGATCACATCTTCCAAAGAATTTTGAGCATGGCCTGGGCAGAATTGGCCCGAATGACTATGGTGTGAGAAAGGCATGAAGGAGTGTACAGAGTACAGACCAATTCCACCGGTGATAAGGATCCCCACCCCGCCTCCACTACAAATCCCTGCTACAGAGTACATGTACTTGATATACACATTGCCTTGCTAAAAATGGGTATATATTGACCTAAGTAGCCCGTCCCATTGGTAGTTTTCTCCTTACAATCATTTCCGATGCTGCAGTGCAGCTATGCAGCTATGCTGCGACTGTCACATATTCCCAGTCACATGGCGACTGTGTATCGAGCCTGAGCAGTGATAAATTGGCTTCGATTGGCTTTGGTATGCAAGACATCGAAGCATCAAAGCCATTTCTGTCTCATTGCCTCATTGCACGAGTGAGCGAAGCGCCGGTGGCGCATTGCAAAGCTACCACGGCGTGTCTCAAGTGCTGAATGAATAGCCAACAGAAGCATCATATAGTACACCAACGGTGATAAGATAGCCAGCAATGGATGAATATTCAGCCTGTCGCCAGAACTGTAGCAACCACATATTCCCCATCATGAGAAATGGACAGTTTGGCAACTCTTCCTTCATTCCCATCTTCATTATTTCCCAAGTAGATAATCTCTGGTCTTCGACTCACACCCTCTCCAAAGTGCCCCCCATCTTCCTGAACCCGGATCATAACGTCCTTCCACCCAAGTGAGGCCGCACCTGCCGGCGCAGCTTTGCGCGCAGCCTCCTTTGCGGCAAATCGTCCGGCCAGCCATCGCGTTACGTCTGACGGGACCGGAGGCGGGTGTTTGTGACAGAAAGAGCGTGCTTTAAGGCTATCACCGAAGCGCCTGTGGAAATCCTGCTGTTCTTGATCACAGAGGATGCGGCGGGTGAAGCGCGTGAGGTAGTCGCCGGGATGCGTAAGGAGACGCGTTATACGCGGTATATGGACAATGTCTGTACCGATGTTGAGAGGAAACGGGAAGGAAAGAGGTTTCATGGTGATAGCCCAAGTGTTGACGGTTGTGTGGAAAGGATTGCATAGAGATACTTGGAGAAATAGCGCGGAAGACAGTGATTGCCCGTGGAGCTAAGCTGCCCAGCTGGCTGCCTCAACCCGTGCAATGCATTCTGATTTAAGGCTCATCAGAGAACAAAGGGCAGACATCTCACTTTGCATGTTATCTGTCCTTCTGGTTTACGCCATCTACGATCCATCCTGAGATATTATTTATGCAGGATTACTACAAGCGCCCCGAAGCTAGCCGAACAAGGCGCCGGACTTGCAGAACGGCAATCCCCTGACAGAAAGACCATCGGCGCGCAACTATAAAGTGCAAAGGTCCAAAAGCCCAGTCCGGAATCGGACCGAAGTGACCACAGGTCCCCTTTCTCATCCTCCGCAATTGAAACCCCTCAGTCGCGTGCGCAAACACATGCGAGGAACAAGTCCTAGGAAGAAAATTTTCTATGCAGCGTACACGCCTCCTATGTACAGATAAATCAACCTCATCCGCAAGCTTTTCCAAACCAGTCCGTGCAGCTTCCCGAAAGATATCGTGGTCACAAAAACGTCACGGAAGGGCGGATGCATCGTTTTGCGCTATAAATGGCACGAGGACGGGCGTGCGGGTCAGTTGAATTCAAGCTTCCGAGTTGCTTATTCGACCGCTCCGTCAATTAAAAACCGGATTGAAGGGGTTGTCTAATGTTGGTTGGGCTTCTTCTCACCGCCATCAACCTCCTTCATGAAGTTCCTGGGAAGCAAGCAGTCAGTATTATACTCGGTAGTGTCTGTGGAGCATTGCTTTGCATGAAATTTATTGGAATGGCGTTGCACATACTGGATGAAGTTCTCCTCATCCTTGGAAGAAGCGTTGATTGGGGGACCCTGAGCGGTCTTGGGCTTCTCGCCACCGCTCATGGCAGCCCAGGAACCGGCGAAGATGCTGCCGAGGGTGGCCATGGCAAGCTGGTGAGATAGAAGGAACCGGGTTAGCTCTCATGTTTCACAAGTATCCGCACGAAGAGAAAGGGATGGCGGGTGCGCGGCGGTCCCCGCGGGTAGTTCGGTAAGACTTACGACGTGAGAGCCGACCTTCTTGCCGGCGATCTGGTAGTAGACAACCATTGTGTAGGTGTGAAATTGGGATGCAGCTAGAGGTTCAACGGGCGATGTGGACGGAATCCTCAGGCTTGGACCAAGCGACGAGGTCGGCACGGAGACCGCCTTTCCTGATTTGGTTAGATAGATCAGCTGACCTCGGAACTCATGCGTGACTCATGAGTGACATAAGCCTATCATGTGACGAGCACCCGGGTACGTCCGAATCGACAACCCCGGAGACGTCACTAGCATATATCGAGAGAGGCGTTGAAATCGCAAAGTATAACAATCTCTCGCCCAGATGGTGTTGATATTTGGGTGACTCGGCTTATCCGCTCAGGCCGAGTAGTCTACCAATCCCGACAACGGGATTTCGGGAAGTGAAGGTATTGCATACTCCGCATGTATACCCCGGCTATGTCTGCGCCTTCGGCTATCCTAGGCGGTTAATTTGAGGATTCTCTTAAATACTATACCGCTTCTCCCCCTTGCGCGTTCTTCATTCTTTCCACTCTTTTTATTTCTCCCCTCCCCCCACCCCATAGACGCTCCCTACATCATCTCTGCTTTCCATTATGGCTTGGGGCAGTCAGCCAGAGCCCCAGTCTCCCCCGCAGGACTTGTTGGACAAGCCTGTAATCCGTGAGAAACTCCCCACAAAACTGCAACAGCTGGTCGATCGTGATGAAGACTTCTACGACGATCTATATTCGCAATAGTACGTCAGAATTCAAGTTTGGGTAGAAGTTGTCGCGTGACCAGGACTTAAGGGCTCAGGTGTCCCACTTTCCGACTCACCCTTTAACTCCAACGTAACGCGAATTCAAATACTAATGGGCACCTCCGACAGCTCCGTCAACTCTACTGATACACCGTATCGATATGCTGCGTACGCCAATCGTATTCGTACCATTCTGGTCTCTGCCCACCGTTATGTTGCCTACACCTCAGACATCGGCGAGTCCTTCCGTCCCATCGCCCATCCATGGCTCGTTCGATCGGCCTATGGTGTCTCATGGGCCTATCTATTAGGCGATGTCGGTCATGAGGGCTACAAGGCCTATTTGCGCAATCGGAAAGCTCTGACGCCCGCCGGCGAGGCATACAAGGACGCCAGCGAGATCTCACAAGATCAGATCATCAAGGGCATGGCAACCGGCAACATGACAATTGGAAATCAGAACCCCGAATCCAATGATGCGCAGTCTAACTGGCCCACCCTGGAAATCCCACTTGCGGAAGATTATCGTATGGTCATGGTAAAGCGCGCAGTGTTCCAGAGCATCGCCAGTATGGGACTGCCTGCCTTCACCATCCATAGTGTGGTTAGGTACTCGGGGCGTATGGTGAAGAACGTTAAGGGGGCGTTCATCCGTACCTGGACACCTATTGGGGTATGTACCCTTTCTCCAGACCATGATGTATGCTAACCATGTTTCTCATAGCTTGGTCTCGCCGTTGTTCCGTTCCTACCTTACATCTTCGATCACCCTGTCGATGAAGCGGTTGAATGGGCCTTCCGCACTGGTCTCCGTGCCTACGGCGGCGAAGCTGCTGTTCGTCCACTGCCTGGTCGGAGTCTCCCACCGAGAGAGGAAGAAGAGAGCCGCGCCGTAGCGGCGGCAAATATCTCATGGGAAGAGTATAAGGCTGAGCGGGAACGATCTCGTGAGCTTCGTCGCCAGACTGAGGAGAGCAGCAGTCGTGGAATCGCATCACTTACCAGCTGGTTCGGAAAGTCTGAAGCAGACTCGGAGAAAAGGAAGAAGGATTAAGGTCATTGAACCTGCCTGAAATTCATCTCTAGAGTATTTCCTAGTCTCATGTATCGCTCATGAGCACCTCTCCCCCTTGTCACCTCTTGTACATACCACTATTACCTCTCTCATTTTCTACGTTAATGATATCCACCCGTATTACTAATACGTATATACCGTTCATACTTCTGAATAAAATCGTGTTTTTCATCAACCACTTCCACTATCTCACAAAAAGATAATGAATGGAGCTGTGCTGTGTGGCTGAACCAGATCAGGCATCATTCGGTACCTTGAAGCCTTCCACCCGGACTGACTTTTTCTGACACACAATCAAACGAGCCAGCTTCAGGCGATCATCTCTCCCGAGCACCTGTCGCCTTTGGTGCGGATGCTTCACAATCAACCCAGCGTAATCATGTTGGAATACCACATCCGCAGACCACTCATACATTGGGGACCGCTCTCGAAAATAGTATGGTCTGCCGTGCTTCATGACCACCTCATACAACTTGCGGAAGTCTCGGGAGTTTCCCGTCTTGATCTCCCCATTCGAAAGTACCACCACACTGGCGTGCCAAGGCATGTCACCAAATATGTCCCCTTGGCGTAACAACGGGATGGAGATCTTGTTTCGTCCTAAAGAAGGATGAATCGATAGTCGAATATGTTCCCCCAACGTGCTGTTAATTACAGCCTCGTATGCCTGGCCGTTCTCAATGTCAGACCTCCAGATTAAGCACACCCTGAGCACCTTCAACTTACAATAAGCCGATTGATCATGGTCTTGACCCTGCTGGACACCTCTGTCGCATACAGCGCTGGATCAGCTACCACAGCGGGGTCCAATCCCTTGGCCCATTTCAGATCCTCAGAGATCCGACTAATGTAGCTCTCATAGGTTGTCATAGTATCAGGGTTTGTCTTCAGTTCCTGGTTCACATCAAATCTTGGATCAAAATACGGGGGCGACATCAGCCTTTCGCGGCAAATAGGAACGAGACGTATGTAATCAGCCTTGGAAATCTTCTCGCCATCACCGATTTCTAGCAGATCCATCAACCGAATGAATTGGATTGAAGAGAAGCGGTTCTGGTGGGCAATATTTCGCAGTTGAATGCCATAATCGTAAAATTCATTGGCCGGAACACCAACCAGATCTGCACCGTCAGTCACATTCGAAAATCCAAGGCATCACTTACCATTATACACAGGCCCATCACAAATGAGGATCAGACGGGCACCGTAGGGATAGACTGCTGATATCTCCTCACACAGGTGATTCAGTCTTGCCAGACCCAATTCGTCTCCTAAATCAGCTCCATCGCCCAGTACTTTGTCCTGGTTTGGGTTCTTCCACGGAAATGCAGGCAAAACCATAGTTATTGGTTGGTTTGCTGCTATATCAACCTTCAGCTTCTCCGGCACCGAGTCAAACACCTTTCCAATTTCTTGACCATCTTTGCTTTGATGAAAAGAGAACCGATTCAGAACATTGACGACTTTGTGAGGCACCTCATCTGGCGTGTATTCGAACCTCATGATGAAGAGGGTAAAGTGAAGAAGGTGCCAATGAATTACGGAGAGATATGCAAGGGCTCTGCAAGTCTACCTGAGCAGTCACATCACCTACATATTCCCCCCTCTCGCATTTTTCTATTCTTACACCATCTCGTCCGATGGCTCAGAATACATCCCATCATGGTGTGGAATATTCCAGTTCTACCGCCGATTCCTCTTACACGACATCCGCCACGACCTACACCACTTTCAACGAGCGCTCTCCGTTATTTAGTTACCCGGAGTGTGTTCCTAAAACCCAAGATGTTTGCGAAGATGACGAAGATGAAGAGCGCAAGCGCGACAATAATAAAATCCCCGATGGAGGGCTTGTGGCTTGGACTCAGGTTCTGACCGGACACCTGGTTGTCTTCAATGTATGGGGCTATATCACATCGTAAGGGACCCTTTTTGAGACTTATCTCAGCTGTTGATAGACGATAGGTATGGATTTTTCCAGGAATACTACGTCAAAGCCCTAGATGCTAGCCCAGCCAATGCATCCTGGATTGGAGCGATGCAGATGTTCCTCGTCCACTTCCTGGCGACTTTTTCGGGCCGAGCAATGGACACAGGATATTTGCGCCATTGTATCGCTCTTGGATGTCTCTTTCAAATCGCCGGTGCGCTTGCAACCTCATTCGGGACTCAACTATGGCACTTTTGGCTGGCCCAAGGCGTTCTCAGTGGAATTGGTCATGGCCTCGTCTTCAGCCCTATGATTTCGCTGTATGCAACCTATTTCTCCACCAAACGAGTGATGGCTGTGTCGCTGGCTTCTTGCGGTGCAGCGACTGGCGGAATGGTTTTCCCCGTGATTGCCTACAAGTGTTTCGACACTATTGGATTTGCTTGGACGGTCCGAATAATGGCGGCTATCATACTCGCCAACAGCCTTGTCATTGTCAAGTTCACCCGGTCAAGGATTGTGCCCAGGAGTATGCCTCCCTGGGTTGATTTCAGTGCATTCCGCGAACGATCCTATCTCCTCTTCTCTATAGGATCGTTCCTGATCTTTGAGGGTATTTACTTTGCATATATCTATGTAAGTATAGCCCAACTTTGGAAACACCAAGCTGATTTTCTGTATAGGTCCGCCAATATGCCCAGGTCCATACTGGATTTACCCCGAGCGATTCACTTATTCTTCTGATCATTATGAACGGAGTGGGGGTTCCAGCCCGTATCGCAGCTGCATTTGTGGCAGATCGCTGGATAGGTGTCGTGAGAACCTGCATTGCAGTATCCATCCCTTGCGGAATTGCGGTCCTCGCTTGGATTGCAGTTCACACCCATTATGGCATGTTCGTCTGGGCCGCGATATATGGACTATTAGTCAACTGTGTACAGAGCCAAGTGCCAGCTGCCAATGCTTACTTCGGAGCGAAAGACCCAGAAAAGTCCGGAACGCGTGTTGGGATGATCACCACGATCAACAGCATTCCGCTGCTGACAGGCCCTTACATCGCAGGAAAGCTGATCGATCTGCGGGGAGGCGACTACCTGTACGCGCAACTATTCGGTGGCCTTTGCATTTTGATTGGAGCATTGTTTGTAATGGGATCTCACCTGTCGGAGGTCAAAACATGTACATGAGTTGGTTGTCCAATGGCTATACCAAAGTCGTGTTAGTCACTTACCAGCCACAGCCAATACATGTAGCTCCCTCCTGATATCTCCCCTGGAATGTGCTCGTTCTCGCGTTTTCCCCTTCCACAATTGCCATTGACAAAGTGCACAAAATGTCTCATCGTGCGAGACCTCTTCATTACCACATTCCATTATTCCCTGGATTCCAGCTGCTGGATGTAGCAGGCCCGCTAGACATTCTCAACATCCGCACACAGTACACAGCCACTGCGGACATCTCCTTGACTGTATCAGCAGAGACATTAGACCCAGTCTCGGTGAAACCAGTGCCACCCCCTCACCCCAACTGGCATTTTGACCTCCCCGAGTCCGACTTGCAGGCCTGTAACCAACACATGGTGCCACAGCGCACCTTTACAGAAGTTATCTCTGCCCTGAAGGAGAATGCTACTAGCCGCGACATCAAACCCATCGATGTGCTGATCATCCCCGGAGGTCTGGGGACGCGACTGGACCGGATATACGGCAAGTCTGACAAGGTCTCCAATACACAGCAAGTCCGGGACTTTATCACTGCTGTTGCACCCTATGTTCGTCACAGCATCATCACTATATGTACAGGGAGCCACGTCCTCGCACAGACTGGGCTACTAGAAAACCGTCGGGCAACAACAAACTCCGCCCGCTTCGATGATGTTGTTGAACAGACACCCCAGGTGAATTGGCAGCGCGACAAACGATGGCTGCGAGATGTCGTGCCAGTGGACGTACCAACCAACGCCTTGCAGCCTGGAACTGAGATTTGGACCTCTGCTGGGATTACCGCTGGTATCGATGTCATGTTAGAGTTTATTTCTGCCCATTATGGTGGCGTAGAGATTGGAATACAGACTGCTAAGCGAATGGAATATCGCTGGGAGCGGGAGCGGGCGGCATCTTACTTCTTGTGAAGTGAAGCTATACCTGTGGCGCACACAATTCGACGCCAATTAACAACGCCTGTTTCGAATCTTTGTCTGTGGAATTAATATGGTAGTCACAGTTCGCATTGGAATATGTCTTGCAATTTAGCTCGCTGTAGCAAGATACAAATAGGCAGCACTGGATCGGCACTTCCATTCCTGTTTATGAAGGGATGAGTTCCACCATGGAACATGATATGATGTAGCGAATTTAGTGATTTCTGCCGAAACCATGTGGCCTGCGTACTGGGGTAGACTAATCTAGGCATCGGAGAGCAGCGAAGGTCTCATGTATTGACATAGTTCCGTGATAGGGTACGAAAACGCGAGAGAGAAGCCGAGAAATGAAGGGAGAAGGTAAAGCACGTATCTCAATCAGACGAGAATGTCCAAAATGTATAGACTCCCAATTCTATCCCGTTGATAAATCTAAGCTTATACTTCACCTCACTCCTCAGGTCAATATCAACATGCTTGCCACAAACTTAGTCAGAGCACATGCACATCTGGACTTTGTATCTTCTGACCGAGCTGCTCTTGTCCCAAAAGCCCGAGTCCTTTTTCTTCCAAAACCACACCCAGTACCTCGAAAGACAGATGATGCGCTTGCTCAGATCAATACGCCGGTGATATGTCCCGTACCCGCGCAATTGAAGGCAGAAGAGGTAATGGACATCGTGGAAGGATACGGCTATCATGAACGAACAACAGCGGCAAAAGAGTGGCTTGGGCGATCATCTTTCATACCGCGCGTACAGACGCATATCAAGAATAACAGAACAATTCCTCTGGTACTACCTGCCTTCCCAATGAAAAGCAACAACCGCATGGAGAAGGTGCTAGGCGCATTGCCAGATCTTGGGGAAGAGCTTGGTTTGGCGAGGTTGGTAAATCTATGTGGGGATATCAAAGCCGTGTATCCGCCGGGTGCGATTGTGGTTATTGTCACTGACGGAATTTGCTATAATGGTATGATGATGCCTCTAGTCTGAGAAGTTTGCTAATCTGAGATCTAGATTTGACTGGGATCTCCGATGCAGAAGTCTGGGACTATGGAAGCCGACTACGGGATATTGCCACTGAAAAGAGATACGGATGTATCCAATTCAATCGAATCATGAACCTACTTGGTCTCTATTGCCGCGAGAAGATCTCCAAGTCTGAATATGTGAAACTCTGTGGTGTATCACGAGCAGAGCTTCATCGGAGGCATGGGAGACCTGGATTTGATGTTGATGGATTTTTGAAGAGCAACGAAGACTATCTTCGGACATATAATGGTAGGCGGTATCATCTGGAAGAATTATGCAAGCTAACTTGCTACAGGCTATGATAAGTTCATGAAGATCGATCTCAAGTATAGTCCGGCGACCAAAGACTGTCCCGGGCCAAAGCAATACAAGAAGAGCGTGAAAACCATAGCAAAAGCTATGATTGTTCGGGGGGTGGTACGTTTTCTTCAAATCAGCAGAGGCACACTCGCTCACATAGAGACAGGAATTTGCAGAGCTCTTACGCCAGGTCTACCCAGATTCATTGCGTCTCTCTATCCATCCCTCATCGGGACAGACGAAGCTATCTTGTCCCTTGATCCCACAAATAGACTCATTCTCCATGAGTCCCTGGCACTGCAGTATTGCAGTAAAACTGGACGGTACATTCCTCACGGCTCACAAGTCATCGCACAGGCAGAACTTCGACCTTGTGGAGAAGAATGGACAGCCATATTTCTTCCGAGAAAGCTCTCCGCTGTTCAAGTGGGACGTCGAAGTCGAATTTGAACATCAGTATGAACAAAGCCTTGTGATTCGACAAAAAGATCCGAATGAGCAACTGTCTGACTCTGACCTAGACAAGTTGGCACATCTGGCTATTAAGCATAAAACTGTAAAGTTTGACTATATTTGATACCCTGTATGAAGATGATGTCTTTCAATCAATATTTAAAATATCAATCGGGTTCTTTGATTCAAAGGGTTGGATTTTCCAGCTATATTTCAACACCAAACCCTGTTATACAGACGTCGAGATTCCAGAGTGATTTCAATGAACCAAGTGAAACCTGCAGCCAATAGCTCCATAAATTGTTCAAAACTGTGGATTCTGAACCTGCAGGGGCTGCACCCACCAGGTGATACAAACAAATAAGCCTACACTATTTAGATCTACAATGGAAGGACAAATATCGTCAAGGAGATTCACTCATCCCATTCAGTCTCATATCTAGAGACCACCATATACTCGACAAGTCCATACATCTGTACAAATCACAAAACAAACTCAAAAACACAATGCTACAACAGAGAGACAGTGAGGAATCGAGAGAGATAAAAAGAGAGAGAGGGGGGAGGAAATGGGGGAAGAGACCACCAAATGCGTCAGGGGAACCCAGCCACCCAAGACCAAAATTAATGTGCAAGTCCAAAGACGAAATGACCAATAAATCATAAGAGCTTCCAGGTAGAGACATGAGCCAAAGGTTGAGAGAAAATTTTCATCTCATATTCAATTGTCACCGTGCCTTTGAAAAGGAAAAAAGGGAAAAAAAAAAAGGTATTTGGTGAACATAAGGGGGAATAATTCAAGAAATGAAAAAAGCGACACACGCAGCGACGACCAATCGTCGCTCGGAGTATCAAATGAAGAAGGAAAATGGCCGATCAAAAATTGCACAGAAAGAAGATATACGTGATATGTGACATGTAAATCTGACAGTGAAAAGGAAGTTTTGTGCAGTCTCTCGGTCCCTGCCTCTATCGGAGAGGGGCCGAGCATAGGCGCATTGGAAGGAGCAGGTTCCCTGGAGAGTAGTGTCTTCGAAGGTCTGATGCCCGTAGAAATTTGTCGTCGCAGGTCCAAAAGGGAGGGGCATGATGGGAGAGGCGGTCTATACGCGGAATTATCGAAACACGTCTAGTTCCATCCCAAAGAGTTTTCGGCCATGACAGGGGCACTGATCATTTGAGAGCGAGCAGTACCGCGGCTGTTCTGACTGGGGGATGTGCGACCACCGGCGGCGAAAACCGAGCCGGCTGCGGAGCCACCCTGGCTCATCTGCTCGACAGTCGAGCTAGAGCGCTGGTGCAGCTGCTTTCTCTTGCGGTAACGACGAGCGACCCAGAACATACCGGCACCGTAAGCGGCAGCACCGGCAACGACACCGACACCAATGCCAACGGAGCTGGCCTTGGTCTTGGAGCTGCTGGCGGAGCCATCACTGTTGTTGTTGCTGCCACCATCGGTGCCATCATTGTTGCCGCTGTCGGTGTTTCCAGAGGACGATCCGTCACCACTGGAAGGGTAGTTGCCAGAGAATTCCAGAGGGATCGTGGGGTCAACCATAGTCATCAACGACTGGATGGATTCACTAGCCTGGTTGTAGAGAGCAGACTTAGGATTGACCTTCAGGGCTCTCAAAGCCTCGACCTTATCACGGGGGAAATAGAAGATGGCAAGGGTGGCGTTGTAACCGGTAGCTTGCCAGTTGTAGTAAGGTTCAAGCGAGAACATGACGGGATAGTCCTTGGCAGCGAGAGTGGGCAAAGCGTTTTCAATGGCCTGCGGGGTGTAGTTGAAGATCTGGGACGACGACAGAGGAGTCGTTGCCACAAAGGACCATGGCAGCTGACCATTGAAACCCAACTGGAGCAGAGTCGAGTCAGATGGAGCCTCGGTAATCTCGTTCGATGGTGTGATAGAACCAGGGAGGGAGGTTGCCTGGGGCATGTCGGTCTGACCAGAAGTTGTGGTGTGGGTTGTGGCGACGGTAGGCATAATGAGAATGGTCGATGGCATCCAGTCGTTGTCGTTGGAGGTGGATGGCAAGGGAGTCTCAGTTGCGGTGGTCTGGGGCTCCACAGCGGTCTTGGTCGTGCTCACCTCCGTTGTCTGAGGAAGGGGAGTGGAGGCAGGGTGTGAAGTGGGTGTCGGAACCTTGGGGGTCTCGGAAGATCCGCTACCAGGGACAGAGCCGGATGTGGTACCAGTGCCAGGGGCAGAGGCAGTCGCGGACTCAGAGGTAGAGTCCGCACCAGGCGAGTGTGGAACAGGAACCGATCCAATGGAGTTGGTCGGTGTTGGGACACCTCCACTGGTGGTAGTACCAAATCCAGGAATGAGAGCAGTCGACTTGGACGGCAAAAGGCTACCAGCGGGCATCGACGCAGTCGGGATCAAGGCAATACTGCCGGTTCCTGTGGGGGTGATGCCGAGCAGAGAATCCACGCCGGACACGATACCACCAAGCAAATCGCCAGAAGAGGTAGGGGTGGTCGAAGCCGAGACTGAGGTCGTGGCAGAGGCTGGGACGCTGGCTGGGATTGTGGGCAGCATGCTAGAGTTAGACGCAGTGGCAATGGTGCTGTTTCCGGAAGAAGAGTTGTCACCCAGTAACATACCAAGGAGGTCGGTTCCTGAGCTTGCGGTCGAGCTTTCCTTGGGGCTACTGGCACTGGGAGTTGCAGAAGCGAGGCTGCTGGTCGAGCCACCAAGGCCAAGGTCGTCTCCGAGGGAAGACAGACCAGCGCCTAGTCCACCAAGAAGACCCTCAGAAGTAGAAAGAGGAGTGCTAGAGGCCTTGGCAGCTGATGAGTCAGTGAGAGTGGCCGGGGTTGAGGTTAGAGCAGAAGCAGAGCTGCTAGTTGAGCCACCCAGGCCAAGATCGTCCCCAAGGGAAGACAGACCAGAGCCTACTGCACCGAGAAGACCATCGTTAGAGGAAGCTGAAGCCGAAGGGGAGGCCGTGGTAGAGGCATTTGCAACCGAGGAGTCGGTAGTGGCAGCCGGGGTCACAGAAGCGAAGCTGCTGGTCGAATCGGTCAGGCCAAGATCATCTCCGAGAGAAGACAGACCAGAGCCTACAACACCAAGGAGGCCGCCGTTCGACGAAGACGTAGCTGTGGTAGCGGCTGTGGTAGAGGGTGTAGAAGACGGCGCAGTAGAGGCCTGGGCCGATGAATCGGTAGCGGCGGCCGGTGTCACAGCAGCGGAGCTGCTGGTTGAATCAGTCAGGCCGAGGTCATCTCCAATAGAAGACAGACCAGAGCCTACTGCACCGAGAAGGCCACCGTCAGAGGAAGCCGCAGTCGAGGGAGAGGCCGTGGTAGAGGCCTTGGCAACCGAGTCGGTAGCAGACTGCTGCTGGCTCGTGGTGTCGGCATCGGTGGAGGGGACCTCGGAGTTCTTCTGGACGTTGTTATCCGTGCTTGATCCATCAGTCTTCTTGGTGGTTGTGGTTGTTGTCGCGGTCGGCTCGCCACCAATTGTTGTGGTACCTGTGATACGGTGGGTGATCTCAGGGTTCTTGGGGTCGACGGAGATGGTCACAACAACAACTTCCTGTCCCTTCTGGGACTCAGCCGCGGCGGGGGTGGACAAGGGCTCTGGTGTAGGAGTGATCTCGGGCTGGGAGGAAGAGCCTTGGGTCACAAGGTTTTCGAACACGTTGTCGATGAGTGAACCGGCATCGGGGTTGAAGCTACGGTTGTTGCGAATCGTTCGCTTCACCTCGCGAGGGAAGTACCAGCGCGGTCGTTCCACGTTCGCGTCGGCAGCATCCTGGGCAGCCACCACCTCCAAGCCTCCCACGGCGAGGAAAGCCGCGAGAAGAGAAATGGCGTCGGGACGCATGTTGTAATAATATCCACGTGATAACACGCAGCGCGTTCAATATCAGTACAGGTGAATATTGGATAAATACCGTTCGTCAACACCTCGTGAAAGATCAGGGGTGTGACAAGAGGTATATGGCCTAGAAATCTCGAATTTCCAACACGACCAAACCTCGCAGTGATAGAGGAAAAGTCGATGCCTAGGCAACCAGCTAAGACAAGTGTATAAAACGAATGGAAGGGGCGATATAATCGACCCGGGGACGAAAAGCGAGTGTGGGCTTGAAGAAGCTGTAAGGAGCGAATGGATGGCCTTAAGGTAGAACAAGGCGATCAAAGGGAAAACCGGGGGGGTGACCGATGCAAGGGGGAGCGGATTGGCTCCAGGTCTCGAAGCCAGAGCTAAGTCGGCAAACAAAATAGGGGAATGAAAGAAAGGAGTGAATTAAGTGAATGAAGAGAGAAGAAGGATCTCATTAGGGGGGAGAATTGGGGGGGGGGGGGGGGGGGGGGGTGGAGGGTAATTAACGGGAAATTGGGTATTGGCGCTTGGTGTCAGGTACGGGAGCTATAGACACGCACTTTATCCTGCTACAGTTGTTAGTACTCTGTGGCTAGGTAGGAGCCCTGGCTTGATACAGTCAATTGAACTAGCTTAAGCTAGAGTCTTTTCATCTAAAATACCACTTGATATCCTTTCTAACCTATACTCTTAGATTCCTATGTCTGTCTGCACTGAGTATAGCGCTATACAAATCAACAAAGTCAGTGGGTCTGTATCCGACGTGGCAATAAGTGCGTGGCCTCACACATCCCCCCGAGCGTACAAGTATTACCTCCGGCTCATGTTACCACTTCCAACATTAGTGGCTTAGGCCTTGGCCTCTTTTGGCATGATCAACGAAACTCACTTCGCTAAGAGTTGGCCCCCAAGGATCTATCGGGTTGAAGACTCAAAATTGGATTCTACTCTACATAGTATAAGAGTCAACATCACCTGGTTTATTTGAACTCACTTGATTTATGTTAACATTATTCATAGAGACGTATACAAATCTGAAGGACTCCGTACAAATCCATCCACTTTTGATGGGCAATAACTAAATGCGCCACGTGCGCCGATCGGAATGTAGATACTTATTGCGAGTCGAGTTCCCCTCATTTTTTGTCGTCATTTTGATGTTCAGCATTCCTGAAATTCTTGTCTGAACACTCTGTACCCATCTTTCAAATGGTGGCTGCTGCATGTCTATAGTCAATCCGCGCCTTCGACGCAGGAACAAAAAAAGTAAAAGTCAAAGCTTATGTGAACGATTCAATATAGGCTCCGCCACATGGCTTTCTTTGTTGGGTTTTACGGTTCTACTCACGAACCTCTTCAGCCTTCGGGGCTTCCACATGGCACCTTATATTTGATTTATAGTCGATATTTCCTGAACAGGAGGAATTCATCATCTGTACCACGGACCGCCAAGGGCGCTAGTCCTGTTCCTGAAGGCTAAAACGTCGGGATCCACCTGTGACCCGTGGTAACGACTAGTATCTATGGAATCATGCTTACAATAATTACAGGGGTACTTGGCTGGACTCTCTGTAATATTTCTAACCAGTTTGTAAGTTATACCACAGTCATGTGACTTGGTTCCATCAAATTTTGCGAACATTCTGGCCAGGTCCGGAGCACAGTACACACGTACAATGACATTTGAGTGGAGTGTTCTGTACCCACGTCATGTCTTAGAGTCTAGAGCTTCGACCGTTGCCACCCTTCAGTCCAGAGCACTCAATTTCGACATCCGTTCCCCGTGGGAGGGACTTGACGCAGACACAGGTACGTACCTATGATGGTGAGCATCCACATGGTTCTAGACAGCTATAGGGCTTACTGGCTTAGGGTCCACAAAGAACTCAGTGTAGACTTCATTGACCGCTGGGAAATCCGCCATGTCCGTCAGGAAGATGTTGACTTTGATGGCGTTATGAAGGCTGGATCCACCTGCCTCAAGGACAGCATTGAGGTTGTGCAAGATTTGCCGCTGTGCCAGTCAGTAGATTCACATATGATAGATCGTGTTGACTTACGGTTCGGTTCTGGATGCTGCCCTCCGCCATCTTACCCGTCGAGTCTGTCCCCACTTGTCCAGAGCAGTAGACCACGTCACCAACAATGAGGCCCTGGGAGAGGAACGGAGGTGGAAGAGGCGCCCTTTCGGTGCGAACAGGAATACGTGTTGCCGACATGGTAGTTGAAGTTGCTGAGTTGACATTCCGTAATCTGCGGGGATTTATAACATCTGCCCCACAATTGACTGCAACTGTTGAACATGGCCCTGGGCTTTTGATGTAAGAACATGCGGTGTCTTGATAATAAAATTGCTGGAAAAAAGATGCAATTGATGTTGATCTTGGTCAATGATATCGCGTCTGCCGTTCCGACTGGTCCAAATGTGTATATGTCAAACAAGCACCAACAAACCACTAACCTCTGTTGATCTTTGAAAGGTGTAAGCAGAATTGACACGGAAAATAAACTGAACAATGAGTGGGCCAACCGATAACAATATACGAAATAAAAGGTAAATACCAAAGTAAAGCTAATAAACTTAGTAGTAGGCTGCCTAGTTAGCCATACGATTCCTCGAACCCCATATATATTTGCAACGTATACTCCAAGCTCATTAAGTCGGTGACATAGGGTCTACTATCACAACGAGGAAGAGATTGTCATGTCACGTCAGAACAGTCATGCTAGGCCATTGCGAGTTGAGAACACACAGAGAAAAAGCACCACGCGCACTCACATCGATCATTTCACTCATCCTACGTGTGACTTGACTCTTGATCCTTACAACTTCTTCCCAGCAACCTGAGCTTCCATCTCGACTGTTTCACTTGCCACCAGCCTAGACCTCCACCCTGGGTCTCTTTAAACGGATGAGAGAAGCATCTTCCAACAGTCCCAATACACAGTGCTTCAAAATCGAAATGGAGGACCAAGGCGAGCCCGGTATTGCGCCTCAGCCTGATGGCGCCGATACCACATTTGCAACTCGTGGTCCCCTCGAAGTCGACGTTCATGGCCTCACGGCCAGGTTCTTTCTCGACATCCCCATCGATGAAGTGATCCCACAACGTTTTCTGATACAAGCTGAGAGACACTGTAAGCTCTTCTGATTATCCATACGGTGCATCTCTTCTCCCCTCAGTCTGCATACTGTCAGCCTGGCTGCTTTTTGTTGGTGACCCGGCACCCAAACTCCCACGACCATGTGTTGCGTATTCATTGACTGCTACATTATTTACATTGCCTACCAACCGCTTTGAACCTCGGGGATCAACAAAGTGTCATTTGTGCAATCTGGCTAATGCTCTTCTTACAGCTTTCACTCACTGCAAGGCCTGGATTTTTCGTAATGGCACCGATGACGGCCGAGATATCGACCTGGATGAGTGGTCACCAGTCGATATGCGCTACCGCGGAGTTTTCAAAACCCTTGCCAAGGTCCCGCTGTTTAGCAAAGGTCTGTGGGAAGGTGGATGTGAGCTATTCGACTATGAGGTGGGCACCAAAAACCCTAGGGTGCAAGCCCATGTTGTCTATGCGCTTCTGCATGAGATCGGTGACATGCTGAATATCTCACGACCAACTTCCAAGGCCAATGTTATCTTTTATCCAAAGTAAGTACTGCTACGGGACACCTGCCTCATACCAAATCAATGCTGAGTGTACTTTTCCCCAGACCGCGTCTTGTTTCTCGCGCACTTGAATACTGGACAGGCTACCGAGAGAAGTACAAAGATGGACCTCGTGCTGCAGGCTTTTTGTCGCTCGATTTCTATCCCCAACAGGACTTTTCAATTTCATTGTATCCTGTTTCAACCGTAAGTTCTTATTACTATTTACCTTCATGACATTATACTGACAAAACGTAGACCACAGAGGCTGAAACTTTCAGCTCATGCCTCCGAGAGAAGTTCAAGCTCATTCTCGGCCAGCTTCTACTCCACCTTCGACCTCTCCGTGCTCCAGGCGACAAGCTCCCAGATCAGGAGGTTTTCCTGGTAGGCCTACATGGCTCAAAGCTTCACATCTTGCGAGCATTCTTTCCAGGCCAAAAGACCTCAAGTCTCTGGTGCCAGCGCGAGCTCCCAATGCCCGAAGCTTTCATCTCTGGTCTTACATTCCAAGACCAACCCCCCAGCCCTCCAGCCTCTTACACATCAGCCACGAATGATGCACAGGCATACCACATCGAACAAACAGAAGATGCCCCAGAACACGAGAGCAGCACCACCGAGAATACTAACCGTCCCCGATCCCAGAGCAACCGCTTCTATACAACCGAAAACCTCGAGCGAATCCGCCAACATCTGGAAGAAGCCAAGCTTAGCACTCTAGACAACGAGCTCGAGGTCCGCACATTCCGTGTCCTCGGAACTCGCGAATATGACTTGTGGAACCAGAAAGACCTCAAAGAAGCGGTTCATTCCCTGGCTGCGTTGGAGCTCTACCTCTTCAGCGGCGAAGCCCGTTGCGGTGGCATCCAAGAAATCTTCGAATGGAACCCCTGGGACCCGTACGCTGGCAGTGAAGACAGTAATCCCGTGGAAAGCGATGAAGAGCGCACTGCCCGACTGGAGACCGACATACAGCTTGAGCAGCGGATGTTCGCCGAGCAGGAGGAAGATCTCCGACGCGAGGAGCTGATTCGCAGGGCGGATGATTGGGAGGCTACTCGATGTAGCGAAGCTTTGAGGAGCTCTGGTGAGGATCGGATTGGTAGTTTGAGCGAGTCGGATGCAACCAGCGAGTGCTGGGATTGGATATGGTCTGATGATGAGATGGATGCCAACGAGACGAAGGATACCAATTCTGATACGGATGAGAATATCATGGGGCAGTTAGATTCGGGCATCAACCCGTGAGATCTGTCCATGCTCGTGGGAATGAGGAGGAATGTCAAGGACGTTGAATGATCCTAGTTACGAGCTTTAGTGTGCTACACGTATCATGTGCTACAATACGTGTGTTTTGGACTTTGTTGGCGCTATGTACGATACCCTTAAAGCAATGAGATGTGACAAATTACCGAAATCACTACCAAATAGCTTGATTGAGACTATCAATAGAAATTTCTTCATTCGTTGTAGATCAAGAGTCGGAAAGCAAGAAAATTCGTGGAAAATAGTGAAGTATTTCGAAATATGCCCCATGGCATAAAGCCCAAATGTGCTCAAATGGATCTAATATCGCATACTATCATGCGTCCCACAGCATGAGAACAGTTTTAGGATGGTAAACATCTGCTGTTACAGTTCAATCACGATGACGCCGATCCGACTCGAACGCAGTAAACCCATCAATCCCACGACCGTCCTTTCCACCGGTGCGGAAGAACTCTGTCACAACTCCGATAGCATAACAAGTTGCTGCAGTTATCGTGCCAGCGAACAGCATTCTGCGGCCGGCTTTGCGTATGAAGGAGTCAGGCTTTGTTGTTGATTCATCTTCAGGGCCCGGTGCTGAGGATTGCTAGGCGGGCCTGTTAGGATACCACCAGAGCAGACAGTTTACGGCCCACTCACCTTGGAAGACCCAGCCCGGCTGTCACTTAAAAACGGAGGATCTCTTTCTTCTGTCTCACATGTGTTATTTGAAGCATCCGGGCTGGAGGCATTGTGGATTTTTCGGAAAACAAGGATATCGCCTCCTCCTGTTGCGATTTCGTAACCATCTTGCTGCATCTTCTCGAAGCTAGGTACGAATTTGGCAGGATTGTGAAGTCGCGACAAAATTTCACTTGATTGGACTGTCTCATTGATGCCAAAGAACGAGCTTGCTTGAGCTGTTGTTACTTGAGATGTTGATGCATCGTAAGCAAGAATATGGTATTCGGGGGAGGGCTGACGAGATGCTATTTGGTTCTTGTTCTCAGTAGCCAGCTCTTGTTGCTGGAGGATAAAGTCGCCCACACGGTCCTCGGAGGCATCAAAATCCAACGAGCATGCTTGAGGTGTCGAACTCTCTTTGGAGGCATATTGAGCACGGATGTCGCTGGCTTGCAATGCACCCAGGTCTTCAGTCTCGAAAAAACTCTTCGCACTGGCCGCATCGGAAATGAATTTCGCTTCCAATTCATTTCCAGGTGAAGATTCGGTGGGAACACCCGCCTTATTGGAGCGATTATGCTCGAATATCGTTTCTGGCTTTGATTGTCTATCAGTGTCCCAAGTTGGGTTGGACATGAACTTGGCCTCCAATTCGATTCCAGGCGTACAATCAACGACGGTCTGTGATCTTGATCCAGAACCGTCTTGACTTGGCAGATTAGGCAGAATTTGAGTTTCTATCTCATTGCTAGGAGAGCGTTCAAAGTTTGTGTGAGAGTCCGATTGGACGGATGAGGTGGCTTCCTGGTGGCTCGTGTTGCTAGTCTCAGAATTTGGACGGGCTTTCTCAGAAGAGAATTTTGCGTCCAGTTCGTTTCCGGGTGGGCAGTCAATTGAATTACTCGCTGGATAATTAGAGCGGTTGTTCTCCGAAATGGATGGAAGTGTTTCGACCAAGCGACTGGCAGGCTCGGAGATAAACTTGGCCTCTAGCTCACTGCCTGGAGAACAATTCACATTCATTCCAGAAGCCAGGCCAAGATCCGAGTTGGGTCGGTTATTGGGCTCAGTATTGTTGAATGTTGTCAGCGAAGAAATCTCTGGCTGGACTGATTCAGAAACGAACAACGAGTCCAATTCATTACCAGGGGGACAATCGATGCTAACATTTGGTTTTGCTGTATCCTCACCGGGAACCTGTGTCTTGGTAATTGTATCTTGAGAGTGATCAGGGTTGGATTGGAAGAGTACATCCAGCTCGTTACATGGAGGACATTCGACAATCTGTGAGCTCAGCGAAGCTTCGGTCTGCAACTTGGAGTCTCCAGGCTGGAACTGCCCATCCTGAGGTAAGTTCGGGTAAGAGACAAACTTTGCCTCAATCTCACTGCCAGGAGGGCAGTCTACGACTTTATGAGAGCTGGCTTTCGCTTCTTCGTTTTGCGGCTCCGATACAATAGGAGGCATTGGCGCCATCCGCCCACTAATGGGATCGTACTGAAGTCCAACATGATTTGAGTCACTCCTTCTCTTCTTCTGGGCTGCATCCATAGATTGAGCACGATTGGATTTTTCGCTGTGCATAAGAGACTTGAGAAAGCCATTAAATGAGGCATCGGACTTGTCAATTTTGTAGAAAGGGTCCAATCTACGCCCAAACAAAGCGCTGTAGGGGTCGGCCTCAATTTCTTTTCTCAATGACTCCATATTGCTGTACAGTTGTTCTCGTTCTGAGTCCAACACGCTCTTTTTTCGGCCAGAGGAGAGGTCAGACAATCCTGAACGAGAGCGCCACATTCCCCAGCCCCAAGTTGAATGCTTAGGATTGGGAGCTGGAGATCCACAATTTCGAGATTCGGCATTGTGCTGATTGAATAAAGGATGTCGATGGTATGGGTCAATACGTCGAGAAATGCGGTCTGTCTTCTCACTCTGACCGTTGCGTGCACATCGCCATGTACTCCGACTTTGGGAGACATGTGTGGCCACCGGTTGTGAGATCGCAGGGCGCATGTTTCGGGGGCCTGAGAGTCTGGCTGATATTGTAGCCGAGGAACTCATGGTATATCTGTTTGAAAGGAATAAGGGTGGATAAGCTGGAGATCCCCCACACACGGGGCTTAATGAGGATCCGATCGATCGTCTCCACTGTGGTGTACAGTGATCACGGCTGTTTGTCTCTCTAATCAAGGTCCATTAAAGACGAAGCAGGTTGATGCGAAGTTAATGGGAGAAGGTCAAGGGTAGAGGCATTAAGGAAAGGAGCGGCCCGGGGATCCCCAGATTCACAAATTGACGTCAGACCTGCCAGTCAGCATTCGCGTGAGGTCACCGCCCACTTTCTTTACTCCAGGGGATCCATGAATAATAATTTAATATGGGTTTAGGTAGTGGCAGACATTTCTGATTTCTATGCAGTTCAGAAAAGGGTCAAGTAGGCTCAAGAGGCTAAAGTGAGTACTAAACTTGAGAATGTAAGAGCTGCTTCCAGCCTAAGCAGTCAACCCGGTATGGTCTATAGACAATATGATTGTGTCTTTCATTCTCTGTTCGACGATTATCTCCAGGCCTCCACTTGTGGCGTTGGGATAAAATATTCCCTGTAGATTCGTTTCATCATCAATATGTACAGACATCCCCTTTGCATCATCATGGTAAATCTGGGTGTGGAACTTGATATATACATTCATTGACATTATACTGCCTCAAATAATAAGGCGAGAGAGATTATCAGAAACCGGGACCGAGAGGTAGTTGCGCCAGAAGCGTAGACCCTCAATTCCCTCCTCCCGACAAAGAATCCCCCGGTCTTCAGCCATTTCTAGCTCTTCGGAAGCTACCCCGACACTCCATTTGAACCGATGCGCGGCTTCTTGTGCAGTGACTGCCCGGCCGAATAGCGACCAATCCCAAGGAACAAAATCTTCGGGAGGAATGCGTCGCAGCTCTTCCATCCAGTCTAGAATTTTCTCAATTGTCTTCTCATCGCTCCAGTCATACCGCTGTACTACCAGAAGACCACTCTTGAAGCGCCGGAGGCGAACAGGCAGTTTGAGCTTCTCCCATAGCTCTGCGGCCTTTTGGAAATCAGAAGGACTGGCCAGCTCAACTCCATTACGGGAGCGATTGAAGACCGCCCAGAGGTCGATGAGACTCATGATTCCACCTTCGCGCTGCAAAATGCCTTTCCTGTCATCTGTCAAGTATTCAGCTAAATCACGCGCGAGTTCTGATAGATAAAGACTTTCTGATCCAGAGCTCAACATGTCTTTTGTGGTAACCATTCCTAGAGCAGCTGCTGATTCGGATAGTACCGCACTGGCTTCTGCGGAGCCCTCGCTGGAGGTCATGCCTGACTCTCGGGCTAAGCTTTCGGCTAGAGCCACGATCTGCTTTGCAGAGGCCATCAAGGCTCCAAGATCCTCAAAGGCATTCCCGATCACCATCTCATTCTTTTTCCGAGCCTCCAAACCACGACGTTCCAGTCCTGCAATACCGACACCCGAAGACCGTGGCGTGGAAGGAAGAGGGCTTTCCACAGCAGTGACACCAGATGGCAAGCCAGGTGAGGAGGTGGCCTGAGATGGTGGAGGCACAGGAGGCGCATTTTGCAGAAGCCACTTCCTCTGAACCAAGGCCCCCTTTAGCCTTTCATGGAATGTTTTCTCGCCCCCTGCACGGAAAGAAAGTTTGATGCTCTCGCTAACCTCTGTATTTGCAATATGCGACTGCTCAAATATTGGTGCAGGCGAGTCCACCCGGTTAGCATTAGCAGAAGACCCCGCAGATGTTAAAGGGGCCCCGCATATCTCGCATTCAGTGAGAGATGGGTGGTTCACAAAAGTACATCGTGGACAGGGGACGGATACCCCGGGCCCGGGCAATGCCACAGAGCCTGGTTGAGGAAAACTGTGTGAAGTGGCTGGCGATGCAACTGGAGGCACGGGAGAGTCTCGACTTGTCGCAGCACTTATGGCTGCTTTGAGTACGGTTGTAAATGGTGGTTTGATTCCACATGCCAGGCAGGGGGGCAAATGTGTAGCAGCGCTTGCGGTTGTCGGGTCGAAGTTGGATGGAAGCGGATTGGAGAATGAGCAAATGGGACAAATCCAAGTAGCATTGACCGGCTTCGGAGACGAGGAGCTTTGTGGAATGTTCGATTGTGGAAGTGTAGACAGTGATTGCGCTAAATGAAGGGCTGATTGTTGGAATAGAGCAGGGCTGGCAGTTGCGCTCCTCGACTTATCAGCCTTGTTCTTCTGCGGTTTGGGGTGTATGGTAATCTTTGGAGAAGACTTCAAGAAGCTAACCTAGACATCGGGATACGTCAGCGATTGAAGAATTGAAGCTAGAGTATAGCTCGCACCTGATACTCCACTCGATCGATTTCCTTCAGGTCGATAGCCACCGAATACTTTCGCGGGTCCTCAGTTGCAACATAGCACACTCTATGAGATGTGAGATAGGCATGTCCATTCTGATAGTTCTGAATCTTGTATTTCCTTCTCCATTTAGCACCCCGCATCAACATCATAATGAGCTACTTACCCTTCATAAAGTCCCACTGCGTCTTGGACAAAGAGGAGGGTCTCATCAGGTAGCAGCAAAGGCCTGAGCGCAGTGGTCAGGTCCAGCGCCTTGAAGAACATCTAGGACCAGTTTGAGGAGATCCCCATGGAGAGAACAGAGAGACGTGACGGAGTATGGAGATCGCGATAAGGCGATAAGAGGGCCGGCGGAGAAATAAATATCCGAGGGGTAAGCGAGTGTCTTCACCGTCGAATGCACTTCATCAACTTCGGTCTTCATCTCAATAATATCAGTCTGTCACCTCAGAGTCCAGTACCATCGACGGTGTAGGAAAACTTATACATCCGTCTCTCGAGTCAAACCCCCTCGTAGCTCTTTTCTCATTTTCTATTTATTTGCCTTTTATCTTGTTACTCCCTTGCTTTTCCAACCTTTGCATCTTTCTTTCTTCAAGTCCCGAAATGAACTCCAGTGCCCCACCGTGGCGTTCTACAGCATCTGCCCCGATGCCTAGAGCTCCTGCTTTTTCTACTGCTGGTAAGCCAAAACAACCTGGTCCGACTTCTTTAACACGACACTGACATTTTCTCAGCGACACCTGCTTATACTCCAGTCCAAGCACGTCGTAGTCTTGCCCATAACAAAGTCAACGCCCCAGCCAACGGATATCCTGCCTCTCAGGCCAATATGGCGATGCCGGATTCAGAAGATCGCAAGCGAGTGGAATTCCCGCCACCCGTTCGTTCCTACGTGCAACGGTGTTTCGCCCCCGAGAATCAGATTGCCAGCGTGACCATTCCCGAAATGCAGGAGAAATTAAAAATTGTGATCACCGAGGCAGCCGAGAACCAAAAGCTGCACGCGATCGATTGGGAGCGGCTCCCCTTGCCACAGGTCATGGTACAAAATGAACGCAATAAGATCCTGGCCAACCCGGCTTCCTCAAACTGGGCGTCTCAGCCGTCTTCTCCCGGAGATGCCGCACGCAAGAGGAAGTCAACCGACCCACACCAGCTACAGAATGGATCTCCGCCTTGGAGAAAAGCTAACAACAACCGTTTTGAAGACCGCGTTACTCACCCTAGTACAGAAAAAAAACAGAAAATGACACTGGACCAGTCTAGTAAGTCCAAAGCTAATTTGGAAATGCGGAGGAGGCGTTTTGAGGGACTGAGCATCAACGGAAACTCTCCTTCATCCCCTACCGAATCCCCGGGACGAGCCACCGCCGACCAAGGACCCGTTGTCGGACGATGCCAAACCCTGGAGAAAAACTACTTCAGATTGACTTCTGCTCCCAACCCAGACACTGTTCGTCCCCTCCCAGTACTGAAGAGTGCCCTGGATCTATTGAAGAAGAAATGGAGGCATGATGGCAACTATGGTTACATCTGCGATCAGTTCAAGTCCCTACGCCAGGATCTAACGGTCCAACACATTCGCAATGAGTTCACCGTCTCTGTCTACGAAATCCATGCGCGTATCGCCTTGGAGAAAGGGGATCTTGGTGAGTACAACCAGTGCCAAACCCAGCTACGAGTGTTATATGCACAGCAGCTGGGAGGACACCCGACAGAGTTCAAGGCGTATCGTATCCTCTATTTCATTTACACCCGGAACTGGACGGCCATGAACGATGCACTAGCCGATGTCACAGCAGAAGATAAGAAAGACCTGGCTGTCAAGCATGCTCTAGATGTCCGCTCTGCCCTTGCACTCGGGAACTACCATCGCTTCTTTCAGCTTTATCTTGACACACCGAATATGGGAGCCTACCTCATGGACATGTTTGTTGAACGTGAGCGGCTGAGCGCTCTATGTGCCATTTGCAGGGCGTAAGTGGTTCCACTTCCCCCTTTCTTGTCTGAACATTCTGACTCTTTGCAGGTACAAACCCGTTGTCAACATTCGGTTCATCACCGAAGAACTTGGATTCGAATCCGACGAGCAGACTGCCCATTTCGTCATCAACAATGCGTCTGCAGAGCTATTGGAAGAAAATAATGGCGAAGTGCGACTGTTGACAGGCAAAGCAGGCTTGCTGTTTGAAAACGCCAAGGCAGCTGCCTATCGCGTGGTCGATATCAAGGGTCAGATATAACCGAGTTCCCATGATGGAATTTCAACAAAGCCCGTATACCCATTGGACACCGGACTATTTCTTTCTCAGCGACAGGAGTTTCCCTCGGATGCGCTTTTCATCTGGCCTGTTTTCTCGGGCCTTGCATTTTCACTCGGTGAATCTTTGCCTCATCCCGGATCTCAACTAGTCTTGCCACAAGACAATGATACTAATACCCACTTGCGTCTATTGGAATTTTGCATTTCTTTGTTTGCGATAGTCAATATTTTGTCCACTTGACAGACATGTGCATTGACCAGAGTAAATACGAGAGTCTCAGTACATTCAAAAGCATTTCCCATACTAGTTCATTTGTTCCATTGGCCTTCGATGAGGCTTCTATGGAACTTTGCCACGTGGGGCCCAAGGCCATGTCAGAGCTGGTCGTACCAACTAGAGCGATGTAAGGTGCGACAATCATGTATATTTGTATATGTGGGGAACGGTGAGGTCAACCCTGCAACCATGGTCTACGGACATGATCCTCATGTAGGTCATGATCGACACTTTTCTTCAGGGCTGTACTCTGTACAGTATAACTCATACAAGTGTAAGCACCTATCCGGAAATTGTAATTTCAAGGCATTCCCCGGAACTAATTTAGTTTCTAATTTCCTTCTATCCACACATATTCTAGACCTTTGTTCACCAAGTAATCTAAACGCCTTTGGGGAAACAATAGATCCACGGTACAGATACAGTTAAACCACGGGGCTGAAGTGGAGGCAAGGGCTTTTTTCCTTTTTCTCGGTGGACAGGTACGTATACAAAGTGGTAGTGTGATTACCATTAGCCGCCTTGTCTGCCCAACCAGTACTCTCTCTCTTTCTCTCTAGCCAAATATAGGTTGTCGTCATATCTTTCAAAGACTCTACTTTACCCCTGGGAGTTAAAAAGCGGGCCCCTGGTTAGAACCGCAATACCTCAGAGGCTTTCTTATTCTTCCCTCCGCATCCATCATGAAGGTGAGAGTGTGTGTCCCCGATATTATGGTGTTATATTAATCCGGTTTCGATTAGGCCATTCGGCGATCCTTGAAAGGGGAGAAAGATCCCAAACATCACCACATCTCCATTACTCCCAAGTCTGCTGTTGCTATTTTGCCTCCTAAGAAAGTGAGTCGAGTTCGAGTTAAACCCCCTCGTGCTTGGCGGTGGCTGACCGCATGTCTAGGTGATCAAAGCTCTCTACGACTACCAACCGGAGGGAACATCTCAGGAATTGGCATTCAGCAAGGGAGATTTTTTTCACGTTATAAGCAGGGAGGACGACTCAGATTGGTACGAGGCGTGTAATCCGCTGATCCCCAGTGCTAGGGGGCTCGTGCCCGTCTCCTTTTTTGAGGTTATCGGCAAAAACGAGAGGGATAGTGGGGGTTCCGCCGACTTGCCCCAGGACTACTCTTTCTCCGACCGCACCGATTCCGCCACCACCAAAAACGGCGCATTCAGAATGTCTGCTCTTAAGGGCCAGGGCGCCATGGTCTATGGCATTGTTCAGTATGACTTTCAGGCTGAGCGACCCGATGAATTGGACGCAAAGGCTGGCGAGGCCATTATTGTCATCGCCCAGTCCAACCCGGAATGGTTTGTCGCCAAACCCATTGGTCGCCTTGGTGGCCCCGGCCTCATCCCCGTCTCGTTCATTGAGTTGCGCGATATGCAGAGTGGTCAGGCTGTGACTGATCCGCTGGACGCGGTGCGACGCGCCGGGGTCCCCAAGGTCGAGGAATGGAAGAAAATGACCGCGGAATATAAGAACAGCAGTATCACTCTAGGCAAGATTGAATCTGGCCACGGTGGCAGCATGATGGGCGTCACCTCGGGCATGGACAAAATGTCCATGGGCCACCAGAGCCAGATGAGTCAAAACGGCAACAACCATGTACGTCGCAACGCCGATCAGTCGCATTTCATCTTTTTTTTTTTTTGCTAATCCTTGAAATAGGAACACCACCAGCGCAATGCCAGCAAGGGAACCATTTCGCAGGCGCCCATGCCACAACAGCAAGGCTACCCCCTCCTCGTCCCCGTGTCCGCTTATATTCCCCGCTACTGTTTCGACAACGACAAATATTGGTATATCATCGAGGCAAAGATGGAGGATGGACGCTGCTGGGAACTGTCGCGTTACTATCATGACTTCTACGACTTCCAAATTGCTCTTTTGACTCAATTTGAAGATGAAGCCGGTAACCGTGGTCGTGCGCGAACTTTGCCCTTCATGCCTGGTCCTGTCACTCATGTGACCGATGCCATCTCCAATGGCCGCCGACAGAACCTCGACGAATACATCAAGAAGCTCCTGTCCATGCCCCCGCATATCTCCCGCTGTCCGCTTGTCCGAGAACTCTTCGCTCCCCGTGAAGGGGACTTTGAGATCGATCCGAGTGCTTTTGGAGAGGATGCCCGGTACTCAGGTGGATCTCAACAATCTGGCGGCGTGGATCCCTCGCAAAGTGTATCGCGCCAGTCTTCGCAGCAGCAAATCAATGCCCCCGCGGATCGCGCATCTCAGCAACGCACACAGACCCCTGTGGCCTATGCCAATGGCCAACCACCCATGAACCGTCAGCCCAGCTCGCTCACTCAAGCCTCTGGCGCATCAACCAACAGCGCCATGAAAGTCAAGGTCTTCTTCCAGGATGACTTAATTGCCATTCGAATTCCAGCTGGCGTGAGCATGCAACACCTCAAGGACAAGCTCTCTGATCGGTTGAAAATCCAGGAAGAGATTATTGTGCAATACCGCGATGAATCGACCGGCTCTTACGTTGACCTCCACACCGATCAAGATCTGGAAAGCGCCATGCAGCGGAACACCAAGCTGACTCTCTTTGTCAGCATCGCATAAAAGCAATTCGGTTCTTTCTGGTGTTGCGGTCGACGATAGACTTATTGGTTTCACCAGGGTGTTTCGACTGTTAATGTTTGCAATGACTAGGGTGCATCGGCGTTTTTGACATGCGTGGTTTGTTTTTCTTTTCTTTTTTTAATTATCTCTGACTGGTTAGTCCTTGAGCGATTTCAAGTGGTCCCCGAGGACATGACCGCAATGTCACGAATCTGATGCGAGATGCACGGCATGGTTTCCTTTTCATCTTTCCGATCTTTCTTGATTTTCATTGTCTGTTTACTATGTTCACTACCACCTTGTGAGCTCTGCTCGCTGTTTGATTTTTGCTTGTTCTTTTATTTGTGCGTTGGTTTCGCATCTGATCTATATCCTCTCTTGTTTGCGGATCATACCCCGGTCTGTCTGCTTCTGCGTGTACATATGTCTTTCTGCTCGTGCATATACTGGGGTGCTATTTTAGCCTCATACTAGCACTGCAGTTATACTCTCCAGCTTTTAATGAACCAGTATAAATGAAGATAAATAGTTATCGGGTCTATATATTGTGTGTCACGTGACTCGGACCGAGTTCCGGCCGTTTCTTTTTCGATGGGCACGGAGAACACTGCGGGTTGTTTACTTGAGTTTCAGTTTTTCAATTCAATAGTCGCAGGACTTTCTGTACAGCTGTGACTGAGTGCCCTGTTGCTTTGATCCTATCACCTCGTGCGTATGAACTGCCACTTTCCGGGATGAAGACGAAATCATCTTCCAATACCTCGGCTAACGCCTTCGCAGCGCAACTTTCGGCGATAAGCCCGACCTTGACCACGTCCCAAAAGCTCCGGCGGTCATACAAAACAGTCCAAATGAGCCGACCATCAGCAAAGCTTTGCGCAGAATGCTTCCCAGGCGCGCTCCGGACATCACGGGGGGTGCGCCCTGCAAGGTTGCGGGGTGCGGCTCGTGAGAGATCGTATGCCACCGAGCACAGGACACTTGCTACGCCGAACTCGAGTCGCGCTTCAGCGGTTTGTACATCTTCTTCTCGAATCCCGCGTCCCCAGCTGGCTAGTCGTTCTCGGAAGGCGCGCGGTTTGGCTACCATCACGGATGGAGCTGTGGGAGGCGAAAAGAAGGTTTCGGTTGCGCCAAAGGACGGCCCGTTGGCGGAATATAATTTACGGGTAGAGGAGTGTCGGTTGCGCGATGACGAATACCAGAGAGGTAAGTGCAAACCACTTTGGCGGCGTGGAGTCGAGCCAGGCGAAGTATCCATAGTACAAGACTGATATGTACCGACTCGTAGGCATTATTCAAGGTCTCCAAGACTTGTTCGAAGCGTTGAAAGACTATCACCCACCCAAGGTTGTCCACCCCGACCCCCAGTCCTTGGATCTTCAACAAAAGCCCTCGTTCTTCGGATCGCTATTTGGCGGCTCCAAAAAGGCCGCGAAATCCACGATCCCTGAGAACCTACCGAAGGGACTGTACATGTATGGCGATGTTGGATGCGGCAAGACTATGTTGATGGATCTATTCTTCGACACACTGCCGCCCAATATCAAAGACAAGACTCGTATCCATTTCCATAACTTCATGCAGGATGTACATAAGCGCATGCATGTGTATAAGATGAAGTATGGAAATGACTTTGATGCGTTGCCTATGGTTGCGGCTGATATTGCAGAGACCGCGAGCGTGCTTTGCTTCGACGAGTTCCAGTGTACAGATGTTGCTGATGCCATGATCTTGAGAAGGTATGTTCCATCAAATTTGAGCGACGGCTTTTACTGACAGGGGGCACAGACTGCTAGAGATTCTCATGTCCCATGGCATAGTCCTTGTCACCACATCCAACCGACAACCCGACGATTTGTACAAAAATGGCATTCAGCGAGAGTCCTTCATTCCCTGCATCAACCTCCTCAAGAACGACTTGAGTGTCATCAACCTCAATTCTCCAACGGACTACCGAAAGATCCCCCGTCCTCCAGCTGCCGTTTATCATCACCCCCTAGGCGAGGACGCCCAGCGCCACGCCCAGAAATGGTTCGAGTTCTTGGGTGATCCCATCAATGACCCCCCTCATGCCGACTCTCAAGTTGTATGGGGACGTGAAATTAAGGTGCCCCAGGCCAGTGGCAAGGCTGCGTTGTTCACATTCCAGCATCTCATCGGTACAGCCACTGGTGCAGCTGACTACCTCGAATTGGTCCGCCATTACGATGCATTCATCGTCACGGAAGTGCCATCAATGGACCACAAATCACGCGACCTGGCAAGACGCTTCATCACCTTTATCGATGCTGTTTATGAAAGCAGGGTATGTGCCTTCTCACAGTTGCGGTCTCCCATATGCTCAATTACTTTACTTACAAGACTACAGGCCAAGCTAGTCCTCACTTCCGAAGCTCCCCTTGCAAACCTCTTCATCTCGGAATCCGAGGTCAAGGACGCCGCCAAGAAGAGTGGCGACCACTCCGATCTTTCGGACGCGATGCGTAGCCTGATGGACGACCTGGGTATGTCAGTGGATACGCTTAAGAAGACATCTATCTTCAGTGGAGACGAGGAGCGGTTCGCATTTGCACGTGCTCTCTCTCGTCTTTCGGAGATGGGAAGTAAGGAATGGGTGGAGCGTGGAACGGGAGTTGGTATGAGCCCAGAACAGAGCAAAGAGGAGCGCGAGGCATGGCTGAAGACTCGCAGCCACTGGAGCGAAGATAACATGTAAACTTGCTATTTCAGCCGCGATAGAGATACCTGTGCATATAGAAAAGTGTATATAGCGCATGGACATGGGAGAATAATCTGATATCGGATGACGTCATCTCAACACCCAACATCGACGGGTTTCAACGTCATCTCTGCAACCGGTATCAGACTGCTCAGAGCCCTACCGAACTGCATGATCTACTCAGAACCAAGGGAGGAATCAAAGCTATCTGGATACCTCCTCCGCAGTGGATTGCAGGAATGTCGTCCACGAATCACGGGTATGAGATTCGCAATATTTCCTGTCGCAAGCTCCGTCGACAGGTTTTTGGCTCGGCATTGCGGAAGACGATTACCTCGGCCATTAAGATTCAGTCATACTATGATCATTGGCAGTTGCGGTGGTGACTTTCGCTCCACTAGTTGTTCTCGATCGAGAACAGTCGACCTGAGTAATTGAGATGATTTGATTCCATGTATTAGTGATTAGGTGAATTACATCATTGACGTAGCAATTAGATTTTCCTGCTTATGATTGCTTCTTTTATAAAAGGATGCCACTGGCACACGGTTCCAATCTCCGTTTTTCCTTTTTCACAAACCTCCACCCTTCACCAGCGTTAGGGTCCTAATATCAACCATGGCAGCTAATCCGAACTCCAAGACTGCCGACGGCAAGTTCGCCGATCTGAAGAAAGATACCGTCGAGCTTAACGGCAAGCAAAACATGACTACCGACTATGGCATCAAGATCTCAGACCCGGACCATTGGCTTCGCGTAGCTGATGAACAGAAGACCGGTCCTTCGCTTCTGGAGGACCAGATCGCCCGTGAGAAGGTAGATACACCGCAAGATAACCCAAGACATCAAACAGAAGCTAACATTGTATATCAGATCATGCGCTTCGACCACGAACGCATCCCAGAGCGTGTCGTGCACGCCCGCGGGACAGGCGCATTCGGCACATTCAAGCTACACGAGAGCGCAGAGGACGTCACAAGTGCTGGTATCCTGACAGACACTAGCCGGACGACGCCGCTGTTCCTGCGTTTCTCGACTGTGCAGGGTAGCAAGGGTAGTGCAGACACTGTCCGTGATGTGCGCGGGTTCGCCATTAAGATGTATACTTCCGAGGGAAACTGGGATATTGTTGGCAACAACATCCCCGTGTTCTTCATTCAGGATGCGATCAAGTTCCCTGATGTGATTCACGCTGTCAAGCCCGAGCCGCACAACGAGATACCACAGGGTCAGAGTGCTCATAATAATTTCTGGGATTTCCAATATATGCATTCTGAGGTGACGCATATGAATCAATGGGTTAGTTCTCTTGATGAGTCTTGTTTTGATTGGAGTGGTGACTGACATGGATTTAGATTATGTCGGACCGAGCTATTCCTCGCTCGTATCGCATGATGCAGGGCTTTGGTGTGAACACCTACTCTTTGATTAACAAGGAAGGCAAGCGCCATCTTGTCAAGTTCCATTTCACCCCGGAGCTCGGTGTTCATTCTCTTGTCTGGGATGAAGCACTTAAGATCGGTGGCCAAGATCCAGACTTCCACCGCAAGGATTTGATGGACGCCATTGATGCAGGCCAGTTCCCTCGCTGGAAGTTTGGTATTCAAGTCATCCCCGAGGAGAAAGCCGACGATTTTGAATTCGATCCTCTCGATGCTACCAAGATCTGGCCCGAGGAATTGGTTCCTATTCGATACATTGGAGAGATGGAATTGAACCGCAATATCGACGAGTTTTTCCCTCAGACAGAGCAGGTTGCATTTTGTACCAGCCACATCGTACCTGGTATTGATTTCTCCAACGACCCCCTCCTTCAGGGCCGCAATTTCTCGTACTTTGATACGCAGATTTCACGTCTGGGTCCCAACTGGCAAGAATTGCCTATCAACCGTCCAGTCTGTCCGTACATGAACTTGGTGAACCGTGACGGTGCTATGAAGCATCGCATCACCAAGGGCACGGTAAACTACTGGCCCAATCGCTTTGAGACTAACCCTCCCGCTACGGCAGAGCAAGGTGGTTTCACCAGCTACCCGGAGAAGCAACAGGGTATCAAACAGCGCGCTCTGTCAGACAAGTTCAAGGAGCATTACAACCAAGCTCAACTGTTCTACAATTCACTGTCGGAAATTGAAAAGATGCACGTGGCCAAGGCCTTCTCGTTTGAGTTGGACCACTGCGACGACCCTGTTGTCTACAAGCGCATGACTGAGCGCCTTGCGGCAATCAGCCTGGAGCTCGCTCAGACTGTCGCCACCAATGTTGGTGGTGATACCCCGACCAAGGCTTTGAGAGAAAACAAGGGTCTCAAGTCTAAGGGATTAAGCCAGCTGGAATACATGCCGGAGAAACCCACCATTGCGACGCGTCGTATTGCTATCCTCCTCGCCGACGGCTTCGATTTCAACCAGTATACCACCATGAAAGAAGCCCTTCAAGCCCAGAATGCATTTGTTTTCACCATTGGTGCTCAGCGCCAGGGAGTTACCTCAGGGTCTGGGCAGAAGGTGGTACCCGATCATTTCTTCACAGGAATGCGGTCTACCCTCTTCGACGCGGTGTTCGTTCCTGGCGGAAAGCATATCGAGGCGCTATCAAAGAACGGTGTCGCCAAGCACTGGATCTCCGAATCCTTTGCCCATCTCAAGGCGATCGCTGGTGCCAATGACGCTGTGCCATTTATCCAGCGCCAGATTAACCTCCCAGAGGTCGAGGTTGCTCAGAGTGGCACCTCGCTCAAGGAGTCATATGGTGTTGTGACGGGTCACGGAGATGCGGCTTCCTTGCTGAAGGTTGGCAAGATCGCACCCGATGCCAAGGGTCTTGCTGAGCAGTTCATCTGGCATATCTCCAGACACAGGAACTGGGCGCGTGAGCTGGATGGACTTTCGGATCAGATTGCTGCCTAGTCTACTGCCTAGTCTATATTCACTGTATTCCAAAACGAAGCAAATGTGATCATGAAATTGTGTAATTTAATCAGATCATTTCAAAGTGTATGGGGTATTTGCATTCAGTAGAACATGGAATCTGCATTCCTCTTGTAGGAATGAGGGAAGTCCAGGATCCCGTCGCGCATCAAGACACTGCCCTAATCCGACATCCATTTCCGCCCAATTCCAATATCACGTATTGCAGTAAAATTAATAAGGCTACTTGAGATCCCCACTACTAAATGTCCTATGCCATGTCAAGTTACAATGAGGCTCTCCGCATACTTCTCACATACTTCCTGGCGGCTGGAGACTTTCGTGACACGGCCACGGCAACATCGTACCATTGCTTTCTCAACTGAGGCTGGGCAGCATTCACGCGCAAGGCAGGAAAGGTCTGTGAGAACATCTCCTCCATAAATAGCTAGGCTCTAGAATTATCTTCTTTTTCTTGTCTGCATCTGATACCTCACCACATGACTGGCTTCAACCGGATTATTTCCCCCCTTTGCGTTCCAGTCTCGGCTCTTTATATCTCGCATTTATTTGGACCTAGGATAATGGCTTTGCATTTATCGCGCTCGACGCGTCTGGCAGTTGTCATTGGCATCTCGACTTGCTTCTTTCTTGCCGAGATCTCGTGTTCGTGTTGCTTACTCTTCTTGCTGAAATTTGGCCAAACTGACGTTGATAGTGGGATTCTATACCCATTCAATTGCTCTCATTGCAGACGCTTTTCACTACGTAAGCTGTCCCACGGTTTGGTGCATTCTGGGATGGTGGGCATGGTGGACTGACGTCTCTTGTAGCTGAATGATCTGGTTAGCTTCATCATTGCACTAGTTGCCTTAAAGGTGAGTACCATTCAACCTTCTGGATTTATTCCTTCCTCTGACAGTAGCTGGACATTCAGAAATCGGAATGTACCGATTCGCCCAAAGATCTTTCCTTTGGCTGGCAGCGTGCTCAACTGCTGGGTGCCTTCTTCAACGGCGTCCTTCTTTTTGGGCTGGGTTTAAGTATATTTTTACAGTCTATTGAGCGCTTCATTGCTCTGCAATGTAAGTTCTCGGCTTTTGTGTGTTTTGTGAGCATGTCTGACCTGCCACTCAGATGTCCAAAACCCTAAGATGATGTTCATCGTTGGAGGTGTCGGGCTAGGTCTGAACATTATTAGTGCGTTTATCCTTCACGGTATGTCCTCACTCAGTAATACCGCATGGATTCGACTGATACAGACTCAGAACATGGTCATGATCATGGCTCAACACCTACAATCGAGGCACCCCCTCACATCAGTGAACACTGCCAGGATTCTGGCTCTAAAGTATGCATTGTTGTTTTGTTTGTTTGTTTATAACCTGGCGACTCGATTAAAAGAATCTAACAGTTGTTAGCATCATGATCACAAGCATCTGAACTTTGAGAAACTCTGTCACTCTACCACAGCTCACGATCATGGCCACGGCCATGACCACGGTGATCTGGGCATGATGGGGGTATTCGTTCATGTCATCGGCGATGCAATCAATAACCTTGGTGTAATGGCTGCTGGACTTATTATCTGGCTCGCAGCTCCCCATCCTGGCCGCTACTACGCCGACCCCGGAGTGAGCATGTTCATCGCAATTCTCATTCTTCTGTCGTCAATGCCAATCAGTAGGTTTTGTGCTCTAAACTTGGCGATTCCAAACTGACATTGTCAAGTGCGTCGAGCTGGTTTAATTCTGCTCGAGTGTGTTCCTACAGGTGTTGATATGGGAGATGTGACCCACGACCTCGAAAGGGTAAGCAGACACCTCTACCTATGCCTTCGTCAATCTCCACATGCTAACAATCCACAGATCCCCGGTGTGAGTGCGATTCATGAACTCCACATTTGGCGACTGAACCAACAGAAGACAATCGCGTCTGTCCACGTTGTCGTGTCTGAAAACTCTGTAGAAGACTTCATGCGCATCGCTCGCGTGATCAATGAGTGTTTCCACGCTTATGGAATCCACTCGGTCACTCTCCAGCCCGAACTATCGGATGACACTGATACAGATCTTCCCCGAGATGCCGAAAAACCCGGTCCTCGATGCCAAGTCATTTGTGGGACATTGTGTGAGGAATTGACATGCTGCGGTTAGCTGGACCAGAAGTATAAAACAGGTCTTGTGTCGACAGCCAACTTTTTATTTCGTGCACATGTGTTACGCCCTTGGAATTATCATTTTTGTACCATATAAACATGCATTTCGGATTCAATTAGCTCAATTTGCCGAACCGGGCCGTAAATCGAGATGACGAACCTTGACCACTTCCACAGCCTTATACCATTCAGAGCCTCCGATCCCAATTCTCAAATCAGACTTCCAGGTCCGTCTCTTAAAGTTGACATAGTCGATCGGAGGCTTCTCTTTGCATAAGTTGACTCTTGTTTTGCCAGACTGGCAGGTTCCTGATGTGGAGGTAAATCGCGGCTATACTTGGTCTCCGGAAGGGAAACAACGCCACAAAGTACTGAAGACCTGCGAGCCTTACTCCAAGTCCATACCAGCCCTGTAGTTTTATCGCGCCGCCAATGGGGCTGGCAGAGAGACAATAAATGGTAGAAAGGATGGCCTGGATTGTCTGTTGCACCATAAGATTTTTGCTTCTTTCGTGTAGGAAGAAATCTTCCTAGTTTGACTATTAGGCTCGGCGAGGGTCTGCATACCTTTGTGATCATAGGAACTAAAGCTTCGCTTTGTCCAGCCGATAATCCAAGTATCATGCGAGTCGCCATGTGCCAGTTACATGATGTAGCCGTAGCACAGAGAACAAGACCCAAGACACAAATCACCGTAAAAGACCAACAACACTATACGAAGACCAACGGTAATAGCAAGAGGCACCCCAACAAGGTTTCCAATTCCCCTGTTGCGGGCACGTGTCAAGGTGTTGTACGTGTCCTGCAAGAACCGCGATGAGTTTACTGTCTTTGTGATCTGGCGTAAGAAGGACAAGAACGGCAAAGACTCGATGCACCTCAATTTCCCATTCCACGCAACACCCATCAAGTCAATCGACGAGATTCCAGAAGCAGAACAGGCGAGCCTGAATCTTCATCTAGGGTCTGTGGATATATCGCGGGCCTCGCATCGGGGGATTGATTCTTCGAAGCAACTTCATCCTCAGTCCCTATTCCATCGCCATAAGGGGCAAGATGGGGTGTCTCCGGGTACAATTGTGAAGCTAGAGATTGAAATCTGGGCAATGGGTGTGGACTTTGAGGAGGGTGATTCAATCAGTGTGAGGGTAAGTTCTATTCTGCATACATTTCAACCCTTAAACATACTGACTCTTCTCACAGGTTGGGGGTCAATATCCCAGCATTGCCGAGTATGAATCATTCTCGAGGCTCAGACCTGAGCACGAGCTCAACCAGGGCAGACATATCATCCATGGTAGCGAGGGCTATTCTAGTTCTGTAATTTTGCCCTTTATCTGAACAATGTAATCTGTGAAGATACTTTCTTTGTGACTCTTTGTGTATTCTGGTAGCCTTGATCAAACCCAGGTGTAGATATATATTCCTGAAGCCTCGACCAATTTGTTTTTGCACCATCTAGATCCCTAGTCTCGAATTTGATTTTATCTCTATGAAGTATTCTATCACTCTATCAATTGAATGGAAAACCATAAGTATATTAACAAAGAACAAGCAAGCAAAACGTACGCACAGAGCTACCTACCGACATTTTGATAGATGTGCAAAAAGAAACTCTCCCTCGGGGAATCGAACCCCGGTCTCCCGCGCTTATCGGTGTTAATGACAAGCGGAAATCATCACCACTAGACCAAGGAAGATTGAATGACCGAGTTACTGCTCGACCACTTGGCTGGTTGATGTGAAAAGCCGCAATCTTTGATAATATGAACCAAGAAAATTAAGTTTTGCCTAGCATTTTTTTTGATTATACCTCTCCACCATCCTTCAAATAGCTGTTCGCAAGTATAAGAACTCAAGTATAATACCATTCACAATAGAACTAATATGTTTGTTTTTAAACAATAGTAATATAGCTCCGAAGAGGTCATATAGCAACATAACATTGAATGTAACCAACACCGCTGGATGCAATCGTTGTCCATGCAAAAATCCAAGTTCTCATCATCATGTTCGAGTCTTTTATCGTTTGAACGCTAGTGATCATGCAATTATGAGTCTGCCAACAAGTCCACCCCAACACCACGCAAGGCACCGACCGCCCACTCGGGGTATTTGGACCTATCACCTTCGTAGATATTAGAGAAGAACTTGCGAAGGTAAGCTGGGTATCTATCCTCAATGATAGCCTGTCGGATATTTCCCATCATGGTTAACATGAAGTGAACGTTGTGAATTGTCAGACTGAGAAGGTTAGCAACGACACAGCAAAATAGGAGAAATCGAACCATACAGATGAGCACCGACGGTCTCTTTAGCGGTGATGTGGTGCATATATGCTCGGGTGAGCCCGAGACCTCCTTGGTCAACTGGGCGACAAGAGGTGCAAGTGCATCCTTCCTCGATTGGTCTAAAGTCTTCCTCGAAAATCTTGCGACGCAGATTGATAGTACCAGAAGAGACGATCGCATCACCAAAACGCTGGTTGGAATCAGTAAAAAGCTATTTGGTAGAACCTCGAATAAACCTACCGCTGTGCGTGTCGGCCAGACACAGTCAAACATATCGGCACCTAGAGCCACTGCGACGACAATATCTTCGGGGTATCCCTAATTATCCAGGTTAACAACGAAAGACCACGCAACAATTATGAGATACATACAACGCCCATAACATATCTAGGCTTATTTTCAGGCAAAAGTCCCGTGCATGTATCCACTCTGTGGCCGGTCAGCTCGTTGAAGGCAATCCATAGAAGAAGTGAGACAAACACTTTGCAGAACTCCTCCTTGGCCTCACCACCGGAGAGTCCTCCGATAGCAATCCCAGGAGTATCTCGAGCGACCATCTCCTCGCAGCACTGTTTTCGCAATTCCAGATCTAGACCACCCTGAATGATACAGAATAGATTTTGCTTCTCGGGGTACTTATGCTCTTCGATGCAACGATCTAACCAGCGCACGGAGCGCTCCATAGCCTCCTTGATACGGGCATGATCTGGAGAGGTGGTTGCGATAACATCGTCTAGTTGCATAATAATATCGGAGCCGATAGAGTTTTGGAGAGAGATTGAGTGTTCGGGAGTAAGCAACCTGATGAGAGATCAGTAAGTTTGTCCAGCGCGAATTCAAGCGAAGATATTTACATCGGCGAGCCGTCGTGGGGGCTAAGGAATCGCACTCCTTCCTCTGTAACTGTCGCTAGTTTAAGTAGGGATACTATTTGGAAACTGCAGTGATATGACTCGGTCAGTAAGGACATCCGCAATTTAAGGTATCATATCTCACCCTCCACTATCAGTCAAGAGATTCCGATCCCAGCCTTGCAACTTGTGCGCTCCACCCACAGAGTCCAGCACTGCCTGACCAGGCTTCAATCCAAGATGGTATGTATTATTTAAACAGAGCATGCATCCTGTATCGCGTAGCTGGTCGTATGTGAGGCCTTTGAGCGATGCCTGTGTTGCGACGGGCATAAAGATCGGCAGAGGGACTGAGCCATGGGGAAGGTGGAGGGTACTGGCGCGAGCTTTGGTAGTCTATTGGAACCATCGAATAACGCATTAGATCTATGCCATTATAACTTTCGGAGAATACAGAGAGAAGTACCGAGCATTTGGCGTGACGGTCAAATGTCAATGCGGAGGGCATGGCTTTCCGAGCGGGTTCGGCAGTAGTTGACATGGTAGCAATGGACACGGATAGAGCCGTGCGTGAGGTACTAGCAGATCTGGCCAGTCGGTGGCATAGCATGAAGCAGACAGTGGGGTGAATGTTCGCGACGCGGACATTTTATCTGATAAGGTGTTTGTCTAGTTTGCATTACCCGAGGCTCTGACTTCAAATTACAAGTCACATTGTTGCTCTATGATTTCAGACGAGATGTTCTAAGTAATAGTATGCTATTAAAGTCGAATGATATGTTAAACCATATTGTGGCTTTAAAGTATGACACCAGTGACAGGACGCAAGCCATCAAAAGATTCACGTAAAAGTGAGAATACGACTTGATTGTGTTTTGAAACCCAACATAGTATCTGATGTTTACTTCAATTCAGCTATTCCCAAGTGAGATCTGCTCTTGGCTTTTGTGTACGTGTTCGACTCCAGGGCTGCAACCCCCAAACCCCGGACCCCTAAATTCTAGTGTGGAGATCCGGGGAACCTCGAATTCACCCAATTGCGCCCCTATAGCGAAGTTATTTAGCCAAGCAATTTAAGCATTGAGACGCCTCATCAGCCAGTCCCGAAAGTAGTACATCCGAACCCGACTACTATTGGGGATAATTCGGAGGAATGCCGCGTCAGTTTAGTGCGGGGATCCGAGGCCCTTGATTCGAGCCAAGAAATGAATTAGAGAAAAAAAAGCAAGCAAGCGGGACTCAGAATTCCCCTGATTCTGTCTTTCTGTCACTCTCCTGTACGCTTGGCAGTCCAGTCAATATGGCAACAGAAAAGTATATCCAAGATGTGGAATATGCCTCAGAGGTCTCTTCAGATACCCCTTGTTCCGGGCACGGAGCTTGAATGTGTTTATTGCAGACTAACACTAATATAGGTTGCCAACCCAGAAGCTACTGATTCAGCCCTCGAAGCGCGAGAAAAGGCCCTAGTCTGGAAACAGGATCTGCGGATTGTTCCTCTGTGTGCTGGTATATACTTACTTTGTTATCTTGATCGGTCAAACATCGGTATGTCAAGCCCCAACAAAGGAAGCCAATTCAAAGCTAAGATTGTTAGGGAATGCCAAAATTCTCAACTCGGACACCGAAAATGATCTCCTCACGGAGACGAATATGACCTCGTATCAATTTACGTGAGTGTGTCCATGACAGACCGCTCAGGAGAGACCGCTAACTTCCGAAGGATTGCATTGATGGTTTTCCTCATTGCATATGCACTATTTGAAGTACCCTCAAATTACTTGTTGAAAAAGCTCAAGCCCAGCGTACGTTCACTCACTCTAGCATGACTTCCATTGGCGGTTGCGGGACTAACACGAAATAGCGTTGGATTGCTTTCCTCATGCTCTCATGGGGTGCAACGACCATGGGTCTTGGAGGGGTGCACAATTACGCTCAAGTCACCGGACTACGATTCCTACTAGGAGTAATGGAAGCCGGCCTATTTCCCGGTTTCGTTTACTACCTCACGTTCTGGTACCGCAATTCAGAGCGATCCATCCGCGTAGCTCTGATTCTTGCCTCAGCAACCTTAGCCGGAGCTTTTGGCGGAGCTATCGCCTTCGGCGTCGGTCACATGAACGGTGCCCATGGCCTTTCTGCGTGGAGGTGGCTATTCATCATCGAGGGAGCACCTTCCTGTGCTTCTGCTTTTCTGGTCTGGTTCTTTCTACCAGACTACCCTGAGACTGCAAAGTGGCTTTCTAATGAGGAGAAAGAGCTCGCAGAGCACCGTCTGGTCAAGGAGGGATCCAAAGGTTCTGCTAGTGCCATGTCATGGGAGGATGCAAAGGGCACACTGACAGATTGGAGATTATATGCTCACTATGCGGTATACTTTGGTATATCGACACCATTTTCGAGCCTTTCTCTTTTCACGCCGGCTATTACTTCTGGCTTGGGGTACTCAAATCTCCGTGCTCAGTTGATGACTGTGCCCCCGTATGCGGTAGCGTACGTTGTGACTGTTATTGTGGCTTGGTCTGCGGACCATTTCAACAGGTATTTCTTCCCGAATGGAATAATTAAGGCATTGAACTTACATTACTGGATTAGTCGCGGTCTTCATTCCGCTGTTTTCTCTTTCATTGGCGCAATGGGCTTTCTCGCATCTGCTGTTTTGCCTGCCAGTTCCTACCAGGTATGAAACTGAAACACTAAAGCAGACGTCATGAGCTCAACAAGAAACTAACTCAGAATCAGAGTCGCTACGGATGTCTCATCGTCGCGGCCAGTGGTTCCTTTGCATGTATTCCGCCTTTACTAGGATGGCTCTCCTCCAACCTCCGCTCAACTGCGGGTGCAGGGCTCGCAATCGCATTGAATGTTTCATTCGGCGCTCCGGGCCAAATTGTCGGAGTCTGGATCTACAAAAGTGACGAAGCAAAGAAAGGGTATCCAACAGGCCACTGGACTAATGCAGCGTTGCTGTTGTTCGTGACAGCCGGTTGTATTTTATTGAGGCTTTACTATGGCTGGAGAAATCGCCGCGGAGATGGGGCGAGAGACGGAACGAGATTTGCATACTAAGAAATAAGTTGGAGACATACGGAGAGAAAGTTGATGTGTAGAAAAGATTTGTTCTCGGCTTCCGGGCTGCAGAATTGGATCTACAAAGCTAAGGCTACATCTGATTGATGAAGGAACAGACACAGGTTAATCTATTTATGACAAATAATGAGCTATCCATGTGTGAGGAGATAATGATAAAGTCTCGTGTAGGGAGTCCTTTATGCAAGGCTTGGATTTTTACTATACATGCCACCCGAAAATTCCCGGTCTATTTGCTTAGCACAAATAAACCGGAAATACCCGACGATAATTAATAAATTGCAGTATTTGTCAAAAATCATCATCTTGTTGGCGTTCTCCAGATCTAGCACCCACCACCGCCTCCACATCCACTCGCCGCTCCCGCTCCCGCACATGCAGCAATGGTAGCATTATTCGAGCGGCGCTTCTTTTGTTTCTTCAGATACTTCTCGTAGTCTTTTTCATATCTGTAATGTTCATAGGCTTCGTTGCCATATGGTACTCGGCGCGGCGGCGGAGAATCATCCTGCTTGTTGCTCGATGAACCGAAACACATGGTTTGATTGGATAAATGATGGACTATAATCGAGTAATAATTGTGGTGTTTGAGGTACCAATTGTAAGATACTCTGTTTGAGATTGGAGACGTAACGTTTGAGGATGTGTGGAGGCAATCGACACAGGACTTTCGTCCCAAGTTATATAGTGCTTATTTCACTCCCACGAAGGTATTTGGTGTATGCCTGATTCGGGAGAAAAATGTCTCCTTTGTATCATGACTTTACTCGCGGGCTCGTATATCATGGGCGACATAGCCACCGCCCGAACAATGCTGAGTGTCACGGATGCCTAGATTGGATGGTGGATCAGCAAGTTATTTTGGTACGGGCGCTAGATCCAGCAAGATTATTGACGATCAGTCAGTTACTGGTGATCTGTATACTTTTCAAGATAGATAATTCAAGAACTCAATGTTAGTAGAATGATCGCCTTGGAATTTTGCATCCAAAACGTAAAAAACCGTTGGATTGCCTCGGTAAGGGCGAGGGGAGTTAGGGTTCGCTAAGGATTAGAGTTCAGAGCAATCCACGGTTCCAGGGTGAGTTAAAAACAACTCAACTCAACATCGGAGTATACTATACCTCTAAAGCGACCACCTACTCTCCCATTCTATGTATGTGCGGATTATAAATCCGCGACTTTCCCGTTAAAATGCTGCCCAACTTGAATACGCATCGGAGATTAGTGTTTGGCTCGACACATGGCAACGCTATCCCAACCGCGGATATGCAATTTCCGCAACCAGGAGGCCAATGCGGCGAAGAACCCGCAACTCTCAACAAAACGACAAAGAACGTTGCAACGTCCCGGTCGAGATGAATGGAGGATATTGTCCCGACAAATATATTGAAATTATAGAGGGAGGAGGAAATAACGTCTACTAAGAAAAGGTCCTGTCGATATTCTGTAGTCCTATAGTAACAAAGAGAAAATAGACCAATCTGATAGAGACTGAGCCCGGCCAGACCAGACCAAAGCCCAGTACCATCCATGTATGATACCAATATAATATAACCCCAATCCAGATCCATGTCCAAATTGCCCAAACCCAGCAGCCTAACAGACTAAGTAAAGAAACAGATCAAAGAAACTCCTGTCAAACGCATACAACTAAATCAAACGAAAATAGCATATAAACAAAATCAATCAAGTAAGGGGACAAAGGATGGGACAAGTCCATTTTCAGGGTGAATTACCCAGAAATGGAAGTCCATGTGCTGCGTTGTTCCTGCAATGCCCTCGGAACCTTTGCCTGTTTTTCCAAGCTGCCTGTGCTATGTGTCAAGGTTAAGATTTGGGCGAGTGGCTTTCCGTTGTACTACAAATCGACAAGCATTTGTCCGGCTCCAGGTGTAAGCAGCCGACAGGGCAGACAAGGATTATACTCCTTGCGGGTGCCAATCTGGGCTTTGAGGTGAGAATTCCAAGGTTTTTATCCGAGCCACGCAGCAGGTGCATCAGGTATGATCCATTCATGCGACAGACAAGTCACCCTCAAAGATCAAACATATTATAGTCACTTGACGCGACCCTCCACAAACGAGAACAGCGAAGTATATCCTGTTTGCTTTTTGTCTCAAGGCAAATCCAGAATCCAAAACACAAACAAAATCACAAAGCGCGCCTTGTCTGATCCTCCCCCCCCCCCCAAATGGGAAGTAGAAACAAATAATCTGTCGGCAAATGGTATATTCCAAGGGAGTCGTAGTCCCAGAACATCTTGGCGAGTTTCCGGAAGCACCGGTCTCACACGAGGCCCAAATCCCTAGACACCACACCGTACCTGGGCTGTCGGGGTCTCGGGTTGGCTGGGTATCACGATGGACGGGTTCAGGGTTCCACAGGTGCGAAATCAGGTAGTGACCTGCATTGGAACCCGTCATCTGTCAAGGATACCGCATGTGGCGTAGGTGGGAAACTTGATCGTCTTTCATTTGGCGCAGCTTGGCCATCTCATGACCCAGACATCGACAGTGCATGGCAGATGATCACGAACTGTGGGCAAATCCTGCAGAAACCGGGAACGGCTAGGATAGTCGTCGGCCGAATAATGCATACATTCCAGCGAGCTTCGGAGAAAACGGGCGTCGACGTGGGAAAAAGGAGGCAGGGTTGGGTGCGGTGAGAAGAATTTTTCCCTGCAGCGCAAAACGCAAGTGAGAAAAGCAATAGCAAGGGTATGTTTTGTAAGGACTGTGGATCCCGCGCCCAGGACGAGTGGCCACAGCTGTTAGCAGCAATTGAGAACAAATCAACACACACACATCTATCCAATAAAACAGGGATCCCGGAACAAGGAAGAAGAAATTTGGTAAAAACACAAGAAAAGAAGAAAAAGCCACCCAAGACGAGTAAGGAAATAAAGGATTCACTCAGAATCCACCCGCACCTCGACCAAAACCGGTCGATTGCTGGGTGTAGAGTTGTCCGGGATAGACGGTCGAAGCTCTAGGTTGCGAGCTCAACTGCTTCAGGGCGACCTCGGCGGCGTCCTCTTTCGCATTGTTCACGTACTGGCCATCATACCAGTAGCGGGCAGCGACAGTACCCGGAAGACCCTGGACGGTGACAGTACTAGACCAGGCAGTACGACCTCCTGTATTTCCAAAGCTGAATTAGCATCTGTCAAATCAGAAACTAAAAGTCGGTGTACAAGTGATGGGGGGCAATAGAGGGGGGAATTCTCTCTCATTCTGCAAGACTCCACACCCTTCCTGCAATGCCGAGACACACACAAGGAATAGGCGGACATAGGTAAGGTGAGCTGATTGAGTTGACAGGTATGAGATAAAATAGCACAAATCCTGGGAAAGGAAATGATGGTGGGCAGAGGAGGAGGGGCAGAGTATTGGGAAAGTACCTCGCCGATCGGAGACGATGTTGAAGACTGGAGGAGTCCGTTTGGTACTGCTACAGTATGCTGATGAAGGTCAGTCGGGTAATATTGTCAAGCGCCACTTGTGGTGGGCTTGGAGCTGGGCTCTGGACACGCTCTGGAGGGCTGAATGCTTACCATTGAGCTGATCTTGCCAGCTAGGCCGGCTGCTAATGCTAGTCCCCTGAGCACCGGTGAATGACATATTGAGGAATAGAGAAATAGAGGTTGAGAGTTTCAATTGAGGTATGAAGTGGAATTGGGGAGGGGGAAGATGTTGAGGTGTCGAAAGTAGAACTCAATTGGGGGATAACGGAAGAAGTATAGAAGAAGCGAAAAGGCCAAAGCACTCCAAGACACGAAGATATAAAGAAGAGATCAACCTCGATTGGACGCGATTGGTAAATGTAGAGGTCCTTTTAAATGTCCATCAGGGAGCATCATGGGGAGCGGGGAGTCATATAAACAGTGGGCCATATCTTCAAGGCCAAAAGGGCCGTTCTCGCATGCTTTTTTTTCTTCTTTTCTTTTTTCTGTTTGATTTTTCATTTTTCGCAATTAATTTTTAATTATTCCCTCCCCCCTGGAGACAAACAGCAGCCTAACCGTCAAACCTAACGGGGCGGGCTTATGCATGTCGATGTGGACATGGCAAAGCGTCAACTAACCCCCCCCCTCTCTTATCCACCAGTCAAGGAGGGCAATGGGAAGAACATGCGGATCATTTGAGGCTGCAAGCTGGAACGGCCCGGCGCACGCCTACTAAAAGCCCTTGAAGAAACGCTAGGCATCACAGTAAGGGCTACTAATATCATACTACATGTGTCCCACATAGGAAACAAAGGGAATGGCTTCTATCAAAGACTCCAGGGGGAAAAAAAAAAGAAGACAGCTTCTCAGAAAAATGAATGCGGATTGGATGGAAAAGTGAACAACTCAGAGAACCCCACGTTGATTTTCCTTTTTTTTTTCTTTTTCTTTTTCGGTCCCGCCTTGAGAATTATTTATTTCTCTACACATATAAGCCATGGAGCTCCAAGTCGAGATTAGTTTCAACCGAATCGGCGGAACGCCTTCTGGAAACCCTGGACTATGCATGAGGGGTTGAATCTCTGCCCAAAAAGCGGAGCTAAACTAGTGCATCTTTTATTCTCTATGGCGATGCCCGAGTATTCACTCCGTTGGGCCGTATTGCCAGCTCATCAGATTTGGGGAAGCCGTTTACACTCCCCCGAGATTCTTTACCAAAACAACCGGGCCGCCCTGCATAAGCATGAACGCTGTCTCGGCCCAGAAAGAAGTATAGAATGACGCGAGGATTTTCGGAAACGTCAAAGCGTGTCGCGCATGGACAAAGGTACGAAGGACGTCACGCTAGCCGTATAGCTAGAGACGAGGAACACGAAATGCAATATTATTCAGCTTTGCCATTCATACGCTTACTACTATTGTATAGCCTCGATGTCAAGGCATTCCAGTCGGAGCGAACGGGAGACTCTCGCCTCCCTTTGGCAAAGCGAGTTGGGCATTCATGCAGAGTAAATAGCCATCAACCATGGTTCTCATCAATGCGGCTCTATGCACGTAACACGTCGATGTTCGACAGAGGACTAGGCACTTCAGAGCTGTTCTTCTGCTCAACGGGCCCCGCACAGCTTAAGCACTCGCAGGCGCTAACTAGCCAAGAATAGCCGAATAAACCCCAACGACACCTGGCATTGGCTGTTTTTTCCGCTAAGGGAGCAAGGCAAGCAAGGGTCCTTGGGCTGTCACTTGCGCTAAAGCCGAAAAGATTCATTCAGAGCCAATCGATCGCGAACAATGGATGTGCTTTTTCTTCACTGCGCTAGTCTGGCGTTTCCCCTTGTTTGGGGGGTGGGTATCTGGGATCTGATACTTGGAAGCGCTGAGAGCCAGTCGAATATATGTATGTACTATAAAACCCCATGGTGAACCATGGTTCATGCCTACATAAGTACGTATCTACATAAGCGAAGCGGTCAGGCTTGAACTCCTAATATGCAACGCCAGCATAGCAACGCACGAGGTATGGGTTCATGTACACGCAGGCTGATAAAGAACAATGCAATGCAAGATGTGATGAGTCCCCTGCTCCAAATCCAGATGCAATATGGAAGTGCCATCAGCTGCCCCTTTCAGTTCCCTGTCAGATCCGGACTAGAGGATCGCCCGGACTTGGGCTTGAAACCCGAAGGACATTCAGCCAACAAGACATTCAGCCAACCGGATGAGAAGACGGTGAAATATAAATATAAAAGACAGAATCAGAAAAATAATAGAAAATAGCAAGGGCCATATCGGGCCAAAGCAAGAAAACCAGATCCGAAAGCTAAGCCAGAATAAGAAACAAACCACATCGTCAAGTCATTAGGTCGTCAAGATCAAGTCTCATCCTTGTAGGATAGTAACAGCTCACACATCTCAACCACGGTTCATGAGCTGTGCCCCTGGTCGCTTAAGCAGATCCTCGTCGCTGAAGTACTTGACCGATCAGGCGCCGAGGGCCCATGCGCTCCAAGCTCTTCGTCAAATGCTGAGCGGGGAGCATCCACGAAGGCCGACGCTCTTGATGCCAACGGCGACGAATGCAATCGTCAACTAGCGCCACAATCCCTGTAGCCACAATCACACTTTGGATCATCAGCCTCAGAGGGAAAAAATAAAGATAAAAAAAGATAAAAATAAAAGAGGGGAAGCTCAAGGTAAAAGCCTTGACAGACGTGGACTTACTCGGCGATGTCAGGCATCCGCTCATAAACCGCAGGATCACTGATCCACAATGATGACGGTGGCACCCAACCCCCCTTGCTCTCCTCCTCAACCGCATCGAGCGGCGCCAGTGTATCCGGGACCAGATGGGCAATGGTCTTGGAAGTGCGCGTGTCCACTAGGAAATACGACACCTCATGCAGATCGCCCTCTTTGCGGAACTCACGTCGCCACTGATACTTCGTGGACCAATACTCATACTCGTACTTCTTGTTTAGGCCAGGTCCTTTCCTCTTCAGTTCGACGTGTGCATAATTGGAGAATTCAAGAAGGATGGTATCCACCAGTGTCGGCCTCTCGGCTTCGGTACCTGGGTCTTTTTCCCCTTCTACATCTTCACTCGGACCTGCTTCGTGACTGGCACTCTTGCTGGGGATATGGCCAGGTCCGAAACCAGAGTCTTGTCGTTTGAGATCTCCATGTGCTGCTGTGGTGTTTGTTGAGGGCGCACCATTGCTACTGGAACCCGGCCGCAAACTGGCAAAGACGGAACTCCACGATCGACGGAACGCAGGACGTTTATCCTGACCGGGGGTGACTTCTCTCCTTGCTGAATGACATACCTCCCGCCCCGAGTCACGGCAGTAGCGACGAAAGGAGAACTTTCTCGAGAAGAGATCATACATGCGGAGATGGAAGAGAATAACATCGCGCTGCGAGCCGTCCCGAAGATGGACGGGCGTGTCGACGCGCAGGTTCATATTACCGTCGATGGTGGTATCGTCATGGCGAATAAGCAACCGTCTCGACGAAGGAAACAAAGGCGCGAAAGAGGATGGGGTAGAAGGGATAGCGTCAAGCGGGAAGAATTCTTCCCGCTCGTGTACTTCATAGCGTGGTCCCTCTGGCGGGAGATCTGTGGCTGAATCTGTCGATGTAGCATATGTGGAGACCGAGTCTCTAAGCCTTGGAGCTCGTTCTTCGTATACTACAGTCCTATCTCTTCGTTTGGTGCTCGGACGGTCGCTCAGGGCTGTAGCCGCGGTACTTTTGGATGTCGAGCTATCCGTTGAACTGGAACTGCCGCCACCAGGGCGATCTTGACATGATTTATAGGAGCCCATTTGTGAAAAGTTGATGTATAATGTAGTCACTGGTCCACAGCTGGGAACAGGGAACAGGTGGAGAAGGGGTGAGCCGGATATAAGTCGCAAGTCAGCCGTAAATAAGCCGTAGGTAAGGCGAAGGTACATGCACCCCCGGATTCTGTTGATTTTGAAACAGAATTCAATTGTCAGATTCCCATGATGTGGGGTTGGGAGAGGGATGGGCTGGCATGAAGGGAAATTAAGGTATCCGCAATCTTCGGAAGATTAGGGAGATTAAAGGGATCATATGATGAAAGGGAAAGAGCAGGGGTAAGATTTCCCGATTGGAAAGACCAGGAAGATATAGGAGAATAGGAAAACAAGGCAAAAAGTCAAGGGGGGAATGTCAACTCGTCATTTCAGTACCCGATCTTCTATGGGCCATGAAACCCCTCCTCAGCCAGACTTGCTGTTTGACACCCAATAAGAGGGCCAGGGCTCACCGGTAACGATAACAAAGAGCCAGCCTCACTAAGAATGTGCCTATAGAAAGCCCTTAGGTTGTGTGATGTGTCTCCAGTGTCGAGTGATAATTCGTTCTCCCCCCCTCTGTGATCCCCGGGCCAGTGAGATCTCGGGCGCCTGCATAGAACGAAGTCTGGACACGAGTTTCATTATGTCAGGGTTCAGGCCTCGTCCAAGCGTGAATTCTGCTTCTGAATAATACCGTACATGAACTTGAATTTGGATTTGCATTAGAATTGGAATTCCCAAACTCTCGAAGTTGCAGTCAGGGCATAGTTGGGACGTCATGGCAAACCGTGGGCCTCTGTGCGGTCCGTTCCGGGTGGAGCAGGGCAGAAAGAGTCTCGTACAGTACACCCCTGGACTGAGAGACAATGATGCCACATCCTCCAGTTTGAATTATCTGATGAGCTTTCGGGGAACTCTAGTCCTGCCATGACGACAAGATCACCGCACGGGGCTACCTAAGCAAGATCCGCATCAAACGAGGCTTCCCTACTAAGCCTCCACCTACGATGAAGATGCCCAACTGACCACTGCTTTAGGCATCTACTTGGAAGGCTAGAGATGATCTCTGGCCAACCTGAGTTGCGACCGAGAAAATATGTCCAATGAAGCTGAATGACCAGCCGTAGAGACAACGGGACTGGTCTGAATGCGAAACATTATGTCCCCACGTTACCCTAAATTACCCCGAATGAAAACATGTCCAACATGGAAACAAGAATAACAGTTAAACTTGCGCATAGAGAGGCTGAGGCAAATCCTCTCCTGGCTTAACCAGGGCCTCTGTGCTGCAAGCCGGCTGAGAGAGGAGCCCAGCCCGGCTTCCCGGGACCGGAGGTCGGAAGCCAACATAGGCTTCTCGCCGGTCGCCTACTGTGATTGACCAGGTATGCAACCCATAGTATGAGGCGATGGAGTGAACTAGCCAACGACTGAAATGGTCAGTAAATGGTACACCATAAAGTTAAAAGCAGAACTTACCCAAATCCAGCTGCCCGTTCATCTACCGGACTCTCATATACCATCTTCTCACCATCGCGCTCACTGTGAGAGCTCATCTCTTCCCGCAGTTGACGAAGTCTCTCCTTCCGCTCAGGCGCGTCGTGCATCTGGCCATTGCGCCCAACAAAGACAATCTCGTCTTCCGAATCACTGGCCGAGTCCGGAGCATCTTGCAAGCCCTCGTTCCGCAACAGGACCTGCTTCTCGTTCCACTTACGAATGAAAAGACGAATCTCTTCCTCCAGGTCTTGGAGCATGCCACGTGCAGCACGTGCATGCTTCAACTTCAACCGGAGTTCCTTGGGGATATGATGCTTCTCAGCACCCTTGGCCGTCTTCATAGCCGACTGATGGTCTACTTTATGAGAGTAGTGAACGTCCCACAACGGCGCAAGGTAATAAGGCATGGGGTCATGGCGGGTATATGTAGGCTGGATATCCCAGTCCTTGGAAGATGGGGGTTCGGCCCAGGGGTTGTGCAACAGGCGATCTGATATCCGGTCAGCATGCAAATTCACGTGCCAACACGCGCCAATGACCGAGTCATTCACTCCAACCCAGCTCGTACATGTGGAACATACCGTTCTCCCAGCGCTGTCTCCGCCGGCTCCCATCCTTACCCTTGAGGAGGGCTTCCCGTCGCTTCCCGATATCACGCTGCAGAGGCTCGCGGCGTCTGAAGCTGACCTGCGGGGGACGCGACTCGGTCTGTGCTGCGGGAGCGGCTTCGTCGTCGAGCGGAATCGACAGCGACACGGTGGCACCGCGTAGAGTTGAGCGTGTTGGAGTCGGTGTGGAAGGGGTTCGGTCTGCAGGGGAGTCCCCGAGGGTCATGTCCTGCAGGGACGCCACTGCATGTTGCTCTGACCACGCCGAGATTGCCAGAGCTTGCTGAGGCGATAGGGTCGCAGAGCCCTCAGGGCGAAGTCGCGGGTGAATAGCCATGAGGGGAGTACAGTACAGAGAGGAGATAGAGAGATAGAGGAGGGGAAGAGAGGTAGGATAAGGCCAGAGATAAGCCCCAATGGAGGGCTGCACGGGGCTGGACACGGACTGTGATTGGTGGAAAGTGATAGTGTTTAGCCCTAGCCCTAAGTTCCTATTTGAGACTGAGGCTGAGACTGCCCGAGGCTGACAAGGGTGGAGCCCTTGAATCCTCCAGGGCTTTATACTCCTCTCACAGTGTACTGCCCGAGGTTCGTACTGGCTATCTCCGGTGACTCATGGGATAGTCATGGTGGGGGCATTCTCCACCTCCCCAGATCGCCTATGCGGAATGAACATTATGACTGAACATGGCTCATGGCTTAACACCATGGATATTATTTTGATCAGTGTTTCAACACGAAACGAAGATACTGTAGTCTAGTCGGGTAGACCGGGAAACAAGCGCTAAGAATAAATGTGAAAGCCTAGCGCGGGGTCCAGAACTTGGCGCTTAAAGGGTAACAAGGCGCGTGAGACCGCCCCCATTCTCAATCCCGTCTTAGCTCCGAAAGCTTTAAAACCCTTCTCCTCATCCTCTTTTCTTTTCTCTCTCTATTTTCTTATTATTACATCCATCATGAAGTTCCTCACACCTCTTGCGCTAAGCGCAACTGCGACCGCGTTGGCATTGGTTAACCCCGAGCAACAGCCTTTGGCGCCTTCGATCGTCCAGAACCCGCAATCAAAGTCTCTGATCGAACTGGCCCCATACCAGACCCGCTGGGTGACGGAAGAGGAGAAGTGGTCCCTTAAGCTGGTATGTTAATATCTCTTGCTTCAAATTGACCATCGCTAACATTTGATAGGACGGAGTCAACTTCATCGATGTCACCGATGAATGGCGATCAGGCTCCTATGGAACCTTGCACACTTCGCGCATCGTTCACTATCCCCAGGAGATGAAGCACTCGGATGTTATCCACCCTCTTTCTAAGACTCTCGACAAGGCGAACATGCTGAACAACCTGAAGCACTTCACCTCGTTCCATACTCGCTACTACAAGTCCAAGACTGGTATCGAGTCTGCAACATGGCTATTCGACCAGGTGACCGCTGCAATTCATGAATCTGGCGCTAGCGACCACGGCGCGACCGTTGAGCGCTTCTCTCACCCATGGGGCCAATTCAGCATTATCGCCCGCATCCCCGGCGAGACCAACAACACCGTCGTGTTAGGCTCCCACCAGGATAGCATCAATCTGTTCCTTCCATCCATTCTGGCTGCACCTGGCGCCGATGACGATGGCAGTGGAACCGTCACCATTCTCGAAGCTCTTCGTGCCCTGCTGCGGTCGGAGGCTATCGCCCAAGGCAAGGCCCACAACACCGTCGAGTTCCACTGGTACTCTGCGGAAGAGGGTGGTCTGCTTGGCTCCCAGGCTGTCTACGCTCAGTACAAGAAGGAGTCGCGCAATGTCAAGGCTATGCTCCAGCAGGACATGACTGGCTATGTCCAGGGAACTCTCGACGCTGGTGAGAAGGAGTCTGTTGGTGTCATTATCGACTATGTCGACCAGGGCCTCACTTCCTTCATCAAGACGGTCATCACCACCTACTGCGATGTCCCCTACGTCGAGACCAAGTGCGGTTATGCTTGCTCTGATCATGCCTCCGCCAGTCGGTATGGATACCCCTCGGCATTCGTGATTGAGTCCCAATTTGAGAACTCCGACAAGAAGATCCACACCACCGAAGACAAGATCGAGTACCTCAGCTTTGATCACATGCTGCAGCACGCGAAGATGAGCTTGGCCTTTGCTTACGAGCTGGCCTTTGCACCCTTCTGATTTTGCTCATTTCTCTCGGTTTACATCATTGTTCGGCGTTCTGCGATATACCTATGAGCTGGGGCTAGACACACCACGCACCCTTCTGGCTTTTACGGGCCTATACCCATTATCAATCTTCATGACTTATCTGGCTTCTATTACATCCCACGTAATTTCTCCAACGCAGCTGCTCATTGTGGCAAGTTATTCCAATTTTAGATATCTACTCCATAGTAAATCTCGACCAGCGGACCCATCCAGATATGATATGACGTAGACAATTTACCTTGGTGATTCACCTCACGTGACGTCCTTCGGCGATCCTGTGGGAAAATATATGCCACTGCGTCACCGATCTTGATTTGTATATTGCTTTTTTTTTTACTTTAAAAATTGGCCAATTCTTCTGGAGGCCTCCCACACTACCCCCTCCTGTTCCAGAACGACCATACCAGCCCCATTTTCAACAATGGATAGCCCCTACGCCCAAGAACTCCAACTTGCCAGCCTAGCAGTGCAACGAGCGGCCCTCATTACTAGGAAACTCCTGTCAGCAGTGGACAAAGGTGCCTTAGACAAGAGCGATGCGTCCCCAGTAACCATTGCCGACTTCGCCGCACAAGCCTCAATCATCGCAGCAATTCACCACGTCTTCCCCAACGACGAGATTGTCGGTGAAGAAGACGCCACAGCCCTCCGCGAAAACCCAGTCCTTCTCGAACGAACCTGGGAACTAGCAACAGAAACCCACCTCGACGACGAAGCCGGCGAGGCCCTCCTCCACACCCCGCGAACCCGCGAGGAACTCCTTGACCTAATCGATCTCGGCGCAAAGGGCAACTGCACCCCCACCAGCCGAACCTGGACCCTGGATCCGGTGGATGGCACAGCGACTTTCATTCGCGGCGAGCAATATGCCGTCTGTCTTTCCCTAGTAGAGAACGGACAGCAAAAGATTGGCGTGCTAGGCTGCCCGAACCTACGGGCATCAGGACTCGTCGCAGAGACACTCGTCGACCGCGATGGTCACGGACAACTCCTTGCTGCAGTAGCTGGCCACGGCGCAACTATCCAGCCGATGGGCCCAGGCGCCCTCCTCCCCTCCAGACCGCTCGAGCAGATCCCGCAGATCACAGATACCTCCGCAGTGCACTTCATCGATACGAAGGCCGCCACAACGCAGAACCTGGAGGTCCACGGGCGCGTCGCAGCTGGACTGGGCGCTCCATGGCCTAACCCAGTTGACCTGTGGTCGGCGCAGATGCGTTATGTCGCTATTGCCGTGCAGGGTGGGTGTAATGCCTTCATCAAGGTGCCACTGAGTAAGGAGTATCGGTCCAAGATCTGGGATCATGCAGGTGGTATGCTTATTGTGCAGGAGTTGGGCTGTGTGGTCTCTGATCTGGAAGGGCGGGCCGTGGATTGTTCACAGGGTCGGACATTGGCGGGGTGTTATGGTATGGTTGTTGCGCCTGCTTCGATTCATCAGCGTCTTCTGGAGGAAGTTAGAGTTGCGCGGGGTCTATAGAGTTAGATGTATTCGTTGATACCCAATCCAACATGATATGCAATTGTGTATAGACAACTATAGAACCTGAAATAGTTGCACTGATCGCCCACATAAGGTTGCCCCGCATTCCCTGATAGGCAAGTCAAATGCCTCTCTGCCAGTTGTAGTTGAGTGCTCGGACATTTCCCAGTTTGACCTTGTCTCACATCCCTGCTGTTTGACCTATATTGACTCGGCCAAGTGCAGGCTGGTCTTCCAAGGTAGACCGTGCGGGGACGCCACTTCATGTCCGGGGGGACCTTGGGACTCTCGGATCTCTCTTTTGCTTCAACGTTGGGCTCTCTACTCAGAGGCAGTAAGAGTGAATATTATAAATAGAGATGGAGATAGCTCATAAAACCAGACAGTATCACTTTGAAGGTATATCCTTTGAAGCAAATAAGATGACATCATACAACTTGACCTCATTACTGCATACAGGATTTCCGGGCGATGGTGCCATTGGTCTGCAGGTCACCAGACCTGGGGATCTCCAGCTATATGTAGCCCCTTCTCCTACTTTGGCTTTTTCTCCCATAGCTTCATCCGGGCTATATTCACCATGGTTTCCTTCAATCCCTTCGCTAGACGCGAGACCCACAGCGCCAGCTCGCTGAATACCTACCGCGTCCTTGTACCCCTCACCTGGGCCTTGGTCGTGGTAGTCGGCATTTACTACTCTGTCCACTCGCCGGACGATGTTAAGAAGAGCAAGAAGATCTGGAAGCAGGCTAATAAGCGGAACACTCCGTTCAGTCAGAATACTACCCTCACTGGGATTTATTGGTAGGTTGACGATCTCCCGCCTGGATATCTATATCACACTCCATGACCCCCCCCCCCCCAACGTACTAACCAGAGTATAGGATCCTCCTCCTTCTCTCCCAGCTAAGCTACGTCTACCACCTCTTCTCAAAGAACAATGTGCTGGTCACAGCTGCTGCCAACGTCGCCACCCACTTCATCCTGAACAACCTCTTCCTCTTCGTCTGGATCCTCCTCTGGACCCGCAATTACTTCTGGGGCGCTGAGGTCGTCCTCATTTTCCACTTCCTCAACCAGTGGATTACTTACTGGCGCCACCGCGGTCTGCCAGCATTCGTCCACCTCCCAGCTGTTGCAGGTCCCTATGCCTGGACATTGACAGCGTTGTTCTGGAACGGTGCTGTCGCCGTGCACAGCCACAATCTCCCTGGAAGAATTGTCGCCAATATTTTCATCTGGGTTATTCTGGTTGTGGGATTGTTCGATATTGTCCTGCGTGAGGATTATATTCTTGGATATTGTCTTAGTATCTTGACACTGTGTGAGTATTACCCTTCTCTCCCCCCCTTGCAGGCCCCCATCCTATGATGTTGGTGTCAGATATACAGCAGATCATTTGCTAATATATATATCCCTCCAGCCCTGGCTCTGCGACAAGTCTCTATCAAGATCATCGCTTTGCAGTGGATCTTCGCCTTTGTGGTCTTTGCCGTGTTCTTGGTTGTTTCTATCTACATTTCTGCAACCAAGTACACTGGTCGCGACAGTCTCTTCCGTCGTGTCGCACACCCTGAGTCGACTGATCGCGAGAGAGCGCCTCTGCTCAATGAGCAAGTTTGAACGCCATAGGGCGATGCTAGCATAACTAGCATAACTAGTATGATTTATGATACCAGCTACTGAGCTGGCATCGGGCAAGTTGAATTATGAATCTCGGAGGCATGCGGACATTCGTTGCGATGGAGTTGCGTTCTGTGAAGTAATGCACTAATTGATGAAAATGGACCCACTTGAGATATATTGAATCTGAATCGGATTCTGATGTTGATATTAAATTGAACGAGCATTGGAGTACTGAAGGAGTGCATAAATGATGATAATATAAAAATACCACTAGTAATAGTAATTGTTTGCAGCCTGGCACCCCCGTGCAGCAACTCCTTGAAAACGCGACTCCCGTTGCCCCGACAACCTCATCCACCTCCACTTTGTTGATGCAGGTTGCGGACGAACCGGGCTGGACTTGTTTCTGGATTTATTGACTCCGCACTGTTCTCCTCTTTACATCTATTCTTTGATCTTGACGAATTCAAAGTATTCAGCTTCTGACTGTGTCTCAAAAGGCCTGACTCTCATTACGCAAGCTGTCTCGAAATACTATGATCTGAGTTGGTACACATTCCACGTTCATCATGAACCGTCACCCTCCGTCCAATTACGGCGAGGAGCCGCCAGCATACCTGGACAACGAGACGGCTTCCTTTCTCTCCGATCATGAGTCTCCGACCAATGCCTCTCGCGGCGCGACTATGCGTTTGCTGCCTACCAGCGGCGATGGCGCCGATGATTATAGTAGTCCGAGGGCTGCTTCGCCTTCTGCTTATGACCCCGATTATGACCACACTCCGTACGTATTCAATGCTCTTTTCTCGATACTACCCTACACCCTACCCACATTCCAGTGGTTTCCCTCGCTACCGGGAGATATGCTCTTTCAACTTCAACTCCTTCCTTGACGTGACGGGGCTGGGAAAAAGCTTGGTCCTGATGCAATGGCTGCTTGGATGCCGTCATTGGACAGAGCTGCTTTGCCCGTCGCGTTGGAGGCCCTCCGCGTAAACACGAGTACATTGTACATGATTACATTGTTCCGTTTCATCACCCACTCCACACTATACCATACAGGCCATATTACTGCCGTTTGGCATAATGGCCTTTCCAAGAAGACCGAGATCTAACGTGAGGACGCGCTCTTCTAGGACCGGAGAAGACCCAGGCTACGATCGATATTATCAAGTTCCAACTGCGTCTTCGCCTTCGCGTCCACCATCTAGCTTGACGACTGGTACCCATCTACCAACTGCTAGCTTAGCCGATACTTCCGTCTACCCATCTATTCCACCCCGCACCGGATCTCCAATTCGCCCATGGAGTCCGTCTCATATCCGGCCGCCATCCGTGTCTAGTGTTGGCTATGAACGCGCCGATTTGAATGGCAGCCCGCGGCCGGGTACACCCAGCTCTAGATATGGAGGTAGTCCTCGTCGGCCATTGCCTCCTGCTCCCCTGTTTTCTGGACCTAAATCATCGAGTGCAGTGGACACGAGTATTGATATTGGCGATGGGCTCGATACAGATCCATTCGGCGGCGATGGCCGCACAATCAACCACACTTCGCGTGGTAGTGTGCGATCATTCATGAGCGAGTCGACTTTCTTGGGAGATGAGAAAGACGAGATGCACAAGGTCGACCTCGAGGAAGATGATGACGAGGCCGAGTCTGGCTCTATCGATCCTAATATGCACTACGGCCCAGCGCCTGAAAAGCAGGGACGTCGTGGAGTTCGATCTAAGCAGGTCGCCAAGAAGGAGGTTCAGCTTGTCAACGGCGAGCTGATCTTAGAGTGCAAGATCCCCACTATTCTGCACAGCTTCCTCCCTCGCAGAGATGAGCGCGAGTTCACTCATATGCGCTATACTGCTGTCACATCTGACCCTGATGACTTCACGAACAGAGGGTATAAACTCCGTCAACAGATTGGAACAACCACCCGCGAAACCGAGCTATTCATTTGTGTTACCATGTATAACGAAGACGAGATTGGTTTCACCCGTACGATGCACGGTATCATGCGGAATATCAGTCACTTCTGCTCCAGAACTAAGTCTCGTACCTGGGGTCGTGATGGCTGGAAGAAGATCGTTGTTTGCATCGTTGCTGATGGACGTAAGAAAGTCCATCCTCGTACTCTTAACGCCTTGGCCGCACTTGGTGTGTACCAGGAGGGTATTGCGAAGAACATTGTCAACCAAAAAGAGGTCCAGGCTCACGTGTATGAGTACACCACCCAGGTGTCGCTTGACTCAGATCTCAAGTTCAAGGGCGCCGAGAAGGGCATTGTTCCTTGCCAGGTTATCTTCTGTCTGAAGGAACACAATAAGAAGAAGCTGAACTCCCACCGCTGGTTCTTCAACGCGTTTGGCCGTGCTCTGCAGCCTAATATTTGTATCCTGCTTGATGTTGGTACTCGACCTGAGCCAACTGCCCTCTACCACTTGTGGAAGGCCTTCGATCAGGACTCGAACGTCGCCGGTGCAGCCGGTGAAATCAAGGCCGCTAAGGGCAAGAACTACCTTGGTCTGCTCAACCCTCTCGTGGCGAGTCAGAACTTTGAGTACAAAATGTCCAATATTCTGGATAAGCCGCTGGAATCGGTCTTTGGTTATATTACTGTGTTGCCTGGTGCGCTCAGTGCTTACCGGTTCTTTGCTCTACAAAACGATGCAGATGGGCATGGGCCGCTCAACCAATATTTCAAGGGTGAGACACTACACGGTCAAGATGCAGACGTCTTCACTGCCAACATGTACCTGGCTGAGGACCGTATTCTCTGTTGGGAGTTGGTAGCCAAGCGAGAAGAAAGATGGGTGTTGAAGTTCGTCAAGAACGCCGTTGGAGAAACTGATGTACCAGACACGGTACCTGAGTTCATCTCGCAACGTCGTCGTTGGCTGAACGGTGCTTTCTTCGCTGCTGTCTACTCGATCTTCAATGCGAAGCAGATTTGGAAGACGGATCATACTATTCCTCGGAAGATTCTGCTTCATATTGAGTTCTTCTATCAGTTCCTTAATCTGCTATTTACCTACTTTGGTCTTGTGAGTTATTCAGTGATTCTGTTCTGTTGCACCCCCGACTAACTCATCCAGGCCAATTTCTATCTCGCTTTCTACTTCATTGCTGGCTCCTTGACAGATAAGAAGCTTGATCCGTTTGGTCATAACATGGGCAAATACATTTTCATTGTATTGCGCTATGCTTGTATCTTGGTTATGTGTTTGCAGTTCATTATCTCGTTGGGTAATCGACCACAAGGGTAAGTCACTTCCTGTCGAATACTGAGGAAATTCCACTAACGCATCATAGTGCCAAAAACCTGTACCTTTCCGGTATTATCGTTTACGCCGTCATCATGTTCTATACCGTGTTCTGTGCCCTATATCTGGTCGTCAAAGAGCTGCTTGCACGCGCTGGTATAGGAAGCGATGACATGGATGTCAGCGACAGTCTCATGACCAACATCGTCTTATCCATGCTGTCAACTGTCGGTCTCTACTTCTACAGTTCCTTCCTCTACCTGGATCCTTGGCACATGTTCACTTCCTCGATCCAATACTTCCTGCTGATGCCAAGTTACATCTGCACATTGCAAGTTTACGCTTTTTGTAACACGCACGATGTCACCTGGGGAACAAAGGGAGACAACGTGATCAACACCGATCTGGGTGCCGCAAAGGTCATCAACGGCTCAACTGTCGTCGTCGAAATGCCATCAGAACAACTTGACATCGACAGCGGCTACGACGCAGCCCTCCGCAACCTTCGCGATCGCCTCGAGGTCCCCGAGCCCCCACCGTCCGAGTCCCAACTCCAGGAAGATTACTACCGCGCTGTCCGAACCTACATGGTTTCAATATGGATGGTGGCAAACGTCATCCTAGGAATGGCAGTCTCAGAAATCTACGGCGTTGACGCAGGCGGGACGAACATCTATCTCGCCATCATCCTTTGGTCTGTCGCTGTCCTCGCTGCCATCCGTGCCATCGGCTCAACCGCCTACGCCATCCTAAACGTGATCCACAAGATTGTTGAAGGAAAGACCAAATTCGACGCTGGAAATATGACCAACTTCGCACCTAGCTCCTTTGGGGGTAGTAGCGTTGGCAAAACTACCGAGTCGGGCGCTACATCTTCCCGCCCTGTACGCTACGGCGGTGGTGCCACGCTGAAGGATCGTTTCAATGAAGCGCGCTGGTCTGCTGGTCGTGTTGCTGGGAAAGCTATGTTCTGGCGAAAGTAGTGAGAGAAAACCTCTCCTCTCATCTTCGCTTTGAGTAAATTTTTTTTTCCCCTTGCTTAATTTTTGAGGGAGTTTATTTCCTGGAGTTTTGCTTTAAGATATCAGGTGTTTAATCTTTTGTTTTGGTTTTTCTCATGATGGAAATATTGCTACGATATTGCGGTTTCTCGATTGAGATATGTGGACATGTGTATTGATGGATGTATTTATGCTGTTTCTTTGGAATTAAATTATGCATTTGATGATAATTTGGGACTTGCTCGATTCGATTTGACCGGAATGTAACTTGATTGTTGAATGCTGCACCTTAAAAAGTCTTTCAAGTACTTGCAGCGTGCACGATGCCTAGTATACAAATCTAGAAGGTTTCAATATTGTCCTAAACCTTCTCCTTTAGAAGACCAAGCTCTTCTTCGTATACATCCTTTCGTCTAGCCACTCGGGCAAATCGACGAATCATGGGATAAATGATGTATCCAATCGTGCTAGTCACAAATCCCAAGAACAATCCCACAAAAGGACTAGACCCATTCGACGAAGCAGCCAAGTCCTCCTCAAACATAGCATCAGGATCATCCGGAATCAGCGTCATAGCCGAATCAGGCCAATACTCAGGTGGTTCAGTCCTCAGCACAGTCGAAACCCCAATAACGTTCCCCGCAGAATCCAAAGCCTGAACAGAAACCCAATCCATATACCCACGAGCAATGAACGAGCTCTCAAAGCCATTCTTTGAAATCAATCCAATCTCCTTGTCCACAGACATTCCATTCGCTCGCGCAAAGAACCGCCACTGTCTAACCTCTGTAGCGCCATTCCAGCTAACGTGGAACACAGTCGAGAGAGCAGACCCGTTCACACCGTAACACGACGCAACCAGCGTTGGCGGATACGGGGGCCGACTAGTCCAAAGATACTTATATGCCCTATAAGTACTGAATCTCTCTGAGACAAAGCTTGCATCCATGAGTAGCTGGCCATCATGCGTAAACTCGCTCATGTACCCGTAATAACTCCATGAAGCCAGGACGTTCCCGTTAGGGAGGGTTTGCATATTACCCCGTGACGGATTGTTTCCGCCATCTGGACGGAGGTATCTATTCAACACTTTGGCTTTCATTGTTTTAAGATCGACTTCGATGTACATAGCCGAGGAAGTAGGTTCGTTCACGACGAGGAAATTGGCGCCGTTGTCTAGGAAGGAAATCGTCATGTGGGTTTCGTTCACGGACATGAAACGGGCGTTGTGTTGGCCGGTGAATGTGAAGTTCATTTCGAAGTTGCTCTTCTTGCCGCCGAGTCGCCAGATTATGTGTCCGTCTTCGCCAGAGATTAGGTAGATAGTGTTTGTGTGTCGTGCGGAGATGAGATAGTCGCCGTTTTCGTTTTTGTCAACTGAGTTCATGTGTAGATAGTCTGTGTCGGGGTATTGATCCCATGGGCTCATGACAAATGATTCATCTAGGGTTATTTGGCCGGCTGAATGCCACTCGAACAGATACTCTCCTGTGTTGATGTCTAGTTCGATGAAACCATTTGTTCGGACACTCATTTCCCTTTCGGGGTGCCCGAAGTCTGCTAGAGACATTTTGTCATTTCGATGAGTGACTAGCAGCGCCTTTGGCGGTTCCTTCAAGTAGAATTCATGGTTGTCAATTGCCGCTCCGGGTCTTGGGATGATGTTCACAGGCTTGTATTCGTTGTTGTAGATGACGGCGGACCCGTCACTTTCTCGATTGGCGTAGTGCTCTTGAACAAGCATAGTTAGATACGGCTTGTCATCTATTGTGTCCACCATTTGAAAATCATAGACGTTCTGGTTGTTGAATTCGCATGAGCCGGCCCAGACAAGGTCCTTTATCGTTGTAAGTAATTGTATTAGGAACAAGTAGGTATGTCCCGGTACATACTCCTTTTTGATCAAAAATATAAGGACCGATCTGGCAAGGCGTCCATCGGTTTGTTTTGGGTTCGCCTTGGTTGAGATGGTATGGTGCAACAAACCAATAGCCCGGAGCGACATCGAAACCGGGCCGATCGTAGTATGTGACATTCCATTTTAGGACCCGGTGCTGTGAGAGCTAAGCATATGTATGTCAGTTTTGTGGTATGAATACTAGCTTAATAGACTTACCGTCACATATGTTATAAGGTCATTGTCGTGGGATGTGTCGAGAGCAGCCACCGAACATAGAAAAAGAGACCAAAGCAGGAGAAACATTTAGAAGGATCCTGTGGTCAGCCATAAGCATTTCAAGGATAAACCAAAGTGCTACCAGGGCAGGGAATGCAGTAAAGAGATATACTATAGCCAGCGAGATCGAACAAGATGTAAATACGGTTAGCGAATTCATATTTAATTGATTGGAAGAGCATCTCTGAGTAACCGCCAGAGAACGACGTCCCAAAGAACGCGAAAGTCAAATCAAAGGGCCTAAACACACGTTGTCCGTCGATAAAATGCCCCAAATCTTGGCTCGGGCAATAATAGCCACCAAAACCCTGCCAACTCATCCGACCGGACCTCAGCAAAAGCCACATCCACGTCAATCGTAGCGGTGTGGAAGACCGGCGATTGGCTGTGCCCTGACTCGAGTGCTTTCGTGGATTTAATAAAACTAAAAATAACAAGCCATCTCTTTTATAGAAGGCTAGAATCCCTGTCTCCCTGGAGTGCAGGGGCAATGGACAAAGGCCAAACCCTTCTCTGCTTAGTTCCATTGCTTCAGCCGCATGGAAACCAATCGCGACATGATTGGCTGATGGGAACTATGGACATTTTACGCGTCGCGTTAAGAACATTATTTGTTTCAGCCTTTTGTTGTTTGATTAGGGGATCTATCGTATCACAAAATCATTGGTGCAAGTCGCCATCTCATCTGAAAATAATAACAAGAGTATGTCGCATATTGTGTGCGTGAACAATAAGTACCCTGTCCAGGCTAGTTGACAATTCAAAGTGAAAAAAAAATTTACGCTTTAAAAAGAGATGACGAAGGACCGATGGATCGATCTTAGGTAGGTATCCAACTCAATCTAATACTATGAAACTTTCGAGTTTCAAGGGTCGGGTTCAAAGTATAGGGAATATCATGTCACACCTATGACCGTCTGACCAGCTTCTCAGTCAATCATCTTCAAGTGTGAAATATTTCTTCAACCATGCAAGTCTCGTCGTCATCATGCCTTTATCGTATCTGCCAACTGAGCTGATTTTTGCGATCGGTCAGTACTTACACGTATGGAACAACTCAAAGGCGTTCTATGTGTGTCGAGACTTAAATGGCCTCATTCAGACCGACAAACAGTTATACACCTTCAATGACTGCTTTAGACCCTCAATATTCGTCATCCGAGATGCTCAGCCTTATCATGGGCCGTGTTGAGAGGACATATGTCTATAGTTCGACGAATGATAGACTTAGGAGCCGACCTAGACGCACCGGCAAACAAATTGGGGCGATTCTCCTCTGCTTGAGGCTATTGAATCGTACTTTTGTGCGTGGAATGTTCTCCTGGAACAAATCTGCTTCAATTCTGACAGCAAAGATCTGCAGGATATCTTGGGAGGCCTTCGACAGAGACGGCGAACACGACGACCACTACGGCAAAATCATCAAAGCCACACAGGATAGCCAAAAGTTGATTCTCGAGCTATTGATCGAGAAAGGAGCCGACATAACCGCACAAACAACATGGAAACACGCGACAAAACCACGTATGAAGTCGGGATTTCATTACATGAAATAATAGAAGATATTGTATTTTTATCGAGTGAGAGAGAAGCAATCGAAGAAATAGCGATTCTTTTGATCGACAGTGCTGATCTAGAAGCAAATGATTCTTGCGACCATACTCCACTACACGCCGCTGCATCTTTCGGACACAAGAAAGTTGTTAAAAATTTGCTTGCAAAAGGAGAAAATTGCAACGCATTAGCGATGGGAAAACGCGACGCCATTACAGATGGCAGAAAATGATAGTAGTAAATGTCTTCAAAACAACAAGACGGATAATTGAACCGGGAGAAAAAGAAAGGAAGAGGAAGGCATTAAAGAAAAGAATGAGGCAGCCATGAAGATTAACTTATCAGTTGCTCTTGCTCGAATTTTCAGGTTCAAAGATCTCGAGTTTCTCTGCCACAATCAACATCTGGCTCTAGATTGCCGTTTGAAATGTTGCTTCTAGTCTACTGTCACCTGACACACTAGCGATTTGACGATTCTGCAATCCGTCATACTTCGAGACTCTGCCCTAAATAAAGGTTCTACCTCACTCTTATGGTATATGCATGGAAATCATCAAGGATTTGTGTTTGTCCATAGCCTGGAGGCTAGGTGATGCAGCGTCCATGCGCATGATTTCCGCCTATTAGCAAGGAAAGACATAAACTTTATTTCAAACGCCGTTGACCTTATTTTTTTCAAAGTGGAAAGAAAGTCCACGTTTATGTTGGACCCTTTATCCAAGAGGCAGAGAATGCGGGGAAGCCAATATCTCTGAATATACTTAATGAGCAAGCCACCGAACTTGTATTATGACTGATCCGATAAAAGCGCCCAAAGGCGTGATCGGGTAACTCGGATCAAGAACGAGGGGTGGGCACTACCAGGGTAAAGGCCAGGGGATCCAGTTCATAGGTCACTCGAACTATACTCCGAGGCACAACCCCGAGTTACACCCCGAGGTCCAGAGCCAGCAATTTTGAATTACTAATATGATAGAGGGGCTTCAGCCAATTCCAAGTTTGCTCTTAAATGTATGCCCGCTTTCTTAGAATCTGATTTTAATTCATCATGCGAGATCATTGACCATGTTCTCTGAGAAAACAACACATACGGTACCTGCTACTTCTGAAGTGACAGATTTCGCGCCCATTAATGAAAATGAAGATCAGCCTGAATTCACCTCTAGCGGTTCCACAATAAGTGTTCTACGAGGATGTCTACAAGTTCTAGGTGCATTTTTCATATTGTTCAACGTTTGGTTAGTCCACTCTCCTTCAATATGACTACATAGCTAACTCTTGAAAGGGGCCTGAGTTTCGCATTTGGGTCCTTCCAGAGCTTTTATGCACTCGAATACATTCAATCATCCACCGCATCGGACATAGCATGGATCGGTACAATTCAATCATGGCTCCTAATTGTGGGCGGCTTACTATCCGGCCCGCTTTTTGACCTTGGCTACTACAAAGAGATGATCTTTATTGGAAGTTCGCTAGGCGTTCTTGGTATGATGATGCTCAGTCTTGCAAATCAATACTATGCGATATTTTTGAGCCAAGGAGTATGCATGGGTCTCGGGTTTGGATTGCTCTATGTGCCTAGTATTGCCTTGGTCAGTCGCTCATTTACGACCAGACGAGCTGTTGCTTTGGGCGTATCAACCAGTGGTGCCCCTGCAGGGGGCATTATTTACACTGTCATGTTCAACCAGCTTATTTCGAACTTGGGATTTCCTTGGACCGTTCGCTGCATGGGCTTCGTCATGCTTGCGCTTTTCTCTGCAGCCGCTGTCTTGCTTGTAGTGCCAGAAAGGAATACCAAGAGACCCGAAAGAACCCAGCGCCGGAGTCTGCTTGATACACAGGCATTCAAGGATATACCATTTTGGAGTTTCACTGTCGCCAACTTCTTTCTCTACCTCGGCTATATCACCCCTTTCTATTACATTCCAACTTATGCCGAAACGAAACTGGAAACATCGCGAACATTGGCATCTAACATCTTAATGATATCCCAGGCATGTTCGATCATTGGACGTGTGGTTTTGACCATCTTTGCTCACCACTATGGGTCGATGATCTCTTGGATTTCATGTGGTATTTTGTCCGGTATGCTGTGCATTACCTGGATAAGCGCAAGCAGCTTGGCTAGGTTTATCCTATTTGCATCTTTTTACGGTGAGATATTCTCTTTGATCTTTTAATTCTATTTCAACTAATTGAAAATCTAGGTGGTATCTCCGGCGCTTTGATCCCACTCCCACCAAGCGTTTTCTCTCATGTCTGTCCTGATCCGAAGAGACTTGGGACGTGGCTTGGAATGGCACAGAGTCTGAGCAGCTTTGCGACCCTACTGGGACCACCCATAGCAGGTGCACTTGCTTCAATTGGTTCGAATGGCAGTGCTGATTTGAATTATCTTGGTATTCAGTTATTCAGTGGGATAACCATGTGCTTTGGGGCTTTCCAGGTGATAGGTCTGTGGTATTTGCTTTACACAAAAAGAGGGAAAACTGGTCTTTTCTGAAAATGCAAGAAATTGGCGTTGTTCATGACTCACGATATACGATTCCGAAGGAAAGTGGTTGTTCTGTTCAGCACTTCCTCTGCATTGGCGTTGCATCAGCGTTGCCCGATAAATTGAACCTACAATACTGAATTAATGTGACATCTCACCTATAACCTGAAGTATTCACCTCGTAGCTCTTGTAAGCAAATGATATAGTTCGGAGATGCAGCCAATCAAGTCCTTTCAGGAAACCGTCTCATCACGGGATCTCGGGGAGTTTCTCCAATCACATCGACGTGAGTCATTGGCAAGAGACCGAAATAGCAATATCAACATTTAAAGCCGGGCTGTAGTTCATATTCACAAAAGACAAGACACAGAAACAAACAATTACATCTCACTCATGGCAGCGCTTCGCCCCAAAGGACCTTTGGTCTCCTTCGCTCCGTCCCTACTGCCGTCGAGCAAAACAATCCCAGGCCGAACCATTTCCCTGGAGAAACTTGAGTTAAAACATGCAGATGACCTCTTCGCCCTCACCGGTGGAGATGAATCCACTCCCAATGCACCCCTCTGGGACTACATGTTCGACGGTCCCTACAGTGATGCCAGCCAATTCAAAGACAGCATCGCTGCAAAGTCAACCTCAACCGATCCATTCTTCTTCGCAATTATCGACAAGCGAAAGACCCTTCCAACATTCGGAAAGGCAATCGGCTATCTATCGTTAATGCGGATCGTGCCCGAACACTTCTGCATTGAAGTCGGGCACGTCATGTACTCTTCTGCGCTTCAGCGGACGACTGGTGCTACAGAGGCTATCTATCTCATTGCCCAACATGCATTCCATGACCTTGGGTATAGGCGATTGGAGTGGAAGTTGAACGCATTGAATGGGCCATCGCATCGGGCCGCTTTGCGCTTGGGATTTACTTTTGAGGGGACTTTCCGGCAGCATATGATTGTTAAGGGACGGAGTCGGGACACTGCTTGGTATGCTATGGTGAAGGATGATTGGGATGCGACTTTGAAGGGTGCACTAGAGATGTGGTTGGACGAGAAGAATTTCAAGGAGGACGGTAGTCAGGTTAAGACTTTGCAAGAGTTGAGGGGGGAGAGTGCATAGATATAATCCCCTGGGGTACTTTCCTGTTTAATCATATACCGAAAATTTGAATAGATCCGCCAATCTAAGCGACAGCTTTAAAATTGGAATCCTTCTTCTCACCCCTCATAATTTCCTCAACAACCTTAGCCGCCATCAAAGTCTCCTCATCCTTGTTATGTCTTCCGGCAATCTGCAATCCCACCGGGGCACCCTCATACCGCTCAGGGCCCTGGTACTTCATCCACTCCCTCTCGTCAACTTCATCCCGAGGGGCATACTTCTTGTCCAGTTCGGTCAACACATCCAACTTAGAGTCAACAGTCAGACCAGATGGGAACACAGCAGAGGGCAAGTCCGCCAAGTTCCAGATGGCAGTGTAATTCCAATACTGCGATTCGCCCATCACGGCGGCAGCAGCAGGATACGTGGGAGATAGAATAAAGTCGACACCACGGCGCTTAAGAAGAGCGTTGTATTCATCCTTGAAGTTTTCTCGCTGTTCTTGCAGCTCCCATGTTTCGGCGTGGGAGAGAGTCGAGGGACGACTATAAGACAAAGCCCATTCCGTCAGAGGGCGTGCTGGTTCTCCAGATTCGCGCATGAGTTCGCGCTGTTTGGCGCCCGTGTCCGGGTAATATAATGCAGACTATGAAGTTATCAGTAACATCATCTTACGGGTGGGGAAAATCCACTGCGTACAATGACTTCCCAGCCGTGCCTGTGCTTATATGGCTCCCAATCCACCACTTTAACACCCGCAGCTGTCAACTTCTCTTTGGCGTGTCTGAGGGCGCGAGTGATAGGCGGATGCGGCCGAACCCATCTGAGTAATTCGTTAGCAAACTTCCAGCGGAATACACAAATTTGACTCTCAACATACCCGTCATCCCACATAATAGCAACAGTAATATCCCGAGTGGGAGCAATCGTCTTCCATGGCACAGGCATCAAAGACGTCTCCTCATCCCAAGGCTCCTGCTCCAACACAGCTCGTTGGAAAAGTTCTAGATCGTCAACTGAGCGACTCGCCATTGGCCCAACTACACCTCGAATAGTCTCCTGGCCAGATGAAGCGACTTTGATTCCCGTTCCGGGATTGCGAAGTGTCGAGGGGCGGAAACCATAGGCACCGCAGAATGCCGCTGGACAGCGAATTGATCCACCGATATCAGTGCCGATGCCTAACGGGGCACAGCGGAAGCCCATTGAAGCCCCTTCGCCGCCGGATGATCCGCCTGGGGTAAGAGTGCGGTTGTGTGGGTTGACAGTTGTGCCCGTGATGTTGTTACTGCAGCACAAGTGCTTGTGTAGAGTTAGCGACTGAGAGATAAATCCTGGATATAGGCGTACCATCAATGATTGCGGCTGATTAGTGCGGACGTGGAAAACTGCACCGGCTTTGGCGAGTAGTTGGATGAGAAGGGCATCTTCTGTCATGACCTTATCAACCCTATTTTATAGTTAGTGGTGACTTCGAAATACATATCAGCTCTGAACCATCTGACCAAGCAACATAACCGGTATTGCAAGTCCGATTCTTGAAAGCCAAGTGTTCTTTCACGCTGATTGGAACACCGTGCTGTCAAATAGTCAACTTCTGATTGTTATCAATTCACTTGGATCACCTACAAGTGGTCCGACTAGTTTCCCCGTACGTCGGTAATGCTCATCAAGCTCTTTAGCACGAGTAATTGCCTCGTCGGCCATGAACTCGGTTGCAAAGTTAAGCTGCAAATACTATATTAGCAGTGTGAAGCAAAGAAAAAGCAGACGTCCACTATCGCACCAGTTGATGGCCCAAGACGGATCTTTTCAAAAACGCAACCACCACCTCTTCCGCGGTCATATCTCCCCTGCCCATCTCGGTCACAAGTGCAGTAGCCGACATATCGGTAATGTTCAGCTCGCGCTCACTCAATAGTCCGCTCTCCCTAGGGAAATTAACGACGCTCTTCTGGGAAACAGGCGGCAACCTGTCCGCAGGGAGAAGCCATTGCTTTGGAATAGACTTCTGCAGAATATCTCTGCCCTTCTGGGCCTTTTGCTCCCATCCTTGGAGAGTCATGTTGGAATGAAGTATGGCGATGGTTGTGGTGGCGGTCTGGGATCAGATAGAGAAGAGTAAGGGAGAAAGCGTTGTACAGCTCACATTCCCCGCACAGAAGCCATTATTCCCCATTGGGAAGGCTGTAGCTATCTCGGAATCGGAATGTAAGTTCCTACTCCAATAACTCCAATCCAATGCTGAAGCTCGGCCATCCCCGCGTGTCAGAGTGGAGAATCTTATCTGTTTGCTTGTTGGGGAATAGATCGCTGCGGATTAATTCCGTTATCTCGCTTGCTTTCGAGGTTTGAGGTTATTCAGAAGTAGGGAAACAATATACAGGGAGTTTGTATATAGATCTGTAAATTCGACTGTAATCTAGGCTGATCACTGTTTCTTTCATGCCGTTAGTCTCTTGGGGAGGACACTGGATACAATTCAAACATTCAAGATTGTCAGTTGCTTGTAGATTGTGAGTCCAATCTATCATTTCAAGATGATTCGGGACTTTATAATCTTGTTGTACAGACAGTGTTGTATGAATTGCGGTGGACTGTTTCTTTGTCCGTTGGAGGTAATGTTATACCTTTTCATCTGGGTTTTGATAGGCCATTTTGTACATGCAAAACAAAGCGGTAGAATCAGACTATTGCAAAATAAGCAATTCAACCAAGAATAATCACGTTAATGGCCCTGTTGAAACATGGAAATTCCATGTCAATGATGACTACACGTGACCACGTGTCGCGTCGACGCGATCCGCGGATCCAAGTCTCCTCTTTTCAACAGACAAGCAGACCAAAGAGTCTCAATCTACAGGTCTGGGCAGAAAGTCTCACAAACCACCTCCCATCACAAAACTTCACCATGACTCAAGACCATGTTGCCCAAACTCCGGTACCCTCACCGCCACACGACCCCTCGCACGAAGAGCACCAGTACCTCAATCTTATCCGTGACATCCTCTCTCAGGGCGAGCACCGACCCGACCGCACAGGTACTGGCACACAATCAATCTTCGCACCACCTCAACTCCGCTTCTCCCTCTCCAAGCCCAACCCAGAAGGCGGCGACCCGATCCCCGTCCTGCCCCTTCTCACCACAAAGCGAGTCTTCCTGCGCGCCGTGCTCGCTGAACTCCTCTGGTTTATGTCCGGCTGCACATCATCGCTTCCCCTCTCCGAAGCGGGCATTAAGATCTGGGACGGAAACGGAAGCCGCGAGTTCTTGGACAAGGTTGGTCTCGGCCACCGCGAGGAAGGCGACCTGGGGCCCGTCTACGGATTCCAATGGCGGCACTTTGGTGCTCAATATGTCGATGCCAAAACCGACTACACCGGACAGGGCGTCGATCAGCTTAAGGACGTCGTGAACAAGCTCATTAACAATCCTTTTGATCGTCGTATCATCATGAGTGCCTGGAACCCCGCAGATCTACCAAAGATGGCTCTGCCACCATGCCACATGTTCGCTCAATTCTACGTCTCGTTCCCTCCTGGCATGAAGCTCGATGAGAAGACTGGCCGCCCAACAGAAAAGGGAACTCTCTCTTGTGTGCTCTACCAGAGATCCTGTGATATGGGTCTTGGTGTACCCTTCAACATCGCCTCCTACGCTCTTCTCACTCATATTCTTGCCCACGCTGCCGATCTCCACCCCGGCACCCTCATCCACACTATGGGTGATGCTCATGTCTACCTTGACCACGTCGATGCGCTTAATGAGCAGCTTACCCGGGAACCCACAGAATTCCCCGAGCTGTGCATTAAGCGTGATGATCGTGGAAGTGCAGTCGTTGATGGCTGGAAGGAGGATGAGTTCGAGGTCATTGGTTACAAGCCTCACAAGATCATCAAGATGAAGATGAGCGTTTAATGTTTATAGATTTCTTCGTGATACTATCCGAGTTACGATTTGTATGATACCAAGTATTCCAGTGTGCCATAGATCAAGGTAGACATTATGGCAATACATGCAACTCCGAGTCTAGTATGCACATCCTCATATCATTAGTAAAGCGTAGCTATGGAAATTCGAAGATGCAACGTCACATCATGCAAATATGCTCCCGGGTGTATCCGGCTGTGTATATGCACCAAAATAAACAAGAAAAGAAATGCAAGGAGACGAAGTACTCCAACGCATCATGCACTCTCAAGAACAGCCCCAGCACCACGCAGCAACACAATCGTGTCACCCTGCTTAACCTTCCCAGCACCAATAGACTCGGAGAACTCTAGGAAATCACCAGACTCAACATGAAAGATGCGCAACTTCGCATCCTCCCCCCCAACCCGATTATTCAAATTCTCGATCCTCAACTTCTTGGCCGCATCATCCAAAACACGCCCAACCTTCCACCTCGAATCGAACCAAAAGTCCCCAGCCGGCGGCTCAGCAGTCTGCGTCTCCGCCGTCCCAGCAACATGCACATAGATCCTCTTATCCGCGGGAACAGATGCGTCCCCCTTGGCCGAGCGCTTCAAACTATTAAGCGCAACAGTGCGCGCAGCAGGGCTATTAGGCTTAGGCTTCGGCTTCGGCAAAAGCGTCCCACCAGCAGCAGCCTGCTGCTTATCACGGCCCCAAGTTTTCACGCGCGCAAACATCGACTTGGTAGTATCGTTAGCGGTAACGACATTACCCTGCCTCGCGCCCAGCGGGGTAATCTTGGCGCAATCGTGTTCCTCGCGCAGACGGTGCTTGAGGCAGTATTGGTAGTTACATTGTGGGCAGCGGACGGCAGGGTCTTTGAAGGTGTTGATGAGGGTTTTGCATTGAACGTGGTAGCACTGTTCTGAGTTGTAGATGTTTGGTTTTTCGGGGGCGGAGCGGTTTTCTTGGTTGTTTGTTCCGTTGCGGCGGCGTGCCCATTCGCCTTCGCGCGGGCATTTGTGCGCTGTTTCTGAGCGGTGATCTAGGCAGTAGGTGCTGCGACAAGATTCGCAGCGGAAGGGCAGGAAGTCTAGTTGGCCGCAGTATTCGTATTGACAGTGGCGGCCGATTGATTCCAGATCTGTGTCTGCCATTTGCGTGTAGGATTCGTCTTTTGGGGAGGGGTTGCGCCCTTTTGATGCGGTTATGGGGGACATGGCTAGGGGTTTGGAGAGTGGTTTGGGCTTGGGAATGGACGTAGGACTTGCGAGGTATAGATGAGGCTCTGAGGCTCTGAGGCTCGAATGCCCTGGCACAATCGACAATCGCCATGTGACTAATGCGGAGAAGCTTCCAGGCCGCTTATCTAAGCGCGGAGATATGGAGTCGGACTTAACATGTATAACATAACATCTGGGAATATCTTGGAGGTAAGTAAGCAGGGAAAAGCGAAGAGCCGAGAGATAGATATGATGGCAAGATATTATGAGTTCAACTTTGGCTTCAAAACAGAGTTCCATAAAGTTGGCTTCCCGAAATTTTCAACCTTGGAATCGTTCTCCTCACGCTTCATGAGTTTATGGGTAACTTACTGATTTCTCTAAAAATGATGTATGCATGCATTCTCATGATTATTTCCAGTCCTGTTTCTTTTGAGGCTAGATACTTCTCTCTATCAACTCATTACGGAGTGCGGAGTACAAGCTGCAAATATCGGCGTAACCGAATACGAGAACACAATGCGAAGGCATCTACCAAAAAACAAGGATTTATTTGTAATTTTTGGACACTTCCACTCATAAAGTGCATTTCTACCGTCATAGTTTCCAGTCTCTTGGGTCATTTTCCAATTTATCTTGGGCGATTGTGGTGCCGATCGAATCTGGACGAATCAACCTTACTCTGGAGCTTTATTGGTGCTAGCTCCAAGTCCAGACACCGGAACCAACAGCTTCTTGCCCTAACTTGTTTTCTTTCTCGGATAACCCGAAGGCAAGAGACTAAAAGTGAAGAAAAGGAATAATGCCTTACCTGATCGAGCAATAGTGGGTCTACTAGACCAAGGGCGCTTCCCTGATCCATGGTTCCGGCAGTTGTTGAAGTACAAACCTGGACGTGGATGCCGAGTTGGGATTCAATTTCCCTGGTACTGGAGCGAGACGTGTTGTCTTTGTTGTTGGAAACGGGTACAGACTGAATCATTCATGGAGCGCTAAAATCAAGCCAAATAAAATTATTCTCTCAGCAGGTAAGCACTTACAAATACTGAAGCTGTATTTTGTACTAGTGTACTAACCGTCCATGCCGTTCGAATCAAAGAGCTGAACTGAGTGGAACCCAAGTTCTTTGTCAGGCACGTGGTGTCTCACGCCCTGGAGATAGTCTTGACAGCTAACGGGTTATCCGTGCTGATATTTCCTCAAGATAAGCCTCAGAGATATTTTTGTAACGCCACATCTAAGCGATAGTCCAGGCACCATCTTTATATTTGTGGGTCCGCTTGTACTGATGTCGCCAATATTGAAATCGATATACCGCATCTTGGTTCTGCGGTCTTTCATTGGGCTGGTTGATTGAAACTGCCGACGAAATAGGACAACGATACAGACTTTTGACTGCACTCATAATGCATGGTTCATGCACCTCGTACTTTTGGCAATCAGCCGCGACAATTGCCGTGGCAATCTCCGAGTCGATGTCTCGAGCCGACTTGACAGAATCCCGTCGACTTTGGCAGCTCATACGAACCCTTGCCGAAGCACCAGGGCCCATGCGGTCCGTTGAATAGTCTTGATGTCTTCCTAATTGGGAATAGATTCGGGTCCTTTTCGGCTGAATTGATGTTCATCGTCAAACCCTGGGCGACCTGCATCGGTCTAAATTTCCCTTAGGCTAGTCTCTTAAATCTGGGAAGTAGTGTTCCACTTGTATAAATCTCAATGAAATCCCCTGTTTTTCTGAGAGCTAGGCTGGCGGTTTACACTTGTTCTCTAGTCTGACCATTTCCTTCGTTTATACCTTTACACTAGTCATTCGTTATCTCTATACGCATCATGCGTCTTCAAAATATTGCTGCGGCCGCAGCCTCCTTTGGGGTTGTGTCTGCTGGAGTGATCCAAGCAAGATCTTCCCAAGACACCTGCGCTAACACCGTCTTCACCGGTGAGGTCCTACACCTCTCTGTTAACATCGTCGAATACCCTGTTATCGTTGATGTTGAGCTGAAGGAGGATGCCGTCGTCACTATCGACAACACCATTCTTATTGACTGCACCAATGCTCCGACTCACTTGCACACTACCGTCTTTGCTACCACTACTTCGACTATCACCAAGACTGTTTCCACTGCCACCGTCACCGCCGTTGCCGGAGATGCTGCTGCTGGAAGTGAACAGACTCACTCTATTGCCACCTCCACCGAGACTGAGCGCACCGTGGTAACTCAGGTTGGCACCAAGACTGCTGGTCACGCCAGCAATGGAAATGGCAACAGCAACAGCAATGGCAATGTCGTGGTTAGCACCAAGTCCAAGCCCAACAACTCGTAAGTCGATGTTATATGTTCTCTTATATGTGAAGCTGATAACTAATTCGAGTTCTTTCAGCAACCCCACCACAGCTACTGCTGATGATGTTGCCCCCGTTGCTGGCGGCTCTGCCGTTGGCTCTGGTATCAACACCAACCTGTACACTGCTACCACCTCCAACACTGCTGTTCGCACCATTGTGGCCTCCGCCTCTGTTCACGGCAGCAAGATACTTAAAACCTACACCACCACTGTTGCTTCTACCGTTGCTACCGCTACTGCCGGCGAGTGGACCGACTGGACTAGCTTCAAGGCCAACGGTGTCAACCTCGGCGGCTGGCTCGAGCAGGAGGAGGTCTTTGACCAATACTGGTGGGACCAGTATGCTCCCGATGCTGTTGATGAGTGGACCTTCTGTGAGATTCTTGGCTCTCGGTGTGGCCCTGTTCTCGAGGAGCGCTATGCCACCTTTGTCACCACCGATGATATTGACAAGCTTGCTGCTGTTGGTGTCAACACTCTTCGTATTCCAACCACCTACGCAGCCTGGATCAAGGTCCCCGGCTCCTCTTTGTACCACGGTAACCAGAAGGACTACCTCAAGAAGATCTCCCTCTACGCCATCAAGAAGTACAACATGCGCGTGATTGTCGGCCTCCACTCCCTCCCCGGTGGTGTCAACAGCCTCGATATCGGCGAGAAGTCCGGAAATGACGGCTGGTTCTTCAACTCCACCAACCTGGCCTACTCCTTCAAGGCCGTCGAGCAAGTCCTCGAGTGGTTCGTCGAGACCGGCTACCCCTGGGCCTTTACCATCGCCCCCATCAACGAGGCCTCCGACAACCCCTCTGGCTTCGCTTCCCCCCAGACCCTGACCACCAACGGAACCAACTGGATCGTGAAGTACACCCAGGGTGTCCTCGCCCGCGTTGCCCGCATCGACAAGCGCATTCCTGTCATGCTCCAGGACTGCTTCCTCGGTGAGGAGCACTGGTCTCCCTACTTCGCCACCGGCACCAACATCGTCATCGACACCCACGTCTACTACTTCGCCGCCTCAGGTGTCTACTCCCAGTGGGCCAATGGCGCCATCTGTGGCCAGGCCTCCGTCGTCGGTGGTGACGGCAAATTCCCCGTCTTCATTGGTGAATGGGCTCTGCAGACTCTGTACAGCAACAGCTACGCCAACCGTGAGAACCTCTTCAACACTCAGCGCTATGCTTGGAGCTTGTATGCTCAAGGTGGATCCTTCTGGAACATTAAGCACAACAGCAGCGCTGCTGTTGATGGCCAGGGTACTCAGCGTGATTACTGGTCCTATGAACGTCTGATTGATGCCGGTGTTATCCACTCTGTTAACGCCACTGCTACTTACTGCTAGAGCAGTGTGTGTTACTGCATTTCTAGTCGTTTCTTATATTTCTAAATGACCTGTGGGAGGTGTGAATTGGGAGACCTTGTCTCCTTGATTGATTTGGAGCTGGTTATACTAATTAATGTTAATCTAAACCAATTCGTCTATTTAATTAATACTTATTCTTGATTGCGTCGATGCAGTTCAGATTGTAGGCTACGAGTTACATCCCAGTAATTTCCATCTTTCCCCGTTCATTTGACCTTTCATGCAAATGGTTGATTCAGTAATTTAGATTCTCACATGATATATAGGAATGATTAATTTGAGAACAGTACATTGGTCTCCTCCAAGCTCCGACCAGCAGTCTCAGGAAGCAAAAACCATGTCCACAATAAACCAAACAAAGTCGTCGCCGAGAAGAACCAAAATGTCCCTTTTGGTTGTAGAGCATCTTCAAGCAACATAGACGGAACAGCCTTTTGTTGTTAACAATCAGTTACCACATAAATCAAGTTTTCAAACACACCTTGGAAATACCATACCGATTGGCATAGTGAAAACACATCAAAAGACTCGAGCCAGTGGACCGAACACCCAGTGGAAAAATCTCCGCAGTGAGGATATACTGAATAGCATTCCAGCCCATTGCCCAACCAATCCCAACAAAGTAGAGGGAAACGATTGCGGCAATAGCTGCCCTTTTGACAGACCCGGGTTCGTTACTGGAAGAAGATGTTTCGACTGTGAGAAAGATAGCAACATAAAGCATTGCAACCAGCTGTACAAGAATTCCGGAGATTAACGATCGCTTGCGTCCAACATGGTCAATCAAAAGCACGGCGCATAGTAGTGATGCGATGAATTTGACCGCACCGAAGACTGCTGTTATGAACAGTTTCTCTGACTGGCCATTGATACTAAATAGAGAGAATAACTCGGGTGCATATGCTACATGAATGTTAAAATAAATACTTGAAACAGAATTTGTCCCACTTACTTGTAATGGAGTTTGCTCCAGACCATTGGGCAAGAAGCTGTGCCGAACCCACAAAAAGGAGTCTTTGCTGGTTTGACCTAACGGTCAACAGCTCTTTTATTGATCTGAACCAAGACTGTCTCACAGTTTGATTCTGGTCTGTCTCAAGGTTATGATGGATTTCTTCAACCACATTCATAACATCAGGGTGCAATGCAGGTAGACTCCATAAACTTCCCAGCGCCTCTTTTGCTTCATGCCACTCCCCAATCTTGCATAGATATCTAGGACTCTCTTGGCATAAGAAAGAAAATAGAAAGAAAAGCCCTGCAACAATGATCTGTATACTCTGGGGAATAACCCACTGCTTGCCACTTTCATTCGAGATGTGCAATGAAGCACCCCACGCAGAGAAATACTAATTAGATTAGCTAAATCGACCATATACTCGAATCTCAACTTACCCCAATCATGATCCCAATATATTCAGACATAGCAAACATGCTAACAAGCATACCGCGAGCATGAGCAGGTGCGATCTCGGCGAGATATGTAGGTGCCACAACACCCGCCTGCCCAATTCCAAGTCCCATTATACATCGGCCAGCATAGACCTGTCCCAAATTCCCCGAAGCTGTTATAACAACTATAACTCCCGCCATCCATAGAAGACAAAGCTGTCGCATTGACCACAGCAGACCAATTCGTTCGCAGAGGAAAAAGGCTATGAGTGTTCCGGGGATACTCCCAATATGAACCATTGACGTGATATTGGAGAGTCGGTTCGCTTGTTGAGATGAGTCGAGGTAGCTAACACGAATTTCAAATTCACTAATAAAGGATTCCTGGGCGACAGTCGTTGAGATAAGACCCTCATCGAGTCCTAGTTCTTAGTATGCGAATCTTGTATGTATAGATGGAGAGTTGACTCACCTCTCGACATCCCCGATAACCCAAAGCAAAAGGCCGCGCATAGAAAGCTGAAGCTACCGCTCTGAAAGACCGAGCAATATCGTCTGGGAGTCTTCATGGTGTGTAGCCAATGCTGAAGTGCTGGACAATCAACACTTCTGTACTGGGGCTGAAGACGGGATGTGGAAGAGGAGATTCCGGTCACATATTCCACTGGGAATGCATTACCCATTTACTAGTATTCTGCACGTCTCTATAATTATGGGACTCGAGGGGAGCACTCTGATTCACTCCGTCCAATGGAACCCACTCTCAGCCCTGTAGGGCTGAACTAAGAACAATCTTTGGGTTGTATTTTGGCATTAGGCGAATCATATTCCAGCTATTTGACGCTTTGTGCAGGCAGAGGCGCATACGAAATATTGCTGCCTGTCTGCACGTTGGATTGGATCCACGCGTACGCAATTTGGTCCGGGTAATCTGCTCACGAAAACACACTAGCCTTTTGTTTTTACAAGGTACTCATGGATGGATTAATCCAATGTTTCTCGTTTCATAATTTCACATGGGTCACAATATCTTATTAGGTGTCTCGCGTCTGATAGATAGTCCGAAGTTTTGGAATGCAGCTTTGTTCGAAGGAACTGCAATTGTCCCGGTTGGATCTCAATCTGTTTTATCATATTCTAGTTTAGCATCCTTCAGCAGATATGGGTATTGCACACTCGGCAATGCTATTTAAAGCCATGAGGGTGTTGGTGTAAAGCATAAGACTGATCGGCTAGCGACTAGCTGATCATAGAAAAGCAACATTGCTTGAAACACCCCTTTTGCATTTACTGTTCTCAATGGCAGTTTATCACCCTCAGTATCTCACATAGGTTGCATGGGTTATTTAAAAACCCTATACGAACATATGATCAGCCTCCACAACAGCTACTTACTGCACCATGCACAACTCTGTATAGCACAGTCGTTTGACAGCCGTTTGATAGAATTCAAGGACAGTATGCATTTTTCACCTCGATGATTCGCATCTGAGCAGTGTCATCTCAAGCACTTCTTTCGTAATAGGCATAATGTTTTTCAGGTTCGTTTCGCTGGTTTCGTTCGATGTTGGTTCACAAGACGGAGTGATCACAGCGTGATAATTTTGCTCGTGGTACCGACGCGATCCTTTTGAAGTCGATCACAATTGACACATCACAAATAATGGCAACTATGCGATGTGTCCATCTCTACTACTGTATCCGCAAATTTGGGAATGCTCCGTTTATCCTACCTTTCCCACATCTGTTTCCCCTTTCTATTTTTGATTAGATCAACCACACCTACTGTGTTGTAGGCTGATACTGAGGAACTTCTGTGGGCTCTATCTTATTGGCTCTGTTGTGATGGAATCAATCTTTGTGGTCTGCTAGATAGATCAGCATATGAGTCTCATGGTATATTCCAAGATTGATTTGTTGAGACTACTGTAGAGCGACGTTTGGCAGTCGATCAACACTTCATTTAATAATGAACAATTATACTTACTATTCAGTCATTGGCAGCATTAATAACAAGATTTTCAACAAAAAAATGAGTTTTAAAATAGGAGATGGGCAGATAGAATACTGATTTGGATAAGTGAGGTTAGCAAAGCGACAAAAAAAAGATAATAGGCCCGAGCCGCGGATCGAACGCGGGACCTCGCGCAGGAGTGCTTAGGTTTTGAATACCCTAAGCGCGAATCATACCACTAGACCACCCGGGCTATTATTGAAATGTTGCATTAGTTTTGACAAAATGAGCCGGCTATCTTAGATGCCAGTAAATCGCCTCGACTCCGGGCATCACGGATCGAGGGGTCCTTCCTCTCTAGTGTATAGTGTATCCAAATGAATGGTATTTCTAAACTCGTCGCTTCTGGATGATGAATAATTCAAAGCTCATTTTTTATTTAATATTCAGGGTTTCAAAAGTGAATAATATTTAGCCTATATTTAAGAGGCTTCTTCTCAACTCGGTCCTACTGGTCTTAAGTTTGAACTATTTTGCAGTCTTCCGAATGTCTGGCACATGCGTAATCAGTGATAGCTTTCTAGATAACTTCAGGAGGATTTTTCCAGTTCTAGGCGACGAGAGATGCCTCGAAGCATTTATAAGCAACGAAAAAGATGAGGAAGACCAGGGGATACCTCTCCTCAGTATACTGTATGTAGCAAGGTAAGCATACCCAACGACCTTACCGGAAGCAGATCATCGTACTTCCTCACTACAGAAAATAGAAAGCCGCTGAAAAAAATGCATCGCAGTCCAAACCAATTATACTTGATAGGTTTTTATGGTAACTAGTGTACGTTCTGCAATATGGCAATGAAATAAGTGCATCTTGAGACAAAAGAGCAATCCCGGTAGGCGCAAAAATAATTTTTGAGTCATATTGTCAAAGCTTGAGAAGCTTTTCATATAACAGCCCGGGTGGTCTAGTGGTATGATTCGCGCTTAGGGTATTCAAACACCTAAGCATATATGCGCGAGGTCCCGCGTTCAATCCGCGGCTCGGGCCTGTTCACTTTTTTTCCCGCCTTGATTTTTTTTAAAAACCCTTGTTTGCCGTATTCTTTTGTCCTCCTAATCAAATAAATGCTGGTGTGGTTAATTTTGAACAAAGCTGGTGTTTTTTTTTAGAAGCATGAATGAAATTTATTCGTTACAGTGCCGTAAGAAATTGCCGGGTTGAGTGGAAGGTCAATTAGGCACTTTCTCAAGCCTAGCGGTCTATCGAGATCTTTCTATACACCAATATTTTGCAACCGACAATGTGTATGAGCTGTATTATTTTAACAATTTGCTTCTGTGTCGATTTCCCAAATTTGCCTATGATGGTGAGTGCAATCCAGCAACTTTTCGGTTATTATCATAAATGGGCGACCTGGTTAGCCGTTCGTTCTATCTACGCAGGTTTAATGTCGCGCTTCTTGTGGAATAGAAACGTATAATGCCGTTCTATAACGGATGCCCCGGCCCTCTTACATCCCAGTCATGGCTGTTGGGGACTTCTTCTTTGTCGCATTTCCCGAATGAATAAGCTCGCTTACCATAAAAGCTAACGCAAAAATGGAAAGAATAAATTTGGGTGCCAAGTTACACTAATTGACTTGATCGTTGTGTTCCTACCAAACTTCAGATTTGTAGCGATACTTATACAATCTCACCCCTCGTGGGTCAATCATAGCCAATGATATTTCTATTCAAAAACTTTGTTGTTTCTTGTTGGTTCTCTTATGTTGTGAAATGAGCGCTTTAGGGTTTATTGGTATATAATAATGGCGAGTTGGGATGCTTATAAAATTATATTGGGTTTAATATCAGAGATATTCTAACAATTACAATTGTCCCGTTGATATGGGATGGAAAATGTAGGCTAGGCCGATGACCATTCAAATGTGTTCCCTCCGCCGATGCTTACCTATCTATATACGCAAGTATGACTGCAATCCAGGTCTACGGTATATGTACACTATTTGCCAAGACGCTAGTAAGCGATTTGGGGTGAAAAAAAAAAAGAGTGTGGATCGATCACTGACTGCGCCAGTCACATTGCATACTTATACCCCACCCTCGCTTGAGCCTCGGATAATCTATTCTTCCTTTTAATCTGGGGTCAACATTGAACAGACCGACCTTTTCAGGAGAAGAAGAATGCAAAAAAAGAACAGGCCCGAGCCGCGGATTGAACGCGGGACCTCGCGCATATATGCTTAGGTGTTTGAATACCCTAAGCGCGAATCATACCACTAGACCACCCGGGCTGTTGTGTTGGAAGCGGCTCGATTTTTGTCTTCACCTTTCAATGTGCACTTTACACTAAATTGGAATGACAAGATGTTATGATTTGTAACACATGAGATGAGTCCATGGATAATTAATGCCAATTTATCTTTCTGTGTTAGGTGGCCTCAATTCCTGTCTGAGAAGGAACTTGAGAATATTTGACTCTACATAGTTGGGTGCTGTGGTTGTTAGATTCAAATTGAAGGTCATTATGCGGCGAATTTCCTCCGTTGGGCGTTCTGGAGGCTCTATGTGGGATCAAATTGAAGTTGCGGTTCCTTTCGCCAGGCAGTCATAGAATGGGTCTTTGCACCAAAGCCCATTGAGAGAAACTCTCAGTAGGACCCAGACATATGTCGCGTTTTATGCCGTAAAGCAGGATTCCTTGGGATTAGCACGGTTCAAGAGAAGTTCTTTTATAGACTCATACCTTGCATGGATACTGTGGGATTTGAATAAAGCGGAGGAGTGCATGAGTTGTGAGATGATCCTCGGAGGAAGGTATGGAGAGGTGAGGGCTGTAATCCAGCATCGATTGCTTTATTTCTGTTACCGGCCTTGACTTTCTCTATACTAGCCTTTCTGGTTCACATCTGGATTTACTGAGCTCACACAGCATGGTTTCGGAGGAATTCGCTGCCCCAAAGGCTGGGTTAAGCCCTCCTGGGGCTTTGGACCTAGGTTTTTGCGGGTGCCGAATTTTGGCGATGTATACTCTAATTATTGCCTAGATAACAAATTATGGATATGACTTAATAATTTAGTTGAGATAAACAATGTATACCCAGGTAGCTAACAGTTATATATAATCGCAGGCACGTTAGAACGGACTGAATGTCTTCACCTACCACACCTTCCTCACCGTATTTTCGTATTTTAAGCATAGTTACTCCTCATGTCTCTTTATATAGCCCTGTTTCTGTCTATTCGGCATATTGTTTCACTCATAGACCATAAGTCATTTCATCCCATAGATCCCTGCAAAAATCGTTGTCAACAGACCTATCAATGAATCATACCTTGGCAACGATAAAACCAAGCATCAAATATTCCTCCAAATAGATACCGAGTAATATCAATATCTCTCTTACCATGAGAGGGAAAAGTCTGAATAAAAGTCATTGATGGATGACCCGGATGAAAGTGTTTTCACTCCTAGTGGCTAACCTCCATCGAAAATTTCATAACAGCCCGGGTGGTCTAGTGGTATGATTCGCGCTTAGGGTATTCAAACACCTAAGCATATATGCGCGAGGTCCCGCGTTCAATCCGCGGCTCGGGCCTGTTCTTTTTTTGTCGATTTTTGTCGGGAAATCTTCCGATACTTGGCAATTTGAACCAATTTTTTTTTGGCAATTTCAACATTTTTTAAGATTGTGTGGGGCCACAAATCATTGGGTTGCATGAATGAATGTCACGTAATCTAGTCCTCAAATTTCCATATAGCTATGAAAACACGAGGCGTTGCATCTTTGGATTTCGTGAAGTACTTAGTTAGTATATTCGCCATGTGCTTTGTTCTGCTAGTCCCTTGTCCGACCGATATTGACGTACAGCTATTCAAATGAGGATTAACGACAAGTGCCAAAGCACAGGGAAGATTGTCAGAATGCAATGAAACCACTGGCGAAACCACACGAAGCCATTATGTGTCGTGTGTGTAGTTATCATCCCCCAGGGATGCCCACTAGGTTGTTCAATCGGCCAGTAGACGAGATTTCTCTGGTACTTCCGATTGATTCATGATCATTACTCCTACAGCGGTGTATACGTCAAGTAACAGAAGTCTGAGTCATTGTTATGTGATTACTGTGACTAAAGTGAAAGGCACAGCGTTGACATTTCAAGGAATGACTGTTTAGATTGCATCGTGCCCGTCTATTGGAGAGAAAATTGGAGCGAAGCTTTAATCGATTCGTTAGTCCGTTGGGCATACAGAAATTGCAGATTCGAACCCTATCTCCTTTAATTGCCTAAAATCGAAGGCGAAACGTAACCCCACACCCCAGAAGTCGGTGAAAAGAGTCCCAAGTATCTACTGGAGTAGGCAACTCGCGTAGGGAGATTCTGTCATATAGTCGGGGGAATGCGGGGAGAACTATACATCATTCCCCTTAGGGCAACCGTACGCGTTAATACAGAACACAAACTTCTAGAATGAATTATTGTCCCTGGATTACAGTGACTACGGGCGATCACTGTGCGGCGAGTCTGCCAATTAGGGCTCACGACACAGCACCGGTTGCCGGGCCGGTCTCGGGTATGATTGGCTCGGTTCGCCGATGTGCTGGCCTTGAGCGGGCGATCTATAAATGTTGAAGTGCTCGATAAGATGTTGGCATTACATTATACGGGGGGTTATATCTGAGGGGTTTGGTTTCCTCAACTATTTCACTCTCTTCCTCTTTCCTTGTTATTCCCTCCTTTTTCTCCAGCGTTGATCCCTGGATCTCTTCATTGATCCACAGTAAGTTTCACAATCTGGTCTGCCCCGCGATGTCCTTGATTCCAATTGCAATAGTATCTTTCCAGCATATACACATTGCGAAACGATTGTTCAGTCACTACATCACGAATCCCAGACTGCAAGACGGTCACGAATAGCATGATAGCGTTGTCTTGAACGCATTTATATCCACCATGACGCAGAACCTCCAACACCAAGACCAGGCATTGCCATTTGGCATTCACCGAACTCGAAGCCGCATGGCCGAGCTTCTGGCGGCCGATGTACTCGTTGCTGCAGGTTCAGCAACGCTGATTACCCCGGCGGTGATGATCTTTGACAGGTAATTCTTCTGAACTATTATTATCCAGAACAATTGAACTAACAATCTGCCCAGACTCGTCGTTGAGAAATCATTCTACAACCAACCTCTCTTTCCAGCATTCCGCCGACACCTTTGGTTCTCCATCACACAGCCCGCAACCTTCTTAACATCCCGCCCCAGTCTCCTCGTCTGGTCCCTTTATACAGCAACCTTTGCAACAGCCAATGCCTCCGAGACCATCCTGGGCAAGTGGTACCCAAAGATCGACCACGCTATTGCAGGAATGACAACTTTTGCGACAACATTCATAGTCAACTCGTCCGTGGGCATCTGGAAGGACGTGAAATTCGCCCAACTATTCGGCCAACCCAAGACCACACCTACACCTACCGCAACACCAACCTCTACACCGACATCCACACCTACATCTACAGCCTCACCCACAACCGCCCAACCGAATTCCAACGCCAAAACAAATCCAATCCCCAAAACCATCCGCTCAATCGGCCGCACACGAATCCCACTAGCAACATACTCAGCCTTCCTCCTACGAGACGGCCTAACAATCTTCGGCTCCTTCAGCCTCCCAGCAATGGTCTCTGCCTCAATCCCCGACTCAATCGCCTCACAAGAATACCTCAAGATCCTGATCGCGCAACTAGCAATCCCAGCCTCAATCCAGCTAATCAGCACGCCAATCCACCTCCTCGGCTTAGACCTGTATAACCGGCCACAAGTGATGCCCACGAAAGATCGCGTGAGCCGTGTTAGTCGCGATTGGATTGGCGCGTCATTGCTGCGCATGTGTCGCATTATCCCCGCGTTTGGGATTGGCGGCTTTGTTAATACCGAGGGCCGGCTTTATTTGCATGAGAAGGCTGAGGCGGATTAAACTTAGAATACATCTACAGAATACAATATACCCTTTTCTTTTTGTTCATTGTGTGTTCTGTTCTGTGTTGTACTGTATAGGCTTATCGTTGCCCCTCATGTCTCACCGGCCCGGTTGTTCGCGCATCGCATCGGATCGGCCTGCCGGTTTTTCGTTGCAACTTTTTTTTTTCTCATTTTTTTTTTTAATTCCTTTCCGGGGTTTTCTCGCTTGGTCTTATTTAATGACGTTATCAGGGCTATGTGTCTCCGTTTAGTAAGATCACATTGTCCATGCATGGAGATGCCGACTAGATCACCATTCCAACCGTACTAGTGCTTATTCGGGTTCTGGGTCCGATTTATTGCAGATGTATTGATCTTGAGACTAGATCATCGAGTCAGGTTTCATCTTTATTATACACTGCATACTAAGTGTGGGGGATTGCCTATGACAACTATGGTATGGTATGCGGTATACTCTGTACTCACAATGACTCGAGACATTCTGGGTCAAACAATTAGAATGCCGTATATTGTATATATGTAATTGACATAGGTTCGTGACATCGTGCTCTCGTGCTCTTCGCGAAGAGGTATTCTATACATGTTCCGATCTGGCTCTATGGAGACAAAGTCCGGCTGGCCCAGAGGCACATCTCTCAGTCTGCGCTGCTTCGATCATGCAAGACAAAGCGGTGGCCGAGTCAGGGCAGGGTGTTTCGCGTCGGCATCAAGTTGACTCGCGTCGGTGTGGATTCACCAGTGGAGACAGGGCTGATCGACAAATCGCCAGGGTCGAATTTTGCTCGAATGTACGCCCGATTTTGCGGGCGGACAGTGACATTAGTGGGTGTCGATCATCTTGCTAAGAGCGATGGTACTGCAAGATGCAGGAGAGAGGAAAAAGCGTCGGCCCATGATGGATGAGAAAGCGACAATCGTCTGTCAGATCATCGGACGTCGGTGTCCATGGCTTCAATCCCGGACGTATGTCCCTTCGAGCCCGAACTCGTCGCCATAGAATTCGTAGCTAGCGAATCTGCATGTTGGAAATCACCCAGGGCGCGACTCGGGTCGACGAAAGATGGGTAGTGACCAGCGCCATTCAGCGATGAGGACCGCCACATATGCTGGTGGGCGATGTTGACCAGTTTACCCAAGACGGCAATCTCAAGCTTCAGCTTGATACTGTACAGCGTAGCCTTGAGAGTAGTCTGGTAGATATAGAAGTTCATAAACTCAATCACCATCAACGCGATATCCATAAGGATACAAGAAACATTAACAGCCAGCAGCTGCATGATCGTCTTGCGACTGACATGATCCTGATTCATGCGCAACATGCGATTCGTCTCCCACATGTACATAGCGGAGATAATTACCTCCTGCACACAGAAACCCGTCAACTGCAACTTCTCCATAACATCATAGCCATCGACAGAAGTGCGCGAGTTAGAAAAATTGGCAGCAAAAGTGAGCACAGTAGTCGGCACGTGCAGCAAGAAAATATTGGTGATAATCATCGTCTTGACCCAACGCAAGACGCGCATATTCTGAATAACAAGATGCAGTCGCGAATATAGCACGAATGACTGGCCGGTGACCATCGTCCACCACCCGATGGTCAGCAGCGTAATAGGCAGCCAGGTCGCAGACGTGAGACCGAAAAATTTGATCAAATAGCCGACTGAGTAAGGCAGGATGCCCACGCTGGCGACCAGCATGCTCCAGAAGTAGGGACCTTCATAGCGTTTGAAGGTGAGGAAGATGAGGACGATCAACTCGATTACGTTGTACCAGGCGACGCCGACAAAGGTTGCGATCGTGATGCGGACGCCGATGCTGTTGCCGGTGTAGCTGCCTGTAATCCAGTTGCCTGGACTGGACTCACTGCTGGATGACATGTCATCCTACATATACAGAGTGAATATGAATATGATATAAATCAAGATTTTCAAGAAAGCCACACAGATGTTTTTCGGCGCGGGGTTTTCCCCTATAATAATTGGAGGCTGGTTCTGCCCCCAAGGGATGCCAAGTGGACCAAGTGCAATAGTTGTTACTTAGTTGCTCGCTCTCGTTCAATAGGATTGTTTTCGTGTCTTTGTTGGGACCCACTTGCCGTCCTGATGTCAGGCTGTATGCCATTTGGCTGTTGGAGGGTTAAGTTCTCAGGGGGTTAAGCTTATTTAGATCGAGAATTTAGATCGAGATCTGATGACTATAGAGTCTCTCTTAGATCTACATATCGAAGAGAATCGGAGTGTTTTCCCTAAGAATGTTGATTGGAATGGTTGAACTGTTGAAATGGCCCCTATTAGTTCTGCTCTGCTATTGGCTTTGATTCTGACATGCATGCACCAACTGGAAATATGACATCAGATTAGCAGTAGATTACATGAGGCTTTGCACCCTTACAGTGCCGGTGTGTCTCCGAAAATACAGTCCATCATCCTATAATCATCAGCACTGATTCACTCAGCTATAAATGGTCAAACTCACGTAGCAGGATAGCGCGTTCCAGGAATTTCAGTCCGATCAATCAACTCTCGAATCTCTTGCAACTCCTTCTCAGTCAAGTTGAGAGAAACAGCCCGGGTATTCTCTTCAAGATTCGTAATCGACTTGGTACCAGGAATCGGAATGATATCAGAGCCTTGGGCAAGAAGCCATGCAATAGCCACCTGAGCAGGAGTACTTCCATGGCTACTCGCAATAGCCTTGAGTCCCTGGACTAGTTCTAAAATCTTTGGGAAATTCTCCTCGCCGTACTTGGGGAACATGCGACGGAAGTCATCCTCGGGGATATCAGAAAGTGATTGGATCTGCCCAGTCAGGATGCCGCGACCGACAGGGCTATAGGCGATGACAGCGATACCAAGTTCGCGACAGGTGCTCAAAATATCAGTGGTTGATGACTCAATATCCAATGCAAAGGGGCTGTATTCAACCTGGTATGCAGCGATGGGGTGGATAGCATGGGCACGGCGGATAGTCGATGCAGAGCATTCAGATAGTCCGAGATATTTGATCTTGCCTTGGCTAAAAGGTGGTCAGTAAACGAGATTCCAATCGTCACAAACACAAACAGTACAACATACTCTTTCAACTCAATCATAGCCTCAATAGTCTTCTCAATAGGCGTGACGCCATCAACCCGATGACAGTAATAAAGATCAATGGTCTCAACACCAAGTCTCTTCAGACTCTTCTCGCAAGTAGCCTTGACATACTCCGGATCCGAACGGACCGACTGCTCCATTGCGCTATAATGCAGAGCGAACTTGGTCGCTAGGAAGATATCGTCGCGATTGCCTGACTTTCTGATCCACGCGCCAACGACATCCTCGCTGTCGAAGTAGATATCGGCGGTATCCCAGAATCTGGCACCGATTGCATGGGCATGTTCAAGGAATGCGACCTTGTCTTCGAGTGTACCGGCGGATCCGTAGACATTGCCGAGACTCATAAGTCCCAGGCCAACTGCTGGAACTTGAGGACCGTTGCGGCCGAGAGATCGAGTGGGAAGAAACATCTTTGGAGGGATGAGATGCAGAACAATGTTGTTGATTGCGATGAAGATGAAGGCGCTCAGGGATCAGCCTTTATATAGCATTTCCCGGATAGACTCATCCCTCTTAACTCCGACTTTATAAATCAGTCATCCAGTGTTCATCCGATGCTCGAAAAGAACAGAAAAGAAGTCGAAAATGTAGAAGATAGACATGAGGTGGGGACTTATACCCTCCTGGCCAATAGAAAGCCATAAAATGCGAGCTGTCCAATAGCTTCGCAGTTGACCTTAACCCCGATATCCTCGACTATATTGCCGGGAACACCACTCCTTCACTCGTCTGCGTATCCAGAGATGCACACAGAAACCCCACTCAATCGTAAAAGAAAGGTCAAAACAGGCTGCAGGACCTGCAAGTAAGTCTCAACCCCGCTCTACAGGAGTCACGCTAAGTGTAATCAGAATACGCCGCGTGAAATGCGATGAAGGCCGACCGGCTTGCCGACGCTGTGTATCAACCAGCCGAGTCTGCGATGGCTACGGCATCTGGGGAGGTGGCGGTACTCCCTATGCGCAGCCACAGAGCAACCGGGCTCTATCAGTCTATTGCACGCCCGTGCCGGTTGGCAGTCTCAGCCACGAAGAGAACGTCTGCTTTGACTGGCTGATCCAACGAACTGCGAAGAAATTCGCTGGTCTTTTTCCCTCGGACTTTTGGGAGACATTGATTTTCCAAGCTAGCGCGCAGGAACCGGCTGTGCGTCATGCTGTCATTGCCTTGTCGTCTGCTCACCGGTTTGACCGGTATAGGCAGGAGACGCTTGTTGCGAACAGGCTCAATGAAGAGCGGTTTACGCTTCAGCAGTATAACAAGGCGATCCAGCACCTGCGCAGTAACAAGGCTGATAGCAGTCATTCGCTCCGCGTGGCGCTGATTACTTGCATGCTTTTCGTCACGCTGGAATATCTACGTGGGCAGTACCAGATAGGAAGTGCACATCTTCGATATGGCATGAAGCTGCTTTCCGATGTCTCTATATCGAGTCCAAGATCTACCATGGCACCAACTATTCTCTGTACAGAGGGAGATTTCGCCTACAACGCCTTGGTCGACGCCTACTCCCGACTAGGCATTCAATCAGCCATGTTCGGTCATGTCCCTTCTCACATGTGTATCGTAACGCAAGATCCACAGACAACAAAAATCCCCTATATATTCACCTCGCTCTTTGAAGCAAGACGCACCTTGGACGATCTCTTAAACAGAGTCCACTGCCTCAAAAGATACCATCACGACAACCACACACCAGACTCGCCAACAGAAAACACAGAAATAGTCGAAACACAAACCAAAATCATCACCGACCTAATTCTCTGGCGCAAAGCATACACATCAGCCCTATCCCGGCTAGACAACACCAAAACAAACGGCAAAGACAAAACCGGCTACCTCCTCCTCAGAGTATACCACGAAATGGCAACAATAATGGCCTCAGTATGTCTAACGCCAGAAAACCAGAACAAAGAAATGATCTACGACTCCTACACCGAAAACTTCACAATAATACTGTCCTGCTTCCTAGACATCTGGAAAGCATGGACATCAATCACCTTCCGAGAACAACATCTCTCATCTCTAGTCGCGCATTCAGACGAGCTAAAGGCTCTCTTCAAAGACTTCACCTCGATGTCCGATATGGTCTCCATACTCGAAACATCCCTGCTTGAAATCCTCGAAAACACAAATAATTTTGCTCACCTCCTCCAAACGCCTGACGGTGGCGGGTTGGGGTTCACCGTTGAAATGGGCTACATTCCACCTCTATACTACACAGCATTGAAATGTCGCGTGCCACGAATTAGACGGCAGGCTGTGCGGACACTGCGCGCAGCACCGCATCGAGAGGGAATTTGGAATGGGCCGCTTTTGGCGGATGTTCTTGAAGAGGTTATTGCTGCTGAAGAGGGGAATTTGTTTGCTGATGATGTGAGGGTTACTGGTTCTGGTGAGGGATTTCTTCCCAGGCCGGGTGATTTGTGTTTGCCGAAAGTGCCAGCTGGAACGAGGGTTTCTGATGTTAGGGTTATTTTGCCTGATGATGTTTCTGGGGAGACTTTTGTTAATTATCGGCGGAGGGGGGTTGATGGAGAGTGGGTTTGTTGTAAGGGGAAGGTTGGTGGGAGTATGTAGTGATATCGTATGGGATGTTGTTACTGCTCCTTCTACGAGAACAGGACACCTTTCTTTTCTCTGTCTTGATTAATCTTTTATTGTACAATTTTCGTGTCATAACCTGGTAAGGGCATGAGATTCGTTAATTCGTAACATGCTTCCGAAACCGCAGCGCCCAAAGATCTTCATGTGTTTTGCTTCTCCAAATTCAATGTAAGTAGCTTTTCACCTGTATCGCCATCACTTGCCGCCTCCCTTCTGACTTCGCAGGAATGCAGCAACCTGTTCATGCCGAGTGACAAAGAACATTCGTTTTTTCTCCGACTTCCAGACCAACACGCCAATTTCTGCGGCATACTGGCAAGGAGCCGAATACTCCGCCAAACTGGTGAAATCCTTGAAAAGGAAGCCAGCTGTGGCTCGTAGACGATCTCGCTCTAGTTGCCAGAGTCGAATTTGATCTGTGACGGTAGGCGGGAGCACAGATGCTTGGACGCCCTTGGCATTGGAAGTGCCGTGAGCAGCGTTGTGCTTGCGCAGCTGTGGGTGTGCGTGCGATAATAGATAGGATATGACTTGATCGGCAGTGATTCCCATCTCAATGGCTCGACGGACAGACTGCCTGGTTATCTTTCCTGTAACCAGATTGGGGAAGCGGTATTTGAGATTTGTGAAGAGGGAAATGAGAGAGATTTGGAGGGGCGAAGAGGTGTAGGCATAAAGCCGGTAATTAGTCTCAATGATAATAAATCCTGAGCCTGAGCCACCAGTTTGACCAGCCGGTCCGGTGAGGGATCCAGTGACAGGGTTGCTCAGTGCGCTGGAGTCGGATGTGAGGGTGGTTGCGAGGCGCGTGGGATAGAAACACGGTGCGTCGGGATCTTCCTGGTAGACAATACCGAAGTCGGCTAGGTCGGTGAGCGTGCGGAGTTGATTAGGGGTCAGGTGCTTCTTCTCATAAGAGGCACCGAGTTCCAAGCTGCTCAGCAGAAATAGGAACGAAAGAACCTCGACACTGTCCATGCCAATGGCCTCGGCGCTTTGGACGTAGAGAATCAGGATATGCCAGACTTGCGTGTTGACATCCTGTAGTACAAATCCAAAACCGTCCTTGGTGATATCGACGCGACTTCCTCGGATTTCGACCAGATGTCCAGCTTGGAGAAGCTGCTTCACGCCCTTGCTCAAATTGACCATGTCCCGCTGTCCGCCAAATGCACTTGTTCCAACCATGTATCCCATAACACCTTCCCATTGTCTCCTGGCGTATTCGTCTAGATCGGCGATCGAGGTCTGCGTTTCACCGGGACCCCGGGAGAACACACCGAAGGATTGCGAATCCTCGGCGCCCATGAGAGCTTGTCGGAGCGAAGTAGCGAAGGGATCGGTGACCATGTAGGCCCGCACATTTTCCCCGGTGCGCGTTGTAGAAAGAATATGCAGTCTACCTAAGATTGACAGCGCATTATCCCGTTGTCTAGAGTGATCGTCAGTGTCTGAAGCTCAATCCGTCGGATAAGGCACTCACTTCTTGCTCTCTGTGTTGACCCAGATTTCCAGATCGGCTGTCGGAAGAGGGTCTTTTAAATATAAAAGTGCCATCACAAAGCATTTTGCTGAATGCCCGTTAGTGAATCATTCGCAATCACGTCGATGAGCTCATACCCAGATCTGGCAGCATGCGCCGGAATATCGCAAGAGCTGTTGATGGCTGCTTGTATAACTTGTAGAAAGTCGTCCCGGAGAGACCCTCCAGGTACTCAAGGGGACGGGATGTCGCGCTGGCCATAATGAGAGACACCTGAAACAAGGAAAGAAAGAAAACAGCTGTGGTGGAAATGACGCTAGTACGGTGGCCGAAGCGGCAATAAACGGCAGTTCCGGGGATGGACAGTAGAACGTTGCTCGTGTCTTTCCCTCATTTCTTTGCAAAATGGCTTCTTTGAAATTCGTTCGCTCTGTAAGCTTGTGCATTACAATTTACTTGCAATGATCGGTTACTAATGTACATCACTTTCCTCTATAGGTGTGGGAGTCCTTTCGGGCTACTTCGGGCCTGGAGCCTCGGTACGTGAAAATGCGGTTATATTGAGACGACAAGTTTAATGGCTTATACTAATTGATTGCTTGAAGCCTCCTAAACAATGTGAGTAGAATCAGCTTCTATTTGATTACATGCAACTAATCAATGACCGGTCATAGCTTCGTGTCACTGCTGCCCGTCCTGGTATTGTCAACTTTGAGCTTGATATCCAGAAAGAGCATACAGTAAGTTCATCTGTGCAGGCCATTCCAATGACTGTGTAACACATTTGAGGCCTCGTTTGATCAACACAGTCTTATATCTGACCCGTCTCTAATATCTACTTCTATAGAACCGCCTGAACATCCTCCATGGAGGCACCATTGCTAGCATGGGTATGCTTCTCCTGATATGTTATGCAAATAATCTAATCAAATACTTACTTGCATAACAGTGGACCTTGGTGGCTCGTTGGCTGTGGCTTCCCGTGGCCTGTTCTCGACTGGAGTGTCAACCGACCTGAACGGTGAGTGAAGCTGTGATCATATATTGAAATACCATCTAATGCAAGAATTGCCCCAGTGACATATCTCAACTCGGGTGGCAAAGTTGGTGACAAGATCTTTGCTGTGTGTATATCCTCTCTTTCTCCCAGTCTTTTCGGTGCTAACTATTGAGCTTAGGAGGTGACCTGTGACAAGTGTATGTCCCTAGTTTCTATATTTCTCTATCTCGCTTGAGATAACGCTAACTTACACTTCATAAACAGTTGGCAAGACTCTTGCCTTCACTAACATAAAGTTCACAAACCTCAACGGGCACATCGTTGCTCGTGGAAGTCACACCAAGTATGTATCCACCACTCCCACGCCACAACTCAACTGCTTATGCTTTTAGATATGTGACACTGGCATGGAAGGATCCCCAGAACATTGTTGAAGAGATGAACAACTCCAAGGAATAGACAAAGATGCTAAAAAATGGGACATGGCGCCGTGCAGAGGCTGGTCTATCCATCTGCTTATAACTCTTTTAGATAACAAATGACCTGGTTTTTGGACAGCGTCCTTTGGTTCATTTCCCACCTACGTGTTCACTGTAACTAGCTTACTGTTCCAAAATTTGAGGGACAGAAAAATGCAGTCATTAAAATTGCAAAGTATAGATCATACAAAATCCTCATCGGCATAGTCATCTTCAGCACCAATAGCCTCATCTTCATCCAGAAGGCCCTCCTCGCCTTCTGGCGCTGTGTCCATAGTGATATCACCATCGCCCATAGCCTTCACCTTAGCCTGGGTCATCTCGAAGACATACTGCCCAAGATGCTCAACGCCTTCCATGGGTGTACCTTCAACAGTGGCATCAGCAGCCCGTGTTGTTGGGAACATCTCACCAGGAGCCAGCATGAGCTTATCAGGACGCTGCAACAAAAGATCAAAGGCTGGCTTGAGCTCGTAGCATGACTCGAACACTTCTCGGCGGCCTAGAATGTAAAGGCCCAGGCGAGCACGGGATAGGGCGACGGTTAGACGGCGCACGTCACGCAGGTATCCGACACTGCGAGTACGGGTGAGAGAGAGGATGACATCTAGAATGCATGTTAGGAATAATGTTTGTGGCCCATGCTATTGGAGAAAACTTACAATCATTCTGCTCTCCTTGGTACCGATCGACCGTGGTCACAATCTTGGGCATTCCAAACATGGGGTTCTTGCTGCAGCGGTGACTCAAAACATCACGGATCAGAGCGGTCTGCCCAGCATACGTTGCCAAAATCGAGATCTCAGAAGCAGGGTAGCCAAGCAGGCGCATGTATTGATACATGGCCACGGCGTACTCCGCTTCACCAAGGTTTTGAATGAAATGAGGAGTTGGCTCACGCTCTCCAGTTCCTTGATAGTCGGGGACATTGATGAATTGGTAGTCAAACTGGAAACCAGCATTGGCCTGCTGATACTCACCAGCCTCGACAACTGGGAGATCACCAAGTTCCTTATACCGCCAGCGGAAGAGCTCTGCAATACTCGATCGTGCACGACCTTGCTTGTCGAGGTTAATGACAGGCACCCCCAAGCGTGCCAGGCGCAAGAAGAGACTCTGCTCGAAATGGGCATATTGACGGAATGCCATGTTTTGGATGACTGGAGAGTTCTGGTAGTGGTCACCACAGAGGACAACGCGCCTGAGAGGAAGCTCGCCATTCTTCATGTTTTGCAGAGCGTTGGGGATGAAACTCTCAACTTCAGTGATCTGCGCGGCTTCTTCCATAACCACGTTGTCGTAGTGGAAGCCTAGATCGGCGATTTCTTGCCGGCGCATGGCTGCATGTGTTGAAGTCATTGCAACAACGCGAGCCTCTTTAATCAGAAGATAGTTTGCCTTGTCGCGAGGTTGTCTCAAGATCTCGAATGGTCGAATGTCCTCTAGCTCAGAGAAGATCCGAGCAATGTGACGTTGGCAACCTGAAGCGGTGTCGACAATGGCTTCCTTAGCAGCTCCAGCTTCAAAGAGGGGCTGGGGAGCATTTGCAAAGTATGATTGGAATGGGAACGAGGCAATAATGTCAGCGGTCGATACCTCTTCAGAGTTGGCTCGGTCCCAGAACTTGGCCCACGTCGGTTGAATGTAGACTGTGTTAAAGTATCCTGCAGTCTCACATGAGTTTCCATGCGCACCCTCAACCCCAAGTGATGCAGCCAAGCGCATTACTTCCGAAAGATAATAATTGCGGTTGTCAAGGAAAGATTCAACACGTCCATGCTTGCTATAGTTGGACTCGGTGTCTAATTCTTCCTCACCGTGGCCCAGACGTAACAAATGGCGTTGATCAATGTCAAGAGCGACGATCTTCTGGAAAAGTTGGTTGAGTGCCTGGTTGCTGTGCGCGATGAGTAAAGTTCGCTCATTAGGGAAATTGTGGTAAATGTTGTTGATGATTTGTGTGGTAACATCAGTCTTTCCAGTACCGGGAGGTCCCACAATCACGGTGAGTCCCGGCTGAGTTCCAGATGCAATTGCCTCCACTTGAGCAGGGGTGAATCGCACTTGGTTCAGCTTAGGTGCGTCAACAGGGTAAGGGCCGGGGTTGGGTGGCTTGTATGTGGAAACGCGCATAGCACTGGGAGCCGAGTCTGCCTCCTGGGCTTGCTCGCGGCGTCGCTTTTTGGATGCGGGAGGTTCTGCCGTTGGCTCCTGATCAACATATTCAAGAACGTACGGTGGGCCGAAGCTTGAGTTCTCGGCTGCCGAGGGTTCAATACCCGGGAAGCTTTCAACTAGATGAGTCCAGTCTAGGAGGGTATCCCGGAAATCAACGGTCCGGAGTCTGTTGGGAAGGTGTGTGTATTTAGCGCCAGCCGGGTCGCCATAGCCCAAGAAGATGTCTTGGAGCCAGGAGGGAAGTGTCATATCAGAGACAATAAGCTTTTGCATCGTCTGAAGAATTGACTTGAAGTTGTTCTCTCTGCCCTTTCTCCGTGCAACCACATTGATTAGGGGGTAAACATCAGGTTTGCCTCGGGCTTGTTGGTCCTTGTCGGCCTTAAACGCAGCAGCATCCAAGTGAACAATAAGTCTCCTGATCCGAGGTCGAGATTGGTGACCATTGGTCTGACCGAGTTGCTGACGCAGTGCGCGACCTTGTTCATCAAGAACTTGTACAATTTCAGCCGTTCGAAGATGGGTCATCCGAGGGCTCTCGGATCCATTCTCTCCGAGTTGATCAGGGCTGGACTGAACGGCTAACAGGTACACAACGTCATCGGGACGAAGTGAGTCCCATTCTTTTCTCACATTGTCTGCAAGCCTTCCCACCTCAATGGCAATCTCCGCGCGAACAAACGCCGGATTTGTTGCGCCAACCTTTGGAGGTGCAACGTCAATTATAGCAGGCTTCGAGATTGGAATAGCCATTCGAGAGAATCCCTCGAAGTTCAAGCTTCCATCGCGAGATGCTTTTGGCTGCATGCGTTTAACGACGGACTCCATGTCCTTGCGGATTTGGAAGAATGCCTCCGAGCGGTACAGCAAGAACGAGCGCCACAGGAAATCCCCCAGACTCAGGTACTGAAGGTTCAATTTTGGAATAGCCAAAGGCCTTGATCCATCATATGTTTCATTCCTTAACAGTGCCGGGTCGTATAAGTTTTCCTCTGTAGGAAGTGGGCTCATCTTCTCGACTGCCTCCTGGAACGGTACCTTGCGGTCATAGTAAGAGCCTAGAACTTCCAAGTAGAAATGTCGGTCTGGGTTAATGCTCGCGGATTTGGGATAGCTCGTGCGGAATCCAAGGTGAGAGCACAGGGTCTGGAGTTCTGCCTCTTCCAAAGATGAGAGCTGCCCTTCCAGGTCAGAGCGCCGCTCGATTGAACCGAGGTTGGAAAGTGCTAGAATGGTGAGTTTTTCTTTGAAGAACTTCATAGAGGTTCGTTGCAATTGGGCCAATTCCTGGCAATGCAAGTCGTACACTCCCTGCGGGGAGAGAGCCTCGCCTGAATAATCATCAATCGCAAATTCGACGAAGTGCTTCAAAAGGCTATGGAAGTCGCGAAGCAGAGCGTTGTCAGGCGAACGGTATAATTGTGAAAGGCGAATGATCGGCAAAAGGTTGAGATCCTTCAGAAGTGTGTTCACATATCGCCGAGTGGGGAGCTGACTTTCAAGGTCGACCAACAGCTCAAGAAAACGTTCGCAGTAGAAGAGGTTCTCCGTGTGCTCCTTCTCAGGTTCATTCAGCCTTTGTAGGAAATCTAGAAGCATGGTGTATAGCCATGAGCGCTCAAAGCGCATCTTTGCCTTAGTAGCGTCGTCTCCAGCCTCATATCGCTTCCCAGAGGCCCTCCATGCCTTCTTCAGTGTAGGTAACTTGGCGATAATGCGATCCCTTGTCTCATCGCTAGCCAGATTGTGCCATATCGAGATAGAAACCAGAGGAGCACATTCTTTCCGGATCAGAACATTTTCGAGGGATTGGAAAGCGCTGATAACAAAGGAAATTATGGCGAGTCTAGAGCGTATCGGAAGAGAATGATCAATGCTCATTGACAGGATTCGGTGGAAAAGATTCGAGAAATCGTCCGCACGGTCGGAAAAGATATCTGCACTTGTTAGCTGGGCTGGATGACTCGACTGTAGTCGCATTGACTCACCCCATATCGGTAAGTGCTCGCGATGCTTGACGCTGACAATCAAGGCGATCAATAGAACATGGTGGTTCGAAGCATCCTCGGTGTAGGTTGGCCACAAGTATCTGGCAACCAATTAGTTAGAGCCCTGCGGCAATCACGAGATCAAATAGGAATCATACTTCTCAAGGACATTCAGGTTTTCCAGGATCAATAGCGTGCGACTGCTGAAAGCCTCTGTCTCCAGAGGATCGTACAATTGCTTCTTGATGACATCTGGTTTGGCCTTGCGGACCTTCACGTTCGACCAGTGGGCCTTGGCCAGCTGCACCCACGGGCTATCGTCGCGAAAGTCCACCACCGTTGGCCTGGTATCGAGACTCTGCGCCATCGCAGGAGTCAATAATCCCCTAACCTGATTGATTGGGATTGGTTAAGTGACGTGGGGTGGATTGGCGCACGTCGGGAACATCAGAGTTGAAGCTGGGGGAGCTTTTTCGAAAAGTCTTGGCTTTGGTCTCCGCGCTTCACTCCGCCCAATCTTCTTCACTCCGATCTCACATTCTGTTTCCTCCTCTCCCCTTCCCACCTTTACAACCACCCATCTGCTCTTCTTCTGCCGTTTAAGAAGATGGAGAATCCGGATGTTGCCGGTGTCCAGGTCTACAAAAGACTGGTGGACAGTCTCCTGGATCGCGCCGCGCAGGTCAAGCTCGACAAGCAGATCGAACCTCCATTGACCGAAGTTCACCTGGGCGAGACTATCTGGAAACCTTCGCCTGAGGACGAAAAAGCTATCAAACACCTGAACCCGCAAACCAAGCCTGCGGCTGTCGAAATCGCGTTCCGTGAGAAGTTCTATCGCCTCTTGGTATGTCAATCTACCTCGCGCTTTGCGGATATATCTAATTTTGGCATTTGCACCAGGCTTCTACATCTATCGACGATCCTGCTTTCATCCATATCTGGAACCTTCTCGATATTGTCTCGATATTCTCCGATAATGGTCAGCCACCATGCTCCGCTCGCACACTTCAAACAGCTAACATTCCCCAGAACAATGTGAACCTGGCCTGATCTTCTGGCTTATCGAAGAGCTATTGGATAGCCAAACGATCGACGGTTGCCGCAAAGTCTTTGACTACTTGGAGTCTCGAAGAGAGAGGAATACAAAGGTGCGCAATGCCTTCATCCCTTTGTCCAATCGCAAGCTAATTCCGCAAAGAAACACTTCAAACAGAAGAGCCTGATTATCCTACGATCCTGCAACGAACTGCTTCGCCGGCTGTCACGCGCAGAAGATACGGTATTCTGTGGCCGGGTGTTCATCTACCTCTTCCAGAGCTTCCCACTTGGAGACAAAAGCTCAGTCAACCTTCGAGGCGAATTCCACTCTGAAAATGTCACTACCTTCGACGAAATTGCCAAGCAGTTTACGGAAGCATCTTCGCAAGAAACAACGATGACTGAGGGGGCTGAAGTTGCGACGCCGGGGGACGCAGAAATGGGACAGACCGAAAGCCCTTCCGATCCAACAGCTAGAGTTCCCAAGGTTGTTGTTTCCGGGGGTCACGACAAAAAGTCGAACAGCAAAGATGATGTCGACTTGGATGCGCTCTACCCCGTTTTCTGGAGCCTCCAGGCTTATTTCTCAGCACCAAGCAAAGTGTTCGACTCTGAACGATTTGCGTCCTTCAAAGCTGGACTGGAAGCGACGCTATCTGCGTTCAAGAACATCAACACGGAGATTGAAAACCAAAGCGCTGCGCGGGCTTCGGAAGATGCACGCAAGTCGAACAAGCGCAAGCGCATTGCTGATGGTGCCGAAGTCGCTAGCAGCTTTAACCCGAAGTATCTCACAAGCCGGGATTTGTTTGACCTTGAAGTCAGTGATACTGCTTTCAGACGCCATGTTCTCGTCCAGGCTCTCATCCTCCTCGACTTTGTCCTTTCTCTCACGTCCAAGTCCAAATCGCGCCTAGCCGATGCGACAAACAAATCAGTTCTCTATGGCTTTACCCTCAACGAAGAAGACATGAAGTGGGCAATGAATATGAGGAAGAGCATCGAAGGATATTTGCAGCAAGGTCCCGGTGGCATGTTCTACTATCGCATGGTGAACACCGTTCTGTCTCGAGACAAGAACTGGGTGCGGTGGAAGGCTGAGGGTTGTCCATTGATTGAACGACCAGCTATCTCTGTGGCGGAATACAAGGACTCCCGCGAGCATGCCACCAAAGCTTATGCCAACAAACGTCTTCGTCCCTCGCCGATGGGATCTCTTGACCTCAAGTTCCTTGCCGACAGCGAGTCCTTGGCCAACATTGAACGCCTCAAGAAGCCTGATCGTTATGAAGTTCCTACCGCAGACTCGTTCTTGAAGGGAATTATGGACGACGAGATGGACATTGACATGGCGATGACCGATGAAGATAAGGAGATGGCAGTCAACTCTAAGGCCAGCAAATCATGGCGGATTCTTCGGCTCTCTGCGAAAGGTAAACTCGCTGCATTCGACAAGATCGAAGACGGAAATAAACTTCAAGCCTTGTTCGAAAGCCCTGCAACCGAAGGTACTCCACAACACGGTGAAGAGACGAACGAGCCGAGTACTCGTGACGAGCGACCTGATAATGCCAAGGATTCTCTTCAAGGCTTGGATGGGGCTCAAGATGCGCCCACTGCGAAGGAGGATCCGGTTCCCAACGAACAATCTGACAAGGCCAAGGAAATGCCTCAGGGCGTGAATGGAGCTCAAGATGCATCCGCAGAGAACCAAGACGTCATCAGCGAAGCAAAGCAAGACCCGAGCGTTGCAAACAACGAAGATGCACTTGCCGCCTCTAGCGCCTCAAAGGAAGACCCTGCCACCTAAAGTGAGCAAGTGGCTTAATAGAGATATCTGTCGGACTGGTACACTACACGGCACCCTCATGGCTTTGACCTCCTCGGCTCGGACAACGTCCCCCAATGGGCTACGTCTGGCGCCATAACCCCGAGGTCAGCCACACCCAAATTATCCAGGCAACTTGCAGGATCTCATGCATCGATATCACGGCGCTGCAGGACCTTGGAACTGACATTACTACATCCGTGCACCTGCATTGTCCATGCCATCAGCTTCATTTGCCGCCAGTGATCGATCTGCACGTTCATTTACCGAATTCGAATATCAGATTCTCTTGGGACGCCAATGCAACCTGACCGTTATTCGGTCTTCCCATAAACATCGGATGCATTCAAAACCCCCTTGACCCCCTTTTTCAAGGTCCTCAGCATAACAATACCCCTATCCTGAATATCGGGGCATATGCCGATCAAGACCGAACACCATATGGCCGGCGGCACGGCGGCATCTTTCAATCCGAGGCCGACATTTCCGTGGGGCTAACGGGGGAGAGTGGGCGTCTTAGGCCGGAATCGCGGCCACTAGCAGAAAGAATGAATCTTCATACAGTACCTGTACCTGTTACCTGTACCTGTGCCTTTACCCGTACCCGTACCCGTACCCGGGGCGTCGGATTGGGGGCCAGAGAGACCAAAGACCATATCTGGAAGAATTAGCTACCGACGTGGAGACCAAGATTCTTTAGTTGATCGGCAACTCTAATAGAAATGAATTTTAGGAAAGGCTCCTGCATGATGTAGGATCACTAGAGAGCCAAAGTGTAAGTTCCATCCAATAATCCCAAATAGTTATGTCCATCCAGAATGTTCTACGGAGGAATTGCCAATGGCATGGTTGGGCCACCCGAACCGTCACGGCCATGTTTCACTTGCAAGGCTAAGAAAGATTAAGTGGCTTCGGTGTTAAGAGTAAAGTCGGTGCCTGGACGGGAAATAATACCAAAAAGCCAATAAATAAATAAAATTGTGGAAAGACAAAAAAAAAAAACACTAGACTAAAAAATTCAACTAAAAAAAAAAAAAAAAAAAAAAAAAAAACAGAGACAAAAAGGAGCCCACGAGTTTAGGAAGTTCTGAAAAGCAAAACATCAGACACCGTTAGTTCCAGAAGTGGACACATCGCTCATATTTTGGCCCCCCTCCTTTAGGCCAAACCCCGGCAGAAGAAATCCTTCGCGTTCGCGTAGGAAGCTAGAGAAAATGCAAGAGAAAGTCAAGCTAGAGGTGTACATGAATGGTTGATACACACAGACGCACAGAGCTTCACGAACCGTAGGCATAGACACTAACGGTCGACACTAAAGTATACAAAAGCCCATGTAACTTCACAATCAGACACAAGCGTTGAGTTTGGTCTCCACGGTGGAGCCCACTACGTAGAGGCTTAGACTGCGTTGTTTTGGAAGTTTTTGATGTTTTCGATCTGGCATGTCTTAAACTCAACCTATACACTGAAAATGTTCCACCGAACGTTAGTGCCGCATTCGCAACTTCTTCCGAATTAGGGCAGCTAGAGAGGTAAACCATGGAAAGACAATTGACCCTGGTTTCTTAGACTGGCACTGTCCATGGATATAATTCGACCCGCTCTGTCACTGGACGAAGCTATCTACAAGCACAGGCACAGGTCCAACATGATTCAGGTAATAGCAACGTATACGAATATCAAAATCATGCTGATCTAACATTCCACACTCCAGTCCACTTTGGCACTTAGTTAAAGACCATACACAGCATCGGCCGGCCCATTTTGCCGTAGGGGGTAAAAGGCCACTGAGCCAAGAGATCGGCTTGCGTCACCCACACGACCTGTAAGCAAAGCGAAATGAAAGGGCTTTGAATACAGAGAAGATGAGGAAATTAAAGTTGCTTGCTCTCGATCACCTCGATCTGGCTTCCCCCGCACCGTACAGTTGTCTGGACCGTGTACTGTAGGCGGATAGCTCCGCGTGGCGGTCTCTTTGAGGTGATCTCATTTCCCAGACCAGATTTTAGCCATATTCCTTGACAGGGAAAAGAGGACATGATGATGAAGCGATCGTCACCGTTTCGGCCGTAGTGATGCGCTCTGTGGACTCTGATTCGGGATCGAAGTCCAACGGTTCCGAGTTTTCTCCTCCGAGACCCATCAAGGCTGCTCCACGATGGGGAACCATGAGATCCACTCCACTTGTGTACTTACTTGCTGTACATCGTATATTGTCTCTTCTTTAGGTATACCGTGTCCTTGTATTGGGCGTACATGTGGCGTGGCGGGGTCTGTGGCAAGTATAACAAGAGACAAAACCCGGTGGACTACTACACATACTCCGTGCCCACATTCTATTCGGTACTCCCGAGGCGAGTCGGCCCACATTAAACTGCAAGATCTTTTCTCTCATTTCACCTGCGACCCGAATTGTTTCATGTGGAGATTTCAGGAGACATCTACCGAGCCATGGTCAACTCGACAACCATTGCCTAATGGGTAACGGATGATTTTCGCTTGTCTTTGCGCATGGTCCGCTAGCTGGTCTTTCCTGTTAAAGCCAGCGCCGTTTCTATACTATCGATTTCGTCGGGCAAGGTTCTACAATTAGTTTAACAGATAGTAGGATGACTAGCAGGTATTGTGGCTATACTGCTTGCCTCGCTACTCCGTATGGATATGTAACTTGGACCCCGTTTCAGGACAATCGCCAATGAGGCTCTCGCACTCATACTTCATGCAACATTGCAATTGGATTGAATATTCAGTATTTTTTTTTTCTCTCATTGTTTTGAATTACAATCCGGTAACTCCACTTGACCTCTTCGCTATCCATTCATGATGGAGTGTGGCGGGCAGCATGCTGAGTGGCTGGTCATGATCGATAGCGAGGGTCCGGCTTAGGGTGCCGCTTATGGACCCAGCACGCCACATACTACCACATGGTCTGCGAGTTCCGGCCGAGCAAGGGTCTTTCGGCTACTGTTGGTTGATGACCCATGCAAGTGTTTTCGGGCTTTTTTTTTCCTTTTCTCTAGATCCGAGAGATCGAATTCCAGATACTGATACATGTAGCCATGTATCCATGTACCATGCCGGCAGTGTAGATGTGAACAAAACTATATAAAGAGCCGTTTCTCTCTCGTCCGAGCCGAACTCCGCTGGACCCATACTTCTTTTTCTTCCAGACTTATCTGAGCTGGATCGTTGCGGATGTTTCCAGGCCGCTTCAGCTCGGGGCATACGATTTGCCACAGATCCATGCGTCCTGGAAGATTCGGCCGTGGCCTTTATGGAGAGGTGGCTCTAACTCTGAGCGCGACTCCAGTCTTACCCCGTACTTGGTATAATTTTCCTTTTTTTTTCTTTTTTACTGAGCTTCTAGAAAGCCTTTAGACCGGATATGGGTAATGGATCTGAGGCTATGCTTTTATTCTCCGAAGACGATCCTTTTAGTGATACTACTAGTTGTTTTATGTACCACTCTCTTTACACATCTGTAACCAGTGTTTGATACGGTGACCGCGCTATTGACCGTTCGGTGTGGGATCTTCAGTAAATAGATCGGGTTGATCGCATCTGTCTCTTAACCCATGTAGTCTCTTCTCTCTCTCCCCCCCTCTCCCCACCCTTTCAACGATCCTTGGGTGGTCGTATCTTGTACATTTCCCTGTTTTTGTATATCTTCTGGCATTGGACCGTTACGACCGTTGAGATCAACCTTTTCCTACTTTTTGCTCTCTGTCATACATCATACATATCTCCAAAGGAAGGAAAGCCGGAGGTATTCTGCATACTGGACTTTTCCCGGGACCTGTGACTATACTTGTGGACCCTGGGGCATAGCGGGCGTCCGTTTAATATCCTATCCCGACACCTATTTCCACTACCTCCGCCCTTGTCCTCGCTTGGCTATTGAGCCTTGTTGGATTTGCCTCTCACGTTTGGGATATCTCCCCTGGACTTTCGCCAGGTACCAGACTTTTTCACCCTGGTGGATGCTTCTTCTCTTACAAGTACAAGCCGTGTAAAGATCAAACGATCTCAGATTCAAGTCTTGCCTTTGTTGGGGCCTTTTCTTTTTCTTCTGGACGGGCTGCACACTGGTTCTTCTGACACACATCAGTTGGCGCCCATCACCCCTCTCTGCCTCTCTCCAGCAGTATAGTCTGGAACGCGCATCACCCTTTATTCCGTTTAATTGAAGAAAACCCTTCCTTTACGCAAGCGCCCCCGGTACTTCGATCAGACCCACCGTCTCATCTAAGGGCCGTTATTAGTACTTTTTGATTGCCAGGTTTTCTCCGACGTGCTGATCCTTTACCTTGAGATCCTTGAAAATCTTCGTGGTCAAGGACTCCATTCTATCATGTCAGTCGGCGGTCCTTGCCTTTGGTTGCCTGCCTTATCTACGCCAGTTCCTTCGCCCCTGTCTGCAGTCTCATCTCATCCGTCTCGGAACAGCGAGAGACTCTCTTTAGGAAGGACACTCTCTCCTTATTATTCCGTGAGGGAGAAGGAGCCCCGTGTTCCCAGTCCTGTGTCTTTTGCTTCTGGACGACCTGCAGAGATGCAACCGGCTGGCTTCAAGGCTGAGAATGCCTTGAATAACCCGTCACGGTCTATGGGCATGTCTGGTCCGACATACGCGGGAGAAATCCCCCGGGATAAGATCAACCACAGACTAGAAGCCGCGAAACAGGACATGCTACCACGGGTCAAGCTGGAGATTCCCAGCCTCAATCGGCGCCCCTTTTCGCCTTCTCAGCCCCTGGTCGGGCCCGGACATCTTGATGATACGGCTGGTCCTTCATTTGGACATGATCACCGGGATGAGTACGAACGAGAGGAGACGATCAGTCCTGATGATGATAAGGATATGATGGGGAGCGACGACAACAATAGATCGCCATCCTTGGAGAAGAAGAAGATGAAGCGATTCCGGTAGGAGACTTTGAGATGAAATTACCCAGATCCGACGCTGACTCGGGCTTAGTTTAACACATAACCAAACACGTTTCCTGATGAGCGAGTTCACTCGCCAGGCACACCCCGATGCTGCTCATCGAGAGCGTTTGTCGCGGGAGATCCCTGGGTTGACTCCTCGTCAAGTCCAAGTCTGGTTCCAAAATCGGTAGGGCTTCACCATACACCTCTACTCGGCTTTTTTTTTTGTTAACGTGGCATATCTACAGACGAGCAAAGCTCAAGCGTCTGACCACAAATGATCGCGAGAGAATGCTTAAATCTCGGGCCCTCCCTGACGATTTCGATACCACCAAAGTCCTTCGCACGCCTTTTGAGGGCAAATCAACAGGTGTCACACCAGTGGCATCTCCACAAGGCTACGCAGCCCCAAATCCGGATTTCGGGGCCTTGAGAACACTGCGTACTGAATGTTTCCCGCGACCAAATGAAGAAGAGTACCTTGTTTCGCCACTCAGTTCTGCGTCGACCGCAGGAACCTACATGTCCTCGACTGGACGAAACGACGGTCTGAATCAGTCGAACATCATGTTCCGTCCTGCAGCTTCTGCTTCCATGAACGATTTACATAGAACCATTCGCAACGAATACCCCGCTACCAGATCGAGCAGCCTCTCCGATGCTTCTGCTCATCCTTCTCCTTATGCATATCAGATGCCCAACCGATTCGCAGGACCTCAGGCAAATCAGCCAGGTCTGCCTTATATGAGACGTCCCATGGACTATTCTATGCCACGACACCCTGGCATGGCTGCATCTTATGACCAGCACCAACCTTTTGAGGGTTCGGTGTCTCCAACAGATTCACAGGGAGCACCTATGACATACGACATGAACAACATCGGTAAGTTCTCACCCAGCAGAAACCAGCGAACAACAAGCAATATTAACAAGACACTTTCAATAGGCTCGCAGCCACAAAATTACCAGCTGGGCATGGGCTCTCAGCTACCATCACAAGGACGACCGATGTCTACCATGCAAAATATCCCAGTCTCAGCTCCCCAAGAGTACCGATCCTTCCCATACGAGACATCCTCGGGCATTCCCTACACACAAGCCAACACTCCAAATATGAACCTTCCCACCTCCTACCCTGCCGAGTCCGGCCCTGGACACGATCAGATGCAAACACCAACTCTGGATCCTCTGCGGAACAAATTCGGCAACTCGTCTTACAACTATCCTAACTATATTCAGCAGTGAGGGAAGCAACAGGTGTAATGAGCTCAGTCAAGAGATGGATATCAGCCCCGTCTGCTATGCCCTCACTCTATACTCTCGCACTGTTTTCATTATCTACGTATTCAACATCGACATCGACATCATTACACGACAGTCATGTCTCGCCATCCCCACCTCTACCTCCATGTTCCGGTTAACTGGTTAGCTGGGTTAACCAAGGATCCTGGATCTATATCAGCGTGCTTTAATCATTAATCATTTTCACAGCGTTTCTGGCTTTGGTTGGGATTTTTCTTGGGGTGTCTTCTCTTCCATGTGTTATACTATCATTATCTGCTTTTACTGCATTACTTGATTTTTATTTTTTGTTCTCATATATGTTAATTTTGAGGTTCCACTATAGCTATTGGGGTTGTTGAGTATGGTCTGATTGGGTGGAGTATAACCCTGTTCATTTCCCGATATTACTGCAAAGCATATCTGATACCACTAAGATTGATTAGCTAGACAAGTGAGTGAAAATATATATTGACCACCTGTTTACTCCCCTATTTCTCTCCCTATCGTATGGCAAAAGGCAAATGAAATGTAATTTCCGAGTGGTTGTTAGCTTAGAATCTTGACTCGTTAGGGTCATAGTTCCCTTGCGTGCATAACCTGGCAAAAGCACCCGAGTCCGAGTCCCAACACCTACTTCGTAATCCATATCCGCCTCATCAAATCAGAACACAGACAAAGGTAATCATCAACTCTCGCTTGAACACATCCACAATCAGGCCACAGTGTCTGACCACTCCAGTGGCAAGTATTTGAAGTCGTCAACAAGTGACCAATCAGCTGCCTTCAGAAGATGATCCATGACCACGTGACTTTATACGGTCTAGCCAATCAGAGCCTACATATTGGCAATCATCATCGATACTCTGACGCATCCAGCAGGTTTCAGCAAGTATAAATAAAAGAAAAGCAGAACGCGTCTCCTTCTCCCTTTCTCATCATTTCAAAGCCCCAGATCTCTCAAATATACTCCTTTCAACAATACTTTAACTCTTACAACCTTGCGCCTTTGCAAATCCATCACTACCAACCGCCAAAATGGTCCACCCCGCCACTACTTGCTGCAAGACCACCCAGGACGGCAGCTGTGTCTGCGCCGCTCAGGCCAAGTGCTCCTGTGGTCAGCAGAGCGCTCTCCACTGCAGCTGCAGCAAAGCTTCCTCCGAGAATGCCGTCTCGGGTCCCCGCTGCTCATGCCGTATGTCTCCCTTGTTACCTGTATTTCCTGCAGAAGTTTATACTAATGTTGACGAATAGGCGCCCGCCCCGCTGGCCAGTGCACCTGTGAGCGCTCCACTAGTGAGAACTCGGCTATCTCTGGTGAGACTTGTGCTTGCGGTAGTCGTCCTCAGGGTATGTCTTTTTCTGTATCATTATCGTAATGATATTTATAATGAGAGATCGATTGGCTAACTTGGTTTCTTTAGCTTCCTGCACCTGTGAGAAGGCTGCTGGTATCGAGTCTGCCCTTGAGGTTGACTTCACCACCCGCCCTTAGATGATTCCATTTGTATGGGTCTTAGGTTGCGTGCTTCTTATTGCTTGATGGGTCTTCATTGAGTTGCATTTTCCTTTCTCTGCTCTGGCGGGATTGGTGGAGTCTTGGGTTCGGGCATACATATGGTTTGCTTTGGGTTTCATATGAATGAGATATGAATGAGATTAATTCTTTTATTCGATTTTATTTCTTGGTAACCACATTTGTAGAGACTGTAGCATTAAAGCTTTATTTCTTTTGGGGCTTCTAGATGAGATTTAAATGGATTGGGTGGTTTTAAAATAGGATCGTGCTTAAAATAGGTACATTTCGAGCCTCATAAAGCTTGTTCTTTGGGAATTTCGGATGGACAAGGGCAGTTGAGTGAACCTCACAATACTGTGTACAGCATCCCTACTACATAGGTAGCTAAGGTACAATAGTCAGGGACTATAAAGTAAATAGCACAGCCACCGCCCAAACATTCTTCCGACACCGCCACAGCGGAACCGTGATCGACAGCGGAAGTGACCCAGGAAAGACAAGTTTATGGGGACTCAACACCTCTGCCGCTCTGTTTTCTCCTGGCGTCATTAATCTGGTCGTCTTGTACGTTGTTGTCCCTTAACTCCGATGCTCCGGGTCGCAGTGGCTGACCAGCATCTCAGGAACCCTCCCATAACCTCAACCCCCTGTTTTCCACGCAGCTCCAACGAGCCCGTCCGGTTCCCTCCCATATCTCCTGCATGGCCAATGCCCAATAGCTGAACTGCCTTCATAACTGGGACATGATTGTGTGACGTTGAGCCTCCGATCGCGAACCCCCTGAGGCGATAATCCCGCGTGGCTGTGGCATGCGAGGGCGACCCTCGAACTGAACCCCGCCATACCGTCTGATCACGGTTCCTCGTTTCGACCCCGTGAATACATACCAAGACGGTATAAATCTACATTAAACAAGCACAACCGGCAATCGCAATCGCAAACATGTCGTCAATGCGAGGACTAGTCCAGTTCATCGCGGATCTGCGCAACGCCCGAGCGCGCGAACTGGAAGAAAAGCGCGTGAACAAGGAGTTGGCCAATATCCGACAGAAATTCAAGTCGGGCAATTTGAACGGCTACCAGAAGAAGAAATACGTGTGCAAATTGCTCTATGTCTACATCCAGGGCTATGATGTTGATTTCGGTCATCTTGAGGCTGTCAACTTGATTTCGTCGACTAAGTACTCTGAGAAGCAGATTGGGTACTTGGCTGTTACGTTGTTCTTACACGAGGAGCATGAATTGCTTCATCTTGTTGTTAACAGTATCCGGAAGGATCTGCTTGATCATCATGAATTGAACAACTGCTTGGCTTTGCATGCTGTTGCTAATGTCGGTGGAAAGGAGTTGGGAGAGGCGCTTGGGTCTGAGGTCCACAGGCTCTTGATTTCGCCGTGAGTTCTGTCTTGAGGTTTGGATTGGGTTGGTTATTGACTTTTTCTAGGACTTCCAAAGCCTTTGTTAAGAAGAAAGCTGCTTTAACGTTGCTGCGGTTGTACCGCAAGTATCCCGGTATTGTTCGGAATGAATGGGCCGAGAGAATTATTTCCATTATGGATGACCCTGACATGGGTGTGACTCTGTCTGTTACCTCTTTGGTTATGGCTCTGGCGCAGGACATGCCGGAGGAATACAAGGGCTCTTATGTCAAGGCTGCGCAGCGGTTGAAGAGGATCGTGGTTGATAATGATATTGCCCCAGATTACCTCTACTACCGTGTTCCATGCCCATGGATCCAGGTCAAGTTCCTGCGCCTCTTGCAATACTATCCCCCATCAGGTAAGACCAGTCGATATGCTACTTTTGCTCAGTTGCTCACCTGCTATAATAGAGGACAGTCATGTTCGCCAGATCATCCGAGAGTCTCTATCTCAGATGATGCAAGCTGCAATGGAAACACCTAAGAATGTCCAGCAGAACAATGCTCAGAATGCTATTCTCTTCGAAGCCATCAACCTCCTCATCCACCTCGACTCTGAGCACAATCTTATGCTACAGATCTCTTCCCGCCTGGGCAAGTACATCCAGTCTCGCGAAACCAACGTGCGATACCTCGGTCTAGACGCTTTGAGTCACTTTGCTGCTCGAGCTGAAACACTTGACCCGATTAAAAAGCATCAGAACATTATCTTGGGCTCGCTGCGAGACCGTGACATCAGTGTCCGACGTAAAGGATTAGATCTGTTGTACAGCATGTGTGATACCACTAATGCCGGCCCGATTGTCAACGAACTCTTGCGATACTTGCAGACTGCAGACTACGCAATTCGAGAGGAAATGGTGTTGAAGGTTGCCATTCTTACTGAGAAATACGCCTCCGATGCACAGTGGTACATTGATATGACATTGAAGCTGCTTTCATTGGCAGGTGAACACGTCAACGATGAAGTGTGGCAGCGAGTGATTCAAATCGTGACCAACAACGAAGAATTACAAGCCTATGCAGCACACACTCTCCTAACCTATATGAAGAGTGATTGCCACGAAAGTTTGGTGAAGATTGGCTGTTACGTCTTGGGCGAGTTTGGTCACCTCATCGCCGAAAATGCAGGCTCAAGCCCTATTGAGCAGTTCCTGGCCCTGCAGGCCAAGATGTTCTCCAGCTCTGACAACGCGCGGGCCATGATCCTGTCGTCATTTGTCAAGTTTGTGAACCTGTTCCCCGAGATCAAACCTCAGCTCTTGCAAATCTTCCGCCTGTACAGCCACTCACCCGATTCTGAACTACAACAGCGAGCATTTGAATACCTGTCGCTGGCGACTCTTCCCACTGATGATCTCCTCCGAACAGTCTGCGACGAGATGCCTCCCTTCTCAGAGCGGGCTTCCATTCTACTCTCTCGGCTGCACCAGAAGACAGCCGGTGCTAGTGAAAGGAAGGCCTGGGTTATCGGTGGCAAGGATGCCAATGCCGACAAACAGGAAATGCTCCTGGCACAGAACACTGGACTCAAGCGCACCTTCACAACCATCGTGCATGGTACGCGTACTGGGTCCAATGGTACCCCCACCACTCCAAATGGTGCAAGTGCATCAGGTGACTTGGCAGGCCTGGATCTCAGCGGTCCTTCGGGCCCAGCACCAAACATGGCCAGTGCCGCTCATCTGACCCCCGAATGGGACATTGGCTACAACCGTCTGTTCTTCTCCCGCGAGGGTGTTCTTTTTGAAGATGCGCAGATCCAAGTCGGACTGCGGTCAGAGTACCGTGGTCCTATGGGTGTAGTAAAGCTATACATCTCAAACAAGTCCACATACCCCATTGGATCTCTCACGACAACAGTCGACAACCCGGCTTCTCCCAACCTAAAGGTCGACACCAAGAACCTGCCAGAGCCAACAGTGGCAGCTTCTGGACAGACACAGCTGACTCTGTTCTGTACTGCCCACGGTCCATTCACAGATGCGCCTACTATTCGTATCTCATACCTGGCCGGTGCACTGCAGGCCTACACACTCCAGCTGCCTGTCTTGATGCATCGTTACATGGAATCTTCAGCATTGTCAGCCGAAGAATTTTTCAAGCGATGGCGCCAGATTGGCGGTGCCCCGCTAGAGTCCCAGAAGACCTTTGGTCTAACCGGCAAAAACAAGTCTGTCAACGAGGCGTTTACTCGTCGGATTGTCGAGGGATTCTCGTTCAAGATTCTAGACGGCGTCGATCCAAACTCTCAGAACATTGTCGGGTGTTCGGTCTTCCAATTTGAGGGTGGTAAGACGGGTTGCTTGTTGCGCCTTGAGCCTAACTATGAGAAGTCGGTATGTACTAATATTTCTTTGATGATCCTTAACCGAGTATACCATTTTGCTAACTCTATCCCAGATGTATCGTGTCACGATCCGTGCTACTCAAGAACAGGTCCCGCAGTCACTTGTGAGACAGATAGAGCAGCGGTTGGCGCAGGGAATAAGAGGGGGCGAGTTCGACTAATGCATTTGCATCTGCGGCTGCAATCGAGCTATTCATGTATATCTCTAATTGGATTCACCAGTCAAATACTAGCGAGCGTTCTTAATTAAAGCTCGTTCTTCTTGTATAATCCTTCCACTGCAAACCCCACTGGATTGAGTAAACGGTACAGAAACAACCTGGAAGGACCAAATACCCACACGTTTAATGCTCCTTTTGTCATGCAAAGAATAAGAAAAATCATATCTCATAACCCCAGTTCAACCTCAAACAACCCTAGCCTCAGCCTTAGGCGGCCGATCCCCAAAGATAGTAGTCCCAACCCGAACCTGATCACTCCCAAGAGCAATAGCACCCTCAAAATCAGAACTCATCCCCATACTAAGCTCCAACTCCGCCTCAGCGCCCGTCAACCCAAGCACCGCCACAATGCGATCCCTAGTCTCCCTCAAACAAACAAAATCCTCATTCTCATTCTCAGGCGTCGTATCGCGCGATCTCGCAATCGCCCCAATAGTCATAAGACCCTGCAATTTCAAACGGGGACACTTCTCCCGAATAAACGCACACAATCCGGCAGCGGAAGAAGGTTCGATGCCTGCTTTATTCTCTTCGCCGGATGTATTGACCTGCACATAGACGCGCAGTCTACCATCTTCACTCCCCTCCCCATCAGAATTATCATGCTGCCCCCCCACAGCGGCAACATCCCGATCCTTCCACCCTTTATCCAACAACCCAGCCTTCTTCTCACTATCGACACTCTCAACGGCCCACAGACCCCGCACATCCCGCGCAAGCATGACACACTTATTACTCTGCAATCCGCCGATGAAATGCCATTTTATGGTTGGTGGCAGGAGCCGTGATTTCTCGAGCAGTTCTTGGATGTAGTTTTCGCCGAAGTGGGTTTGCGAGATTGGCGCTGGTGCTGTGTGTAGGGCTAGGGCGTCTGAGGCTGGTTTGAGCTTGCTGACTGCGACTAGTCTTGTTTTTTTGGTGGGGTTTGGTGCTTTGCTTGTTGCTGCGCTGATGCGGGCTGTTACTGCGCTTAGATTTGTCAGGAGGGTTGTTGTTCGGGCTGGTGTTGCCATTGGGAGTTCGGTTGGCATTTCAGGTGGGAGTTAAGTGGTTGTGTTGTGTTGTGGAGTGTTTGGGGTGGAGGTGTGCTTGGTTCTGTGTAGAGGGTTTGTTTGTGTATTTGGGTGTCCACTTGGGAGTGTATGCGACTTGGTCATAAATTCCGGAGCTCTGGCATATAATTGTTGCCGCCTCAGGCATCATATCGGGGATGGCCGCCCCACGTGATCTTTCCGTCTGACCACCGCCACAGATCTCTTCTCTTTTTCCGTTTGCATCTTCGATCCGCTCGGTGAGATCATCAGATCATCCGATCTGACCATGCGATGCTAGGAATGTCAAACCCTGTGCCGATGCTGTAACTTCACCATTGGGCGCTAACACGGCAGGCTATCCCGGGATCCTGGCGGCAAGTCTGACAGGTAGAGATCCAATCACTGACCTGCAAACTCGCAGAAGTCGCCCTATGGAGACCTTACGGAGCCCCGGCACCAGGCGGAGTTCATCTCAGCCTTTCAGGGCGTGAGTTTCAAACTGAGCTCTCTATTTTTATAGTTTGATAGGTTTTTGCGGGCCTTGCCTTGTCGAACCTGTTGAAACAACAGGCGCCTACTATTTTGTTTTTCCAGTCCTGCTTCGTAGCCTGCATTGTCGGCCAAGACACTGGGCCATTTTCATTACATTAACAGCCCCATCAAAGCGCTTGCCAAGCAGCACTGTTAAATGAGATGCCTAATTCCCTTTCAAAAATAGTGCCAGAAAATTCGCGCCGCTCCAAAATACGACCTGGTTCGCTGTGTCAGATGTAACCTATTGGTCGACGGATGGGGTTAGATGCAGCCTTCTGCATGGCCCCCGTAGTAGTTTGGGGGAAATAAAAAGGAAGAAATAAGGGATTCTTTGACGTCAGTCCAATCAATAGCCATGGTTCCATTCACGGCCTGAGTTCACTCATCATGACAGTCCACATCCGGGTTACATAGGTTAGATCCGATCTAGAACTTAAGCTTACCTCTCACCTCTCGCCTTTCCTGTACACCTTCCCCATCATTTCTTGTCTACTCATCTCTACTCAGCTGGACTGAATACGAGCCATACTCATCTCATCCCATTTATTCCATACTACATCACCTCCCTCTCCCTGCTTTCCATTGACAGGTCAATCCCGAAATATCACCGAACTACAGCCATTGTCAATATATGATATTTGCATTGGCATCCACCCATCCACATCTACATCTTTGACTGCATAGTCGAGCTATTCGACTCGCATTTCGAACTCACTCAACATCACGCTCACACTCCGAAAGATCCGATATTTCCATACAACGTCTATATCTATATCTACATCTACATTTCGTGGAAACACGTCGTGGGAAACAATACGCAAACAACAAAACCCAATAAAAAAGTACAGCCTCACAATGTGCCGCCAATACTTCACATTTTACGACTGGTGCCAATGCGAAGAAGACGCCGGTCAAAGCGTATGCGCCGGCTACAAACGCAACAGCTGCCCAGGCGTGAGCATTGAAACAGTCCACATGCACTGCTTCTGCAATAGCCATGCTACAAAGGGCTTCAAGTCCGAGAAGCAGACACGCAAGGAAGATAACAAGACCCGGCGCCGGTCTCAGGATTCCATGGATGAGAAGGCTTCTTTTGGGCGTCGTTGGTTTCAGTGGTATCAATGGCGGGGGTTGCGATCTCATTGAGATTTGAGAGTTGGGTTTCCTTTTCTTCCAGCTTTGGTGTTTGGTTCTTTGTTGGGTCTGGATAATGGGGTTCCAAGGCCTTGGGGGTATGGCGTTTTTCCGGTGTTATGACTTATATGAGGCTTTAATTGGCTTCTATTCTTGTTTATTTTGTTTACTACTATTATCTAGTGTTTTACAGACAAAATGGAGTTGTGGTTCAATCCCATTTGGTGATTTTTCGTTGTTTGTCCTGATCTTATATTTGTAGGGGCTATTGTTATTCAAACGATGATTGGATCGGGCGATTAGACACAACCGATGAACGGGGTAATTAGGTTGATCAGATCTATTGATAATGTACGTATTGTCGTGCCGATCTTCGTCCTAGGCTTCATGCTGAGCTTCATGCTGAGCTTCGTGTTGATATTTGTTTTGATTTGCATATTCGTGTGGTACTAAACACTGTAGTGAGAACATTCTAGCAGCCTCTAAAGCGTGCATAAGGGCCACATAACCGTGTAAGACATCTGAACTCGCAGCCGTTGAAGAATGTAGTTCAGCGATCGGCTGACTTCCTACCGCATCTGAACCAAAACATGTGAATCTCCCCCACTCCCTTTCTTCCTCTCTTCAACCGCGTCTTCGATCTTGCGTATCTTCTAGTCGCGTAGCTTCCGCCTTGTTTCTTTACCTCCTATCGTCTCATCTTACCTGACCATATCTGCAGGGACTGGGATCTACCGTTGGCGCGTCTCAGTATGGACCCGCCCAGGGACCCGCCTCCATTCGGAGATGGGGTCAACAATGGAGCCTCAATAGAATTCCATTGTGATTTGATAGACGGACTGAATCGCATGACTCTCGCGACTGCCATTACCACCCCGTTGCCAACCTCGCCTGTCTTGTCTGCCCAAAATGTCTCGCTCGCGCAAACCCCCCAGACGTCGCAAATTACAAGTGCAAGCTTTATCTCTACTGATGCTGTCCCTCGTCAAGAGGAACACCGCAAACCTAATCCTGTTCCGCCACTACTGAAGCGCAAATCGGCTGCTTCTCTGCGCGCAGTCTCACAGCCTCTCAAGACCTCATCGTCGGCTCCGCAAACCCCTCGCCGCAGTTCGGTCAATCTCGCGGTGTCGCCTGTGACCACCTCACCACCCAACATGCTCCCACAGGCACTTACCTTTGATCCCAGCATGGAGCCACCTGCTCCAACGGCTACGTCTATTGCGGCAGATCTGTTTGCCCAAGAATGGGCCTTGCACCAATCCACTGACATCCCGACCAAAACAATCGCACTGGTCCATGACGCATGCTATGGGCACCTCTTCTCTCGCCTCGGATGGCCAGAACAGTATTTACAAACTATCATGGAAAGACCAGAGCGGCTTCGCTCCAGTGCTCTTGGTATCGCTGCAGCATATGTTCGCCTCGGTCAACGATATGAGGGAGGACGATATGCTCCCAATCCAGAACTCGATGTCCCTACACTGCCTGTACCTTTCAACATCCGCAAGACAGATCGCAAATTATCTATCCAGAGTCCAACTGTTACAGAAGTACATGGTTTCTCGTGGATGTCCGAATTCAAGGATATTTGCAATCGTGCCGAGTCGAAACTTGCCATGGCTGGCGACGAACTTGCCCGATCTTTCACCGTTCAAAATGACAGGGTTGTCCCAATGGGCGATGAACTACACTCTGGTGATCTCTACCTCGGACCTGAGTCTTTGAATGCAATTCAAGGTGCATTGGGCGGCGTCTGCGATGGCGTCGATGCAGTCCTTGGACCAGGTCCGGTGGAGCGAGCTTTCGTCTGTATTAGACCCCCTGGTCATCACTGTACCTCGGATTGGCCTTCTGGGTTCTGCTGGATCAATAATGTTCATGTCGGAATCTCCCACGCAGTCATCAACTACGGACTCACCCATGCTGCGATTATTGACTTTGACCTGCACCATGGAGATGGTTCTCAGGACATTGTCTGGAACCACTGCACCCGGCAGCAAGAGCACAAATCGAAAAAGTCGGCAGCCCACGACAGCAGGAGAAGAGGACCTCCGCCTCTTTCACCATACCAAGCAACACCGATCAGCTATCTCAGTCTTCACGATATTGAATCCTTCCCTTGCGAGGATGGCAATCTTGCGAAGACGACCGGGGCTAGCACTTGCATTGAAACGGCCGACAGGTCCATCTGGAATGTCCACTTGGACGAGTGGGATAGCGAATCAGATTTTTGGGAACTGTACGAAACCAAATATTCGGTATTGATTGCCAAAACTCGCTCTTTTTTGCGTCGATTCTCAAAGCAAGTTGTCAAAGACTCCGGAGGTCGTCCACCCAATGGTGCCATTTTCATCTCAGCTGGCTTTGATGCGAGTCAATGGGAGAATGAAACTTTAAACCGCAAGTCCAAAAAAGTACCTACTGAGTTCTACGCCAGATTCACCGCCGACATTGTTCGCATGGCCCAGGAGAAAGATCTTGGCGTGAACGGTCGTATCATCAGCGTTCTTGAGGGAGGATACAGTCAACGTGCTCTGTACACTGGTGTTCTCGCTCACCTGGCTGGCTTGAACGATGAAAATGGGCCCGGTGCTGCTTACTCTTATGACCCAAAGTGGTGGTCCTCTACCAGTGTGGCGGATCTGGAAAGCACCATGGCCGGCCCGTCTAAGCAGCGAGGATTTTTGAGTCCCACAGTCGCATCCTCTAATAAGCTTGCAGCCTCTGACCGCAGGTCTGGTGGGGATGACCTGCCTCGTGTCAGCTGTTCTGTGGCAACGCATGAGCTCTCAAAGCTTATCATCCCATCTGATATCCGCACAACGAGCTACACGGCGGCAGAACTTCCTAAGCCTCGTATCTCGCGTCGAAAGACTGGAAACCTCGGGGACATAACCCCATCTGACGACCTCCTCACGGCAACCCGCCTTCGCTCGCGGGCTTCCAAGACCCCCACTCCCCCTTTGCCCTCTACGCCTCCCGCGCGTCCACTGTCCACCCCTAAGTCCAAGGGAGCCACTTCTCGCCGACAGTCGGGTCGACCCAAGACCCCGAGAACTGCTAAGGCTGCCGTGCCTGAGGTGCCCCCTGTGCCAACTGAGCACCTTCCTCTGAAGCGAGAGGAGCCCGGAACACCCACACCTCCTCTCACACGTTTGGTCCTGAGGGGTCCCGCGACTCCCTCGGTTCGTGGGGATAGGTTGGATCAGTCTGATCGCATGGAGGACTGAGGAAAGGAAGAGTGAATTCGGCCATTTGGCCTTCTATTTCAATATACCCGCATGTACGATTAGTCACCAATGCACGCTTTTTTTGCCCTCCTCCACTGTGTAATTTGTAGTTGATTCTTTAAAATATACACTTCTTTCAGATGAGTCATTTAATACTGAGAGGTAACAGTTCAAAATAACCTTCGTGGTTCCTGCCTAGGTCTGGGTCGATCATTAATATATATCTGATTACAGGGAATCAAGGCTTACCTTCAATCGTTTTTTGTTAAGCGATTTTGGTCTCGATCAGCAATGGCATGGTGACTATAGGTTCATCTGGTGGTGGCTGAGATTGCGAGACTTGGTGGTACACAGGTGGGAGAACGACGGACGGCCACGGGTGAAATAGCTCCTAGGGAGCGTCTGGGGTAACTCAGTGTTACTATTTCTCTTCTAAGGGGGGGATTTTATCACCAAAGCACAGTAGACTTTCTGCAGCTTAGCTGCTTCTTGTATAGGTGAGTAGAGAGGTGAATCAAACACATCAAAGCCGATATCTCACATTTCTGACGCGATATGGGCGGAAAATATAGAATACCTTGGAGAAATAGTCAATTGAAATTAGGTTCAATCCTTTGTCAGGCATTGATTCATTGTGTGCCACGTATACATAGCTTTACAATACTACAAGATATATATATATTAGGGAGATCACTATACCTATGACATTTTCCTCTCCCATACTGAGTTTTCATACAGTCAACCGTCAGCTATATGAGCCAGGAAATGCACTAGACACCCAATAATATCTATCTCCTGTCGTGTAATGCCTAGAGTTAGGGCTAAGCTAGTTCGGTCTATTGATCTTCCGCCCACTGACGGGCGTGAGCAAGAGCTAGCTCGCAGCAGATATAAAAGGTAAAGCACAATTAATTGATTAGTCTTGTTTCTCAGTTAAGAGCTATATTCGTTCATTTGAAAGGTACTATTTAATTAAACATAGTTAGTTTGCGCCTTCCGCCAGTATAAAAAAAGTCAACCTTAAAAAAATTCAGATTCTGATTATGATCTATAATTTCAACAATCAAGCGAGTGCTCAACATTCCAATAACACGGGCTTGTGGTCTAGGGGTATGATGCTCGCTTCGCATGTTCAATTCTATTGACCTGTAGAGTGCGAGAGGTCCCGGGTTCAATTCCCGGCGAGTCCATGAATTTTTGCGCCCACCATCTCATCTCAGTGTACAATTTTTGTTGCTGTTTTTGACTCTATCACTGTGTAGATTTTGCTGGTTAGCCACCTGGTAATACCAAGGAAATGATATCAGTCTGCTTTTCAACCTGTTTCCTAGAAAATGATGGTCGTATGAACTTACCATAGGGTTATACATCCGTATTGACACGGTCGCATAATGTCATTCCGTGTATGTATTTCTTCTACAATTAATGCGAGTTGATATAGGTAGCCTAAATAAAACCATGATCGGAAATATACCAAAAAAAAAAAAAAAAAAAAAATGATAGATAATATATATATATAAAGCAAAACAAAAAAGGGGTCTCGAAGGACACAAAAAAGCGATGCACTGGGAGGGAATCGAACCCCCGCCACTACTTTGGAAGAGTAGTATTCTACCACTGAACTACCAGAGCTGTTTATATAATCAACGGCCCGTGTGATGGTTCAACAATGTTCGGATAAAAGTACAAATAAAGGACAATAATTGAGCGATCGTGGATAAGTCGCACGCTTTATGTTATTGGATGTTGAAAACGGGGTTACTGGTTCCATGGAGTATGTCATAGTTGAGCATCGAAGAGACAAATAAATTGGCAATTGAGAAAAATGTACATCCTTCATTCATAGATGCAAAATATGTATATCACGCTATGTAAATCAGGGTAAATGACTTGCCAAAAGATACAAGCAGACTCAATATTCACAAATTTTAAGAAAACCGAAAAAGAAAGAAAGAAAGAACGTCCCATCTACGCTCATGCCGGACTCTCCTCACTGGTATCCCCATCCGCATCTGCAACAGACTTGATCTGGAGAATTTCGAAACCACCTTCATCCCTATCTTCACCCTTTTGGGGCCACATGATTTGTTTCATGATAATGGCCCGAATCATCATATAGCACACGAAGAAGTAGATCAAAAGAAGGGGCAATATGGCCACACATCCGACGATGTTGATGGCTTTGCAGGAAAATGCATCACCGATAGCAAATGTCGCGGTGATCAATGCAGTGTTTGGGAAAACAAATGAGAACCACGTCATGGAAAAGTCCAAGCGCTTGGGTCCGATGGCGGACCAGTGGGCCGCACCGGCGATTATGAAGAAGAAAATGGCCAGTCTAGATAGAACAGTCAGTATAGACGAGGGAAAGGAGGGAAGAATAGTACATACCCCCATAGCCACAAGGATGAAAAGTTAACCACAACTTTCATAACATCAGCAGCGAGAGCACCATTCCCCATGAAATCGGAAGGGAACGCCCTCTTCGCAGCAGAGGCCATGTTGACAATACCCGCCACCGTAAACCCACTAGGACCAACTGAAACGAACATACCGGGACGAAGGTTCTCCCTAGGAAGCTTCTGCGTCATCAACCGGTAAATGAATGCCGAGTAAACCATCAACGAGACCAAGAATCCAACACCCTGAATAGTAGCACCACCAACAATAACCTGAAGCGCAGCCGACGGATCCAACGTGGAACTCAAGACACCAGCATGCGGACCGATGATGAGCATGGGGTAAGCTGGAAAGATCCAAATTGGAGTCATCTGGGCGATGGTGAAGGTCTGCGTTGACCAAAGTAGCAGGTAGATACCAGCGGAAAACATGACGGCGAGAGCAGCGTCAATCCAGAATAAAACCTCGACTGCGCGCATCAGCCAAGGACCTGCATGTGGAGGGCCGTATTGAGATATGTTGATTAGGATTGTGCCGAAGGAGACCATTGCTGCTGGGACGAAGAGGGATTCTGTGGGATGCATCAGGGATGCCCTGAATGTATAGGGGAAACAGTAGAAGCGGAGAAGGAGCAGGCCCCAGACTAGGAGATAGAGGGCGATATTAATAAGGAAGACGACGACTCCGATCGTATCTAGGCCTTTGAAGCGGAATGGGACTGGTATTGTTAGTGGATGTGGACATTGAATGACTTGAATCAATCCTATAGATGTGAACATACCGTTGTAGAAGACATTGGCCAATCCACCCGTCGCCATAGTCAATGTAAAGTATGCCCAAGTGACATGGCGAATTCGTTTCTTCCATCCAAGTCGGCTTGGAGGCTTCTTCTTGACAGTAACTCCCAAACCATTGTGCTCGCAACAAGCAGCTGCCTCTTTATTACCCTCTGTTTTTGATTTCTCGGCAGCTCGCGACGTCGCTCTATGCAGGACTTCTTGCAAAGCTGTTGAATGGACTTCGCGCACTTGGCTGCCGGGACTATCTTCAACGCCATGATCGGAGAGAACCCGCTCGGCATCTTCTATTGTGGGGGTTCGATAGCCATCATCCCCGGGACTTCTCATATGTCGAGGGACATTCAGATAGTCATCCATGACTTATCTTGAGAGGGTTCGTGACCAGGGGCAAATTGAATAGAAGCGTGGCGGGTCTCGCCACCTTCTTGTCTGGGGTAACTGGTGTTCCTGAACTAGACCGGGCAGACCATGAAGGATAGTGGGACCTGGGGTACTCTGTACACAGGGCTGTAAGGCGGAAAATTAAGAAGCCAGCAGGGAAAACACGCACGGTCAAGGCACAGCTCCCTTCTTAAATAGCGGCCGATCAAAGTACCTCAGGGCGTGAACAGACTGATCGACACGCATTAATGTGGGACCCGATGCAAGAATCCTACCAGTTCTTGGGCTGGATCCTGCTGGAGAATATAAGGCGATCCAATGGCTGATACTGATCTGATGTATTAGCGGGACTGGGCAAAGGATGTCAAGGAAATAATATGAAATGAGCGTCATGAGGGGACGCTTTGGCTATAGCGGGTTACAGGTTGTCCGCCTATGCAACGTCATTCGTCCAGTCCACTTCCGGGATTCGGCACGTCCCCGTCTACTTCGAGTAAATGTTTCCGATCCTTTATTGACTTGATCTTGTATATCGGGGAAAGAATTAGGGTAGAATGTATTGCTCAATTCTGTTTCCATAGTCTATATCTAAAGAATGGATCTGTTTCTGGCTCGGGTGCCTTGCATCCACCCGACAAAGGGGTACATACATCTACATCATCAATGTGCATATTGCAGTTCGCTATGTATGTATAGGATTGATATCAGAAGAAGATCTACATTACTGAAGAAAGTTTACGAAGTGCCAATCTTGACGATCTACCATGACGCGGTTGTGATTGGTATGCCATGAAGGGAGATCGGTCAGTCAACTACTATAACAAGTAATATAATAACCAAGCCCTGCATAGGCAGATCTACGGGATGTTAACCCGTTCAAAATTAGTGTGCTGACTCTAATATACCAAGCTACCGACTTCCATTGGTCTTCAAGCCACATTTATAGTATAAACCCAGAATAGGAAATGAGGGCTTAGGGCCCGCCTGTGAACATGAAAACCGAGGCAACTTTGGTTCGGTCTCCACCTCAGAATGGAGCAACTTGTCTACTAGATAGCTTCCAATGCAACCTATTCTTTCCTTGCAATCAATTCAATTACTATTGTGATAATATCTACTACTGCAGACATGCCGGGAGCAAAAGACAAGCGCAGATCGGTGCTGATCACAGGGTAAGTGACTCGCCCCAGATACCAACGACTGCCTCTGACATCTACTTCAGATGTTCCCCTGGTGGCATAGGAAACTCCCTCGCGCGTGAATTCCATCGCAATGGACTGCGCGTACTAGCCACAGCTCGTGATGCCAGCTCCCTGTCCGATCTAGCCGAGTTTGGCATCGAAACCCTAAGCTTGACGGTTGATGACCCGGAGAATGTGAAGACATGCTTTGCAGATGTCGAGAAGAGACTCGGTGACAAGGGTCTCGATTACCTTGTTAACAATGCGTGAGTAAAATCTTATGGTGCTATTTCAGCGCTTGTGGCTAACATCAACCAGTGGTCGGAGTATGTAAATTAAGCTATGGGTTTGAAGATATACTGATTGCCGCAGACTATACCGTCCCGGCCATGGAAGTAGAGCTTTCTGAGGCTCGCTCAGTGTTTGAGACCAACCTCTTCGCCGTCATCACCATGTGCCAGACCTTCCTGCCGTTGCTCATCAAGGCAAAGGGCACTATTGTTCAGGTTGGCTCTATTGCCGGAGTAATTATTGACTGCATTCAAGGTTGTAGGTTATCCCGCTAACACTTCTAGATTATGCCATATGTATTTGGTTCCGTCTACAACGCATCCAAAGCAGCACTGCACTCATTCAGTGACACACTTCGCGTGGAGCTAGCTCCATTGGGGTTCGTATACGCATTCCCGAAACTGAAACTTCCTTTCTAACCGAGGCAACAGTGTTCATGTCACCACCGTAGTGACCGGAGGTGTTCAGTCGCGAATCGCACGCGTCGACCGCACCTTGAAGCCGAACTCCCTGTATACCTCGATTGAAGCCGAGTATGAGCAACGGGTGAAGCATAGCCAGAAAGATGCCATGCCGCATGCTGCCTATGCGCGCAGCGTGGTTACTCAATTGCTGTATGGATCTGCCCCCTGGAGATGGCTGCCCTGGGCTCAAGGCCGAAAAGCCTGGATCTGGGAGGGACATGCTAGCTGGGTGATTTGGCTCCTTTCGGGAGGCTGGGCATGGTCGGGACTGTTTGGTCGGGTCATGACTAACATGTTCAAACTGTGGAAGGTCAAAAAGGGCGCACGCAAGTAGGAAACGACCCGAGAAGTACTAGTTATCCAATACAATGTATTATAATCCGTATACTAGCCGATATAAAGAAGCCGAAGACTCCAAGTACCGACTCGACAAGCCAGGGTTCCGTGATATTCGCGTTGTCCCGATGACTCAGCAAGGGACGGCCTGTGGTTGGCTGCGACACCCGGTTTTACCGCGACGCAATGTCATCCCGAGAAAAAGAAAGCTGTTCTCCCCTACTCAATCTTGGGCTATCTTGATCTCCCTAAACCACCTCTCCTCTCCTCTCTTTTCACCTTCATCATGTTCAACTTCGCCCGCGGTAGACCCATTGCCGCCGCTTACAGAGCTGCGACGGTGAGTTGTTGTAATCGGGCCGCGCCCGGCTTCATGTTGATTATACTGATATACTGACTTTGCATAGGCGCCTTCCGTTCAGAGCAGACTTGCTGTTCAGAAGCGTAACCTTTCCATCCACGAATACCTGTCCGCCCGTCTCCTCAAGTCGGTAGGTGGATCGCGTTCCCCCTTCGGTCGCTCCAAAAAAATCAAGTCCGCTGATAAAAGATCTAGTACGGTGTCGGTGTCCCCAAGGGTGAGGTCGCCAACACTGCTGAAGAGGCCGAGGCTATCGCCAAGTCCATCGGTAAATTATCCCAAGTTCCTCCTTGCGAACGCGTTTGCTGAAAATAACTCCCAGGTAACGATGACCTTGTCATCAAGGCCCAGGTTCTCGCCGGTGGTCGTGGTAAGGGTTCTTTCGACAACGGTCTCAAAGGTGGTGTCCGTGTGATCTACTCGTGAGTTTCAACAATCGACCAAGCGAACGCAGCGAAGCTGATGGATACCTTCCAGTCCTACCGAGGCCAAGATGTTCGCCAGCCAGATGATCGGCCACAAGCTCGTCACCAAGCAGACCGGCGCCGCCGGCCGTATCTGTAACTCGGTCTACATTTGTGAGCGCAAGTTCGCCCGCCGCGAATTCTACCTCGCTGTCCTCCTGGACCGCACTACCCGTGGCCCCGTCATCGTTTCCTCCTCCCAGGGTGGTATGGATATCGAGGCTGTCGCCAAGGAGAGCCCCGATGCCATCATGACCACCCCCATCGACATCCACGTTGGTGTCACCGACGAGATCGCCCGCACCATCGCTACCGACCTCGGCTTCTCTGAGCAGTGCATCGAGGAGGCCAAGTCCACCATCCAGAACCTCTACAAGTGCTTCATGGAGCGCGATGCTACCCAGCTCGAGATCAACCCCCTGTCCGAGACCTCTGACCACCAGGTCCTCGCCATGGACGCCAAGCTCGGATTCGACGACAACGCCGAGTTCCGTCAGAAGGAGGCTTTCTCGTGGCGCGACGTTTCCCAGGAGGATGCTGATGAGGTCAAGGCCGCTGAGCACGGTCTCAACTTCATCAAGCTCGATGGTGACATCGGCTGTCTCGGTAAGCATCCTTGAATCAAATGAAGATCTCATTCTAACGTGTATCAGTCAACGGTGCTGGTCTCGCCATGGCCACCATGGATATCATCAAGCTCAACGGCGGCTCCCCCGCTAACTTCCTCGATGTCGGCGGTGGTGCCACTCCCCAGGCCATCAAGAGCGCCTTCGAGCTGATCACCAGCGACCCCAAGGTCTCCGCCGTCTTTGTCAACATCTTCGGTGGTATCGTCCGTTGCGACGCCATCGCCCAGGGTCTGATCAACGTCGTCCAGGAGATGGGTCTCCGTACCCCCATTGTCGCCCGTCTGCAGGGTACCAACATGGAGCAGGCCCACAAGCTGATCAATGAGTCCGGCCTGAAGATCTTCTCCATCGAGGACCTCCAGAACGCCGCCGAGAAGTCCGTCCAGTTCTCCAAGGTCGTCAAGATGGCCCGTGAGATCGACGTCGGTGTCGAGTTCACCCTGGGAATCTAAGCAACCCTTTGATTCCATTTTGTTTGCATTTTAGAGTAGATGGGGTGGCATTTAATGCGAGGCTCTTTCGTCGCGAAACCAAATCGAACTGTTGCGATGCTCATCTTAAGATATCTTGATGTGGCTTTGCTGCTTGGTTCCTGTGTCATTTATTTTCTTTTGTCACTGTATTCTTGAGTGTTTCTATGACCTATATCAGTTCCTAATCGGATGGGTTGTGTGAGTTTTGGTTTTGGTTCATTTTGTAGTATTTCTGTAGTACAAGATGTATAGAGCTGTGCGAAGCACGGCTCTTGACTTTCGTGTCCAGAGTTCATAGTACTCGCATAGCTCGGGATCTATACTCGCATCGCTATGCTATTGTGTTCCATGCTACTGATAGTCCCTGGCCATTTCGCACAACTCTCTAGCGTTGGCTTCTTCCTCTTATATATTTTTGTCTAGAACGGCGTGTGAGGTTTGCTGACAATCAGTCTGTATTGCTTCTAAAGTATTTCCTCCCATATGCCTAACTTCAACTTTGCCCCACTACCATTTTACTATGGTTTACTATACTATCATTATGTCTTTAAATCAAATATACTTCACTTTAATACAATCTGATAGTATATATCTACCTCATCTACCCCTCACGGACACTCAATCGTTGTTCAGGCAATACTTAGATGCGACTCACCTTGTCCGTGTCTATTATTCTTGACCCCACGTTAGACCTATCTTCTTCACCTACCAGCCTTCAACTTCGCCTCACTATCACCATCAAAATCTCATCAGCCACGACGATGGAGTTAACTCCTGGTGCCAAGGCTGTTTCGGCTGACTTCAAAGCTCTCAGTCATTCGGATCGGCTACAGGCGTATGTTGGTTTACTTAGCCGACGACTATATTTAGCCACTGACTTAACGTAGAATGAATGCGATCCTCCAGAGCCTATCCAACAGTGAGCTGCGAGAAGCGAAAGACTTTTTGGATCCTCTGAAGTTCCAAAAGGATATTTGGGGATCCTTGCCTACAGAGCTTAGGGATATTGTCGTAACAGGCTTGGAATTGAGCGATATTTTTGTACTAAGAAGAGTATGTTTGTTGACAACTAGCTTGTGTGGATTTATATGTCATTCTGCTAACATCATAGAGGTGTGCAAATCATGGAACGAAAAATTGTCCTCCCCGGCGTTGCTGCAAACCGCATACTTGAATGCAACAGCCAGCGAACAACCCGTCTTGGATACTGTATCCGACGAGCATATCATCAAAAGGTTCAAGAGAAGAATCAGAGCTGAACAAGGGCGACCTGTCACTACGGCCCAACTATCGGTCTCCCCAAATCTTCAGGATCTGAACGGGGACCAAATTTCCTATGCTAATGGAAATCTTGCCCGGGTTGACATGACGACAGCTGAAACCTCTATATGTCTTGTGCATTTAAGAACTGGCGAAAGAAGACAATTTACCACGGAGAATCGGGAGAACTTACGTGCTGCCCGCGTATCCGATACTTTGGTCGCGGCGATATCTTTGCGAGGGTAAGTGCTTAACCTGAAGCCACTCGATTGCACACAGGATGAGACTCTGGTATTCTGACAATATAGGATTTGTCATATCTGGGAGATTATGACCGGAGTTCACAAGTCTTTCCGCCTTACCTCCTTGCAATTCAATCACTTCCTGGTGCATGGAGTCAAAGTGATGGTGAGCTATGAGGACAAAATCCTTCATTTCTGCTTCGCCACTGGCGTTACTCGTACAATCATAGTCGAGGGACGTATCTGTTCGGCATCTCTACACAAAAGTGACGATCAAGTATCTATCGTGTGCCTCCGCGACAGGAATGCTCCTACAGCTGTTCTAAACCGAGCAGGCCATTACCTGCAGGTTGAGAAGTATACTGTTGACGGAGATTCATTTGTCAATACATTGTCCCGCTACGAACAGCTTCCTTTTCGAGATGATGAATACGAACGACCCCGACCCGAAGAGAATTTCAAAGTATCCCAAGGCCAAATTTCTCTGAGATTTTACCCTTATGATGCAGAATCCTGCCCTTGTCTCTACCTTTCACTTACAAACGACGACCAAATAGCAGTACATCGCATGCCAATCCTGCCAGGATATCTCCAGAGTATGAATATTGCATGGTTTGACCAGGGCTTGGTATACTTTACACCGTACCAAGCCGACAAACACCATTATGCTGGCATTGGGCGTACACGCTTGATGAATCCCAGCTTCTCGGAGACTCTGTCATATGAAATCACTCCCGTACCCCGGCTGTCTGTTCTGAGACAACCAGATACGGTTTATGGCATATGGGCCGGTGATGGATTTTTTTTATATGCTACGTCTGAAAGAATTCTGGTGTGGTGCTTTGATGAAGATTGGAAGCCTTCCGGTGCGCTTTCACGGGGTCCAGAGGAAACTCTCGAGTCTATGAGAGCAGCCCACAGAGCTCAGCAACATCAAGACGCTGAGTAGATTGAGCATATATAGTGGCATGGTGATAGATATATAGCACTAAGATATCCGGAGCTGTGCTTCATACGGTTGTTCAACTTCAACCTCTAGAGACAATAATAACTGTCTAGTTGACCTTTTCCCTTTGCGTTACTATATTGGTATGAATGATAATACAGATCAACCTAAGCTAGCTATAGAAATAACCTAGTAGTCAGGTACCGCGCTCTAAGGGCAAGCTTTAGACCCTCAAAAACCTCGTTCAAAAATGGTCAAGCATGGCCTATAAAAGGGTTAGAAGTCAACTATTTTGATAGATTAGGTTTCTTTTAAGTATACGTAGGCGATACTGCTGTAAATACCTTCGAGATGAGATCGGGAGACCTAGCTATTTCATCAATGCAAGGTATAGATATTTTGGAGGCATCCGGCAGATGTGACGAAAGGAATGTGATGAACCGGCGCCAGGGCTAGTGTATAGGGCATTACCTTCTAGAATTAGTTAAAATTGATGGTAAGAGGGAAAAGTATCCAGCCCAATAGACTAACAGTACAATAGTGCAATATATGCCTCTCCTGAATATCCAAGCAGTATAGTAATCACCCCTTTTCTCCACCTCCGTGGCGTCTTCCGTTCTGAGATCCAATTGTCACGCATTTTCACCGGTTCCCCGCCTCATCTTCTTGACACTTCGAGGCTCAAACCTCGACCTTTGGATATTCACGGATTCACGGGCACGATGACAGAGACTAGTGGACGTTGATATCGGGATAATCCACCTTTCCCACGTTCCTTCGGCACGAGCGCGTCCCCCGGTGCATCCGTTCATCCCTTCGATATGAGTCGTCTCGCCGACCCCTCGTCCCGAATTACTTTCGCCGGGGTTCCGGACGGCAGGACAAGAAACATTCCTGTGCTGTCGTCGTCCGGCCACCCAGGCGCGATGGACATCACCCCTCCTTCGCCTGCGGGCGCGCATGGCAGTCCCGACGACCGCGCCATGAACAATGGCGATGGCAATTCTCTCAATCCTCCAAACCCGGCCATCGGCGCTGCAGCTGCAGCTCAGCAACCGAAAGTTGTCCAGACTGCTTTCATCCACAAGCTGTACAAGTACGTTGTTGGCCTTGCGCTTGCTCCGGCGTCGCTAACCCTCCAAACAGCATGTTAGAAGACCCCAGCATCCAGCATCTCATCTCGTGGTCGAACACGAACGACAGCTTCGTCATGTCGCCAACATCAGAATTCTCGAAAGTGCTCGCGTGAGTGCTGTCCTTGTCGCTGGTTTCGCTGGCTTTTCGCTGACAGTCGCAGATCCTACTTCAAGCACACCAATATCTCCTCATTCGTTCGACAGCTGAATATGTACGGATTTCACAAGGGTAGGTCCTCTATACGCGAGCTTCGATTGCGCGATTACTGATCTTCCTATAGTGAGCGATGTATTCCACACCGGATCTCCTGACTCTGCGCTGTGGGAGTTTAAGCACGGCAATGGGAATTTCAAGAGAGGCGACCTAGCTGGTCTACGGGAGATCAAGCGCCGAGCATCGAGACACGCCCTGATCCATCGCGACTCGTTCCCCGGACACAAGGCGGCTGCTTCGCAACCTGGCACACCTGCCGAGCCCGCTCCAGATGCCACCGAAGCTAGATTCATGAACCTCGAGCACACCTTGTTCGACATGCATGCTCGTCTGTCCCGGGCGGAGGAGGGCAATATGGCGCTAAATTCGAGATGTCAGGCTATGACTGAAAGCCTGACAAAGTGCTATCATGTATGTTTGCTCGAATTTGCGCAGGTGGCGTGTTTGCTAATCTGATCATAGTGGACGCATTCTATTTCACGATTCCTTCAAGCTGTCGTGCCCGACAGGGAAAGTCCTCTGTATCGGGACGTCTCGAACATGCAAAGAGAAGTCGAGAAGCACCTTGAAACCGTTCGCGCCCTCGATACTCCCCACGAGGGCCTCATGCCTCCTCGGCAACCATACTTCGCCAACATGGCGGAAACCGGTCCACCATTGTCCCCGCGCCAAATGCCCCAGGACGACTCCCGTCGCCAGTCCATGATGGACCACAACGCTAGACCCAACAGCATGATCCGTCCACCCGTTCCCCCGCATCTCTCAGTATCCCCTCGCCGCTATGGCTCAATTGGCGGGCCTACCTCCGCATCAACATACGCTCGGCCACAACCCCCAGTCGCACCGCCGCAACAACCTCAACCCCATCCTCTCTCGGTCTCCACATCCCCAGGACCTAGCTTAGCTCGCCGCCATACCTCTGCGGATATACGACAACACGGCTGGCCACCCTCAGCAGGTGTCTCTCCCTATCCTCCTGGAAACCCTCCCAGTGGACCCTGGCCCCCATCACCACATGGAGGCAGTGACCAGCAGGTCCGTGATGTCCTCGCCCAATACGAAATGGGTGCACCACGCCGCCTTCAAGAACAGTCCCGCCATGCCACTCCACCGACAGCCGAACCATCCCCATCCATGCTTGGTGTTGACAACGGCTGGACGCTCGGAAACTCAAGATTCCCTCATGGGTCATCCCTGCCTGCAACACGCCGTTCCAGCATGGCAAGCAACGTCCACTCGCTGCTCAATCCTGCCGATACCGCTGAAACACCAGACGAGGATCAGCAGGCCATGGCCGACGACCGCAAGCGGAAACGATTGGAATAAAATCTACACTACTTTAAGGAAAATACCCACATCAAGCTTCTATATCCAAGATATCATTATTTAACCAGGTCTATATCCCCGGAGCAGACTTGCTCTTTTCACTTCTCTTCCAGTTCCCTTTTACTTTCCTCTCACTTCTCCACTTGAACTGCATATGTATCATTAACCAGAGTGAGGACTTCCTCCGTATCTCAGACTTATCTGGAGATATGAGATACGGAGAGTCCTCAAATTTTCGGTCTTTGGTTTTAATCGCACCTGTAGATGTCCCAGTTCCTTTTCTGTTTTCCTTTACTCGCCATGGATATTTAATCACTGGGGTCCAAGTCAAAGCTAGCACCTGGCCCTAAGGACGATGGATCCGCTCCTCCGTTCATACAACATATCACATATATCCTTGGGTTGGGCGGAGCAAACAAAAATAATCTGAATTTCTTGAGGTATGTGGAACGAAAGATTGGATTTATATTGTATTTAATATACGCAGATAGGTTATACCAATTGGATGATCTGGACGTGCTGCTTTGTTTGAATTTGGGTATCTTGTATGTCTATTTGTAGTGCAGATGAGATGCCGAGGGAAACGTTTCCTTGTCTACTGAGAGAAGATGGACCATGGAAGTGTCCTGGGGGGTGGTGGATGCCGTTGTTGCTTATAGCGGATGATTTGATATCAACGCTATTGTCCGATTCCGCGACTCTGTTCACCATCTCGACGCTTTTCAAAGATAAGAGAGGTGCGCGCGCAAGTGCGCTCACAGTTTTTTTCAATCCAATGCAGGCAATTCACCTCTTCTTTCTCTTCTTCGCACGCTCAGCTAGAAGTTCATCCAGATAACTGGTCGCCTTCTTTCTCCCCTTCGAGCGCGCAGGCGCAGGCGCAGATGCAGGCTCTAAAGGCACACTCTCCTCTTCAGCAGTCCGCGTTGTATCCTCAGCACCAGCATCGGCAGCAGGACTAGCAAAAACATCCTCAACAACAATCCCACCCTTCTTCTTCTTCCGCACAGGGCCAGCACCAGCCCCAGGACCTCTCATATTCTTCTTTTTGCCAATCATAGCGGATCGTCCATCTTCATCGTCATCCTCGTCATCTTCATCCGCGGCACCAGTAGCAGCACCGGTGTTGTTCCCTGCCACAGATCCAGCCGTGGTTGTCGAACCAGGAACAGCAGCCTTCTGCGCAGCCTTCGCCTTCATAACACGATCATAATTCTTGCCGAGGAGTTGTTTGCGCAGTTTATCATTCGAGTCCAGCTCGGTCCGGTTCCAGCTTCCGTCGGCTGCTTTTTGGGGGAGGGGGCTCCGACGCCGAGTCTATATCTTCTTTTTAGTAAACAGCGACGACAAGTGAATTTCAGTTTGAACTCACGTCTCCGGCACAGCAGTGAAGATCTCATCTTCCTCTCGTTGTAGTTCCTCATCCGTTTTCGTATTTGCTAGTTCATCGCTGGATTGTTGTGGGAGCCAAGAAGCTACGAGTCTTTGACTGCGGGATAAAGCGACATTTGCCCGGTTGAGAATCACGTCGGACTCGCTTTTTGAAAGCGACATTTTGGTTTCTTGGGGTCAAGGTTGAACTGGCGGTTTCAATATTGTTTAAGGTGATCTGCGGTGAATCTTTTTTTGCCGGCCTTGTCCGGGCGGTGAGGGTTATCTCTGATCTATAGACTTATGCTGGTGTCCATGAATGACATTTATGCATTTACGAGGTACTTCGGGTATCATTTAATGCTTGTGTGTCTCACTTAGTTATGCAAGTTTGAATTCGTCATAAATATGTATATCCGCTTAGCGCTTATGTCAATTTGATGCCAATGTCTTCTTTCCCCATGTTATGAACCACTATAGCCATGCCAGGATTTCGCAGTATTTGCACTAGACTCTGGGAGTCAGCTTTACCATGAGTGACGGCTTATCCCAGAGAAGGAAACAATCTTGCTCTAGCCAATTATGTCCTGGCTGTTCCAGCTCCATGTCGAAGTTGAAGATCATACGAGCGAGAATGATGCGCATTTCAACATATGCAAGGCTAGAGAGAAATGCAGAGTTAGCCAAAGAGGACAAGAAATTTGAGTTGTAAAGAAACCGCAGCTTACTTTCGTCCAATACAGTTTCTAGGACCGAAGCTGAACGGCTGCATAGCAAGTTTGCTGTCGTTTTCATAGCGAGCATCACCCAGGTGACGCTCTGGGATGAACTGCTCTGGATCAGTATAGTTGACAGGCGAATGGCTAGCAGCTAGATGAGAGACGGAGACGATGGTCTGTCGAATTGTCAGCTTTTCCATTGTATTTCATTCGGAAGATCGTTTGTACTTACGCCTCCTGGAACCCAATTCCCGGCAATCATGTCACCCTGAGCATCAACAATGCGTGGTAGTCCAGCCGCAACAGGAGGATATAATCTCAAAGCTTCAGTAAGCGTGGCAAGGCAGTACTCCAGCTTGTTGCAGTTCTCAAGAGTGACTTCTTCCTCAGTCGCAAACGCGGACCTGATTTCAGCCTGGAGCTTTGCAAGCACGCGAGGGTTCCTCAACAGTAGAAATGTCACCCCAGAAAGTAGAGTCGCGGTAGTCTCAGAGCCGGCAATGATCAGAGTGCTACCATTGGTGATCATCTCCGGGATACTGAAGCCCTTCTCGGTATTGTTGTGCTTCAGGATATTAGCGAAGAAATCAGGTCTCTCATTGGACTTTCCAAGTCGACTGTTGACTTTTTCCGTAGTCAATGCCAGATGAGAGCTTTTCTGAGACATGATATGCTTTGGAGTGATCCATGGAAGAATATACTTCCATCCAGGAAGACGCCGAGCGACGTTTGAATAAGAGCTCATTTTGATATTGCCAAATAGGATGGAAATCCACTGATGATAATTCGAATTCTTTAGACAGTCAAATGGCTCACCGAAAGCCAAATCTCCAATGATATCAAATGTCGTGAAGTTATACCAGGCAACGATATCAACGGTATTATTCCCACATTCAATATTCTCACGCAGACGCTGCATTAGAAGGTCAACATAGCCCTTGATGATAGGCTCTTGCTCACGCAACGAGCTGTCTGAGAATGCATGTGACAACAAGCGACGGAAGCGAGAGTGATCCGCATCGTTGGAGAGAATGATACTAGCAGCTCCATTGCCGGTCGGTGCGTAGAATCGGTGATCCTTCGGTTTCTGGCTGTGGCCAATACGAGTACCATAGATGGCCTTCCAAGCACCGCCATTGATGAAGGAAAGCTCATCGGGAGCGATACGGACTACCTCGCCGTATTTCTGATGCAATATCTTGATCTCCTGTGGGGAACGGCCATACATGATCATTCGCATATAGGGTAAACGAGTGGCTGCCATGAACTTTGGGCCCGGGTATTTGGACAAAGGATGAAAGTAGACATTGTATATGACGAGACCTATGGAGTAGATGGTGATCTAGTATGGGCATATTTGGTTAGTTGAGGTCCTGTCATGATGACTGCAGAGTAGACTGCACTTACCAGTGGCAAACTCAATCCGATCAAAAACAGAGTTAGATAGAATAAATCTCTTGGACTTGCAATGCCCGAAAAGCCAGGAAGAGCCATGATTAATGTTGAAGTTCAGAGTCCTGGTAGATACAATTCCCACTTCTTCAGTCCGGAATATTTATAACTGAACTCCAGTCATAATACTCGTGTGACTAGCAGCAAAGACATTAAGAATTATGCTTAAAGACCGTGCACTATGAAGATCCATGAAAATCCATGAAGACCCCGCACTCTGCAAGTTCTAACCCCCGTCATGACGGGCTTTGGACGACATGAAGACTAGTCTGGGCGTCAAACCGTTTAGCCCTAAACTGGCTATCTAGACAAATATCGGAGAAAGCGCCCCCAGAGGCTTCTAAGAAATATTAGCAGGCTGACAATAGACTTCTTTCATTTAACCTTAAATGAGCCGAACGCTTATAGCTGGTCATATCGGAGTAAGCTTCATTGAACAATAATCTTATGATTTCCAGATGCGGAGCGGCACGTAGCATAATTTGGGCATTATTTCTCATTGGACACACTAGTGTTCCAAGCTAATGTATGCGGTGCCACCAGACTCGTATACAACGTCTGATTATGCGGAGAATTTGGTTCTTCTGATAGGCTGGTGGGTTCTTCAATGGGAATCCGGTATCTCCTCGATTTATGAATTTGCATAATTTTTTGTGAGTCCTAAAGCGACATCCATTTAGCTCATGCTGGAAATGCTGGCTTGCTGTATGCTCTCAGACGATCTGCAAAGATACTATGTTTTCTTTTCATGTAATGCTCTTGCGCTAGGACAGCTGAACGGCCAAGAAAATGGCAAGAATTATTATGGTATAATACAAAATGGTGTATATGTGCTATTGTACATGTTCTTTATATGTCGTCCCTGTCCATGCTAGAATCCGCGCTGGAATACACTTCGGAATCCTCATTATCATTCCCCAACTCCTCATCTTCTAGGTCCTCAAGAAAGATACCCTCATCCTTCCACTCGGCGGGAAGTGTGTGACGAAGCTTATCAGCATCTGTCTCAATGATAGTCATCATTGATTGCACAAGCTGCTCGCGGAACTTGGAAAAAATGATTTGAGACTTGATGGACTGCGGTTTCCTGCGAGACATGGTCACATAGATAGTCTCAAGAGCCTATAACGAAAGTCAGCCGAAGTATTAAAATCAATGAGGTGATACTAACCTCATTGAAGACTTTGTGCAGCTGGATTATCTCTTCCAGAGTTTGACCAGTATCCATTTCAGTTCGTGGTTTCAATAATGCCCAGTCGTTCACAATGAGTTCGTCCTTGGCTGTTTGTTCTAACCGAGCTCCAAAGAGGGCTGTCGTCAACGGGCGGACGTTGAAACGTTCTTTCATGACTGAAGGCGTGGCTGGCACAGACCATAGGTAGTTGTAGATGGTCATAATTTGTTTCTTCTTGAGGGCTTCTGCGTGTGTTCTGGAAAGTCGGAGTTTGATAATTGGTTTGTGTTTGGACCTGAATGTTGACTGGCCGAAGCTTTTCACAGCCAAATTAGGTGAGAGACAGTGCGTCAACAATGCTTTTAAGAGAGAAAGACTGCCCGAATTGGTGTTCATCGAGTCGCTGCCAAGTCTTCCGTTCGCAGTCTTCTCTTTCAGGTTCTTCTCTGAGGTAATTCGAATAAAGCACAGCGCCTGTATGATTCGCTCGGTATCTCGTAAGGCACTTTTGAAATGCCCATAGTTGATGAATCGGTCGTAGGCGAAGCGAGCAGCTGCCCGAGGACCTTTCTTATGCTCCACCTCTCGAACGGCTCGGAATGCTTCAAGGTATTCATAGCGAGGATTGTCTGTTCCATCGCCAAAAGCCTGGCGCGATTTTCTTACCTTGAGCTGCAACGCAGGGTCGGTAACTCGCACAAAGAAATCCATATTTTTTTTAAGCGCTGCAAAGATCACCATGGGGTCCAAACAATTAAAGATCACGCCCAAAACAGCCATCTTGGCATAAGCCGGGTGTATATTGAGGTCATCTAGAATGTGACCAAGATCGGTGAGCTCTTCATTTTCGTCCAACGCTTTCAAATCCTTCAAGGCAGCTACTGCAGCATCAACCTCTGATTTCTCTGGTGGTTCAAGCAGTCCATCCAGTAGCTCTGAGATGGTCCCTGGGATTCCAGGAGTCGATCGTTTGACCTGCAAACATAACTGCTGTATATCCATCCGTCTGATCTCTGTTGCTCTAGATGTTGGAAGGGAATCAAACCGTTTTTGAAGTCCAAGGAAATAATAATCTCCAACCTGAACTCTTCCTGCACGCCCTGCCCGTTGTAATGCAGCGTTCTGACTGACCCAGCAAGGTGCTAATGATTCAGTTGCCGTGAGACCGGTGAACCCAGTCTGGTTTACCTTGCCAGAATCGACAACATATCGCACGTCTGGTATGGTGAGAGATGCCTCAGCTATTTCAGTTGCAATGATGACTCTTCGACAACCGCGAGGCATGTCGCGACGCAGCTCGAGCTGTTCCTCTGGCAACTGTGCATGAAGCTTGACTATTCTGAGCCGATGTTTGTCGTCGAAGTCCAATCCCAGGTTACGGCCAAACTTTGTGATGTGTTTCTCCACGTCGAAAATATGTTGCATACCGGGAACAAAGACAAGAACAGAGCCCGTCTGAGTCGATGACAGTACTGAGAGAACAGCCGCAGATATTGACCCAGAAGGTACTGTTCGGCCGTCAAGGGACGATACGGGCGGTAGAACACGTTCCTCCGTTGCGTCTTCTCCTGGATCCCCGAAGGCTTTGAAATGGTCCTTCAGAAATAATTTTGTATCAGCGACCTGGATGAGGCCAGATAAAGCCTCCGGCGTCAGATAATGAGTGATGTCTTCAAGCACATGTTCAAGATAGTGCTTCTTCACCTCGAAGGTGCGCCCAGGGATTGTGACATGAGGAGCAGGCACAAGTGTCCCATCCGGTGCCTTGTTGGAAAAGTAGGAGGAGAAGAGATTGACATCGACCGTCGCGCTCATGACAGTGACTTTCGGCACTCGAGCTCCAGTACTTTTGAGTTCTTCAATGCGGGTTTTGATGAGCATCAGTACTAGATCCAGTGCCGCGTCACGGACGTGGACTTCGTCAAGGATAATATGGCTGTACATTCCTAGGAAACCAAGCCCATCTCTTAATATCTTTAGCAAAATCCCCGAGGTACAAAAGGTGATATTTCCCCCCGGAGATGGGCGTACGTAGTCGTCTCGCAGAATGTAACCAACACTTTCACCAACTTGCTCGAGTCTTTCTGCTGCAACTCGACTTGCCAAGCTTTTCGCCGCGATTCGCCGTGGCTGAACACACAATACTTGACAATCAGCACCAACAGAGTTGTCTATCGCGGTATCAAGAAGGAGCTGAGGAATCTGCGTCGATTTTCCAGATCCAGTCTCTGCAACAACAATGCTATAGGCATTTTTTTCAATGAGGTCAACCACGGACTGCGCGTAAGGTTGTGAGCTCACAGGTAACCTCTTCCTGTCCCTTGTCATGCGCAGGAACTGCGGATCGTTGGAGTCTCGCGCCATTTTCCTGGAAAAACGCAGTCGATTCTCGGACTGTGCTCGCAATTCATTGGTGAGAGGCGGGCGACGAATTTTGGTTGGCAGGGAGGTGGTCCTAATGGGTCTCCGTTGGTGGAAAGGTACCTCTTGAGCTACCTTGAGATGAGCCGACTCTAACGCTTCCCTTGCATCGCTAAGTGCAAAGTACAGGTCACCTCGGATGTCAGGTCCGGTTATACGTCTTGAATTGCTGGGCTCGTTCTCTTCTGCGGGCTTTTCCTGCTTTGCTGCGGGTAGCTTTGCTTTGAGTAGTAGCTCTTGCCAAACACCTGCTTCTTTCAAAGAGTGCACTATGTGGTGCCTTGCCCGTCTTGATGCCACGGTCTGTTTCTCGAAGTTAGACATAAACATCCGAGATCAATGGAGCAAGATTAGCAAGTCTTACGTACCTTATGCTTAGAATAACTCTCAACCCGAAATGTTTTGCTGGGCAAAAAAACATCAGTGGTACATCTGTGGTATCCTATACGGTCCTGGGTCCAAACAAGATCCCCACCATTCAGCCATTTTCTTTGTACAAAGATGTTCAACATTTGACTGTCATCGAGGCCCATTGGGATTCTATCCCGTGCCAGAGAATTGTTTCCTTCGTTTGACTTGTTCTCGCTTTTTGCGAGTGGAATTGTAAAATATCCATTGTCTGAGGGTTCTTCGACCGCAACTGCGGCGGCTTGCGATCTTGATCGATTTGTCCCAGAAAGATCGCGTGCGACAAGAAGATTCGTACGCGAGCGAGTATCGAGAGTTTTCCGGGATAGTTCAAGCGCAGACCGATTCCCAGTGACGAGTGATTCCAGCGAGGCCCAAGATAGAGTGGAAGTTTGGGAGACCGTTTGTATTTGTCGTGCTGAGAATCGCTCAAGTCTCAAATGACTTGATCCCAGACAGGCAGTACCAGTATAACCCCCCTTTCGAACAGACTTGCGCGCTTGATTTACATTGCGAATATAGAGGCTGCCACCCGGTGCAATGCTCATGGTGTATGATCGAGATTTCACGGCCAGGTACGGAGGTAAACGCGCATTGCGTAGAGGAAACGGTTGGCTTCGGGGCCTCGAAAAGTGCGGGCGAAATCAGAAAAGACCGAATGAATTAGTGCGATACCACAGACAAACAACGATGCCTTTGCCTGGGTTGAAAAGGGAGTTGGCAAAGTGACAGATTAAACAAAAAAAAGATACTTCCGCGCCGCAGATTTCGGTCTTGGCACTCTGCAGGGTTCGGCATCAACAATTAGAAGTGCCAAACTCCAAGGATCATAATCGGGCTTAGGATTTCAGAATCAAAAGGTTTGCAAACATAATGTATTTATTGGGAACAGCAATATATTCGTAGCATCATATGTAGGTCCTATGTACAAGTCTATCTATATACCATCTATAGCTCTTCCGCCACAGATATTATTTGCTCCAATCTAGTATAGCACAGTATAACACAGGGTATAAATCTCAACAAGCAAAAGGAATATAAGCAGCTCATGGCGTTGCCTCCTTCTGGTGCTTCACCCGCAACCTTTTCTCTGTTTTCATGAACTCGCGGATGCCAACCGGGATGTTGGAAAACAGATCGTCGTCTTGCTTCGGCATAGACCAATTCGTTTCACTGCCGCCACCATCATCGTCCATACTTCCACTGGCCGAACGAACTTCAGCTCTGGGCGCCGCACGCATGTCTTCTGTCCCCTTCTCAGGACCACCCTTGGCCTGGGCCTTTGCGACCCTAGAGGCCCAATCTTCCATTTCATCTCGGAAATCATCCCAGACACAGTGTACACAGCCACTCATGCAGCAATTGTCTGGTTCCTCGGGCTGAGGAGGAATAGGGACTCCATTGACCGTTTTCCAAGTCGACTCCGGGGGTGCTTCACCGGGATTGTAGCGCGAAGATCGGCCTGGGCCCGCAAGGCGTGTACCAAAGACAATCGCCATCTTTTCTTGAGGGGTTTGCGGTTCAACAGTCGTTGCAGGCGTCGGTTTTTTTTCGGGCCGAACCGGGGTCGGAGTCGGTCGCGATGTCTTCGCACGACCACCGTATGGCGAGGGCGATTTCAGGATTAAAGAGTAGTATCCTGTCAGTGGATGGGCCTGAGGAGGACCGGCAGTTTCCTCTACGGAGACTGGAGTATTTTGTGCATCAAACTTGTCATTGGACTGGTGGGATTTCATGCGCCGGGGTGTCGGAAGCAGGACATATTGTGTGTATGAGGTAAAGGAAGGACGCGATGCAAGAGAAAAAAAAGGAGACTGAGAGCTGGATCTCTTCAACGAGCGTCGAAGGCCTGTCGAAAGACACTCCATGGTGAGTTGGAGAAGGTCAAGACCTCGGAAGTGCAAATGTAGAGGGGAGATTAAGTCATAGTGTTTGCAATCAATGCAAACACAGTTGTTTATCTTCATCTGCGCGCTGCAGATGAGACCGAACACCCCACGCGAAAATGGATTCCCCCGCCAAACGACGAAAAACTAGCGAATCTACAGGGGCTGCTGTACCTCCAAACCTAGGTCCAAATGTATCATGGCCATCACGCCGACCCTCCTTCCAATCCCCCACAAGGGCCAGTCTTGCGCGATCGCATCCAGATGTGTTAGAGCGTGCGCTTAGCAGATCTCCCATCCGAAGGGCTTCAAGCAAAGGACCTGAACAGACGGACTCTCGAACATTTGGACTGCGGGATCGCAAAGCCCTTCGACCTTCGTTGAATGCTTCCGCAAGCCCTCTCACTAGGCCCCGAGCATCCGATGCGCCAGAAGGATCCCCCAACAGGCGCCCAAGTGGCATACAGGCGTTCTCAAAGCCACCTCGCCGAAGTTTGAAGAATATTATTCCTGGAGATTTCATGTTCGGGTCTCCAATTCCACGGTCGAAGGTCCCCGACTCAAACACACCCGAAGGCCAATTGGCAATGGAGTTAGACGACGCTACACAAGAAGCAGATACGGACATGGGCGATCATGGCCCAATGATGGGCGAGGATATGCTTGAACCTGACCTTCCTCCCACCCCAACTCAACTCGGGCTGGAAAAGGCTCCAGATCGGCCTAGAGGGATGATGAGCAGCAGCCCCAGCTTGCGACAGGAGAAACGGATGAGACGACGAGATACAATGCCGTTGGATGAAAGCCCTTTGAAAGCAGTCAAGTATCGATCCATCACTCCTACAGAGTCAGAAACAAGTTTCCATCCGGAACTGTCTGTAGCTGCGCAAGAAAAATACAAGTCGCGCAAGACAAGTGCTGCAGAATTGCAACGACTTAAAGACGAGGTTGACGAACTGGAAAGATGGGCAAGAAAAATTGAGTCCGAAGATAACCTGAAAGGCGACAGAGGACTAGATAGACTCCTGTAAGTTGACATGATGGCAATGTCATAAAAACTGCTAACTCTCTTCAGGTCATTGCTCACATCAGAAGAGGCGAACCTCGAGAGCCTACCGGTTCCTCGCATAGCCCCAAAGCCAATATCTTCTATTCTCGCCACTCTACTTCCATTCTCCTCGAATATACCTCAACCTAAACAACAGACATCACTGCCAACAAATCCATTCGCTCTACAAGAATCCTCAAAGGCACTACCATACCTAACAGTATTTGCACCACTGAGTCTCAAATCCCGCACAAATCGATCCTCACGTAGAGAAGAGCCATCAGAAACACACACTCTGACCTTCTCCGCCCCGTCTCCATTCCCGTCGAATATCTACAATGCGACGGTAGTCTACGAGACGAACCCAGAGACCCAAACTGTGGTGTCCGTGTCCGTTCCAACTAGCAGTGACAGCAAGAAAAGGAAAACGCCCGAGGCTCTCCGCCAATGGATTGATACACGCCTAGACAATCCCCTTTTAAAGTTGGACGTGTCCACCCTCTGCTGGGGCATCAACCGATACTGGGAGTGCTCAGTTACGCGAGCTCGGCTGTGGGCACACATCGATCACAAATACAGCAACCAGGGTCTGCGTGGTAACAAAGACCCGTTGCCGGAAAATGAGAACGGAGTTCTCAACATGTCAGAGCTACGCCGACTAGTTCCTCATCTAAACCGGAGTACAATGGCCATCAAACCCAAGTCAGCAGGCTCGGGTCCTCGTGTGCTATTGTCCATTACCTTAAGTCTGGATGATTGGACTGGAGAGCCACAACTTCGACCTGAGATTAGTGTCTCATTGGCGGGTGCAGATCGAAAGATCGACCAAGAGATCAAGAAGTTGTTCCATGCGTTGCTTCGTGGGAGTGGTGATCTGGCCACGAGTGGCGTGGATTCTGTATTGAGAGCCTCTGAAGGTGCTCTCGGTGCGTTGTTTGGGGGTCTTTGATATCCCGTTGAATTTTTAGCGTAGTTATTTGAAGATACCCCAGCATAGTTCAGAGTTTAATGTAATCCACTTGTGAATGTTTGCCGATGACAAATTTTGTGAATTCATAGAAGTATGTACATGTACTTTTGGAATAATGGCAAATGCGAAGGCATCCTCAAATCCATGTCTGACTGCTCTCACTCGCCCTCCACAGAACTACGAAACTAAAACGGCAGCATATGCTAGATGCCTATGCCCATAAAAGCCACACAGCGTCATAACTATGGTTTACACAGCGAAGCAGATGTACAATACGTACAAGGCAAATTGAAGAAAATTGGGGCGGTTTTGAATTTCGAGAGATCTTCCGAGTTCTTTTAGAGACAAAAAGGAGTAAAAAGTGAGGGAGGGAGAGAGGGAATCAAGGAAGAGGCGCCACGCCATGCCACAGGTACACTAATCCCCGATTCGAAAACCGACCCGATCATCATCATCAGCACGAGCAGGGAATTAACACATTTATTTCTTGGCGGCAGCCTCGTCATCAGCCTTGGCCTTAGCACGCTTCTCGCGCATGCCGCGGTAGCGGGCCTCGGCGCGGGCCTCACGGAGACGGCGGTAGGCAGCCTCCTCACCCTTGGGGAGGGAGTCACGCTTAACCTCGGTGATGGCCTCGGCGGGGGAGGGGTTGGTGATGGGGAAGGTGGCCTCGACGCGGGTGGCGATGCCCTCACGCTCGCCCTTGGCGACGGTCTCCTTGACGGCCTTGACCTCCTCGGCGGAGGAGTCGAGCTTCTTGAACTGACCGCTCTTACGGGGGAAGAGGATCAGGCGGGCCTTGTAGTCAGCAAGGCGGGCGACGTTGGCAGTCAGGGACTCCTTGGAGTAGTTGGTACGGCGGTGGTCGACGGAGATACCAACGGTGCGGGCAAGCTTCTTGGGAATGCCAGCCTCCTGTATGTCGAAAGAAAGCACTGGTTAGCATGGACTGTTTCTCATTTGATCCGTGACGCTTGTCGAAGTGGCGGATTTCCAATATACCTTGAGCTCAGCGAGGGTGAAACCACGACCGGCACGGACACGGCGGTTGTACTTGACGGTGGGGCATCGGACAACGGGACGCAGCTTGTCAACCGGACGGGGAGCAACAGCAGCCGCCTTAGCGATGCGGGCCTCACGTCTACGGTGCTTCCGGCCGGGCTATAATCCAAGTTAGTCAACCAAGTTCATTCCTGCGCTGAAAATTTTTTCCTCGATGCGAGACGGTTTGCGATATCGTTCGGGAGAAAAATCTTCTTGTCGGGAGGTTGGGTAGTCGTACCTGGTCGAAGTGCACACGGACACGACGCTGCCAGTCCTTGTGGAAGTCTAATCAAATTGTTAATCACACCATTCCTTCAATTCCAAATCCATGTCGGTCGTTTCAAAGCGATCACACAGATAGACACAAGGCGGGATCACTCACGGTTCTTCTGGATTTGGTTGTTGTGCTTGATCGCCTATATATCCCACACACAATCGGTCAGTCAACATTCTTTCGAGATTCGAGCCCGGATTTCGATTCGCGGATTCCAATTAATCGCACAGGTCGATTCCTTCATTGTATCTTCCAAGCAGAGGAGGGTAACGCACCATGTTGACGGATGGGGATCGAGCCGGGTGGTGGTCGTCGAGGGTTGCTGGTCGAATCTCCCTTCACGGCAGAAAATGAAGTTCCCATTTTTCGTGTGGCCGCCCGCTGACTGGCTCACCGCCTCGCTTAGCGAGCCCTAACCTTACCCGATTTGGTAATCTGCCAGAGTTACCGACTTGGGATTTTAATTGGTGATTTTTTTATTTTGATATGTTCAAACTGTCAAGAAGAACATGAGATTAGAATGAAATTTTGGATTTCGATTTAATTCTACGGAAAAATTTCTAGTTCATTTCAATCTTTATAATTCGTCAATTGGCCCGAAAGACCCTAGTCCTATCGTACATGGTCATACCATTCCATTTCATTCGCCATTTATAGATGCAAGAGCCATATGGCCTCTGCAACGTCTTCATTCCATTCCACGCCTACGAAGGCCAGGTACAGAGTAGACAGGCACCAATAACCCCAAAGCACATCCAACTTAATAACGCCAGTTGAGGACCATGGATTTGTCACATGGCCTCTCAACATAAAAACAAATCCCAGTCGCTAGGTTAACAACACCGTATACGGCATGTCATCATGAATCGTGAGTCTTTCCCAAAGTCGTAACAAGCAAAACAGCGCTAGGTCATGAATCATATCAAAATCGGCAACACGACTTGTCGTGCAGCCACAGGATATAGACTTAGGCGTTGATGCCCAAGCCAACACCGTCACCGGCCCTGGACTTCTTAGAAGTAGTCCCAGTCATCTCGGAGCCTGCCTTGCGCTTTCCAGCGCGAGATCGCTCCACATTAGGCTTCTTCACTTGACCAAACAGCTTGGTCTGAAGCAAGGTGCTGCTCTTGGGAACAGCGGAGCGCATGTGAAGCTGTGGAGCGTCAAGTCCGTCTTCCGCGGCTTCAGAGGCAGAGAGGGAGACAGTGCTGTCGCTGTCATAATGATCGTCTCTTGGAGGTCCTCTGGGCGATAGGTATTGGCTCTTGGGGTGGTTCGGGGTGACAGGAACGGAGGTGACAGAGTGACCGCCGTAAGCATGTGTTTGGTTGGTGATTTTGTCGGCATAGAGAAGAGCAGCAAGGCCATCGGTGTGTTCGCCGTGGCAAATGCCGTGGAGCTCATTCTGCATGCCTGGTGACATGCTGCCATAGTTGAAGATCTGAGAGAAGTGCTTGCGGTTATCCCCGATGCGTCTCTTCAGCATATTGTTCTGATCCCTGAGCTCCAAGGACTCGGCTGTGACATCTTCAATCGCACGCTTCGCCTTCCGAAGCCTGCTGCCCAGAACAGTGTTGAGCTTCTCTAGTTCCTGCGACCGCTGCAGAGCGGCGAGGTAGTCAGTATTCACCATAGACTGGGAGGGTCTGGGTGTGGCAAGCTCCGCAGGGTGCGAGCGACCGCGGTATTCGGCGCTCTGCAGGATTTCAACTTCGCGCTTGGCGAGTTGGTGCTCAACTTCGGCGCGCTTGACCGCTTCGTTACTTGCAAATGATACTAGGCTGTTCTGCAACTTGAAGTGTAGAGCAGACATGCGCGATTCCTGGGCGATAGCTAGAAGATCCTTGGCAATGATACGCAATTGAGCTTCGCCGGCACGATCAATTTCCTCTGCTGTAGGCAGGTTCTCGGAAGCACCATAGGCATCGCACAAAGACTTGTCCAGGCCGGCCGGCGTGACTAACGAAGGACTCAAAGAGCGAGAGTGTGAGCGAGATCGAAGCGGGGCACCCGGAATCTGAGTCGAGGGTGGAGGAGTCATGTCTGATGACGACAAAGGCGGGGGCGACAGGAACTTCTTATCTGACTGAGATGATGGACGCTTGGCCATGCCGGTGAGATCTGGCGAAGGTGACAAAGTGGCCCGACGGACTGGGGTTGAAGGCACGATCTCGACCGGTGCATCCAGAGTACTTTGTGAGTTGGGTTGAGACATGATGAATGTGGAGTGATGTTGATATATCGATAAGATCAGGTTTAAGCGGGGAATGGATCCTCACGCTGTTATCCTTATCAGCATCTATCAACGAAGCATAATCCAAGAGCCAATACATACCAGAGACTTGGTAGTCAAGCCTCAATAGTGTCAATCACACAGATGCTCAGACCAGCTACGTTGCCTGAGGAACCAAAATTCGAAACTACCGAGATCGGGAGTGTAAGGGGCCACAAGAATGAGTATTGAAGAACAATGACAAGGAGGTGAACGAAGGGAGAATCCTAGAATAAGGGAGCTTAAGAGGAAGAGAGGTTACTCCAGCTCGCAGTATTGAGGGGGGCTGGGAGGCTGGGAACGGGGAGTCTGAAGGTGCCCGCTTTGGGTTAGCCCCTGTCCCAGCCCGGCCAATTATCTAAGAATATTAACCAATCAGAGCCCTGGATCTGGAATTACCAAACTTATTTGGGCTAGACTGGCGATCACGGGACGCTCAGGGCAAGTAAACACCCGCAACCGGCCAAGCGCTGGGGGGTTGGGTAGGCAACCGATGTGATATCATCTATATCCTACACGAATTATAAGCTTATATCTGTTTCTTATCTATTTTCTTTGGGAGATATTTTTTTGCTGCTTTTCAGGCTTTATAATTCCATCCAAACGTATCAGATTTCTACTCTTTCGAAGACCTTGGACAACATTCTGTACAAAGCATTGATGATCAGCAGTTTTGGCAATAAGATCAAATCGTTAGTAAATCATCTCTCTAGCAAGTCAATCATACTGCCAAAACTGGGATATATCATAGGTTCCATGCAGTTGAAGACTCTCTCTCATCGCTATTTATCATGTTATAATGCATTCATTAAGCGACAACGCCTAGTACATATAGTACTATATTTTTATACGGGCCATTCAAGGGCCACTCAAAGTTTGGATACTATTTCAGCCATATCTTTGACAAAAGAAGCTAGTCTAAACAGACTTGGCTGCATAGATACAAATCCTTTATAGGGTGACGACACGCTCTGAAATCTGTGGACATCAACATCTTAAGAACCATTCCACCGTGAGGGATCCCTTCGCTAACACTTTTGCTAGCCTAAAAGACGGTTTCCAAACTCTTCAACCTCTATAAGATGTACAGTACAATTCTTTTCAAGAAATCGTTTCCGGTATAACAGCCCTAGCGGCTAAAGCTTTTATGCAAAGTTGTATGTTACTGAAAAAATCGACCTCAAAGCTCAAAGCCAGCAACTTGTTCCATTTCAATGTCATTCAGTATGGGAGACTGTCTTATAATATGGAAAACATAGTGGATCAAGACTTCAAGTGCCGGTTTCGAACAGTAAGTTTATGTGGAATTTTATACACTTAAAATAATTATTCATGTGAGAATCTAGCTTCCTATCGAGAACATATCTCGAAGAGGAGAATAATTACGTATTCAAGGCAAGAACGTAGGAAGTGCAGGGAAACTTTCGCGAGGGGACATATCCGATCAAGAGTTGCTGCCCCTGCTTCTGGTTTTCAACCTCATCAGGTGCTGCTCGTGGCCAAGAATTGACCTGATCATCGTTTCACTATCCGTAAATGCCCGTTCACACAAAAGAAAAGAATATTCTCAGTCGGTGTAAACTCACTAAGCAATGATGCTTTGTTCGAGATCTAAATTCTATTGAGTTTCGCAATCTCCGACTTTTCTTCATCATTTCAAGTGATTTATATGTAGAGTCAGGTTGAGGTAACTTGAGATCAGGCTTGTATGGAAACCACGACGTAGAAAGATTGAACAGATTATGTACGATTCATGGTAGAAGGAAACAAAGACGCTTAGTACGCAAGTCGAGATTATGTTTAATCACACAGACAAAAAAACATATGATCGAGAGATAAAGTATATATCAAGCCCTCAAAGTACGAAGCGGACTACAATTAGTGAGATTTCAATATCTCATATGAAAGCATGCCGAATGGTAGGACATATATGACCATGCGTTATATAAAGAGTTTGACACGCGAAATGTGATATGTAGTAGGGATCGGAAATATTTGGACACATGGTACAGTACTGCTAGGTCCTTTTTTTGAGGAAATAAGTATCAGTAAAAGGTGAAGGTACAGATCAAAGACCAGAGCCAAATAAAGAAAAGCTGCAAATATATGCTCTTATTTGTGGAACTGGTGAAGGGACCAAACGCTCCAGCCCATTCTATATAGATCGCTGACAGATCGGAAAATGGTGCCTGAGGCTGCTATCGCGGGATCGTGAAATGTAAACAATCCACTTCCACATTTCTGAGATCTCCATTCTTTGTGTCAAGACAAGCGCAAATTTGCCGATTCGCTTGGTTTCAGCTCTCACGTTCTTTGTCCCGTTCGGACATGAGCGGATCTCGTCTACTTGCGGCTTTCTCCCTGACCAAAAACCCAACAATACGTCGGTCGAGATGGAAGGACAACACAAGACAACAGCTCCCCCTCCCAGTGGTATACCACGGCCAGCAAGCGGAATTCCTCGATTGACTTCAAGGCTGCCACTACCCTCGGCCACTGCCTCCAAATCCATCAAGCCTTCCCCCTCCCGAGATAGACTACGAGCCGACCCCGGTTTAGACGAAAGACGGCTACGAAGACCTTCATATGACACACTTGTGAAGAAACAGGCCACACGCTATTCATCCCCGCCCAAAGCTCGAACAGAAACGATTCCAGCTCCACAAATACAAGATGAAACGCAAGGCGGGGCAGATGAGATTCAAACTCCGGAGGAAATGACCCCGATCACCGGCGATGATGATACTGCATCAATCGCATCAACACAGGAAGACCGTGGTCGGCGTGAAGTACGTCCATCTCTGTCTGAGCGGACACTTGAGACGCTATCACAAATCCCACCTTCCCCGGCATCAGTAAGAAGACAGTCCAGCTTTTTCAATGGCGCCAGCCCAATACGCTCGCCATCTCGGGCTCCGTCCAATGTGTCCAGCTACTCAAGATCGCCATCTCGAGCTTCATCAGGTGCGCCAAGCACCAGCGAGCTGTATACCCAGCCTGTTTCACAACTACGACTTCCCTCGAAGCCTCGCATGTCTATTGCTTCTCTGTCCCCAGCGCATGGCTCGGAAGAAGTTAAAAGCCCATCAAGGCTGAAGGCGCCATCGAGTAGACAAAACCTCGCACCTGGAGATGAGGCCAATTCCGATGTAAAGTCACCACTTAAAAAGAAGTTATCCCAAAGATCCATTGGGAACAAGGATACTACAAAGCCCTCACTCGTCCGGCCTTCACCCAGCAAGATTACCACAAAGCTTACTCAAACCAATATGGGCCCTTCACAAAAACCACTTCAAGTGAGGAAAACACGAAAACCCCACTCAGAGCAACCGGCTTCTATGCGATCTCCCTCCACGGGGTCAAGATATGTGTCTGCTGCCTCCAACGTTCAGGATGAGCTATCCCCTGAGCAGCAAGCAGAATCTGAAGCGAGAAAAGCCTCGAAATCGTCAAGTACGTTGCGTGAAACCATTGCAAAGGCGAAGGCTGCACGTAAAGCAATGGCAGCTGGAGAAAAGAAGGAAGAACTACAAGCAGAGAAATCACAGGCTCCTCCACTTGCCGATTCATGGGGAGGTGCTGATGATGAGGACCCGTTCAATCAGCTGCCCAAGGGCGACAACCGATTGGCCATAACAAAACGAGTTCAGACAGGACGCTCTACCGGCCAACTGAACATCGCGGCAATGTCTTTGACAGAAATTCCAAGGGAAGTGCTGACAATGTACGACTACGATCCAGAAAGCGCCGCAAACTGGTTCGAAAATGTTGATCTCGTCAAATTCATCGCTGCGGACAATGAACTAGAACATATTTCAGATGATGTCTTCCCAGACATCAACCCTGAAGACTTCGACCCAGACAGTGACGACCGGGGACTTCAATTCGGTGGACTTGAGACATTGGATCTTCATGGCAATATACTAAAGTCACTTCCGATGGGTCTCCGCCGCATGAAAAATCTACGCACTCTCAACCTATCGAACAACATGTTGGACATGGATAATATTCAGATTCTCACCGAGTTACCGTCTCTGACAGATTTAAAATTGGCAAATAACAAGCTCGAGGGACAATTGGCGACAGTCTTTGGTGGTCTTCACCAATTGGATTCTTTAGACCTCCGCGGAAACAATCTCACCAACCTCTCCGAGGCACTGGTTGGGCTAAGTTCATTGAGGACATTGGATGTCAGCGAGAATAAGTTGACCTCTTTGCCATTTGAGTTGCTAAGTAAACTTCCCCTGAAGACCATCAATGCGCAAAAGAACAAGTTGGAAGGTACCCTGGTCCCAGCCTCAGTGGACCGTTTCGAGACCTTGCAGTCCCTGAACATTGCCAACAATGTTGTCGTGGTCTTCGCGGCGAGTGACACGCTTGATCTGCCTAATTTACATACTCTGTTGATTGGTGTCAACCGCATCACGCATCTCCCCTGCATATCTACATGGCAGTCGCTGTTAACGCTCTCTGCGGAGGAGAACAAAATTTCAGAGCTTCCACAAGGATTTGCGGAGCTCAAAAATATCAAGAAGGCTGACTTCACTGGAAATGATCTCTCGCGTTTGGATGAGAAGATGGGTTACATGGACAGCCTCACATCCTTCCGCGTCGCCAACAATCCCTTCCGTGAGCGGAGATTCCTTACCATGGACACTGAAGACATCAAACGTGACATGCGAAGCCGCTGTGAGCCCGACCCTCAGGACACAGACGACGAAGGCTCAGTAGCCACTCAGTTCACTCTGGCGCCGGAAATCCCTGCACTGGATGTTAATTGGCAGCTCAAGTCCGGCGGTACTCTTGACCGGTCTTATTCCGAGATGACAGACCTCAAGGTGGATCAGCTAGAGATGCTTCCTTCCCAGGATATTCGCTGCCTCTACTTGCAACACAACGAGATACCCTGCTTCCCAACACCGGCACTTGCAATGCTTGCTGAGGGTATCGTTGAGCTTGATCTCTCGAACAATCCCTTCGGGACCGACTTTTTGTCTTCTCCGCTTGAGCTGCCTAAGCTGCAGTCTTTGAACTTGAATGCGACCAGATTGACGTCGCTGGAACTTTTGTTGGCCAACCTGATCGCTCCATCTCTGACGTTCTTGGACATTTCTCATAATCGTCTGAAGGGACCTTTGCCTCAAATCCGACAGACTTACCCCGAGCTAAAGACTTTCATTGCCTCTGATAACCAGTTCGATTCCTTAACTTTTGAGGCGGTGCAAGGGCTGCAGGTTTTGGATGTTAGCAACAACGACATTGATTCGCTTCCTCCAAAGATCGGCCTGCTGGGTGCTGAGCGCTCTCCTAAGAACTGGGGTAAGGGATCCGCCTTACGACGCTTCGAGGTAGCCGGCAACAAGTTCCGAGTGCCTAGGTGGCAGGTGGTGGCCAAGGGCACAGATTCAGTCTTGGAATTTTTGCGAGACCGCGTTCCACTGAGTGAGCTCCCCGAATGGGAAAAAGACGAAGCCAACGAAGAGGAGCTCTAGGAAACAAGGACCGCTCAAGCCATTACTTCGATTGGCGTGTATAATGAAGATTCATCATTTTGTTCTATGTACATATACATAATCTCTGTTTATGCTTTTCTCGGGCATTTGTTCATCTCATCATCGGATTCTGCACATATTCGTGACAGGAGTCTCATTCAGTTCTCATCAATTGGCTTGCTAATTTCATCAATAACCTTAAGCCATGTCTTTGACCAAGTGGTGAACTTGTCTGCTGGTGCATCATCAGAACCAGAGGCAACCCAAGGTGACATAACCAAGTCCACTGCTTTCGTAGCACACTTCCTCGTTTTTTGCAGGTACTGACCGGACTTATTGAAATCGGCCTCGTATAACGCACCAGCCGCCTCATCGACGTGGTCGGGAATAGCTTGTAGGTTCAACATTAATGACTCCAAATTCTTGACGCCAGACGGCGCGGAAAGAGGCGCATTTCCGACGTTCTTGAGACGGTTGTTGATGATAGCAGGGTAGACCTGGGCAACAGGCTTGAGGAACCGGATAGTAGACTTCTTGTGCTCCTGCAGGGCGGCTGTTTCTTCGTAATCGTCATCGCCATCATCGGAGTCCTCGTCGTCTATGTCCTCCTTCCCATCATCGCCTAAAAGCTCATCGAAAAACTCATCTCCATCTTCCTCGGGGTCCCAGTCTTCGATTTCTTCAACGGCATCGCGAACAAGATCCCTCCATTGCTCGACGCGGCGCATGACGAATCCAACCACGCCCTTGTTCGCGACATCAGTTACGGTATCGCATGCATCCCAGACGCGACCTGTAGCAAGGGTAACGACGTCCTTCTCAGCCTTGCTCAGATCGTTCTCTTTCCCATTATCCTTCTTCTGCTGATCCTTCTTCTGTCCAACGCGCTTGACCTCTGACACAAGGTTAAGCAGTTCAGTCAGAGTGGTCTTAACCAGAACAACAACTTCCGAGTTGAACGCCTTGGTGTGTTGCGCTGGTGTAACAAGGAGGGCAGCGGTAACGATGGACGGCAGGACGGACTCATTGAGATCACGGAGCACAGTGCAGATAGCTGAATGTGTGAATGGAGAGGTAATAGTAAGCAAAGAAAGCCTTGTGACTTGAGCTTTGAGCGCGCTCGACGAGGCCGTTAGGAGGGGCAGGGCTTCGACATCTTGCGTGGCGGCTTCGGTTGCTGCGGCGGTCGGTTGGGTTGTGAGAGCTGTTTGGAATTGCCCGATGAGGGTGAGGGTTGTGTTGAGCACGATGGATAGTTGTGACATTGTGAGTTGTCGTGGACCTGCCACTGGTGGCTTTCTTTGGAGGGGTTAGTTAGTCGGGGAAAATTTTTGGGTTGGGTTTGATAACGTTGACCGCGGGGCTGATTAGGGCTCCGTAGGATCACCTGTGTTTTTGTTTGTATATTGCAGTTGGTAAATGGTATCTCTATTTGATATAATTAATTCTTCTGAATTATAGTAGCCAGGCTAGTATATGCTGTGATTTTGACTTGGATTGACTCAATACTGGCCGAATTATTGCAGTAATAAGCTCTCCGGTAGTATACTATTACTCCCACCACCTACCATGGTATTCATATACTTCTGTTGAATGGCCGTTAAAAGAAAGAGAAGAAACTGTAATAATTTGCTACCTCAGATGTAGTAAATAGATAGAGTCTCACAGACAGGCTTCATAGTCACGCGCAAGCAGCGTTGTATAAATTCAACATCAAAGCCACAGAATCCCACCCCAGTGCCCATATTACTATATACTAAGTCTGAATGGAGCATAGCAAGCTAGCTACTAGGACTGATACATAAATAGGAGTTTACGGTATTGGGTTGGACAGCAATAGCCCTGGGGAGCTCAGAGAATAAGATTACCTAAGCATATATTTTCAAGATCAAACAAGACAAACAGCTCATCATTGCATCGATCCGAGCTTCGCGCAGTCCCAAGCTCTTTTACAAACAACCCGCGATCATGGGGACGTCCAAAGCTCGTGCTGCTCCGAAGGCGTCTGCTACACCCGCCAAGTCCACAGAATTCTCACGGCACCTACCCGGCAAGACCTTCGTCATCGACAATGGCGCATACATGATCAAAGCGGGCTACGCTTCTGATCTCTCCCCCGAAGAAAGCGTCTCCACCTGTACCTCGATCCCAAATACCCTCGTCAAGACGCGTAACAATAAAATCGTCATCGGCTCTCAGCTATCAACAGTGACCGACTGGAATGAAGCCATGTTCCGACGTCCGTTAGAGAAGGGATATGTTTCCAACTGGGAAGCGGAAAGAGAGATCTGGGACCAATCGTTCTTTGATGAGAAGACGACGGCTCGGAATAAGAACACTCACGTCGCCGACCCCGAGAATACTACCCTCGTGCTCACTGAAGCGCCCAATGCCCTGCCCATCTTACAACGGCATTCGGACGAGATGGTTATGGAGGAATGGGGATTCGGAGGATATGTCAGGTGCATAGGTTAGATGCTATAGCCATTTGAGAATGTCTGAACTCTTGGACTAACTTGAAGCTTCTCAGGCCCGACCCTCAATGCGTGGAACGAAATTCATTCTCTCTTCGGCGACCCTCTTACAACATCACCCGACTCAACTCCTCTTCCCGCAGACTGCTTATTGGTGGTCGATTCTGGCTATTCGCACACGACAGTGACTCCGGTCTACAAAGGTCAAGCTTTGCAACGTGGTGTGCGCAGACTCGATCTTGGAGGAAAGCACTTGACAAACTATTTGAAGGAGATTGTGTCAATGCGCCAATACAACATGGTGGATGAATCATACATCATGAACGAAGTCAAAGAAGCTGTCTGCTACGTGAGCAATGACTTTTCCGGGGATTTGGAACGAACGTGGAAAGCAGGGCGGAAGCACCAGGCCAGTTCTGAAGATGGGATTGTGCTGGACTATGTGCTTCCTGACCCCAATGCGAACCGAAAGGGGTTCAGCAGACCGCATGATCCTCTTATGCAGGTCAAGAAGAAGAAGGGTGCTCTCTCTGGTCTCAGCGCTGAGGTATTATCAGAGGATGTGCTCGTGCTGGGCAATGAACGTTTTGCTGTGCCAGAGATCCTGTTCACCCCGAGTGATATCGGGATGAAGTCAGCCGGCATCCCCGAAATAATCCTCCAAAGCTTGTCGGCCCTTCCCACCGGCTTGCATTCTGCATTCCTGGCGAATGTGATGGTAGTTGGCGGGAATGCCCTGATCCCAGGCTTCATGAACAGACTGTAAGTTTCTGGAAGTCTAACCACATTCAACTTAATTAACGAACTATATTTTGCAGTCAGACTGAGTTGCGGCAAATTGCATCTGCCGAATGTGTGGTGAGAGTGCGCCGGGCTAATGAGTGAGTTATCATCGGTCCCTTACAAGCTTGCATCAAGCATTAACACCTTTTACTAGCCCTATCCACTCAACCTGGCTTGGAGCCTGCCGCTTCGCCACGAACAGGGAGGAACTTAGCAGAGTAGCCATTTCCCGCCAAGAATACCAAGAACATGGATCTGGATGGGCTGGTCGACGGTTCGCCGGTCTTGTCTAAAATGTCAATTACAGCGGAAGATTTGGGAAGGAGTTTACGGTGGCCAAAATCGACAGCATCTGTAGCATTAGTGATACCCTAGTTTTCAATGTTGGTGTTTGGTCAATATGATTGCAAAGAATTCAATAAAACCCACAGTATATCTTCAAATGGCCAGAGCATCTCGTTGGAATGACGGAAGAATTTGTCGCTCTTGTCTCGATTAGGGCTGGGTGAAGTTAAGCTTCTCAAACTTTGCTATAAAAGGGTTTGTTGTCCCAAGGATGTACCCCCCGTGTGTTTCCTTGGCCAGAGAAGGAATTTTTGCTTCGTCCGAGAACTAGAGTAAACAAAAGTAGGTAGATTTCAATTACCAGACGGCCTTCTATAGAGCCTTCTTCATACATTGCCAAACTATGACAATACTCCCAAATGTAGCAGCAGTCGTCCAGCGCTTAACAGGACTACCTTCGCAACGTAAAAACAACACAAAGGAACAGTTTTCGCTCATCCTTGGTTTACCACCGACGGTACCCAAGGCTGAACCTTAGAGATGAGGCCATTCTGATCTGCGGTTTCTTATAAGGAGCCGCCCAGCTCTCTTACATTCTTGGCTGTTATTTTCAACAAATTATCACCTCTTCAAGTCCCAACCAGAGATAATTGCTGTCAAAATTATTCCACGCCTTTCAAAATATTTACCGAATTCACATTCGTCCAAATGCTTACAAGCTGCCTGGGCCGATTCCTCAAGAGAATCACCAAATGTTCCGAAGAAGATCAAGGGTTAATATATGGAAAAAAAAAGCAACCAAAACCCAAGAATGCTGAATCTTTCTAGATGCGCATCCTGTTGGAAGAGAATCCCAGCCGCCGAAATACTGACAGTCCCATGTGGACATACACTCTGCAGAATATGCCTCCGACAAATGGCATTGACTGCCCTGGACGACCAAGAACTATTTCCAGTGAAATGCTGCGGATCAGAGATTCCGCAAAAATTAGTCACCACAGTCCTAGGCTCTCGAAACAGGAAACTTTATACCTCCCGACTTGACGAGTATGCAATCCCACCCTCCGAGCGCCTATACTGCCCCGAACCGAAATGCGCACGATGGATCAACCCCAAGCACCAGATCAGTCGCCTGAATCATATGCTTTGTCCTTACTGCAAGACAAAGATCTGTCCGGAGTGTCGAGACGTTATGCATGATCCCAGGGACTGTTCGTATGACCCTAATCTTCAGTCTGTTTTGGACTTGGCGAAGAGAGAAAATTGGCAGCGGTGTTTGGGGTGCCATGCCATAGTTGAGATTGACCAGGGGTGTGCTCATATTGTCTGCAGATGTAAGACGGAGTTTTGGTAGGTTCATGTCCCTGTTTATCTTTCCAAGAGTTGGTTTGGAGGGATCGTGGTTAAGGCTGTTTGCTGACCAACTCAGTTACCTTTGCGGTAGTCGTTGGAGGACTTGCAGTTGTGTCGATATTCGTGCCCGACAGGAAGATGTGATTGGTGCAGAGGAGGATGTCGATGTTCATATACTGGTTAATGCGCTGGATAATTTAGACTGGCCAGAGGATACTTAATAGTAATTGTGTTGGGGCATCGGGCAAGAGTTTGGAGCAGATCAACTTTGTAATTTGAATTCTATGAGAATAAGTCACAGGAGGGGTATCGTGCTTGGAATGATTGTCCTCCCACATACAACGACACTTAGTAGTCGTAGAATCCCTTTCCAGTCTTCTTGCCCAGCCAGCCGGCATCCACCATCCGGCGCAAGAGACCGGCAGATCTATACTTGCTGTCACCGGTCTCCTGGTGCAGGACATTCATGATTGCGAGACAGGTGTCTAGGCCGATGAAGTCAGCCAAGGTCAATGGTCCCATAGGGACATTGGTGCCGGTCTTCATGATGTTATCGATATCTTCCCGGCCACCGACACCAGTCTCAAGACAGATAATTGCCTCGTTGATATAGGGCATGAGGATACGGTTGGCCAGGAAACCAGGTGAGTCGGCAGACACAGATGCGACCTTGCCCATGCGCTGGACAAAGGCTATGGCAGTGTCCATTGTTTCCTGGGAGGTCTGCAGACCACGAATAATCTCCACACCCTTCTGGATTGGGACAGGGTTCATGAAGTGAGTGGAGATCACTCGGGACGAAGCCTGCAGATTGGTAGGATCCGCACTCGTCGCAGCGGCAATCTTGGTGATAGAGATTGAGGAGGTGTTCGTGGCGAGGATGGCATGCTTTGGGGCGATCTGAGCCAAATTGGTGAAGATTTTCGTCTTCAAATCCACGATCTCAGGGACCGCCTCAATGACGAAGTCCACGGAGGAGAGGTCGTCCATTTTGAGAGTGGGTATCAGAAGTCCACGGGCTGCATCTGCAGCCTCACGAGTCATGCGCTGCTTAGCGACATCCTTTTCAAGAAGCTTATCTGGAGTCCAATTTTGTGTTAGAAATTCTGGTGATAATAGCGACTGGTGGAGCTCGGCGTACCAGCAAACTTGAGACCCTTATCCAATGATGCCTGGGAGGTATCGACGAGAGTGACGGGGACCTGTGCCTTTTGTGCAGCAACAAGAGCAATCCCAAGACCCTAGAATTGTATTAGGCATATATCCGGTCTCTAAATAGCATCATACTCACCATCTGGCCGGCACCGATCACACCAAGTGATTTGACCTCGGCTGCATGAGCTGCGGAGGTGGAGCTAAAGCTGCGGGCCACCGCAGGGCCCCGTTGTGAGAGAGAACGAAGTGTCGAGGAAAGCATGGCTGTGATTGAATGCTTCAGGCTCTGTGTATAGAGGAAATGAATGTGAAAAGGTGAGAGGGAAGAAGTAATTGGTATACTGCAATGACTTCACGTGCTTCCCGACGTCATTCGGCAGCGGGAAATAGCGGCCATTTAGTATCAAACCTCACCGTCTTGCAGCTGTCTACGAAATGAACATACAAAATACTTCATTCGCGACTAGTTTCACTGGGGTAATTAGAGCTTTACGGTGCCAGAAGGAGCATGTCAATGGAAATGCTATAGATAAGACATGCATAGTAGACAGCAGACCTACAGGACACAGCACAAAATAGAGACCTAATAATTCTGCCAGACAAACAGACCAGATGGCCGCGATTTTGTGCGGTAAGAGTGTCGGTTATCTTCGGTATCCTGGCGGCATCCAGTTTCTCCGAATCGCCGACGCCGAGCACGCGTCGACGCGTTCCCATTTCGACGCTTTGGGAAGCAAATCGATATCAGCCCACCATGGATGAAGAGGTTGTCCCTCTAGGCCACGATGTGCAGGTCGTTGACCCCGATGTGCGAGGCTATGTTTATGGCCTGGTCACTGCTGTGAGTTCTTTTATCGTGCCTTGCCTGGGTCAATTACTGATGCAGTTGTATCTAGCTCGGAGGTTTCAACGGCGAAGATGCCGATCGATATGTGCTCGGAGATGACGCCTTGGCCTGTTTACGCGATATCAAACGATGGCTGAAATTGTACGACGAGAAGAACAATCGCATGGATGTTGCGCGGTGCCTTGGAGAGGCCAATTTGATCAATGGAGATATTCTCCCAATTCTTGGGCTCTGGTGGGCTACAGGACAGAAGAGCAAGCATATGACTAGAATCTCTCTGGCGTGCTTGGAACTTCTTGTCCCATTGACTTGGCCGGTAGAGTTCCACAGCCAGATGACGGTCAACCACCATCGCCATACACCCTACATCCAACAAACCCAGGTCCAGTACAAGCGAGGTATCCTCAAATATGGCGGCTCGAATCTCCTACGTGCCATTATCCGAATTGCCCTTCCTAGCATGGTGACTGCTCGATCCGAGCGCGAAGCCCGAGACGAAGGAATCCTCAAATTGATGTTATACTTCCTGCGGAACATTGCGATCATTTCCCCGAACACCCGGCTTGCTGCAGAAGGCGAAGAGGAGGAAACATCTAGATCTGCGACGATCAATGCTTTCCACGACCAGGATGCATTTGCACTTCTTCTGACTATGTGCTCTAATGTTGGCGAAGACTTCAACCTTCAGGATATCATTCTGATGGAGATCATCTTCCACATTGTGAAGGGCGTCAATGTTGAGAAGCTATTCATGGATGATGATCAGAGGAAAGTCAAACGAACTGACGAGCTTAGCGAGCTCCTCAAGAAAGAAAACTCAGTACGGCGAGAGTACGCAAAGAACGCCCCGACACGTCATGGAAGATTTGGTACAATGATCTGGGTCAAGCGAGATGATGCCAAGGTGTCTACCGTCTCCGGACAAGATGTTTTGCGGGACGACCAAACTACTCTTCACAAAATGGACCAAACCAAAAAGTGGAACAAGCCCAAGCCTCGACGCAAGCAAGACGATGCGATCCAGAACAGCAACTTCAACATGCCCGCTCACTTGAATTCGGAGGCAACTAAGAACCTACGGACTTTTGTCGAAGAGTTCCTGGATTCCGGATTCAACCCACTTTTCACCCACGTGCGAAAGGCTATTGAACGCGAAGCCGAACGAGTACTGGATATCAACACCCGTCAATTCTTCTATACGGTTGGATGGTTCCTCGAGGCAGAGCGTGTGAGGAGAGCCTGGCAATCTCGTCAGCGTGCTGCCCAAAGCGCAGGAAGGACCAAAGATATTGAGCCCGATAGTTATGGTCTGGTCGCTGGAGTTCTAAATCAAGAGACTTTCATCTCCTTAAACCGGGCCATGCAGACCAGCTTGGACAACAAGGAGTGGCAAGATCTTAATGCTCAGATGCGCTGCTTCACACAGGTGTTGTTGACTGTGCAAGAAATGGCAATGTCACCACTTGAGGAGGATCAGGAGATTGCCGAGAATATCCAGAACCGAATATTTTACGAAGAAACAACACATGACCGAATTCTGGCAATTGTAAGAGGATACAAAGATCAAGGCTTCGGTTACCTGGACGCTTGCACAGAATTGGCGCATGTCTTTTTACGTATGTTGGAGCGATACTCCAAAGACAACGCCGACATGCAGATTCGATCTCGCCGAAAGGCCAAACGCACGCAGAAGAAGGCCGACAAAGGTATCGAAGATGGCGCAAATGATGACGAGGAACGCGACTCCGAAGACGAAGACGAGGTGGAAGCTGCTCAGGTCACCAAAGAGCGCAGCTTTGACTTCAAACGTTTTGCGGCTAAGTTCTGCAACCAGAGTTGCGTAGACACATTTGTTACATTCACTGGCTTCTACAAAGAGCTTAACTCGGAGCAACTTAAGCGTGCCCACCGATACTTCTACCGTATTGCGTTCAAGCAAGAGATGACCACCTTGCTATTCCGTGTCGACATCATCAGTCTATTCTACCGGATGATCAAGGGCCCAGGACCGATGGACTCAAGCAAGTCTGTCTTCAAAGAATGGGAGGAGCTCGTGCGGCAAATCATTCGACGAATGATCAAGAAGCTCGACCAGCGTCCAGCATTGATCACTGAAATGTTATTCAGCAAGATCAACTCGACAGTCTACTATCTTGAGTTTGGACACGAAAAGCAAACGTCGTATCAGTCCAGGCGAGCACCGGCGGATCTCATTATCACATCACCAAATGCGACTACGAAGGAAGCCGAGCTGAAGATAGTGGTTGGAGCCCTTGTTCTCGACGGTAGAGCAGACCTAGTGAACTGGATTGTTCATGTCTTGAGCTCGGGAGCTTCCGAAAGGGAGGCATGGGAAGCCCAAGATGAAATTCGGCAGGCCGAGTCTCCTGAGGCTGTCAGCGTTCCCAACCCACTGATTAGTATGTTGCCTGCCACAACGAATTTAGGATAAAACTAACTGTACTATAGCTGTCAGAAGCAAAGACGATGCCTGCAAGAGTGCCATGTTCTCAAACGCCAAGCTGCGTCTGCTGATGAAGCTCGTTGGATTTGAGCGACTTGGTGTCGAAGACGTCGTTGGTGCCGCTTGGGTCATTCCGGCATCTCAGGGATCCAAGAATCTACATCAATCAATCTTGGAAATCCAAGAGGCCCTCAAGACACCATTTTCCGAAGATGGCGATGATGATCCTCGCAAGTATCTTACACAGAAGAGACCAGGAGGACCCCGAGCCACGGTACAGGGTACGCTTGATGTCAATTTTGGATCTGACTCGGAAGGCGAGGATGTGGTTCCAGATGGAATTTTATTCCCACCAAACCCGCGGTCAAAGGCCAATGCGCTAGACCAGCTGAAGAAGAAGCGCAAGAAGAAGTCCAAGGATACAGAGGCTGCTGAGATAGACGATGAGATTCTGCAGGCACGACGTGATGCACGTCTATCAAACGCTCTTTCTCGCCAGGCGAAGATCAAGAGTGATCTTTTTATTCATGCCAGTGACGAAGAGAGTGACGAGGAAGCAGACAAGGAATTTTTCCGTCTGGAAGAAGAACGACGAAAGAAACACGATGCTGCAGTCAAGCATGCTATCCGTACTGGTGCCACGGAAACATCGAGCAAGAGTAAGGGTAAAGGCAAGAAAGCCGCTGGACGCAAGCGAAGCGACACGGGTGGTTCTGCATCAGCCAAAAACAAGCGACAACGCCGTGATTCTGGCTCTGCAGGAGGCGATGCTGACAGTGATGCCGATGCCGATGACGATATCCTCATGGCGGAACTTGATGCTCAATCTTCGCACTCCCAGCAGGAAGTCTCTACTAGCCACGGTGCTGGCGAGGACGAAGATACCCCTCTCACGTCCGGTGAAGACGATCTTGCTTTTGATGATGATCTCGCGTTCCTGCGTGACCGTCTAAATAAACCTGAACCTGCGGCACCCGAGAACGATGCTGAAGACGAGGACGCCCCTGTATTAGCTGCATCTCGAAGACGTATGCGTGGAGGGTTTGTGATTGACAGTGACTCAGAATGATCACTGTCGTTCATCTTTGCGACATGTTATGACCTGATGAGGCGTTTGGCATATGAACTGTAAAGCATCAGATACCTAGGATGAATGAAAATACTTTATGATTCAATATTATACATCTGGAGTGAGAACAGCAGTATGTAATCACTATAGACGTCAAGCCAAGGTCCGTGCTGCTGAGGTATAAATACGAGCTTTCTCCTCACATACAACATCTCTCTTTCTCTCTACCTCTCCACTATCAGCAATCATGGCTACGGCAGATACCAAAACTCTAATAGCAAAATGTCACTGCAACAACATACAGTTCACAATCACCATCCCAATAGAATCTCTCCCTCTGAAAACACACATCTGCCATTGCAACACCTGCCGTTACGTCCACGGCACACCATGTATCTTCCACGCCCCACTACCAGCAGGAATAGCACCCCAATTCATCAGTCCATCCAGCATGGATAACCTCACACGCTACAACCACGCCTCGGCACTAGGAACACGCCACTTCTGCAGTAAATGCGGCTGCCATGTTGGAGATCTAGGAATAGATGATGGAAATTGGACAATCTCCACAGCAATCTTCACAGAACCGAATATCGGACTGTGGAATATGTGGTCGCATTGTTTCACAGACTCATCAGCCGATGGTGGCTTTTCGGCTTTATTTTCGCATATCGATGGTCAACGACTTGAAATTGTTAACCCGGGGGATACCTCTGATTCAAGCAAGAAGGATGCAAGTGGAAATATCCAATCTAGCGAAGCAGGTTCGACTTCCGAGGACCTACTCGCTCAATGCCACTGCGGCGGCGTTTCTTTCAATATTTCCCGTCCTCAGCAAGAGTTCATCACCAGTACTGCTAGTGAAGGGTGGCTACACCCATCCGATACGAGTAAATGGCTTGCACTCCTTGATCTATGTGATGACTGCCGTCTCGTCGATGGAACGAATATCATGGCTTGGACATTCGTCCCGGTGAACCATATATCGCCCCACATATCGGCAGATTTGATCATTGGGTCATCGAAGAGTTACAGATCTAGTAAAGATGTGTTACGGACGTTCTGTGGGACTTGTGGTGCGACGGTGTTCTATAGTTGTGCTAGTCGGCCGGGGATTGTCGATGTGGCCGTTGGGATTTTGCGTGCGCCGGAGGGAACAATGGCTGAGAAGTGGCTTATCTGGAGGGCTGGACGGATCGGAGCTGCTAGTGATGGGCTGAAGTATGATGCTGCATTTAGTACGGCGCTTATTGAGGGGATGGCGAGATGGGGTGGTGAGCACGGGATGCCAGGGGATTTTGTGGTGCCGTAGATACAGAGAGAGAAATTAACAGAATATACTTCGTACAGTATCAAGTAATCAAGGATCTGAACAAATGCCGAGACACACGCTTTAACCGTGAATTTATGGAGAATCTGACACAGTATGAGTCAACCCGGAAAGTGGGGAGTATAAAATGCCGTCCGCTTCTATTTCACATCACATTTATATTCCCTGAACATCCCCCTCAATTGAACACTGATTGACAGCATCCATAATGACACACCTCAACTTCGTCACTTTAGATGTCTTCACATCAACACCATACAAAGGCAACCCATTAGCAGTAGTCTTCCTCCCAGAAGACCCAGCACAGGCCTTGAACCAACACCAAAAGCAAATCTTAGCAGCAGAGTTCAACCTCTCGGAAAGCATATTCGTGCACCCAGTGATAGAAGGCACAAAGCGCACCATCGACATCTTCACCACAGACTGCGAAATCCCCTTCGCAGGCCACCCCACTATCGGCGCCGCTTCCTGGTTCCTTACACACTCAGCCAACCCAGCCGATGGAGCCGGCATTACCACGCTGGCCACGAAGTCCGGCGACATCCCCATCTCCATCCAGGATGGGGCGACCAAGTACGTCGCTGCGCAGATTGCGCATAACACGCGCATCCACGCTGCCCGGTTCCCCGTTAAGGAATTGTTGCGGTTGCATCCTACTCTGGCCCCGTATTTCCCGAAAAAGGATGTGACGTTTCCTTTGTTTTCTGTTGTCAAGGGGATGAGTCAGTTGTTCATTGAGCTGGAGTCTTTGGAGGCTTTGGCTGCTGTTACGCCTGCGACTGGGGGCGAGTTTGTTTCTTCTAGTCAGTATCTTGACGAGGGGTGGCAGGTTGGGTTGGTTTGTGTTTATTTCATTGTTAGGGGGGTTTGGGATGATGTTCTGGGTAAGAAGGTTACCCGGGCGAGAATGATGTTGGGTCCTTTAGAGGATCCTGCTACTGGTAGTTCGGCTAGTGGATTGGCTGCTTATTTGAGTCTTACGGAGGGGCAGCCTGGGCAGGATTTGGATTATCATGTTGTGCAGGGTGTTGAGATGGGCCGGAGAAGTGACATTGGGGTTGGGGTTTCTCTTGATTCCGAGAAGAAGATTGAGAAGGTTGTTTTGACTGGTACTGCTGTTAGTGTCTCTGAGGGTAAAGTTCTGATTCCTCGGGCTTGACTGTTGCAGGAATCGAGTTAGGATGGATATTTAGACAAATTTTGATTTATTGCGGCTTCATCCCTTGACTAGGATGGAGACTATAACGGCCACCTACGCATGAGCTTGAAATAAGAGCATAGATTCATGACATGTAAAGATGAAGCCTCAAATCCCAGTTCATCTTAGAGCTTCTTCTCCTCAGCCAACTTTCTCAACACCTCAATAGTCCCCTCAACAGCCATCTGGCTCATCTTCCTCTCCTTCTCAGCGAAAGCAGCCAATTCTTCCTTGGAAACACCAGGATGTCTCCACTCAAAGGTGTAAGTCATATACAGCTCCCCATTGGCTCCCTCACTGATAATATTATTGATCGTGCTCCCCTCAGGCTGCACAAACTGAACACGGCTAGCTTCGAACGCGGTAACAGTTTCCTGGACTGTCTTCTGAGCTTCGCGGAAAAAAACATCGCGGGTGGTCACGGGGTTGCCATTGTCATCGTAGGATTCGCTTACGACCTTTGTAGATTGGATCGCTGCTGGGACGAAGGTTTCTGCGCTGCGGATTTTGAGGAGAAGCCCATTCCAGATTTGGTCCATGGTCAGGACGGGGGATTGTCCTGGTGGGTTGATGGGAGCTGTGAAGGCGATGTTATTTGTGGATGGCATGGTGGCAGTGTGTTCAATTGATTTGGATATGGAAAGAAGGTTGAATTGGTGCTTTTATGTAGTCTGGAGATGGATGACGAAACCGATAAGCCGATAAGTAAGCTCGGCCTTTCGGGCGCGCCGATCTGCTGACTTATGTTCGGCGTGAGAAAACTGGAGGCCGAGAAGGTCCATACTTCCTGGAATCAGCTCGATATTTTGCTTAGAAGTTGGTGTTGGGCATAAGATATCTAGGAGCTGTCAGTCTCGAAGAAGACGTTTCCCATTACAAGATTATACATGCACTCTTGATCGCTGGAAGGGAACTATGTAGCCGTTACCCAGCAGTAAAACCTCCCTAGCTTACGAAATAGACAATGAGAGAAAATAATTTGGAAGAGAGAAGAGAGCACAGGGTAGGAAAGAAATGTTATAGTCTAGTTTAAGTTACAATAGACTCAGCTATCTGCATATCGCAAAAAGTGATCCATCTGAGCTATCATAAAACATCCCACCTATGCACCTACTCTTATGGAGCTTGTCTTTAGCAACATTATTCCCCCCGAAAAGCAACCCCTCCAGCCTAGCCGTCAATATTAGTCTAGCTGCAGATAAACACAGCCGAAGCAAGCTCATTGGCAACATGCGCCCCACGAAAGACTGAAGAAGGCAATGAGCGGCATACTTACCCCAATCTTTGACAGCTAGCTCTTTAGGCAAAAGTGTAGCCTTGTGTGGCCTGAGAGGGGACTTTGATAAGCTCGTATATCACTTGAAAACTCTTATATCTCCCTAACACAGACAATTCCTGTATCTCAACACCCCCTAGGTTGAAACAACCAACCCTAGAACAATGCCTGAACCCACCACAGAGTCAGGCTATCAACTAGGCGTAGACGTCGGAGGAACATTCACAGACGTCTACGTATTCACCCCACACGGCAAAACAGTACGAGCAAAAGTCCCAACAACAACCCCAGACCAAAGCATAGGAGTCCAAAACGGAATCGCCAAAGCGCGAGAAATATTGAAGAGCAAATCCAGCTGGTCGGGCCCATTCCAATTTATCCACCATGGTACGACAACAGCCACAAATGCCGTTCTGGAAGGGAAGGGAGCCCGCACCGCACTCGTCGTCACGGCTGGACACAAGGATATTCTTGCTCTGCGCCGGTCTCAGATTCCTGGTGGATTGGGTGCTTGGCTGCACTGGTCACCACCTGAGCCTATCGTCCCGCTTGAGCGGGTTGTGCAGTGCAAGGAGCGGATGTCTGTGCAGGGTGAGACGGTTACGGCTGTTGATGTTGAGGATTTAAGAACAAGTCTGAGGGAGTTGGTGTCGCAGAAACCTGAGGCTGTGGCTGTTTCTTTGCTCAATTCGCATAGCAATGATGCACATGAGCGGGTTGTTAAAGAGGTTGTTCGTGAAGAGCTTGGGTCTGACATTGCTGTGATTTGTTCGGCGGATGTCTTGCGTGAGGTTGGAGAGTACGAGCGGACAGTGACGACTTGTACAAATACCCTTGTGAAGCCTGTTGTTCAGACCTATTTGCACAATTTGTCTGAGGCGCTTGCTGGAGAAAGTGAGACCATTCGGGTTCTAAAGAGTGATGGTGGCTTGACTAGTTTGACTCTTGCCTCGGAGTTGCCTGTTAATATTCTGATGTCTGGGCCTGCTGGTGGTGCCAGGGGAGTTGCAGATGTTGTGGCTCGGAGTACACCATATAAGAACCTCATCACGTTGGATATGGGAGGCACTTCGACTGACTGTGCGCTGATCTATAAAGGTCAACCTCAGTTACGACGTGAGACTGTTGTCGGGAGTCTTTCTGTTCGTGCTCCGGCTGTTGATATCAAAACTGTTGGAGCTGGAGGCGGTTCAATCACAACCTATATGGAGCTCACGGAGACGCTTCGAGTTGGACCGGAAAGTGCGGGTGCGACGCCGGGTCCTGCATGCTATGGAAAAGGTGGAAGACAAGCAACAGTCACTGATGCAAACCTCGTCTTGGGATATCTTCCTAAGACCTTATTGGGAGGTGAATTTGCGCTCAATGTGAAAGCAGCCACGTCAGCTATCGAAGACATTGCGACACAGATGAAGCTGCCCGTAGCTCAAACAGCGGAGGATATCATCACGATCATCAACGAGACAATGTATGGGGCTCTGCGTCTTGTTTCTGTGGAACAAGGCTATGACCCTCGTGAATTTGCGCTCGTTGCCTTTGGCGGTGCTGGTCCTCTCCATGCCAATGCTGTTGGACAGCTTCTCGGAGCTTGGCCTGTTATTGTTCCGCCATCGCCCGGTATTTTGTGTGCACAGGGTGATGTGACAACCAAGCTTAGACACGAACAGTCGGCTACCTTTATCCGACTGGTCTCTGGAACCGATGCTGCAGAGGCTAGAGAGCAATATGACTCTCTGGAGCGAATGTGTCATGAGATTCTGCATAGATCATCCGGAGAGAAGTGGCCTATCACTTGGAAGGCTGAATACCAAGCAGATCTTCGATACAAAGGACAGGCGCTGACCATCACGGTTGATCTCACGGCTGAGGATCTGACTGCTGATACGATGGGGTGGCATGATCTGCTAAGACAGAAGTTTGATCAACAGCATCAACAGATGTTCACTTACTGCTTGCCCGACTTTGAGCTAGAGTTAATGAGACTTGGAGTTGTACTGGAAGATGCTTCTCCTAGCATTGATATTCCTCAGGTCGAAAAGGCAACTTTCCCAAGTCCGGATCCCGACGCAAAGATTGGAGAGCAGACAATTATTGTGCAAGGAAAAAAGCAGCTGGCAACCCTATGGGACCGTCAGAAAGTCACCAAAGAGAATATCCAATTGACCGGACCATGTATTGTTTCTGAGATGGACAGCAATACCCTCATCTTGCCAGGATATTACGGCGAGATCGACAGTATCGGGAATATCCTGATCAATCCACTAGAAAAAAGGCCCGCAGTTGCAACAAATCACACGGCTGAATCAGCCAAAAAGTTCGTTGAAAGTACACCTCTTGTTCCAACCCTGATCTCTTCGACTCTGGCATCCATCCGCAGTGAAATGGATCAAATGATGCTACGGTGCAGCATGTCACCTGCAATCCGAGAACAACAAGACGAGTTCAATGTCATCACCGACTGCGAAGGCAAGATGTTGGTAGGTCAATTTGGAAGTTTCATCACCCAATTCTTGGAAGTTTGGACCGGTACCATCGAAGAAGGAGACGTATTCATCACCAACGACACCTACCAGGTGCAAGGTGCCATTAGCCACTTGAACGATGTAATCGCATTCCTTCCCATCTTCCACGAGCATCGCCTCATCGGATGGGCCTCTCAATTCGGCCATTTGACGGATGTCGGAGGCATAGTACCTGGCAGCATGTCAATCAATGCAACCTCTGTCTTCGACGATGGCGTCCAGATTCCCTGCATCAAGCTCTACACACGTGGCATCATGAACTCAGATCTAGTAGATCTCCTATGCCGAAACTCCCGCCAACCGGCATGGTATCGCTCTGATCTGACAGCCATCGTAGCATCATGCTCAATGGCAGCCACACGAACCCGCGAGTTAGCAACTAGATTCGGAAGCGAAGTATATCTGGCAGCATGTGCAGAGCTACTCACCCGCAATCGCAATGGGTTCAAGAAGATCATAGAGCGACAATTTGATGAACTGGAAAGCAAATTTACCGATTTCGTCGATGATGACGGTCACGGAGTCGGGCCCTGGGCTCTTACATGCTCCATGAAGAAGATTGAGGAAAATCGACTGAGCTTTGACTGGAGTGGTACTTCGCCTCAGAGTCAGCATAGTATCAACTTCTACCTTTCGGAAACAATGTTCAAGATGTTTATTGGGTACTACCTCATTGCAGCAGCTGCCCCCGGCACAGTGATCAATGATGGCTTCCATGACTTGATTGACGTGCATATCCCTCAGGGAAGTGTGCTGCGACCTGTACGACCTGCGCCAATTTCTTGCCGTACTCATTTCCTAGGCCGGACTTTGGATATTGTGCAGGCATTGATCGGTCAGAAACAGGACTCTTATCAGGCTGCTGCTGGCTTCAGTGATTCACCACACTTCTTCTATTCCGGCTTCAAGCCTAATGGAGAATGGTACCAGCTGTATCAAATTGGGTTTGGAGGTGTACCCGCTCGCCAGGCTGGCGATGGACCTGATTGTCACTGTCTTTTCCCCGCTATCAAGTCCATTCCCACCGAAAGCATCGAGTTGAATTATCCACTGCGCATCGAGGCAAATGAGAGCGTTGCTGATAGCGGTGGCCCTGGATTCTACCGTGGAGGAAACGCACAGCGCACCTTATACCGGTTCCTTGCTCGTGGGGAGTTTAGTCTGCACGATGATCGGTGGTTCACGAAGCCGTGGGGGTTGAAGGGTGGGAAACCTGGGCAGAGATCGCGCAAGATATTGTATCGCCACTCTCAGTCTCCTGATGCCACTCCCGTGGTACTGCCTTCGAAATGTGACCATGTTCGAGTTGATCCAGGTGATCTACTTGAGTGGATCACTTGGGGTGGAGGTGGTCTTGGGGATCCGTTGACTCGTCCAGATGAGAAGGTTGCTCTTGAAGTTCATCGGAAGCTTGTCACGATCGATGGAGCTCGCCGTGGATATGGCGTTTCTGTGAATGACAATTTCACTGTTAATGAAGCCGAGACTGCGACTATTCGGAACCAGATGAGAGAAGAGCGTGCTCGGCTTGAAAAGGCTCCCATCTATGACCGCGGTGGCAGTCTCGAAGAGCTCCGGGGGACTTGTCTGCTGGAGACTGGACTGAAGGCACCACTTCCACAGTGGGATACAGATATCTATGGTCCCCATGCCGGCGTGGCATACGTGAAGGACTGGTATACCGAAATGAGGGCCCGGAAGGACTGGAAACTAGACTGAAGGGTGTATCATTAAGAAGAATACATAACATCCGACCTCATCGTATACTTGACCCCTCTAAACACATCATCCCCACTATGCATAAGATTCCTCTGCTGGAAGATCAAAATAGAGCCCGCCTTGGGGAAAACCCGCACAGAATCCTTAGCTTTGAAGCCATCCGTAAATGAAGTCGCACCCCCAAGCAGCGTATCAGCCTTCTCAAGAGACTCTTCAGCAGAAAGGAAACCCGTTTTTCCATCTCCAACCTCAACCTCATCAGCCCCAACCTCTTTCAGATCGATCTCCCCATCCTCCTCAAACAGATAATACTTCTTCTCAGCCTCGGTAATATACGGCTGTAATACCTCCATATCCTGCTCCCCCTCTCCATTCAAGTATAAATGGATAGTATAAAGAGACTTCTCTTTCCCATCAGGCGTGACATAGCACCCATCAGTATGAGCTCGGAAATAATCACCGCCCTCATACCGCAGGAATCTCAACTGCTCATTGAGTCGAGTGATATTGTACACCTCTCCCCGCTTCGCTGGCCCGAGACCCGTAACGAAGGGCTTATCTTTGACTTGATGAATCTCACATTGGCGCAGGAAGGGCATCAGTCGATCGAGTAGTCTCTGTGCGATCTCAGGCGAGTGGAATATAATGCGGCCGCTTTTGCGAGAGTCCACTGACATGATTTGTTTCCCGTTCCCGGCGTTTATCATGGCCCGTTCCCATTTTGGGGGTGAGAGGGTTGAGTCTGGGAGCTCTGTGCTTGTTGATTCTTCTGCTAGGTTGAGGAGGTCTTTGCATTCGGAATCTGTCATGAAGTTGTCGATTATGGCGGCAAAGTTGTTTTTGTACGCGAAAATGGTTGGCGTTGTGTGTTCGAAGTCGATTTTGTGGAGGGTTGCGTTTGGGGATAGACCCCTGAGGAAATCTTCCGGGATTGAGGCCATGTTTCCAAGCTGTGAAGAACTTGTATGCTAACAAGGGGGGCTTTTTGCTTCTTATCCTTTCCGTCCCCACTTTGAGGCTCTGCGCCGAAGTGGGGACTGAACCTTCTCGGTTCCAAGGTTATTGAGTCACGTCGTCTTACGTGAGATAAGGTTACTGTGACTTCCAGGTTGAAATAAACAACATTTATTCAGCTAACTAAGAGGTGGGACAGAAAATATCGAGAAACATAAACTTCTCAAAAAGCTTAATCCTTTTGGATGTATCACGTTCTTTGATGCAGAAGCCGAGAGCCATCCTGTTGTCTTCTTCGCTTTAGATCATTGAATAATCAAAGCACGAAGACAGGGGAACTCTTAGAGGCGGTCAGCATCAGCTTTAAGTCAGGGTAAATCACCGAATACTCAAAGCTTCATGATAAACAGGATATGTTCCCGGAGATTGTTCCAGTAGAAGTAGAGTGCATGCCTTCCGCCTTGAACCACAGTAGATCACCGTATATTCAAGGCTTCCAAACAAGCAAGTTCTTCTCCTCCTTTCATTCGAGAGTGTCAATTCGAAATTCGAAAGTAACTCGCTTAAAGCTCTTAAGCCATGGTAGATCATAGAGTATTCAAAGCCACAAGAAGAGAGCGGAGCCGCCAGATTCTCCATGCCACCTGGACAGCCCGTCTTGGTGAGTGGACCTGTTGTTGTTGTTGTTGTTGTTGTTGTTGTTTGTTTTTTTTTTTTTTTTGCTCTTTTGTGTTAGGGCCCGTACTGTCTATTATGTCAAGCTGGTTGTTGTAACGTGCGGCATAGAAACCATTGTCGTTGAAACCAAACTCCTTAATAGTTAGCTTCTTCAGCAGTCTCATAATCAAACACGATAACTCACAATCTGAGAACTTCAAAGTCTTATCAGGTTGAGCAGGGCTTGGCAGTGGAAGGAGGCATCCGGAGGACGGTGAAAACAATCGTCGCATTTGATGACCAGGGGCGTGGAAGTGGCGACAGCTCCGAAGTCGTGAGTGGAAGCTGGTATAAAGCGAAGCAAAGCGAAGCAAGTTAATGAGATAGTCGATGCAGTGGGGCCCTGGAATCTGGAGAACAAATCATGTTCCTCAGCTTGATGCCCAAGAGCTGGTGAGAATAACCTCAACATGACGGCAGGGGAAGGAAAGGAGGTGAAGGGGACTACAAAGCGGGCATCTTAATCACGAAGGAGGAACTCACCATGCAGTCAAGTACCGAAGTAGATGCAGTCGATGCAATGCAGCGAAACCTAGAACCTGGAAGAAAAAAAATCTTCCATCAGCCTGATGCCCAAAAGCTGGTGAGACTGACCTCTTCGTAACAGGAGGGAGGAAAGGAGGTGAAGGGGACTACGAAAAGTAGGCATCTTAATCACGAGAGAGGAACTCACCATGAATCCTGCTCCAAAAAAGTAAGCTGCAGTGTGGCAGGGGACAGTGAGAATTGACACACTGAAATGCGGCAGCGGACAGCGAGGTCTGAGTTATAGCAATGGAATAATGAGATGACGTCCCCAAAGGCAAGCAGCATGAAGGCCGAGAGACGACAACATGAACAGAGATGGAAGACTGTATGAAGGCTGGCAGCGGATTAATAGTAGAGGTGGGGGACAGAGAGGTCATGTGTCAGGGTGTTATTCAAATGTTGTGTATGTTGGGATATTGGGATATTGTGATAGATCAACGTATGAAGCTTAGAGGTCATGCATGGTGGACATGGACATAAAAGATCATCAAAGAATAATGAAAGGTGGAGGTGGAAGAAAAAGAGGAAGGGAAAAGAGTAGAGAGATGAAGAAGAGAAGGGAAAAAGAAAAGGGAAGTTGGTCTAGGAGGAGGTCTGGGTATTTATGTCAACGGGGAAAGAACCTTCTGATGTTGCGTGGGAAAGTGTTTGTCTTCAGGGCTAATGACCCAGTTCAGCCCTACCAGCAACTATTTTGAGACTTTTGTACTGATGAGAACAGCAAAGACACGCTCAAAGTCAGAATTAGGCCCACAATGCCCTCACGATCGACCAGGGCGCCGGATGCTTCATGGCCTCACCCCACGGGGGGCTTGATTTAGAACTTGATACTTGAGCCTCAGTATATCCTGTCCATGAAGACCATTATTCTTCCCCAAGAGCTTCGTAGACCCAAAAAGGCACCTAGGAAGACGTCTTCAACGCGAGGCAAGAAATACAGAAGGGGATGTAGATGTTCGTCGTTTAGCGTTTACAAGTCACCCCTGTTCACATGTACATATTCGAGCATTACGATTTGAGCCTAGCCAAGTCAAAATAGGCGGCCCTTTGCTTCATCGTTAACGCTTCACCAAGTACGCGTAGCTATATCGTCATGCTTGATACTACAAATACACCTTAGCCAGCTTTAGCAACCTCACAGTAACAGCAAGTTTTCAAGAACCTAGTAGAAAACGACCCAAAAGAGGATACAACGTGAACCATTTTGACGGCCAAGATCAGCGTGTATCTGTTCTGCGCTCTGGATACCATTTTGAAAGTTACAGCCTCACTATCGCTGCGACTGCCTAGGATCCAAGCCTCGATCTTCGACAAGCTACAAAGCTCACCCAAACCGCATCTGCCAACCGACTCTCGAGACACTGCAAGATCTGATATATAGTTCGAGAAGGAGACCGCGAGGATACAACGCAGACCATCAGTTTGACTATCCGCCGATGCTATGGATGATACTAGGGCCACCAGAACCAGTGTGTGCAAGTTCTTCACCTGCTTTGCTCCAAAGCTATCACAGTATGTGGAGAGACATATCTCGCCCCGAATGGGCTGCTTCGCGCTAACGATGAGTGATGTCACGGCTCAGGATCAATAGCTGTCTATCCCGTTCTGGGGCTCCAAACGGTCTTGAATAAAGTCTCTGCTAGTTGACAAGCTATGGGAAACTCCATGTCCAAGAGCCCTTCGGATACCAGCTTCCGGCTACCACACACTCGGACTGTCGTCAAAACGACAATTGGAAACATGGTAATAAAGAGTTACAACTACAAGAGGTGCCGGTCTACAGTCTGGATGCAGTAAACGCGACGGACGGAAGAGTTGTAGTGAAGCCATGCTAGGAGACGTGGAATGGTGAAGGAAATATTGTCAAGCATTACAGGATCATGAGTCTAAAAAAGCTTCTTTCAAATCAATGAATGGCCGCATCCATGGTCTATGTCTTCTATATAAACAAGAAAGCATCGAGCCTTCGATATAAAGAATCAAACACGCTCAACACCAACACTACTGGCAACCTTCTCATCTTGCTCAGTCTGGATATCACCATAAAGCTTAATCTCATGAGCCATCTTCCTGGCCTGTGAAACAGGGTTCCCGCCCCGAGAGAAGATCCAGTCAATATCCTCAAGACGCAGGTTGCTAGTCTCGGAATAGAAGAAGTAGATGATAGGGATGAATAGGAAGTTCGTAACCATGAAAATCAGGTATGCCTTCGACTGGATACGGTTGATGATAACTGGCGTGATCATAACAACCGTAAAGCTCCATAGCCAGTTGGAACTGACACCAATAGCTGTACCCTTTGTTCGCGCCTCCAGGGGAAGAATCTCGGGTACGTATACCCACGGCACGGAGTTGATAGACATGCCGTGAATTAACATGTAGAGGAAGAAGAAAGCGACAGAGGCGGAGGCATAGTTTGTGCCATTTGGTTGGTGGACTTGAGATAGGAGGGCTGCTACCATCATCATGCAGACTCCTAGACCGAAAGAGCCAAGCATCATTGTTTTGCGGCGGCCCATGCTGTCGAGTTTGAAGGCTGGAAGGAGGGAGCCGAGCATGAACATGATTTGGATGCAGCCACCGAGGATCTGAGAGAGTTGACTGGAGAGGCCGACTTTTTTGTCAAGAACGGCTGTGAAATGTTAGCACTGGCCTTGAATGGTGAGTGGAAGGATAGGGCGTACTCGGCACGAAATACACAACAAGGTTGATTCCTCCAACTTGATTCATGAGCTGGATACCCCACGCGAGAAGCACACGCTAGCCAGTCTTGACTTCGTCGTTCCGGAAGATCTTCCAGCTCAACTGCTTGTGAACTGAATCCTCAAGTTCGATGGCGGACAGGATTCCCCTGCGCTCATTGACGACAAACTCATCGTCTGGCTCTCGGTCATAAATAGCACAGAGGACCTCCATCACTTCTTGCTCCTGGTCATGATTCATGAGCCAGTGAGGGGGCTCTGGCAAGCCAAATACCAATACAATGACAAAGATCGCAAAGAGAATTCGCATCGCAATCGGGAGACGCCAGGCGATGGGACCGCCAACGAATGATATGCCGAAGTCTAACCAGTATGCAACGACGATTCCTACGGCCGTGAAGAGGACTTCAGAGGAAATTAGGCGACCTCGGGTCTTGCCCTCACACATCTCTGTTCGCATTCAGAATTGTTAGCACAGCCCTGGGGATTTCAAGGAACAGGGCTCTTGCTTACCAGCCTGGTACATTGGAACAGTACTCGTTTTCAAATCGGTGCCCGCACCAGTCACCAATTGTCCAATAATCAAATGTGACACCGTGGAAGCCGTGGTTTGCAGGACTGCACCGACGATGACAACGCCCATGGCGAACCAGATAGTCCTACGACGACCAAGCTTCTCGCCGATGAAGAAGTTCACTGTTCGTGTCAGTCATGGTACCTCGAGATGGACATTTTCAATGGTCGACTTACCCAAACATCCCAGGAGACAGCCCAAATTATAGCAACTGACAATGATACCCTCTTCCGAATCATTGGGGTAGTTGAACTGTTACCTCCAGTCCTCGTTTCCGACAATACCACTGAACACACCCTGGTCATAGACAAACAAGATAAAAGCCACCAGACAACAGGACGTGACAGCCACCTGCAGGGACCGACCCCTTCCATACCAAGAACGTATGATGGTAGAGGTTGTGGTGACTATAATCCGGGGGAAAGCCTGCAATGAATCATGAATCACAGAAGAAGACTCAATTGAAGCCAGAAATCTGGGGTCTACAAGCCATGCTTATATGGGCCGGCTGCGCTACGTATGAGGCCTGCATACCGACGATCCCACCCGCATCATGCGAGCGAAGCGATGAACCCATGAACGGGCCGTCCAATGGAGTGCGGTGGTGGGTTCTGCAGCGGATCCTGGATGGGATCTGGGGAACCTGGAGTTGAGCCATTAACGCGGAGTCTGGAGCGTCTAATGCTGGACCGTGACACTTTTCTCCACATGCGACTGAATGAGGCGAGCCATCCACGCATTTCCAAGTGCCAAGTGACGCTGCTCGGCTCTTGCCGACACTCTGGCGCTCCCGGTTTCCTCTTTGGGCGAGCGATGGAACAATGCTATTCCGTCTGACTATTTAGGAAATGTTGTTCGTCTAGGCAGCTGGAACCACCGCTCTACACAATTGAATAAGCGGCTCGTTATACTGATGTTTGGACTTGCTTCCCTTTGATATAAGAGGGCTTACGGGGCATCGTGGCTGATCTGGCACATTTACTAGGAACTCAAACCAAATGACGCTGACTATCTCGCCTGCAATCTTGTATTTCTAAAATCTAGATCTTTAATATCAGTTGCCCCCAATCCAATGTGAACTCCTTCTCGTCGCCTATCTATTGAAGGTGTAGTATGAACGGCTTTTTGTTAGGACGATCGATTGCTTTCAGAGTGTGGTGTTTGAATTGAATTGGCTTAGTGGTAATATAATTATCTTACATGGAGCCCAGCGCCTTATTATATTACAAAAGGGATTGGCTTTTGCTACTTGGTAGTCCCGTGTACAAAGGAAGGGGACAATAGATTCTTTTTTGATTTTTTGATTTTTTTTTAAACACCTAAGAACCCAAGTTCGACTGTTCCACGAAGGCATCTAAGATATATAGATCGGCCTGAAGCCGAAATGTTATCATCAAATTTGGAAAACAATTATCTGACCTCCAAAGCAGCGAAGCAGCGGGTACTGGTGCTTTCAAGGTTGACTCAGAGTAAAACCTAAATACCACGGGCTAAAACAGAGAAGTATGCTCATGCTCAAGATAAGTAGTCAACCCTAAAAAGTCTTTTTGAACTTGTGTACCTAAGGGAAATAAAGAAGAGTAATTCAATAAATATATGGATGAAATGGGCATCTATACAATGGCACGGCATGGCATTCTGATGCGGCCGTAGGCTCGAAATGGAATTTTCTAGTAATATATATGAGATATCACTATACCTTCATATTACAATGAGGTACAATGTATCATTCTTCCGGCCTTAACCTCCTAGCTTTAAAGTTAAATACGGTATTAGCAACGATTGAGGACCGGGTTCCTACTGAGTTATCGAGGATATTGCACACTTAGTAAATGCTAATTTACTACTCAATTCACTACCACTTCTTCTTTCACTTCCATTTTTTTCTAATCTCACTTCTAGTTATAATATCCAGGAATTAAGGCTGTACGTTAGTAAAAATTGTGATATTATAATAGCGGTGCTATTCTGTACAACGGATTACATAATGAGCCAGCCTCTGTGGCGTACTGTGGCTGGAGACACATTGATTGGTTCGCGGATCCCGCCTTGACTCTGTCATCCTCTCTCGTCTGAACTTGGAGCATCAAATATCCTTAGATCGAACCGGAGCATACCAGATACCACTCCTTTCATTAAAGTTTACAGCCGACCTCAGTTGGAATACTTCACTCTAATACAGGCTCTGTGATCTCACCATTCGCCAAAGAGTCATCAATCACTTCATTGTTCTCTATCCTACCAGGTCCTAATTCAATAGGGAAAGAGCTCTATTTATATATAAATATACGCAACTTGGGCATCATATTGGAACTTGCCCTTGCTAGGGGTATCACGAACTTCCCGCTGGTCCTGTCGCCAACGCACAATATCAACGGCCTCGGCAATGAGTACTACAAATCAGAGTACCACCCAAGGGACAGTGGTCGCCGATGAAAATGGCGAGTCTCTACGGCTGGATTCAGAATTTCATCTGGTGTCGTCACTAGCGAAGCTGCAAGAGCTAGAGCGCAAGGTAAGCAGCCCCTAACCAGCATTTTCTCCAAAGCCACAACCCCCAGGCTAAAAATGATAGATCCATGAACTACGGGAATTTATGCCTCAGGGCCTTTTGGAACCCCTGGTGCCTGTTTCAAACCCAGAGAAAGTCACAGCCGACAACCCAGTCGCTGAGACGCCGCAGATATTCCGTGAGAATCTGACCGAGGCTGCGCGAGCGCGCGTTGCCGATGTTCAGAGATTTCAGTCGCTCTGGCGGGATTCAAAGCTGAAGCCTGTCTGGGCACATGTTGAATCACGCATCAGTCAGTCTAATGGCCAAATTCTGCAGCCTTCAGGGAAGTGGGAGAAGGACTATGATGTTCTTCTTGAGGAATTATCAAAGAAGGAGAAGACGAAAGAGGATGATCGGAAGCGCGAGGAAGAAGATGCCGAGCGTGCCAAGGCTTTCTCTACTGAGGGGGAATGGCAGGCAGTTTTGGAGCGGTTTGTTCAGAGGAATGTGCCCGGTGTGCGGGTTCTCAAAGGTCAGGATGAGACTTCTTTGGCTGTGGCACTTGTTCGGGCAGGTATTGTGTTCCAGGTCCGGGGCGTTGCTGGGCGTGATACTCCTATCTCTGAGTGGGAGGTCTCAAGCAAGATTGTAGGTCGGGCGCTGACGAAATTGGAGAATGCCATGTTGGACTGCTTGGGCTTGCGTCCACGGAAATGGGATCTTGCGTTCTTGTTGGTATGTTTGATGCTGAATATGGTTATCAGAGCTGCGCTCACTTTATTTCCAGGATATGATCTCTTCTTATGCGGATGTCAAACAGACGCCGTGTGTCAAGTGCAATCGCTTGACCGACAGTGGCGCTCAACTCCCAACTCTCCGCCGACCTCAGCCATACCAGCAATCTACCGAAGGACCACGCATTTATACGTTCGACACTTTACATGCAGGTTGCATCTAGAGTCTGATTTCTTCCCACACGATCTCAATCCCATTCAGTTCACCCAAATCTACTACGCCTCAACCCCCATAAAACTCCAATTTTATAAACACAAGATATAAGTCCGATCAAAACACATCAATTCACTCAAGCACCAACCTTAACCAAATTCAACCTAAACTAATCCTCATGAGGCCCATAAATATTATCATGCCAATTCTCAGCGGGATAAAGCTCCCCATTAGGATCCCAATACCGTCTCGGAACGCGATGGACTTCAGGCCGTTCATACCACTTCCCCTTCCGAGACCCGTTGCAAAACTCAACCTGTCTCCACGTCGCGCGATTGGGGACTGTATAGGTCCTCGTGCGGAAATCGTATCGCTCGCCGGGTTTGCGCTTCACCCAAGGAAGGGGGCTGTATTTTGCTGCTTCTTCCTCTTCGTTTTTGGGGTCGATGCCCCATCGCGTCCATTCTTCTCTACTTGGTGCTGTTTTTGATTGGGAATGGCTGTGGCTGTGGGGGTCGTTGGTCTCGTTTCCCTGCTCGTTGGGGCTCGATTTGGATTTGAATTGGGGACCCTTGGTCACGCCAACGTATATGTCCGGCCCTTTGCCCTGGAGGACGTCTAGGAGGCGCCAGCATTTGGGCCATTTTCTCGGGTTTCCGGGGCGAGGGTCTTTGGGCCAGATCCAGCCTAGTTGGGGGGAGGTTGTCTTGTCTTTTTTAGCCATTGAAGGAATACATAGATAGACTAGAGCAACAGGGTAGCTTACTGGGGTGGAACAAACCGCTTCTTCTTATACTTTACTATACATTGTCGGGCACAGCGTTCTTTTCTTTCTTATGATTGTGTTTCTTCTTGGAACTGAGTCTGATTCTGAATTACAATGATAAAAAGCAAACATCTGGGGGTGTTTTTCTTTGTTGAAATAATAACATCAGATGTAATGCAGTGCAGCCCATTTCGTTTGGAGCATGATTTCGTTCGCGGGGGTCTCTGGTATGTCTGAGGCCTGACAATGGCATGGGAAGGTTCAAGTGTTTCTTTGTTTGCAGAACATATCATAATGAGCATAGGCTAGGTACTTTGATGTCATGTCTTAGGTTTGGTTCGATCCATGTCAAGAACAATTTCTTGACATTCTTGACTGCTGATGCAGCCATCCTCTGCACGAAACAAAGCATCTTCACAGCGTTTGCAAATAGCAGAGGGTGTAGAAAGTATATTGATGTATCCATCCGAAAATATAAGAAAGTAGAGACACCAATTGCTGAAAACCGCTTATTAGAATAAAGTAGATGCAAAAAAAATCAGAACATGTCCCATCCAATATCAACTTTGCTGAACGCCATTTTCTTGCTATTAAAACCCAGATCGCTTCGAAGAATGCAACGCCCATTATCGAAAATATGTTCGTAAGAAATTCAGTGTGATGTGGCTTAGTTCTTAGGACAATACGCCAGCACTCCCAGCGAACCAGGTAAAGGAGGCAAATGTAATGACGGCCATTCCGAACGTGAACTTGAGGGCCTGGCGAGTGGTTTCGGACAAGGCACCGCTGCAGGTGGCACAGTGGAATTCTAGAAAAGTCAGTCGTTTGCTTGTAGTTCAAGTGTTGTAAGAGAAACTCACCATTGAGCGGGGTGTAAGCCTGCGGGGTATACATTCCGAAGGAGTATCCGTTCTGCGAGCTCAAATGTCCGGCAGAAGCAGTGTCATCAATTTCCTTGCTGGAATCATAGACGAAGAGAGTATAAGTCGCTGTAAGCAACGGAATGGTGGCCGAACTCTGGTATTTTCCTGTATCCCAGATCACGCTTCCAGTGGCCTTCACACTCATGTTGGAGGTCAAAGTATATTCCTGCTTGTTCAAGCTGCACGAAGCCACGACATTGACCGCAGATGGTGTGACCGAGAGCGAAGTGTAGTTCCATTTGAAGGTCACCTCCTGACCGATCTTGTAATAGCTTGTAGACAAAGCATTCGGGGTGATCATGGACACGCCGCCAGCAGCGGCAGCGGGATCAATGGAAATGGAGGAGGTAGCGGTTGTCTTGGTCTTGGTGGTTTTGGTATTGGTGTTGGTACCAGTCGTTGTCTCCGAATCGGTCGCGGTCTTTGTATCGGTGTTTGTGCTAGTGATGGTATCGGACGAGGACGAGGTCTCAGACGCGGTGTTGGTAGAGGTCGTGGTGTCGGAAGTCGCTGCGTTGGTGGTGGTATCAGTAGTTTCGGCATTAGTGGTGTCTGCAAAGGGGGTTAGTGTTGACCAAAATAGCTTCGGATGGTTCTGCTGTACCTTGTCGCTTATCTAGGGAGTCGCCCAAAAACATTCCATTCCGGCTCCATGGCCAAGCCGAGGATAGTGTCCCGAGCAAAAGAACAGTGCAGAGCACAGTCAAGAAGAAAGACCGCATGTTGACGCTGGGAGCAAAAGTGAGGTGACTGGGAGGTTGAAGATCAAGCGATCGAGCTGATTGTCCCCTGGGCCGGAAGTGAGCTGGATTGATCACGCCCCTTGCACAACCTAGTGTGACTCGTCGAAAACGTTCCGACTATGTGGAAAACAGCGAACTCGTTCTTTCTCACCGGCCCAGAAATTCTGTTGCAGGTCGATCAACGCAACGTGGAGCGCAAAAGACCCTGATCCCTTGGCCGACAGTCTGGACCCTGAACCGTGCAGATCACCGGAATATGGGGATTGGTGCGGGAGTAAGACTTTGATGGCAACGACCGTGACTATGCAATATCGACAATAAACGAGTGTCTGTACAGAATCAAGAATGCTGAGAATGTGAAGGTCAAGAACTGAAGAGAAGAGGAAGACGACTGCGGGGCTAAGCCCAAATAGGTGAGACATCGGCTATTAATAGTTGCCACACTGTTGATGTTTTAAATACATTCTTGACTTCTGATTTGCCTCATTTCACATATTTAATAGACCTAGCTGAGAGTGCGTGGTAAGCGGTGCTTGCTTGTTGAGTTGCACGCCTGAAAATCTCACCTCTGGTCCTTATCGATGTAAACATTGCGAATATCATTGCTCGAACATGGTTTCCAGGTTCCACATTTACAAGCAACACATATGATCTTCGCTGGATTTCTAATCCTTCTTTATCTGAATATGTATAACCTTCTTGATAAGTTATTTCTTTCCATAGCAACTTCTAGATAACATACCTCTTATTGACGGTAGTCGTTCCCCGTCAGGCTCGATCTACACCAAAGTAAGATTGAAATGCTGAGTTCTCGATTCAACGCAGTGCTTTGAATTTGGCTAGATGGACGTGGTCTGGGTGCTCTGTGCATATATGCTTCAAATATCTGGTCGCCAAAAGAGCAGCTACTTTAACACCGAAGCAGGTGTGATCGACAAATGCTCGACACCGGGAGATGAGACTAGATTGATTTGACTCAAGCTACTGGCGAGATTAAGCTATAGATCTGAAGACCCCTTCTGGTAACGGTGGAGTTGACTAATTCACATGTTTTGACCTCGGCAATTTTTGTTTTCTGTTCTAATCAACACTAGACATCATGAATCGTCTGCCACAAAAGATTTTGAGTCAATACGACAGTGTATGCCATTCACGTTTGTCACACAATGTGATTTTCAGAGTGTACCGAGGGTGAGAGAACTTGCAAGAAGAGAAAAGGAGATACAGCATGGGTTTGTATCAACGAAAAGAGACATCAACTTCCTAAAGGATCTGGTCGATTTTTTTATGAGATATGGGCATCTGGGCCTAGGGGAGATAGCTGGGTTTCGATTTCTGGACATGACAGCTTTCCTTTGCAGCCGTATAATGCTTTAGTCGAGTGAGGACTTTTAATTTGTGCAATATTTATACTCGAAATGCATACAGGAAGATCATAAAGCTTTTAACAACCATATTTGATCAGCCCATTAATTTCAAACACAAGAAATGATAGCTGGCATTTGCCTCCTTGTAACAACACCGGGCGTAGAAGACCGAGGTCTAAGCTAGCTATAAGCTGTCGGATAGCAGCATCACGTCTTTCACAAGCTTGATTCAATCATTAAAATGGAGGTATTGGAAGAAGATTTCTAAACAGTGGACGATGGGCTCGTTATTTGTACATGATTAGCATTTCTAAAGGGGCGTATCTAGAATTATCTTGAGTCTGACAATGGTGACTTTTAATAGAGCATAGGGCAGTCGAACTGGATAACAAATACGTGATAAAAAATACGTGAAAAAAATGATTGAGTTCAAGGTATGAGAGTAAATCCATGTAATGGCATGCTCCCTCCGATTGTTTAATAATCATCGGTGGCAATACGTCTATCTGTATGACATATGTTAAAGAATTCCAAGGTTGCTACAGTACCCAGAAGAATACAGCCCAAACATGGTTTATTCTTCGGCATGACCATCTTTTCTGGAGCTCTACCTGAGTAAATACTAAAACGAAATGTTGAACCGAAGCCCGTATGGCCTATTGACCAACCACTAGCAAGCACACACACACACACACCCACCCACCCAAAGCCATCAAGAACTAGGTACTAAATGAGAATGACACCCTTTCGGCCTTCCCGAGAAAGTAAAATCGTCTGACGCGGGGGTGGCGATCCAAACGAGAAATAAGAAGCTACAGTGAAACCCACTTGCAGTTGACTGATCATGAGCTTCTAGGCATAGCTAGAAAAGCCGGATCATTTTCACATGGTTGAGGGGTTCCCAGTGAATCATACACATCCCACTCTAGGTCAATCCATAGATCCGTCATACACATAATCCAAAATCAGGGAATCAATAGAACAATCATCAATAATGGCAATAAGAGACCAGCTCTATACGCCGATGTATGTAGAGGGTATAGACTATACAATGAAGTTCAAATCCAAATACAGTATTTTCAGATACATGGTCCACGGGTATGTAAATAACTCAGAAACGTACGGATGCATCACAAATGCTTTCAACCAAGCTCCGAACCAAAACTAACCGCCTCTATACATGGTATTTGGGATACCCTTAAGCAGAGGACTTGGGCACAATCTCCAAGTTGATCTTATCACAGCCAGTAGGCAAAGCGGGCTGAGCAACGTTCTTGTTGAGGTAGTGCAAGTTGGGGTAGAACTGGCCGGCAGCGGCGTCGACGGGGCACCCTGTATGGCAAACATGTTAGATACGATTTCGTCATGGAGGGAGAACAACCTTGAAAGGTTTTGGGGTGACACTCACACAACCATCCACCCCAGCTGCTGGCAGGGCCCTGCAAGCCCTTAGGACCGATGGTGAAACCCTTGGACCCGGTGGTGGGGTCGACGCTGACCTGGGCGCGCTCCTTGCGGACGCCTATGACAAATGGTTAGATCTTGAATTAAATATAGAGAATGGTAAAGGAACCGCATGCATACCGTTGACCTTGATTAGATCCAGAGCCCAGGGGGTAGAGACATCGCCGCTATCCCAGCGGACGGTACCGTTGTTCATGTAGAAAGTGGCAGCTCGCTTGGCGGGGGCGCCGGCGAAGAGGGCCTCGTTGTTGAGGGGGTCGTTGATGATACCACGGCCGACGGAGAGGTACATGTCGTTGTGGGTGCTGTTGGCGGCGCCGGAGGTCTTGAGGTTGAAGAGCTTCTCGGCTGGGGCGGCGGCCACGGCGGAGGCCAGGAGAGTGATGGTGGCCAGGAACTTCATTTTGATGTTGATGTTGATGTTGAGGTTGAAATAATGAATGAACGAAGTAGGAGTATAGAATTATGAGAGTAAGGAGAATTAAAGTGAACGGGTTTGATCAAGAGGGGCTTATACAACGGGATTGTGGCGTCCTTTTATACCTACGGAGTGAACGGGGTATGCTTTGGCACCGGAGGCGATGAACGCATGAACTCATGGTCCACGGTGGAGTTTACCGTCTGTAATGATTGTCGATCCGGATTGAGATCCTTGGATCAAAATAGAAGCGAGTTGTTTATCTTCCGTCTTCCGTGTGAACCGGTATACTTTGATCTATAGACACCCATCTACCTCGAAAGGCACAGAGTACAGTAAACCACCACTCACCGTCACTTCAACCCCCTACGCCCTGATTCAAATCTGTTTCACGCACATATAATCAGCACGCAAGGCACAGACTGCCACAAAGCCCCATTGGGATGCTTCAAACGCGCTCCCAACTCCGAGACCGACCCTACCCAACCGGACAAGGCTGATCCACGGGGTTAGAAGCTGGTATGGGGTAAATGAAGGAAACAGTCCCCACATGGTGATTATAATCGACATCGTGGAAGTTCAAGTGAGTGGGTTCCTGCATTACCTGGCAACTCCGCGCCAGTCAGGGTTGCGATCGAGTGCAGATCTCATCCACCGTCTATGCGCTAGGGAAGACCTGAGACAAGATGTGCAATGACGGTCAACATCTCTACCCGAAGACGATCAGACGATCGAAAATAACGTGGTTTTGTGTCAGGCGATTTGATTTCCGCTGCTTATTTGTGGTGGGAGTACTGATGCAATCTCGGTGCCACACGTCTGTTCCTTGTTAGGATGTACTTTTACCCTGCACACTGTTGCAACTCGATACAGCGACTTCTTCACTGCCAAGCCGTGGAGCTTCCCCTGAATTTGGGTGGATGCGACATTTGCACGAATGTCCTGCCTAATTTGCTTCACCTCGCTTGTAGAGGGATGTGGCCCCTGTCGCAAAAATAGAATGATCCACTGAATGCCCCCTTTCTTGATGTTATAGCCGGATGATATCATCCGTCGCAAGGATTAACTGATGGGGCATTGTGCGTAGTGATTTTCAGTAAATTATGCTTTGTACACTTGCAAAAAGCACTCATGAATTATGAGCGATTTGATCAAAGTTGAGGTGTATGAAACAACGTGGCCGACGATGAACATTCAAAACAGGGGTCCACGGGGCGCATATAAGCAACGCCCGGTGGACAAGGAAAACTCTTAGTCTGGAATTAGTGTCAATAAAGTACTTACGACCCATATGCAGCAGCGCAGTCAGCAATTAGTTTGTGAATTAATAAAACTACCCAGGGTATCTGCATTGTTATTCGTTATATCATGAACTCGCGATCTTACACATCTCCAAAAAAAAAAAAAATAACAAACACCCATGAACACCATCTAGCACTGACAAGATTTAGCGTCTCTGACTCTGGTTGCCAGCATTGCGAGTAAATTCAGGCTTCAGATTCCACCGACCTCGACCACCCACACGATCAAGCGTCGCGACCGTCTTCAGCGATTCCTGGAACTCGGCCACACGCTCTGGGGTGTGACAATAATGATTGAAATGCTCAACAATGGTGTGAGAGAATGTCGGACCACGACGAGAAGCAAGGTAATCCCGAATCATTGGGAGGAAATCCTTGCCACGGGGCATCCGGGCAGAAGAGGGACCAGCGCGAGCGCCATTGCCATTACCAGTCGTTCGTGACGCCGCAGCTGGGTTCAGGTTGGCCAGCAGACTGGCAGATGAAGGACCATCACGGTTAGACCGAGCAGAGCTACCACCGGCTGAGGAATCGGAGCGACCAGCGATTCCAAACTGACCAGTCCAGGTCGGGAGGCCGATTGGGATGTTGCGGGCTTCTTGTTCGGCTTGGCGGAGGCCTGCAGCTGCTTCGTTGGCTACTCGGCGGGCTTCGGCTTCGATCATCTTAGGGTCAGCGCGGATGACACGACGGCCGTTGACGATTTGGTCGTGTTCCAGGGCGGAATGGACGCCGGAGCGGGCGAAGATACCATGCATGATGCGGTCTTCGGAGGATTTGGAATTTTTTTCTTCTTCAACGGTATCTTTGAATTCTTCGATCTTGGCAACTCCGTCCACTTTGAGATCCTCATCTTCGGTCTTCATAACGGGCTCACTCTTGCGTCCTCGCTTCTTCTTGCCGCCGGGGTCTTCGGTCTCTTCCTGATATGTAACTTCTGCATTTTTAAAGAGCTGGGTTGTCTCTAATTCCTTGTCATCCTCATCTGTAAGGGAGAACAGGTCATACAGATCACTCAGCTGGAAGCCTTCCCGCTGGTGAGGATCACGAGTGATCTTGTTAGTCAAGAATTGCTTGAAGATTTGGCGGTGATAGATCTTTTCTTCGATCGTGCCTTTGGTCATCAAGCGGAAGATCGTGACATCACGCTTCTGGCCCAGACGCCATGCACGCTCGCGCGCTTGCAGATCGGTCGATGGGTTCCAGTCGGGATCAAAGATAATGACACGGTCAGCACCTGTCAGGTTCACTCCGATCCCACCCACACGAGTGGTGAGCAAGAAGACGTGGATGTCGGGATCCTGATTGAATGTGTCAACCAGGGACTGGCGCTCCTTGATCGGTGTAGTGCCATCCATTCGGCGGTATTGGAAACCACCCAGACTATTGAGGAATTTCTCGATGATGTCCAGCATCAGACGACCCTGGGTGAATAGTAGCGTTTTGTGGCCGGTATCTCGCCAGACCTCGAGCAATCCCTTTAGGACTAGCATCTTGCCAGACTGCTCCAAATTACCATAGTCCGCCTCGCGAGACCGCAATTCGTGGTCTGCAAGGTCGGGATGGTTGCAGATCTTGCGTAGGATGTCAATGCCGAAGAGTGAGTTTCGCTTGCCGGTGCAGATGGATCTCATATCATCCGAGCCAAGGAACCTTTTGTAAATGGTTCGTTGAAGAGCGGTCAATTTGCAAAAGATGACCTGCTCGCTTTTCTGTGGTAGATCAGATGTTACATCAGCCTTGAAGCGCTGTAGCAAGTACGGGCTGATTGCGTCCTTCAGGGTCTCTGCACATTTTGCAGCAGTCTGCACTTGAAGATTAGATGCAGAAGCATATCCTCCTTGGCGGATGGGATTCTCAAACTGGTTCTTGAAGGTAACGAGGTTGCCCAGGCGCATTGGGAAAACAAAGTCAAACAGGGACCACAAGTCTACCAGACTGTTCTGCATGGGTGTTCCGGAGAGAATAATACGATGGGGAGTACGCAGTTCCTTGCAGCTGAAGGTAATGCCGGCATCCGGGTTGCGAATTTTGTGCCCTTCATCAAGAATGGCACATCCCCATTCCACATCAACAAGAGCATCCGCATACGACTGCAGGCCTGAGTATGTAGTCACCAAGACGTGGCCTTCTTGGGTGACTCGCTCGATGATCTTCTTGGCTGCCTTTTGGCCAGCAGATAGACGGCCCGAGCTGCGACTTCCCATCATTTCGGATGTGAGTGCACTCTCTCGACTGCTTTCTTTTCCAAGGTTCATCATGCCGCTTCCTGATGAGTGTAAGATGGAAACCCGGAAAGCTGGCCACCAGCGATGAAATTCATTGACCCATTGCTTCATAAGCGTTGCAGGGCAAACAATGATAGCCGGCTTTGTGAACTTTTTGCTATGGTGCAGTGATGCAAGGTAGGCAATCGCCTGGATGGTTTTTCCCAATCCCATTTCGTCGCCGATGATACCACCCACGGTTTGCTGGTGCAACTCCCATAGCCACTGAACACCAGTCTTCTGGTAGGGGAACAGGTAACGACTGATATCTCCAGGCACGCGCAGGCCGTTGTCAAGCTCCATGGCTGGTTCAGTGGGATGCGGCTTGAGCCATTCATCTTCCTCGTCCAGCTCATTCTCGATGGAGTGAGTTGTGGCTTCCCGTCGAGCGGAGCTACGCCGACTGATCCATTCCTGGACTCGAGCCCGGTAGATTTTCTCATCGCCATCATCCATTCCACTCAGATCTTCGAGCTCACTCTTGCCTTTGGCTGGTTTGCGCTTACGGCTTGGCTTGGCTTCGGGCAGAGTATCAGGCATGAACTCTTCATCTTCTGATGCATCATCGGCACCTTCCGAGGTGACATAGCTTGCAGAAGAGTCTGCTCCTGGGGGACTGGTCCGAGCGACCTTTCTGCGTTTGGTGCTGCTCTCTTCAAAGTCGAAATCAGGGCGTGCAAGATCACGATGGGATGCAGCCGGCTCATGCTTGGCCTGTTCACGCTCCTGTTCCTCATTATATTGATCCTCTGTATCGACAAGTGCATCCTCGAGGTTCGCAAGCGGTCCATCTCTGGATCCCGCGTTCATCAACGCAAAGGGAGTAATCTTTCCGGTACGCAGGAGGTAGTCACGGCGCGACTCGTTCGGTAGCCTCCCAGATCCATGGGCGTCTGTCGCATTCTCTTGCGACTGGCGCCTCTCATCAATTCGTTGTTGAATCTCCTTTAAGTCTTTGATCAGACCGGCCTTGCGCACTTCCAATCCCTTCAACTCATTTTCAACACGATGGCGGGTGGCGGTCCCGACGGACTGGGTAAGGCGCTGGTGCGCTCGGCGGACCTGACTGTCGATACGTCTGACATAGATATTAGTGCTGGTATTCACAAAAGGGATTTGCTGCACGTACTCTCTCTCCACCAGGACTTTTTCGAGTCGCTTAATGTCATTCTCCTCCGCCTTTTCGGCAAGAGCCTTATCCGCCTGGGAATAGAGTCAGTCTAGAATAAATACGAGTCGATGGCTAAATCATACCTGCCGAGTGATGTCTCTCTCGAGGTCATCTTGGTTGCGAACATCGGCCTGGAGGGCCCGGAGGCGACTCGCCTCCTCGTGAGAAGACATGATAAATTAAGGGTGTAAAAAGATTGTATGGAGTAAAGATAAAGGAGAGACTAAAGTAGTGTGTATGGAAGTGAGTGCATAGTGGCCGCTCAATGGAGCAAATACATCAAGCAAAGGCAGTGATCAAGTCTTGTTCGAGACAATCTTTATCGCAGAGTGGCACAATCAGTCACCGCTTATGATACCGCTCACGTTACTTTATGAGTCATCAATGAGGTAATCCGGGGTCTAGCCCTCTATTGTTGATGAATCAACGATGTAGCAAGGATGAACATAGGGGGGATGATGTATTTCATCTGACTAAATAGCAACCTAAGATGATTTGTGAAGTCTGCTATCTTGGCAAGGGGCCTGCCCACGGTGATTCACCACTAGAGAAATCAAAAAATACCTATAAAGGCAAGATAAACACACATCCTCCCCCTCGCTGATTGAACAAGTGACGATGAAGACCAATTTTCATGCTGCTGCACTGGCTGTATTAACAAATAAGATGTAGAGTGTGTGGTTTTGAGGAAAGCAGTATGATGTAGCGTAAAGTATCGACCAATCTACATCGTACACATCGGGCTCACAGCGAGAATACGGTTTTATACATTATATTTCTTCCTATTTTGGAATCTTCTTCACTTACTGCCAAGTGCTTTAAGCAGCAGACGTTTGAAAATACTACCTGCATCACCTGGGTCATATATATCGCTGGATATCTAGGATCCATAGCTTATAAATCTGCTATCCGTCGCTATTTTGGACAGGAAAAGAGGTGGAGGGACCTAAACCGAGATATAAAACAGGACCTATCATCTCTGGATTATATTCAAGGTCATAAGATATATCTGACAGCTCATCGTTGTGTACTCTTGTTGATCGGCTTAACATATGACATAGTTCTAAATTTATACTCTAGTTGCTATAACAACTACTCACTTGTGGGATGAGAAGTACAGTAGTAAATAACTATAGACTATAAGCATTTGATTGTATATGACCTATATCCTCGACTGTGTATAGCCAAGTCGGACAAATGACACATGAACATTAGGCAGTGACAGTTGGGTATGTAATGTCGATCGCGAAGAGTCACGTCGCCAAGGAGACCACAATCCAGATAGTAAGTTAAAGAAAGCTGTCCTGAGTTTGGATTAACATTATAGCTGTAATAAAAAGTCTCATAACGATAGCCTAAACTTACAAATATGAGATGCATTCTGTAGATCCTGGCGGGTATAGGCAAAGTTCACCAACCTCCACACTTCTTCCTTTTCCCCTCTTTACTGTATCTGCTGTATCTTCTGTGTGTGAACTGTTGATGCCATCCCTGCTCTTGTTGGATTCCCGCCATTCTCGGGTGCCAACAACCTCCAGACTTGCCTAAATCCTCAAGCCGCCTACGTCTACTGCGTCGCAACCAAATTGCGACCGCCCCCCCCTCCCCCTTCGAACTTGACTTCACCAACAATTCCCTGGAATAATGCAGCGCAGCTCGATCTCATTCTAATTCCAATTCCTCTCTGTCTCTCCCTCGAATTGCGTTAGAATTCTACCGCATTCCTAGTGCCCGTCCCCGCAACCCACGATCCCGATCGCAGTGCGCAGTGCGCGAAACGGTGAGCTCGAGTCTCGCCATTCGTTCGCGAAACACATACGATGGACCCTGGTTGGCAACCGTATCAGGATCCTCTCATGGGTCACACTGCGCAGTTTAACACTTCGTTGGCATCTCATCCTCAGCAACTAGCCTCCAAATACGGTCAGCCACAGTCACAGCCCCCCGTCGGATACACATACGAGTCCTTCCAAACTCCTGGCACTACATCGAAGCCTCCTTCAGCGGGCACCAACTCCAAAACTGTCTCGATGGCTTCATCGCCAGCCGCCACCCCCCGTCGGGATTATGTCACCGATGCGGATACCACTATGGAGGACGCCGACCCGTACAACCGGGCAAAGTACCCTTCGAGGCCAAACCACAATCGCGCCTCTTCTCAGTTTTTGAATCAGGCAGAGGAAAGTTCGGCCTCTTCGGCCGCTCGCAGATATTCTCCGATGAATGTCTTGTCGCCGCCGATGTCATATCCCACTAGCCCTGGGAAAGCCCAGAGCTCTTATGGATTCCCGCCCGGGCCCCAGAGTGCTTCTCGACGGTCGCCTGCGCGACCTGAATACGCATCACCCCCACAGGGATACCAATCGCCAAGTGAGTACTAACTTAATGAGCAGGTCAGCTTTCACAGGCGTGCTAATTTCTCGACAGCAAACCGCGCCCCTCGACTACCACCCCTCCAATCCGGTGACCTCAGCCCTGATCAATACTACCCAACCTCGGCCTCCTCCCACATGAGTCCTGGATTTGGAGATTCGCGATCTCCGCGATCTGGCTCGCTGCCATCTCAGCCTCCTCTGGTCCCCGGTCGCGGTCCGGTCCCGAAGTTCCAAAAGATCCAGTCTGTACAGGAACTGCAGCCACGCATGAATGTACAGCCCGCATATCGACGCGCTAATCCTGAAGGTGGATTCATCTCCGTGAGTCCTCAGCATATCCCGCTCGTCCATCGTCATCCTAACTAGCCCGTTCAGCCACTTCAATCGTTGACAACCCACCTTCCGGCCACGTATCGCATTTGCAACCCTGGATTCAACTATGAGTCTTCACGGAACCCGCGACGGGTATTGACCAAGCCGAGCAAAGGTGTCAAGAACGATGGTTATGACAATGAGGATAGCGATTATATCCTTTACGTCAACGATATCCTCGGCAGTGAGGAAGCCGGTCACAAGTACGCCCACACGTTCTCTTGTCTAGTTGCCATCCAAACTAATTAGTTTTTTCAACCGCAGGAACCGATACCTCATTCTTGATGTGCTAGGCCAGGGTACCTTTGGTCAGGTCGTGAAATGCCAGAATCTCAAGACGGGAGAAGTGGTGGCGGTCAAAGTCATCAAGAACAAAACCGCCTACTTCAATCAGAGTATGATGGAAGTCTCCGTGTTAGACCTGGTAAGCTTCCATCACATGTGCAAGCCCTATGAACGTCCGCTAACTCTTTACAGCTCAACAGCAAGTACGACAAGAACGATGACCACCATTTGCTTCGTCTCAAGGATACTTTCATCCACCGGCAACATTTGTGTCTCGCATTCGAGCTTCTTAGTGTCAACCTGTACGAGCTCATCAAGCAAAACCAATTTCGTGGATTGAGTACAACCCTTGTTCGCGTGTTTGCCCAACAACTGCTGAACGCGTTGAGTCTGTTGAACAAAGCGCATCTTATTCATTGTGATTTGAAGCCCGAAAACATCTTGCTCAAAAATCTCGAAAGTCCAATCATCAAGGTTATCGATTTCGGTTCCGCTTGCGATGAGCGACAAACAGTCTACACCTACATCCAGTCGCGATTCTACCGTTCCCCGGAGGTGCTGCTTGGTCTGCCCTACTCGTCCGCTATCGACATGTGGTCACTCGGATGTATCGTCGTGGAACTGTTTTTGGGTCTGCCGCTTTTCCCAGGCTCATCAGAGTACAACCAGGTCTGTCGAATCGTCGAGATGTTGGGTATTCCACCAACTTGGATGCTTGAGATGGGTAAGCAGTCAGGCGAGTTCTTTGAAAAGACTCAAGATGAGTTCGGAAGGAAGACATACCGTCTCAAGAGCTTGGAACAATACTCAAGGGAACACAACACGAAGGAACAGCCCAGCAAGAAATATTTCTCTGCTTCGACGCTGGAGGAGATCATTCGCAGCTACCCGATGCCCCGGAAGAACATGAAGCAAGCAGAGGTTGAGCGAGGTAAGGTCAAATTCGCTCCATGTTTGGCATCATACTAACCTTCCTAGAACTGAACAACCGGGTCGCATTCATCGATTTCGTGCGCGGACTCCTCTCGATAAACCCCCTCGAGCGCTGGTCACCTCAACAAGCCAAATTGCACCCATTCATCACCCAGCAAAAGTTCACCGGGCCTTTCATGCCACCAATGAACCTCAAGTACTCGACTGCCAGCAAGCCCGCCCCTGGCGTTGAGCAGCAACAGCGTGCCGAAGCCGCCAGCAAACAGAGAGCGGCGCAGGCAGCGCATGCGCAGAATGCCTACTCCATGCAGATGAACCAATTCCACACGCCACCACAAACCCAGCCTCCGCCCATGTACAACGGCATGTATCAGGGCGCACCACCTCCATACCCCACCCAGCAACCGCCAGGCTATGGCCACCAAATGGGAATGATGCCAGGCCCAGGCCCCGGTCAGGTTCCCCCTCAGAGTCTCTACGCACAGGCAACAACACGCGCAGGTCGTCAACGAGCTTCTACTATGGATCCTCAGGGTATTCCAACCACTATCCAGCGAGTAGCGAGCCATTTGGATCCCAACGCGCCGATCCGACTCCAGCCCAGTCCCGCATACTATCCCCCTCCCCCTGATGGATATGTGGACGCAAACGCCAACCAAAGAAGGCGCGGCAGCCGAGCAGCAGCCAGCGGCGGTGGCAACCAACGCAACCGCGACTTCATCCGCACCCTCGAAGACGGCGTGTTGAGCGAAGGATACATGGGTCAGAACCAATGGCACTAGAGCATCTGAGCAGAGGGTATCTGTCACGTCCCATGTTTTGACATGAGAGCAGGCCCGTCGATACTAATCTGTCGATACTTTTTCCTTACCCTGAACCCGCGCCATGACTCTTCAGCGCACTGTGTCTGTAGAGCCTGCTCGCTCTATTGACCCGATCCTCTCGCCAGCCAACCTGCCTCCCCTTACTCGGCAGGTCCTTGTCGGTGCATGAGTCACAAAAAAGCCCTTCAAGGGCAGTGGGTGGACGCGGTTTACAAATGATCTCCGACCGCTGATACACGATCTGCATTTTGCATTGCTTGCTAGCGCTCGATCGATCTGCACGCTCGCCCCCGCGAGTCCAGTGCCCATCAGTGGTCCAGGCCAAGAGGTCATCCGCATTATCAGCCCCCTTATTTTATTGCGTTCCTCACTGTGTTACGATTCCAATTATGTTGTGCAATTTCCTGTTTTTTCTTTTTGCTAGGCAATGGTTTCTGACTACCTGTCTTCTTCTTTTCATGATGTCTTGTGTGTTTTTCTCTACTCGGCATAGCCTGGAGCTTGAAAGAACGATTTTCTCTGCTCTGCTTTTTGCCATGCCTCCTCGTAAATCTGTTGCTTCTTTCTAAATTTGGATTTACTTGGAGGGTTGGCCCATGTTCTGTAATTTTCCTGTTTGGGATGGTTTTTTTCTAAGCCTGCTGAGCATAGTATCCTGCGTTGGTTCTAGTCTGGCCTCTAGTTTTTTTTTACCTTGTATACAGTAGTAGAACTGAGTTATGACCAATGGAAGCATAGCAACGATCAAGTTAAATTCCTAACAGATACTCCCGAGTTTTGCTCGCGTGGTTAGATATGGTGGTGTCGTTCTGTCATAATGTTAATAGGTAATGGGGTGATTCTGATATACCATATGATTGTGATTAAATAGTCGGCAATAATATACACCAAACCTCATGCACACCAAATCAAAACCCCATGTACGGTCCGTAAACAAAAAATATGGAGAATTGATGGAGTTGATAGACCTCTTTGTCCTGACTCGGCCTAGTCCTAATCGGGTTTAGTCAACCCCTCGCTTAAATTTCGTGTGTGGCTCGCTGCGGGAACCAACTCAACTTTCAGACGGCGACGACCTCACTTTCCCCTTCGGATCGCCATTTCCTATTACCGAAACCGAAAACCGCAATCATGGCGTCGCGTTTCTTCTACGGCTCCGGCAGCGACAGCGACAGCTCGTCTGATGAGGAGGAGGAGGTTTACCAGTCCGGCTCTGAGGAGGAATCCTCTGATGACAACTCCGACTCCGACTCCGACTCTGGTTCCGACAGCGACAGCGAAGGCGAGGGCAAGGAGAGCGGCAAGGGAGCCAGCGCTTTCTTGCACGACTCTTCCGGCAGTGAGGATAGCGAGGAGGAGGAGAAGGTTACGATCGTCAAGTCTGCTAAGGACAAGCGTCTGGAAGGACTTGAGAACACCATCAAGTTGATCGACAATGCCGAAAAGATCAACGACTGGGCTGTTATTGCCACTGGTGAGTGACACCATATTCCGGGGATTCAAAACTTTTTGTGGTTTGGGGTCTCGGAAAACTCCGCGAAGGCGAAATATCTGGTAGGAGAATAGCATCAACTGACAGGCTATGATTCACAGAGTTCGATAACCTCAACCGTCAGATCCTCAAGATCACCGGCCCTACCCCCAAGATCTACATCCAGGCCGTTGCCGAGCTCGAAGACTTCACCAATGAGACCGTCACCAAACAGAAGGCCTCCAACAAGAAGATGAACGCCAGCAACAGCAAGGGTTTCAACGCTGTTAAGCAGAAGATCAAGAAGAACAACAAGGAGTACGCTTCTTTGATCGAGAAGTACCGCGCCAACAAGGATGAGTTCATGGCCAGCGACGTCGAGGAGAAGCCCACCCCTGCCCCTGCTCCCAAGCCCACCAAGGTTGAGCGTATCGAGAACTTTGCCGCTGCCGCCGCTGCCGGTGGTGAGGACGATGGTTTCGCTACCGTCGGCCGTGGTGGTAAGACTCTCCAGTACACCCCGGAGAGCATCCTCAAGCACCTCCGCGTCATCGTCGAGTCCCGCGGAAAGAAGAACACCGATCGTGCCGACCAAATTAAGACCATGACCAAGCTCCTTGAAGTGGCCACCACCCCCTACCAGCGCATCCGCACTCTCATGACCCTCATCTCCACACGTTTCGACCTCACCAGCACATCCAGCACCAACTACATGAGCCCCGAGCAATGGAAGGCCGCCGACGAGGAGTACTCTACTCTTCTGACTGTGTTGGAGGACAACCGCAGCTTCATCATCAGCGAGAGTGCCGATGAGTGGGAGGATGATGAGAAGTCGCCTACCGTTGAAGAGGGCGAGACCTTCGCCATCCCCGGTTCCATTGTTTCTTTCATTGAGCGTCTTGACGACGAGCTCACCCGCTCTCTTCAGCAGATCGACCCCCACACCGCTGAATACATTGAGCGCCTGAGCGACGAGCAGACCTTGTACAACAACCTCGTCCGCTCACAACTGTACGTCGAGAGCCTTGGTGAGGCCGACAAGAACGGAAAGGAGTCCATGAACAGAGTTGTTATCAGACGGTTGGAGCACATCTACTTCAAGCCCGCCCAGGTTGTCTCCATTCTTGAAGAAGCCAAGGACAAGGCCGTCCCCACCAAGATCAACTCCGCTGTGACTGCTGGCGCCAAGGCCGGTGACATTCAGAGCCTCGTTGCTGCTATCTGCAACTACATGTTCCAGAACAGCGATGGCATTCCCCGTGCCCGTGCCATGCTTTGCCAGATCTACTTCCTCGCCCTCCACGATCAATACTACAAGTCCCGTGATTTGATGCTCATGTCTCACCTTACGGAGTCTGTTTCCTCCATGGATATTGCCAGCCAGATCTTGTTCAACCGCACACTTGTTCAGATTGGTCTCTGTGCCTTCCGTGCTGGTCTCATCTACGAGGCCCAGAACACCCTTGGTGAGATCTGCGGTAGCGGTCGCCAAAAGGAGCTGCTCGCTCAGGGTCTTATTCTGCAGCGTTTCGCCAGCTTGAGCCCCGAAGTTGAGAAGGCTGAGAAGGCCCGCCAGCTGCCCTTCCACATGCACATCAACCTTGAGTTGCTCGAGTGTATCTACCTCACCTCCAGCATGTTCCTCGAAGTTCCCCTCATGGCCCAGACCTCGTCCTCCCCCGAGCTGCGCCGCCGCATGATCTCCAAGACTTTCCGCCGTATGTTGGACTACAACGAGCGCCAGGTGTTCACCGGTCCCCCCGAGAACACCCGCGACGGTGTGATCCAATCGGCTAAGCTTCTTGCCGCTGGCGAATGGAAGAAATCCGCCGAGTCCCTTGCCGCCATCAAGATCTGGGACCTCATGCCCCAGCCCGAGAAGGTCAAGGCTATGCTCTCCGAGCAGGCCCAGGAGGAGGGTCTCCGCACCTACCTCTTCACATACGCTCCCTTCTACGACAGCCTCTCCATCACTTCTCTAGCGGCCATGTTCGAGCTGAGCAGCAAGAAGATCGTCTCCGTGATCTCCCGCATGATCTCCCACGAGGAGCTCGCCGCTGCCCTCGACCAGGTCAACGACGCCATCATCTTCCGCAAGGGCGTCGAGCTCTCCCGCCTCCAGTCCCAGATCGTCACCCTGGCCGACAAGTCCATGAACCTCCTCGAGTCCAACGAGAAGACCCTCGAGCAGCGCACACAGGGTATGGCCAACGCCTTCCAGCGCGAGCACGGCCCCGGCGCCCGTGGTGGCCGTGGCGGCCGCGGTGGTGGTCGTGGTGGTGGTCGCGGTGGTGCCCGTATCCCCCAGGGAGACCGGAGACCCGGCGGCCAGCAGTTCGGCGGTGGTGCATTGGGCGCAGCGATCAAGGCTTAGATTTTCTGATGTAATGGCATGTTCTTTCTTCCTCCTTTTTCTCAACACTCTTCACGGTTTTCTCATTTTTCTCTCTTGTCCATCCATCCCCTCGTGTTAGTACGACCGTTCCTTGTTTTTAGGTCGGAAAAATTGCCCGTCTTTCTGCGTTTTTTACTTTTGTGATTGATCTCTATGATATTCACGTATGAAATGATCGAGAAAGAATCAAGGTGCATATTGGTTAGAATTTGACGGCTTATGGAATAGATTTATTTCTATACTAGATTGATTTGTATGGTATCGTGATTCGGTAGAAACCTAATTTCAGTATTGCTTTACATTCAATGGCCTGGTGAACAATTTGCAGACGCAACCGCTTTCCGAAGTTTGAATTTTATGCTCAGTCGTTTCGACCGTCTATGCTCAACAAGTTCAGAGCCTTGAAAATCTTCAGCGAAACGCAGCTTTTTTTCTTTTGGAGTGAAGTTGGGACTCGGGAAACATGACTTGTAGACGAGGAGCCAAACACGTCCCTTTGTTCAACACAAGATCTTCCCAGAAGCAGAAGTACTTGGTCTACATACGTGCTTGCTTGGTTTTGAAGGCTGGTCTTCTGAGCCGTACACTCGATTCTTTGTCCACCAATCTCCGATCCCGGTTCATTGAAGTCTCAAAGACACCGTTGTAAATCAAAGAATTTTCCATGTGAGACCAAAGGATTGGTCACTAGGGAAAAAATCACAACTTCAGGTCATCTCGATTGATAAGCTACAACCATTGGCCATATCTCCTATTAAAATTTGAATCATACAACCACCATTCTTCAACCAGTATAGCCCAGATCACTTGAAAATGGATAAAGAAGAAGCAAAGCCAAAGTAGGGCCAAAATGAAAAATGCAATGGCTTGTTGAGTCTCTGTTTTGGGCTTGATTAATGACATCGTCCTAACTTCTCTGACCCCTGTTAAACATCCTGCAGCAATTTCTCTTTGTCCCCCAACTATTTCATGCCAAAAATAGCATCAGCTGAGATAATCTTTGTTTCAACAAATCGACAGCCAAGTCAGCTTCTTGGAGTACTACTCGATAACTCAACTGGCTGCTGTTCTTTGTCCTTCTCTCCGGGCATCAGTTCCCAACGTGGGTCAGTATAAATATCATGATGGATCCTCGTTTCGTACTTCACCGTCGTGCATACTTGACTACACCTGAAACTTGACGACATATAACCAACATCATTCTTTTGTCTTCAAGATGCCACCCAAACGCGCGCGTAGGGCTCCCGCGCCTAAAACCACTGCAGGCCCCGTTACCAGGGCTGCTTCCAAGGTGACCAAGCCTACTGCTGAGAGAGCTGCCCCATCCAAGGCTGCTCCTAAGAAGTCTCCTAAAAAGGCTACAAAGACCGCTGGCTCAAAGAAAGGCAAAGAGCCTGCCGGATCCAGGTCCCTTACCCCAGAGGATCCCATGGAGGTCGATAGTGCCAGGAACCCGCGTTGGCCGGCAGGTAAGAAGGATTACGACAAGTTTGTTGATTACAGCGTCATGGCTGCGTATGCAAACGGGGCGAACATTGAAAGGCCACCGCGTGGGAAGAAAAATCCGAGATGGAGACATGAAGGAAATGAACCTCTTACAACCCCTGAATTGCTCCCTGAAGGTTGGAACCCAAACGAGCTTGACCTCTACGAGGACGAAATCGAGGCGCAGATTACACGTTGTGAAGAGAGGATCTCTGATAATATATTCGTCGAAATGTTTAAACGGAGACTTGAAATCTATCTCACAAAAAGGCAGGAGCGTGAAGATATGATTGCCTCAGAGCCTGAGGGCCTGGACTGGGAGACAGTACAACGATTGAACTCTTTGAGAATTATCGAAGAGCATCTCACAGAGCAGCGGGATGGAGATGGCCAGCTTCCAAATGTCAAAGCTATCCAAAAGGCTTACAGAAATCGAGAGATGCTTTTCATCCATGGAATGATTTCCTACTGGAGAAAAGGAGAACAGATCGGAGCTCCTGGTGAGCAGGATAAGTCCCCAGCAAACATTTGAAAGCAAATTAATTGACTTCCACTTAGAACCGTGGGATGCCAAAAGAGACGAAGCTTATATGAGACAAAATGGGTCCCACCGTGAATTTTGGGTTGAAGGGGTTAGTCCAAACTTGAAGAATAGATCAGCCCTCTGTCTGACATGGTTATTTCTAGTTTTTCGGAGCGAAGCCTATGCCACAGATGCAATATGCCATATATGGGCAATCGCCCTTTCATCCGACACACTCGGTATGAAATCTACAAGCCTTCATTTGATCCATTTCCTGTTTTAATGTCTATTAGATGCTCACGGAAATGCGAACGGTTGGTGCAAGCGCCACTTGCATGCCATACATACGGCCAGTCTTGTATGATACCGGCGCGACAACGATGTCTATCAATGAGGAGGATGTGGACTGGCTGGCTTATCTGTATGGAATAGTACTTCCAACCCGTGGAATTTTGACAATAGACACTGCCAATGGCATCACGTCAAGAAGAGTTGTGGATATTGAAGTTACCATAAGAGATGCTAACGGAGACGTCATGTGCCCTTACATTAAAGTTCCGACTATCGTTCAGCCGGATCCCAATGCTACAAGACTTACAGGGCCGTGGATGCGATTTGTCTTATTCACTGGAACTAGCCCTATAAGCGATAACTTGACGCTGAGCGATGAGAAGCAGGAGCTTTTTCAATATCTTCCAGATTGGAGACTTGCTGGTACTGTCCCCTAGCAATCTGTTATATGTATGGGAATGTGTACTGTCTTAAATCTACCTTGGATATGTGCTTGTCAAGGGTTCAGATCTTCTGACCAACCTGGTGGTTTTGGAGTATATACCAAAGAATTGGTCGGCAGCTTGTGTTTTACTGGGGATCTGTTATTTGTTTTGTCTATGGAGTTTTGTTACAGTTCATCTGATATAGATCTTCAAATTATATATCAAAGGTCGCGAGTATCTCTGGGATCAAGTTGTTGCATCCACTGGTTTGTGAATAATGATTCTTCCGGCGGAAAAGAGCGTTACAATTCCGCTGTCAAAGGTGGCGGCCAATCTCGATACGCCGTTGACTCCGTTTCGGTTGGCGGAGTCACTATTGATATAGCGAGAGTGAGGTCTCTCGAAATTTCGCCTGACAGAAATTCTGTCAACTAGGAAGTGAGCGGTTGGCTTCCTGCGTAGTGAAAAGCTTATCGTATGCAATGAACACAATCGTAACAGCTGCTTATATCTTTAGCGCGGACGTGCTAACCCAACCAGGAAACGCGCCACATAATACCACTAAATATTGCCTAGATGTGCAATCATATCTATAAAACTGATCTAGCTCACAAAATGCGACAAAGAGCGTTTGGGTCTTCTTGTTCCAATATCGTTCGTTTGAGGCATACTCCCTGAGCAACCACGTTCACGTTTTGTGACAAGAACGACCAATATCTACCAGAACAAAAGCTTCTCCCTTTTCACCGCATTCAATATTAGTGCAGCTGTTTCACGAGAATTCTACAAGCTGAGAATATTTCGTGCGCTAACTAGTATCATCGGGAGTGCACCCTTGGCTACTGCCGGAGGTATCATGAATAACCTCGATGCCCCGAAAAGCCGTGATCTTGCGAAGAGGCTTTATGCTTGTGCTCCCCTCCTGGGACCGGTACTTGGCGCCATTGCTGGAGGCTTTCTTGACCAACCAAAAAGATGGCGATGGGTGGAAGGTATATTGGCAATATCTTCTGCTTTGCGTGGACAAATGGTCTCTCTATCCATTGTATTGCTTGCATCATCGGCACGATCGGGTTTGGATTCGGCAAAATTTCGGTTCCACTTTGTCCGACAAACTATCTCATTGATACTTACACGGTCTATGCCTCGTCTGCCTTTCATAGCCACAGCTGTTCTGCGGTCAATACTTGGTGCAGTCCTACCGCTCATCGCGCCTTATATGTATAGGAATTTAGGAATCCATTGGGCGTCAAGTGTTCAGGCATTTTTGTCACTCGCTTGCATATTCATACCCGTCTTGTCGATCTCGCATGGTCCTTGGATTCGTGAGAGATCTAGATTCGGACAAGATGCGAGAAAGGTGCAAGATTCTGTCAACAATGCTCGTCAGGAGAATACATGATGAAGCGAGATGTATATTAGACGATAAGGGGGATCAGACTTTTCTGCTTCCAAGTGAGACACTAGTAATTTACATATCAACCATCTAAAATAGTCGATGAAAGCCTATTCGAGCATTGGTCCAGTGAGGCTCAGTTCAAGCAAGCGGCTAAGATAGGCAAGCCCCACCGACAGGGATGGCGCGGTACATATAATTGCATCTACATTGCTGTATCTAAGCTTGGTGTTCACAAACGTGGATAAAGGAATTCTTCATATGCTCTCTTCATTTCATATCAAAAATACGCGACACCGCTCCACCTCACCCAACACAAACTCCTATAAAATTTCACATCCATGTAGTCAAGCGGCCTTAGCAGCCTTAGGAGGATAGTTCTTTCCATCCTTCTCGACCTGGGGTGTGCAGGTACACCAGTCACCGGTGGGAATGGAGTCCATGACGGAAGGAATGTGGTTGCCACAGCCCCACCAGGTGGCCTTGTCTAGAGCCATTTAGCTAATGATTCCCACAATGATCAACTGAGACTTACGACAAGACGAGCAAGTAGCCTTCATACACATTGTGGACTGTTCGTGGATATTGGATGTAGCGATGAGCGTAGAGGAAATATGAAACTACCCTGGGCAAAGCGGATAATTTATATACTTTTTGGCGATATTAGTCATAGCCGTCGATTGAAGTCGCCGACGTCTGAAGCCCGAAACCCCGATGTTATCGGTGTCCATTTTTACGAATTTGATTGGGTCTGGTTGTGATGCAGCAAGTTGAAAATTGACTACTGATCTCATTCTCTAGGCCTCGAAGGCTGAGCTGTGCAAGAAGTAAAATATCGAAATTCCGAGAGTGGGGCGGGTATCGCGGGGAATCCTCCGATCTTCAACTTCAGCTTGACAACCCCTTGCTGTGATCGGGGTTTAAAGGGCAACTCGCGTTAAAACGTGCATATTCATCATGCCTGTCATTGCTGTGGCTGGTGGTAGCGGTGGCGTGGGGAAAACCGTTGTGGAAAAATTACTTGAGGAACCTAAGTTTGACGTGGTCGTGTTGTCTCGCAGTGTATGTCCGTTTAGCAACTCTACTTGGCGGAGTACTGATATTGTAACATGTTAGGTGAGACAGGACCAGGGTCCGCAGAAGGTGCAAGCTGTGCAGATTGACTACGATGATGTCCACTCAATGACACAGGCGCTTGAGCAACACAATATCCACACCATCATTTCCGCGATTGGCTTAGTTTCTGATGAGACGAGTCAGTCTCAGTTAAACTTGATCGAAGCAGCAGATAAGTCGAGGGCAACGAAAAGATTCATCCCCAGCGAATTTTCCTTTGTACAAACTGCCGAGTAAGTTTCCGTCTCCAACTGTGGGGTTTATATGCTGATGACTTGGCGATGAAAGTTTGCTTGCTATTGACCCCAGTATTCAGTGGTGGCTCGATGCGGCAACTTGTCTCAAGACCAGTAGTCTAGAATATACCAGGGTGATCCCTGGCTTTTTTATGGACTACTGGGGAATGCCACATGTCCAAACCCATTTGCAGCCATTTAGCTTTGGAATTGACATATCCAGTGCCACGGCGGCTATCCCAGGAGATGGTAACAATGTGATTTGTATGACATACACTTACGACATGGCTACCTATCTGGTCAAGGCACTTGGTCTCAAGGAATGGCCCGAGTTTAGTGTTATTGTTGGGGATGAAGTTACCTATAACCAGATTTTGAGCATGGCCGAGGAATTCACTGGTAAAGAACTTGCACCATCTTTAGCTTAGTTTTTGTTAACAGTTTCTTAAAACAGGCAAGAAATTCAACGTCACTTACGATAGCGCAGACCAGATCAAGTCTGGTGATGTCACTGTTCCTGTTCAGCCAGACGGAGTAGACTCCTCGGCAGAAGAGCTTAAGGAGACCACCGCGTTAGTGAGCCGACTCACTATCAACAAGGTGTTCCAATTACCGGGAGATCGACTCAACGCTCAGTTCCCTGAGGTCAAGCCAATCAAGATGCGCGAGTTCTTGCACAAGGCGTGGAAACAACACAGTGCATAGAATGCTTTCTACACGGAGATTTATATGAGAAGTGCACCGTTCATTTCAATATATTTTTGCCCGGAGCTTGATTTAAAGAACGACTTTTCATGATAACAGAACGCAGACAGCTAAACTACCCATCGAGTATTACATCCACGAAGCAATTTTGAAATTCAAGCCCTCGATAATATCCTCGGGCATTTCTCCCATCTCTCCTTTGAGTAAAAACATTCGCAATGATGCAATTGACCCAGAGCCTAGCAGACAGGGCCAGGGACATCAACCCCAATGCAAACCTGCCGCCCGGGGATGAGGTTGGAGCACCAGGGATTGATGTCGGTGTTCCAGCACAGGAGCTGTCTCATGGTGAATTTGTTCTGGTTGCGCGAGATTATGTCCCAGCAAGTGTCACCAAAGCCGATTGTATAGTAGTTGATGCCTGTTTTCCAGTTAGCCCAGGTTGAAAGACCCTATGTATTCTTTGCTGTCACTCACAGAATTCTGTCATCTTCCAGACTACTGCATCCACATCAAATTTGGTAGTACCGACGGCCACAGAAGTACCGAGGGAAGCGACTCCCAAGAGACATACGGTGTTTTTGATGTTGACCATTTTGAACTTGGTTTGGTGAATTTGCAGGACTGTAGAAATGGAACTGGATTTTGTTGCTGTTTGAAAAAAAAATGCTTACTGGGCGGGTTTGTCTGTCAATTTATACCTGTCGTTCTTTGAACCCCCATATGGGCGCTATAGATCTTAGTGGTGAGGCTTCGCCCTGTCAAACATGTGCATACTTTTTGGGAAGTACGATACCTCCATTGATAACGTCTACTTCAATCACAAGTTGCATTCTATTTCTTTTGCTGCGACCGTGGCTTTCCTCTGACTCTGGTGCTTTTGAAACATTATGAACAGCAGCATCGCAAGAGCTGAAGTCAAGCCAATAGATTCCTTGAAATCAACCTCATGGCCGTATGTCTTGGCCTTCGTTGTTTCAACTGTCTCAGTGAGACCGAGTATATTCCCTTTGTTGTACGGTTACGGTGTCTGGATATAATTTTCATAAAGTAACCCTGGTCAGGGGAGCCTAGCCTTGGACGCATCCCATAGTGTTACGATGGCCCGAATCACGCCATTCATCTAGTGTATAGCAAGGGTAGTGCAAACATCTACTTGAGACATATGTGCTTCTAATCACAGATTGTACGACAAGCTGAGCCGATTTAGGATTGTATAGAGCAGCAGATAAAAGTGGGCAATGCAAGACAGTCTTGTTATCGGGTTGCGGCTTTTTGCTACGTAGAAAGGGGTGTTATACAGAGTGACATTACATGCTGCATCGATATGACACCGGCCCAACGGCTGTAGTGGGTAGGTACTTGAATGATTAGAAATATCGGTGAGCATTCTGGAGTAGGCCAAATGCGTCGAGGTCTAGGGCCGGCTCTAAGTCGAGACCGCATCGGCTCAATATCAGGGAAGGAAACACAAAAACAAAGACCAACTAACCGAGCCGAACAATGTTCTTGGCGATGTTGCCGGGTGATACTCGGTTTTGAAAATTCTGGTCTTAGCTAATGTACTGGTATCACAGGTTCCGCTACTGTTTGCTGTCTTCTCTAGCACCTAGGATGAATCTTACATTCATTGAGGACTTCTTGTAAAATACGCATGAATTCTCCCACTCTGAATCCAGTGATCACGGGTAGTGGCTGGTGCATGTAACTAACTCTAGTAAAGCAATATATAGATCCCAATATATCTGGAATGTTCGAGTTCTTCTAGAATGTCAAGGTGAACGTTCTGCGCCACTTCGGGTGATGCACGTTGGGAGCTCCCCGATGGATGCCCACGGGGGGTACACATTTCCAAAACTCTAGTCACGCAATATGAGGGCTATCACAGACTGCGGAGCGGAGTCCAAGGATCAACAAAGTCCAGTATGACAGTGCAGTACATCGCTAAGATTTTGTATACTTGGTGCAAGTTCTGCCTGAGGTAACCAAGTCATGACTCAGCAGGATATCCCGGTGCCTCGGTGCCTGAAAGCGTGGGGCGTCGAACTCGGAGGCGACGGGAAACCCCGATGTCTTAATGTAACGCGAGTTCTCAAGAAAAGCAACAATGATTTTGAGCGCTGGATAGAATCTTGGTATCAGAGGTGTAGGAGAAAGCAGCTAAGCTGTGGCGATACTAATCAGGCATTTGGTATCATGGATGGGAACACCGACAATGCTGTACGCCTTGCCAAGGCATGTGTGCCCCCTACCCTATACCCCCATCCAATGGACATGATTGGATGCTTACTCTGCAAAGGCATGCAGCGTCTGCAGACGAAAGAAGGTCAAATGTGATGGGACTCGACCGGTCTGTACCCCCTGCAGGACATTTGAACTGCCCTGCAAGTACGAAGACGCCGTGCGACACAAGAAAAAACCCAACCGGTAAGCTATCCGATGTCAGTGAACGATCAGAGGTTGATCCAGATTGCAGCGATGAATATCTGCATGAAATGGAAGAGCGCATTCGATCCTTGCAAGAGGAATTGAATGAAGCTCGTGCTTCCAAGAGACGTCGGGTCCAGAGTGATTCCGATGCAGACCCGGAGCAGGGTCAACATTCGGATGAATCCGAGTCAGAAATACCTTCCCCGAGAGATGACACCAGTCAAGTGCCTTATGAGGCCGACACCAACGGAGGTGATCGCGATGAAGGGTCATATACTCTCAAAACCCCGAAAGGCGCGATGCGCTTCTTTGGTAAGTACTAGCTCACCGAATACCGTTTCGCAATGGTGACACGAATGGCTGAGCTGATTCTACCGATTATGCCTAGGCGCGTCCTCTCATTTTTCCATTGCTTCTCCTGAAGGTGCGGGATGGCTTGAAAACACAAAGGGTAACAATATGTGGCGCCATGCGGTTCAGAGAAATGGAAGTCGATGGAGGCTAGCCGACTGGTACCCCAAAGCTCTTCAAGATGATTCTCAAAGCAGGTGCTCACTCCCACTACCGTCTAAGTCAGAGACATTAGAGCTGGTCCACGAATATTTCGAGACGTTCAACAAGGCTGTGCCGCTATTCAGGCCTGAAAGCTTTATGATCCAGGTCAATAGACACTTCTCGTGGAATCCAAACGAGGGATCCTCGTGGTGGGCTGCGTTAAATGTTGTCCTCGCCTTTGCATACAAACAAAGAGCCGAGGGTTCAGGAGGCAGTAGCGATGACTGGCAAAAATCCCTTGGCTGCGTCAGAAATGCAATGAATGTGGTTACAGAATTTTTCATGCGAACTTGTGACCTCCTTGCTGTTCAAGGGCTGCTCGGCCTAGCACTTTACTTTCAAGGGACGCCAAACCCCCAACCTCTTTTCATGTTTGCTGCTTCCGCTGTGCGCCTCTCGCATTCTATCGGGTTGCACAAATCCAACTCTCTTGGTCTTCCAGAGCCCCAGGTAGAGGAACGAAAGAGGGTCTTTTGGATAGCGTTTATTTTAGACGCCGATGTCTGTCAGCGGACCGGCCGCCCTGGGTCGCAGGACACGCGCGACTTCAGTACTTTACTCCCTTTTGAGGACCCACCTGATGGGTTGGGTATGATGGAGATCAGAGGCACGAAGATCAACTTCTTCTCGGCTCTCGCCCGACTTGCTGTCATACAACGCAAAGCTTGCGATACACTTTACAGTACTGAGGGGTTCAAAAAGACCCGTGAAGAGTTGATGAAAGATGTGCGGGAGTGCTTTGAGGAGATCGAAGCCTGGAAACAAAGTATTCCACCGATAGTTCGGCCGCAGCGAAACTTTGCGGGTTGTCACCACCCCTTTTTACCGCATATCTTAAGGCTTCATTTTGCCTATCATTGTTGCTACCTCAATATCCACCGTGTCTTTTTGATCCCTCGAAGATGGTCAAATACACCAAACGAAAGGCCAAGCGCTCCTGGGTTGCCGATTGATCGAGAAAACTCAATAGAGCAATCACTGGAGGCAGCACGGGCCGCGATTGACTTGATTGGTCATGTCGAAGGTGGCTTCGGTCAATCATTTGAATGGTATGCATCGGTTCTCCATGAAGCTCTAGATCTTTTGCTAACAAACCAAACAGGGGCATCGTTTATTTCCCTGCTGCAGCTCTGGTCGCTTTGTTCTCTCAGATCATAGCCAATCCCTCCCGTCCTGATGCCAAAACTGATATATCGAGGATCAATGGGGTAGTTGCGTTTTTGGCAAGAGTGGCATCCCAGGAACAAGACACGTATATGGATTATGTCTTGGCTATGTGTACGGATTGGGAAAACTTGGCAAGAAGAGCGATCCATCGCGCAAGAAATCCCCCAGCGGAGCGCAGGGGGGCAAGCCACCCACCTCAGGCTCAGGGGCAAAGACGGTCACAGAATCCCAATCAGCCCCAGAGGCCTTTTACGCCGGGGTTCGGTCTTATTGAGCATGCTCGGATCGACGGCAACATTGTTCAGTCAAATCATCTGCCTTCAGATCAAGCTTTGTATGGTACAGGGCCATTGTCAATGGCTACTCCTATTGCTTGGAATTGGCAAGATATGCTAGCAGGCGCACCTCCTTCTTACGATTTCGGCTTATTTGATCTGGCTGGTAATAATGGAGAATCATGAATTCGTTTTCATATGAGACGGCCTTCGATTTTCATCAATCCATAATGCCATAAATTCTTCGCTTTAACAGGCTTTCTCTCTTTGACAGGTTATTCCCATGTGATGCTGGAATCATGATGACAGTTTGGAACAGGGGGGCTTGTCCAGATGGGGCTTGCTTCCTTGTCATCCAACCGGGCAACAGGCCTCAACAGGTCCATTTGTCCCCATGGGCTGTCCTCAAATCTCATCATGAATGGAGAGTCAGGGCACAGATATTCAGGGAAGACATTCTTCCACCCGTCGATAACATCAATCATAATTTCTGTGACAAATTGGGAAGGCGAAGAGCGCGCAAACCTGAACTCATCGATTGTCTTTGTGACAACTTCGACAGGGTAAAGGCCAACCTCTTTGTCAAGTAGAATTGTGTCTCCTGCCACAAGCGAACTCACCGCGTGATATGACCCGCCCTTCCGTGCTCGGTCGCGAATGCCCAGCATTGCCCCCAGCGCACCTAGAATGCCAGTGGTCATGTCGGAGATTGGCAGGGGAGGCAGAACACTTTCTCCTTCATCGAAGCCCAATGCCCGGCCCATCACGTATGACGCACCCGATGCGGCGTCTCCGATCTGTTGCCACCCGGGTCTCTCGGCGAATGGTCCACTGGGTCCATAGCAGTTCTCGTCGACATATACAAGGCCTTTGTTTCTCTTGGCTGCTACGTCGAGCATGTCTTTCAAGCCGAGACCCTTGCGGTCGAGTGATCCGTATCGGAAGCCTTGTACGAAGATATCGGCTTCACCGACGAGCTCCAGTAGACGGGCCATGTCTTCTTGTTTTCCGATATCCAGGTCGATAGTGCGTTTTCCAGCGTTAAGGGCCAATTGGAGGACCTATCAGAAATCAGTATCCTTTTTTGTTCAACCCAGTGAAGAGTTCCAACTTACGTTCAAATCGGCGAGCTTGCTGCAGTTGACACGAATTACATCCGCGCCGAATGATGCCAATGTAGTTCCAACAGTAGGACCAGCAATGATGCGTACCATCTCGAGAACCTTGATTCCAGCCAGGGGACGACGGTCGGGGACCTGACGCAGAGGAACAGGAGGCGTCTCCTTCGCATAAGTCTCATGTGTATAATTGACGAGAGGGTGTTCAGCAAGTCGCCTTCCCATCTCAGTCTTTCTCCATGCGTCGGGGGAGTAGCAAATACTACCACACAATCCATGCCTCACATTATGCATCTCAAGCTCATCCGCACTCCACTTCTGTACATGGCCCTTGAGATACTCGTATCCCTCATTGAAATCTTTCAAGGGAACGTCCATATCAATTCCCATTGACTTGAGCGTCTTACTCGCGTCCAACGATCCGTGCAGTTGGTACCACACTTTCGGGTCCTTGGTTGGATACAAAGCAGTAGCCCGACCAGACAATGGACCAACGCCGAATCCTTGATCGAAGTCTCGGGTGAAGATCTTGGACAATGTTCCCGCCCGTGCAAGTGTCGACACATCCGATCCGTTCACGTATATGGTGAAGGTAGACGCGAGCCAGATTCCGGCGTGGTCCGTATTGACAGTGACCCCCGCTTCCTTTGCTGGCTTCCCATCTCTCAATTCGAGGAGTTCGTTTCCAACCACGCCGCACATGGCGTGCAGTGCTGCCACGACCGCTGGGGATTTCATTGGACCAGGGACCATAGGGTTAGGCCGCCCTTCGAATTTAACTGTATCCCATATCGCTAGATCCTTTGTGAAACCGGGTGTTTTCGATGCAAGGTATTTGAAGATTCGATTTGTGTCTTCTGGTACGGGGAGGACGGTCTTGTCGATATAGGTGCCGGGTCCATAGACCTCATCTCCGGGGATGGTCTCGTGCATAGTTATAGAGTAGATGCAACAACCAAATAAACTTGCTTCAAATGACAGACAAATCTCAACGGCCTGGGAGCTTCCGGCTATATATAGGGACCAAACTCTACTAGAAAATCTATGGGCCCCTCTTCTGCTAAATGGCCTAAACTTCTTGGAGAATCTTCACGTACTGCACCTCGTATGTTTATTTCGCCCGCCTGCTTAGCGTATAGTATGAGACTTACCCAACGCCCAAATATGTCCCTCCAAACCCTTACTCTTCTTCTGTCCTTTCCCTGAGCATATTTCCTGCGTTAATATCCCATTTGTTAGGCCTACGAAGAAGAGTCACCTCCGTTTAGGATACGCAAGGCCGACAACACTGAAACTCAAGAATCTCCACCAAGGCCAGCACCAAGCCGAATCTCCGAGCTCTGAAGATAGAGACTACTGGCCAAGAAGCTCCGCCTGATTCAAAGATGGAGACCTCCCCGGCCGATCCCACGGCTTTGACAGAGACGCCTCGGGGTTCTGTAAAGAAACACGCCGTGGTCCTTGATTATGTCCTGAGCTAACTAATTAAAGACAGGGCTAACACATTCGTGGGTCGATATGTGGAGAATATCGGATGCCGGCTGGCTGGATTTCCACGGGCCGCGGGATTTAGAAGGTAGACATCTACGGACTCTTGGGTTTACCTCGGATGCGATCTTCCGGGCCGAGTTGAGGGAGGGGTTGTATCGCAACAAGACAGGGATTTGCATTAGAGGTTATAAGAAATGTATAGACTCATCATTTGATCTTTGCTAAATATTGAACGCGAAAGAAACCAATATCTTATACTTCGTTATCGATAACGACAGGTTGAACTATAAGAACTATACAATGCCGCCTATGAATATCGGTGGCCGACCTGTCAGGGTCGCTAATTGCTCTGGCTATCATGGTATTATCTGATTAATTTGATTGAAAGAGCCCATAATCTATACTGATTGCACTGAAGGCGATCCTGCCTATGAGATGTATCGCCAAGCAACTCTCGGAGATGTCGACTTCATCACGGGAGATTATCTCGCTGGTATGTCATTCCTATGAGTGACGGCGAAGTAGTGTACTCACAACAGAAAGAGGTCAATATGGCAAATAATGCGCAAGCTTTCCAGCGTGGCGAGCATGCAGGCTACGAGGAAACTGCTTGGGAAGGTATCAAGCAGACCATCGACGTGATCGCCGACAAGGGTATCAAAGTTGTCATCAATGGAGGTGCTCTTAACCCCAAGGGCTTGGCACTCAAGGTAAATGGATTGGTAAGTACTTGTCCTCTCGGTTTGCAGTGATATATAAATACTTATTTACACGATTAGTGTCGCCAAAAAGGCTATCCTTTGAGCGTCGCATACGTATCGGGAGACGACCTTTATCCCAGACTCGGCCCGAACATGCCTCAGTCCCCAGAAGAATTGAAGCATCTTGATTCTGGGAATGATTCTGTCAAACCGGGACCTCTAACCTACGCCTTCACAAACACCGACAACCCCGTTCCAATGGTCTCAGCACACGCGTACCTCGGAGCTCGGGGTATCGTGGACGGACTTTGTCGAGGAGCTGACATTATCATTTGTGGCCGTGTCTCAGATGCCAGTCCGGTTATTGCAGCTGCTTGGTATTGGCATTCATGGTCAGAGACAGACTATGACTGTCTTGCTGGAGCTTTGGTTGCTGGTCATTTGATTGAATGCTCTGCCTATGTTACCGGTGGCAATTTCTCTGGCTTTGACCGGTATCCCATTGACACCGTTGTTCAACCTGGGTTTCCTATTGCGGAGATTCATGCTGATGGCAGTTGCGTCATTGCTAAGCATGATGGGACCGGTGGACTCATAAATTCTGACACAGTACGGTGTCAGTTTCTGTATGAGCTTCAGGGGAGCATATACTTAAATAGTGACGTTAGTGCTACGCTAGATGATATCTCAGTCGAACAGGCAGGAGAGGATAGGTATTTTTCTTCCTTCTATTAGCATTTGGTGTCGGTTGCTGATGTTTCAAAGGGTGAATGTTCGGGGAATTCGAGGCCACGCACCTCCTTCAACTACCAAGCTGGCTGTCTTCTACCAAGGAGGCTATGAGGCCCAGGTACTTCTCAACGCTACGGGGTACTCTACTGATGCCAAGTGGAGCCTGGTTGAAAGACAGATTCGACATTTCATCGATCAGAATGCACTTAATAGTATTGATACACTCGAGTTCCAAAGGTGAGAACAAGTTTCCGCCATAGTTGGGAGTCAAAGCTGACAAGCAATCAGAATCGGTGTTCCTGCTTCTGATCCAGTATCACAACGAAGCAGCACTACATACCTACGCATCTTTGTCGCTGCAGCCTCTGCAGAAGCTGTTCTTGCTGTACTAGGAGCCTTAAAAAATATCTCGCTGAAGCATTTCTCGGGTAAGTGATATTTCTCAGCTTCAGCAAGATCTGACTAACAGAAACTATACAGGTTTCCACTCATCTCTCGACATGCGCACAGCAGTTCCACACCCATTCCTGGCTTACTATCCAGCAATAGTAAATCAAGAAGAGCTCAACGAAGAGATAAACTTCATTGATGGACCAGACGCTATTAAATCATTCCCAACAGGTCATCCACCAACATATAGGGATCTGCAACCACGTCAAAGCTATGATCACACCCCATCCAGTGAAGAAAAAGCCCTACTCAACTCTCCAACAAGATCAATTCGACTAGGTGATATTGTCCTGGCACGATCTGGCGACAAAGGAGCCAATCTCAACTTCGGTCTCTTCGTCCTTGAAGAGAAGCACTGGCCTTGGTTGCGAGCTTACATGAGCCGCGAGCGGGTGCGGAGTATGCTTGCTAAAGATGATGACTGGGATGAGTCGTTTTTGGTCGAGAGAGTTGAGTTCCCCAATATATTGGCTGTGCATTTTGTTGTTTATGGGATTCTTGGCAGGGGCGTTAGTAGCTCTAGTCGCTTGGATGGTTTCGGGAAAGGGTTTGCGGACTATTTCCGCGATAAGTTTGTTGATGTTCCTGTTGCGCTCTTGGATTGAGTTTTTTTTTTTTTTTTTTTTTTTTTTTTTTTTTGGTCCTTGGGGTACAATAGTGGCCATAAATCTTTGAACAGTGCCATGTGTACTGGACAGCTTCCTATCCAAAATTCGCGGAGCAGATGTGCTGTTTTGTGTATCGTTTATGCCATATTTCAGTCTCTTTTATGGCGTCGTCTATATTATATTGAAATGAAGAAGTGTGACAAGACTTGTGGCCTCCGTTGTATCACTCTTGGTAAAGAAAATTGAATGAGTTTATCATCACATTACGTACATTATCTCTTTCATGAAACTATCAAAGCGGCGACTGCCCAAGGGTCCATATTGATGGAATAATGGCCTGATGGACTGAAAACACTCGTGGTAACAGTCTGGGCTTGCACATTGAAAGGCGTGTTGCCATGATACTTAGGACTAGAGAGCATTTCCAGCTTTCCAGTCTTCGTACCTGGGATTCTGACTTGTACAGTCTGCTGATCCTTTCCATAATTTGCCAGCTTCAGATAGGCTTTCGAGCCTGTTCTAGAAGCAACCCAGTAGACTGGTCCGAAATCTGCCGTCGAATCGACTGGGACAATCGTGTCACCCTTGTTAGAAGCGAAAAGCTTCTGGACGAAATATGAAGTGGACGGAGTAATGCTGCCGGGGGTCGCATTAAAACCGTACAGGGTTGGCTGTGGGGAATTCTTGGTTAGAAGATGTTCAAGGAAGAGCCCAAGAGTGTATTGCTCTGAATTTTCTTACCGACCAAGATATGTAGTCAAAGTGCTCCAGCAATGGTGCGTAGGCTGCCATCTTCACAATATCGCTGTTACGCTCCATACCCATCATATATACAGCCTCGCTGCAGCTTCCCTGCATATATGACCAGTAAACTCCCTCGGGACTTGTCGTGTTCCGAGCCGCATATTCACCAATCATCACAGGCTGATCCCGCGGCTGGTTATCAAACTGGTTGAACAACTTCACAAATTCGTCTGGCTTTCGGTACAGATGTAAATCAATCATAACATCCTTTGGAAGTGGTGAGGGCAAGCAGGATAAGTCCCCATTAGATGCAATGAGTTTGACATCCGGGTACTTGTCGTGGATGGCTTTATAGATCTGATTGAAACGATCTGGGTAGCTCTTACAGCCACCAGTGAGATCGTCTTCGTTTCCAATTTCAACATACTCAACCTTCCATGGATCCTTCCGGCCGTTCTGGATTCGCATCTTGCCGTAGTGAGTAGAAGAGTCTCCAAACAGATATTCCATCTCGTTCATGATATCGTCCACGAAGGGTTCAAGATCGGGTCCCGAGATGATATCCCCGTATGACTTGCCTGCCCAGAGACTCAATAGTGGTGCCATGTTCCTGTGTTTGTAGTTATCAGAAAACTGCCGAGAGAACACAGAGTTGAAAAGCATATACATACATGTCCTCACACCACCAGAGGTATTCATCTAGTCCAAGTGCGTCGGTGTTGGGATAAGCCCAGTCACTTTCTCTACCGGGACGATCGACCACAGGCCCGATTGTGGTGTTCCACTTCCATCGAGAATCAACCTGCAAACCTTCAATGTTATTCCCGCCTGGGAATCGAAGAAATGCAGGATTAACCTCATCCAAGAATGAGGCGACATCGTCTCGCAGACCATTCTCTCTATCTTTGAATGTCGGGGGAGATAGTCGAATGTATCCGAAGTTAAGCGAGCTCCCACCCACTTTCGAGCCATCAAAAGTCAGACGCCATTCATTGTCTCCATCTGGAGAGTGAGTGGCGTTGAAGGATGTTTCAAATTCCGTAAACTTTGAGTCTGTACTCTTTACAGTCATGTTGTGATCGGCGTAGACTTTTCCTTGCGAGCCAACCAGCTGAATGTTGACCGTTCCCAAGTATTTTCCCATCACCCAAAAGCTCGTCTTGTAGGTTGCTGTTAGAACAGTGATACCACTATAGCCAGTGTTTTTGAATCCAACGTAGTCCGTGACTCCATCTGGTACTTCAACCTTGAGCGAGGACGTAATTGCTTTGCTGACAGGTTTCGAGTTATCTTGGGAGATAGAGGCATTTCCCACGGGCATGTAGGCTGCCAGACCTAGGGAGGTCCCTTGAAAACCGTTGTTTTGGAGCAATTGCGAATGTATACCCCCGTCGCCTGGTCATCAAAAAGTGCTGTTAGAATCAGGGGTGCAGGGATGAGGAGATGGGAATATGAAACTGAAGGTTCCCTCAGAGCCTGAACGTGAGACGAGAACAGGGTAAATTCCATACCAGAATGATCCATCTCCTAGCCAAAGAAAAAAGAGGGGTCAGCGGAAAATCTTTTCGCATGTAAAGCTAAACTGCTTACTTCAAACATAATTCCGTAGAGCAGCGGACTCGACTTATTCCCGCCCTCTCTTGCAACAGTAAGAACAACCGGTCCACTCGAGCTATTATTTCCCTGTGCCAGTGCACCAGCAAGGCATGTAATCAAGATAATACATATTGCCGTACCAAGACCGGCGTTTGTCACCAATCCCGACTTCATGGCAAGTCAGAACTATACCCAGAACCACGAAGAAGTGAAAAGTCGAAGGAGCCGACAAAGATCTAGGCTGGGGACATCAAGCTTTATTTCGGAGGCACTGCCCCTGTTGTAGATGGGGCATTTTTGGTCGTCTATGGGGTGTGGTTGGCTCTGATCCCGGTATGGCAGGTTTATGTACCCCATCGGCATCATGGACCCTAACATTGCATGGATCAACCCGGTTATAAAGTTTTGTCCCTTACATTGGCGACACGGAGAAGCCAATTACATTTAGTTACTACAGTCACACAATGATTCATGTTGCAATACATGTTTTAATCTCTTTCATAGGTGTGGAGAGCGGCAAGTTGGAAAAGTCATGACGTCGGATACTCTTCTCATATTGAGTGATGATCTTTACCCAAGCAATTAATAATTATCTCAACCCAAGCATTAACTCTATTATTTCGACCTTTTATCTCTCAATATAGTCATTTTCCTGCCATGCGGAGCTTACTGAAAGTGACACTGGTCCTTGGTGTCTCGACCTTAGGGCTTGGCAGGGTCGATGTCCGCACTTCAAGCATTACTAATCACTTGGCTGACAGACCTGAGACACTTGCTGAAATGCCATTATGCTGACTTTTGTGATGGGAAAACTTGCTTTGCACCCGTTTGAAGCCAGTGGAAATGTGATATACTACGGGGCAGTACTAAAATCAAGAAGTTTTCAAACAAGGTACTCAGTATTAATATCAGTCAATAATTACAAAATAACAACAGCAATATGGGAAGGAGTAAATGGAAGAGGCCTTGATATCCCACTTTGAGCCACGAAAAGGAGTAGGTGCGTTTTTCTCCCGGTGGGAGATAATATCAGTGAACTTATTAATATCCTCTCCCACCGCCTAAACACGGCGCTCAAGGATGGCCCTTTCATAACAGAGCTCACTATGAACTCGCCACCTCTCCTCTACAGACGCGTCAAAAAGCTTATAGCTGAGCCGTGACGCCCCAGGGAATGATCCCAAATGGAGCATAAGGGGCTGAGCCTTCACGTTAGTGACAAGAGAAGCGGCACACTTTTGCTTCTGTAGCGAGGGCTTCGAACGCGTTGGCATAAGGGGAGCGGACTTGGCTGGTCTAGGAGTTGGGGCATGTTTATCTCTTAAGCGGCCAAAACGATGTGGGATCGTGGGGGCAGCTAAATTGCCTTCATAAGTGGTGTTCTGGGAGAGGAAGGCGAAAGCTTCGTTGACATCGATGGACAAGCGGCGCGGGTCTGAGCCATCGAGATTGTTCAATCTCTATACTTTCTCTTCGGTTTCTACAGACACATCTTGTTAGCTATACAAGTGGTATTTGGGCTTGAAGATCATAACAAACCGTAAGGAATCGTTCTAACCCGTGTTTGTATTTATCGGTGCGAACCCACAGTCACGGGTCTGCTCATCCAGAGCGTAGGCCTGAAGATCACAAATATCAAAATATATCCTTATATCAAACTTGATATTAGTCCGGCCTCTATCGAGGGAGTCTCCCGATCAGCTGATACTAACTCACATACTGACCTCCAAGACATGGCAAATTCTGGTTACAGATGACGGCGGCAATTCTTTTACTAGTGATCCAAAGAACTGAACCAAGTCTTGACTTGTTTTTTGGGACTTGGTTTCTTCCAATAAAGCTATAACGTATTGTACAGGTTCCTCAATATGTATACTTTGCGCATTCAAGTAAAAGTCTCACCGCCGTTCTCCAGGTACTCATTCTCTTCCGGGGTTGAAAGCCTTCCAAGTGCTTGGTTTCGATGCGGGTACCGTCCAAACTGGTCAATTATAACCTTGTGCTTTTTCTCAAACTCATCATTTACCTTCAGAAATTTCCTGAAATCATCCACTTGGTTAGATAGAAAGTCATGACATTCCTTTTCTTCCTCGGAGAGTGTCGACGGGTCCCTCGCGACAAATTCCTCTATGTCCCTAGCTGTATCAGCATGCACCTGAACAGCCTGCTCATGGACCGCCGGATCTTCGGAATGCATGAGTGGCAGATGGAACCAGGTCCGATAAGTTAAGCGATAGCGGAAGTAAGGGGACTGGGTCGGAATGTCCTCTTTCAAGGCTTGTAGTGCAATTTTCTCGGCCAAGGCTATGTCTGGGTCAGTCGCGGTATTTTAAAAAACATATTATCTGTGCCAAGATGGTAGGAACTCACGATCGAAGTGTTTAAAGACCATTTTTGATTCGTCTCCTCGGAAGCAGTTGCGAGGCATTTGATCTAGCAAGAGGATCATGTTAATCCAATCCATCGGCGAAGTTGGATTCACCGCAGCGATAATATCCGAAGCGGAGGCTCCCGAGTTGACAATTGTTTCCAGAGCCGGGCGGAATTTCGCGCTTTGGCTCGTTAGTTCTGATACACGCCAGAATCGAGTATTGAATACTTACACGCAGACCTTGTCAAATTCGGGATCACGCGTAAACCACCGACCCATATCACTCATCTTCGGTAGAATAAGAGCATCTTTGCTCTCCAGGTGATCGAACCATAAAGCATGGACGTCATCCAGGAGAATTGGGGTGAGAGTCTGCTTCAGCTCGGACGGGTTTACCATGATGACAGGCGACGAGTGAAATTTGCGGGTCAAGCTGGGTCTGTGGAAGCCTTGATGAAATGATGGCCTCTCAATTGCTAGCACTCGGCCGCTTTGGGATGATGTCAGACCAATTGCTGGGACCACCACTGGCTTCAAGGGGTTGAATATCGCAGTTCGAATAAGTCTCTTTGTAATTGGCTGTACTTGAATTAGACTCATGGTGCAGAATAATCGAATCACGGTAAGATACTTTGTTAACGGTTATATGTGACATAGTTAAGGTTCCAAGTAAGTTATTTATTACCAAGCAAACAATCTTGGAAGCCCGAGTCCCGAGATCCCGGCGCCAACACCCCGGTAAGCTGAGTCATCATCTGTATTTCAACCTCAATGCAAGTCCATCGCAACTAAAGAGATGAATGGTTGGATATTCGTGAAGAACGCTTAGTTCGTACCTTGGTTTATGTGCATATAAAGGTGGATAGAGGGGGCGAATGTATATTATGTCAGACGTCCCAAAGAGGGCAAAAGATCCCAAGATAACGTCCCCGCACACTTCTCCTCACGCTATACTCCGCATACTAGTTGGCCATGTCCGATCGCTTGGATTTTACGATATATCCATATTCTTTCGGCAGTGATGCGGCGAGTTAAAAAATCCCGGAATGGCTGTGGGAGATGCAAGAGTAAACGAGTCAAATGCGACGAACTTCAACCAGAGTGTTCCCGGTGCACCCGTCTAGGGGTCCGATGCCCTGGATATCTTAAGTCTCTGAGATGGATCACCGAGAGTCCTGCCGCATCAACTTCCGAGGCAGAGGTCAGGTCGACTGCGCCGAATCAGCCCCCTGTTTTGCCGCAAGATGAGTCGGCCTTCGAGCATCATGACTCGGCTACAGGGGGCTTCGACTTGGATGAGTCAAATTCCCTCTGTGATAACCTTTGGGATCTCCCGGGCGGAGGATTACCCGAATTGACGGATTTGTCGCCAATGACGGCAGCATCACCGTCTTTTTCGCAATCAAGGGATTTTGCTCAAGATTTAGGCCAGTCTGGAGAGGTTGGAGTTGATCTTTCACATTTCTTGTCAATTATCGGGCCAATACCCGCACCCGAGGAGCGTATTGAAACTGTATGGCGGGACTTCTCGCCTTCGACCGTTGTCCGCAGCTATCCATCTATGTCTCAACGGTCTGCGCCTCGTAACTTGATGACAATGTCTCGTCCGTTGAACAATCCCTCATGGACTCTTATTGAGTACTATTTTAAGGAGGTAGCAGCATTGTTCTCAAGTTACGACAGTCAAATGAACCCCTTCCGAACAACGGTATCTCGTCTCTGGGGATCTTCTCTGGCCATGTGTCGAACAATGCAAAGCATGGCAGCCGCAACCCTAGTCAATGACTTCCCTCAATTCGGTCCAATTGGCCGAAAGATGCGCAACGAGGCCGTTGAGATTATCAGTCGCGAATCAGTCATGGACGAAAAGTCGTTACTAGCGCTTCTCATGCTCGGACAGACAGCTAGCTGGCATGACCCAGCTGATCTAGGTATATCTTTCTTCAATATGCTTCGGAAGCAGCTTAACTCCGTATCTTCAACTTCACACAACCAAGACTTCAGCTTCAATAAGAACGACAGTAATAACTACCGATTCTTCGAAGAAGCTCTCATATACTGGGAAATGCTCCTATCATTCGTCACAGATAATGACACTATAATCCTATCCCAAGATTATCATTCTTCGTCATCAGGAGAGTCTCTCGTTCTCCAACGAGTCCCACACCCCTGGACCGGCATCGCACGTGAAACACAGTTCACCGTGCACGAAGTGGGCCAGCTCATCCGCCGGGAGCGGAAACGCATTCGATCAAGAAGATATACGTCTCAGGAGGATATCATTCGAGCACAATCAGCAATTGAGAAAGCTCGCGAACTAGAAGAACGTCTCTTAGTCCTGGCCCACCCATCCGAAGCCGAAATCGTCAGCCCTGGCGACGACGATACCCCAGTCTGGCACCTCCTCACTATGGCCGAGGTCTATAGATGCACCGGTCTGATGCAGTTATACCGCGTATTTCCAGACTTGCTGTACAGCCGTCTTCCACAGACATCAGCATCTTCCGCATTCCAATGCCCCGGAAGTACGACTTCAACATCCAGAGATCCATTCTTCCCAGTTGATTTGGATAGCATGAATCTCTCAGCGTTTGCAAACCAAAGTCCAGGGGCATCACCACAAGTCCCCAATCCCGCAAATAACGCTACCACCTCACCATTATCAACCGCTCATGCAACCACAAATCCAAATCCAACTCCAAACCCAACCCCAAACACCTCAGAGCAACCAGACCGCGAAACTCTCTACAACACCTGGCTAATCGAATTCGCCACAACAACCCTCTCCCGCTTAAAAACCATCCCGCTAGAATCACGAACACGCTGCCTCCAGCCGTTCCTACTAGTCGCATCATGCTCTGAACTTCGTCTCCCGCGTCCATCCCACCAAACAGGTGATCATGAACACGATCAGGTCGAGAATGATAATGACGGAACCGCTCAACCGGCAATATCAATGGAAGCAATTGAAGTCTCGCGCACGAGGCAGTTCATCCTAGGTCGATTGAACAATTTCATGCATCTGCTCCCACTGAAACCGATTCGTGTTTGTCTTAAGCTTGTTACGGAGGTTTGGAGGCGGATGGATGCGGGGCGGGATGATACTTTTTGGGTCGATGTTATGCTGGATCATCGGTGGGAGACTACTATGGGTTAAAAATACTGTGTTTTACGGTGGAGGTGGAATGAATGTAGATTAGTCGATTTTTCATGAGTTATGGATACCCTGATTTGGCTTTTGATTGTGACTATGCGTCTAAGGATACTTGGTACGGTTGTCTGATGCGGCCTCTAGCTCAAAAGAATTCTGCTAGCACCAAGTGAGAAATATTGATATTATGAATATACACTACTTATGATTTTCCTAGTCTAAAAATGACATGTTGAAGTGGGGGAAATGCTGACAGTATTAGACTACTGTACTCAGGGCCATACGAGACTTGACTCTCTTGGTATTCATGATAGAATTTATTCTCCCGTGTGACAGTTCATGAGCGACGCTAATATCTAGTACACCGTCACGTGGTCTACCTTATATCGACGACGACATGACCGGAGGCGAGTCTCCAGATATTTGCGAATGGTAATATTAAGTTCAATTGATTGTTTTGATACTCCTGAATCCCAATCAACTAGTAGTTAGACAACTCTTTCACAGGTTCGTCTATCCATTGGTAAATCATATCATGCAAAGAGAGACCTGAAAGCCCGAAAGTTAAAGGATGTGAGTAGCGTTAAAAAGAGGCACGAGCAGAAGGAGAAGGAGAATGATAATGAGAAAGAAATGAAGACGGATATGAAAGAGAGGTCATAACCAAGGAGACGTTCACAACAGAGTTCCAAGGAGATAACCAATAACAATAAAGGTGGAGTATAATGCATATGGTCGATAATGTGTACATAGAATGGGACAAGAAGGTGTAGAGTAGGGAAAATAGAGTAGGATATCCAAAACCAAGATATTCAACGCCAGCAGATCTGACATTGAGCTCAACGGCTGGAAGAAGTTTGCGGGACTCAGACTTTCACATGTTGAGGGAGATGCAAGTCAAGTCTTGGCCAAGGTGACTTAAGGGGTAGTAGCCCGCTGCCAGTATTTCCATCCCTCGCCAACACCGACGAGACGTTTGATGCCATCAACGCCAACAGCTTCTTCGAATTTTTGCTGATCAATCTCCTCGCCGCCCTCTTCGTCTGTGCCGTTGCGCAAGACGGCGGGGTAGAGGACACCAACACCGTCGCCACCCAGAGTGACCTCGTACTTGTCGAAGCCCTCGTTGACGAAGTTGTCTTCGAGTTCTTGTCTGACTTCGGCCTTGGCGTCGGGGCGGAGGAGTGTAATGGCACATCCACCTCCACCTGCACCAGTCAACTTCGTCCAGCCAATATCGGCATAATCGACGAGTTCGCGGATTCGCTCGAGGCGGGGGTGGGAGACACCAAGAGAGACAAGGAAGCCATGGTTAATGCGAATCAAGGTACCAAAGTGTGCAAGTGTCTCCTCGGAGATACCCTCGAAGTTGGGGTCCTCTATCAAGCGTTGCGCCGAGCAGGTCACCTGATCAATGGCATCGAGGATAGACTCCGTCACGATAGGATGGGCTGATTTCAAGTTGCCGACCTTGTCAACTTCCGTCTTTGTGGAACGCGCTTGCCGGGTATCAACAAGGAGGAGGGGCAGCTCGGGGAATGTGGTGAGCGGCGTAACAGTTGGGGGCTTCGTGTAATCGTCGCGACGGAAAATCACGGCCTTGCCGCCTGCGGCCACCGTGTTATCCACCCCACTGGGGTTGCCATGGATGCAAAGCTCTCCGACAAAGGCCCAGCGGTTGATACGCTCAATCTGGGTCTCTGCTTCTTCGGGCGGTTGGTCTGGGTGGGGACCAGCGAGGGTGCGGATCTGGAGAAGCAGCGCAGAACTGAGACACACGCAAACACTGGCGCTGCTGCCTAGGCCGGCTCCAATTGGAATGGTGGATCGGAGAGTATAGATGGCGCCTGGGCTTTGGGGGGAGCCTAGGGAGAGGAAGAGGTAGAGGAAGGCGGAGGCGGAGCGGATGTGGGTTTTGCGATCTGGGTGGCCCTTGGAGACTCCCTGGAGATGTGGCTCGAGCGATTCGACGAGTTCGGGGTCGAGATCCGTGACGAGACTATAGTAGAACTTCTTTTTTGAGGGGTCATGGAACTTGTCCCAAGGTAGGGTGTCAATGTCCCACGTGTGATTGAGACCTAGATCGCGGAAGTTCAAGGTGATTGTGCGCTGCGATTTGGAGAGGGTCGTGACGAGGAGATAGGATCGAAGAGAAATGGCTGCTGCCATGGCAGCCTTGCCATGGACCACGGCATGCTCGCCAAACACGATGACCTTGCCCGGCGCGGACACCATGAATGTGGGCGCCATAGGCGATGAAGCCTTGCGAGACATGACCGGCCGCTTTGGTTCCTCAATGCCATTCATTTGCGATTCTGTAGAGGAAGCACTGTCGGAGCTGTCGTCAACCCCGTTCTCGCCCCTGGAATGAACAGGAACAGCCACACCGTTCACTGGGTTGTCGGGGAGAAAGTGGGCGACCGTTCGACGCTGGGGGAGAGCTGAGGCCTTCATGCCGTTCAATCGACGAATAGGGCTTTCGGTCATGGCAGGCGGGAATGTGAGGGGGGGGACAAGGAGGCGGAGATGTGATGTGCGGAGCGGCGAGTCGATTAAAAATTAAAGGGGCAATAGTCATCGAACGTGAACAACCCTCAACATAGTCAAAAGTTAAGTAGAAAACAAGCAACTGGAGACCCTTTGACTTATCTGGAGTAAAGACGGGGGAGTTCTCGATGCTACTGAGTATACGAGGGAACGCGACGCGTCCAATCAGAACAGCTGCAATCGCAATTGGTCAGACCTCTAATTAGTTTTATAGATCGCTTATGCGTGCTATTCCTCGCGTTCCTAATGGACGAGTTTTAAATCGGCTATTTTTATTCATATTGTAATTGCTCCTCTTTTTCATTCTAGAAGCTGAGAGTGCAGAGATTTTGTGGCGTGCAGTAGCGCCGGAATGATCATCTCTATGTTTCTCTTGCAGTCGCCACACAACGGCAGTATCGAACCAGGCCAGTATACAAGTAACATAAATGAAAGATAAAAATATGATATTTTGTATGTGTATCGGTGAGAGCAATGTAAGGGGTACATGTAACAACCCACACCGTCCCGGAAGTCGAAAAAATCTAGCAGACGCTGGTTATGTACAACGTGGTCTAATTTGCAAGGGTCGTCAATTCATCACAGGTTCATCGTCACGGTCATGCTGTTGCTGTGGACCAGGAGACAGGGCGGCAAATCTTGCCACAGCACCTCCAGGTCACTCAAGTAGGACGCACTGTCCTCTTCGCTAAGCGAGGTGCCTTCCACGGGAGACGGCAGGGTCGTGAAAATAACAGCCGTGTCGCCACTATGCTGGACCATCAACTCGTTTAGAATCAAATGCTGTGCTCGGCTGGGTAGGTCGTCAAAGGACAATGGAACTGAGGCCATACTTGGGTAGCCGGATGCAGTGTTGTGGTTGCGGATAGTGGGTGGGGTGGCAGATGGTCGGCGGGCGTAAATTGAGTCTAGTTTATTAAATCTCGGAGGAGAATTTTGAGCGGCAAACATAATGGAAGGACCATTGCCCTCTTCGGCTTCAGTGTTCACCTTTGCCTCTGGGATGGGAGAGGAGCTGAACCGATTGCTAGATGCAGAGCGGCTCATGGGAGGCCGTCGAACGGCAGGTTTACTCTTGGGCGAAGCATCATCGCCGGTTTCGATGATCGATGGGATCTGTTGGCTGGCTGGTGTTTCTTCCACGTGAGGTGTAGTCTGTGTGTTGGGGGAAACTGAACCAGGACTGCAGTCATCGGTCTTGGACCGGAGAAGTCGCGATGGGCCAGCTCCGGCCTCAGGAGTAGCGGGATCCCGATCATCATTCTCGGGTTCGCTGGTGTAACCTTCCATATCACTGTCCTCGCTCGAGCTCAAGCTATCCGAACTATCGTAGTCGACGAACGAATCCAACAATCTATGTGTTTGCATGCCAAGGTTCACTCCTCCTAGAGCTCGGAAGCTCGAGATAGACCGTCTGCGGCGAGTGGACTGAATCAGTCGTCTCAATCCACTTACTCGCTGGCGCGAATTTCTGGCTTCGCTCTCTTGGCTCGATGGACCTTGCCAGCTGTACGTCTTGTCCAGGTGCAGGCTGTCACTTGCTGTATCGGAACCCTGACCCTGCTCTTGAGCACGGGCTCGTAAGATTCCTTGCCACCATTCTTCTCCTTGCAAAGTGGACCGGACCTTTTCTTGAGAATCGGCTGTAGCTGTTGAAGTATCGCCGTTTACAACAATCCGATAAGCCTTGAGGTCACCGCAGGCAAGCCAGAATACCAAGACTTCAGCCTCGATCCGTAGCTTGTCAAGAAGAGCCTCAACTCGTCCTCTTTCATCTTCCACGTCGGTTTCATACTCCACAAACACTGCGACCCGGATTTTGTAGGTCTTTTTCCATGAGGGGACAGTGTTCAAAATACAGCCCAGCTGGAGGATTAGGGTATATGTGTCGAAATTAGTTGTGAGCACGTTTTGTTTGCTTTCGTTATCAGCCCCGAGCTCGGCTGACATTTGAATCGGCCACAGGTCAATGTACTTCTTTGTGTGACGACCGTGAGCGTCTGGTAGTTCTAAATCCTCAAATCCTTTTGCTACAGCAACATTGATCCGAAGCTTAAAAAGAAGATCTTCCAGGATTGTGACGTAGCTCTGGCCACTCATTGGCGGGTTTCTTGGTCGATTTTCAGGCTCATCCGTTCGAAGGCCATGGGCTGAGCCACGTCTAGTCTTGGAGTCTCTTCGGCCGGTGTTTGAGAAAGTTTCAACGAGCGATTGGTCTTGTCGGAATTGGTCAATCACAACAATATTTGGCCGCATGCCTCCCAGTCCCGAGTTTAAAACAATATTTCGCATACCCCATTCTGCTGCAGGGGAGATAGAAATATTCACAAAGGCTTTGATCTTGGAATACTCGACGAACTTTGTCCATGCCGTCTGTTGACGTCGCGCTTCAGGCACAGCAGCCGAAAAGTCATCCGTCACAAGGACATGAGCTAGCACAAACAGAGCTCCTTTCTTCAATGAATTGCAGAAAGAAACCATCTTGTATTGCCTGTCAAGGTCGCTGACAAAGAGCAAAATTTGAGGACGCCAGAACTTCACATGCTCCTGGCGAAGACGGAGCAGGTATTTGCGTACTTGATGGTAGATCAGGCTCTGGCTGACATCGCCCCATGGCTTTGGTGGCGAGCTGTAGTGGATCAGCAAGAACAGCATCACCAATATGCTAACACATCCTGAGGCATAAAGTCCATCCACGAAGAACATGCTAACTCCACTGACCAACGTACCAGCCGCTGCGGTCTGCCAGTTGAAGTAATGGAAAGACGGGCGGAAGTTGGGCGCAGAGCCAATTTTCAACAGAAAACAGGCAAGATTCATCACAAGGAATGTCATCAAGTACGTCATTGTAACAAAAGACGCGATGCGGTTAATGTCGAAGAGCATTGTGAGTTGGGCGAACACAAAGGTCACGATGATTGCATAAATCGGCTCGTCATTTTTGCGAGTTCCCTGGCCGAATATGCCAATTCCAGGTAAGAGACTATCTCTTGCGATAGCCTGAAGGAGTTTCGCTGATCCAATCACACCCATCAAGGCAGAGAAGAAACTGGTTGCGAATTCTCCAAGAAGGATGACCATGTCGGAGGCATTGACCTGGTTTCAATTAGATCCTGCAATCATCTTTTCGCAGCTGGTAACTTACAACTTGAATCACATTCACGTTGTTGTAAAATGACTCTCGGGTAACAGACGCTGCCATTGCAAGAATGACAAGCGCATAAGTGATAAACGTCAACGCCAGTCCGGAAAGCGTACCCTTGGGGATAGCCTTGCTTGGGTTCTTTAAGTCACCAGACATACTTGCACCACTAATACCGGTTAGTAAGCTATTTTTGAGGGTGTGCACCTTATTACTCACGCGAAAATGCCTCCTGTAGCAGGGAAAAGAATACCAAAGAGATCTTGGAAATTCTCACGTCCTTTCAGTTGACTTCCCGCGGCCCCCTTGGTAAGGTGAGGCTTAAGATTCCCCATCAAAGTCTTCAAACGTAGGCCCGTGAACTCAACGCCCTGATGAGGAAGAGAGAAAGGCTTCATGAAGAGCGCAGAGAGAGGAATGCTGAAGGTCGCCACAAGCAGTATGATAAGAAGCCCGTTACTTGCCCTGGCAAAAATGGAACTTCCTGCCAAACAGATACTAGTGCAGAATACCAGGATAACAGTACCCCAGAGGTACTGCCACCAGAACCCTTCCTCGAGGAAATTGGCCCAATCGCCGGACTGTGTGCCGAAGTTTTGGGTGAAGCAATCCACTAGACCAACGGCGTTCATCCCAGTGTTGAAAACATAGCCCAGGTAGAATACGATGCCAATTGAGCCACCGAACTCAGGACCCAGGGAGCGAGAGATCAGGTAGTATGCACCGCCTCCTCGAACTGTTCCATTTGTTGCAATTGCAGACAGAGACATTGTTGTCACAAGGTTGATTGTGTACGAAACAAGTAGCAGGCCTTCAATTGATTAGCGCAGGCCAGGCCATCTACGGAAGTCTACTCACCCAAGATTCCCAGTACACCAGCTTGTCCCAGAATGAATCCGAATCTAAGGAACATAAGAATGCTCAGCACATTCAGAGTTGTCGGAACAAATACGCCGGAGAAAGTTCCAAGCTTCTTGGGTTCATCCACCGATCGAGACCGATGTCCCTTGTCCTTCCTATCGGTGCTAGACTCGCGAAGAGGGCCCGCAGGCACCACTTGCGGTGAAGCAGTCTCTCTGCTATCTTGGTTCTGATCATGTTCTCCGCGATTGTGCCACCATTGCGAAATTCCTCTGAAATAGTCGGTGGGTGATGAATGACGCTGGTCCTCTGCTGGCTCTGACGAGTTCACTGGCTCATATGGACGGGCCCATTTGGTCGGTGGCCATGGTAATAGTCGAGTACTTTCATCAGGGGGAGCCAGGCTCGAGTCCCCTGGAGCTAGACGTGAGGTATCTTCTTGAGCGGTTCGAGTTGAGAAGTTGGGCCGTCGGCGAGACAAGGAGTCGGAAGAATCTCCGACTCGTTCAGGCGTCATAGCAAATTCAACGCCTATATGGACATAGGGCCGATACGTGGATGTATAAAAGAGAAACGAGAGAAGTAGAGACCTTAAGCACAGGAAAAGTAGACAACCACCTACATCATCTTGCAGCGATAACATCCAATGGGTGACGTAAAGCAAACAGTGCAAACACTGTCAGCTTGGATTCTCGCCGCTTAGCGTCTCAGACCTCTCCTCCGTTACATCTGGCTGTTTCACATCCTAATTTCGTCTCCTGTTACATTGTCGGTCTCAGATCGTCCATGCCCATTCTTCGACTTTAACTACTCCCAGGGGCTTACCGAGACCACGATCAAAATGGCAGACAATGGAGAGGGTTCGTCCCTAACTCCAGCTCGGTCTGTGCCAATAGCATCCTCGGTACGCTCGAGGTCCCCCGGGCCTGAGCTCGGTACTAGGCAGGCTTCCATTGCACGACTTGCGTCCCCGGTGCCCTCCCCGTCATTTGGTACTTCTCTGTCCTCCCGACAGGGTATCCCAGCCAGTCGGCCTATCACAACGAATGCCGAGCAGGACTTCTCTAAATCATTCACTCATGCGGCTTCACTTCCTGGACCCGGTCAATCCATGATTGCGTCCCAACTTCAAGAGAGCCTGGGTCGCTCGCCGCCGAGATTTGGAACACCGTCGCGGAACACTGGGTCTCCTGCGTTGCATCTAGATCCCCGGCCGGTCGCCTCACAGTACGGATCTTTCGATACAAAGAATGGACGCCAGTCCCCTGGCCCAGGAGTGCCACCATATGAGGATCCTGAGGTTATCAAAAGACATCTGGTGACCGATCAGGGAGATGGCCAGTCAGATATTGCGACCAGCATAGGAGATGAGCACTTCTCCAGTTTACAACTACAGGGTGGTGATATTACACGACAGGTCTACCGATGGGCGGAGGATGCTGAGGCTGAAGCCGCAGGTCGATTCATGCGCAGCAAGAGTTTCAGCGTAAGCCGACCAAGACCAGAGCATGAGACGGAGGATATCGATACAATTCGTGTTCCAGGAGGATTCCGTAGAGATTATCTCCGGAGAGCAGCTGGAAGTCCACATCGTGGAAGTGCCCAGGGATCGACTTCAGGGGCACCCCATCCTGGTCCTCCCCAGCTGCCTACCACGAGCTTCTTGGAATTCTTGACTCTGTACGGTCATTTTGCTGGAGAGGAGCTGGAGGAAGATGACGAGGTCCTTGGGCCGGATGAGTACTTTTCCTCCGATGCTTGGGACGAGCCAGAGGAGGGTAGAGAGTCCGGAGAAGATGCGGCGCTACTGGCACCAGAAACACCAGGACGGAAGAAGAGAAAGCACAAGCAGCGTTCGCCGGCCGGCAATACTACGACGACCGGCGCCGTGATGCTGCTGCTCAAGTCATTCGTGGGTACCGGTATTTTGTTCCTGCCCCGGGCCTTCTTGAATGGCGGCATGCTCTTCAGTAGCATGGTTTTGCTGGGCGTGTCAATTTTAAGTTACTATGCCTTCATTCTTCTCGTCAACACCCGCATGAAGATCGATGGTTCCTTCGGTGACATCGGTGGTATTCTGTATGGCAAGCACATGCGACGAATCATTCTCGGATCAATTGTCCTCAGTCAGTTGGGCTTTGTGTCAGCGTATATCGTCTTTGTCTCGCAGAACCTGCAGGCATTTGTGCTCGCTGTGAGCAAGTGTGTTACCTTTATCGACATCAAGTACATGGTGCTTTTGCAGCTTATCATCTTCCTGCCTCTGTCTTTGATTCGGGATATCAGCAAGCTCGGATTCACCGCCCTCATTGCGGATGTGTTCATTCTCTTGGGATTGCTGTATATCTATTACTACGATGTCACCACATTGGTCAGCCAGGGCGGTATTTCCGACGTCATTTCCTTCAATCCAACTACATGGTCCATGTTCATCGGTACCGCCATCTTCACCTACGAAGGCATAGGTCTCATCATTCCAATTCAGGAGTCAATGAAGCAGCCTCATCGCTTCCCCGGTGTGCTGGCTGGTGTCATGGTTGTCATCACCTTCATTTTCTTGTCTGCCGGTGCCCTGAGCTACGCAGCATACGGATCCACCACCAAGACCGTCATCCTTCTCAACCTTCCCCAGGATGACAAGTTTGTCAACGTGGTCCAGTTCCTCTACTCTCTTGCCATTCTGCTGAGCACACCGCTGCAGCTCTTCCCCGCTATCCGTATCATGGAGAACGAGCTGTTCACCCGCAGTGGCAAGTACAACCCATACATCAAGTGGAAGAAGAACGGCTTCCGTTTTTTCCTAGTCATGATCTGTGCTGTTGTCGCCTGGGGCGGTGCCGATGATCTTGACAAGTTTGTTTCGCTGGTCGGAAGCTTCGCTTGTGTTCCATTGATCTATGTTTACCCGGTATGTTCTTCTATGAGTAGATTACTGAATTGTGTACTAATCATCTCTCAGCCACTTCTGCACCTGCGCGCTTGTGCTCGTTCCAAACGCCAGGCTATTGCCGACGTCACTCTCGCGGCCTTTGGTGCTATCTGCTGCGTTTATACGACTTCCCTGACCATCGGGAGCTGGCTCGGACCTGAGGTTCCTCAGAGCCCAGGATACTGTGATTCTCATTAAGACCTTCATCATTTCTTTGATTGTTGTAGAGCGCGGCGAATTGGTCCTTCGGTATTGTTGGATTACTTTTGGTTTCTTGTCAACCCCAAATTGTGGCATATTATGGGTTCATTCTACTGCTTAGACGCTTGTACGGAGCTGTGCGTTCACAATCTTGGGCAAAACTATTACTATATTAGGCGATCTTAGGTCGAGTGATCCTTCTGTACACATACCATCTCGGTTTTTGGATTTCTATCTACCAAATATGTATTTGACTTTCTCTTTCTCGCCAATGTCAGCATAATGAACTACGTGGACTCACCAGACATCTACCTTCAAATTGGAAACCAAGGCATTCCAAAACGGAATATGATTCAAGCGCAAAGAGCATATGTACAATGGCTATCGAATCACCACAGCTGCAAAGCATATAGCGTCGATAGATAAAAATTTTCCTCAAAACCACAAGTCCTCTTTATATGCCTCCTCTATTAGCATTGCCCAACCCCTAAATTTTCAGGCTCAGGTAAGACCATCGGACCACACGCGGAAATGCAGTTCTGCAGAACGAGAAATGATGCTTGAGAGCCCCAAATAGAACAAAAGTACACCCAATATAATCTTATCAGGACCACTTAAGCACCGGCCTCAGGAGCGATGGCACCCTTAGCGACAGCCTTGTCAGCGAGCTGCTTTTCCCGGCCACCGAATCTGTTAAAGAACACTAGGTTAGCATGTGTGTTTCCGGGAATAATGGGTGCTAAACAAAGCCGAACGGCGCGGTAACGTACTTCCAGTAGTTGAGATAACGGTATGCCTGGGTAGACTGGGCACCGAAGTTGGTCAAGTGGCAAGCGAAAAGGAGGTAGTTGGGGGGTGTGACAGCGAGGGAGTAGCGCATGAAGGTAGCGGCGTAGATGACAAGAGCACCGGTCATGGGGCCAGAGATACTATGAGCGAAACTATCAGTACAATCGCCCTGAAACAGCCATATAAAACATCAAAGGTAATATAAATCTCCCGGGTATCATGGGATGAAAACATACATCTCAGCATCCTTCTGCGTGTCCATAACAGCGGCGATGGGGATACCGAAGTTGGAGACAGGACCCCAGAAGTCTAAGAAGCGGCACTAACAGTCAGCAATCTGTACATAATCTCGGCGAGTGATTTCCGTCCGAAGCGCGCCATTCCGACGAAGTATTGTTCCTCCGACCCTCGACGGCACTTCCAATGCTTATGATCTCGTGCGGTCTCGTTGGCCGATCTCGGTGCGGGAAGAGCTTCGGGAAACTTGGCATCGATACGTACGGGTTGAGCAAATATAGTCCAGCACCGAGTTGGAGCGGATCTTGGCGTTGATTGCCTTAATAGCAGCAGCCATTGTGAAGTTGCTGGTAAGGTGTTTGCGGGTATGGGATCGAGGAGGTGAGGTCAGTATATGAAGGTTACGGAATTAACTCGAGGGACCCGGCGTTCGGCGGGTATCACGTGAGCTGCTACGATATCGGTTGGGGTTTATAGATGCAGCGCCTATGCCATTCAAGGGGTAATTGTAGAGCTTGATACATATAATTATTAGTCAGTTTGTCTGGTATAGATATCTCAAGAGTATTTGGGATTATACTTTAAATGTGTGTTCGTAGCATTAAGAAGTTCCATCATTGGGAAATATATACATCTGTAAGGACTGCTTCGATCATATAATGAAACAAAACTACGCGAACAGGGAGTAGGAATAGAATTTATGGAAAATGAAGCTGTGTTAAAGTAAGCTAGCATTATTTTTTGACCTAATGCAAATTTCAAGAGGATTTTGGTCTTTTTGTCCCCGGCCCTTGACACGACCTCTGTCCATGCGCCACAACGCCTTGCCCAATAAAATGTGGGTTGATCTAGCCGGTACGCATATCATTGTCTCCCACTGGAAGCGTCAACAGTGGTTCTTTTCAGCGCTGAGTGGTGCTTGCTTTTTGCCAGTTGAAATCAGATCGCCGATGATATGAAGCGTAGGAAATTTCTCTGTACACAAGTCCGATTACCTGCCACCAAATCCAGGAGGAGGGTAGCCACGTCCCTGTCCAGGAGGCTGGAAGCCAGGGGGGTTGGAAGCCGGCAGCTATAAAGTCCAAGGTTAGTGCTGCATATGGGATAGAAGGCTGCTTGGGTAGACACTTACGGGGTCCGCCTTGAGGAGCAAATCCAGGAGGAGGAGCGAAACCGGCTAGAGCATAACTAGTTAGCATGACTTTATATCAATCCGACAAATGGAAAAACTTACGAGGACCGCCAGGAGGACCTCCACGTCCCGGAGCAAAGCCTGGGGGAGGGGCGCCAGGGAAACCAGCAGGAGGGAAGCCAAAGCCGCCAGGAGGAGGAGGTCCACCAACACCAGCAGCAGGGCCTCCGAGTCCAACGGGCAGACCGCGGCCAGCAGGCTTGCTGATACCAGGGCCTGCAGCGAGCGTCGCAGCGGCGCCGGGTCCAGCGGTACCGAGGCGGGCAGAGGGGTCGGCGGGAGGAGGGCCGTCAACCGAGCACGAGACAACTTGAGTTCCGCGCACGATAGTCAGACCGAGAGTTCGCTTCTCTTCTGCTTCGATCTGCGGGGCGCTTCCGGGGGCAGCGGGCTTCGACTTCTTCTTTGTACGACGGAATTCTTCTGTGTCTGCGAGAACAAGGTTCATGTGCTATAAAAGATAAAATTAGCTTAGATAAGTGAATTCTAGGGCAAGATCGAATACCTTATCAAATGCAAGCATCTGACCGGTCATCTGGCGACCGTCATTGAGAGTCACCCTCATCCGGTAGTTGATCTAGATAAAATGTTAGGCATTCTGAAGTCCAGTACATTATCGCCGGAGTAAACTCACGAGGTTTGCCTAGAAGGAAGTAGTTAGCGACAGCCATTGACACGGGTCGAGATGCAGATAGGGACGTGAAACTTACCATCTTGTTTGCGGCCATGTTGGCTAGTTAGTGCGCACGTGTGCGACTTGGAAGACCAAAAAATAGGAAACAGTAGATAGAGCGAGACTCTCTACTGTGGGTAATTGAGCAACGGCGCGAGTTCTTCGTCGTTGTGAAGCTTAAGCTCTGTCGGGTGGCAGTTCTTGATATCTGGTTAGTCAGAATTGAGTCAGCATCCACATAGGTGCCTGAGGTCAACATGACCATAGCCCCACTTATCCCAATTAGGCAGACTCAGGGCTCTCTCATCACGTGCCAGAATCGAACCCACACAAACCACTTTCACTTTTCTCGTGATCGATCCATTCCTTTAGTCGACAACTACTTCACGCCCATCAATCGCCAACATGGTAAGTCCATATTGCACACAATCACACACAATCATACCTTGCAAATTACCTCGAAATCTCTATCCCATTCAAAAATCGCCAACTCCGCCCAAAATCGCAATAAAATTCCTTCTAACAAAATGCAGTCGTCCGAGGCCAAGGCATCCAACCCCATGAAGGAGCTTCGCTTGTCGAAGCTCGTTCTCAACATCTCCGTCGGCGAGTCTGGTGATCGTCTCACCCGTGCCGCCAAGGTGCTTGAGCAGCTGTCCGGTCAGACCCCCGTCTACTCCAAGGCCCGTTACACCGTCCGTACCTTCGGTATCCGTCGTAACGAAAAGATCTCCGTCCACGTCACCGTCCGTGGCGCCAAGGCCGAGGAGATCCTCGAGCGTGGCCTCAAGGTCAAGGAGTATGAGCTCCGCAAGCGCAACTTCTCCGAGACCGGTAACTTCGGATTCGGTATCTCCGAGCACATCGATCTCGGTATCAAGTACGACCCCGGTATCGGTATCTACGGAATGGACTTCTTCGTCTGCATGTGAGTTGCCCGAAACGACAGCCCCGAGGGGTGCACATTCTATGTATGAAAAACTCCAACTGACAAAAATTTTTAGGGGCCGCCCCGGTGCCCGTGTTGCCAAGCGTCGCCGCTGCCAGGCTAAGATCGGTGTCAACCACCGCATCAACGAGAACGAGACCATCAAATGGGTTGGTCCCTCCTCACACCCTCGACCCCGCACCTTTTGCTAATATGTTTCGGAAACAGTTCAAGAACCGCTTCGACGGCATTGTCCGGTAAAGGATTTCACGACGATGATGGGCGGAAACGGTTGATATGCGTTGTATAAAGCACTCAACCACAAACGAAAAGGCTCACTCGCCATTGAGAAAACAAAAAATCGCCTCGGAACAAACTCGGCGAGGCTCTACGGGGCTTCTTGTTCTCTGCACAGGCATGGTCTTGATTTCCTATCACGGCAACTAGGATAGGCGTGTTAGGGGCATGAATGAATTATTCACATTTTACTGCTGCTTTTCCCTTTTCACAATGAGGCTTCACAAGGGGTGATGTTTACCGCATAACCATTGTTGAAAAGGTTGGCAGATACTTGATTTCGATTGAGTGTCTGACCAAGACTCGGTTGGCATCGCCTCCCCGGCTTTGTCAAAGAGTTGGTCTCTTCCCTCGAGAATCCTCGCTGTGGATTGAGTATCTGGCCTATCTTTCTGTCCCTATCCGCTTAGGCTTTGTAAGTCCGCGTAGATGTAAATCTGTCGTAATTCGTAGAGCGGTGGTCTTTCAAGTGCCAAGCAACTTCATATGTGAAGTTTAAGCATGGGATAAACCCCCATAGGACTTCAACTGCGGCAGGGCCTGTACCAGGCTCATTACCCCAGTCAAGGCAAATGCCCATCGAGGCTAATGCTGATCTAGTCTGGTCCATAAAATGGCTAGATAGGTCGATTGAAGACGGAGTGGGACGGTTCTATATTTGCTTCATCAAAGCCGTCAAAAGAGCTTAAAATTGAGTCGAGCAACGCATGGCCCCACGTTGCATGCGCTGCAAGGTGAGTGATTCACAAAGGAAGATTCTATAGCTTCCTATGCGATTATAATTTGGTGCTGGATATTCTTTTCATGCGAGCATGGTCATTGCCACGGGTTCTGGATTATGCAGGCTATCAGTCAAATTTAAACGTTGAAAACTTTTGACCAAGTCCTTTAACCACCTTTCCGATACATATTTTATTTGGTTAATCTGAGGCATAAAAAATGGCTACAACAGAAGCGAAAAAGTGCATAACAAAGTATACTCGCTTCGAGGGTTTTTGCGGAGAGACTATCTAATACTTCCTGGCATTCTGTACACATTCATGACCGCTGTTGCAGTAAACTAGATGAGGAGAAGCCCATTGTCAAGTCAACGGACTGGATATCCGTCTTACTAGACATCTATTCCACATCTTTATCTACATCAACGTATCGTCGCACGTCTTCCGAGTACCAGCAACAGCATCAAACCCAAGGGGCAACTGACACGGCCACTTCACTCCAGCAGTGCCCTTTTCCCCTTACACGATATCGATAACGCACTCAACACCCTTCCGAGCATCACCAGGCTGTTCTCTATTCAAGTTATTGAACAGGCTAGTCCGAGGTACGTTCAAGGCTTTGTAGTCCCGAAACCTAGGAGCGGCGAACTTGCTATTCTGCTGGCTCAACAGATCGGTTCGGAATGTCCCAACCTCGACAAGCAGAGTTTTGATTCCAAGTGGAGCGACTTCCCTTTAAAGGCCTCGGATGCATCTTAAGGTCGTATTAGCGAATTGTATGTGTGCATGAGAAAAGTAATTTCGGAACCCACAGTGGAGAGCAGCCTTCGAAGCGCAGTACGCTGCAACAAAAGGTACCCCATCCCACGCAACAAAAGACCCAATATACACAATAGTTCCAGGTTTATTACTGCGCATATGAGGAAGGAATAATCTAGTTGTACTCAAAGCCCCAAAGACATTCGTATTGAAATGTTTGGACCAGTCTTCGTGCCTAGCAAATTCAGGCATTGGTATTCTGATGTATCCCAGGATTTGGGGTGCTAGATACGTTACTTACTTACTTTCTTCAACGGTCCCAACTTGCGTATATTCGGCATTGTTTACCAGCACGTCAATCCGCCCGTACACAGAAATGGCCGTGTTGGAAATGTCATTCAGCTCTGCTTGCGTGGTGGTGACATCTAGTTGCATGGTATTCGCTACCATATCTTTTAGGTGAGCGATTTTGTCTACGTTGCGGGCTGTTGCGATCACCTTGTTGCCCAGCTCTAAGGCGGCTTTGACGAGCTCATTTCCTAGGCCTGAGGAGCTTCCGGTGATGAGCCAGACTTGGTGAGACAATATTCTCTGGTATGGGGTGGATTTGTATCAGGAAACAAGTCGGGTTTTATCATCTGTTGAACTTTTGCTGTCACAGGCCTGGGTTGAGTGCGCTGTATATATATCAAATTAGTCTCTCCCCGGTCACATCCTGTTGCGAGTTATTCTGGTTGACCCGGTTATTTTCCACTTTCTAACATCAATTACACATCAATTTAATGCAAATTAATGGATGTCATATTATTGGTAGTCAATCGCGATGGCGGTTATACTACAAGGCTCGCAAGGTTGGTGGTTTCTGATCTGAAGATGGATTTCAGACAGGTGCATTGATACGGCAATTTTTCCGAAATGATATGTTCGATCAACAATTCATCGATCGCAGCTGTGGATACAGTCAATGTTGAAGTCTCATGATCTATGCTGGTACTCCGCCGGTGGAGTATAGACCGATATATTTGACCAAGGTAAAAACGTAATAATTGAAGCATATATTTGGCATAAGTTAGAGCCAATCTATAACAAGAACCTTAAAGAGTGAGCCGACCAGCATAGGAAAGGGCCGCATGTAAATATAGAAATCACAACCACCAATACACCTTTCAAGCAGTTCACTTCTTCTGATCAGCCATCTCAATCATGTCATCACGGGGCTTATGGTCCTGATCAGCAGCCTCCAAGTCCAGATTCTTAGCATTTACAGAATCATCAACAGCAGCTGTAACAGACTCAAAGCGACGGCCACGTTTCTCAGGCCCAACAGAAGTAGTTAGCGCAATACCAAGAGCAATAATAGCAGTAGCAACACCCATAACGGGCCCATAAGCTGGAACACGGTGTCCAGACGGACTAGTAATCCAAGTAGACTCAGAAATGGCATTTACAATCTGTGCCGATGGCGAAGAAATCATGTTTCCAAGCTGGTATGTCAGACCAGGGAACGAGGACCGGAAGGCGGGAGGGGAAAGCTCGTTCAGGTGGATTGGAATCACACCCCAAGCTCCCTGGATGAAGAATTGCATGAAGAACCCCGTCACGCTAAGGCTTCTCTCGCCTTGGGGGAGGATCCATGCTGGGATGAGGACGCCGGAAACCAGTGCGGCGACGATGATTGCGCGACGGCGACCGAAAAATTGGGATAGATAACCAATGATGGTTCCGCCTACGCATGCGCCGGTTTTCATTAGGATGGAGGCCCGGGAGGCGGCTGAGTTGTCGAGTTCTTTGGAGGTGCGCATGAATGTTGTATAGGAGTCTTGGGAGGTGTGGGAATAGTAGTTGAACTATATAGGCAACGGTTAGATGCTGATTATCAGGATATATTGGCAGCTGTAACATACCCAGGTCATCAGAATAATGCAGTAGACGCACATGCGCCACTCTTTGGCCAACATGGCTCTTGTCTCCTTCCAAAACTCGCCTGCGGACATTGTTCGCTTCCCGGCCTTTTTGGCTTCAAGGAATTGCTTCGATTCGGGGAAGCAAGCACGGAGGAGACCGATTCCAATTGAAAGACCAGCTGGAAAGCGTTAACGACATTCGGTCTTCTTGCATGTAAATGGTGCCTTACCCGCAATCCAGAATACTGTCTTCCAACTTTCAGTTGAACCACCGACACCAAGGTTGGCACAAGCTGCGAAAACATAGCCCAATGAATAACCTTGCTGGAGGATACCGGACATGAGTCCTCTTGCGTTGACACTAATGTGTAGAAATGTCAGCTGGTGTCTCCAATCCCTAATTGAAAGTATAACATGCATGGCCTCTCTTTTTGAATCTATTTGTTCGACCTCTTTTTTGCCCACTTCAGAGTGCTTCGGGTAAACCATTCAGATCATATGAAGGGAGGGGTGCGAAAGGGCTTATGAAACTTGCTGTATGAAACTTGCTGTATGAAACTTGCTGTACGTACGGGCAATGCTCCAATGCCATAGCAATTGCGTTTCCATAAACACCACCCATGAAAAGACCAAAAAGGCTTCTAACAGCCAAGAACTGTTGGAAGGTATGGCTGTAGATAGTAGCAATCTGCAAGAGACCCAAAATGACCATGTTGATGACCATGGGCCATTTACGACCATACCTATCACCAGCCAACCCAAAGCCAGCAGCACCCACACTTCTGAGAAGGAGGGTCAATGTGATGGCAGTTGTTATGTCTGTCTTTGATCTACCGTAGTAGTCAGACAGCTTGACAGTTTGGATGGAGAGAGCGTGGAAGTCGAATGCATCGGCCGTCCAAGCAGCAAGTCCCACAAGAAAAAACAACCAATCTCGCGCCGACAGCTGCATCATCAAACTGATGGGGTTCTGAATTGGCTCCGGAGATTGCCATTCTGTATGGGACTCGCCGTATTCATTTGTTACCTCAACACGCTGCTTCCAGATGAAGAGATCTTTGAAGGACTGGCCTGCCTGTGCGAACATGCCACTCGGGATGGGATCCGCCAATTCATTGCCAGATGCCATTGTGGCCAAGGAAAGGTATATAAAAGAGACTGATTGACGAGAGGGTCTCAGCAGAAAATCGCAGAGAATTCGATCAGAAACCTGTGGATTTTCCGGGATCTCTGTGGCATATTTCATTCAAATCACACGTCTCATCTCCGCGTTTTATACCAGACGATCACTATCAACCCCCGCATCTCCATCCCGCATTATCCTCGTGGAGGTCAATAAATGCCGCTGCACTCCAGGTGCACCCCAGATTGTTCCGAGTGACTACGCGGGGACATGCCACTCCGCTAACCAGCCAAGCAGCCAAGCACCATGGACATCCGTGCCCTCCAATGCAAGCCTGCCATACGAGAGACATGCCGCACAATACGCTCTAAGGCTGGCTTGGCGTGGGGATGGTCTTGCCTAGAGATCCTTCCGGGCTTGGCTAGGCTTACAAAGACAAGCTCCAACAAGACGGATGGCGCTGTGCGCGTGGCCATTGCTCCGTTGCGCCGAAAACTTTGAGTCAAAGAAGGGCCGATATGCACTGCAGTGGCTCCGGTTCGGCTTGAAAGTTGGATTTGGGGCTTAGAGCCCGGGAAGACTTCCTTCGGGGCTCTAGCGGGTTGTTGGCAGTCGGCTAGATTGGACGATACTCATATTTGTTGGGGGAAGTGGGGGTTGATGGCAACGCTGTTGAAGTGGCAATCTGAGCTCATGGATTAGTATACCGATACGATGTATGGTGGTAGTGGTGAGTGGTAGTGGTGACTGGATGTGTGTATAGTGCTTGATGACGTTCTGGGCCTGGAGATAAGGCGCTATGGGATGAATGACAGGCCATTGGTCCACTACTGTGGATCGAAGTTAAGGGGTCTTCTCAGGCCATGCAGCTATTGGGGTACATATACCTACAGTGTACATCCCCAATGCAAGTGAGCTGTTTTAATCTTGTTCGGAATTTTGTCTGGTGATAACTCATTTCAGTTCACTTCTGGCTTTGATCAAAATCTCAAAATCTCAATAGCTTCATTTTGGTTATTACCCACTAGCAATTCACAAATCTGCAAAGTTGATACAGAACCAATGAACATACTGTAAAACATGAAATGAAGTGGATGCTGATATAGCCACCTACGTGTAAACAACCTCGTGGACTTCAACGGGCGAGCGGGCAGCTATACATCGCGCAAACATTGTCTAACTCAGCACAATCACCACCTTTGACATTTGACACACCTTTCACGCTTCAAACTCTTCTTGTGCTCTTCTCACTCTCTATTGTTCTTTCCACCTTCTCATTTCTCTCCATTCTCTCCACTGGAACGAGACGATCCCCAAGCCCCTGCATCACGTGACGACCCATAAGCGACACCTCAGCAACGACGGCGGCCTCCTGAGGTCACTTCCGCTGCCATCGCAATCAACCCCCCTCCCTCTCTTCCTTACATCGTCCTTTTCCTTTCCTTCTCCTTCTCATCACTTTCACTTTCCGTCACTTCTTTCCATCATCTTTCAATTCCTCTGCTTTTGCGTGGCGTTTAGTCGGGAACTGGTCGTACAGCGGCCAACGTAAATATGGCGCCTCTCCCAATCAAGTTCACAGAACTGGTCAATGTACGTGATTACCCCTCATCCAGATTTCATTGCGCTTGAAGCTATGGAACTAACGGAAGCTTTCTTTTACAGTTGACCGCAGTCGGCATTGCGGTATGTACACGACAATCCCGGTGATGCGTCGCGACGAGCTCTCGTTGCTCGACGGATGCCGTGGCCGCGCACCACAACCTCCCTGGAGGCTTTGAATACCTGACTGACTTTGTTTCTTGCAGCCGGAATCAATTGGCTTCACATCCTGCGTAAGTTGCCCCATGTTTACCCAACGAATGCGGGACCGATTTGGCTAACCTGGTTGCTTCTCACAGACACTAGAGTCCGATCACTACGTGTGTGTACGCCAGAAGCTTGATACAGACGACAAGCCCCAAGTCATTATCATCGACCTCAAGAACAACAATGAAGTCCTCCGTCGTCCCATCAACGCCGACAGTGCAATCATGCACTGGAACAAGAACATCATCGCCCTCAAGGCCCAGGGCCGGACAATCCAGATCTTCGACCTTGGCGCGAAGCAAAAGCTCAAGTCAGCTGTGATGAACGAAGATATTGTGTACTGGAAATGGTTCAGCGAGCAGTCCTTGGGTCTGGTCACTGACACTGCGGTCTACCACTGGGACGTCTACGACTCTACACAACAGAACCCCGTGAAGATGTTCGATCGACTCCCCAACTTGAGCGTATGTGATCTCATTGGATGCGATCGATGTCGAAATGCTAATGGTGGATGTCTCTAGGGCTGCCAAATTATCAACTACCGCGTTAACGCCGAGGAGAAGTGGATGGTTGTGGTTGGTATCAGCCAGCAGCAAGGCCGCGTCGTTGGATCAATGCAGCTCTACTCAAAGGAGCGTGGAATTTCTCAGTTCATCGAAGGTCACGCCGCCTCTTTCGCCAACATCAACGTCGAGGGCTCTCCCTTACCACACAGCCTCTTCACATTTGCCGTTCGCACTCAGACTGGAGCTAAGCTGCAAATCGCCGAAATCGACCACCAAGAACCCAACCCCCGATTCCAGAAGAAGGCTGTTGAGGTCTACTTCCCCCAGGAGGCGGTTAACGATTTCCCCGTTGCGATGCAGGTGTCCAGCAAATACGATGTGGTTTACCTCGTTACAAAGTACGGCTTCATTCACCTCTACGATCTCGAGACCGGTACTTGCATTTTCATGAACCGCATTTCCAGCGAGACAATCTTCACCACAGCCCAGGACTCCGAGGGTGCCGGTCTGGTCGGTGTGAACCGCAAGGGTCAGGTCCTGTCGGTCAGTGTCGACGAGACCAACATCATTCAGTATCTGATGGAGAACCCTGCTATGTCTGGTCTTGCTGTCAAACTTGCCTCGAAGGCCGGCCTTCCTGGCGCGGACCACCTCTACCAGCAGCAATTCGACAACCTCATGAACCAAGGCAACTTCCCCGAGGCCGCCAAGGTTGCTGCCAACTCCCCTCGTGGGTTCCTCCGTACCCCCGAGACCATCAACCGTTTCAAGAACGCCCCTCAGACTGGCCAGATGTCGGTTATTCTGCAGTACTTCGGTATGCTCCTGGATAAGGGCTCGCTCAACAAGTACGAAAGTGTGGAGCTTGTCCGTCCCGTCCTGCAGCAGAACCGTAAGCACTTGCTTGAGAAGTGGATGCAGGAGAAGAAGCTTGAGGGCTCGGAAGAGCTTGGTGATATCATTCGCCCTTACGACATGAGTCTTGCTTTGAACGTCTACCTCCAGGCCAATGTTCCTCACAAGGTCGTTGCTGGATTCGCCGAGACTGGACAGTTCGACAAGATCCTTGCCTATTCCAAGCAGGTCGGTTACCAGCCAGACTACACCCAGCTCCTCCAGCACATCGTGCGTGTCAACCCCGAGAAGGGTGCCGAGTTCGCTACCCAGCTTGCTAATGAAGAGAGCGGTGCTTTGGTTGACCTTGACCGAGTTGTGGACGTGTTCCTCTCACAGAACATGATTCAGCAAGCTACCTCGTTCCTTCTGGATGCCCTGAAGGACAACAAGCCCGAGCACGGCCACTTGCAAACTCGTCTTCTGGAGATGAACCTCGTCAACGCTCCCCAGGTTGCGGATGCTATCCTTGGTAACGAGATCTTCACCCACTTCGATCGTCCGCGTATCGCCCAGCTTTGCGAGAACGCCGGTCTCATCCAGCGTGCCCTCGAGAACTCTGACGAACCCTCCGTGATCAAGCGCAACATTGTGCGCACTGACAAACTGAGCCCCGAGTGGCTCATGAGCTACTTCGGTCGCCTCTCCGTCGAGCAGAGTCTGGACTGCATGGACACCATGCTTGAGTCGAACATTCGTCAGAACCTCCAGGCCGTGGTCCAGATTGCCACCAAGTTCTCTGACCTTCTTGGTTCCAACCGTCTGATTGACCTCCTGGAGAAGTACCGCACTGCTGAGGGTCTCTACTACTACCTGGGATCCATCGTCAACCTGAGCGAGGACCCGGAGGTGCACTTCAAGTACATTGAGGCTGCCACTACTATGAACCAGGTCACCGAGGTTGAGCGTATTTGCCGTGAGAGCAACTTCTACAACCCCGAGAAGGTGAAGAACTTCCTGAAGGAGGCCCACTTGACCGAGCAGCTGCCTCTGATCATCGTCTGCGACCGTTACAACTTCATCCACGACTTGGTCCTCTACCTGTACCAGAACCAGCAGTTCAAGTCTATTGAGGTCTATGTGCAGCGTGTCAACCCCTCGCGTGCCCCTGCCGTTGTTGGTGGCTTGTTGGATGTTGACTGTGACGAGAGCATCATCAAGAACTTGCTTTCTACCGTCGACCCTTCTGTCATCCCCATCGATGAGCTCGTCTCCGAGGTCGAAACCCGCAACCGCCTCAAGCTGCTCTTGCCCTTCCTCGAGGCTACTCTCGCTACTGGCAACCAGCAGCAAGCCGTCTACAATGCACTGGCGAAGATCTACATTGACAGCAACAACGACCCTGAGAAGTTCCTGAAGGAGAACGACATGTACGACACCCTGACCGTTGGAAAGTACTGCGAGAAGCGCGATCCCAACCTGGCCTACATTGCTTACCGTAAGGGTCAGAATGACCTGGAGCTCATCAGCATCACCAACGAGAACTCCATGTACCGCGCCCAGGCCCGCTACCTTGTTGAGCGTGCCGATCCCGAGATCTGGACTTTCGTTCTCAGCGAGAACAATGAGGGTCGTCGCTCCCTTGTTGACCAGGTCATCGCCACCGCCGTTCCTGAGTCCACTGAGCCCGACAAAGTCTCTGTGGCCGTCAAGTCGTTCCTCGAGGCTGACCTTCCTGGCGAGCTGATTGAGCTGCTCGAGAAGATCATTCTAGAGCCCTCGCCTTTCAGTGACAACGCCAGCTTACAGAACCTTCTGATGTTGACCGCTGCCAAGGCCGACAAGAGCCGTCTGATGGACTACATCCATCAGCTCAATGAGTTCTCTGCCGATGAGATTGCCGAGATGTGTATCAGCGTAGGCCTGTACGAGGAGGCCTTCGAGATCTACAAGAAGGTCAACAACCCCCTGGCCGCCGTCAACGTCCTTGTGGAGAACATTGTCAGCATTGACCGTGCTCAAGAGTTCGCTGAGCGTGTCGAGCTGTCTGAGGTGTGGAGCAAGGTTGCCAAGGCCCAGCTGGATGGTCTTCGTGTCACCGACTCGATTGAGTCTTACATCCGCGCTGAGGATCCCTCCAACTACAACGAGGTCATTGAGACCGCCACCCACGCCGGCAAGGATGAGGACCTTGTCAAGTTCCTCCGTATGGCCCGCAAGACTCTGCGCGAGCCCGCCATTGACACTGGTCTTGCCTTCTGCTTCGCTCGTCTCGACCAGCTCGCTGAGCTTGAGGATTTCCTTCGTTCCACCAACGTTGCCGACATTGAGACTTCCGGTGACAAGGCCTACGCCGAGGGATACCACCACGCCGCCAAGATCTTCTTCACCAGCATCTCCAACTGGGCCAAGCTCGCAACTACCCTTGTTCACCTTGAGGACTACCAGGCTGCTGTTGAGTGTGCCCGCAAGGCCAACAGCGTCAAGGTCTGGAAGCAGGTCAACGAGGCCTGTGTTGACAAGAAGGAGTTCCGTCTTGCTCAGATCTGTGGTCTCAACCTCATTGTCCACGCCGAGGAGTTGCAGAGCCTTGTCCGCCAGTACGAGCGTAACGGATACTTCGATGAGCTCATCACTGTCTTGGAGGCCGGTCTTGGTCTCGAGCGTGCTCACATGGGTATGTTCACTGAGTTGGGCATTGCGCTGTCCAAGTACCACCCCGACCGTGTCATGGAGCACCTGAAGCTCTTCTGGTCTCGCATCAACATCCCCAAGATGATCCGCGCTACCGAGGAGGCCCACCTCTGGCCCGAGCTGGTGTTCCTGTACTGCCACTACGATGAGTGGGACAACGCTGCTCTTTCTATGATGGAGCGTTCCACCGATGCCTGGGAGCACCACTCCTTCAAAGACATCATTGTCAAGGTTGCCAACTTGGAGATCTACTACCGGTCGCTGAACTTCTACCTCCAGGAGCAGCCTCTTCTGCTCACCGATCTCCTCCAGGTGTTGACCCCCCGCATTGACGTCAACCGTGTTGTCCGCATCTTCCAGAGCTCTGATAACATCCCTCTGATCAAGCCTTTCCTGCTCAATGTGCAGTCCCAGAACAAGCGGGCTGTTAACGATGCCATTAACGAGATCTTGATCGAGGAGGAGGATAACAAGCTGCTGAAGGACTCTGTTGACCAGAACGACAACTTCGATGCTGTTGCTCTGGCCCAGCGCCTCGAGAAGCACGACCTCATCTTCTTCCGCCAGATTGCAGCCAACATCTACCGCAACAACAAGCGCTGGGAGAAGTCCATTGCTCTGTCCAAGCAGGACAAGCTTTACAAGGATGCCATCGAGACCTCCGCCATCTCCACCAAGGCCGATGTTGTGGAGGATCTGCTCCGCTACTTCGTCGACATTGGCAGCCGCGAGTGCTACGTCGGCATGCTCTACGCTTGCTACGACCTCATCCGCCCGGATGTCATCATGGAGATCTCATGGCGCAAGGGCCTGAACGACTTCACCATGCCTTACATGATCAACTTCCTGTGCGAGCAGACCCGCTCCATTGAGATGCTCAAGAAAGACAACGAGGAGCGCAAGAACCGCGAGAAGTCCACCCGCACCGAGGAGGACAACACTCCTATCCTGCAGGGCTCTAGACTTATGCTGACCCAAGGTCCCGCCCCTGGCAGCCCCATGCCGTACCAGTCCAACGGTCTGACACCTCAGGCCACTGGGTACCGCGGGTTCTAGACTGAGTCTCGTTTCTACATTTTTCTTTTGCATTTGTAACATACAGCGGAAGTGATGACCGGGGCAGCAAAAGATATGACATGACATGGGGAAAGACAGTGTTTCATAGGAGGATTTTATGACCTCGTTAATTTGTTTTTGTTTTCTTTCCGATTGTATTTGATAGTCTTTGCTTTCTAGTATTGTGTGCTAGACCGGGCTATGGCTCAATATTCAGTAATAGCATTGCGATTTCATTTCATTTCCTCCCCCCCCTACTTGTACTCCGTCATCCGTCATCCGTCCCACGTCCCACGTCCCACGTCCCACCGGAGTTCCAATTTTCCCACAAATTTGAGGCTGCCAAGCTGCGCCCAGGCAGATCCACTGGAACGTTCAGGGCTCGGTGAAGAATGCGGTCGACCCGCCAAGCCCGCCAAGGTAAATCCTCAGCACGCTCATCTGCAACTATCGACCCTAATGAAGCGAGGCGAGCATTGCAGATCGCCCTGTTCATCCTTATCTAGCCCATGAGGCTGGGTAGCTGGTTTGTATTGGTGGGAAGCTATGACATACTACATGTTCTGTCACTTTCAGGTTTCCCCCACTCTGGTCTGCTTGGCTCTGGCCAAGTAAGCATATTGCAGATAATCGAGCTGTGATAGCCTGTGCTATATTCAGTAGCTCATCCATAGCTCTGTCTATAGCTTTATCTCTATCTCTATCTGAAGCTCTAGTTCCTACCTCGGCCCGGCTATATCAATTCCCCGGACGATACTTTACCCCGTGGAGAGAGCTCAGCTGCGCAAGCACGCGGGGCAGACTACGGAGGACTGGAGGAATCAATGGCTGTGAATTTTTCCGTCGGAGACATGGAAGATGCAATGCAAAGGGACAAGGAATAAAGAATAAAAAGAAATACCAAAAGACGCTGACGCATTGATCGCACGGATATCACAAGGCGAAAGATAAGCAGGTTGACGGTGATTGTCCAGCCAAGACGGTGATTCCCTGGGCACAATTGCAGTTGCAGTGTTGATGTTGCATTGTCAGATTGATCCATGTAAAATGCTAGATGCCTAGATTGCCTAGAGGTAGGGATATGTGGGAAGCTGTAATCGGTGGAGTGTTCGGTGTAGATGAGGGCTTGGCGGGAAATCGCGCGCTCTTGGCTTGGTTGCACTCTTGTGTACCTGTCATACTTGTGCAATCCAGCGGGAGATCACCGGAATGCCAAGGGGAGGAGTACAGTATTGTGCAGTGAGATTGAAAGAAAGGAAGGGGGAGGAACTTGGTAGTTAGTACAAATCAAATAGCGTCACGGATATGGAACCGGTCAAGTATCGGAGCCAAGAGTTGATCCCTTCCCCTAGAGATTTGGTACGCCTGACCATCACAGTTTTCACGTCCCTCAATTGAGTCAGAGGAAAAGTCAGAGAATCGAGTGCGGTATATCCTTCCGAGCATGGGCTCGGCGCTATCTTGCCCGAGGCCAACTTGACGATGTGGGAATTGTCATGCATCGTATGTCATTGGCTCGATCCACATCCCTGCCGTCGAGAGTTCTCCGAGTCTCCCCCGGATCCCCAGTTTCCCGTGAATATCCGTAGAGAAGAGATCTGGAATGAATATAGAAGATAGAAGAGTCTCCCGAGGGCCCGAGGTTGACATGCGGAAAGACTTACCTAAAGAACCCGATGGGCTGGGGAAGTTATCGTGGAGGTATGAGATCATCGGAGTGAGTAGGGATAGTGTACAGTATAAGAGAACTGTCCGGACATTACAAAGTACAAAGTATCAAGCTAGATTTATTGCTTATTACTCTATTCCATTATTCTATTCCATTATTCTATACTTCTGGGAACTGGTTTCCCGGTGTACCGGTGAGCCCGTGAGTACCTGTTACCTCATTCCTGGAGTCAACTCGCGCCCCCCGGAAAGTATCTGTGACATGCAGATCGCGCCTGTGATTCCCCTCTTTATCTGCCCCTCCTGCCCTTTTTTTCTTTCTTTTTCTTCTTTCGCCGTTTCTTTATTTCCACACTATTACCCGCTATACCAATTCTCTTCCCCTTCATCTCTGACCTCTCCAGCAATTGCGCCGTGATCTGCCGAGATCGGCCTGGGATTAGATCCGGAGAGAGCTCCCTATATAGTGAGTCACCGCCTTCCCTAGCTATATAGGAACCCCCCCACTCAACCTCACCAGTATTCCAACCTACCTCTATCCATCTCTCACAATGGCTTCCCACCGCCAGCCTGAGGATGCTATCGATGACTCGGAGTTCGTTGAGGACCACCTGGAGCACCACCAGGACTCTGTCCACCGTCGTCTCCGTGCCAACTCCACCATCATGCACTTCCAAAAGATCCTAGTCGCCAACCGTGGTGAAATTCCTATTCGCATCTTCCGTACCGCACACGAACTGTCCCTCCAGACAGTAGCTGTCTTTTCCCACGAGGACCGTCTCTCAATGCACAGACAGAAGGCCGACGAGGCCTACATGATCGGCCACCGCGGCCAGTACACCCCCGTCGGTGCTTATCTCGCCGGTGATGAGATCATCAAGATTGCCAAGGAGCACGGTGTGCACCTGATTCACCCTGGTTACGGTTTCTTGTCGGAGAACGCCGAGTTCGCCCGTAATGTCGAGAAGGCCGGTATCGTCTTCGTCGGCCCCAGTCCCGATACCATTGACGCCCTGGGCGATAAGGTCTCTGCCCGTCGTGCTGCTATCAAGTGCAACGTCCCTGTGGTTCCCGGTACCGAGGGCCCCGTTGAGCGCTACGAGGAGGTCAAGTCCTTCACCGACACTTACGGCTTCCCCATTATCATCAAGGCCGCCTACGGTGGTGGTGGTCGTGGCATGCGTGTGGTCCGTAACCAGGCCGAGCTGCGTGACTCTTTCGAGCGTGCTACTTCTGAGGCCCGCACTGCCTTCGGTAACGGTACTGTCTTTGTCGAGCGTTTCTTGGACAAGCCCAAGCACATTGAGGTTCAGTTGCTCGGTGATAACCAGGGTAACGTTGTTCATCTGTTCGAGCGTGACTGCTCCGTTCAGCGTCGTCATCAGAAGGTCGTCGAGATTGCTCCTGCTAAGGATCTGCCCGTCGATGTCCGCGATAAGATCCTTGCGGATGCGGTTCGCTTGGCCAAGTCGGTTAACTACCGCAACGCTGGTACTGCCGAGTTCTTAGTTGACCAAGAGAACCGCTATTACTTCATTGAGATCAACCCTCGTATCCAGGTCGAGCACACTATTACCGAAGAGATTACTGGAATTGATCTCGTCGCTGCACAGATTCAGATTGCCGCTGGTGCTACATTGGAGCAGCTCGGCCTGACCCAGGACCGCATCTCCACTCGCGGTTTCGCTATTCAGTGCCGTATCACCACTGAGGACCCTGCCAAGGGCTTCTCCCCAGACACTGGTAAGATCGAGGTCTACCGGTCTGCCGGTGGTAACGGTGTTCGTCTGGATGGTGGTAACGGTTTCGCTGGTGCCATTATCACTCCTCACTACGACTCCATGTTGGTCAAGTGCAGTTGCCGTGGATCCACCTACGAGATTGTCCGCCGCAAGATGTTGCGTGCTCTGGTTGAGTTCCGTATCCGTGGTGTCAAGACCAACATTCCCTTCCTGGCCTCTTTGCTGAGTCACCCTACCTTCATCGATGGCACTTGCTGGACTACCTTCATTGATGACACCCCCGAGCTGTTCGCTCTCGTCGGCAGCCAGAACCGTGCCCAGAAGCTGCTCGCTTACCTGGGTGACGTTGCTGTCAACGGCAGCAGCATCAAGGGCCAGATTGGCGAGCCCAAGTTCAAGGGCGATATTATCAAGCCTATTCTCAAGGATGCTGCTGGCAAGCCTCTGGATGTTTCCGCTCCCTGCACCAAGGGTTGGAAGCAGATTTTGGACAGCCAGGGCCCCGAGGCCTTCGCTCGCGCTGTGCGCGCTAACAAGGGCTGCTTGATTATGGACACCACCTGGCGTGATGCCCACCAGTCGTTGCTCGCCACCCGTGTGCGTACCATCGATTTCCTGAACATTGCCCACGAGACCAGCCACGCCTTGAGCAACGCCTACTCGCTCGAGTGCTGGGGTGGTGCTACCTTCGATGTGGCCATGCGTTTCCTGTACGAGGATCCTTGGGACCGTCTTCGCAAGATGCGCAAGGCTGTTCCCAACATTCCTTTCCAGATGCTGCTGCGTGGTGCCAACGGTGTTGCCTACTCTTCCCTCCCCGACAACGCCATCTACCACTTCTGTAAGCAGGCCAAGAAGTACGGTGTCGACATCTTCCGTGTCTTCGATGCTCTCAACGATCTCGACCAGCTCGAGGTTGGTGTCAAGGCTGTTCACGAGGCTGGTGGTGTCGTCGAGGCCACCATGTGCTACAGTGGTGACATGCTGAACCCCAAGAAGAAGTACAGCTTGGAGTACTACATGGGTCTCGTCGAGAAGATTGTCGCCATGGGCCCTCACGTCCTTGGTATCAAGGATATGGCTGGTGTGCTGAAGCCCCAGGCGGCCCGTCTCTTGGTCGGCTCCATTCGCGCCAAGTACCCCGATCTCCCCATCCACGTGCACACCCACGACTCCGCCGGTACTGGTGTCGCTTCCATGATTGCTTGTGCCGAAGCCGGTGCCGACGCCGTCGATGCCGCTACCGACAGCATGTCTGGTATGACCTCGCAGCCCAGCATTGGTGCCCTCCTTGCTTCTCTCCAGGGCACCGAGAACGACCCCAAGCTGGACCTGAACAACGTCCGCGCTCTGGACGCTTACTGGGCTCAGCTCCGTCTGCTCTACTCTCCCTTCGAGGCTGGTCTGACCGGCCCCGACCCCGAGGTCTACGAGCACGAGATCCCCGGTGGTCAGCTGACTAACCTGATTTTCCAGGCCAGTCAGCTGGGTCTTGGACAGCAGTGGGCCGAGACCAAGAAGGCCTACGAGGTGGCCAACGAGTTGTTGGGCGACATCGTCAAGGTCACTCCTTCCTCCAAGGTGTGCGGAGACTTTGCCTCGTGGATTGTCAGCAACAAGTTCACCGCCGAGGACATTCTCGAGCGTGCCGACCAGCTGGACTTCCCTGGCTCTGTGCTTGAGTTCTTCGAGGGTCTGATGGGTCAGCCGTACGGTGGCTTCCCCGAGCCCCTGCGCACCAAGGCCCTCCGCGGCCGCCGCAAGCTCGACAAGCGCCCCGGTCTGTATCTGGAGCCCATGGATCTCGCCAAGATCAGAACCGATCTCCGCGAGAAGTTCGGTACCGCCACCGAGTGCGACGTTGCTTCTTATGCCATGTACCCCAAGGTCTTCGAGGACTACCGCAAGTTTGTTGCCAAGTTCGGTGATCTCTCCGTTCTGCCCACTCGCTACTTCTTGGCTCGTCCCGAGATCGGCGAGGAGTTCCACGTTGAGCTCGAGAAGGGTAAGGTGCTGATCCTGAAGTTGCTCGCCATCGGTCCTCTCTCCGAGCAGACCGGCCAGCGCGAGGTCTTCTACGAGGTCAACGGAGAAGTCCGCCAGGTCAGCGTTGACGACAACAATGCCTCCATTGACAACATCGCCCGCCCCAAGGCTGACGCCTCGGACAGCAGCCAGGTCGGCGCTCCAATGAGCGGTGTCGTGGTTGAGATCCGCATCCACGACGGACACGAGGTCAAGAAGGGTGATCCCATTGCGGTGCTGAGCGCCATGAAGATGGTAATTCCCCCTCTATTTCATTACAAGTTGAATATCGTACTAATATTCATTAGGAAATGGTGATCTCCGCTCCTCACAGCGGAAAGGTTTCCAGCCTCCAGGTTAAGGAGGGAGACTCTGTCGATGGCCAGGACCTGGTCTGCAGGATCAGCAAGGCGTAAAAGTCCTATGTAAGACCATAAGCACGACTTTTGATGCGTGATGCGATTTGAATGATTTCCAAGCGTTCTTGTTTTTGGGCTTTCGTTATGAATTTAGGTCTAGCTATCTGAATATTATTTCTCTACATTTACGCTTGTTTTTTACGTAGGAGTATAGCATATATCAATGTTGCTCCTCATGAACAGATCCCCAAGTCACTTGCAGTATACTCGGCAAGTTGACAGAAATACCACAAGCATACTTCCCTCGGAGCCCAGATGTAGCTCCTAGCGGTCCCACATCTCCCCGCAAAGCATCATCTCCCCTCATACTCCCGTTACAACTTCACCTAACCACCCAATTGAAGACTCCAAATTGCCGATGAGCGACCCTATCTCGGCTATATACCCGGAACAGACGGAATACACCACCGATAAGAACCGCCATTGTTGCTGTGCTTATTGATGTCTGTTCGTCTTCTCGTTCCTGTTCCTGTTCCTGTTTCTAGCTTGACGATTGCGGGAATCGCGCATTGATATTGATCGCCCCATCTACTGCCAATAAGTTATAGCAACTACATAGAACGGCCATCTATAACCAATCTAAAACCCCATATCCAAAATGGCAACAACCCGCAAAACAGCAAAATCCCTCGGCCACAGGGGAACAATCCAAGGCTTGACGATCTCAAATGACCAAAATCAAGATCTATGCACTTATTACGGCGGTGTCCGATATGCAATCAAACCATCCGAACGTGGGAACACCCTGCCCTACTCAGACCAATACCAGACTTTCCAATTACACTTGAACTAACTGCTTTCTTTCTCAGGCTGGCGCCGCGCTAAGCCTTTGCCAAAGACATATACCTACGGCACCACAGAGAATCCAGCCGATTGCACCACTGGCGCGGGTCTATGTCCCCAACCCGGCTTCTTGAATCTGTCACCTGAAACCCCCGAGATCTGGGATGAGGATTGTTTCCAGTGTAATGTTTGGGTTCCGCTTGGGGATGTGCCTGAGGGGGGCTGGCCTGTTTTTGTTTTTCTTCGTGAGTATCACCTATATATCCCACCGGATGAATCATTTAGCAGGAATGTTTGCTAACGTCTGATCGATGGTCTAGATGGTGGCTGGCTCCAATTCGGAACTCCCAATTCCTTCAATGCTGCAGCTTTGATTGGCGAGACGGATTTCAAGTGTGTGGTAGTTATGCCTGCGTATCGGGTGAATCTCTTTGGATTCTTGTATTCCGTTGAGCTGGAGGCTGATGCCGCTTCTGTTGGGGAGTCTGTTGGTAACCATGGATTCTGGGATCAGAGGTTGGCGCTTGAATGGACGCGTGAAAATGTCGGTCTGTTTGGGGGTGATTCGGGGAATATTACTATTAGTGGCTATAGTGCTGGTGAGTATACCCCCCCCCCCCCCCCCTCAGTCTCTACTTTCTACATTTATCGTGTTAACATATCATGCAAAAGGCGCCAACTCGGTCTTCCACCAACTAGCCTACGACCTCCGCCAACCAGATTCAAATTCCCTAGTCCGAAACGCCTGCATCTGGTCCAACAGCCCAGCAGTCCAACCCAAACAACCAACAGAGACCCAAAACCAATTCAACGAACTCCTCACAGCCCTCAACATCCCCCTCTCCCTCCCACCACGCGAGAAACTCTCCCGCCTCCGCTCCACTCCAGCAAAAACCCTCATAGACACCACGAAAACACTCGCCCTCTCCCAATTCCGCCCAACAACAGACGGCACCTTCATCAGCCCCACTCTTTTCGAAACCCTCGACACCGGAACCTTTGCCTCAATCCTCCTGTCCCGTAACGTCAAAATCATGATCGGAGAATGCGCCGACGAACACTTCCTCTACAACACCTGGTTCCCACCAAAAGCCAACACCCTTTCTGCACTGCGCACCCGTCTTATCGCCGATTACCCGGAACACATCGTCGACGCCCTCATTGCCATGTACTACCCCGACGGGAAACTACCATCCCACTGCCAGAATTGGGATGTAGATGCTTGGGGAAGATGTTATGCCGATATGCAGGTCCACAAGATCCAGCGCGGGTTCTTGTATGCGCTCACGAGTAATAGTGCTGGCGTTGATGCGTCGGGCTTGTTGTATCGGTATCGCATTGAGTGGAGGGCCAAGTGTGTTGCGCTTGGGATTCCGGTTGAATGGGGTGTGACGCATTCGTCGGATTATCCGATTTGGTTTTATGGGAATGGGAAGGGGCTGGAGGAGGAGGAGAAGGGGGTTGTTGGGCGGGCGTTCATTGGGCCCTTGGGTTCTTTTGTTCAGAGGGATGTTGGTGGTGGTGAGTTTGGGTGGGGAACGCGTGGGCCGAGAAGTATTCGGACGCTTAAGGAAAATGGGAACGTTGATATTGTGAAGGATGAGGGTTGGGAGGATGGTGTTAGGGTTTGGAGGAACTTGAGGGATGCTGACAAAGGGCAGGCGGAACTGTAGAGAATAGTTAGTTAGTCGCTTCTTAGTTGTCAGTTGTTTGGAATGAAACGATCGCCCGATTTGCCGTTAGCTTTCCCCGCATTTCAACTACGTCAAGATGTCCACTGTGGACATCATTCAGGCAGGGATGTATGTCTGAGATAGGGGTTGCGAGAGTCAATCCGGATTGGATTTGTGGTATATTAATACAGCAAAGTGACTGGTCGATTTCGTATAGACCAGGGATCAGGGGTTCCTAGGTCACCTACTTAGGTAGCCACTGTCCATGCGTGATATCCGGCGTATCCATTGCTAGCACGCGACCTTATATTACGCCAACTTCCCCTCTTCCTTCGTCTCGCTTCTCTTTTGTAATAGTTTCTTCCATTCTTCAGCTTCCCATCTGAATCACAACCCATCTAGTCTGATCACCAAAGGTAATCCAAAATGGCCACCCAATACCAATGACGTCGACGACTCCCGACTGTAGATCACCACCTCCCATGCATTTCACACTTAAAATCCCTGTTTCCAGGCTTTCGCCTTTCTGCATTCTCAGACTAAACTAATCCTTTCAAGGGAGCTACATCATCTCCAACCCCAACCACGGATTTCACCTCGCTAGACATAATCATCATGTCTGACGACAATACTCGTCGCCACTGGCATGGAAACCCAGGCGATCGTCATGAGCAGTAAGCTTCGAATCTAATCTTCAATAACCAAGCTAATGAATCGGGGGTTCTAGCCACAATGTTTGGATGAACGTGAGTTCACGCTGAAGAATAACCAATCAAATGGATCCAGAGACTGAACAACAGGAAAGGGCGGCGCAAAGGGTCCCAGCTCGCGAGCTGCATGGGCAATGCCAGAGGGTACTATCTCCGACAGAAGAGTATGTCATTGCCCGTTTTTCCTGCTTTCCTTCTTTATATACCACCTACTGCCCCTACGTCCATTCCCATTCCCCGTCTACCTCTTTCACCCATTCCATCCCTTACCTTACTATCCATCTCAAATTCACAAATCAATTCTAACACCAAAATGAAGGACTCAACCACCTCAACCTCCTCAAACAACAACTCCAACACCAACGCCTCCCCAAGTATCCCCAGCCTCAGCGACCGACGTCGCTCCAGCGCCAGCTCCTCGGGTGGTGGTCTCTTCGCCAATCTGCAATCCCAGAAGCGGGAGTCTAATACAAGTGCCGATATGGCCAATCGTCGTGCGAGCTGGGCTGAGCAGGCTTCCAAGGGTGGTGCATTCTCGAAGTGGTGGGATGGATATACGCGTGGCACGAAGTAGTGCCGGGACTTTGTAGGTGGATATTACTGTTTTCTCCTTGAAGAGGAGTGGATTTTGGAATTGAAATACTATAAAAAAAAGTAGGAAGTGGGTTACGTTATGAGGGCCATGTTCTATGTTCTTGTCTAGTGTTGTGGTGGGTTAGGATTTACGTTTTACGTATGATTGAAATATGATGAGATTGATACAGGTATCATGTACGACTTTTCAAAAAATCCATTCTCCTTGGTGAGCCTTTGCGTTGCTTGATAAGAGCTTGCGGTCTCTTCCAGGAAACCTCAATCTTTCTCAACACCGGTCTCAATCAGTATTCTCTATCCACTCAGCCATGTCTTCCCCAAAACAACAGGGATCTGACCAAAGATGACATACCTGGGTCGTGGACCAATTGCAGACACCAATTGTCCGGTGTCCATCACCTCCCCTCCCAGCTTCCTTATCATCTACTCTGGACCGAACCCATCACGACACAATCCATCACAACCCATCATGGTCAGTGTCGTCCTGAGAACGGTCGTGAATTGAGAGACAGTGCTCGGGGCAACGCTACCATGCCTGTCTCTACCAGACCAGGGGACAAATCACCGCATTGGCAGATGTGTTGTCCTCGTCTCCAGTGCCATGGCGAGACAATAGTAGACTGTTCTGCATCTTCTTTTTAACCTGAAATATTGCTCAAACATGTTAACAAACTGATCAGTGGTCACGATCAATCGAAGGCGACGAAGCCGGACGAACGCTACGGACAATCTCAGATCATGAAAGAAATGCAGCATACGGGGATCGATCTAGGCAGACTTAAGAGTGTCAATGCAAAAATAGAAATCGATAGAAAGCAGACCCCCTTCCAGGGTTGGAACATTCCGTAGGCTTCGGAATGCTGACTTGTCGTCCCAATCCAGCAGGTGGTCACACGATGCCCCTTCGCGTTTTCGGCTTAAACAGGATTGCTTTGCACATCAAAACAGACAAGATGTTGACAGCCGAATGAATCAGATGAATCAATAGGGTTGTGGGAAGCGAGGTTCTCAAGGAGGCTGAATAAGGAGAACAGGCTAGGCTTGGCTAGGCTTGGCTCGGTCAAGGGTCCTTGTCATGTTTCCTTTGTTCCCTCCAGATTCTCATTCTTTCAAACGTAAATTCGCAGGGGTGTGTGTCCCTAGAGAGCTCATACACTCGAGCCGCTTTCAGTTCAACCCTCAAGTCCACCGCATCGGTAATAGTATAGAAGCTGTAAACGAAGATGTATTAATTTCTTTCAATCTCTCAATCATCTGTAGATCAGTACCAAACTTCGAAGATCCTACAGTCATGGCCCTAGACCTTGTCTATTCATCATTATGATTATCACACGTCAATCATCCATACGTCCGCTCATTTTCTCGCTCCTCGCTGTATCGGTAGGGCTGTCCAAAGGACTTCATTTGCTACAGCATATATCTTCTATTCCAGGACCCAGTTTTGCTCTATATTTTCCAACCTTTTTCATCCTTGAAACGCTGTTGTGCATCGGCTCCTGGCTTCTTTTGTTCAAATGCGATGGCGTGAAATCCGTCCTAGGGTTTGTTGCGACTTGGGCCATCACGTAAGTTTCTTCCTATGCGAACAAGGACAGATTTTAACAGCCACAGATCCCTGACTCTTGTTCTATGTGCATCTCAAATTGCCTTTTACCTAGTGACTGGCAATGAGATTCGATGGGAAGCAGCCACAGCGACCGGGAGCGACCCAGAAGGAGTCCGACTTCTTCTGTCCGGAATCAAGACTTTTATGGCCGCTGCGAGTGTCATAATTACACTGTCATGGCTACTCAAGAATGGATTATATTATGCGATGGGCCACTGGCTCTCTGCACTATTCAACAGACCATCGACTGAAGAGGCAGACAAAGAAGCCCTTCTACCCAGTTCTGAAGAGAAAGCTTCAGCTTCAAGTCCCGTTAGACTCTGGACTATCATGACTGTGGTCACAGTTGCAACTCTGCGCTTCACTCGCCCCCAGGTACCATACACTCATATGTCGGGCGCAATACCGTTCACCTTTTTCCAAGCACTGCGCTCAGGTCCTAATAAGGGTCATGGAGACCAGACATTCCCACTCACAGCCCTAGTTGGGGAGGAGTATTGGGAAGGTCCCCATGATCACTTCAAAGGCTGGGCCCCGGGGATGACGGGAGAAAACTCCACTCTTGGGCATTATAGTGCCATGGATGATCCTTTGCGAATCACAAACCTCGACTATGAAATGATTGAGCCTTTGACTCGGGCTCTCAAGGACCACGAAATTCCGATTACACATGTTGTTCTTGTGCTAATGGAGAGTGCTCGCAAGGATATCTTCCCTTTCAGGGCAGGCTCACACTTGCACGAAGAGATTTTGTCCTCTTGGAACACCCAAGACCCCGGTATACTCCAAAGAGTCAATGAAAAGCTGTCAAATCTCACACCGGTTGCAGAGAAGCTGACAGGTCAATCTGGCGGGTTCATGAAGTCCCAAAACAGTTCTCGGTCTCATGATACTCAATGGAAAGATACAGCAGCGGCCGGAATGGGCGGCATCAACATTGATGGTATCCTCACTGGCAGCACTCTGTCATTCAAAAGTGCAATTGTGAACTACTGTGGCATGGGACCACTACCGGTGGACTTCATGGATGAAGTCAAGGCGAAGACCTATCAGCCGTGTATTATGCAGGTCTTCGATATGTTCAATCAAGTCAAAGAGAATGCCACGACAAAGGACCCAAGCTTGCATGGATCACACGGTGGGCTCAAGTCTATGCACGATCGCAATTGGACTTCTGTGTTCTTGCAGTCTATGTGAGTGGATGACTAGTACTTATTACCTTGCATGGATCGCTAACCTCAATGATTTTTGTCCTCTTTAGAACAGGGTTATATGATGAGCAAGACCAGCTCAATGAAAAGATGGGGTTCGAGAAGTCCATCTATCGGGAGCAGATTGAAGAAGAAGGCGCCAAACACTTTCACCCAGGAATGGAGGAGATCAACTATTTTGGGTACATATCTGCCGACAATTGCCCTCACCTTTTTCTTTTTTTTTTTTTTTTGTATGCTAACGCCGAACAGATACCCCGAGTATGAGGTTTACCCATATCTACGCGATGTGGTCAGCCAGACGATCCAAAAAGACGAACGCCTTTTCCTCTCTCATTTCACATCAACAACTCATCACCCATGGGGTACACCCAAGGATTACTTGGTCGAGAAGTACTTCTCTGACGACGGTCTCGTGGCAAAACATGAAGAGATGAACCAATATTTGAACGCTGTCCGATACGTGGACGCCTGGCTCGGGGACATGATGAAGGTCCTCGATGAATTTGAAATTGCAAACGAGACGTTAGTCGTGTTTGTGGGGGACCAGTAAATTGCATCGACAAACCCCTACTGAAATTCCATTCTAACACCAAGCAGTGGCCAAGCATTCAACGAAGACGCCCCGGTATCAGGGACCTACGAGAATGGACATATCAGCAACTTCCGCATCCCACTCCTATTCCGACACCCTCTACTACCCAAGCTTCAAATAACAGCAAACGCAACCTCGATGTCCGTCGTACCGACCATTCTCGATTTACTCGTGAACACAGGCTCCTTGAATGAGATGGACTCAAACGCAGCCCTCGACCTTATGAACGAGTACGAGGGCCAGTCGCTCATACGCCCGTACCAAGCCACCCACAATGGCCGACAAGCCTGGAATTTCGGCATCATCAATCCTGGCGGCACAATGCTCAGCGTTGGATCTGCGGCTGTTCCATATCGTCTTATCCTACCACTGAACCCAGACTTCGAATACTTCTTCTCGAACATGGATACCGACCCGAATGAACTGGCTCCGTTGCGAGGGTGGTCACTCGAGGAATTGACCCCCGAGTAAAGAGACTACATGGAGGAAATGCTGGGAAGTGGCTTGTGGATGCGGAGAAGGTAAGCTTTCATATATAAGACAGTCTGTACTCAATGTCTGAACTATGAACTAACCCTAAATAGGTGGGCAAGTATTGGGTTGAAGAGCAAAAACGACGTTGGAATTACCAATGATATCATATGTACTATAATTTTTAGTTAATATACCGTATGCTTAATGTATGATTATAATTGAGGCTCGCGATATAAACGGTGAATTCAAGGTTAATCAAGTCAATTGAGTTCATTTTGCACAATATCTTTTTATAATGCCAAGGAAGCTGCGAGGGAGCGCCCACTTGATTATTTCCTCTATGAGTACGAAGATCCCGATTTCGTGAATGCCACTGACTTTGAGCTCACTGGTTCTATCGATTGCATTAGCTGGATCCAATTGGCTGATTGAATATGGCTGAGGGGCTCCCTTAGTGCCCTGGTGGTTGATGGAACGGTTTGGGCGTTCAGCCGGCAGGGTGGCTTATTTTAGACATCCATGATGTTCACTTCGAGTAAAGCCTAGAGCTAGTAGTGTAGAGACCACGGGAGTTGCTTTTTTAGAGAGGTTAAATCTAGCTTCCGTTCTTACGAAGTCCTTTAGTGATGTCTCCAGGCCGATATGATTGATGTATATAATTAGTCTTAAGCCGTAAGTGACGAAGAAGAAATGGAGACGATATATAAAGATAAACTTGTATTATTACTTCCTGTAGTGAACTTTATTTATATAAAGAATCTAAGGCCCTTCAAAAAAGGTAAAAATACGTGGATGAGAGATGAAGTAAAGCTAGAACGATATATAAAAGGATTTATTCAATTCCAGATGTCTTTATGCTATAGCATACTTTAAATGGTTATATAGGATAATCGTGTTCAGAAAAAACAATAGCAAAAGGAACGAGCGGCGTTGAATTGTTCGTTGATATTGTTCGTAGTTCTTTGTTAGTTACGCCTGAGGCATCACGCCCCACCTCCACCTCATTCACGTTTTATATCCGCATCTCACGCATTTTGGTCTTTCACTCAACAGTCCTTTCTACATTAAAGTGTGTTTGATCAAGATCAGACATTCAATCTCAACAGGGCAAACCCTCCGCGCTAGAAATAAGTCCCGACTCCCCCGGGGCATTCGTCTCCCTGCACCCCACATCCGCGGCGATCATCTCTCGACCCTGAATTCTCCAATTTCTTTCTTTCGGTGTACAAAATGGAGGGAACATATTCTACTGATCCCGAATGGGCCGATGTTACCCCAATCGAGCTGGATGATGGCTCCAGCTCAGGCATCATGCCGCTGGCCACCATTGCCTACCCACCCGAGTACCTTGAGGCAACGTCGTATCTGCGTGCCGTGATGGCTGCCAATGAGATGTCTGAGCGGGCATTGAAGTTAACCGAGGATGTCATCTCAATGAACCCGGCGCACTATACCGTATGGTAAGCAATCATGTTGATGCGCAATCATCCATTTCCTATGTTTCATGATATCTAACATTACACCTAGGATTTACCGAGCAAAGATCCTCTTTGCCCTGGACAAAGATCTTAACAAAGAGCTGGAATGGCTAAATGACGTTTCATTGAAATACCTCAAGAACTACCAAATCTGGTACGTCAACCCACCCAAACCAAGAAAACCCCAAACTAACATGCACAGGCACCACCGCCAAGTGCTCCTCTCATCACGAGAGCATTTCCCAACCCTCCCACCCAAGGAAGCAGACTTCCTAATGGAAATGTTCGCCCAAGACTCCAAAAACTACCACGTATGGACATACCGCCACTGGCTAGTCCGCCACTTCAAGCAATGGGACGAACTCCGCGAACTGCAAGATGTAGAAGCCCTTCTGAAAGCAGACGTGCGCAACAACTCCGCCTGGAACCACCGCTACATGCTGCGTTTCGGGCCGCGCGATACCAGCGCCCCCGACGCCGGCATGATGAATGCAGGTGATATGACCACTGCGCCTGGCGAGAAGGGCCGGTTACCTGTTGTTGACGAGGATCTTGTTGATGGTGAGCTTGGGTTTACGCAGCAGGCTATTTTGCGCGCGCCTGAGAATCGGAGTGCGTGGTGGTATGCGCGGGGTGTTTTGAGGGCTGCTGGGAGGGGCCTTGGGGAGTGGGAGGACTTTGCGGGCTTGTTCGTTGGGGACGAGGGCGTGAAAAGTACTCATGCTCTTGAGTGGCTGGCTGATGTTTATGCTGATGGGAGGGAGGGGTTGGCTGTTGGGATGTTGACGAGGCTGAAGGAGGAGTTTGATCCTATTCGTGGGAATTATTGGGATTATCGGATTAAGAAGTTGGGGGTTGCTGAGGCTGAGGTTGCTGTGAGGTAAGGTGTGTAGTTCTTGAGTTATCAGCTACGTGTATAGGGATAGGTGCATTTGTGACATTGATTGCATTTATTAAAACTTCTTTTGGTGTGACCGCTGTATAATGTATGAAGCTCTATTTCAATGATAGGCAATTGAAGAAAAAAAAGAAACATAAACATCATTCATAGTATCGCAAGAACGCCAATGGCAAATAAGGTATCAAAGGAGAAAAGAAACATATCAAGCCCATCCCTCATCCAACATCTTGCGCCACTCACTGGCCATGTCAATAGTAACATTGCTACCACCACAAACAATGATAACAATACGACTGCGCTCATTGAGATCAGGTACAAGCTGCTTGAGCTTGGAATTAAGCTTGTTACCAGCAAGCTCAGCCTCGCCCTCGAGATCAGTCTCAATATCTGTGGAGGAGGATCGGTCATCGCCGTATCCCTCATCACGATAAGAGACAGCCGTCTCCTCCGAGCCGCGCTTCCGCTTCTTGATGCTCTGAGCACCGGCAGCACCGGATGGAGCAGCAGCGGTGGCAGCATCGCCAATAGCAGCCTCAATGCAAACTCCGCATGCAAGCTCAACGAGGATTCGCTCGTCGTTGGCTAGGCGGAGAACACCGCGGGCGGCATCTGCGTCTGAGAGAACGGTGCTGTGGACTTTGACTCCTGGTGGCGGGGACACGGCGTAGTTGAACGTCTTTTCTGAGACGCGGATAGCGCCGAGGGAGGTGGCTTGGGATGTGATCTTGGGGAGGGAGACGAGGGCGTTCTGGGCGACTGCCGCAGCCAGGGAATCGGTACCGGCCGTTTCGATGGCGAGGAAGTGGATGGGGTTGGGGGAGGACGTCTGCTTTTTGCGGAGGCGCTTTTCGATGCCCATAATCATACCATTGATGAGACCGCCGCCGCCGACGCTGCAGAGGATTGCGTCTAGGGGGATGGCGCGGTCACTGTATGCTTTTGTGTCTTCTGGGCTTGTTGCTGGAGGAAGTTGAGACTCGAGTTCGTCGATGATTGTGCCGTTTCCTTGCCAGATGGGTTCGTTATCGAAGGGGTGCAAAGCAATCTTGACGATGTCTTCGTCTGCACCGCTGGTGTTCTTCATGATGGTTTCTCGCATGTATTCACCTGCCTCGGAAAAGGTCTCACCATGTCGGATAACGTCTTCTGCTCCTGCTGCTCGGATCTTGTCCAGCATCAGAGGCTTGGTAGCCATTGGGACAACCACTGTGCATGGGTAGCCCAGGCTCTTGGCTGCGCAGACGGCGGCCAGTCCGGCGTTTCCTCCGGATGAGGCGTAGAAGTGGACTTTGCGGCCCACGTTTGAGGGATTGCGGAGGTGAGAGAGGATCTGGTTGCCCATTGCACGGGACTTGAAAGAGCCACTGGGCTGGACGTTCTCCAGCTTCAGGAAGATCCTACACCCAGCTGCCCGGGAAAGGCAGGCGGACTCGACCAGTGGTGTCTCGATCCATGGCGTCTTGAAGTTCTGCTGTTGACTGCAGGCGGCCATGTCGATGCTCCCCATTTTGATGTGTTGAACAAATGGAAGAGAAAGGGGTGTGTTGAGGTCTTGCTCAAGGCAGACTGGTAAGATATGAACTATAAGACGATGATTCCCAAAATGGAGAATGTCTCAAGATGTTACACAAAAGAAGTCCTAAATAACAAGACAAGACTCAGATGAGAGAAAACAGAATACCAAACACCAAACCCTAGTATACAAATATTCAGACATGTTTTGATATACACCTACCCTGCGGGTGGAGTTTCCCGACGGGAAACAACTTTCCCGGGAGATAGGACTCGCTCGCCGCAATGGAAGTTTCCCGTCAAGGCCAATCATGGTGGATCGGGCGTGACATATCGATTCGTTTTGGAGTCAAACCTGGCAACTCAGCTTGGACCTGGCGGAGGAGCCGGGAAACCACCTGGGACGCTGGCGCACATCGGCGGAGATGATGTAAATCCTTATTCAGACGGACTGTTCGGTCGCTCCCTATTGGCCCCGAGCGTATTATTCTTATCAAATGGAAAGTCGAGGGCTACTCCTCAGTGAGCAGTGGAGGGAACAGAATACACTTCTTAACGCCCTCCCCGTAATCTGCATCCGAACCGTATGCCGTGGCCGCGAATGCCCGCTTCGAGGGGTCCGAGGTGTCTACACGGAGCAATTCTAGAAGATCATGAGACTTGCCGGGCATAAACGGTTGCAGTAGAATGCCTGCGATCCGAAGCGATTCGGCCACGTTGTAAAGCACTCGTTGAGGGTTGGCGCTTTTCCACGGCTCCGCCGCATGGAAGTATTTGTTGGTCTAGAACAGGTTAATACCCCGATACCGTGCGGGGATAGTCTTCTCATACCTGCTCAATGATGATCATCGTTTCCTGTAACGCGGCTCGTGGGTTGAGCTTCTCCATATGCCAAGCTACCTTGGTAGGCGTCTGTTGCAGGAGCGTCTCGTGTTCCACATCTTCAGGAGTCGCAGCTGGAAGCTTGCCCGATGCCGCGTCGATAATGTGTGAGCGCAAATTGCCACGCGCACAGCCAATTGTGCGCTGCGCAAGGTTTCCGATACCACCTTGGAGTAATTTTTTGTAATCCCGGATGATGAAAGAGTTGTCGAAATCCGCATCATCCGCTAGGCTGCCCCGATAAGCTAGGAAAAAGCGCATGCCATCAACTCCGAACCGTTCAATGGCGAAAAACGGGTTCACGACATTGCCAGTAGACTTGGACATCTTCTCGCGATTCATTGTCCAGTGTCCGTGCACCAGCACGTTCCGAGGCAGGGGAAGATCAAGCGCCATAAGGAATGCAGGCCAATAGACGCAATGGAATCTGCCGATGTTAGTTCGAGATCAGCCAGTCGCTCTAGATAAGTCCATCGGGTAAACTCGCAAACCTACCGAACGATATCTTTTCCAACTACGTGCAAATCTGCAGGCCATACGGACTTGTCTTCTTGGCCAGGCGGGATAGGATACCCGGCTTTGGTCAGATAGTTGACGAGGGCATCCAACCACACGTAAATCGTCTGCGAATCGTCACCAGGAACTGGGATACCCCATGTCAATCGTTCCACAGGTCTAGAAATGGAGAGATCCTGCAATCCCGAGGCAACGGCGTTAAACACGGCAGGTGTGTAAGTTGAAGGTGTGATAAATGGATCTTCTCTTTTGTACAACTCAAGCAGACGATCCTTGAAGGCCGAGAGACGGAAGTGATAGTTGGTTTCTGAGGACCATTCTACTTCCTTGCCTGTCTCAATTGAAACCTAGAATAGTGAGTATTTCCATCTGGACGACCACGGGAGAGCCTACCATTCGCTTCCTCCCCGTTGCTGGGTCAAGGGAGTTCTGCACTTGTGTTTGAGGATAGAACGTCTCATCGCTGACAGAGTACCAGCCTTCGTGTTTGGAGGTATAGATGTATCCCCGGTGTTGCAACATTTCCTATTCCAGATCAGTACGCGCCATGTATCGAGATCGTGATCGCATACCCAGAAATATTGAACAGCATCTCGATGTGCCGCGTCGGTGGTACGGATGAAATGATCGTTGTTGAGGTTCGCTGTCTTAGCGAGTTCCTACGCCATAATATTAGACATGCGCTGAGTTATGAGTCGAGAACCATACCTTGAAGGTTTGGCAATTCATGTCGCAAAACGCCTGTGTATCCATGCCTGCTTGTAAGGCGGCTTGTTGAATCTGTTGGTGTTAACCAGCAATTCATCCACAGGAGCAAAGGTGTAGTACCTTCATTCCATGCTCGTCGGTTCCGGTCAATAGTTGAGCATCTTCATTCCCAAGCAAGACCTGCCAGCGTTTCATAATATCTGCGATGACCATTGTGTACAAGTGACCGACATGAGGAGCTAGCAATAGAATAGAGTATTAGAAAATGACCCGTAATAGTTGAATTGCTTAACTCACCGGCGTTGACGTAGAAAATTGGAGTAGTAATGTAGTAAGGCTTGTTAGGCCTTGTAGCAACTCCACGCCGCGGAGCTGCACATCCATGCCTGCACGGTGTACAGGACCATACGCGCCTCGAGCTCAACAGCCGAGGCGCTCTCAATAACGAGCGAAGCGGCGTCCTTGTGGCAGCCATTGATGTGTGTTGAAGGGAAACACGACCGATTGCATGTTGCTGAATCCCGGGATCTCGGGTAATCCGCGTCTCCGTCTCCGCAGGCGGCTTTTCTTCTTTGCGACAGCTTGAACATTCCACGCATTTGCGTCCACCACATTGAATCGCTATTTTGAATTGCTTAATCGCCTATTTGTCTAAAATCACTCCACTTCACAAATTCGACAAGCCTATCGCGATGCCTTCAGGCGAAGATACATTGACAAAGGTGTCGACCGAAGGTAAACGAAATAGTCGCGTCCTGTTCAACCCCAAGATGTTCGCTAACATTTGACTTGATTTAGCGGCAACCGAATTTGTCCAGTCCTTTTATCCTGCCATAAACTCGAATCGTGAATCTATCCACTCATACTATGCACCGGCACCCTCACCAGTCCTGTTCAATGGCAACCCTGTCGCGGACGGCGCGGCCGTGCAAGAAATATTTGTCCACCAAATGCCCGCAGCTGTGTACGACGTCCAATCTTATGACTGTCAAATCATCAACCCTGCATATCCCACAATCACTTCAGCCGGCCCGAAGCCCCAGTCCGAAATGGGTGTCAAAGACATGTCGATCCTCATTCTCGTCAGTGGCTATGTTCGCTATGGAGAGGATCCCGATGCACCCCAGCGCGGATTCAGCGAGACCTTTGTTCTGGTGCCGAACCCATCGTCTGATAAGGCCCGGGGTCGCAAAGAGTGGCTCATTCAGAGTCAGAACTTCCGCTTGGTCGTATGAGCATTGTACGGTACACAAGTGAATGTCGAGAGCGAGATGCCCTCAATCGTCGCGGGTAATCCCCCTGTCGTGTGTTATGAATACTACGAAATGAACAAAATTCGAGCGATACCACCAATTATAGATAAAACCTTGAGAATGTGATTTGAAAGAGATGAATTGAATATTGAATGCTACAAACATATGCCATGAGCCCTTCCTACCTCCTCCTTGAACCCGTGCTTATGATAAACCCAAGACATTCGAAAAAGGGCAAAAAATAGAGGCCCAAGACAAAGAACGCTAGCTTTAAGTCTATTGTGTACTGTACTATATCAGTCGCGCCACTCTTGGCATGGGAAAATTAACTAGCAATGGCCTTTTAGAATCTTCAAAGAGATATAATGAAGAAAAGAAGATCGTACATAGACGCAATTCTTATATATCGCCTACCTTAATCAAGGCGTTCGAAAAGCCAAAAGCGAGATGAAAAACGAGAAGCTAGTGGCTGTACTTATATAGAAATATATTTGAGGCTACTCGAAAATTGGTAGAAAAAGATGTAGAAAAAGATATAGAAAAAGACGCAAAAGAGAGGCTAAAGTAGCACTCGACTTGGATACATTATCAAATTTAGCTTGAGGTATTTGAAAAAAAGGCAAAAGAGGAGGAATCGAGAGGACAAAACAGGAAAAAACAATGTACGGGAATCAGGGTCCAGCCGCCGATCTACGCGGTACACGAAGATTTGCCTTGACTCTCTCTAGTAGCTCTTCGCGGTTGGCCTTTTCATTTGGTAGAAGTCCTCTCTGGTAGACGGGGTCAGTGAAATTCAAGTTGGATACGGACTTGACATACTGCGCGCAACCATCTTGTTATTTCATCCAGTGTCCAGTTGTCCGGATCTAGTGAGCGTTAGCTACTGTTTGCTATCCATGTAGATTTATACATACCTCCAGTGGGATCAGCTTGCGCGGGGAGAACATCACCACCCCAAATGGAGATGGCTGCCACTGCGGTGACCATTCCTGCAAAGCCTGTTTGATATTAGATGAGACCAGGTGGCTTGATATGTGTTATTTACCAAGGAATAGATTCTAGCAAACCAGCGGTTAGATTAACTGAAGCAAAACCAGTAAACACATTGGTCATGACTTACTTTGGAATTCAAGGCTTTGTCCAAGGGGGTCGGCATTCTGAAGAATGATGTAATAAAGCCGTGGCACTCGCAAAGATTTGAGGTGGATTTCAAACTTAACAGTATCGAAACCGAAACCAAGGATTTTTAAGCTCTTGAAAGGACACGATGCAGAAGACAAGTATCCAGTAGCGGCAGCTTAGATGTATGTCGGGGGGGGGGGGGTGCACCGCCACCCACGCCACCCGTTGCTGCCTATCACGAACTATACGTTCTTTTCAACCTCAACTTCACGGACTACAGAAGAAGTAAACAATATGGATTTGGAACTTGCACCAGCTTCTTGCACTTCTCCTGCAATCCGATCCCTTCGTTCTTTACATTTATATCCTCATTCTATCATTGACTCATACCCTAGAGACTGTTATGATTGACGAAATGGAAGCTGTGATTTTCCTGATCTGTCACCTTCATTGTTGCGGAGTTCCATTATACAAGAGTATAGTTGGTCTTCCATGCAGCTCCATGGCAGGTATTGACATTATATAGAATTGCCTTCTGGAAGCGATACCGATTGCGCTTGCAGGTCACGACCAAAGCAATGACTCCAGTCGCTTGCAGCGTGGACTCAGACATTTGAGGCGAACAAGCCAATCCAAGGGCCCAGGCCATTGTATCACTCACGTTGGGGGAGCCGAGGACCACGAAAATGGCCCCTGTATACGTACCGACGATTCCAACCAGTCCACATTGAAAGAGCCATGTCTGACTATCCCTTCGCGTCATACCAAATCCCCGAGGCTGCAGAACCCGGTACAATCAATCATATGCCTCTCGATGCTCCCAGCCACACCTACACTTTCAGCCACACCACTCGCCCTCGCCTTAGCGCCTTAGGCACCAATTGATGACTAAGATAGGGCTTTCTCCGCACGAAACCCTAAAGTGATCCGCACAATTCATCGGGGTCGACAGTGAGCTTCCTCTTTCGTACCTTGCAACCATACACCAACCGTCATCATGCCTGCCGAAGTTTCCGATATCAAGCAGTTCATTGAGATCTGCCGCCGCAAGGATGCCTCCTGTACGTGTTGGAGTTCTGGAGAGTGCCGGGGAAGCTGAAGATCGATGCTGACTGTTCCATGTTTAGCTGCGCGCATCAAGAAGAACCGCAAGTCCCAGCAGACCAAGTTCAAGGTTCGCTGCCAGAAGAACCTCTACACCCTTGTCCTGAAGGACTCCGACAAGGCCGACAAGCTCAAGCAGAGCCTGCCCCCTGGTACGTTGCGATCGCATCCCGCCCTCTGAGCTGTGGAGGAATTCGACTCCACATTTTTGAAGAATTGGGTTTGGGTCAGCGTAGAACCTAGGCTGACAGTTTCTTTATAGCCCTCAAGGTCGTCGATGTCTCCAAGGGCACCAAGAAGGCCAACTAAATTAGTTGACAATGGAATGAATGGAGGATCGGAGTGCGGCGTGATTGGTTGATGCATGCAAGACCTACTGTTGGAAGGATACATGGCATGGACATGGTTCTTCTGCGAGCTGACACGGGGATCACTTTATGGCGTGGGGCACGACTTCCGCGCCGGGGTTTCTTTGCGTCTTTTAAAACCGGCTGCAGTTCTTCACCGGTTAGACGACTCGCATTTTCTGGGCGCACTCGAAGAATGCTTTTGTCGGAGCATCCAATCCCTACACATCAATGAAAAAACAGTTGAAATATCATTACCGGGTTTCTCGCTATCAGTCGAGACTTCCTAATCCATTATTCTGATATTGGAAAACTTCCGCTGTGATACATTTGCGAAATGCAATATGTAGTTGTATTTTTCCACTAGTAAGAGAAACAGTTGCTCCCTTTCAAAATCGCAAACGCTCTACGGGGCCATGTTGTGCCTTGCATTTGGACACTTCTAAAGCTAAATGATTGCTCTGTCGTGACATACATGCCTGGGGCTTCGAGTCTCTTCTTGCTTGCTGCTTGCTCCCTCTTTGCTTCTATCACCTATATTTAGGTCAATATACATCGCAGCATTCCAATGCCTATTCGTCAGAACATGTATTGTTTGAACCTGATGCTCGAAATGGCCCTGATCGCCCTGAAAGATCTTTGTTCGACTCGACTGCTCTTTAGCCTCAACACAGGGCCATTGTTCGGAAACAAAGAACTCAATACCTTCATGACCACCTTTATATATGAAGAACAACCACTCTTTCGACATGTCTCGCCCCAACTATATAACAATCATGAAGACCTCCGGATTTTATAGCTCTCCAGCATCATCCCCACACGATTTATCTACTTTTTCTTTTACAAATTACCCAAACGCGAATGACGACTGAGACTGTGACAGCATCGACGTGTTCGTAAAAACATATATAAACGTCCGAATTTGCGGAATAAGCCATCACCAATGCGTTTTACACACGTCGCCTTCTGAACCAACAGTTTATTACAGAAACTACAAACTTATCCACATCGGATATGGCTACCCCCGCGCTGGCCCTTGGCGACCTTGGCACAAATCTCCCCTTGGAGATGGTCGAAATGATACTACTTCGTGTCGGAGACAAGTCCGGTAGGTTAACCCACCAACAGATCCACGACCTGAATGCTCTGCGCAGGACTAACAAATCTACTTACGACTGGATTATCCGTCAAGTCAAGAAAATAAAAACTCATTCCAGTGCTGCAGCGGCACTCGAAGGTAGGAGCGATACTCAAATGAAAGCCATTGAGGCTCCAGGTAGCCCCAAGTTCGTGCCTAATGATGCCCTTATCGAGGTAGTTTTTGATGACTGCCCCTCTTGCATTGCCTTTATGCATAAACTCCAATAACACATGGCACTCTTTGAGTCAGATTCATTCTGGTCTAGAGGATCTTTAAGATCGATGGTTGGCTAACAGCCACAAACAAGCCAAAAAAAAAAAACACCTACACTGAAAGTAGTGCACATATCTCGCTTTCAAAGTAGTTCATCAATATGAAACTCATTTTTGTTTGAACATATTCCATATTCCAACATAATCTCATAAAAAGTAGATCGTAACCAACTGTAGATCGTTACTTCTCTGGCCACGGCCCTATAGACTCCTATACCTCTGACATACCCTTCTCTTTGCTTGGCGTGTCGCATCTAGCCTTGGCATAAGACATACCCCGGGACTTCAGCAGTGTGACAAAGGTTATATAGTGTTTTTATTTCCGCCGGGCCGATTGCCCCGGATCTTCATGTATACTGCCATGTATACTGCCTCTCTTGGCTGTAGAAACCAGCCGTGTAGACTGTCTTCTGGACTTTGGTAATAGTATACATCCGATATAGATGACGGTCAAACCTCCGTCCATCGTAGCGAATAGCGAATAGCGAACGGCTTGCGACAGAAAGCCTGAGTTAGATTGAACTTGATATTGATCTCTAGTTGTTGATGGAAAAAGAAATCAAGTCATCTACTAGACTAGAATGAGGTACATAATAATCAAACAGGTGTAAAGCCCTGGATAATATTGATATGTCATCAATATAGTCAGGGCCAATTTAAAAGGACTCCCTCAGGATGCTATTCGGATCCCCTCTCCAGTCGCGAAGCCCCATTAGGCCTGCTGCAGTAATTGTATTTCCATATTCATTATTTGGTCAACCAGTATTAAAGGAGAGCTTATGGCTCTAAGTACTTCTATTTAGTATGCACCCCCCTAGTAAAACAAAGTCATTTTTGATGATTCCCACCGGTATATTGACTGAATGGGTCTAAGATACTTCTTTTCCGTATGTACCCTCTAAACACTTTTAGGTATTGCTAGGAACATATTTAATGCTCCGCTGACTCGGAAATTAAAGAGTAATTAGAAGCAAGGTGCTAGATGTACCACGAAGTAACATATTTCTACTAGTGATTTACATAGTGAATGTAGGTACTCAAAAGGTATACTAGCATTCAGGCAAAACCCCAAGCATCAGTGCTGCCAAGGATCAATGCATTTGAAATACAATTACTGCAGCAGGCCTAATGAGGTTTAGTGAATGGAGAGGGGGTCTGAATAGCATCCTGAGGGGGTCTTTTTAATCATGCAGTATAATAAATAGCTGGAAGCTCGCATTGTACATATATAGAACCTATATTTGTAACCGCTTCGAAGCGAGCATAGCGGTTTGAGCATTGATTTCGTCCCATTTTATTCTTTCTCTTTCCTCTGTTTTCTAACCCCCTTCAAAATTTATCTTTGCCTGTTTGAGAGTGCCTCACCATATGTATACTGTAGAATATTAGATAAGTGAGGAAATCCCAGGTCTACGACCATGTTATTATGGTCCAACTCATAGAAACTTGTCTTCTAAGACTTCGGCATGCGATGGCTTCTATGCAAATGGAGTGGCGCAACCCCATAAATTGTCAACCGGCTATATTAAATGCAGGGACCCCGCCAATGTGCCCAATAGAGGAGAACATTGCTGCGTATTTACTCAATACCTGAACATCCACCAACTGGAAAACGGGTTTGAATTTGGTGCAGTGACACAGACTAAGATGTCTGTTTGAGACTATTCCTATATCAAAGCGGACCTCGTTTTGAAAAGGAATCTTCGGATCAATTCGATTGAACAAAAATAGACGATGGTATTGGGTATAAATAGGACCAAGATTCTGCTGTATTAGGTCCTCATCAAAACAAGAAATCAATTTTGATACTCAATAAACAAGAACGGAAAATGACACCCTCAAAGCTACCTACCATCGTAGCACTTTTTGGCTTAGCAGCCTCTGTTGCAGGCCATGGCTATATTTCTAGCATCCTGGCCAACGGCCAAAAGTACGCCCAACCTGACAACCATATCCCACATTTCCCTTTACACAACAGTCTGACCTTACTACAGCTATACCGGCTACTTAGTCGATAAATACCAATACATGACCTCACCCCCACAAAGCATCGGCTGGACAACAACAGCAACAGACCTCGGCTTCGAAGCTCCAGCCGAATACCAAGAGCCAAACATAATCTGCCACCGAAACGGCGAAAACGCCGCCCTCAGTGCCCCAGTAACTGCAGGCTCAGACATCGAACTCCAATGGACGACTTGGCCAGATTCGCACCATGGACCTGTGATTACATACCTGGCAGCCTGTACCAACGGTGACTGCAGCACGGTCGACAAAGCCACTCTGAAATTCTTTAAGATTGCCGAACGGGGTATCGTGGATAATTCTAATGTCCCTGGAGCCTGGGCAACTGATGAATTAATCGCTGCCGGGAACCGATGGACAGTGACTATCCCTTCGACTATCGCTGCAGGCAACTACGTTATGCGACATGAGATTATTGCCCTTCATTCGGCAGGAAATCTGAATGGGGCACAGAATTACCCTCAGTGTATCAATTTGCAGGTTACTGGTGGTGGCAGTGATGTGCCTGCTGGTACGCTTGGTGAGGCGTTGTATACTGAGACTGATCCTGGCATCTTGATTAGTATTTACCAGACGTTGAGCTCTTATATTATTCCTGGACCGGCTTTATATTCTGCTTGAGCAAATACAAGGTTGAGAGGATGATACCTGTCGTTACAGGCTGTGATTGTGACTCAGTTCTATCGGTATATCTGAATGCTATTTACATACTACTCATGAACATCTATTCAGTCCTCTCGTAAGGCAAAGCAACAAATCCCCTAGCCCCTGCCTTCCCAAGGGCCCCATCAACACCCCCTAGACTCAAATCCTTCCGTCTCAATTCAAACTCCCCAAAGAAATTAGGCTCAGAATCAACCTTTTCAAATTCCAGCCCTTCAAACAAAGCCAAGCTCCGCAAATTCTCCTTCCCAATCTTAACGCTCAGACATTTAAACTCCAATGTCGAAGTCGTCGCAGTCTCAGTCTCATTCGCCTCAACTTCAACCCCAGTTCTCAATGTCCGGACAGTTTCAACGTCAACTCCACCACCAGAAACGAATTCCTCCAAAATAGCGCCCTGATACTGAACGATATACCGCATGAACATAAGCAGAGCCGCTCGTCCAAATCCACGACGCTGGCTGTTTTTCTCGGCGATCATGAGTTCAATTTCACCAACAATTATCGGCGGGGAGTCACCTTCCTCGCCATTATCAACACGAAGGAAGAGCTGTAGATAAATCAGTCCATATTTCTCTTCCAAAATATCATTTCGAATACGAGATAGGACATACATTAATATCTCCCACCATATTCGGTGGACCATCGCTTTCCGCTTGAAGTTGGTGTTGGCTAGTTTCCTCTTCGGTACTGGCAGTTGAAAGGGGCCGGCAGACGATGAAGGTTAATTTGTCTGCATCTTGCCTCCAACTAGATTGCATGGCGTATTCTTCTTCCAGAGTTAGAGGTTCTGAGGCAGTTGCTTCTTGGATTTCCTGTCGCCTGATTAGTATGCTTGACCTTTTTTTTTTTTGGCTGGATTGTGGTGTACTGACTGGGTCTTTCATCCATTCGTGGTATTGTGGGACGTGCCATGAGGAGTATGGGACTAGTAAGGCCTTTGAAGAAGACAGGGCTATTTAGGATTGGGTTTATTAGTATACTCGTCTGAAGTATGTATTCTGCGTGGGTATTAATGTGGATATAGGTGGAGGGGACTGTACCAATGTTGGCGTTCAGCAGCATTGTGGCGGATGTTTGGATATTATCTCAATGTGATTTAAGTGAAAGGGCTCTACCCTTGGTGGATGTTTTATTCAAAAATCTCGACTTGATGTCTACCTGGCTCGACGGGATATATGAAATCGGGAGTTGGTGGGATAGATTCTTTCTATGTGGGGCCCGACGTACCAATGAGCAGCGTCAGATCCCGATCTATATAACTTCGGATATACGTGCATTGCGAAGAATAGGTTGAAAAGCGAGGTGTGGAAAAATGTAATGTAGTATATGCTATGTTGTGTATTTTGTTTGGTATCCGTTCACTTTTGTTCTTCTTGTCCCTTGAAAACACCGAATTTGACTACCTCTACCTCCAAGGTCTCGGTGTCAACTAGAATCAACTCGCCTGTTTCATTGAATTTGGGAATAGCAAGAAGTCGCACACGGGCACCATCGGATTTATCGTTGGTGTCCATCATATCAGTGTCCTCATCCAAACGTAGAGGGACATCGCCTTCAATAGTGGCAGTCTTGAATGATGGCTGGTTACCAGCGAAAAAGATGTGCGGGCAGGTTTCCAGAACGAATGGATCGTCCGTCTGGAATGGATATGACCCTTGGGTTATTATTAGTAGATTCCTCGTTTAAATGGTTGTTCAACTTACAGATTGTGTCAGGCGCAGTTGGAACGCCGCATCGCCAGCGAAGCATGGCTTCCATGACTCGAACACGGGACGCAGAGTCATCTGTCTCTCCGTCAATGCTGAGCTCAGTGCTCTCGAAGTTGAGGTATCGGAGCACATCGTCAACGTTCTGCCCACTGCATCCCCATACCCGCCATCCCTCGACGTCGCCCTCCCAGGGGTTGGTGACACTGTCAAACCAACCTACTTCAGGCTTGTCTTCGCCACGAGCTGGGGGTGCAGAGTACGCCCTGGCCTGCGGGAACATGGCGCGATGGATTCCCTGCTGGGGAAGAGAGAAGTTGGCAGGATCCTTGTCACCTGGCATGAGCGTCACGGGAATGCTAGGCAGAATATCTGCTAGGAAGTTGTCGAGTTGTGTGATGGGCGACGAATTGTATGCGGAGGCGTCATATCCGTACTTTTTCGGCGCGGCCTTCTTTCCGATAGCTGTCTTGTCAGATCCAGCCGCAGCATCAATAGTCACACTGGCGCCAAGTGAATTGCCTGCAATAATCAGGCGAGTGATTTTTGAGGAACTGGTGGAAGGGCTGTCGTTGTCGTGGCCCGAAAAACCGGTGTAGCCCAGAAGGTAATCCGTCAATAGCTCCAAAGTAAGTGTGTCGCTTGATGTTCCTGTAATACCCAGCCCACTGACGAACGCAATTTTGCCGCTTTGCTTTTCAGCATCTGATCTGATCTGTGAAGTGCCCTCCCATCGCTGAGGCTGTGGTGCCAGATCTGGGAGCTTGATATCAATGACTTCAAAGTCTCCATTGGCGTTTTCAGTACCCAGAGCGGCGATAATAGCGCCTGTAGCCAGCTGAGTAGTCCGAAGGAAGTTTCCAGTAAGTCTTAGGCGACCCGACTCATCCTCCAACATAATCTGGGTCGCGGAGGGATCGAGAGGGTCGGTGTAGGTGCGGCGGGGAGGGGGTGCAGAGGTGAAGTTCTATAGCAGTCAGTCATGATACCATTTGCAGGTACAGTATCGAGAGCAAGTACCGACCTCCTTCGTAAGGTCGTCCAGAATGTTCGGCTTCATTGGCAAATCCATGTACACCGTACCGGCCACCCAGCAAAGCTCTCCCTGTCGCACATCAAGCACTCGATCAACGCGTCGAACTTTTTCTCCGGCAATCTGATTTCAAACAGCAGTCAGAGAAGTCTATCCCACATGAAAAATTACAGTTTCGAAGGTTCTCACAATGAGTCCATCCCAAGCGTCCGTCGCAACTTGTTCCACACTGGGCTTTAACTTGGCCAGTCGCAAAAAGTACATGTCGCCATATTGTTGCTTGTAGTGCCGTCCTTGGCCGGTGGGAAGATGAAAGGTGTGAAGAGGGTTGTAGTGAGAAGGTGCGCGGTAGACTGGTTCCTGTTCGTGCTCCTCCTTGCTATTTGGAGGGCGTTCACGGTCAGCCAGAGCTTAGAGTCGGGGATACTTCGCAATGCAGATGAAAAACGGAAGAGGGAAATTACCTTGGAAGACACAGGAAGCCGTAATCGTTGTCCGATTTCATCTTTGCAAGATGTGCGGAGTTGGTAGAGGAGGGTTGACGCGTGGGCGCGTCAATTAGCGCGTTCAATTACATTCCCGCTTTGGGCGGACTCAACTGAGACAAATTGTATAAAAGTGGATTTGTATGTTGATTTTGATCTTTTATAGTTCAATTTTTCTGTAATCGGCAATAAATGTGTTATCAATTCATTATACGCAGTTTCTTAACCTCAATAAGAGCACTTTTGTAGCTATAGCTTAGCTGATTTGCATGTAACTGATACTTTAAAAAGGGTAGATCGCAGAAAAGCAACTTATTTCCCTTCCAAAATCTCTTGATAAGGTGCATAAATCAAATATGCAGTTCATAAAGCACACTTTGTAGATCGCCCATGCTGCCTCGGTCCGCCTCAATAGCTTCGAACTATCCGAGGAAGGTCGATTTCCCCTCTTTGGACATGCCAACTGTATCTATCTATAACATGCAAGGTACCTACTCCAAATTTTGCAAAAAACACCTCTGAGTAAATCTCTATCAACCACAAGTATTCAACACTCAAGGTCTCAAATCTCATACCGCAAACCTTCTATATCCAGCACTCAAACCATACAATATACAACGCCCAAAATGTCACTCCAAACGCCCCTCTGCAAGCTCCTCAAAATCCAACACCCAGTGCTCCTAGCAGGAATGGCCCGCGCCTCAGGTGCTCCTCTAGCAGCAGCAGTCTCCAACGCCGGCGGTCTAGGAACAGTAGGCGGACTAGGCTACACGCCCGAGCAGCTCAGCGAAATGCTAACAGAGCTGAAATCCCTACTGCGCGACCCATCTCTGCCCTTCGGCGTAGATCTCGCTCTGCCACAAGTTGGCGGGTCTGCGCGTGCTACCAACCACGACTACACGCACGGCCAGCTGGACGAGCTAGTCGAGGTTGCCATTTCTCATGGCGCGAAACTGTTCGTCTCGGCCGTTGGTGTCCCCCCTGAGAAGACTATTAAGCGGCTGCATGAGGCTGGAGTTTTAATAATGAATATGGTTGGCGCGCCTAAGCATGCTGAGAAGGCGCTTAAGCTTGGTGTTGATATTGTCTGTGCGCAAGGTGGAGAGGGTGGTGGGCATACCGGTGATGTGCCGTTCTCTGTGCTTGTGCCTGCTGTTGTGGATGTTGCTAAGCGATATAAGAGTCCGCTGACTGGGGAGCCGGCGTTGGTTGTTGCTGCCGGGGGTGTTAATGATGGGCGCAGTCTGGCGGCGTCGTTGATGTTGGGTGCTGCTGGTGTTTGGGTCGGCACGCGCTTTGTTGCGTCTGAGGAGAGTGGTGCTAGTCGGTTGCACAAGGAGGCTGTTGTTGGGGCTAGGTATGGTGAGACGAAGAGGACTTTGGTTGTTAGTGGCCGACCTTTGCGCATGTTGCCTAATGATTATGTAAAGGAGTGGGAAGGGAGGCCCGGGGATATTGCTAAGTTGACTGCTAAGGGGGTTGTGCCTATGATGGATGATTTGGAGAATGAGAAGGATATTGATATGCCTTTCCTTATGGGTGATGTGTCGGCCAGTGTTACGGCGATCAAGCCGGCTGGAGTTATTGTCAAGGAGATGGTGGAGCAGGCGGTTGATATGCTGAAGGTTGGTGGTTCGTTCATTACCACAGGGGCTGTGAGCAAGCTGTAGCTGTCTGGCATATTCATTGATTGTGGATAATACTTGTACAAAAAACATGAACATCAAAAAGAAATGCGGAACCAACATTGAAAATATGTCTATGGATTGAGTGAAGACCATGCAGAGTAACTGAAAACAGACAGACCTGTTCTTTGCTACCCCTAACAGATCAAGAGCACTATTCTTTGCATGTCCCCAAGTAGACTTACTGAGACAAATGAACAAAGGTATATCTTCAAGGGTAACCAAGTGGGTTCATAGATCACATCGGATCAACCACTACATGAATATTCAAGAAGTTTAGTGACAGCCGTTAACCACCACATTTCCATTTGCTCGGGCCTCCAAAAGGTTGGGAGGCGGGGTTGGGCCAAACACAGGCTTCTCGGGGGGTTGGTCGACTCGGGGAGGTGGCTCAAGGTCGTCCTCGTCGCTCATGTCCTCTTCGTCGTCTTCGTAATCATCGTCGTACTCGCTTTCGGTCCCTTCATCATCACCTTCCAAGTGATCATCGCCTTCGGCTAAAGCAAGACCTTCGCCTCGGCCTTGGGCTTGCATGCGTCGACATAGGGCTTCCAAGTGGTGGCACTTGCGTCGCCATCTTTCCAATTCTTCATGGTTTCGAGTCCGTTCCTCTGCCATCTCTAGAATGTTGCGGTTGGTTTGCTCATGCTTGCGGTTGAGGGTATGGTTCTCCTTTTCCAGGCGCTTGGTTTTCTTGGACATTTCTTCCATTTCTTTGCGGAACGTAAGAAAAAGATCGTTGCTGTTGTTCAAGGTATCCTCGACCTACACTTGTCAGTATATAGACCACAAATATAACTGCGTAACACACCTGCTTGAACTTCTCCACATAGATGTTGAGTTGACTGCGCAACTCGGCTTCGGTGTGGGAGAAAGTTGAGACCTGTGAGGTCAGAGCCCGACAACGGTTGTTCTCGACCTCGCTGACCCGGCGCTGGTCCTCGAACTTGGAGGCAAGACTTTGAATCTCAGAATCCTTGCTACGCAGAAGACCCCTGTAATGCAGGTCGCGGGTGTCAAACTGCTCACTAATGGTCTTGAGCTTAGCGCGAAGGCTAAACATTCGTTAGTATATTCCAATTCCATAAGAGGACGTTGAAACCATACGCTTCGTCCAAATCAACATCCACCTTCTCGCTACGAGGGTTTCCTTTGGCTGCCATGACATCTTGAATATCGTAGAGAAGCGAATCAAGTCGTTCGTTGACGATCAAACGAGCTCGTTTCTCATTATCTTCCAACTTCTTATTTTCATCCTGGCGACAGGTTCAGCCTACAGTCCGGAGTGTGGCGCATTCGTCTGGCGCAGTTTGACCAACTCACCTTGATTTTCTTGTTTTCTTTTGTAAGTTCGCGACACAATTTCTCCAGTTTGTCCTTCATAGTCACAGATTTGCTGAGATCGGATTTTCCCTTGTCCTGGTCCTTCTGCAGCTGATCCGCTCGCTTCTTGCTCTTGGAATAATCGCGATCCAATTTCTTCATGTCCGCCAACAGTTCGGTGTACTTTTTGTGGACAGTCTCCAGGCGGCTCATCGGCGATTCGATAGTGCTCAGCAGCGAATTGAGATCCCGTGTGGCTTTCTTGACTTCGCGCTCTGTATATTAAAAACCAATATTAGTGACCCTGAACTCCGCACGGACTATCCCCGCAGTCCAGCGGCGTCACGAAAACCGGGGCATGTCATGAAGCCGTAGAAAACAAAGGGAGCCACGCACCAATTTCCGCCTCTTGATCCTTCTCGCCGGCGGCATCTTGCTCCAACTGTGAGATCTTGGCGGCCAAAAGTTTAGACGTCTCGTTGGGATCCGCGGTCTTCTTTCCCTTATTCTTCTTCGCCATAGCGGTGGACGACATGTTCGGGGGTCTGCGGAGATCGCAAGTTCACGTATTGAGTGGGCTGGTTCACCGAAAGTTCCGGAGAGTGCGCAGGTTGGGAATGTCGGAGGAAGGAGGGGGATTGTCAACAGTCACGTAAAATCCCAGAGTCAAGTTTTCCGCCAAGATTACAGGGCTCTGGGATACTGAAGAAGTCGCGGGAGTTGAGTCTTGAGTAAGAGTGACCGTGGACCGGAGATCGAGGGGTATTAGTCATCTATACCTCGAACACCGGGGGGTAGTCCTCAAGACACGATATCTGGAAGAATTAGTATAATCCTGGTGGTTTTTGTTAATTGAACGTCAGTCTCGAAGTTCCCTCCAGTCAACGTCAAGGTTCTCGCTGTCCAGTCACGGGTGATGAGTAAGCTCTACTTTTCGAGGCTCGGCCTCTTACTTAATCTACATCTTCCGCATATTTAGTTCTGCTTTCCTCTGGTCTTTACAATTTCAAACTGTTTCAAACTCTCATTTAACATTCGGCATTTGATTTGATTGAAATGCTCATATAAGATCCTCACGAATTATACACACCATGTTGCGCTCATCGATGCGCCTCGGCACGGCGCGAGTGCCTGCTCTCCGCCAGCCTCTCAATGCTCGGGCATTGAAGGCCAACACAATCCTTCCCCGGAATACTTGGGCAAGAGCTGCCTCAACAGTGACTAACTTGGAGAACTTCCCCCAGGTTGGTGAGAAGCTGCATGGGTTTACGATTCAAGAGAAGAAGCATGTGCCGGAGCTTCATCTGACCGCGGTCTGGCTGAAGCACGACAAGACCGATGCCGACTATATGCATGTGGCTCGGGACGATAAGAACAATGTGTTTGGAATTGGATTCAAGACAAACCCGCCGGATGCCACTGGCGTGCCTCATATTTTGGAACACACCACATTATGTGGAAGTGAAAAGTGAGTGACATGACAATGAAAAAAATAGAAAACGTTGGCTGACCTGATGCTGTCAGATTTCCTATTCGAGACCCCTTCTTCAAGATGCTTCCTCGTTCGCTTTCTAACTTCATGAACGCCTTCACGGCCTCCGATCATACCACCTACCCCTTTGCTACAACCAACCAGCAGGACTTCCAGAACCTTCTATCCGTCTACCTCGATGCGACATTGCACCCTCTGCTTAAGGAGTCAGACTTCCGCCAAGAAGGATGGCGCCTAGGTCCCGAGGATCCCCGCGCCTCGGAGTCTGAGAAGAAGGCTCAACTGGAGGACATTGTTTTCAAGGGTGTTGTCTACAATGAGATGAAGGGCCAGATCTCAGACGCAAATTATCTCTACTACATTCGGTTCAAGGAGAGCATCTTCCCTTCGCTGAACAACTCTGGCGGAGATCCGGAGTACATCACAGATCTCACCCACAAACAGTTGACCGAGTTCTCGAAGCGAAACTACCACCCGAGCAACTCCAAGATTCTCACTTATGGTGATATGCCTCTTGCTGATCACTTGATGCAGGTTGGCGCTGTGCTGGATGGCTTCCAGAAGGGCCAGGCCGATACCGATGTCAAGAAGCCGTTGGATCTCAGCCAGGGCCCTAAGAGTGTGACAGTTCCCGGACCCATCGATACATTCGCCGCCGAGGATAAACAGCATAAGACCTCTACTTCTTGGTACATGGGTGATACTACCGATATTGTGGAAACATTCTCCGTCGGCATTGTTTCCTCGCTTCTGCTCGATGGTTATGGCTCGCCTATGTATCGGGCTCTTATTGAGAGCGGTCTCGGCTCCTCCTTCACGCCAAACACTGGTCTCGACCCCTCTGGCAGAACCCCCATCTTCTCGGTCGGCCTCAACGGCGTGAGTGAAGCGGAAGCCCCCACAGTCAAGGATGTGGTCCAGAAAGTCTTCCAAGAGTCTGTCTCAGCTGGTTTCAGTGAAGAGAAGGTCCGTGGATTCCTTCATCAACTGGAACTTTCCCTGCGCCACAAGACCGCAAACTTCGGAATTGGCGTTATGGAGAAGACCATCTCGTCGTGGCTCAATGGCTCGAACCCAATGAAGGAGCTTGCTTGGAACGATGTCATCGAGGAGTTCAAGGCCAGATACGCGCAGCCTGGTTACCTCGAGTCATTGGTGCAAAAATATCTCATCAATGACCAGTGCATGACCTTTACTATGGTTGGCACACCCACATTTAACAAGGAGTTGGACGATAAAGAGGTTGTCCGCAAGGACAAGAAGCTCGCTGAGCTCATTGAACAGCATGGATCGGTTGAAAAAGCCGTCGCTCACCTTGGAGCAGAGGAGTTGGAGCTTCTTAATATCCAGGAAGATGCCCACAACGCCGATTTGAGCTGCCTTCCATCCGTGAGAGTGAAGGATATCTCACGCGAGAAGGAGCGCAAGCCTATCCGCGAGTCCAAGGTCGACGGCGCTGATGTTGTCTGGCGGGAGGCCCCCACCAATGGCCTTACCTACTTCCAAGCCTTGAACGACTTCGTCGATCTTCCCGACGATCTTCGATTGCTCATGCCTCTCTTCAACGACTGTGTTATGCGCTTGGGAACTGCAAACCGATCTATGGAGCAATGGGAGGACTTGATCAAGCTCAAGACTGGTGGTATCTCGACTTCCTCCTTCCTTGTCTCTTCGCCAACCCATCTGGATCAGTTCAAGGAGGGTATGCAGCTCTCTGGATTCGCTCTGGACCAGAATATCCCCGAGATGCTGGAAATGCTCTCTGTGCTGGTCACCGAGACTGACTTCATGAGCCCTGCTGCACCGGCCATGATCCAGGAGCTTTTGCGTATGACCACCAACGGAGCTCTGGATTCCATTGCCGGAACTGGTCACCGTTTCGCAGTCAATGCTGCGGCCGCCAGCCTCTCCCCCACCTTCTGGATTCAGGAGCAACAATCTGGTCTTGAGCAGCTGCAAGCCACTGCCAACCTCCTCCGCGATGCCGAGTCCTCTCCCGAGCGCCTGCAGGAGTTGATCGAGAAGCTTCGCCTGATCCAATCCTTCGCCATCTCGTCGTCCAACCTCCGTGTTCGCATGGTATGTGAAAAGGAGAGTGCCAGCAGCAACGAGTCTGTCTTGCAGAAGTGGATCTCTGGACTTCCCCAGTCCCGCTCTCCGGCTTCTCCCCCGGGCAGCTCGACCTTCCGTCCAGTCAACAAGGCCTTCTATGACATGCCGTACAAGGTATACTACTCTGGCCAGACTAGCCAGACCGTGCCTTTTGTCAATTCCTCCAGCGCCCCGCTCAGTGTCATGTCCCAGCTCCTTACCCACAACTATCTCCACCCTGAGATCCGTGAGAAGGGTGGTGCTTATGGTGCCGGTGCTAGCAACGGGCCCCTCAAGGGCATCTTCACCTTCATGAGTTACCGTGACCCGAACCCTCTGAATACTCTGAAGGTGTTCCAGAACAGCGGTATCTTTGCTAGAGATCGTGCCTGGACCGAGCGTGAGATCGAAGAGGCCAAGCTCGGTATCTTCCAAGGTCTTGATGCCCCCGTTAGTGTTGATGATGAGGGAACCCGCTACTTTATGAGCGGTGTCACCCACGAAATGGACCAGCGCTGGAGAGAACAGGTCTTGGATGTCACCGCCAAGGATGTTAACGATGCGGCCGATAAGTTCCTAGTCAATGGATCTCGCCAAACAACTTGCGTTCTTGGCGAGAAGAAGGACTGGGCTGACGCTGAATGGGAAGTTCGCAAGCTTTCCATGGATGGACAGAACGGTGCCACTGCCTCGGCATAAGTGGTGACGGCCACATCCTGTTCAGCCGCTTTCTTTTCTACGAATTTAATCCTAACGATGCATCGACATTGCTAGGATTATTGTAACACCACTCATCTTCCCGTGTACTTTTATGCTTGCCCTTGAACACCTACCTTGTACATATGTTTCTATAACCGATCTATATAGATCTCCTTTTCTCTTTCTTCTGCATATCCCATCTTCGCTCCACACAATCCCGCCCGCGCTGATGATCTATACGTGCTTCGGCACAGAGCTAATCACATCTACAACCGGCTCCTCCCTTGGTTGCGAGATGTCGCATCATTTCCCTCATGGAATATGCAAGCGCAAGAACAAAATGAACGTGAGCCCACGAGGCACACTTCGCACCTCCGTTTTCGGAACCGCCCTAGACCTAAGTCTACACAGGACGGACTAAAATCGGGAGAACATCTGTAGTCTAAAGCGATAGATTTGTAGAAATACCAAAATCCATGTCTGAACCATGGAATGCTACAGTTGCAATTGCGGAGCCCCAAAGCGGAGAAACTTTAATTTCACCCCTCACGTGGCTCTGATAAGCTTGATGCAACAACATCCCTTCATCTTCTCTCTGCAATTGACCTGTCTATGCTCCTATTTTGTGTCTGGTGAGTCATGTAGAATTGCCCTGACACGAAATGAATGGATCGAGGACTACGGTCACGGTGGGCCCACGGCCGACCAAGGCCTGTATAAATTGCCGACGACTGAAGGTATGTAGGCATGCATCATTCCAAATCAGACTTATCAAATCAATAAAGCTGAGAGTATATTAGATGAAGTGCGAAGTCTCCGGACCTCCTCCATGTCGCCGATGCCGACAGAATCGGGTACAGTGCGTATTCAAGCCGCGGGCCAATGTAAGAACATAATTCTTGAATATTCCGAGCTCACACTTACATTTTATTCAGGCATCTGCCATACATAGCTTAGTTGAGTTACAACAAGATTCAAGTCTTACATGCTTACCTGGTATCGCGGACCATCAGTCAATTCTGAACCGATTATCCAGAATCGAGGCGGCACTAGGCATTACCGAGGAGGGAGACGACGAGGTAGTCTCACCCCGTGAACCAAGCCCAAAAAAAGATGTGGATTCAGTCCCTCTAAATGGTGTGTGGAAAGCGGTTGCGCATTTACGGGTCATTACTCGTCCATCCCCAGATGAAAGTGCCTGGTCCCGACCCATTGTCAAGCAACTTTGGACCTCGTATGCATCAGTTTTACTTGACGCATGGAATTTCATCGCTAACGAAGAAAAAAGGTTCTTGACTAATCTCCCCCTCCTCCACTTTCTCAAAAACCGCGATGCGTTTGCATCGCCAACACCTCTCTTGCTCGCCTCCGTGCTTTACATTTCTGCTCTACACCACACCTCTTCAGATTTGGCTTCAATAGAGACGGGGTACTTTGCCGCTACTTGTAGCGCTATTGCAGAGCTAGTTACCCCATCTTTGCAACCGTTTTCCCCACAGGCAATAGCGCGCAACGATGATGAACAGGATCTTTCTCCGCAATCCCAAACAAGTGTGGCATTCCACAACATCCTCGGTTTGATCATGGCCAGTCTTAGCTCCGAAGCATATATAGATGCCACGGGTATGTGGATTTCTATGGCATATCGCATTTGGCTTGATCATTGTCCGGTGGAAATGAATGCTACGATGCATGATTGGCATGGCCTATTTTCTGGTCTTCAGGTAAGCGGACCTAAGTATAGAGAGCTTACTGTTTTACCAAACTCAAGTGATTATAGGTGATTGATATCGAACACGCCTCAATGCATATGTCCTATCCACTGGTCCCGCGACATGCTCCTGCACCAGGAATCCAGCGACTTGATAGCCATCAGGGAAATGCATTCCAAGGTCTTGCAGAAATGATGCATTACGGGTTGAGCCATTTCGTTGGCCGAGGACTACCGACCATTTGGGCCTCTATCAACACAAATGAAACTGATATTGTTGCTGCTGTTCGAACTCCGTTTACTGAGAATGACTCTCAGGTCATTCGTCTTTGGGCACGAAAGCTTGATAACTGGTTGGTGCGGTACAGTGGCTCATCTCGTGAGTACATAATTCAGTGTATCACTGAAGGGCTTTGCTTACCGTGGACGTGTTCTAGAGCCCACACCATCTGACAGACAGGGGATTCTTATCTTACTGCAGTACCATCTACATAAGTTATATGTTCTGTCAATCTACCACCCAGCTCGTGGATTTGATCTCAGCTCGGCGGATATTAGTTCTATGGAAAGACATGAGTTACTTGTCTCGGCACGAGCCGTGTTAAGACTTCGACAAGATGATGCAAGTATATGGTCGAACTGGGATATGGTCGTGAGTCAGCCCGGAAACATCCCTACTCTATATTTTCTGATGAAAAAAAAAAGATGATTACCTGGGCAGCCATACTCCTCCTTCGAGGCGTTGAAGACGGCATGACCCACCAAGATGGTATGTTTCATTCAATTAAAGCAAAAGATCAATTTTAATTAGTATATCCAGACCTTCACTTAGTCCAATCGCACCTTCAGAGCCTTGATCGAACGAATCAATCCGCAGCAAGCATCCACACGGTGTTATTCCGTCGCCTCGAGTCTAGCATGCAAGCCATGCATACACCCCCAGATACCAGCGAATCATTAACGCTCCCCGGACCAATCGCAGATGAGTCATGGACTATCTTTGATCAGGAGATCATGGCCCTCGCAAATCCACCGTGGCTGTTTGATGAGCCTCCTCAGTTGTCACAGATGCAGAGACCATCTGTTCAGTATGACTTTACGCCACAGGCTCAATGGGACTGTGCCGAGCCGGATGCTGGGACCTTGCCATCTACTTTGAATCGAATCTTTGGCAATGACGGCAATGGTCAAATGGTAATTCATTGATGTAATACTCTCTGAGATATTGGGACCGAGAGTATACTGAGAATTATGTACTATTGTATTTACGAAGCAGCATACTATTTGCCCAGAATTCATTAACTGATACATCAGGTCACTTTTACCGCAGGCGTTCGCGATAAGTGCACATCAAAGGGGATCATATTATTTAATGATCTATGTGCTTTTTAGCTTAATTGAGATATGACCGATACTCAGAGCAGTAGTCACAATGTCCTCCAGTGGAAGCTATTTAGTTTGCTTCGGAAGGGTCAAGGGCGTACGCGGCAATACCAATAGCGGCAGCAATAGCCTTCTGGTCATTGCGCAAGGAGGCCTTGCAGTAAGGAAGAGCCTTCAGCGCAACGGCAGTGTAGAAGTGAGAGGTCTGGTCGTTGAGCTTGCTCAGGATGACCTGAAAGTCATTGCGGTTGTCCTTGTCGAACAGCTTAGCGTTGTCGGCAAAGGTGTTGTGCAACTCAGTGCCGGTGAGAGCGTTGGAGTGGAAAGCCTGGCACAGGACCATCTGGGCGGTATCGGCGAGGGGCTTGGTGGGCTGGTTCTCCTTCAAGTCGTCGCTCTCGGCGGTGACGGTGGTGTTGTAGGCGTTGATGACGTCCTATGAGATGAGTGAGCCTTTTTGTCAATCCGGGGTGTATATAAACGCGGGACTTACAGCAGCAGTGACTCCCTGGGTGCTGGCACTGAGGTGCTTAAGCTGGTTGAAGGTGTGCTTAAGACCGAGGTCGACCTGGTTCAAGTTGGCCTGGACGGCAGCGCCAATGTCGGTGGCATTGGAGGCAGCAGTGGCCGAGGCCGAGAACACCATACAAGCAGCGAAGAGGACGTTCTTGAATTGCATTATGAATATGTGATCGCAAAAGACTGGAATACACAGATTCAAAGGGAGATATCCTGGTTTAAATAGAGCTGCGAGACCCCTTGAAATTACTAGATGCCGGGCATTTAGTGGACCCTGCTTTGTCGAAATTGGGCTAAGCTCCTCGATCTAACTACGTCGTGCATGTTCTGATGTCGATCTTTACGATCATCGAAATTAAGATCTACACCGAGATTCTCCGATGTAAAACCCCTGCGATACGGTCATTTGAGAACAATGGCTACCAGCTCTAAAAGAGGTAAGTCCCCGACTCTTTTCCTTACACGCACATCAGTACTTCAAATTATAATGTTGTCCAAAGCCTTGTTATGATACGTTCTACTTAGAGGAAAAGCAAATATCGACCAGTGTCATCAGAATACTCAACGGTAGATGGGATCTTTCCACCCCAGTCTATCCATCTGGCCAAGTAGGTCAGCTTCGTAGCCTAGTGGAATGTGTAGATATAGAAGAATATGATCAAGCAATGTGTATCCCAAAATTTCTGTTACTATCGGACTTATACAAGAAATGATGATTTGGAGTCAATCCGTGACTCCAAATGTCATAACACCTTCCTATCGCATCAAAGAGCACAATAGTAGCCTGTTCGGTTCCGTGATAGGAGTATTGCACAGTGGATTTCAATAGCTGCAGCATAAATTACGGCCTCAAGAAAAAAAGGCGCGGACCCGCAGCGGAGCACAAGTTGGCGGGACTTGGAAATAATCATAAAAAGTATCAATCCATGTGGCTCTAGGGGGATTTTTCGTAATGATCAAGAGTCGTAATGATCAAGTGTCTATGTATGTTGCCTCAGAGGATTTTGAATGTTGTTATGCAACCCACTCGAAAAGTGTATGCTTCTGTACAGTCAATAGTTCACATTAGTCTATGGAGCATATGTGGGAACCGGAAACCTTTTCCATCAATATATGAACGTATCGATTCCTAGATCGATCGATCGGTCGCTGAGCTACATTTCGGCCATCTTTGTTTAATTGAAAGGAGGTGTATCGTCCTATGTATCATTTTGGATCCACGAAGTCATTTGATTCCCAAAAGCTGAACATGTGTTGAGTGTAGCTAATTCAGCGAATCTAACTCGGCGCCGTGGCCATGAAGATATTTGAGGAATTAGAAGATAATACCAAATCGACCAGCTGTTTTACCATTCTCCAAAAGCTCAATAGCCTTTTGAATGCCCGCAATGTTGTCAAAGGTGGCCATATGAGCCTCCCAAGGTACCATGCTCTGACTAAACTCGATGAGCTCACGCATTTGATGGGGTGTATGACTGCTGGCACCTATAATCCGATATTTTCCCAGGAGAATATCGAGCGCATCGATTGAGAGACTTTGTTTGGTAATACCGTTCACCATTAGAATACCATTGGTTGCATTAATATGTATTGTCCACTGGACTTGGTCCCCGATAGAATGCCAGCGAAGCATTTACTTACATCAAGCCTGGCTACGCTTAGTTTATCTGAAATCATCCTACGCCGCATGCTTCAATAAGTTAAAAACCCTGGCCGATAACCATGTTTTCCACCCCCAATTTTGGTCATCGTTGACTGGCCAGTGTCTCTCAGACATGACAGATGCTTTCGATGAGATTGACTATCTGGACTTGTCTGAACAGCTGCTATGTCCGTCCCCGGCGCTGTTAATCCTCATGCTGAACTATCACCTACAGCCCGCTTTTCCGGGTGACCGCGAATAGAACAAGATGAACTCATGGTCACTACATAAGTGTTGGAACGTGCTTCGCAAACTAAGGGAAACTCCTGATTTAGCTGCTCGCATGACTCAGGCTTCGAAAACCCAACCTGCGACGAGCTGTGAGACAGAGATTCATTCTTCGATCCATTATGGAAACACTATGCATTTAGCGAAGGACCAAGCAGGAACTATGTTGATGAAATACATCGTAGTCAATCTTCATTTTATGTAATTTTCTAAATACCCAAAGATAGCATATTTCTTAAAGCCTACGCACAGTAAATCTCAATTTGAAAGTTTCCAAGCCTCTGTGGAATGTCTTCATCATAGAATCGGCTCCAGCCCACTTCTCCATCCAAGCCTCGACTTCCCACTTCGTCCCCGTTTCCTCCCCAACTTGCTCCCAAAGCTTCTTCCATGTAGCAGGATCATGACGGTAGTGCTGCCCAGCTTCATGTTTCTGTTCAGGAGGAGGCGGATCAACACGACCAACCTGTCTTCCAATCAACAGAGACCCGGGCTTGTCCTGTAGCAACCCGATAAGCCGCTTTGCGATGGTGACTTGCTTGTCCCAGTCAAAGAGATGGAAAAATGAAGCGGCATTGACAATGTCAATTCTGTTGGTTAGTTTCTTTACCAAGTCCGAGTTATCGTCGAAGATGTCTGCCATTATAAAGTTGGACTTGAGGGTGTCGTGGTCGTTGAATAGATCGTAGCCTATGTCGAAGAAGTCTCGGCGGAGGTCTGATGCATAGAGATTATCTGATGGAACGCCATCGAAAACCTGGTTGGCCTATTAGCACAACGTTGTTTATCGAGTTGTCGTTGGTATGGAGGATTCTCACCAGTTGACGCAGTTCTTGCCCAACAGCACATCCGACATCCAACAACTTTTCGCCAGATTTCAGCCGCTCAAGGATCTCGGCATACAGTGGTGATTGCTTTACAGACATATCCAAGAACCGGAATGCCCCTATGCATGGATAGGGAAACTAGACGTTGTTCAGCAATTCGTAAGTTACTCCGAATACACCAAATAGCAAGCGGCCATGGCCATGGCGTGGAGAAGAGCACGAACTTACCACAGCAAAGGCTCTATCTCTCTAGAAAAGTGAAGACGTATTAAGATCAGCTTCAAAAGAAGACTGGAAGAGCCACATACCACTTTCTTTACATGGTCAAGCACTTCCTCGCTTGGGATCCTGCTCTCGAGGATCTTCTTCGCTGGTTGCGGAACCTCTGCGAGATCAGGCTCGTACCAAGGGAATTCCCGGGGATTGAAGCCTCCATCCAGGATGGATTTGAGGTCTTGTTCTGCTTTAGCCATGATGCGGGGCAGGATCGTCGACGATTGCGGAGTGTAGCTATGCTGCGGCGGACGGTTTCTATACGATAGAGCTTTGCAATCCAAATAAAACGCCTCTTTCAAGCAATACAGCAAACAATGGAAGCAACAGAATCACATTGCCCGGTTCAGAAGTGCATTGGTAATTTGCTGACGAGGCCGTGTGGATCCCAGGGCTGTGGGGATAACGACCTCCCGGTCCCGGCTTGTTTACATGTATAGCTTTCTATCTTTTGCATATAGTCTCACCATATGAACAGGATGCAATAAGCTTAAATGCAACCTGGGATTTGAAGTCACATATACGACGTACTGTGCTAGTACCATTACCTAAAGAGCCCGGTGTGCACCGTACATAGCTACCGGAAAACGTAATTATCCTATCTTGGGAAATCCTTTCCCATTGTGGACCCAGGAATGCGATATATGCAAATAGACCCTTATAGCTAAATGATATTCTCAAATGTCGGTGCCAGAGTCAGATGCCCCAAAGGTAGTCTGCTCTCAGGCATTGCCCCAAGGTATCCATGTGCCAGGAGAGTCATTCCCAATCTCACATCTAGGGTAGCCCGCTCCGGCAAAACTCCAACTGGAATCCTCACAATAAGCATAGGGAATATGGATACTTCAAAAAGCAAGAATACAAGCCCTTAGTGGTAAGTATCCAAATTCTCCTCCTAGAGTCCTAGAGGCTCTAACTTTATCTAAAGTGATACTGCCCTTGATGTAGATAAGGCGATAGACTATATGTGAGGATCTTGAGGAGCAGAGCCTAGAGCAGAAGGCTTGTGGTACATTCTTTTGCCTGAAAGAGAAATTTTCGTCTAGTCTTACACAAAATATAAATATCAGCGGGGCACAGCGCATCAGTGGGACAATGAGGACCCACTCATGAGCTCACCAGCCAGTTTGAAGCTGAGGAACAAGCCTTGTAGATGGAGAGGCGTCAAGGTAGAACATCCGGCTTGGGCAATTATCTTTCTGCTTTCGCTTTCGTATTGTATGATATAAAGATAGATATGAGGAAGAAGAGAAGAAAAAAAGCAACATATACTAGGCCTGGAAAGAGGGGCCTTTTATAAATGGTGAATGTTCTGATATCCACCAAGACGCTATAGCTATAGTTATAATCAACTTTGGTCAGAGACTATACTCAAAACTAGCCAGCCACGCAGTAGAGATGTGTTGATAATAAATATTCTTCTGTCAATGAGAGTGGGGATTGGACACAGAAACTATTCAATACCGTACAGGACTTAGAACCAGGGAGTACTTCAGTATGTAGTGCTAGAAGCTCTTTTACATGGAAACATAAAAAATAACAAGATGTAATACTCTTCAATTCATATCAGGGGGTATAATGTACAACAAAATCGCTCATAATATCATACAGGCAAGTGACGCATGGCAAAAAGCCATGAGCACTACCTAAAGCAAACAAAAGTATGCACACGGTAATGTATGCTCCAGTGCTAATTAGTCGCGGGCGTTCGTATGATCGGGCTCAAAGGGTGAAAGAGGCCTCGGTGAGGCTTTAGATAGATCTTGGGTCTCTAGACCCACTGAGGAAGGCGATAATGAGAGGGCAGGGAAGGGTTCGGTTTGGTTGGGTACTTCTTGCCCGGAGGAATCACTGAGCCTTCGTAATTTGGGGATGGACTGTTTATCCGCGTCTTGTGGCAGGAGGCTTGTGTTGGTGGGTTTGGTAGCTGGCTGAATCTGTGACTTGGTCAGCTTGACGTTGTGTTGGCAGTAAAGGGTGCAATGTCTCGTACCATATCACCTGCTCCCGAATCGAGACCTCGGTTCAAAGCTAGCTCTTGTGCGGCGAGCCTTCTCCTCTCAATGACCGCTTCTTCTTCCAGCGCAGCCCGCTGATCTTCTGTTTTAAGATCTGCCATCGATGGTGTATCAACTGGTTCAGTAATCTGAGCACCAGATGAGCTCGAAAATCTCTTCGTGCGGCGTTTGTTTTTCCGTTTGTTCTTTTTAGACGATGCACCACCCAGGCTAGATGCAGAACCAGACTTCGTGAACTCGGATTTCGTCCCAGACTGATCATCTGACTCCAAACCCGTTCCTCGCCGTGTGAATGTAATTGCAAATTCGTCGTCAAGGGGTACAGCATCCTCCTCCTCATCACTAGGGAATAGATCACCACGCGAACTGAGGGAATTTGATGTCCCACGGGATGATTGCGTCGCACTGCGATTCCTTCCCGCTGGAGTGGGGGATAGCTGAGCCTCATTATCCATAGCTTCCATCAAAGGTTCATCCTCATGTGCATATCGCCGGGTGCCCGGGTGTTCCTGAAGATCAGCAGCGGAAGGCCGATACTTGACTCCGCGAGCGCCGAACCTCCACGGAAAGCGCTCAAGAAACCCGATAAATGACGAGCTTGGAATAACAGTCGGATCATTATGGTTATCGGGAATATGCACAGTACTCCGTCGCCGCGTGTTCCGAGTCCCATAGCTCATCCTCCTCGGCCGGTGCGGTTGCTCTGCACTTCCGCGCGCCAGGCCGCTACCAGCAAGGAGCCTGTCGAGCTCACCAGTTCCCCATCCAAGTAAGCCGTCATCCTCTTCCTCGTTCTCCCAATCGTCGTAGAAATCAAAGTTAGCCTCGGCTCGGCCGCGTCGTCTCCGCCTGAGGTGGTCTTCCCGGCTCGGCAGGCAAGGGGCTGTGCATGCGTTTACGCAGCTTCCAATCGATTCAAAACATGGCGAGATATAGTTGTGCGAGAATGCGTAGAGCCCTTCCTGTGCTGTCTCGTTGGCGGACTCGAGGTTATGAGAGATCTGGTTGATCCGTTGTCTAATGCGGGGGTCACGCGGTCGCATCATGACGGGCAAGGAGATGGAGAATTGGTGATTTGATCAAATTTCAATTTACTCCCCGGCTGTCGCCGGCGACATTAACAAAGTCAAAGACTGAAGTGAAGTTGGACCGCAACCGATGTCATCTCCTGTTAGTCAGCCGACACGTGAGATACCGATCTGGGGTAATTTTTGATGATCGCAAATGTGCAAAGCGTGAGGGAAGAGAGATATTGGGGGCTTTTTGTCATGGTCTACTACGTTCAATTCTTAAAGACCCCGAGGGTTCAGCAGAAAAAAGGCACACTTTTTATTACCGCGCTTATTTGCATCACTACAGACCTGGGAGATGATTTTCTCGCCGAAGATGTTGAATTACTTGTTTCTTCAACCCACAAATCTCCAGGAATCGAACAAAAAGTTACATGGAATGCCGGAAATCGTGAACTGGCCATCAACTTGGGGCCCCTCCCTTCAGCTTGGGTTCAGCAATCCATGGAGCTGAGCGCCAAACTTCAGCCCGAGGCCACTGGGGATAAACCGCTAGTGCCATTAGTTATGGCTGCCACAAGTGCACCATTTGGGCTCAAGTTGCCTGCGGAAAAGCTGGTTCGCAGAGATGGACCTATCAAGGGCTTGAGTATCTGGGAGGAAACTGGAAATAGCATTGCGCGACACATATGGTAAGCTATATATCTCTATGGGTTTTTTTGCATTTCGGTTTCTAACCAAGGATGTTCCTAGGGACGCGGGCCTCGCATCAGTGATATACTTGCAGAAGACCCTGGATGATATGAAAGCAACAAATGGCAAGCAAAAACACAAACAAAGCCAGTCAACAATACCCGCCTTGACTAGACTTTTATCAACTCTTCGCAGCTCACCCCTCCAAGTGGTTGAATTAGGGGCAGGATGTGGGATAGTAGGCATTGCCTTGGCAAGCATGCTGCCCAACTGCTCAGTCTTACTCACGGACCTCCCCGAGGTCGAGTCGATAATAACACGAAACATTGAAGAGGCTCAGACGGCGCCACAATCCAGTGTTGAATATCAAAACCTCGACTGGGACAGCCCCCCAGATGACCTCTGCAGCCGGCCCATTGAATTAATACTGGTATCGGATTGCACCTACAACGCAGATAGCTTACCCGCACTAGTCAATGTGCTTGACCGATTGGTTCGGACATCCCCGAATGCAATTATCCTGGTGGCTTTGAAAAGACGACACGACAGCGAGACTGCCTTTTTTGATCTGATGGGGTCTGCAGGGTTTACAGCTGTGAAGGATAGCATGCAGCTCCCCTCGCAGCATGACCAGGTAGATGAGATCCAGTTTTATTGCTACAGTCGCACAACAGAAGGCAAGGAATAAAAATGCAGGTCATATATAAAGTGATGTACCTGACTGTTGGAACAAAGCTGAGAGGCCCGTCTTTTCCTGGTCCGTGCGCACACCCAGAACTACCGGTGGACACGTAAATACAGAATAGCTGCCTAACTTGGTACGTGCCTGCATGTCCAACATGTATGTAGGATATAACTAGCTGTTTCTACTTGCATATACAAGTTACACAGTAGCTAACGTTATGTGACTCAAGTACATGTATATAGCTCATACTGTAAGCCCACAGCCAGCCACCCCGAGGCACAGGTACATATAAGACTCATTGTGACCGTGGGTACCTATACATGCACCTATTGACGCTAGACAGCCAGTCGCGTCACAGGAATGATCAAATTAGGGCAATCCGATGCCACTCACACCGCATGTTGGCAATTTGAATTCAGTATTCCCGGGCACAAGGCGGGATATGGTCCGCGCCTCATGCATCATGCACATTTAGCGACGTATAGGAAAGCTGCACTAGCAAGAAAAATGGATCGAGGACTCTGTAAGGTCCCAAAAATAACGCAGTTGATGGATTTCTTGGTGTCAAGTTTTTTCATACTAAGACCCCTTCGGGTGATGCCGTAAGCATCTGGTTTTCCCCCCACAGAGTCGTCATCTTTCCTCTCTTCTTCCCATCTCCCTCATTTTGGGTCCTCAAACAACTCGTTACCAGGTGAGTCTTTTTTCTATTGCTTTTGTGTGATGCTGGCGCGTGACTGTTGCGGTATTTTTTGTTCCAATGGTCGTGTGCCCTAAGCTCACTGCGCCCCTCCAAAATTCTCCAAATTTTAAAAATCTGAACCCTCGGATGTCCTCTCACACGTCCACTTTTCTCCCTCATATTTATTTCAATACTGGAATTCCTCTGTCCAGCTGGGCTAACTGGTCGCTTTTTCTCTTTCAGATTTGGTCCATTTTATAGCTCGACCCTGCCTTTGGAACCACCAAAGGCAACCGGTCATCACGGCTCCAGCCTCTCGTCAGCTTCTTAGCCAAATTGTCTCCACTCGACGTCAACGCGACACTCTTAACAACATTCCACCTCCTGCTTGCGGTTTCTAGACTCTCGTCCGGTGCGCCTTTTTTCGTCCCGTTGACGCCCCACGAGATTATTCCCTCGTTCTCTGAGCTGCCGCATAGGACTTCTTCGAAGGTTCTTCCTCTTCAGGGGGAAGGGTCTAGGAGGCTTGGTCCAGTCAACTTCGGTTGTGACACATTTCGTCCTCCCTAACGCGCAGTCGCCTGCCGGTTTAAATACTTTTTTTTCTTCTATCTTTTTATCTCATCAATCGTGCTGAGTCGCAGCTGCACGGTTATGGCACCGACTGCGTGTGTATCGACTGCTGAATTATGCACTGTCAAAAAAGACTACACCAATAGTCTGGACCTGCAGGGTCCCATCAGCAGTTATGGAGAGGACAATCTGTTGCAATCTTCCTTGACCGCCAAGGAATTGGTCCTAGATGTGTTGAAGAAGCGGGCCACTGAGGTGGATGTGGACCACTGTGGTCCTGGTGAGGAGGATGCTTTCTACGTTGCAGATATGGGGGAGGTGTACCGCCAGCATATGCGCTGGAAGATGAATTTGGGCCGTATCAAGCCATTCTACGGTGAGTCTACTTCACTGGAATGCCAAATCTCGAGCTTTGCTAACAATATCTTCAGCTGTCAAGTGCAACCCGGACCCCGAGGTTCTGCGCCTCATGGCCCAGCTTGGAAACGGTTTCGACTGTGCCTCCAAGTCGGAGATCGATCTAGCCCTTCAGACGGGCATCGATCCTAGCCGCATTATCTATGCGCAGCCCTGCAAGACCAAGTCCTACTTGCGCTTCGCCGCCGAGGTTGGCGTCAAGCAGATGACTTTCGACAACGCCGACGAGCTTTACAAGATCAAGGCCACCTTCCCCGATGCGGAGCTGTACCTGCGTATCCTGACTGATGACTCAACCAGCCTGTGCCGGCTGAGCATGAAATTTGGTGCTTCCATGGACATGGCTCGCCCGCTGCTCGAGCTGGCCCACCAGCTGGAGCTCAAGGTTGTCGGTGTGAGCTTCCACGCCGGTTCCGGCGCCGAAGATCCTTCGGCATTCCTCAAGGCTGTCACGGATGCGCGCATGGTCTTTGATCAGGCGGGAGAAGTGGGCCACGAGCTCCACACCTTGGACGTTGGCGGTGGATTTTGCCAGGACAGTTTCGAGAAGTTTGCGGGCATTCTAGGCGAAGCCGTAGACACCTACTTCCCGCCGCACATCCGTGTCATTGCCGAGCCAGGCCGTTACTACGTAGCCACCGCCTATACCCTGGCCGCTAATGTCATCGCGCGGCGCGACATTCCGGACCCCACGGACCCATCCCGCGACGCATACATGCTGTACCTGAACGACGGTGTCTATGGTAACTTCTCGAACATCATCTTCGACCACCAGCACCCAATCGCCCAGGTCCTGACCTGCGCCTCAGAGCCCGGCACTCCGAACTCTGCGACTTCGGAGAAGATCACCTACTCCATCTGGGGCCCGACCTGCGACGGCATCGATGTCATCAGCGAGAAGATCGACCTCCCTGGTCTGCTTAACACTGGTGACTGGCTCTATTTCGAGGAAATGGGTGCCTACACGAAGTGCAGTGCTACTCGCTTCAACGGATTCTCCGACAACCACGAGGTGATTTACATCTCAAGCGAGACTGGCGCTTCGGCCCTACTCAACTACTAGTTTGATTTGGATCTTCTTTTCTTTTTAAAACATTGCGCATTTTGTCCTTTTGCTTTGAAAATATTTTCGTTTTGACTCTACCCAGTGATTAGAGTAATATAGTTATATCGTGCGTTCTGCATCATATTCTGCACCAGTTCCTTCTTTAGATTCTAAAATACAATAGAGCGGTTTTTCTGCATCGTTTTCAAGAGTCTCGCTATCATTTGCTGTCATGGTGTTCTAGGTAAATGTCTTGCATGTCAAAAATTGCCATTCACAGGGTATTTGCCTACACTTTGGTCAAATGGGGAAACACGAATGAAAGAGCTAATCCATATTTTTCTATCAGGTCTCGGATTACCATGAAGCTGTTCAATACTGGTTACTTTTATGGGTTGATATCTATTATACCGCTTTGAGACACCCACCGGTCTTCATACCGCTTTTGAACTACGAGGACTTAGTTTGAATGGTAGCATGAAATTGAGCCTGGCCATAATGTCTAGACCCCAAGGAGCTTGGTAGTATCCGAAGTATGAGAGAATCTCCACAACTAAAGATAATTAACGCTGTTGAGAGTAGTGAGAAAACCGGAGTGAAAATGCGATATTTCTGCCATTTCCTGCCGGCAGAATAATTGCGCAAAAGTGGAGTTTCCCAATGCCCCTCACTATCCAGTCTTCATCCCGCCAACCCATCGGAGAAACAGACATATCCAAAATGGCGATCCCAATCACAATTGTCACAGGTTTTCTTGGCTCAGGAAAAACAGTACGTGATCCGTCACAGCACCAATGACACTCCCAACTAACCTAAACCTCCCAGACAATCCTCCTCAACCTAATCCCCCAACTGCCTAGCACATACCGACTAGCCCTCCTAAAAAACGAATTCGGCGATGTGGCAGTGGACAGCCAACTAGCCTCAACAAGCAGCATAAGCGGCGTGAAAGAAATGCTAAATGGATGCATATGTTGCAACATGGTTGGCTCATTAGGCGACGCGCTCACGCAACTCCGCAATGAAGTCAAGCCCGATAGAATCGTCATCGAGACCAGCGGCAGCGCCTTCCCAGCCACGCTAGCAATGGAGGTCAACCGACTTGCGCGCGAAGAGGGCGGACATTTCGCGCTTGATGGTGTTATTAGCGTGATCGATGTTGAGAATTGGGAGGGGTATGAGGATACGTCGTTCACGGCAAAGCTACAGGCTAAGTATACTGATTTGATTATTTTCAATAAGTGGGAAAATGTGCCTGAAATGCGGTTTGATGTTTGCCTTGATCGCGTTGGTGATCTGGAGGTTCAGACGCCTTGGGTTAAGTCCATTAAGGGACGGATTGATAAGGATGTTTTGCTTGGGATTGATGGGGCGCTGTTTAAGGGGTTGAGTGAGGAGAAAGATGGGAGTCATGAGCATGAGCATGAACATAAGCATGATCATCAGTCGGAGGTTGAGGTGCTCTCTGCGACTTTGAAGGCTGCTTCTGAGGGGGCGACTGTTGATGTTGCTGCTCTTGAGCAGTTTCTTTCTTCTGCGCCGAGGGATGAGATTTATCGCATTAAGGGTATTCTTCGGTGCTCGAAGCAGGATTTGCCCGCTGAGACTTCGGATGATCTTGCTTCTAAGCCGAAGTCCGAGGAGTCTGGTGTACAGTACTACATTCTCAACTGGGCGTTTGGAAGATGGACTTGCACGCCTTCAATTGTTGTTGCGGAGGGTGCTGATCCGACTGTCGTTGGCCGCATTACATTGATTCTGGCCCGATATGAGTCTGCCAAGTGGAAGAAGAAGCTGAATGCTGGTGGCCTGGTTCAGGCTAGTGAGGGAGACGGTGTGGAGTTGACCGTGGAGCGTTTGGCATAGATGAGGAACCGGTTTCCTGTATAGATTTAAAGTGGTTTGTGATACCTTGTGAATGATAGAGCATGATAGATGTCCGATATTTGAGATGCAATTTTCTACCTGATACTACGCAACAGCTTCCATATTAGTTCGAGCAAGTTTCACTAATTCCTGAACTGCTTAGGATAAGGTCAATTCAATATCTCAGGCTATTGAATTAGTTGTAGATAGTAGCTTGCAAACCAAGAATTATCTCAAGATTTTTAGGCTTGTACGTATACTTACTTCCCTTTTGTAGAAACCTTCACATCGCGGTTACGGCGCTGCTGCTGCATCTGTCGGAGATGGCTATTCATCATCGATGGTGTTTTCACTACTCCCATGGCCCTACTTGGCTTCCTTAATTTCCCTAATATTCCCGGGTCCCCGAAGCCGTTCTATCTGAAAGACAAATACATTGTCTTGGCGAAGGAGAGAACAGAAAGAAAGGGCCAAGATCCGCAGACCCGGAAAGATGAGTCTTGATGGTTTCAAGAGGACTTTCAAGCGATGGCATATTTGGCTCTTTTGTCGGTTGCCACATGTAAGTCTCTATATTGCCAGTAGCTTTTGACATTCTGTTTATTCTCGACATTCGTCGTGGTAGTTTGGAACGTGCCTACCAGACTAAACTCAGTCATTTCCTGCGCTGCACTTATTCATAAGGCTTTTAGTGACATCTTCAGTCTCATCGCATGGTACTTCCTAGGAGTTGGATGCTTGAGTCCTATATTGTATTCAACTAACAACACGCTTGTCAAGGATGATTCAGAAGAACGAGCACTGAACATAGTATGTTATCTTTATGCCTTTAGATCAGTCTCAATGCTCACACTCAATCTCGTACAACAAGGCGCTATGATGTCAGTGGGCTATTTACTCAACATTTGGGTTCCAATATTGCATTCCAAACAGCCTGTCTGAACGGTGCATCAAGATGGCGACACGGACGGCCGGTTTCCTTCATCTTCTACTACCTATTATGGGCTGATTTTGTTCTCGCTATTGTCATACACCGAAGATTGCTTGTTTTATTTGAAACATGGACTAGAGCTAACTTCAAAATGAAGGCAACAGAAGAAAGAAACCTCGGAATGGTCTCAGGATAGCGGTGATGAAGACAAGGAGACGGTGGTAGTTTATGCTGCCCCAACATTGAAGACTTGGCTGTTCACGATATATATTTCTCGCATTATCATCGGAGTGAAGCATCACAATCTTACGCCACAAAAGAACTTATATATCCTTCCGACACTCAGCATTCATATTAGCCGCCTCCTTTTGGTTGATCCAAGTATCAATGTTCCTAGTCATCCGAACGAAATGCGGGTCCATAAATCGCGCATACAATTCAGCCACCAGTAATACCCCAGTGCCACAAATAGCACCAGATACAACCACTGCTGTCAAAAGTGAATTGAATCTCTCGGCTGCCTTCAAGTGACCAGGGTATGGGCGATTCTCCAAGGACCACCACACACGATCCCGCAATGGTCTACGTATAACCTGATAAACCAACAAATGCCAAAGGTAAATCGGGAGAGATAATCGTCCGAGATGTTGGAAGACTCTCATGGAGAGAACTCGCTGGGCGCGGGAACTCTGCATGAGAACCGAGAAGAGAAGCACTGCTCCAACGGCGTTCCAGGTCTGTCGCGCATCGACCCAGCCCCAGCGAGACCAAATCTGAGGTTGTAGCAAGCCGAGAGAGCGATAATCAGCTGGATATTTGTCTTCTTCGCCGGATAGAGAGAACAGATAAACCCCCACAGCGAGACGCAGGACGTAACTTATGGATCCACCGAGGAATCGTCTGTAGTCTCTGGTGCGGTCGTGGTCGATGCTAATCTCAGCTAGGCCGAGCCCGGCCAGGAAGCAGAAGATGTCCCATCGACCGTATCTGAGGAAGTAGAGGACCATGATGCCCAACGAGTAGAATCGCATGCGTGGTTTCCATGCAGCCTGGACGAATATCACGAAATAGATAATGTAAGAGCCGCGGAGGTCAAACGGTATGGTCCACGTCTGCGCATTCATTCCTCTATTCCATTGGAATTCAATGATATGCAGATTGTCTGCCATGTACCCGCAGATATAGAGCAGATGGCGCCAGGGAGACGCCCATGGCTGCACCCAAGTGGCGAAGTCTTCTGCCAAAGCCCCTTTGAAAAGATCACAGTAAAAGGCTACTTGGCTAGATACAGCTAATGCAAACACAGGCAGCAAAAGGCGGAAAGGCCGGCGACAGATCGAGGACCGCAGACGATCTGCGAGCTGATCCGGTCGGCGTTCCCTAGTCTCGAGGAGAGATCTAGCAGATGAATAACCCGACATTACCATGAAGAGTAGGACCATTGCTTTCATGGACCATAGGAATTTGATTGGAGGAAGTTGGATGAGCCGTCGGTTTTCTTCAGGGGGCTCAGTCCCATAAGTGCGAAATGGCATCGGGATCTCACCGCAAAAGTAGTGATTGAATGCCACCACAAATGAGGCGATCCCTCGAAGGCCATCAACCCATTTTACGCGGCTCATGATGGGAGGCCGGGCTGTATGAGATGGAACTGTAGACATCATCCGGCAACAGCGCTTAGGAGGAGGGATGATCGGTGAGGGAGGATCAGGAACACAAACAAAGCAAATATAAGTAAGCTGCACGTCACAGAGACTGGCCCATTGCTAAGACTATAGGCTACAGATTAAAGGCCTTGCGTTTGTATGAAGACTGGCATGGAACCACTATCGTCGTAGGCATCCTTGTCCAGCGGGTATGTGAAAGTTTTATATAATTGGAGCAAAATCTGTTCTACCAATATATCAATCTGTGTAGGAATATTTTGTGGATTCAATTCTGTCAATTCAATTTCAATCATAGTTTTGTTGCCTTTTAGCACCGTCATCCAGCACGATTCTGTTCTCACTTCTTTTTAATCACATCAAACCCCTTCGGAGGAGACACAACCGTAGTCACAAAAATCACGATATGGACAAGATTCACCAATGGCCACAAAATGATTGAAATTATGACGTGCGATATCATTGACATCCACGACATATCTGTAACAGTGAGATCCTGCAGGATGCAAGAAGATATGAGAACATGCAGACATGACGCATCATTCAAAAACATGACATCTCTATACCAAGCTGGAACTGCCGGCTTGTATCCAATACTGCCCAGAATAGGGCTATCATGACTATCAGCATATGTTCCACATTTGACGAGGACGGATTCACCTACTAAATCAACATGCCTAGCCCAGCTAAGATCCCGAGGGTCAACACAATCCCCGCAATGGGCTTTTCGAAGAAGAAAATCCCTGTGAACCAGCGGCGCCGCTGTTTGCACAAATCTTTAAAAGTGCACGGTGGTTGCTCGCGGAAGATAGCGTGAAGCCATTCCGATTTGTAGCCACGAGCAGCAGCCTGCGATTGGCGTCAGTATAACCCTTGCATCTACATGCGTTTGATAAGCTCACATGGTATCCAAACCAGTAGTCCTCGCACACATTGTCTGTGTCCCAACCAATCGCATTCTCCACAGCGCCATTGATAAGGAGCCATGATCTATTCCTTGTCAACGCGAGTGTCATCTAAAGTAAGGGTTTTGCCGGTAAAGTATTCTCACCCATGTGTCCAGCCTACAAAGGGACGATTGAAGAGCAGCAGAGGTAGTTGGAATCTCCCATAGTCTTCAGTCACCCGCGCCACCTCTGCCGCAGATAGAAACATGTTTTTCCAGTGGTTGGCGGATGTGTAGTAAATCGTGCCCTATGAAAGTCTATTAGCCATGAATTTTCACGATTGCTAGAATCCTACCATTCCAAGGTCTGCCGTGCCTCGCTCGATGAAGTCCAACGTCGTCTGTAAGGCGCGGTCATCCATCTCCGACTCCTCGTCCAAATGCAGCACCCAGTCCTCTTTCGAGAATTTGTACTTCAATCGGAAGTACTCCTGTGCCCGGGCCTTATACTTGGCCTTCTTGACAGGGACATCTTTCGGTACCTGGTCAACTTTGATATACGATGGGAGTTGGGAAAATGAGTCAGAATTCTCGCTGTCCACAAGAACATGGAATTTGACCGAGGGGTGATCCCGTTGCTTCAGGTTACCCCAGCACTTGGTAGTATTGATTGCAGTTTGTACATTCGTACCCTTTGTCACAAGACAAACATAAAGGGTTCCCAGGCGCCGTGACTTTGCTCGTCGCGCAAACTTGTTTGGTTGCATGGGCAAACATAGGCCTAGGAGGTTTCCATGGGGTGGCATTTGTAGAAGCTGAAAAATTCCGGAGAGAACAACGTGGGTGATTGCGGATTTCGTCCAGCCATCTTCTGATACATCGACATAATAACCGAACCTGTTGGTGACATATTTTAGGCCTGGGCCAAGTTAGCTTGGTGCCATTGCTTGGTGTTGCAAAAATTTGAGGTACTGGAAGTAGCCTCACCATAGAATGTCAGAATGAACGTGAGGGGGAAGACAATATAATTGTATTCAAGGATTTTGTAGATCCGATTGGTGTGTCTCCATTGGGAACTTGGCCCATTAGCAAAGCCATTGATGGCAACCGTCATCCTGGGTGGGAAGAGAAATTTATTCAGAAGACCTGAATTCGTGCCCTCGAGGATTATATAGGGCGAAACCACGCCTCGACAGAAGATTTTCTAGCCCTAATGACGTTGTGTGGTCCCTTGCGGAACTTTATACACCTGTATCTCAATCGATCATTGGCCCAGTCTACAGTAGAAGCCAGTCACGATCGACACGTAGAGAGCGTGGAAGCTCCGCATAGCGCTTTTTTTCAGCTAGCAAAAACCTTTGTCGATCCGATAGTTCCTACGCCATACCGACCATTCCACATCGGTCATTGTCCTCTGTCGATCAAGTGACTATTGGTTTTAATGTGGGCCATCCCGTATCTCCATGCACGCTCATAATATCAGATCGAAGATCACACAGAGAGAGTGGCACTCTCGGCATTTGGCTGTGTACAGTAATTTGAACACGGGAAACGAGGAGACCTGGCCATTTTCAATATGGTAGAATATGGATGCATGGGTATGGATTTGGAGGGCTCGGGGACAAACCTTACGCTGTCGGTATCGGACAGCTGAAGACGTGTATGAAATTCTGCCTCCAATCTGAGTTAGCCGATATTCTGGAGGTGCAGATCTTGGCTAGGCCCGGGAGTATGGGTCCAGGACAGCCAATGGACGTCGTTTATTGCTTCCGAACAGTGGAACAAGATCCACCCAGATCTTACAACGATCGGGTTCAATGATCGGGTTCAATGATCGGGTTGGTGTCCCTGATTTGGTTGATTTGGTTGCTTACTGCATAGGAGGGGATCAGTCGAACTATAGTATCGGGCAGGTATCAGCCACAATACATACTGTCTGGGCTCATCCTGATCTGATCACTTCAAATATTGAGATGTACCCAGGTAACCCTCGCGAATTCTCGAAGCTGACTCGATTAATATCGGACATTCAATGCCAACATAGTAGACTTTGCTAGCCTTGGAACTTCAATTACATATTCCTGGCAGTATTGTACTGTGCTAAGCCATGCAGTCATCTATCAGATTTATGTTTCACAGAGTCAGTGTGGGTCACAACAGCCCGGCCGGGCTAGCTCAATCGGTAGAGCGTAAGACTCTTAATCTTAAGGCTGCGGGTTCGACCCCCGCGTTCGGCTATTCCTAAACACCGTCCTCGAGTGAGCATTTCTTTTTTTGCGCATCTTTTCTGATTTCCTCGAGCCAAGTTCTGGTACTCGATTACGTTAGTTCTGGTGCCCCGGGACGTAAAGCAATACAAGAACAACAATTGGTGTGGTCATATGCAGTTGAAATCAGTTTCAGCGCTTTGCTCCCATAAACCCCTTCTCGAACACTATTACAAACACGCTAACTTGGCTCGGGTTCAAGTATTGAATCGTATTGAAAGACATTAGCACGTCTCAATTACTTGTGATACTGTTGCAGAAAATACTGGCGTCTCGCTGGCATCTCGCTTGCCCTGGGATCGCTCCTTGACGACTCTGTTGCCCTCAAACTCTCTGGCAGCGTTGTTTGCTGAAGTGGTCAAGGCTATTTCCTTCCTGTAGTGCGTATCAATTCAAACTACGATGGGAAAGATTGATTTGGGAAGTATTATGAAAGCTATGATTGCTATGCTATGTAAACATGTCATCTTCCAGTGTTCAATTGATATGTTGACCGGTCGAAAACTTGTAGTAGATGTAGACGAAGATCCCTTCGCCTACGGCTCTTCCTCGTAAGGGGACTGCCGAGGTGGTCTTGCGCTCTTTTGCGTTTTCCCGCTCAACGGATGCCTTGTTGCTTGGTCGCTTCATCGATCACCTTTCTAGGTATTGCGACAGATGGAATCAACACATGACTGGATAGAAAATCTTGCCCTTTGTTCTTTCACTTACGCGTGCAACGAAATGGCTAGTAACCATATTAAGAATATGGTAGCCAGGGTTTTGCGCGGCTCTCCTGCAAGATGTATAAACCCAAAGTAATCATGATGCCTTTGCCGTATCATTGATCCCCCCTAAACCGAGGCGAAACAATCAACATAAATATTTCCTGTATCAAGATCTTTTTTTCCCGAGAGTCGAAAACATTGCTGCTCTTCGCTGTGGAGAAAGACCTCGTCGGTGTCCATTCTCAAGTTCCTGCAGCGGCTGGCGTCTTGTGAGACGATTGAATCTACGCTTTATATTGTCCTCCAGCTATATGTTTTGTTAACAACAGACAGATTCAAAAGGGATTTCAGACTAACATCACTGTTGTGCTTGAAAATCAACCATACGACCAGCGTCAACGATGTAGTAGCCACAGCAGAAAGAATATAAAACCACCAAGGTGGGTTGGACGCCAAGATATCGATGTTCATACCACAAAGACTCTGTATCCACACTAGGCATTTTTCTTGCACGGCGACAACCTGAGATTTATACCGCGATGAAAATTAGTGGGAGAAAAACAAACTGGCAACACAACTCGTCAGCAACTGATGCGGTCGACACAGCCAGGTAGGTCTTTCGACCTCCCGTAATCCAACTAAGGCGCTTCATGCTCTTGTTTTTCGACGCTGACTTTTGTGCTTCTGAGATTGACGTAAGATTGAACTCCTGTCACAAGTCAGTCGATATAATTCTTAGAGCTGTAATGAATTATTGATACTAATTGAATAAGATCCTTGGAAGTTTCCATAAGGGCATTTAACCCTTCTTAATAAACCTCTTCTAGTCAATTGATTTGATCTTGAAATATCCCCATGGCTTTATTCACCTCTTCGCTTCCCGTCGTTTTGTTGTCACGGACAGCCAATGTCTGACTCGAGTTCGTACTTGTTCCGAAATGCCATGAGCTCGGCAATTTGCTTGTTGCAGCTCCTTCTCAGCAGATCCCACAGTTGTGCATCACCCAGCAGGTCTCGAATTAAGCCCGGGTTTCTTCTATTCGCTCTTAGCAACTCCGTACGCTGTTTAATGGTTAATTGGAGCCTTATCGCGAACCAAGTTTCCCTCACCTTTATTGCCAAGCGAGTTTCCGTCGCCTGAATGGTGCGATCCCACTCTTGTAGGATTTGCTAAACCAGGGGAGCGACAAGATCAGTGGCGCGAGGAGGCACTTGTGCGTATTCGGAGGTGCTGAAACATATTTTGGATTCCAGAGCACTCTCCGAGGCCGTCATGTCCTCACGCTTGGTCATGATCCATAGGATACCAAAAGTCTTTTCGAATCCTCGTATATCCAACTCGGAGGTATCGGAAAATCTAGGCCAGTTATAGTTGGGAGAGATAGGCAGTGCAATTGCACGAGTAGTGAAGCGGCATTCAACAAAGACTTTATGTATTAATAAAGCGACCTCGCCCGACTTTGGAGCTATTCTCACTCCCATCGAAGATTAAAACTCTATTCGATGGTCAAGCATTTTCATCAGGAACGATCATTTATCGACGCAACGATGGAGGTGTCGCCCGACTTTGCATTTCCCTTACCGGGGGTCTTCCCTTCTAAGAACTTCTCCAACTTACCCTTCAGGGTCGTCGGCCAGGAGGCACTCGGAGTTAATGCTACGTCCTCTTCAGTGTCCCGTGAGAGTACTTTCTTATTCACCGTGACTTTCCACTCTTTCGTAGATCCAGCGGATCTAACGTCAGCCTGATCACGACCAGTCAATTCAGCAGACGTTAGTCCCGTATCAACAGGCTAAGTATGTTACAAGAAGCAAAGAAACATTAGCCACTAGTACTGTCTCTATACCACTCGCTCGTTCGCTGTGGTTGGCAGAATTGGAATTCGAACTCCTGCCCCGTCTCCAAATGAGCAGGCATGCCTCTGTTTGACTTGTTTGCTGAGTCGACGTTCTAGAACCCTTGGAGATCTTACGAGTCTAATACAGAAGCTATCTGAAGCTGTTATTTACGACTGTGCTGGAATACTGCCATGAAAGGGGTTCAGGAACAGAGTACCCTGGTTGGGTATAGCGTGTTTCGAAAGATGGTTCGAGAAAGAATCGCTGTGAGGAAATGGTGAAATTGATTTCGATTTATCCTGTACTCTGAGCAAGACGAGCACGAAATATATTATTTAACAGCGGCTTGAATTGAAGGGGCGAAATCCATACTGACTTTCTTCAGAGGATCATGTAGAGTGCAAATTATTATAGGTACTGTAACGACTACTGGATTGTTCTTTGCACGGCACAAGGAAAGGATGATCAATTTATACTAACTCTTCAAATATCTAATATTGATGATTTTTTCCAGCTAACGAGCGAAACAGATCGGAAGCATATAACACACAACAAGACGTGGAGATCCCCAGTGGGTAAGAGCACAAGAGACTATTTCGTTCAGCTAATTGAGTTCTGTCGTCCATCAACTTTGCCAGACTGTCCAGACCTGGGCTTGGACGATACTCCACAATATTGTCTTGACGTAACATGACTTCCCATCATTAGTCACTTATCCGACGGTATAGATTATATCGAGGTCCTGATCACGGAGAACACTGATTGTTCATTCAGATCCGGCGCTTTGGATTTGATGCTTTGTCCGATTACACGTTCGGGGTAGGCATTTTGCGGGGGTATTAATCACTTGAGGCCAGTATCTTAGTTGCTTGACTTGGATCACATTCTTGTCAAACTTTCAAAAGCATTTCTGTACAATAATGCGGTTCTGCGACTCAAGACTCATAATCTGTCTGTATTGTGCGTGAATATGGGAAACAAACGCTGCGAAAGTCTTTTGTGAAATCTAATTGTACACTGGAAATGAATGAAAGAGGATCCCGTCCCCAATAATATGAAGTGGGCGACTCCAAGGCCGCAAAGAAACTGACTCAAACTTCTCCAGTCAATGGAGAGTTGAATTCCGCAACGCCAATGATATATATCGCAAGTGTTTAATGCGTCTTTCGTGGTCGCGTAGTGCTCATGTGGTTCTCTCGTAGGAAGTCGCAGACCCGCTCGTTGTCCATTGTGTCGATGCATTCGTGCTCCTCGGATGTCAAGGTAACCTCTGTAGATAGCCATCTAGCGTCAATATTTACTCATTTTTGATCTCATTGGAAGGAAGTGCGAACCTCCTGATGTCGACTCCTCGGGCTCTTTCTTTCCGTTCGTGAGCGCCTGGATCTGACCGCCAACAGTTTGCAATGCCTCTTGTGCGCGAGGAAGGGCATCATCCATCATCACCCCCTTCATAGTGGCAAGATTCTCCGATACGACAATACTAGCCGAGTTCCCAAACTGTGAAATTGAACTCCCGACACTTATGGAGTTAGACCGATGTTTCATGCCTGCAGAAGCACCTTGCTCAGATATATGGACAGCAGCGTCAGCCTCAGCCTGGGCTTCAACATTTTGCTCGCGGGACGCCCTTGAACTAGAGTGGGACGAGACAGAGTCACTAGCGGAGGTCATGGTAAAGTATCGCGGAGGTTTGGATTTGGGGTAAGTCGAGGAATTTGGGGGGAGACATGCGGAATGGTAGGGCTGAGCCTGACGCAGGGCTGATTTGGCAAATTGCGACCTGGACTGTACCTCTGAGGGGCTATGACATTTGCAAGTGGGGGAATCGACAGCTATCTTAGCAGGCAGCAGGCATTTCGACTGATCTCCGACCCTGTTTCGCCGTTTGACCACGTCGGCCAAGATGTTGAGGTTTGTTATTTGCTCGTCCCTGGAGATGACGTCGGTGGGTTCCACTTGGGGACGAAGTTGGTGATGATAGTCTGGCGATTGACGAAGATTCTCTTTTCCTAGCGGAGTGTGATCCTGAGACGATTTGTATCGGATTCTTGCTTTCCATTGGCTTTGCTTGTCTCTTGACCCCTGTAAGTGGTGTGGGAGGAATGCACAACGCGTGGGCAACTCCACTATAAATATCCGCGCCCTATGGGGATTTCCGATCTTAGCCATTTTTTATTTGCTTAGCACGGAGTATATCTTAGGCTCAATAATCTCCGCAACTAAATGTATCGAGGAGAGCATACTGCTCGTCTTGCTCTACACTACGTCAATTCCATTTTTTGCCTCTGAGTTCACAATGAAGTCAATCCAATGTCGGGGGCAACAATGCTGTCGCCCCCATGGATTATAAGAGGCAGAATAGTCTCACGGCTAGATTTCATGCCAATACGCCTTCCTCTAGTCCGCATAAATCCCCTTGCATCGGGTCTTAATATAAAAATGCGCTCTCGATCTCCTAGCATGTCTCGCTCCGCAAAGGACCTCCAGTTTAGCAGTGATGCCGAGTCCGACCATCCAGACCACAATACCGTTGACCATTCGAAGGTCACTAATCGTGGAGCGCCAGCTCGTCACAGTCGTCGTCAACGATCTGAGGTAAGGTTCGATGTATACCCCTGGTACGAACCAAGAGGAATACAAACTAAACCCGTACTATATAGTATCGATCTTGGAATCGATCTAGCAACATCCCACATACTTCGACTACCGGATCAAATGGTCGCTCGACATCCAGACATTGAAATAACCTTATTGATGACGCTATTCATCTATCCAACTTCAGATTGGGGTATGAATACAGCAAAATAATCGGTTCTTTATGCATCTCCATATTGGGGGAGGGAGTAGAGAAGAACACTTTGTGATAAGTCATGAGCGAGGAGAACACTACGCGAAGTGTTGACGGGTAACGAGGATTTACGGAGGCGTTTAATTCACCGGAAGATTTGTAACGCAGCATTTTTTATTGTCATATTAGTGAGGGAGTGATGGGTTGATTTATATAAGCCGTGGTAGTTTCCACACAGTGATTAAAAGATATTTGAAGCCAAAATGAAAATCAAAGAAAATCAAAAAATGTAAGACTAGAACCATCGAAAGGTTCGCTAGGCATTTGAACCAAGCCTGAAACTGGTGATTTCTCTTGAAATATGCTCCACCTAGGAGCACTGAGGAGGGTTGACCTCTGCAATATAAGTCAGTAATGATTCAAAGGTATGATATATGAACAAGCGTACTCACCGCAACGATAAGGCTTGTAACCCTCCTGAACCCACCATCCCTTGGAGTTCTGGTACCAGTCCCTTGGGCAATTTGTCAGTCCAAGTATCTCTATCAACCTAATCAAAGACTTACTGGTATTTGCACACAGGCTGGAACTTGTCGCCAACCTTGGACTCACCAACAATACCACTCGACATACAGGGATACTTGTGGTACGAGTATGGCTTCTTCACAACGCAATAGTCACGGTCATGTTCACGGTCATGGCCACGATCTCCGCCGTGGCCACCATGGCCACCGCCATTGCCTCTCTCCTCGAGGTCATCGGCTGGCTCTGCAGATGGGGCTGCCACTGCGACTTGCACAGCAATGGGGAGGAGAGCTGTCAAGATGTAAATTGGGGACTTCATTGTTGAAGGGGATTATTTGTTCCTTGAGGAAGTGTTGAAATTTGATACTGAAGAAGATGATTGAAAATTTATTCTTTGCTGATTGACTCACTTCGAACGGGGAATGCACGACCTTTATATAATAGTTTTGTGGCCGTCATTACGTCTTTCAATCGAACTAAGAAGACGTAATTGACCAAGCCCAGCTTGGCAAGAATATCATGAAGCCATCCTGTGATGTTGACAAAAGCGGTCTTGCTTCGTATTCAGGTCTAAACATTCCGTGAATCATGATCCCAGAGAGGCTGAGCTATCCCGGTCCGATGAACTAGTCTAGGTATGAACCATGGCATAAGTCCCTGGCTCCAAGCAGAAACAGACGAAATAGGAGAATCAAGTGCTTATAGTTTAACAAAGCTCTAACCATGTAAAGCTCAGTTCACAGATTTAGACTAAAAACACTATTTAGATTTTCATTCCGATACGAACTGCGGATCCCATGAACCAAATCGGTACGAACCATCGGGCCAGGTATGTTTTTCCACTGGATCTTGGTGATCTATAATTAATCGGAGCTGCCTCATTCGTGGTGGCGAGCACGGAAGCTTTGACCGACTCTGCGGTAGAAAGTCTAGATCTCCGACGGTAAATGCCAAGGCCAACTCATGATTTAGCGTCCGCTCGGAAACCCTTGGCGTTACGTCAATCATCTGAGCGGCCAAATTGATCGTCTTCTGATGACCCAGCACTTTGTTTCTGTCGCGGGTACCTAGTGACTTTATTCTACCAGTGTCATATAAGGGGGTTTAAGTCTGACGTCTAAGAAGCTCACACATAAAGCAAATACGATACCAACATGTGTAGAAGTACATGCGTCTTGGTACTAAATCTAGAGAGTTGCAATTCCCTTCCTCCCGGCGGAAACAACACTATTCTCCTTGCACTGCCTCTTGTTCTGTAGCATGTATGAGCACGCCAAGAGTTTCCGCAAAGTGGCAATCCTAAACTTATATTCCGCGAGAGCGAAAGCGAAAGGTTCAAGATCTCGGCGTATTGCGGATCGATCCGTGAATTCCACTTTAGAGGGACAACCGTGTATTTGCTACAAACGAAATTGGAAGTCCCGTACATGGGCAGTAAGATGGAAACATTATCCGCACCACCCCCCTATACCCTTAGTGAGTGTCAGAATGCCAAAAAAAAATCATAACATTGTGCCCGCTCAACTAAATATAGCATGCCAGAATGCCATACAGTCATTCAATAGCAGTGAATGATATCGATGAAGCGATTGGTGTGATCTAGCATGATCTTTACGTACAGTTATTCGGTTTGCCAAGACATGCACCCCATGATCCTAAATCCGGACATCTGGGGTCACAATGACTATGTCACTTGGAACAGATTCAACGATTGATCATTGGAAATGACGCTGTTTTGACGGCCTTCGGTTCTGCTTATCTGGAATTGTAACATGCATTACTTCGATGTTAGAAATGCTACCTGGGCGATGTAGGATTAGTCTCATAATCCAATCCAACATCCCTCTCAACATGGTCTCTCTTGAACGGACCCTGGGTCACGCGGTTTGATTGGCATCTCGATATTCAACTCAGTTCAATTACGTCTTTAGAATTTCTTTATGTAAGCGGTTCAGTGGGCCTCTAAACGAGTATTTTGACGGCGGCAGAAGCGTATTGTCCGAAATCCTGTCCTCTGTCTTCTGGGCTCCCAATTGAAGAGCATTCAACCCATAATCAATTATATCTCTTGCAACTAGGCTTCATGCAATGCAAAGTTGTCCTTCCAGTCTCGAGGGCTACGTAGGTCTTCCTCTCATATCCACTACATTGGCTCATGGACAGGCGTTCTCGTCTGAATACCCAAACATCCAGCCAAGTTACAGGCTGTCTAATGATTTTGAGGACTAGTGATTTATATAGCATAGAAATGAGCTTATACTTAATTGGAAACACCAACGATGTCCTCGGGCACAATTTGGAGATGTGTAGAGGTGGGGTCCACACAGTCATCGTTAGGGGCAATACACAGGTGTAAACAAGGCTTACGAACGTAATCCCACTGGAGTACAAATTCAAAAATAGTCGGTGTAAAACAACTATTATAGCATACAATTGCTTCGGTGACTGGTTTCCTAGTTTCTTCACGACCAAAGCCCGTCGGTCTGATTATTGGCCGGGCTTTGTAATACTCGGTGGCTCCACTGAGCAAGGCGGGGGAGCTATTGTTTTGCCTTTTTTAACATCTTGCTCCTTTTCCAACAAGTGCTTCACGTTATTTTCAAAGGCTTTGTTCATATCTCAGAATGGCATCCAAGCAGTATACGCTTTATGACCTCCCCAGTAGGGCTCCGTGTACAACCTGGACGCCTAACCCATGGAAAAGTGAGTCATCTTCTATGTCCTATACGATGGACCCAACGTTGAACATTTGATCAGCACGGCTTCTGTTCAACCTCAAAGGCCTGGATTATCGAACTGAATGGGTAGGTTACCTATACGTACCTAGGTTCATAGTAGAGCTTTTGGTGTAATTGACTGAACAATCCGCACAGGTCGAATATCCGGACATCAAGCCGACGCTGGAAAACAAGTAAATGCGAGCCCCCAAAAAAACTGTTGGAAAGACGAATGAAATCTAATATTTACCAAGAGTTCCCGCCAATGCAGGAAGTACCGCGTATTCAATCCCCACCATTGAAAGTCCGGATGGAACATGTGTGATGGACTCGCGCAAAATTGTACAATACATCGAGAAGCAACATCCTCAACCCTCAATGCATCTGGATTCAAGCTATTTACCTAAAGTCGAAGAAGTCTGGTCAGCTTATATGGGGTAAGTACTAATAAGTTTCCCCATCACAGTTTTCTCCCAGCCCAAGAGTCAAGCGCCCTCCAAATAAGCAATCTGACTTTACCTCTCTGCTCTTCTAGTGCAATTAAACCTATTTTTTTGAATTGGGTTCCCAGGGATATTCTCAACGACGCAAGTCTTGAGTATTGGTATACAACCCGCGAGAAATTCGTTGGGATGCCAGTTGATCAGCTAGAGAAGGAGAAGGGAGGAGAATTGGCATGGAATGAAGCCGAGCCGGCACTTCGCAGCGCAACAGCGCTGTTGAAGGAGAATGAAGGACCATTTTTCATGGGCGACACTATCAGCTATGCTGATCTTGTTTGGGCTAGTGTCCTTCTTTTCAGCAAGCGTCTGGGACCCGGTTTCTTCGAGGAGGCTACGAAGAGAAGTGGCGATGCTCAGGTTCACTTGAACCTGCTAGAGGCAATTCGCCCTTGGTCTGAGCGAGACAGTCGTTGATCGTTGTGAATAGAACGTTTGGTTTCAATCCGGAGAGCGAAGGTTTCTCGCTAAACTAGGCTTCAGAACTGCTCCATCTTAGAGGACACACAATCCTTGCAAGGATGTTTCTGTCAAAATCTGGTTTATATATCGAGTTTTTGAGTCTATTCCAAGAAAGGGAAACAATGTAACAGGATAAAAAGGTCGTTTCGAAATATACAAGTGATCGTTCTCAAGAGTCTTTCCCAGATTGCGCCAGCAACATCAACCCTCAAAAGCCCTCAGTACGGCGAGGCCAGCCACTGAAAATGATGCAACACGGTTATGACCTAAAGAGATTGAAAACGCGCCGAGGTTAGTTTAATGGAACCCAACCGGAGCACGTCTGTACATACCGCCGTGACCGACCCGCTCCCATCTAACAGTTTTCGTAACTTCAGTGCCAAGTTGATTCCTCCACACCTTGATTTCGCTTGGGTTACTTGCTTCACGCTTAGAATATATCAAGCCACCAGGAGCACCTGGGGTATTTTCACCTGTGGCGGCCTGCCAGACACGACGTCCTTCATACCAGGGGATTTCGACATCATCCATTGCATGTACGATTGTGAGATCGAGACTCTTGTCGGTATACTGAAGACCCGAAGCGTCCGCCTCTGCTGGTTCAATACCAGTGAGGCGAGCTACTCTTCCAACTGTATCCCAGTGGTCCACAATATGACTCAACACCCATCTCTGGAAGCGAGGGTATCCCATGAGAGGGGACAGCATTGGAGGTGTCATACCCTTAAGGCTGTAATTTTCAATGACGCTAGTCAAGCTACCAAATGATGCCAGAAGAACAATGCCTGCGAAAGGCTCGGCATTCTGGATGGCTGGCTGAATAGCTTTAGGGTCAGGAGATCCAAAAGCAAAGCGTTCAGCGACTGCAGCTGTAACAGCAGTTCCGAGACTCTGGCCCGTAAGAACTATGCGGGAAGTTGGAATCTTCAATGGCCCTGCTGTAAGGAAGTTAATCAGAGACACAGCATCTGTGATGAGGCCCTCTTCTGTGGGACTGCCAGTGCTCACGCCAAATCCACGGTAGTCAATGGTGAAGACATGAACTGGGTTGGAAGGAGTAGAGAGACTGAGCATTGTATTGTAGGTAGCAGGACGTTGAGCAGATCCCAGATGAGCCGCATTGCCGTGGACTAGGGTTCAATGTCAGCATGTCTTGATTCTCTGATCGTCAGCTGCTTGCTACCTACAGTTCACAACAACTCGTGCATTGGGATCATTGGCAAGGAGTTTAAAGGCAGTAGTCAGGGTATAGTCCTCTGCTGGACCTGTTGCAGCATTGTCCATCAGTACCTCTTCATGCTCCCGGCAAAGATGCAAGGGAATCAAGTGCCACCCGTAGATGGTTTCGTTATCAGGTGTCACCAAATTGAAAGGCTGGACTTGAGTCCCTGTGGTGTATTAGCAAGGAACAGCTTGAGGTGCTCGAGGTCATACTTAGAAACCCAAATTGCTCGACAAGGTTCACATCCTGCCACAAAGCTGGGTTGATCTTATTGGCATAGAGGCAACTAGATCATGGAATTAGCTCAGCCGTTACGCGCTGGGGGGAGTACATACAAACGCTGGACCTCTGGGAAAGTCAAAGCGCAGATAAATAGCACATATAGAAGACCACCGGCAGCCAGAGACCAATAGGCTTTTCTGAAAATGGGCTTGAGCTCAATCATTGTGTGATGTTGTTGACATGCGGAGGTGAGCGGAGGAGAGAGAGACATGCGGGCGATAAGCTCTTTATCGCGTCGCTTTTCTCCCTTCCACCTTCACACCTTTCACCTTCTTCTCATCTTCCTCTCATCTCCCTCGTCTTCCTCGCCTCTTCTGCTATGATTACGATTTCACCACTATTATTGGTGCACTTATCTCATTGAACCCATGATGGCTGAAAAACGCAGACTCCCGCCGCGTGACCGACGGGAATCGGCGGCCAAAAGACGTGTCTCCGAGGCCGCGCCTCCGTCTAAGAAAAAGGCGCCTGCACCTCGCGCCCCATCCCCGCTAGAACCTGTTGACGCGCCTTTGCCTACAAGTCTCAAGGATATCGAGGGTTTGCCTATTCTTCGCGCGCGACAACCACTGACTCTATCCGACAAGGAGTACCAATCAATCGCCGAAAGGTTCGAGCTCGTGAACCACATGACTGCGATAAATGACTGACAGCGCTTCATCTAAAATTATAGTGCAGTTCTTCTCGCCGCACTCGAACGATCTAAAAAGAAATGGCTCAGCGATGGCATTCTCGTGCGATACTTCACGAAGCCCAAGAAGACGAAGCGGGAGCAAATCGAAAGAAACAACCCGCCAAAGGATAGCATGACCAAAGTCGGCCCTTGCGATATCACAATCGGTCCTCACTTCTTTGATGCTATGATTTACACCGTCAAAGATCCCAATGCGCCGCCATCTCTACATTATGCGTCTCCGCAACGACCGATGGTGCACTATGGTCACCCCAACAACTTCCAACAATACCGTCCCTACCCTTCTCCATCCAATCCTCAGCGACCGAATCAATATTCGCCCGCCCCTACAGGCCGTCCTGGTTACTCTGGAAGTCATCCTCCGGCCCAGCAACCCCGTGGGCCGAATCAGGGCAATGCCGCGTCCCCTCAAGGCGGACAAAGGCCACAACAGGGACAAAAGGGACCCAATGGCCAGCCTGCCAAGCCAAGTCCGGACCCTGTGATTCAAATGCTGGCTACAAGAGCTGCTGCAGATCCAGAGCTAAAGGCTTTGATGCGCGTGGTTGCCTCCAGCCAAGCATCTCAGGAGCAACTTCGAGCTTTCCAGGCACACATTGACGAACTGAACGCCATCATCAAATCGAGGGAGCAACAAGAGCAACGTCAGCAGGCTTCTGCGACACCTCAACCACAACAAAATCCCCAACCCCAATCCACCCCGCAGCCTCAGCCTCAGCCAAAACAGGATGGCGAGGCAAAATCATCCTCTAAGCAGCAACCTGCAACTCAGATAAAAACACCGGCCAAGCAACCACCGGCGCAGGCCGGAACACCCCAACCGCCTGCCGCCTCAACAGAAAAGCCAGCTAATCCTCAAAATTCCACTGGGTCGGCGACAATCAAGCAAGAACCCACGACTGTGGCCAACAAAGACACCCAGGCTGCGCCAGCTCCATCCACGGCTAGTGGCAACGCAAGCGCCCCAGCTTCTGTTTCCACCCCGGGCCCGCAACAGGCCCCTGGAGCAAATCCCGCACCAACACCCGGCAGCCGTCCGCCGTCAGCAGCACGACCAGGTCCCCCACCACCTCCATACCCACAACCTTCATATGGGTCGCAAACCCCGATCCAATCTCGCCCACCCCAATACGCCACACCTAATTCCTTCTACCGTTCCCCGGTGGCTCCGCTTGCTCCCCCACGTGTGGGCTACAGAGCTGTTGTTTTCGAATTCACATCCCCCCCTAACACCGTACGGAAACGCTACTTCCGGTCACGCTGGCTCAGGTGACCGATATCTATTCCCTGAATACACGATTCTCGAATGGCTCCCAGACGAAAACACAGTCATTGCATCATTCTTGGTGGTACGGAAGGTTGATGCAAACGCAACTTTCCCTCTTGAAACACCCACGGAGACCGCCAACTCCAAAAGCAAAGGAAAGAGCGCACCAAAAACCAAAAAGGGGGAGCCAAAGGGCAAAACAATGAAGGGAACAGACTCAGCCGGCCCTCAAACCCCGAATCAACTAGCCGGGACGCCACAAAAGCAAGAGCCAACGGATTCCCCAATGCCAGACGCATCGGCGGCTATCAACGAGGCAAACCTCAAGGAATACTGGCAACCAGTCACATTCCGCATCCACTCACCAAGCACAACAATTCTCGAACCACTCGCTCGAGTCGTCAAGCCAGCAGACGAAGTCCGCAAATATATGAACGAAGTCATGGACCGCGCTGAGCGTGCCCCAGATGGCTTCCTGGCCATGCGTCTACCTCGCGAGGAATCACACGAGCCGTTTGATTCGGAGGGAACGCCCGCCTCAAGTGTTGGAACCCGCAGTCGTCTTTCCCGTGTGCAGCTTGCGGATGAAGAGTCGGAGGTTGAGACATCTGCATTCGAATTCGAGGAGGAAGATGAGGATGACTTGAAGGATTTCTATGATGCGCCATATGGGTTACCGCCGTTGAAGACGTGATACCGTTATGGGTTTATATTCATCCAGAGGCATTTGAGGACACGTCGAGTCACCGTCGGAGATCTATAAACCTGCCATAGGGTCGTGTCTTATGCTTTTAATGGGTTGCAGAAAAAATGTGGACAAGCAATCCAACCATTCAATTTGAAGACGCTGGAGATTCAGTACTTGGTCGTGGACCTCAAGTGTGTCCTGGAGTGATTTTTGTATAATATATGACGGCCTCTTCCTGTCTCGCTTTTTAATGTACGAATATTGAATGTCGATTATGTTGCATCTGGTAAACGCACAAACCCTTCAATCCGATCTCATCTTAAATCCAAATTCCTTGAGAAAATAAGGTATCGATTGAATGCTGATCCAATACCCAAAAAAGAGTAACGCCATTGACACAAATACGCAAAAGCTACACCAATACAACTTCATCCAATGAAGCCGAATCAAAAGATAAAACCAAGGTAACCGAAAAGGTCAACCCATCAAACACTCCCACCAGAATGTCTCCCCTGATCCCCAATAATCCCCGCTGCCTCAAGTAACCACCTAGCACTCTCAGCAGCCGAATCCCCAGCTCCAGCTTTGATATTAATATTCCTCCTGCGCTCCGCCTCCCTCGCCTCAAACTCCCACTTAGCACGCTGCATCTCAACAGCACTAGACCCAGGCTCAGTAGAAAATGCATCTTCAGGATTAGGCACGATACCCCAGATCTCGAGGGTCCACAGATCAAGTTTGACAGTGGTCGGCGCGTCTTCTGCCGACGTATGTGATGGTGGTAGGAAGACGCCATCGTGGCCAATTGGCGCGGTGAGGAAGGTTGCTGTTTCCATATCCGAGTCTATGAGGAGAGAGCCTGCGCCATGGGGTTTGGGGTTTGCTTTGTTGCTTCGGGATGGTGGAGGAATTTGGCAGCCTATGGCTATCCCGGTTTTGGTAGAGAAGTAGGCTGTTGGGGTGTTTTGGTTTGATTGGGGTTTGTATGGGTTTCCAGAGAGGAGGATGTGTTTTGGAGAGAGTTGGAAGAGGCAGGGAAGGGGGTCTGTTTTCGTGCTTGAGGGTTGGGATGTGCTTGAGGAGGGAGATTTCCAGGTTTGGGGAATGTAGGCGCCTAGTGTTATTGGGGTCTCATCTGAGGATCCTTCTTCGGTTCCTTGGAGGATTAGGAGGGTGGCAGATTGCCAGGTCATGACGTGGTGGGAGAAGGAGGTTAGGGATGAGCCGTGGGCGTTTGTTGAGAAGACTGGGTGTAGTTTTATGCCACTGCGGAAGAGGTTTAAGGTTGGTGATGTTGATGGGAGGAAGAATGAGAGGTGGGATACAACAGTTGGGTTCAAGATCGCTGACTCGAAACTGCCTGGAAGGGTGATTGTAGCCGGTGGTGGGAGTGGCTCATCGGGCTTCTCGGCATCCTCTTCCTCGGTCTCCGTAGCGAGGCCCTTCTGTCGGCGTTGGGAGAGATCCAAGTTCTTGCTGAAAAGCATATGCTCAAACAAAGCAGTCAATGGATCGAACAGATATGGCAGCGACAGCGATATCGTTCTGGCAAAAGACTTGTACGAGATCCCAACATCTCGTTTTTCAGGCGAGAAAGCAGCAATAATATTGTCTGCCTCTTTGCGGATTGCTTCCATCCGCTCTCCATCAAAATCAGATGTATAGATCTTGACGGATTCCAACGGTCTGAGCGGTGCAATGACAAGCAACAGCATAAGCAACCGACGGAAAGTATCAGTAGAGATCCCAGTCTCATAGATTGTCTTATCAACCCGGTGATCATGTTTGAAGACTTCAATAGCATCAAGAGACTCCAATGCTGCAAGAGCAAGATCATCATCCTCGTCTTCATCATACTCATCATTCGTGGGTTCATCTATCGAGAATCCCAACGAATGCGATTGAACAGGAGCCGATTCAGCTTCCTCAGTCGTAGCATCACCATTAGCCCCGTGTTCCTTAGCAGCAGCATAAACAGGCGGCCGCCTCGCCACATCAGCCAAAGATCCAAAAATCAACTTAATGCGGTCTTTCCGACCCCGCTTAAGCACTTTCCCGTAGCGTTCAGTGAGAAGCACAACAACCTTGACCATGGCCTCGAACGTCAACACCGTAGGCGCAAGGGTGTTCTGAAAGGGGAAACTGCCTAAATACGACAACATGCGGAAGATAACTGGGCCCGGATCTAGGAATAGATCCTGGGAATCTGGAATGGCCAGAAAGTCAGATAGAGTCTGTTCATTCCAGTATCGTAGACCACTTTGTTCAGCGGCGCGGGAGAAGAAGTTGTCTTTGAAATGCGTGAGTTCTAATGGTGTGAAGCATTTTGTGGCGAAGCGCTCGGCGAGCACGTAGCTTAATTCCTCTGTTTTGGTTAGTATGTTGTTGGTTCATATTGGTGGCATGCAAGGGATCCCATGTGAATGGGTAGACTATGGTAGTCTGGTCATCAGGTAGACTTAGAGGTCGTGTAATTCGGATTTCTTGTACACTAGATCATCAATGAAAAGGCAAGACTGACCTGCTGTTGATGCACCATGCTCATTCGACTGAGCCGCTCCCATTGTTGCAGTGCGGGTTTCACCCCAGTGATTACTGATAACAGACTTGGATCACAGTGAATTTCGGAATGTGGAAGATATCAAAGTCCATAGGTCACAAGAGGTCGAAGTGTCAAAAGTCAACATGGAGTAAAGGTGGAGGAGAGTGGAGCATGTGACGACAGCTGGTGCCTGAGGCCTCTGGAATCTAGATTCTTTCGGCCAAACAGTATAGAATGATAGGGATGGTATTTAACTGCCACTGTATACTTTATACATGCATTTTGATTGTGGTAATCGCTAGCAAGATACATAAGGAAATTCGTCGGGTATCCATTCAGATCCACTAGCCAAAAGGGCCACTACAGCATGACAATACCAACACCGCCCATCTTGGACTCGTCGGGCAGGTTCTTTTGGTTGATTCCACCACCAATGGGTGCAGCACGGTAGTTGTACAGGTAGAAGTGGAGCTGGCCATCGCCGGCGCCAAACTTCAGCTTTTCGAGGAAGAGAGGGTTGTCGTGCGATGTGAGGGCGTTGAAGACATCGAATTTGGCCTGGAGAAATGGGTTAGTATATAAAATCAAACGTGGTAGCTAGTGGGAACATACGTTCTTAGCACAAATCAGTGCATCGTTCATCAACAGCTGCAGGCGCTCCTTCAGTGCCTCCTTGTCGCCAGAGAAGGCAGTTTCGGTCGCGTAGTAGTACAGGTAAGCGGCGTGGACGGCATCGTGCTTAGGGTGGTCGATGACAGTAGATTCAAGGTTGTAGAAAGAGACGAAGTCGGTGATCTTGTGTGTCTCGGCGTCTTCAACAACATATGACCAAATAACTTGCTCCATACCAGGCTTCTCCTTGTAGACCAACCAGTGATCAATCTCCTCACGGGTAAAAGCCTGGTTCAAATCGAAACGACGCATATACCGCTCCAGCAGATCATATACGGCATCAATGTCCTTAGTTTCCATAGGACGTAGACCAGGAGTGGATGTGTTGCTGGGAAGGTGGTTCTTGGTGACCATACGGGACTTAGTCGAGCCATGGGGAAGAGGAGAGAAGCCAACATCGTACAGCTTCAACCAGTTCAGCGCACGGTGGTAGTACCGGCAGGAGCTGACGGGGGTGGGGAGGATGATACCACCAGTGTAGATGGCCTGGAAAATACCGTCGACGTAGCAGCGGCGGGTAATCTCCTTAATCAGGACCGGGGTCAGGCGCTTGGAGCGCAACTTCTTGTGGATGCACAGGAAGTTGATTTCCGTCACCTTGATGCGCTCTCCGCGGACGCGGAGCTCGGTCGGTACACCACAGATCGAGGCAACCAGCTTGCGCGACTTGCTCGCGCGCACGCCGACGTGCCATTCCTTCTTCCAGCCTGGGGACATCAAGGCCCAGTGCAGGAAAGATTGCGAGTAGCTGAAGCGGAACATGGCGTTGTCGTCCTCCACATAGTGGTTGTTCAGCAGCTCATACAGCTCCTTCAATTCGTCCTCGTTTGTCAGGTCCAGAGTGCACCATTCGAAACCCTCGACGAGCGGATCAGGGGTCTTGGACACCTTCTCCGGGTCGATCTGCTTGATTTGACCCTGGGTGGCCTGCTTGCCAGCCTCGTTAAAAGCGGGGACGGGTTGTGTCTGCCAGAACTTGTACGAGGCCATGTCCTTCTGGTTCTTGCCGCCCATTGACAGTCCGGTCAACAGCTGTGAGAGGTCCATGTTGGCCAGCATCGATGCGGCCTGGTCTTTGTCCATATTGGCGATCTCATTCTTGAGGGCGGGGTTCTGGTCCAAGAGGGCGGCGACGAGCTTGGGGTCGACTTTCTTTCCTGCTTCGGATTCTGGAGAATATCAGCAGCTGCATATCTGGCTTCATGTTTGAACTTACTGTCATTCGCTGGGGCCTTGCCCTTATTTGGGTCCGACATGGCTGTATGGGTAGTTGCGGAGGGAGGAATTGATTCGGGCCCCACGTTTGACGCCGATAGTGTTCATTAATGGGCTGACACAAACAATGAAACTATATTCTGACCATATTTATGTGTGAGATTGGCAATTACTAGTCCATATTAGGCCATTTGATTTGCTTATGTCTCTTTTGCTAACCCTGCCAGATTCCGGTCTCCGTGGCCTACGCCGTAAGCCTCGGTAACACTCCGGAGACTTAGTGGCTAACAATATTGCAACGATATTAAAACGGGTATTCATATGCATTGGGAATCGAAGAATTGTTGAAATCCACAAACACCTCTATGTCCACTTGCTAAGGTATATCTCAAGTGTTGATACAAGAATTAAAGACTTGGAGCTCCGGGCTACCAATCGTCAGGAAATTAGGCCTCACTGAGGAGGCTTGGTCTCGACCACATCAAGGAATCCTCCAACTAGATGGATGCTACCAGTGACAAAGGTCATGACAGGTGGCTCATCCTTCTGTAGATCTTTGCGTTCCTGGCCAGCAACCTCCCGAGCGAAATCAACTGCCTCTTCAATGGTACCAAAGACATGTGTTTGGGCCTTCGGGTCAATAGAATTCCACGCTGTTGCGAGAGATTTCTGGACGCGCAGAAGCTCAAGGTCGTCAGCATTTGTGTTCATGCTGACCAAATCGGGCCGGAAGCCAGCCGACTTGTATGTGATATTCGTACAGAAAATGGCATGGGTGAATGGGGTATCGTATTCAAGGGCAGCTGCGAGGGTCTCATGGAGGGCACGAGCCAAAGCAGTGCTGTCGCGGGTTTGTTGATTAAAGATCAAGATCCGGGTCTTCCTTGCAGCGAATTCCTTGGAGGATGAGTCGGCTTGGATTCGCGAGGCAAACCACTGTCCAGCCAACCGGATACTATCCAAAGTGTGTCCGCCATCGATGTACCATGCAACGTCCTTCTCGAAGCGGGTCTCACACCGGCCACCTAGGCGAGTTTGCTCAAGGCCGGTCTTGAACTTCGCCGGAAGGGATGCACTCATGATATCCTCGGGGATATCGGCCACGCCAACCTTGCGCAAGTACTCTGCAGCACTTGCGACGGCCAACGAGGCATTTGTGTATTGGAAGTCTCCGGCTAATCCAAGTGTCACTTGGCTGGTCTCAGGGTGCAATTCGGGATGGCCGCGCACAATATCCAATTTAGTACCCACCTCTTCAGCACGTTGAGCAAGGACCTCCTCCGCGCTGGTGAGTTGCGGGGCCGAGAAGCCTCTTGTACCCCGCTTGATAATACCACCCTTGTGCCATGCGATTTGCTCAATGGTAGTTCCCAGCATGGCAGTATGGTCGATACCAAGACTAGTAATGGCAGTCACCTTAGGCTGCTCAATAACATTGGTACAATCGTACTGGCCACCAATTCCACATTCGATGACTGCAGCGTCCACGCCCTCGCTTAGGTATGTATGGAACGCCATAATCGTCAAGTAGCGGAAATATTGAGGCTTCGTTCCAGGCGTATCGGGCTGCTTGCCTGCCACCCTGGCGGCTTCTTCAAGTCGGTCCCATACTTCAAAGAAATAACGTGCGAATGTTTCCTCAGATATCGGGGTGTTATCGATCTGGATGCGCTCGCGTGCGAACCGGAGATGGGGGGAGGTGTAGAGGCCGATCTTGTTGACCTTGGGTGTGGGCTGGTTGGGTTCTGCTTTGGTGTATTGAGAGAGGATCGTGGAGATGAATGCAGAAGTCGAGCCTTTGCCTTTCGTTCCGGCAACGTGGATTGCGTTCAATCGGTTAAGATCGGAGGTCTAAAAGTGTTGTCAGATCAGCGAATCTTTGGTTGATTGATATCTTTTGCAATTGCGCACCTTGTATCCGATGCATCGGAGCCACTCAACTGTCTCCGGGAGAGAGAGCTCATTGAGGGCCTTCCCCGATTTGCGAACCTGCTCTACAATCGCATAGTTAGACTGCAAAGAGTTGAGGGACGAGATCGCAGCCTAATACGGTCAAATGTTAGTATTTTATATATCCCAATTTTCAGTATATCCTTATGCTAGACATTGGAGAGCTCCAAAGCATACCTCGTAGGTGCGAGTCATAGCGGGCGAGTGAGTCGAGACTAAGCGCCGAGCGCAAAACTGAAAGCAGAGAGAGGCCCGGAATACTCTCATAGGCAATTGAAGCCCGTGCCTGCAATTTCAAATGAGCAGGCGGGTGTAGCAAGAAACCCCGGAAGCTCTAAAGATTGTCGTTCTACGGTCGTTCCTCTCCTCGGGAAACCGTTGATGGCGGGATCGGGAAGATCACGTGTTGCTTATCTCTGCACTACCCTTGGGAGTATAAAATTGGATAATTGGGTATTGTCTATGCTGGCTAAATGTAACATCTACCTAGGATGCTAAGCTCTTGCATAATGTTTATGATATCCGAACACGGTGCCGGCAGCATATAATTGCTGAAAAGTGTGTCCGAAGCGACATAAGAAATGTATCAAAAGATATGATGAAGAATTAGAAGGGTGCAACGGCAAGAAAAAGAGATCTGAGGGGTCAGTGGTGTTGAAACAAGGTAATAAAACATGCAGCCGTGAGGTGGAAAGAATATGAAAGCAATAGGGTGAAAGGGTAAACGAGAATTCACTCAATCCTGGTCTTGCCCTCCTCTAGGAAGACAAGACGGGCATTGCTGATACCGCGTTGGTGGCGTCTGGCGGGGAGCCATTGGCCAACAAGGGGGTCAGACTTCGCTTTGATGAGGGCATCCTGGTAACCTTCGGCACCGGCAATCGGCGTGTTGAGCTTTGGCCAATTGACCTGATAGATGTTAGTCGGGTGATGATCCAACGGTATGTGGTAAACTTACGTAGAGCATGCCGTGTCCATGAACGAAGCGGAAGCAGTAGGCCGCAACAATGAACCAGAACAGCATAAACAGGCGAAGAGGCCAGGCAGCGGCATCAGGCATTCGTCTAGTGAAAAGAGCAACTAGAACCATGAACACACTAGCAGCGAAAATGTATGGAATAGCCTGGATGACAAGAGGTCGCTGGTCAATGAACAGCTGGATATTGGCAAAGGTCGAGTCTGAGGGAAGGTAGGTGCCCAAAAACACGTCGAAGCCATCTTGTCGAGGGCCATCCATGAAGTTGTTGCGGACATATCGGGTGATCGAGTTGTTCAAATCTTGCAACATGCCAGCGCGAGTACGCTTGCCTGTTCGCGTGAAATCGGTCTTCAGAGCACCAGTTCCAGAATAAGATTTGGAGACCACATCAGCGTTGTCTGCCCAGATGTTCCGGAACAAGTCCTCGAACTCTCGGTCATCGTTTGCAGTTTCTCCTGTACGGAGAACACCTGCGTCAATGAGTTGGCGAGTGACCGCCCAGCGTCCGAGCATGCTCTGCACAACGTTGGTGCGGTCGAGACAATCCATACAATTTGTTCGGACAACGCTTGTTTGCGTAGAACGAGTGTCCAGCTGTCCGCCAGGCGCACCAGGGCTTTCTACCCCACGGAAGTAACCGCCCTGGGCCAGCCCATCATTCAAATGGCCCATCAGCAGCTCTGCACGATGCCACTTGAGTCCCTTGGTCTCGTTATGGAAATCAAAGTACACGTAGTGTAAGCGGTCCATCTCTTTCTGCTTGGAACCTGGTTCTAATGTATGAATCTTCTCGGGGGTTCTTTGATCAGCCGTGGTTCTTTCGGAAGTGGTGGTAACTAGTGTGCGAACCAGCTGTTCATATGCCCGTTTGACACGCTCCTCCCTGCCTTTCTGGTTGACGAGATTGACCATGTAGTTCTCTCCGTAAATGCGAATCTGTTCGGCAAAATGCTTGCGAGCAGCTTCAACAGCAGTCTCCACTCCACGAACCTGAAGCTTTGGTGTGTATTTTAAATCATTGACCTCGGCCCAGAATACAGGCACGCTTCCTCTGGTTTGCACGAAGGAGTAGACCTGGAGGTCTTGTCCGGATTTACCGTTAGTCATTGATTGGCCTCCAGCGAACCCAGAAAGTCCACCTGCCGAGTCGTTCAAAATCACAACCTGCTCTGTCTCATTGTAGTTTGAGACATGTCCCTCCTCGTCGATTCCACGGGAGAAGTATCTAGTTCCGGCTCGATGTCTGGATCGTCGGGTGATAAGGGCAAAGGTGAAAGATGTCCCCTTGACTTTGGCGGGGGTAATGCGCATCATACCAAACATCACCGGCAAGATGTATGGGTCAGCCCCTGGTTGAGGACCATAACGAATTCCGCTCTTGTCGTTCTCGCCTAGGCTGAAATCAATAAGGTCGGTTTGAATAAAACGGTTCCAGAAGAAGCGGTCATCTGCGCTCTTCCACATGGGAATGTTGGGCGGGGTCTGCGATTGTCGCTGGAAGTTGTTTGTGAGATCGAGCGAGTATGAGAAGTACATAGGTCCAGTTCGCAGGAGGTCCTTGACCAGTGTGAGGTAGGCATCTTCGTCAGTGTCGTGCAGTGGTCGTTCTCGCATAGGAAGAAATTCTGTTCCTGCGACCTTGTAGACCATGTGGCCGCGCAATCGGCCCATGGGCTGCGCTTTGGTGATGACAATGATGTATTTGTCTGTCCCTGTCAGCGCAATCTTGAATTAGATGAGTTCGCACTTACCAAGCTTCAGCTTGAGAATTCCCAAGATTCCGGCAATACTGGAAATGCGCTTGGCTCCTGAAAGAGGGCCATCGTTCAAGCGCAAGTCACCAGTTGGTCTGTCAACAACAAGAGTGGGTGCCTGGGGCGACGAGGGGGAAGTGAAGGCATAGTGCGAAGGTGACGCATGGAGATTAATATCCCTAAAAGGCAGAATAGGAGGCGCCATCCCAGAATGAACAGTAAAATAGCAGTGAAGAGAATAAGGAGAAACACATGAAGCCGAAGCAGGTACAGGGCCACTCTGGTCAAGTCAGCCACACCGCCCCGCTGCTCCTGTGGCTGGGTCTTCCGTCATCTATTTCCTGTCTGCCTTAGACCTTGGCCTTATTTCCATCTTCTCGTTCAGTTGAGTTCTTGAGTTCTTAAGTTCTGATATATCAGACCTAAGACAACCCCTTAAGTCTTTTGTGACTCGCTCCACCTTACCCCGGACTCCATCCTCCCTGATCAGCATGGCTTCCAGACAACCAGCTGCCCGTCCGGGCGCCCGATTCGCCCAGTTTAAGCTCGTCCTTCTCGGTAAGTCTCTTGTTGCTTTTCTCTCTGGACTTCATACGGTTTTCTGACGTTGTGTTATAGGAGAATCTGCCGTTGGAAAGGTTTGGGATACCTCTCGCGATCCTCTTTATCAGCCGCTAACTTGACCGCTACCTTCAGAGTTCGCTAGTCCTGAGATTTGTTAAAGTGAGACCTCAATAATCGCCTGATCACCTGCCGCGGTGACCCGAGGGTACATGGAGCCTTGAGATGCTAACCGTTGCATCAGGACCAATTCGATGATTACCGCGAGTCGACGATCGGAGCCGCTTTCCTCACACAGACCATTTCCCTCGATGAAAGCACTACAGTCAAGTTTGAAATCTGGGATACCGCGGGCCAGGAGCGCTATAAGTCGCTGGCTCCTATGTACTACCGGAATGCCAACTGTGCCGTCGTTGTCTATGACATCACCCAAGCTGTATGGTTCTCAGTTTCTTTGATTTCCCACATGGAAACTAACATTTCATTCTTTAACAGTCGTCGCTAGACAAGGCTAAGTCATGGGTGAAGGAGCTTCAACGCCAAGCAAACGAGAACATTGTGATTGCCCTGGCGGGTAACAAGTTGGATCTGGTCACCGAGAGTCCCGATAAGCGGGCCATCCCAACAGCCGACGCAGAGGCCTACGCCCGTGAAGCAGGTCTGCTCTTCTTCGAAACATCTGCCAAGTCTTCTACCAACGTCAAGGAACTGTTTACCGCCATCGCGAAGAAGTTGCCCCTGGACCAGGCCGGCCCTCGGAACCTTCGGACGACTCCTCGGCCCGGTGTCGATTTGCGCCCTGAGGCTCCTGGAACCCAGGGTGCAGGTGCATGCAATTGCTAAACGAACCCTTGAGCAATATGCTTGATCAACCCACTATATGAGATGTTGAAGACTACCCACTGCAACATCGTCCGACGGTGGTATAACTTTGTGATTTTCTATGAATTCGCCTATCTCATTTGATCAGGCTCTGGCGTCATTCTCTATCCGATATGGAGCCGTGAGGTAGACTTTCGATTCATCCTCTCGGTTTCTTCTATGATTCTTTCTGTCCTTGTTGGGCCTGTTCAACTGAGGCTGTCAAGTCTGCCACTGACAGAAAGATCTGATTCCATGGACGCCTGTGGAAATTTGGCTTTAGACATGCTACGGCAGGATTTTTCTGTGCTTGACGGTGCTGTTCCCCTGTAATCCTGTTTTTTTCCCAACTGGCGTCTGCATCTGCTTTTATCTCCTGTGTCTCCTTGGGTTGAATTTCCTGCTATTACCGTTACCCTTTCTTTGTTTCTCAGGATTCTTAGTATGTTATGCTCAAATAATACAGTACATTTCTCGATATGCATACGTGAAAGATTGCTATTGATTGGTTGAGTAATTGCATGGTCTATTCTATAGATTAATACTACCTTCACCCTAATCAGACTAATGTGCAAATCAAATATTTGATCTCAAATTAACAGTCAAATACTCCATTCATGTCTGTTATGCATGCTCAACATATATATGCTGTTCGGGATAGTTCCTATTTCAAAACCGATGGATTGAATCAAGAGCAATACCGACATGTTATTTTTCAACATCCAACATTTGCTTCTTAGTACTTCCAATTATTTTACAAGATATTAAACTAGATCTATGCCATTGTATAGCTTAAGTGGGCTTGAGGTGCGCGCAGCCACCCTGACCGCCCGCAGGATCATCGGAGCGGATCGCAACTTGAGCATCCAAGTTCCCGTTTCCCTACCCATCCACCTTTTTGATCACTTCTAGCCACTCTTTTTGGCGACTGTGTGGCTCGTCATGCTGCGCTCTTCGATTGCTCCGGGTCGGCAATTGCTGTCGAACCCTATTCGCCAACGGATCCCGTCGCAATGGCTGTCCAGAGCCGGTGCTAGCAACCGACTCGCCGGTCAGGTAAGAAGACCATACACGTGCCTACAACTTCACCTCTAACTACAATTGTCACGCGCAGCGATTCTTTGCCGATTCTAAGCCTCCTACCACTGGTGGCCCTACGCCAGTTTCCCCTTCCTCCGAGTCCAGTGTCCCTCCCGAGACTGTTGTGAAGGCTGCTGAAGGTATGACGACCTTTCCTATATTGGCATTGTCATCTTTCTCCAATTCTAATGCGATCTCACCGCAGAGTCTAAGCTCCCTCCCCCGCCTGCTCCCCGCAAGACCGGTCGTTTCCGTCGTTTCTTGATTTACCTGATTCTCACTTCCGGTCTCGCCTATGGCGGCAGCATCTTCCTCGCCCTGAAGTCCGATAACTTTCACGACTTCTTCACCGAGTACATCCCCTACGGCGAGCAATGCGTCCTCTACTTCGAGGAGCGTGACTTCTACCGCCGCTTCCCCAATGCCTCGAGACATCAGAACCGTCTCCCGGTCACCCCCAGAGAGGAAGGAAACGCTGTGACAATCCCCAGCAAGAGTGGATTATCTTGGAATGTTGCCAGTGAAGAAAAGGCCGATGAAAAGGCAAAGACAGATGCCAGTGCCCATGAGGCTCACACTAAGTCCGCAACTGCCAGGCCCGAAGAGCGCATGGCTGCGGTCCAGAAGGCCAAGGACGACAAGGCCACCAAGACCGCCCCTAAGGAGGAGTCCAAGCCCGAGGAGAAGAAGACTGTTTCTCTGGAGGAGCCCAGACAACCAGCTGTTGCTGCTAGCACTATTGAATTGCTTCAGATGCAGGATGGCGACGACTCCGTTGTCCAGGACCTGGTCAAGACATTCAACGATATCGTCACAGTAATCAGCGCCGATGAGAACTCTAGCAAGTACTCTGCCCCTGTCGCCAAGGCTAAGGGCGAGCTGCAGAAGATCGGCGAGAAGATCGCTGCCATCCGCAGCGAGGTTCGCAACACTGCCCAGGAGGAGATCAACAAGGCCCACGCCACCTTTGATGAGTCCGCACGTGAATTGATCCGTCAGTTCGAGGAGGTTCGCTCCACTGATCTTGCCTCCTTCCGCGAGGAGTTCGAGGCTGAGCGTGAGAAGCTCGCCCAGGCCTACCAGCAAAAGGTCTCCACCGAGCTCCGTCACGCCCAGGAGCTCGCCGAGCAGCGTCTCCAGAATGAGCTTGTTGAGCAGGCCATCGAGCTGAACCGCAAGTACATTCACGAGGTCCAGAGCCTCGTTGAGCGTGAGCGTGAGGGCCGTCTCAGCAAGCTGAACGAGCTCACTTCCGACATCAAGGAACTCGAGTCCTTGACTGCCGGATGGAGCAGCGTCATCGACACAAACCTTAAGACCCAGCAGCTTCAGGTTGCCCTCGATGCCGTCCGCACCGTTGTTGAGCGTGCCGAGACCCCTCGTCCCTTCATCCGTGAGCTTGTGGCCGTGAAGGAGCTTGCTTCCGATGATCCCGTTGTCGAGGCTGCCATTGCTTCCATCAACCCCACCGCTTACCAGCGTGGTATCCCCTCCCCTACCCAGATCTTCGACCGCTTCCGCCGCGTCGCCAGCGAAGTCCGTAAGGCTAGCTTGCTACCCGAGGATGCTGGTGTGGCCAGCCACGCCGCCAGCCTTGTCCTGAGCAAAGTCATGTTCAAGAAGGATGCCGTGTCCGAGGGTGATGATGTAGAGAGCATCCTGGTCCGAACCGAGAGCTTGTTGCAGCAGGGTGACATTGATGCCGCCGCTCGCGAGATGAACACGCTCCAGGGCTGGGCCAAGATTCTCAGCAAGGACTGGCTGGGTGATGTCCGTCGGGTTCTCGAAGTCAAGCAGGCTCTCGAGGTGAGTTTCAATTCTTTTATTAACCTCATGTTCAATCAGATTTACTAACAGTCTTTACAGGTTATTGAGGCCGAGGCCCGCCTCCAGTGCCTGCGTGTTGAGTAAGTGCATGCTTTGAGCGATGTCGATTTCAATTTACCCTGTATATCCTCGTCTTCTACAGGAACTGTACCTTTAGATGTACTTGTGCTTTAGACTCAAATGCTAGATATTTCCTATGTCCTTTAGTCCAATAGGAACACAGGCTAGCCTAAAGTAATCCAGGATAGTTCCTTTTTGCACTGTTTCAAATCCTCTCAGGCTCCTTAGGGCTGTTTGATGTCATATCCTTTTCTTTTACTTCCAGGGTCTGCTTACGTAACTGGTTGACGCGCATCCGATCTACATCGGAGCGTTACGTCTTGCAGGTTGATCATACAATCTGGCCTTTGATTGTGCTGGTATAAGAATCCTTGCCAACTTGGCCGACCGCATCCATGCTTGTGTCTGGCCAAACCAGGTCCGCTGTCTCTTTATCGAGCGTGGCCATCTAGCACCATTGCCCTCCCGCGGCAATGTCGCAACGACCGAACGAACCCCCGGCACGATCTTCAATGCCTCCTAACAATGGACGACTGCGAGACCGACCCGATGGACACTATTCACCTTTACTACGATCCGATGGCGGCTCATCTCGCCAAAGCACTCCGCACGTGAATGAGGCGCGAGCTAGTGGGGAGTTGGAGGGTAGTACACTGGGCAGCAGTTCTCGAGAAGGAGAGAGAAGGAAACCTGGTCAGCGGAGGACACAAAGCCCAAGCGGCTTCCTAGTTGACTCTTTGCCTCGCTCGAAAGGCACCAGAGTCAGCTTGCACCGCCCACGACCATCGGAGCCTCCTGCGGAGAGGCGCAGTGTCCCCGAATCCGATATCGTGGTCCCAAAGAAACGATCACGATTCCCCTGGAGTCGACATAAAAACCATGAAGCCGAAACAGTTGCAGTGGATAGTGTGCCAACACCGGCTAATGCTGGCCAAGCTTCTAATCCTGTTAGAGAGCCTTCTGGAGGCTCGTCGCAGCCCGAGACACAGAGAAGCAGCACGGATCAGTCGACACCTGGCCTCGATAGAGATTCAATTCAGATTGTGAATCTAGCCTTGAACTTGAATGAGTCTAGGAGGAGGACGGCTTCTGGTATACCCCCAGGCACAGGAGGCCGAAGACCGATATCTGTATCTCAGCCTGCTATGCCGCAAGGAGACAGCTATGCGCAGTCCCCAAATTCACGAAACTTCCATCGTGACTCGGCCTTTCGCAATTACACCCAGCTTCCTGGTGACCGTTTGTCACAGGGGACGTTGCCCAGTGTTGAACAGTCATCTGTTGTGAATTTGCTACCTTCGTCTGCGGTTGATGACCACCGAGCATATGAATTTTCCGAAAGTACTTTGGCCCGTGCCGAGAGAGCCCGAACTCATTTTGACCTGTTCCATGAATATGTACGGCTCCTTCCTTTGCTGCCTCCCCTTCGCGAGGCCAAAAGAGATAGCCCGACAGAGTCTTCGAAATCTGGACAGCTCCATCGAGGCTATAACCCGCTTCAAATGATTCGGAACCGCAAGGTCAGATATCGTGAAAAGTGCTCTATCGATGCGGACGCAGAAGGATGGCACGACGTTGAGCGAGTTCATCAATGGATCAGCAACGTTGAGCAAAAATACAGCTCAAGACAGCACGACCAATTAGAATCTTTGAGGTTACCTCCTTTCCAGCAGGGTCACCGTCATGTACAGCATGGAGATCAGGATGATATAGATATGATGACTACATCTCCTCCATCGAGTCTGCGGCGTGTTAGTCGGACGAGCAGCATGAAAGCTCGCCGACCACGCATTGATTGGAAGATCTCACCTGCAGAGCTCCTGGCCGATGCCGCTTGGCTTGAAGAAGGTACCAACAAGACCAAGGTCGTTGACAAGGATGGCTATAAACTATACCCTGACTCGATGCATCTGAAAATCACGAACTCGCACGCTGATAATACCGCACATAACATCCGGTCTTCCGTTGATGTGGAGGTGCCCGGTGACAGACACTCGTCACGTCGTACTTCTATGTCAAGTGCGCACCCTGCATTGGCCCACGAATTCAAGAGCGTCGGTCGCGGGCGACATAGACACAGGTTCCGAAGCCATTCACACAGCTTACGCAGTCGCAGTGCCTCTAGCTCACGGAAACCTTCACGGTGGAATAAAGTCAAGTTGCGTTCTGGCAGTGTTTCGAGCTCTTCAAGCACAGATTCCACACATTCCATCGACGAAAAGCCTCGCATGTCTCGTGAACATCTTCGAGAACATGTTCACAAACTGGTGGACAAATCTACACGGAACTTATCCTCGACTCGGGCATCCCGTGCTAAGTCCCCTGCTGTTCAACCTGCCGAAATTGACCGGGGTAGAACACCTCAGCCTTCTGAGCCACTGTCGCTCAATACAGGACAGGGAAAAAAGCACAGAAGGGGATCACTTTCATCAACAGGCAGTTTTGATAATGGAGCCGACCCTAGAATGTCCCTGGAAGGAATGGATAGCACTGCGCCTAATTCCCCGGTACACGCGGGATATTTCCCGAGTATCGCGGTCAATCTGTCTCCTCCTTCAAGTCGATCTCCATCGCCTGCAAAGAAGGGACTTCGCCACAAGATTGTCTCCCGCCATGAACGCAGCAAGAGCAAGCAACGAGACCTCCACGAAGATGAATTCCTTGAAAGTGAGGCTTCGCGCCAACATAGTGTGACCTCGCCTGAGCGCACGGAAGCCCCGAAGCTTGAGCCCAGTCCCTTCCCTGATGTCGTGTCCTCGTCTTATACAGCGGATCAAGGCACGTCTGAAGGGAGTAAGGCGGATGGACATAAATCTCGCAAGGGAGCCCATCTTCCCGAATCAAAACTTCGAGGCATCTTCAAGGGACCAGGTCGGATAGCAGAGCTTGTGGGCAATGAAGTCTCCAAGGTTGGCGATCTCATTCTGAAAAAAGATGCAGATCCCGATTCACGGAAATCATCATCCGCAACTACATTTGTCTCAGACGATAGCGATTCCGACGATGAGAATAAATTGGACAAGAAGTCCAGCTCCAAGAGACTTTTGGAGCGTCTGCCAACATTTACCGAGGATTCTGGGCGTTTGCCTCGCAAGGAATCTGAAAAAGCCGCATCCCGGAGTTTCATTCCCTCTTTGCCGAGTTTCACGTCTCCATTACGACAGAACGAACGAATCCAAGCCCCGGAAGCTATCGACTTTGGCAATCCTCAAGAACGGGTGTCTCCACGAAAACGCGACACCAACGAATCCTCCAAGAATTTCGCTTTGCCACGCAGTAAAACCTTGGATTTTGCCCCTTCTCTACACACTGAACGGGTCAAACACGCGATCAAGGGTCCATCTGTTCCTTTCAGTCTAGCACGACCTCCTGTTACTGGCCTCGCCAATGCCCGCGCATCCCCAGGACTCTCTCCAGATGGGAGATGCGCAGGACTTTCAGGCTCTAGTCGTGCCTGGAGCATCTCTGGACGAAGTCTTCGCACCTCGAATGACACAGGTGTACCTGGAAAACCCGAAGTGGAGCGCACCCAAGCCCTGTTGTTGTCGTCCGGTATTAAAGCCCGAGAAATCACTCGCCGAGCCCACGAAAACCGCGAAACAGCTCCGCACTGGCTTCAGGCTTCTCTGGGCCCCACGGCACTATCATCTACATCTAACCCAAGAGTCACGCGAATTGAGGAATTCGATATCGCAGCCCAAAACCTTCTGCAACGTTTCGAAAAAACCCAATACTCCTTCCAACAGTCTATGCACCATTTCTCTACAACTACATCCTCGCCTCTCCGCGAACAACTCAAGAGCTTGGAAGATCTGGTCAAGCAATCTCTTACTCCTCGTGTCCGATCCACAGCAAATGATGCCGAGGACATGTGTGTCCAGCTTAATACCACAAGCACACTCGCCGTGAAGCAGCTCAGCGATGCCCTAGACATGGGGATACGCAAGCGACGCCGTCGACTACGTTGGATCCGGCGAACGGGCTTTATGGTCTTGGAATGGGCTCTTGTTGCTATGCTGTGGTGGGTGTGGCTAATCGTCATGGCATTCAAGCTTGTACGCGGAGTGTTCCGAGGTGCATTCTCTGGTGTACGATGGGTCTTGTGGCTGTGATCGTTGACCGCAGCATACGCTATTTTTTCTCCCTTTCGTTTCTTCTTGTTGTGTCTATCCTTTTGGAGGCTTTCGTTCTATACTAATCAATTCAACTTTGTTGGCCATTGGCGCGCATATACCCATCGTGTCTCTTTATACTCGGTTACTTCTTCTCATTTCACCATATGTGATTCAATGGAGCGTTGCATCTGTCGACTGACTCCTCTCACAGCTTGATTTCAATGTATGTACATATTTTAATGCTGTATTTCTTATTCAATACATGGGGGTTTGAACTATGCCTTTTACTTGTGTTCTTTCAATCACAGAAATACAAAGACATTGAAATTACAAGGAACGCAAAGAGCCACAAGTTGCTCTAAATTTGACAAAGCCTTGTCAGGTGTTTGCTGTTAGTTTGGACACTGACAAAGAAAAAGTGTCTGGCGCAGGATATTGTCAGAGTGTTTTAAAAAGACCTCGGGGGTAAATGTGTCGCTCTTGTTACGCTTTATTCTTGTCCATGGCGCACAATAAAGACCGCCGGATTTCCGGTTAGACAGTTGATGTTTTCTCCTGGAAGGGGACCAGTGGAATGTTGCTTGGGCGACGAACAGTTAACTGATCTGATAAAGAGAACTATAATTGGTGAGCTTTTCCTGACTAGACAAAGTATGTGCAAGGAAAAGGGGTTTGCAATGGAAAAGATTGTTTTTCTTTTATGTGCTCAGTTTGTGCTTAGTGACGCCAGAGCAACTAGATTGAGATCATTGGTATTTTGAAGACGCACAGCGTTTTACCAGAGCTAGAAAAAATAATCCTCTTTGTCTATTTGTGATATGATATTGACATACTAAGCCGTGGTCAACAATGAGAATAGAAAGCCCAGAGAAAGAAAACATTACAAACAGAGAACAGAACAATGGCTTGTTAGACTTGACGTGCCTACAAAGACTGGAAAGATTTGGAATAACAGAAAATCCATTCTTTGCTTCTTTTGTGTCTTTTTACAGAGAAGCATTGAGAATGGCAGCATGTTCGATGTCACAAAGGTATAAGTACTTCGAGGCTAGCGGACAATACCACAATCAATTCACATATCACACTCGAAGCTACAAAACAAACAAAACACAGAAAACAATCATGGCGTCGCGCAAGAAGGTCACATTCCTTGACGAAACCGAAGAGTCCAAGGACGCCCGCGTTGGCTCTCGCGACATATCAACCTCTGTATATGACCCTGAGTGCCTCATTGCAGAGGAGCCAAAGCACAACAGGCGTGCGCCACCAGACTTCAGCCCACAGAGCCCAGGAGTCCGATGGAACCTCTCAGCCCTACTTGCATCCTTCCTACATGAGCAAGACCTCCGGCGGAGGACATCGACGGTGTTATTGATGAGTTGATCGTAATCAACTGGGAGGCGAAGACCCTCGCGCACCTGGATGAAAAGCTCTCCCTCTGGGTCAAAGCCAAGGTCCCCGGCGATGCTATCGGTGTGTTCCTCATCTACGTCCTATACGACATGGATGGTCATATCATCAGCCTGCTAACCAACATGGTAGACGGAGGCTTTGCTAACTTCGACGTCGCTTGGAATATTATCTTTGCGCATTGCAGCGAGGAAGTGGCGAGCCAGATGATCATGTACGACGAGGCATGTATCATTGACCCGCTTATGGGCCGTATAGAAGAAGAGGAAGAGGCTGAGCCAGAGAAAACACCTTTGCAGTATGAATGCTCCAACTGCAAGAGAGAGCAGCAAGCTCTGTTTGAAGGTACCAAAATCTCCTTCTTAGATACCGAAGAACTGACTACTGGCAATGTTGATTGAAGGCCTGGAGGAGCAGACGTCCATAAAGCAGGAGCTCCTCACCGACTATCCAATCCCGAAGGTCGTTCTCTCGACAATGCGGGCTACCAAAGTGCCGATATCTGCATCCGAAGAGGACCTGCATATGCTAAAGATGGAGTTCACCGCTGGGACAAGCAATGCCTTGACAGACTTTAAGGATGAACAAATATGGTCGGACAGTTTCTACGACGCTACAGTTTTCCAGCCAGCAGAGGCAAACGAGCGAAAGCTCGAAGTGACACGACTCCCCAACATTGAGACCATCAAAGCTGATATTGTGCAGGCAGGTCATAAGCCTAATCCGCTTTCCCCGAAGAAAACAAATAAATCTATCCCTGGTTTCTTCTCATACCGCAAGGTTTGTAACCGTCTTGCTTCCACTGGACTTAGGAAGTGGGCTGGTAAGAAGGATCTCCGTAAGGAATTCTTGAAGGGAGAGAAAGAGTGAATGGAACTCACTATGCCCATAATACCTTCATACAGTGAGTCTCACTTCAGTTCTCTATGCTAAGCTTTACAGAATTATCTTTCCTTTGTTATGGGCCCTTTATTGGCATCATCCTTTGTCTATTTTGGCTTGATGGTTTCATTGTTGCTATTTTCCTCGGAGAATTACTCAAAAAAAAATCTGCTGCTTGAAACCGATAGTTTCTTGCAATTTGTAACTCAACCCAAAATCTGTAGATTGGTGCTGGTTTACCTTGAAGAGCCCTAAATATATAACCCAAGTAGGAAGTCTATAATATCTCGGGAAGCAGTTCTTTGTTCCATACACTGATAAATTTGTATAATTATAGAATTTCAATATATAATGCACCCTGCAGCTTCAACATATAATGAAATGCCATCTAAGCCAGTAGGAGAGAGGTGTAGAGAGCAAAGCCGACACATAGGAAGCGGTATATACCCTTCAGAATATACAAGACTTGCCCAAGCAAGCCACATAAAAGCCAAAATATAAAACAATGATCTATTGTTCAGACAGGAGAGTAGAAAGTAGCCTTAAATCTTGAAATACAGGTCCAGAAATGCACAAAAGTGATATAGTGCCATGCCATAAATAGTACAGGAGGGTTTTGGAGAGAATCCAACAAGATGCCAATTTCCAATGCCAGGCGCTGCCTTGATTGGATGGAATTGCAGGAAGGGAGGATTGGAGGAATATTACATGTTAGTTTGGTCGTTTATTTCTTGTGTCTGTCGGCCTGAGCCTTCAGGTGCTTGGCGATGAGTTCTTTCCTAGAAGAGAGATATCAGTTAGCATTGAAAATGTAAATTGGGGCATGTTGGGGGTAAACGTACTGCATCTGAACTGGAGCCTTCTCGTAGTGGCTAAACTCCATGGTGTATTCACCCTTGCCCTGAGTGGCAGCGCGCAAGTTAGTACTGAAGCCGAACATGCCGTTCAGACTGCAGTCAGCGTAGATAGTGAACTCGTCGACACCAGTCTCGGTGTCGTTGATGGTAGCACCACGCTTGTTCAACAGACCGATAACATCACCCTGGAACTCAGTAGGGGCGGTAACGACCGTCTTCATGAGGGGTTCCAGGACGGAGGGCTGAGACTCAGCGAAAGCCTTGCGGAACGCCTGCTGGGTGGCGTTCTTAAAGGACATTTCGGAAGAATCAGTCATGTGAGTGGCACCGTCGTTGATGACCATGCGAGTACCAAGAACCTTGTGGCCGATGAGAGGACCCTTGTCACAAGACAGGTTGAATCCCTTCTCACAAGCGTACAGGAACTTCTCGGAAATGGAACCTCCGACAACTTGCTGCTCGAACTTGTTCTCCTCCAGAGCGCCGGTGGGCTCCATCCATCCCATGACACGGGCGTATTCACCGGGTCCACCGGACTGCTTCTTGAGCAGGTGGTCGAACTCGACGCGGTGGCCGATAGTCTCACGGTAGGCGACCTGGGGCTGACCGGTTTCGCAGTCGACGCGGTACTCACGGCGCATACGCTCGACGTAAATATCCAAGTGGAGTTCACCCATACCAGAGATAATGGTCTGGTCACTCTCGCTGTCGTAGGTAACGCGGAAAGTAGGGTCCTCACGCTGGAAACGAGCCATGGCCTTGGAGAAGTTGGCGCCATCCTTACTCTGCTTGGGCTTGATGGAGAGCGAAATGACGGGCTCGGGGACGAACATGGACGACATGCTGTAGCCGAGCTGACCGTCAGTGAAGGTATCACCGGAAGCACACTCAATACCGAACACGGCACAGATCTCACCAGCACCAATCTCGCTGACCTCCTCCATCTCGTTGGAGTGCATGCGGACAATACGGGGAACCTTGACCTTCTTGTTGTTGCGGGCGTTGAAAACGTTGGAGCCCTTGCGGAGAGTACCCTGGTACACACGGATGTAGGTCAACTGACCGAAGTTGCTCTCTTCAAGCTTGAAGGCGAGACCGACGAAGGGAAGGGAGTTGTAGGGGACAAGCTTGACGGAGGCTTCGTCACGCTTCTGGTCAAGAGCCAAGTTCTCGACCTCGGAGGGGTTGGGAAGGAAATCGATAACACCGTCCAACATAGGCTGAACAGACTTGTTGGCAAGAGCGGAACCCATGAAGACAGGAGTGAACTTCAATCCAATGGTGGCGCGGCGGATAGCGGCTCTAATTTGATCCTCGCTGGGGATGATCTCGTCCAAGAACAGCTCAGCAATCTCATCGTCGACATCGGCAAGAGTCTCGATGAGCATGCTGCGGCGCTCCTCAGCCATAGCCTTGACCTTCTCGGGGATTTCATCCTTCTCCATGATCTCCTCACCACTGGCACCAACGTTGTAAAGAGCCTTCATGCGGATCAGATCCACGACACCCTCGAACTCATCCTCGGTACCAATAGGAACCTGAACAGCAGCCGCAGGAATCTTGAGCTTAGTGTTGATCTGGTCAACCGCCTTGAAGGGGTTGGCACCCATACGGTCCATCTTGTTGACGAAAGAAATACGGGGCACGTTGTAACGGCGCATCTGGCGATCGACGGTAATGGTTTGGGACTGGACACCAGAGACGGCACACAGAATCATGACGGCACCATCCAGAACGCGCAGCGCTCTTTCGACCTCGATGGTGAAATCAATATGGCCGGGGGTATCGATCAGGTTGAGGTGGTACTTGTGGTCAACGCCCTCCTTATCCTTCTTGACCCAGTCACAGAAAGTGGCGGCGGACTGAATGGTGATACCCTTCTCACGCTCCAAATCCATGGAATCCATCTTGGCGCCGACGCTGTCACGCCCGCGGACCTCGTGGATAGCCTTGATACGACCAGTGTAGAAAAGAACTCGCTCGGTACAGGTGGTTTTGCCGCTGTCGATATGGGCCTGCGCAAAGATATTGATTAGACACGATACAGTGGCGAGCTGGGAGCAACTGGGGTATGATGTACCGCGATACCGATGTTACGGCACTTGTCAAGACGAGCGGCCTCGACGGGATCAAGGTTGTCAATAATGGCGGCTTGGGACAGGCCATCGGGGTTGGCCTTAGCAGCCTCAAGACTATAACCAAATATTAGAAGTAGAATGAGGAAGCAAGCAGATAAACTCACACTGCAGACGCAGTAGCAGAAGCATTGCGTCGCTGGTCCCATTGTCCAAACTTCGACTGATAAGCCGGCGCAACAGCGGCGGACCGGAACGCGGCTGTAGAAGCGCATCGCTGGCGCAGGAGAGTCTGAGGCTGGAAACGGGCCGATCTGGTCAAGCCAGACACCGCACGGGATTGTAACCGTGCAAGAGAAGGAGACCGCATCTTGATGATCCACTCACACCGGAATTGATATGAACAACGCGGATTGAATGTTCTGTTGTCTCCCCGAAAAAAAAGTTCGGGGAAGCCAGGAACGCGTCACGTGATTTACATCGGCCCATCAGAGTTGATGAATTAGAATTGTACAGAGATTGGAGTATAAACAGAGATACTAGGATTCTAAATGGCATTGGAAGGGTTGAACAGTTATTCTTAGACAAAGACGTGTTAGAATGGAGAAAGCTGGTCCGTAAAAGGAATATAAAAAACCATGAAGCAGAAGTCAAGACTGGAGATCATTTGATTCGAAATAGAGGATCCGATATTCCTGGTTGTAACACTAATATACAAGAAAAGACAAAGGCGCCGTGATATCCAACCATTGTCTGGTTTGAAACAAGAATGCAAGAGCATGCCGCCAATTCCAAGTTCCGAGGCGACAAACCGTATATGTATGCATCAAGGATACGATATGCCCAGTAAGAGCCATTCTAAATGCTCTAGGCTTCTGCCGATATCCCAGAGTATTCGAATAAAGGCACCCGCGGAAGGAGGAGGCGATGCATGGTATTGGGAAAAACGCAAGAAGGAAATTGATCTATTTTCCTTGCCGTTGTTTGTGCTTGGGGTTCTTCGAGCTGAAAGAGAAAATGAAATGTCAATAAGTGCTTCAAATATAGCGTCTAATGGCGCAGGGTAGGCACTCACCAAATGATGTAGACACGGCCCTTGCGGTGAACGGGCTACAGAACGTAGTTAGCACCAGTCATTCCGGTAAAAAAATTCACCCCGGAATAGTGTCCAACGGCATAATATGCAGGCTCAATCATACCTTGCAGCCATCACAAAGTCTCTTCACAGAAGAACGAGTCTTCATCCCGCGAACCTGCTCAATCTGACGAGCAGCTGCAACCCCCACAGCGACGGAATTGCTAGTATGTGCTTGTCCGCGAAGTTTCGTCAAACCATTGCGAATCATGTGCGAGAATGGCCGTAATGAAGCAGTTCTGTAGGAGACCGAGGGGAAGATTTGGCGGAGGGCACCGGAGGAGGCACCGATGGCGGCGCGGAGGGAGAACATGGCGGCGGTATTGGGAAACTCCGAGAGAGGCGAGCAATTCGAAGCCGTGCCTCAATTCTCCTAAAACGAACAGGAAGTATCGAGATGGAGCGAATGTCGATGTTTTGGCTCAGAAGGTTCTTGCCGTGATCGCAAAGGTTGGCCGGAGGTTCTGTATTGCCGATCGGCCGAGACGTGTAATGATTGGTGGGACTGGACTACATAGAACTACAAGAATCGCAGAATACTAAGGAGAATTGGCAATTGGAATTATTTGATAAGTTGATAGAAGAATAGACATATTTTTGATATTTGTATGTCTTTAAGAAATATAAAGACCGGAAGACAATGTGACCTATGATACAGAGGGTCTATATCGCATATACCAAACGCCAAACAACATGGACCTCGAATCCGCTTAAACCAATAAGAATGTATGCACATGCATGTTATCGTTATCCAAATTGCATACTTTTATGACACTTCAATGTATGACACGCTTATTGGGCACGCAAGAAGGTCTTATAGGTAGGGGAGTCGGTCTGCTCGCTAAAGGGATAACCCAGCTCGTGGAGGAAGTGCTCAAGGTCATCCTTCTCGGAAGGAGGACACTGGATACCAGCAAGAACCTTGCCAACATCGCCGCCATAGTTGCGGTAGTGGAACAGAGAGATATTTTGGTTAGGGCGGAGGGTACGGAGGAACTTGGCCAGAGCACCTGGGCGCTCGGGGAACTCGAACATGAAGAGGCGCTCATCGGCAACTTCAGAGCGGCCGCCGACAAGGAAGCGCAGGTGACGCTTGGCAAGCTCATCGTCGCTCAGGTCGCAGCAGCTCATGTCATTCCGCTCCAGCTCCTCCATGATCTTGGCCAGGTCGTCACGACCAGTGGAGGCAGAGAGAGAAATACCCATCAGCACATCGGCGGAGTCTTCACGGGCATAGCGGTAGTTGAAGGCCGTCACGGCGTGGGGCAGAACAACCTCAACAAGCTTGGCGAATGCGCCAGGCTGCTCGGGAATCTTGACGCTTAGAAGAGCCTCCTTCTTCTCACCAAGGGCAGCACGCTCAGCAACAAAGCGCAGACGGTCAAAGTCCATGTTGGCACCGGATGTAATGGCAATCAGCTCGCGGTTGGGGTCAGGGCTGGGGTTCTTGGCAATATATTTCTTAAGACCCGCGAGGGCAAGAGCACCGGCAGGCTCGACGATAGAGCGAGTATCCTCGAAAGCGTCCTTGATGGCTGCGCAAGTCTCATCGGTAGTCACCTGGATGACATCGTCGATGACCTCGCGGCTGAGACGCCAGGTCTCTTCGCCAACAGACTTGACAGCAGCACCATCCGCAAAGAGGCCGACCTCCTTGAGGAAGATGCGGTTGCCAGAGTCCAGAGACTGGGCCATGGCGTTGGCATCGTGAGCCTCAACACCGATGATCTTAACCTGGGGAGCAATGCGCTTGAGATAGACACCAATGCCAGCAATGAGACCACCCCCACCGACAGCACAGAAGACAGCTTCCAGCTTATCCAGGTTCGCTTGGCGCAGAAGCTCCATACCGATAGTACCTTGACCGGCAATGACATAGGGGTCGTCGAACGGCGGAATGTTAGTCAGACCATGCTGCTTCTCCAACCGGTGGGCCTCGTCCTTGGCGGCATCGAAATCGTTTCCGTGGAGAAGGACGCTTCCTCCCATGCGGGCAACGTTCAAATGTTTGATAGCGGGGGTACCGGAGGGCATGACAATAGTAGCAGGGATTCTCAGCTTGCGGGCAGAAAAAGCAACACCCTGCGCGTGGTTTCCTAAAGCAAGTCAGCATATGCTTATAACTGTAGTAATCAACTGGGTATAGACCAACCTGCAGAGCAAGCAATAACACCCTTCCACCGCTGCTCATCGTTCAAATGAGCCATCTTGTTGTATGCGCCGCGGAGCTTGAAGCTGAACACGGGGAGCAGATCCTCCCGCTTGAGAAGAATTCGGCTTTCCAGCCTGTTGCTCATGTTGACTGCATGAGTGAGAGGCGTCTCCTCAATAACATCGTAAACTCGTGACGTCAAAATCAACCGGAGATACTAGATCGCGGGGTCAAAAGTTAGAATGTGAAAGCCAACAGAGAGTTAGGGACAACGGGCAAGCTGAAGCTTACATCCGGGTAGCCATTGGGCAGCAGGAAAGCCTCAGGGATGCCCCAGTTGGGAGGCACGCCAGGAACTCTCTGCGAGCGTTCGTTGGGGGGTGTCGGAGCGGCGGTATATTCAGTCAAGGCCAGTCCACTCATCTTGGGAGTGACCGGAGTCGCAACATCATTTGATGTGTCTTCAGACATGGTGAGGTCAGACAATTCCAGAAACCGAATATGAGAAATCAACAGGAATTGGAAAGTCGGAAAATTCTCGATATGACTCTTTTTTCTGGGGAGGCGGACCGTGATCGGAGATGTTATGTAAGCTATGGTGCAAGCCCTAAATATTGGCCATTGTAGAATTATATGGGGGAAATCGAATATTTAGTCTTGATGGAATGAGGTGGGTAGTACAATTGTATCTATTGATTCAGCTGCAGCTTCATTGCTTTTTTCATGGCTGCGTGAATGAAGAATAAGTATACTCCAATGCGATGTGGTACAGTGGCGGTCAGCCCAAGACAGCACGTAGGGTAGACAAAATTCCTATAGCCCTTTTTAAACGCTTCTGTCTGGGTCGTATAGCTTTCTATGTTCAAAACTACATTGCAAAGAAGAAAAAATTTGTTAGTAGAGCTAGTATATCTCTTGAGTAGCTCTCTTGGCCATGCAGTGCATAGTTACATAACCCGATACAGGAAATAACTATTATGTCATTGGCATCATGTCATGACATTCTGCCACCTACAACCACCTCTCGACTTAGATCAACACCGAGTAACCAGATCAATTGCCGAATGCCGTGTTTTTAAAGACAGTCGCCCTCCATCTGACCCCGACCGCCCCATCTTGGAAAACTCCGCACCCCAAGAACGCGATTCAACTCCGCACAACTCCCCGAGCCACCCCAAGCCATACACCATGAGTCGCGAACCAGTGCCCTCGTCCTTTGACAATGACTTGTATGTCCCATACCGATCCGCCATTGTCCGCCAGTTGCAACCGCCAATTCCACGATGAAAGCCAAAGGGCAAAAATAATCAGCTAACACAACCCAAGTCAATTCACAGAAGAAACCGGCGTCCAGAAATTCACCCGCCGTCTCAAAGAAGAGCCCCTCGTCCCGCTAGGTATACATCCCTACAGATCCCAATACTACCAACCCCATCAAGCTCCAGCAAATACCTAACCCCTCACTTTAGGATGTGCGGCAACGTGCTACGCCCTCTACCGCGCCTACCGCTCCATGAAATCCGGCGATTCAGTCGAAATGAACCGCATGTTCCGCGCCCGTATTTACGCGCAAGCCTTTACACTGGTCGCCCTCGTCGCAGGAGGAATGTATTTCAAATCAGAGCGCCAGCAGCGTCGCGAATTCGAAAAGGCCGTGGAAGACCGCAAGAAGCAGGAGAAGCGTGATGCCTGGCTACATGAGCTGGAGGTTCGTGACAAGGAGGATCGCGCTTGGAGGGAGCGTCACGCTGCCATTGAAGCTGCCGCTAAGGAAGCTGGTAAGCATACGTCGCGTGATGGGCCTGATGCGGCGCGGTCGGCGATTGAGCCTGCGGATCAGAAGTCTGTTGGTGTTTTGGATGCTGTCCGGGCTCTTGTTGGAAAATGATGGATCGGATATTGTATCTCATTTGTATGATATATAGGGAGTAGATTGGGTTTTTGTTTTGTTTTGTATATATGCATCGAAATTCTCCCTTCGTGTGGATCTTCCCACTAAATTGCATGGAATGGGCCCTGTCATCGCTGTGCCTGTGAATTTTGTACCTGGGCGTGTTCCCGATCTTGGATACGAGTGAGAACCTGTTAGCTACCCTGTCATCTGCACGTCGCTCACAAGGGCGACGCCGAGATCGACAAGCCGAGGTTGGAAATTGATCCACGCTAAACAAGCTCGAACTAGCACTCAAAAAGTAAACCATCGTCTTGGCAAGAAATCCTTTCAAGCCCCGAAAAAGAAGGACTTTGGTGTGATCATCGCCGAAGTTTTGGTTCGACCGAGGTCTTCATGTGAGATCGACATAGCGGCAACCCATCTGATTCCGAGTCGGATCGGGCCTGCCGCCGTGTAGGTGATATCGATATGGTGTTTTCTACAGAGTTAGAGTATGGCATGATCATTCAGCTCGTAATAAGGAGTAGACGAAAGAATGTGTGAACAGGAAAACGATGTGGTCAGGTGTATATAAGGCGGGGAAGTTGATCAAGCCCTAATTCGGACAGCTTCACATTCAGGGCCTACGAAGGAACCTACATTAAACTTTGCACCTGCACCGGATTCTAGGCTCCGCTAATCCGTCTGCTTCTGATCACTTCCTGCACGTTTCTTCCCGACCATGACGTGTGGGACTCTAACCTGTCGCCTTGTGGGCCGTCTCTGATCAGTATAAAAGCCCATGTCAATCCCCTAGTAGTCTATTTCTTCCTGATTTTGAACTTTCGCACCAACAGAGTTGCAAAGAGCCCTTGATATTAACGACTATATAATCAAAATACACCATCCGAAGCCGCCAAAATGCTCTCCTGGGTCTACCCACTCCGAATCATCCAGGTCATCTTGTCCCTAGCAACAATCGGCCTCAGCGCATATGGTATGTCCCCTTCATATCAGAGTCACCAAAGAAGCAGCCCCTGACAGGTCCCAGTCATTGCATCTCTCTACGATGAATGGTCCTTCTCAAATGTCGTCTACTACATGCTGTTCAACGGCTGCTGGACAACAGCAATCGCAGTCCCTTACCTAGGCCTTGCACCACTCGCATTCCCCCGCCTCTCACACGAACTTGTCATTCCTCTCGTTGAAGTCCTCACTGGTGGTCTCTGGCTCAGTGGTTGGATCGCCTTGGCTGCTATGATTCCCTCGCCGAGTGTGTGCAAGTGGGCTAGCTGCCATGCTTTGCAAGCTTTGATTGTTGTTGCTGCTGTGCAATGGTAAATCCATCCAGTCTATGATTGACGTCCTTGATCTCCCAGAGTAAAAAGTGTCTGACCTTGTATTTATAGGGCTACGTTCGCTATTACAAACACCTTCGCTATCCTTGATCTCTTCAACTCGCGCCGCAACGCCAAGAACCATCGCGAGGAAGCGCCTCCAGCACCGGAGACTTCTCAGGTTAATGGTGATGCGGCTGTCTAATCTACTTCATGTTCATCATGTTAATATGACTATCATTCGTTAACGGCACTGAACGTCTGAGTTTTGAATCATGAGGCCCTGACTGCTGTGAGCTTGCGCGTTTTGGATTTTACTTTTTGGTTGCAACGATATCCTGGGTTGTTTGATGAACACAGACCCTGACGTACATATGGGCTATGGTGTTATTGTGATTTTTGTCTACTTCCCTTTTATACAGGGGCTAATAATACAGGAGATCATCGGGTCATGAATACACCTAATGTTTATATGATAAGTCTGTCTAATGCTTTACTTGCGTCAAATTCAAATGTCAATTAGCACGCAAAGAGATTGAATGGATGTCCATCAGACCTTTTTTAAAAAAAGAATCGTTTGTTTTTTAGAAAGTAATTTTCGACGTCTTCTCTGAACCATCTGGTTGCTATCTGATCCGTTGTGATCACATGATCTGGTTTCCTGGTCTAGCGGTTATGATTTTCCGTTAACAATTGCTTCGAGCAAGTGTTCCGGAAAGGTTCTGGGTTCGATTCCCAGGGAAACCATTTTTTGCATCCCGAGCATAGTGGGGGTACACAGTGGAGGACATAGTGGGGGGAGGACCTTATACCTCGGAGCTGCATCTTTTTTAGACGATGTACTAGAATTGGTCGGCCCACTTTTGATACTACAACTTTAGCACCAATTGCCTAGCCATGAAATATCTTTGTATCTTCTCGATCGAACGGTGTTTGCTCGACGGGACATCCTCACCTGGGTAGCAAGGATACCAAGCATGAACACTGTCAACTGCGGCTTTATGAACGGAAAATCCGTATGGGATGCCAATTCTGCTCAGTTGAGTCTCTCGTGAGAGTGGTGTTTCCTACTTAAAGGTGTTTACTATCTTCACATCTCAGGTCTACGTTTCAAGTATAAACCTTTTACCTCATGTTTCCACACTGCACGTGCAACCTCTACACGCATTTATAAGAAATCGTCTCACACCACATCAAAAATAGCACACTGAAGAAATAGATCGGATCCATGAGTCCCAAGTATTGAACAGAGAAGATTTCATTCCAACGCTAACAGAACCAGCTGCGTAAACTCGCCGAATGAACCAACAAAAACATTCTAACAAGTCATTACCCGAATGGTATCCATATTGTAAAACCGTTGACCGTCACTCGTAAGAAAGCCTCCCTCAAGCAAAATGAAAAAGAGAGAACAAACATGAAAAAGTCCATAATAATATACACTCGTCATAATGTAAATGTGAGATCTGATCCATCAAGCAAGATCCATCCCATCCAACTGGTTTATCGTTTTCATGGGACCAGTCTGTCCATTTTGAGTCATTTGTTCGTGAAATCCTAGGACTTCGCCATACCTAACAAAATCATCATGATTAACAGACTGCCCGGTAAAAAGAAACGATTGCTTTTGTCCGCAAACTCACATGATAGTCTTCCAAATATCAGCAGGAAGGTTGGCTTCAAGGAATGACCAATCAAAAGCTTCTGTTGCGACTGGCTCGTCGTTTGGGTCGTGGTATGGTGCTAGATATGGGCATTCAACAGCTTGATTTGCTGTTATGCGTGTATCCGGGTCGAATTGGAGCATTTGGTCGATAAGGGTGACAGCTAGATTGATTGTTTAATATTTGGATTCTGAATTGCATATAGTAGATTGCATACCATCTGGATTCGCCTTTGGTATGAGTTGTGACATTGGTTTGCGCTCTCGCTTTGGTAGTGATTTGATGAAATTCAATGTCTAGAAACAGAAATTAGCAAAGCCCTGCCTTGAAGTCCGGACATGACCTCGATGCTGAATCACACTCACATTTTCACTCGTAATATTCGCGATCATCGATTCCGGTGGACTCCCAAGGGACTCGGTAATAACACAAAATTGGTTGATATGATTCTTTCCAGGGAATAGAGGCTCGCCCAGTAGTAACTCAGCAAAGATGCAGCCAGCACTCCAGATATCGACTTTTTCGTTATATTTCCGCCACGTGAGCATGATTTCCGGTGCGCGGTAATATCTTGTTGAAACATAGCCGGTCATATTGAGTTCTTGAACTCGGGCGAGGCCGAAGTCGCATATTTTCAGGTCGCAATTTTCATTTATGAGGATGTTGCTTGGTTTCAGATCTCGGTGGACGACTCCTGCTGAATGGAGATATTTTAAGCCGCGCTGAGACACTGATCATTAGCGTCTGGTTGAAGCCGGGTGGTGTGGTGACGAACCATTATCTGATACATAAAGTATTGCGCGAATTGGTCTTCGACTTTTTTGGATTTGAGGATTGTGTTGAGGTCCGTTGCCATCAATTCTGTCACGAGGTATCTGGGATAATTAGAGACCCGATGTGCTGGTACGGTGGGGGGCTTCGTACATGTCTTCGGACGGTGAGATGAAGATGTCGGTAAGGTTGATAATCTGGTCCTTGGTTAGAAATGCAACAATAAAAGGCTTAGAGAACTCACATTTTCATGGTGTAATTGTCGTAACAATTTTATTTCTCGAAACATATGTCTTGCAATGCTGTCTGTCTTGAATGGTTCTGCAAGCTTCTTCACGGCGACTGTCTGATGACGTATTTGGTCCCTTGCAGAGCTATAAGAATCAGAACATCAGTCCCCGCCATTCGAAGCGTAAGAATAAGAGAAGAATACCAGACAAGTCCAGAGACTCCAAGGCCAATAGGCCTCCAGTCTGTATAGCTGGTTCGTAGAATCTCAGTAAGTTGTACCAACTCAAAATCGCCGTCTTACAGGCTGTAGTAAGTCTAACCGTTCAGTAGTTTCGAATATAGTGCCCATTACTGTTTTCTGAGAGAAATGTGCCATCTCCTCACCATAGGGAGGCGTCAAGAGAGCCGCAGGCATCATCTGGGCTGATTGGTATTGAACAGAAGTAAGTACACCCAATGAGCAAATCAATTCACAGAAAAGGGTTGAAGTAGCAACCCAGGGTAAGCATCGACATGGAATCGTAAATCGAAAGAAATAACCCAGGGAACTTGGGGAAAATAGAAGCAATGGGGGTAGTTGTACCTAACACAACGCCAGCGCGTGATGTAGTCAGGTCGTGGCAACCTTGGCGGGATGCGGTGACATCAGCGGCTGTGGATCGTGGAGATCGAATGCTCTTTCACGTTCCACATTTCTTCACTTATTCACGCCCTATTTCCTCTAGTCTGCAGCTGCTCAAGCCATGTCCTTGGATCGGCGACTTTCGGCTTGTCTCTGTGGACGGAATTCTCAAGCGCCTAGGTTATATTTTCCTAATGATCTCTCCCAGGCCATCTGGTCAATGGCTTCTGCAGCTTAATTGCCTGACTATGTGGTGTGATTTTAGTAATGTCACATCCGGAGACACCTCTCATCGTCATGGGAACGTTCTTCCGCTCTTCCCGCCTCCAGGGGAATATCTTCAGAATGCCCAGAGAGTCCCCAGATAGTGGATGACTAACATACAGATACCGGAGAAATCATGCGTGTAAAAAGTTGTTGCAATTCATATATTCGTGCAAGCAGCTAATGTCGTCAAAGGCGTAATTGAGTTTTTTGGTGAGCTCTCACAGCTCGAAAATTAGTATACAGAATAAGCACAACGCTAAAATCACCAACGCCATAGTCCAGCCACGCCGAATTCACTAGGTACACAGATTCTCCGCATCAATGAAATTCTCAAATATCGAATCATTGGTCGTATTCGCATCGTATGGCACGAGGTCATCGGCGACCTTGGGTAACACAGTCCAGTCACCACCAGGATAGGCGCGGGGGTCGATCAGGTTATTATGATTCACTTCATCCACCGTGACCGATTCATCTGAGTAGGACCCATTCGAAAAGGTCGGCGACATGCTGCATTCTTGCATGGGTTGGTTTTCCAGGACCGTTTGGGTCATTCGGGCTAGTTGGAGGTTGATTTGGTGGTCTTTGCACTCGGCGTGTTGGAAGATGATATTTTTGAGGTCCCAGACTTCTTCTTTGAGACAGTTCAGCTGGGCCAAAAGGAGTTCTTTCTTTTCTGTTTCGTCGCTGAGGCGACGCTCGATTTGTTTGTGTTCGCGCTTCTTTCTTTCGCGGCATTTGTTGGCGGCGATGCGGTTGCGCTCGAGGTGCTTTGCCCGATCGGGGCCGACGGCGCTGTTTCGTGCAGATCGCATGTTGGGATTCGTATTTGGTCTTCGGTGAGGGGTTGTAAGTGATTGGAATTGTATAATAGCAGGTATAGTAAGGTGTGGCTTGAGTTGACTTTTGACTACAGTAGTGGGAGGTATTCAGTGCTATTATATGTTAAATATTCCCCCTCCGACCTCCCAACACTATATAGAAAATGGTCTGGACCAGAATCAATGACGTAGGCCAGCTAAACCAGCAAGCTCCAACTGCAACCTGTTCGACCGTTTCCGGTTGTGCCGACCAATCACTGCGGCGCAGCAAGGGAGCTTCAGGTCCCACAGTATGGAGTAATCCGAGAACAAGGATAGAGTGCGTGTGGAGTAGACAGGTGGCGAAGGGTTCTCCCATTCCTGTCTTGGTCCACGACGGACTTGAAACTATTCAATCTAGTACGATTGAATCTAGTCCTGACATCATCTTAGCGGTTTCAAGGTCTTTGACGACTCCTTCTTGCGGTAACAATGCACACCTCGGCCTAAACTTGCTCTCAAACTGGTGGGTCCCTTGCAGACAGACATGTCTTACTTGAAACCAATCGCTATGTTTTTCCTTCTACTTGGGTTGGTATCTGGGTTTCAACAACTTTATTCTCGTACCTTTGGTCTAGGGTCTAGACGTTTCCCCTCTCTGCCGACCGGCTAACTATGCGATACATAGTTCAAGAATGAGTCAAGCACTAGGAGTGAATGCCAGGGGCTTTAGTTCCTAGCTGATTCTCATTCATTGAAGTTCTAGATGCTGTTGCCATGCCAATGCCATTGGAATGCTCATCTCCATAATTAATCCCGACATTCCAGACAGTCTGTACCTCGGACGAACAGCTGTTCATTGGTTCAGCCACCAGCATCATATTCCTCTGCTGGACACCTTATCTCTCCGAGTCCATATGGCATGATGTCGATCTACCGAGACCCGAGACGTTCCGCCTATCAGCGTGCTGCATCACTTGTGTAGTACCACAACCCAATGCATCCAATACTCCTACCAGAACACACTCAGAACCTCACAGTATGTATGAAACCTCTTCTTGATATTCGAACATATTATATAAAAAGAGCAGCACCTATAACGCAGATTATCCAGCGACCTGTTCATCGATATACCGCCTCATAGTTTCAAATTCAGCTTTCCCTGTCTTTGAGTTGTTAGCTCATCCTACTCCCGACAAAAGACCAAAAAAAGGTACGAGACAAACCGAAAGCAGATATCTGATATGTTGCTTCAATAAGAAGAAAGGCAAAATCAGCTCGATATTCCCATTTCCTGGTTCCCAGGTGTGAGTGAGAAAGGCAATGCAACCTACCAAATCAGTGACCTCGCGATGCCGTTCAAATTCTGTACGGGCATAATTATGCAATTCATTCCTTGTCGATGACGGAGGGATTCCTATACATGCAGATTAACACTCGAGCCCAAAGGAAACATCCAAGAATGAAGAGTTGAATAAAAAGAATGAATCATACTATTTAAAGCCCGAACAACTTCACGCCAAAATGCAAGGACGCGCCCTCTTTGAATAAACTTGACAATAGATCAGTACACATATCCAAACCCGCATTTCAACCACGTCTGTAAGACACTGTTAAGGGTAGTACATACATGGTCTAAACCAACAGCAGGCTTCTTCAGCCGCGAAGACTGGCTGCGCGAGACAGCCGCCAGAAAATGTGATGATGGGCGCATTGGGACAATATCCAATCATGTGTTTATGCAAAGAGGAGTAAGAATGAGGCGAGATGGAGAGGAGATTTGATTTTAGTTGTTTTCACATTTGATGGATCGTTGTATCTTCCAGTAGCAGAAGGGATGGGAAGGGCGGTGTGGCAGCTGATTATTCTGCCGGGGACGTGGAACTGGTCATGTGAGTGCCTGTAGCATCTCTCATGTGAGTACCCGGACTTAACATCCCCAACAAAAGATCCTTCAGCCGTCTCTCTCATAATTATGGATAGCCTGTGTGCAGTGTAGCCTGTCTGGTCAGTGAGATATCCAAATACACACAGTGAGAGCATATGACACACCCCATTCCAGAATAGGAAAGCGGGTCCATATATAGATGGCCACCGAGCAACATTTCACCTAAAACCCCGCTGAATCGAAGCCCGCAGGTCAAGAAAGGAGCAACCAAAATATGAGTAAAGAAAATCAAGAAATGGCAAGGGGAGAAAAGACAAAAAGTAAGATCAGCGCCCCTGAGGTCCTGTTAAGGGGATAAATTAATCAATACTATAATAGCTTCCAGTTGCGATGCGTTTAAATCGTCCAACCTCCCTTAGTAACTGCCGGTATCAAATTCCGCCTGCGGCCCAAGGCCAGACATCCAGCAGCTGGGATATGTCTTCATTTGGCAATAGTCCCGTTGGATTTACCAACTAGACTGACCGAGGGTCGTTGTTATTCTGATAGCTCCGTAACGTGGTTTTGCCCGTTAATTTTCCTGATTGGGGGGACCTGGTGGGTCTAAATTATTCCCTGACGGGTTGTGGAGCTCTCTGGGGGCCTGGGATTACAGTGGCTTGATCTTGGTCTTGAGGATGGGGGTTAGATGGCATCATGATGTTTCATTCCTTGTATAGTTTTATTTTGGTGATGATTATTGCTTCGTTACGTGTTTACTCCTGCAGGGGCTCGCCCATGCCGCCGAATGTCACGCTCTTGATCGTCATGAACTCGTCAATACCATACTTGCTGCCCTCACGGCCGAAGCCACTCTGTTTGACACCGCCGAATCTGTGAAGACGTTAGATACTGCAAGATATTTGAAGACAGGGAAAAACTTACGGAGAGGCAACATCACTGATGAGACCAGTGTTCACACCAACCATGCCAACCTCCAGGGCCTCAGCAACACGGAAGATGCGGCGAACATTGCCACTGAAGAAGTAGCCAGCCAGACCGACCTCGGCGCGATTAGCCAGATCCACTACCTCCTTCTCAGACTCGAAGGGGAAGAGACCGGCAACAGGACCGAAGGTCTCTTCGCTGGCGAGAAGCATGTCCTTGCTCATGCCAGTGAGAACAGTAGGCTCGTAGAAATTGGGACCGAGAGCAGTAGCCTTCTGGCCACCAACGACAATCTGGGCACCCTTGGAGGTTGCGTCCTGCACGTGCTCATGGGCCTTGTTAGCGGCACGCTCGTGGATGACCGGGCCATGGGTAATGCCGTCTTCGAAACCACCGCCGAGCTTGAACTCTTTGACCTTCTGCACGAAGCGCTTGGAGAACTCCTCGTACACGCCCTTCTGCACGTAGATGCGGTTGGCGCACACGCAGGTCTGGCCTGAGCTGCGGAACTTGGAGGCAATGGCACCGGCAACGGCTGTGTCAAGGTCCTCGACATCGTCGAAGACAATGAAGGGGGCGTTACCGCCAAGCTCCCAAGAGACCTTCTTGATGGTCGAGGCGGACTGCTTCATCAGGATACGACCAACGTTGGTCGAGCCAGTAAATGACACCTTGCGCACCTCAGGGTGGGTAGTGATAAGCTCACCCACAGCAGGGGTGTTCTCAGAAGAGGTAACGATGTTAACAACACCCTTGGGGATACCAGCACGGTGCGCAAGCTCAGCCAGCGCATTAGCAGTGAAGGGTGTCTCCTGAGGAGACTTGGCCACGACGGTACAGCCCGCCGCCAGGGCAGGGCCGATCTTGCGGGTGATCATCGCAGCAGGGAAGTTCCACGGCGTAATCAGACCGCACACACCAACGGGTTGCTTCACGGTCATCACGCGGTTTCCGGGAACAGACGCCGGGATCGTGTCTCCGTATGTGCGGGGTGCCTCCTCGCTGAACCACTCGAAGAAGCTGGCGGCGTAGTTCACCTCGCCCTTTGCGTCAGCTAGAGGCTTTCCATTCTCCCAGGTGATCAGCTTTGCCAGATCCTCTGCGTTGTCGATCATTAGCTGGTACCACCGGCGTAGCATGCGCGCGCGCTCGCGGCCGAGTGTTGTGCGGAATTTGGGGAACGCTTCGGAGGCGGCTTGGATCGCCTTTTCAACGTCGGCGGTATCGAGTTCGGGGCAGGTTCCGATCAATTTGCCTGTGGCGGGGTCTGAAGGGTAATATTAGCATCCCAGGCATACGTAAGGTCGAATTGCGTAGAATTTACCGTGGACCTCGAAAGTTTTGCCAGACTGGGCTCCTACCCACTCGCCATTGATGTATGACTTCTCAATGAAGAGAGACTGGTCTTTCAACTGCTTCGCGTCAGAACTTGTCGCTGATCGGATCTGGTCTGTTCTCACCTGCGGTGCGCTGTGTCCCATGGTGTAGAATCTCTTCGCGTAGTTCGGCCCAGGGATAGAAAAGGGATATTTGGGGCGGGGTCTGATTAGTTGACGAGCGACGGGGCGGATGAGTCGGTCCATTATAATAAGTCCCTCGGCAGGGAAGAGTAGTAATACAGCGGAGAAAGTCGATTGTCAGAGTGCGGGGAGGTTGGAGACTCGGAGATGCCTTTAAAGGGTGCGGCTATATGAGACAGTGGAGAATCCCCGGTGTGTGTCAATCTGCTTGCTCAATGGTGATTGCTCTTTGTGTCCGAGAAACACCGACGGACTTTGTTCCGAGGAAGTAGTTACTTGAGCTCAGAAGGGAAGCTCCATGCTAAAGCGGGGAGGTTGATGTCATTCACCCTTGCTCTGTAGAGCTCACCACGACTTGGACACTTTGGTTTTCTACCCGCGGCTCGTAATATGCTCCTCAATTATACATTTTGCTTTCTTTTCCGGCGCGATAATGTCTTCAAATGCAGAATTTCAGTTCGGTGAAAAGAGCGAGTTTGATAGATTTTGTATTTGTGTTCGGGAAATACGCAGCCCGGGACTGTGAACCAATGAATGTGTCGATACTCTGAGTTTTCGGCATAAAAAGCCAATCAATATCAAGGAACTCTCTTCAGGCCGGAGATGGCGTATTTGTAATACAAGATCTACCTCCTGGTTGGCAATGAAATGATCGCTCTATAATTTGAAGCCAGAAGACCTTATCTTAATAACAATTGAAGTATAGGAGCTTTGATTCCTTCGAACTCGATGTGCAAAATCCCCCAAGTCGATAATTTTCTTTTAGGAAAAAAGATCCGAGCTGAATGTCTTCTCCAACGCCCACTGACTATGCTAACTTTGCCCGAAGCTATACTAAGCCTTAGAAAAAGGTTGAAATTGGAGAAACAAGATTCATGGTCGGGATGTAGTTACTTACTGTATAAATTTCGGCCCGCCGAGGTAAAACTTGAAAAATTTGCTTTGTTTTAACTATGAGTCAACTTCCATCGTAATTCTTGCCGAGGCAAATTTATCACATTAAATCTCACGAGAGGACCATCAGAGTTGTATACAACTTGCATTGCCCCTTCGGGTTAGTGTGAATTGATGGATTGCTGTATATCAGTCACGTGCCAGTATTGAGGACCCACCCACCTGGAATTTTTGTCATCGTCAACGTCCAGGAACAACCAAAGTGTCACCAAGGAGAGCCAAAATTGCTGGAATCAGTATCAGCAAAGCAAAGACCTGAACCTCAAACATAACATTATCCACCCGCCTACTGGAAAAGACCACCCTGGAATCAGCATCTATGTGATATCAACTCAAGCATTCGCATAGAACGGCAACAGCCAACGCGTCCCTGAGGCATGTCCTCTCAAGTATCCAGATCTGATTTTCTTCCACCAGTATCTGCACAGCCTCGCAAGTCATTATTTGGTGGACCCAGCAGTGATGTCGACCAACCGTCCTCTCCACCAGCGCTAGCGAGACAGTCACTCTTCGGTGGGCCAGCCAGCCAGTATGATCCTCCACAGCGCATAAATGTGGATGAGCCCACAGATGAGGAAGACGAGGAATCTGAAAATGAATTGAATAGGCTTATGAGAGAACGGCCACTGCAGGCGCATTATGACTCTGATGGCGACAGTTTCCACGAAAGTGGTAATGATCAGAAAGCACCAATGCTAAGAAGGTCCAGGTCTTCTCCAGTGGCAGATTCAAGCCAACCAACAATTACAAGGCCGGCTGAGCCGGTTTATTACACTGTGGACCGAGGTCTTGACCTTCGGCCTGGGGCTAGGCGTCCAAATATCTTCACTGGGCACTCATCCACATGGAGGAAATACAATGCAGACGACATCGGTGCTTATGAAGCCATTCTTAATAACAGATCAAGAGATTTGGCAGCTCATCTGTACAATGCTCATGCGATTCGCAGGCGAACGCGGGCCTTTTTGGCAAGAACAAATGCCGATGATGAGTTAAAGTTTTCTGTTCCCCGGCGATGGACAGCGTGGCCTTTGCCTGCTGCTGATGTTCCCAGACTTGATGATATCATCAAAGACAAGCTGGATGACCTTGATAATATGCGGATGGAACCCGATCCTCGTCCCAGTGCCGATTTGGAAGAATGCATTACGGCTCTCATTTCGAAGATTGCCAGGGAGAAATACCGAGCCCGGGAGTGGGATTATGAGGATATCTCTACGAAAAAAATTGTCAATGGGGATGAAATTATGCGGGATGAAATCCCACAGAAAGAAGAAGACGACGACGATGACGACGAGCGAATTGATACGACCTCTTTTGAGCCAATCAATCAACTGGATGATGCCAAATCTGCAGAGCAATTACGTCCGTTGACAAGAAATGTCATGACCCAGTTAGACCGGCTGCTAATGGGGCTTCATTATTCCATGAAAGGTCGCATGCTCGAGGATGTTTCTGGGGACGAGCAGCCATCTGACACAGATGACGATGAAGGCCTTCCAAGAACATCTAGGAGTCAATTTCGTGGACGTAATCGTACCCGACGAGGCTCTCCCCCCAACAAGGAACACCTTATCGCTCCATCAGTGCCCGGATGTCCTCTGGAGTAGACACCGACGACGAGAACTTGCCAGAGGCACCTTTCTCACGAGATCAGTCCCGTGCCTCTCACACAAGCCAGGACCAAGAAGGAGGCTCTTTCTCCAAGGGCAGACTCAAATTGCGTGACTGGAGTGAGGTAATGGGTCTAGCATCCATGATGGGATTCCCCTCTGACGTGATAATGCGTACTTCAAAACGATGTGCAGATCTCTTCGGTGAAGACCTTGAATTCAGAACATTGCCGGAAGGCCACATCCGGAAGAAGCAAAAATCAAATGGTCGGGAGCAATATTCCTACACCGAGAGCGAAAGCGAGAGTGAGAGTGACATTGACCGTGACTCGGCACCACCAATGCCGCCACCATTGACCGATTCCACGCCAAAGGTTAAACCCAGAGCCAACAGCAAATCCAACTCCAAGACCAAACCAAACTCAACCCCAAAAGCCAAGCCCCAGTCCAAGGCTTCATCCTCTCGACGAAAACAACCCAAAACTCCCGCCATTGTCCCATCCTCCTCGCCGGAAGCCTCCCCAGAGCCCTCAAATGCCCCCTCAAGAAACCCATCGAGACCTCGATCAAGATCTCTATCAAGAGCCGCCTCACAGAACATAGAACAAGGAACAGAACGAGAATCAAGACCTGTCCGACCAGGCATTGGCAAAGGCCCTCACCGGAAAGCAGATATCCTCTGTCCCTACAAGGATTGTCCTCGACGTTCGAATGGATTCTCACGCAGATGGAACCTCAACCAGCATATGAAGAAGTCGCATGGTGTGACTGTGAATGAGAGTTCGAATCAGCGTGGTGTAAGTGGGCCGGAGGATGAGTCGGCTATCATGATTGATTAGGTTATTTAATGTTACTATCTTGAACTGGACAATATAACTGTCTTCCAACATTGTTACGCTACGGCAGAGTGGTCTTTGTCCAGTGAATCATTGAAAAATTGGGATAACCTCAACCTTCTTCCGCTTTCTGGTGTTTCGTTTTTTTTTTTTTTTTTTTGATTTAAATTCCAAACGCCAAGCATCCTCTCCCCCATGCTCAAGTGAGCTTCAGTCTGTCGATGGTTGGCTCGGGAAGTTGATGCTGCTTGGGCGTGAGAGGCGTCAGATTCGAGCAGCAAGTACGAATCTGCCGGGTGAGCAAGCCTCAGGTCTTTGTTCTGCATTTTGGCTGTTCAACCAATCAAGGATAGATTGAAGTTGCTCATGCTGTGGCTGCTACAACGGGTCTGACTGTGGAAGTCCGCCTGTGGCCCAGAATCCATCATTATTCTATGCGACAGATACAGGTAGAGTGGATGAGGAGATTGGAGTACCAAACGTTTAAGTTCGAAACAAAGGACATATCGGAGGAAGGCTCGCATGACGAGCGGCTCTTCAACCCAGGTCGGAATGTTCACTATCGTCGGGGTAATCGGTTCGACTTGTCTTCCAGTATAAACCAGTCAAAGCAGCCAAGTGGATCTATAACTGATGAGATCGTGCTCCAGTATCTCTTCCCTATGGATATATGGATGGTCGACTTCGATAAATATGACGGTGGGAATGAGGACGAATGCGAGGCAAGAAAGAGACCCACTAAGTTTGATATGGGCGAAGGTGTGATTCGATGACAGAAAGGTTGGAGGACGGGAAGCAAAATGAAGAAAAAGAGGACCACCAAGCGGAGCAGGATCCAGGAGACCTCGATATGGCGAAGGGGTAAGCGAACTTAAGTAGAAGCCAAGGAACCAAGATTAAACTCAGGACTATGCCACCGAGGATTTCAAACAATTTGCCGGTCCTGTCTCAATCAATATATAAACGCCAAGAGCAAATGACCTGAAACTCAGAACAAACAAAAGAAAATCCGAGAGCTGTTCAGAAACATAACGGCGTCTGATTATGCTTATACCGATGTCGAACTCCAAGTCGAGTGGGGCGAACTTTTGGTTGATCTAGGTAAAGCCCGAACAAAGACTTTGGGAAGTCTGAAAGAATTTTCTGTCATTGAGCGATAGCGAGAAATAGAGATACAACTTCACTTTACGATAACTAGATCGAGTTCGCACGTAGCGGCAAGTGAGGTTAGCAGGTTTGAAGTAGACATGGATGAAACCAGATAGTATAGGCCCTGCTAAATGGGCTGGGCTTATGTGGGTAAATAGTGGGAAATTTCTGATTAGTTTCTGGATGTGAAGGATAAACGTATAGATGAAGACCCTGTCATTTCGAATGCACCGTGTCAAAAATCACCAGACTTCAAGGAGAGGGGGGTCCAAACTTTCGTCTCGTGCTGGATGCGTCGTTATCCTTTCGAACCCCCGTGCATATCGCTTAACCAATTGATTTGACCACTAGATTAGCCGAATCCGTACCCCGTCTGGTGGGTTGTGTTTAACACTCAACTTAATTGCGAGGGGGTCAGGGTAACCGAAGTCTATCCATCCATCCATGTTGTAGGAAAGAATGCGCCCTGTATCTAATGGGTATGGTGAATTATGAGAGATTATTCAATAGGCATGACCAAATCCATTTTGTAAAGACACAGAGAGACTTAAACAACCAATTTGTACATTTGCAAACCAAATACTGCAACCAGAGACAACGAGCATGTAAATCACACTGAGATACTCAGATTTCATTCTTACGTCGATATCGTAAGTTCGACACGTGCCCTCAAGCCACCGAAGTAAATTTCTGGATCTCACGGATAGACAGATTGAAAAACAAGATCAAGATTACTCAACAATATCCTCAAAGTGGAAAGTGGTTTTGACATGAGCAGTGGTCCAGCCTTTCCAACGAGATGTATTGGTATCAGAACCATCAGGGCCGATGATGATTTCTTCATTTTCTGCGTCTTGATACAGCTTCCCATGTTTCGACACGTCTCGAATTATGCCATCATAATCCACATAAGCGGTACCAGGACACGCAGCAGTGGTATCAGCAAGTTTCGCTCTGACATCTGTGGTGAGTCGATTCTTCAAGTCTTGCATAGAAGGATGTCGACCCTCACGCTCCCCATATGGAGATGTTTTAAAAGTTTTCGTATTGTCAGACATTGCTGGCTCCGTCAAGAAGGGATTGAGATTGTTTGGATTTGTATCAATTAGGGCATTTCGTGGTCCAGACTATAGCCTTATAGGACGGGGTTTCTAGGGCGAAAGAGGAAGTTTTCATAGATATTGGGGGCGTCCGGATCCTTATATCTGTTGATCACTAGGCATGGACAATCTATACGCAATCAATCAAAGTGAAATTGTAAATCTACTTAGGGTAATAAATAGTATTACGGAGTTGATTAAATTCTAGAGCCTATAGATTTACGAAGACAATCTGTGTATATTTTGTGTTATACTTGAAAACTTAAAATGAATCTTGAAGTTACCCATATTCAGTCATTTAATTAAAAGGTCAAAAGAACTGCCCTTAGATCGGCCTAGACTATTACGATTAGACTCGTGATGATACGTGCTAAGTGTTGAAAGTTTCCTTTTCCTTCCCTTAGTTGTGTAGGATCTACACTTATCATGGTTACCTATTATGTTCGAGTCTCTGGTAAGTTCTATAGTCTAGGCCCCGCCCGGTAGGATGGGCGCCGTTTGCGGATAATAAGCGGGGTCTGCGTAGGAAGATCCATGGCGTTGAATAAAACTTTAGCTATATTTCATTCTTGGCATAGAAATTATATAAGGAATGCCTGAGTTGTGTAAATTAGACAATCCTAATACCTAGATCCCAATGGCCAAACCTCTTGCTGTTATTTGCGCGAGCTAGTTCAATCGTACTAGATATAACTCGGCCTCCTGATTATAATCTGTAGCGCCTACTCACTTTTTTTTTTAGACAGAATCATAATGATATCTTTTATGACTATATGGCTATATGCTCTACCTAAACACTATGCGTTCTAGTGTTGCCCGAATACTACTAGGTGGCATAAAGTCCGGGCCATTAGGCCGAGAGTATCGGCGATTATTCAATATCTAGGTAACCATGATCTGTTTTCGTAAATAGGGTTCTATCACTTGATATTTGCTAGAAACGGAATATCTTAGGTATTAGACATACGAAACGCTGGTTCTCAACAACTAGGATTTAAATGATATATACCTGGCTACCCCTATACTTTCTTCTAATAACTACTATTACAGCACTTCTGTGGCCTACTTAGGTAAGAATGGGTCCTCTATCCCTCTAGTTGATTTATATAAGTCTAACCGTGAGTTTCTAGCTACTTGAAATCTCCCCCCCTAAGATACTCCTTCGTTATGACCGCTGCCATCGTCTCTCCAACACAGGCAGTGCCAAATATGACCCCCGACTACGAGGTCAGACTCCTACTAAACTCAGCCGCGGTCCTTAGTCCTCTATACGAACTAACGGACACGGTACTCTCTGCCTTCGAGATGCCCCCAACCGTCACGAAGATAAATGTCCAGTTCCTCGACACGAGCTCTAAAGAGCTCTATACCGCTGACTGGAGCACCCGTATTCGCAAGACCGAAAACAAAAGCCTCTTCGAGTTAACATATAAGAAGCGGTATGCTATCACGGACGGTGATATTGATGCTAGCCTCACTGCGGCGAATAGCGATGGTTTCACCGCTGACAACGCAAAATACGATGCGCAAGTCGAGTGGGGCTACCAGAAGCAAACACTGTCTATTAGCCGGAAGAAAACCATAGCGGATCAAGGGAGTAGCGGGACGGACTTGCCGGGGACGAGCAACTCGCAGAAAATGCTGATCGATCAAGCGCCGGACAAGTTCGACAACTGGAGGTCTAACAAATGGGGCACCAGTTTGTTAGCAGCATCACGCATTTTTGGCCCGGTTCTCTTTACGCGCTCCATTGGCTCATGGAACGGAATACAGCTATACATCGAAGTCTGGCCCCTCATGAACTTGGCGGGTACCGGATCCGAGTACGTCGTCGAGGCTTCGTTCAAGACGAAGAGCCGTACGACGGCCTTGATTGAGCAGCGTAACTTAGTTAACTTCTTGCAGAGCAATGGCTGGTTTCTTGCACAGGACTCGCTAAAGACCCAGTTCATTATGGAGCGCTACTGATATGGAATGTCATTAGTCCCATGGATCGTGCTTAATTTGGCTTCCGTGATGGGCCGTCCTAAAGGAACATCAACACGGATCATCAGCTTTATAGAAGATACTATAGCGCAGGCCTAGTGATGACAGACTGCCCATCGGATTGCTGGCAGGTATCCAAGGGGTTCGCTCTAGGTTGACCAGCTCCAGGATTCCCCTGTAATAGTTGCACCTGATGATGAGGGTGAGGAAGACACGAAAATTTCATGGCCAGATACGGCCGACGAAAACAAAGCCTCGCCACGGGCTAGCACGTTACCTCCAGAGAGGCGTTCCCGAAGACCACGAAAACATCACATGCCGATATACTCCCACAATCAACTAAACAGTTCACGGCAGATTACTTCTATTCCACGATGTTGCGACTATTAGTCATGTTGTCTTGTTACCTTTCCATTGGTCAATGCGCACTTGCTTTCACATCAGTCAAGCTGCCCACTAATATATCCATAAAGATGTATAGATTCGAAGTTTGATCAGACCCGAGAAAAATCCAGTTTCTCTATTAATTCTGCTTGATGATGGTATTAGCCCGGGAATAATACGGTTACAAAGAACGTTGTTTCTGAATACTTGTATAGTTCCGCGCGCCAGAAAGTCTATGTGCGATATAAAAGCTGTCTATATTATAGACAGAATCATTTTGCCCCACGTAGATATACTGTACCCATCCTCGACAATTTCCCTTCCACTTGACTTGGGTGCATTTTATAAATTCCTACTGATAACCCAGTGTGGGACATCTATAGCTATCTATTCACTTGCCGCAACTACCGGCTTGATTAAAAGGGAGTCGTTATAGCTTCATTTGTACCTGGTAACAGGTTTATACTGCTTTAACTACCACTATGTGCTCTCCTAAGGCTCTCCAAGACTCTTTTAAATTGAATTTCCAAATATAGGTATTCATATTATTTTGCCCGTTTGCTCACAGCCAATCACACAAAGATACTTGGGCATGCATATTTTACTCAGACAATGAATGTTCAATGATAAGTCTAGAATCTTGATCAAACGATACCATAAAGCTTCTAGCCTTTGCGGGCCCAACACCCAACTTATCATCTCCAGTAATATGTTGCATGAATCCACCATGTGTAACAACAACAATATCTGGGCGAGCAGTATTCGCCAATTCCTTGAACAATTCATGCAAACGACGCTGAATCCTCCATCCACGCTGTTTCAGTGTCTCCAGATCGGATGCATATAGTCCTTCCTTTCTCGGGAATATAGGATTCAAGTCAAGGATGTCCCAGGGAACATCTTGATACTCGGACTGTAAGAGCGAAATGTCCGAACCAGTGTCACATGGTCGAGAAGAATGTGCCTGCACATCAGGCTCGAGAACGAGATTTGCACCATTTTGAACGCCTGCTTGTGGCACATTGGGGTAAAATCTTTGATCAAGTGTTTGTTGGAAGCCGATGTACGCTGTTTGAAGAGTCCGCCGTAGTGGAGATGCCAACACCAGGCCGACACTATCGTTGAATTTGAAGTCCTGTGATAGCTCCAGAGACTGCTTAATTCCTCTCTCAGTCAATGGCGGATCCAGAATAGTCGTATCATGGCCAGGGTTGTGAGTTCCCTCTGCATGTCGGACGATATGTAGGCGGAAAATCATTTTGCCGGGTGGTGATTCCTGATGTTTGTACGGATATTTCACGTAGAAGAGGGCTGCTGAGCAGAAGATCATGATTATGGAGATGGCCCTGATAAATAGTCTCATTCCGGACGGAGTATGCACAGAGTGACTTTTCCAGCACCACGGCATCCTAAAGCTTATGTCCGAGCTTAATCGGACTACATTTCTGGATTAGGTAGGATCGACCGCGCGTCTGTCCTAGAAGAAATCAATGGCACGATGAGTGTCCAGTCATGAATACAATTTCTCTTTGATATCTTGATATCTGTTTTATGGAGCACTGCAGTGGTGGCTATTCCTATACTGGTATTCCAAGGCGAGAGCCACATCTATCGCCGAGCTTGTAGAGCTGAGCATGAGCACCAGGGCTTGATTATGAACCATGCTTGCTAGGCCTCTAGTTTCTAGATGTCATGTTATTAGTTTATGTGTTGTAGATGTCTACAGGATCCACGACTTTTAAATAAATTAGTATCCGCTCTGGCAAACCTAGAAACTATTCCTCCTCCCCTTCTCATCCCGATTCTTCACAAACTCATTCTCAAATTCAAGACCCGCATCTTGACGAATGATACCATATCCAGATGACGAATCCAAAGGCCGACCCCCATTAGAATCCGAGAATTCCTTAGCTCGAAGCATATGCTCCAGTGCCACTTCCGCAACTTTCAACCTCATTCCTGCGTCTCGGGCACAACTAATACCATGTTGTACATCTTTGATACCCAGGTTCAAATTTGACCATGGTGATTCACCTAAATCACTTGATTAGAAATTACAAGATCTCACTATATGTGCGTGTGGGCCTTACCTTCTCCAGGCATATACACCCCCTGCGTCATGCGCGTTGAATCAGAATACGCCAAATTTCCGAAATTCAACTGGAGTAACTTTTCTAATGTCCCGCTGCCGAGATTGCTCTTTTCAGCGAGGACGTGTGCTTCGCCGACTATCTCCATTGTTCCTGCGACGATGAAATTACTGCGTCGTATTAGCGATTCAGCCACCTAACACCGAACTCGTTTGACGTTGAACTTTCTTACCCCAATGCCTTGAGAAGAGTAGCTTTCTCGGGCTGATCTGATACAACCATGACCTCGCGAGCAATGACGTCTTTACCAAATGGTAAGGCTATTTCAATGGCGCTGCTAGGTCCGGCCATTGCCATTAGGACTTGACCTGCCTGTGCAGCTGGGGTAGCTCCGAATACCGGTGCTGAAGTCACTTGTTAATATTTGTAGGTTACCAAGCAATGATTGTCACTAACCAGCGATGAAAGAAGCATTCCGTTGCGTTAGCCTATCGCCTGTCGCTTTGGAAGTATTTGGATGTACGGTAGTTGTATCCACGAATACCTTGCCATCGATATTTTCCACAGCGAGAATCTGGTCAATGATAGAGACTAGCGCCGCGTCATCACTGGTCTTTGCACATACTATCAGCAACCAAGTGTCGATTTAAGGAGAGCCGAATAGACCGTCTCAAGGTATTCACAATTTGAAGCGAACTCACAGATATAAAAACAAGATCACATCGCCCAACAAGCAAAACAATATCCACGCAAGAGACAGCTCCAAGTGCCAACAGTGGATCGCCGCGAGATGGTGTCCGATTCCAAAATCTCAAGGCTGGTTTCTTCTCGCTTTTGAGGAAGTTGTGGACGTTCTGGGCCATTGCTAGACCCATACTTCCGAGACCTGAAAGCTATCAGGCAACTGATCTTATTGAGAGTTCTCTTGTCGACATACCTATCCACCCGACTTCGGAGTTGATGGTTGTCATGGTTGGTGCTTGGCTGGTACTTCCGTGGTATGTTCTGTTAATCAATTATTGACTAATTTGGATAATGGATGGTTTGTTTGTTAGTAACAACAGTCTTGACAACATGAAGAGACAATTGCTATCGAATATATAGGTTGTTGGGCTCGGATGTGAGCCGAAGGCTGAGTCATAAGCCTCTAGTGTTGGAGTTATTTCCCATGGACGCGGGGATTGGCTTCGTTACTATGCAATATGCTGCAGGAGCTTTAGTTTGACGATGTACAGGTTTGAAAGAACAAAGCTATACATATAAGTGGGATATAATCCCTCAATGGCATTAAACTTCAATCACAAATTTTTGAGGTGCCTATACATGGGATCCAAACCACAAACGCCCTGCAAAGCACTATCTAACATGCACAAAGGTCGAGTCAAGACATTTATTTCTTATCGGCCTTCTCGCCCTTCTCGAGCTTGCGACGCTTCGAACGAAGCTTAGCCGACTCATCAGCAGTCTTCTTGTTCGAATACATCATTTTTTCGAGAAGCTTGCGCTTCTTCCGGCTCATCATCATCTTCTGTCTCTCAAGCTCCTCATCCTCGCCCTTCTTCTTAGCAGCAAGCTTCTTGGATTTGGAAGCCTTCTTCTTAGAAGCCTCGTCGGCACCGCCGGCAGAGGAGAAGGGAAGACCAGCAGCCTCAGCCTCGAGCTCCTTCTGGTGCTGGGTGCGGGCAGCCTCATCGTCATCCTCGGACTCGGAAGCGGCCTCCTCATCAAAGCCACCGAAGTCCTCGACCTCCTCGTCGGATTCCTCCTCGCTCTCGTCATCGTCGGTGCCGGCGACATCCATGCCACCATCGACGGACTCTTCCTCGGATTCCTCGGCGGGTTTCTCCTCAACAGCGGCCTCGTCCTCCATCTCCTCGTCGCTGGCCGAAGCATCGGCAGCGATCTCGGCTTCATCCTCCTCTTCCTGCTCGGCCAGGGTGGCGCGCGGGTCGTAAGCACCGCGAGAAGCCTTAACCCATGGGCTCAAGTGGGGTGGGAGAGTGGCGCCCGGGGCGTAGAGGTCAGCACGGAGGAGCTTGCCATCGTTGATGCAGTCCCAGATCCATTGGGGCTGAACGTAGGTGCGACCGGGAATGCGGGTTCCGGGCTGGACCTTCTGAACGGCGTTCTCGTCGGCAGCGGGGATGGCGGGGAGAGATTCTTGGGGGAGCTGGGGTCGGTCAACGATCTGGTGAGTGATGCGAGGGTCGGTCTCATCGTGAGTATAGGCTCCATCGCCGAGCACGGAGGCCCAGCCGACGCGCTTGCAGCCGAACGCGCGGAGGATGAACTCGAGAGGGGCCTTGGGGGCTTCACGGGAAATGTAGAAGACGAAAGGAGCGAAGAGTGCACCGGCCTCGTTGCCGCTCATCTGGGGCTGGGGGAGAGTGTCGGCCTCGGGGGCGGCGGGCTCGAAGCGGTCGATGGCATCGTTCTGTTCCTCGGTGTTTTCGACTGTCTTCTCATCTGTGTTCTGGTCCAGACCGGCCTTCTTGATCACCTTGTCAACCTTGGCTTGGAGCTCCTCGGAGACTTCCTTGTTCGAGTTGCTGGTAGACTGGGGCTTGTTTGCCTCAATAGCCTTGGGGACATCACCGACGGAGCGTCCCTCAAGAGTGAAAGCAGCAAGTTCGGCACCGTTTTCGTCACTGCGGGTATCGAACTTAGGGGGATATCTCAAACCAATTGATGAGTACAGACGGAAGTTGACAAAGCCCAAAAGGGTAGTGTAGAATTCGACAAAGGTGGCCATGATACGGTAGTCGACGTCACCGTTGACACGTTGAACGAAACGGTAGGGAACCAGCCACATGATGTCTTGTCCCTGAATCGTAGCCTGGTAGTAGATACCCTTGATGGAAAGGAAGGATCTGCGCAGAGAGTTGGTCATGATCAGGTAGTGCTGGAACTCGTGGCAGAGACGCTGGCAGAGCGCAACGGTCTTGGCGGGAACATGGTCTGTGGAGGGAAGGGTGGCGAAGAGGAACAGAAGAGACAGAGCGTCGTCGAGATCACGGAGAGCATCGATGAAGGTCGGGTAACGCTCCTTAATGACATGGTCGAGGGTGAGTCTCGGGGCGTTGTTCTTTTCGAGGCGCGCAGCATCGCTGACTTCACCACGGCCCAGGGAGCGGGCAATCTTCTTCGCAAGCGACTTCTGGTCACGGAACTTGTTCAAGAGCGGCTCGTGGAGCAGATACTGGATGTCCTTGGTGTAATAGAAGGTTGTGTTGGGGGTTGAGGTTTTGGAGGCCTTCTTCTTGTTACGGGGCTCACGAGGGTAGATACCTGATGTCGGAAACTGTGGTTAGACTTGCGATCTATATGAACAAAGGACAAAGGCTCTTACCCTTGAAGATGCATAGCCGGCGGAAATCTGGGAGAGAGATCTGAAGTTTGCGCACGGCCTGAGTTCTGGTAATGTAGTTCTTGGCCTGGCCAGAGGTACCTGATAAGAAGGTTAGCAGTGAAAATGGATTATCCCAGGGTATCGAAACATACCCTTCTTCTTGATTTTCGCCATAATGAGAGATGGTTGTCAGAAAGTCCGAATGGCTGCTGATAAGAAGAAGAAAATTTCTCGATAACTTTTTTTTCTTACGGGTGGCCCGTGCACGAAGGCGGAGAGGGTCGACTCTAAGGGACAGCTGGGAACAACAACACTTCACTGTGCAGCCATGATAGACAGGAAGGTCATGGTCTTTGGCGCAGCCTTTGTGCTGCGTCTGCTTCTTATTTGCCTATTTCCTTCATTGCCTGACTTGTTGACGGGAAGAGTTGAGGTCTCGACCCCTGTTAATAGCTTCAAACGATGTACGTGACACTACCAGTTATTGCGGAGTCGAACTAATTTCCATTAGTGCAAGAGGGCTTGTTTCTGTACAGTGGAAATGTGTCGCCATATGATGGGGGCACTTTTCACCAGGTTCGTGGATCTATAGTACCCCAACTGCGTTCACTCAATTGACCGTTTGGTTCGATCTAGGCACCGCTCCTATTACCTCTGTTCGCCCTACTTCCAGATGCAAAGACCTGGCCTTTACCTACCGCAATTTTCTACATTTTGGTCGACCTCGTGAATGCGCAGGCATTGGTTACCATTTCCGAGTCCGGTCAATCGATCAATTCGAGATTCCATTCGGCAGTTCGGAAACATGTCCGGTGGAATGGAGTATCTGTTGCAGCATGGTACGTTTTACAGTCCGGCAGTCAATTTTATACTCGCGCTAAACGAGAAACAGGTTTTTGTTTAACCCATTTACAATTGCGACATGTCTGGCACGATCAACCAGCGTTTTTACCGCCTCGGGGATTCTCTTCGCAGTTTCAAATGCAGTCTCGGGCAATAGTGTCAATGCTATGCTAGCCTTGGGATTCGCTTCCTACCTATCTATGTACCCTGCACTCATGTTTCTTCCGCTGGTTTTGGTCTGCTATGACCGACGCACACAGAGCCCACAAGCACCTAAGATCGCTCCCTTCATCCTGCAGCACGCCGGTCTTCTCCTTGCCAGTGTTGCAGGCCTCCTCGGTCTTTCATTCTTGATCACTGGCAACTTCTGGGAATTTATCTCGGCTACCTATGGGTTCCATCTTTTGGTTCCGGACTTGACTCCCAATGTCGGTCTATGGTGGTACTTCTTCATTGAGATGTTCGATTCATTCCGAGAGTTCTTCCTCGGAGTATTCTGGCTTCACTTGGCAAGTTATGTTGGAGGCCTCACGGCTCGTTTCCGACGACAGCCCTTGTTCGTCATCACCTCTCTTCTTGGTGTCTTTGCCATTTTCAAACCGTACCCCAGTATCTCGGATGCATCTCTGTTCTTCGCCTTACTGCCGTTGTACCGCCACCTCTTCCCATGTGAGTATCCTACTCTTTGTTATATTGTAAAGTTTCCCTGGCTAACCATTTCCAGTAATGCGATATACCTTCTTCGCAGTCTCAGCAATGTTATACTCCTCCCTCCTCGGACCTGCCTTCTACCATCTATGGATCTATGCAGGATCCGGAAATGCCAACTTCTTCTACGCCATTACTCTAGTCTGGAGTCTTGGTCTCTCAATCCTACTAGCAGACACCATCTTCGCCGCCCTCAGAGACGAATGGGAACAAGACAACCCAGGCAAGCAAGGCACAGAAGTCCGACAGGTGTAGAACAATGTACATTAGAATCCAGCATATTTTCTTTCTACTTTCAATTCCATGAATGATCAGCATAGCATTAAACGAACCCCTTCAAAATACATGATGTGTTTTCAATTCTGCAACCGCTTAGACAAAATCATATAATCGACCTCCTTCACAGTCCCATTCCTCAACCTCCGCGGTCGGGGCGAGTACTCATCAAGTCCATAACCCAACCTCTCATAAAACCGACAAGCAACGCCGTTCGACTTGAAAACAGTCAACATAGCCTTCTCCAAGCCGACAGCCCGACCAATCGCCTCCATCCGCTTCATCAGAACCGACCCGACGCCGCGCCCCCGGGCCCTCGGCGATAAGTGGATCTCGTAGCAGTAGACTACTTCTTTGCCGTCTTCATAGGTTACCATGAATGATAAAAAGCCGAGTAAGTTTTGTTTTTGATTCTGGGGAGTGAGAGCTGTCTCATTGCGCTCTTTTGGTGTATTGCGTGTTGCATTGGTTGGGGACTTCACGGCTTTCACATCCTCGTTTGAATCGCGTAAAATCAGATACTTCATATCAGGCAACTTCATCTCCTTGCGCTTTTTGGGTCGTGACCAGCCATCGGCTGAGGCGCGGTAGGCGTCGCTGGATGTCTGTTCGATAAGGTCTAGACAGGCTTCTAGGTCTGGGGTTGAGATGCTGGCTGCGGAGTAAACTTCCAAGGATGTCTCAGCTGATTTGAGCTCCTCTGTCTGGTTCAAGCTTGGGGGAACTTCAAGTGTTGCATCCTCCTTGGTTTGAGCACCTGTCGTGACAGGCATGTATTTGTTGGTGAATTCTTCAATGCTTAATGCGTTGGTCCGCTCCACTAGCGGTTGCACTATGTATAAGTCAGTACGCGTCACTGTTGTAGTTGCGATGAATCTGTTTATTATGGGTGTTTTGAGGACTTTGTGTAGATGGATGTGATGCAGATGCATTTACTCACTCTGGGACACGCGTCGAGTCGGAGGGTATGACTTTTTGGTTTTGTTCTTTGTCACTCGGCCTTCTTTTATGGATGAGAGCATCTTGGTCTGTATGATTAAGGCAACAGGGTAAGATGTTTATGATAAGGGATCAAGGTGTGAGTGGCAATGGGCAAGTTCATACTCCGCGCGGCGGAAAAGTTTGTTAGAGCCGCGTCGGGAGTTGAACGTTGTAATGACCGCGACACGTCCCATGTTTCTTCATATTTGATTTATTTTTCATTTCAGTTGATCTGGTTACAGTATGTCATGTAAGTAAACTTTCTTCTTTTAAAAAACGGGTGTCTTGAATACTATCCTTGCCTAAGTAGGCAGTATATACATTTAGCCCTGCCCAAAGAGCACTGCATCGTGTGAGAAACCCAGAAACGATGAAAACATCGACGGTGTCACAGATTGAATGTGTTTTGTGTCAAGACAACAGCTAATCAACCGCTTTCGAGGCACACAGTAAGATACCCCGGCAGCAATAAATTAAGAAAAAAATAGGGCAGATAAGATATTAAGTGGGAGAAGAAAGAAGAAACTTGCATTGATAGCAAACAAAATGGTCACCCCATAAAAGAGACCCTATTACGCCCCCAAGGCAACCCGCAATGTAGTACATATATGTGTATCTCACATCTCCTTTGTCTAATAGACCGGAGGCCCAATGGTCTTGAAGCTGCCCACGTAAAGTCTTTCCAGGGTCCACGAGGTCTTCGTTTAACAAGGCGCCACTGTAGGGGTTGGCTTGTCGATCATCCACCACTAGACAGGGATTGGCCCCCTATTCTCATACGCTCTTGTGAAAATGGACTGAAGAATTACTAAAAATGCGTGGCTTTACTTGGTATAACGATATGCGTCATGGACTACAGTATATACAAGCATGATGGATACAGAGCTTCTGTTTCAGAGTTGTGGATGTACTCATTCCATTAGCACGGTGCAAGCACGGGATAATCAGGGGTTTGTCAAAAGACATTCTAACGATCAGTAATCATTGCTTGAAACACACGGAATCAGCCTCGTGTTGTGCATGTAAGTTGGTCATTTCCGCCCAATCCCATAGCCTTATATAGTACAGTAGATATGCTATGCCACTGAGTGAACCACGTGGAAGTAATTCGGGTCTTCGAACATTACCGATAAAGATAAAAATTGTTGTCAAATATCAAAAGTCTTTGAACAAAAAATCTCAAGAGCTGAAGTACTTCTGAGGTTTAATTGGAGTCGAAAGTGGGGAATGAGGCATTTTTTCAATGTATTCGAAATGAATGCATACGTTTACACAGCTGTATGTTTTGTGGCAAACCAATCACGGCATACAGTAACATGCCTTAATTATCATATGACATGGGCCGAACTTACTAAGCAGAACTTAGAGCGGCTGCTTCATCCATTTACATGCATTCCTGTCTCATAGTTCATCATCAAGTGTCAGAATGATGCAAATTCAGATTTACACCTAAAGGCCTGGGCCTCAAATACACGTATATTGAATTCTTCAAGCTACATGCAGAGCATCTAACAGGTTGTTTTCAATCTTAATAAGCTTGCCGTCATGAGTGCCCGGACGTGGAACCCGGAGGTCGCATACGTCAAGGTCCTCAATGATATAAACTCACGAATGCTCCTCACCTCACTCCCCCGAATCAGTTTCTGAATCATCTGAGAAAGTAGGATTTTTACATACGACAATGCCTCCTGCAACCATGAAGCAATGGGTCGTCCAGGACAAGGAACACGACCTCGATGGCCTTATCTATGAGGATGCGGAGGTCCCGAAAGTCGGTGAGAATGAAGTCTTAGTGAAGCTTCAGGCTGCATCCCTGAATTATCGTGACCTATCATTCCGAAGGTATGAGCCTGTAATGATACTTTCATATCCATCTACAAGGACCATGTTGAAGATTCGCCCACTTATTTGTGACAGGGCACATACCCATTTGCCCTCAATTTCCCAGTTGTTCCCGGCTCGGATGGTGCCGGCGAGGTTTTGGACGTGGGATCTAAGGTCGTTGAGTTCAAGAAGGGTGATCAAGTGGCCACTCTTTTCAACCAGGGCCACCAATATGGTGAAATCGACCCTCACGCCGCTGAGACTGGCCTAGGTGGTGCGATCGATGGTATCCTACGCGAATACGCCGTATTGAATGAGCAGGGTCTCGTGAAGGCACCAAAAAATCTGACAGCCCTTGAGGCTAGCACTCTCTCTTGCGCAGCCCTGACCAGCTGGAATGCTCTGTATGGCTTGAAGCCCCTGAAGCCGGGTCAGGTCGTTCTTGTGCAGGGAACTGGTGGTGTCAGTATATTTGCTCTGCAGGTAGGTGGAAAAAAGAAAATACAGCAGACTCACGAGTCCCGGGCTAACACTTAATGTACAGTTCGCCAAAGCTGCTGGTGCAACTGTCATTGCCACTACCTCTTCATCAGAAAAGGCCGACAAGCTCAAGAAGCTTGGCGCCGACCACGTTATTAATTACAAGGTCGACCCCAACTGGGGTGACGCTGCCCGCAAGCTGACGCCTGAAGGAGCTGGCGTGGACCACATTATCGAAGTGGGCGGAAGCGGCACTCTTCAGCAGAGCTTCAAGTGCGTGAAGCTCGAGGGTATTATCAGTGTCATTGGTTTCCTTGGAGGCGTTGACCCTAAGACTCAGCCGACTGTCTTGGAAACACTAACTCACATTTGCACTGTTCGCGGTGTCTATGTTGGCAGCAAGGCCCTGATGAGGGACATGATCCGTGCTATTGAGGCCAATAATATCCACCCTGTGGTGGATGAGAAGGTCTTCAGTCTGGATCAGACTCGGGAGGCTTATGAGTACATGGTGAGTTGGTCATTAATTGTGGAAACTGGTCATATACTAACTAATACAACGTTTTTTAGTGGGCTCAAAAGCACCTCGGCAAGTTGGCCATCAAGATCAACTAGGAATTCTTGGGCAAATTTGAGACAAATGTAACAAATCGAAACTTGCACGCGTTGTTCAAATAACAAATAGTACCTGCTTTTTATGATAGGTATCACAACATCTATGTAGATCATGTTCATGCATGGCCAACGTGGCTCAGATTATTCCGTTTAGTCGGAGTAGGTAGATAGCAGTAAACTTACAATATCAAAGCATTTTTTCGCTGATGAAAATACATAATAAGATTGTGATTGGTTAGCTATCACAATGGTCACCAAAGCTTTGAAAAGGCAAGGGGCACCTGATACCGAAGCTTCCCCGCCACTCTCCAACTCCCGTCAACATACTTCACTACAAGCTTCGCATTCAGCACATGGAAACCCGTCTTAACTGCACTACTTCATTATATTTCTGCATATTCCCTCGTACTTGTATTTGTGCCTTTATCACTCAGCCTAAGAGGCGCCTGCTCCTACCCCTCTTCAATGTCGGTGAATGCCTCATCGCCTCTTCCCGTACGGGAACCAGGCCAAAGTACACAGAAGTCGACAGGAAGATTTGTTCGATCAGATCAACTGGCCATGTTCGCGCGAGTAACATCTTACCCACCTCTGGGGCAACTCACCAACATCCGAAGATCCGAAGAAGATGATGCGGTAAGTACTGAGTGATTGCTAAGATGTATCTCGAGCAACGGCTCGTATTCCTATTGAACGGTAATCCGAATGCTAATATTGGTTGTAGCTATGTTTCACTGTGATAATCGAATCCATTAGCTCATTCCCCGCACAGCCATGGGATGTGCAGATCTGGCACAATATCACCAGCCCCGAATGGACAGCCCTGCCACTACTGAATTGTCACCCTGAACTGGCAAATCGACTAAATGGAAATGACAATGATGAGTATGACTTCCATCGCCATGTATTTGCTGGCAATATTCCATTGCCCGCCAAAGGAGGCCATGTCCAATTTACAGTACGATTCCGAACCAGCCTAGATGAAGAGTGGCAGTGGGCCAACCAGAAGCATCCAGTCAGTGATGGCGAAATTGTTTACTGTTCACGGTATTCTGGTATTCATCAGTCTGTGGCCACAGACCAATCCACTCAAAGTCCGCAAAGGGATATGGCCAAATTTATCAAAAATATCTCTGATAAGCTGCAAATCCAACAGCGGAGGAGTGAGGCTCCAGGATCAAAGCTTTGGAGTCTGTCAGGCGGTATAGATCCATGCCAAGAGAGAACCTCAAATATCAAACATGTCACGCTTGGTACACCTTTATCAGTGTTGAGATATTTCTCCATCGTCCGGGTGTGGAGTCCATGGCTGGGCCCTAGACATGGGAAAGACAAATTCCAACTCACTGAAGACGCAATACTCTGCTCATTCCTCAGGAGTGACGGGGTCCACCTGGTGTTGCTGGCTGTATCGGGAGTCAATGATGTCCTGACCGTCCTTCAATCTGGTAATAATGGTGAAATTGCCATTAAAGCAAAAAGTGACAACAAGGATCCATCAGAGTTCCACATTCTGGTTGCAGCCGCCGAAGAATTCGAGATCGCCATGTCTGCAGTGATGTATGAGGCTCGCAAGGTTGTTAGGCCGTTTGCTAATCCAGCGGGTACAATCTTGGAGGGACAAGTTCCGTTATCTCCCCCAGGTGATGACGAGGTTCTTGTGGAGAAGGATCCATCTGCTCAATTTCTTGCTCAGTGGTTTGATGGTCTGACATATTGTACCTGGAACGCTCTTGGCCAGGATCTTACCGAAGAAAAGATATTGCATGCTTTGGCAGAATTGAAGTCAAATGGAATCCAAATCGCCAACCTCGTCATCGATGATGGCTGGCAAGCAAACGACAATGAGGGCCAGTCTCAGTTCAAGAGAGGCTTGCAGCAGTTTGAAGCCCATTCGGAAGGTTTCCCCAAAGGACTGAAGAATACAGTGAGATCAATCCATGACGCCAATCCCCATATCGAGCACATTGCAGTTTGGCATGCCTTGCTCGGGTATTGGGGTGGTATCTCGCCAGAAGGAGACTTAGCCAAAAGATATAAGACAAAAGAAGTCAAGGTCAAAGATCCTTCTCCCAATGGTCCTATTGCGCAAAATCTCCCTGATGGCAAAATTCTCGCTATCGACCCGGATGATATCCAGCGGTTTTATAATGACTTCTATAGTCATCTTGACTCGACGGGTATAGATTCAGTCAAGGCAGATTCGCAATTTTTCATCGATCTCCTTGAAGACGCGGAAGACCGCAGACGATTCATGACCTCTTACCAAGATGCATGGTCAATCGCCTCTCTAAGATATTTTAGCACTCGTTCAATCTCATGCGGTTCGATGACGCCTCAAATCATGTTCCATTCACAACTTCCAAACAACAAACCCACCATCCCGCTCCGAAACTCAGATGACTTCTTCCCTGAAATACCCGCTTCGCACCCATGGCATGTATTCTGCAACGCACACAATTCACTTCTCACGCGATACTTGAACGTACTCCCAGACTGGGATATGTTTCAAACTAGTCATCCAAACGCATCTTTCCATGCTGCTGCGAGATGCGTGTCTGGTGGACCGATCTATATCACCGACGAGCCTGGAAAGCATGACTTGAGCCTGCTTGATCAGATGACCGCACCAACCGTCAAAGACATCACCATAATCTTGCGTCCCAGTGTCATTGGACGCACCATTGACACTTATCACGACTACAATGAAGGAAACATCCTGCGCGTAGGATGTTACACCGGCTGGGCTAGAACCGGAAGCGGGATCCTGGGTCTGTTCAATATCAATTCTAACGGGACCTCCACTATGGTCTCTCTGATGGATTTTCCTGGAATCCACGAAAACTCTCATGGCTACTATATCGTGCGCGCACACACCACCGGAAAGGTTTCCTCTCGTATACGGCCTATAGATCGAGATTCCCTCGTCTCAATCGTTCTTGAACAAAGAGGATGGGAGATTCTCACTGCTTACCCAATCCAATCGTTTACGCTGAAAAATCACCAAGGACATGATGGCTCCGTTGATATACTGACCTATGTGGCCGTGCTCGGCTTGCTGGGCAAGATGACTGGTGCAGCGGCTGTGGTGATGTCTGATATATGCCTCGCTGAGAACGGCCGATTGAGACTTGATGTTAGTCTCAAAGCTCTTGGGATAATGGGAATTTATCTGTCCGATCTTCCTGGTAGGAGTATTGCTAAGGACTTCATGGTTATGATCCAAGGAAAGCCAATCCCCCGGAAAACCGTATGGAAGGAAGGGGGTGAGGATGGGAACGTGCTGGCAATTGACATGTTGACTGCTTGGAAGACGATGAAGTTGGATAGTGGATGGAGTAGCGAGGTTCATGTACAGGTATTTGTTGGATGAGCTAGCACAATGCATCATGTTCATCCTTACCGATTAATATTCTTATTTCTGTTCTTAGCTCTCGGTTTCGTAATCTGGATTTGATTACCGGTTTCCAAGGTGGATGAGGCTCTGACTGTAAAACAATTACCAAAAAACACCCAAAAGAGTTGATATAACAGTGAACAAACCTCAAGAGGCAATATATTACTGCAATACCAGTCACAATTTTCTTGACTTCTTGACTCTCATTGTAAACGGAAGTTTTTTGTTTGTTTTTTTAAAAAGAAGTCCGTACGCAATTTGCGCTGCATTTCCTGAATTTCAAGGCAAGTGAGTCCAAACATTCATTTACTGGCAAAGCAATTCAGGCAGGAAGCAGCTGAACGGTGTGATATAGATCCGTATCTCGACACCTGAGGCAGAAATTCATAGCCTAATTGAGAATAGATCAACACCCTATCGATAAGCACCGGATCATCAATACTCCGAACCTATCGAAAGAATCTCGGAGCTGCTCTTTATTGACTCCGTCTAGACTCCGGTCCACTACAGCCCTTTTCACCCATATACCCTCTCAGAAAAACTGGTCCGATGAGGCCACAATCGGTACTGCTCCGCCAGGCGGCTTGCCACAATATTCTCAATCCCCGCCGATCCCTCGGCGGAGCGCGCAATTTCGCCGCGACGACAACAAGTTCGCTACGTGGTGCCAACACTCGCCCAGCACTACTTGCCTCACAGTCTGCGACATGCTTCCAGCAGCAACGATGGATTACGCAGAAGTACATACAGCGCATGAAGGATGGCGAGAAGGAATGGGCTGGGTTTGCGAAGGAGATTAAGGAAGGGAAAAGGAAGAATTTCGCGCAACATTTGGAGGAGCGTGGTCTGATCCATGATGTTGTTGGGTATGTCAACTTAAATTGGATTTTGCATTTAGACCCAATTATTTGGTATGGTTCAGCAATATGCTGACCTGTTCGGTTGTTTGCAGAGAACGCGATTTGTTGCATAAGGTCTTTACGGAAAAGCGCGCTGGAATTTACGTCGGAATCGACCCTACGGCGCCTTCGATGCATGTTGGACACATGCTGCCATTTATGGTCTTGGCCTGGGCATACGTCTGGGGTATTCCGGTCACATTTTTGGTCAGTCTTCCATCTGTTCCACTCTCAGCTGAAAAGCATTCACTGACAGCCTACAGCTTGGCGGTGCTACATCTCGGGTTGGCGATCCTACTGGCCGGTTAAAAGGACGTGATGCGGTCCATTCCTCGATCCGAAAAGCCAACATGGCTAGCATGCACATGCAATTGAAGAAGTTGGGCGTCAGCATTGACCATTACGGACGGAGACACGGATACGAACGGCAGCCGATGTGGAAGCGGGCATTGACTAACAACAACACCTGGTGGAACTCAATGCCGTTCCTTGAAGTGTTGCGTGACCTTGGTGCTTATATGCGAATTGGTCCTATGCTCGGCAGAGAGACGTGAGTTTTGCCAGATTCAAACGGAATGTCACATCCTTACTAATATTTGATAGTGTCAAGAACCGCCTGTCAAAGGGTGACGGCATGTCATTTGCCGAGTTCTCTTATCCCCTTCTCCAAGCGTGGGATTGGTGGACGATGTTCCAAAAGGGTACTCAGGTGCAAGTTGGAGGCTCCGATCAGTATGGAAACATTCTCTTCGGAATGGACGCAGTTAAGTCCATCAGCCGCAATACGGCCGACGAGCAACTCAGGAATCCCCTAGAGTCGGAGCTCGATCATCCTATTGGTTTCACCACGCCGCTTCTGACAGCTCCAAACGGCGAGAAGTTTGGAAAGTCTGCAGGAAACGCCGTGTGGCTTGACAAGGACCTGACTTCCACTTTCGAGCTCTACCAGTTCTTCGTTCGCACCCCGGACGACACTGTTGAGAACTACCTCAAGCTGTTCACTTTCATCCCCTTGCCCGAGATCGCCAGTATCATGGAGGAGCAGAACAAGGACCCCTCAAAGCGCGTTGCGCAACATGCACTTGCTTTCGACTTTGTCGAGCTCATCCATGGCAAGGACGAGGCCGATGCAGTCGCTATGCAACATCGCCAGCTATTCCGTCCCCGATCATCCACCGGCATCCCGACTCCTCTCCCTAAATCCTCTTCTCCCCCCTCAAGCCACGCGCAATCTCCCACCGCAGGCTTTGATAACCCGCAATCTGGCAACCAATACGCCCCTCAAACGAACTTTTCGAACATGGGTGACATTAAGGTCACCCTCCCTCAATCCCTTGTGATCAACCAGCCATTCAACAAGGTCCTTTGGTCGGCCGGTATGGTTTCATCTAAGAGCGAAGGACACCGCGTTATTGTAAACAATGGTGCCAAGGTCGGCAGCCGTCCCGGTGACAGCGGTCCCATGTCGGACGCGCTGTCCTTCACCCCCATCCGCCCATGGGGCGCCGAGAAGACGCAGGAGTTTGTCCTGAACGACGACCTCCTCATGCTCAAGCTCGGCAAGTGGAAGTTTAAGGCTGTTCACATCGTGAGCGATGAAGAATTTCGCAAGCAAGGTCTCACTGCTCCAGGCTGGGAGACTGAGCCTACTGAGCCGACTGAGTCGTAATAGGTGTATGAATCCCCGCTAGATCTGTAATTTTACAATATCCCATCTGTACAATATAAACAAAATATTTATCAAGCATTGAGACAGAATCATGTAGTTCTGGTGTTTGAGTATGTATACACGTCACGGGAATCGACAGGTCGAGTCTCGGTCACTTTACGCGTCGACGCGATCCGCGTTAGCTCCTCCCACATCCCCAGTCCCTTCGCCCTTCAACCATACCATGCGCTGAACTTAAATATCATATCAATTGAATCGGATTTGATTGAAGAAGAAGAAAACAAGAAAGCAATGGCCAAGGAAACGGCCACGTCCCCGACCGCAGGCACGCCGCCAACCGCCGCGCTCAAGCGGACGACCTCCAGCACCCAGAATATGAAAAGCCAGAAATCGATTCTGGGTTTCTTTCAGAAATCCTCACCTGCCACTCCTTCCAGCAACCGTACCCGTGAACCTGCCTCTTCCCCGGCACAAAGAGCCGCCGAGAATCGTGGGAGCGCGCTTAAGCCGACGCCGAAGGAGGGCAAGCGGAGTTTCTCTAGCTTTGCTCAGGATTTGACTCCTGTTCCTAGCAGTGATCTTCCTGTGCCGGATGAAGAAGATGAAAATGTGGATGAAGTGAAGGTACAACGGTTTTCGATTGTGTTTGTTTGTTTCCTCGCTGATTGAATTGTTGTTTCGCAGACCACCCAAGGGGACGCACCAGACTCCACGATGTCGCCTTCCCGCAGAGTGCGTTTACTTTCTTTTCAAACGGCTTGATTAATTGTCTTGCTGACAGTGTTCGTCTAGGGAAAGAAGAAGGTGAGTTACAAGGAGTCGGATTCTGAGGGCGAAGATGACGATGATGTTATCTTCAAGCCCGGCCGCCGAGACCGCACTGCTGGACGTGCAGCCAAGAGACAAAAGACATTACCGGAGAGCGAGGATGAGTTTCAAGAGGGCGCAGACGAGGCAGGATATTCCGACGATGGTATGCTACTTTGGTTTCTCGTTTCCGTTATTCGTTCGTACTATCGCTGACCTGAATATAGAAATGGATGATTTCGTTATTGCAGATGATTCTGACGAAGAAGTCGTCTCCTCCAAGAAGCGCAAGAGACCCTCGACCCAACCGGCTCGCCGGCAAACGGCGAAATCATCATCCGCGGCAGCACCAGCACCTCCCTTCCCAGATGCGGACCTTGATATTGAAATCCCGGAGGGGTCCTCAGGGACAGCTAAGAAGTGGACTTTCGATCCAGAGAACAAGGAGCCACGAAAGGAACGCGAAGCCATTGAGGCCAAGAAGCCCTCGAACCCAAACAAGAAGGAAAAGGCACACTTGAAGGAACCAGAGCAGCGATATTCATGGCTTGCCACAATCAAGGACATTGATGGAAACCCCAAGGGTCACCCGGATTACGATCCCCGTACGATCTATATCCCACCACTGGCTTGGTCGCGATTCTCTCCATTTGAGAAGCAGTACTGGGAGATCAAGCAGAAGTTCTGGGATACTGTGGTTTTCTTCAAGAAGGGAAAGTTCTATGAGCTGTACGAAAACGATGCCACCATCGGACACCAGCTGTTCGATCTCAAGCTCACTGATCGCGTGAACATGCGCATGGTCGGTGTTCCAGAGATGAGTTTGGACCACTGGGCCAACCAGTTCGTGGCCAAGGGCTTCAAGATCGCTCGCGTCGACCAGTCTGAATCTGCCCTGGGCAAGGAAATGCGTGAGCGTGATGGCAAGAAGCCCGGAAAGGAAGATAAGATCATCAAGCGAGAGCTTGCCAGTGTTCTCACAGCAGGTACCCTTGTTGAGGGATCCATGCTTCAAGATGACATGTCTACTTACTGTGTTTCTATCAAGGAAGCTATTATTGATGACCTTCCTGCATTTGGAATCTCATTTGTCGACACTGCCACAGGTCAATTCTTCATGTCTGAGTTTGTGGACGATGTCGATATGACAAAATTCGAGACTTTTGTTGCCCAGACACGGCCGCAGGAACTGCTACTAGAAAAGGGCTGTGTTTCTCAAAAGGTTATGCGCATCCTGAAGAACAACACTGGGCCCACTACTATCTGGAACATGATGAAGCCCGGCAAGGAGTTCTGGGAATCCGACATCACAATTCGAGAACTCGAGGCTAGTGAATACTTTGTTTCTGAAGATGATGAAAACGTCACAGCCTGGCCAGAAGCTCTGCGCGAAGCGCGCGAAAAGGAGCTGCTGATGTGTGCATTCGGCGCCTTGGTTTCATATCTGCGCTTGCTAAAAATTGAGCGGGACTTGATCACTATCGGCAATTTCACGTGGTATGATCCCATCAAGAAGGCAACTAGTCTTGTGCTTGACGGTCAGACTCTGATCAACATGGAGATCTTCGCCAACTCGTTTGACGGTGGATCTGAAGGAACTCTGTTTCAGCTCCTCAACCGTTGCATTACACCCTTCGGTAAGCGGATGTTCAAGCAATGGGTTTGCCATCCGCTGGTGGATGCAAAGAAGATCAACGCCAGACTGGATGCTGTCGATTCACTGAACGCCGACCCAAGTATTCGTGACCAGTTTTCTTCTCAGTTGACAAAGATGCCGGATCTTGAGCGACTGATCTCTCGTATTCATGCCGGCAACTGCAAGGCTGCCGACTTCGTGCGTGTTCTGGAGGGTTTCGAGCAGATCGACTACACTATGGGCCTGCTCAAGGATAATGGCTCTACCTCAACCGAAGAAGGCATTATCGGTCAGTTGACAAACGCAATGCCCGACTTGACCTCGCTCTTGGGATATTGGAAGACTGCCTTTGACCGCCCCAAGGCCAAGGAGAATGGAATTCTTGTGCCTGAATCCGGTGTCGAGGGAGACTTTGATAACTCTCAAGAAATTATCGAGCAGCTGCACAAGGACCTTGACAACCTTTTAAAGAAGGCTCGTCGTGACCTAGGATCTTCTGCCATCTGCTTCCGTGACAATGGAAAGGAAATCTATCAACTGGAGGTTCCCATCAAGGTCAAGAATATACCCAAGGACTGGAACCAAATGTCTGCAACCAAGCAGGTCAAGCGATACTACTTCCCCGAGCTTCGAAGTCTAATTCGCAAATTGCAAGAGGCCCAGGAAACCCACAGCCAAATTGTCAAGGAGGTCGCCGGACGATTCCACGCTCGTTTCGACGAGCACTACAGCACATGGTTGGCTGCTGTTAAGATAGTTTCCCAGCTTGACTGTCTAATCAGTTTGGCTAAAGCTTCCGCATCTCTGGGCCAGCCCAATTGTCGGCCAACCTTTGTGGATGACCAGCGAAGTGTTCTGGAGTTCGAAGAGCTTCGTCACCCATGTCTCCTATCTTCTGTTGAGGACTTTATCCCCAACGACATCCAGCTCGGTGGCAAGCATGCCAGCATTGATTTGCTGACAGGTGCGAACGCTGCCGGAAAGTCCACCGTTCTCCGTATGACCTGTGTTGCTGTGATTATGGCCCAGATCGGATGCTATCTTCCGTGCCAGTCAGCTCGCCTGACTCCTGTGGACCGCATCATGTCTCGACTTGGTGCAAACGACAACATTTTCGCCGCTCAATCTACCTTCTTCGTTGAACTGTCAGAGACCAAGAAGATCCTTTCCGAAGCTACTCCACGCTCTCTGGTTATTCTTGACGAACTCGGTCGTGGAACTAGCTCTTACGATGGTGTTGCCGTTGCCCAAGCTGTTCTACATCACATTGCCACCCACATCGGCGCTTTGGGCTTCTTCGCAACCCACTACCACTCCCTCGCTGCCGAATTCGAGAACCACCCCGAAATCGCACCCAAGCGCATGGCCATTCACGTCGACGACGCCGAACGCCGTATTGCCTTCCTCTACAAACTGGAAGAGGGTGTTGCAGAGGGTAGTTTCGGTATGCACTGCGCCTCCATGTGTGGGATCCCAAGCAAGGTCATCGAATGTGCCGAAGACGCCGCCAAGCAATGGGAGCACACCAGCCGCCTGAAGGAGAGCCTTGAGCGCCAGAAGGGCGGTGGCTATGTTGGTCTTGGCTGGTGGAGTGATGTTGCGTGGGCACTGCGCGAGTCTGTCACCGAGGAAGACTCCAATGCTGGTGATGTCTCTGATCGTGGCTTGGATGTATTGCTGAAAGCTATTGAAGCTTTGTAATGATATTCTAAGTTGTCTATCTAATCTTCTATGCCCAATTTTTTTACGTGCATCTTGATCATATAGATTATCATGATTGCGTGTTCGTTTTCTATTCTACCCAGTTCCTTGTGACAAACATCGTATTTGTTTTTGTTGTATCCGTTTCATTGGCGTCTCCGGCCTTGCTCTGTTATCTTAGCAGATTTCATTATGTAGTCTACTATCTCTGAAATGAAGTATTTTCTGAGCAGCTTGTGCATCTTTATTGTTTTTATTTTTTTTCTATTGGAAATCACCCTGAAATACCAACCCGGAACGCCATTCAAACAACGATCTTCAAATTGTGTCCACCAACCCAGCAAATTGTTCCATCACGCAGTTCCCATATTGAGCCTACTCCAGAGCCAAATACAAGCAGATCATCTCATCACTCAACTCCGAGATCATCAGGGTCTCCGTCTGAAGCTTCTCCAGGACCTCCGTGCTCATGGCAAGATCCCTCAGGAGCAGCAACACGGCTCTTGTTCACCGCAGTCCAGCCAGCAGCCTTGTGTCCATGGCGCTTGCCAGGACCTTTATTAAGGTGTCCATTCAAGTTATCCTCGGCAGTCAAAACATGTTCATTTCCCTTCGGCTTCCTGTTCTTCGGGGTACTCTTGACGGGGCTGATGAGGCTGATGGGTTCGAGGCTTGCACGAGATAGTTGATCGATGACATCTCCCTCGACTCCCGGGGTAGAAGACTTGAGGCCTTTTGGACTTGAGAGCTTATCTAGCTCAGGCTGTCAAGGTAAAGCTCGGTTCTTTGCGGGCGAAGTCTGCTCGATGTGGTTTTCCCTCGACTCATTGTTCAAATGACTTGGATCTTGCTTGCTCTTTCTGGCCTTCTTGTGTTGCTTTCCATTCTAGTGTCCACCACTGATCGGCTTCCTAACTCCCTTATTCCGACCGCTGTGCTCAATCTCTCCATGAGACCGCTGATCGACAATATCTTCCTCGGGCGCTTTGTTTGTATGATAGATTCCCTTCGAATTCGTTAAGTTGTCGAGCTTTGCATGACCTGGCGGGGCATCTTCATCCGTAGATAGCCACTCGGCATTGCTTTCCTCAATCGAATCATCATTTGAGTAGATGGCATCGCTATTGATAGTTGGAGTTGTCTTCTCCAGCGTCTTATTCCTGCGGCTATTCTCCACCGGGCTCGAATGTTAAATGCCTGCACGGGAGAGCCGATCCCTCAAGTTTTCCTCGAGCTCGCTATCTTGGGTCTTCCTGTGTTTAGCATTGGAAGGCTTTTTGTAGGCGTGGGTGAAAGTTTCTTTATCTCCTGCATCTGAAACACCCTGAGAGCTTTCCTCAGAAGACTCATCGAATGTAGTCTCTCCAACTCTGTTGTTCCTTGGAGCACGCTTGCGCTTGAGATGTCTGGATGATGTCTTGCGTGGGCAATCAACGCACGAATTGAGTGAATACTCTGAGTCCTCCAACTCTATGCCAGGGGACCTACGGCTCACAACTCGCTTTATACATTTCTTTGCTGTGTTGATACGATGGTGAGAATTGGGTCTAGCGCTAGAGCGATGTTTGGCAGCTTTCTTGTCTGTCGGCTAGAAAGGAGTTTCCGGGGTTGTTATCAATTTCTTGTTGGGCATCTGTCTCTTGTTGCGGTTGCTCCCTGGTATCTTACTTTAGACCGCAGGTTTGTCTTCAGATTCACACATCTCACTGCTTTCTTCGTCGCTAGTTAGAGGAAGTACCCAGCCATACTCCAAACAAATCCGCCTCGAGTTTCTTTTTGCTTTTGAGAGCACAGTAGCGGCCGAACCTGGCTTTGCATAGCCCATTAGATTCTTTAGTCTAACAAAATAAACGTGCTGTTTTTCGTGGCTAACACACAGTGTCAAGGTTCTTTCTATAGGAATACTGATAGCATTCGCTCGGCAAAATTGAGAAAACAGAAGGACCGTCACGTCACTACCAGTGAAGCCCATCCAATGAGATATCAAAATCCTTTTTTCCCTCGTCACGACCGAACAAGGTACGCCGTCCCGGTCGTACAATGAAGTGTCTGGCCGCTTCATTGTAGGGCGTTGAAGGGCTTGGTTTCCAACCCACGAAAGAAGTCTTTTAAACCAAACCCCCACTTGCACGACGACAGTGCATGTTTGCTGTTTAGAAGGCCAACGTATTGCCCAGACTGATTTTATTGTTTGACTGCGGTACCATCAGTCCACGGGGGTACGCTCACTTGAAGAGCAAAAAAGATACATCTAGAACCGCTGTGCAAGCATAACAGCTTTATTTCTAATCCACTGGCAATCCGCTAAGTTGCCAAATTCATGCACCAAGCCGGTCTACTTACTCGGTATCAACATGCTGAGCAGGAGAGTTCGACGACGAAACCAGAGAACTCAGTCAAGACCTCGAGGCTATGGTGCAGATTCCCGAAGACGCTAGGCATTCACCACGCTTGCACCTATATTTGAGGGCGAAGAAAACCTCAGTCAGCTACTCGAATATACGCTGCCGGACTGGGCTGCTGACTCACGAACGGACTAATACAAGAATGACTACCAATTGAGGCTGAAGTCAAAATGTCGTAGAACAGAGTTTGATCTTGCTGTAGCACAGAATGGCTGGCATTTGGATCGAGAGGGGCTTACATGGATTGTAAGACAGAGGACGGGGACATTGACGGTGCATCCACACATTCATTTTTGTACTCAGTATCTGGCGGTACTGAGACTTTTATTTGTACTTGCTCATTCTTGGGTTTACAGGTTTGGCTATTCGATATACCTATAGGGCTGTTGTTATCTCAATGTATTGAGCAGCAGCGCAATTTTCTGTACTGAAGCATGATCAGGCGTACGGGGCGAGCTCTTTCTTCAACTGGCAAGAACGCCTGCATAGTCATTACGATACCAGCTAGATCGCAAAGAGTTAATGGAACTTTGATTCATTGAATGATTAGTCGATACATCTAGAACCACGCCTCTTCCCTATCCCGTATTCCCTCCTTGTATCTATCTTGCATCATCAAGAAGGCCTGAAGATAAATGTGGACACTTAATCAGTGGGCTCAGTCTGATAGGCAAGCATATCATCCTCCTCAGCCTCTTCTGGACAGTCGTTCTTGAGCTCGAGCTCGGGCTCAGGCTCCGACTCTGATTCAGGGTCCTGGTTCTTTTTGCGGCGCTTCTGGCCACCAGCCTTTTTGGCAGGGGTCTTGACAGGGGTATTAACAGCGGACTTGATCGTGCCTCCCTGGGCGTTGACACCGTAGACCTTCTCCAGCTTGCGAAGGGCGCGATTGTGCATGGTTGAGGCGGAGGCGCGCTTCGTGTTCATCAAGGTTCCAAGTCTCTCAAAGTCGACCTGTTCAATACCAGGTTTTAGCTCCGATAACGCTCGTGGAAAGATTGACGACTGACCTTGGCACTACCAGAGCAAAGAATACCCATGAGTAGCATCTTGCTTTCACCAGGTGTGAGGTCCTCGGACCGGCCGCCTTTCTTTTCGGGGCTGGACTCAGGCATGATGATAATGTGTGACAGGCACAAGGCTGTGTGGCGTGAGGTTTGGTGGAAGGAACTCCTCGAGCGAATGGAAATTACAAGGAGGAAGTTCTGTTGGGTATGGAGGGGTCGTTTTATGAACGGATGGGGGACGATGTAGGGCTAGGGGCGTGCACGGACGGACCCGACGGGCGGGTAGCTGGTATATCTTGCGTTTATTTCAACCTCACAGCAAGCCGAGCTACTCTTTAAGGAGACACTCAGGAATCCAAGAAACCTTTGGGGCTATGTGAGGATCTTCTAGTCTATCCTATCCAATTTAATTTGCTTTTGTCTTCGTGCAAAACGTCCAAACAATCTGCCAAACGTCTTTCTTTGAGCTTTGTTGGCGTTTGGTTAAATACGCAGTCTCAGCCTTCAAGGCATATTTTGGCTACAATTTTCTCATGGTGGATTATCCTACTAGTACAGTCATACAGCTTATAAAGTGAAACAGAGTAATGATCTTGATGATCATTCGTTTGGGATACTGTAAGCTAGTTAGTTACTTGGTGCTCACCCACCGCGACTAAACTTGACACATCCCTCGGCCCTGGCAACAGCCATCAGAAATCCTCCTGGCATAGCAAAACAATAAGAAAACACATCATGTGTAACAAAGATAAACTGGTATCATCAACTCCCCATTTGATCGCAGAAACAAAAAGATGTCATGCAAAGTACAAATGAAAAAAATGAAAAACTACTCGTCCTCAATGCGAGATTCGGCGGCAGCTGCAGCTGCGGCAACAGCTTCGGCGGCAACGGCCTCGTTGATAGCCTGAGCAGCCTTGTGTGCGTTCTCAATGGTATACTGCAGGTCGCGCGAGTAGGCAGAGTCATCAGTGTCAAACGCCTCGGCGGGCTCCTCCTTGATGGGGACAGCGGATTCCTCGACAGCCTTCTCATCATTCACCTCACTCTTGGCGGTCTTAGCGGTCGGCTTCTTGGCCCGCTTTCGAGCCGGGCCAGCCTTGGTGGGCGAGGGGTTAGGGGTGTCGGCGATGCCCAGGGCACGAGCAAGCTTGCGCTTGGCACCGCGGTGGAGAGTCCCGGCAGAGGATGCCTTCAGGCCAGTCCACTTAGCCATATCGTCGTAGTTGGGCTAAACCTAGATTAGCATCTGAAAAGACGGTGAATGACCTCGAGTGCTTACAGTGCCGTTAGTGTGGAATACGTTACCGAGGGCGAGGAGCTTCATCTCAGTGGCGCTGAGAGCGGAGAAGGGGCCATTGTCGGCAGTGAGTTTAGTAGCAGGGGCCATCTTCAATGTTTGATGGCGGGGTAATTCACTTGGAGAATAGAAGCTTGCAAGGTATAATGCAGTAATGGATATCTCTTCAATGTGGGGGAAATGAAGAATATGGGAGAAGGAAAGATTGATTTGAAACGAAAAGTAGAATATGTTGCGCGGGTCGCATAGGGCTGGGATTCTGATGTGAGGATGATTCTGGGGTGGAAGGAACGCGTCCGGCGCGTTAGGGCAACCCGCGAACCTCAGGCCTTTGTGAGGATTGCTGGAGTGAACACCACTTGACAGCCACGTCTGAGGTGCCAAATGAGATAAAGCTTTTCTGACTTTTGATTTTGTAGCTTGATGATACTTCAAACAAGTACATGATGCAGACATCGGTCACTTCGTTCTCAATGAGGCGTGAGAACAAAGTTGAAGGATAAGAAGCAACACCGGGGAGCTTTTGTGCAGTAGATTGAACATGATGGATACTAAATGTGGGAATAGGATAACTGCCAAGTGATTGATATAGGGTCTATGAAACGAAGGTGAAGCAATTGTGAATCTGGCTTCGATGCGGCAGTTATCAGGTCTAGCTCAGATTAAATCATCGAGATTATGACTTTGCTGCTTGAATCTGCCGATAGATATTTCCCCATAGCTCTGGGAAGAAAGCGGACGTCTGTCGCCCAGGCTTGGAGTGCTCCTCCGTATAGAATTGAGTTGGTGCTCTTCCCTGCCACCAGCGCTGCGGCGTAGGGTTTAAATTGCGGAAGCTGACAGGGCGAAGGGGATCATGAGCCGGAACGAGATCTCCGAGGCGTACTGCTGTCTGGCGAGGGATAGTGTTGAATCTCATGCTGGTGATGTACAACATGGCCGTTGGAGGAAGCTCCTTTCCATACTGGATGGCCGCCTCTCGAGACTTTCTGGCAAAGGCTGGCAAAGCAAGATGAATGAAGTTAACATAAGGAGCTGATGTATATGAGACGAATAGCATTGGTAAAGCGCCAGCGGCGATTACTAAAATCAAGTTAGTCTAGATGCCGAGATCATTTGATATGGAAGGCAACGTACCACCTGAAACGCTATACCATGGATAATCTGCCACGGAGCATGCTGGCGCAACAATTAAACATGCCGCACCGAAGAGAAGCACCGTCGTAATGCGCATGGTACCCAGGAAAATAGCTCTGCCTGTGCCTCCATAATATACCAATATCCGTTCCGGTGGCCCTGTAGCTATTGATCAGCAAGCATACTTGTAACATCAAATCTTTTCATACCTGCTCTTATGGTTGTTTTTGGAGAGGGATTCGCTCCAGACGCAGGTGTGACTGTCCTTCTGACAGGAGCCGCAGGAGCCGTTTCTTTCTTCGGCAATGGTGAAAGATGCTTCTGAGAAGGCCGAGGGATCTGAGATTTGTATCTGACCCAAACGCTTCTCCGAAGGCCTCCCTGGGCGCATTCAGGCAAGCCTTTGCGCAATTGGGGGTGAATTAAGATCTGAAGTCGCATCATGACTGAGTCATTGAACAAGGCTAGAATCGGGACGTTGATTGTCGCGCGATAAATCCGCGCCGATCTTCCGGCAAAATTGCGACCGCCTTAGCCTCCGCCTCCGAGGTGTTTGGGGGGCTTGCATGAGCCCCTGCATCTCTGACAACTCATCCTCAGCATTGTTATCAGATCATCTGTCTATGTCTTCTCGCTAGAATCACCTCGAACCCTTCGAACCCGAGGCTTTGATGCAGATTCGGAACGTTTTGCGCGACTTATTCTCCCGTCATGTCTCCGGCTTATCGCCGCCTGTCTAGCCGCATTGTGTCCCTTTGGCTAGGCTTTCTCTTGCTTTTTGTACACGTGAATGCATACGAGACGATTTCAGATGAGACCTTGAACTCTCTTCCGCGGCCGAACAACGATTTCGACATTCACAATGGCGCCTTGTTGTCACCTATACTGAGGACCCGCGTCCCAGGCACTCCGGGCTCCACCGCGGTGCTCAATCACTTTGCTGACTTCTTTCGAACCAGCTTGCCAGAATGGACAATTCAGGTGCAGAATTCAACTGCCAAAACACCGACATCCAAGGGCAAGGAAATTCCCTTCAAGAATTTTATTGCAACTCGCGATCCTCCCTGGGCCTCGGCTGGTGATGTCGGGCGCTTGACTCTTGTTGCCCACTATGACAGCAAGATTGAGCCGAAAGGATTTATCGGAGGCATTGACAGTGCTGCACCATGTGCAATGATCATGCATGCAATGCGCAGTATTGACGCTGCACTGGGGAAGAAATGGTCCGCCATGAAGGAGCAGGGCCTGGACGAGTCCCTTGAAGATGCACATGGCATCCAAGTCATTTTCTTGGATGGCGAAGAGGCCTTCAAAGAATGGAGTGACAGCGATTCTCTGTATGGTGCGCGTGCTCTGGCAACACATTGGGATGATCAGTTTTACCCAGCCATGTCGGAATTCAAGACTCCGCTGTCGTCAATTTCTCTGTTCGTCCTTTTAGATCTCCTCGGCTCGAAGTCACCAACCATCCAGTCTTACTATGAGACCACCCACTGGGCCTATCAAAGCTTGGCTGCCCTAGAAAAGCGTTTCAGATCACTCAAGGAATTCAAGTCTTCCTCGACTGACTCGTGGTTCATTGATTCCGCAAAGGATGGCCACAAGCTTACCCCCATGGGTGGCATCCAGGATGATCACCTTCCTTTCCTTGCCAAGGGAGTCGAGGTTCTCCATCTCATTGACTTTGCTCCATTCAAGGGCTTCCCTTCTGTCTGGCACACAATTGACGATGACGGACAACATTTGGATAAGGAAACCGTGGAAGATTGGGGCATGCTCGTCACTGCCTTTGCTGCTGAGTGGATGGAGCTGGAAGGGTATTTCGACCACCCAGCAACCATCCAGGAACACAGAGACCAAGATTCTGCGGAGGCGGAAGCCATCCACCTGGACAAGAAGACCGAGTTGTAAGCCATTCTTTCGTTCCTTTTGCTATACCTCCTTTTGGACCTTTGATTCTCGCATTTATCTGCCGTTATATACCCACTGCATATTATAGTAAATGGCATTTATTCCCAGCCAAATTGGCACTGTACAAACTCATTGTCATTATTTATTTATTTCTGCTAATAATACCCGAACGCAGCTCCCGAGAGACCTGAACTTTGGATCATTTCAAGCACGCCCTCATGCAACCAATGCCCCTTCAACTGAATGAACCGAAAAACTACCCACTGCGATAATGAATGGGGAGAAAGAGATATGTTCAAATTTGAGCATTCTCTATACACTCAAAAAAGGTTGCCCAGCATGTATCCGGACATTGTTGCAAGCCCCCAGGTTGGTTGAAGGACTGTTCGCAAAATAGCAGGGCCTGGACAGACACCTCTCAACCCCCAAGCTAGCCCAAAGGCCACTGAACCAGCCACAAAACGCCAGTCAATGTCCGCCATGGTTGCTGTTGGAAGTCGCCATTTCTCTGCTAGAGTAGGCTTTGTAACTACTTTCTCCTTTTCAACCAGCTGTCCCGGTCTCTCGGTCAGGAAAGTGAACAGAGATGGCCCAATTCCAAACAAGATGACCAATGCCAAGGATGGATCAAATCGCGACGGATTTGTCAAAAAGGCAAAGAATCGGAGGACTTTGGCAGGGTCAGCCATCCCAGAGAAGAGAAGACCCAGCCCGAACTCCAGTCCTGCTATGAAGGAAAAGGCGACCCTCGATTGCTCTGACCGATGGACCTTGCGAGGAACGATGCCGAAGTTTGTGATCCCAGCAAGCAATGTCGCACCCGCCATCAAAATCAACTCAGGTATTGATGGATAGACTGGAGTATAACACGGGATCGGACCGCAAGCCGGGATATTGGCACCACCGCCAACAAAGTTCGCAGTGAGCAAAGCGGTCGTGAAGAAAACAGCCGTTGCAATCAGCGAGCGAGACGAAAGACGCGAAAGGCCGCATAGCATGTGTCCGGATGTGCAGCCCCGACCATTCTGTTCTATGTTAGCTGGTGATTCCCGACGATGTGGGTCCACTATGCTTCACCTTAGTCCCCCAACCCAACAAGAAGCCCACCCCTAGCGTTGCAGCAGCAGAAGCCAAAGACTGTGGTGCAGCAGGATAGTTCGGGATCAAGGATGGTGCGAAAAGGTAGACTGGCACTATACTCGACACCAGTCCCGCGATGATCGGCAGATTGTCACGACTGGGGTTGAAGGCGATTCCTGACAGCAGGGAAGAAATGCCGAACACAGCGCCATTGTGCAGCAAGAGGCCCGAAGACCCCTGGAATAGTAATAGCGCGCCTACGGTTGTATGAACGGGCGTGAACATGATATATTGTTGTCGATTCGGATGTTGGTATCAAAGTTTTCTCCCTGATGTCATAGCGGGAGGTGCAGTCTGAGGTATAGAGCTTAATGGCAATTTGGCGTATAAGAGGCAATGGAAGTAATAGAGAAGAGAATCGTAGAATTAATCGACAGGGGTCTAAAAGAAGCAGTAGAACAAAGAAGGTGGATTTAGGCCTTGCGCATTCTTGCACCCCTTAGGGATTGCCGGATCGGGGACCATCCAAGTCGCCGTTGTGATCCCCGATGTCTGACCTAGTCCCCGGGCATTTGTTTATACACTTGTTTGTTTAGATCCCTGTGATTTGGACTTCAACGTAGGTGGGAGATGGTTGCACAAGTCCCTGCATGTCGATATGACAGGATGATGCTTAAACAACCTTGCCTGCACTCGGGAACTGGATATATGCGCTAGCAGGTCCACTGAGAACACCGAGGATCTTCAATGATGTCCAGCAACACAACAGATCAAGTCGACATGACCAAGTCACCAAGTATACCAGTCAATTCATGGGGAACACAAACACAACATGAAATTTCAACTGACCAGCACACCAGGCAGGCGCCATCCTGTTCTTGCCTTATCCTTCCAACTCACTACTTCTCGCCAGAACTGTGAACTTGATCTTTCCATCTCCCAGCTTCCATTTCGAAATTCCAACATCTCGCATCCCATCTCTGATATACTTGCAAGATGGGAAACTCAGCCAGCGTCGCCGGACGTGCATGCTTCGTGGCCGCCGTGGGACACGACCCCAATCTCGTCACCTTTCGAGGAGACCTGCTCTATGAATTCCGCATCCAGCCATCCTACAACCTTGCCATCCCAGTCCATCCCACCGTGGTCACCTACCCCAAGACTACCGCCCAGGTAGCCGAGATCGTGAGCTGTGCCGCCGCCCAGAATTACAAGATGCAGGCCTACAGTGGAGGCCACAGCTACGGGAACTACGGTAGAGAGCTTCCGGTGCTCAGGCTTTCCCCATATTAATGTATTTCATGACAGGTCTCGGTGGAGAAGATGGACATGTCGTCGTGGACCTGAAGAACTTCCAGGATTTCACCATGGACCCCGATACTCACGTTGCCACGATTGGAGCCGGTACAAGCCTGGGCGATCTCCAAGATCGTCTTTGGCATGCTGGTGGTCGGGCTATGGCACATGGATCTTGTCCTCAGGTCGGTGTTGGTGGTCATTTCACCATTGGCGGTCTTGGTATGATGTCTCGACAGTGGGGAATGTCGTTGGATCATGTTGTCGAGGCTCAAGTTGTGCTGGCGAATTCCAGTGTGGTTACTGCGTCCGATACACAGAATCAGGACATATTCTGGGCTATCAAAGGTGCCGCAGCTAGCTTTGGTATCGTTACCAAGTTCAAAGTCCGCACTCACGGTGTACCCAAGGCTGCTATTCAATACCAGTATACTTTCAGTCAGGGAGATGTTCTCGACAAGGTGAAGCTTTTCATGGCCTGGCAGAACATTGTGGCCAAGCCGAATCTCACTCGGAACTTTTCCACCGAGCTCACAATCTTTCAGGATGGTATCATGATTATGGGCAGCTTCTTTGGGACCAGGGACGAATTCCACAAGTTTGAGCTGGAAAATGATCTGCCTCTTCAAGGTCTGGGAAACGTGGCATACATCACCAACTGGCTGTCTTTGGTCGCTCACACAGCTGAGGACTATTTGCTTCGTCTCACGGGTAATGTACTCACGTCTTTCTACGCCAAATCATTGTCTTTCACGGCCGACGAGCTGTTCAATGAACAAGGCCTGGTTACTCTATTCACCTACTTAGATGCAGCACCCAAGGGTACCCCTACTTGGTGGGTGATCTTTGACCTGGAAGGCGGAGCAACCAATGATGTTCCCGTGAATGCAACCTCATACGCCCATCGCGATGCTATCATGTGGATGCAATCTTATGCAGTCGCCGGCTTTGAGCCCCCAGGCTTCATCATCAAACGGTTCCTCAATCGCTTGCATGGAGTAGTCATTGGGAATCGCGCACCTGGTGCTGTGCGTTCTTACCCAGGATATGTTGATCCTTATCTCAGGAATGCTCAGGAGACCTATTGGGGACCCAATCTCGCTCGTCTCCAGGATATCAAGACCGCTGTCGATCCAGATGATGTCTTCCATAACCCACAAAGTGTGAAGGTGAATTCTCTAAGCCCTCCCGATCCTGGATCTCATGACGTTTAGAAAGTTTCAAGCTGGACTTTTGTGAATGGTTCTTTGCGAAACAGATTGGTATGCCTTATGGAGCAAAAACAAAGACGAGGATCAGATACTTGCAGGGATACTTATTTTTCATCTTTCATCCTTTATATTGGTCACTTCGGTTTGAATGATCATTCAGCCTTGATACGATTCAGATAATTATTTAGCGAGATAGCTGTGCAGGTGCACTCGAATTGCACTCGAATTCTTGATTCCATTATAAAAACATATATTCATTTGCCATGTCTGACTGGTTTGACACTATGCCAACTTATTAGCCCAACGTAAATCATAGCCATTTCTTTCATGCAAAAAAATAAGATATATCCAACCAGAATAATATATCGTGAACCTTCATTCCTAAGTGTTCGATGAGCGCACCGTGGGTCCATGACTAAGCTATGCAACGGATCGACATCAACTTTCCATCCTTCGCAAGTACATCTCTCAATTTTGGGCATTATGGATTCTGGAGAGATGGCTCGATCTATCATATGATATACATTATATTTCCAGACCGCTTTTTCAACTTACTTGCAGATCATGAAGCGCGCCTGCAGCCCCGAAAGCAGCCAAGAAAGCAGCCAAGAAAGCAGCCAAGAAAGCAGCCCAGAACATGAGCTGGAACAAACATCTGGACATGACCGACCAATCCTTGCAAGCTTAAGCGCAGCTGTATCACCACCACCAAGGAGATCTCCAAACAGGAAAAATCAGGATGGGAGAGATACGTCCTCATCCAACACACCACAATCCAAGGCCACGCCAAGCCTTGCCGCTATAGAAGCAGGCCAAGTCCAAGTGAAAGACCATCTAAAAATTATATCCACAAAGTTGAACCAATGCATACGTCCACCGAGACAGTCATTCCCCCAACTACCGATTGTAGAATGGGCCGATCTATACAGGCGCAACGAACACCCAGAAGGCCGTCACTTCGTCATCCATCAGCACGACCACCCTGTCGCAGGTCCGCATTATGATCTCCGACTGCAGATCTCAGAGACGAGTTCTGTCAGCTGGGCGATTATGTATGGAATGCCTGGTGATCCGAATAGTAAGCGGTTGAACCGGAATGCGACTGAGACTCGTATTCATTGTTTATGGGTATGTCTGATATCAACTGATATATCGTTCCCTTGCTGACTCTCTGCTAGAATCATCTTATTGAGACGGCATCACATAAGACGGGGAGTATGATTATCTGGGATACAGGCGAATACCAAGTCCTACCTTATCCAATGGAGGAACCGTCTGGTCCTGAGACAGATGACTCGAGATCTGAGATCTCCGACGAGGGATCAGTTCGACCGTCTGTTCCGCTGGAAAAGCAGATATCTGATAGTGCAAAGCTGCACCAAGCGTTCCAAAATGTACGCCTCAATCCTGCAGATAACATGATAAGCTTCTGACACGTCCATCTCAGGGCAAAATCCGATTACGACTACATGGAACCCGCCTACCGAAGAACTACACAATCGCCCTCCGCATGGACAAGACAACCAATTACCAAAAACCAATCCGCCAAGGCCCAAAACGGCGCCGACGCCACGTTTCCACAATTAAAATCCTACGAGCGCCATCCACCTCAGACTCGGAAAGGAGCTCACCGCCACCCCCTGAACCCGACCGAACCGCCTCATCACCTGCATCAACACCAAGAACCAACCAAGACCGATCCAGACTACCAAGATCGAAATCAGATTCAGAGAATGGCAACGGCAGTCATTCCGAGCACACCACAGACCTGGACATTCAACTCAAAAACGCCTACCCGGGCTCCACAAATAGTATCGGCTCCATCCACCAACGACGCTGGTATCTCAGTCTGGACCGTGTGAATTCGGGATTTGAGCCGAGTTCAGAGCGGATACATTCATCATCTAGTAAGCCGAAGGCGAAGGTGAAGGTCTGGGGCCGGAGGTCCGACGGGGGCTTTGAGGCGTTTCATGTGCACGGGCCGGAGGAGGAGCGGAGTGTTGTTACCGGGAGATTGGGGATGCATGTTCTTGAGGATGAGGGTGTGAATGGGTTTGTGGCTAGACAGGGGTGGAGACCTGTCTTGCATTAGTATGCTACGTTAATGTATATAACTTGTGGAGGTCGGAGGTTGGAGATTGGAGGTGGAGGTTGGGATATGGTCTTGGCTATATCTACTTGACTAAATACTCGGGATAAGTCAGTAGATCTGCTGACTCTGACTCTCCACTGTGGAGATTCCCAATGTGGTGCCCGATGCTTAGCCGATAGGTCTCCTGGACGGAGTACAGTGAGTCAAAGCTAGACTCTAGACTCCGTATCTCTCTATACATTCGTGTCAGTAGAATCAATTCTGAGTCACCAACTTGCGGTCTAAGCTTCCCCGCTCACTGTCACCTTACCTCACGCTAACTGCAAGTGTACATCACGTAACGTTAGTAGATAAGAAGACATGCATTTACAATGCCCTCGCCTGTTCTTTCTCCCCATTTCCCTCTAGGGACATGAATAATGCCCTCCTACATACCAACCTCAATAGCGACAAGCATTCTAGCCTTGTCGCTAGTCGCGCTAGATAGCATACCCGCCATAAAAAGCCTCACAACCTGCATCGTGCGCAAAAGTCGCAACTACGAACCCATCCTCCTAGCAAAGGATGAATACCGCGACGAAGACGGCGAAGCGACCGAGGAATCCCTCCAGGCCTTCTCGGATAAATGGCAGAGGATAGTCATCGCGCTATTCTCCGCTGCCGGCTTCCTAATCACGTTAGCGTTGGCTTTTCTCACGACTTTGATGGGGATTGTTGGCGAGTATATCTTGCTGGAATGGTTGCAGTTTGGCGTGTGGGTGAGTGATCAGAATCCAAGAAACACCGAGAAACAACTGCCAGAAAGAACGCATAATGAAACTAATTTGTTCTATCAGGCTTTCCTGGCTCTCCAGTCCATCGCCTTCTTTACTGAACCCCGACCGACAACCCGCTATGTCCTGGGCATATTCGCCTTCGGCGGGAGTATCATCGCAATCGCCGCCCCATGCGTTGAACTAGGTCTAGTTGTCTACGCACATCGGGTCATCCCCATCGACAAGACCTGGCTAGCCCTGCAACTAAGCCAGATCGCCTGCGCATCACTGCGCGCAGTATTCTGCGTCTTACTGCCCCGTCGCCCGGACGTGCACCATGAAGACAAAGTAGTCGATCAAGAATACTCAGTCTCCCTCCTGAATCGATTCTCATTCAGCTGGGCAGCCGGACTCCTAGACGATGCAGCAAAGAAAAGTTCCCTCAGCCTCGACGATATCCCCAAATTGCCCGCCTCAAAACGCGCAGGCTTTCTCAGAAATGAATTCGAGAAGGCGAGGAAGGATCGCAAGATCTGGAAGGGGATCCTCTTTGCCCATGCTGGTGCATTGACCGTTCAGATGATTCTTACGCTCGTCAGTTGCTTCTTGAGCTTCGGGCCTCAAGTTGCGCTGTTTCAGATTTTAAAGACGCTCGAGTTGCGCGATACTCCATTTTGGAATGCTGGCGCATCATACATGTGGGTTCTTGCGTTGGGCGCGTTGATGTTCATCTCGTCTAGTGTTGAGGCTTGGTTGTTCTGGGTTATCTATTCGAGACTTGGGGTGCCGATTTATGCGGAGTTGTCTGCTGTTATCTTTGCCAAGGCTATGCGGAGGAAGGATGCGAAGCATTCGAAGAAAGCGAGCAAGGATGGGGCTGGGACGACTGTTGCTGAGGCTGAGGCGGAAGCTGAGGAGGATGCTGAGGAGGCGCTTAAGAAGAGTCGGCAGAGTATTATTAACCTTGCTGCTGTGGATGCACGTCGAATCTCAGATTTTGCGGCTTTTAACTATGTTATTCCACTTGCCATTATCAAGATTATTATTGGTTGTGGATTCCTTGTTCAGATTCTTGGGTGGCGGAGTGCTTTTGCTGGTCTTGCTGTTTCTGCTCTTGTTACGCCGTTGAATATCTATGCCGCTAAGAAGTATTCGAATGCGCAGGATCGATTGATGAAATTTCGCGATCAGAAGCTGGCTATTGTCACCGAGGTGCTGCAGGGCATTCGGCAGATCAAGTTCTCTGCCCTGGAAGAGCAATGGCAGACACGCGTGCAGGAGACTCGAGAGACAGAGCTGGGCGCATTATGGGCTGCATTCTTAGCTGATATTGGCTTGATTTCTATCTGGATTCTCGGTCCAGTCGGGTTGTCTGCTGTGTCCTTGGCTACATATGCCATGATCCATGGCGGGCTGACAGCCTCTGTGGCTTTCACAGCCATGTCCGTCTTCAGTTCACTGGAAATGTCCTTGGCTGTTCTTCCCGAGCTTACCTCTGTTGGTCTCGAGGCCAAGGTTAGCGCTGATCGAATCGACAAGTTCATGGCTACTTCGGAGAAGGTTATCAACACCGTCCCTGCGGAGTATATCGCCTTCGAAAATGCCTCTGTCGCATGGCCCGCCGAAGAAAATGCACAAGATGACGAAGATAGATTCGTCCTGCGCGATATGAACTTGAAATTCCCGACAAAAAGCCTGAGTGTGATCTCTGGCCGTACAGGCTCTGGAAAGAGTCTGCTTCTCTCATCTGTTCTCGGTGAATGTGATGTACTCGGCGGGACAGTCAAAGCACCTGTTCCGCCTCCCATCAGCGAGCGCTACGACCGTCTCGCAACAAAAGCAAACTGGATCATCGACTCGGCTATTGCATATGTTGCGCAGATCCCATGGATTGAAAACGCAACAATCAAGGAGAATGTCTTGTTTGGACTGCCCGACGATGCAGAGCGTTATAAGAAGGTCATCTTCGCTTGTGCTTTGGAGAAAGACTTCGAAATGCTGCCTGACGGTGATCTGACTGATATCGGTGCCAATGGTGTGAACCTCAGTGGTGGCCAGCGCTGGCGTGTTTCCTTTGCTCGGGCGTTGTACTCCCGTGCTGGGATCCTCGTTATGGATGATATTTTCAGTGCGTTGGATGCACACACTGGTCGATTCGTCTATGAGAATGCACTTACTGGCGAGCTTGGACAGGGTCGAACCCGTGTTCTTGTTACCCACCATGTTGCGCTTTGTCTCCCTCGCACGGACTACTCTGTTCTGCTGGAGAACGGACGCATCAAGTATGCTGGTACCATTGATGATTTGAAAGAATCGCATCATTTGGAAGATATTCTGCGTGAGGAGCGTGCTGCTGAAGAGACGGATCATGCTGTCATCGATGAGGAAAGTCGGGAATTCTTGAATGATGAGGAGACGACGCTCCAGAGGGTTATCTCCAATACTTCTCATAGACGGCCAAGTACGGCTGCTAATGGTCATACCAACGGCCATGCTTCCAATGGAAACGGTAAAGCTCAAGAAAGCGCTCCTGCACCGAAGAAGTTTGTCGAAGATGAGAAGCGTGAGACTGGCTCTGTGCGACTTGCGATCTATGGTGCTTTCTTGGGCATGGGTGGTTCGGTGGCATTCTGGATCATGACCATCTGTATCTTCCTGCTATTTGCCGGTCTCATGGTTGGACGAGTAAGTCAATCTCCTCACAGTCTATCCTTCGCCTCACGAGTGAGTTATACTAACATTTTATCAGGCTTGGTGGATCAATATTTGGACAAGATCATCATCCTCCGATACTAAAGTACACCCTGAGCAATACCACGTCCTACTCCAGCACACCATGCAGCCAACAATCCCCCCTCAGGACGACAACCTTGCCATGTATCTTGGAGTCTACGTGGCACTCTCCATCATCGCATGCATTGCCGGATCAGTCCGATACTATTTCGTTCTCCGTGCAGCAGTACGAGCCTCAAGGAACCTCTTCAATGGTCTCATCTTCGCCGTTCTCCGCGCACCGCTCCGCTGGCTCGACACAGTCCCACTCGGACGAATCCTGAACCGCTTTACAGCTGACTTTCACTCCCTCGACTCACGAATCGGCTACGATATCGGCTTCTTCGTCGGCAAGATCCTCGAGGTCCTGGGAATTATGATAGCCGGAATGCTCGTGTCCCCAGTGGTGATCGTATTCGCCATTGTCCTCCTTCTGATCTGCCTAAAGCTATCCCTAACCTACCTGGCAGGCGCGCGCCAGATCAAAAGACTGGAAAGCACGGCCAAGAGCCCTGTCTTCGAGCAATTCGGCTCAAGTCTCGCTGGTCTCATCACTATCCGCGCTTTCAGCAAACCGGACACATACATCGAGATCATGTACGGCAAGATCAACCGTCACGCCCAGGCCTGGTGGAACCTCTGGCTCTTCAACCGCTGGCTAGGCTTCCGCATGAACGTCGTCGGTGCGATCTTCTCAACACTCACTGCCGCTCTGATCGTCTACGTCCCCGGTATCACCGCATCGCTAGCAGGATTCGCATTGAGCTTCGCACTGCAGTATAACTCCGCCATCGCAATGGCCCTCCGCCAATACGCCAACCTGGAGTTAAACATGAACGCCACAGAGCGCGTGATCGAATACTCGAATATTGAAATCGAAAACCAAGCAGGCCTAGATGCCCCAGCAGCCTGGCCAACAGAAGGCCGACTAGAAGTCAATGATCTAGTCGTGGGCTACGCACCAGACCTCCCACCAGTGTTGAACGGCCTAAGCTTCGCAGTTGAAAAGAACCAGCGCGTAGGCGTGGTCGGACGCACAGGCGCCGGCAAATCGTCACTGACCCTTGCTCTATTCCGCTTTCTAGAAGCACGCTCCGGGCAAATTATCATCGACGGCTTGGATGTATCAAAGATAAAACTGCACGACCTCCGCAGTCGCCTTGCTATCATCCCGCAAGACCCAGTCCTCTTCTCGGGCACTGTCCGCTCGAACCTCGATCCATTCGGCGAATACAGTGATACAGAGCTATACGATGCGTTAGCGCGCGTGCATCTCATCTCTGAAGCAGACGATGACGACTTAACACTCACGTCTCGGACAGCGACGCCCCGTCAACCTAATGAGACGGGCGCCGAGCCTGTCCCCAAACAGAAGACGAACGCAAACGCATTCACATCTCTCTCAACGACAATCTCTGAAGGAGGACTGAACCTCTCACAGGGCCAGCGCCAACTCCTGTGTCTTGCGCGTGCCATCGTATCCAGGCCTAAGATTATGGTTCTGGATGAGGCGACGTCGGCTGTGGATATGGAGACTGATGCGTTGATTCAGACTTCTATTCGGGCTGAGTTTGGGCGTAATGCTACCACTTTGCTGGTTATTGCGCATCGACTTAGTACTATTGCTGATTTTGATCGCATTCTTGTTATGGATGCTGGGAGGGCGGCTGAGTTTGGGACGCCGAAAGACCTTATGGGGATCGAGGGGGGTGTTTTTAGGAATCTTGTTGAGAATAGTGGCGAGAAGGAGCTTCTTGAAAAGATGATTTTTGAGTGAATAGATTTGGTGGGATTGGATTGGTTTGTACAATTCTAGATGCATCAGACTGGAAAATAGTGATATATGCAAATGGAATTCGATTTTCATTATAAGACTTCGAACGGTGTCGTCAAATGTAGTCATGTCATAGCTTGTTGCTTCAAAGCTACATATGATGACCACCGAGCCAAAGAACTTGAGCATCGAGCCAGAACATACGGTCCAGACCAACTATACAATCTCAAAGCCAGAAAAGAGGACGACTGTCATATAGCAATGTCTCCAAAGCCAATCTAGCATCCACTCCATTCCAACGAGGACCAGCCTCAACCACAGCTCACGCCGTGGTAACACCTTCAAGCTTGTAAAAGAGGGTCAGAGATGCCTTCATCGCGTCCGTTGTGTAAACAAGGTTGGTATGCCGAACGCATATATCACAAACCCACCCCTCGAGTCGTACAGCCCTTAAGCTCCCCGAAGAAAGAGAGCCGCACGTCTCAGAGGGAAGAGACTGTCTCATATATAACACACTAGGCTTTCATCATTCTAGAAAAAAACAAAGTCAGTAAATGCAATTCAGCAGGAGAAACAGGTAGACTCACAAGTATAAAACTTGGAAGGATGAAGAAAAGAAAGAAAAAGAGAAAATTGCGCGGCTTTTATTTCTGCCCGCGCTAGTCCGCTCGCCGGGCGGGGAGTGTTTCTGCCGTTTTTTGTGGTTTGATCCGATCTGACCATCTTGTTTTTGACTGTGCATTGTCGTCTGTTTAGTGTTGCAATATGCCAATTGGTGTGATGCCCATGCGCTCTTTGCTTTTGAGGTCTAGTTATATTGAGATCTCGAATATCCTTCGTGGTCGTGCTGCTGCGCTGCCGAGACAATGCTATCGGCCGCTTCATGCGCCGCGGTATTTCCATGCTCGGGCTTGTCCGCAGCAGGAGCCTCCCAAGGAGCTTCCGACTTTCTTGGAGGCTTACAAGCGGGCTAGTATGTTAAAGCTTCCTTCTAATATTCATTGTTATCAAAATTGAACCTTGACTAATGTCCGTTTCCTATAGTCGACTTTCCTCCGGCGACTCATGACTTCGAGACATTTTTCGTACAGGCCGAGCCAAATACCGAAGTAGTGCTGCACGGATATCTTGGCCAGCGCTCTGATCTTTCCAAGAAGCTGTCGTTCGTGCGCCTGACCGATCCCACTCTACAACACAGCCTTCAAGTCGTCGCCTTCGCCAAGAACAATGCCTTCGAGCAACTCAAAGCCCTCAACGCAAACAGCCCCGTAGCTGTGCGCGGAACTGTGCAAAAGAAGAAAGCCAAAGCCTCAGAATCAGAATCAGCCGATAAACCGGCCGAGGATCCATGGGAGCTTGCATTGGAGGAGATCCACGCTCTAAACGACTTCCCCAAGGACACCATCATGACACCCGAAACGGTATTCCCGCCTGAGCAGCGATACCTGCAGCTGCGCTCAGATGTAGAGCTACGTGAGGCACTGCGGTTCCGGGCTCGCGCTCATAACCTCTGCAAGGAAGAGCTCGAAAAGCAGTCTCCGCCGTTCGTTGAGATTGAGACGCCGCTGTTGTTTAAGTCTACGCCCGAGGGTGCGCGCGAGTTTATCGTTCCTACCCGTCGTGAGGGGCTGGCTTACGCTTTACCCCAGAGTCCGCAGCAGTATAAGCAGATTCTTATGGCTAGTGGGTTGCCGCGGTATTATCAGTTTGCGCGCTGTTTCCGTGATGAGGATTTGAGGGCTGATCGCCAGCCCGAGTTTACTCAGCTTGATATGGAGATGTCTTTTGCTACTGGTGATGATGTGATGCGGACCATTGAAGGTGTTATACGTCGGCTTTGGTCGACGTTGATGAAGGACCCTGCGCCAGAGGGTCCATTCCGAAGGGTCCCGTATCGGGAAGTCATGGCTAAGTACGGATCTGACAAACCAGACACACGATATGGCATGGAAATTATTCGACTTGATCAACTTTTGCCCGTGGATTTGATCGGGAAAATTTCTGACTTGGAAGATCCTATTGTGGAGGCTTTCAAGGTGGAAGGAAATGAGAACGATCCCGCCGAAACCCACAAATTCATCACTCAATTCCTTGACTCGCCTGCTGGTGCGCCATTCAACAACAACCCCGATGGTGGCCCAGGTGTCTTCATCTACAACGGCAAGCAGCCTCTGTGTGGACTACAGCCCTTTGGCTTCCAGGCCGCTGAGCATGTCGAGGAGCTGCTGGACCCCGATCACGGGGATTTGATCATCCTCCAAGCACGACCCCGTGGCCCCTTCTCTGGCGGCTCAACTCCTATCGGTGACCTACGCCGTGCCCTGCATGCTTCAAGTGTCTCGACAGGCTTCAAGCCCGCCCCTACAGGATTTGACTTCCTCTGGGTCGTCGATTTCCCCCTCTTCTCCCCTTTCTCAGACTCAGAACCCGGCCAGGGTGGTGCAGCAGGCATCTCCTCCACACACCATCCCTTCACCGCACCCAAGACCCCCGCCGATGTCGACCTTCTCCTCACAGACCCTACGCAAGCCATAGCCGACCACTACGATCTAGTCGTGAATGGAGTTGAGCTGGGTGGTGGAAGTCGCCGTATCCACGATGCGGCAGTACAGGAATTCATTTTCCGTGATATCTTGAAAATGCCCGCTGAGCGGTTGGATGACTTCTCGCATCTGCTCGACGCTCTGCGTTCTGGGTGTCCACCGCATGCAGGTCTTGCGTTGGGCTTCGACAGACTTGTTGCCGTCATGCTTGGTAAGGAGTCTGTCCGTGATGTGATTGCTTTCCCTAAGACTGGAAGAGGAGGCGACGATGCTATGGTCGGGGCACCCAGTCCCATGACCGAGCAAGCGTTGGAGACTTATCACCTGAAATTGAGGAAATAGATCACCATGCCGAGTTCGTGCTTATATCCGATGCTAAGCATGGGCATGCATATTCCGGTTCTCAACGAGAACGACATGTACCAATTTTTGTACTATATCCGTGTACTATACCCAACATTCTACAAGCCATGAGCTTAGAAATCCCAACATATCACCCATCTCACCACATGTATATCCGCATTGCCTGTAGCTCTAATTGGAATCTGATATCACACCATAGCCCTGCCCGGCTCGGCCGGCTAATATCGACACATCCACGTGAGGCTAGAATACAACCTGAAACGGGCCCGAACTATATCAAAGACTAATTATGCATCTAACAGAAACGGGCACAGGGACCCACGCCTGAACAGGACACCCAAGACCCTTTTTTGTAGTCCGTTGGATGTGGTGACTTGACTAGCGTGGTCCTTTTTAGGGCCAACGGTCAAATTGCCCAATGCGGGTAGGAACGTCTCAATTTTGAGAACTATCCATCGGACGCCTTCATTTACTCTCAGCCTCGGCCGGTGCAGTAAATTGTGCAGTTTCAGATTTTGCCCTGTACCTGCAGGACCACTGCAAAACCCCGGTCGGTTCATCTATCTAAGAATTGATCTGTCGTGTTTGACGATCACCCACTAAATACGCCCCGGCCATTTCTTGGACTCGAGCTAACAGCGGACGTTTCCCTTTTCTAGATCTAGTGAAGATCAGTGTTCACTAACTTATAGTATAGTAGATTGTAACTGTGGATTCTGCAAAAATAACCTATTTGTGAGTCGTTTTGTGACCAACTATAGGATCTATCTACCCCGATTCTTGAACTCCAATCACTGGTTCCAGGATCACAGGATGAAACAGGGCAAGTCGTTTTGTTTCATGAGGATCACCAGTTACTCGATATAGACATTCTCCGGATCTATGACTGCATCGCAAGATGAAAATTCGGTGCAACCTCGGTCAATTGAGATCCGGCAGTTGTGAGTTCGGCGTCGACAGTGCGAGGATTGAAGAATATAAAAGCGGACGTCTCGTCGTCTCTAGAAAAACCACTGAACCATCCCTCCTCAGCCCGCCCATACCTTCGTTTATTCCTTGTATACAACAGAGCTGGTCTCTCATTCGTTGTTCGCCCTTCTTCATCCGTACTTCATTCTTTTCAATATGAGAAACACAGTCGTTCTCGCCCTCGCCGGCGCTGCCCTGTGCGCTCCCACCCAGACCCTTGAGAACCGTCAATTCCCCGGTTTCGGCTCCAGTGGATCTGGAACTGAAGGTGGTCTCGGCGCTCTGGCCTCACTCTTCCCTGGTCTGGGAAGTGAGTCCGGTAGCTCGTCTGGCTCTGGCTCTATATTCCCCGGCCTCGGTGATCTCCCTGGTCTCGGAAGTTCCGGTGCTTCGTCCTCGGATACCCCGAGCCTGCCAAGCTTCGGTGACCTGCCTGCTCTTGGAGGCTCCGGCGCTGAGCCCAGCAGCACTCCCAGCTTGCCTGTTCCTTCTGGCTTGCCCAGCTTCAAGACTGGCCGTGATGTCGAGAAGCGTCAGTTTGACCTTTCGTCCCTGACCAGTGGTCTGGGCGGCAGCACTGGCACCAGTGGTGGTCTCAGTTCTCTGGAGTCTTTGCTCCCTTCCATGGGCGGAAGCTCTGGCAGTGAAGGTCTTGGCTCCATCGAGTCCCTCATTCCCTCTCTTGGGGGTAGCTCTGGCACCAGCGGAGGCCTCGGCGCCCTGGAGTCCCTCATTCCTTCCATTGGCTCTAGCAGCTCCAGCGGCCTCGGCTTCAAGGTCCGCCGCGACGCCAAGGAGGCTGAGAAGCGCAACGTTGACTTCAGCATCGGTAGTAGCGCTGGAGGCAGCGCTGACGTCGGCGCCAACGCCGGAGCTGGACTCGGCGTCGGTATCAATATCAAGGCCCGTGACGACGACGAAGAGGATATCGAGAAGCGCCAGTTCGATCTCTCCTCCCTCACGAGCGGACTTGGCGGCAGCTCCGGCACCAGCAGCGGTCTCGGTGCCCTTTCCTCTCTTATTCCGTCTATGGGCAGCAGTGGCAGCTCCGGTAGCAGCGGATTCAGCATCCCTGGCCTGAGTAATATCCCCAGTGGTTCCGGTATCTCAAGTCTTAAGGCTAAACGTCAGAGTCTACTAGGCTCCTCCGGTTCTATTACCTCGAACGATGTCACCGAAAACAACGGCTGCAAGGAATTGACTTTCATTTTCGCCCGCGGCAGTGATGAGATGGGCAACATGGGTTCCGTCGTTGGACCCCCGGTCGCTTCCCAGTTGAAGTCTTTGACTGGTGACAAGGTCTCCGTCCAGGGTGTGACTTATGCGGCTACTGCTGAGGTATGATCAACTACTCTTCTTGTTTAGTTATTTGGCTTTCTGAGAACGTGTCACTTACATATTATGCAGAGCAACGCCGCTATGGGCGCAAACGGTGGTCCCGTCATGGCCAAGCTCGTCAAGCAGGCTCTCTCTCAGTGCCCCAAGACCAAGGTCGTTCTCGGTGGATACTCGCAGGGTTCCATGGTCGTGCACAACGCTGCCAACAGCCTCTCTGCCGATCAGGTCTCGGGTGCTGTTCTCTTCGGTGACCCGTTCAAGGCTCAGGCTGTTGGTAAGCTTGACAGCAGCAAGGTTAAGGAGTACTGCGCCACTGGTGACCCGGTCTGCTTGAACGGTGCCAATGTCATGGCTCATTTGAGCTACGGCAGTGATGCCAAGGAGGCTGCGCAGTTCTTGATCAAGGCTGCTGGCCTTTCCACTTCTTCTTAGATAGATGTCTGTGGTCTGTGTGGTGGTTGGTATGATAGGCTGAGGAGGATGGATTAGGAGGAGATGGATTTGGATTTGGCTCTTTTCCTGTTGTTAGATCTGTGAATCGTGTCAATACATTCTTCTCCAAGTATTTGTTTTGATGCATTGGTGGAAGCATAGCTCTGTATAGACTTCGATAGATCGATTTGGTGCAAGATATGTTGGAGAATGTTGAAAGTTGTAGATTGTATCATGAAAGTACAGTGTAGAACGGAACAAGGACGATATGATCAGGAAACGGGTTCCATGTGAGACTGGTGTTATACAAAAACAGAAAACGCCACACCAAACCGCTGTATAAGACAAACCGGGAGAATAAGATATAGTTTGAGAAGCAAATGCACCTCAATGTGCTAAGAAAGGAGAGTGAAACGTATTCCACAGGAGAGAGTTAAGATCGAAGTTTCTCATACCGTAGATAAAGTACTGGTTTTTGTCTGTTTCGATGACAGACGAGGCGCCGATTGTCGGTCCTCAGAGTTAGTACTTTCAACTTCCTCTTCATCCTCATAGTAGATATATTCTTCGTCATCTTCATCGGGATGCCCAAAGATATTCCTCCAAACGCCGTCCCAGAGACCCTTCTTGGTCACAAGGCCACCGACGAGCAAAGCAGGGAGCTGCCAGATACTGGCCCAGAAGAGCCCACGCGCAGTGCCATTAGCACCCTGGTGTTGCCAGAAACGGTACGCCTCTCGGACCAGCCAGCCGTTGGCGATAGTGCTGCTCACTAAGAACCCGGGACCGACGACATCGTACCACCAGAGGCCAATGGAAATGGGGAACATGAGGAGCGAGTAGCGCAGAGAGACTCTGGCGTTACGTGCAGGGTTCACCCAGGCCATCATCCGGTAACCGGCAGCCTTGTACTCATCACGGATGATATGGGACAAAGCGTTAAAGTGGGGGAATTGCCAGGCGAACAAAATTCCACCGAGCAGCCACCCACCAATACTTTCTTCGCTGAACAGCATGTCGCGCCAAGTGTCATGCCCAATTGTGGCAGTCAAACCAGCCGCAGCGATCCAGCCCATCAACGGTGGGATACCGCCAACAATCGCGCCAACCCAGGTGTTCACCACAGAGATTCGCTTCAATGGCGTGTAGACAAATGCATACAGGAAGATATTCGCGGCAGACAGGGCGGTAGTCGTCGGGTTGGTACCGATATAGAGGAGAGAGAGACCCGTAACGGCAGTGCCAAGGGCAAACAAGAGAGCTCCCCGGTAGGAGATAAGGCCACGAACCAACGGACGGTTGCGAGTGCGGGACATAAGCGCATCGTATTTAGGTTCAAACATCATGTTCAGTGTGTTCGCGCTGCAACATGACAAGAACGTGCCCGCCGTCAGGTATATAAGGGTCAGGGTTGAGGTCGAAAGTGTAGGTAGTGGGGTCATGGCCGGGTCGAGTGTGAGCAAAGTCGAGATCGGGTACATTCCGTATGAAGATGTGGTGGTGAGTACGATCAGGAAAGACAATCGGGGTTTTGTCAGGGCGAGATATGCAGCCAATTTGCGGCGGAGGGAGGTGGTGGGGAGCGTGGACGAGAAGTTCGACAATTGCGCCGAAGCATCCAGTGGCATTGCGGGCTCTGGTTGCCCAGTTTCTTTGCTTTCGTCCTTCAAACGCTTCCTTCGCCGATGTGGTAGTTCGTCTGGGATTGCTGCTGTCGCGAATGTCCCCGACGAAGCTGTTGACGCATCGGCCGGGGTTGCGGAAGCACCGCTGGGCGAATCGGAGGTCGACTTGGCGGCATTGTTCGAGGCAAGTGAAGACAGCAATCCTCCTCTGCTGCTTGACCCGTCGAATAATCGATTGGCCGAGAAGTAAGACTTGTGAAATGCGGGAGGACTCTGGTCATCCGCGATGCCCGTTCGTCGTTTCGATGACGATAAGAACCCCCGAATGGCGGAATGTTGCGATGGACGGGACCGAACCAGACATTGTGAGCATACAAGCGCCTCTCGAGGCCTCAACAGGGAGGGCCGCAGAGGGATCATGGCGTGTCGGTGCTGAAGAGAGAAAAGTGGACGAGAGAAGTTGAATTTCCCCGGTGCACGGGCCACATCCGTGAATGTCAACAATTGTTCTGTGGCATGATGTTCTTTTCTTTAGTTCAACTACATTCACCATGGACGTCCTTCAGAATTCTGTGATTACTCCCCTGCAGCCCTACCTCGAGCCTATTGTCTCCGCGATCCCAGAACCCGTTCATGATGCCGTTGTGTCCTTGATCGGAAAGTCCTGCCACAGTGCGCTCCTCCTCGACCTCGATGTCACCAAGGACCCTGCCTGCACGTCGCTGGCTATTTCCAAGGCCCTCGGTCTGGCCATCGTTGGTGCTAGCGCCGTTGTCAAGATCCCGCAGATCCTCAAGTTGATCAACTCCCGTTCCTCGGCCGGTGTCTCGTTCGTCTCATACGCTCTCGAAACTGCCAGCTTGCTCATCACCCTCTCCTACGGCGTGCGCAACCAGTTCCCATTCAGCACCTATGGCGAAACTGCTCTCATCGCTGTTCAGGATATTGCTGTTGGTGTTTTGGTTTTGAACTACGCTGGACGCTCTGCCGCAGCCGCTGCTTTCGTGGCTGTTGTCGCTGCTAGTGTATACGCCCTGCTCTTCGACCAGACCCTTGTGGATGCGCAGACCATGGCTTATCTGCAGGCTGGTGCTGGTGCTTTAGGTGTTGCGAGCAAGGCACCTCAGATCTATACCATCTGGCGCGAAGGCGGAACTGGACAGCTGAGCGCATTCGCGGTAAGTCATGTTTGCGCAGTGTGCACACTGAAGCCATATACTAATAATCATCGTCTTCTCTAGGTCTTCAACTACCTCGCCGGATCTCTCTCGCGCATCTTCACTACCCTCCAAGAAGTCGACGACAAGCTCATCCTCTACGGATTCATTGCTGGCTTCTCTCTCAACGTGATCCTCGCCACACAGATGCTCTGGTACTGGAACGCCCCGGCGCCCAAGCAGAAGGCTCCTCGCGCAAAGATCGCCGAAAAGGCGCCCTCAGCCCAGAGCACTGGAGCGTCGCCCAAGGGAGGCGCAAAGTCCCCCACCACCCGCCGCCGGGGCTAGAGAATACTTTTTCTTGGACTTTTTCTATTTTTCTGGTTACGTTATATCTTTAATAACACTTTCGGTTTTCATTTCGCGGGCTGGAGTAGCCACAAGTCGTATTCATCAAGGTTGAGCTCAGGTAGAACCATGAGCGCAACCCGGCATGCGCCGTCTCATAGATAGAACAGCCAAGGTCAAATAAAACGAAGAAACTACTGCAAGCGCCCAGTAGTCATATACTTCAAGATATCATCCAGCGGCACAAATGGCTTAACAGGGTGCGGGTGCCGAACAGCGATATCAAACTCAAGCCCTCCACCAACAGACTTCCGATGAACCCCAACAATATCCATCTCCTCCTTCCCATCATCCTCATCCTCCTCTTCACTCTCCTCATCCGACCCCAGATCATCCTCCAGCTGCCTCTTCAACCCAGTAACAACATTCTCAATCCCCATTTCCCTCTCCTCAAGTGTATAATTCCCACCCCAATTCCTCCGTCTAGCCTCCTGGTTCGCCTCAAGCGGTGCCCACTCCCATAGCTGCGCGAGCTCCGCCTCGCTCAGTTTATGATCGGCGCTTTCGGCCTCGACGAGCCGCGACGGGGACGGGATGGTACTTTGTGACGGGCCGTTGTCTGAGCCTGCGGCGCGGCCGCGCGCGACCCAGTCTTCGACGCGGGGGTCGAGTTTTGTGCGGAGAAGTTGTTCGAGGGTTGGGGCTTGGGTTCGGCCTGGGTATTCGGGGCTTGGGTAGGCAACTAGTGAGGTGAAGAGGTCTCGTTGCTCGGAGAGTTGTTCGGAGACGCTAAGGAGATTGTTGGAGATGATGCTTGCTTGGGACTGGAGGGAGGACCTACCATTCGTCAGTATACGGAGATTGTAGGATTGTGTAGGGGTTTGTCTTTGTCTTTGGGTCGGTGGAGGGCTGGACTTACCACGGCGGGAGAGGGTCACTTGAGTGTAGACTTGAGATTAGTGAGCCCAGTGAGCGGGTGAGCTGCACCAGTCGCTGGCGCGATTGCTCGAGGATTTTGATTTGCTCTTGAGTAGGTTTAGACATGGTGGGTGGCGAAATATTGTCGGGGAAGAGAGTTGCGGATAAAGTGAGAAGCTTGGAGATCCACCCCAGATCTTCAAAGTACAAACTACATCTACATCTACGTTGGTTTACTTTTTACACTTCTAGCTTCACCATGATTCGCAATTTTTGGGCGTTCATCATCATGTTCAGAATTCTCTCAGAGTGTCCGTCGATATATATTTACCATGTATGTCCCAAACATATACGTCAAGCTCGGCAGAGAGCCCATTGCCTCTCGAAAAATCGAGAAGCTTTCGAACATTGAGCATTTTAGATCAATGAGAGTCTCTTGTTCTATCTTGCCGTTACTAGTTCATAGAGCCTTTCCGATAAGTATCCATCCATGGCTGGTCTTGTAGCGGATCTATGAATTGACAAATACTAGGTACTAGACACAGATATACTCTTTTCCATGTTATACAGTGTACTATTAGTATGTTTGCTGGAAAGTTAGCGAAAGTTTGAACGGTTGTTTGCAACCATACGTCAATACGAGCCATGCACTAATAAACCATGCGTATGTCTCTATCAACTTCGCCCCAATACTGAACGCCTCCTTACACCATGTCCAACGGAGGAAGTGGGTTCCTTAAGCTCACCTTCGACCAGCCAAGCCACTTAACATGGAAGATCATTTCCAAAATCAACAAGCAAATTTTCCCAAGGGAGAGCCTAAGCTCTGACCTCCCTTCCTACGCCCGCGCAAAGTATCTATGCCATTAGCCAACTGGCCCAAAGAAAAGCAATATTTTCCTCCGCATCTATCGATAAAGCCCGGCCTCGAAGAATCAATAAAGCACGCCCTCTTCTCGAGCCTTGAAGCATGTGCTTTCTATCCCCCAGCATCGAAGGCATACCAAGCCCTGACAAGTAAAGGCTCTACTGCTGCAACCCCTATGGCTCGCATAGAAACAAGATCACCAGGATGAGCCTGGGTCTATTTCTGAGGGTCACAAAACATGGATTGGGTGAAAATTGAAGGACAATGGGCCTTCCGGGGTCGCAGGTCCATTTGGGAGTTCATCGGCTCAGAAATCAGATCCGTGAAGCTTTCCTTGATATGTTCGGGTGAGCTTCAATAGGTTTAGCTAATGATCTGACACTTCTTTTAGGAACGTACAGCACTGATATGATGACCAGGAGGATAGAAGCTATGGTATAATACCCTGTGGATCGGAGGTAAAAGCCGAGTCTGGAACCAGACCAAGGAACGCTGTGTGCATCTTTATCATTCAACGCCTGAGAGCTGCACTCACTTGTCATAGTAATTTTGTCGGCTTCTGCGTACCGGACTTCTACAAGGCCAAGGACGGATGGGATAAACATTGGAGTTTGTTTGGCCTCGTCAAATCATCACTGGATGAGTAAGAATGGACAGACAAAGTCTGGAATGGATTTCCTAAGAGGTTTGTATACGGAGATCCGTCCTAACGGTGTCTTTCTCGTTTAACATTGGGTGATTTCAGGGAGTATAACTCTTACCACAACCACACCCATACCTTTTGGATTGTACACGCAAATTTCAAAGATGAGAATATAACCGCAATCCGCTAATGACAAGATCTGAAGACAAGACAGTACAGCAGTCACCGACACAGTCCATGGAAAATGTCACCAGATGTACTCCGCGCACATAGCCCTGCATACCCCCACCACAGCACCACCGTAACAACCAACAACACAAAACAAACCCCCGAACAAAGCGCTACACACTATTTCCTCGGCCGAGACTCACAGAAAGCCAGCCCACCAAAAAAAAAAGAAGCACAAGCAACAACCCCCAAATCCAAAAATAACCTCAAGATCGACCACCCCCCCCTCATTGGACCCCTAGACCCTTGGCAGAGCGTGCTGAAACGTTTGCAGAAAGCCCACAGACCCAATGCGCCCTTCTGACAGGTGGGTTGCTCTGGTTCAGCGGTGCATAGCGGTCATCCTAGCCGATCTTCTCGTATCTCTGCGTTGTGTAGGTTTCGATTTTGGATGTGGGCGTTTTCTTGGGCGTTTTGCGGTGCTATTTTGGGAGGCAGGATGTTTTTCGCTTGGTGTTTGGTTTGGGTATGCGCTTAAGGATGGGTACTTATATGTCCCCAGTTGGCGCCCTTTGGTGGGGGGCTTTGGGTTGTTGTTTATTGTGGATAGTGTCCGGACAAGAGTCTTCTTGTACTTGCTCTTTTCTTCTAACAGGGTACAATCATTTTGGCTGTTTTTTGAGGCTTTACTTGGGGGAAAGTGATTGCGGACTTTTTTTGTTCGACTATTGATGATTGAAAACCGACTATCGACATACAATCTAGCCAAAGATACGCGGACAACACTCATGATGTCGGGGATATATCGATGCAATAGGAGGGGAATGACTCCATTACATGAGAACGCGAAACCCAGACGAAACACATTAACTTAGACAACGCCTTCGACAATGATGTGAGCTGATTTACTGATCTCATTATGTTCCACCACAAACACAGCCTCTCATCCGAAGACAAGTACACAAAAAGCAACTCTTCTATTCAACAGCGCAGAGACATGAACAGAAGCAGACACCGACAAGCTATCTCCATTACTCCCACTGCTGCGGAACCTTTTTATCAGGGTCATGCGCCTGAACCTGAGCCTGCTGCTGCTGCTGCTGATACTGCTGCTGCTGATAGATCTGATGCGACTCAAATGCCTGCTGCTGATACTGCACATCAGGCGACTGTTCAACAACACCCTGCGAGAAACCACCCTTCTGCTGGTGCCCCTGATAAGCAAGCTCCTGTCCACGCCCGTCATTATCAACAAACCCAAAGCCATTGCCATGACCATAGCCGTACCCGGCATTTGCATTCGCATGCGCCCAGCCCTGCTGGTGATCCCCATATGGGGAAACAATGCCCGGGTCATTCCACTGGTTATACATGCCTGGCGACTGGCGGGTCCGCCGGGTCTTCTTGCGGCGGTGCCGGATGAAGAAGAAGCAGCATGTTGCTAGAGCGATGAGGATGATGATGAATCCTACGATTGGGACGGCAATGACCACGCCTAGGTTCACGTTTGAGCCGCCTGTTGTTGGGGTTGTTAGGGACAGACTTGAGGGGAGGAGAGATTGGGTGAAGATTCGGGATGGGGCTATGTCGAAGGTTTTGCCTGTTGCTGTTTTGAAGTGGCAGTTGTAGCGGATTGATTCGAGGACTGTGTTGGGGATCCTTGGTTAGTGGGTTGGTTTTTTGGGGTTGATTGCTGACGTGGGCATACGTACAGTTTGCCATGTAGACCTGGGTTGTGGTCAGGTTGTAGCAGAACTCGCATGTGTTCACGACATTGTCGGCGAAGGAGACATCGTCGCACCAGGAGTGCAGATTTGAGATGTTGGGATCCTCAATGTCGGTTCGAACAGCTGGCCGAACGCCGTCACATGCCACTGGACATGGTGAAGAGGTGTTTGAGATTGAGTCTGGGTATCCAAAGACACAGGTTGAAAAGGCATATCGCAAGTTATCTGGTTCAATCTGTTAGCTCTGACGCTCGACCGGACTGTTCTCGGAGTTGGCACAACATACACAGTCCCCAGTCAACATCCGATTCTCCGGTTGCGGAAATGTAGAAATCGCTTTCCAACTGGCATGATATACATTTCTCGAAATCCTTTCCGGTGGATGTTGTGTTATACGCCTGATCCAGACATGAAATCTCAGAGGATGTGGTGTTGGTTATTGTGCCACAGACATCTGCACAGGGTGAGCCAGTTGTAGTTCGGAGGCCCGAAACTAAAGGAGCCACAGCCAGAAGGATAGCCAGCATCCTGGATGACCGTAGACTACCTTCCCAGAGTCCAAGCATACTGGATCGAAGCGAACAGAACAATAGCTTCTGTTCTTACAGCGATCGCCAAGGAGATAGGAGGGGGAAATAAAGGCAGAGTGCCGATGGTGAGCGATCACGTTCGCATGAGAAACGGTACTGGTAATCTGGGACAGACACTGGACTTCTCAGGGCGGGAAAGCTTCTTTTTTTCACTGCGAGCCAGCTCTAGCGGTCTCTGTATGGAGGTGATGACCAGGTGGAGCAATTGAGTCGACGGGCAGGGAAGTTCCGCTGTGCTGATGCACTTGCAGAGCTGCTAATGCTTGGGATAGGCAATGGAGAGGACGTCGTCGAATCATGCAGCCCCGTTTCCTCTTGGTGTTGGTCGGCGCTTAGAGACCATCGCACACAGGCTTGGTGATTGCACCTTAGAAACAGTTGGGGGTGAGCTCGCCTCATGCTTGTTAGTCGATACGTCGGGGGCGTGACGAGTGTGACGGTCTTTGGCGCTTGATTGGATGTGACTGTGATGCGTTCTGCATATGCACGGGCGCAGATTCCCCTCTTTCAAGAACGGCTATCGGCGTTTAAAGAGAAAAAAAGGAAAGGAGGAAAAGAAAATACTTACAGTAAAGTTGGGAAAAGGAGGGAAAAACAAGGGAAAAAGAAAAGAAAGCAAACGGCCGTTTACGTGCCAGGGGACTACTGAGGCAGGAGTTCGAGAGTCCAACAGACAGCAAGCAGCAGTAGACAACACTGTGCAGACATAATATTCCATATTCTGTACACTAAAAAGATCTGACACGCAAACCGCCAAAATGCAAAATTAATCTTAAAAGCCGACTCCAATTTGGCAAGCCTCCGCTTACAATATTCAAACCAACCACCAATATCTACACCCAATAGCATAGCTTCAAAACATTTCAACCATATAATTCATCGTAAGAAGGGACCAATTCCTGCCGAAGCGCGGCCTCGGATTCCTGCTGCTTCACTCGGGGAGGATGTCTTTTCTCTGGGAAGGGAGCATAGTTTGCAGGAGCATAGGTCGCAGTATTGTATGCAAACCGCGGAGTCGAAGGTGGCATAGAGGGAGCAGAGACAGAAGAAGCAGCAGTATAGCTAGTTCGTCTAGAGCTAGGCGCGCCAGACGCAGAGGTCATCGGGTCCGTCGCACAGCTCTGGAAGCTGCAACGGCGCATGCGCGAAGTAACAGAAAGTGGTGGCGATTTCGCTGCGATATCGTAGTCGACGGTTTCGCGTGGCGTGGAGATATCGCTGTCGTAGTCTCGGGGATCTTGAGGGCTCAATCGCGCTCGTGGAATGCCTAATGTATCGCGTTCTTCGTCCTCATCGCAGGACTCGTCCACGATGCTTTCGTCGCTGCGGGAACTGGATGCGCGACGGCTTCCGGTATGCCCTCCTGGTCCATTTCGCAGATCGCCAATACCTAGTCCCTGGTTTGGCCATGAGCGGTTCTCTCTTTCTCCCCCGCGACGCCGAATGTTTTCGTCAAAATGCCCTGTGGGAAAGGGCGGTTGGGATCCCACTTGATTCTCTCGCGGGCCTGTGCTTCGCGATCGCCTACTTCTAGAGCTAGGACTCTGTTGCCGAATTGAACCTGCTGGGGTATATCGCTGTTCATCATCGTGATGGAGGTTCGGTGAAGCTCTTGGTGCATTGGCGGCAAAGCCAGCCGGTTGATTCCACTGATTCCAGGATCCTTGCGTGGGATAACTGATAGATACATCGCCCCAACGAGAGTGTAGCTCGGTCGAGAGTCTGCGCTTCCTCTTAAACTTCTTCATGAAGGTCGCCATGGTCTTGAAAAGATCCCTCATAGGGAAGACTTGAGGATGACGCGGCAGAAATGCAAAAGGCGTTAAAGGGAGGACAAATCACTCCCTAATGTGTTGTTCATCTCAGTACAGACTGAACTCCCCACCGAGAGCGTGGAGACGTCGAAAAGGGACAGGCCAGACGCAGAGTAGAGCCCAACAGGAAACAAAAGAGGGAAAAAAAAGGTAAGGGCCGGCAATCAGCCCGAGTTGAAGTTATATCAACACAAGACCGTCCATAGAGACGCCACTAGTCACCGCATATCTGGGGGAAAGAAAAGAGACGATCGAAGACGCTTAACGTGTTGGGAACGCGATTAGGAATTCTGGGAGTCCACTCCGGGTAAACCCCTATAGCCCCCGAGGCGGAATTTGGGATACTAGACGATGCGGAAGAAAAAGAAAGAAAAAAAAAAAAAAAGAAAGAAAAAATGAACCAGCCAGGATCCCAGCGTGAGAGGCTCCGATAGCTGCAGTGTGCGCAAAGGATGCACGCGAGAGGGGTAGTGAATTGAGACCCTTGTCGAGTCTCATGGACAAGGTGCGCAGTCAACTTGCGTTGACCTATCCATACAGTAGGTGTATGGCATCGTCCATCTTGGCGTGGCGCTTGTCGAGGGATCTGCAATAGCCAGTTGGATGGTCTGGGGACTGTGACTAGTCATGTTGAATGCAGGGTTGCGATGCAATAGTGACTGGGAAAGAGGAAGAGAGAAGAGAGACATACAGGGATTAAAAGAGGGGGCGGGGATGTTGGCTACTAGTACTATACAGTAGTTTAGTGTAGATGTGTTTCAACCTGCATATCCCTGCCAAGTGGGCTGTTCACTCGATATTAAGAAAGTACACTACTTAGTGTCCTCCGTACTCCGTCTAGTACGCAGTATAAGACATCCTATGATCGGCCCGTCGCGCTCGTGAGAGGCGTTTGCCAGCCCCATTCACAGGCCACGATAGGCGCCGACACCATCAAAGAGGAAATGGCGGGATGATCAGACAGATGAAACGGAGACCGTCCGAAAGATCGGCAACTATATAGGTGATCGGAGTGTAGGTTGCTCCCGACTGCGATTCATCGACATGGATAGTACCTCGAAGGGATTGTAGACAGTGAATCAACACGGTAGTGGACAGTATTGTGGAAACCCTGACCCAAGCCAAGGGGAAGATAAGCTTCATTTTTCCCTCAGCCCTAACGCAACCGAAATCCAAAGAAAGTCATAATAATCGTAAAAACAAGCCCTCAAGCCACCGTCACATTTTCAACGGAAATTGGTGATCAGCCGCGACAGGACAGGCTTAGGTCGTCTTGGCCCTGCAGGTTGGAGTAGCGTTGGCTCAGACACGCTCCGTTCGCGGCCCTCCTGTCTTGGCCGTTCAGGAGGTGGAGGCATACCCGTCTGGCGCCTCGGTCTGGGCACTGCTGCAGGCACCGGACCAACTCCGGGGCCCGGAGGCACCTGGCCTACCACTGACAGCGGCCGCGATAGGGACAGGGATTGTCTGGCGTCATGGTAATGCACCGCGCTCAAGCGGGAAGATGGACCTGGACCCTGACCCTGACCCGCGGGGACTGGGATGGGTTGGTTGGGATAGGTATAGGCGTGGGGATGGGGATGTGCATTTAGCTCGTTTGATAGCGGGTGATTTGGTTGGTATCTGGAGGGGTCGTATGTTGGATATGGCGGGGGCTGTTCGTATGAAGCCCGCGGGAACTGGTCGTGTCGACTAAAGTCCGGCGCGAAAGATGAGAGCGGCCGGGGTTGGGCAGAGTGGGGACCTCGAGGCGCTCTCAGGTCGTCCACTTTGTATGCTGGCGGTGGTTGCAGGGGAGAGAAGGCCTCGACCTCTTGTGCAAGCGCATTCCGTCGTCTGGCCCGCTCCTTGCGGGAGAAGAGGTATAGTAGAGTGCCACTCACTGTTGGGGTTAGTTGGCGCGGTGACTTGCGGCTCTAGCTGCAGACTTACTTGCCAGGAAGATGAGGGTTCCGCCTATGACGCCGAGCACAATGAGCGGGGTTCGAGATGAATTGTTGCGTGATTCAAGAGCAGGTTTATTAGACATATCCCGGGATTGTCAACAGGGGTATGTTCGTCGGGATAGAAACATCTGTATCGGCCAGACAATTAAGAGAATTAAGACACAAGTACCAGACTTGGGAAGTCCAAAGGACTGAGCTTCAATCCTGGAAGCTGAACAGAGCAGATAGCGAATATAGATATATAGACCCTGAACTATCAAGCTCAAGGCTTATTCTGACTGACACACGGCCCTTGTTTCACGGATATTTTGAGACACCGCGACTCGCCAGATAGCTATAGATAGATACTTAATTAGCTTCGATGAGCTCGACTTAATGGGCTAGAATGGTCCGAAAGTGCCCAAATGTCCAAAATAGAACCACAAATGCAGGTAAATTATAGCGGTGACCAACTGTGCCGGCGTGCGTTAAGTGGGCGCCTCCAAGTGAACGAATAATCTCGAGCCAACACCAACACTACTTGGACCATAACTCGCTATCCCGCATGTTTGCTAAGATTTCCTATCTCTCTCTAGCGTCTGAGTTTTTTTCTGCCTCGAACGCCTCGTTCAAACACGGTATCTCTTACCATTTTGGGAACTATACATATTAGGGCTTTACCAAGTATACGAGGGCCCAACCAAATACAAGGTCAATAAAGTCTACCCTGAAGACTAAAACCATTCTAAATATCGCAATAAGCCAAATTCTCTATGCCAATACCTCAACAACTCAATTTTCAGCTGAGCCTCCTACTCCGCATAAGCACGATATACCGCCATCCCCGTGTCAGTCCCAAAATCCAACGCAACCCCCTGCCCAACAAAGAAAACCCAACCCTCCTTCAACTCGACACACTTCCCACCAGGAATATTCATACACCCACCCCCTTTAGTGACAATCATCAAACTAGGCCCAAGGATAGCCTTGTGCGTCTCCTTTTCACCAGCACCAAGCGTAGTACAAAGTACACTAAACTCACTCACAGGCGGTGCATAAACATCCGTCTTGCCGTTCAAGCCCTTATCACTCTTCTTCCGGGGAAGCAATGCATCGTGCGCATTGTGCGGGACAAAACTGAGCGCTTGCCCGAATAGTTCCACGCTGTCGCGTTCGGCGACCGGACAGAATCCCGTGTTGATCACGTTGTCGGACCGTGCCATGCATTCCATGATGTCGCCTTCTAGGTAAGCGTGGATACTATCTGCTGGTACGAAGACTGCGTCGCCTGGTCCTAGGGTTAGATAGTTCATGAGCAGGGCCGCGACGAGGTTGCCGTTGTCGCCTTCGCCGTATTGTTTTACGAGGCGGCCTAGGAGGCTGGGGATGTAGGTATGTGCGCCGAAGTGGGATTCCGGGATTGCTTGTAGGTCTTTTGTTGTTTCGGTAATTGTTTGGGGTGCTGCGCGGAGGAGAGCTTCGCATATTTGGCGGAGGGTCTTGTCTGTGAATTGGCTTGTTTTGGGGACGAACCTACTCAGGTGGTTTAGTTCGAAGAGGGCTTGGATGTCTTTGAGGGGTTTCCAGCCAGCGAAGAGCTCGAACTTGGAGAGTGCAATTGCTATCTCTGGCTTGTGCATTGGGTCGCCGTATTTCTTGGGGTCTTCTTTATGTAGTTTTGCGGCGAGACTGAGGTCTGGGTGGATTTGGAGAGGTAGGGCTTTGCTGAATGAGAGGATCTGGTCGGTTAGTCTTGACTTGTGGGACGAAACATTTGCCTTACCTTGGGTAAGAAAGGAATCTCTGGTCCCCATCGATCGTGAACAGACTTTCCTACAAGCTGCGGGTTCTTCTTCAGATACTCTCCAAGATGTTCGCCAGTTGACAAGAGATACGACGGATTGGAAGGATAAGTGCCCAGCCACATCTATATGGGAATTAGCAAATTGGTCATTGAAGTCATTGACACCTCTTTTCATGTCGTTCGTTACCTCCGAGTAATGCTTGGAGTCGTCGATCTGTGCGATGTTGGGCGACTTCGACCACAGCTGGGCCACGATAGACTCCGTTCCTCTCTTTCCCCAGTGATCATTCTGTGTAATATATTCTGTCAATACTGTTCACCCGGTGAGATAATGTACCTTCACTTACCTTCACGCCGCAACGTAGTTGGACCACTGCCTCGGCCATTGTGTTGCAATATAATTTTAGAAAGTTGATAAATGAGAGAAGTGGGGAGGCAAAAGCTTGCGCCAACGAAATTTTGATTAGATGTCAACAGAACACATTAAAGAGATAGAATTATCTTTGAAAATACATGCTAGACTTTGTACAAGGTGGCTACAGTGGGAGACGTACACATGCCATCATGGTGACTGCCTGTGGCTAATTTCGAAGAACAAGCGGTAAACACAACGAAGACGAACTTGCAGTGCATATGGGAATAATATCCGCCAATTGGACCACTCGATACAATTGTTGAATTGCCCCTTCATAGTGTTGCTGATACATTGCCCTGACCCAATGTGACGTCAATGTATCACATTCGATACTGCATGTCTACGTAGAGAGCTATGCCGAGGCTGTTGAACTTACATATCGTAATCATCTGTCAAACCCCAATGTGACTGGACTTGATAGATTCGTTGCGCATAATAGAATAGAAACTAATTCATTCTGAGGCACTGTAAAAAGGCCAGTAAAAACCAAAAACGCCAATGTATGCTAATGACTCCGCGCAATGATGCTCAAAATCATACAACGTGGCAAGAACTCCGCTAATACAAAAGAAACAAGAAAAATGACCCTTTACTCATAGAGTTCATCGGGATCAGGAACCATCGCCAAAGTCATCGGCTTGGCAGAAGAAGCCCGTCGCCGATCAGCCGCCACAAACGGCGACGTATTACGTCGAGGCGGCAGTCCAATATTTCGTCGACCACTGGAACTGTCCGAACTATCTCCCAGACTCGACCGGAGACTCCGACGGTCATCCTCTATGTAAGCACTTCCACGAGCCATCGGTGTTTGAGATTGGAAGCGCTCGCGCTCGTAGCCATCATCTCCTTCATCGATGGATTCGGCGAGTGATTCTCGGCGAGAATAAGACGTCCGATATGAGCTTACTGACTGACTGCGCGGTGCGCCAGAGCGAGAGCTCGATCCTTCAAGATATCGTCCATTGGTTGGGATATACTTGAATCGGTTACTGGACGACTTTTCAACAACCTCGGAGGTATAATCTTGTTGAATCGGTCTGTAGGCAAACTCTGCTCTCTTTTGCTCCTCGCGCTGGGCAGCTCTTTCCGACGCCGTTTCCCCTCGCAGATGTTTGGGTCGTGAGGATAGACGCGCAGAGAGTCGACCCGGTCGCAACGCTCCCAGTGACAGTGAGTTGCGGCGGGAGACAGTTGATGCCAGGCTTGAAACACTGTGGGCGTCGTCCTCTGGGTCATCATCTCTCACTGGACGAGGGTTTCGGTCTTGGGGAGAGCAGTCGGGGACATATCCGGGTCCGTATGGTTGCCTCTCTGTGACTGGCCGATGAGGGTTGTCATACTGGTTCCATGACCCATCAGTAGGAACCGAGATGGCCACATCGCCCCATCTAGCATGAAGAGGCTTTGTAGAGTCCGATTTGCGGAAGAGAGAAAGAGGACCGTTGACGATTCCCGCCATGATGCTCGTGTGAAAGAGGTACCGTTTTGAGTCGTAAGTTCGTGAGAGTTCCCTCGAGCTTCAACAAAAGGGGACATTCGTGCTTTGGAGGGGAGCAACAAAAGGTGAGGGGGGTTATAGGCTACAGTCGATATGAAGGCCGGTTCTAATCAGAGCTGCAAGTACCGGATGACCCACCGGCTTGCCAGCAGGCTTTTCTAGCGCCAGACAAGACTTGGCCACTTGCACGGCTGCGGATCTCCCGTCTTCTGCAATGATCCAGAAACCAACAGTAACAACGGCCTCGGATTGGACGGTAGCTGGGGTCCCGACAGACAAGGATCTCGAGGGGCGATGGAGGGGTCGCTGGCCAACGGATATAACCTGGCACAATCAACAAATCAAAATCAAAACAAGCCCAACGATCAAAGCATTCCAACAGTCCTCCAGGGACGTAGAGACGAAACTCGAGAGAAACTGTCAACAGCTCCGGAAGGCGTACGGATATAAAGCTTATTCCATCCAGCCGCCTGGTCCATTTTAGTTCTCCCGAGATGCATGTCTTTCAGCTGTGTAGATTGCATTTTAAACGCCCATGTCCAATGAGGCGCGTAGGTTACCGCTCGGAGGTGATGCAGATCTGCAGGTCTGAGCTTGACAGGGATTGTTGTTCCTTAATTAGCTTCCCCTCCCTTTTGGGTCTTAAAATAGATGTCAATTAGCGGCAATTTCCCCTCTAGCTTGCATAACAGTCTTCATCTACACTGCAGAGTATCCTAGCACATTTGTTCGTTTGTCCACTGACAAAGTACGGTCGGCTTTTCCTGTCTTAGGGTCTATTGTCGTGGATGTTGATTTTGCGACTACTGTATAGCCTGTCCACAGGAGGACCGTAATTTCGAGGCCTGGTTAGAATTATTGCGGACTAGTAACCCGCGGTTGGTTTAGAGAATTAATCCAGATTAGATATCTGTCTTGCCCGCCTCTCCAAACGAGTTGCGATGACGACTTCTCCGACCAGCCTAAATGTATGTGCAGCGACGATGTAACCTGGCAGCATATGTAGCTAATTAGCATATTTTTAGAAATTGGCACTATGTCCATGCATTACTAATTCCTATACATGACATTTGGCTTCGCTCCTCTCAATATACCTGATACAGATAATGCAGTGGCCTATAATTGCTGCATGATAAGTGATCAAGACATTCATTCACCTAGAGACAGAGTCTGGACTCCAATTTGGTGGGTTTCTACAGCGGTCTGTTAGTACCATTGTTCAAAAGTAATTTCCCCGCTTGTATACCGGTAATATCACTCTTTTCCTGCAGACTTGATTCATCACCACTACGTGCGATCTCTCGTCTCACAGGTTTGAGGGGTATTCAATGGAGACTTTTCTAAATCGAACGCTGAATTTTGTATTTTGTACGAAGTTCACCATAAACTAAACTACAAGCAGGATAACCACTGGACATTATACAGTGGTACAAATAACGTGCTAAATAATTATGAGAGATCCCCTTCAAGCAAGGGTCCCGTATTATACATTCTGTTTGCCTTCGTTGGGCATCTCCTTTTGACCTCTTTTCTAATCTCTTGTTCGATGTCCTTCTTGATCCGCACTTAGATCTAGCTTACTACTACGCTGAGAAAAGACGGGGATACAGGCTTTTTGCCAGGTGGAAAGCGAAATGGAGACTTCACTATAGAAGATGTGAATATAAATGTGCGAAGGAAAATGAATTTAGCTAAGAGGTGTGATCCCAGTGATCAATACTACTGGAGGGGGATACCCATGCACCCACACCAATCTTGTGTTCATGGCGGGGGAATTCCCTCTTAACATCACCCAGCTGTCCCCCTGTGCAGACACTCGGGCTTCGTTCTCCTGGGCGGTCGTGGGTCCGAAGATTCTCGGGGTGGCTGATGAGGCCGAACCAGTGTCTGTACCCTCCGAGCAATCATCTCTCACTTACACTACCTCGGTCGCCAATGATGATGATCACTATCAGGAAGAACGCCATGGAGACGACAATGAGAACGGCATTCCACTCCGTCTTGCTCTCGCTTAGATCGAATACAGAATAATGAAATTCTCAAAGTCCATTCTACCATAATCGAATTTGACCTATTCCCAAGAAACAGTAGTTCGGGCGGGACGTCGTCGAGGGATTGCAAGATAAGCGTCGAAGACAGATTTTGATTTTCCATATGCGCCGAGAGAAGACCTGTTTTGACCTCTGTCTTCATCCCTTTTTTCGCCTCTTTTCTTATCTCTTCTTGGTCAGTTTCTTCAAGTACTTTAGGCTATAGATATTCCAATATGGGGCAAGACCTAAAGAATGTAGGTCAGAATAGGGTTTATACTATAATAAAGAGTAATAGTAGCAGTCTGCAAAGGAAGCCGTGAAATTTTAGCACAACACAGGTTGACACTAACAGACTACTACTGCCTATGTCTATGCACGCCAGTGTAACATCTACACCGCTAGCTTGGTGATTCTAGATCTCGACAAAGTGGTTCTGTTTGCTCGCTTCGTGAGTTCAAAAGGTCTGATAGGTAGCGGTCGTTAATCCCCAATGATAAAGGTTAATTATTCCATGCTGCTATACTTTGGCGACAGCTAGCTTGTTCATAGGATGTTGTCTACTTTTTGGTACAACGTATAGAATTTCTATCGTTTGGGGGTTGTGTTCATAACGATGGTAGAAAGGAAATGTCTACCAACTTGAAGATTTTGTACGTTGATGTCTCAAGAGCGTCTTTTTCTTTTCCTTTGGGGGGATAATTGTTGCTAGGATATCGTATACAATACTTTCAGTCAGAGTAATATTTCTATTCGCAATCCCGCCCTTCAAGACCATCCTTGATCCCAAAATTACACATTTGCCATGGGCATAGGTTGGGCTCCATACTAATGCTTCAATCCTCATCTCCCTGGGTCTGTTCTCACTTATACTCTGGAAGGGTGTAGGTCACGCATACTGTCATGCTTTCAATGAGCTTAGCTTTTGGTATAGGCCTGATTGTAAATTATGAGGGCCACTGTCTCCATTGAAAGCGTATTCTAATTGTGAAAAAAAAAAACCTCCAATGTCTGGCTAAGTGGACCTACCAGCCTAACAGAGATGTTACTTATCGATTTAGTTAAGTATCTTCTTCTCAAAAAATGTGTATCATTAACATAATGTTGGAGCATCATTAAATGAACCCTGATCCTTCGCACGCAGAACTTATCTTTACTCTTTTGGTCTCAATTGGGTCTTCTATTGTAATCGTGCTACGCAAGCATTATTGGTAAGAAAGCAATATCGATCCTGGATACTTTGAGATACATTGAATCTCCCTAATTTGATTAAGTCGCTTTTTTTTCTTCAACCAACTATCTTGTGGGTAATGAGCTTTTTCCCGCGCTACTGATAAAAGATTAGGGATCATCTACACGAAATCATTATATTACCACCCACTACTGGCAAAATTACTTTTGAGTTTGTGACCATATTGGACTGCCGTAGCAGGGCACCATAGTAAATTGAACTATCTAGGATTGATTACCCCATTTTTGCAAATTATTCGGTAAAATCAATACTAGACAAGGCCTAGTTATGCCAAAAGGATTCAAATATCAAGAATGGGGGTCTTTTACTGGTTCTCTCGATGTGTGAATGCACTTAACTGACTAAATGTTTGTTTCTTTCCGTTCCAAGGAAATACTAGATAATTCACTCTTAGACCAGAATTGGATCTAGCTACAACGTACGGTATTTATATCTTATTATCCTGGACCTACAGGCATCCAACCTGAAACGCACGCAATCTCAGGCCTAGTATGACTCAAATACGGCTTAGATCTTATACAGGTAATCTCAGGTCTAATGTGGCTTAAATACGGTTTCGATCTCATAAACATCGAAGCTGCGATCACGTAATCTCAGGTCTAGATGCGGCTCAAACATGGCATAGATGATCTGACTGTTAGTCTATACACATACAACACGAAGCTCACAAACCATTCAAAGCTCTACTCTAGGCACTCTTTAGTCTACTCACAGAATATGCAACTATCCCCCTGTAGAGCTACTCAACTACTATATATATCACCCACTGCATATCAACTATCCCATTGATCAACTACTCTTTGAATTAAATATTCTATAAACAACTACTACAAAACAACTACTATAGTATAGGTCAATGACTATAGATCAATGACTTAGCTCAACTACTACAAACTAAATATTACAAATCATTCACTATGCAAGTTGTTCACTACGCGTCATTCACTATACAAAGAAACAATGAGGCATTTTGATATGTTCACTTACTCCCATTTATATATACTAATCGCTCTATATATCAATACCTTCATTTATCAATAGCTGTATGCAAAATAACTTTACAACTTATATCAACAGACATATATATCAAGAACTGTATATATCAAAAGCTACACCGATCAAACACTATACAATCAACCACCAACCAACGAAGCAATTACGCGTCTGAAAAAGTACGCGTCTCAACAACCACGCGTCTAAACAACCACGCATCTAAGCAACTATATATCTGAAAAACTACGTGTATTACCTACTACACGAATATGTAAAGCTCAAGAGAGGGAGGGTATTGATTTGCTCGCATTCCTTATTCTGTCTCGTAGTGGCATGCTTATCATATGCAAGGGTTTGAACCCTATTCACCACTGCCATCCCACAACATCCTAGTTTCCGGCCTCCGTGGTCTTGGTGTTGTCGGCCTTAGCCGAGTCGTCTTTTCCCTCCATTTTGTTCCGAATGCGGGTGTAGCGCATGCGCACAGCAGGTGCGTTCATGCCCAGTCCATCAGCTGCGGCCTGGTAGTCAATCTATAAAATGGAGTATCAGCAGTCATACTAATATCACTTTATACTCAGTAGTCAACGCACTTCGCCCTGAAATTTAATCAGGTTCAAGAGGAATACGACCTCCTTGTCAGCCATCGTGGCATCCTTGGCGGCCTTGATGGGCTTGGCCTTGTCCACAGCAGTGCGTTTGACCTTGCTAGGGGTCCCCTGGGGGATGGAGGCAGCCTTGGGAGGCATCTTGGGCACAATGTTCTTGATAATGAAGGGGTGTGGTATTTTTGATGGTCCCGAATGAAAAGACGGGAGGGAAATGTTTTGTTGGTGATAAAAGAAGAAAGGAAATCAGAAGAAGAGCAGACAGTCATCCTTTTATACCCGTGCCTCCTTCTCATGTGCCCTCCCTATCCGATTTCCTAAATCAGAGCCATTTCAGGGCTCAGGAATTAGCCCTTTCAAGTCCTCCTCGCTTATGAGGCATGAGTATCAGTTCTGGCTGATTATTGAGTCTTTGCTCTAGTATTTCTACGTCCCTTGTCTAGTCTATTGGCTGATCTACAGTATATGGTGCATAACGAGGATCGGCGGGCTTCCCCTGCAATTAAGGTTGAAGGCTCGGCCCGGGCGGGTACGCTAGGGCTCATTCATCACGTGGTCCCCGCGACTCTTTTATTGTGTTTCAAACGGATCGCTTGACACTGCTGTCGATTTATTCTCGTTATATTGAATCCATTGTGATTTTTGGGAGACGTTTCGGGGCGGGAGGGTCTGGTGAGAGGGTGTCATCGGGCGTAAGTGCGGCAAGGTCGCCGGCGCGAATGGTTTCGGTCTGTAGAACGGCAACAGGTTAGCTCAAGTCTCGAGATCTGCCACTGGAGATACGAGTTTTATCGCTGGAGATTTGCTCCAATGCTTCACAAGGTCAACACGGCGGTTTGTCGGATCCTGATGGTCGTCGAAAAGAAGCAGTACTCGTGCCGGCCTTGGAGCGAACGGATTTGGCATTCAAGACAGTCTGCTCTTTCGTTTTCCAGATCTCCATGTACGGCATGGTGGATGGAGAGAAAGGACGATCCATTGAAGTGTTCCCTCAACCTTGTTGGTTATCGGGGACCAGCCTGGAGACAATGCCGATTGGGTTCGGCAGTATCGGGAAGCCTCACCGCCCTCCTGGAGGTAAACCGGATCCAAGCACTGCTGGTATGAGTTCACAATCGTTCTGGGTCTTCCTATCCCGTTATATTTTATCCGATGTTGTGGTGGAAATAAAAGGGAACATTGGCTTAAGTGCTCAATGTGGGGATAGCAATTGCGGGTCACTCGAGATTGGTTTAGAGAATTCTTGGTATATGATTGTTCACACTATGTGCTGGGATGATGTTTCAAACAAGCATTTGGCATGCCTAGTGCTTCCGTTGTAAGATCATCCTTAACAGTACTGGGATTTCGAGTTGGATGACTAGTCTACTAGTTTAAAACGGATAAAACGCTCATGGCAGGAATGCCTTCGGGGGACATGATATGAATAATCAACCCCGAAGTAACTCTTCATCATTACAAGCTCTTGACGTTGTGTACCTACCTACCTGGTAGATAGAATATGCACACATATTGTTAGTTGAAGGAAACGGGACATTTCTACTACGCATTCTATCTTGGTATATCAGATCTCATCCCTGATCTAGATGGCTATTGGTACGTCTATGGTCCTCATAAGTCCTTTCACATCCCTACATGGAGAGCCCACCATTCTGTAAGAACTAAAAAAAGAGACACTTGATCATCAGCTGAAAAAGCGTGATGAAAGGCATGAGGAAAATCTCCAAGAAGGATATGGAAAAGGTGAAAAAAAGGTGAACAAAGAGAGACCAAGGCAAGGCAAAAACAACGCATAGAATGTTACACTCAAAGGGGTTCATGTAGAAAGTATCCAACACTTAATCAGTGGCACTCTATACAAACTAACAACCCCTGCAATACATTCTATAGCTTCAAGGTCAGAGCTCTAGCAGAATATTTGGACTACGACAAAACATGCACGCGGACAAAGAAGACCTGCTTATCCCGGGAATTTGCAGTGCGAGTATACACACGCTTAGGTATCCCGGTCTCCTCATGATTTCTAAAGTAACATGACAATCAGAGCTCAAATGGCATTGAAATATCTATTGCAAGGGATATTCATGCACCCCTAAAACAAGCGGAACATACCACAAGAAACCCAATACTGCACATTAAAAAGTAAAAACGAGTGTATTCTAATCCGGAAGAAAGAATAAAATTAATTCTAAAAACAGAAAGCAATCCAAAAACCAAGTGAACTTTCAACCCAATCTATAACCCGTAACCCGCAGCCCATGTGTGCAATACAGTGTACAATACCGGGCACTGAGTCACAATCCTCAATCCTAATATGTACGTCAAAAAGATGCCATCACCATCACAATCAGCAAGTTCCCGCACACAAGGTATGTACTATGTGTGAAAGACACGCGGGAACTCCACAGGCGGTATCAGATAATCCTAGAGGCACACGCTGCAAGCTCTAAGCGCGCGTAGATGGAAAGGCGCCGCTCACCCGCTCAATATTTACTGAGGGGGGAGGGGGAAGCCAGTGGGGGTGGCTGTGGGGGTTCCAGTAGGGGGGGGAGCCGGAGGGGGTAGGGAAGCCGCTAGGGGGAGGGCGCTGGAACTGACGCTTGCCGAAAGTGGGAGGGGGAGGGGGAGGGGGGGGTTCCTGAGGGAGTTCCCGAGGGAGAAGGGCCAGTAGGGGTACCCGAGGGGGTAGGGAAGAACTGGCGCTTCTCGAAGCCGCTGGGGGCGTCGGTTGGGAAGGGGGGAGGAGGAGGGGGGGTTCCTGAGGGAGTGCCTGAGGGGGGAGGGCCGGTGGGAGTAGGGAAGCCGCTAGGGAGAGGACGCTTGAACTGGCGCTTGCCGAAGGGGGAAGCCGCCGAAGCCCTGGCCGGCTGGGACGCTGGGGCTTCCGGTGGGAGGGGGAGGGGGACCGCTTGGGGTCCTGGTCGGCTGCTCCTGGCGCTTCTCGACGGGGAGAGTGAATGGCAGGCTGGAGGAGATCTCGCCTAGGATGTCAGGGAAGCCGTCGCGCTTCTGGAAGGCGGGGGGTTGGGGCTCCGCTGGGGGGAGGGGCCCGATGGAGTAGGGAAGCCGCTGGGGAGAGGGCCCGAGGGGCTCGGGAAGCCGGATGGGGGAGGGCCAGTGGGTGTGGGAGCGTCACTGGGGGGACCGGGGAAAGGAGCGGGAGGACCCTGGGGCAGGGCGAGGGCGCAACCCATCAAGCCCATGGCGGCGAAGCCGGTGTACTTCATTGTGAAAGGTTGTTTATGAATTAAGAAACAAGTCAAGAAAAGACGTGTGTGTATTGCAAAAGAGGCTTTGATATACGGGATGGATATATCAAAGGCAAGACTGATAGTTCGAAGAAGGGACGGTCTGATCTGGAGGAATGGGACATCTTTATAAGACAGGCTGCTGTATCAGGATTGATCTGAGATCATTGGGTCCTCAAGCCGATGTGGATTCCGTGATCGGGCCATGACTTCAATTCTGTTCCCCCAGAAGGCTGGCCAGGTGGACAGGCTGGACCATGCACCGAACAATACAAGTGTGGGTACTGACGATCTTCACCTTCAGGGATTGTAGGGTCGCCAGGGACAGAGCCAGGCTTGGGCGCCAGCAGGTACTTGGTAATTGCGGTGTCTGGGGGCTGAGGTATTTTCCAAGGCGTTACAGGAACCGGTGGCCAGCCAACGTGGGAAAGAGGTAAAAAAAGTGGTCCTTGGGTACTTCAATGGGGCAGGTATCGACAGTTCGGTTAGGCTGCAGGCGCCAAAGGCAGGTACCAGAAAATAATGTGACGATCATGTTCCGTGTATGTCGATGATCTGCCGTGGTGGTCTGACCGTATCACATCCTCATGCTTCGAAGTCGTTCGTAGGACTTGCCCAATGCAGACGGTGCTCCAGGAGAAGGGAACGGGACCTACAGATGAATGCTTTGAGAAACAAGTCCGTTAAGCTTATTTCCCTTGCAACCCTTGCTTTCAGAGTTTTCTATATTGTGACAGCCAGACCCCCCTTTGGCGTGCCAGAGCACATTATGACAGCACATCGTCATGGCTGGGGGACGCATCAGCATCTCATCATTTCCAGCCCCATGAAGCAATTCTTGTCGCAGTGTGGCGGTTTTTTCGTTTCATGTTGGATGGTTTTTCCATGGCGCGCCTATCGTCGAGGCTGATACACAGACTGTATCAGAGGATTCCCGCGTATCCACGGGATAGAGTGGACTCAAACGTTATGCATTGGGAAATAGATTGGCGGAGCCACTGATTGATAAGTGAGGTCCAATGATCACCAATGGATCGGCGAGATGGGACTTCTGGTTGGTCTTAATGATAGTCCTAGTAGTGTGCCCAATCCAGGAAACCAGTGCGACTCAAAAATGGTAATTTTCTCAACGGTTGAGGAATGACATGCACGGATATGATGATATCCACGGATGTTCAAATCACGATGATATGGAATCGACAGATACCCAAAAATAGAGTGGCAGTCCCCAAGGAATAAAGATGCAGTTCCCACAGTCGTCGTCGTCAGCCTTGGAGGAATTGGGGGTTGGGGTTGGAGTGAGAAAGTCTGACTGGATCAAGCAATGTTTAGCTCCATCAGTGTGGGTCCCGTGACATAAAGGATTAACAACTTCTTCTTCTTCTTTCTCCCCTGTCTCCATACCCGTGTTGCAGCTTGCATATTGATATCCATGTTGCAGAGATGCATCTCGATATTATCTTGGCATAAATGTATCATCTCTATAATGCCTGACTTTGGGCCCCCGGGGGCATCGCGCTTGAAACTCCGCTGACTAAATTTCTCAACGCCGATTGTTTCCTCATATTGATTTGCCGAACCCCACATTCTCCTGTCTAGTTGGCTATACAGATGCCAAGCTATTCCTTCCAAGGTTTGAATCCACAGAGCCATTTGGATTCGTTTGCCTTTGAGCCGTTCGGCTTATGGTGGGAAGGGGCTTAGCTTCAGGGCCGACTAGCGCCAAGGGCGGAAGCTCGTATCCTTAACCTAAAACGCTGGGAGTTGATACTGTACATGGACTAAGTCTAGACAGTTGGGCTTCATGTTTAGCCGGAGGCTTGGTCAACAGTCTAGAGATCGATTTCATCTGCGAGCCGTGGCTGCTGCTCTCGCCACCTGGGTACATGTATGTACGCGCAACACTTCCCCGCTATATATACATTCTAGACTGCTACATGTCCGTCCCAGATAGTCAAGGATGAGGGAACTTAGGAAAACAAAGATTTGAATCCAATGGTGCAAGAGGTACGCCGAAATCTGAAACCGAAAGAGAATGCAATAAAGGTAATTTAGAAAGGGGGAATCGTGTAGCGGGCGGTGGGCCCAGGCCGTGTTCCAACGCCGAAACCTATAAAGAATGGAGCAGCTGTAGCAAATAAACCCTAGGTATACTGTAGTGGGTGTTGTGCCGCATGTGTCCAAGGGGTGTGGAAAATGTCCTTTCCGTGCCAATTGACTCGCCAATTCAGGAGATTAGATTGACTGGCGGCTTGTGGTGTCGAACACCGATGGTTCCTGACTTGAATGCAGCTGCGGCCCGTTAGAGTTCTTTAGTGCCGCTGTTTTCGCATAGAGTTGTCAGAAGAGCTCGGGTGGGCCGTTGGTGTGGGAGTCATGCTGAGCAGATGGCGAGATGAGGGTGGTATGGTCGTGGAAAACTCACGAGCCGAAGAGGCATAAACTTGCTTCGGCGAGACACGATGCGTGGGCACGGAGGAATTGTAGGTTAGGCCGGAAGAGAATGAGGATCGCCGTGATCGGACGGGGCTGCGAGGCCCATGGTTTGCAGTAACTCCACCAAAGGAAATTGAGTCCGAGGATGCTCGATGGCCTGTCAGTCGAGGTCGGACTGTGTACAAGTGTGAGAATTCGCAGTCATCATCGCTGCTAGATCCGATGTCGAAGATGGCTCCGTTGTTGTATGATACTGAGGATGTCCGGCGGTGGGTCCTCGGTTGCATTGACTCGGGGATTGACTCGTTCGATAGAGTTAGAGGTGGGTTCTTGAGGGATACGGTGCTGCGTGCTTTTCGCAGCTCTCGGACTGGTAGTTGCCGCGACTGTCCACCTGAACGTCTCTTTTGCAGTTCATGGCTATGGGAACCACGCCGTCGGTGATGACCGCCTCTTCCATTGCTGTCTACTGAATCAATCGAGTGCCGGGAGGAATTCAGCATTCGTAAATCGATCTGACTAGGACTGAAGGCTACCCGGGCCCGCATCTTCTGGATCGCACTATCTAGTGCAAGCTCGATGGCGCAGTGATTTCGAATCCGACTCAGTCGTGGCCATGTCGCCCTTTCGCCGCTTAGACATGCTGCAAGCATGAATTCCGTCGTCGGGTTCTCCAAAAGTCGGGGAAAGTTGGACGAACTCAGTTCAGGATAAATGTTGATATCGCCGTGATATTTCTGATTCACGATGGAAGCGAACTTGGTCATCGATGTTGGGAAGACTCCGAGTTCTGATAGGACATTCATCCGGAAGAGAACTTCGTCTTTTGCAAGATGTGTCATGGTGTTCATCCATCGAGGAACGAAGGATGGTCCATCTTCTGTCTCGGTCCGGGGTCCTTCTTCCTTTGGTAGAAAAGGCACCACATGGGGATTGACTTGTGAGACGATGAAATGGTTGACGTTGAACATCTCTGACAACCGGGTCATGGGCAGATCCCCATCGACAGAGCCGTCAATGTATTGTTTGTGGAGGTCATTCCACGGTACTGTTTCTCCTGTCAACGGATCTTTAGCCATGAGGGTGAATGGCCTAAACACGAAAGGCACAGAGCATGATACGGCCCTTGATTAATATTAGCAGGGAACACAGATGATTACAGCAGATCACTTACACAGCGGACCAAATCAACACATTCGGCGCAGAGATATAGTTGAGCAATCGTGGAAGCTCGTACATACCTGCACTGGAGACGCAGATATTCAAAATCCTGCGAGTGCGGTTGTATGCTTCCTGGAAAGTCAAATCTCCAAGCCAGCTTCTGATAGTATTCGCCAAATGCGATATGTCAAGGAAGGACCCAAATTTCAAAAAGCGAGTCATCTTCTGCAAGAGATTCTCTTCCTGGCCCTGTTCATTAAAAACAGCAAAGTTTCCATGCACATAGGTATCCAGCAACGCCGGCAGTTCATCATCTGTGCGTGTACCAAATACCGCGCACACAATACTACCGGCAGATGCACCTGAAATGATGCGAGGAATCATCTTGGCCTCATACAGAGCCTTGAGCACCCCAATATGGGCCATTCCAAAAGTGGCACCTCCAGAGAACAGCAACCCACTGCGACCAAACGCCTGTCGAGCCGCGAGCAACTGATCCAGTATATATTTCAACTCCAGCCCATCGCAGCGATTATGCACAGAAAGATCGACCAGTGTAGTGATAGTCTCCACGGCGGTAGTGATATACCGATCGATCAGATCCTTGGTCCCAATGTGCGAATGCCGATAAAGCGACGCATTACTCATATGCGCCAAATCCCGACTCAGCGCCGTGCGCACGAGAAACAGCATCCGACTCACATCACAACTAATGCGCGCCTCTTCCAGCTGTCGCAAGCGACCTTGGACAAGATAAGGGTCGTATTCGGGGGACTCGAACGTCTGCTTCCAAGCGTTGTTGTCTTCCAGTTCGTCGAGTTCGCTGGCGCAACTGCGCCATTCCTGGTACGACATCGCCTGCAGTCCCAAGGGTTGGTTAGCAAATGGTGACTCGACTCTGCAGGTGCGACCGTCCCAGCGCCTAGGCGCACGGCAGGCACTTACATTTTTCATGTGCAGATACAAGATCTGTTTGCGGTCCTCGGTCTCGACTTTTTGCTTCCGTTGTTCTTTGGTCAGGCCGTCGCGGTAAGTGTGTAGAGTGTCGCCGGCCCAATTCCATGAGTCCTTGACTAGCGTTGATACGGCTGGGATTGATACTGCTTTGCGCAGCGATCGCGGGGGTTGCGGCTTTGTGGGGGCATGTTCTGTGTGTTCGTGGGAGTTCTTGCGTCCATGATGGCACTGGACTATTGTGGAGTCGCCCAACACCGACATAGCAGGGTGCATCGGGAGCGAGCCATCCGGGGTCTGAATGTAGACCAAGATGAAAATCAATATGAGAATATTGTCAGGATAGAAGAGAAGAGTTAAGAGTTAAGTAACCTGGGCGGTCTGAAAAACGTCACGAGGATCCGCCCGATCCATTTTCCCCAGAGTTGGGCCGCCTTAAGTTCCTGTTCAGCCTTTCAGGTCTGGAATGTAGCATTCACGCGACTGGATATTAACTGACTTCATACAAACTACTTCATACGGATAACCGGTAAATGCGGGTTATGCAGTCACTCTTCCCCATGATCTCACACATCATCTGGACACACCCCAGATCCCGGTGGGGAAGCATTTGCCTCACCGGGAAGATCCTTACTTATTGGCAATGCTGGCAATGCTGGCAGTGTTGGCAATGTCCTATTCGTCTTTTAAATTACAGTCAATTTGACCTTTCTTCTGTGCACATCTGATAATGTCTAAACATCTAAACATCTATGCACATGTATCCTTAACTTCATGCATCCTAGATCGCGAGCTTATCAGAACCCCTGGGGCCCCCGGCCCGGGAGGGGGGCCTTGTTCACATGCATGCAGCATGTGCATTCCGATCTTCATATGTCAAGGGACTACATTTGGAGTATTCCGTACAATAGACGCTGATTGGAATACAATAGTATCATAACTGACCAAGCCACACCTTCAACGCATGTCTTGCCCGCGTTTCAACCCCATCTTCGCGCCAAAAGTGGCCCGCGCCATCGATTTTCCAAAATTGGAACTGACTGCGCGGCATGTGCGCCATCTCGTCTGACCACTTCTCCAGTTTCTCAGCAGAGGTGAATGTATCCTGGTCGCCAAAAAGCGCTAGGGTGTGGTGGGTATTCTGCTGGTCTGTTGGACGACAGGGGATGCGGGTATCGCTGCCGGTGTGGGCTTTCACGTTCAGTGATAAGGTCGAGAAGGAGGTTAGGAGATGGCTAATTGGGGGCAGGAGCGGAGACACGAGCAGATAAGAGATGGAGGTTGTCAATGCGGTGGGCTTGGTGTCAGCTACACTGTGACTGTGAGTCATTTGGAGTTTCTCCAGGGTTGATGTAGCTATCCGTATTGATGCTTTGCCTATCTCGGATTTTGGCGTTGGCTTGTACGTAGAGGCTGAGGCTGCTGATGTCGGCCCGGGTCGGAAAATGTCCAGTATAACTTCCGGTGACGGGACATGGGAGGCGATCAATGACCCGTAGGAATAGCCGCCCAGGATGAGGCGTAGATCTGGGCTTTCATCTTGTCCAGTGTTGGGGGGTTTGGGGTCTGCTGGATCACTTGGGGGGAATGCAAGCTTTAAGTGATGAAGATACTGCAACATGAACCCATAGAATGAGACATAGTCCCCTAGCTCAGGCTTCGCAGTCCAGCTTGTTCGTCCTTCAGAGACTCCGGCTCCGCTATTGAGTTTGTCAGTGATTTGGGCTTATTACGCAATGCCAGAAGCAGGTGATAGTACCGGAAATTGAAGGTTCCCACGATGCAGTCTGACTGTAAGAGCTCGGAGCCGACAAAACCCACGACTGGATCATCATAGCATCCCCCCAAGGGTGCATATGGATGTGCGATGATGGCGCCGCGGTTGGGCCAGGCTGCGGCTGATTCTATATTTTGGAACGCGGGAGGGAGATATATCCGGCAATCCAGCTGATTTCCATCATGAATCGAGGGGATCTTGAATGAAAAGGTCGGTAATGGAAGCTCCATTTTGTATTTATCTCATGGCATGCTTTTTTTGTTTCGAAAGGCAGGTGAGCTGTTGAGAGGAAGAAGTCGGTGGTCTTGGGCGAGGTCTCGGGACCGTCCCGTTATGGAACTCACGGTTTAGACGCAACATGAACATGACTTTGATGAAACAACGTTGGAATATATACTGAAATTGAAGGCGATCTAGTTAACGAATATACTTGTTTTAAAAAGAACAATTTCCTATCTAGAAAGCTGAATTATATGGTGTCTCAAGATTTACTTAAATCGCGGTTACAAATATATACTTCGTCATGTCAACCAAGCAGGATCTGGTTCATCGTCTTCTTCAGACCTTGACCCATGATCTGAGTGATGAGAATCTGCATCCTTCAACAAGTCAGCTGGAGGTTCCGGGTCGTCGTGAGCTAGCGAATCCTCGTAGGGGGGCTCATGGTCCTCCTGGCTCTGGCTCTGGTCCTCCAGTGAAGGATCGCCAGGGGAGCTTAGGGCTTCATCCTTTTCATGCACCGGCAAGCCAAAGGCGGGACGGAGTATACCCCTTGCTTCTCGTAGAGCTTCTAGCTCGGCTGCAATGCAGCAAACCAATAACTTCCAGTCTTTGTCCTCGGCGAGCTCCAAATGTGATTCAACGCGCTGGGTAGTCTTTTCCAAATCATCCAAGATATTCTTAACAAGCTCATCTTTGTAATCTGGTGATGTAGATCCTTCGGACTCGGTCGCTGGCGTCGTAATCTCAACATAGTGTCGCATGTTGGCCCTGAGACGCTTCTCGAAGCCGGTAACGTCTGCTACTGCTTGCTTCCACACTCCGCCTCCCTCTTCCAGTGCCAGAATCTCTTCATCTACTTTCTGTTGCCGACTGCGTAAACTCACTTGCTCCGTGCTCCAATGTTCCCGAACCATGTCAAGTGTGCGGCGTTTGGGATTGAGGGAGTGGAAGGTAGATTCGCCTGAAAGTTGCGATAAGGGTTGAATGGGAGGGTCTCGGAGGTACTTTCGGATATCGGAGTCGAGTATGGACAACGATTCAGTATAGGAAGATAGCTTGGCGTCGACCGAGTTATTGATATGTGAAATCTCACTGACAAGATGACGATGTTTAGCTTTCATCTCATACAGCCTGGTCTCCAATTCATGAATGTCAGTCGCGAGGGTCCGAGCCTCTTCTTCTAGTTGTTTTGATTGTTGGCTCTCCTGATCGCCATGTATAGAAGCGATGGCTTCTTCGAGACCGGATCTTTTTGAGAGAAAGCTTTGTATATCATGTAGCGCACTTTCTCTCTCGCCCGTCTGATTCAAAATGATCTCTCGTTCTTCCTCTCGCAGCTTCAATAGGTCATAAATCGATTGGAAGATCCCATCTCGAGCGGCCCGAAGTCCAATTTTCTTTGGTGCAGTTTGCCTTAAGAGGACCGTAGAAGGAGATTGTGAGCGACTAGCCTCGGAGGCGCTTGGACTCAAGCTCCTGCTGGAGGCTTCGTCTGACTGAGGCCGTGCGAGTCCCGAGAACAGGCCGTCACTTTGCGCGTCTATCAGAACCTGAAGATTGCGCTGTATGTGTTTCGTCTGGCGTTCAACATATAATAGAGGGTCATGATGGTACGTCGAAGCCGCTGGCGGGACTGGAGGTAGCCTCTTATCACGGAATGATTGCTGAAGAAGTGTTGACATGGCGGACAGGTAAGCGTGGCCGGCCGAGCTTCAGACTGGAGTTGGAGCTACGTGGCCCTGGGAAAGACAGATATTTAGTAGTTGGGCGGCATGGATCAGCCAGCTGTGTAGAATATCACCCGACTAGAAAACGAACCACGCCAGGTGATCCCAGTCCGTCCGCGGCCTTGCAGCTGGCGCGCACGTGATACGCACAGTCAGCAGTCAGCTCTCCCGTCAACGTCAGTCTCGCGCCTGCAAGCTTCTGTTGTCTGCTTCCAGCTTCCATTTGTACGTGCCCTTCATCCATTTCATCTCTTTCATTTAATCATCTTCTGTATTTCTCGCCATATTCTCATTTCTTGGATAACCCCTTTGTACCTTGTTCGACCGGGGCTGATTCGCTGTTCTCCAAGCTCCCTCCCGATCCACGTTGCTTCATCACAGCAACAACAAATCGATTTACCCTCGAAACTCATCCCGTGAATCTCGAAGCGAGCCGTCTATCCCAATCAAGATGGTCGGACTCGTATCGGCCGCCGGTTTGGTCGGATTCCTCTCCGAACCTGACCCAGAGCTCAAGGTCTTTGCATTGAAGTCATTAGATTCTCAGATCGATCTGCTCTGGACAGAAGTTGTAAATGCCGTTCCTGATATGTGAGTTGTTTGTCCAGCAGAATTGTGACGGGTTGGATCTGTCCTCACTGTTGCGCCATTCTTACCGAGTCCGACCGATGACTGTACCCCTGCTAATTATCATCTAGCGAGGCTCTCTATGAAGACGAATCTTTTCCAGAACGCGGCCTTGCTGCGCTAGTTGCCTCGAAGGTGTACTACCACTTGCAGGAATATAATGAGAGCATGGTTCTTGCTCTGGGCGCTGGAAAGCTGTTCAAGCTGGAGAATGGCGACGAATATGAGGAGACCATCATCGGTAAGTTTAGAATCATCACCACATCGAATTTCGGTCGTTAATATTTGATTCAACATAGCGAAATGCGTCGACACTTTCATCTCTCTATCTGCTGCCCAACGGCCTACTGCTGACCAGTCCGCCAACCTGAACACCGCGTTCCCATCATCAGGCGACGGCGCCACCAGCACATCTGCAAGCCTCACGTCCCCTATCACACCGTTCTCGAAGTCCGCTTTGCCATCGAAATCATTGCTCTCTCGCGCCGAGGTTCCCGGTGTGGACGCCGCCCACCCCGGTGGCGATGACACAAGTGTTCAGCACGAGGAGACCCCCCTTGTATTGAAGCGTGGTGTCCAGGGCCAACTCCAGAATGTTATCGAGCGCTTATTTGAAGAATGTTTCCGCCAGAAGCGATACCGTCAAGTTATTGGAATTGCCATCGAGGCTAAGAGCCTGGATGTTCTCCGCATGGCTATCCTTCGTGCTAGCTCCGACGAGAAGCAGCAGAAAGGCGACTCTCGCAGCAGTGAGGAGCTGATGGAGTATGTTCTAGATATCTGCATGGGCATTGTCCAAGAGCGAGCCTTCCGCAGCGAGGTTTGTGACCCCGAACCCCCGTATGTGGCGCATGAAACAACTAACACTATTACCCACTAGATTCTCAAACTCATTTTGGAACTCTTGAATGAGATCCCTGCGCCTGACTACTTCTCGATCGCCAAATGTGTTGTCTTTCTTAATGAACACTCTATGGCTTCCGTCATTCTTCGCCAGCTGGTCGAGAAGGGCGATTCCCGCTCCCTTGCGGTAGCCTACCAAATCTCCTTCGACCTTTACGATAACAGCACACAAGAATTTTTACAGAAGGTTCGGCAAGAAATTGCTGAGCTTGTCCCTGAGACCGAAGCAGACCAGGAAAACCTGGATGAGAATGGCGAGCCAAAGGAATCCGACGCATTACTTGAAGACCAGGGAAGCTCTTCCCGGCCTTCGGGTGATAACGATTTGCCAGATGATGCGATCACAGCATTTAAGAACATTCTGCAGATTCTCGATGGTATTAAGACAATTCAGCTGAACCTGGAGTTCCTATACCGAAACAACAAGGCGGACATCGCGATTCTGAACAAGATTCGCGACAGCCTCGAGGCTCGCAACTCTATCTTTCACACCGCAGTGACTCTTTCAAATGCCTTTATGCATGCGGGAACCACCCACGACAAGTTCTTCCGCGACAACCTCGAATGGCTCGGCAAGGCTGTCAACTGGTCCAAATTTACGGCTACCGCCGCATTGGGTTGTATTCACCGCGGCAACCTGAGCCAGGGTCAGAAGCTCCTCCAGCCTTATCTTCCTCGTGAGCACATCGCTGGCGTCGGAGGCTCTGGATCCGTATACAGCCAGGGTGGTTCGCTCTACGCCTTCGGTCTCATCTACGCCAACCACGGTGGTATGGCGGTTGACATCATCCGTGACCACTTCAAGAAGGCCACAGAAGAAGTCGTTCAACACGGTGGTGCCCTTGGTCTCGGTGTTGCCGGCATGGCCACAGGTGATGAAGGCATTTTCGAAGACCTGCGGACCGTTCTCTATACCGATTCCGCTCTCAACGGAGAGGCTGTCGGTCTTTCCATGGGTCTCATCATGCTTGGTACTGGTAACATGAAGGCTCTCGAGGACATGATTCAGTACGCACACGAGACTCAACATGAGAAGATCGTCCGTGGTCTCGCCATGGGTATGGCTTTGATCATGTACGGTCGTCAGGAAGGTGCCGACGAGCTGATCAACGGTCTCCTCGGCGACCCTGACCCTACTCTCCGCTACGGTGGTATCATGACCATTGCCCTGGCCTACTGTGGCAGTGGAAGCAACAAGGCTGTTCGCAAGCTTCTGCATGTTGCAGTTAGTGATGTCAACGATGATGTGCGTCGTGTTGCTGTTCTCAGCTTGGGCTTCATCTTGTTCCGCAAGCACCAGAGCGTTCCTCGCATGGTTGAGCTGCTTTCTGAGTCCTACAACCCTCACGTCCGTTACGGTGCTGCCATGGCCCTTGGTATCTCTTGTGCCGGAACTGGCCTTGATGAGGCCATTGACCTCTTGGAGCCCATGCTTAAGGACTCGACCGACTTTGTTCGCCAAGGAGCCTTGATTTCCCTCGCTATGGTTCTCGTCCAGCAAAATGAGGCTATGAACCCTCGTGTTACCAGCCTTCGCAAGACTATGATGAAGATGCTTGGTGACCGTCATGAAGATGCAATGGCCAAGTTCGGTTGCGCTATTGCTCTCGGTATCATCGATGCCGGTGGCCGTAACTGCACCATCAGCCTGCAGACACAGACCGGTAACCTCAACATGCCTGGTATCGTTGGTGCCGCAGTCTTCGTCCAGTACTGGTACTGGTTCCCTCTCACACACTTCCTCTCCCTCAGTTTCGCCCCGACATCCGTTATTGGTGTCGACCAGAAGCTCGAGGTCCCCCACTTCAAGTTCCACAGCAACACCCGCCCCAGTCTCTTCGACTACCCCCCTGAGCAGCAGGTGAAGACCGAGGAGGCTCCAGAGAAGGTGAAGACTGCCGTGCTATCTACCACTGCCCAGGCCAAGCGCCGCGCCCAGCGTCGGGAGAAGCAGGCTCGCCGTGAGAGCATGGACATTGATCAGACCCCTACGACACCAAAGGTTTCTGATCAGCTACCGGATGCCATGGAGACCGAAGACTCCAAGGCTGAAGGCGAAGAGGGAACCGAGACCGAGAAGGCTGCCGAGGGCCAGAAGAAGAAGGCGGAACGGGAGAAGGTCGGATACGAGTTGGATAACCTGTCAAGGGTACTCCCAGCTCAGCTCAAGTACCTCACTTTCCCAGACCCGCGATACGAGCCGGTCAAGAGGGTATGTTTAATGCGATATACTGTCAAAGTCATTTGCTAACCCAATCTTTGCAGCCCACTGGTGGTGTTGTCGTTGTCCTCGACAAGCAGCCCGATGAGCCTCGCGAAGTCGTTGAGCTCAAGGCCAGCAAGGAGGCTCGCCAACCGCCCCCTCAGACCGAAACCCTCCAGGACCGCCTGCAAGCCGCTATCGGCACCGCTGCCCTGCAGACCCCTCAACGGGCTGATGCTCGGGCTGCCCTGTCCGCTGCTACCTCTGGTGGAGCCGGTGCTGCCGCCGGTGTTCTAACGGCGGTGGACGAAGATGAAGAAGGTGTGGAGGACGCGCCTTGCCCTGACGAGTTCTCGTACGAGTCTGATGGCGAGGAGGAGTAAAGAGATGCGTCGTAGAATCTTGATGCTGGATGTATTACTAGACTAATCAGGCTTGTCTACCTGGACCTGATCTATTGAGAGCCATGGCTTTCAACTGATTGATATGAGACTTCCTTTGTTTTATTCACTTCGTAATTGCGCTGCATTCTCTATGTAACCTTGGCCTGCACCTATAATCTCTCATAAGCAGTATGCCATGATTTAAGGCCGTCATAGCGGGCGTCTCGTGGAAGTTTGAAATTGGGCTCCAGGGTGCAGGTACTTGCACATGCAAGGAATGGAGTACACCATATGACTGGACTCGAATGTTTGTTGTGACAGACATCGAAGCTTTTTGCAGTCTGAATATATAGAATCTACAGCTTACAGTATACACTTGGAGTATTCAGTTGCTCCATAATTCAGTTGCTCCATACTCTGTACTCGACATCCCAATTTAAACTCGATCACATGCTCTCCCTCTCACCGCCCTGCACGTGTGTCTGCCTCGGCATTCTGACGATGACGCACATCGAGCCAATAAAGAGTCAGAGAACGGGGATGACCGAGACGATCAGCAGATGAACTGATGAAAGTCACGATTTACTGCACAACTACGTGGAGCATGTGAACAGACTCTCATACTCCGAGGCCCCCTTTTGGAAGACACCACTTGTCCTGGATTGGAATATCTCCCGAACTAACCGGAATTAGTCCGAAGACCCCGGACTCATATATCTTTCCTCCAGCTTCCCCGGACTTGACATTATTCTTCTCTCCCCACCTTACACCCTTTGCTCACCATATTCTATCTTTACCTCCCCACCACGCCCACCTGCTACCCTCATCATGGCAAAGACATTTAGCAAAGACGACGTCGCGTCGCATGGCAAGGGCGACAGCCTCTGGATCGTGATTGACGAGGACGTCTACGATGTTTCCAAGTTCCAGGACGAGCACCCTGGTATGTCCGAAGTCATGCGCTGCCCTGCACAAGAGATCACATGCTAAGATTCATATTCTGAACAGGCGGAAAGAAGAGTACGTTGTCACCGCGGCCAACCATCACACCCAAGAACAGTATATTGACTTTGCATGTTTAGTTCTCCAGCGCGTTGCCGGAAAAGATGCTTCGAAGCAGTTCTGGAAGTACCACAATGAGGGTATTCTGAAGAAGTACAAGGGCCAGCTCCAAATTGGTTCGTTGGACACTAAGAAGGCTGTTGAGCCGGCGTCGGCGCCTGCTCCTAAGAAGGCTGCTCCCGAGCCCAAGCCCCAGTCTAAGTCCTCTTCTGATGTGACGCCGCCTGCTACTGGTGCGCCGCAGGAACCTTATGGAGATTTGATTCCTTTCGCCGATCCTTCATGGTACCAGGGTGTAAGTTTTGCTATCCCAGGTAAATATGGATCTATAGAGACTAATCTGCATTTTCTGCGTCTTTAGTATGCCTCCCCTTACTTTAATGATTCCCACGCTGCCCTCCGAGACGAAGTGCGCCAGTGGGTCGAGTCTGAGATTGAGCCGTATGTGACCGAATGGGATGAGGGCAAGGAGGTCCCTCCCCATATCTACAAGCAGATGGGTGAGCGCGGATATCTGGCTGGTTTGTTGGGTGTCTCATATCCTGTGAACCACACCCCACACCGCGTTCAGTCGGTGACACCGGATCGCTGGGACTTGTTCCACGAGATGCTGCTGACCGACGAACTGTCGCGTGCAGGCAGCGGCGGTCTGGTCTGGAACTTGATTGGAGGATTCGGCATTGGATGCCCACCCCTGGTCAAGTTCGGCAAGAAGCCGCTGGTCGACCGTATTCTGCCGGGCATCCTGGCCGGTGACAAGCGTATCTGTCTTGCCATCACCGAGCCCGATGCAGGCAGTGACGTCGCCAACTTGGGTTGCGAAGCCAAGCTGAGCGAAGATGGCAAGCACTACATTGTCAACGGCGAGAAGAAGTGGATCACAAACGGTATCTGGTCCGACTACTTCACCACCGCTGTGCGCACCGGCAAGCCCGGTATGAACGGTATCAGTGTCCTCCTTATCGAGCGTGAAGCCGGCGGTGTCAGCACCCGCCGCATGGACTGCCAGGGTGTCTGGTCCAGTGGCACCACCTACGTTACTTTCGAAGACGTCAAGGTCCCAGTCGAGAACCTGATTGGCAAGGAGAACCAGGGCTTCAAGGTGATCATGACAAACTTCAACCACGAGCGTATCGGCATCGTCATCCAGTGCCTGCGCTTTTCCCGTGTCTGCTACGAGGAATCCATGAAATACGCTCACAAGCGCAAGACCTTCAACAAGCCCCTCATTGAACACCCCGTCATCCGCATGAAGCTCGCCCACATGGCCCGCCAGATCGAAGCCACCTACAACTGGCTCGAGAACATGATCTTCCAGTGCCAGTGCATGGAAGAGACTGAGGCCATGCTCAAGCTAGGCGGTGCCATCGCTGGCCTGAAGGCTCAGTCCACCACCTGCTTCGAGTTCTGCGCTCGCGAGGCCAGTCAGATCTTCGGTGGATTGAGCTACAGCCGTGGTGGACAGGGTGGTAAGGTCGAGAGGCTTTACCGTGATGTTCGTGCTTATGCTATTCCCGGTGGTAGTGAGGAGATCATGCTTGACCTGAGTATGCGTCAAAGCTTGCGTGTTCACGGCATGTTTGGCATGAAGCTATAGAGCATTTTTGGGTGTTGATCTTTGGGCTTGGCGGTAGATATTGGCCCCCCCCCCCCCCATCTTGGTTTATGATTGCTTTTTCGTTTGGCTAGATATCCTCTCATCTTTGACGACTTTTTCTGGTTTGATTTTGCTATGATTTGTCTTGTATCATACTATGACTTCTTTTGTATATTTCTTAGTTTGGTGAGATCAACCGCCTTTTTTGTAATCTTTGCTTCATAGTACTTCGGATTTGAGATATTAAATTGATCTACATATGAACTATCTGCTCTCTTCAGAATACAAGTCTGCGACTGAACATTGCAACTTACAAGAAAATAGCGATGGAAGTCTGGTGAGACCAAGAACAGGCTAAATTGCATCCCGAGTGGTTGCTCATTTCTGTCTTCGATCTGCATACACTACTGCCGTTGTTCGCTTCACCCATCATTCTTTGACAGTAGTCACTGGCGATCAAAGGTCGGTATACTCCACGCCGAGAAGCCACACTTTTTCTACAAGATACTTGAACGAGCATGTCTATGAGATGTTAAAGCTTCAATTTGATTCGACGACACCAGAAACGCAGAGAAATTATTGGTATTTGTGTTATTTCTCTCGCTTTCTCCGTAACTCTTTGACTTGGGTTTAAATTTAGATAAAAGCAACGAATAGCTTTGGACGACGGGAATGATATAATTATATGATCCTGTGTTGAATTCGAAGAGAACATCTAACCATCATGAACGCCCCAATCCCACTTGGGCCAGTCGCGACTACCACCATAGCCATCGACCCATACAATCCTCTTCTGCAAAGAGACCTTGACGATGGAAACACCCCTATTTTCCACGTAGTGCGCTCTTGATGGTCATGATGATCGCCGACCGAATACGCCATCGCAATGAACCAGGTTGAGGTTAGGTCCTGTACGCCGGTTTCAAGGGTGCGCATGGCATTGGTCCACACTGGGTTGGAATCCTTGAAAGAACTCGCCCGGACAGGAAAACGCTTGCGCTTACCATCTCAGGACTTGATCTCACCACTATGCCCAAAGACGTGTTCAAGCTTCTGCTCCTCTATTACTAGCCAAGCACAATGGACTTCCATGCCCTGCTTGTCTTTATTGAAGAGGCACCAAGGCTGTCCGGGATGGCATGGGGATGGCTTCAAAACGGCCTAGGCGCACAGTATCTCATGTAACACTTTAAGCCCTCGTTAGTCTACCCAGACTTCGCGACAGCCTACAACGATATCGACCGCATAAAGATCCCTCGCGAAGCCAGCGACTTGGAACGCACATCCGAAGGACCTACTTTTACAAATTTAGAACGAGATGCCATTGCACCTAGTCCATCTCATTTGCAGGCCAGCTCGGTTTGTCCACTGCCATAAGATATGATATCCACGGAAGATCCGCTTTTCATGCCGCAATTGAAGCAGAAGCAGGCGCCATTTTCCCAGGAAGCGAAGGAGGCTTGGTGCTATTCTTGCTTGTCGAGATTCTGAACGCCGGGGTCAACCCCAGACATATACTGCTTTGAGTAGCCTCGAGTATCTGGAATATGTTTTTCAAACTGCATTCACAATGAGCAGTTGATCTCAGACAATATTCCTCAAAGAGGTTGTCCTGTTGGTTGTCGCAATAGGCATCATTGTCTGTGCAGAGCATTAGAGCTGCCATAGTAGACTACATACAAAATCAAGATCTCTTTATAGTGAACGGCTTGTATTTATTACTGATATTGGGAACATCGATGTTTAAGTAGTACTCCGGGGAAGACGGCGTTGAAAGCAATGTACGGCGACGCATAACAACCACAAACGCAGTAATGAAGCCTCGCCTGGGCAACTTGACTCGAGGTTTCCGATTCAACTTCTCCTTTCCCCTTTCTCAGCTGACTTGCCTCCTGAGAAAGGTCCGCAATCCCTTGCGCGCACATTCTCTCTCGAAGTCCAAGATTTGTTCTTTGTAGGCGGTCGCGGAACTCGGTGATTGCCCGCAGAGCTCGATTGTCTGCTTCTCTCTCTCCGATCGCGCCTACACCTTACCTCAATCACAAAGAATCGATCTGACAGCATTTGAAACCGAGAGTCCCTTGAAAGCAAACCGGGGCAGTCTTGCATCCAGCTACATTCGATCTTTTCAACCGACCCCAGCGCGATTTCCCTGGCTTGGGTACGTGGTTTCTTTGGACCTTTCACCTATTGTCTTACACTGACCCCGGCTGGCATTGTCTAGAAACGATTTCATATCCCTAAATCGCCATCACAATTTGTCCACAGCGCGACCGGTTTCCCAGTGATACTCTGTCCAATACCTACCTCGACAATGTCCAACTTTCTCAACCAGGACTTCGGGTCCGACGATGAGGAAGATGAGTTCAACCCCGCCCCTCAAGAAGACTCTGATGCCGATGAGCCCAGAGCCAAGGTCAGTCTTTCGCCTGCCGAACTTTGGTAAGGATGGGGCTAACTATGGATTTCAGCCTGCCAAGAAAGAGAGATATGGCCGCGACGGCGCGGACGAGGAAGATGTGAAATACGGCCGCGATACCAACGACGATGAGGAAGATGCCAAAGACGTCGAGGACGATGACGAGGGCGATAACCAAGGAGATGATGATGATGATGATGAGGAAGACGAGGAAGAGGACGAAGAAGATGCTGTCGTGCGTTTTCCACGATTGAACTTGTGCACGACCTATGCTAACTTATTGTTTCATTCTAGAGCCATCGTCCGCGCAAGAAGATGAAGGCCAGCAACCCTTTCATTGAAATTGAAGCCGGTGTCGACGAAGAAGAAGACGAAGCCGAAGATGAGGAGGATGAGCTCGCCGAATTTGGCATGGAAACCCACCCCGATGACCTTGATGTGCTACCCGGAGGCACCGAAACAGATGATCGCCGTCACCGACAATTGGATCGCCAACGCGAGATCGACGCCAGCATGGACGCAGAGAAGCAGGCACAGATGCTCAAGGAGCGATACGGACGGAACCGTGCTGCAGCTTCAGATGCGCTCGTTATCCCGAAACGACTTCTGCTTCCTAGTGTGGAGGATCCCAGTATTTGGGGTTGTCGCTGCAAACCTGGCAAGGAGAAAGAAGTTGTCTATTCGATCCAGAAACGTCTTGAGGAACATCCAGCAAACTCCCGCAACCCGAACCGTATTATTTCAGCCTTTGAGCGTGGAAATGTCATGCAGGGTTGGTTCTATTGTGAAGCCCGCAAACAGGCTGATGTCATCGAAGGCCTGGAGGCTGTCAACTTCTACTACCCATCCCAGAAGATGACTTTGGTCCCTGTGAAGGAGATGCCGGATCTCTTCCGCGTTCAAAAATCCGAGGAGCTTCTGCCTGGTGGCTGGGTCCGTATCAAGCGCGGCAAATACTCGGGTGACCTGGCACAAATCGAGGAAGTCGAAACAAATGGATTGAATGTCACTGTTCGCCTTGTCCCTCGGTTGGACTACGGAATGAACGAAGATGCTCTTGGCGCCCCTCCCGTTGATGCTAAGCGCAAGCGTGGCGCCGCCAACACAGTCCGTCCTCCCCAGCGCCTTTTCAGCGAGGCAGAGGCAAAGAAGAAGCACGCAAAATATCTTTCGTCTACTTCAGGTCTCGGTGGAAAATCATGGAATTACCTGAACGACAATTACGTCGACGGCTTCCTCATCAAGGATATGCGAGTCCAGCATTTGGATACCAAAAATGTCAACCCCAGGCTAGAGGAAGTTACAATGTTTGCGCGCGGAGGCGAAGACGGTACCGCTAACCTTGACTTGGCTTCGCTCGCTGAGACCCTTAAGAAGTCCACTGCCGAGGAAGCCTACCAACCCGGCGATCCAGTTGAGGTCTACCGAGGTGAACAGCAGGGTCTTATTGGTCGGACAGTGTCAACTCGAGGTGCGATTGTTTCACTGCAAGTTACCGAGGGCGAGCTGTCTGGACAGACGATTGACGCGCCTGTTCGCACTCTTCGCAAACGCTTCAGAGAGGGTGATCACGTCAAGGTTATTGGAGGCAGTCGTTATCAAAACGAACTAGGTATGGTGGTCCAGGTGAAGGACGACACTGTTACTCTACTCAGTGATATGAGCATGCAAGAGATCACGGTATTCAGTAAGGATCTTCGACTTTCTGCCGAGATGGCCGCCGATGGACAGCTTGGTATCTATGATGTCCACGATCTGGTTCAGCTTGATGCTGCCACCGTTGCCTGTGTCATTAAAGTGGACCGCGAGTCGCTCCGCGTTGTTGACCAGAATGGCTCTGTTCGAAATATTCTTCCCACCCAGATTGCAGCCAAGATCACTCCTCGCCGTGATGCAATTGCTACTGATAAGAATGGCGCGGAGATTCGACTTGGCGACACAGTCCGCGAGCTCCATGGAGAGCAGCGCAGTGGAGTCATCCGCCATGTCCACCGTTCATTCCTGTTCTTGCACAACAAGGCTCAAGCTGAAAATGCCGGTATCACTGTGGTGCGGACAACAAGCGTTGTCACTGTTTCGGCACGAGGTGGCCGGCCTGCCGGTCCTGATCTGACCAAGATGAACCCTGCCTTGGCCATGCAAACACCTGGCGGTGGTGGTGCTCAAATGCCACCACCCCGTCGTGGCCGCGACAGGTTGCTTGGAAAGACAGTCACCATTCGCAAGGGCCGTTATAAGGGACTTGTCGGTATTGTTCGTGATGCCGATGATAGCTCTGCCCAGGTCGAGCTTTACACATCTAACAAGCCCGTGCACATCCCACGGGATATTCTTACTGTTAAAGACCCCATCACCAAACAATCCCTGGATATGGGTGGTAGTGGTCGTGGAAGAGGGTCACGCACTCCATTTGGCTCAGGTGGTGCCCCGTCGAGAGAAGGCGGATGGGCCGGTGGTCGCACTCCAATGGCTGCCGCAGACTCCTCCAGAACCCCAGCTTGGGGTGGCGCAGGAGGATCTAGAACTCCTGCTTGGGGTAACGCCAGCGGCTCTCGCACACCAGCCTGGAAGAACGATGGCTCCCGCACTTCAAACCCCTACGATGGAAACCGCACCGCCTACGGCGGAATCGGCAACCGCACACCGGCATGGAACTCCGGATCAAAGACACCATACGACTCCAGCTCCGGGTTTGATGCCTTCGCCTCTGGCTCTCGCACTCCCGCCTGGGGCAGTGCCGGCGGCAACACAGGAAACCGCACCCCAGCTTGGGGAGGCATGTCCAGCAGCCGAGACCAGCGCGACTTTGATGATGCCCCAACACCCGGTGGAGGCTACTCCGCCCCCACACCAGGCGCCTACGCTGCACCAACCCCCGGCGCCCCAACACCTGGCGCATGGCCTGAAAGCGCGCCCACGCCTGGTGGTGCATTCAGCGCACCAACCCCCGGAGGCCTCTCGAAGCGTGACTACGACGCTCCTACTCCTGCGGCGTATGATGCACCAACTCCTGCTATGGGTGGTGAGGCTGCTACACCCGGCGCTGGGTATGGTGGTGATGATAACGGACCTCGATATGATGACTCGCCGAGTCCGTGATCTGGTCTTTAAAGAGTTTCTTTCCTTATGTTCCATTTCCTTTCAAGCACAAAAGGCTTCTCCATTCCATTTGCTTTTTTTTTCCCTTCAAGATATCTAGGACTGGATCGGCTTTGCATATGTATTTTACTTGTTGAAACTTTTCCTCAGAACAGCAGTGAACAGCTAATGAATAATTATTCTAGCTGGGTTTATTTACTCTTAGACAGTGTAGTCATGGGAGAGTTATGTAGAACGAAATCTCCAACTTAGATTTAACATACAAATGCATCGTAACGAATCCATGATACATATGGCGCCCTTTCTTAATTATGACAAGGAGCAGTGTTACAGTCATAGAGTATGTAATGGCTTTCCAGAAACAAAATAAATCAGTTGTCAATAGACGGCTATTGCTTGCCGTACATGTCTAACGCTTTGTCAATGATATCAGCTGCCCAGAGACACTTCTCATCCTGGAATTGGGGCGTGATAATTTGGATAGCACAAGGTGCGCCATCGACTTCATCGGGAATATCTGATTTCAATCAGGACAAGAATCAGCATTAAAAAAAAGGTGAGACATACAATTGGGCTGGACATCATCTGATGTATTCATCGGCTCCGGATCAAGTTCTTTGGATGCTTTCCCGTATGGGATTATGCATGCAGGATACTAAATCAAATTGTAAATATTTACCCCATAACAGACAGCAAAACGCGAAGTGAAAAAAACGGGATTGATGACTTACATCCAACAAGTTCCAAAGAACAGTATAAGGTGGCCACCCATAAGTATCAAACCCAACAGCAGTATTCTGAGCCCCAGGAGCCAAAATAACATCAAGCTTCAGATCAACCCAAATCTGCCGCCAAGCATCATAGACACGAGCCCTGGCCTCATGTAATGCCTGAATCGTATCAAACGGCTCCAGTCCATGCTGAACAGGGAAAGGACCCGAGAACATAGGCGCAACACCTTTAGCCACGGATGTCACAAGAGGCTCACCAGCCTCAGCAACGAGATCTTTATGCGGTCCGTAGATGAAATACTGGAATGCAAGACGCGAAGCATAAGACACACTCAACGCTTCGTCACCACCAGAATCAAGATGAACAATCCGATGCCCAGCCCGAGTCAACGCCTCAACTGCAGAATCCAAAGCTCGCTTTACAGGCGGATGAAGCGGGAAATGTTCATCCTCGCCAAGGACACCAATTGTCAAAACCCCATTAGCAGGATCATTAATACCACGCGGGATACCATGCCAAGGTACACTAACAGCACTGGAATCATACTCCCAAGCATGTCCATCCCCAACAACAGTACTCATCAGCAACTTCAAATCAGCAATACTATGTGCCAATGGCCCAGCAGCGGGGATCAGTCCCGGCATGCCCTCAATTGCACCGGATACCTGTCCGCCGAAGGGGATGCGGTTGGCTGTTGGCTTGAAACCATAAACACCGCAGCATAGTGCCGGAATACGGATTGAGCCTGCAATGTCGGTCCCCACACCTAGGATTGATCCGCGGAATGAGATGAGGGCGCCTTCGCCGCCGCTGGAGCCGCCAGCTGTAAGAATTTTTTTTTGGGGGTTTAGGGTTCGGCCGAAGATGTTGTTTTCTGAGTCTGCAGTCTGTATATGATTAGGCTTGAATACTTGGGACTGAAGTGGATGTATGGTGCATGTGCAAGGCTTACCATCATTGTCTGTGGGATGTTTGTCTTGACGTATAGTACTGCTCCAAGCTTCAAGAGCATCTTCACGAGAGCGGAATTCGTCTTGCATGGTTCTACTTTCAGAAGGGCGACATATCCGACTGTTGCCTGTGTGCCCTCGACACAGAAACTATCTTTCAGACTGATCGGTAGACCATGGAGAGGTCCAAATGGTTTCCCTTCTCGTTGAAGATATTCATCCAGATACTTGGCGCGCTGAAGAGCCTCGGGGAAGAAGGTCTCTGTCAGACAAGATAGCTGCAGGTACAGAAATCACAAATTAGCAACGCTAAAATACTTCCAAGTGTAGAAAATACTCACAACCTGCTGCGCAATAGCAGCCCTCTTACAAAACGCAGTAGTAACATCCAAAGAACTAACGCGGCCAGATGCCAATCTAACCAATAATTGACTGGCGGTGTAATTCTGCGTAATATCCAATTCGCTGTCAGAAAGAAGACCACTGCGACGCGGTACGTCGTACTCCAACAATCGTGCGGGTAGATCGGTGAGTAGGTCCCCGCTCAGGACCCATTCGCGGGGGATCTTCTGCTGGCACTCGCGTTGCTTTTGCGCGACGAGGTTTTGCCAGCTGGACGGAGCTGAGTTGGATGCCATAGTTAGATGGAGATGCAGTATGATACGGATATAAATGGTGTTTGTCGTGTTTATGTAGTTTTTGGACTCGGTTTGTCAGTTTGTCGGTTATCTTTGCTTGTACTACACGCAGTGCTTGGCCGTGACCCACTATGGAGAGTGTGTCGACCTGCCTGTTTGGGATAGCTAGGGTTGCAGCCGAGGTGAGTGGTTAGACTTGGCTATTGTTCATGCATATTGTTATCGTAAGCTAGCTTCTTATATCCTGATATATGCTTCGGCTTACGCGTCGGCACTTGTTCTTCGCTTGGGAGTAATGGAAAATTGCATTGATAAGAGTCATTCTACAAGGTTCGAAGAATATTCAAACTACAGGAGCTAGATTGGGCATCTGACAATTAATTCACAAGAAGTATTTCCCTCAACATCTGAAACCGCACACCTATCTAGCTACAACATCCTCAGGCTTCATACCCGGGAAATTGGTTAAATGATACGCATCAATCCAGATCTTTTCATCTTGGCAGCACATCACACCCAGACAGACCAATCCATTCAACCAATTGTAAGAACCCGGTCCAGCTTCAATGCGGAGATGGGAGAAGAATTCCACATCATCCTGAGTCACAGTTGCAGGTGGAACGAAATGCGGATTCTCCTCGACGGATCTAGCGTAGTCTGTTCCTGGACCTGGACGGTATAAGCCGTGTGCGCGGATGTAGAGGTAATGGTTATCGGATGTGCGGACAGTGTAGCGGGCATCAAGAGTCATAGACTGTGAGTTATATAGTTAGCGTTTATTTTGGGTTTAAAGGGGAGAGGGGGTTGCTAACATGTGTGCCCTTCACGACTGTCGCCCAATCTGCGCCTCCCAACGGCAGGATTTCTCCCTGGATTCCAGGCCCTTTGAGACTGCCGCGCGAAATGTTTGCAATACTGCGAATAGTATCGCCGCTGTGCGGAGCTCCAAGTTCATGCTCTTCGGTAGAGCATTCTAGTCTATAGAGCCAGGATAGGGATGGTTGGCGCATAGTAGGGCCATTGGGGAAGATGCCGTTACCGGGTGATGCGGTGGGAGACATTGTAGATGTAGAATGTAAGTTGGACGTAGAATAATGGTGTAAGTGGTGAGTTGAGCTGAATATAAGTGTCCGTACTATTTATATGACTATAAAGTACGTACGTACCGGGAATACCGGGCATTTGTATGCTTTCCGTTCTCTTTTAGTGCTCGCCTCTTGCCGCTTTTGATCACTGAGTAGGTGAGCGCACGCCTCCGAATATGTGATTATCGTAATAATGGGAAAAGATAGGCGTATTTACTGTGGACGTTTATTATAGCGGCTTTTGGAGTGTGGCCGGCCTATCTCCCTGGGGGTGTGAGAGAACCTCCATATAGGTGAAATCTGCCGCATTGTCTTGCTAACTAGTACCGCGGGAAAAGCCATGCCCCCGCATGATGAGCCCACCAGTTGAGGTTGTTCATTGCGCGGAGTGCGTAGGCGGGCATACTGGTAGGGATAGTGTCACGATCACAGGCTTGAAAAACTTAAACTTGACGAGCTGCGCTGAATGCACTAGAGGTATTAGGAACCGAGATTATTTCAATTTGGGTGAAATGTACTTTGTTTGCTTCTATGAGGGTGCACGTAGGGTGGACCCTTTTGTCAAGGTAGTGCTCTAAAACTTCGGTAAAAGCGCGATGAAGGATGAGGAATTTGACATAATTTAGTATGCTAATCAAATATGTAGTCTTACTCCCAGTTGTTCCAAGCTGATCACACAGTTGAGCGTAGCCAGTCATCCTGATAAGGGAGGCACCCTTTCAGGGATCCTGGTAATGGAGGGCTGCTCGAGTCCAAGCCTGTGCTGATATATTCTGGGAAAGCCCCAAGACACCCTAAAAGCAGCGGCACTCTGATAGCAAGGCAAACCTGGCAGGGAAAACTCGTTACGCATAGAAGTATAGAGCCGAGTAGTATATGATTCCTTATCTCCCCCGCAATCTCCAAGTCCAAAAGGGAAGGTGGACCCACCGGCGCGTTTCTTCCAATTTGAAGTTGAGACTCAGTCAAACCAGTCCATTTGACATAGTTAAAAAGCACATAATAGGGAAGTCCAGCAGGTTACACCTGATTTGTGCGCCAATCAATCTCCTGCCCTATTTTAGCCCCAAACTTTTGATTGTTGTCCTCCTTTTCATCCTCACACTTTATCTTTGACTTCAAACGTGATAAAGACTCGCCATTGCTTTACTCTTGGTGCAATTGCAAATTGGCTGGCCAGTACCAATCATCGGAATATTTGCTTTTTCCTCGCCTCAACTTTGATACTATCTCAAATATAACCTAAACAACACCATGCCTTTCGCTACCGACATCCTAACGGACCCCTCCCTCCCGGCATATGTCCGACAGCAAGCCCTTGACCGCATTCACGCAGACCCAGGGGTTCCAAAGAGCTCAACAACCTCTTCTTTCTGGATCCAACCAAAACACGACTTTGGCCAGACATCCTCAACGCCTCTACCAACCGAAACAGACACCGTGATTATCGGTTCTGGAATTACAGGTGCATCTATCGCGCGGACGCTACTGCAAAACCGCCCATCTCAGCCCAAGTCTTCAGATCCATCTGTGGTTGTACTTGAAGCGCGGACAATTTGCAGTGGAGCCACAGGACGGAATGGAGGCCATATCCTCGAGACGGCAGATGAATATGCCGAGTTCGCTGATGAATTTGGCGCCGAGGATGCGCGAAAGCTTCTCAAGTTCAGATTGGCGCATTTGAAGGAGATGCTTGCTGTTGCTGAAGAACTGGGAATCAAGGAGGAGGCCCAAGCGCGCAAAGTGCAGTTCCTGAGTGCTTACTTTTCTGAGGATACATGGAAGGAGGCTTTGGAGAGGATGCGTCGGTTTAAGGAGGGTATGCCGGAAGAAGCTGCTGAATGGACTTCTTCTGAAGGCGACGCTATTCCAAAGGTATGTTGTGATAAATGCCTGTTCCGTTTTTCTGGGAGGCTTTCCATGTTTCCTTTATCTGGCATACAAGGAATGAATACTAATATGGTCTTCAGGAGTTGTGCCTCGCTCGGGCAAAAGGTATCGTTGCTGGCCCTGCCGGTGCTCTCTGGCCCTACAAGTTTGTGACCGGTATCTTTTCACGTCTGAGAACCGACTATCCAAACAACTTCCGCGTGGAAGAAAACACCCCAGTAACAGCCATCGAAGAGGTGATTTCTAGTACCTCACCACGCTACAAGGTCCAAACCAGCCGAGGCACAATCCTCACCCGGCATGTTATCCACTGCACAAACGCCCACGTCGCACACCTAGTCCCCGGCCTCCGCGGACGTATAATCCCAGTCCGAGGCCAGATGTCCGCCCAAACGCCCGGCGATCAATTCCCCTGCCAAGCCAGCAAACATTCGTGGCTATTCAACTACGACCGCGGCTTCGACTATCTTACCCAATTACCCGAAGGACAGATGATGCTTGGTGGCGGATTCGCAAAGAGCGAACATGGCGGACTATCCGATCTGGGTATTTCCACAGACTCAGAGATGAGTCTTGATATTGATATTCACCTCTCGGGTTGTCTGAGCGCCGTTTTCGGACGGAAAGATTGGGGCCGTGTACAGGGTGATCCGATTCAGGCCATGTGGACGGGAAATATGGCTTTCAGCTCGGATTCTTTCCCTTGGGTGGGACGGCTGCCTGGTATTGTTACACGTCGTGCGGATCATGGCGATGAGGGCTCTGAGTGGGTTTGTGCTGCTTTTGGTGGCGAGGGCATGGTTCAGGCTTGGCTTTGTGGGAAGGCGCTGGGTACTATGTTACTTGAGACGGATGGTGTGTTGGTTGGGGGGGCTGCTGATCTTTCGTGGTTCCCTGATCAGTTGCGTGTTTCTGAGGAGCGGTTTGGTGTGACTGAGCTACCTAAGGAGGCTCTTGTGGAGCATCAGCGGGCTAGTTTGTAAATGGAGGTGACTTTGAAAATGTTCTCCGGGAGAGGTTTAAGTAGTTGATGTGATTCTTGTATAATTGTTCCTTTATGGCTATATGTTGCTAGAAATCAATTCTATATTGGTTGGTTTCACATTATATGTTCAGTTCCTTCAAAGTACGGTCGCTTTATGGATTACTGTGATTAACTAATTGGCCTACCAAAGTAAAATAATAGAAATTTGCTAAATATAGGCATTTGCAGCAAAGTATGATTTATTCATTGTAGTCTATTAACCTCTATTAGCCCTCAAAGGTAGTTGCGAAGGTATCGGGTAGGCTAATTACGATACAGGTAAAGTTCTATATCACACCTCCGGCCCCGATGAAAAGGAATTATGAACAATCGGAACAGTGAATATATCCATCATCTGATATATGCAGTGCACAAAACTTGAGTCTCAACGCATGCTTCAAGTCAAAGTCGCGAGACCACTGCTATCAACATTGCCATAGATCCACTGGCTAAAGTTGCTGGGAGCAGCCTGGTTGCAAGGAATGCCAGAGTTCTTCTGACCAAGGACATTAGTGCACTGGAAAATCTCGTGGTGAATGTCGGTGTTGTAGTAAGGAAGACCAAGCGAAGCATTAACGCTGGTGATGTTCACATTTTCAAAAGTGATGTTGGGGCAGGGACGCTCATCAGAGCAGTACATAGATGCAGCAATGTTGAAACGCGAGGTACCACGGATGTCTTGCCACTTCACGTCCTCGACCTGCAACTTTGAGGTGTTACAGCCCTTGTCGGTATTGGCCGAGTAAACGCACTGCGAAAGCTGAATGGGAAGTCCAACGTTCTCCATCGTGAAGTTGCGGAACGTGACGTTCTTCACGAGGCCGGTGCCACCACCACCCCAGTCGCCATTGCTGGGGGTGTAAATGCGTGTGCCTTGCCAGGTCTTGACATAAGCGCCATCCATTGCGTTCTTGATATGCACATTCTCGAAGGTGGTGTTGAGGTTGTAGTCGGGTGTTTCGGGGTATTGACCGATAGAACCGATGGTAATTCCAGTACCTCCTTCACAGTAAACGTTCTTGACGTGGAAGTTGGTAGTATTGCCCTTGGCAGCGATACAATCGTCACCCATAATAATAGTAGCATTCTCCACGAGGATCGAGTCGCTCTTCCAGGAATCAAAGCCGTCGGTGTTCATGGTGCCCCATTTGCTGTCGCTGGTGGCGTTGACAAACAAGTTGGTAAAGGTCACATTCTTGCTATCCCAGACAAAGGTAGCCCAGAACTGCGGCTGAATGACCTTCAAGCTATCGACGAAGAGGTTGGTCGAGTTGTAAAATGTAATACTCATTGGCCGTCCAGGCTGGTTCGACTCGTTTCTATTGGCGTTGTACCATTCTTGGCCCTGGCCGTTGTAGAAGCCACCCTCGCCGTAAAAGTTGACATTTGTACCACCGAAAAGCCAAGCAGTGACTTGGTCCTGCAGAACGACACTGATGGCGTGGGTCCTCCAGTATGGGATGTTGGTGGAGAAGCGCAGTTCTCCGCGGAGATGAACATCACAGTTCAACAGATTGGTTGTGTTGAGGACCGTGTTGACATGGAACAAGTTCTTAGTGAAAATGACTGTTCCATTTGTACCACAGGTATCAAATGCTTGCTGAATTGAGGGAGCATCATCAACGGCTTGCCCGCGGTGGACAAGCGATTCGGGGTACAGGGTGCATGTTGTACCTTCGTTGACGACCCAGGCCTTCACCAATGTGACCCAGAGGGCAATAAACCACAAATTTAAATTCATGGCTGATTGAGGCTTCAATGACTGCAGATTGAAGAGTTGTGTTGGGCAAATGTCCGAGATTTCAAAGGAAAAAGCCTCCTTTATAGTTCCGCATGGAATAGGAAACTTTCCCCAACCCCCACGAGAGTGACATCATATCCCCAGAATCTTCACAGGTTAAGCTAATATCCGCTTCCATAGTATGAGCAATTAACCACGATCAAACTCTGGAGAAGACGGCTATTGAATGCGAGAATTTGAATGCCGAAACCAGACCGAGTGTTGGAGTATGGGGACGCTAATTCATGCTTGACTGGCCAGGAATTGGCGTCAAGGCTTAGCTTCGGAACATTGCTTGGCTGTGACGCCACATATAGTATTGAGAGTGCTGATCTTTGTTCGTAGCATTGTATTCGCTGGTGATCGTCATTTTACGGCCCGAAAATGTATGCAGCTCGGGTGCAGGCAATTGGAGTTTCCAAAAGCAGGCAGAATTACGGTCTTCTCCGTCTTTTACACGAGCGGCATCCCACGTCCCGAAATCACATTTCGCATTATGACCAAATTCTTTGAGGCTTGGTTTATACTCCGATCCGAGACTCGCGCCGGGTCCCGAGAGATTGAACGGGGAATTATCCGTTTAGCCGGCATCTTCTATGGCTTCGTCCGTTCGATCATAACTTGCTGCCGAAAACATATGAAATTGTGTCAGAATCTCTCACACATATTGTATGTGCGTTCTTTCAGAGGAATCCTTACATTGTTCCGCCGTTGCTTGTGTTAACTTAGATCATAGAGGGTCGTCATGGTGGACCAGCCCTCATTGGCGGGGTGTTTATTCACCGGCATCTCGGCGTTTAAAGGGCTCAAATCATCGAGGTTTCCTCTCGCGAGCGCAGATCATACGACATACAATGACCGAAAATTTACAGACAAAAGTAGTTGTGCAAAGTAAAGCATACATAGAGTGCACAAGCATATAGCAAACAGGCCGCTTAAATCACAACAACTCCAAGTCCCACGTCCAATCCTACCCATATTTCCCACAAACTTCCATAAAACATCCGCAAATTAATCACCAATCACACCAGAACATGATCACCGCGGACCAGCACGCCCGTGTTTCTCAACAATACCACGGTATCGTCCCGCAAGCCCGCGACGGACGTCTTTACCCCAGATGACCATAGGTATAATGGTCAGTGTTACACCAAAGCTGATGAAGCCACATGCGATGAACATCGTCTGCAGACCGTTGCTTTGGATCCAAGGTGATATCGCAAAGGGGATCCCGATGCTAACTGCGTTACGCATAAATGCGACGGCAGTGAAGGCTTCACCGGTTATCTGGACGAATGAGACAGTTAGTCCGAATATTAGGCCTAAGAAAGCAAAATCCTTCAAATATATTTCACTTACATCTTGGTAACTGTCCATGACCAGGACAAGTGCCGCGTCACCGATACTACCCAGTCCGAAACCGAACAGGGCGCCCGCCACACTGGGATAGATCCAATGCATGCCCTACAGTTCAGATTCTATATATTAGCAAAGGTTCTGAATGTAATGAGTGGGGATGTGTAGCCTTACCCGGGAGATGGTGACACCGAACATAATCAAGCCACCCGCCATGAGGATAGCGGGAAGATGCAAGATATAAAGACGCATCTCGGGCTCGTAGTATCCCTTGTTTCTCCGCGAAAAGTAAAGGATGGACCTGTCGCCTAGAACACCACCATATACAGCACCGAAGACGTTACCGATGAATGGACCGACACTCATGAATCCTATCTGTTCGGGTGTGAAATTGTAGGGCGGCAATGGAAATGTGAGTGCTAGCACGTTGGATAGGATGGTAAGCCAGACAACGCCTGCTGCGTACTGGAGGGCGGCGAATGCAACGGCTGGGAAGATGAATACTCGAAATGGGCGGTAGAAATGAGGCCAGATGGGCTCCGGTGTGGGTGTTATAAGCGCCAGTCGCTTTGTCCATGAGCTGCATGGAATTGTTAGATCGAGGTGGTGGTGACCTGCGCTGGGCTTTGTGGCCGACTTGATTTTCTGGGCAGCTGTTGTGGTATCTCCTTTGTCTTGCTGTTTCTTTTTATGTTGTGAAGATACCTCGATTTGTTCGTTCTCCTCTTCGGTGGTACTTGTTCTTCCTGTGAAGAGAGGAACATATTTTGTCTCCTCGTATAGGAAACAGAAACATAAGAATAGCACGGCATTGAAGACACCCATGGTCTGATAGGACATCCGCCATCCTTGTCTTGTAGCTTGGGTACCGGCTGCCATGGGGGTCAAGAAACTCTGTTATGGAAAGTGTGAGAGAATACAAATTTCTGGTATACAATATACCCAAGGATAGAAACTCACACCGATCATTACACAGGTCATATACAAACCATTCATCGATCCGCGATGGTGAACAAAGAACAGGTCGGCAATCTGTACAGCGTTAGTCAGGGTTCTATCCCCAAAACTGCAAGGTACAGTCCGCTCACAGTTATCTCAGCAATGGATTCATTGGTAGCACCAGCCAAGCCTTGCAGTAGGTTCGTCACATATAGCTCGGTTATGCTATGCATTCTCGATGTCCAAAAAGATGTGATCAACATGAAAGCGGTAGAGACAATGTAAACTGGTCGTCGACCGTATTTTCTCGCGAAGGGGATGAAGAATATACACCCGGTAGCCAGGCCGACGAAATTGACTGACATGGCTCGATTCAACTCGGTGTATGTCACTTGGAGATCCACGGTCATCTGCTGCCAGAATATCGCTTGGATGGATAATCTGAGAAAAAGGAGCGTCAATTATGCATATTCACAAGGCTGCTTTGTACGACTCACGCTGTGAAGATGATGATTGTCATTGCTAGCACAATGGTAAAATTGACCGACTTTCGCATTGTGCTCCAATTCTGGATAACTTGATATCAGCCCAAAGCCCATGGTTTGGTAACTATAAGCTCACCAATGGCTCGTTGGGATCGTTTGACGGCATTGGGTCGAGCATGACAACCCGTTGGCCGTGCTCATCCGACTCATCGTCTAAGTATAGCACTCCATGTCAGTAAAATTTCACTTCAGGAGAGCCAATGGTATAGTACCTCGAATCAATTTGAACGTTCCAGGAGGGAGATCGAACTCATCCTCAGAAGAGGAAACTTGATGTATGTCCGCCATCACTTGGTTATATCAGAACAGGCCAACAACGCTTGAACCCTTTTCAATTGTCCGCAAAAATAAACACTGCAGCCTGGATATGTGGTCGAGTTATCTTGGAGGTGGTTAATTCCTGATTTATACCCAAAATTTAGTTCAACTGGGGACAAGACCAGTGCCTGCACATGATAGACACTCGATATCTCTACTCCAGCGCCACAGATACACGAATCAGCCAGGGCGATAAGCCATAGTGTATGTCGCTAGAAGCGTGTTAATCTACCCGAATTCTGCGACTGAAATGCGGAGAAGAGGATACTGAATGGACTGTGGGCTTGGATTGACGTGGGCTTGATATCGGCTCCTGAATGTTCTCCGGTGCGTCCAGTTGCCACATTGGGAATGGCGTGTGATTAGACTCATTAAGTGGATTTTGTGGTGAAGCGAATTGATTACCCCGCAAGACTGAGCCAGATAGATAATCTGTTGCTTGATACTCTCTGTGGCCTTGTGTTTCTCGGCGTATGGTTCATGGACAAGGTTGATTCGGAGTTGCACAAAGTGCTCAACTGCCGAGGGATTCATCACTATACATCACAAGCGGGAAATAACCACCTGTGATGTCTAATATTATTGCTTGATTAGAAATACTCGAAACAGTCTCATGATATGATAAAACGTGTCAATGAATGCGTCAAATTTACCACGACTTATTGCACAAAGCTTTCATGTATATTTTCCGGTCCCAATTTCCCAGAACTATATCTATACATCCATGAGAGAACTAAGCAAGCTACCGCAAATGATATAGATCAGTCTGTCGGTACATGGCTTGCCCCGAGACCACATACCGCATTGACTACCCGGATCTTGACCATAAGCGGCAGGTGGACACTACTTCGTTCTCCATCTCAAACACGAACTTCGCCTATCAAAGGTTATTACAACGCATTCTCGCCAGTACTTTCCATCTTGAGGATATCTCCAAGTACCTTGATCTCGATGCGTTTATCTTTTATCTATGAGCCTCTCAGCCTCCTTTACACTATCACATCGCCATATGGGAAGAATGTCTGCCAAAACGATGATCAAAGTTGACCTTTTTCCTATTCACAAGGGTAAGAGCTTCCCTCCGTGTACACCAAGACGTATTGCAATGGATAATAATATATGAACCATGGTACAGAAAGTTTCATACCCGCCATCGCACGAACAGTCCACCATGCATTCTCTTCCGATCCCTTGATCCGCTGGCTACGACCAAGTGCTACCCCATGGACCGAACAACCAACCGGCAGGGGTAGTTGGCAATATCGGCGTATCCAACGGATAATGTTCGACGGCGAGGTTTTTAAATCTGGTGATATTGAAGAATTGGCAAATGCATATCCCCAAAAAGGCAAAAGCAGTCTGTCAACGGATACTCCTGCAAATGTTGTGACCGCGTTGCCAGAAAAGGAACGGAAGATCTCTATGAAGAAGAATGGGGTTCTCGGTTCTGGCAGTCACGATGCTGGTGCTGTCGTTTTTCTGTTTCCTCCACCAGGAAGAGCATCGTGGTCTCTTCCGCGCATATGGCTTGTGTGCAAATTATGGTTACTGGATCATCTGATTCCAGCACATGATAGTGGTGTGCGAGAAAAGGTAGAGCAAATATTCCGAGCCACTCTGCAAGTTCTTCCTTTATGCTAATTCAATGGTCTTCAGCGTGTAGATGTATTAATGCAAAAACATGAGGAAAGTGTGAAGTTATTAGAGGCACAATTCCCAAAGCAGAAACTGTGGTATCTCGAGGTTATAGCTGTGCATCCCTCGTTGCAATGCCGGGGACTCGGTGGGGGAGTTATGAGGTGGGTCTTGGAACATATCAATAATGAGCCTGTATACCTGGAATGCACACGACAGGAAAATGTTGCGTTTTATGAGAGTTTCGGGTTCAAGGTAGCTGAAGTGGTTGAAATGTTCGAGGATGGAAGCCGTACGGATGGTGATCATGGATTCAAGCATTGGGTCATGGCTCACCCCGGGAAAGATGAGAACTAGAGGAAAGATACATACTTGAACTGTTGTTGGATGAAAGTATTGGATATCCGTTCAGACTATGCCGTAAAAGTAGCAGACCGTCTCTATAACGCCATCAAAACAAGCCCATCTCGAGTTCCTTTGAACGAGCCAGTTCATCGATATCGAGAGCAGGGTCCCCTTTTTGCCATATTTCTTCCAGCAAGTTCAGAAGGATTCGACATTGATGAGATTCTGCAAAGGTTGTACGAATAAACTGCTGCCACTCTGGCTTGCGACACAACACTTTAGCTTCCGACCCAGCCACAAACGTAGGGAAAATAGTCGCATTCTTGATGAAGACATCGTCCATTGGACGTTCAATAAATGCAAGACGCATTGCATCGAGACAAGCCATGATTCGCGTAACAAGTACGGTTGTATCTGGCGGGCACTTTACTGGCTGTCGCCAGGTCGAGATGCTAGTCTCAGCCTGGTTAGGAAGTAATGGCCTAAATCCTCTGCGAAAGGCCAGTATACCGGCTAACTGATGTGCTTCCCATAGATAACATTGCAGAAAGCTCCCTGATTCACCAGGCCAGTCCCAGAATGTCTGCTCCGTAGTCTCTGCTCCAATCCCGGCGAAGATATCCAGTAAAGTCCGCGGGATACCACTAACAGGCTCAATACCATATCTAGGTGCAGCAGGCTGACAGTAGCGACGCCAGATACCTATACGTGGACATTGGCGACCCACGGAAAAGCAAGCCAAATCCATGACCCCCATGACCTCTAATAGGTGGATTCGGAAATGTGTCGGAGCAGATGGCCGATTCGTATCATTTAAGCCGTGGCTCTGCAGGATGTTATGCATGCCTTCGAGATGCATTGTCCAAGGTAAGCCATGCATCAACTAGAACTGGTGTCAGAACTTTAAGTCAATGTCTCGCGAAGGTATTTGAGGTGACGCACGCCAATGCTACACAGCAGTAGCCCCGATGTCAACGTTCCATCAGAAAGGGTTATGCTACGGGCCAGCTCTGATCGGAATATCCCTAGCGATTTATCGAAGTACTCGCAGAATTGCGGTGTGACGGAGCTTTTCAGTGCAAGTTGAAAAGCAATGCAGATCGAATACAATGCGCTGGATTCTTGACAGAGTTGCGGAAGACGGTCATGCAACATACTGTCTTTTGCTGTCGTCGAATGGAGGGCGTTGATGCCATCATTCATGACTGATCGCTGTCAGTAGAATTTACCTCTGTCCCATCAGTAACACTCACATTTGTGAAACAGAACCTCATCTGCGACGACCAGCTCATCGTCCTGAGGACTGAACTGTTCCAAATTATGACTTTCATCAGGTCCTATCCATTCATCAACACAAAAAATCAATTTCGTCAGTTGCGAAGCCACGACTGACCAGAAACATTCCCCAATCCCTCCGCCTTGCGCTTCCTCAAATCCCTCTGCCGACCCCTCGGCCTACTCGGGGCAGAACCCTTGATGGGCGTATCAGCACCAGTAAGATGGCCGCGCGAGGCAATCCCACTGCCCCAACGCAGCCGAACCTCGTAGCCCTCGCACGCGACCCCGCGCTCAGCACAGTTCTGACAGTTTGGGCGCGCGTTATCGCAACGACGACGCCGCCGCTTACATGTCCAGCAGCCTTGGTATGAGCGGGTCGACATGCCGGATTGAGAGTGAGTCAGAGGTAGGGGCGATGGGGAGAGGCCGAGGTTTTATTTGAATTGCGGGGAATTGGGAAGATCACGGCGATATTGGCAACCGCGTCCGACTGCCCGATTGGGACTGATATCTAACGGTTATCAATTGTCTCAATCTTGAGGTTTTGGATATATTCAGTATTGTTCCTTTTCTTGTTATTGGAAGCTAACGTTGCTTTTTCTGTTTCTCCCAATGTCGTTCCAGTCACCTATATCTAAATGTACTGCTTTCATCCCGGGTCTGGGGACAGTAGAAGGTTTCCAATTCGCCAATGGCGTACAACAATTCTGCGGAATCCCATACGCACATCTTCCAAAACGCTGGTCACGATCAGTTCTGAGGACATTATGGGACAATGGTCACCACGATGGCACAAAGCTAGGGTAACAGCACTAATAGCCTCAAAATTGAGTATTTTTGCTGATCTGACGTTTACCATGCAGGAATGATTGCCCAAGTCCCATGATCGAAGGCGATGATGCCGACACTCTTGTCCCAGTCCCACCGGCTGCACATTTCCCAGCCTCGCAGATTGTTGACGAACTATCCGGTCTGGTCATGAACATTGTGATTCCACATGCTGCGAGGCAAGACAATAAACCACTTCCCGTGTTGGTCTATGTTCACGGTGGATCACTACTATACGGCGGTGCAAATCTACCAATTTTCGACGCAGTCAATCTCGTTTCACATAGTATAACAATCGGGATACCGATTATCTGTATCAACTTCAATTACCGCGTCGGCATTGGCGGTTTCCTCGCTGGGAAGGTAATTGCCCGAGAATTGGAACAAGACGGATATGCAGGAAGTGGCAATTTCGGTTTCACTGACCAGCACGTCGCATTCGACTGGGTACAAAGGTACATTGGGTCCCTAGGAGGTGATATACAGAATGTTACAGCAGTGGGAGAATCAGCTGGCGGCATCTCAATCAGTAACCAGCTGCTTGCTGCAACGCCACCGATCTTTCATCGGGCTGTGTGCATGTCTGGTCTCTCATCTGCTATTCCTGCATTCACGATGGAACAACATGATCGTTTCTTTGAGGATGTTTGTCGGTATTTCCACATTGATCCTGCTTGTCAAGATGCATTGGACAAGCTACGTGCTATCCCGCAACAGGAAATTGCAAATGCGACGCCTGCTATTCAAGGCGTGCCATCTGGGACCGGAAATCCTTGTCTCGATGGCTGGTTTTATCGTTCGGGCGTTGATCCGCGACGGATTCATGCGCCACCCTCTTGGTTGAAGGGGTATATGATCGGGGATACATACCATGAAGGTGTCATCTTCCATATTAACCTGCTTGAAGAGAGTTATGCATCCATACAGCATGTCATGAAGACACATATCAAGGATGGCATGTACGCTGATGAGATCCTGTCTGCGTATGGTATCAACGAAGACCTAGCACACGATACACTGCTTGAGCGCGTGGAACACATGTGCGGTGATGCCATTTTCAAAATCCCCAATTATGTTATGGCGCAGGAATGTATGCGTCAACGGGTGGTGGAGGATATCCTGTTCCTGTACCATTTCGATCAGCGATCTCGAATTAAGAATGGTTTTGAGGGAACGGCATATCATGCATATGAGTTACTTTATCTGTTCGGTAATCTGGCCAATGAGATGAATGACGGGGAGAAGACGATGACGAGGGAGTTTGCGTCTGCTTGGATTCGGTTTGTGAATGGGGTTGAACCTTGGGCGAGGGAGCGGTGGATGGTTTGGGGGCCTGGTAATCGGATGGGGATCAAGAGTGAGGCTGAGGATGAAGATGTTAGGGAGTATACGAGAATGGAAAGGGTGCTGCAGCTTGGGAGTGGCGAGGCTTGGATGCAGTGGGTTGCTGCTGTTGATGCACTTGTAAATGGACGGAAGTTCTGACAGTGGCATGCACTGTTATAAAGTGTATATAGAAGGATCAGTTGAGTATGAGAGCTTGTTCAACGGGCAGAGGTTATTAATTTCATATATCTACTCTTGAATGTGCACCGTAAGTCTCTTGCTGGAAGACAATGACAACGACTCAAGCCCATTTGGGCCATAAATGTAATCAATTGAAGATCGTACCAAGTGTGAATAACTCAGGGAAGTAAACCAGCACAAAGAACCCACAGACCTCGTCTAATGTACTGCATGCTTTTTACCCAGTGAACAATGCGAAAGCCATATCTGCAATAGAAAGAGAAGAAAAAGAACAACATGCAAAATCCCGGAGGGGAAGACCTGATCGACAGGTATTACAAAATACAAGCAACCTCGTCAAGGTGGCACAGCTCGAGCTAACAGGCGGATATTATCCACAAAGCCCTTCACAAGGTCCTCATACTGGTTCTTCGGGTCGCCTGCCATGGCAAGCTGACCCTGGCGACGGATTTCAGCGGCAGAGACTTCAACCTCGAGCTCGTGCTCGAACTCATTCTTGCCTGGCTGTTGCTATTGTCGGTCAGAAGACTGTTTTCGGGGCTTCGGAGTAACACAGGAAGTTTGGGGGGGACTCACCTCGGACTTTGCTACTTGGGTCAGATCCACCTGATATGCCAGATGGCTGTAGCTCATGCGATCTTTGTTGCGCTCGCCTCGTCCAGCAACATCAACAGCCGTGAGGGTGCTGACGTCGCCGGGGTATTCCATTTCGAGGTTGACACTGACACGCCAATCAACAGTGGTGCGTGGACTGCATACATCGATGTCGGCAACTCGACATTTGACAATTTTGGCGAGAACTTCTCCTGTGCGTTGGTCGGTGGTCACCCGAACTTTGGGCTTGTGCCGAGGATTCAAATTTTGTCGGATTATTGGTGGTAGGTCAGATGCTTGAACCTCATAAAAAGTATCACGCTCTTTCTTGTGCGCATAGGAGAGGGGAATTCTAGTCGGGTTTTGTTGTGGCATTGACGCTTTGACTGTCTCGTTGAGGAAATTATTCATGGCGCGATGTTGTTCCTGTAAGTCACGGTTAGCACTCAGGTTCTTCTGCTGCTCATGGCTGAAAATTCAGGTGGACATAAACTTACGACAGTCATTGTACTCTCAAAGGATGTCCGGAACCGCCCGCTCTCCCGGTTGATCACGCTCTCTGTTAGGATGGGGAGGTTCACCCTGTCTCTGCTGTCCATATCGATAATATGACCCAGTTTTGCCTCAACCTCAATAATGGCGCCTTGACCAGCAGCTGCCGAGCCTGCGGGTCCTGCGTTTACATCAGTTCTCAACACCACATGTTTGAACAAGAAATCGCAAAGAGTCTTGGTGACTTCCTCGTGTGGAATGAAACCAGTGATAGATGGCTCCCAAGGTCCCAGTGAGCCTGCTGACTTCGATGGCGGGGCCTGCACAGGCGTTGGCCCGTTGGTACTCGGCGAAGCCACGGTAGGCGCTCGAGTGACCCGCGCAGAAGGTGTGGCAGCCATTGTGGAAGAGGATCGTCTGCGGGCTGCCCAAGTCTCTTGTTGTGTTGGACGTTCGTGCTTCGGAATTGGAGGGCGGGGATGAGGAATAGGAGGGCATTTGCCCCTGGTACGAACCGATCTCTGAGCGTAGATTGGAGGCTCATTGTATCTTCTTCTCTTTTGCTTCGGCTGTTGAGGCTCTACTTGAGGCGCATTGTCAATTTCCATCGTCAGAGGATGCACACCGCCGCGCGGACCTGAGGGTGAACTGTTGCCCTGGCTGCTCGGTGCAGTGGGAGAGGTAAACAAATCCGATCCCGCGGAGATGGGCTTTGGTGCTGTCGGGCTATCGACTAGCTTTCTATCTTCGGATGAACGAGTTGGACCACTTGCTGCTGGTTCTGAAGTTCCGGCGATACTGTTGTGGCGGGTGGATTGCGGACTGGCGCTGTCAATTGGCTCTCGCTTGAAGCCGACTGAAGGAGGATGAATTGGCTCAGATGGGCGAGGGCTGTGCCCTGATAAATGTCTCTGAGCCCCAGGTGACTGTGTTTGAACGTGGTCTCGTGCTTGAAATTCGAGCGCACCTCTCGGGCTGGATAGGGGGTTGCGCGAGTCGTGACCGGAGGATGGCGGGCGGACAGTTGATGGCGATTGGCGGGATGCAAAGGTAGGAGGAGGGCCAAGAGGGGTGCCGGGAACGGATCGATGAGCAGAAGGTGAAAAGTGTTGTGATGGGACAGCGTCTGACGCAGCGGGCGGGCTGTCTCTAGGGCGGAAGGGTTCAGTGGGGGGCCCGGGGGTGGTCACAACCGATTGCAGAGAGTGAGAGCGTTGTTGGGCGAAATATGACTGCTGATCTGGTTGCTGTGATCCTGCGCTCATAGGCTGTGGTGTGTAAGGCGAGGCTAACGGGCCACTTGGGTGTTGGGGGTGTGTTGGGTATCCCGACGCGCCAAACTGGTCACGCGTTGCTGAACCGTAGGGTGTCGAGATGTGTGCGGGACTTTGACCACGCTGAGCTTGCACAGCTGTGTTTACCCCTGGGCCGTGATATTGCTGATATGGCGACTGAGCGGCTGTGTAGGGTGAAGTTTGGTTTGGGGGAGCGTGTGATGGTTGCAAAGGGTGTTGGGGTGGATGGGCAGAATATTCCGAGTAAGAAGCAGATTTCTTTGTGCGCTTTGGGGGGGCTTGGGCGGAGATGGGCGAGCTGGTCGAGTTGTTGGGGGGTGGAGGATTGGAGGCGCCGGCGTCGCTGTTCATGATCGTGCGCAAATCCATCGTGACAGCACCCACTTCGGGATCACCGCACTAGCACTATAATCAAAAATCACACGCGACAGGCGATCGCAACATTCAGACCTCGCGAGACGTCGGGAGCAGGGAGGGACAATGAGCGTGGATGAACAACGAGGAAGGGAGAAGTTCTCGAACTGCGGAATCGCGCGAATCAGGGAGAGAGGATCATCGCCGCTTTAGGGAATTAGGTATAGAAAGGTCTACTGCGCGTGTTTGAGCAGGTCAATATGAAGCTTCTAGGATTCTGTAGATGCTTGTACAGTTCTACGTTGGAGCTCTAAATGTCCAGCAAAGCTGTCAAAAGTGGAAAACTAGAGCTTTTGAAGCATGATGCATTCGGATAGCTTGATATCATGACACCACCAATACAGGAAATTGTCTGCCTGGTGGCCTTTGAACTACGCAAAATAGCTCGAGCAAACGTCTCTCAACAAACCTACTTATCAAAATATCTAAATGTCTTCATCGAAAGACGTTCGAAAAGGCCAGGTGGGATTGTTCGTCAATCACGTGGTATAGAATTACTCAGCCCACGCTATTCCCAATCCAGTCGGTATCGCCATAGTACGCTAAGCCTTTTCCAGAACTATATCTTGAACCAAGACCTCACGTCAAGAGCTTCTCTTTCATCCATCGCCCTACGCTAATCAAGTAAATCTACTTGTCTTGGCAGATTTTTCTGTACTTCAGGTAGTCTCTTAAAGATTATTTTTGGTGGGCTGCGAGGTCACAAGAATGCGAATGCATGGTTGCTGCGCCGGCGGCTGTGGAGGCCGGTTGGGCTATTGGACATCAACTGAGTTGCTCAAGACGGTACAAAAAACCTGAAATATGGGGTTTCTTCCACAAGGTGACCTCAAACCACTATGGTATGTTTTGACGCAAACAGAGGGAAGCGCTTGAATCTGCTCAACAAATCCCGGTGAGTCTCAACGAATTCATCCATGCAGAAAGAGGGTTGTGATCATATTTGGTTTAGAACGCTTTAATTTAATGGAAAATCATTATAATAAACTCTAAATTCATTTGAGCTTGTTTAGTGTATTCAGAACAAATCACCTACAAAACCAAAGAAACTCTGGCAGATGGTCTGGCAGCAAAAGCATCATTGAAAGAAACAATACTTTCGGCCCGCCAACAGCATGTGCATAGGAAAGTTCTATTGTAAGGTTCACCAGAGTGTTCAAAAGACAATATAGTCTTGTACAGATAGTCTTCTGTATAAGACTTGAACGTTGCACACCTGGATTTTCTGAAACGTCCAATGTCGGGAAAGGTACTTTCTGAACCTCCTCTGCCCAGCTTCCTATATTGCGCCTTTTCTCAAAGCCTAGTGGGGTGTTCTTTTGAGTATATTATGTCTCAGATCTGACCCGACGGTATGGTATAAATCGATCGACATATATCGTCGTCAAAACATCACGTTTGATACGGGGAAGGTAGAATTTGAACAAAATAACCCACCCCTTCCCCCTCCCTCACTTTTCATGAGGCCAAAGGTTCTAAGGGCTTTGTGATATTCCCAGTACTCCAGATATTAACCGGCATCTGTCAACGATGGCTGTTGCCCGGACCCGCTCGTCAACAAGAATATTCTAGGGTATAAGATTACCGTGAGTAAAAATAAACTCGCGGTCCTCAGTAAGTCTGTGCTTTGCATACTCAGATATTAGGGTTTGTGGGCGTCTGAGTATGAATGCTAACATCCACTCATTTAACTTGCGCTCGGAAACGAATGGATCGCCCCGACCTCGTATGTACCATACCGTCCAAATGCCACCTTGCCTCGATCGGCAGCTTCGATGTAATTGCCTTTCAAGGCTCAAAGTTGTTGAATATAGTAACGCAGTTGTTTGGCGACAGATAGCCTTTGTACGTTGTTCAGGGCATCCCAAGCTTCGTCAAACGGTTTGCCGGGCACATAGTTCCTGAGGATAGCCGCGACTTTGTTTCCTTCTTTGCCTTCTTGCCTGCAGACCTCATGAATCCCAGGCACCGGAATCATGGTTTTTTCTGCAACTAAATGCATGTTGCGCACTTCTTGAATGGTCATCTTCGAGCCGGACTTTATAACGAGGTGTTAATCCATACAACTTGAGATCAGAACTTGACGAACCCTCACCACCTTTCTCAATATATTTTTTTTTCTATCCATGACTGAGATGAGAAGTACTTTCTGTGTAAGGGTGAGAAGTTGGGAGGTCAAATCCAGAGTCCAAGTATCAAATGCTGTCACAAAGAGGGGAAGCGGTGAGATAGCTCCACGCGACTTGCGGGGATTGACTGGGGATTGACTTTGATACCTCGCTATTTCCAACATCCAGGTTTGAATTCATGGAATGAAAGATAGCCGAAGGTTCGCTACATGGGAACCTAGAGATGACAATGATAACTCGCGCATCTCGGAACGGCTCCCGTTTTGACCCTTCGAACATAAGAAGTCGTCGGCGTAACCGCTCCCTTGCTTCTTGTGAGCCATGTCGAAAAGGTAAAATTCGATGTGACCATACAAAGCCCGTCTGTGCATTGTGCCAACGTCGCGGTCTCGACTCGCAGTGTTGGTATCATGCTGCGCCACTGACCAAGCAACCCAATATACGAAGACCGCCTCTGCCAACAGCAACATCCGACCATGCTCCGCAAAGAGAAGTCCCAAACAGTTCGAGGATGCATATGCATGCAAAGGCTTCTTCAACCGGAACTCCAAAGTTCCAGACATGGCCATTCATGTCAGCTGATGATACCAACGATTTCGCGTCACAGACTCTGAGTCCGGAACGGCACAACTACAATACTAAATCCCGAAACGAACACTTGACTACCATAGAGAATATTGTTTGCAGCTCGAATACTTTCCAATCATTGAAAGGCGGCTCAATGAGTATTACTCATTTAGCCAAGTGGCGCTTGTACCTAAGCCACTCGTGTTGCAGCTCATCTCTTCGGTTCGAGCGGGTCTAGCAACCTCGGGCTATATTGAAGAAGGAGAGACGGATAAAACCATCATTCACCAACACTCAACACTCGCAGAAGAAATCTTACACTCTACTTCGTCAGAAGTTGTCGTCTCATCAAAATTAGACTTGGAAAGCTTCTGCGCCTTATTTTGTGGTAGAAATCTGCGTATAGAAACTCTTGGTCTACTATATACCATGGCAGCACGGTCATCTCTCTATGCGATAGGCTACGAAGAAGAGGAATTTCAAGATGATGGGTTTATTCGAGCATTGGGCTGGTATGGCACATTGAGCTTGCGAATTGCTCGTGAACTTTCATCGCAAACAACCGATGTTATGACATGGCTTGCTCACGAAAATCTACAATTCATCACGCTCTTTGAGGGAGATGCGAGTAAGTCAAGATATTAAGAAATCAGTAGTCGTTCGTTAACAATGTCTCTAGGTCTCGGTGTTTGGCGACAGGTAGGGGACTTCGCCACAGATCTGTTAGCTTTGGGCTTGAATCTTGAGGCAACATACCAAGCCAGTCCATTTTTTCTGGCAGAATGTCGTAGAAGGACGTTTGCAAGAGCTTACTTTCTCGATAAAGTGTTTGCCGCTGTGTTCAATCGACCACCACGAATAACGGCTCGACATGCAGATTGCAACCTACCATTGGACTTGTCAGACGACGCTCTTTTTCAGTCACCAGACGGTATTGAACAAGCAAAGACCAAACTTGATCAAGGCGGTTGGAACACAGACGGAAAGCACAGAGCAGCAACATGGGCTCGGATCCGCTATATTCTAGCAGAGTTCCGAGAAGAGATTGTTGAATATCAGTTTCGATCTATGAATCCCGCCGATACTATCAAGCTCAGGTATGCAATGCTTTATGTTCCAGACTTGATATATTAACCAGCATGATATAGGGAGTTATCCAATCGTTGTCACCATGTGTGGAATGCTTTACCCAATGATCTCCAATACAGGCAGGACTGTTGGACGTCGAATCTTTCACCCGCGCTTTGCCACATGCATGCAAAAGTTTACCTGGCATATCTTCATATCCACTTCCAATCATACCGACTACTTGGCACCGGTGATGGGAGCATGGCTGCTCAACCAGAGCTGCTGGAGACATCGGCGAACATGCTTGAAACCATTGTACAAATGGGGAATTGTCGCGGGAGAACACTCTTCACGCCTCGCGATCTGCCTGGAATTGTAGGTTCTAGACCTTACGCTTGCAAATAAGAAGATTCTCACTGACAGATCCAAGATTCTTTCGTACGGGTTGCCGTCTGCTGTCATATTATTGAATACATTGGAAATTGTTATCGAGGATCCGTCAAAACCAACAGCAATCCTTCCATCAGGAATCACGACCTCCAATCTCATTCGAAATCTGTCTGTCCTCGTGTCGCAACTTGAAAACTTCTCCAGTCCCAGGGAAACCAACCAGCTGTTTTGTCTGAAAGCTTCAAAAGTGATCTCACGCAAACTGAACAATATATTGGAAAACTTCCCAATCTCTGATTCTGCGATGCCCACGAAACGTACACCAGAGCCAGACACGGCAAACCTCACTACAGATGAGATATTCACGTCTATACCTGACATAGATACCATCAATATTGAAGATTTCGACCCCTTCGACATCGCTGATTGGGCAATCAATTTTGATCTAGGTGCAATGAGTGATGACTGGGCGATATTCTAGATCATATATTACAGGTTCCTAGATCAGCACGAACCTACCCTCCATCAACAAAATCGAACTAGTTAGATACATCTCGGAATGAAGTCTATTCCAAACTGGACACAACAAAGCTAAAGCCTCGAGCCCCTCTTCTGCTCATCAGGTTTCAAAAGGTCCTCCAATATAGGCATCCATTTTTCCGAGATCTTCAATCTCTCCTCCACGCTGCAGTTTTTCCATTTCTGCGCCATGCGCGTCTGAATTTCCTGCCACTGGTCTATTTCTTGAGCAACCCAAGGACCAACAGCATTAGCTGTCTCTGCAACCATTTCCAGCGGCAGCATATGCCCAGTACCTTGAATGACCACCTCTTTTACCCGAGCACGTTTGGCTCCGCCATTTCCACCCAGTCCTGTGCCCGTTCGTTTCAAAAGCCCTGCCCGTTTCTCTGGTGTTGACATCGGGCTCTTCTCTCCAAATACATAGAGAAGTGGCGGGCGAACATGCTTGACCATCTTCCATGCAATGGGTCCCTCACTCCGGTAGAAAGGACTAGTTGCATAGGCTGGGCCTATGATGTCAGGGTAGAAGACAGGGTCGTAGGCTGCATCGTTCCTGGGATCTCCTTGCTCTGGGGGACTTTTGCCGCTATAGTTCGGTCGGAGATAATGTAGGACTTCCTGGTATTTCGAGTTCTTCAGTGTGACCGGAGGGTCACTTTGGCTGTTCTCTGGATATTTCTGTGGATAGGCCGGTGCCGGTAGACTGCGGTATCCATGTTTGTTCCATCGTTCCAGGACCCGCGAATCCCATCGTTTGTATGTCTTGCTGGCAGCCTGGATGGCTGCAGATTTCGATGGCCAGGTGTCTCGCTGCTTCAAAGACATGAGCGTCAATTGGGGAGCATAGCCAGAGAAAATGTCCTTTGCGATCACTGGTTCCACCAGGATCAATGATGCAAATAGACGAGGGTGCATGAGAGATAGGAGAACACTGGGTAGATATTAACGTTTAATTATTCGTCCACCTAGTCTAGTGTAACTTACAGTTGACCTGCACCCATACTGTGTCCGATACCAATGATGGGCTGTGGCATTTCGTCGCGGAAGTGGTTGATCATGCACATAAGATCACGGCTATGGTCGAACCACGATGCTGCGCCACTCAGCCACAAAGAATTTACGGGGGTCAAGAAAACACTTACGGTCATTGCCGAGGATTTCTTCGTTGTGGATGCCACTTGCACCTAGATTCGCCGTATCTGCGATCCACACCGCTCGAATCCGAAAGCCATCCTTTCCACTTTGGATGAGTAGATCTTCCCATAGAGGTTCGTATAGCTCCTAGTATTTCCCTATCAGCCAATGTTGTGGTAGCATCGATCAAATTGTCTTACCTTCAGGAAGCCGGCGCCGTGCGCCCCAATGAAAGTTACATCGCCAGGCTGGGGGTTCGGGTTGTCCACTGGCGTATACTTCTTTACCGCAAGTTTCAAGGAATCTTGGGAAACAGTCGCAGCCGGGTATTCTCGAATATATTGTCCATCAATGATGCGCTCGGTCACGTTGAACGGGAGCTCGGAATATTTGGCCATGATGAAGTTTCAAAACAAAGCTGTGCCTATATATTCTGGTAGGATGCCGACACAACCATATGTCGGGCCACTTCAACTTATAAGAGATTCCATCAGCCATATCGGGATTTCTTAGGGTTGCACAGAAATGACGTTTAGGCTACTCAACAACGTCGATATCGGTGGAGTGAAGCCTTGTTATTGACAAATCCGATGCTTCGAGCATGCATCTTGTATGCTGTACTACACGGGGCTGTACTAGGGAGGTCACACGCCCCTCGAAGAGCCGGCATTCGCAAAGATAGCTAGCTGTTGGTACAATTACGAATTAGCAGATTAGTCTCCTTGTCAAGGGCTATACACATCTCTAGTAGGTCGATGGTAATGTCTCTACATTCACGAGGTTTCGCAAGCTTGCTCTCAGCTGACCTTCCAGACCAAAACAGGCCCACGGGAACAGCCAGGGCACCTGCAAACATCGTCGGTACTCGGAAATCCGGAGATCCCTGTTCACCATTGCGTGCAGTGAGCCTCTGAGAGACCCTGTCATTCGCGAATGAGCAGATCTGCCCTCCAATGGCGGCACCCACACCAAGGGCAATGTAATCCAGACTTTCCAGGGAGTCTGACTGCCCATACCTTGCGGCTCAGAGCGTGGGGAATGTCGTGTCAAGAACAAAAGACACTCCATTCAGGCACCCAAGAAACAAGGCCAGTGCTTGAACAAGGGTCTGCGTTCCGAGGAACCGTAACGGCCGCAACACAGATTGAAGCAATACCTCTCGTACGGGCTGGTCGGTTTGCTGAACAACATAGAGATCCGGATTGTTGGTCTTCTCCTGGAATCTGGCCAGTTTTCGCTGCGAGATTAAGGGAGCAGAGGACTCGTAGAAGGAAACATGCAACTAGCTGTACTAACGCTTCACAAATTGATACCCACCGAAAGATCCACGGCCAGTTCATACACTGCGTCCAGAAACCACCGGCATTGGGACCAATTACAGGGCCTAGGACGGATACGACACCCATACTCTCTGGTTTGTAGCAATCTCCTAACACTCCTGCGCCAACGCTCGCTGTAGTAGCGCTTCCTAGTCCCGCGAGGAAGCGAAAGATTGCCAGAAGACTTTGAAGATGATTGCTTGGTAGCCAAGCGAATTTGTATCGTTCGGTCCCTATTTTACAGCATCTTTGATCATTGAAATAGTGATGAGAGATTTACTACATGCATTCGATAATCTTATTCTGGTTTCATAACAAAGAGGCGAAAGAGAAAGGCCAAAACAGGGTAAAATCAACAGAAATGTGCCAACATAGTGGACGTGGGCAAGTTACGCGTCAATAGGCACATGTCTTATATCTTTCATGTACAGCATAGATGCACCTGGCTACAATACCCAATTAATCATTGTTAAATGAATACTGTATTCAAATGAAAATATAAAGCCGAATGTATACTCCGAGACCAAAACGTGACGAAAACGGCTGCCGATCGGCGGGCCGTTCTGCCTCGTCATGCCTCACGCACTCTCCTTAGTATCTGCTTTCTTCTTTCTTCACTCTCCCTTCCAACTTCTAACTTGGGATTATCAGATGCTCGGGGACTTTTTCCGCTGACGGATTCAACGCCGCGTATCCAACACCCCTCCGCTGGCACCCACGATCCAATTGCGTCAACCCCGGCTTCAAGGACAATCACCGACTTACGTTCTGTCGTTCTGGCCAGTACACCAAGCCAGTGGCCTCGATGTTTCATTCGACCCATTAGCGCACGCAATTGGAGGCTTTCGCCGCACCAAACATTTGTGCCGATAGATCTGCACATAAGACAATGGCATCCCGTCCCGAAGTCCGTGCTAGGACTTCGGCCTCCGATGTCCCCTTGAAAGATCTAGAGTCGGCAACAATTTCCAACCATACAGGAGTTACATCGCGCTGGAATGGTTTCTCTCAATTCCACCCGTCAAACATTCTTGCGCACCCCGAGAAGCTAGCACCGAGCATGTTGCAGGACGACTGGGTAGCTTCTTTGGAGAATGCATGGCACAAGTTGACTGTCGTGCTGACTCCGAGTTTCCTGCAAAACTATGTTGGTGGTGAGGCGCCGCCACCTGCGAAGCTCCATGCCATTGCTGCGCTGGACGGTCTGCGCGGCTGGGCCTGTTTGTTGGTCTTCAACTTTCATTTCCTCTTTACATACACATGGAAGGTTGCGATAGGTTGGGGATTTGGTGGGGAGAACTTTGGGATTCACCAGCTTCCCATCATCCATATGCTGATCTCTGGTCACATCATGGTGGCCATTTTCTTCGTTCTTTCCGGCTACGTTCTCTCGTACAAACCTTTGAAAACGATTCGAAACAGGTCTTTTGACCAAACTTTCACAACACTTGCATCGGGCACTTTCCGCCGAGCATTCCGCCTCTACATTCCAGCTATCGCGGGGATATTATGTGTCTTTGTGGCTGTCCGTCTTGGTCTATACAGTTACTCCCACGGTGTAATCAGGGAAGGCCACACAATTCTCGGCACCAATGAACAGCACCCAATTGTGTACAAATCATTCGCAAAGCAAAGCGACGACCTGTGGCTTACATTGGCAACATTGATGAACCCATTCGACTACAACCTTTACTACAACTACTACAATCCCCACCTCTGGACAATTCCGCTTGAGTTGCGCTCCTCGCTCATCCTTTTCATTGTCATTCTGGGAACATCACGCTTGGTAGCACCCGTCCGCATGACGGTTGTCTCCGCTCTGACCTGGTTCTGTGTGCGCTATGGCCGCTGGGAGATCGTCCTCTTCCTTTCTGGCATGTTAATGGCCGAGGTGGATCTCATCAACGGAACCTGGGAACAACCCAAGCGAACCACAGCAGAAGACGAGAAAACGACCATCCGCCTCAACACCAGTGGCAAGGTGACCATCCATGTCTCCCGGCGCTGGCTATGGATCTCACTCTTCGTAGTCGGTCTATACTTCGGCTCCACTCCTAACATCGGGTTCAAATGGACTCCCTTTTACAGATGGTTGTGGCATGTCACCCCAAAGACATACCCCGAACCACACCGTTTCGGCCAAACAATCGGTGCAGCTCTCATCGTCTTCTCGATCAATCATTCTCCCGACATCCAGAAATTATTCACAAACCCTTTCTCCCAATACCTGGGCAAGATCTCCTTTGCGTTCTATGTCGTTCATGGTCCCATCCTCCATTGTCTGGGCTACGCTATCATGCCTAATATCTGGAACTACACCGGCAAGGAAACGAACTTCCAATACTGTCTTGGATTCCTCATCGGCTGGCTCATTTGCCTGCCTATCGCCATCTGGATGGGCGATATCTTCTGGCGTCTTGTTGATATCCCCAGTGTCAAGTTTGCTCGTTCGCTAGAAGACCGTGTCATTTCAAAGGGACCTTCCCATGGTCCTGGGAGCTTGTCGTTGCCCCGGAGGGAATAGATGTCTTAGATTGTTTATGCTTAGCGGGGGGGCTTTTTCCGTCCTCTTGTTCCTATATCATGATACCTGCTTGCTGGGCGAGCCTCTCTGGTTTTTTTTTGGGGGGGGGGGGGGGGGGGGGGGGACTTGAGTTTTCAAGGCCGTCATCTCTGTTCTAGACCTACAGATTGAATAATGACTTTATCCATATCATCCACTTATCCTTGTAAAACCCGGGATGTAAATCCACAATTTCTCTCAAACACAAGGCTGTTTCTGATATATTACGTCTTTTCAGACTATCCCTAACAATCTGATTTTGGCCCTTATTTACCCCTTCCTCACGGTACGTGATCGATATAGCTACCTCCAATCTACAACACGATACATGCCTCCTAAACCACAACTTGGTCTGCGATAAACAGCCCAGGAACCCAGATATGAGTAAAATCCAATGTATAGTTCATTCATTCATTCCCTCGTACCAAAACAAGTCAGAAGTATGGTCACCATCAACACCCAATCAATAAAAAAATGAACAACATCACGCATGTTCTCGCTCGACCTATGCAAAAAAGGGGGCGGGGGTACAGACAATAGCGAGAAGAGAGAGAAAAAAAAATAAAGAAAATCCGACATACAAAGAAGGTCAGAAGAAGCAGAAGTAGAGTAAGTGTCACTGGAACTGGATGCTATGTGCATACACGATAAAAATCGCAGTGCGACGAGCAACATAGCATACAACCAACCCAGAACAAAGATCATGACCGAGAGATAAATGTAAGAAACAAATCTAATGCAGAAAAGCAGATTGTTGGAAGCTCATAGATGACTGCATGGAAAATTTAATATCAACCTCCCTTTCTTTCACTTCTCACTTCTCGCCTTTCTCAGACATCCGATCGCGTATGATGCGGTGCTTATAGCGCAACGCCGGTAATTCCCCGTCCGCCACAAACACCCAGCCATTCACGCGGGAGGCCGGTGTGGTTTGGCCCGCCTTGGGGTGACCAGCTTATGTTGGAGACTTCGTATTCGCTTTGCCAAACGGCTGCTGGGCCGCGCTCTGAGGTTGTGGCTGGGGCTCCGGGTGTGTGGGGGGTTGGTGAGGGCACTGGGGCGGCGTTGTGTTGATTGATTAGATCCCAGAGGAGAACCATGCTGTCGTCGCCACCGGATGCTAGGATGCCGCGGCGGCTTGGGGACCATTCTACGCAGTTTAGGGCTGCGGAGTGACCTTTCAATTCTAGGAGAGCTTGGCCTGGTTGGCGGACGTCTAGGACTCGGACGACGCTTGAGTCTTGGGAGAATGTTGCCAGGAGGTGGGCGTCATGGGGGGAGGCTGGGACTTTGTCAGCTGGTAATATTTTGTCAGTTTTCTTTGGTACATACCAGCGATTCTCAGAAGAGGTGGTGGGTAGAGGCCATTCTGCGATTGGCCCGGAGGACTGGAGCTACCAGGGCTTACAACCGCTGTGACAATTGTCAGTATTAAGCATGGGCGATTTGGACGAATACTTACGCTTCTCGTTCTTATCGGTCGGCTCATAAATGATAGTACTGTGTTCAAGGCTTCGCAAATCGAACATGCGCACACTGCCATCAGCACCACAGCTAACGAAGACATCGACGCTGTTAGCGCAGAATCGAACGTCATAGACCTCCTTGTCGTGAGCGATCAGCTGTGTCTTGGCGGTCAATGTTGGAATATCCCAGATGGTGCAGGTTGTATCAATGCTGGAAGTGATGATCAGACTGGGGGAGATGGTGTTCCAGTCAAGAGATGTAATGGGAGCAGTGTGTTCGGGAGACTTCGAATTTGACAGCAATGCCAATGGGGAGAGCTTAGATGTGGCGGCGTCTCGCTGGCTCGAGGGACGAGTAATCGAGTTCGAGCTTTGTAGAGGCTGGGAATTTGGCAGAGACCATAGACGGAGGTGGTCTCCTGAAGTGGCAAGCAGATCAGTCGATTGCTTTTGGGACGATGGAGGCTCCCACAGAATGCGAGTGACGGGGTAAGAGTGAGTTGCCTCGGCTGTTTTAACGTATTCCAACTTGATCTCTCCAGCAGCAGCGTCTGGGGTGTCGGGATCTGGTTGCGTCCAGTGTGAATCGATGATTTGGATCTAGCGATTGGTTAGCGCCACAATATCCCCTCATGGGCAGACCACACGAACATAATTGTGGTTGTCTTCTAAATAGCTTCCAAGAGCTAATTTTCCACCAAAGCCTGAGTTTCCGGTAATCGGCCATTTGCACCAATCCACCGCGTATATGGGCCACGGCGCGACATAGTTGCTGTTGGTCGGGACCTGGTTGTCTCCATTGTAAGACACCGACGAAATTCCAGGGTTCATAAGCGCCTCACTCAAGAGGTGCTCGCCAGGGGGTCTAATATCGGCAAGACCGAGAGGAGAGTACTTCGAGCCTTGCGGAGTATGAGGCGGGAACCCTCCAGGAGAGGAGGGGTACTTGGAGCTCTCCGGCGCACCGTGTTGCTTGTAGATCGACTGCTCGAACCCAGCAGGACTAGATCGCGAATGTCCATGGGAGTTGATCATGCTTGCGCGGTGATTCGGCTGGGTCGAGGAATGAGGCATGGTAGGGACAACCGATGGGGCGGTGTTTATTGATACCGCCGCAGGGCGGTTCTGATTTCCTGGCTGCAAGGCTCCTGGGAGCGCAGTGCTGCTGTTATTTCCATCACCTCCATACTTCGGGCTTGATTGGACATTAATTGCGGGAAGTCGGGCACCTCCGTCGGGCGCTGGGTAGTCATGCGAGGAGGATTGACGGGACAGGTTGGGATTGCTTAATGCCGTCGACGGCATGTGAAGCTCCTCGGGCTGGCGACTGAAGACGGTTGACCGCCGATGCGAGTCATAAGGCTGGGCGGGGTTCGACATGGTGTGGATGGCGAAGGCGTCTATGCAGGGAAAGCTGCGATGGATCTTAGTTCAAGGATGAGCTCCACCTCGAGATGAGAGGAGGCTGAGGGAAGCTCCAAACGGAGGCGCGCAAGGGGCAAGAGTGCTCCAACCAAACAAGACCGAGACAACGTGGGATCATTCCAGCTCTTCAGTTGAAGTCGCAATGGCATCGTGGAGCATCTCAAGGAGGTGGAGAGTGGGCTGACTCAGCTGAGCGGGTAACCCCAGAGATTCGATCTCTCTTCAGCTTCAGCTGTTTATCCTTAATTGTTTTCTGTTTTCTGCTCTCTGCTCTCTCTTCTCTCTGTGTGCTCTGTGTGCTATCTCTGTTCGCCTCTATTAGCTTGGCCGTAATTGTTTTGCATCATGGCTGGTCAACCCTCTGCTCTTCTACTTCTTCCCCCGCCTTCTGCCTTTACTCTTAACCAAGTCAAAGATGCATTTGAACCATCTTTGGTCGATGTTTACACTAAGCTCTCTGATAAATTGAATGAGAATGACACAGCTATACTCGACATTGCCCTGGCCATTCCCGGTCTACTCTCCAACTGTCAACCTCGGTCCAAAGTGTTTGCGCAACTCCAACATTACCTGAGCAGCATCTATACCCTGGTGGGCGCCGTCTGTGCAACACACAATATCGAGCTGGACTCTCCAGGTGGCATTGATACCCGGGTGGTATTTGTTGATCAGGCGACTAAACCGGCTGAACGCACACCCTTTGGTCCCATTTTGGACTGGCAATCACTTGCAGATTGCGATCGCCGTTGGGACCATGTCTATTATCTAGGAAACACTGCCGGCAAAAACGTGGCTGACTCTTTTATCAGCCATGTTGGTGCCCAGGCCAAAGACGGCAGAGCGGCAAGCCTGCAAGCCATCACTAGCCATCCTGACTGGGCGGCTTCTGGCCCCCTGTTAAATCCTGACGACCAACCCTCCACTCCGCACTATTCCGTGGTCGTGGGTGGCACATTTGATCACCTCCATGTTGGTCACAAGCTCCTCCTTACAGCTGTTGCATTGGCCTTGGACCCGGGCCGGGAAGGACGCCTGACCATCGGAGTCACAGGGGATGCACTCTTGACCAAGAAAAAATACGCTGAAGTGCTTGAGAGCTGGGAGGAGCGTTGGCAGAGTACTGCCTCGTTTCTTGCAGCCATTATGGATTTCTCGCCTGAAGAAAAGTCGCCCCAGATTGAACGTGGATTCTCGCCGGACCCATTAGGCCAGGCACCCCTCAAGAATGTTCTCATGAGGATACAACCCAACTTGGCATTCAAGTTTGTGGAAATATCCGAGATGTTCGGGCCCACAATCACAGAGGAGGACCTCGGTGCGATACTGGTGTCCAAAGAAACCCGATCAGGAGGGGCCCTGATCAATGAAGAGCGTACAAAGAAAGGGTGGAAGGCCCTTGCGGTGTTTGAGGTGGATGTACTCCAATCTGGAGAAGCCACAGATGAGAGTTTCGAATCGAAAATAAGCAGCACAGATATCAGGCGGCGGCGGGCTCACCGGGCCAAGGTATGAGAAGTAGATAATCTCGAGTACATTAGTTCGTTCTGGCTTCGGCCATTTATTTCCCAATCGCACACGCATGGCTCGTCACTCTGCATGATGTGACGGGTTTCAGGCGGGGTTTGCACCGACCTCCACCTTTTGACTCGCTCTCCGTGAATGCTTTGCCTGCAGGTTCGCGCTGGCTGGCCGCAGAGTCATTTAATCATGTGATTCCTGTGATCAATGATCACCAATGAACTGCAAAGTCCGAGATTCTTGGAAACGGCGCTAAATAAGGGCCCTGGGACATCCCGGTCGCGATAGCTCGTGAGACAAGTCAACTGTGTACTACTAGTGTGAAGTAAATATTGTTTTTGTTTTTTATATGCCCACCCTCCCCTCTCTCCCACCTCTTCACTTCATTCCAACCCTTCCATATTTCCATGTTGCTGCCAATTGCTCAAACCGATGCTCTGGCGGCCTTGTGCGCCGATCATGGAGCAGCCACGTCACGTTGGTGATCTTGCCGATGAGCTATTGAGCGACATACTGCTTTTTTTGCTTGAGCCAGCACCCAGAGCCCTGAACGGAGGATTCCATGCCAATGGCTCTCGGAATACAATTGAGTATGGGGAAGCATCCGACCTCGATCGCTTTCGTCTGGTCTGCAAGCGCTTCATGCGAATCGGCACCCCTCATAGGTTCTCACGTTTCAGCTTGCGATTCTCCGAGCACGGCTTCCGGCGCCTGGAACAACTATTAGAAATGCAGCTGGCCTGCTATGTAAAGACTCTCACATACATGGTGCGACCCTTTTATCAAGGAAGCGGTACCAGCTCTTCAATCCTACAGACAAGAGAAACAGACTTACACAATACAATAGGATGGACTCGAATACTACGAACACTAGCAACAGAAAACAATGTCCTGTCCCAACTACACAACCGCCGCCTCCAAGAACAAAAAGCCCTCCTCGAAACAAACTACGACAGAACCCAACTCACACACGCGATCGCCGCATTCACCTCTCTCCAAGAAATAAAACTTCTCAGACTTCAAGACGACCCAGACGAACGCCTAGTCGAATACATCCACCACCGCCACCATCACCACCACCATCATCATAACCATAACCATAACCACAACGCCCAGACCCTACCAGCAACAAACACCCGCCTAGACTGGTCACCGGCCTGCACAAGAGCAGTAAAAAGCCTAGGAATGGCCCTCCTCTCCTCAAAGAGTCACTCAATCCGCTTCACAGCACCCCAGATAAGCCCAGAAGCAACGCTCCAACTCCTCCGCGCACCAACAAACACCCTATCAGGAATGGGGACCCGCCTAACAAGCCTGGACATAAACTTCCACTCGCACAACGAAAACATCACATCCACAATGGCAGACCTGTCTGGTGCCTTCCACCGGTTCTTCACGGCAGCTAAAAACCTCATCGCCATCCACATCGGCTTCCTAAGCAAGACGCCCCTGGACCTCGATCTTGAGACTGTGTTTCATAACATTCGTTGGAAAACATTGCGCAAATTAAGTATTCAGGGGTGGAGATTGCATGCCAGTGAGATCATCAACTTGGCTAGGCGGCATCGCTTCCAATTGAGAGATTTCGGGCTTGTTGGTATTTATCTGAGGTCTGGTGGGAGGTGGGTGGATATACTTTCTTTTCTGCGTGAGGAGATGGATCAGCTTGAGCGGTTGGATTTACGGGATATTGACTACGCGGCTTATTTTGATGCGGTTGTGGGGGCTAATAATGGTGTTGAGGTTTTTGATGATTATCCTCTTCCTGTGCAGGTTCCTTCTTTGTTGGATGTTGCTGGGGCAGAGGGGGAGTCTGTTACGTCTGAGTTAGGGCTAGGACCTGATGGGCCTGGGGTGATGGGGGGTTATGGGCGCGTTTCTATTGAGAAGGTTTGGGCGTTGGGTGTGGGGGATCTGGGTGATGATGGAGTTCATGTTTTGCATGAGCAAATGCCACTTTGGGAGGCTTGGGTTTTGGCTGAGGATGTCAGGGCTAGGAGGAATGGCAATGGGAATGGCAGGGTGCATGGGTGGAGTATGTAGTTTTGGTATCTTTGTCAGGGGGGATATTTCTTTTATCTGGTGTTTGGTGGCTGTTTGAATTACTTGCTGAGGACTTGCATGCGTTAGAGCATTTTTAGTCATTTATCTGGTTGCAATTATATAGTTTCTGGGATATCATTTTGTTTTTGTTTCAAGTTGAATTGATTGGCGTAGGTGGAAATCATGCCGATGCAGATGCAGATGCTAATAAGAATAAGAATAATTTAACAGAAACGGACAGGCATGCAATAGTACCGTACATATACATTTTGTGGGCATCAAGCGTCGTAACAATATCTGAAACACAAACCTGAAACCGCACACACGATTCCTCCACCAATGGGTATTTCCAACTGAAAATCGAATCAAAAGGCCACTAAACAAAGCACTGGCCCCAATTTCCACCGGAGCGCACAAAATCTAGACCTTTCACGAAATCGCTCCGACGACAACGCCCAAGCTCATCCACATCGCACCCATGCAATGGTACAACACGGTCATTGACAAGAGCCCGCACGAAAGGCTCGGAGTTCGGATCGGAATGACACTGCATCATCTCGATGTATGCGCGCGCAGCGAATGGCACGAGCCAGGCAGCCGAGTATCCATCGGCCTTTGCAGGCGACTGAACATGCGAGCGTGGGAGCGTAGCGGTGCTGTTGTACAATCCCAACGCGAAGAAGATGGGGATCATGCCATTATCATGCGTGAAATCTGCGTACATGGTGTAGTTCAGTGGAAATGTTGCTGCACCGGGTGCGTCGAGGGTATGGTTTGTGCTTGTGTCATCGTGGACAGGGCTGTGTGTGAGACGGGCGATCAGCTCGTTTGCGAAGCCGATGCCTTGGGCTGGGCCCAGGGGGTTGCCAGCTCCGTAGCTGTAGTACTTGTCTAAGGATTGGAGATAGTTGTATTTGGTCCATTCTTCTTCAGTGAAGAGGTTGCAGAATGGGGAGTTTTTGGTTCCGACTGTTGATTGGGAGACTGTGTCGAAGGGGCACATGTCCATCAGGTAGACGACTTCCTTGTCAGAGAGTTCGATGCCTGGGATGTTGGCTTCGAGGCGCGTGCGAATTGCTGGGGCAAAGACGGAAATGAATTCGTCAGAGGCTTCATCGCCCAGTGTGCTGTTCTCGAGATTTGTGCAGGTGTTGTGGTTTAGACTGTTATTGAAGCCGGGCTCTTCAGAGATGAGGACGCTGATTTTGGGAGCCGACTGTCGGTGGTTGGCTTCTTGGTCTTTGGACTTTGCATATTGGAAGCCGTTGATGAACTTGATTCCTGATTCCACGACCCGCGATGAATCAGAAGAACGAATGAAGGGCACAGCTTGCTTGGTCAACTCCGCATAGCGCTGGTAGAACTTCAACCCCGACCCGACCATCTGACGCTCGCCAAACGGCGTCAGATCATCGCTGCCAAGAGTGTAGTTGTACGAGCGAAGGAATTTCGTCTTGCCCTTGAAAGCCGTAGCATTGGCTTGGATCTTGTCGATAAGAGCTCCATACTTCTCACTCTTCGATGCCGTCGGGTACCGAGCGCCATGGCGGGAGAGCACCTGAACAAAGGTGATGCGACAGTCATCGGGTACCTCATCGGAGATAGCAGACTCCTCAGCAAGAGAGAAATAAGGCGAATACTGGCCCCAGCGGTGCGAGACCTCAGGGTTGCATTGATAACCACCGTTAACAGTATTGCAAGCCTCGCCACTTCGCGACGTTCTCTTCGATCTAGAAACAGGAGAAGAAACCGGCAGGTCAGGCCGCGCTCCGGACAACTCTGTTGTGGAATACGAGGGTTCGTACTCAGACCCAGGCACAAAGTACACAGCCGACAGGAAGAGCATGCCCAACAGGGCAGCCATGGTCACCACCGACCATTTTCGGGACCGTTGCTGCTTCGAGCCGTGATCTCGGCGGCGTCCGAGCAGGCTCTCCTCCTCGCCGCGGTGACTGTAGTACCCCATTTTCGATCCCGGGTTGACCTTTTTTTGTCCCAAGTTCGAGTCCAAGTATTCAAGTAACTAATACATGTACTGGTGAACCCGGAGTGAAACCGCAGGAGGTGTGAGTGGGAGTCAGTCCATTCTTTAATGTGACCTGACTTTCAAGTTCAAGGAATTCCGCGCAACCCTCCCTGGCTGTTGTGCTCGTGAGTGGTTCCTGTCGTGTGATTGGTCGGCGGCTGAATCAAGCCAGCAACACGTGGTGCAGGCCCTACCCGTGACTTAATAGGTACTTGAGTGTACCTAATTTTTAGTGAGTTTCACTAAGAGGGTGCGGGTCACGTCAAGTACCTCTAACGGTGCCTCTACAAGGTCCTACTACTTCTATCTCCACCTCACTTCTACCAGGGCAGTAATTGTATGTAGAGATGTAAATGATTGAGGTTCTCTTTTGTCCGTTTATCTTGCATGCAGATCACATAGTAGGTCTTTATGCAATCACTCTGCATAGAGATACTCATCTCATTCGACATTGCTTACCGCTGTTTCCACCATTCGACACAATCCTGTTCTATGTGGAACTTAGACTCTAATAAGCTATGGATCCAACTGCCTTCTCATGCTTTGTTGTAAAAATCAGATTCCATACATATGACCTGAAATAAACTCATTTACTATGGCTCCAATAGTAATCTTCTTTGCTTACTATGATATCGCTTGATGTATTTCAGGAATGTTTATGTACAAGAGAAGAAAGGTTATAATGATCCGATTGCCTTCTTTCCCACCGAACTCCATATAGGATGTCACCCACAAGGCTTTCGAAGATACGTTTGTAATTGCCATTCCAGATATTAACCCTGAGAAAGCCAAAGAAACTTGGGTTAAGGTATCAGTGCATCCACAAGATTCAGGAATGGGATGCAAGCCGTCGGTCCTTCGGTTTGGAAGATCCGAGCGTCCATGTATGTGGCATACAGTTTGTTCCATTTGTTGAAGGATGGCGATATCGATCTCCACCTATGATGTGACGAAATTCTGGGTCCACAGAACACCTCAGGGCCTTTCGGGCCACCATGAGTTTCCCTCGCTCAAATTGGAACTTCCTCAAATCGTTTCTATAGGCGTTGATCTTGCGGCCATCGGTCTCTGGGAGCTCGAGCCAATATCCATTCTCGTCCAGAGGAAAGCGCAGCTCCTTCGGACACTTTGGCTCTTCAAATTCTCCAGTAAGATACTGATCCACGTAATTTAGGGATGCTAGGTTTTGAAAATGTTAGAATCCATTCTTTCCTCAGGCTCAGAAGTCATGTTGGCAAATCACAAGCTGAATCCAGCTGTCTCTTTCACGCAGAAGATATCTAGTACCGTATCAAAAATAGTCGGAGCATGGAAGACCGACCACAGCGAAGTATATCAGGTTTGAGTATGCATCCTGACGTCCATTCATCAGCCATAACATGGTATGCGGCGTGATTTTGTAGTGCATGATCTGTAAATATTACTAGCCAATCATGAGTGGTGTTGAACAGGGTTGAGAAATCAACACGTGTTGTAAGTATGTATCTCATCATGGTGAGAGAAATACACCAACTCGTATCCCCTTGGAAATTTCATCCCTTTGGCTTTATGTTTTATCGTTCGAGCGAGTTGAATTTACCTTGGAATATGTTTCTATGACCACAAATCGATGAAATAAGTTGTCAGCGAACGAAAACCCACCCATGTACCATGATGAGAGCTTTCTTCATGCCTACGTAGCATACTGCAAAACTTGACCAATAACCAACTGTGTTAGAGGTTTAAAAACAATGTAAGGAGCCAGAGGCATAATCATGCATGTTCAAATCTTGGTTGCCATAGTTATATCTGTACCTGCAGGTACACCACATATAGAAGCCGCGGGGCTCAAAGTATGGTATTTGCTGGAGGAAACTGGGAGAAGGAAGACTCCTGAGATATAATTTGAGATTTCAGCAAGTGAAAAGTATAAGAAAAAACATGAAATCAGAACACATATGTAAACATAAGAATCCGAACTAAAGGTGAGATTCAGTAGTTGTAGAGTGGGCCAATCAAGAGTGGGACTGTTGCCGAGACGCGCCAGACCCAAACATTCCGGCTTCCCCCAAACAAACCAGCCTCTCCATTTCCTCCAACTTCACACAACTCACAATGCCTCCAATGAGGGATTTCGATGAGGATTCGTTCTCTCTGACCAATATCGAACACGAAATTATGGGCACATCAACACGTCGTGTCGACGAGCCCGAACTTGACTACGATATCCACACTTCAACCCTCGACCAAGCCTTCCCTGATTTCTCCCAAATACAGACCTCCGAAGAAGAACAGGATGAGCCTTCAGTGAGCGACATCGAAATGTCCGTGGAATTGGGACGCGGTGCTGGCAAGGCGGGACGCGACGACTCGCGAAGCTCTGTGATGAGCTTCGAAAACAGTGTCCGTTCTTCTTCACCTGCAATTCGGGTCGAATACCCAACTCCACAAAAGCCCACTACGCGCCCACAGCGTCGAGCCGTCAGTGAAAATCTTCGAAAGAACGCCCAAGTGCGGCGCGCGACCCAAGCACAGAAGGAAACCATGAGTCCGCAAGTATCAAAGTCCCAGCGCGACCAGCGTCGAACATTTTCCGACATGCACGCCAAAGTGCGCGATAACTACGACGGCTCTTTCTTGGGAGATGAACGTCCAGCCCCAGTTTCAACAAAGACGCGCTCGACGCGCTTCGGAAATGCCAACACCTCGCAAGATATTGCAGACGCTGTTGAGCGAGCTTCGCGTGATGCCTACGCCAAGGAATTGCGCAAGTCTACTTCAGGCACTCCTCGCAAGGCCAGTGCCAATCCAGCCAACAACAATACTATTGGTGATACCATGACCCACCAATCATTCCTTCTCCCCGACCTCCCTAATATCTCCGAACTTGTGTCTGGTGTGTACGAAGATGGCACACCTGTCTACAACCGACAAGGCAAGATGCGTTCTACTCGGTTTGTTTCACCACTGCAAGATAACACCGAAATGTCTCTGCCCCATGATCACTTCCCGCTGGACGCAGTACCTGTTCCTGAAGATGAGAAGGCCTTGTTCGTTTCATTGAGGCTGCTCCAGGACAAAGTGGCAGAGTTGAACATGTGGAAGTCCGACGCAGAAAGGCGAATGGAAAACTATCGTCAGGAGAACGCCTCCCTAAAATCGAGCAAACATCGTCACTCAGTCAAGTATGATTCAGAAGACAATGAGCACAAGAAGGGATCTAAACGTTTGGCGAATGAGAATCAGAGTGAGTATCTTGCGATTCAGTTTGCATGCTTTGGCTAACGGTTAGATAAAGAATTGGAAGCAAGCAACCTTGAATTACAAAACCAGCTGGACATTGCAGATCGAAAGGCTCAGGTTCAGGAGTCCGCCATTAAGCGTCTTAATCACGACCGAGAGTCAGCCATCTCCCAACTTGGTGCAGCTTATCTCGAAAACCGAGAACTCAAGGCCGACAATGAGGAATTAAGACAAGAGAACGCGGATCTCAAATCCCAACTTCCTCGGTCCTCCCACCGCAAGAGCCGCGAGCAGGACACCCTCGAATCTGAGGCTAGCTCAACTGTATCTGATGCCGACGATAGCCAGTTGTATACCGAGCGCAGCGCCGACATGAGTCGCAGCACTAAGGACCTCACATCGAAGAGCACCCGCTCTCACACTAAGAGCAGACGCCACGATGATTCGCGTTCGAAGGTTTCTAACCAGGTGGATAAGGAAATTCATCGTCTTGAAAAGGAACGCGCCGATGAGGCTCTTTTCTCCCTCGAGGTGCCCAACCCAAGACGCACCTCGAGTTCAAAATCCTCGAAGCCCGCGACTCGTACAGTTGAATCAAAGAGCTCCCGGAAGCAGCCCAACACTAGCAAACAACGTGTGAAGCGAGTCGTGGTGGAGGATGTGAGCTCGCCAGTTGAGGCGACTGAGCAGACAAAGGAGTCTTCTGATGTGGATGTTACCTTCTTGAGTTTGATTGATGAACATGAAATTGCTCGTCTACGCAAGACCCTGGAAGAGGAGAGATTGTTGCGTAAACAGCGCCGCCCAAGTATTCCCAAGGAAAGCAACCCCACAGAGACCGTCAACTCAACCAGGCAGAGCATTTTGAAAGCTCCTGCTCCTCGCAAATCATCGATTCGCGAAAGCAAGCCGATGACCCCTCGCCCAGCATCCGCTGCCGGTGATATCACCACCGGTTCAAGAGTAACCACCGATGGAGAGTCTAGTCTTACTGTTCCAATTGCAGAGCGTTCCAGGCGTCACTCAGACAACTCCTTGCCTGCAACCACCCCGCTCAAGAAGCAGCGACCTGCTCCTGACATGACCTCCGCTTTCATTCTTCCTGATATTACACTCCACCAGGCAGACTTGGCGGCTAACGACCCATCCAAGCTGCCCCAAGCCACCCAGAAAGCATTGGACAGCATTGCCCAACACAACGGCAAGAACTGTACTGTCTGCCATGGCCGCTCGAATGATGATGAATGCAACCACGAGCCGGTCAAGATCCCCAAGCCTGTTCCAGCTTCGGAGCGCATGCCCAAGCCCTCAGTATACAACGAGGAGCCTACCATGCGCCCTTCGCAACCACCCGCCGTCGCCCTTGCCACCGTCCTGAAGAGCCTGGAAGACGAGCTCTCTCACCTGAAGATGCAACTGGCCACCTACCAGAGCGCCTTCAACAAGCTGGACGCATCCCTCGGCAAGCGCCCACGCAAGGCCCTCCTCGAAAAGATCGACAAGCTCCTCAAGGACATCGACATGAAGTCCGACCAGATCTACGCCCTGTACGATGTCCTCGAAGGACAAAAGCAAGACGGCCATGAAATGACCGAGCAAGAAATGGAGATGACCCTCGAATCCATTGGAATTGATTTCGGTGCATCCCAAGCACCAGATATTACAGGTACCACTGACAAGTCTTCCCGTCACACTGATCAGATTGATCTAGATGATGAGGATTTGCCTTGGGAGGGTATTGAGAGTACTACTGAGATGACTGGACATCTCTCTATTCGCGGTCACTAAATTGAGACTGATTGCATTGCGTTGCATTGTATATCGTTGTTCTTTCCTGTGGTTTGGTGTTACTTTTGTGTTGTCGCATGGAGTTTTGGATTGAATCTGTATGTTTAAGTTGTTTGGACTGGATAATTCATTGTTGAGTAGTTCTTGATAGCCGATGTCCCCGTGACCTTCAAAACAAAGTCTTTATTTATTCGAATCTCGTGCTTGTTGTCGGGTTAAACATGTATTTTCGCCATTTACGATATTCTGTGCTAGTTTAGGGTATTAAATTTCCTTTGCAATCTATGAGTCGCATGCAAATTCCATATTTTAATCCATATAACTTATATGGTGGCTGATAGGGCCATGGTCATACATGAAAAACAAAACGCCATCGCTATGCCTCGAAGCTTCTTAAAGCCTTGTAAAAGATCAGACCAAATGCAAGAGCAACTACGAAGCATTTTCGCCCCCAGTAGCAGCCATAGCAGCACCCTCAGTAGCAACAGGCTTGGAAGCATCTCTCTGCGAGATCTCCTCGCCAACAAAGCAACTCAAGCCTGCAAAAGCCTCAAGCAACGTGCGCGAGTAGTACTCGCCCAAGTCATACCCACCAGCTTGCATCCGTGTATCTTGCCGAATAGGATCCAGATACGTAGAGGGGTAGTATGACTGGAGGGAGTAGTAATCGCGCTTCTCGGGAACATACCCCATGAAAGGATCGTAGGGCTTTTCTGGCTCGGGCGTCTTGATCTTGCGCAGACCCTTGACAAGCCCTGTATCCGGTCCACCGGCGCTTTCCATAGAAGACAGCCCACTCGCACCGCGCTTGCCTTCCGTTCCACGGAGTGCAGCTTGTTTCTGTCGGATACGCTCCTCCTCGCTGCGTCTGGCGGAGGACTTCTTGAGTAGAACTTTGTGGCCTTCGCGCGCGATGGCTGCGGCGTCGGTTGATGAGCCGGAAGCTAGTCGTGAGAGGAAGTCCTCGCGTCCGGCTTGGAGCTCGCGGCGCTCTATTTCGTATTCTTGGCGTGCGGCTTGTCGGCGGAGCTTGGCTTCTTCTTGTTCAAGGGTCATGCGTGCTTGGAAAGAGTGTGCCTCTTCGACTTCCAGGGCTTGGTTCGTGCGGATTGATTGCATGTTTTCTGTTGCGTATTTTTGGAGTTGGGATTCGGTTTTCGCGACGTCGACGCGCGTTACTAGGTTCATGATTATCTCTTCGCGTTGTTCGAGGAAGTCATCGAAGGCGCGTTTGGAGTCGAATTCTTCTTCGCGGCGGTTTAGACTGGAGGATGTTATGTTAGTTATGGGTATAGTGAGGTATTCGGGATGCGAAGGGACATACATTTGCATCACGCGCCGCCGAATATCTACTTCTCTCTCCACTCCGATATCTTCGAACGTCTGCTTGCGGAACTTGTTCTTACGCAAGGTCTTGCGACATCCGGCGACAGGACAATTCGAGGGACCACCTGAGAAGATGCGGTCCACACAGGACTCGCACATCTTGTGGTAGCATTCTGGGTTGATGAGAAATCGCATATCGGGATTCAGGTATCGCGAGGATTTGCAGACGGGGCAGACCTCTGAGAGACTGGGTTAGTATGAAATATACCACAGGAGCTACATGATGCTTACCATCGTCATCCCGACGGGACGTTGCATCTTTTGAAGCCATCGTGAGGGCGTGAATCTGAAGGAAGAGTAAAAGTGACGTGCGGACCAACTTCGGAACTCGATAAGCACGTGCGCACGGACCATATCTTCTACTCATCTTTTTGGACTTTTTTTGCCTCCAAACATCCCACCTTTTCCTTCCTTCTTTTCAAGTTATATCCCCAGCGTGAAGCTGTTCCTCAATATGGGGGTTCCAAATCACAGCCTTGACGCTCTCGAAGAGCAGCGCCTCGCGCTCGAAAATAACATTCTCCAACTGCAGAAATCGCTCTACCACTGGCGAACTTGGGAAGCGGAATACGACGGACTGCGCGAAGAGATCGGCAATTTGGGTGGCGAATCGAGTACAGATGACTTCCTTAATGTCGCTTTGGAATTTGGAGGCACACTCGTGGACGAGAAGGAAATGCAGGCGATACTTGGGTCGCAAGGTGTGATGCGGTCTCGCGGACAAGTGATTGATCTCCTGGGCCGCCGGATCGACTATGTGAAGCAGAATGTGGCGACAATGGAGAAGAGAGTCCGGAAGGCCGAGGATGAACTCTCTGCTCTGGGCGCAAGGGATCAGCCGTTGCAAGAGGGTGGAGAGTTTCCGATGCAGGAGATTATGGAGGAGCTTGACGAAGATGGAAATGTTGTGTCGAGCTCGATCAATACTCCCGGAAGCCAGGCATCAGAATTGTTGGACGTGTTGAAGAAGGCTGGTGTCAAGGATATCCCGGATGCTGAAGAGTCGAAGACTATTGCTACCCCCATCGAGGCTATACCTGAGGAGGATGTTGGTGAGCTGAGCAGCTCGAGGGCTGCAGGCGAGCAGGCTGATTCATCGAGAGATCAAAATGCGCCTCTTCCGTCAAATGACATTTCCCGCGAGGATCTCGACCTCAAGCGCCCTGTGTCGGTTGTAACTCCCGAGGATCGTCAGCAGCCGCCTGTCACCGATGTAAATGAAAATGTGGAAGATGCGAGACTACGCCGTGAAATGCTCCAATACGGCATTGATGAAGTGGGCGCAATCGTGGCCGAACTTGAAATGAACGAGTCCGGAAGTGATGTCTCTTTCGACGAAGACTATGATTACGACTATGACGAGGAAGATAACGAGGACGAATACGGCCGTTCTCACACTGCACTTCCCGAGGATTATCACCAGCAGATGCGGGAGCTGGAAGCCAAGCTTAATGCTCGCGGCTTGATGAACATGGGCAAGGACACGCAAACATTCCCCGAAGAAGTTCAGCAGGAGATCGGAAATATTACTGTGGTTGAGACCGAAACCGAGTCTACTTCGAAGGACAAGAAACCAAAGAAGCGTGTTGCATTCGCCGATAATCTTGACATCGCACCGGCTCCTGAAACACAGGCTACCGCCGAGAAGATTTCTCCCCCGCAAGACGAGCCCAAGGTGCTCGCTGATTCCATTGTTGAGCGTACAAGTCGTCCCCAGGAACAACCTCGACCTACGCCATCAGGCACTAAGAAGGCTTCACGGTTCAAGAGTGCTCGAGGTACCGCACCAGGCACTCCGGCCAGCGAATCTGTAACTTCAGGCGCTACCACAACGCACCCTACCGAATCTCGAATTCGCAAGCAAGCAAACGCAACTCCATCTACCGCGCCTCCCACTCTCTTCCCAGCCACACCCAAAGAGCCTAAGCCTTTCTCCACACCTATCACCGATATCACCGAGAACGAGCACAAGCCCTACACACCCAAACCTCCTCAGGACAGAACACTGGCCGAGAAAGTCTTCGAACGTCAGGTCACAGCCGGAGCCGCCAAAGCACCAGAACTGGACCACTACGATGAAGAGCTCCACCAGAAGCAGATTGCATCTGAATTCTTCCACATGCAGAATCGCATGTCTGGAAAGAGTGGTTCCCAAGCCGAGGAAGAACAGGTCATTCTCCCACCTGAACCGGAGGAGCCACCCAAGCGCGTGAGCAAGTTCAAAGCTTCGCGCATGGGTTAGTTCTGCATAGTATGGATAGATTAGAATAGGTGGCACGGGGTATAGGATGATATATACCCATAGCAAATATAGAGATGAGATACATGTTGCATGGTTTCGCCGGAAAGGGACTTTCTTCACCAAGTTCAAGCCAATCGGGCTACCTGGCAAACATAGCGTTAGGGAATTCGAGTGTGCAGCTGCGACAGATATTAAAGAAATTGATAAATAACGCAATACCTACATAATCGTATCAGTCAGACTACTTCTCTTAGCCTGAAGGTCTTTATACCTCTGTTCTTACATGTGTTGTTAAATGAGACCCACTCGCATGGGCTTCTTCCTTCTTTCACTTCTCTTCCAGTGAGTATCAGTAAGTTCACACTTCCTAGTCTGGACCTTGCTTGTTTTGTCGAGCACCCTTGGGTGAATGGGCATATCTCTTACTCATAGAGCGCGGACTGAGGCATGGTCATCTGCTGGTTTATACAAAACAAATGAGAGGTCAAGACAGCCGTGTCACCTCACTTACTCCCATCTTTTCTCTCCACCCGAAAGGAGGGGGATGGGAGGTGTCTTTATTGTAATCCTTCGAGTACTTATGGACAGGCGATTATGGAAATAGAGCTAGTCAATCTCTCTACACTTATTGTTATCACGTGTAGTCGGTGATATAGTTCTCGTTACTATCTGTTTATAAGTGCAACTTGAAACTTGCCTCCTTGACTAATAGCCTACATGTTATGCGTACCGTTTTATTGTAACTTTTATTGCGAATATTTTTTTACACGTACAGCTCAGGCTGAATCCATGTCAAAAAATATAATCATTAACTCGTAAGGTATAAAACGGCCTTAATGGCCTCGTCAGAGTCATGTTCATGTACAAACAACAAAAAAAAAAAAAAAAAAAAAAAAAAGAAAGAAAGAAAGAAGCACGTTAAAGTACGAGCCAAAGGGATAGATTACATGTGCATACTCGAGTCTCGATGCCACATGCACAAAGCACCTAGACGGATGCCCAGCCCGATGAAAACTAAATGAACAAACACAGCGAGAAGTTGTGCCTGGACACTTCGGACCTGGAGGGTCAATACTGCTGAAAGCAGGACTGGGTAGAGGACCCAGGGGTTCACGGCTAGGGGCGAGCAGGGGTGGAGAGTTGAGACGACTTTGATGAAGAAGAGAGAGAATTGTAAGGTATGAGACGAGGGATAGAAAGTTGTCAGAGAGTTCAGGAAGGGGAATCGGCTTGGTGGCGGTGGAAGGAGATGGTGTTTGGAGAAAGAGTGGGATTGGGCGTCAATGGAGTTTTCCTCATGGGGTTGCCGGGTTGGGGATAAAGGCGGGGAGGTAGAGTAACGGTGTCGAACAACGAGGTCTTGGTTTGGGGTTAGGACTGGGTCATCTTCGAGACTTACGCCCTCTGCTGGCGTTGTGCTCGCTCGAAGATTACTCGAGTCAAACATGGAGTCTCGCCGGAAACTTGCGGATGGGCGGGTCCCATGTTTTGTCGGAGAAAGAGCACGCTCGATGGATGGCTGTGGGCTGTCCACTGGGCGTATTCGAGCACCTGGTAGGTCAAGACCTGCTGAGCTAGCCTTTCTGAAGCGGAAGTTGTCGTTTCCGTTGGCATTAGCGCCGGCTTGGATACCGCTCAAGACTTCCTCAGCTGAAGGGCGTCGATTTGGGTCGACAGAAAGAAGACGCTCAAGGAATTTGTACAGTTTCTCAGGAAGGTCGGGGCGGATTGCTCGCGCATGGTCGAATCCAGCCCAGCTGGTAATTTCCGCACGGAGTTGGTCCAAGTCCTCTTTCTCCTCGTTGATGATGTCTGCATTGGCATATGGTAGAGCTGCAAAGCAGAGGAAGTATAGAATCATTCCTAAGGAGAAGATGTCGGATTTGAAACTGAAATTCCCAAATGGCCCATTGGGGTATTCTTGTCGAAGAACTTCTGGCGCACAGTATGAAAGGGTACCCGTTGCACCAGTTGACTTGCGCATTGCATTCTGCTGTTGCACTTCACCAAAGTCGCTGACCAAGACCCTGATGCCATCACTAGTCTCATGGAGAAGGCAGTTGTGTGGCTTCAGATCACGATGAATGTATCCATTGGCATGAAGGTAGCGTAGACCAGAAGTGATATCCCGGAAGAAAGAGTAGATCTGATCCAGCTGAAGTGTGCGGGGACCTCCCGTGCCCGTTTGGAGCTCGGGTTCCCCCTTCGACTTCCGCCGGAGACGGTCCTTTAGCTGCTGGGCGGTAGTCGAGGTCTGAACAGAGCCGCAAATGTAGTTGTGCAAGTCGCCGGCATTGCAATATTGCTGCAGAATGAATGCGCAAGCCACACTTGGACCAAAATTGCTAATCTTTGCATTTTCCAGCCAGACGTGGCGGTATGAAACAAGGTTCTGGTGTGAGAGATGCTGTAAAAGTTGTACCTCGCCAAGTACTTTTTCTAACCACTCATGATCGTCACCGACGGGGACACGCTTGCATGCATAGTCGCCAAGAGAGACCCCATCCAAGACATGCTTCACTAGTAGCACCACACCTTTTCCACCTTTGCCCAGGATTCGTTCTTCGACAAAGAATCTCCTGAAGTAATCCGGACTGAATGCCGCGGATGATATTCCCTGTGATCCAGACGTCGGCTGAGAGCGTGGTTCGTTGAGCGGTGTACCGGGAAGGGCAGGTTGGACAAGACGGCGGCGTGGGGAAGGAGGAGATGACGAAGAGGCGGAGCTGGGGAGGCTGTTGTTGAGCATGCGAAAATAATTAGGATTGATGAATTCCCCCTCTGGCTCGTGATTCCCACGATGTCGTCCCCGGCTACTGTCGCGCATAGGACGGTGGCAGAGCGGGCAGTTAGCGAGCTCTACATCGTCATCGGTGTCGGCCGTATTGCGGAGAACGAGCTGCTGCGAATCGCGGTCAAAGACAACCACGGAGTCATTGTGCCGCCTGATATTGTTAGATCGGGGATATGCAACGGGCATGCATCACTTACAGCACAACATCCAGGTTTCCACCATTGTAGGGGACCATAGACATATTGTCTGGCATTATTGGTAAGGGGATGGCGCTGGAGCTCTGATGACGATGGTATCGCAGGGCGGTGAGGGCTGAAAGTATAGAAAGTTACCAACATCAAGTGAACTGGAAAAGTTCTAAGGGGGTTTTTACTATTTATATAGATCGCTATGAAGTGTCTGACTTGCCAGGATCAAGTGAGGCATACTCAAACATGCAAATGAGGCAGACTCGACTAGGATCCCCAGCTGAGGCTGTAGAGTGGGACCCGATTGCAACCGCGGTTGAGTCTTAAGCTTATCTCTGATCTTCGATCTTCATCTCGACATCTATATCTTCGACGGATCTTCATTTATTATCTGGCCTATTCCACTCACTCCTCGCATTAGCCATGGAGCGGAAAAGCTCATCGCCAATGGCCCCCACCTTCATGGTCTCCGCACCAGGAAAAGTGATAGTCTTCGGCGAACACGCAGCAGTATACAACAAGCCAGCCATAGCAGCCGCAATCTCACTGAGATCCTACCTCCTAGTGACGACCCTCTCCAAGTCTCAACGGACCGTGAAGCTCAATTTCAGAGACATTGGCCTGGACCACACATGGAAGATCGACACTCTCCCATGGGATACATTCCAACAACCAAGCAAGAAGAAATTCTACTACTCGTTAGTGGACTCTCTGGACCCGGAGCTCCTGGAAGCAATAAAGCCACACGCAGAAGCAGTATCCAAAGATCTCCCAGAGAAACAGCGCAAGATCCACATCCGCTCCGCAACAGCCTTTCTCTACCTCTTCCTCTCACTAAGCTCCCCAGAAAGCCCAGGCTTCATCTACACTCTACGCTCAACGATCCCAATCGGCGCAGGCCTAGGTAGCAGTGCAAGCGTCTGCGTCTGTCTAAGTGCAGCCCTGCTCCTCCAAATCCGCACACTCGCAGGACCCCACCCAGACCAACCGCCCGAAGAAGCAGAGACCCAGATCGAGCGGATCAACCGCTGGGCGTTTGTCGGCGAGCTTTGTACACATGGTGATCCAAGTGGGATTGATAATACTGTCTCGGCGAGTGGGAAGGCAGTCATATATCAGAGGAACGGTGCAAGTGCACCAACCGTCACGCCGCTGGCTAAATTCCCTAAACTGCCTCTTCTCCTGATTGATACGCAGCAGGCGCGCTCGACGGCAACGCAGGTAGATAAGGTGCGGGAGCTGAGGACTAACCATGGACAATTGACGGAGTCGATTTTGACTGGCATTGGGCAGCTTACGGCTTCGGCATTGGAGCTTATTACTACTCCTGGTTTTGATAGTCAGGATGGAATCTCCCAGACTCTCGAGCATCTTGGGACACTGATCCGTGTTAACCATGGATTTTTGGTTTCGCTGGGTGTGTCTCATCCGCGCCTGGAGCGGATCCGTGAATTGGTCGATTATACGGACATTGGGTGGACGAAGTTGACGGGTGCTGGGGGTGGTGGGTGTGCTATTACGCTGTTCAAGCCAGATGTGCTGGAAGGCACTATTCAGGAGCTAGAGCGGGATCTTACTGCTGAGGGCTTCCGGATATACGAGACTGTGCTTGGGGCTGATGGGGTTGGGGTGCTTTGGCCTGCTGTTTTCCGAACTGGGGGTGACGAAAGTGAGGAGATTGATCAGGAGAAATTCGAGAATGCGCCTGGGCCCAAAGGGATTGAGGAGCTTGTTGGAGTTGGGGCGCAGGAAAACCGTGAGGGCTGGAAGTTTTGGACGCGGTATATCTAAATAGAGGGCGTTGAGCATATGCAAACGAGCCAAATGGCTTAAATTACTTTAGGATTATGTTTTTATATCAGCAACTAAATTTTCTCTTCCTCCCAGATTACAAGGCTTCGCCACCCATCCCCAACTAGTGAGGCTCATCCAACCCACATTTTGGTATCCCTCCCCTCCTGTAGTTTTCCTCCACAACTTCTAACTTGACCAACATCTGACAGAAATGTCAATAAGTTCACGAGTAAGAGGTGAACTCAACAAGCTTGAGGGTTTAAGGATTTGCTACGACTTGACTAATCAGGAAACATATGGTGTGAATTTATTTCATTGATTTTGGTTTTGATTCCTCTGAATCGGGTATCTGGAATAGGGCTGGTGATTGAAACACCAGACCCTTGGTATGCACGATTAAGTACTGGGAAGCTCACAATCGGACACGAAGCTTGGTGGCGACGCGCTCTTCGGGCTGAGCTGTGCAAGACAGTCCGAAGACAACAGCGATTGGAAACATGACACGTCGAATGGCTCGAGCCAATATCCCGTTAGACAGGAACGGCGAATGATGAGGATGAGGCAGCCAAGCTCTGGTATTTCAAGAGCAGGGAGGGCCGACCCCGTTGTGGCAGATTGCCTGCGTGTTTCATGGCTGAATGGGGGTGACACTCGAGTGCCGTAGAAATTCATGAATAGGCCAATCACTCCTCGCCACTCTCGACGTCGCTGACCTCGATTTGGGCTATCGAGTCGTTGTCGCTATCATCGAAGCCACCAAACTCGTCCTGAGCAGGCTTTGAGTCGGAAGACTCGGCTTCCGACTCCTCGGCCTCAGCATCCTTAGCGGCAGGTTCGTCGTTCTCGTTCAACTTGCGCTTGCGTCCCATTTCACCGAGACGACCTTCACGGCCTTCAATCTTCGGTTCATCCTTGCCATCCTGGCCCTGGAGCTTGGGAGGAGGAGTGAACCAAGGGATCTTTCCACGGAGGAAGTCGTTGATCATCATCTTGGCAACACCATCGACATCCGGCTCGCCTCCACGGAGAAGACGGCCACCCTTGCGGGCGAGAAGAGCCAGGAAGTCAATGTGGTCCTCCTGCCACTTGATGCCGTAGGTGCGCTCAAGGTGACGGGGCTGGACACGACGAAGGACAGCGGGAATGTACTGCTCCGGGTTGTGGACGTTCTCAACACGACAAACACCACGAAGGAGAATGTCTTCCGGAGTATCGTTCTGGCTGGGAGGAACCACACCAGGGCAATCAATAAGGTAGATTCTCTTCATCAATGTGACATACTGCCACACCTTGGTCTCACCCGGAATGGGAGCGACTGTGCACACCTTCTTGTTGCGAAGAGTGTTGATGATAGAAGACTTGCCCGAGTTGGGGTAACCGATCAGGCCAACCGAAACCTGCTTACGATCGGAGTGGAGAGAAGAGAACTGACGAAGCAGAGCGATCAAAGATCCCTTGCCGAAAGAGTTGTTGATGTTGGCATGGAAAGCCAATGTTGGGTAATCCTTGGAGAGATGACGAACCCAGGCAGCCTAGTGAAGATGAAATGTTAGCATCAGTCACCAGACAATGAGATATTGTGTAAGCAAAATGTGTGGGATGTTACTAAGAACTCTGCCACTAAGCCACCAAAAAGGCAGAAGCAAAGTTCAACTCAAAAACAAAACACATCTGTCCCTTGCGACATGTTTTCAAGACGAAAACAAGTCAACCTAGCTTCAGAAAGAAATTCGGTGCGGGACAGTGTTAATCTACCAAAGCTGTAACAGACAGACCTCCATTGTAAACAAAGCACGACACGTGTCGCGGGAAGAAGCCTTGACTTAGCGATGGAACTGGCGCAAGGCCAATAAAGCAAGACAAAAAGCAAAACAAAAAGCAAATACAAGACACAAAGAATAGAATGCAAGAAGAAGGGTATTGGGAAATGAGGGTAGAAGAATGTCGGAACTTACAGCAACTCCTGTTGGGACAAGATCACACTTGTTCAAGACAAAGATCAAGTGCTTGTGAGGTGCCTCTTCGCGAATGTATTTCTCAACACTGCGGCAACGGGTACCTTCGGGATCACGAGAATCGAGGACATGGATAACCACATCAGAGGAATCGATGACCTTGTAAAGCTCGTTCCAAATACGCTTACTCTGTCCCTTGGAAAAGACAGATTCACGAGCGGTAGTGAGCTGGCCAAGATCTTCTTTGGCATTGTCATCACCGCCAACGATAGCACTTCCGTCAGCGTGGGTACCCTCATCGTTCTTCTCGATGTAGGTATCTTGCATCTTAGCAGTCTCGCCAGCGAGGTCCTCGAGGGACGCCACGCCAAGCTTGACACGCTTGCGCTGAGCCTTGGGTCCGAAAGTGTCACCAAAAGGAGAGGTCTCAATAGCCATCTTGGCCTGGTGCTGCTTCAGACCGTTAATTGCACCCTTGTCATCCCGGATCAAGCTCATGGGGAGCTTGTTGGTCTTAAGGAGAACTTGGTAAGGGTCGGAAGCACGGTCGGCGACAGCCTCACGGAACGAGGTCAAAGCCTCTTGGGAAATAACACGGGTGTTGCCGAACCATTTACGATTGGGCTCGATCCGAGCTGTGGGCTTATCTCTGGACTGGTAGCTCGCGGCGACTGTGATGTTTCCTTCCTTGTCACGGCGCGCCTTGCCATCCTTGAACATGTTCAAGGTCTTAATCTTCTTGGCATCACTGAAGTATATGTCAGTCACTGGTCACGACGAGGAGTCAAGCTGTACATACCGGTAGAAATTTTCACCTTTGGTTTTGACATTGCCCATGCCATCGCCAGTCTTCCCCTGCCGCTCTTTACGAGTGGCCTCTTTCTTTCCTGTACCCATGGTGAAGGTTGGAATATGAAAGGAGAAGAAAAAAAGTAGTAGACAAGACCAAACACAGGGGAGTGGCAGAGTGCAAGAAGAAGAAGAAAAAAAGAGGAAGGCGGCGAAGATTATTTTTTTTTTGACGCCAAGAAAGCACGGACCACGGGAAAATCGCTTCTTCCTTGACCGCGTATCCTCCCTATGATTCTCCGCCTCAGCTCCAACGTCAATTGTACTATTAATTAGCCAATTCAGTCACTTCTGGTGACATTGAATCGCGCATGTCTGTCCTCCGCAGCAGCCGGACTGCCTCCGTGCAGGTCCGCGGATTTACAACCTCCTCCAACCTCCGTGTCGGACCCGAGTCCCCTCAATTCATCGATGTGCCCAAGATTGTCCAGCCTGGCAACCCCGTCCGACCTCATGTGAAGGGTACACTTCCTGTGCCTCGCGAATTATTCCCCTCCCGCCGAACCGACAAGCCCAAGAAAGCATATATTGATGCCGCGACACCCACCCCCAAGTCAGAACGCACTGTCAGCCCGACAAGTAGCAACCCGGAAAAGCAAGAATGGAAGTTCCATATGGCAGAATTACGACGACAGAACCTGCGGGAGGGTCTCACCAGCCTGTTCCAGCGCAAACAAAAGGCGGATAACAAGATGATCGCCCGCAGTCTCGAGAACCAGAGAAGGCGAGACCAGATTCTTCAACAACCCATGCGCGAGGACGAGCGTCTCACCCGTCCATCGGTAATTCAAGAAATGCAGCCCCGCAAGCAAGGCATCATCCCCGATCCCAACCGGGAGGAGCGCCTCGCACTCTCCCAGGCTCGCTTGGAGGCCAAACAGGCACAGAAGGAGGCAGAGCGCCAGGAGCACCTACACTCCTTGTACATGAACGCTCGCACTTTCATTACGACGGAGGAGCAACTTGCCGCTGAAATCGACCGGGTATTCCCCGAGGGCGAGAACGTGGCATGGCGCAACGACCACCAGCCCGGTGAAAACATCTGGAACCTAGGTAACCCCCCGACTGTTAGCAGTCTTGCTGGAAAGACTCGCAAGGCTGGCGAGACCGCGCGCTGGGATATCGTCCAGGAACGGGTCAAGAAGCTCGGAGAGGAGATTACCGGTGGTAAGATTTGAGTGTAATCTTTATTTTGGCATCATGTACAATATTTTCAGCTGTTGCATTTAACTGAGACAAGAGTTTCTCTTGTGTTCATTTTGATACGTATGTCCCATTCTATTGTAATATATTTCAGCCTACTAAGCAACCGCTGTTCCCATGCTATATTTGTCTTGCGGCTGGCCTCGCGGACGGGAAACAACAGGATTAACTTCATAGAGGTCACGATGTCCCAGTGGATGTATCGAAGGCCAAGGCCGTCAAGGGCGAGGTTGAACGGCAATCAATAAAACTTAGCCCCGGCCACCATTTGCAAGGCTCCATGTCAATGCCAATCCCCAGGCATATCAGGAACTAAGGGATGTTTCTTGCAAAATTGATTCAAGGAGGTCTTGCTGGCCGTACTTTCCGTCCGACTGGTAATTTGAGAGGCGTCTGAAATCGGCTAGGTGACTCAGATATCTCACAGAAATGAATTGCGAAGGTCCCCGTTTTCCTTTCTTTCTGTCCTGTAGGCAGCGAGATACTGTAAAAGCAATTTTCACCAGATATGGCGAAAATGACAATAAGACTCCGTTTCGCTCGTATATCGAAGCTCTCCAAGTAAGCGATACACATAGAAACATAGCCTCATTGGATATACATCGAGTCTCGAAGTATAAAGACATCATGAAGTAAGTTACGCAATACAATTCACAAGTCAACATCCGGTGGAAAATATCTCACGGAAAATACCCAAGCACAACTTCCACCGGAGGTTAACAAACCAATCAGACCGATCTACCCCGGATCTCAACCCTCGGAGCAGCATCAAATATGAACTTGCGGAGAAATTGTGGGAACAAATGTGGGCACAGTAAGTGCCAGTGTCAATGCTATAATCCCGCAATCATTATATATCTGGGATGTAGACGCATCAATTCTTCCCTTCTTTCACCATTGCCTCAGTGCTCCGAGACCATCACAATGAAAGACACTAACACTGACGAAGCTCACATCGAGGACACAGAGAAAGGAGCTCTCCAACATGCGGATATCATTGCTTCGTTTAGTCCTAGTGAGCAGAAGAAGCTCATTCGGCGCATTGATGCTCGCCTGGTGATCACGCTGGGATTTCTGTACTGCGTCAGTCTGCTGGATCGGACTAATCTTGGGGCTGCTTCTGTTGCTGGGTATGTTGCGACTATACTCTCTTGCATGGATTTCGCTGACTCAATTCAGAATGCAGGGTGACCTGAACATGAACGCTTCCAACAACGGCTACAGCATCACATCTCTGGTATTCTTCATCACATACACCATCTTCCAGATCCCTGCCACGGTCATCATCCGTAAGGTAGGGCCACGACTGTTTATTTCAGGTATTGTGCTCGTCTGGGGAGCTGTCATGCTGGTAAGTTTCCCGTGAATGCATTCAATCGCTTTCTTTTCTCACAAAACCGTGCCAGAGCTTTGGCTTCGTCCCAAATTGGCAGACCATGGCCGGTCTCCGCATCATTCTAGGTGCTCTGGAGGCTGGAATGTATCCAGGCAGCGTTTACCTCCTTAGCACCTGGTACCCGCGCTACGAACTCCAGAAGCGAAATGCCACATTCTACCTAATCGGAAGCATGGCCTCAGGCTTCGGTGGTATCCTAGCCTATGGCTTAATGCAGATGGATGGAATAACCGGGAAAGCTGGATGGGAATGGATCTTCATCGTAAGAAGCCATTTACCTATCTAAGCAGAAATACATGACCAACTAATACTACATGCAGATTGAAGGCCTCCTAACCTGCATCCTCGGAATCGTCTCCTACGTCTTCCTAGTCGACTTCCCAGAACGGGCCCCAAAATCCTGGAAGTTTCTCAACGAAACCGAAGCACAATTCGTTATCGCCCGAATTGAGAACGACAGAGCAGATGCTTCTGTGGAACCATTCTCCATGGGCAAATACCTCGCCAATGGCAAAGACAGCAAAGTCTGGGCTTATGCTGCCCTTTACATGCTTACCACCACGAACAGTTACTCGATTGCATATTTCCTCCCTATCATCCTGGAGAAGAGTATGCACTTCTCTGTGGCGAAGGCGCAATGTCTTGTTGCGCCGCCTTATGTTGCTGCCGCCATCGTTATGTATGTCCAGGCTGTTTACTCTGATAAATGGCGTTTGCGTGGTCCTGTGGTTGCTGTTAATGCGCTCATGGGGCTGCTTGGACTTGGATTGTTGGGATATCTTGAGAATCCCGCGCCTAGGTACTTCGGTGTTTTCTTGGCTACTATTGCTGGTGAGTTGATTAATCTGGCTCAGTTGTGCTGTTGGGTGTTTGGAGTTTCTCACAACGTATTATAGCAAATGCGAATTGTCCAGCTTTAGTGTCGTGGCAGAGGTAAGGCAATTACTACTTTACCGAGTTCTATGCTGTAGTTGAACCCGTTCTAACATATATATCCACTCTAGTAACAACATCCGCGGTCAATGGAAACGAGCCTTTACATCCGCTACTCTGATCGGCGGAGGAAGCATCGGAGGAATCATTGGAACAACAGTATTCCGCGCTCAAGATGCACCCAATTATCGACCAGGTCTGCTCTGTGCTATGCTAGCCAATGCCTTGGTCGTCGTTATCGTGGGCGCAATGACGCTGAAGTTCAATCGGGCCAACAAGCGGGTTGCAGCTGGTGGAAAGCCAATTGAAGGACAGATTGGGTTTAAGTACACTTACTGAAAAGTAGCGGTGGCTTAGAAAAATATCTCTCTTCTATCTTGGATGTTATTCATCCAATCTCGCTAGCGCGTTTCTTCTTATCATTGTTGTATCTAAAACCATCCAATAATGTCCAGATCAGTTAGCCGATATATTTATATCCCACACCTAAAAGCAATCAATCCAAGCCCATCAATTCAACAACGACCAAAAACCAAGAACAGATATATACCTCGGACCGGAACAACAAAACAACGACTCCACGTGACACCACCGATAAGCACGATAAGCAATTTTCCCTCCGCCAACCCCAAAAAAAGATCGCAGATTAAAATACACCGTGCTGCAGGCAGTACTCTCTCACCTCGTTCCTGTCACCTTATCCCTCAACCTATCCCCCACAGTCAAATACACACAGCAAATATGGTTCAAGGATCCCTGAAGAAGGCTGGACCCGCCACACCTGGTCGGAAGTGAGTTGCACACTACCCTGACGGAAGAGGCACCATTCATCACCATGGCGATGGGGGTAGTTTTTCTTTCACTTTCACTCTTTCACGTTACACACGCGACGAAATAGCAATTCGAGGTACAATATTTGACCTGTGAACTTGACTAATATTTCTTCTTTCTATTCAGGCCCGCTAAGACAACCAGACCCGGTGTGCGATCAGTTGCACCTAAGAAAGCCAATCTGATTAAGCAGCGGAAGTTGACGAAGGTATGGATTTTATTCTTTCTGTTTGTGCATATGATGTGCTACATTCCAAAGAACGAAATAACCAACACAACACCATATAGAAACTCACATCCGGCCTCGTTGGCAAGACGGAACGCAGTCTCGCGACAAAGGCGGGTCATCTTGAGATTCTGGCTGGAGGAAAGAAGGATCGTCTTCAGAAGGAGAAGAAGAAGGCTCAGGAGGCTGGCAAGAAGGCTTGAGCGGTTCGGGGACAAAATATATGAATCTGCATTTTATGCGTGGTTTTGCTTTTTCGTCTGTTCTGTCTTCCATGGTCGTTCTGTTCCTGTTCAGTTTCTAGTTCCGTGCTCTAGATTTTCGATGAGTGCATGAAATCGATACCCAGTTTCTTTTTGGTATATTCTTTCCTTTTGTAATTTGTCTAGCTTATTTTACACATCAAATATCGACTTTGGTAGATCTTCAAGCCTTCATGATTACACATACATAGACCTAACTATCCCACGCAATACGCGTTGCCTTTGGCAAGATTACTGCAAGATGCCATCGACATTCCTATTTAGTTGGCGGAAGCGAGCAACGAGAATACCATACTTGCCCGCGAAAGAGTCACAAGAGTCATCTATAAGATCATTATTAGTCATTGGAACCAAAAGAAGAAGAAGTCGTATTAAGCATACCCTCAACCATAAGATGCCACTTTGTGCATGTAGGACTTGCCCCAGTTCCTGTTGGACTAGGAGGACCTGTAGTAGTAGGAGGAGGAGAGGGTGCCGGCCTAGCCGTGCTGTCTTCCCATACTCGACCACATATCGCAAAACCGGCTCGGATGTTAGTGCGTTGGGCATTGACGCTAGGATTGTACTCGTTCAGCTTTGCCTCCGTGATTTCATACTGCACCGACAGGCTTTTGCACGTATCCCTATTCCCGAGAATATACCAATTGTTGCACGTGTCAGGAACGCCAGATTCCGTGGGACCTGGAGGGTCAGCCCGGCCTTGGGGAATAAACGTTGTGGTAGTCGGAAGGTATGACGAGGGTATATCGGTGGGACTAGGAAGAATAGGGTCTGTGGGTGCTGGATAGAATGCAAGCGTGGCAGAGGTAAAGGAGGGAAAAAGGGAGAAATAAAAAGCGGATGCTCTAGAGAATAGTCAGGACTCAAAACTATTGTAAATTCACGTTCTGAGCACATTTTATCGGAATTATCTAGATGGATGTCCCAGGTGATGGCAAAGAGAGCAATATCGACAAGGTTGTGGGAGCTATAAACTCTCATACAACGCGTGGTGTCGGGATGATGGTCTGCGACCCCACGCTTTTTAGGGTGGCTTCATCAGAGTCTCACAGTAAGATCCAAATCCTTCCTCGCTTTGCAAATGGTTTGTCGGCTGCTGATAGGCTTGTACCAGTAGCTGCAATGTCGTTTTCGACAATAAAACTGCCAACGCCAAATTCAGGAGGGATGAGCAATTGACCCAGACGAGATGTTCAATATCACTAGTGGGTCCCTTTACATTGCTGACTTTCTTGGTTTAAACTGATCACGATATTCCAAACGCGTTGAAACCCTAGAGGATGCGGAGGTTTTTGAGATTGGATTGCCATTGCGATGAGCCATCAAAGCGTATATCAAGAAGTAAGCCTTGATATTGACGAAATTTCACCGATGCCACGAGTAATGTCCAATTCAGTGGATCCATTTGAGGGTAGACGGTTAATAGAAATGTTGTTGCTGGGGTAAATTTGGTCTTCTGTCGCCCTATTCGCCTGATCTCAACCCAATTGAAGAATCTGTAGTCGAGCTTGAAAGTTCTATCAAGCGTAACTGGAGTTGCTATGAGAGAGACCCCGGCCAAAGGCTTTCACATTTTTCTCGAATGGTGTACCAATGTGGTCGGTGCACAAGAAGATAGTGCCAAAGGCCATTTTCGCCATACGGGATTGAAAATAGAAGTGTTAGGCGGTTGAATAGTTGAACACTGACTGGCGGTAGATACTGCGATATATGCACATAGGCCACAAAAGTGCGAGGAAAGAGAAAGACGCGGGATAAAACGAGTCTAACTTTGATTTTGATGTCACAACGAGTTGCTGCTATTCATACTTTCCCGTTGCATTATTGCTCTCCGTTATATTCCTAGTATCTAAGGTAGTATAGTATCCGATTATCTTGATTGCTAGGCATGTGATTCAAAATCCAATGCTCTCATCTGAATCGTAGGTGTCGGCTTTCATCTCTTTTCGAAGCTGCTCGAACGTATATCTGTAGCCCTTGATGTCACGGGGCACCCTACGGGTGACCCGTTAGTCAGCCATTAGCTTAGTCAGATAGTCATGATCTCGTCTTTATGACGGCTCCTGCCTTCATAGTTAATAGAGGCATCTTCCTCTTCCCCTACTTCTCCACTGAGCCTTGCTACACTTGATCTTGTTTTTTCTCGATCAATTATGTCAAGCTCGTACCTCGATTTCGTATCACGAAGCGCATAGAATGTACGATTCTTCTTTTCGACGATAGGGTGAAGAAAAGCCGCGGAAAATCTCCCAAGCTTCATGCCCTTATCGATGAATGGTAGCCAGTTGTCCTCAAGCATTCGATCAATCTCTTCCGCGAGTTGCTTCTCGATAATAAGATGGCGACCGGCGAATTCGATGCCGTTCCAGGCTTCTTCTATAAAGTGCCCTCAGGATTCTGTGCTCAGGCTTTATATTCTTCCTTTGTGCAGTCTTCGAGGAGGGGGTGTGTTTTCATCGGCAGATGCTCCCGATGCAGTAATTCAAAGGTCGGCCTTACAAAGTCCATGCATTTTGTGGATCTTGGATATAGAAGTAGAGAAGAATATGTATATAGATAATTAGTCCATGTACAAAACCCAGTAATCAAGATGTCCAGGTTGGATGGAACATCCATATTGCAAATCATCAAATCATAAGCAATGTAAGTATCTATATATCAAAAGTCATGATGCCTGTAAGCAGGGAAATAAGGAAACACTCAAATCAAGCAAAGCAAAACCAACACCAATAGACATGGTTTAAATAAATAAAATGACAATGGAATAGTAGAAAAGGAAACTGAAAAGAAAAATAGGAAGAAAAAGGAAACAAGAAAAACAGGGTAAAAGGGTATCAAAAATCCAACTCCGTTCCATCCATCGCCTAACGTAACCAAGCCCATACCATCACCCAGCGCAATGTTCTGTCGATCAACTCAACCGAGGAGACTTAGAGATCCGACTAGGAACACCAGCCTGCTCAATAAGATCATAGCCTCTCTCCATCCAGCCATGGAAACCACCATCACTAGAATCGGAAGGGAAGTCGTCCCAAACGGCATTCTCTGAATCAGCATACGTAGACCAAATGCCCTTGGGCACATCGGCCGCCGACCAAGAAGGCAGCTTTGCCAAAACACACGTATAGTACACGTAAAGGATACGGCAGAGCAGCTCGACACGGTCGATGTAGTGCTGTTGTGAGGGATCGGGCGTTCTGCCGCCGTCGCCGAGACGCTTCCACCAGGAAACGCGCCAGCGCAGCGTGAGCAGGATGTGGCCTAATTCGCCGAGGAAGCGGACGTGGGTCTCGTGAGAGATTTGCTTCCATTTTATGTTATAGAAGTCTCGTTCGAGTTTGCGGAAACCTTCGACTTCGAGCATTCGGCAGAATATTCGGGAGAGTTGGGCTGCGAGGAGGATCTCACGGCGATCTGAGGCGCTGTTTATGTCCATAGGGCGTTCTTCACCGCTTGCGTCTAGCGAGACGAAGCTGTATTTGGCGCGGCTGGGCATGTTGTGCCATTGCGAGAGGAGGGTGTAGGCTTGGTTCATTGGGTCGCAGTCGGCGACGCAGGAGAGCCAGTTCTTGGACTTGTCTTTTGAGTCAACGATTCGGCGGTCGATGAATTCCAAGAAGGTGGACTTGGAGTTGCCGTTGTACTCGCTTAGGGTCTTGAGGAACTTATATGACTCGCCCAGGTCGAGGACGTAGAGAGAGCCCCAGGACTGGCTGGCGCGGATGTTGAACCGGCCTTGCCGTTCAGCAAGCAAGGACAGGAGTTGTCCAAGGTCGAACTCGGAGGGGATTTCCATCCGGACTCGGTTCGAGCCATCCACTGTTGGGTGGTTAACTGCTCGTTGAGAGATATAGTTGCAAGTTCCGAATTCGACAATGCTAGAGAAACAGGCACGGGCGCATGGCTGCTCGTGAAGTGTAGGGCGGCAAGCATCGCAAGGGGAGCTTCCATCACACTTGCGCTTGTTCAGTCGACATTGGACACAGGTATCCTTGTTCTTCCTACGCAGGCCGGCATTGGCTCGTCCAACCATACTCAGAGGACCCTTGCGACGAGCACCGCGTGGGGGTGAGACAAAGTCAGCCGACGCAATAGAGCCACCTTGGCCATCTTCCTGAACAATTTGCAGTGGTCTTGGCAGGCCTTGCTCTGTAGAGCCCAGGTTTCTGGTCTTGCGCTTCCTGACCGCACCAGAGTTCTGCATTGCCAGGGGCGCCGGTCGACCGGTACGGCCAGCAGTTGAGGAAGCCCTCGACCGGGAGGGAATGGTAGAAACCATCGATTCCGGTACCTCGCTGACCATGAATGCCGTGGTTTTGGGTGCCGGCTGTGATCCCTCCCGCGAGCTCGGCTGAGAGGTCCACTTCACCTCATCATCGTCTACTTGATGGTCCGCAAAAGTCGTAGGCTCGTCGCTAGTGGCGGAGTAAGAGCACTCGTAAATTCCAGACATATCACCAGACACCGACGAATTTTCTGACTTGTATTGGAAACGGTCCTGTCCCATTTGGGCTCTCGGGCCTACAGTCTGGGAGGCTGGTGTGATGTGCTGAATGGGCAGTTGGGACTCCAAACAGTTGAGCCAACGCGACTCGAGGGATCGGATGGAAGTCGGAAATTCGGATAGGGATTGATCTTTGGGGGTCTGCTGCGCAGCCACCGTGAGCGGCACAGACTCCTGTGCCGGGATGTTCTCCACTGGCACGCCGTGCTGAATCTCAGCCCACTGCTCGGGGATCATCGGGAAGGACTGAGGGATCTGCTGGAACTGCATGATACTCTCACCCGGGGTATCAGAGAAACCTCCATGAGGCATCTCGCCCACATCGTCCACAATGACAGCACCGGTCGAGTGGTTCTGTCCTTTCGCGTAGGGGTACATCAGTGACGCATCCATCGGCATGCCGACAGAGTTGTACAACTGGAAATGTGGCCATGTCTCGTCGGAATGAAAGTTCTCATCGGAAGAAGGGATCGTCTTGGGACTGATCGTCCCACTCACAGTACCCTCAACGCCGCCATCGGCGTAGTTCAAGGTCTCGGGAGCTACATCATGCTTTCTGCAAATCAACACGCGTCAGCATCATCCACACATTCTTCAGGCCGGGAAACGGCATGCCCACCTATTCTCCAAACGACGGAATTCTCCCGTCAACGGACCCTGGAGGGTTCTCAAGTCCGCAATATCCGCATCACACTGACTCGATTCCTGGCTAGTATCCCACTCTGGGGGCTGGTCGTAACCCAAATGTTCCCACGACGCGACGGAAAAGGCGCCTTCAGTTTGCCAATTGTCTAAGATTTTGGGGTCGATCCCCGCAGCGGTCCCGGTGCTTCCACTGTCCATACAGGATATGCTCGAGGGGAACGACGACCGAGTCGAGCAAAGATCTCAAAAAGCTCGTGCTTTTTGAGACTTTGCAGGGTTCAGATAGGTGGGCAAATAGCAAGTGTATAGCAAGGCAGATGATGGAAGAGATAAAAGTTGAGGGGCCAAAAGATGAAGGCTGACGGGATTCCCCACCTCAAGATTTTCTGCGATCGTCTCTAGCGTGTTCCTGGCACAGACCAGGATTGGCTATGGGTATGGCGTGTGTCGGAATTAATGGATTTAAAATGTGGTTCAGAGATTTCGTCTAGATATTATAATAAAACAAATAGTGAGTCAAGATGCGAATGAGCCAATGTGGTAATGGTGCCGACAACACCACTGTATGCGCCCCGGTGTGTTGATCTCCGAGCGCGGACCTTACGAGAGACGATGTTGTCAGAGAAAAGGAGCTATCGAATATGAATGGCCATCGACTCAAGACCAAGTGCGCGTTTCCACTCTCAACTTGATACACTTTCGCTCCCAAGGTTTTATAGAAAAAGCAAATTTTTCCAGTCCAGGTACTACAGGTACCGTGTACCTTCCAGAATGCTTAGCTCAGCACCAATGTAACCTTGGCAACAGAATTCAACACCAGACAACTAAGTACTTGCATCATAAGCTGTTATTGATTAAGAACAAGAGATATTATGGGCCGTTCTTCTAAAACATCTCTATGCAGGGTATGGTACCAAGTTTCAGCACTGCAGGGCCCTAGAGGGCCCTGTATTCAACCTAAATTTATGGAGTAAATCCTTCACAGATTTAGTACAGACTATGTACATAACTGCAGTAGCTAAATCTATGTGCACATACCATATTCCTTCTAGAACCCCATATACCACTCCGTATGCCAACCTGATATGAATAATAGAAAACACATCTATGGCCAGAGCCACCGAGAAGCCCGACGGATCGGTTCACCGCAGGCTGCATTCGGGCCCTGCCACTGCCGTCCCCGCAGCCTGAACGGCTTCACCCCAACCCCGGTGTAGAAGGGCTCAATCCTTACCCATCTCATAAGTGCCTGACTGTCGCTGTTTTCGCGCGGTTCGTTTTTTCCACTTCTCTTCTTTCTTGATTACCCCAGAAATCAAACCCGGAAAAATCCCCCAGAAAAAAGATCTGAAATTAAAATTCCCCGGAAGCTCAGACCATCCAAGTTTCGAGGTATATCGCCCTAAGCGCTGCAAAAGGTCATGCACATCCTGGTAAGTGCGATCTACATCTTTATCTTTTCTATTATGGTTTTCCCTTCCATTCCCGCGGAAGTATAGGGAGGGAAAAAAGCACAAATCAAGCTAGCAGGGCGTATGCAAGGATCTGCTATGGACCAGTGGGGATCATGACATCCGCATGACATCCAAGCCTCGATCTACTTCCCTCCCCTTTGATTTCCTTCCCGTCTCCCCTCTTGTTCCTCCACGGACTCCTCCGTACGGAGCCCGCCGAGAGATAAACAAAGCCAAGAAACAATAATCAGAATACCGAATTAACCGCCAAGAACAGGTAGTCAACGACGATGGCCCGCCAAGCAGACGCCTATCGCCATATATCCGCCCACTAGTCGACGAACTGCAAGCGAATGGCCACACAGTCTCGGTAGCCATCCCGGCAGCCTCACGCTCCTGGATCGGCAAGGCGCATCTCATCGAAGCGAAGCTTACGGCTAGTTACGTGCACAAGGATTCTTTCCGGGAGGACGGGACGTGGGATGAGGAGTACCAGCCGGCAGAGCAGACGAATGGTCTCACCAATGGTCATCTCACCAACGGTCACAGCCTCACAAATGGCGACCTCACAAACGGCACCACAACCTACAACGAAGAAGGCCCCACCCCGGACGAATGGGTAATAATAACAAACGGCACTCCAGCAAGCTGCACCCAGCTAGGTCTGCACAACCTCTTCCAAGGCCGGCCCCCAATCGACCTAGTAATCAGCGGACCAAACCACGGCCGCAATGCCTCAACCATCTACAACCTCTCCTCGGGGACGGTAGGAGGAGCACTGGAAGCTGTTTTCTGCGGGAAGCGCGGAATCGCAATTTCATTCGGCAGCAAGGACGAGCAGGCTGCTGATGTCATTGCTGCGGCAGCTAGGCTTGCTGTGCGGGTTGTTGGGTATCTTTATCAGCATTGGGATGAGCGGGTTGAACTTTATAATATTAATGTTCCTATGCGGCTTGATGTTGAGGAGAGGCCTATTATTTATACGAGGACGCTGCCTTATTATTGGAATCGGGGCTGTTTGTATGCTGAGGATTGTGGAGAGAAAGGAAAGGGGGTTACTAATGGGGCTGGGGAGGTGAATGGTGCGAATGGAAATGGGCTTGAAGGCCGGACAAGGAAACGTCAGTTTAAGTGGTCGGCTGATTTGTCCGATATGAAGAAGACTATGCAGGAGAGTGAGGAGGGGACGGATGCTCATACTGTTTTGAATGGGTCCACGAGGTTTGTTTTTCCCTTTCTTCTCTGTTGATTGTGATGTTGGACTATTGCTGATACGATGCTTAGTGTGACTGCTCTTCGCGCGAACTTTTGGCATGTCCCTGGTTTGGAAGGGCCTTTGGACCTGTAAAAATACAAGAGGAAACTGCTTGTTACGATACCCGCTATGGTCTTTTGATGCATTTGGTTTTGCTGGAGCTGGATCTTGCACATTGATCAGAGACATTCTGTGTATATATATCTCGGGAATTGCATACCTTGTTTCATAATTTGGCTCTTCTGATTACTTGATCTTGTAAGGGCCTCGATGGTGAATTACCATTTCCCGGTATTAGCTATGAGATAGCTTGAATGGTCTCGGCAAAGGAGTTGAAAAAGCTAATGAAGGTGCAATGCAAGAAATTCATTGAGGGGTTATCACGAACGACAGATGCTAGAACAAGACAGCAGTTCTTGACGTAAATAGAGAAGGCCTAGATAGCACGAGCAGCCTCGCCTGCACCACTCTCAACAGTAGAAGACTGCTCAGCACGCATCTTGCCCTTTCCAGCACCGCCCGCACCAACGCCCATGCGGCGCGCCACGTATCGCTGAGCAATAGTTCCAGCAGCAAGTGAGAGAGTTTCCTCAATCCATTCTGAGACCCACTCGCGGGGATCAACGCCTCCACTCTCGATGATCTCTGCAATGGCCGCGGGCACGACAACGCGGGCCATGTGGGCATCCTCCACATCGGGATTCTCGGGAGCCGGGGCCGACTCGTCGAGCCAGTCGATCCAGGTCCGAGGGATGGCCTGGGAGATTGTGTGGAAGGCGATACCGTGAATAGGGTCGTGAAGATAAAGCGCGAAACAGATCTCCTCTTCCTGCTCCTCGGCGTCATCGGCTTTCTCCGATGCACCGGCCTGGAACAGTTCCTTGGAAGTAGTCTGGCTGATAGCCTGAATAGCCAAGAAGATATCACTACTGCGAACCGGGTTCGATTCACTCAGAACCTCTGTAGCCTGCTTCGCCGCCTCTTCGACACCACCACGCGAGGAGAAGTACTCGTTGGCGTAGGACTCGGCGCTCACACGCGCCAGCTTGGATCCGTCGACTACACCTCGCACGGCAGAGACGGTCCGCGGTTGTCCAGGTGTGACAGTCCGCCACCACGGCCCGTCGTTCCAGCCGGCGCTGGTCATGTACCCGGTCACATCGAGGCCGCGCTTCGGGGATGATTCCTGGCCGCGCTGGATCACGAGCAGGTCTCCGCCCTCGACTTGGGACATCACGCGCGAGAACACCGAGTAGACTAATGGGTCGATACCCGGGTACCCGGACAGGTCGTGCGTCACGTGTATTTGGAGTCGTTCATGCGAGGAAATGGGTGGTGCGAGGGTGTGGATGAGGTTCGTGAATGTCGGGAGGGCTCTGTCGCGAAGTTCGCCGCCTGTGTACCTTGTTAGCATGCCCATGTGGAGGAGAATCATGTTAAAATGTAATAGCAGCCATACCAAGATCCCGTAGAGCTCCAACGTTGCCCTTGACCTGTTGGGCCCATTTCTGTGCCTCTTCGTTATTCTGGATCTCCTTGACAGCTGCCTCGGCCTGCTTCATCGCCGCAGTGGCCGTCGCAAACAGTCCTCCAGACAATCCGCCCGACCAACCACCCCACCAGCCACCACCTTCTTCAGAGGATGAGGACCGCTGTGCAGGGGCGCTTTCAGCCTCAAGCTTGGGCTGCTGGGGCTTGGTTTCTGTGCGCGATGTCCGCCCCGTCTCCTCAGACTGGCGGACCGGCGCCTTGTCTTCATTGGATCGGTCGATGGTCGTGCTAGGTCGAGGAGACCGTGTAGATGACCTGGGCTTGTCAGAGGACAGACGGGGAGTGCCTGGTCCACTGCTTGGGCGCTGGGTGGCTAGGTGGTCCAGCTCGGCCAGGATGTCTTCTTGTTCGCCTTCTGCATGAGGGGCGTTGGGTTTGGCCGTTTTGTTGCCGGATTTGTCGAGACCAAGGTCGTCGAACTGAGCTAGGAGCTCGTCGCTGGTTGGTTTGGGAGCCTTTGGTGGCATGTTTGGGTGGTGTTAAGGAGAGGTGACGACACCTGAGCTTGACCGGTGGAGAACCCTTGCCAAGACCCGCTCTGCAGTGTTTAGTCCGACTGCGTCTATGCAGAGCACCGTACAGACTATAGATTATAGTATATTCATGCTTCAAGATTGCTTTCGAATAATATCGATATCCTACATTCGGAATAAATGTCTGACTTAAAGCCATTGATGTTTAATAACGTTATAGACAAGGCACGTCACGCTAGTGCAAGCTTATCAGAAGTACTGATGTCAACATCCAAGTACTTTCTTTGACAAACAGTACTCATCTATGCAACAATCCACCCCATTGTTATATAAAATGCGCGGAAGCGAACCGGAAGCGCAAAGCCGACACCCGCGGCTTGAAGTATACCCCAAGCCTATTTTAGCGGGAGCGGGGTCCATACTTCTTTTGACACCTTGACTCAGACTTGAACACTTCACTCATTCTTGCTTGTCCAGAATCAGTGTCGCGCATTCAATATCTTGGAAGAAATGTACGTACGTCAATTACAATTGCAACATGCAGTATTGAGTCATTGCCCCAAGCTAACATCAACTCAGAACCCAGATCCACACGCATCAATCAATACCTGAACCAACACACCAATTCCAATCCCTCCATTCTCCCTCAAAACCACCAAAATGCGTCTTCCCTACATCCAAGATCCCCCACCAACAAAAACAGAAGACGAAGCCCGTATCCTGGCAAGCGTCCAAGCCCGCCGAGCCCCAAACCCCCTCCTCCCACTCGACCTAGCCCTCCTCCACTCCTACCCAGTAACAGAAGGATGGAACTCCTTCATCGGCGCAATCCGCACGCGAACAAGTCTCTCAACTGTCGTCCGCGAACTAGCAATCTGTCGCGTGGCAGTAGTCAACGGCGCATTATTCGAATGGGAACAACATGCGCCACTACTGCAGCAGGGCGGGCTGAGCGAGGAGGCATTGGCGATTGTAGGTGATGCGCAGGCTGGTTTCAATGATGAGGGCTCGGGTTCGGTTTTGAGTGCTGAGCAGAGGGCTGTTCTGAAGTATACGGATGCAATGACTAAAACTGTTGCTGTTCCTGATGAGGTGTTTGCGGAGGTAAGAGCTTGTTTTGATGAGAAGGAGGTTGTGGAGATCACAGCTACTGTTGCTGCTTATAATTGTGTTAGTCGCTTTTTGGTTGCTCTTGATGTTGGAGAGAAGAATCATTGAGGTGTATGGAACATACTACAGGGTGGTGGGTAGGTGTTTAGATATAGACTAAATAGATCTATGATTTGCATGATCTGATGCTGTGTAGCTGCATTTCGATCCCATTTGTTGTTGACGATATTTTGTGTTTAGAGGTAGGAGGCTCTTTCGTTATGTACATAGTGGACATCATGCATGGTTGGCGCTTGCTAGGCGCCAAGTTCATGCATATGCAAAATTAACGTTCCTAGTGAATATCTCATTGGATGTGACATCGGATTTAATTCATAACCGGGTTCTGGGTTACCTATCTGGTAGCTGTGTACTACATTGCTTTCTTGTTTGTGGAGAATATTTGTAGTCCCTGCAGTATACTTCCGTCTAGTGACACCTTCTTCTACACTATCCCAGTGAGGTCTTTGTTGAACCTTGTTATTTGCAGAATAAGTATTTTGTTGGTGGTGATCCTTTTTTGCCCGATTCCTTGAATGAAATCTGTATTGATCATTCCTTCTCAGGACTATTTTATGGTCAATCCTGCACTGACTTGTTTGTGTACAACAAGCTTGCAGTCAATGTCCATCATTATCACTTGAAAACAAGCCGAACGACTTTTCACATTTCGTCCAAGCTTTTCTACTCAATGTTTCATCCCATCCCATCCACGAAGATCAAACGAATACCACGCTTGATCGATGGAGGACAGCCACAATGCCAGGAAACAAGACACGTTGAATTGCATCACCCATACAATTAATGCCCTTTTAATCACAGCTAGCATTTAACTCTGGATTAGCTCACATTGGCACTCATTACCCACCCTGAACCGAAACATACCACTCTGCCAGTGCCAGCACCCAGGCAAAAGCCACGTTAAAGAAGGTGATCATGGAATGACAACATGATTGAAGGAGTGATCTACCCAGCCATCATCCTGATTGTGTGTCTGCTTGTTGCTTGTGCCCAAATCACGATTGCCCCACGAATGTCCTAAGCATTCTTATACTATACCCATGCCATAAAGCTGGGGTCGGGCTGGAACAGAAAACCATTGGAGATTGCTCTTGCTGATAAAAGAATGTATCTAACGGCACCTCGCTGCCATTACCTGAAGCTCATCGGAAACTGGTACCGGATGGGAGGCAGAGGCTGACAGCTAGTCTTTTGCCAACACATAGTATTGCTCTTCTACTACTATTCAGTTTGCGAGACTGTCATGATAGGATCGCAAGTATTGTTATTATTCAATCTGCTGACTGGAAGGGGCGATGATCCCATTCTTGTTGCGTGCGTCATAGATCCAGAACAACCGTTACTTAACCGTCACTCTATACCGAGTTTGAAAGATGAAGGACAAGAAGGACTCTTTGGGATTTGTTCAAATAAAACGTTACTTGACCGTCACTTGGTCGTTAGTGGCCGTCACTGCACAAATGTAGATGAAATCTCTTAGTGCCCACATCGGAAAAAGCGCCACTAGAAGAGTTCCACCTGGTCTCCACCAAGACAGTGAATTTGTTAAGACTGTACTGAAAATGCTCGAATTCTATTGCGTACATCTGAGCTAGTCAGAGCCCCTAGAGCCGCTGAAACAGGCTTTGTTGGACTATACGTACGTATCATGTGACGTGAGTCCGAATTTGCAAATGGGCATACCCAGTCCGGACAGCACAGGAGAGAATGAAAAAAAATGGCACAATAGAGAAGTGAATATAAATTCTACCACAATAACAAAGATAAATAACAATACTTCATGAATAACCCCTTTCCTCGACATACAGCCATTGATGTGGCTAGTAGATAACTCACACCTGATTGGCGGGCCGCAACGGGCAGTGGAAACCCCCGTAAACGCTACAAACTACAAAACTACTCTCTTTCTCAACCTCAATCTCTTCGCTATTTCATCCTTCGCCCTTTCCCCTTCCCATTTCTTTTCTTCTCCTGTATTCATTTCTCTCTGTGTCATCCTTTTCCGAGATTACAGATCTCTCATTGTCTCCCTCGCGTTCTATCGCGTCGAAGATCTTTTTTTCCATACTACCCGGCGCAAAGATCTGCGCGCCAACAACACAACTTCCCCGGCGTATTTTTCCTGAGCATCTTTTTATCTGATCTCGTCACCTTCCATCTCTCGTACACCGCGTTGCGCTTTTAAAAGTGCAAAGTCTCATCTACCCAGCCATCCGAGTAAGTACATCCCTGGCAGCCACTCACGTCCACCCTGCACCCTTCTTTGCAGAGCTCACTGACAGCAAGCAGTAATTGGCTGAGACCTGGCTCTTGGTCCACTCAATTTCACACCTCCTTGAACATCTTGAACATCTCATGGTAAGTGGCCTCGTCTTTTGCTCTTTTTTTTCTTCTGGTACTTCCCCGTCCGATCTGCACACATTCCAGGCCGACCGTGTCTTCTTTTTACTTGTATCCCTTTTTATCTTGCTTTTCGATCCCCTGTGATTTGCCCAGTTCCCATGTGTATTGTGTTGGCGATTCTCATACTACCGTGGCCCTTAACTCCCACGGCTGGCGCGGCGATTACTGGCGTCTTGGCACCCGCAAGCGAACCCGAGCTGACCATATCTATACAGATCCTTTCTTGAGATTTCACATTCTCCATTTGAGCCTGGTCATTTTTTTGCTTTTTTATCGCTTGCTTTCTAATTACTCATACCCTCTCTTGTTTTTTGTTTCTCTTTTCCAATATGGCCCCCGTTCCAAGGGCCGATCTGGATGGGGACAACCCTTCCTCGGATATTGGTGACAGTCAGGACTCTCCACTGCGCCGACAATTTTCCGAACCATTCCGCCCTCAATCTACTTCTACTCAGATCTCCCAGTCACCGGAGCCCATCCCGCAACATGTCAAGTGCGATTGGTGCGGAAAGCTTTTAGAGCTTCCTGATGATGAAAACATTTCCGAGGAAGATATTTTGAATGATCACATCAATGATGCTCATCCAAAGACCATCAGTTTTTCTGGATACGATGGCCCCGATGATACTTACGACGACACTGGCGATCTTCAAGATGATGACGCCATTGAAGAAGATGAGGACACTGCAGCTGAACCCCTCAAGCCTGAAGATGGCGAGCCTAACGATGCCGAAGAAATTACCGTTGTGACTAACGGCGAACATGGTGACACTGAAAATATTGTCAAGACTGCTCAGACCACCGTCAATACCAGCCAACTTCCTACAGGGAAGCTCGATCGGATTGACTGGCTTTCCAACCCGCGCACTTCATTTCCGGAGGAATACCGCGCTCGCGAAGCAAAATGGCGCCGCGCAGATGCCAAAGCTCGTCTCCAAAAATTCTGGAATGTCCATGATGTTCATCTGTTTTCCCCTGATTACGATCAGGATGCCTCCAAGTGTGAAGCTTCTTGGGACGCTGCATTCAATGACACAACCAAAATCAGAAAGCGCGATGCTTCTGAACCCGCCAATCACCCTCTACCATACAAGAAACCCAAAGTCGACAAAGGTCAATTCCTGGAAGTCCAAGCTGAAGACATCGACAAACTGGTGAACATGCTCCACAACCACGCCAAATACTCCCCAGAAGAACTTTACGCTCTCACACAAACTGCCTGCTTTGCCATGAAAACCATCCAAGATGAGTATTTAGCACTCGATGATCTCAATCTCAAAGCCCTGCGACACACTCGGGGCGAGGTCTCATATGAGACAAAGCGCCACGCCTCGCAGGGCCACAAAAAGAAAGGTGGTATCCCTCTGGCTCGCGTCAATGAAGATACGCAAGACTTTGCCGAAAAGAAAGAGGCAATGCTCTACGGCTACAAACACCAATATTTCCCCACAAACAACCCATTCCTCCCAATCCGCACCATGCAAGATCCATTCGTCCAAGGAGGCTTTGTTCCTACTCCCGCACAGGCCAGAAAGATGATCGCGAAGAAAAAGGAGACTGGTGAAGGCAATGCTGATGGCTGGGCTACGCTGAAGAGACATGGCCTCGAATACATCCCCCAAGTGTGGGAACCTCGCCGTGAACCCGTTCTCCCCAAGGTCACCCGCAAGCGCAAGGCTGCCGAGGTTGAACTCCCCAAGACCGATGCCGAAGAGACACAGAACGAGACTGAAGAGGATACTGATGACGACAACCACCCCGCAAAGCGACGAACCAGAGGTCGTGGCGGCAAGCGCCTTACTGGCGAATCCATCCAGTTTGACTCTACTCCTCGCCGAGGCCCTGGACCTGGACGTGGTCGCGGACGGGGTCGCGGTCGTGGCGCTGGTCGCCTCGCTTCCACTCGAGCCACCTTCGAGGTCAGCCCAGCTCCACAAACTTCTAGTCGTGGCCGTGGCCGACGCGGTGCAAGCACCTTGGCCACCTCAATTCCACCAGAGACCACCTCGTTCCCCGCCATTGAACCTCGCACTGAAAGCCCTGTCGACGCTCCATCCTCTGGCAAGAAAGAGGCACTGTCTGCCGAGGCCATCGAGGAGGCTCGTCGTGTCAAAATAGCCAACTCAAAGAACCCAAAGCGTACAAAGGCAATGCTGGACCACTGGGACCGGTTCAACCGCGAAGGGCGGATCCGCAATCCAAAGCGATCCAAGGCCCAAATCGAGCAAGACCGTACCGTCGACGGGGACGGCCCTCAAGACCTCCCCAAGCCCCTCGGCCGTCGCAAGCGCTCTCCCTCTCTCGTGCCGCTCGCCGGCAACTTGGCTCCCAAGGGGCCCGGCGGCCTGCCTTCAATGGTCAGCGTACAGGCGCAGCAGCAAATGCCCACCCTCCCTCCAATGGGTGTGCCTCACTACGGCCACGGGCCCGTGAATCCCTACGCTGCTGCGCCTGTTGCGCCTATGGCGCAACTGGGCCAACCAATGCCCGCGCAATACGCACCATTCCCGTATCTCCCTTACGGGATGGGTTCCATCCCGGGTCCACATGACCCGCGGGACCCCCGCCATTGAAGGCAGGTCCGCTCGTCGAGGTGATCCTCGTTCTCTTCTCTCAACAGCTCAATTCTTCTTTACATACTTCTCACTTCAGACACGGGTGGGAGAGAGAGAATGGGGATCATCAAGGCATCAACTGATTAATTCGTTGTTTCTTTTCTGGCCCACCCCTGGGTTGGCCTGAGGCCTTGGGAAGTTACATCTACCTCAATTTGTCTTTACTGCTTGGTGCTTTGTCCTATAAATTGGGCTAGGCCCGCGGTTGACAACCGAGGTAGGGGTACTCCCTGTGGTTGTGGACCTCCCTGGGGGTATGGGTCGGAACTACGAGAATCAGATACATTATCGAGATGCCGGCACCCCCGTGGGGGTACCGGCTCATGTATTCTAGCAAATTCAGATGCTGTACGATTATTATTTCCTCACTTCGTGCCTTATTAACAGGTTGACCTAGAAACAGGAGAGTAAGCTTGATTCAAAGTAGAAGGATCGCGATAAGTATAGAATAGGTGTTTTAGAGATGCTTTAGCAAGTGAGTAACTGGACAGTGAAACTTACCTCTGATAAGTTAAAGCAATCTAACCAACGCAATCACGACAGTCAACGCACTCAATACCCTGGGGACACGCAAGAAATCCAATTTCAAACTACATCCAACACATCTCACACAAAGATTCAAGCTATATAGCCAACTGAGGCGAATATAAGATCATCTATCTCAACATCCGATGGATATTGATCGCTTATCACACGTGATCACCCCATTGCACGTGACGAGCCTTGGCAGAATGCATCATCTCCAAGCTCCGGATTTGCGACACCGCTCCTGGCGCATCATCTTTATCTTCCCCCGCAATCGCGTCTTCTCACCCCGACACACACCGCCATCATGGGCAAGAAGAGACGTGGTCCCTCGCTCGAAGAGCTCCTCGCTCGTCCGTGGTGTTACTACTGCGAGCGCGACTTCGACGACCTTAAGATCCTTATTTCGCACCAGAAGGCCAAGCACTTCAAGTGCGACCGCTGCCAGCGCCGATTGAACACTGCAGGAGGTAAGTGGATCTCATCGAGATACCATCCACCCCTCCCCTTCTCCTCACCGAATCATTGCTAATGACACGCAACTAGGTCTGTCCGTCCATTTGAGTCAAGTTCACAAGGAACAGCTCACCGAAGTTGATAATGCGCTTCCCAACCGAATGGGCCTCGACGTGGAAATCTTCGGCATGGAGGGTATTCCCGATGACGTGCTCAAGGCTCACCAGCAGCGTGTCGCCATGCAGTTCCAGCAGGCCGAGGTGGAGCGACAAGCCGTGACTGGCAACCCTCCCGCTGGCGCTTCCGCTAATGGACAGCCGGCCAAGAAGCCGAAGCTTGAGGCTGCTTCAGATCTTAAGAAGCGATTGGCTGAACACAGGGCCAAGCGGGCTGAGGCACTTGCTGGTGGTAGCAGCGGTGATGTAACCCCCACCAGCGCTGGACAGTCGGCCACGCCAACTGGATTCGTAAGTAATTCATTCCATTTGGCATGACTTTGGGACTGACCGTAATACAGTCGCAACATTCCCAGGCCCCTGCCGCCCCCTCTCCGGATCAGCACCAGTCTTTCCCTCCGACCTTTGGTAGTCCTGTCGCTCCCGCGTTCACCTACCCTCAGACCCACACTGCTCAATTCCAACCCTACGCTGCCAACGGTAACCAGACTCCTGATATGGCTGGCCTGGCTCAGCCTTTTGTGACTACCGGATACGCACAGCCATTCGCCCCGATTCCCGGACAGCCAACAACTTATGGGGCTCCTCCGTCCTTCCCTCAGCAACCCACACCTCCCGAACACAGACCGAGTGGCTTGCCAGCTGCCTCCAACCTCCCACAGCGTCCTTCATTTGGCGCACCTACAGTCAACGCACACCAAATGCAACAGATGCACATGGGCCATGTCCCGCATTCACAGGCAACTCCAACCCACAATGGTGATGGAGCTTTCTCCCAGTCTGTTGATGATCTCATTTCAGGAGCAGCGAATGCCGCATCGGCATCCAAACCGACAGAGGGTGCTGAAAAGCCAGCTAAGAAGGACAAGTCGAAGCCATCCGGACACATGATTTACTCTCATGATACTATCAGTCCAGAAGAGAGAATGGCCGAGCTTCCCCGCTATGCATTCGTCCCCGACAACACCACCGAAACCACCCTCGGAGAGGTTCCCGCCACCGCAGTCGTCGGAGCTGTTCAAACATCCGACACAGTGATCGACCCAGCCCATTAGATTCTGCATTGTCCCCCCTGTGGTGTTTACAAGTGATGGATCACGGACCCAGCTAAGTTCGACACATATCAAACCATTCTAGCTATCTACACATGAGCATTTCACTCTCCGGCGTTTCCCGGTGTCCCCATGGCATCCCGTTGTTATCTGTTTCAGAGTCCCTGATCCAATTTCAAATCAGTAGTTCTGGCGAGTCCTCTCACCATCCCATCTTCTTTTGCGACAAGACAAGATTACCCGAGGAGGCGTCAGTACTGGTGAGTTCATATCAGCCATACGAAAATACGAAAATGAAACTGGAAAGGAAAGAAAGACGTTGGGGCAACACCGTCAAGTTGCTCGTGTGCAAGTGTGCAAGTGTGCATGGCTTGAACCAAATGGGGATCGTGTCTAATCTATTCTGAGGAAATATCGTCTCGAAGGGGGTGAATCGACTTTCCACCTCGACCAGCCTCAGTACGTGTTCTCTGCCCTTTGTTGCATCTTTTTTTTTTTGCATTGTTTTTTTCTTCCACTCCGAGGTGTAACCCTGGCTCTATCCCATCTGGTTTGATGTGCATACCTCCAGGTATGGCGATGCCATTTACTCTCGACGTAAGTCTCTAGCGTTTCTCTCGATCTCGAGGTAGGGATTACGTTCCCGTTTGGGCGTTCTGGACTGGGTTTTGTGGATTGTTTATCTACACAATGGACTTGATTTCTGTACTCTTGTGCATACTTGTAGTGACAAGTAGACTATAGATTGTAAAAAGTGGTATGCTAATTCAATCGAGGCGAGTATTGGCATAGATGGTAGCAACTTAAAGAGGTGAGTACGTGTATGCAAGTACCAGCATCCAAACGAAGCACATTATATCATCACCCTCAATCGCCAATCCCCCACCAAAGCAAATCCACACCCAGTCCCTTCCCTCAAGACATGAACTCAAAACTCCCACTCAAACAGTCCTCTTCTCCCGAAAAGCCAAACCAAAGATGAAAAGCCCATAAGTAGCCAAAACGGACAATCCAAGCGGAACCGGCTTGCCGCCTGTCTTAATAACACGAGGGATAGAGCTACCACCCAGCACGGCAGATGCCAGCAATCCCAATTCCTCGCCGTAGGATTGGCCTGTGCGCAGTCGGAGGAAGGCTAGTAGGTACACGAATCCTACGGAGAGGCCGGCTGCTATGCTTGGGATTGAGCCTGTGCGGGCGTAGCCGATTGCCCCGCCTAGCGATGTCAGGAGGGAGAGGGTTATTGCTGAGGTTGTTGGGAGGGTCTATTTGGAAATTGTTAGTTTGGTGTTTGGTTATGGGGTGGAAGTGGTGTTGGTGTAATGTTTTGATTTGTTTGGGGTTGAGGTGGATGTTGAGGTTGGTTGTGATGGTGGGATTCGAGGCTTACCATCTTGGAGGATTGATGTCGATTGTCGGTCTCTTATTGGGGGTTGGATGTGAGTAAAGGTAAGGAGGGGAGAGAACTAGAGCTGAAGATGGATCTCCAAATGTCGGCGGTCATGCCATTGATTAGTCATATGACGCAGTCTGGGGTAGTTGTGTGCATAGCATAACGTTTTATAGATCGCAGTTGGATTTACATTTGGAGCTCCTTTTATTTTCTTTGTTAGCCTTTGTGACGTGTTTGTTTAGTTCGTAGAACTTGAATGCTAAGTATGGTCGTTTTACACAATGACCCATGAGTCTACTCTCATACAGTAGTGTTGATGTAGCCAATCGGCGCCCAGAGAAAATGCTTATATTGTCTTCGTGTGTATTTGCCTAAGCCACATACAAGAAGCAACCCCGCTATAATAGTATGTTCGATTTTGAACACAAGAGACAGTGGCCTATCTACTGCAACAATTTAGTCGCCGCCTCGATCCGTCCCAGAATGATAGAACTCCATTTCTATACCGCATGTTAGTAAAGCCCGGAAGGGGTATCAAGATCAAAACATACCTTGGCATTTTTGATATCTCCGGCGTCAAGACTCTCCACCAGGCCAGGGTAAGTAGCTCCAGCATAGCCGGTCCAGATACCAGGGGCAAAGACAACGTGCTTGAACCACTCACGGCCATCCAAACCAGGTTGGTACAAGAATGCTTGTTCAATGCTCTTATACTTCTTGTTGGTGGCACGAATCTGGAACCAAAGTCTAACCTTCTTCCACCAGTGATACCATGGTACATCTTCACCGAGCTGGGACGTCAAATCAGCGGAATAGGCATCGAATGCCTTTGCGACTTCCTGGAACTCCAGAATGGCTCTATCTAGAGGCGCGAAGTGGAATCGTGTGTTCCCTGGGAGGTTGTCCGCCGAAGGCTTAATGCGGTCCAGGTAGGATCCCAATCCCAAGGCATAGTCGGTAGCGTTTAGCGCAAGGAGAGGGGATTCGACCAGTTGAGCGGCGGTCAGAGCCCAGAGCTTTGTGCAGGCTTGGTGATAGAGGAAGTCACGATCACCGTACTTCTCCATCCATTCAAAGCTGTCGTAGTTTGAGTGGTAGTGATATACAGGGTCAGTCTTCCCGCGGCCAAAGCCGAAATCAAGACTGGCGATGCCAGCAAAATCCTGGAAGGCAGTAAAATCACTACCACTGCCCATTGTTGCAATCTTGCCGTTCCACAAATCGCGGACTGTCTGGCCTCGAACTGTTTGGTTGGGGGACTGTACCAAGCCGGTGACATCGTTGATGACCTTGTTCAGGAGGGGACTAGCTCGAGGCTCAAAGTTAGTACCAGCAGCAGCAACATCGACGTTCAAGTACGCGATGTTAGCTGCAGAAAGCCAGGGGAGATATTCCTCAACCCACTCGGTCGAACCAAGCAAGCCATATTCCTCGCCATCCCAGCTGGCAAAGACGATAGTGCGCAATGGCTTCCATCCAGCTTTGAGAGCCTCACCAAAGCTGCGGACAACCTCGTTGAGCGCAGCAGATCCGCTGTTTGGATCACCGGCACCACCAGCAATCCACGCGTCACGGTGGTTGCCCAGGATGACAACCTCGTCGGAGATGTGACCCTTGATCACACCAATGACGTTCCACAAGGGGGTCGTCACATACTCCTGCTCGTTGTCGAGGTTAATGACTACATCTTCGGGTGATGGTCCAATGTTGTACTCGACACCCTTATGACCAAGACCACCGCCCTGCCACCACTCATTGTAGTCGGACGCCTTGGGGCCGTGCCCGTTGAGGGCCTTCAAGAAGGGTAACACCTCATTGTAAGAGATGGGCAGAGATGGGATGGAAGGAATAGATTTATGGGGATCCTGTCGTTCGCATCCAGGCTTAGATGGGTAGCCTGGGGTTGTGGGGTCACCGGGAAGGATACTCAAGAATTGTGTGCTACCTCTCTGGATCGCACTTGGGTTTCGCGCCGGTCCGTTCGGATACGCCTCGTAGCCGTTTTCTTCAGTGATCTCTCCGTCCTCCTGAGGGTCAGAGTAGATAACAACACCGACCATTCCAAGTTCCTGTGCACGCTTCACCTTTAAGCCACGGAAGTTACGACCATACTTGGCAATCGCAATCTTACCCTCCAAGGTGATGTTGGAATTGACAAGATCCTCGTAGTCCGCGTATGTGCCGAAGTTAACATACACATACTGGGCGGTCACATTGCCACTAGCGGAATAGCCATGGAAGGCTGGGACACGGTCGGGCAGACTGGAAGTGGGATCCTCTTCCAAGACATCTTCCTCTAATGTAGCCTCAAAGGTAACCTCGGTCTTATCATCCGACTGCTTCAGCAGAGCCAAGCGGTGGTCAACCGGGTAATTGAGGTAGATATCGTAAGTGGCGAGACTGGTATCTTCAACACCAAACTCCTTCCACTTCTCCATTGTCCAAAGAGCTTGGGACAGGTTCTTACCCGCCAAGTGCGGTCCCGCAGTATAGTAGTTGCTCCACTCACGAGCCTTGGCCGCAGAGGGAACATTGAGGAGGATCTGCTGGAGCTGATCGTACGGAAGACCATAACTTTCTGGCCATGCGTCATGAGGAATTGGATGAGACCATGGGAGATAAGACCAGATTGAGCCATGCTCCCGAGGCAAGATGGCGGTGGGGATCAGGAACAAAGTTGTTGCCAAAACAAGTAAAGCTCCAAGGGAGATAGTACAAGCTCGACGGAGGACATGATGTGGGTATCGATGTCGCTGAGGAGCGACGTGGACCTCCAGCAGAGGTGTTGTCTCCGAGTACGGCATGTCTTTCTCCCTCATCTTGGATGAAGAAGAAGAAAAGGACGAGAGTCGAGCTTCTCCGCATGGATTGTATCATCGACCGGCGGCGGGACCCGCCTTATCAGCTGACTAATGTATCTGTTCGGCCTTGAAGATGAGGCAGCTATCTCTTTTTCTTCAGGTGTCTATATATGCCTGAGGCCAACATGGCATCCGCGCATTCGGTGCCCTAAAAGATGTCCCCGTCGGCTTAAATCTGTTTGCCCGGGAAGCCATGCTTATGTGTAAAAATTGTGGGAGCTTGGAACATTAGAAGTTCTTCTGTCACCATGACATTAGGATCCATCTTCCTGAACTGGAAATCAGTTCTCAGATTTTTAAAAGTCAGAGTAGAGGGAAGAGAAATCGAGAGAATCAACTGCATTGGAGTCGAATGCATTTAATTGGTGCAAGTAAAGACTTCTCTTACGGCTCAATCTTCGCATTTGCATAGGCGCGTTTGGATGATTCACCAGTTGAAGGGAAGCACTACAATAGCGGACATAAGTCTGTTCACAGTGTCACGAAGTATTGGACGGTTCTTCACAAAATTCTCGAAGTGAATGTGTCATTTCATGCATCATTTCTGCTCTGAATTAACTGTGCTTTCTTCACTTCTTTTCTGCTCATTTTTGCTCATTTTCAAGGGCCTCGGGTGAGCCATTGACATATAAATGTGGAGGTGGGAAGAACTGATGGCCACTGTTGTACTTTGGCTTTCTGTGCGATCATGGAAGGCGACCGGAGCAAGGGGGATTTGGTATTAACTTTTCTCGAGAGGCACTAGTCACATGGACGAATATATTTCTTTGCCATCTATACATGCCAGCAAAAGGTAAGATTACTTATAATCAACCTAAACCGCATTCGGATAACATTCAAGATAAACATGCTATTCTGGATTTTACAGTCTACATGTTAGCTACTTTATTCTATCTATCAGATCTGCCTTGAGACTCTTCTCTCGCAGTAAGGGCCACCTTTGCAGCAGCCTCCCCAGCGCGGCGTCCAAAAACCGCACCCGACGTTAACCCACTACCTCCAGCATAATTGTTATAGAAGAGACCGCCCATCATCTCACCCACACAGAACATGTTTGAGAGAGGCTCTCCGGTGGTGGATCGGATAAGCCGGGCGTCCTTTGGATCGACGGCCAATCCTCCAAACGTGAATGTAATGCCACAAGATACCTTTACAGCCAAGAAGGGCGCTGTTTCAATTGCCAACGCCCAGTTTGACTTCGGAATCTCCAACTGCTCAGCACTTGATTCGGTTGAGACTCCATCACGGATTGCCGGGTTCCATTCCGCAGTTGTGTTCTCACGGCGATAGGCATAAACGGCTTCGTTGTACTCCTTAACAGTCGCCACAAACTGATCACTCTTCTGCAAACCTCGCTGGGCGCAATTCTCTGCTAATTCCTCTAGAGTGTCTGCGGTGATACGTTCAACTCGCTCATCACGATACTCTTCCTCACGAAGCCAGGGGGTCGTTTGGGCGTCCCAAACCTGAAAAACAATGTGCTCCGGCTGTGCTAAAATAGCCTTTCCAAAACGAGCGTATGTATAGTTTCGCAAATCGACCCCCTCATCAACAAATCGCTTTCCGTGAACATTCAGCATTAGACCTAGAGGATATCCGGACTTGGTGTATTCATTGGAGGCTTCACGATCACCAACATTGGGATTTGCATTTGCATCCCAAGCAACGGAATGACAGCCAGACCAGTTGCCCACGGGCTTGGCATCCAGTTCCCGAATGGCGAGTTCCAGACAGTCTCCTGTGTTGTATGGCGTGCCTCGGACCATGGCCATATCCCAGCCTGGGCCTAAGTATTGGCATCGCATGCGGGGGTTGGCCTCAAAGCCGCCAGCTGCGAAAATGAGGGCGTGGGCCTGAATTGCTCCCTCAACGCCCCCGTGAAGCACAGAAGCTTTGACGCGTAAAGCATTTGTCGCTGCGTCTGGATTAATCAAGGACTTTTGAACATCAACCCCAGTCAAAGCTGTTGACCAACACATAGTGACACCATGGCGATGCGCAGCTGCTTTGTGGTCCTCGACGAGCCCCTTTCCGCCATCTTGTGTTTTCAACGCTAGTCCACCCCAAAATTGGTATCGATCATTCAATTTGTATGCTTGACGATTGAAGGAAAGCTGAAACCGGATCCCATTCTTGGCAAGCCATTTGATCGCAGAGTTGGATTCGGAGATAAGAGTATGCGCAAGTTGTGGATCGGAACGGCCCATACATATGCGATGCATGTCGTTGGCAAAGTCATCCTCCGAGTAAGGACCGAGGTCGATTCGGCTTGCCAGATCTTTGTCGACATTGTTCACTACAGAGAGAAGATCCGAAAGACCTCCGTGAACAGTCCGATATGCACCGGCAGTGAAGTATGTGTTGCCTCCTGCCCATTCTTCTGGGCATTTATCAATCAGAACAACTGATTTTGCCCCGGATTGAACGGCGGAAACAGCTGCGGAGAACCCCGCATTGCCGCTCCCTACAACCAAGACGTCGCATTCGCTTGGGAAGGTCATTGTGAGAAAGGAAGACGTATGAAATTCCCGAAAACACAAATGTAATGAAAGACATGTGATTTTCGATGATATCTGTAGCAGTCAAGAATTCCTACAAGTGAATAGTAGGCATCGGAGAGTTCTCCACATGTTGAGTGCATTTGATGGCCGGCCCTCGGATATAATGTTGCTTCGTTAGATCGACAGCGGTCTCGCAAGCGGAGTTTGCGCAGCATACTCCGATGGACGGCTCTTTTGAACAGAAGGAATCCCCTGGAGGTTGCTCCTCCAAAACTTCGTAGTAGGAACTGTGCAACTTTGACTATATGACTTTCCCATTATTTGTCAAGGACAGTCCGGTCATCATCCGGAATTCTCCCCCAGGCAGTTTTGAACTGAGCTGTTGATTCTTTCCATGTCAACAGCACAGAGCTAAAAAAAAGATCAGCGCTTGCCTATGCGCTTTCTTGCAGAGCTCCATAGGAACTAAATGGCCACAAGGAAGAACAGTTCCTTGCACAAAGCCACAAGAGGCGCCACTAGTACCTCCCACGCCAGTACTAATACTCTGTGACTTCACTTGGTGGGAGCTGGAGACAAGAGGTCTGAGCTCTCACCAAACAAGTAAAGAACATTACGCCTCAACCCCGGCACCCGGCGGGAGATCTGCGAGGTCGAAAAGAGGCACAAAAGGAGAGGCTAAAGTTGGTTCCCAAAATACATGGAATGGCAACTTGCTCCGCGGCCTTCCGTCCAGTATTTTAAATTACATTATACGGCCTCATAACCCCCTGGAGTACACACTTGAAACTTCAGTCGAGGCCTCCCCCAAGCCAATGCAGTCTGACTCTTTATCATGCAAGGTTGCCCATGGGACGACAGACTGTATACCGGCTTTTCGCTGCCACTTCCTCTCCCTTTGATATATCAAAAAACCCCAGAAAATGATTGCACAGGGCAGAAGACTATTCTGGTTTTGACGGAATCTTCTTAAATAATGAGTCCGGCCTCATTCTCAAAATGTACATCAACCCCTGAAGACAAATTGAATGTGGAGGTTATGTTTTAAATGTTCTCACGCCATGGAGTCTTGGTTTGTGTCACTGCGTGAATAAATCTCAATGAGATAACATCGATTCAACTAAATTCTCCCTGTAACACAGGTTTGCAGATGTATGTGATAAATGGCTGAACTTCAAGTCCCGAGGCTTAACAGCTTCGAAAACTCCCCATTCGGTGCATTGAGTAAATCAGTAGGATGTCCTACCTCCATGATTTGACCACTGCCGAGAACGGCAACCTGATCGAAATCCAGCAATGTGTTGATTCTATGCGCCACCATGATCACGGTACAGCCCTTGAAGGAATCCCGTATGACCTGCTGCACCTTCGCATCAGTTTCGTGGTCCAAGCTATTTGATTCACTTGTTAGCCATGATGCAAGGGACGCGGTATAACTTGGGCGAAGAAAAGCATGAACATACCTGCTCGTTGGCTCATCCAATATCAAGATTTTACTTCTCTTCAGCAGAGCTCTAGCTAGACAGAAGAGCTGTTTCTGGCCCTGGGATAGACTGTTATCGCCTAGTGCTGAATCTAGCACCTCTTCTTCGGAACCACTGTGGCTCGCGGTGAGGACGCTCCAAACTCCGACAGAGTTCAATGCTTCCACAATCTCCCTGCTCGAAACTTTGCCTTCTGGATCAGCATTATCCCTAATTGTGCCTGGGAAGTAAAACGACTCTTGGCTTAGACAACTGATACGCCGCCGAATTGAGGGCCGGGGCATCAGGGTGATATCTTGTCCATCGATGAAGATTCTGCCGGATACAAGCTCGTTGAGACGTAGGAGGGATAGTGCCAATGTACTTTTGCCACTATTTGTAGTCATTTGTTAGATTGGTGCCTGAATATTGAAACTCATGATTCACCCGGAGGACACCTACCTTCCAGATCTACCACATAAGCCAAACTTCTGTCCGGCTCCGATTCGAAGGTTGATGCAATTGAGCAAGGGCTTCGTATCACCGATATTCCAAGCGATCCCAGCATCCTTGAATTCGATCTCACCGCTGGTCGGCCATTCCGAAAGTTCATCATGTGTCTGAATAACCAAGTCATTCTCTTCATGGGGAGTTTCCTCAGCAAACGCCTTGATGCGTGCAATAGCACCCAGTGACGTCTCAAGCAATGTCCAGTTCTGAATCAGCTCTGACAAACCGCGTCCTAGATCCATCATCACGACAAGGGCAACTCCTAAGAGGCCTGGGTCTAAACGAGAGCGAAGAGCGACTGATAATCCGACAAGCAGCACTGCCATGCCGGCCACAATCAGGTTCAGAACAAGAGCAAGCCAACGTTGAATGCATAGGAGAAGGTAGTAAGGTCTTTGTGCAGTGTCAAGTATCGAGAGCATTCGGTTCGACGTTGCATGAGTCCAGGCAAAGGCGCGAATAGTGGTTAATCCTGCGAGTGACTCGATAAAGTGGGTATAAAGAGGGCTCTTGAGCTCGATCCTGAGAGCATATTAATGTTGGGAGACAAGGGCAAATTCATAGAGCCCGTTGACTCATCATTTCCATAGAACGGCAACTTACTCTAGTAGTCGTAGCTGACGAGACGTCTGGAGATAAAAGCTCTGGATCAAATACAAGACTCCGAATAGAGGGGGCAAAGCCGCTGCTAGGTATGGGAGCGAGGCAATGGCAATGGCACCTTCGCCAATAGCACCAAAAAACACTGGAGAGTGGTAAAATCAGAATTTATTACCCCCAAGTTGTGTCTCCCAGCTTACTGATTACTGTAGAGAAGAAGGCTCGAGGAAGGATCATGTCAACTAGCCTCATATCCTGACTGAAACGCGTCACCAGTGCTCCAGTCTCAAGGTTGGACAGGAAGAACAAGGGTGCGCTATGGTAATTAGCTAATTAATATTTCCATTTTGCGAGCTACTCACGCCATGGAAGTGCGTAGCACGGTTGAGTGTAGGTTCTTGGAAGCCAATGGGACAATTATGACCCATACCCAGCTATCAACAGGTTAGAAAGTTCAATAAAGGAACGAGTGTATCAGGCAAAGGTATGGAACATACAAAACGGCAAGCATGAGCGCAAGAGCCTGGATTACAGAGAATGCTCCATAAATGCCAAGCCAGTAGCCAAGGCGCGAATTACTATCACTGCTGGAAGACCAGAGGTCGACCCACACATCTTGGTAAGAGTTAACTGGATGCCATAGTCCATGATTCCAAATGGTATCTCATTAACTTACAGCGGAATGCATTTGTACCACTCTCTGTGACGATGAAGAGAAGCAACGCCGCCATTCGTGCCCAGCCTAAAGCGGAAAAGTAATACTTATACACAGCAAGATCAGTTTTCTTTCGACCGCCCTCTTTGGAAATGCCCAAGGTAGGAGTCAGAGGGACCGTGAGCAAGGCTTTAGAGTCGGTGCTTTCTTCCACTTCATCTGGTTGTGTCGGTGGAACTTCATATCTCTGAACAAAGCTGACAACTTCCTCTCGGATTTCGGCATAGCTTCCTTGCTTCATGACTTGGCCATTGTCGCCGAGAACCATAATTAAATCAGCCTGGGGCAAGTACTGAGCTGGTATATGGTTAGCCAGGTTGGTTTTCTGTGAATAAATTACACGTACTGCTGTGAGTAGCCAGAAACACGGTAGAGCCCAGCCGACGCAGCAGACCGGTCGAACCAAAGACATTTTGGAACACAGTTCTGGCTGTAGAATTGTCCAGACCACTTAAAACATCGTCAAAACAAGCGATCTTTCTGCGAGCATATAATGCTCGTGCAATAGCCTGTCCAAACCAGGATATAAGTATATGATCGAGTCTTTCTCGACATCTAGATGCGTAAACTCACAATTCTCTGTCTCTGTCCTCCGCTGAGTTTAGATCCTTTGCTCCCAACAATGGTTTCGCCGCCGGCCGGCATTTTCTGGATATCCAAGTCCAGTCCACATGCACTAACAACGGTCTGGTACCAGGCGGGATCAAAAACAACGAATGTGTCTTCACCAACAATATTGCTCCAGATGGAAGAATTGGACAGCCAAGGCGTGTCATCACAGAAGGCCAAGTTCGGGTATTGTAAGAAGAGGTCCCCTTCCAACACTGGCGTCTCTCCCGCCAGACCCTTGAGAAAGGTAGACTTGCCACAACCGACTGGTCCGACAATTATGACAAGATTTCCAGAAGCAGAACTTTCCAGTGTAAGATCGATGCCAGGGATCTTCGGTGTAGAAAGAGACTTCCAACCGAACTTGACATTTTTCAGGGATAGGACCACCCCGTTTTCGCTTGTACTGTGTGGTAGTGGTGAGAATTGGGGCAGCTCAATACCAGAGAGACTACTAGACGATGTGGGGCAAGTCGATAAGGGTTCGGGAAGCTTTCTCTTCTCTGTGTAAAGTTAATACTTCTTAGTTTTCTCAGACTTACAATGAGGATCCCGGGAGCACAGTCAAATGATTCAAACATGGATACTGGAGCTCTTACCAAGTCGATTCTGGTTCTTAAGAAATTCTTGTATCCTATGCAAGCAACCTATTGAAGCAAAGGTATCTGGAATCGCGAGCAAGAGATAGCTGAGAGGTGTTATCATCAAGGTAATGAGCGACAGCGAGGTGATGGCCTGGTTGACGGCAAGGGGACCGGATTCCCGCACGAGTGCTACTATCGCATAGGCAGCTAGTGTCGCAAATTGCCCAATGATGATAGGGATGTTGACTAGTATTACGTGTCAGTACGATCAAGGCTCGCCATAGCGAATTAGTTTCCCATGAACAGAGAAAATGGCAAGCACATACCCATGCAAACACGAATTGATTGGATCCGGCGGAATTTCTTGGATATTTCGAGCTCCTCTGTGCGCAATGCTTCGATTTTGGAGCCCATTATCTCGGCTAGACCGAGGAATTTAACGTTGCGAATAGATCCTAGGATAGAGGATGTGAAGTTGATTCGCTTCTCCGTGGCCTGGAGCCAGTTTTTCTGTCGGGTGGAAACAGCAGATCCCATAGCAAAGGAGGCACCCACAAATACTAGCTGGCTGTGTTAGATCGTATAGAATGTGGGGCATGGATAGAACTTACTTATCACTATCAAGAGAGGAGCAATACATACGGCGCCAACCTGGGCCTCTAGCAACCATGTAGCCAATGCTAACTGAAGCACATTTGCCCACGTCTCACAGACCACTGAAAAGAAATACTCAGCGAGCATTTCTATGTCGGAACCCATAAGCGACATTGCACTGGATTCATCTGTGCTGCCCAGTGGTAAGTCCATCATATGCTGGAAGACGATACTCATCAAACCTCCTCGGAGCATTGTTGTGGCACGATATCCCAGGTGTTCATAGGAAGCTCGCGCAACCTATCGTGGAATATAAAATTAATTTCACGCCGAATGGCGAGATGTGACCAACTTACCGCAGTCCCGATAAAGAGAATTGCAGTGGCTCCAATCAAACCATAGCTGATGTCAATTGAGAAAGAGTCGGATCGCTGCAAAACACTGACGACTTTTCCAATAAGGAATGGTTGTGCAATACTGAATCCTACGACGCAAAGACGCGGAAAAGCGATAGTCGCAATTTCCCAGCGCAGACACTTGATCACCGCCCAAAGCAGCGCATTTTTCCCACTTTGGTCGGACCGAGCCCATGTGTTTGCGAACCGAGCAGATAGCTCCGAGGACAAAAGCTTTTCGTGGATATTCGGGAGATCATCCCCAGCCAGTGATTCAGAACGGCCTCTCCATAGTAGCCCATTCAGCCAGGTGAACAAGCCTCGTGAGAAGGGCCCGCTCACACTCTCCTTGGAGGGATACTTCTCGGACGACAGAAGCCACTTCTGCTTCTCGACACTCGCGAGTGCCAGTAGAACTGTCTTGACAGCCAGAGAAGTAGACAGAAGAATCGAGTAATTTCCATTGTGCGGCGTCAACCAGGCTGTACGCACACGGGCGAGATCCAAAATCACGGTGATAAACAGGTACCCAGATAGCAAGAAGGATGGTCGGATTGATCGGACATGCTCTAGATCAAGAAGTAATGTCATACTCAATGCCGCTAAAAGGTCGAGAACGGCACTTGCAAGCAGTATCTGCCCTGCGCCGCGATACTTTGCAACGATCACAATCAAAGCAATCTGAATAGCTGCAAAGGTCGCCGAGAAACTCTGAAAGAAACCAATCTCAGTTATCAAAATCACTCTCGGGTGGTCGGAGTCGCTTACCAGGGTCACCACTCGAAATGCGGAAGAAAGCACCTTCCTCCGCTGTCTAAACAGGTGGGCCAGACGTAGCGATGCCAAGAGAAGGAACAGCGCGGCTGGAAGGACGCTCAGCATACCGGACTCGAAGAGGACAGTGAAGTCGAATCCACCACGACAGTCTCTATCGACGATCGGCCCAAACTGGCCATCGTCGCATGTGCCCATGGCGCGAATGGCACTGAGCCAAGAAGACGGAGACTGAAAATTTGATGTGAGAAGATGAGGCTCTTGTGAGAACAAGGAACTTAGTCTTAGATGTGAAATGGTGGCATGTGGAGACTTCCAGTATAATTTTATAAACGTCAGCTCGGCGCTCGGCGCTCGCACTAGCAAGTAAAAGTGCTGCCTGATAGGAGGCTGTTGTTTGGGTTGACTGAAATCAAATGCTTTCTTTGTCTGGCGCAACTAGCACAGACTTGCTCATATCAATCGCTCGGTTTGGAGCCGCAGAGGCCAATAACAGGCGCACCGCATAGTAAAACTGCTAATTCGGGTATTATTGTTGCAAACAATCACGACCAGATCAATCTCCATGGATCATTTTGGACTTTAACTAAGCCTATCAGGCAATCTTGGCAGTAAGCTTCGCCGCCGGAGATCCGATGGCGCCCTAAGTCGGCGTCTGCCTTGACAGCCAATAATTGCTATCTCAATTGATTGGTCCTCGGAGTTCGGAGTTAACCCAGTCGATATTGTCTGGCTTCAGGCTCCTGATGTCGATTGGGCTAATGAAGAGTCTTATTGTTACATTCAATGGAAGTCCATACTTTGATATGAGACAAGTTATAGAAATTCACATTGAAGCATTGGACATCATCTGTAATTACTATTGCTGTCACTCACCTCCTCTGGTTTAGGAGTCCGAACAAACAACAAGCATTAAGCACAAGCCGGACGACGCTGCAAGACCAAAATATAGCAACCCAAGTGCCACACCTCCAATTCTCATTCCCGTTTCAAATAACCACGCAAAAATAGGTCCTGCAAATAGCGACCCTGCTGTTTCAACTATGCCAATGACCATGTTGAATTTGTCTGTATCCTGTGGTGCTACATAGCTTGTTGCAAGTGAGCGGCACAGCGGTGCCAAATTTGACCCGAAACTATGCACTGCAAGTCCGGTCATTCCCATTCCTATCTGTGGTGCCGCCGTGCAAAATGCGTCGATAGCGGCGAATTCAATTGATGCACGTGCGAGTATTAAATCTTTGATGGCGGGATTTCGATATCGCAGAAGCCTCGAGAGCATAGGAAGTATTAAGAGCAAGACGGCCATATGAATGAATCTACGAACCGTCACCAAATAGCCCGTCTTGCGAGTGGCTGCTTAAAGCGCTTGCTTATGTATATATGAATTGGGAAGTGAGGACAGTAGAAGGTGACTTGACCAGCGGCACAATATACAGGATACAGCTCCTTGGCGATCGGAAACATGGGTAAAGACGCAGTGAGGTTCTTTGCATACGATGCAAATACAGGAAGATCAGCCGGTCCTAGAGGCCGAGCTGGCTTTTTCCAAGGCATTTTCAGCGGGATGTGCGTTGGCGCTGCTGAGAGTGTGCTCCTCGCCATGAGGCCTTTGGAAAGGATCAATTCTGTGTTGATTCAGGACGCGAAAAGAGGCAAAGGTCAACTCCAAAGCATTTCAGTTGCGCTTCGATCTATCTTCCGGGCTCAGGGTTTGACCGGTCTTTATAAAGGGCTTCTTTCTACGACTCTAGGCAGGCTTCTACATCTGCGGTCAAAATGAAGATTGATAGCCAAATAAGGGAGCTGAGTGAGCTTCATGGGGTGGTGCATAATTCCGTGACTACGATTTTGATGGGGTCTAGTCCATGGTTGGTATCATACTGTTTATACCACGCAGTCGTTTGATTCTGTCAAGGCACGTGCTCAGGCACCGGGGCTGTCGGGACTATAGAGGTTCTCAGAAGCATTTTCTTGGATCATAGGGTCAAGGGCTTTTGGCGTGGTAGTAGTATGCGACTTGGGAGGCTTACTCTTGGGAGTGGTATTGTCTTCACTCTCTATGAAAAGACTCGTTCTATCTTGCAGGCCACTTTGCTTCCTGGGAAATGAGAATTTTTTCTGTCCTCCATTTAGATTTTAAAGATTTTATTAGACAATGAAATGTACTTCATTCCAATATGGACTGATGAAAGACAAGATAAATTTAAAGAAATTGGTATCCCACTAAATGCAACAAACATCAGAGGTATCAGAATGGGCAGTCTATGTACAGTCGCTCAAGTAAGTGAAACTATCCTGACACGGAATAGTAACGTACGAAAATGCTTTCAAAAACATTGTGGTATAAGATGTAAAAGTAATCCGCCTCAAAGATCAACATCATCCGGAATCGGTATCACATCATTCAACGCCGGGTTGAGTCTCTCACCAATCTCAATACTCTCCCTCAAGATCTGACGTGCAGCCTCATCGCTGACATTCATATCCTCCTTCACTAATCTTACCGCCAATTCAGGCACAAGAACAGATTGTGCGTAGCCAGCCACACCGGCAGTCTTGGCGATATGATCCGACGTTGCCAGACGACGGAGTCGCAAAGAGAATCGGTCAATCACAGCTTGCAACCTAAATAGATAGGAACGATCAACATATTTGTGGCAACAGCAGGGACACGGTCAATCGCATACATTTTACCTGCACCCTTTGTCCCATAATAACCACAAGTAATCGATTCAAGTCCATCGCCATCCAAGGTCAAACGGAAGTTCTTCGCCTGTCCAGACTTCATGCTAGTATCAAGAATATTCCGATAATAACACGAAGTATCGGGAACAAGTAGCTTTTCCAATTCAGGGAAGTGGCCCTGAAGTCGCTCGTCGAACGTGTCCCAATTGATTTCGGGATATCCCTTTGCTTCCCATTCTCTCATCGCACTGCGCTCCTGGTGAGATGCGCAGAATTGTTGTTGTTCACGAATACGTTGTTTCGGCTGTGCTTCGAACAGCTTTAGCATCTCCCGGTCGACTTCTGCTTTACACATTGGACACAGGGCTTTTTGAGCTGAAGATGGTTGTCGGTCCTCGAGTTGAGACATTTCCTCGCACATAGAACTTGATGGTGAGCTGAGCGGGCTGTTAAGGGACGAGTCGCTGTCTTGCAGTAACAGCTGCTGTTCTTTGGAAGATAAAGTGCCAAATGAAGACGCAGAGAAAGATTCATTGGGCAAGATAGGAGGAGGTATGTTTTCCGAAGCTCCGTTCTTCCTTCTGCCAGCAAAAGATCTCCTAGGGCTCGAAGAAGGCAAATCCTTAGGCATTTTAAACGTCACTTCAGGTTCCTCAGGTTCCTCCGGTTCTTTGTTCGCATTGTCTGGTTGCTTCGCGCTAGACTTCAGTGTCTTGCTTTTTGCGGGCGAGGTTTTACCGCTCGCAGCTGGCGGCTTGCTTACACTTGAATGCCTTGAAAGTGGTTGGGGTTTCGCGTACGTGGCCCGCTTGCGCTTGGAGCTTTGCGAAGACATAAAATGCGGATTGTTCTCTTCATCACTCATGCCACCGTTGGTACGCACAAACGTGCTTTTGTGGTATGATCCACTATAATTCTGCGGACTGCCTTGCGAGATAACATAGTCATCCGCCAGCCTCTGCTCCATGGTTGTGTTTGTTCGGTCGTTCCTGCGACCTTGAGAGGCATCGCTATCATTGTCTGCCTCTTCATCTTCCGAGCTAAGTGGTGCGTCATCTATCGCGGGTTCGTATGATTGCGTGGGTTTCTCGATACTAGGTTGGATATCAGACTCGGTGTCGTTGGGAGATTCTGGCTTATTGAATGTCGACAATAGGTGTCCTCCTGGGCCATTGCCTCTCGTTAGGCGATTTGAAGCATAACTAGCGTCGCGCTTTGGTCGACTACTCATACTGAATTGTTTTGACGGGCGTTAGATGTTGGCGCAATTGTTGGAGTGGAGCTAGATGATTGAACGGGCACGCGTTGAACAAGTCGGCGGGACGCGTGGGGGAAAAATTAAAGCTCTGCACATGCAGCAGAAATCACAGAACAATTATCAAAGATCGGAAGGCTGATGCATGTAATCGCACATTTCCTTGAAGCTGCAAAGTACTCAGATAACGTGAGGGGAACGCGAAACGCGTGGCACGTGCCAGCTCCACTTCTGTACCTCATACCCTTGATGCTCAAAGGTCTTGATATCCTATTTTCGTATGTTTCCGGTGATTATATTTAATTGAGAGTTGTACGTGATCATTTAATTCTATTTACATCCCTCAAAATGCATGAATGAGGTGTGGCAGGAGATGTATACAAAAATCTAGGGACAAAGAACTGTATGAAAACACTTGAGCGCCAACAGCTCAACGTTTTTTAGTCTAGGTTGTGAGAACGCGGATCTTCAGTGAAGTACATAGTTTCTACTTGCCTATCGATGAAAAATCAAGATGTCATAGTATAAAAGCTTATTTCCCAACTTTTCAAGTACCACAACAAAAATATTTTGTAGATTTACAAAGTTCACATTTTCCGTAAACACCGATGCTCTGGACATTGATGATCATATCATGATGAAGAAGCTAGGGCAGTCTTTACAAACAGACAGAAATATAACAATCAGATTACAACCAAATCAAATACGCCCGTGCAAGTCATGCACCTCGTACAGTCTTAACGACAAAAAAGAGAGATAAAGTATATAGAGGGAATAGAAAGAAGAAAAGCGAAGTGAGAGAAACAGAAACCAGGGTAGTAATTACTCGAACGTCATTGAGATCTCGCCATCCCCATTTCCGGTATCATGATCTGCCCAAGCATTAGGCTCCAAAGCCATTGCGCCAACCGCCGTTGTACCGATAGTATGCACTGTAGGCAGCGTAGACGCGGACCGTAGCTCTGGTCGAGCAAGAGGGTCATGGGTAGATCTTGGGGATTCATGGAAGGAGGTATCAAAGGTCATTTCAAGCTCGCCCTTTGGTAGGGTGGAATGCTCATTGGGTCCGTGAGGAGAATACTGTCCCGATGCATGTGGGGGCTCTGAATGAGTTCGGGCGGGTGGAAGGTCGGGTGTCTTTAATGTATCTGGCGTCTTTGATGTCTTCGCAGGAGGAGAAGCTTGAGCGGGTTCGGGCTGGGGGCTTAGGTCTAGTTTCATCGGAGGCATGGTCGACTCTAACTGTTTAACTTCGATGGCCTCCGAGGCCAGCTCGGTCCGAATGGCTTCGATATCGAAGAGCACTGTGCCAGGGCTGTCGGTATCGCTTGAATCGCGCGGGGCATTGTTTCGGTCAATGTCATAGGTCTCCCATTTCTTCTTTTCAGCCATTTTGCCACGCTTGAAGAGACCGAAGCGCTTCTTCTCTGGCTTTGCTTCGGCTTCTCGGCGAGCTTCGTCGATCTCACGAATAAGTTCTCGCTGCCGTTCGGCGTGGTTATCTGGGTCTGGGTCTTCAATTTCTGCGAATTCGTCCTCGAGAACTTCCCATCCGACTTCTCGCAGAATACGAGGCATGGCGGTACGGTAGTCCATATGGCCGTTGACGAGGGGGGTGATATCAAAGTTTTCAATACCTGGGATACCTTCCACAGCCGCAAGACCGGCCACACGCATGATACCACCACTTGTAGCTCGGAAGAGGTAACCCAAAATCCAATCATTCGTGGCGTAGCCGTTCACGAATCGGCCAGACACTACACTCCGGGCCTTCAGGTATTCATCTTTGTTTGCAACAACGGGCGATCCGAAAAGATATACGTTCTGAATGAGTCCATGGGCGCCCTTATCGGCCAGCTCTTTGAGACAGGAAAAGATGACGCGCGCGCCGAGTGAGAAACCAAGAAGGGTAATAGGCCGGTTACCAAGATTTCGATCTTGCAAGGAATCGGCCATGACGAGACCGGCGGAGTTGGCGCGGGCCAATGACACAATCCAAGGGTTATCAATCAAATATGCGAGTTTGGTGAGTACGAGTGGAAGTTGCAATGATGCCATCAAAGCCATCAAAACGGTGCTGCCCAGCACTTGTTGCAGGCCTTGGGTTAATGCCTAGATTCTTGTTAGCTTGAGGCGTGAATGGTGAGAATAATTTTTGGGAACTTACCTCCGTTGCCAGAATGTTGATGGTGTCTCCCATACTTCGAAGCATCTCAGGCTCCCACAGTACGGAATAAATATCACCCATGATCGGGTCGACAGTACTGAAAGGTAGACGAACGTCATCGACCTTGCCAGTCATCCATCCGGACACCGTCACAATCAGATTGACCTTTTTATTATTATGAAGAGGACGATACTCGAACGTTTGAACAGCACCAGTCCGGCGATGGGAAGCCCTCATACCAATAGTACTTCCGCCTAGTGTAGCACTGGAGGCGATCAGGGCGGTACCGCCAGCTCCTCCCAGGAACGCGCTTGTTCCAGAGATACCCACAGTCGTAAGACCAGCTGCAAGACCAGCTCCAATGACAGGAGCTAAAAGTCCGGCGGAAAGACCAATGACCAGACCGCCACCCACTGTCGCCAGGCCCATAATCATATACTTCTGTTTCAAGGCCATCTTGCGGCGCTTTTCCATATGGTCTGACTCGTCCCAGTTCTCTTTGTCTGCTTGCTCTTGCATCTCGAGTGAATCCGTCACACGCTTCTCGAACCGCGAAATTTGCAGCCATGTTACATCCAAAGCTGTACCGACTCTTTCCAAAAGCGTCCGTGACCGAGCATCATATGCCGAATCTGCGATAAGTACGAGGAACAGGTCACATAGCACGGTCCATCGGAGGTCAATATCGATTCGATCAGTAGTAGGCATCTGAGAAGGAGTCGTGACCTCTGGGGGTTCCTCTGTCGCCTCGGCTTCATAAGGCGGCGGAGGATCCGATTCGGAAGAGTGGTCTGACTCTGCAGATAGCCTTGACTGACGGTCTCGTTTTAGACCGGAAGACTCCGCCGTAGACATAGAAGTTTTTGGACCACTCTCGGCCATGGGGTTTTTGACTCGCGCATTCTGCATGAGTGGTGGTACCAGGTCCTCTGGTTGCACGCCATGCTCCGCAAGTTGCTCGATCATAATCTGCTCAGCTGAATTGATATCCATATGAGCATAAACTCGAGCCATGATCGCCTGGCCCCATTTCCTCATGGCATCTGAGGCTTTCTGCATTACTTTGCGTGTCGATTTCGTCGTCGAAATAGAGGACAAGTCACGATTCATGGCATGAATGGATAACCTGACAACTCCCACATATGCGATTTTTTGAGTCTCATTGAGCAGGTCTTTCGTAGCCTGGAGCTGGCTGATTGAGTCTCGCAGCTCCTCGCCAACCAGACCAGCAGAGTTTCCTCCTGTCTCTCGGAAAAGATAGCTTGTATCCTCATCTAGACTTGTGGCAGACTGGGCATCTTCATCAAGCTGCACCCGGGTATAGCCTTTCCCAGCTCCTCCAAGTCCTTGATATACGGCCTCATCGTCTTCTTCCTTGGCACCTTTGGCGACCAATCTCCCGTAGTCATCGTAGTAGTCGAATTCTCCAAGCGCGGGCATCGATTGCCATTCATCGGGTTCCTCCTCTGAATCGTCGCTCTCGTGACGTGATTGTTGTGGCTGGTTTAGTCGCTGGTGGGACCATTCCGACATTTCGATAGGCTTAGGCTTTGAGGTCGACGTGCGGCATCTAATAGGAGCGTCTGCATGGTGTGACTTCTCTGCAGTTTCAGAAGCACCGTCTTGTGCCTCCAGATCCTTGTCCGGTTGTTCTGCCTTGTTCCCGTTGGCCAGCTCAGGGACCGCCTCCGGTTCTGGCTTGTCCTTTGGCTCTGGTTCCACTGGCTTCTTCAAAGCGTCACTATAGCTTGTCGAGCCTGCAGCTGCCACCTCCGGTTTGTGGTCGCCATTTTCGGTCGCGGGGGTTACGCTGGTGGGGGGATCGGGCTTCTGGCGTGCGCGGATAGGAAGGCCAAAATCGTCGACCTCGTCTGCTTCTGTAGATTCATGCTTCGTGGTCGTTGTGGCCGACTCGGCCGTCACTGGTGGAGGGGCCCGTTCTGTGTCTCCTCCATTCTGGTTTGTGGGGGAGCTGCCTTGAGGAAGCTGGGGCAAATCGGTCGCGTTCGACGGGGAGGTGGGTTTTTTGGAGGTGTCAACAGTGACACCCGGGGCTGCGGTCATGATTTCATGGACAGGAGGCCCTCAGAGTCTCCAAGAGGGGTGGTGTGTGGGATCCCAGTGGTACCTTGCTTCGCACGTTCATTCGCGATAGCTTCAAAAGTTCACCCATCCGGTGGGTGGCAAGGAGTCGTATTTCGATGTAGTTCAAGCTGTCAATCTCAGTGCAATATACCATGCCCGGGGGGCCAATTGATGGTCATTGGAGTGGGATCTCCGCAAGTGACGATCGGTGGCCACGCGGCGAAAAGGAGTGCTGGGCGGAGAATGCGGGATATCAATTAACCCCAGTGTTATTCTCAACGCTTGGATATTGCTTGATATCGAATCTTCATTGACTGTTTGAGTATTGGAGGATGCCTGGATACTCCATATGAGTTTCGTTGGTTTGCATCGCGCCGAAAGCGGACATCTCTCCAGCTTCCCCAGAATGTTTTTGTCAACAACATGAAAACAGCTTTGCCTCTACTGCACTTTGTGTACTTTGCTTTGCCACTCCTCCATATAAGTTAATTTGAAATATGCAACTTTGAAATTGTCTATGTGTGCTGTCTACTGAGTTGGCGTGGCTAAATTCGCGGTACGCGCGCAGTAACCGTCAATCTCGTCATGTCATATCTTGTTACAAAACAAAGACTTTTAATCGGAAATATCGGAGCCCATAGAATGTGAATACCCCCCGAGTCCGCCTCGGAGCTTTCCTATCTGCAGAATCTCCGACGAATACGAGGGTCACGCCTCAGCCTTGCCAATGCGATATCAATCATACCCGGGTAAACAGCAGAATCTCACAAGCCCAAGTCGCGATAGCAAACACCAGAGTACGGGAGAGGCGCCTCTGATAAGTACTTGGACGAAACAAAGAAAAGATCCGAGCACGGGGGACGTCATGTCGATCGTGTTCGACTGAGGCAGTGCGGGTGCTTTTGCCCGGCTCTTCAAAGGAGACATGTATGACTTGCAGCTAGGATCGGCCTGTCTGCTTCCCCGGCCAAACAAAGCGCGAGAATGGTCCTCATGGCGTCATGAACGGAGAATGCAGACTTGACGGGGCGTTGAGTCACTTGTACAGTTTGAGGCTCCCCGAGCTTCTTGGCATTTCTACCCCATACATATCGGCTTGGATACTTAGGCAACTTACTTTCTTCTTTTTCTCCGCATGCTTCGTCTTAGCTAACACCCTGCGCAGCTTTCAACGCATCCTGATCATGACACAAAGTAGGATATCTATCAGACAAGAAGATGACCTCGCTGACAAGCCCTCTCTTTCAAGGTTCCCATACTTCCATTGTTAAGATCGCCGGTGCGGGGCTGCGGCTCTCACTCCTTCTGAATGCCGCAGCCTGTCAACTTGCACAGTCTAAGCTGGAGATACACAGCATCGCCAAGGGTATCTCACTATTCGCTCTAAGTCTCAAAGATGCCGGCAAGACGTTGGAAGTGACGGGGTTCCATCGGACACCAGAGGCAACAGAAAAGGCATGGGAGATCGCTGGCCAAGGCCAGATGATTTTCATCGAGATTGAACACATGCTAGACATGCTGAAGTCTACCGATAGAGATGATGACCTGAGGAGTATTCCTCTCCAAGAAAGACTCAAGTGGTGCTTTCAGAAACAGCATGTCACGTACTTGCTAGCACAACTCGACTCTCTTAAGCTCAGCCTGATAGTCTTGCTGCAGATTCTACAACTTGGGAATATCATCAAATCCAACGTTGATGATGGAATCGATACCGAGTCGTTGGCATCGGTTGCTGATGACACCATTGCCCAAGAGAAAGCAGACTCGCAGAACATGATCATCGTACGTTACTGGTCACTGAAACGTCTTGATCGCCTGTGGGATCTCGTGGAACAGGAGGCGAGGGATGCAGCAAACAGCCAGACAAACCAAAGGATCCGGTCTAATTATTTGTCGAGCTCGGCTTCCGCGTTGAAGCCACTGGTTACTGCTACTCGTGCCGCTGATCCCATCCGACTGCCTATTGTGACTTTTGGGGAGAGTGAAGTCGGTTTGAGCGACATGGAAAGATCGCCAAAGGATATGGTGCAACTGTCTGAGAGTGCCATGAACCGTCTACTATCAATCTGGGTGCCTCTGGTCGACCTATCGAAGCTACAAGAAGCTGGAAAGTTGATTGATGCACCTGAAAAGCCAACCCAACCTCGTGTCTATGTGTCCTCAGACACTGACGATGATGACACTGGATCAGACTTTGAGGGCCTCGATGTACGAGGCTACTACATCGAGGGATCCACACCTGACTGGAGGGTTCCTCATTCCCAAGAGGCACGACAGCAAGCCGCTGAACGTCGCCGAAAGTACTCAAACTTCCAGGCTCGGGTAGAAACCGAGCCTGAGCCGGAAGACGTCATCAAGCGAGGAGAAAGTCCAAATGATTCGAGGATCCGTATTGACTCGAGCGATGAGGGCGAGCAAAGATCAACTCTCCGTCCCTCTCACAGCAAACAGATTCCCAGCCGTATCCACACCAGCAGCCTCTCCTCTCAATATCCCCCTAATTTGACTAATCATGAGAGCCGACCATACCCAACCGGCAGCTACCCACCTCCTGCTCATCCCCTTCCCCGTGCACCACCGCATTTCTCAGGACCACCGTCATCTCACGCACAGACAAAATCAGCTCAAGCATATTCCCAGGGCGCACCACAGCAACCTTATAATCCTTACAATACCCAACCCTACGCCTCAACCCCTCGATCAATCCCAGTAAACAAACAGGCCGGTCCCTCACCCTACCCATCCTCTCGAGGCCACTCTCCAAATCAAGTCTATTTCGGACCCACGTGGGGCCAGCCCCACGCCCCATACCAACTACGTCGGCCCCATCCATCACTCTACACACTCTCAACATCGACGCCCGAAATGGGGTTCCAACCCCCATCACCTCACTCCCGACACCGATCTCCAACCCGCTCGCGCCACTACTCTTCGCGTAGCTCCCGTGATTCCCATGATTCCCACGACTCCAGAGAGCCACGGGAGGAGGCCAAGGAGCGCCGGAAAGACTTGACAAAGAAAGCTACCAGGGGTTTAGCCGGTATTGGTGCTATCGCTGGATTCTTAGATGCGTTGGAGGCATTCAGCCTAAGCTGAACTCCTTTGTGCAACATATTATTATTTTGCTTGTTAATTTTCCTTATCTACATTTTATTCTATGGTCTCGGCGTTGCGTGAACCCCGTTCGGTTTGGTGGCCCGTTTTGATACCCATGTCTATCTACCACTATGTTCATAACGTTAATCAGTTCATAAACCCTATATGCACCGCATTTGTTTCAGTTTCAGTTCTAGAGCAGAACTTGTAGGATCTCCACAAATAAGAAAGTTGCCCTAAGATTCCATCGCGGAGATTTCCCGAGGACCCTGTCCCTAGTTTTCGGATATAGACTCTATTTGGCGATTTTCCCGTAAGGACACCATTATAAGCCCACCGAATATCCACAGCTACCTTTACTAGACGTGATTCTCGGAAGAGGTAGTTCACAACTGCCGACAACCTGAAGGATCATCTACTATCCAAACTATACTTCTACCTCCCGCTTCCCACCTCTCAACCACTCCGTAGGCAACACTGTCGGACGGGTATCCGGAATTGGATTCGGATCCGGCTTCAAATAAGGAAGCAAATTCTAACAATGCAGCCTGCCACATACACAAATTCATATCCATATCTATGAATACGGATACGGATATCCAGCCATGTATAAGATATCCCGCCAAGGATCCCCACCCATTCGCAGCATTCGGACTGTACACAAGCGCGGAACTTCCGATCATCCCGACCCTCCGTGATATGTCACCATGTCATTTTCTTTGCGTCTGGCTAAATTCGGGTAAAATGCGTGTTGAACAGCCGGGACTTTTTCTTTTTTGGGTTCTTGGTTTCTGGGAAATTGGGATCTGGTCTTAATATTCGCATTGGCCCAGTTTCTGGCTTTGGCTTGGTTTTTTTTTTCTTTCTTTCTTTTGCTCGCGTGGCTAGAGATATGGGACTTGTTGGGGGTTTTTGTTGGGGGTTTGTATACTTCGATTTCGAAGACCTCGACTTTACTTTCTCTTTCTTCATTCGTTGAGAAAAGGAAGATCTGGTTTGTATTGGTGAGTGTGGTACGTATTTGCTTATTATTTCCTTCCTATTCCTGTTTGTTTGTGTTTTTTGTTGGGCTCATTGACCTCAACTCGACGGTCGTATAACTTATACATGCATATGCAACCCAGTCAACCATCTATACATCACAGTGGTCTATGGAAACACCCCAACGAGAATGCACACGCCGAACTCCGAATCTCGGCTTGGTTCAAACTGACCTGACGGATCTCATACAGCCCGCCATATCAACCACACCTCAACAATCAAAACTCAGGCAAAGGCGGCATGCCAAAGATACTACCATCAGGCAACCATCCATCAATCTCCATGCCAGTTCCGTACATGCCCGGGGCCTGTGGCCCACCCTGTCCTGGACCTGGGCCGCGGGCATGTCCATGAACTTGAATATGTCCCGGAGGCTGCATACGCGGCTGGGCCTCATACGCAAACTGCGGCTGCATAGCTGGATGCGAATTCGCAGGTGAAGGCTGATACCCCGGCGGGAGAGAATGAAAGAAGTGCGGATTCGGATTCTGCGCATCCATCGGGCTTGGACTTGGCCCAGGCCACATCGGCGGTCCACTCATTGCTACATATCCACTTTCTATTCCCGCATGGGGTGGAATTGGACTGACGGCTGCTGAGATGGGATAGGGCTCCATTCCTGGTTGGGTGTTGGGATTCGGATTCACAGTCAGATGGGCGTGAGAGTGATGTGAAGATGGCGTCGCTGCACGGTGGTGTGACGCGGGTCCAAGACCGGGCGTTTGAGCAGACATGCCCATCTGCTCTGCTGTCCCTGTCCCTGTCCCTATTCCTGTTCCCGTCGATGGGCTAACCCCCATTCCTCCGATTCCCACTCCGGATGGATTCCCGCTATATCGTCTTTCCAATCGGTCATACCAGTCCCGCCCCCTGGCACCGACGACTTGGTACCACCGACTAGGGATCTTGAATTTTCCTCCACCGCCCGCTTCGCCGAGTTTTGCTCCGACGGCATCCAGATAATATGCCACATTCACCGTCTCCGGTGTAACGACTTCTCCTAGGGCCCCCGTCCGCACGGAGAAATGAATCTTCAACAGAGCCGTCACGGCCGTTGCTAGCCGTGTATACATCAAGTTCGGCAATTTCCGCATCGTGTCTATGCTGCATGCTAGGACTGCGTCTAGCATTTCTTGTGCGGCGTTCATCCATTTCATGTTTATATCGATGCGGATTGCGCTGAGGGTATTTGTTTTGCTGGTTGGTTGGTTGACGTTTGGTTCGATTGGGGCAGTGGTTGGGTCTGGGTCTGAGGATTCGGGGTCGTGTTCGTGTTCGTCGTCGAGGGGTGGGAGTGTGAAGTAGCGACTTTTTATGGCGTCTGGGTCGCGATAACCTTCACCTACGCCTAGTTCGTACATTGCCAGGGCTGTGGAGCGGTATTCAAGGATCATTGGGACTGAAGTTCGGTGGTGTTAGTCGTCATGACTGGAAATCGGAGTGGAACGGGATGCTTGGGGATGGACTTACCTGTCAGCAGGTCTGAAGGGGTATTCTTCTTCCATATGTCCATTCGCTTGTCGAACCATCGCAGCACTGCCTGTACTCTTGACTCTGTTAAGGGCGAGGTGGCACTGGTATCATCCAGACCGAACGAAGACGTCGCCTCGTCTGTTATACGCTGAAGCTCGAACCACGCAGCCAAATGCTGGTCTGTTCGGAGGGGGAGTGTTCGAGATGTTTGACACATTCGGTCATCCAGTCGTTAAATTGGAGAAGGTTCTGTCGACGGGTTTTCATCGCTACTGTTGAACCAAGGTGGTAGCAGCCCAGAACAGCTCTGGCTTGCTCGGCCAGCAACTCATCGTGTGGCTCGTGTCTGCTCTTCCGGTCGGACCTTTTTGAGACTCGGCGCTTGTTGGCAAGCCCAATTTCAAGCGCCATCGTCGAGGCGATGTGCGTGTACTGATAGAATTGCAGTTTCAGGGGCGACGCTGGTGGGAAGTAAAAAATGATCATGAGGAGCAGGGCCTGCACTAATTCCAATGATTTCTCGCCTTCAATGAAGAACCTCTCGGAATAGAGCCGGACCATCTCACGATTTAACACCGCTGCTAGCCCTGCGTCAACGGATATTGACGTCGCCGCGATGACAGAGAGAAAGAGAACCGGCCTCGTCTGTCGCAGTTGCGCAGCCGTCGTATTCAGGGGCAAAACGACCAACGGAAAGAAATAAGCAAGCTCATGGATGAAATACGCAACCAGCTGCTCCGCATCCTCCAGCGAGAGAATACCCCGATCGATCACATCCTCCACAGGCTCCGACTCCTCCAACTCAAAACCAGGTGGCAACCCAGCAAAAGACGGCGGACCGGAAAAAAGCACACGATCCTGCCCACCGGGATGAGAATTCATCAACTCAGGCGAATATTCCATGAACCGATCCGAAGAATGCGCAGAATGATCCCGCATCTTCATCTCGCCATCCTCCAAATCCCGCTCATCAACCTCACTCCCCTCGGACTCGGGCTCACTTTCCTCCCGAATCCGACCCTTCAAAAGCGAACGCATGACCCGCATCTCCTTCTCCAGCTGTGCCACACGCGAGTCCGTCCGCTTACGAGGCCGGCGTCTCTGCGGGGGAACAAAGACGCAAGTCCTCTTCCCCTTCGCACATCGCTGGCACTGATTAGGCGTGGACAGACTCGGCAAACAGCGTACCTTGAGACTGCGACATGACTCACACGAGCGGTTCAGCTGTTGGACCGAGGCTGGTTGCAGTGTGCTTGATTCTCCCTGAGGTGTGGAGGTCTCTGACATGTTCACTTCTGGATCCTGGATTCGGACTTTGGGGGAGGCCCGGGATAGTGGGCTATGCTAGCACTATGCACTATCCTGTGAGAATGGAGGGGCGAGAGTTCAGTTGGGCACGCGCTATAGGCATAAAATTATGTCTTGTGGACACACAAATTGTCGCAGTTTCTCTTCGAAAAGAGAATCGGGAACGGCCTCAAAGGTAAGTCCGGGCCAGGAGTTAGTGTGTATTTCGACTCATCGTATCGAATGGGAGTCAAAATGGAACATGGACATGGAATTGAAAACGAAAACTAGTCGGGGTGGCATCTGAACATGTGAGAATCGAAAGGTGAGGCAGAAATTAGGTAAGAATGAACAGGTCGAGATCTCCTGGGGTAAGCAATGAGCCAATTGTGCTTAGACGGAGGAGTCAGGGTCCATGATGCCAACCTCGGTGGCTGGAAATGGGAGGAACAGGCAGTGAAGTTATAGAGTTAAAACCTGACCAATCAGCCTTTCTAAACAACTCCACTAGAAGTCGTTATTGGCCCATCAACGCCCGACGGCTATTCCCGATTTGCTCGAATTGGTGCAGTTTGCGAATTGACTTCGCTGTAGACTGCCTGATGGATCCGGGTAACTTTGGTTAGGACACCGGACCGTTGATGCTGTAATGCCAATGTTCTAGGGTTACACTCTACAACGTGACTATGTGACATGGATTATTCGACTTGAATTTCCCGGATACTCCGAGTCTGATTTTTCGGTTTATTACAGACAAGTCAATTAGAGAATGGCCGGAGAATTCGTTGATTTCGGCTTCAAAGATGGCATAAAAACGTGTCAAGCATGATAGATCTCTACACAATGGAACCTTTTTTTACTCTATCATGAGCGATCTGCAACATAAACTCGACGCCGTCGATCCAGATAGATTGGATCAGCAACAAAAGACCCAGTGGCTACAAGCATGTGACAAGCTACGGACTCGGCTGGAGAGTCCTTTGGCAACTGCCTCACGTCTCGTATTTTCGGTATGCCGTGTGGACCCATGTGGAGGCAATTGACAGGCAACAGACAGGCAATTGACATGTGCTAGGCTCACCAAGGGATGGCCATTCGATTAGCTGTCGATTTGAGGCTGTTTGATGTTATATCCGAGCAGGATGGTGTGTTCAACGTTGAACAGTTGCAGATTGAGGCAGAACCCCTGCTTGTCAGTAAGTTATCGTCCTGCTTTCTCATACCTATGTTAGTTCTGATAGTTGTAGAACGGATTTTGCGATTCCTGGCTGCCATGTCCGTGATCCATGAGGTAGATGTAGACAAGTATACCACGACGCCGATGGCAGCTGCTCTGGTAACAAGCTCGCCCCTTTCTGCTGCGATGATCCACGGGTATGATAGTTCGCGAAGACAGGAATGCAGCATATTCAACCCCTAACATCAAACAGAACTCACTTCTGGACAGTCCTCTCCAAACTCCCAGAATACTTCCACTCAAACGGCTGGCAGAGCCCCCAAAATGGCCTAGAGGGGCCATTCCAGTTTGCACACAGCACACCGGCCCACTACTTCGAGTTCCTCAACTCCAACCCATACTACGGCCAAGCCTTCAACACAGTAATGAGCATGCCCTTCCGACGAACAGGCAAGGACTGGTTCGAATTCTTCCCGGTCGCAAGTCTGCGCGTGAAAACGTTGTCCGACCCACTCATAGTTGACATGGGCGGAGGCCAAGGGGAAGACCTAAGGAAACTTCAATTTCATTTCCCAGATTTACCAGGCCAGCTGATTTTGCAGGATCAACCCGGTGTGATCGCTGGCGTTGATCTCCCGGGGATCGAAGTCATGGCTCACGATTTCTTCAAGGAACAGCCCGTCCGTAATGCAAAGGCTTATTTCTTGCGCACTGTTTTGCATGATTGGCCTGACATGCAGGCCGTGCAGATCCTGCGGCGGCTGCGTCCCGCTATGGGTGCTGATTCGCTGCTATTGATTAGTGAGAGTGTCTTGCCTGAATCTGGGGTTGGGCTGTCTGCTGTTTTGTCGGATTTGCATATGATGGCTTCCTATGCGTCGCTGGAACGGACCGAGAGACAGTGGAGGTCTTTACTGGAGATGGCTGGTTTTGCGTTGGTAAACGTTTGGTTGCCGAATGGTTGTGAGAGCCCGAGGGATCTGGCGGATCAGCCGGCTCTATTCGAGGCGAGGCTTGAATAGTGAGAGGGATGACTTTCCAAGGAAATTGGCCTTGAAGTCGTTCATGGAAAATTCCCTCGGAATCTTCTTCGGCCGAAATTTGACCCAACTTTACGCCAATTCTTGGCTCTTTGGCCATCGAGTATTTTTTATAGCAATTAGACTCTGATCCCCACTGTCATTCCTAAAACTGATGATTACAAGCTAAATGTGAGCTTCGCTTCCTATCTCAGGAGTGCTAGTAGTGTGGAGTCATAGGCCTGAAAAGAAACTCGACATAAGTATTGATAGCCAGCCACTACCGTATCGTATTTCAATCAGTAAAGGTCGAAAAACCGCGCCATGGGATTTCTTGTGTGATGCATTTCCCCTTTTGTCAGAATCAAATTCATTTGAGCCTGTGCGGGGTGCTAGCGCAGCGGTCAAGCAGACTAAAATGATGCTATCGGAGGACGCGTATACCTCGACCTCCCGCTGCGCCTTGATATACATAGGAACGCCAATTTAACTCTCGAAAGCACCAACAACACAGGGGCATGCATAGTTCTCTCAAAATACAATATAATTAACGTCTAAAGTGAAACTTGTGCTTAATTAAATATCCCCCGGCACTTGAACACGCGACACAAGACAAGCTCATTGCCATGTGGGTCCTTGTGGCGGAACGCGCAGACTTTGCTGATTCGATCCACGGATATACCGGCCTCGTTAAAAGGATCGTTTTCCGAAACGAGTACGATGGGAGTCGTCAGCTCCCGCTCAATACCAAGCCTCTTTGGCTGCGTGGTGGGCTTCGGAAAGCCGGCTTCGTCGTCACAGCGTAACTCCGGTTCCAATCATGGATCATTTATGGTCAATTGTGTTTCTGTTCTCTGAAATTTGCAGGAGATAAGTGCCATCTACTCGATTTATTCTTCAGCCACTTAGCCTGTTCCTGCGCTGATCATTATCTTTCATTTTTGATCGTGTGCTTGTCTTTGTTTCTTTGCATGATACCCTTGTTTTCCATTCGTCGATTTTTCTATTATATCTTTTGGCTGGCGTCGCGTGACCTCATATATTCCATTTCGGCGCATCTTGCAGCACACGAATCGAGCGCAACCTGCCATATATCACGAACGTTGTATATACCGACAATCGACGCATGAGGACATAGAGTCTGTGATCTTCCAGTACAGAGAATGCGATCCCTAGCTACCGCTTGCTGGCTCTATGGAGTACTCCTAGCAGCACTTGTCTCCGGGGTGTGCGGGAATAACGACACACAACCGAATTTCATGAGTGTACGACAGAATGTAACAGGAGAGTATAAGAGCAAAAAGGAAATACCAACAGAGAAATACTTCCGTGCGTACAATCCGACCTCGTGCCATTTTACAGCCTTGTCGATCAGCCGTGTGGCTCCGTTTAACTTTAACTGACTTGCTCGAATGTCTTAGATGAATCATCGTATGTCGAACCACCATATTAACATGTCTATGTCGACTTAGAGCTAACCTGCTGCCCAGGTTCCATTATCATTATGACGGCCGGTACGTTCTCTCGCTCTTTATCTGTCCTGGTCATTCACTTACAAGTCTCAGCTTTGCCAATGAAACTCTGCCAGAATCAGAAGTTATTCCTCATCTCTCAGCCCTAGTCCAAACATACTTCTCAACAATGAACGCCATTGGCGCAGAGACATGGATCATGCACGGCACACTCTTAGCCTGGTGGTGGAATCAGAAGGTAAGCTCTAGCTTGTTCTTTTAATTCATCTTCACCGACAATCACTGACGAAACCACAATCTAGATTTTCCCATGGGACAACGACCTAGACGTCCAAATCTCAGAACCAACAATCCACTTCCTAGCAGATTACTACAACATGACAGAACACCACTTCGATCTCCCAAACGTCGATGGCGGTCGTGCCTACATGCTCGAAATCAATCCAAACTACGTCGTCAAGTCTGAGCAGGACACGATGAACAAGATCGATGCACGCTGGATTGATATGTCGTCGGGTCTTTTCATTGATATTACTGCTGTGCGCAAGGATGAGAGTAAAAGGCTGAATGGACATCCCGAGGCGTTGAGTTGTAAGGATAAGCATCACTACGAGGTTTGTACTTCTCTTATGCTCTTGATGTTGATCTGTGGTGCTAATGGTGTTTTCAGGAGAGTGACATTTTCCCACTGCGTGATAGCACGTTTGAGGGAATCCCGGTTAAGATTCCTTATGCTTATACTTGGCTTCTTGAGGAGGAGTATGGACCTAAGGCTCTGACTCGAACGACCTTTTCTGGGTTAGTACACCTTATCTTCTTTTTTATAGATCCACGGGCTGATCGGCTATTTAGTCATACTTTCAATGACGAGACCAAGATTTGGGAGTCGGCGAAGTGAGTTCCTCCTAACTGCTTACTTTGGTGTACCATCTTGGGGTACACCGGATCTTTGAACATTCGACTTATCTCCTTTTAGACGAAAGCTTAAACGCTTCCTTCGACGAGGCTGGCGAGGCGACGACCCGCCAGTCCGGACCTCTGATCTCAATACTATTATAGAGTAATGAGCTACTGATATCTGCTTTTGGTAGTTTTATGTATGTTATTTAGCGTGCCTCTGCACATACCAGGCGTTTAAATGAATTCCATACTATATCCAATACCACGGAGATAACGGTCTTTTCCCAAAGAGGAAAACGCCTAGACGCTGAGTCACCGGTCACATGCCCCGCATGATAACATGTGAGGCTCGAGTGATCTTTTCAAGCTTAAAGCCACAAAGAAAGGGTTTGTTTAAGAATGTGGGAGGAGAGAACTGAACCCTATATCCGTCATGTCGTTCCATTCAGCTTCCCCAGAGCTGATCGTCAGCGATAATTCCCCGACTTCGCCTAACGTGGCCGCCACCGCTCCCCGCCACGACATCTCGAGCTCCCGCAGCTGTGTAACATGTCGCCGCAGAAAAGTCCGATGTAACAAGCGGACTCCATGTTCGAATTGTACAAAGGCCGGCATTGAGTGTATCTTTCCTCCGCCTGGTCGTGCCCCGCGCAAATCGAAGCGCCCGCCTGATGCGGAGCTGCTTTCGCGCTTACGCCGTTTGGAAGGTGTAATTGATCATTTGAGGAGTGGTAATGGCTCAGGTGCAGAGGGAGCTTCCTCTCAAGCACCATCCTTAACGACATCTTCTACTGCTGTCAGTGATACGCCTGCGCCTGCGCCTGCGCCCACTGCTGCTCCTGCACCACCCCCTGGATCTACTGGGTCTCAGGGCCAGAGTTCTGAATGTCCATTCGCGGACACTGATCCTAAGAAACCTGCCCCAAACAGACTTGAAAATGAGTTCGGGCGCTTGGTCATCGATGAAGGTCGGAGTCGATACGTGAGCAATCGGCTCTGGGCAAGTCTTGGAGATGAGGTATGATATCTCGATATTCTATGTGAGGTCGTGCAATTTGCTAAATTACTATAGATTGAAGAGTTACAAGATATTCTTGATCATTCTGACACCGAGGAAGATGATACTCCCTCTCCAGACTCCCCAAATTCAAGTTCCCACGATGGACACATTTTTGGATACTACTCGCTGTCTCATTCGCTTCGAGAGTTTCATCCTTCTATTGACAAAGTATCGATACTTTGGGAAGCATATGAGGAAAATGTGGCTCCTTTGATCACTATCGTGCATCGACCGACTGCCAGAAAACTTTTTGTCGAGGCAGCACAGCACCCGGAGACGCTTGATAAGAACTCAGAGGCTCTGGTCTTTGCCATGTATCTCTGCAGTATTGTCAGTATGAGGCCTGAAGAATGCACATTCCGTCTTGGCGAAGACCGCGCAACTGCTGTCAAACGGTACCGCTTTGCTACGGAGCAAGCTCTAGCCAAAGCTGGATTCTTGAACACACAAAGTTTGGTTCTTCTCCAAGCTGCTGTCTTGTTCTTGGTTTGTGTGCGACGAGAAGATGACAGCAAATTTGTTTGGTCCATGACCTCTGTCGTCTTGCGTCTTGCCCAAGGACTTGGCATACATCGTGACGGAACCAATTTTGCACTCAAGCCCTTTGAGACAGAAATGCGCCGTCGACTATGGTGGCATATCTCGTTACTGGATGTTCGCTCGTCGGAAGATCATGGGACGGATCCTATTATCCATGAGAGCATGTACGACACTCGGTTACCATTGAATGTCAACGATGACGACCTGTATCCTGAGATGACGGAAACGCCGGAAGAACGAGAGGGCTGTACCGATAGTACATTCTGTCTTATTCGCTGCGAGATTACGAGTGCTTTGCGGCGAGCTAATTACGTGTGCCCCGGCGCCCAATTTCGTCCGCCTGACAATATGCCACCAATTAATCGCTGTGAGCGGATGATTCAAATTATCAGTGATCGCTGTGAACAACGGTATATCAGACACTGTGACATGAACATTCCTATTCAATGGTGTGCTGCCACAGTGGGACGTCTTATCCTTGCCAAGTTGTGGCTGATTGTCCATCACCCAATGACCCGGAAAGATCGCCAGACGAACATCTCACAAGCAACCCGCGAAAGCCTATTCCTGACAGCAATTGAGGTACTGGAGTTTGGGCGATTGCTCGAAGCCGATCCAAAGACTGCCAAATGGGGCTGGCTATTCCGGACCAATATGCAATGGCATGGCGTTGCATTTGTCTTGTCTGAAATATGCGTTCGCCCTATCTGTCCCGTCACCGATCGAGCCTGGAGTGCGGTTAGCTCGCTCTATTCAGAGTGGGCATTGCAGGCCACACATAAAAAGGGTATGCTATGGCGGCCCCTCGCCGCCCTTATGAAACGAGCCCAAGCCACCCGGGTTAAACAACGCCAGGAATTAGTAGTCAAATTTGGCCCAGCTCCCAACCCATTAGAGCCGGTCGGTGCTGAAATCACTTCCGTGCCCAACCACCCTCTTCCCCAGATCCATATGCCGCTAGGACAGGCAAGCCCTTTCCAACATAATGAATCAGATGTTTCTCCACAGATTACATCTGATGTCGATCTGAATATCGACCTCAGCGGAGGTCCGCTCGGAGCTCTACAAAATATTTTCCCCGACACAAACATTTTCGCTTCCCATAACATCTACGATACCCCGTCTACCCAAAGTAGTAATGTCTCAGCAACAAATCCAATCCCATCATCGGGCTTATCAACAGCTTTGCCCTACAATGCCGCCATGAACAATCCTCTCTTGAATCCGGATCCACTCCCAGAGGCCCCTCCGCTCAGCTGGGACGAATGGGATCAGGTTATGCGTGATTTTCAGATGGATGTGGAGAATGATAATTCTCAACCGACCAAGGGGACTAATGTTACTGAATGGTTTGTGTGATTCGCATCGGACGGGTCTTGATATGTTTTGTCTGTTGACGTCTGGCCATTGTATATTTGCATGTGGGGTTTCCTCCCTTGACTTTAGTCTTGTAACTATATCCATGATTTTATGACTTCTGGCGTTGATTTTGGATGATATCCCTCCCCTCATTGTTACTTTATCTCTCCTCTCTCTGTGAAACATGTTATGCTGGCGACGGTAGTCGCGGCACAGCATGATCTATACAAGCACAATGTGCATCTTGAGCAATAACTTGTCTATTTTAAATCAAATTAGAGCAACCCCTTAGCATATTGATAACCAAAAATCAAACAAAGAAATCAACATCGTTGTATACTTCCAGCCTTGAACCACGTGACCACGCGATAACGGAGAAGCTCCAAGCTGGCATCAATGATCTCCTCCACTCCGCCATTACCCTTCCACCCACCGACCACACCCAAAGAAACCGGGGATCAAAAAGTGCGACCGACCTCCAATTCCTGATACTCCAATCCCCCCACCACTTAAGAATACCCAATACCCCCGGATCCCGAAATTATGCCTCCCAAGCGCCACGCGGCCTCAACTACCTCCGCAACACCCTCCACGCCCACAACCCCAACACCAAAGCCCCTCTCCTCAGGTCCAGCAACCCTGAAGACAAACGCCTCAGCCGCAGAAATTGCCCAGCATGTCTGGCAGCAATATGCCACCACGACGCCGCAACGTACACTCCTTCTAGATGCCTTTATGGCATTCCTCGTTCTTGTTGGTGGTTTGCAGTTCTTGTACTGTGTCTTGGCTGGAAATTACGTGAGTTATAATCATCATGCATTCTGCGTTGGGATAGTTGGCCGTGTTTTATGGTTCAATGGATGGGAACGTACATCTAAACAGATGGGCCACATAACATGGCAATCTATACCCGGCGCTATACACGATATCACCACGAACTGAGCTAATATTTTCAATTAATAACAGCCCTTCAACGCGTTCCTGAGTGGCTTTAGTGCCGCCGTCGGTCAATTCGTCCTGACCGCAAGTCTTCGCATGCAAACTAGTGATTCCGGTGCTACATCAAAGCCAAGCTCCAAGGGGAAGAATGCGCGGTTTGCGGATGAGCAGGGTGAGGAGCAGGGGACGGGTTACTCGCATGAAAGGTCAGTTCTTCTTCATCTGATAACCGAGGTTGGAACATCTGCTAATATCCTGTTCTAACAGGGCCTTTGCCGATTACATCTTCGGAAGCTTGATTCTACACTTCTTCTGCATCAACTTTATTAACTGAGCTGTGCTCTGTTGGTGCTTTTCTCCTTCTATCCATACCATACTAGTCTGGTCTACTCTTTTCTTTGGGGTTGATTGGATTAGCTGGTCATTGAACGGATTGGGAATACTGTCTTTTTTAGATATTGTATTGGCATTGGGGACGTTTTCTTTTTTAGCCTGTTCCCTTTTTGCTGGTTTGTCTGATTAGGATGGGAATCATTGTTCATATCCTAGGCTTAGTCACTTATACCATGTTAAGCATGACTATTTCAACCATTATCTATATTTGGGGGTGCCATAAGTGTCAGTATAAAGGGAAAGAGCACAAACCCAGGCAATGGTGATTATAGTACTCAAGGAAGTGTGAGGTCGTACAACTCAGTAACGGGTTAGTTTAAAATGCAATGGCGGGTATCTATTCAACTCGATCCATCTAGATGGATTTAAAACAACAACTCAAAAGCCCAACAGGGCTGACGGCCAGTATATACTATAGTCAGAATGCCCGTCCAGGCCTCCGGGGAACAGTAGGTCTCTTCACAACACTTCCCCCGGAACCACCGCCTCTTCCGGCTCCCCCACTACCACCAGGATTGCCACTGGCATTTGGGCGCGACGAAGTAGAAGACGAAGCCGTAAGACCACCAATCTTGCGACCCCGACCTGGCTTGATAACAGGACGGCGCACAGCAGATCCGGCACCAGCCTCAACTTCTCGCTTGCGGCGTGTAGGATCGTTCCGTTCTTCTTCGCGCTGTTTATCGGCTGCGGCGCGTTCACGGTCAATTGCCATTTGCGATTCAATTTCCATGCGTTTGTTGAATTCTAGTTCTGTTACGCGGCGATCGCGCTGCGAGTAACCTTTTTCTTTGACGGAGTAGAAGACGCCTCCTAGTTCGGCGAGCCACTATTGATATGTTAGTTTTATCTTCTCAATTGGATGATATGACATGGAATAGAATGGAGAGGGTGAGCAACTTACGTGAGGGTCGACTGCTGTCACTGTGGACATGTACTCCTTGGCTGTCAGGATCAACTCGTGGTAGACTACGTACTCGGGTACGTATCCAAGACCGTAGAGTGCACTTGTGGGGTGGAGAGCCATGGTCACGCTGGTGCGGAGGTTGATGAATTCGCCAATACCCTTGACGCGTGCGGCTTGGTGGTAGTAGCCTGAGCAGATACATTTGCGGATCATGTCCCAGTCTGTGCCGCAGCTGATCAGTGGCATTTTCTGGACGGTCATGATGTCGTGGAGTTGATCGCGGACTTCCTTGGCGCGGCGAAGGGTTTTGGCGTGGAGGAAGTGCTTGACGCACCATGAGTCGGACCATCCGTTGGTTTTCCATTGGGTGTAGACATGGAGGAGGGTTAGGTGGTCGGATTCTGGGACGAAGAATTTCTCGCGGGCAGAGTCTGATTCTTCGATTCGTTCTTTGGGGCGGTAGAAGACGTTCGGAACTGAGAGCATTGCGACAATGGTCAACATCTCCTCGCTGCAGCCGTATTCTTCCGATGCCATGATGACAAGCTTGGCAAGGGGGGGATCCATAGGGAAAGGTGTCATGCGGCGTCCCAAAGATGTAAGTTCACCCAAATTGTCTAAAGCGCCGAGAGACCAAAGCTCGAACAAAGATGTGGAAATTGTCTCCTGTGGAGGAGGATCCATGAAGTCAAAGTCCATCAAATCCTTCACGCCAAGAGACTTGAGCAGGAGCACGGTATTTGCGAGACTGGTACGTTGAATCTCGGGAATCGTTTGGATGTACAATTCGTTCTTGTAAGCCGTCTCAGTGTAGAGACGATAGGCCTTTCCTGGTCCTGTTCGGCCAGCACGTCCAGATCGTTGGTTTGCATTGGCCTGGGAAATCGGTGTGATCTGAAGAGTGTCCATACCCATGCGCGGGTTGTATACTTTCAACTTGGAGTAACCAGCATCAACGACGTACATAATACCATCGACAGTCAAACTGGTCTCGGCAATGTTGGTAGCAACAATTACTTTGCGTACGCCTGGGGCAGCCTTCTCGAAGATCCTGGCCTGTTGCTCGGCTGGCATTTGACTGTAAATGGGTAAAATGCTGAGCTTTGGAGGGTCATTCAGTAGTTTCAACCGCTCATCAGTTAGCTCGCAGGTTGCTTCAATGTCCTCTTGTCCAGTCATGAAGACAAGAATATCTCCCGGACCTTGGGATACGTGAATAGCCAAGATCTGCTTGACCGCACTGTCAACGTAATCCTCGCAGGGTGTGCGAGAGAAGTGAAGATCGACCGGGAACGTTCTGCCAGGAATGATGAATTCTGGTGCACCACCGTAAAAGCGCGAGAAACGTTCCGAGTTCATAGTTGCGGATGTCACGATCAATTTCAAGTCCCTGCGCCGAGCCAGAACTTTCTTAAGAAGACCCATCAAGACGTCTGTGTTCAGAGCTCTTTCGTGCGCCTCGTCCATGATGATACAGGAGTATTTGTCGAGATCTGTCTGTGTTAGAGACTCTCGCAACAAAACACCGTCCGTCATGTCTAGATACTAATTAGCAATCGTTCGTGCATCATGAATAGAAACGAACTCACATTTAATAACTGTCTGATCACTGGTGCAATCCTCAAAACGGATCGCATATCCAACAGTGGAACCAAGATCGACTTCCATTTCCTCGCTGACACGCTTTGCGACACTCATCGCGGCCACACGGCGAGGCTGTGTACACCCAATCATGCCGTTCTTTGAGTATCCATCCTCGTGGAGGAACTGTGTCAACTGTGTAGTCTTTCCCGATCCTGTCTCTCCAACGACCACGACAACCTGATTGTCACGAATCACCCTCAGTAGATCTTCGCGTACAGCAAAAGCAGGAAGATACTCTCTCTGTTCCCGCATAGTCTTGCTAGAGCTGAAAGCGCTAGCTCCGGTGTCCTTTTTCAGGTGCTTGGCGAACTTGTTTCCTCCTCCTTTGTAGGTTTCCTCAACGGGCATAGCAACTGCGCTATCGCCCTCGTCCTCCTTGACACCCATCAAGTTGCCCAGAGCTGTGCCAGCGACGTTTGTCGCCTCCTGTGCCTGTTTCTGCCGCTCGCGCTGCTGCCGACGGTCACGTACAGCTTTGCTTCCCTTCCGACTAAACACCGCCATATCACTCTGTGGGTCGCGAACAGCGGAGATCGGCTCGAGCTGTTTCGTAAAGATGGTACGGCCATCAAGGAAAGGAGGCCGAAGGTCGTGGACGAGCAAATGAACTCGAGTTGCCTCTTCATCTTCGGGCATGAAATCTCCTTCATGGTCGCGTCTTTGTGCCACACCGGATGTGAGCATGCGATTGGTTTCCCATGTGTCGATATCCTTCCGCTTAGCATCGCGTAACTGTGGCGGGAGGTTGCCAGAGCTCTTCTGCCTTTTGGCAGGGGGCCCCATATCGCGAGACATGGCGATGGACCTATTTGCAAGCCAAATGGGACTTGGATCACAGATTGAGAGCTGTGGTGTAAGTTGACTCGAGCAGCAATCACCAACGAACTTATCGCGGTCAAACGGTGCAAACTCCGATATCAGTCACGTGAATGTCAATCTACGGTGCGCAGACAACTGCATTAGCACATATATCGAGTATATTAGTAAAAATAAAGAATTCATTTGACTACTAGATTCAAGCAGTTTCAATTAAATTTCTTAATCTTCATTTTCATAGGCTGAGAAAGGTTCAGACAGCCCATAGTGACCGCCGCCAAACACCAAACTGCAGGCGCCCCGCATCGTCATCTTAATTTCTCGAGCTTTCTTGTACCGCATACCACACCGTGTCACGCAGTCATCATGTCGAGCCAGCAGCAGATTGATCCCAAGAAGCAACAGGGTATGCCTCTTAAGTGTCCAATTCTTCAGGGCGAAAACTAATGCGACCCCTCAACCCAGAGCTCCAACTCCAGTACACCAACTTCAAGAACACCCTCCAGCAATTAGCACAGAAGATTGGCGATATCGAGCAGGAAGCTGAAGAGCATAAGTACGTTTCATCTGCTGTCATACAGTTGTCCGGCATGAGATCTTGCGCTGGGCGTGAATCAGGTGCTGCACTAGTTCTGCAGGAAACCATGAATGAAGTTACATGATGCTAACTTATTGGTCTCATCAGGCTTGTTATCGAAACCCTCGACCCTCTCCCTCAAGACCGCAAATGTTTCCGCATGGTGAACGGCGTTTTGGTTGAGCGCACCGTTCAGGAAGTTCTCCCCACACTCAAGACGAACTCGGACGGACTGAAGTCAGTCTTGGAGGAGATGCTCAAGCAATACAAGTCAAAGCAAAGCGAGCTGGACTCTTGGAAGGTACGGTTGTCTTGACATGAGGACCTCTCATGTCTGAAGTTTTCTCTCTCCCTTGAGCTAGGGACGGTGCTAATCTGCCTTGCTATTACAGAAAAAGAATAACATTCAGGTTGTGCAGCCTTAGTGGCGTCATTTTTCCCACATATTGATTTACGTGTCCCTTATCTGTCCTCGGTCGTACTATTCAAGTGCGAGAGCATGAGACTACCGGCGCTACTGGGAACGGCAAAAGACTAGACATAATGCAGCGTTGATTCGTGCTTTGATTCCAACTTGCAAGAGATTCTTATTTCATAATGTTCATAGCACCAAGGAATATACCCATATCTTCTGGATCTTGAGGCCTGACAAAGTGAGGGTACGCTTAGGTTATATCAGCCTGAGCCAAGGAACTGATAGTGAGTTGTGAATTGGTCCGCTGGGCTTTTCTGAATACAAGTATGCCTGGCTCTCATGATAGGTGTCTCAATCACAAGTATATATTTGGCCCTATTACGTGGACTGATATATGTCTTGTAGTACCTCTTGTAGACCTATGAAGCAAAGGTACAGGGCTGTGAAAGCGAGGTTCATGTCTTTTAAATTAATTGGGTAGCAAAAAGTGACAATCAACTTGAATGCTATGTTTCAAATGCGTATATCTGTACGGTCCATGTAGGGTGTGGTGCCTGACTGCATGACAAATGACCAAGGCATTGTTGGGCTACGCAGCAGGCAGCTTATTGTTAGATTTATGCAAATGCAATATCAAGACAGAAGCACAATTGTGATCTCATATGTGCACAGTGCAGCCTGTATAGATGCATATCGACACTATTTAGATGTGTATTTCCAATGTGTATTGCAAATACAATATATTACAGACTCAACGCCTAGTGCCTTGTGTAATTATGTAATTGATATACCCGTATCTATGCCTCAGGCTCAACATCGGATGCAATCATGACTGAGCTCAACTCGTTCTCTCCCCTCTTTGACTGTGTCGGCTGCTTCCTTCGTGGTCATTCGATTTGCCGGAATTTGCGCATTCACTTATTATACTTGAGAGTTGATGTTGTGGCCCTGTTTGACATCTCAATATTTACATTGGTAAGTGACCAACCGAAAGGCGTCCCTTCGATCTGCCCAGGGAGTTCTGGTTCGCCAATTGATCTCAGCCCACGCCCTCCACTCAAAACAGCATGTTGACATTAGCGTTCTGATCTCAGATCCAGACGAATCGGAACACAAGACACTAAAGGATTATACGGTATGCTCTTCTTCTCCCCTGCACGACTTGCACCTGTCGGACAGTTGGGCTCCCCCCAATCTGACCCACCCTCGCTGCTCCCGCGTTGCATCCCGCGTCACCACCCAAGCTTCACTGACCTTCCCCGACTCGTGAGGCGCATTTGATTGGCATTCTCACAGCAGCGGGTGCGACGCGATCGCATTTCTTAATTCTTGACGGGTTTCATCCCATTTCCCGACACGAGGCTAATCCGCCTTGCGCTCATAGAGCTAGATCGCGCATTATTGCCAGATTCCCTCGACTCGTGCTTCTGAGGCTACTGTAAAGCGGTTCGTACCCAGCTGATACAACCCTGTCCCATTTTGACGCAGCCGACTCTGCGCTGTCCAAAACGCAACCGATCGCGCGCCAGCATTAGATCTGACGTGGTCTGACAACAGGCACGCGAAACCTACAAGCATTGACGCCCAAACCCCGGCTCCACTGCCCGTCCAAACCACTCATAATCATGTCGTCGACCTCCCCCTCGAAGGAACCTGAACTCGACCCCGAGGTGCAATCGGGCGAAGAACAAGAGCACATGGACAAAGACCACCACGACCCGTCAGGACACCAGGGCGAATTTGAGGTGAAGGAGCAAGATCGGTGGCTTCCGATTGCAAATGGTTAGTTGCGTCGACTTGCATGTTTCTATTCCGATTTGCGCGTACCTTGCCGCCCCTCTGTCTTCCCCCGCACTTCGATCCTTCCAACTGCGCTTTCTGTAGTCCCGCTTTCGTCTTATTTGATACTCGGGCATGCGCCTGTAGTGATTTAAGATGAATGTCGGTCGCATATTGCGCTTTAAGTTCAGCCGCGCCATACTAACTTATGTACTCTAGTGGCACGTATCATGAAATTGGCGCTGCCCGAGAACGCAAAGATCGCAAAAGAAGCCAAGGAGTGTATGCAGGAATGCGTGAGCGAGTTTATCTCGTTCATCACAAGCGAAGGTAAGTTCAAAAGTTTTCCATGACTCAACCGACATATATTAAGGTATCACAACAGCCTCGGAGAAATGTCAACAGGAAAAGCGCAAGACTGTCAACGGTGAAGATATCTTGTTCGCTATGACCTCTCTTGGTTTTGAGAACTATGCCGAAGCCCTCAAGATCTACCTCTCCAAGTACCGTGAGGTAAGACATGCCTACCTAGCCAGCGCGCGCATATACAGTTTGATAAACTAACCCACTTATAGACCCAATCTGCGCGCGGTGAGAACCAGCGCCCCCCGAGCGCTGGCTATGGCACCGGAGGTCCAGTCGGTGGCTCAGCCCGTCCTACAGGATTCCCCGATGCCGAAGCCGGCAACCCTCTGCTTAACCCCAACCTGGACCCATCAGAGCAAGATGCCGCAGCCTACGGTTACCCAGCCATGGTTGGCCAGCCCCACAACGGCGCAGGCGGAGACTCTTACTAGAGAGTTCACTTTAGCAAAGGATGCATGCGCTGGAATTGCCATCATTGTGGATTTCAGAGTGGAAGCGTGAGGCGTGCAGGCGTCTTTGGTTTCGGTGTTTATCTACACTGTTATCTCGGCCATTTGATACAGCGGAATTTGGAGTGTCTCTACCTCTAGAGGGGGTTACCAATTGTCGGATTGCGTTCTACTCGACAGACCAGGCTTGTTTCAGGGCCGTTTATTATTTGGAGTTTTGCGGGTTATTAGGTATTATGGGCTTCGCCAGATGACTGAGACTGTACATTCGATTCAATGACATACTGTCTCTTACTCTTTGCCTTCTTTGCGCTTTGTAGACGACACGAATTGCATCCAATAGCCAGAAGGTTCAAATCTCATTCTGACTCTCGCCATCATTCCGGGGATTATATTCACTCTCCGAGTCACTGCGCCACGCAGGATCATCCAAATCGGAGCCTAGAATGTGCTTGGCCGAGGGAATCAATTCATCCACCCCCTGGATCTCTTTCAGGTTCGATATAAAGCTTCATCACGCTATGAGCCTGAGAGTCCTACTACTTGAGCCTTCCTCTTTTGTATCCACGAAAACGCAAAAGCTCCAGACTCCCTGGGAGACAGTCTTTCCCCATACAACCCCTCACCGCCGCCGACTCCTTTGGCGAAGTAAAGAAGAACCTGAATGTTTAAGCTCAAGCGCCTCAATGCAACATAATCTTTCAGTGAGCGGCTTTGCGCCCCCACAACACATCGCGAACTTCAACAATCTTTGGATCGCCATAGTTGTCCATGAAATGATCAAATCCGAACCAGCTATCCAAGTCTGGCTCACTGCGTGGATTGCTCGACCTTTAGAGATTTTTCAACATGTTTGAATCGTCATCAAGGTCAACATCAAGACACTCCAGAGTTTCCTTATGGTTGCAGAGGATTTGGACCAGGCCCTTAGGGCTGAGATCCATAGAAACGGTCTCAGCAACTGCCTGATGGTTCTGGCAGCTTGGCTCTAGTCCCATTTTTCTCAAGTCTGCCATTCTCTCTGGGGCTGAGGGTTGGCATCGCTTAACTTGATTATGCTGATATCTGAGATTCTAGACTGCGTAGGGTTTAGCACTGCTGAGACTCGTTTCGCATTAGTTTGTACATTGAAAAACAATCAAGACGGCCAAAATAGATCGACTTTATATGCCTGCATGATAAGCTTAGTCTAGGCACTTTGTGCAACTGAAGTATTAAAATAGGCTATCTGATGTAATCTCCTCTCAGCCTTGGGTATTATCAGGATACTCACGTTAATGAATAGAAACTTTTTCTGGCGCTGAAGTCTAATTTACGTCTATGTCAATCCTGGGTTCGAATCGGATCTACGCCGCATTGCCCCAGTGACCCTTGGGGCCGTACTGAGCTGGGACAGTGGGCCAGACATCCACACCATCGAGCATAGCAAGTCTGTAAGATCTGGTCAGTATTTGATAATCAGAGTACAATGGCTCAGCATGGGTCACTTACGCCATACCGCCTGTGAGATGCGGGTCGATGTGGCAATGCATGAAGAATGCTCCTGGGTTTATCACTGTAAAGGGGTTGTTAGTCTAGATTTGATGATAGAATGATTTGAAGCGCATACCGTGGTAGCGGATTGCCATCCAGGCCTGTCCTTGGAAGGCTGCTGGGCTGGTGAAGGTGTCTATAAAACACACTCGTTAACCACATTATATAAATTGGAGAATAGTCGGTCAGATGCTGCGTACCTCTCATGGGAGGATTAACCAGATTGAACATCCCTGGCATCTCCTTGGCAGCCTCTGCGACGGAAGTGTAGTTGAACTCGCCAGTGCCGGAGCCCTAAGAATTGTTAGCAAAGAAGGCCAGGCATTCTATCTTAGAAGTACTCACTAGAACATAAACCGGATTCGAGTGCTTGTGGAGCGGATGACCCGGCTGAAGGGTTGTAGAATCGCCAACAACCTTGAAGATAATGTCCACCCAGGTATTGTTCTTGGTAGCGATAACCAAGCTGCTGTTCTCATAGGACTTGGGATCCCATAGCATAGGTCTCTCAGCCTCCAGGGCCAGATTGTACGCATTGTTTGAGTTGAGGGACCATCTCCAAGCCTTTTCATAACGTCCAATATCGAGCACGTATGTTTCATCCACGCGCTGGCTTGGTTTGTTTGAAACGAGGGGCTTGATGGTGGATTCATCGAGGACGACGACGTCAGAAGTAAGGCTGTTACCACCATAGTTGATAGAGGGGGTGGAACCGATATTGGGATCGCCATTGGCGTATGACAGAGTAGCGCGTCCTGCAAGCTTTTGGTTTAATCCGGAGTTGGCGACAATGATGGGATAGTCTCCTGCGGTGTTGTTCAGCTTGACCAGGGCGGAATAGCGACCACCATTGTTGACTGTCAATGCCTTTTAAGGGGGTTTTCGGTTAGTATGCAGGTGTAGCTTGAAGGTGGTTCAGGAAGAGATATCATACGTCGACTTGGACGGGCTGAATGTACTGACCATCAACCTCGTACACCCACATAGAATGGTTGTTGATAGAGACTGTCTTGGTTAGTCAAAAGTTCCCCGAGAAGGTATCAACATCAAACATACCAGTTGGAACCGAGATACTGGCTGAACCGATAAAGTTGAGACTTGCCCACCCCTTCCAGCTTTCGACGTCGATGACAGCTTCCTCCGCTTCAGTGGCATTGCATTCATTGTACAAGGTTGAGGGAACTGCACTGAGGTTGTGTGGCGCATATGTTGTTTGAGCGTAGGTGTTATCAAGCGCAAGACATCTTCGCGGCCAATCGTTAGTTGTAATCGGGCTTCTATCAAGCATTCTGATCTGATCACATACCCTTTAACGGTGTAATTCTTGCCTTGCAGCAGGGACAACATAGTAGGGGGAATCAGGCTGCTGGCATATCCGGGGCTGACACAGCGCACTCTTCCTCTTCCGTTGATCAGTAGAGAGTCGGTACATCTGTGGCATGTCAGATATTGCTGCATCGGCATATTCGCTGGACTTACAATATGTCGATGTCTCCTTCCACGGCAAATTGCCGTAGTTCCTCAGAGGTGTTATGGAACCAATCGGAAAGCATGACCAGCTTAGGGTCCTTGATCGCTTGATAAATTTGAGCCCGTGTCAGGGTATCATTAGCCATGGCATTGGCCATATTCTTGGCAGCTGTGCGGGGTCTGGATCTCGAGTCTGAGCTTGCTGGTATTAGTTTCATTGCGAACAGAAGCTCACCTGATGTAGATGGGCCCGTACAGGCCATCCATGATTTGTCCAGCAGAATGCGAGTGGTACCTATGATTCATCAATATTAGAGACCTTGAGATTGAGGCTGGAAAGCTTACCAGTATGTTCCATGCTGCGTGACAGTGAAGTTGGAGACAAATTTCCCACCAGGCGGAATGAGACGTTGCGAAACTCCCGGCACACCATCTGACCACGATGTTCCTTGCTGTCTGTTCTCGGGTGAATGGTTGGTCTGGATAAACTCGAAGAAGATAGACTCACTCAAGACCGTGATAGTGAATTGTGGTGTTGTAATGCAGGTAGTTGTTTACAGTGACCTCAACCGTGTCGCCCTCATCCATCAGCAGCGGAGGGCCAGGGAATTGACCATTGACCAAAGCTTGTTCACGCTCAACTCCATCGGGCGCCCTAGTGTCCCATGTGAGATTAAGCTCAAACTTTTTAATAGACCCAAGGGAAGGCAGAGCAGCACCGAGGCCTGCGAAGCCAAGGAGCGTTGACAGCTTCATGACTGCTACACAGTAGAGGTGGTTTTATACAAATGCGCAAAAATAAATAGCAGTGGGGTCCGGCAGGTCAATAAGTACTCCTATGCTTGACAGATCTTGGATAGGGGGCCACCATCTGCGAGCCCTCCAAGATTTCATTCATAACTGACTCACGAGGAAAGGCAATGCCGCAAGGGGGCGTCAATAGGTGTTTTCTTATTGGACAAAGCTATGGATCATTAGCATCCCGATCGGTTGGCACTGGCTTTTAGCGTACTTTGAAATGGTGAACTGCCGATCACCTAAGTATCATTCGGAGGTTATTGGACCTGCGCAACATATGTGGAGTTAGTCCCCATTTTGAGATCCATACCGAATGTTCTTCCGGGAGCTGAATCCTAGGGAGCCTCTATACCCACCTGTCTCAGTCGGATCAATTTTAGCGATTCACATTCTTACCCCTGGACATGGGGGAACCATTGAACTTTGAACCGCAGCTCTTAAGCACCTCAATCTACTGCAATAGGATGTGCTCCTCTGGCCAAGCTGACCCCTAATGCACGACCTTGGCATTGGCTGCATCGACTATTGTTGGCTTGTGGATCTGGTGGGTCGATCACTTTCTCAACTGAATCCACCACCAAATCCCGTTTTCCAACTTTCCTACTTTCCAGCTCCATATACATCCGTACAGTGAAGAGATGTGTGCAGATGTTTCAATGCATGTCCCAGACTGAGGTCTTGCCGATCTTTCGAATCTCTCAAAGTGATGAGAAAACCACTGGGGTTCGGTACTTGTAACCTTGGTGCATTCGATTCCCTAATGAACTTCAAACATCATTGAACTCGAGCATTCATGTTAAAATAGACCAAAGGCACGTGGACATGGTCATTGTGTAGAGTAAAAGTCTCATAATAGGCATGGTAATACGTGGCCAATGACTCGTCTATATCGAGCCATATCAATATCTGTTGAAATTAGATGTCTCCTGAAATGGGAAGCATCAATATCAAAGCCAACGAGACTATTCAAGTCTGGTTTTTCTCTCAATGAGTGAAAGACCCTATTAAGTGGGAACTCTTTGCCTGCACTATACTCTGCTTGTTAGGTCTAATGCTGATATGCCAGGCCCGATATGTCAGGCATCTAGCCTGGATGCGCCATGAATCTCAACAATATCAAAAGCATAGTGAAGATAAAGAGTCTCTTCAGGAATAGTATGATACACCATACACCAGCAAGCCTAAGCTACATTAACCTCGTTCCTCATCTAGAACATGTACATCAACATCTCTCTTGAACTTCACACAACTTACGCAGCTCAGCTCAACATCCTTCGGACTGAACAGTCAGTATACCCCCACGTTTCGTACCAGATCACCGATCTAACACCCATCATGGTTAAGCTCCCCAAAAACCCTCCAGCCCCAAAGTCTCCCGGGCCTATTCCGGCGCTGCGTCAGGCCGAAGACAAGCCAAACAAGCTGTAGAACCACGTCCACCTAACCTCGCTCCCAAGCCCCGAAGAAATAGTTTTCGAATCCTTTTTTGAAGCACCTATAGCTGACTTATTTCCTAGGTTCATTCTACTCGCTTTTTTCATACAATCGAGCGCGATGCATCAAGCATTGTATTAAGATGGCAGACGCCACTGAATGGTGGGTCCTTGAGCGTAAAGTTGCACCTGCCCGCATCCCCTTTTGCTGTCGCGATAGATTGAAAGATGTCCCTTGTTCCCAGGCTAATTCAAAGGCATTCTTTGATTTTCTATTTTTTTCTTTCCTTCCTTTGCTAAAATTGATTTAAATCAGTCCAGTTTCATACTAATGAAAAGTCATTACTCAAAATCTGACTACAAAGCCCTAATTAGATTAGAGAAATATGTAGACGCTTTACATTAAACTATAATTTATATTGGCAAAGTCCAATTTCTTTAAAAAGATTTAACTTCTCTCCCGCTAGAGTGCTAGGAGACCGGATAAAGACTGGTCGGACCGAAGGATGCACACTGATGAGGTGAAACAGGGAATACGTATGTTGAGGGGTCATACAGCCCATCGTTTCTCAGCCGCTTCGCTTCATGCGTCTGTGCACGTACATCTGCTTCGCCCCCAAAGATATCGGACACGTCTCCATGCAGATTGCGCCTTGCCAAGAAAGTTCTCTTGCTCCTGGTACATGTATGATACATATTAAGTTAGCATGCTGAGAGATTCTTGAGCCTCCTAAACTCTCCCACCATAGTGGAGTGTATTAAGTAGGTTGAACCCCATTGTATTGTAACACTGCAATAGCACCGTCAGCAAGATTCCGTTTTTCGTGGAAATGAGCAAAAGTAAGATAAAAAGCGAGAGGCATGTTACAGCCGAGATATTCACAGGTGCGTGCCTAATTTTTTGTCTAACCGAAGTGTCATTATGTCTGATTCTGTTGGAAGTGAGGCCTCCAATGATAGTAGAGAAGCAGGGATCACGGGCAAAGGGGCCTGTGTATAGGCACATGTACTAGACAAGAATTCCTGAGCCCGGCTCTACTGCGCATTTACCTGCTTGCAATGTAGATGGCAGGCGAAGTGAACTTGCATGAGAGCGGCCAGGCTACCATCAAGTCAACCCCTGCACTCCGACAGGAATATTGCCGAACAGGCGCCTGTAAACCTTTGAATCAGCCTTGGGGCTGAATAAGAGCCTGATGCAATATAAAATATGGTGTTCCCCGCTTGCAATTTTGAATATCCCATTCCCTTTCTTTCCCACTACCTACCAGGCACCATCCGATCATCCTATACCGACTATTTGAACCCCACAATGGCCTATATATATTCTCCAGAGCATTCCCAGGCTGTGATGGTTATTCTGGGGTACACATTCCAGAATTTGGTGTTGCTTCGCAGGGCTCTGGAGACCTGGAGCCTGGGGTCTCCTCACGGCAACAAACCCCTTGCCCTTGTTGGAGATAGGGCTATTGCAATGGTATTTAGTCTTGATGGATATCTGAAGAATGCCACGTGTGGTAAGCTTTTTGTCGCTTGATATTCTGAAAACACTTCAAGCTAACCTCTATTGTGCAGGAAACACGACACAGCTTTTAAACTCTCGATCATCAAACAAAACTTTGCATAGCTTGGGATGCAGGCACGGACTTGAAAGATATCTTGTCCTCAACCCATCACAATCGAATGTTTCAATTGATACTATGGCGAACACAGTGGAGGCCCTGATAGGGGCTGTCTTCATTGACAGCGGGTTCGACCTAGACGCTGTCAAGGCGGCGATGATCAACTTCGGCATCATGGAAGCTCAACCTCAAGAGTGACTTACAGTATGTTCACGTTCTTTCTGTTCATATTTGGAACGAGACCTGGTTGTACTAACTTGCTGTCAAGGCCTGAGTGTGTTGCGATTGCTCCTTACACACGTTTTGGTATATGGCAAGGTAAAGGGACCCGGGATCCCCCACGTGAAAGACACGGATCGGTCTATAGATCAGCACTTGGAACATGATATCAGGTCTGAGGGCTGATCTTATGACTCATCTGGGTAATTCTCGTGGAGGATCCCGGGTCCCTTTATTGTGGTATCTATGATCTGGTGTGGTGGGAGTTACATTGTACAAACTATCTATGGCTGTTTTGGTCCCATTCTTTGCACTTTTTGTCTCACTTTTTATTCGGCTTTTTTAAATAGGAGGAGTCGCCCTGTGGCTTTGAGTAGCTTACAGATCCTGGCAAGATTCAACACAGCAGGCATTTGGACGGCTGAGGCGAGAGGACTTGGTGGGCTCTCGGCGATTCAACATCGTCTTCCTTGGAGCTTTGCTTTATTTTTGCTCTTATATTTTTACTACAGTCACTCTTTACTCAATTTCTCAATGTAATTTCATCTTTAGGATACCTTTATAAATGACGCACAACGGGGGGTCATAAGTCTGTTCAGTGTTATGGGCCATTGGACAATTTCTTTTCAAAGCCCTCAAAGTGCGTGTGCCATTTCATCCATTATTTGTGTCCTAGCTTGGGCTCTATGTTTTTGTATCTTTTTTCACTTCCTTTTGGCCCATTGTCAAGTGGCTCGGATGAGTCATTTAGATTATGTAAAACTTGTTGCCACTGTTGTATTACATAGTTTTCTAGAGAGATAAAGCCACTTTCTATAATTTCATATATATCAATTCAGTGAGATCAGTTATGACTTACTCATCGTAGCAGTAGACTCTAGGGCAATAAGGATAGCAACTTGAGGCATCACAACGCGCAGGAGACTTGCAGACCTACTGAGAACTAGACTTTTAGCTTTTCAAATATCCAATACAGTCAGTCTTATATCTCAAGACTTTTATTTATAATGTTTGCAAAACGGTAGAAGTTCATTGCCATCTGCTACGTCCATCCCCACGGCACGTCCAAACGAAGTTAGCACTTTTGCTTCACTTCAGAGGCAAAAGCTGGGATTTAATAGACATGCTCGGGCCTCTCAATCTTTTCCTGATAATTATAGACTGCCAAGCAGCAATTAGGATTTACTTTCCTACTCGCCGTTACATATTGCCTACACTTCGCTGTATTTCTTTGCTTGGAAGTCATCGTAAAACGACCGCCAGATAGTTTACCTCTGAGAAGATGGATAAAACTGTGTTCATCCTTTTGATTCAATTGAGCCTCCCTGGTTAATTCGCGTGTAGTTAGATATTACGATAATCAATACTATCACTTGTGGCACATTCATTTCCTAGTGTTCCAACCATTACCCCACCAAACATCTCACTCATCTCTTTGCAGTGCCGAGAAATTAGTCTCCTGGCAATACTCACGGAATGAAGTCATTTTCAGACCCAACTATAGAGAGGTTGTCAACTTCTCTGAGCGGCAACAAGATCGAGTGGAGCCTGGACCTACCTTTTCAGGTTTAACTACCGCGGGATCGGTACCTTCGTAACCAAACTCCAGCGCAAATAAAACATTGTGAGCAAACTCATGACCAAGACCGCCTGGAAGCAGCTCGCAGAACTTGTCGTAGGAAAGCTCGTCATAGCCACCGTACGTTAAGCCTTGGGTTTCGCAAAATATTTGGAGGTAATCTGACCATGACACGTATTGCCCAACAGCAAACAAGTTTACGTTGGCCTCGGCCTCAGCGACTGCCTTGACGCAGGGACCTAGATCCTTGCGCACGTGTCCGAATGGAATGCCCTTATCACCTGGGCCGATGCCGGCCATCCGCCAGGTGCCGTCGGTTACCTGTAAAAAGGAACGTTAGCTCCCATTTTGTTACAGGTGGTAAAGCAAAATGCTAAGAAACCCCAATTTCTTTCGTACCTTCTTTGGGGTTGTAGGAAGTCCCCATTGCCAGGGGAGCTGGAAATATATAGGCGCCTGAACTTGCGAAAACTTTCCAACGAGGGCCGGGAGGCTCTGTGCATAAAGAGCCGCGTCTGCTTTGGAGTCCATGTGATATAGCTTGGCAAACTTGCCATTACTGGACGTCCCCGCATGGGCCATTGAGCTGAGGATGTATCGGCATAGGCCAGAGACAGTCGCTGCAGCATCGGCAATGTTCTTGCCTTGCTGTAGCTCCACGTCATAGCAATACTCCACGAGCTCTTGACCGGGATTCTTCTTCCTCTGGCTTTCTGGGTCTTTGAAGATTGTCCAAAAGTCAGTGACCCCGAAGATGATGTCGGCTCCCACAAAGGCTCGCTTCAAAGACACCACGTCATCAAGGTCGCCTTTGACTATTTCAATACCCTTTGCCGCCCAATCCTTTGCGCTTTCGGATGTAGGATTGCGTGTCACACCGCGAATCTTCCAACCAGCACTTTGAAGGTAGGTGTCGGCGACGGAGCTTCCCTATAGCTTTTGTGTCAGTGAATTGATGAGTTGACATTGTAAAGCAGTTGTACATAGAGCAATTCGAACATACTTGCACACCAGTCACACCCAAAATGACAATAAGTCGCGACATTGCGGAGGAAATATTCGCAGTAGTAAAAGTTTAGAACGTTTGACAAGACTGTATCAACGAAGAAGTCATTTGGAATATCCTGAAGTTCGAACGATCGAATACGTTGTTGTGTTTAAAGACTTGAAACAAATCCGGATGTGACTTGGACATTTATACTCTCAACCTGTGGCCGGTCAACTTGCCATGAGAGATAGCTGAATTTCCTCCCGGCTTCTTGATTGATAATCTGTTTTCCCGGTATCGATCGCTTGGTAAGACTGTGGATGTTTCGGGCTTTTCTCTCTGCTCTTCTTACATCTAGTGATATCAGAAGGGCTCCACTTTGAAACTAAAATCTCGAAACTAAGCCTAAATAAGCGCTAGGCTGCGGTTAGCAGGGATGACCAGTGTCCATATTAGGTTAGACCGACCCACTTACTTGTTTCCCAATTGGGAACATCGTTTTCATTACTTGCAAGTTATCCCTCGCAACGATCGCCAGCTTGTCTATACGTCCCGGGCTTCTCCAACCTGACAGATAGTAGAAGTCTAGGTCATTCCATATGCTTGAGTAATATCAGGGACCGGTCTTTGAATTAATAATATCGGATTCGGCTTGCAAGTTGAAAAGCCGAACTGAAGTGCTTAAATACGTACATCCTACCTCTAACAATGTCGCTAATTACTATATCACAGTCTTCATTTTCTCTTTATCAAACTTAACTTCTGATTGATCTTTCTTTGATCTTGCCCTCCAAAGGCCCGACTGACGAGATGGCCCTCACCAAAGAATTGTCCACCACCTACAACCAGTTTCTTGAAACTGCCCCGGAGGAAGTGTCTTCCATCATAACGGATGCAGTAGGCAACTTCAAGAACATCTACGACCCTGCGAGAGCGATCCAGCCCGGGGGTGCCTTTCCGCAGTTCCAATTGAGCGGTGCGACTGGCAACAAAGTGTCGCTGAATGATCTCCTGGCTAAAGGACCCATCCTGGTTTCTTTCTACCGGGGTGAGTGGTGTCCCTTCTGCAACCTCGAGCTGCGTGCGCTCCAAGCCCACCTAGACGACTTTGGCAAGAGAGGCGTTACTCTAGTCGCGATATCCCCGGAGCTACCTGATCAATCGCTGTCCACGTCCGAGAAATTGTCGTTGAAATTCCCCGTACTTTCAGACGTCAACAATGAGCTGGCAAAGCAGCTAGGCATCTTGTTCGCTCAGCCCGAACCTATGCGAACTGTTTTTGGCAAGTTTGGCGTGGACTGGAACAAGCGTTACGGCAACGACCAGTTGGAGGTTCCAGTTCCTGCAACTTTCCTGGTCGACAAGACGGGAACTGTGCGCAATTCCTTCGTGAATCCTGAATATCAGCACCGATTGGACCCTGAGACTGCACTCCAATGGGTTGATCAGCTTTGAATCTGGTTTTTGATAAGCGCGGCCTTGGGATTGTCAGAATTCTGATTAGCATGACTAGCTACCTGCGGGGGGCGTGATTACGTATCATATAGCTTCCTTAGCTTCAAGTGTATCTAGAATGTCTTCGTTCGAAATATGATCCTTATTGTCCTGTGTTGTGGAACCTCCTCATTTTTTATCAATATTATTATGTAGATGCTCTATTTTTAGGCATTATATTGTGTGTAAGTTGCTGCCAGAGCCTCGGTGCAGTGATTTGACGAGGTTGCGAGAGCTATATCTTTGCTGACAAATACTCTTTGCAAAAGTGGGGTGAGCCTCTGCGATGATCTGCAGATACTGTGATCAACCATTTGATCCTATCACTCGAGTACACAATGAGCACAAGAGATTGGGAGTTGAGCGCTGCTGAGCTACCAACACAGGACGCGATCATCCCCGCTGGTTCAGCAGATGGATCACAAGTGCTGCCAAGAAAACTGACAAGTGTACAACCTTCGGCCGCTTCGGATCTCAAGTTCGTATACCTATCTCATCCAGATGACGTACGCCGAAAAAAAGAGGTTCAAACGGAGATTCGCCGTCACGTTATGAAGGATATCGGTCAACGACGGAGGCGCCCACGGCACAAGGAGACCTTTCCACAACCCACCCAAGCATCTTCTGTGGAGTTGGATAATTACGAAATCTTTCAGCACTGTGACGCAAATACAAACACTTTTTCACCCAGCCGAGGCCTAGCTACGCTCGGCAACTTCCCTGTCAAGGCTGATATGCGTGTTCTCGAGCTTATGCACTTTCGTAAGAGTTTATACCTTTCGCCTTGACTCCATGGTCGTTTCTTCTGACAATACTTGCTCTATATCAGTCAACACAGCCCCTTATCAGGCATTCAGGAGTATCTGGATTACTACAGCACTATGCGACCCGGGGGCATTTCATGTGACTCTCGGCAACGCAGCTGATTTTTTGAATAAGATCAATGGCAATAATAGTCCCACCAAAAGTCCAGAGGTTTTAAGTCACTATGAAATTTCAGTGAGGCAATTGAGGCGGCGGCTCAATAACTTTGCGGAGAGCATTACTGAAGGAGCCATTGCAAACATATTGGCCCATGTCTGTCTTACTGTATGTTCTCCAATTTCTACTACAAGCCCTTAAATAACTTCTCTTAATAGATGAGACACTTTGATTGGGATAGCTGGAGGGTCCACATGGATGGTTTAAGCCTCATATCTAAACTACGTGGCGGGTTTTGTAACCTTGGAAACAACATGCCCCTTCTCATATTGCTGTGAGCACTCCGGTCATTCTTCTTTTCTGAGTTATATTCCTGACTTGACCTTCCAAAGATACGATCTAGCTGGTGCCATGGTCTTTGATTCGTCTCCCAGATTTCCCCTCCCACCAGATCATGTTGGTACATCTAACAAATCTTTGAGGGGGGTTCCACCCAGGTTACAGGCCTTGCTCGTCCAATTTACATCGCCCACGATTGCTCCAGCGGGTGAGATATTAAGAATGATCTCCTCAGTTGCCGATGTGATAAACACCAATAGCCACTCCACTTCATTCTGGAAGAGGGACATCGATGCAATCAAATTGATCGGCCCCTGTATCCACCTTTTGTTATCCATGCCGAGGCTCCCCACCAGCTTTGAGACCATGTATAACGCTGAAGATCTTGTCGCGAGAGAGATGGTACGGCTGGCATGTCTCATGCTCATATCAAAGTTGAACGAACTCCTTGCGTTCCCGGCAAGCGAGAGAGTCGCACTTCAGGCCAGAACTACTAAATTTGTAACTCAGAACGTAAAACTGGTTGGGAAAAGATATTTTGAACTGAGAGTTTGGGCTCTCGTCACTGTTGCTTTGTTGCAGCACCGTGACGAAAGAAGAGTGTACATAGAGGAGCTGCAAAGAGAAATGCACGCAACGATCGGTACAGCGCCAAACGACTTGGTTGATATTGCAAGAGATACTGTCTGGATCGACATTTTAATGTCGCCGTTTGCAGATGAGTTAGCGGAAGATATGACGCTGCACGTTGACTTTAGCCAAGCCTATTGAGTAGAGCAAGCCCAAGCCCAAGCCAAATTAAAAACCATCATGCACACATTTTCGAAAAGATTATAGAAACATCTTGTAGTTCTGTCTTTGATTCGAAAAATTAGGTCGATTTGATCTTTTATCAAATGCAATTTTTGAGACAGAGACGACCATTTACCATAGTACTTTTAATATCCATTTGGCAAGATCAGATATTACTTGCTCATTCACATTCCCTGGAACACTGTATTCAAGTGGTGTTGATATTCCATCTCCCGCAATGAAAAGATGGTTCAATTGCTCATATAAATGGAACTGGACATTGTCCCTTTCATGGAGAGCCGCATGCCATTGCTGATAATCATCCTGAACTGTCACCTGATAGTCCCTACCACCCTGCATGATGATGATAGGCTTTTTCATAGACCTGGTGGTTCCGATGGGGTCGAAATTGCGATAGTCAAGCCAATAAGACGGACCAATCCCAAAAGGCAGTTGCTTAGCTGGCGTCGACAACTTGAGATGGTCACTATCTGCCAGTTCGGCCTGCTTCTGTGCTTCGTTGATCTGTTTGTCGAGATATAGTGACTCTGGTCCATCCAATGATTGAATGTAGCGAAGCTGTCGAATCAGACATCGATATATTGGCTCCGCGGGCCCAGCCATGATGATACAGCCTGCAATGGAAGCGTTCATGCCTGCTATCATGGGAGCAACTACCGCACCAAGGCTATGCCCGAGAACAAAAATTCCGTTAGGAAGAATACTCGGATGGTTCTGGGCTATTAATATAGCGTCGACTGCGTGTTCGACATATTCATGCGTTAAGGTCATATCTTTGCGCCTTAGAAAAGTCTTCGGGTTCGTGTGAGTCACCTTGTCGAATCGGACAGATGCAATTCCTTGACGAGCTAGGCCCAACGCTAGATCTTTGAATGGTTTGCTCTCTTGCACTGTCGAATCTCGATCGCATGGCCCGGAGCCAGCCAGGAAAACCACACAAGGGAGCCTTGGCATCTCGGTTTGCTCATGTGTAGCACTTGGTAGACATAATGTTCCGCCAACCTTGAGATCACCTTTCCCGAGTATGATTTCTGATTCGCATGCGCCGTGGTCGGCATAGTATGGCCTCTGCCAGCCAGATCCGAGGCCAAGCGCACTTGTCGGGAGAAAGCGAAGACCCACAAGACCTCCGGTTGGGGTCATTTGTAGGAGCATGCCAAACTCTGCGCGCTGGAATCTTAGTGGCACATTCACAGAGGTAAACCACCACCCGCTGGTTATGACTGGATTGCCAATGCTCTGTAGCGGTCCGAAAGATTTGCATATGATCTTCCAACTTTTCTCCAAGAGAGAGTTTGCGAGGAAGAATCGGAGAAATGGGCTAAATTCTAGTCTCAGAGTTGCCCATCTCCCACTGTCCATCTGATGAATAATTTCCCGAACACGAATTTGGGTCTTCAAAATATCTGGACCCCGCCATGCGGTCAGATACGCTGTCATCCATCGAGTCAAGGCAAACTCCTTTGCCCAAATAAAGAAAGTCATGTCTTGTTTCTATATTTGACGAAGCTGTGGTATCTCGCCACATATGGTAGTTTCCATTTGAGAGGTGCAAAGTCGCGTACTTATAGAATTACGAGTGGTTGGGTCTCTCTTGGCAAGGCACGCTAGTAAGGGGGCCAAAAGCTGTCGGATTAAGTGTCGGGTATAAGGCTACCAATTTACAACGACTCTCAGACACCAAAAATTGATACGGAAAGTCAAAGCTCAGGAAGCCCAATCAAGACAACCCTCATCCCGATCAAATCAGTAATTTTCAAGTCACCTTTAGTCAACACAGGATGCTTTGAGGTCCAGCTCTTTTCGCGCGCTTCACTCCAGAACTGTAGCATTTGTGCAATTTCATGGCCCCATTAAGTCCACATGTTATCGTAGTGCTCAATTGGGATTGAGAGTACTTGACAGGCTTTCCTGCTTCCTCCGACCAGATATTCACCATCTCTCGGTCTGTTCCAGTCTCGGACTCTGCCAGAAGAATTTTTACAGGTAGAGTGAGCTCTGGCTGATTCAAGATGACCAGTGCGTAGATACAAGGGCTGACTCTGGGGCCACCCACGGTGGCGATAGGGCAATCCTCTGGAACTGGTAGAAACTGGATATGTTTGCCAGAGGTTTTTTAAACATAGTCAGCACAACTCAATTGTCATGGGCAATGTACTATTTACGAGATATTATATTGGCAAGGATATTAGGAGTAATCATAGGCAATACGATATTTGTGGCATAGTACCCAGCCCCCATAAATATTATTTTGCTCAACAGTTCCTTATCCTGTTGGATGAACTGGTCAACCTTTAGCTTGCCTCCAAAATGAGTAATGGGGTGTTCCGCTCCAGACATTTAAACGTTGTTTGGAATGGTACCCCAGATAAATGCTGGACTGAAACGGTCTAAGCAGCCGCTTTCCCCATGTTTATTCCCTGCTTCGCTTCCAGCTCGATAGTGTCTTCGATGCTTTGAGTCACGAAGCTATCCCAGAAGTCAGTCTCGACGTAGATGGCGTATGACCCCTGTTCCAAATTAACCAATCTGTTTGATGTAAATGGTGCACCAGATGACTTACCTCGGAAGTTTTGACAAGGCTCTGTTCGTCATTCCAGTCAGCTACGACCACCACGACACCATTCAACATCAATACTTTTGATGTGTCGCTATTGATAGCACGAGTCACAACACGGATCTTGTAGTTTCCAGATGATAACGCCGCGGCAACAACAGAGCCACCCTGAGTGCCGGTGGCACCGATAACAGTCGGAATCTTCGACAAGTTCAATATAGATATGTATAGGAGGCGATGAGCTGGGAATACTGTCGTGGGAATAAAATTCGGCATAAGCTTTGACTTTATAAGATGACAATGAGGTTTTGTTTTACTTACCCCACCGTTCATTGATTTTGTAACATTGCTAAATTACCAGGGGCTTGACCACAAAGAACGAACTCCTTTGACACACACAATCAGCTATAGAACCACCAGCTCAAGCCTCGCATGGTTGAATGCTCTATGATCACGCTGTTCATTGGGCTGACCTAGCGACAAGCCTAAATGGACTCGAGATAGCGTTCGACTGGGGTGAGGCTGATGCCAACCACGGTGCTGATTGGCTGAAACTTTATTTCGTCCCACTTGCCGGCGCCCGGTGGTCCAAGCTTTCCAAGCCTACTGCAGCCAAACAAGAGAATTGAGTTAAGCGATCGTTGAAGGCCTGAATACCCTGCAGCGAGGTTAGTGAAAGCGATTTCAACTTAATACTAAGGCACTCTCTTTGGAACTGCCGGAAAAGCAGTGGTAACGCATACATTTCCCGAATGATACAATATTCAATCCCAGGGAGGTAATAAACGTACATTGGACTTTCGGGCACAAGAATTTAGTCTTATCAGATCACTTCTATCCACGGTCTTTGTTTCAATCCAGAACTTTCTCTAGCTTACGCTGTTCAATGATTGGATTTTCTTTTTTTCCCAAAAGAAAGATTTGTCAATAACTTGTTTTTGCTGTGTGCCGCCTACCACCTTTTATGGTACATCAGCTTCTTAGTAGGCATTCACTGCCCATACACCACGAGAAACGTCTATCATTTTTTCAAGATACCGAGCGAGAGGTTGAAGAATCTGTCGTATGTAAATGTCTAGTAAGTTGGATGAAATTGATGATACAAGTCAGTCTTTCGGCTACTTGACTTCCTCATCAAAGATGCTTGAGAGGATGAGGCGAGAAAACTTTGTGTCAATTGACAGAAATAAATTCCCTCGGGGGCACTAGAGCCCGAAAAGGCCGAAAGCATCATTCGTCTGGGTAGATATTGGGTCATGCAGAGTTTTCATAGTGTTTTTGGTATCCAGTTCGTAGTATTCTGCGCAGCCCTCCAGAATTAGGCCCATCCGTCGGATGTAGATGACCCAGTCTTGGTTGTCACGATGATCAGATTCAAGTTTCCTTTGAACGATGACCGATGATGAGCGTGAGGATATTGCTCCGTTTTTACCCTTTAATGATATAATGAATAATGAAGCAAATTTAATGTGGTTCATGGAAAGCGAAAGTGCGCGTAAGGAGTTTGGACGTCAAATCAAAATGATTAGCCGAGCGCAATGACAACGTACACCTCAAAAGGGATTCTTTCATAGACCTAGCATAGTCTAAGCTTGAAAAACAGCTGAATACACAAAAGAGGTTTCAAGTTGAGGGATTATTAAAGTTGTGTGATCATGAGGGAAGATATTCAATATAGTAATGCGCTTTGAAATTGAAGGGAACTCCTCCAGAGTAGGGAGAGGGAATAGGATGGTGCTTTTTTTTTTTGTGAATCAGCATACAGGTGGTTCTATTTATTGGAACAACTAAAGAAAGAAGGCCTGGTATCTAGACCAAACATACGGTCCCCAAAAGCCTACATGACGTACAGATGGACTCGAAAACGCGTGGAGCTGCGGTGAACTTGAATGTAGATCAAATTTTGAATGAAAGTTCTCATGTCTAGATACAATCAAAGACATATTCAGGAAGACAGTTGACAGCATGGGGCTTGTTGATTTCTTGCCAATATGCTCCCTTCTAGACTATAACGGTTTTCCGATCTCCTGGTGCCGAATCAGAAGAATTTGTGATATTTTGAGACATATTGAGGCATTCGGATTCTTTTCTTCGTTTCCTTGAAACAGTCTCATCTCTTCTGAGAATACATTTGAAAAAGGTATATTGGTTTAAACGAAGTAAATAAATCCCTGTCATCGTGGCGAGGCGGGTTACGTAAGCATTTGTACCCTCTCCGCATCCCACGTGAGGACCCGATCTCGCCCCGACTTTTGTCTATTCATTGTCGCCTTACCCTCGGTATAGACCGCGCGGACACTTTCTTTCCTTGTCTGCTCTTCGGCCATGATGCCTTGAATGACTGGTCTTTGTGACTCGAATGATGCAGAATCTTGGTCCATTTGAATCTAGGATGACTTGCCATGTCTTCCGTCAACGATAACTCTTCGCCGCTACCGGGCGACGGGTCGAAGCGAAAGCAAGGTACTGACCCCTCCTGGTACTCTCGCCTAGTTATGGCTTTTATCTTTTTGCGGCTACTTCTCTAGCAAGGATTGCGGCTAACCGGTGACTCAAAAATTTCTTAGGCTCCGCCGCCTGTGTCCATTGCCACCGGCGCAAAGTTCGCTGTGATGCCCGTGTCGTCGGAACTCCTTGTACAAATTGCCGCGCCTCTGGAAAGGCCGACTGCCGCATACACGAAAAGAAAAAGCGTCTTGCGGTGCGCTCAATTCTAGATCCCGTTCCGATCCGATCTCGGCCACTCCCCGCGTCTGATCACACTTCGAACCCTTCTCTTGCAGCGGGGACCCCACTCCCACCAAGTTTTCCAACTGCGTTTCCCAGTCACACACCGCTCGCTGGAGGTATCCCGCAAAATGGCTTCCAGCAAGGTACGGGATCGGAGGCATTCGGGCGCCAAGGCCCGGACTTGGCGCATGCTCACGAGGCACACACGGAGATGGAGCAACATCTCGTGAAATTGATAGACGAGGAAGAATCTGGTAGGAGGGAAATCCAGAGAGGCGTGCGTGCCTTCTACGTCGGGCATGAACTATCAAATATGTCATTTTTGATCCGGCAACAACGAGATCAAGATGACGATGTATACCACTTTGCCAGCAACGAGATTCCCCGGCGCCAAATGAAAACCGGCCATGATCAGCTCCTTATGGATGCTCTGACACTTCCCGAACCGGCACTTGCAGATGAACTAGTGCAGGCATATTTCACCTATGTTAATCCTGGGTATCCTATCATCGATGAAGATCTGTTTATGACACAATATCGGAATCGAGATCCCGCAGATCCACCGCCAATTCTACTTCTGCAAGCTATTCTCCTTGTTGGAACACATGTTTCCCGTGCAAAGGCAGAGCGAGACGCTCTTAAGGAAATCTTTTTCCGTCGCACTAAATATTTGTTCGATAATCGCATTGAGCGAAATCGAGACATTCTCGTTCAAGCAGCCCTTCTTTTGACGTGGCACTCGGACAGCGCAGACGATGATGTTGCTGCAGATGCTCACTTTTGGGTGGGTGCTGCTGCACGAATCGCCACGGGGCTTGGCATGCATCGAAACCCCGTTTCTAGTAGTTTCGTGACCCGCGATAGACGCATGTGGCGGAGAGTTTGGTTCATTCTGGTCCAATTCGATGTGTTAATATCTCTATCATATGGCCGACCCCAAGCAATGTAAGTGATTGCTATGAAACAGTTTGACGCAATGCTAATCAATACCCTCTTAGCAATTTGGACGATTCTGATGTTTCTCCTTTGACCCCTGCAGATTTCGAGAACTGTGGTCCTCATGTACAATCGGAATATGTGATACATTTCACCGAACTTTGTACAATGATCTCATACCTCATCCGTGATCGATTCGGGCTTCGCGCAAGTGAAGAACGACGAAAGGCCGTTTTGCAGGAAGCTGATGGATCATTGGCAACTTGGTCCCTGAAGCTTCCTGACAACCTTCGTCTGCGAGCATCTGACATGGATCCATGGTCTGCCATGCTCCATTTGACATATAACAACTTCCTCATTTTGCTACATAGGCCGCATCCCAGAGCCTCGGCATACTCCGACGATTATGGTCCCCACGATGCAGAAATCTGTAGTGCAGCAGCCGGTGTGATTGCGTCCATCTTTGAAGAGCTCAGGATGAACGACCGCTTGAAATACCTCTGGTACACTGGAGTCCACACTCTGTTCACAGCCATGATCCAAGTGCGAGTTGAGCTTCGGTTCTCCAACCCAGTTCTTGCTATCAATGCCTTGCGGCGTTTCGACTCGGCCTCCTACTCGCTGCGCGAGTTGGCTCAATACTGGGTTCATGCTGGCACAATCCTGCGACTCTTCGAGGACTCTAAACGTCTCCAAGAAGACCTTCGTATGGCAACCACTGAACGGCCCAAGCCGTTTGGTGATCCTCAGCACTCGCACAAGATGCCCGTTGCTTCTCCCGCTTCATCGGCATCTATGGCACCAACACCCCGGCCTATGTCATTTGGAGTTCATACTCCGGATTCCACAACTCTCCAGCATACCACTCTCTCGCCACAGCCACCCACTCAATTCGACAATTGGATCACCGCCCCTCTCCGACTCAATGTTGGACCGTTGGAAAGAAACGATCCCTTCTCAAGCAGCATGCAAGTTGATTCTATCGAGCCGGCTCGGGACTATCCGGACTGGCGCCAATTGTTCGCATTCGGTGATGTAGATCTGCCCCCACCTGTTGGTATGGAAGGGCTCCCCGAGCTCGAAGACGAGTGGCGACAGATCTACTGGCAAGATGCCCCAATGGCGGATCTCATCCATGACGGAGGATGGGTCCCTCATTAGTCTTGTCCATTTCATCACATCACTATTGGAGGTGGCCATACCTTCCTTTTACTACCTCACTACTTCTCTTTATTCCGTCCTTTCTTCCTACTCCTTGACGACGAGACGAGCCATGCCAGGGCACGCAGATACACACAATACATTTCGAAGACCTTGCAGGACAGACTCCTACAGGCACAATGTTCTATACAAGGCTCACAGCTTATGATACCATGTTGGATGATCACATACAGGTTTCGATAGAGATATACCCTGTCTTATATTGCAAACAGTGATATCGAATACATTTGTCTACGTTCTTCTTTCTGTGTATGCTACTTAAATAGAACAAATATGCACAATACACATTGCACAACACCAAGCCAGCGCCAGATGCGTTTAGCCAACTGCAGGGTAAGTCCAAGAGATCTCAGCCCGAGGCTCAGCCATACAGATACGCTACCAGGTGAAACAGACGCAGTTCAAACCCTATCCAAACACAAACCGTCTCCAATTATCTGCAAGCACCTGGACACCATGTCTCAATTCCCATCCGCGAAGGTCACAGATCTGCCGAGTAACATCTTCAAGCAAGTCATCCATCTGCGGGCCTGCCGTGTGGAGGTCACTCTCGATCAAAATCCGATCATCAGGCAAAGCCTTAATAACATCAGTGATCTTCCGCGCCGGGGCACCACTGAAATTGATCAGACTCGAGAAAGAAAAGTAAACATCTGACGGATTCGACTGATGCAAAAATTGCCGAATAGGCTCCACGGGACCAGAGTATGAATGCATGCAGATGCGCGGTGGGAACAGAGGCGGGCTTTTAGTATCTGGTACAAAAGCTTCATCCTCAGACACTGCCCCCTCCGCATCCTGCTGCTTATCCCTCTTTCTTCGGGAAAGCACGACCCGCTCATGGCCCTTCCATAATTCCTTTAGTGTATCAAAGACAGCACCGTGCGCCTGCACACTATGCATTGAAACAGGGCGGTCCATTTCCCCAGCTAATCGTAGCTGTGCTTTGAGGACTGTGCGCTGGTGATCTAGCTTCACTCTATATGGCGAGAGGCGCCGTCCCTCGCGCGATCCAGGGGTTACTTGGTCATCCCGATTCTTGAGTTCATCTGGTGACCAGATACCCGGAAGTCTGAAGGCCTTGTCTAACCCAACTTCGCCGACTAGAGCGTTTTGGCATAATTGGAGTCGAGCCCTGGACTCGGCTATAAGTTCAGAGAGTGGTTTTGGAGTTGGGAGAGCATCGATGAATGTCTTGTCGTCTGTAGGTGGGGGTGACAGTACAGCCATATAGTGGTCTTCTTTTTGCTGAGCAGTGTTTGCATCAGTGTCATCCACAATTTGGTGTGAAAACCAGGGATGCCACCCAAAACATGGAATTGCTCTTTCTGGCGACTGTTCTGATTTCCCAAGTGACATTGCCGTTTGTTGTACAAGGTCTTGGTCTTCACCCCGCGTAGCCATGATTGTCAAGGTTGTGGCTTTCATTTGTGGAATGCCTGCCACTGAAGACATAGTGTCTGTGGGGTGACAGTGGGCATCATGAACGCCAATATCCCAGGGGAATGGCTGAGACATAGTATAGAATGAAAAATGATGTTTGAACGAAGTTGATATACACAGTCAAAAGTGATGTAATCGGCGTTTCTGCCTGGGGCATCCATCACATGTATTTACTCCGCAAAGTCAAGCCGAGCATCTGTTTACAATGCCCAGCCTCTTTGCTTTCTCTCCTCCTGGGGAGGATTGAATCCAATGTGGTCCATTCTAAGTGCCTTGCTTGCGTTGCCTCTCCTAGCTGTCATCTCCATCCCGCTCATCCTGTCAGCATGGGTAACAATATCATTTGCGCTGTTCGCACTGGTACTACGACTTTCAGTGGTTTCTATTGAACTGGTCTGTGGGATATTCTTGCATTTTCTTTCAGTGCCTACTTCATCGACGTCGTCGCTGTTAACCTTCGCGGCTTCGGAACCTACAACACCAGCAGATGGTAGATCCAGACGCAACTCCGGATATGGAGCACAGCCTCACAAGAATAATAACTCTCTTTCGTCATGGACCATTAGCACAAGCTTGGAGGACCCCGAAAATAGGAGAAGAAACTCATATGCCCGCAGCATGATCGAAGCTCACAATCTATCGCCTTCAACATCATTCGGATTCCCTGTCTGCGGAGATGAAGGGCGGGACTTTGAAGGCGTAGGTGGCTGGCGCTCTTACATGCCCTCAAAGGCTCGCAGCACCCACTCGCTCTATGAGAAAGGCGCCAGCAAGGCTGCAAGTTCAGCATCATCCTCTGCAACCCAGAGCCGCAGCGGTGAAGGCGATCCAGACGCAGATATCGACGCAGACGAGCGTGCCTGGCTATCTCTAAATAATCGTCTTGAGCTTCCTTCTCAACTCGTTACTCTTGGATTCACTGGCTATTCTGCAACCACATTGAACAGTCCAACGCATTTTGACGACTCCAGCAACGGCCGCTATCATTTCCGGACCTTTTCACCAGATGGAAATTCACATAGTCCCCAGTTTGATGGACATCATAATGCACCAAGAAATCATCACCGCTCACTTACGACGTCTTCACTTACAACATCGGACCGCCGCACCGGCACGGGTCTTTCCCTCGCATTGTTGACAAGACCTGATACCACAGCTTCCCATTCCAGGGAATATGGCTACGGCATGTCTTCATCTACGCCTCGTCTATCAGCACCTTCCATGACACCACAGCCATATTCGCCCTTCAATACGCAGTCACGAAATCTTTCCCGTGGATTACCGACAAATGCTGCACCATATACCAGCTCATACCTCTCCAGCTCTGTCGATGGAGGCCACAGCTTTGGAAGTAACAGCAGTGGTGGAGGTGGGGGTGGGTATTTCTCTTTGAGACGACCGAGTTCTCCTGGGAATCATACACTCTCGCCTAGCGCTAGTGGTTATACCACTCCTGGTGTTGGTATTTCGACTGATGAGCGTGATGCGTCGTTGGGGTTTGCTCGTTTAATGGCGCATTATCCTACCAGTCCGAGACATCGGAGGCAGAGTGCCTCAGGGTCAAATTCGAGAATTCTGGGCCCTGGGTGATTGAATGAATAGAAATTTTCTGTGCAGGTCGTACAAAATTCTTGCAAGTGTACATAAACTGAAGATAGTCAACTGTAATCAAACATCTCACATATTGGAACATCTCAATGTTTACACAGCTAGTCGAAACACAGTGCTTGTATGAAAATGCCCCAGCTTTGTCCATTTTCTATTTTTATTCACCAATGTATGTAAGTTGATATGTAAGGACAAGGAACCAAGCAAGCCAAAAATGTAAAGACAAACACCAAAAGCTATAACGAGTGAAACAAAGAGAAGAGAGAGAAAACAAAAGGTATACTACGCAGTATCAACAACCTCCAACCCAAATCTGATAGAGCATTATTCAAAACACACGCATCTCTTCAGATCATGACGATTGACGACCCCTCTCCCGTCGGTTGACTTCCTCCATCTCAGCGAGGATGACACTGTTGAACTCCTCCCAGCCATCAAGGTAAAGATGATGACCGGCTTTCTTGATGACAATCACCTTCGACGAGCCTTCGTCAGATTGACGTTCCTCTACTGTAGCATTTGCCAATACCTTCCGCTTCTCTTCTTCCAGACGAGCTGCTGCTGCATGACCGCCTGAAACGTCCATCCAGTCGTGATCGCCATACATGAAAATCACAGGAAGGCCGTTCTCACGCTTGGCGGGTGTCTCCGGTTCCGAAGAAGCGGGAGCAGGGGGTGCGGGGGTAGGCTCTGCTTCTTTTGAGCAGGTTTTAGCAGTGGAGATAGCGTGAGGGAGTGGGTTTAAAGGAGAGTTGCTATGGATTAATTGACGTCCGAGGCCGTGGACTCGGTGGATGAGAGGGCTGCGGGCGAATGCGCCGGGGGCTAGGATATATGCCAATGCGTATTCGCCACTGCCGCGGAGACTGAAGATCGAGTATGAGTAGTCGTGGAGAGCCTTGGCTTCCTCGGCTGGGAGGTGGGAGAAACGGCGAGAAGTCCAGCCAGAAACGATGCGAGGTCCTAGCGGACCGGTCCATCGTACCAGGCTGAAGGGGGAGATGTTTGCATCCCACAAATAAGCGAACCACTTGGGAAGATTCCGTCGTGGAGGTTGGGCTGGCCCTTGAGTGGGCTGCTGGCCAGTGATAAAGCTGCCATCAGCAGTTTTCGGTGCTGGCCCTGGAATAGCACCTGGTGCCACAACACTCTGCTGGTCCTGAGTAACCTCGCTAGGCAATGTCGATTCTGAAGGCTCGGCGACGCCTGCGGTGACGGCGTATGGGTCCTCTGGGATGCCAACAGGAGAGGCCAAAATAAGCTTGTTTAGATGACCAGGGTATTTGAGCGCGTAGGCGACGGCCATATATCCTCCAAGACTGTGTCCCAACAGGGTAAACCGATCAATCTTACGCTTGATGCGCCACTCTTCCAAAGCGTCAACGAACCACGCTTCAGCTTCGCGAATGGCATCTTCTCTTCCCTTCGCCTTGATTTTGAATGAAGGTCGAGTACTCCGGCCCATGCCCAGCATGTCTAAAGCATGCAGTTGCCACCCCTTGAGGCGACTGAGCGGCTCGAAGTTCTTATAGAAGAAGCCAAGACCAGCACCATATCCGTGCAGCATGACCAAATGCTGATCAGCTTCTTCCCCTACTCTTTCTACCGAGAACTCATTGAGCGCGCGGTCCTTCCCGCTCAACTCCACCATACTGGAGCTCCATTTGCGCGGGCCATAGGGGTCATCAAGGGAGTTTGTACTAATCTCACCCTGCTGATTGTGGTCTGTGGACTCCAAGCTGCCCCTTCTGTCGGTTCCCGTCTGCAAGTGGGTGGGCGGTTCGTGGCGCAAGTAGGGGAGGTAGGAAAGGACTTTGTGTTCCGTCTGCGCGACTGGCAGCTTAGCCCACCATTCAGCGAAGCCGTCTCGATACGATAGGGGGAACATTGAGGGTCGCGAGGCCGTAGCTCGGGTGGCATATGGGGTGCTTTGTTCGCCCGAGTGGCGATTGGTGTCCTCTTGGGACGAGTTGAGTGATTCAGAGGCCATTGAGGAATAGCGGAGCCCACGTGGGGTGTGGAGTTTGTAAGATTGTAATCGTGCAAATGCGGATGGATTGCGCAAAGTAGAGATACAGGCGTGGTCAGCCAGTCGAGTGGAGGCCACGCTCATGAGACGTTGGGAAGAATCGGAGAAAGAAGCATAACATATAAGCGGAGCCGGAGTTTACGGGCGGGCGTTAAATCCGTGAGGCGACAAGATTCACGAGTCGTCAGCTTGGAAAAAAGAAGTGAGAAAGGGGAGAGAATACGTATAGACTACAAAAGTACAAGTTTATAGTATGAAGTCAGAGGTTGTGAGCGGAGAGGCTGATCAACCGTGGACCGCCTTCCCCAACGGCTTCTTCTGACTTCACTTCATCAACCACCATGGTCTCGCCATTAGACCATTTGGTCAAGGGTGCTCCAACCTCAGAAGCCCGAACTCCTACGCCAGAGCCATTACACTCCCATTCAGATGCCTCACGGCCCTCCGATCCCCTCGATCACCTCCCATCGGCTCCCCCGCAGATCTACCTGAACCTGCTGATTCTCGAAACCTCGCTGCGAGCCCAATACTTGGCTCTGCGCGAGCGCCGGAGGCAAAACACCTTCTTCGTTCTCCTCCTGGCTGCCTGGATTGCCTACTTCGCCTATGCGCTCTTCCTCCGTCCGCGTGAAGATGGCCGCGGCGTCGGCGGCTCAGTCTACTGGGTTGTGGAGATGGGAGAGAAAGTCGCCCTGCTCGGCGGCGTAGTGACGGCCTTGCTGGTCTGGGGAACAGGGCAATGGGAGCGCGGCATCCGATGGCCACGGCGCTGGTTGGCAGTCGCGAATCGCGGCCTACGAACCATGAACACCAAGATCATCATTATCCGCGGGCCATTCTGGCAGGAGCTTCTCTCATACCTCTCCTTCCTGTTCCCCTTCTCCGTCCCATTCTTCCCCTCGCCCACCGGCAACTACCAGTTCGTCGAGCGGAGCCCCTCCGACAAGCGCAGTGCCCGTCAACACTACCAGCAATACTACAATGGCGCTGACAGCGAGTCCGGACTGGTAGAGGAAGACCTCAGTCCAGGAGGTGACTATATCCGGCTTCTCCTACTCCCAAAATCATTCTCGCCCGAGTTCCGCGAGAACTGGGACGATTACCGAACGGACTTCTGGGAAAAGGAAAACGAACGCCGTGCCCAGCTCCGCATCAAGCTCCGCGAGCGTGAAATCCACCTTGCCCAGACAGAAGGCCGCTGGCTCGGCCGCTGGGGACTAGGCTGGCGCGCATCCCAGCGCCGCCGCCTCGGCGCGGCAAACCTCCACCGACCAATGGAGCCAGAATTCAAATACCGTCTCGGCCACGGGCATCACCCCTCTGTCTCAAAACTAAGCCAAGAGCAGCGCGGCCCATTTCCCCGCCGCAACACCCGCTCCGAATCACATTCCCGCACCTCGTCCCGCAGCACGACACCCGTCGACATCGGCCTAGATCAGGACCGGCCACCCTCACGCTCTTCGACATCCAGCAGACCCCGCCGAGGCAGTACAGCATCCGGAGAAACCACGCCGCAACAGCGCAAACGAAAGGGCTCCACGCTCCGCCGGGGCCTGTCGCCCCTTACTCAGGCGCAGATCCGGGAGGGAGTGAGGACGCCGTCGTTTTCGTCGGATGATTCTGTGCTGCCTATGGGTGAGAAGGATAAGGAGGAGTCTATACCGGCTTCTGTGCCGGAATTGTAATACACACTTGCATTACACACACTGCAAATTAGCACGAAATGTTGCTCATGCATTTATTTCTATACCCTTGTTTTCTTGTATTTTGGATTGGGAGTGTTGGACGGTTGCTTCGGTTGATCGGTCTCTTCTATGATTGATCATGCAGACGTTGCTTCCAGGTTGTCTTCTATAGATACATTGGCTGTTTGAATCATGGTCTTTTTTCTGTTTTGTTTCGCATAGATGCTATTCCAATGCATGTCTACGGTGTTTTCAATGCATATCCATTACAGCAGTAATGATATCGTAGTAAGTTCACATTATATCAAGATTATAATTAACATCAGTCTACTTCGGAAAGGAAGATATAGTCAAGCGTCGGTATTCATTCATATTTCTCATATTGAGTCAGGTCCACTGATATCCCCAATTTGACTCCATACGCCAAAGACAAAAATAATGACAAGTGATATCAATCCCAATGCAATGACGATAAACAGCTCATAAAGATCCCAACCACAACATCAACCACCCAAAGCAGACACGGGATAGATTAGACACGGTAAACATTGTCATCGTCCTCAAGGAACATAAGCAAGTTCTGCTCGTTCATAACCCGCAACGCCTGGACAGCCTCAGACTGCGAAAAGACACTGCTGGCTCCATGAGAATCCTTAATGGCACTGTTAACAGCACCAATCAACTCATTGACATTCATCTCATCGCCATCAGCAAACACCTTCGATCCCATAAGCGGGCCGAGAGTCGACCGAAAGAGCGTCATACGCGCAGGCGTGATGGGGACATCGGTCGATGTAGTCTGCGAATCTGTCTGGGACTCGATGAGTTGCGAGGCGGGCTGCGATGAAGCCATGGACATCTGGGACTCGGACTGTGTCTGTGTGCGGCCTTGGGTCTGGCTTGAGCGGAGGCGCTGGGCACGCGGGCTGGCGGCGTACAGGCTGTCGTCTTCTTCTTCTTCTTCTTCTTCGTCTGGGATTGGGACACTGGATGCTGCTGCTGTGGTGCGTGTGCGTGCTGTGCCGGTTCGGCGGCTTGGTGTTGCTGTTGAGGTGCGACGGGCTGGCGTCTCGTCGTCCGAGTCGTCGTTGAGTTCTGGGTCGCTGTCTTCGTCCGAAGAGTCTTCGGAGGTGACTTTGCGGCGCTTGCGACGCTCGTCTTCGACGACTTCCTTGAACATGGCGAAGCGGAGGATTGATTCGGCATGCTTGGCGTCTTTTTCGTCGACTCGGCTGGATAGACGGGCCTTGGCGTGTGCGGTTGAGAGACGGATGAGCGTCTCCAGAGTACGAGGAGTGATGGGTGAGGTGCGGCGCTTGTTGCCGGTAAGTTCGTCGTTTCGCAGGGCAGAATATGTGGCGATGACGTGGTCTGCGGCGCCCTTGGTCAAGACGGGCTTGACACGGGACTTGGCATACTGGATGTACTTCTTGATGAAAGGGATGCTGATGATCTCAACATTGTTTGTGCGGTTGCGGCTAGAGTTGGGGTTGACCATGCCTCCGTGGAGCATGACGTTGAACTTCTCAAACACATCAGTAGGGGCATTGGCATCTTGACGATCTTCAATGCCAACACCCAGGGTCTGGTTGAGTTGTTCCCGAACAGGGGCGCCCTCTTCGGTGCCAGGCTGGCGATAGCGATGCATACGCAAAACGTGCTCCGAGATTGTTCGGTCGTGGGAGTCCTCAATGTCATCCGTCACAACGAACAGCAAATCGAAACGAGAGAGAAGGGAGTCTGGGAGAGCAATGTTCTTGTGGGGGTCCTTGTGAGGGTCGTATTGACCATAGATGGGGTTGGCAGCTGCCAAGACACTGCAGCGCGCGTTCAGACTTGTGTGAATACCAGCCTTTGCGATTGTAACGGTCTGCTGTTCCATAACTTCGTGAATAGCGACACGGTCGACATCACTCATTTTATCAAACTCATCGATACAGACAACACCACGATCACCAAGAACCATGGCACCAGCCTCCAGACGACGCTCACCGGTTTCTTTGTCAGAAGTGACAGCAGCAGTCAAACCGACACCTGAAGAACCACGACCAGTTGTAGCAATTGCAAGAGGTGCGGTGTTCAAAACGAAACGAAGAAGCTGAGACTTGGCAGTAGAAGGATCACCCACCATCAAGATGTTAATATCACCACGAAGATGGGTACCATTGTCCAAGTTCTTCTCCATACCACCAAGCAGCATCAGGAGAATAGCCTTCTTAATGTAGTCATGTCCGTGGATAGATGGGGCCAGGGACTTGGACAGCAGTTCAAAGACGTTCTTCTTCTTGGCAATCTTGTTAATGTTTCGCACATCCGTATCCGTAATGATAGCCTGTGCAATGCCGCCGCCACTCTTGGAAGACAGCTGAATGATGTTGTTTGCCATGACAATAGTGCGGAAAGTCGAGGATCCATTGCCTGCATTTCGGTTACCCAAGGTGCGGTAGATACCAACCAGCTGAATTCTGTCTCCGGGCTTGGCCGTGTCGACCAGGTCATCATCGAGGATAACATCGACACTTCGGGGCAGTTGTCCGGCGGGGGCACGTTCGGGCATTTCTTGGATGGAGATCGATTGGTGGTCCAAATATGTCGAGTAACCGTATTCGGTGATAAGCTAATCATATATTAGTCTCTTTTAAGCATTCAATGGTCCCACAAGACATACCGGGTTCTTATCATCATCTTCCTGGGGATAGACATTCAAACTGGTGGCGCCGCTGGCACTCATAGTCTGATCCCGATATTTTCTGGCAACGAAGCGGTCCTTTGCCTCGACGTAGTGGACACTCTGAACAATCTTGGGTCGGACCAGAGAGCATTTCGTAACGATACCCTCGAGCGAGACCATGTGGTTCAATTGTTGAGATCCCAATGTGCGGGGGTTGCAAGAGAATTCTCCGAATGCACCAACATAGGCACAGTAATAAGCCTATCGAGGAATTAGACGCCAAATATGAAGATATATGACCAAGGATACACACAGCTTCATCGGATGTTTCCTTGGCAGGTCTAGAAGGAAGAGTCTTGACGACCTCCTTCAAGGCTCTGTCAAAGGCTTGCGAGTAGTCGAATGGCGAAGAGAGTAGGCTAAATCAAAATAATGAGTCGATATCTAATTGACTGTCAAGACCGAGGAGAAACATACCCATCGGCGAGCTCGCGGTTGTGTGCTCTGATTTCATCGATGCTGACCTGTTCAAAAATTAGCCTTCGCTCCGGCAGGGACTTCCCAGGACAGACGCACAGTCAATCGGCGCATGCCCCTATTCAGCATCACCACAATATCCGCTCGATAACTAAAAAGCTCAGTTAAAACCAAAGCACATCACCAAGCTCGAATTCGACGAACCTGCGTGCCCGTGCATCGCCTTTTAAAAAATTAAATGTTAGTCCCAGGAACCACCCAATCCAGGAATAAACACATACTCGGATCAAGAAATTCAGTGGCAGCACGCACGCGATCCTGCGCGGCCTCATCACGAAGCTGTAACCCGTCCATGATGTAGTTCAAAATGTAAGTGGGTAAGGAAGGATGAGTCGAGGGGGTGAGAGGATGTACCGATCGGGCTAAATTGAAATCTACACGTCCCTGAGCGCGTCCCACGCGTCCCGCGTGTACCTTATGTCAGCGACTTTTTTTTCTTGGGATATATAACGCGGCCATCTCCCGATCCTTTTTCTCTTCTTCAAGCGACTCTACGTGCGTCTCCCTCCCCCCAAACTGGCTTCGGCTTCACCTTTGAGGATCTTTACACTGACATTTCTTCCTTTTACAGTTCAAAGAATCACTTTAGAGTAGACGTCCTCTTTCTAAGCTCTTTATAAGAGCCACAGAATCTCCACCCTTGCTGATGACTGCTATGTCCTCGATGCCCTAAAGTGAAACCTTTTTACTCCCGCCTCGACTGTTACGCGTGCTGTTCACAGTGTCTGCGTTTTGGTCCAGGGAGTGGTGATGATCTTGACCTGGTCTCGATGTCTGACTTCGGTCGGTCGGTCCTGGTGGGTGTCGAGGAGGTCTGAAAGGTCCTTCTTCCTTCTGGTTGATGGTATGGTAATCTATTTAGTCAAAACAAAATCTCCAAAGCATTTAAATTTTCACCTAATATTTTTGCCTTTTTTTTTTTTTTTTTTTTTGGAAAAGCCTCAGTTTGATCCACTCTGCAGCACCGTAGTCACGTGTAAAGTCTGGCTTGCTCGAGTCACCTTATTTTGATAGATTAGCTTCACCACTGGGGTTTTGATTATGCATGGTGGCGATGAGACGGACGCAATTGTGTGTACCTTTGTTACCACGCCGTGGTTTTTCACCTGGGCACACAGGCGTGTTGTCATCTGAAATTCCTAGTCAGGCATGGTGTCGCATGTCACTTAGCATCCACTGGGCTGCTGCACATGTGACCAGCACTGTATACGGGGCTCGAACCCGGGCCATTTCCCTTGATTGATGATCATGCTGTCAAATATAGTGTTCTTCGCCTCTACATATCTGTATATATAGTGTGAGCCTGGCAAGTGGAACTTTCTAGCTTCCGACATTACTATCAACGCATGACATCTAGTATAAGAATGAAGATGCAATTCTACAATTCAACTATCGTACAGATAAATATATGCAAAGGTATACGCAACATGCTAAAACCACAAGTAATGTACAGTCTCCCCCGATCCTAATTTATTGCTGAACCCTTCCGGAGGAGAGGATCCTTATATCCAGCTCGCATTTCGGGGCTCGATGGGACGCCCCGTAGCGAGTTCGCTTTGCGCATGGTACCTTGCTTAGTGAACTTGTTTACGGGCCTGCCATTTATCGGCTGGCAAGTGGCATACCACCCGGCCCTGACGTTATAGAGCTTCCAGTTCGTCTTGCGCTTACGCCTGAGAGGGCGCTTTTCGGATGGCTTGTGCTCGGGTGGCATCGCCTCCGAACCGGTGGGGGTTTCTTCCACTGCGGCCTGTGCCTTGGGAGAGAGGGCCTGGGTTGGCGCTTTCGGTCGTGCTTGCACGGGTGGAGGGCCGGCGGAGTGTTTGTCGGGCGTTGCTCTGGTGGGTAGCTTCAGTCTGACCGTCCGCCTTTGAGCCGCCGACGAAATTGGTTTTGGAAGTCTGAATAGCACGCTCTGACGGCCACGGAGCAATCGCATCTGCCACGGATCATCCATACGAGGCATCTCGGCAACAATACGAAGTGTCTCTGGCGTGGTGCGGAAGAGTTCTGAAAAGGTTCCACCGCCATCGTGGATGCTGTTTCGGCGGAGTAATTGCAACCTTCTAGCCAGGTACACCATGACGCGGTAGGAAGGATGCATGTAGTCAGGTTGAATTCGCCACCAATGATCGCGTGCCTTTTTACCCATCACGCGACGGGGAGTGTGTGCGCCTGCACGCCCCTCAAGATGGAGAATTGACTCTGCTGAAGCATCCGGCCGCCGACCAAATCCACGCATCATATAGTACCAACCAGGGAAATTGGGCTGGAACTTCTCTTCAAAAAGCTGGAATGCCTTGATCTGATCAGAGCGCTCTTCAGATAATGTGAGTAGCTCAATGTAGCTAGACCAATTTTTGGCAGTCAACGCAAAACCGGCTGCCTGGACCTCACTCACAATTTGATGAAGTCTCAGGTACTGATTGTCTGCAGCCAGAGATTTCATGTAAATGTCGAGGGGGAAACTCATAATGAACTGCTGACTGCGCAGGATTCCTTGAGACTTTGTCCTCGTCGTTCTTGTCGAGTCCGCAGCTTGTTTTGCGAAAGCGGCTTTTTCCACAGCTCTCTTGAAAAGTTCTTTTGTATTTGCAGCATTTTCCCGGGCTTTTTTCAAAGGCAACGTGAAAGCTTTGTAGAATCTTTTCGCGTCTTCTATCGTATCGGTGGGCTTGGTCAAAGCTGCAGCATCTTTCTCGTCTTGTCTCAAAGCTTGAACTTCTTCGAAGGCCTCTATCACAGCGAGTTCCAAATCGTCAGCTTCCTGCGCAGCAGTTTCCGCGGCTTCTTCCGCGGTTCTTTCTGCAGCTTCTTTCGCAGCTCTGCCGGTTTTATTAGGGAGAACTCGATCAAGATCAAGGCGGGTAGCAGATTTGATCATGCGGGGCCACAGAAGATTCCAGTACTCCTCGACTTTCATGAATTCATGGGCTTTCAAATGAGCAAACATCAAAGATTTGATCAAGTCAACTGGTAACTCTGCCATATTTTGATCTCGCGAGCTCGTAGACGGCTTGCTCTTGAGGTACTGATCAAGCAACTGGTGTGTTTTGTCGATGGCAGCTGTATTGCCATATGCTTTGATCAAATGTTGGTAATGCAAGGCCGGAGCATGTGGCTTGGCAGATCCACTTGCATCGAATGACAGTGTCTTGGATGGCGGGGAGTCGTCCTTGTACTGGTTGATTGATTTCATCAATGCCGCTTCCGCGTGCGGGTAAGACATGTCTTCGACAGGGGTACGGGACCGTTTCGCGTTCTCCAAGTCTCTCTCAAGCTGCGTTCTGAGGTTTAAAAGGCTAGCACTCTTTCCGACTTTGCCAAGACGGGCTTGCATCTCGTGAAGGATGACGTGCACCATGTCACGGTCTCCCTTTCTCATATACGCAAGCATCAATAGTGAGTAATGTTGCTCGGTAGGTTCTATGCCAGCTTCGGCCATTTTGCTGAGCACAAGGTGTGCTTCACCCGCTTGTCGAGTAATGGCATGGGCATACATGATGGCCGCGTACGTTCCGGCGTCTGGATCCAACCCAAGCTCGCCAGTATAGCCAAGGAGCCGCGAAAAGTAACGTTTCTGGACCTTGAAGGCATGATACCACAAAAGGGTGTTCCACAAGTGCATGGGAGAACCTCCTCTCACTGACTCCCAGAATTCTCTGACAAGCGATTCCGCTTTGAAGTATTCGTCACTCCTGAGGTATGCGCGCAAAAGAATATCCACCATTGGCATTGTAATTTCCACATTGCTCAACTTCGCTTGGTAGAACAATTGGCGGACGTTTGACGCATCGCCGCGCTTGGCAAAAAGTGCCATAATTGTACCGTACGTGTGAGAATTTGGGGTCTCATGTTGCTTCATCATTCGAGCCAAAGTGGAGGCCGCACCTGATGGATTTTCCGCAGTCACATAGGCCTGGATCAAAAGGTTCCAGCAAATAGTATTTGGACGCAGCCCAAATTCTGCGGAGATGCGGTCGAAATGCCGTTGTGTCTCGCGCGCATCCCCTAGATGTGCGTGAATAGAAAGCAGCGGGGTCAACAATTTGCGACTTTTTGGGTTTCCGTGGTCTACTACAAGCCTGTCGAATGTTTGGTGTACCTTCGACACATCTCTGGCCTTGGAGAAAGCTTTGAGGGCTTCCCTGTAGGCTGAGATGGACGGTTTTGTCTGGAATTGAGCAAATTCGTCCAAAAGGTATGTGACATTGTCTGTCATCTCAAAAGCCACAGCACCGTCAAAAAGGCGAACCAAAAGCTTTTTAGGAGGGCGTCCGTCTGGTATTTCCGAACGAAACTGGCGATAAAATAAGATAGACTGAACAAACTCAGGTCGTGCATCTGAGCTGTGAAGACGCGTGATGATCTTCATGTAGGCAGATTCCTGAAGAACCCCTAGTGGTCGGTATTTTTCAATTAATTGAAGCAAGTCGGATGTCGGTATGAGCCATAATAGTGAGTCATCGCTGAGGACTTGGTCAAACAATAGGCGAGCCAGTGTGAGGAGTCGATGATCCTCTTTTCCAAGCTCCAGGTACTCTACCAAGCTGAGTAGACCCCTGACCAGGAAAGATGCGGGAATATCTCTATTTCTAAACGCATCCAAGGCTCTCAAGTGATTTTTGGGCAAACCTGGGATTTTGGATGTCAAAGTCCAGATCTCCGAAAATTGAGACCAGTTTGCGTTTTTTGTGGCATATAGCAGGCTCCACTTAATACAGACCCCAGCTAATGGCGTGAAAAGAGCTTGGTTGCAAATTGACACCACATGAGGAGGATCCCAAGGTGGTTCTGGAAGGTATTGCGAGGAAAGGATGTGTTGGTAATTTTCACTGCTGCGTTTGGAGTGAGGAATGGTTTGAAAAACCGTCCATGCCCAGTCCTGGTGCTGGGAGTTGGTAGAGTCGCTCAGATAAGAGAGTACTGCAGAACTGTACCGTGGCGGGCTGCCAGCTGCAAGGTATAACTTCCAGACCTTGTTGTATTGCTTTGAAGGTTGTTGGAAGGTCAAATCGAGTTCTTTGAGCATCCGCCTTTGTTCACTTGGGGTAATAAGTGGCTTTCGTGGCTCTTCTGAATTTTGTGGTTCTAGTAACTGTTCTGCCCACTTCTCAATTTCGTCCGAGGCAGTTTGCTCCGTTGAAATGGCTTGCTCGGTGCCTGAGGCTGATGTATAAGATCGCACGAAGCCTGTGTTGGACCGCCTTCTGCGCATTGCGGGCTTCTTTTGGGGGCGAGATAGTCCAGAGCCCACAGAACGTTGCGCTTGTTGGGGGCAAAGGAAGTCGAGAAACATTCCTCCTCCATCGGTGGTCCCTTTGCCATGGTCCGTGTTGGGAACGGGGGACGGACGTTGACCTGTCACCTGCAACAGAGCGAGAAACCAATGAGGGACATCCGCTTTCGTAGGATTGTGCATCCATGATCGACTAGGCAGTGACCTTCTGCTTCGTATCACGCTGTTGGGGTCTCGAAGGAAACGCCGTCCCGCGCTCTCGAGGCAGCTCGTTGCCCGTTCGAGCATTACCCCCGATCGCTGTAGTATCAAACCAAGTGACGATGTAGTTGATTCTTGGTCTGCATTGTATCGAGTTCGGATGGCCTGTCTTGATTGTGTTAGAGAGCTTTTTTCGGAGCTGCATTGACGGATTGTTTGGTGGTGCCATACCAGGGAGAGGAAAATGATTTCGTCAATTTGCCGGCGGTACGCCCAATTAATTCTGGAAAAGCTGCAATTGCCAGATTCGACGCCAAATAAATGCCCGTCCGATATAAAATCGCAACGTGAGCAGCAAAGTCTTGGAGCTTAGAGAAAACACGCAAAAGATTCGGAGGTTGGAAACTGCCGGAGGTTGATCGGACCATTCATTTGCCCGAAAAGCACCACCGCCTTCACTCCCACCACAACCGTGTCCCCCTCCCACTACAACAATCTCACACATTATGGAGGTGACTGATTTCATCTTCAAGGAGAGGGAGGAGGTTCTCCTCGTAGGAGATTACAATGCCTACCGGGCGCATACTACCAGAAAATTGCACAAACTCCGCAAGAAGCTTGGACAGACCACCGCGAAGGGTCGCAAGTATACTGCCAAGCCAGCTGTGACTGCTGAGAATGTTGGAAGCAATGTCTCGTATGGTTCCCCGCATCATTCCTGATATTCATCTAACACCATTTGTCTGGCAGATATGTACACCTTTTGCTTCTCGGTTCCGAACGGGCTTGGGCGCAAGCCATGCATATGAAGTCGACACACTCCGCAGATCCCTCGGCCAAGGGTATCTCAGGCGCCGCTAGACGTCACATTATCTCTCGGTTGAACAAGGCAACTGGATATGCGCAGCATCTGGTCACGCTGCTCCACGAACAATCGGTTTCCGGAGCGAGTGATATCGACATCCTAGAGACTCGCGCCTATCTTGCCATGATCTCTGGGTCTCTTTGGCTGGAAAAGCGCAAGTGGGAGCAGTGTCTCCGTGACTTTTCTATTGCCAGAGTGATTTACACGGCTCTGGGCCAGAGGGTCAAGAAGGACGCTTTCCGGGATCTGCTCTCAGGAACTGTTGACCCGAGCATGCGATACGCCGCTTATCAGATGAAACTCCCTCGCTCCAAACCTACATCATCCCTGTCCATTGAATTCTTCCCGTCGGATTCGGAGATCCGCGCTGAGGTGGAGAAGATTGCCCCTTCTTGCCTTGCCGAGGAAGCAGCTGGAACCCGACGCACTGCAGAGGGAGAAATACAGGATCTTCCCCAATCTGTGACCTGGAGGTCACGAACCGTTCCTCTTGAGGATGCTTCAATTTCCCAGTCGCTAGCCGCTGCTTCAGCGGCAGAGGCTCGCCTGACAAGTTGGCTGGCAGACGCAGGAAAGTCTGCTACTGACAAGGAGAAGGCTGCTGCATATGATAACGTTATTATTGCAAGCCAAGATGCTGTTGACGCTACAAAAACTGCCATTGATGACCTGGCTAATGAGGGTGTTGATCCCAGCGACAAGAGAATGCAAGCCCTGCAGATCACCCGAACTGCAGTTAATTACACTCTGGTTGGATGGCGAGTGGGACGCAACCGGGTCTTGTGTGGCCACCAGGACGGTTTGTCATTCGAAGAACCTATAGCTGGAAAGGAAACCAAGCATACTGCTAGAAATGGAAAGAAGTTGAACAAGTTGCGTGAACGTGTTGTTCTATACGACTCCACACTTCAAAGTTTGGACTTCATCCTCGAACTTCCCGGTGTTGCGGCCGATTCAGCCTTTGTGAAGGACCTGGAGACAAAGCGACACTACTTCCGTGCTCTCAGGTAAGGCAGAATACATCGTTCGTTGATTTGATCTCATTACTAACAAATGTTTAGATGCCTTGCTCTGGCAAGATCTCACGGGGTTCTTGGCAAATCTAAGGAGGCTCTTGCACTTTTGTCTCAGGCCTTGAACCTCGCCGGTTTTGCTATCCCCCAGTCCACTGATCTTGAGGGTCCCCCGAAACTCGACGTCTCCCGGGCGCAATCTGGTGCCCTTGAATCGACTTTGCGGGAAATGGTTGCTCAGTACCGGGGACTGGTTACTCTAGAGCAACTCCTTGCTGAACAGGCATCACAGTCTAGTCAGCGTCCTGTGGTGGAACGTCTGCAACAGTTCTCCGCCTCTGGAGTGGATCTCAAGAACCTGGTGCCCTACCCACCTCAGATGCAGCCTATTCCTGTGAAGCCGCTATTCCTCGATGTGGCATGGAACTACATTGACTACCCGCGTGAGGGTCAGCAACAGGCGGTCCCAGCTCAGAATGCACCCGCAGCTGCCCCCGAAGAAGAGAACCAGGGTCGTCGTGGATGGTTTGGATTTGGCCGTTCATAGAGACAGCCATACACAATGAAGCCAAGATATGCAAGGATCCAAGCGTTACTAGATGTACATTGTAGTCTCAAGCACACGTGCCCCAAGACCCTCCTTGCTTCTCGACCAATCAGAGCTCGGTCCGGAACTCGGGAATTCAGTAGCCGGATCACGCCTGAGTAATCGTGACATGATGATTCGAGTATACGGCAGGGGATGGGCTGGCTGATTGCGTAGAATCGGGTTGTAATAGATCTGGTCAGTGTATAAGTTGATTGGATCATGCCATTTTGCCGTACTTCCGTGGAAGAAAGAAGTATGGAACGGGTATTAATTTTGCAATCTTTCAAGAGGATGAAATATTCCTAGTAGATACAAAATATTCCGTTATGAGAAATAGTATGAAAAAGTGCGCAATAAATACAATTTAAAGCCGCATAAATCAATAATCGAACGTGTATAATATGCGTGCATAGATACCGTCCCGGCCGTCCGTCTAATTTGGCGTTCCGGCCCCTGAGGGCCCCAATCCTTTCTCCCCTCCAACTTTTTCTTTTGTTCCGGGTTCCCTCCTCTTCACTCTCTTGCTCGGAACTCTTGAATCTCCGAACATGGTCAATATGGTCAATATGGTCAACATGACTGGGAGCTTCGTCTCGCCATCGGCCGATGCGACTGTCTCGCCCCAACTTTTCGCGCCGGCCGGTCTCGTCGCTACCCTTTTGGATGGCTTCACTATCTGGAAGGGCCTGCTGACGCTCTTTCTCGCGGCCGTCCTTTACGACCAATGTATGTGCAATTGCGACATGTATTGCCTTGAAAATCGTATTTTGAAACTGACCGCGGACCCCTATTTGCAGTCAAGTACCACTACCTCAAGGGCGCCATTGTTGGCCCTATGTACAAGATTCCCTTCATGGGCCCGTTCCTGCAATCTGTCAACCCCAAATTCACCGAATACAAGGCCAAGTGGGACAGTGGCGACCTTAGCTGTGTCTCCGTTTTCCACAAGTGAGGAGCCCGTACATCTGCGGAACATTTGCTGTGGATTTCAAGGATAAGCCTGCTAACAGCTTCGATAGGTTCGTCGTGATTGCCTCAACCCGTGATATGTCCCGCAAGATTTTCAATTCGCCCGCCTACGTCAAGCCCTGTGTTGTGGACGCCGCGCACAAGCTTCTTGGAAAGACCAACTGGGTCTTCTTGGACGGCAAGGCCCACGTTGACTACCGTAAAGGTCTCAACGGCCTTTTCACTCGTCAGGCTCTGGCTATGTACCTCCCCCGCGCTGAGGAAGTCTTCAACTCCTACAACAAGCGCTTCCTCGAGAAGTCCGCTGCCACCAACTTCCAGCCCACTCCCTGGATGTCCGAGTTCCGTGAGCTTATGTGTGCTCTTTCTTGCCGTACCTTTGTTGGTTACTACATGACCGATGAGGCTGTCCAGAAGATTGCCGACGACTACTATCTGATCACTGCCGCTCTTGAGCTGGTTAATTTCCCTATCATTCTTCCCTACACGAAGACTTGGTACGGAAAGAAGGCCGCCGATATGGTTCTCGTTGAGTTCACCAAGTGTGCTGCCAAGTCCAAGGCTCGCATGGCTGCCGGTGGCGAGATCTCTTGTATCATGGATGCTTGGGTCAAGGCCCAGCTGGATTCCGCTGTGTACCGTGAGAAGATTGCCAAGGGTATCCAGGTCGACTCTTCCGAGAAGCCTGCCCAGGTTCTCCGTGACTTCACCGATTTCGAAATCGCTCAGACTATCTTCACCTTCCTATTCGCCTCTCAGGACGCCACCAGTGCCGCCTCCACCTGGTTGTTCCAGCTGATGGCTGACCGCCCCGAGGTCCTGGATAAGGTCCGCGAGGAAAACCTGAAGATCCGCAACGGTGATCGTACTATTCCCGCTACCATGGACCTGCTTGACAACATGCCCTACACCCGGGCTGTCGTCAAGGAGACTCTGCGCTACCGTCCTCCCGTCATCATGGTTCCTTACCTGGTCAAGAAGGACTTCCCCATCAGCGAGACTGTCACTGTCTCCAAGGGCTCCATGATCATTCCTTCCGTTTGGCCCGCTTGCCACGACGAGGAGGCCTACCCTAACGCCGACTCGTTCGACCCTGACCGCTGGATCACCGGTACTGCTGAGCAGCAGACCAAGAACTGGCTCGTCTTCGGCACAGGTCCCCACTACTGTCTGGGTCAGACCTATGCTCAGCTATCCCTGATGGCCATGATTGGAAAGGCCAGTATGGAGATGGACTGGGAGCACACCCCCACCCCCGAGTCGGAGGATATCAAGGTGTTTGCCACTATCTTCCCTCAGGTATGCTCTACCCCCATTTGCACTCTTATCTTGTGAACCATTTACTAACTTGCCTAGGATGACTGTCTGCTCACATTCCGTCCCCGCGCCTAAACTTTTCCATTCTTGGCTTGCACAAAACAAAAGCGAAGCTGGAGCCCAGCCCCGTTCTCCGGATAGAGAAGGGCTTGGTTGCCTTTTTTTACGTTGCCTTCCTGTCCTGGAGATTGGGTGGCCCATTGATTCTTCTTTTTTTCTTCTTTGATATCTTTTTTTTTTCATGCATGACGGACGCTCTAGAGTCTTGTCTTTCCCTTATTGTTTCTGGGGAAGCTTGTATACCATTGTGCAAAGATGCCCCCATTGTGTTTATGATTATCTGACCTGTTGTGGTCGCTGGGGGTTCATGTTTCTTTTCTGCTCGGAGGACTACTTGGAGCCATGCACTTAGAATAATATTAATTCATCTTCTTCAATGATTTCTCTTTTTTAATGAACTCCTTTTGAACTTCTTCCTGTTTCAGATCTCAAAATTTGTGATAGACCGTTTGACATTTGCATTTGTGCTCTTTTTGTCACTCAGTACATGTACCCCTATATATCTACACGCGTCCACCATCATCCACAGATATATCTCTTGAAACCCACCTTGAATTCTTCATGAGCATCCATATCCCATTTCCCAGTCCTCTAGATAATAATTCTACAATATAAACCCTTCCCAAGCAGTAATATCTACTCCAATATGCCCACCGAAGCCGATAAGATACACAAAAGAAGTAAGCGGTAAACCCCGGCACATCCTGACATCACCAAGTGACCGGCAAGAACCTCGGAACTCGCGACACCAGCAACGACCCCAGAACCTCAAGATCGCAGCCGGAAACAATGGCCTCAGCATTATCATCAAATATCCGGCGCTCAGCCAGCACGCTGTCATCCGCGACAATCAGAATCTCAGCTCGCAATGCGGCACCAGCCGCCGCTTTCCAGCGGTCTTACATCTCCGCACCGACAAGAGCACTGGCTGCCACGACACGAGTTTCGCTCAATTCCTCGGTGAGCGCATGCAAAGTCCCCAAGAAGGCTTTCTCGAATGGCAAGAAAGCCCAGATCCAAAAGCGGTCGTATAGCGACGATGCCAGTCCACGATTCTGGGAATTCGACGAGGCATGCAACCCCAATGGCCCCAACATATCCATATCCCTATCACAAGCTAACTAATCCCAATAGATAAACGCCTCCCTCCCATCCACCTCAGGAAGTCCCACAACAACCCCCAAAATCAAGCTAGTCGACGTCCGCGAACCAGCCGAACTAAGCGGAACAGGCATAATCCCATCGGCAGTGAACATCCCGCTAGCCTCGCAAGCGGACGCGCTATTTCTTACACCGGACGAATTCGAGACCCGGTTTGGATTTGAGAAGCCTGTCGCTGGGGAGGGCGAGACGATTGTTTTCTATTGTAAGGCTGGGGTGCGGGCTAAGACTGCGGCGCAGATGGCTGTGCAGGCAGGGTATGATCCCAAGGCTGTGGGTGTTTATTTGGGGTCTTGGTTGGATTGGGCTGGGAATGGAGGTCGGGTTGAGCGGTGGGAGGGTGATGATTAGATTGGATTGAGGATTTGTGTTTAAGTTATTGGTGTGGATATATATTGGATTGGTGACCTCGTCTTTGTTAGGGAGGGCTCTACATACTGCGTCGAGAATGGAATAAGAGGGCTTTTGTCTATAGCTATCTATCCATGACTTGTCGAAAACTATGGGGCACCAATGAAGACTAGTCTAGCAATATCAATTCAATTCACTAACAAACAAAAGATCTGGTATCAACCAGGCCCTGATTTTCCTATATCATGTACAGGCGACTCTCTCCCTGTTCATCCATCAAGTCGTGGTAATTCATTGTATGTTCAAATCGCAATCAAGACAAAATAACTTTTCCGCGTTTGATAGCAATTGTCATAGCTCAAAGGTTTTAGATCCGCTTCCTCTTGGTCAATGCCATAACAGAGAACAAGAGGGAGCCAACGGAGAACAAGTTCGCCACTCACTAGGATGTCATCATTAAATTCGCGAGGGAAAAAGAGTGATCCCGCAAAGCTGGAATGGGTCCGAGGTCCAAGGCCTTGTTTACTTTAACTTAATCTTTGAAAAGAAGAGACCTTGAACACCCAGATAATTGCCCTACGGACGAAATCATGGAATGTCGAAGACGGGCTTGAGCTTCTTGACGAGAGCCCACTCTTCCATTGACACCTCGGCGCGGTAGAACTCCTTGAGGGTGTCGATACTAGCACGGGAGATGTGGGAGATGAGTTGATCCTTCTCTTCGAGGTGACGGCCGTACATGGGCTGGTTGGGGGCTTCGACCTTGACGGCGACGGAGGGTTGACCGCGCTTGCAGACAGGGACGGGCTTGTGGTCTCGCTCAATGGATGTCCTGTTCAGGGTTAGAAATCAATCAATGGCCAAATAATTGTGGAAGCAACTTACACTCTGCCGATATCGACAATTTCCTTGACACCAGCGGCGTTGGTGCGGATAGCAGCCAACGGAGTGTGGAGTCGCAGACTTCCCTCAATAACATCAACACCGATGACAATGGGGTCAGTCTTGTTGAAGACGGCAACGGGTTTGATGACACAGGGGAAGATAGCAAGAAGCTTAGCCTCCTCCTTGCGCTGCTCGGTGAGCTGAGCCATGTGGGCAGTGAAGTCATCGAACAGGTGGTAAATGATGTCTGCGGTGAAGACCTTGACACCAATGTCGTTGGCGTAAGCCTGAGCATCCTTGTCGACCTTGACATCGAAGCAAAGCATGACGGCGTACTCCTTGGCCTTCTCAAGCATGGTTCCTGCCATCATGACATCACGCTTGTAGACGGGACCAATGGAAATGTTGGCAACGGGAATCTTGGAGGCCTTGAGGAACTCCAGAAGAGCCTCGAGGGAACCAAGAGTGGAGGCCTGGACAGTGACACCACGCTGGTCAGTGGAGACACGGCTGAGCAGGTTCTCGAGATCGGACATGACCTCCTCCTCGAGGTCCTCCTCATCGTCATCGGGTCCGACGACAAGCATACGAGAACCGGCAATGGCGTTCTCAAGGTCGTTGGCAGCAATCTTCACACCAAGGGCGGCCTTGACCTCCTTGTTGTGAACGTATTGAGACTTGAGACGCAGTTCCTTGAGCGGCGCCGGCGTCAGAAGTGCTCGAATATTCGTTGTTATAGGTCCGTTTAGACCACACATTACAACTCGGTCACCCTCGCGGAGAACACCGTTAGACAAGACAACGTCAATGGTGGTACCGAGACCCTCAATGACCTTGACTTCCAGAACGGTACACTCAACCTCGGACAGGTACATCAAAGCGTTGGTCATACGCTCTTGGGTCAAGCTGGTCAGGAGCTTCAGCATGTCGGGAACACCCTCACCAGTGTGAGCGGAGGTGGGAACCAGGGAGACGTTACGAGACATGGACTTGTTCTCGAAGAAGAGCTCGGAGTTGAAACCTTGCTCAGCGAAAGCAAGCTTGGTAGCCTCGAGACGAGTGCGGAACTCGTTCTGGACACCCTTGTTCTGCATGTTCAAACTGTCCTCGAAGCCGTTGTTGTCAATCTTCTTCCAGCCGTACAGACGATCAATCTTGTTCAGGGCGACGATGAAAGGAGTCTTGCGGTCACGGAGCAAACGCATAGACTCAAGAGTCTGGGGCTCGAGACCGTGCATGATATCAACAACCAGAATAGCAATGTTACAGAGCGAAGAACCTCTTGAACGCAAGTTGGAGAAAGACTCGTGACCAGGGGTATCGATGATCAACAGACCGGGGATCTTGAACTCGAACTTGCCGTCCTTGTTCACAACAGCAGTCTTGGTCTTCAGAGCATCGACAGGGAAGTAAGTGGCACCAATCTGCTGGGTAATACCACCGGCTTCACCCTCTTGCACGTTGGTCTGACGAATCTTGTCAAGAAGCTTGGTCTTACCAGTATCGACGTGACCAAGAATACAGCAAATAGGAGAACGGAGATCATCCTTGGAACGAGCTGCCAGAGCCTCCTCGTGCTGCTTCTTTCTGCGCTCTGCGGCCTCAGCCTTGCGTGCAGCAACAGCCCGCTGGTTAGCGGACTGCTCCTCATCTTCGGATGAGTCCTCATCAGATGAATCGTCAGAATCAGACTCGGATTCTTCGTCATCATCCTTCTTCTCGGGCTCAGCAGCCTTCTCAGCGGGCTTCTCCTCGTCGGAGGGAGCATCCCAGCTGTCCTTGACTTCCTCGTCGGCAGCAGCCTCCCAGTCGTCAACGGCGTCGTCATCCTCGGGACCGGCAGCGGCGGCAGCAGCAGCAGCAGCAGCAGCCTCGGCCTTGGCCTTCTCCTCAGCCTCCTTGCGGCGGGCATCCTCAGCCTCACGTTGAGCCTGAGCACGGGCAGCGGCGGCCTCAAGATCCTCCTCCTGCTTCTTGCCAGCCTTCTTCTTCTTGTTCTCATAGACGGGGCGCTTCTTCTCACCAGCATCCTCAAGACCAGCGACCTTGACACCAGATGCCAGCATCTGCTTCATGCGCATATCGTTGCGCTCCTTGGCCTCGCGCTGAGCCTTGGTAAGAAGCTTGCCTTCTTTACGAAGCTGCTCCTTCTTCTCTCTCTCCTTTTCCTTCTTCCTTTGGCGGGCCTCTTCACGCTTCTGTTCTTCCTCGTCATCAAGAAGCTTCTGCTTGGCAGCAGCAGCCTTCTCCTCGGCAGCAATCCGCTCCTCTTCCTCACGCTGCTGTCGGAGAAGCTCTTGTTGCTTCTGGAGAGCTGCTAGGTGAGGAGGAAGCTTCTTCTTTTTGCCACCAGTCTCGGCAGCCGGTGCAGGGGCGGGCTCGTCTTGTTTGACCTCAGCGACAGGCTTGGCAGTCTCGGCCTTGGGTGGAGGAACAACCTTCTTCTTTGTGGCGGCCTAAGTAAATAGAGAAAGCATCAAGTTAGCAAATTGATCACAGCTACCGGCATGGCAAATTCATATCATACCTGCTCCTTCTTACGCTGCTTCTCCTTCTCCTTCTTCTCACGTTCCTTCTCCTTCTTACTCTTCACACGGAACTCGCCGCTCTCGGGCTCTTCAGATGTGGGCTGAGGAACAGCCTTGATGGGCTTGGTTTTCTTTCCAGCGAAGACATCGTCGTCATCGAAGTTGCCCTCCTCGGGCTGCTTGCTGGCCAGGTCGTCACCGGCAGCGGGGGCATCCTCGCCCTCGACGAAGTCGTTCTGCTTGCCCTTCTTGGCCTTCTTGGCCTTGTTCTTCCGGAGAGCAGCCATCAGGCCACCGACTGGAGCAGCCTCCTCCTCGCCGGCGCCTTCCTGGGGCTCCTCGGCCGGAGCATCAGCGGCGGGGGCGGACTCGCCGAGGTCGGCCTCCCAGTCCTCCTCCTGTCTCTTGGATCCTTTCTTCTTAGGCGCCATGTTGTAATTTGATGTTCTTTCGTATGTGTATCCGATTCGAGCGGCGACCGGAGGGAATGTAGTGGGCGCACAAACGGAGCTAACCGTTTATTTGCGTGGAAAATAAAAAAAAATCAAAGGCCACAACCCAAATGATTCAAATAGACAATCCCCGGAAAGAAAGGCAGAGAGCTCTAAGGTGGGCCAAGGGAGGGGTGTGGGAGAGAAAAGAATTTCGGGAAGAATCATTGACGGTGGGGACAAACCAGTCTGACTTCACTTCCTCCACAAGCTTGACTAACAGCTGTTGTAGGCAATTTTCTGTCTAATTTACTGATTTACCCAGGAAATCTACATCCCAGAATCAGGTAATAACATAAAGAAAATTGTGACACTTGTAATCGGTACACACAAAGATTCCGCTTGACAAACTCCGACATACATGCATGTATGTCCTTTCGCATCTTGACAATTGGGCTAAGTCACATTGGAAAATCAAAACTTGATGTGCAGAAGAGCACGCAGCCACTCGAACACAGCGAGGGTTTGGTCCTCAGATTTTCCCACAACGCCTTGAGCCGCCTCATCAAATTCGTCGGCCAGGGCACGCTTGACAGTGTGTTGGGCAAGCATCTGTTTGAGATGTTGAACATCACGCTCTGCAAGACGAGCAAGAATAGTTCCATCAATGTGTCTGCGGACTGCAAACTCTTCAGCTGGAGCGATGCGGCGTCTTCTGATTGACCAAGCTGGACAGATAGCTTTGTCCCTGAGGCACAAGTTAAGGAGAATCTGAAGAAGGCGCCTCTCATGCTCAGCAAGAATCAGAATTCGGTAGACTGACCCATTGAGGGCGAAGCCATAAACGGTAGTAGTGGTAGAAAGCAGCGATGGGGACTTGCTGCCCTGAACGAGTCTCAGCATTGAGACGGGGAGCTCAGCTGAGGGACTAGACTTCAAATTATCAAGTTCAAGATTATCGAAAACTCGGACTGAGCCGCCTCGAGTGCCAACGACAATCATATCCAACTTGTTTCCACATGCCTTGATCAATGCGTGCGACAAACCATCCCGGGCGATACCATCAGACCCAATCTCCAGAATGTCTCCATTGACAATTTCGTAGATCAAGGTAGAATTGCGAGACGTTGTTACGTAGATCAAGTTCCCGTGCACTGTCATTGCGATGGCTGGGGATGGAAGAACAGCCGAAATATCGCGACGCCATTTCACCTCAGAGTTACTCGCAACTACCGGGAAAAGGCTTTTTCCAGAGGCAACAATCAGGCTGTCACGGTATGCCGCCATTGCATAGACCGGCTTGTCCAACATTTGCGTGTATTTGTCGAAGCAGTTGATCTGGTTTCCATTAATGGGATCAGAGGAGGCATGGAAGAGCAACACCCGGCCTTGGCGGTCATTGAGATCATCAAGGATGGGCAGTGAAGTCCCAATTGCAATCAGATGATACTCATTGCCATGTTTTTCAGCTGTCCAGTCGAAAATGCAGGTTATCTTCTCTCCAGATGACGCGCTTGGTCTCCATGGCATCTTGCCTTCTGATATCGCCTCCCCATCACCATGCTCGACAGGGTTCTGGGAATCCGGGTCCACAAACTCAATGTATGACTTTGTTGCACGACCCAGAGGGCCCAATTGGAAACAAATCTCAGAAATGGTGTAGGAAACAACAAGACTGCGAAGGTGTCTCGAATAGGTCAGCTTGTTGGGAATTCCTGGGACATCAATGCGTCGTGGAACGGTTTTGATCTCATGGCCCAGAGAACAGACTAAAAGACTGTAATCGGCGTAGCAAAACAAGACCACACTTGTGAAGCCAGTATCCGGATCAATTTTCTCAACAAAACTAAAGCTGGAGAGGGTGACGGGGAAATATGCGGGCTAAAATGAGTGTTAGCGACGATCAAGGACGGAATGATGGGTTAACCATACACAGCTTTGATCGGTGATCCAGACACGAGAAAGGAAATAATCAGAGGGATTGCCGTCGGATGTGTATGAGATACGCCAGAGACCATCGCCGCATGTGAATAAGGCAAAAGAATTTAAAGCCTTGAGCGTGATTGAGGTCTTTCCAACATGCCTTGGTGTTTGTTGATCCATCTCTAGGGGACAAGAATTATTAGAAAACAAAGATGACTGTGGATAGAGAATGACTCACTTTGAAGGCCATAGCTGTTCACCTCTATGTCAAATGGCACAAGTATGCCACTGCGGAGACCGCAGAGAAGTAATGCACTGGACTCATGACCATTACCCATGCGAATAACAGCAAGGCTATCAATTGCTTTTGAAATGTCATCTTCAACATTGACCGAGATACTGACAATCGCGACTTCGCTGATGGACAAAGTGTCATTGTTGACATGGTAGACCAACACATTACCATCGCCAGTGCCCAGGAATATTAGCCCAGTTGTGCCCCAACTTTGGTACAAGGTTGAGATGGGCGCTTTTTCAAGAGAGGTTGCATTCATAGGATGCTCTAACGAAATCTCCTTACCCTCAACAATTTTGGCGAGATAAAGATAGAATCCCTTTGGGCTGGTGACAGTCATGATAACCAGAGAGTCTGTCTTATCGACTGTAGCTGTCGTAGCTACAAGAGAAGGATCATGCGGAATACTCCGACTCGAGCGAGGATCATCGGAGTTAAAAAAGTGTGTGGCCTTTGCTGTGACCTGAACGATGATTCCACTCCGCGTGGAGCCCGTTGCCAAGGTCAAGGTCTCCCCCGTGTCCAAGTCAGTGCCATCCTCGACGGCAGAAATTCCGTCTTCCACCTCGAAGGTAGTCCGAAGAAGAACCGAGGTCATTGGATCGGCAATCATGAGGTAAATCTCGCCCGTCATCTCCTTTGTCATTGCCCACATGTCACGAATGTTCGAAAATCGATCCAATGGGACATCAACGCCAATCTGAGCCTCGACTCCATACCGCAATTCAGTAATTGCACCATTGCCCGAGGAAGAAGAGGAACAGACAAAAAGCCGATCTTGATCTTGATCAGTTTTGAGGGGGTGTTGGGAGAATGAGGGCACAACCACGGCATCGGTGACGGGCGCCCAGTTGAGAAAACGCTGGACACATCTGGGATGGTCTCGTGCCTCTTGGACAAAAAGGCCACCATCGCCGTGGCTTCCAGCGGCGAGAATGAAATCACCACCTTCGTGGCCCATATCCAATACATCGAAGGCCGTGTCAACATCGCAGTGGAGCTGACCTAGAGAAGTTTGAGTCTCGAGTTCGCCCTCATTTCCAAACTCGAGGTAGTAGATCCAACCGTCCTCCCGACACAGGAAGATACCATCGTATCGTTGGCTGTAAAGCCAATTTCGGGAGGGTCTCGCCCAGCGGGTCCATAGCCCAATTTCAGAAGCATCGGTATCTGGAATGATGACTGGGTACCTCATGGGACGATTCAAGCTATGAGGTGTGTACATTGCCATGGAAGTTGTGGTTATCAGCAAGAATGAGGATTCTTTCGCCAAGGGGACGATCATGGTTGGAAGCGAGTCTTGCGGAGATAGAGAAATGGTTGTGATGTTGGGGAAAAGGCGCTCATCCATGCGGAGCTCATCCCATTCATAGAAAAGAGCCTGTGTGGTGGACTCTTTGTGGACAATCAGAAGGAGGATGATCTTTTTGTCGTCCATTGACTTCGGGAAAAGGAATTCCATGAACAGGATGTCGCCATTGATCTTGAAAAAGGATTCCTGTTTGCAGGTAATTAGAGTCTAGTCAGTTTGAAAGACAGATGCAGCATACCGATTGAATAGGTTGTAGCCCACCCCGAAGCATCTCGTATTGGATTTCGTTTGTCGAGTGTAACCACATCACTCCAAAGAAATTGCGTGATGCACTGACAGCGACTGCTCGTGACCTAGGGTTGTTAGTTCTCAGATATGGCTGAAGTCAGAGGAAAACACGAACTTTGGATCCACCGCGATATGTCGGCCATATTTTTCGGCAGTGTTGACATCGCGAGGGAGAGGCCGGTAGTGAATGATGAATGGGTCTTCTTTCTCTGGGTCGCAGTACACGAAGAGCAACTCGTTGGAGTCCAGAGCGAGAAAAAGAATTTGAGGGGCAAGGGTCTCGGCTTCCATGCTGCCAACCGACCGGCTTGCATGGATTCCCTGGTTTACCCAGGGTAGTTGAGTGCCGACATTAATGACTTTGGCTCCAAGAGGCGAGCCATTCAAGTCATTCTTCTCGAAGACATCTGCGAGATTGGCACCATCGAGGGCTTCCTTGACTTGAATACGCCGCTCACCCACGAAGACAACGTCGTTATGATCTTTGTTTCGAACACGTGCAGGAAGTATCCAATTGATGATAGGACTGGGGATGATGGGCTGGGTAAGAAGTCCTGTCATTTTGACTGGCTCTGCGCCGTCTACCTCAGCGCCGGTCATGTCGGACATGACGACTCAAAAAGTAAACGAACGGGCAAAGCGATTGCGGTCAAAAACGAGAACGCTGGGAATGGAGAGGAAGACAGGAGTATCAAGGAACGATAATCAGGGTATCAGATAATCAGAGAATCAGAAAGTGAAGGTAAAGTGGGAAGATGAAAAAGCAAGAGGTGGAAGACGAGGATATAGACGCGAGGCAGACGCGTCTATACGGGAAATATTAATGCGCGCACCTGCCTTGGAGGAATATTGGACCCAAGCTCTCGCCTTGAGGAAAGTGCGACTTGATATTGCCTCCCAATTGATATACTGGTATATCGACTGATATTCTTGAATTTTCCCATTCGATATTGGCAAATATGCACATATAATCGAAGGACCTAATTTCAACCCTCAATATCTCTGTTGTCCACAAACAAAAGTATTCCACACAAGCCCTGTTGATCTCTTTGTTAACACATGTAAGTCCTAAGCAATCATGCTCAACGTACAGCTTGGTTGGGGCCCTTCCAAAATATTGAAAAAGCTTGAGGAATCTGCTAGAGTTGCTTGTCACCTTTTTAATTGACATCCAGACAGATATAAGGCTTTCTTAGCCAGATTCACTGCCAACGCGGCAGCCCACAAGCTCCGTAGTGCCTGGGCGTTCACCGCAGAGAAATCAAAGAATCCGGGAGCCAGAAGCTGCAGCAAGAAGCACAGCAGTGTTTATGAGGTGCGATCAAGCTCCTAAGCTCCCAAGCGATTATATGCAAACCCTCAGCGCAGCGCAGGTGATGTTGTTGAAATCATGTCACGTTGCCGAGTGGTGCCTCAGGCCTCTGGCGGGACGGGACTGCACCGCCGCCTTCTGCATCTTCACTCCACATCTGGATGTATGCGCCTCGAAGATCAAAGCGAAAGCTTCTCTTGTATTTTCTTAGGTTGAAGCAATCTCCACAAGTTGCTGCATGATTGCTTCGCAAGGTGAAGATTTCAAGCTCGATCTATATCGACAATTTGTCGATAACTTGAGCATCATCACGAAAACGGAACCTCATCAACGCAGGCTTTTCATCTGGGAGCGCAAAAAAAGCACCGGGTCGGTCGCTTGCTTCGTATGCATGCTGGCTGTCATTTTTCCCGGTGAAGCAAGATCTCAAGACCCGGGATTGCAGCCCCCTTAAAGCCAACAAGGATGGAGCAATCTGAGATGGAGCTCAAAGATGCGAGTTATACCGCATCCTTGAAAGGTGTGAACTCTGAGGGATCAAGTGAGACTGATGTGTTGACGTCGTCCTTCAAATCGCAAAGAATCACGAGTGCCAAAACAGAGAAGGCGGAAGCTATTAGGCAAGCTTGCAGTTCGCGCGATCTAGAAGCATTGGTGTCATTGGCAACCTCAGAAGGCGGGCTGATGGAAGACGGATTGCGGCAGATAGCGTGTGAGTCGACCGAATAAAGAACCCACGCAAGATTTTGACCGACAAAACAGGGCCTATTCTTTTGCGATGCGATGAGAAGTCACGGTATGGCGAACCTGTTCCAAGCGATGAGCTCCCGAGGCACGTCGATGAAGATCAGGTTGAACTTGACGTGAACCGTTCATTCGTTTATTACCCAAAATGTTCGTATCGATCTATATGAAAATGTTACGAACGTTACGAGGATGATGAAAGTTACGAACATTACAGCTGACTCGATCCATAGCACCGGAAGAAGAACTCTTAAGCAAGAAAAAACAACTTTCCAAACTTATCACGCAGGTCCTTAGGAACCACCCCATGCTATGCTATTTCCAAGGATATCATGACATAGTCCAAGTCCTTCTTCTGGTATTGGGCGAGAAAATGGCCGTGTCAGCTGTGGCACAAATATCTCTCTTTCGCATAAGAGACTACATGCTCCCATCACTCTCGCCCGCAGTGAAACATCTTCACTTGATCCCTGCCATCATCGAAACAACAGACCCCGAATTACGGCGACACCTTGGCAACATCCAACCCTTCTTTGCCCTCGCAGCAACCCTTACCCTCTACGCCCATGATATCCAAGAATACAGCAATATCGCTCGACTTTTCGACTTTCTTCTGGCCCATGAGCCTGTCGTTGCAATCTATCTTTTTGCGGCAATGATCCTATCGAGGAAGAAAGAGCTGCTCGAAATCCCCGAAAATGAGCCTGAAATGCTGCACTTCACACTTTCAAAGCTTCCAAATCCCCTTGATTTGGATGGTCATATCCTGAACGCGACAAAGCTCTTCAAAGACCACCCACCAGAATCCCTGCCGCTTGGTGCTTGGAAACGTATTCCTTGGTGCAGTGTGCTCAAGACTTCCCGAGACCCATATCAAGCCTATGCAGTAGATGATGCAGTATATCTGTTTGATCAACAAACTCGACAGCTTCGCTACGAGGAGCGCAAGAAACAAGCTCTCGACTTTATGTGGAGCCATCGTCGCTCTGTCGGCTCTGTGGCATTGACTATCCTCGTTGGAGCGGCGTCTATTTATCTTCGAAAGAAGGGGTTGGACAATGCCATCTTGTCTTATGCTGGCCGAGTTCAAAAGTTACTTCAGAGGTGGATCTCTTCTCTTCCATGAACCCGTGTCATATAGACTTGGAGTTTACCGCGTGTATGATTATAGAAAAACAAGCCACCCAACAAGCAACAATACAATTTAATTCCGTTAATTAATACATCCCATATATCCTATCAATAACGTCAATTAATCAACTTGACATTCAGTAGAGGTAACTGATGTTGTAAAGAAACGGCTAAGTACCCGCACTTGTGGCTGAGCCCGTGGCTTTATCTGCGGAAGCTGATGTGTACACTCAACACCTCCCTTCCAACAGCTCCCCTCAAACCCAACCACAATGGCGAACAGAGGATACGACGTCGTAGTCGACGTTGACGCCGAGGTAAGCACAAACCAAGCCAATATAACAAATATACAATCTAACTCTCCAACAGGGCGACCTCGGCCACACCGACCTGCAAGAGGACCTTGAATTCCACCCCTCCAGTGAGTCCAGCACAATCTCAGAGGCTCCAAATGAAACACCTTTCTAACCTGACCCACCCCTCATTCAGACTTTGAAAGCGACCAAAGAACTGCCAAAGCTCAAAGCGACAACACCCCGTTCCTGGGCGGCGGCAGCTCATCGCGCGGCCGGGACCGGTCCCCTGGCGGCACGCCAACCAAGCACAGCTGGTGGTCGATGCACTACTATGAGCAATTCTTCGACGTTGACACGAACGAAGTCTTCCGACGCTGCGTGGCAGCCCTGTACCCGCGCACCAATTTCCTCGACGTACTTGAGGGCAACGCAGACTTGTACGGACCGATCTGGATCGCAACCACCGTGGTGGTGATTTTGTTCTTGACGGGTACGATCTCGCAATGGCTGTCGAATAATGATGACAAGCATTTCGAGTATGACTTTACGCTTTTGTCTGGTGCTGCTGGGTTGATCTATGGGTACACTGGTATCTTGCCCATTGCGCTTTGGGGTGCGTTGCGCTGGTTTGGGAGTTCCACTGCTGATCTTGTTGAATGCTGGGCTCTTTATGGGTATTCTAACCTTGTTTGGATTGGTGTTGCGCTTGTTAGCTGGAGTCCGCTGACTGCGCTTAACTGGGCGCTTGTTGGGGTTGGTTTTGCTTGGACTGTTTTCTTCTTGTTGAGGAATCTTTACCCTGTGCTTAATGCTACCGATGCGAAAGCTAGCAAGATTCTTTTGATCTTGGTTGTTGTTTTGCATGCTGGTTTGGCTATTGCTATCAAGGTGCTTTTCTTTGCGTGAGTTCATTCTGGTTCCCCTTTACTACTTTACTGGACAGCTATTGACCGATCTACTAGACATGGAAGCCCTGTCTCTAAGAAGCACAAGGAGCCAGCTGCTGATGACAAAACTGACACTAAGCGGGGAATGATGTTCATGGCATAGTGGGGGAACGGGTCTGGAATACTGGTCATTCCATCTACGGTCTTGCTCAGGCAGCAGGGTTACTCTAGAATTCTAGGCATGTTTCACGTTGAGAGCATGCAATGTATTGTACCCGTGTATTTATCGATTGCAATGAGTGACAATTCGATATTTTTTGAAATTTTACACATTTCATTTCATGGAGTGCACTTTTGGTCGTCGAGAGGAGCCAACTAAGAACAGTATGACTGAGGCTGCATTGATTGTTTCATCATATCTAACGCCATTTGTAAACCTCTCCAGGTAGCAGCCCAGCCAATCCCCTGCACTGGAACAGCACACCGAGCACAACACCGAGGAGCGAGTCGCTTATTTGAGCTTCTTCTTGGGGCGGAGCTGGTTGGTGTGACCGCACTTCTTCTTACGGCAGTTGGTGGCACGGGGAGGGAGACGAGCCTAGGTAATGTTAGTATCTATATTGACGAAGGTTGGCGCATATCCTAGAGTGATCCAAGAGTGTCGAATGCGCACGAATGAGGCGGAAGAGGTAACGTACGTAGCACTTGCGGCAGATGGCCTTCTCGCAGTTGTACTTGGAGGCGAGGGCCTTGAGGGAAGGCTCAATGATACCACCACGGAGACGGAGGACCAAGTGAAGGGTGGACTCCTATAGAAGGGGAGTCGCATGTTAGCCACTATTCCAGCGCATTTGCAGACCATAACGTGAAGCAACTTGGGTTCCTCCTCCTTGTATTCCGATGGGAGTAGTAGTTGTGCGTCGACTTGTGACAAAGAGATCCGATCCAACCCGAGAATACCCAAGTCCCCACTTCTGGTCGAAATCACAAAGATGGAAGGCGATCGCATACCTTCTGGATGTTGTAGTCGCTCAGGGTGCGGCCATCCTCGAGCTGCTTGCCAGCGAAGATCAGGCGCTGCTGGTCAGGGGGGATGCCCTCCTTGTCCTGGATCTTGGTCTTGACGTTGTCGATGGTGTCGCTCGACTCGACGTCGAGGGTAATGGTCTTACCCGTCAGGGTCTTGACGAAACTATATCCAGACGTATTAGTCCATGTCCAAATTTCCTTCTCGTGGGATCGCGTCGGTCGGGAGTAGTTCGGCGGTTGGTGATGACATATATGGATTCAAAATGACCTACATCTGCACTGGAAAGGCGCGGAAAAAGACGATGTTAGCATGGTGAATCCATAGCAATGCATATATGCTGTTCAACGGGTTCAAGGCACGTACTGGTTGCGAGTTTTCGTTGGTGTCGGCTGTCGGTCGCTGTGTTCCAGGCGGAGCAGTCGATTGTCAATTTGAGGATTTCGCTCGCTTAGCAAAGGTGGACCGATTGGGGTTGCCCTAAGCCCTAACTGCTTCCGATTTCGTCATTGATCACGTGAACCCCGGGCTCGGGTCGATCTGCGTCCAATCAGGTGATGATTGTGTACTTCCAAGTTTATGTTCTACATTACGCCTGTTTCACAATGAATAATTGTTCAATGATTCATATTTTTGAAAGGAGCTTTGCCGAAGTAATATGCTGAGATAAGCAAGACATGGATAAGTTAATCGAGCTACAAAGGAAACGCTAAATACAATATCCCCAACGCCACGCCTGTGATACATCAGAACCCTTCATCAACATCCATTGCATATAGCTGCTCGTCCAATTTACTGATTGAGTCATCGCTCTCATCCGATTCATAGTGTGGCGCCCCATTCTCATCACCACTTTCATCAAACTCAATCCCCTCTCTAGTGTAGTACTCCCGGCGCTCTTGGTCCTCCTGTAGTTTTGCGATCCTATGTTCAACAAGCGATACAGTGCGGATGAGGGTTTTCAATGGGACGGCAGCAAGCCTGGCAGCGACCTCGTAAAAAGCCCGAGCGGAATCATTGAGCTGGGATTCCCATCGGTATCGACAATACCACTGGCCGGGACGTTTGGCTCCTTGATCTTCCTCAGGGATAACCCGTCTGGCTCTCATATCTTGCATGACTGTCTGTAGTAAAGTGTCAAGCTTTGAGGTTATTGAACCAGGTTCAGTGGCTGAAGTTGGTTCCGAAGCGGCGGCTGGAGCTGGCTGAACGTCTGGTTCTGCTCGACAGATAGGGAATAGTTCCGCGATACGGTCCGGGGCTTTGGATGTATCCAGCCAGCTGCTTTCGTACCAGTCCATGTAATTGTCCAATTGGGTGGAAGTCATGTCCATCACATCTTTGTCGGTGACCTGGAGAGCGGTTTTTTTTCCAATCTGGTTGCCAAATCGTGCATCGTGGTCGTAATGTTTCTGAGCGCGTGCCCACAGAGGCCAGTCCATGGTCTGTGCTGCGGGCTCCTTATTGGTCGTGGGGTATCTTTTCAAATCATCAAATGGGAATAGGAGCTTTGTTGCAATGACAATGAGTACAATAATTTGCAGATCGGGGAAATTAATTGGCCTTTTTCGGGCATATTTCGAGCTTGGTATGGGATAGGTGTATGTGAAGCCAAGAAGGTCTTGCAAGGTTTTAGTTGCTTCATATACCTCGACTAGGAATCGTTAGCTAGAGAGACATTGATCAAGATTAAGGGGTGGGTTTCGTACTTGGCAAGGCCAATCTTTTGATCAGCCGGCAAAGAATCATTGGCGTATTTAGAGCAGGAAGCGCCATTCCAAATCGGCGTTGGTAAAACACCGCTGTCTCCAGGACACTATGATGGAACCGTTCTGGCGTAGGGAGTTTCTTAAACAAGGTTAGTTGACACGAGCATATCCATTAAAGACATGTTGACTTACCGTGACCTCAAGAATCCCAGTCAATTCTGGCGGAAGTCTCTCCTTCATTTCTCGAGGGACGGTAGCCAGAACTCGCGCAAAGGGAACATCCTGGTGCATGATCATCCTAGAACTGGTCAGCACATATCTCTTGAAAGAACATGCTTGAAAGTAGATAGAATTACATACTCGTGGAAGTCACTGACGCAGATAGGAAGTCTCATCAAGAATGCAGCTAGGTAGCATGTCGCAAGGGAATCAATTAGACGAGGCCACTCGAGATATCTCGAATCAGGCTTATATCCGATTTCTCCAGAGCCATCTTTTTCTCCAGGCTGGGAACTGAACCCTTCGTTTTCAGTATCATCGTCGTCTTCAGTATCAGTGATCTTCAATGTGAAGTCCTGGAGTCGAAGAGCCCACAGATCACGAACAACAACCTATATAATGAGCTTTGATGCATGTCAAAAGGGTGGCGGTTATACATACCTCGAGTTCCTCTGGGAAACCCTGTCCATGAACTAAGGCATGACATTGCTTCCAAAGAATAAGTTGATAACATTGCAAGAAAAGCGTGTACGCCGCACGTCCACGAAGTGCTTTCTCAAAGTCAGCGATGAACATCTCGCACGATATGACTGTTACATACTCTTGCTAGTCTTCTCCTTAACTTCTTTCTTCACGCGATTCAATCTGCCTAAATTTCCGAAATCATCTGCATCATCTGCAACTTGAACACCCTAGTCTTGTCCGTCAGTTGAATTCTCCTTCTACCGCCTGATATCTGGCGCGTTAGTATGGGATTAGGACGTCATACCGCTTGCAAGTGACCGCGCCGACAATACCAAAGACCATTGTCGAGATAGTATCGCCTGTCACGGCATCCCTCTTGACCGCAGACCCCTCGGGTAACGTATTCCATCAAGGGAGTTGTTCATGTCTTGACGGAAAAGGGTATATCGAGGCGGAACTTTTTTCTGCCCTCCAGGTGACCGCCGATTCTGACGCTCCACTTTGCAAAGATTTGGAGATCGTAATCCACTAGTTGTTATTGGTTTTGGTTGGTTTAAAGTGGTTTAGATTACTTTGTTTAAGCGGTTTAAGCGATTTAGTACGTGCATTCATATCATAAGGTTAAATTGATCTAGGTCTTTGGGCAGAATTTTACATCTCATATAATGTCAAGCAAGAGTATTTATTCGTCACACTATCATGAGATGCTGAGACTCAGAACTGTTCGGAGAACACAAATCATGCCAACCAAAGCAATTCTCGGTCCAGCCCAAATCCAAGGTTACGTGATGGATAGACCTTGAAGCAACGGCGATATCGTCCAAGGAACCGTATCCTTCCGTTGAACCATAAAAGATGAAATTTTGGGGGGTTTTTAGCCCTTTTGGAACATAAAGGTTGGCATAACAAGTCAGAAGTCCAGGTTAGGTTATTTAACCGGACTTGGGGGCCTCCTTGCACTCCATAGCGGCCTCCTCACCCATGGCGGTCAGGACAACGATGTCTATAATCGATCAGTAATAATCTTTAGCAATTGAGAAAGTATGACTTACTGCACTCCTTCTCCTCGACGGTGAACATCTGGTTGATCTTCTCGCCAACCTCGTTGTCGGGAACCTTGACATCGTCCTTGGTGTCACCGTTATCGGTCATGAGGGACATGAAGCCATCCTCGGTGATGTCGAGCTAGGATTTGTTAGTCTGTAATTTTCATTTCAACAAGGATTTGGGACACTTACGAGCTGGTACTCGCGGCGGGTGACGTTGGGGACATCCATGTTGTGGGTGGAGGGAGAGAGATCCTCAAGCTTCTTGCCGGTGAAGATGTCAGTGGCGACAAGGTGAACCTTGGCGTGACCGTGCTTGCCAGTCTTGGAGGTGGACATGTCAATGATCTTGCAGGGACGGTTCTTGATCACAACGTGGCCGTTCTTGCGCAGAGCAGAACACTGCATGGGGAAGGTGAGCGAGGCTCCGGCATCAGCCGACTCGAAGGTGACATCGTGCTATAGCAGATCATGTTAGTCTTCAAATTTCAAAATCTTCCAAATTGGGCGGGGTGATGAGCCCAGGGTAGTCTCGTGCGAAGAGAGGGGGAGCCGCATGCGGGGCTTGACGAAAAACAGCGCAAGGCAAGAACATCGGTAGACAAGAAATAACGTACCTCCTCGGCAGACATGGTGAATGAGTTGTAAGGGAGGTAGGAAGGATAGAAAGGATTAGGATGGGGAGGGGAAGGAAAAAGAGGAGATCGGGAGAGAATTTTTGGATTTTGCCTGTTGTGGCGGAGACGAGGGGGTTGCGACGCTAGTACGGATAGGGCTTAGCGTGGTCTTTGGATATCCAACACGTACGGACTACTCTGTAGTGACCATGTACTTACTCGCACTTATTTGCTTCACTCACTCCTTGTTTCTGCTGCTTTCTCATGTGGTGATCTTGCACCATGTGGCGTGACCGCATTTCAGGCCAGTCTACGCCCAACAACCGCAACCTCTCTCCTTTACCGCGACGATCCTCCTCACAGCTTGTTCCAGGCCCCTATAGCCGGCCGGGCATTACCTCCAAGACATCCTCTACCTCCCTCCTCGTGACCCCGAGTGACTCCACTACTTCCCTCCAAGGGACTGCACGCACAGCCAATGGGTTTCCATTGAAGCAGACAAGCATTCAGCGACCGCGACCTGCCAATGTTCCCGATCCGCTGGAAGTGTTGAATAGCATCATTGGAAAGGAAAACCAACCGGAAACGAATGGATCACAGACATTGGAGCTAGAGAAGCCTGCACAGCTAGTGGAAATTATTCAATTCGACGGACTCAGCCTTGAAGACTTTCTGACAAAGGAAGACCCCCCCAGAAATCAGTCTCGGGATAGCGATGTCAATGCACAAACTGTTCAGCAATTTGAGCAAGAGCGAGACAAGTTCTCTGAATTACATACTTCGATCACTGGTTGCGACGAGGTTTCCAAGTCAGTCGAGCTCTATCTGAATGACTTCCAAACCGAGCTGGGTGCGGTATCCGCAGAGATCGAGACGTTGCAATCCCGGTCAACACAGCTTAATGCAATGCTGGAGAACAGGCGAAATGTGGAACGGCTTCTAGGTCCTGCAGTGGAAGAGATCAGCATTTCTCCTAAAGCCGTGCGGACAATCGCCGAGGGCCCGATTGATGAGAATTGGGTGCGCGCTCTGAACGAGATTGATACCCGAACAACGAACATTGAAGCCAAGGCAGCTTCCGCCAATGGCTTCAAGGCAATTGAAGATGTGCGGCCACTATTGACCGATGTCAAAAACAAGGTAAGTCTTTTTACGCGCAAACAAAAGAACATATATTGACTTGCATAAAGGCGGTCGAGAGAATCAGAGATTACTTGGTTCAGCATATCCGAGCAATGCGATCTCCTAATATCAACTCTCAAATCATTCAACAACAACGATTGGTCAAGTTCAAAGACCTCTACAGTTATCTCTCAAAGGCCCACCCGAAGCTGGCAGGAGAAATCTCACAGGCGTATATCAATACGATGCGCTGGTACTACACATCCCATTTCACACGCTACCTCCAAGCGCTCGAAAAGGTCAAGGTGTATCCTCCTGATCGCAATGAGGTGCTCGGAGGAGATCCTTCTTCACATAGAACAGGTTGGTGCTTTATCCATAGTGTGCCAATTACATACTAATCATTCCAGGAAACATTCTACCTGGTGGCCGAGCTGGCTCTGCCGCACATGATCCTTTCTCTCTAGGGAGACGGGTTGACATCCTTCGAACTGGCAATCTACAAGCTCTAACCTCATATCTAGCCGAAGAAGACAACTCCTACCATGGCATCGAAGTGCCTTTCCGAAACTTCAACCTGGCCTTGGTAGACAACGTGTGTGCCGAATATTCTTTCCTGACGGAGTTCTTCTCTGCCAAAAGCTTTCATGAAATCTCTCGCAATGCGGTGGAGATCTTCCAGCAGGTCTTTACTCTGGGCCAGAGCCTCACCAAGAGGCTGATTGAACAGACCACTGATTCTCTGGGTGTCTTAATGTGTGTTCGTCTGAACCAGCATTCCGCATTCGAGCTCCAGCGCCGCAAAGTACCAGTCGCCGACTCATATGTGAATGGAATCAACATGCAGCTCTGGCCACGCTTCCAGGTGATTATGGACCACCACGGCGAATCACTCAAACGTGTTGCGTCCAACACAGGACGCAGTGCTGTTTCTGCTCTTTCAATTGCAGGCGGAGATGACCTCAAGCAATCCTCGGCACCGCACTTCTTAGCCCAACGATTCGGCCAGCTTCTCCATGGGATCCTTGTCCTTAGCAGCGATGCCGGAGATGATGAGCCTGTCTCCAATAGTCTTGCTCGCTTGACTGCTGAGTTTGACACACTCTTGGCGAAACTCAGTCGCAACGGCACAGACGCCAAGACACGAGAGCGCTTCCTCTTCAACAATTATTCATTGATTTTAACCATCATAAGTGTATGTTGCGTGTTTTTTCGTATAGACCAGTATATGCTGACCAGAACTAGGATACCCAAGGCAAATTAGCAACTGAACAGAAGCAGGTGAGTGTCCCATTTGTGTCTACTGAGGAATGGTCTACTAACTCGACCAGCATTTGGACGAGATGCTTAAGAACAACAGCAAGCGGTAGACATATTGGATAGATGTACCTCCCATCTTCACACTTTTTAGATATATCCCGTGAATATAACATTAATACAAATTAGCATATCCACTATAGCCAATATAGCCAATATAGCCAATATAGCCAATATAGCAGTATAGCCAACATAGCCCAAGTAAGCAAATGTCAACAAAATAGACTTATCTTATCAAAGTGGAGTTGAGCACCATCTGCCCGCGGGATCGCGTCATCCAAGCTCTTCTCTGTCTTTATTCACTTGAAACATAAAGCAAACGTGGAAGTTGGCTGCAAGGGCGTGTATAAAATGTATACACGTGCCTTCCTTAATATACGTGCTCCAAGCCTCAGGCGCCACTTCTCCAGCACCCGAGCCTCCAATGCCGACTTCACACATGCAGTATGCTCCCCGCCGCACCACGTACAGAGCGGACAGACTAAGCTAATTGGTTGACCAACAGGTAATAGGCGCAGGAGTTGTCGGCCTCGCCGCAGCCCGCCAACTCGCAGCTCGGGAGGGCACATCAACAATCCTACTAGAGCGACACGATGCCCCAGGAACCGAGACAAGCAGTCGCAACTCCGAGGTTAGCAACAAGCTCCCAGGACCACTCCCACTTACCACAGATAAACTAACCCAACAAATCAAACCAGGTCATCCACGCAGGCCTCTACTACCCAGCAACCTCACTAAAAACCACCCTCTGCATCCAAGGCCGCAACCTCCTCTACGATCTCTGCAAAAAGAACAACATTCCGCACCGAAACACCAAGAAATGGATCGTAGCCCAAACCCCAGACCAATGGGCCGCTGCCCTAAAGATACACACCCACTCGCAAACCCTCGACGCACCCACGCGCCCAATAAGCCGCACGGAAGCCCAAGCCCGCGAACCAGACGTCAAAGCCGACGCAGGCATCCTCGAATCCGAAACAACAGGTATAGTCGATAGCCACTCGCTAATGACATACCTACAAGGGTCCTTCGAAGAGCGAGGCGGTGACATAGCATTCAAAACACGGGTTACAAGCGTCGAAGCCGTGGACGGCGGGAAGGGCGGGTATAAACTGACAGCCGTGTCAGACGAAGACGGGTCCGAGACTAGCATCACTGTTGAGACGCTTGTTAATTCGGCTGGACATGGCGCGTGCGAGATTAGCAATATGTTGTTGCCGGCTGAGAGGCATTTCGTGCCGCATTATGCTAAAGGGACTTATTTTTCTTATGCTGCCAGTCGCCCGCGTACGAATGTGCTTGTTTATCCCATTACTATGCCTGGGACGGGGGGATTGGGAACGCATTTGACGCTTGATATGGGTGGGCGTATTCGGTTTGGGCCTGATGTTGAGTGGGTTGATGCTGCTGATGATCTGGTTCCTAGTGCTGCTAGGCTTGAACGGGCGCTGCCTGAGATAAAGGCTTATTTGCCTGGTGTTGATGCTGATGCTGTTTCGTTGGATTATTGTGGTATTCGGCCTAAGCTGGGACGGGGCGGCGCTGTTAATGAGGGATCTGGTTTCCAGGACTTTATTATTCGAGAGGAGGAAGGTTTGCCTGGATTTGTTAACCTTTTGGGGATTGAGAGTCCTGGATTGACTAGTTCTTTGGCTATAGGGGAGATGGTCGAAGAGATTTTGTATAGATGAGGGTTGTTACCTAGGTTGGTGTATATATTTTGCTCATATATGTAAGTAGTGTTGGACAAAATTTAGAATACACAGTTGAGTAGCTAGCTATGTGGCTTGCATGGCAGAGAGTTGCATATCAAGTAAATCATACAGTTCGTCAGGTTCGTCTCAAAAATAAACACAAAAATAGCCTCCCAGGCGAATATACAGACACAATCAGCGTAGTTTGACGCTCCAGGCAAAGCGACCAAAGCATCATCACTCTAGGTCCATAAGAACATCACTCATGATGAACAGAATATGCGAGAATTTTTTCACACTCCACTTTCCAGAATCCTTCAGAAGAGAAGCATAGTCAAGAAGAACCCGCCTTGCAGATTGATATCCGCCATGAAAAGATGTGCCTCGCAAGTAAACAGTCGACCCATTTCGAATGAAGTTCACAGCTGGATCATCTGTAGGAGCGAAACTCTGACTGCCTCTAGGTTCCATGAAACTCGTAAAGCCTTCTGTACCCAGAGAGCACCAGTCAACATCATCCATCAGTTCCACAGAGCCAATACTTGTCGCATTTGCAGAGTCTGGAACCATAAATGTGTAGAGACCCAGTACTAACGCAGCAGAGAAACAAGAGAAGAGAGAGTGGAAGGTAGGATGGTCAGAGGCTTTGCGGTTCGTCATCGCTTTATAGATATGCGCAGCATGCAAACAAGCTCGTCTGGCTGCTGGGGTCTGTGCCCACTCGGCGATTTGGTCGAGGGCTTTGCGCGCTGGACCTGGGCCTGCACGACCTGCCGCTAGATCGAAGATTTGGATATCGGCTGTTAACATCATGCACATGTGATGCCACATGATGAGAGCATTAGGGCTCAACCTGTCGAGCGATTCCCCATAGTTCGTGATAAGTTGGGACTGAAGAGAGGGGAGACATCTTGCCCGGCCATCCATGGCGTATGTGTGACATGGTGCAAAGGGGTAGCTGGCCCTGTTAGAAAGGAGGCGGTGATAAGCTTCTGACTGGCGTATTTGGACGGTTGCGAGGATGGCTTGGATGCAAAAGTCTTCAGTCGGGGTTTCGAGGTTAGGGATGTTGGTATTTTCAGATGGCGCGTTGATTGTAGAAGAAAGGATACGTTTTCCGCAGCGGATAAGTTGTGTCCAGCGGTGGGAGGAATGAGCGTTGAAGAGGTCTTCGCCGCATGGGAGAATGAGTTGAATTGTGTCGGGGTTTGTTATTGGGCTTGTTGAGAGGAAGGATGAGTAGCACGAGTCGAGGAGGATAAGCCCTATGATGATCCTTGTGAATTGGTTAGATATAGCCTTTTGTTCTGAAGGAAATGCCTCACCTTTTAGTTGATTCAACTTTGCTCCATGCTTTCCATCTCATATCGAGATCGGCAAATCTTTCGAATAGGCTCATGTCGAGGATCTGCCCCCCGGCAAAGAGGCCGTGTCTTTGTGCTACCTATAAAATTTGTTAAAAAAAGATACTAAGAACATGCACATGTCTTGCACCCACGGTCATGACGTTCACGTATAATGGTTGGCATTGTTCTAGATGCTCTTTCTCCTAAACGGCAGTTAGTACCAAACAGAACACCATAAATTCTGGGGGCCATACTCCTGTCAAAAGAGGAAGATGTAGGAATAGCAAGGCTGTCGCAAAAGGGGTCATAGTGTCTGAGGCATTCTCAGGCCCGATAGTGCATCTAGAAAACTCCCCTGTTACCTGCTCTAAGACACTCTAAAATTGATGATTAGTATGCCATAAATGAATTGGCCACAAAAACAAACTTACCGTGAAATTGCGAGAGACAAAATCCGTTGTCCCTTTAGTGTCAAGCAATGTCATGCCGATTAGAATCATGACATATAAAAGCGAGGGTCGCGTCTTTCTCGCTGAAAATGTCGGCAAGTGAACGAAAGGAACAAGTAAGATGCGGAAATACAGGTCGAGCGCCATATCCAAGATCTCAGCAGGCGGGAAATCGGGTAAAGGGTTCAAAGCCGAGACAGGCGTAACTGGGGAAATGCCGCCATTGTTTGGAGACTGCATGTGCGGATATATTGACGACCTCTGGCCAAATACCGCTTGTAATCGTCTTCTGCAGTCCTCGTCCAATCCACATCGTGATCCTTGAGTGAACGTCGCCTCATTGGGAAGATGTAATGATTGAACGGAGAAAACATTGTCCTCTACCGAAAACGCAATATCTCGCCATAGACTATTGATGAGTCGTCCACTGTCGATTGGTGCAGGCCAGCACCGCTGGACCTTATAAAACCGTTCAGTGGGGATATTGTCACTGTTTGATTTGGCGCTATCGACTGAATGCCGAGTCTGTTGGCCCGGAGACATGACTAGATGAGGCTCCAACCACATTTGCAGCATATCCTTGGGAACAGGGTCAAACGCTATATTGGCCCTGTGAGGCGCTTGGTCTGTTGTAACCTCATTCCACCCGAAATATGGTTGCTGTTCGTCAATCATCATTGCTCCAAGCTCTGACCCCGAGCGGCCATGATGAGGCGCGATTGTCACATCTCGCGATGTAGAAGATATACTTGGAAGCTGATACGCATCAGCAACAGCTGGTATTTCTGGAGCTGCAATCATTGGTGACGCGGCTATCGCAGAATATTGTCGATTTGATGGTTCTGATGGCCCACCCATCGTAGTGGGCTGAGTCTCATGGCCCTTGGCATGCCGACTCAAGACATCACTCCGAGAGAATCGCTTCAAGCAGACAGTGCATTGGTACGGGCGTTCTTTAGTATCTATTTGACGCGTTAGGTTGTATTCATTCGGGTTGGAAGGTGACTGACGCGACCGCTCGTGTCTCTTGACATGTTCGGTCTTGGAGAAGACCCTCGAACAGATACTACACTTTTTTAGGACCATCACAGCTTCGGTGAGCAAAGAAAACTAGGCCGAAAGGTTCCAAGTTGAGGGGAACCTTCAATTCCGCGAACCCGGGGAAGTGCGTTAGTCAGCCGATCTCGGAGATCTTTCTTCACTAGGCTTCACTTTCGCTAGTTAGCAGTTGCTATTATTTAATGATTATTACAACCCAATATCCGGGGGGAGATATATTCTGAGTTAGAATCCCAGTGTACTTACGATTTAGTTGCAGATGACATTGCCTTTCCCCGCAGATGAGAAACATTCGCACCCGAGCCCTAAAGGTGCTCCACCACATATGCGAGGCACTGCAAAAGAATAAATAAATGATCCAAAGTGAGTATGAGATGTTTACGCCAGAAAACCACAGTCATCTACCGGACGCTATTAGTAGAACTTTGAATATCATTAGAGTACTGGCCAGGAAGATGCAGCTATCTGTTGGAGTCGCGCATCCGCCATGGAACATATTACTAGATAAAGTAATTTGCTTCTTAGAACTAGTAAACCCCAGGAATAGCAGTATTAGCAACACTAGAATAAAGATCTTCATCACCATCAGCCGGAAGCTGTCCACTAAGCATAAGCATCCACCCAAGCCCGGAATCAGGTTGCAAATCCCGCAGACTAGGATGCGCAAGTGAAATACCATCATCAGACCGTGAAACCCCATGCCCAGTCGCAGAGCTATTCGCCGTCCGCGACATCTTTCTCGGGGGATCAATATCCCCGTCCAAAGCCCGACTCTGCTTTCTAGCACGGGTCTTCAACTCCCATTTATACTGTAACCGAATCAACAAATCCTTAACTTTATTAGCACTCTGCCAAGACAAAGAGAACTCATCAAGGGCCCTAAAGCACGTTCCAAGATGAGCGGTTATATCTTCATTCTTCGCGAGCGGGTAGTGTGATACAGCCGCAAAAAGAAGAAGCAGAATAGCGGAGGATGTGATGGAGACTGCTTTGACGTTTATCCAGCGGAGGGTATATCTTTTCTCGTAGAGAACTAGGATCTTCGCGATGGAGATTGCAGATTGGATGCACATCTCCCTTGCGTGCGTGTGGCCTGGTCCTACGGGTGGTTGAGGTTGGAGATAGTCCTTTGACATCCAGGGTCGGTGGGAGTGAATTAAGTTCTGGAAGAATTGCATGTGCAGGAGGAGGACGTGTGGGAGATAGGGGGTTGCGTGGTCGTTTAGATCGATTTGAAGGGACTGGGGGAGTGAGGCTTTCCAGTCTAGGAGGCGAGCGACGACTTTGACGTTTTGCTGTTGGAGGAGGAGTTTTGAGAGGTTTGAGCTTCCGTAGCTTTTTATTGGATCTCGTATTAGTCGGGAGAAGAGAGGAAGAAGAGGAAGAAGAAGAAGAAGAGGAAGAAGAAGAAGAAGAGACGGAAGACATACAGGAAGTAGCCACAAGGTGCCATCACCTCACAAAGAGATACTTCTTGTTCACTCACGGCTTCTACTAAGTCTATTGACTCGTATTTGTTGCCGAATGAAATAGGGCATGCGTATGGTCTCCATTTGGAGGGCTCTTGGCGGCAGGTGTCAGTATTTGGTTTCTTTACTGTCACATTCCCCATGTTGGTGTAGAACGGTCTGCCAAGGTTGAATCCGACAAGACTGCAAACAGATTAGTATAGCGTCTTGATAAAAGAGCAAATAAAACAAGACTTACTGGTCAACCATATATGCCGCCCAGAAAACAGTCCGGCGTAACCCCGCATCAGCAGCAGTGATAGATCCACGAGCAACATATGAAGAAAGATCAATATGAAGAGCGAGATCGAAAGCAAGCCGTAGAGCCATTCCTAAAACGGTTGTTTAGTCAAATCCGAGACTGGAATTGGATAGACATACCACTGTAAAGCCACCCTCGAGTATCTTGGCCATTTCCAACCTCATGACTGCTCATAATTACCAGAACTTGAACTGTGGCTACAGAGGGAGAGTCTAGCTCAATCTCAAGAAGTGCCTTTGCACGGTCTCCAAAGTGTTCCACTAAAGACTTTGGAAATGTGACGAAGGATGGATGATATCGAGTTTCAAAGGCTGCACCGAGAGAGCACCTGTTTGTCGCCGTCAGCGGAAAAGATTCATGACGGAAGGTCCATTGTCTACTTGCATTGCGTAGCAGAGTGCCTCGGAATAAAATGGTGTTTCTTCTTTTGCTTGCCAGGCTCTTCTTGCTTTCTCAAACATTTCTCGATCAACCACATGGAATGATGGATCTTGCCAAGTAAAGTATAGGTTGAGCAGGTGCTCATCCAGAGCTAGAGGGGCTTCCTCACCAGGATCAATATCATTGTCACAAAAATCCAACGTACGATGTGTTTGGGGTTTAGTAGTCACAGGAGCATCGGGAAGATTAAATGTTGAAGTAGGGCCATAGAAATGGGGCTGTCCTTCAGGACCGAAGCGTAATGTTCCCACCCGGTCAGAGAGTTCGTCGATGAGATCTTCTATCCTTTCCGGACTTCTTGTTTCTTTCTCGGGACTTCCTGAACTGGTGGTAACAGGAGGTCCGAAGGGATCCGGCAATCCCTCTAATTCCCGCTCCAGTGTCTCTACCGAGGAGGTGCCACCAAGTAGGCCCTGAAAGTCCTGGGATGGTGGAGTCATGCATTTGACAATTTCAAGATTCCAGTCCAAGCTGGCTAGTGGGGTATCAGAGATATCTTCCAATGGGTATGAATCTGTGAGTGGAATGTCCGTAGTCTCATCCGAAACTATAGGTAACTCGGGCACAGCCTGAGAGTCTGGGATTTGAATAATATCCGGATGAGGAGCACACAAAGCATCTTCCATAGAGGCATGATCTATTAGATTCTCGGCATCTCCCGTAACACCCAGGTCAGTGGGGAAATTCAACAAAGTTGGTGTATCAGACGGTAGACGCTCAGTCACAGTCGCGCTCGAGGAATGGGCATTAAGTTGAGGCGAAGCGGAGTGGAACTCAGTTAGCCCTAGTATGTCAAGTACTTTTGCTAGAGCTGCATCTTTTTCTTGCGGCATGCATGGGGGTTCTAATCCATTTTGATGAACAAATAGATAGAGCTGGTTGACCCGACTTGTTAGCAGCTCTATAGCAACTCGCAGGGGCAGTCTGCATTTTGATTAGAATTGTATAGATCTGGATAGTTCCCACATATTAAGGCTTACTTTCTCTTGTCCACGGCTTGGTATCGACATTCACGCAGCTTGTTCACGCAGCTAGAGCACTTCTCATTGCCATCGCCATCACACTGTGAATGTTAGCCTGGTCGCTTGATTAGTAGGGTGTAACATTTACCTTGACTTTACTCTCACGACATGCTATACATGCCATCGCTGCATGTCGCCTAGATCTCGAATGATCACTGGACTTTGGCATCTTTTCGATTTTGCGCCTTCGAAGTGAGGCTATCCGTCATTTGCAATACCAAGCTCCTACTGCAGAGGGAGCAATTCGATTGAAGTGCGGGGTAAAGTTCGATGGAGGATGTTTTAATTGATTTTCTTTCCTGCAGATGAAGTCAGAAAAAAGCCCGATCCAATCGCTGGCATTTCCGATTTACTGTCAGTTCGGAAAATGGTGGCCGATGTGGGTCGCCACAGTGGGGGTTCAATATCTACTTGCAGGGGCTCAAATGACACAGTAAGTACTGTTATATAGGCGTAGTGTGTATAGGTAATCTGAGATTGAGTTTCAAGCCTCGAATGTGGAGGATTTGGGTTTATCAAGATGCGTTCCACCATACGATTATACGTCTCGACATTGGTATCACCACCTACACCACACCAGATTACTCATAATATGATAATCAATGAAACCTTCATCACTGTGTATATAAACAAGCTTCAGGCTAAGCACTTAAGATTGACTCATGTTCTGGAAGGTCCCAGCCCTTCACCGGTTGATTCATAAATAGCACACTATACTGCTTGTTGGCAAACGATTCTGATTCTGGAGATAATACTGGGGGTTTGTCTTCTCCGGCCCGGATCCGAAGCTCGGATCCGGAGAAGGCAGCATCTATAGACGTGTGAATGGAGTATTGGATAAAGGGGAAACTTACAATGTGCAACTGTATTTAAAGATACGAGTTTTCTCTAGGATCCTCTATAGCATCTCATTCAAATTTGACCAGCTTACTTTCAAAAAAAAAAAAAAAAACAAACAAACTATCACTCTCAACCCTAACTCCGAACAATCTTCAAGATGCGATTCCTTGTCATCGGAGGCAGTGGCCGCACAGGAAAGCTTGTGATCAATGAGCTACTCGAGAAAGGCCATGAAGTTACTGCGCTGGTTCGAAACCCTGCCTCTTTGGAGAAAAGATCCGGCTTGGATATCGTTCAAGGTATACATCTCATGCGATCTACTATATTTGACCATCTCAACTGACTAGCACATAGGCACACCCCTCGATATTTCCGATGTTAGAAAAGTCTTTACTAGCAACACCCTGGATGCTGTACTCGTTACTCTCAGTGCCCTCCGAGAAACCGATAGCCCATTCGCAAAGCCCATCTCCCCTTCCCGCATGATGGCAGACAGCAATGCGAACATGGTGAAAGTGATGAAAGAGTTTGGAGTCTCCAAAATTGTCGTCTTACAATCATTTGGTACTGGAAACTCTTGGGCTAATATGCCATGTACCCTACGCCTCCTTATGAGCAAGTCTAACATGATCTACTCATATGACGACCATAACGCTGCAGAGAAAGAGGTGCGGGATAGTGGTGTTACATTTGTATTTGTTCGTCCATCGAGACTTGTTGAGAGGGATGTAACAAAAGTCAAAGAGTGGCCTAATGATGGCAAGGGGGTTGGCCTGATGGGCTCTGCTAGTCGCATCAGTGTCGCTCGGTTTTTGGTGGATACCGCGTTGGATACGAAGTGGGATGACACTGCTCCTGTAATCACCAATTGAGGTGATCAATGTGATTGGGGCTTGCCTTAGTGTCAGATATAAATAGGAGTTAGCGTTGAGGTTATAAAGCAAGGCTGGGCGTTTTGGTCCCCCTCGTCTCCCGTATTTGGGGCCAAATATAGCTTAGGGGACATGATAGCTATTTGTAAGCCTCATATTTGTGTCTCTAGTCATGTTATGATATCTAAGTGAGCAATGGAGATATCTCAGTCTCGCAAGCGTGCACGCCCTGTGGTTTCTTGTCTGCGGTGCAGGGAAAAGAAGCTTAAATGCGACCGTGTCGATCCATGCGAGAACTGTATCAAAGCTGGGCATCGTGCAAATTGTGCATACAATCAGCACCCGACGGAGTTGCCTTCGAAGCCCAAGCGCGTGCAGCTCAATATCGATGCGTCTGGTAATTCCGAACAACTGAACGGGGTCGGCATTGGTATCATCGAAGACCTTCAACAACGCTTGGCTCGAGTTGAGGGTTTGCTTGCGGGCCAGTCTGCCAATGTACCGGCTGTATCAACTCAGAATTCTTGGTACGTGAATATCTGATTGCCTAGACCCGCTTTACTGACTCCACAGGCCAAGCAATGCAACGGTGCAGCACTCAAGTTTGCAGTCATCAATGGGAACATTGGTAGTCAAGGGATCAAGATCTCGCTATCATGGTCAAAATGATAGGATCACTCTACTGAACCAGGTGAGGTAGGCTCTGCCTTTTGCATATCATCAACTAACACCCTCAAGTTTGAGGAAGCCAAAGGATTCGTCAATCAATGCTCCAAAGATTCATCCATAGTGAAACTCGCCAGAGAAGTGCAATTCCTACAGAGCAAGACCCAAGCACCTTTGGACTCTCCGCAATCTATGTCGGAGTTGGAGAGCTTTCCAGAGCTGCTCCAGCTTCTTCAGTCCCTTCCATCGAAGTCAATATGTGACAGGCTTGTGGCTGTCTATACCAACAACTTTGAGAAGACACTGCGGGTCTTACACATTCCTTCTTTCCTTGGACAATATGAACATTTCTGGGCAAGCCCCGAGGATGAGTCCTACCTATCTTCGCCTTTCATTCCTCAACTGACTGCAATATTGGCTGTCTCGATCATGTTGGGAGAGGAAAGCATCAAAATGGAAGACATCACTCCGTGGGAATATTTGAGATTGAATGCCGTCGGGCTGTTACAAGCATGGCTACAAAAACTTCCAAGAAAACACCGCACCGAGCTTACAACCCTCCAAATTGAAACACTCGTTCTCCTCGCCCGCCAACTTCGCCTAACATCCGCCGAAGAATCATGGAAAGCTGCTGGCTCACTAGTCCGCTCTGCAATGGTAATGGGTCTTCACATCGATCTCTCTGGATCTACCAAGATGTCAGTCTTTCAAGCCGAGAGTAGGAGACGACTGTGGATCACCATTGCCGAGATGGACCTCCAAGCTTCAATCACATCTGGGATGCCGATCATGACGCCTCTAGTGGACTTCCACGCTCTGAGCCCAGCAAATCTAAATGATGCCGACTTTAACCAATCTACCACCGAGCTTCCTCCTCCTAGACCGCTGGATGAACCAACTGACACTCTTGCTCTGGTGACCCTTTCCAGGACACTGTCGCACCGTGTCAACGCCATGAACTTTATACAGCAGACAGGCCCAGATAGGGATATAGATGAACAACTTAAGCAGGGCAGAATACTAGAGGAATGTTTACTCGGCATTCCTGACCCTTTGAAGATTGATCACACTTTGGGCAGCGATACCATGCCACCTGCCATCCTCAATCAAGTCCTTCTAGACTTATACATCCGGCGACCCCTTCTCTGTCTTTACAGACCAGTCAGCACAGGCAGAAACCAAGACCATACAGCCCTCCAAGAAATACAACAGGCATGTCTAGACTCATCACTGACAATCTTGTCCTACCAAGACTACTTTGACCCCAATTTAGCAGACCTAGACGCCCAAAACTCTAACGAATATTGGGATATCTTCCACAAACTTTGCAAAAACGACGTTCTATGGGCTGCTCTCAGTGTATGCGATTATATGAGGCAATTCGCACAACAAGCGTCAATTACAGACCAACAATCCTCGAACGGCTTTTCAGATCTCAACACTAAAAACCAATCACACAGCAAAGCTAGCCTAACAAGACTGGTCGAAAACACCCTCGAAAGCCTCTCCCGCCGCATCGGCGAAGCTGGAAATAACGTCAAAGATATCCTTCTCCTCGCAGTAGTCTTGCAGTCTGTGCGTGGCCGCGGCTCACCGGAGACGAAAGACCGCTGGATGACGCAGGGTGCGAAGAGAGCTCTTTCTGCTTGTCGGCAGTATCTGTTACCTGCTGTTACGGATCAGCATTCTGCTTTTGGTGTACGTATCGTGCATCACACCTGGGGTATTGGGATCAGCTAACACAGCTATAGTACCGACCGCAGGACTCCATGGTTTTCTCCAGCAATGATCTTGCCTCGCAATTCACATCTTCTCCTCACTTTCCTCCGCTACCAGATCTACTACAGTCATCTGCACTAGCAGCGGACTTTGCTAATTTTCAGGAGTTTCGGGAGGATCTGTTCTCGTTTGACGAGACGTTTACTTGGAATTTGTGAGTAGAATAGAATCTGGTTTATTGCAAAAAATCAAAGAAGTGCTTGCTGGTTGAAATGAAAAATCACAACTTCCCACGCGAATCATCTGTCTCACTCGTCTTGTTGTAGAACTGCGTCATATCAAACCTGAGCACATCTAATCCCTATACCCATATTAGTTACTTGAACAAATATCGAAACAAGCCAAAAAAAAACAAAGGGGAAATAGCTCACCAAAGCCAACTCCCTCGAAAGAGCCTCATTGGTCTCGGATTTCTTGCAGATCTGAAAGAATCGATCATTCTCCAGGGCTTTCTCAGGATCCTGATCCCAAAGTCTCCGGAAATTCTCTCGTGACATAGGATCAATAATCTCTCTCCAGATACGCATGCGAACTTCACTGTATTTATCCAAAATGGAATCATCCGCCAGGCCATCGTGAATGCCAACAAGTGCATCGAAGAGATTACCCACATCTGCAATTCCACCTGTAAGTCCCAAGCCACCGCTATAAACCACGAGAACCAATTAGCCTGTCATCAACCCTATTGCAAGAAGAAAGAATGCTCACAAAGGATTACAAAGATGCGCCGCATCAGCCGCAAGCAAAACCCTCCCATCGCGAAAAGAAGGTGCGCACCTCTGCTGCAATTTATAAGGCGAGATATTGGTAATTCGATAATCACCAGGTTTAGGACTTCCCGGTAAAATCTCTTCATAGCGAGCGGGCTGGCGCGCGATGTATTCTTCTCTACTGAGACCCGGAACATCGCCGTATGTTACGCGGTAGAGTCCGTCTTTTGTGATGCGCGCGGCCATGTAGTATTTTGTTGGGTGGACGATGAAGTTTGAATCCCAGTAGTTGTAGCGATCAAAGTTGTAGTATACCTGGAAACACGCTGAGTATGAATTTCGAGAAATGGAGGAGCTGCGTGGATAGTTGGCGTCCTGGAGACTTTTCTTACATTTGTAGCAATGATCTGGGCGTTCAGTGTTTCACCTGGATACTCAGGCCCGAATAACTCCCGCCGAATGGTACTGCTAGCCCCGTCGCAGCCGACGACATAGTCCGCTGTTGATCTATGTGTTCCAGACGGAGTTTCAATATCAACCCAAGCTTTGCCCTGATCCTGGCCGATTTTCAGGACCCGATGGGTCCATTTCACTGTTGCTTTTGGCTGACGCTGGATGTGTTCGTAAAGAAGCTGTCCCAGTTGATCCAGAGGTAGGATTTGCATCTTGTATGGGTAATCTTCCGGTAAAGATGCATGATTGATTCCGGCGATGAAGCTGGTGTCGAATTTCCGGAATGCGAAGCCCTTTGGACTAAAGCCACGCTCTTTTAGATCGTCTAGAACACCTGCGCGTTCTAACTCATAGGTAGCGGCCGAGGCGTAGTGGGCTGCGCGTGGCTGTTTGTCTAGTTCTGCGCCTGCGTCGAGGAGTTCTACTGTTATTCCTTTTTTGGCGAGGAGGAGACTGAGAATTAGACCTGATGGTCCTGCTCCTACAACAATGACCTGGAAATGATGCTTAAAAAGATATCATTTCTTGCGAGGATGGGAGATAGATACCTTTGCGATCGCCATAGTCTTGAGCAGCGAAGATAGTTTGTACTTCGTTTCCAAAATTGTTCGAAGCCATGCAAGTCAGAGATTAACGAGCTAGTGTCACTCACCACAGCTGAAATTTTCCTACCGTGGGGCCATCCCACTATACTTGGCATGTCACGGCCTGGCATTGATCCCATTCGCGTCTTTCTGCGGGGGGCTGCGGGGAGTCGGGGGAGTTCCGATACAAAACAGCACTTCCCGTCACCAGAGAAACTGACGCTGGAATTCAGATGAAGGAGCTCCAGTCCAAGAGCTTACTCTTTGCAAGTGGAGGATTTCTTCATTTGCCTCGGGTTGTTGAGTCGGGTATCCCTCAATCGAGTTATAGGTATTGAGTGACGGCGGAGAAAAAGTTGCACTGAAAGTACCTTCGATTCCTGAGGTCGGGATGAAAGCCGGAGCTGGAGTACCCTCATGTCTGGAAGATCTATCGCTCTGTACTCGTCTCCTCTTGGGACTTGATAGATCGTGATGCCCATCTGAACCAGCCCTTTCGGGATTGGTATAGGCATGCTGCCATCGTCGGATGCCATTAGATGTATCAAGAGGAAATCGCGACCAAGAATCTATTCCTCTCTTTTCGAGTCTTGGAAATGGCACATAGGACGTGCTGCGATCTTGGCTGCCCTCTCGGGGAGGAAGTGCCGTGGCAAGTTGCTCGTCTGAAACATACGGGAGAAGATTGAGCAGTATACTTTCTGTGAGCTGAAGTCTGTTTTCCAGTGCTTCTGTATATCCTTTCTCCGGACCTCTGTATTTTGCATTAGATCTGTCTGTAACTCGTTGTCGCCGAGGAAGTACCTCCGGAGTTGTTCAGGCCAGTTGCATGGTCGGTTGTATTCGAGACACTGTTCGCATACAGGTCTTTTCAATTAAGTCATGAGCAAATAAGTACTATGGAAAAAGGCCTTGCTGCTTACTTCTTTCCATTGCACTGAATTCAACGATCGGTTAGTACTAAATCAAGCGGCACATAGGCCAGCAACTCACCTTCTGCTTCCGCGACCGACACACATTACAAGCAATAGTGATCCGGCCCGGCCTCTTTTCTTTTGACTTGGTTGCCATATTTGCTTTTCGCCGGAATATGGCATAGACCAAAACATGCAGATTTAGTCGAACGATGGCGGGAAGTGGCAGATGTCATCGCCTGAAAGTTCTGCCGACGAATCCGAAGTGCACGTGCGGGCGAGAATAGCGACCATTTCGAACTATTCTCTACTCGACTTTGGGTGAATTATCAGCCGAGCTGATGTGTACATACATGCTACTGTAATTTCATGGACTGTTATTTATACTCTGGTTGCTCATACTCGATTGCATCTCACATTCTTCAGGTCTCTACTATAACACAACATGACTGCAAGACCTTCATACCGCATTGCCTCTATCCCTGGTGATGGAATTGGCCCTGAGGTAGTTAGCGCCGCAATCAAAGTGGTAGAGAAATTGACAAAGAAGCTCAATACATTTGATATCAACTTCGATCACATTCCTTGGGGCACAGCACACTATAAGCAAACCGGGAGCTATGTGACCGGCAATGCCCTCGACACTCTGCGCAACTATGATGCATCCTTGTTCGGTGCCGTAGGCGCTCCAGGTAGGATAAGCCCCCAGACTATTCCAGCGCCCACCGCTCACCAAACATAAACAGATGTGCCCGACCACATCTCCTTATGGGGCTTGCTTTTAGCAATCCGAGGCCCCCTCCAACTCTACGCCAACGTACGCCCCGTACGAACCTTCCCCGGTACAAAATGCCCCCTCAACACGGCCACTGAAGGAATCGACTGGATGCTTGTCCGCGAGAACTCAGAAGGCGAGTACGCCGGCCAAGGCGGACGGTCTCACGTCGGGCAGCAATGGGAAGCAGCAACCGAAGTAGCGCTGTTTACGCGCGTCGGCATCGAGCGCATCATGAGATTCGCATTCGAAATGGCGCAGTCTCGGCCACGTAAGCTGTTGACTGTTGTAACGAAGAGCAACTCCATGCGCAATGGCATGGTTCTTTGGGATGAAGTTGCTGCTTCTGTTGCTAAGGATTTCCCTGATGTGACGTGGGACAAGATGCTTGTTGATGCAATGACTGTGCGGATGGTTGCAAAGCCGCAGTCTATTGATACGATTGTTGGCACGAATCTTCATATGGATATTCTGTCGGATTTGGCGGCTGCGTTGGCTGGTTCGATTGGCGTTGCGCCTTCTAGCAATCTTGACCCTACACGCAAGAACCCTTCATTGTTTGAGCCTGTCCATGGGAGTGCTTTTGACATCACCGGCAAGGGAGTTGCGAACCCTGTTGCTACTTTCTGGTCTGCGGCGGAAATGCTCATCTGGCTGGGTGAGAAGGATGCTGCGGCTAAGATGATGGGTTGTGTTGAACGTGTTTGTGCTGCTGGTATTCTGACACCAGACCTTGGGGGAACCTCTGACACTCAGGGGGTGGTGGATGCTGTGTGTTTGGAGGTTGAGAAGTTAACTTGAAAGGGCCCATAATTTATTGTTTCGTTTTTTTCTTTCGTTACAATGGCCTCGTCTTGGACCAATAGCTTCCATGCGACAAATGGATTTATAAAGAGATTTGACCAATGACCGTAAAGAGCCATGCATGTCCAAAGTAAAGCTGTAAGTTCAAGGTGAGAAAATAATGGCCTAAGAAATTGCTCTTTCGAGTCGAGACAGTGTTGTCTCAGTTCTTTCACGAATCGTTCCACCTTCTATAAAGATCCACCAAAGCTTAGTTTCGCGAAGAAACAGAAGAAAAGTCCTTTGACCTACTATAAAGCAATTGAGGGAATTGAAATGCCGCTGTCACAGGGAGAAGCTCCTGTGTTTCCAATAAAGCCCTCCACGAACATGTTCGATTTATGCGACTAGCATCGTGTCTCAGCCATATCGTATATATACCGAATAACACCTGAAGAATACCCATAAACCATCAAACGAAGTCTCCAATATCTATTATACAGTCTTCATACCAACAGAAATATCAACATCAAAGTAATCATCAAATCTCAGTCCCGAAATCACAAGAAAAAGGTCAGTCAAATCCCCCAGCATAATGGGTATCGCCAACAAGAAGGAAAACCCCTACATACCCTTCCCAGACTGTCCCTCAAGCGGCTCTGAGTCCACATATTCCACAAGCTCAGACAGCATAAACAACGGACTGACTGAAGAATTCACAAGAAGCATGTTCTACCTAGACGGAACCTTAGTCCGAGAACCCGAATTCTGCCCACGAGAAATCACAAACTGGGTCAACGTTTTCCTAAGCCCACAGGACATAACGTGCGACGACGAGACACTCATGAGAACCGTGGCTACGTGTATTCGTACGGGTGTTGCTACTATCACTATACACCCCATGCACCATTCCTACCCGCTCTGTATCTCGATTAAGGTCCCCGGTGACTACCATTCCAATAAGGCTTCTATCTTTGCTGCTGCTGAGTTGCAGGCCGATTGGTATAGGCAGGAGGTTCGTTCTGGGAAGGTTCGTGTTAATCGCGATTTACTGTTTCGTCGATCTGCTTGACGTGCTTTTGTTTCTCCTCCCTGTTTTAAGCGAGATTTTGATTTTATGATATAGAATGCATATTACCCTTGGTCTCTTAATGAAATGATTATACTGTGTGTTAATTTCAGAATTGTAAGCCGTAAATCATGACCATTGTGTTGCAATGGGTTGAGAAAATTGAGTCCTAGATAAGACCTTAGAAACTGGGAAATTGCTGTCCGACCATATCAAAAAGGGAATCGAGATTGGCTCCCTCGATCAAATCGACCATATTTAAATCGAAGTTCGATATTCCCTCAAAATTAGTAGGGTGCGTATCTTGGAAATTCATTTGCATCGAAGAAGGGGTGTCGGCGGGAATGCCTTGATCGTTCTGCTCTGATGGTTGCGTAACGCCCGATTGGATAGCTGTGAAGCCATGCTCTTTGCCCTGGGTATGCTCCCATTCATTGCCTGTGCTTAGGTGAGCTTTTCGGTCCCATTGCTCTGGATTGCTGGGCTCTGTGAAGGCTCTGTGGTACTCTTGGGAGTGCGATTCACCGCCTAGTTTTCGTCTCCTTTCTTCGCGTGCATTCAAAGAATCCAGGAGCATGGATTCTCCTCCAGAGACACCTCTCACATAGACCTGGGAATTGACTGTTGATATACCACGGTGCTCTGAATCTTTGATCTTTGCAGCTAGCACTGAGAGAGACATATGGCAATACTTAGCTGTCTCCCATTGATCAGACATTAGGCATAGAAAGTCTGAAAATTCGTGGATCTCCCTATCATTCATTAGCAACAAAAAACATCGGAGAGGCCATCAAAATACATACTGAAGGCCTTTTGTCAGGACATATTGCTTTAATTGACAAGCCAAAGCCAGAACCAGCCCCGACATCCATGCAGCCGACAAAAAGCCTGGCCAAAACAAAGCTTGTTGGCTATTTACTTGCATTCGTAGCGCTGATAGAATAGACCGAGCAGCTCCAATGCAAGTCTGTAACCCAGAACAAAATTCCGCAGTTGACGGATCCAATGACAGTGACGGCCGGTGAATGATCAAAATGAGATGCTGGTATAACACAGTGAAGAACGGGCTAAAATCAAACGGATTATCATGCCTTCTAGATCCTGCCGTTTGCTCTAATGGTGATGGTCTCCTTTGCAGATCGAGTGGAAGGCCATTCCACCACTTATGCACATCTGTCACAAGGAACAAGACTGAACTTCTTCGAACAGATCGAACCAATATCGATTTGTGGAAGAGCTCCAGTGCTCTTCCTGTGAGCGTTCCAGAGTCAACGTAACTTGCGAGAATAGCTTCTTTCCCATGGTCTTCTTCTCTATTGTCAAGTTGAAAGTGTGAAGCTCGGCGCTTATCACCTTCAAAACGTCCATTCTCAGTGGATGTCAACCCACTAGCCCACTCACTGCTCGCTTGGTTCATCTGTGTCCCAGGTGAATGCATCTCCCTCGCAGCAGGTAAACAAACATCGATATCAGAATCCTGAATACCAAGCGGCAACCCCAAAGCCTGACTCAGATACCGATCGATAGCATACCCGCACCAAAAGATGCGCTTGCGCAATTGTCGATCATGCGTAGAGAGCTGCTTATATCGAAACGGACACCGGTGAAGACCAGCATGGAGCATAGATCGTAGTACACAGCCACCAACAGTAGACGCCTGTCTTAGCGACATAGTTGCAACAAGGTAAAACTGTATAGCCAGGATGGCTTGAAGTGACGCAATGTCATGTCGAGAGGAGAGTGTCCCAAGAAGGGAGTTGATGCTGCTTGGTGATTGGATCTTTGACGCGGGTGGTAGATCCAAATCGGGTACTAAAAGACTTCCCAGGTTGAAGACGCATTGAAAGATTGTTGTCCAGCATGTACTACGGTGATCTGCGTATGGTGTGTGTGAGGGCGGGCTTTGATTCGTCGAGTATATCTTCTCCATTGCCTGCAGGAAGGTGGGACCGTGCAGAAAGGGGAAGAGAGGATGCCACACTTTGAAGTACATCATCATGAAACTCTTTGCCATATCTTGGGGCGGGAGTTTGCCCAGAGTTTCTGTTAATGATGGGTCGTAGGTCCATTCTGTCGGTGAGTCGACTTCTGCGGTCGAGGCATCCCTGAACGATGCGGTACGCTGTCGCTTTTCTCGAGGGGAGTCCTCTGGACCGACTAATGTGTCCTCTGCTGTGGGGAAGTTTGTTTCTGACGAGTCTGGCCCGTCTAGGTCGTTGAATGCTCGCTTGACTGTCTTGATGAAGTAGACGCCGCTGGAGCTGCCGACAAATTGGCTGTCTTCTCTTGAGTGGGCTGTCAAGGATCCGATCTCCGGTGTCTCGGGTAAGAATTCCGACGCCATTGTGCATATATCATTTCGTGAAAGTGAGGTGTTCGAAGCTTGGCTCAGAAATGCAGTAAAGAGGCTGAGTAATCGGCAGTTACGGCTGGGGGCTGACTTTAGTGGCCACTTGGTATAAAGACCATGGCGGCGTTTACCTTCACCGAGAAACAAGTAGTGGAATCATAAAACTTTACGTGCAGACTTTTATGTTGGATTATTCTGAATAAAAACTAGGAAACGGCCATTCATTAACTTTTGCTGCTCTCACGAACCCGAGAACAAATACTCGAACGGCGTGTCCTTCCGCGAGGAAAAAGGAGAATCTATGTACCCATAAAGAGCAAGCCAAAAAGCACAAGGTATGAATGAAAATGAAAATGGAGAGGATTCGATATCGAAAAGAAGTCATAGCGCCTTGCGAAAAGAAGAAAAGGCATAAAGATAAACCGCATCCAGCGCCCAGAAAGCACTTTTACCGAACTGCCAGAAGACACTGCCAGCTAAAGCCGGGCATACTAGAGAAACGGGAAATTCATCGAAAGAATGAAAAAAAAAACCGAATGTCATACCGCATTCACTAAACACCAATAAGGTGGCTGCCTAAGACACAAACTTTTCGAACCGAGGGATATCAGGATCAGAGGGAGAGAGATAGGGATGAAAAGGGTAAAAGAGGTAAGAACAAATAGTGGAAAAGAGAAAGGAAAGGTCATCAAAAACGTGCGTCCAAAGATTTCCGAAAGGCAGAGGATGAACACATCATTTAAGACTTGTTCTCCTCGGCGGGAGTCTCCTTAGCAGCCTCCTGGGGCTTGGAGTCACCGGCCTCGCCCTCGGTACCCTTGTTCTTCATGTACTCGTCGTAAACGTTGAGAGCCTCGTCAACCTTGCCGCGGAGAGCCTCCTCATCATCAAGCCTGGAAACAGGGTGTTAGTAAACCATATCAAAAGGAAGTGGGGTAATGTAATGACTTACAGGCCAAGAAGCTCAGAGTTGTCCATCTCAAGAAGCATACCAGTGATCTTGCCAGCGAGCTCGGGCTGCTGAGCCTGGATCTTGGGGTAGAGAGCCTCACCGAGCATCTGCTTCTGCTGGGCGGGGGGAGCGGCGAGGAGGGCGGGGTTGGCGGAGCCAGCCTCAGCGCCAGCGGGAGCACCAGCGGGGGCAGGCTGTCCACGGCCACGACCCATCTGGGGACCACCACGGCCGAAGCCGGGGCCACCACGCATGTTCATGGGCATACCGGGAACCTGACCACGGCCACCGGCACCACGGCCGAACTGAGGACCGCCCATGGGGTATCCCATGCCGTTAGGAACGCCACCAGGGCCCTGCATGCCCATGGGCATACCCTGGAAGTTGGGGGGGATCTGCTGGTTGGGTCCCATGCCGCGACCACCTTGCTGGGGGAAGGGACCGGGGAACTGGCCTGGGCGTCCACCAGGGATGCCAGCCATGACCATACCGGGCTGGGGAGCGAAGGGCATACCGCCACGCTGGCCGGGCTGGGGCATGTAACCCTGCTGGCCGGGACCGTAGAAGACGGCGGGCTGCATGTAAGGCTGGGGCATACCAGCGGCGGCAGCGGCCTGCTGCTGGCGGATGGTGTTGCGGGCCTGGATGCTGGCCTCAAGCTGGCTGCGGCGGACATCCTTGCGCTGAGCGAGAGCAACGTATAGGGGCTTGGCGTTGACCATACGCTGGTTCATCTCAGTGACAGCCTTGGAGGCCTCATCGGGGCTGCTGAAGCAAACGAAACCGAAGCCCTTGGACTTGCCGAAGGCCTTCTTCTCGGACTTCTTCTCGGCATCCTCACTCTCCTCAGTCTTCTCCTCGGAGGTCTCCTCGGGCTTCTCCTCAGCCTTCTCCTCGGGCTTCTCCTCGGCGTTCTCCTTGTCGGCCTCCTTCTCCTCACCCTCAGGGGGAAGGAGAGCGCTCAGCGGAGTCGCGCATAACCTTGGCGGAGGTGATGGTACCGTAAGGAGCGAAGAGGTCACGAAGCTTCTCGTCGTCAATGTCGTCAGTCAGGTTCTTGACGTAGAGGTTGACACCCTGGTACTTGGAGGCCTTCTCCATGCGGGCAGCCTCGTACTGCTTGCGGAGCTCCTCCTCACGCTCGTGCTTCTTCTGGGCACGACCAACGTAGAGCTTCTGGGTCTTGACGTCCTTCTCGTTCATGGACTCGACGGCAGCAGCGGCGCTCTCGTGGTTGGCGTAGTTAACGAAACCGAAACCACGGCTCTTGCCCTCGTTGTCGTGGCTGAGGGTAGCGGAGGTGATCTCACCGAACTTCTCGAACATGGTGCGGAACTCGTCATCGGTGATCTCGAGGTCAATGTTCTTGATGTAGATGTTGGTGAAGTTGGCCTTCATCTCCTCGAACTTGCTCTGGCGGTCCTTCTTGGAGATGTGGTGGCCGACGAACACCTTCTTGTCGTTCAGCAGCATGCCGTTGACGTGCTTGATGGCATTGTTGGCGGCCTCAGCTGTCTCGTAGTGGACGAAACCGTAGCCCTTGGAGTTGGCGAACTCATCCTGAGCGACCTTACAGGACAGAATGTTACCGAAGGCAGCAAAGGTGTCGTGAAGAGCCTTGTTGTCAATGGCGTTGTCAAGGTTCTTGATGAAAACGTTGCCCTGACCGGTCTTACGGAGGGCGGGGTCACGCTGAGACCACATGATACGGCAGGGCTTGCCCTTGATCAAAGTGTAGTTCAGGTCCTCGAGTGCACGCTCGCCATCAGGGGTGTTGTTGTAGTTGACGTAGGCGTATCCGAGGGAGCGACGGGTAACAGCGTCACGGCAGACACGGATGGAGGCGACCTGGCCAATGGAGGAGAATAGCTCGTAGAGCATGGCCTCGGTGACGGAGGGGTCAAGCTCGCCAACGTAGAGCGAAGCCGAGTGGGGCTGGTTGTTGGCACCTTCGCCGGCGGGCTCGGGAACAGCGGCGGCAGCGGCAGGGGAGCCGGTGGCCTCGGGGGTGCCGTTGACAACATTGTCAGCGGCGGGAGTGGTGGTAGGAGCTTCAGCAGACATTTTGACTGTTGTTACTGGAAAAAGGAACGTTTTAGCATGTGCATGCCGAGCCTATCGCAGAGAGGGGGAGGGGGAGATATGAGGCAGATGAACTGAGGTTACACAACAGTCCATGTGGGCTCTTTGACAAGCCACCAAGGAGAGGAGAAGGAGCGAGAGAAATTCAAAGGGGACAGGCAGCCTTACAGCAAAGTATCCACGGAACAAAGAGGTTGGAGAAATTTCACTGAGCAGAGCACACTGCAGGGTATTAGCGGGGTGTAACTCAAGGACGTCGCATCAAAAATACATGCGAAAGCCGAAATGACAAGACTCTGGAAGAAAAAATCGAGTAAAATCGAGGCAAAGGCGATGTGACTAACCAGGTGAAAAAAAAGGACGATGGAGGCGGTCGTTGAAAGAAAATCTTCCACACAACACACCGCACAATCGGGAGGGATGAGATAAGATAACTGGAAAAATTTTCTGGGGGTTTTTCGTGTTTTTTTAGATTTTTTGCCTTTCGATAAAGATTCGAAAAGAAAAGGGATTCCCTGACGAGAAGAGAGTTGGAGAAGGATGTGAAGGGAAAAAAAGTTGAGCCGTGAAAGACGAGGTGTTCTGGAAAACTCAGAGGAGCACGAGATGGGGACGCTAGCCGTATTGGGAATGGTGGCGGCCGCTTTAAGGGCTTACCCGATCATACAATTGGCATCTACTTGATATTGACCATTGAATGGCTATGGTACGGTTGAATATAAGTAGAATAAGATTACTGTAGCCTACCCCTTCAATTACAAGGAATGCTCATCTACCAATAGAATCTTCATTCCGCGACGCCCATGCTATGCATGCAAAACTACAAACAACCTGTCTAGGCCATATACACAAAACAATGAAAGTCTCAAAAAAAGTCTCAGAATAAGAATTGTATCAACTCAAATCAAATCCTGCTCCCGAACTCACGGCATACAAAAGCTTTGTCCTTAGCGTTCGAGCATCCGAGTACCGCGGCAACTTCAGAAGATTGACGCAAGTACTGGTACTCGGTAGTCTCTCTTCATCATCACTCGAGTCTCGGATACTGAAGTGAGGATTGAGGTGACTGAATCCTAGCAGTGGTGCTCGGGGGGTAGACGTGACGAAACGGATAACTTTCTGTCGCTCCGCGTTGGTCATTTCGTGCAGCACCTGCCAGAACAGTTGGATGGTCGGGTGCTCTAGGTTGTCATCGCCAATTTCGTACACACCGCCGTACTTGGTGTTTCGGCGGAGATCCTCCACGTCGATATCGGCGTTCTCTCCGCTCACCAGTGTTTGCAACTCGGACTGATTGAACATGGACAGCCAGGCCGGTTGGATCATCTGGCCGAGACCTTGCAAGAATGCATTGGTCTGCATCGCGGGCTGCACCTGCAAGCGATAACGAGCCATGTAAGAGATGTAGACCAGTCTGTTCTTGTTGCTCACGGCAATATGTGAGCCCTGCGGCTTCAATTCGGTCGTAGTGGTGCGGTTTGTGCCGTTCGGCATCGGGATGGTGTTGTTAACGGTGAAGTCGAGAGCAAAGTCTTCTACATCTCCGGGGTAATTCTTCAGTTGTAGCTATAATAGTGTGGTCAGTATGAAAGACATGATCAACATCGATATCTAGTGTCACTTACCAGACCCTGATACAATCCTTCGTCAAGGTCCTTCAAATCATTCAGGTTGGCACGATAGGAAGACTCCTTAACTGCAGACCCAGTACCACCTGTGAGTGCCCACTTCAAGAGGAAGAAGGGGGCGAAGTTGACATCCACCAGAATGCCTTCGTAGAGACATTTTCCAATGACCCGTCCTAGGAATTCGTAGCGTCGCAAGAGACCACGCACTTCGTCCTGCCACTCAACACTTGTCTTTGAAAGACCAGCATCACTAAGTACTTCCTTAAGTTGGTCGACCGCTGCTGGGTTTGGGTACAGCAGATGCTGGTCATTTTCCGCAAACATGCTCTCGTCGCCATTAGTCTTAAAAGCCTCAGTAGTGACACTCGTCAGGAACTCTTTTGTCACACCACCTCCATCAATACCAGCCTCCTTTGATCCGAATTGGTCAATGAAACTGATTTGGATAGGCTCCTTAAGACCGTCACCTAGCCCGTAAAACTCAGAAAACGCATCTTCAAAAACACTCTCACGTCTGATGTCAGCATGATGCCGGGCCAGCACATCTGGGGCGTTAAATTGACTGTTCATCATTGATTGCTGAGCTACAGAGAGACGCCAAGTCTCAGGATCAACGAATCCATTGCGGCGACGCTGCTGGTCTCTGAAGATGAACTGGCGGAAAATTTGGACTCTGGTAGCGAATGGGATGAAGAAGGGCATATTGCGAAGAATCTCCAGTCTGGGCGCAATAGCAGCAAGGGCCTTTCCGCGAGCGGCTTGTCGTTGACGACGTCGTAGGTTTTCGATGCGGATTGTTCGTAGTGCATGGTTAGAGCCGGCAATGCCCAAAGGCTCCACAGTATCGTCATCTAGAAGATCGGGCTCATCCTCTTCATCATCCTGGAACTGGTGGCGTTTCTCTTCTTCTCCAACGACAGCTGGAATGAACCCTTCCATGTCGAAGCGGTCGGTCATAAGCCAATGGTCTTTGGGAAGGAACTTTCTCCGCGAACTGAAGGGTTATCGACGGTTAATACGGGCATCAGGTCGCAAGGCGCATTTTCAACTTACTCTCGCTCATGTAGCATTCTCAGCAACCCTGTGACTAATCCTTTGAAATAGTCCAAAGGTATACCCGTGACGCCGGGTAGATCATTAGGTTGTTCTTTGGTTTGGGATTCATTGAATCGTTCCATTTGCTCTGGAACTTGACTTGCGGTGTTGAAATAGCTCTTAAGGTCACCGGTGGATGATGGAACAGGCCCCTTCTCACTCAAGGCGGCAAAGTTCCAATAAAGGGTAAAGGCAAGATTCTTGAGGAAGATTGTCATCGCTTTGACGTCTTCGAGAGGCAGGGCGCTTTCCTTTGTCCATGAGGATTTGGTATTAGAGGAGGTTGTAAACGGAGATGCACTCGAAAAGAACTCTTCGTCATCCATGACTTTCAAAAGGAATGTGTAGAGCTCAAAGAAGAGTAGGATGATTGTCCACTCCTGGTCTCGATCCTCCTGTGAGATTGCGATATTCGAACCTGGTTTCGGAAGTTCTAATAGCGAAAGCACTTTGGCTGGTTCGATTGTAATAATGTCAAAGACCCGACTGGATCTAGCCGCCTGCCAGAAGTACTTGATGGCTGGAATCTTCGCACCTGGTTGGCCGGACGCCTGGTCACTCGAAGGTGCCGAACCCAAGTACAACCACATACGAATATCATCTCCGCGTCGAGGGAATACCCTCAACAGATTCAAGGCATATGTGGCAAGAATCTTGGCTTCCTTTGAGGAGTCAGACTGATTGTCGGAGAAATCTGTCTGGGTCAGGTGGGATGGTCTAATCCGTGAAAGCAATCCGGTGATGCTATTTTGATTGACAAGGCTGGTAACTTGTTCCTTGACAAATGGGGGCAAAGAAGGGCCGTTGGATGAGTCGGTTTCGTTAGATTCTTCCGTCTCCAAGCACCTTGTGAGATACGTAGCTGTTGAGTTGAGCAACTCAGACACTACACCCAAGAAACCAAGATCAGGGGCGCCGATGTTAGCTTGGCCACCAAAAGCATATCGGTGGAAGTAGATCAGGTATGCAAGTAGCCAACTTCGATCCTTGACGTTTTGGAGCTCACGAGAACTTGGTTTTGCTGGGTGCATACATGACCCAACTGCCGAAGCCAGTACCTTGTAGTTTACCTGGTGTGCCAGTCCATCCAGTCCGCCAAGATAGGCCGCTAAGCCCGGGACAGTCAGATATGAAATGGCAAAGGCTTCATAAGCTGCCATCGTTTCAGATGTAATTGGCCGTAAAAGAGCAATGGTCGCATTCACAACATGCTCTGGTGCCAAATTATCACCCAGAGACACAAGGTTCTTTGTCAGGTGTGCCATGGCACGGTAATAGGCGTTGGCAATCATTGCCATCTTCTTTGGAATCAGATCCACCAGGAAAATCACCATCCGGAGGAGAGGTAACACCGCTTCTCCATGAGTCGGACTATTTGTTGCCGAGCCGAGAGAATACAGAACCGCGATTGCCAACCGTTTCAAGAGCTCGGTCCATTCACCTTCCGTGGCGATCGTAGGCAGTGCATGGAAGGTCTTCTCAAAGACGTCACAGAAGTACAGCAAGCGGAGGATGTCCTCCAAGCTTCTCGGTGATCCTGCAAACTGAACGAACAGCCTGAGTTGATCCAGACACTGTTCTGCGTTGGCGTAAGATGGTGCAGAGCAACGCAGGAGATACTGAAGACGCTCAATATCCGTCGTTGGAACTCTATCATTGCCATCGGCAGAACTTAAAGCATGCTTGACCCTCTCCCATTCAAATGTATCCCATTTTGACCTCCACGCTTTGTATGTTGCTGTTCTGCTCCGGTGTCCCCGCCAGACTCGCTGGATGACGCGGGATGCCGACTGTCGGTCTCTCTCCTGCTGTCTCAGGAGTCGTTCGCGCTGGGCGATTGCGACTGCAGTCTCTGGGTTTGCAGCATGAGGGGTAGATCGAGTAGGGGAGTTTCCGGGGAATGCAGCAAAGGGATTATTGGCACGGCCACTGAGATTCACCTGTCGCGGGCGACGAGAGCTGCCGGTGAATGATTGGAACATGATGCAGCTGGAGCTGCCCTGAGCTGAAAAAGAAGACTCGCTTTAGATGCAAACGAAGCAGCCCGCATCACGGGTTGAAAAGATGAAGAACTATGACATACGCCGATATGGAGGCTTATCGTTCTTATACGCACGGGCCACAGCTATCCTCAGGCTTGTTCTCAGGCATCGGCCTTATTGCCACGCTCTTCGCGGTCGTTGTGGATATTACAAGGCTTATATTTTGGATAATGCAGTTCTGGGCTTCCAGAAACAAATGTGCTATAACATAGGATCTTCTTTCCTAGCCAGACTCCGCCGGAGCTGGGCGGATGATCGTACATGGCCATCGGTGCCTCTAAAAAAAGAAGTGCACCGTCCAATTCCAAATGAGGTTGTGAAGACTATAATACATGGGATATATATTCAATCGGCTAGCGGGAAAATGCTTAGGGTAAGCATTTCATGCTGCACAGGGGGATAATTGCAGATGGTGTGCTGAGCTAGACACAGATGTTAGCAGGCATTCTTATGCGCTGGATTGGCAGCATGCTAACGTTTAGCTGGGGCTCACAGACCCACAATAGGGCCATCATTGATCAGAGGTTTCTTCGGTCGACTTCTTGGACTTCTTGGACTTCTTCGACTTCTGCGGGAATCGTTGGAGGTAGAAGGCCTCACGGGTGTCGGCCCACATGTTCAGGTAATCGGTGCCTTCGAATCCTCGGATCACGGTGACTGTCTTGCCATTTCTTTCAAGGTCTTGCACGTAATTTGAAGGCGTGGGTCGCATGTGTTTTGTGACGAAGGGAGTGAGCTTCAGTCATGTTAGCAGGGCCGAAGACATGCGGAATAGCAATGACCACTCACCAGGAAAGGTTCCTTGGTGCTTGCACCCTCGGGGAGTCCAGGCAAATCAAGCTTGGCCGCAGGGATATAATTGCGGTGCTTTTCCACCTGGGACCTGTACTGGCCCTTCTTGTCGAAGGAACCCATGGAGCCGGTCCGGTTTCCCTTGTAGTAGCCACCATTGACCTGCTTGGTGGTCAAGCGCAAGCGCATGAGCATTGGCTCCGTAGGCTTAAACATGATGCCGGTTCGAGGGTGGGCAGTTGATGGAGTTGAAGTTGTTGCGGGAGACAAAAGTCGGCGAATGATCGGGTCGCGCTAATCTCCGCGCCGAGAACTTTTTTCTGCCAGGAAAAAAAGTTCAACGCATCTACACCCCTCTTGAAAGCAGCCGTTGGATAATTTAGGATTTCGACCAGTACTAATCTGAGGCTTCTATTCTATTCTGTTTTCATTTCGCCATGCCTCGCAGCTCAGCTCAGCTGCCTGGTCCCAAAGACCGCACTGGTCAAAAACCAGCGCAGAAGCGGAAGAACGGCCGGGCCCTCAATGCGCTGTCTATTGCAGAGAAGCAAATTCCGACTAAGTTGGGTGTCCGACGCAGTCGATTAGGAGCCTACGACGATGGTTCCTTCACCCGCAAGCGAAACAACGGGGACGACGATGAAGAAGACGACGCGGCCCAGCATTACAAGCGCCGCAGAACCGAAGACACTGGAAGCCTTGACGGTGGCAGCGATAGTGAAGGACACGAATGGACACTCGGACAAGTGAACAGTGACGACGACAGTGAACTGGACAGCGACGAAGCTCTGGGCGAAAGTGATGAAGAACGATTTGAGGGCTTCACTTTCCGCGCATCCAAGTCTACGTCCAAGCCAAAGAAATCCGAACCCAAGGCGAAGAAACCTAGTGAAATCAACTTGGACGAAGATGAAGAAGAGTCTGAGGACGAATCTGAGGGTGAATACGACGAAGATGAAGACGATGATCTGGGAGAGGATGCTGTTGACCTCGCAACTGCCTGGGATATGAACACTGCTGCCGAAGAAGAAGACGCTAAGGAAGCATCAAGAAAGGCCAAGCGGGCTGCCAGAGACGACAGTGATGAGGATTCGGGGTCAGAGGGGGACAGTGAAAGCGAAGAGAGTGACGATGACCTTTCGATTTCCGACGATGGTGCAGACAAGCACGGTCTATCAAAACTACAAGACTTCGTCCAGGCTATGGAGACTGGCAAGCCCACGAAACGTACCCAAAAGTCACAGGAGCAAGGCAAGCCCTCGGAGTACGGGCTGACATCCTCTAACAAATTGACTGTCGCCGATCTACTCCCTTCGATTACGGATTCTCGCCTCAAAAATTCCCTCAAGCATATCGACTCTGTCCCACAGACTTCCAAGACTGGCATTCCGGGCAAGCTAGATGCTCCTCTGGCCAAGCGCCAGCAGGATCGTCTGGATCGAGCTGCGGCCTACGAAAAGAGCAAGGAAACTCTCAACCGATGGCTCGACACTGTCAAAGCTAACCGCAGGGCCGAGCACCTCTCATTCCCTCTGGCTGATCCAGACGCTGAGCAAAACCATAAGAAGATGGATATTATCAAGCCACAAAATGGCTTGGAAAGCGCTATCCAGAACATTCTTGTGGAAAGCGGTCTTGCTGAGGCGGAGGGCCAGTCGGCCGAGGACCAGATCCAGAAGATGGAAGAATTGCAAGCTCGCAACATTCCAATCGAGGAGATCCAAGCTCGACGCACTGAGCTCCGCAAGCGACGTGACTTGATGTTTCGAGAGGAAGTGCGTTCTAAGCGCATTAAGAAGATTAAGAGCAAGTCTTACCGCCGTGTTCACCGCAAGGAGCGCGAGAAGCAGGAGCAGCAAGAGCGCCAGGCCCTTATGGAAGCTGGCGTGGATCCAGACGAGATGGATCAGGAGAAGAGTGAGCGCATGAGAGCCGAAGCTCGCATGGGGTCCAAGCATCGCGAAAGCAAATGGTCCAAGGGTCTGAAACAGAGCGGTCGTACCGCCTGGGATGAGGAGGCACGCAACAGTGCAGCCGACTTGGCTCAAAGAGAGGAGGAGCTGCGGAAGAGAATCGAAGGCAAGCGTGTCTCTACTGGGGAAGACGATTACCTGGAATCCAGTTCCGAATCTGAAGAAGAGGACCCTTGGGCCGAAGATGCTTCCGATGTGGAAAGGCAGAAAATCCAGAAGAAGCTCAAGGCCCTCAACGGTGATGATGTCGATGAGGACGCCCCGAAGGGACCTCATGCTGATCTCTTTGCTATGAAATTCATGCAAAAAGCCGATGCCGCCCGCAAGGAACAGAACGATGCCGAGATCCGCAAACTCCAGCGTGAGCTTCACGGACAGGAATCTGAGTCTGAAGCAGAGTCAGAGGTCGGTCGACGAAAGTTCGGCAAGACATCGAAGCCTGAGCAGAAGCCTCGCAAACCATTGCTCAAGAATGAGTTTGAAGAAGCCCTCGACTCCGATGATGAAGATGCACAGGCAGCCGGAGCAGGATCGGACGACGATGTTAACATTGTTGTCGATGCTCCTGCCAAGCAAAAATCAACATCCACCAACAAGAACGTCGCAAAGCCTTCGCACAACTCTTTCCAGCGGGAAGGGTCCCCTGCCGAAGAGGAGAACCCTTGGCTGGTTCAGACTGAGCGTACCAACCGTCGTCGTACTGGCCCAGATGCCCAGGAGTCTATTGATATCTCGCTCGATGTTGCTCCTCAGACCGCCCCAGCCAAGCAACAAAAGAAGCAGAACAACGCCAAGCCAGCTCCCGCAAAGCAACTCCAGACCGAGAATGACAGCGATGATGAGGAGAACGTGCCTGTTCTTCTCAAGAACCACGACCTGGTAAAGAGAGCCTTCGCCGGCGATGAAGTCGTCCACGATTTCGAACAAGATAAGATGAACACCATCGAAGATGAAGGCGACAAGGTTGTAGACAACACACTCGAAGGTTGGGGTAGCTGGGCCGGTGACGGTGTCAGCAAGAAGCAGCAGAAGAGACAGAAGCGCGACCTGACCACTGTGCAGGGTGTGAAGCCCCAGCAGCGCAAGGATGCCAAGCTCGATCGGGTGATCATCAACCAGAAGCGTGTGAAGAAGGCAAGTCATATTCTTTCTATTCCGCCACAAGTGACAGTCCACTAACAAGTTTTATAGAACGTGAAGTACATGGCCAGCCAATTGCCGCATGAGTTCGAGACCAAGCAGCAGTATGAGCGGTCTCTACGCATGCCTCTGGGTCCTGAGTGGTCCACCAAGGAGTCTTTCCAGAGTGGTACCAAGCCTCGTGTCATGGTCAAGCAGGGTATTATCAAGCCCATGCAGAAGCCCATGTTCTAAATGTATTTACGGGGTGTTGGGAATGTATGTTCAGTTGTATATCCAGCGTCACGAACTGAAGTGACTCATTATCGCGACCTCAAGAAGTCCAAGTCAAAAAGCGTCTACATTGTTCACGTTGTCACAACTGTAGTTCGTATTGAGTAGTATATCACTTGGTCTGTAGTGTGACCATGCGACGGCGTCATTTTACAATTCCCCAGCCTTTCCACATGGAATCAATGTCGTCAGCCCGCAGAATTGTAATTATTTATAGCCTCAAGTTGCTAAGACCCGTGAGTGACAGCCTCGACTGGGCTTGGAATGTTGGGTGCTGGGTGAACGAACAGCCAGCTGATCAGTGCATGCGCGATGAAAGGCAAAGATCTATGATAACGTCTCTCAGAGTCATATTCTCGTGATTAGGGTAGATTAGAATTTAGTATAGAGAATATTGAAGATGTGAATATTCAACGTGTTGCGTGTTTACTACTTTTCTACTCCACGCGGGTGGTCCCGTGGCAGATTGTTGCCTGGACTTAACTTGACGTCTTCACTACAGTTCAACCTCAATTAACATCACATCTCCAATGTAAGTCTAATAATTTTATTGGCCCTATGGTTGCCGTGTTTACGCCGCATTCCTGTTGGTGGGGATGTGATACCCGCATGTTTTGCTGTCCCTACATTGCTGAGCACACAGTGCCCAAAGCCCCGGACCATTCTCCCACTGTATCGAGGCGTTCGCACTGCTAACCCGCATGATGATCGACAGCTGCGGATTCTTTCTGTCATTCACAACAAATCAGCCCGTGTCTTTTCCCAATTTGGACAGCTGAGCTCCGAGGGGTCAGTGCCATCTCCTGGAATCCATACATACTTGTAAGTCTGCCCTCGCCCAGGAACCTTTTGCCCTTTGTCGGTCCCTTGTCGCTCTTTACACGTCCTAGAAGTTGCCCTGTTCCAATGGTTCATATCCAATTGGAATGAATTGAGGACTAGCAAGAACTCTCTATATACAATCTCGACCTCTTTCAGTCTTTTATTTGTATACGGACTACTATCATGATGGAATCGGGCTCTAGATGGAAGGCAACAGCCTTGCTAACTTGGCTTTTAGCCGCGGAACCAGTCAATTGTCTGCCGCGTGTCGGAACTGCAGTGGAGGGTATACTGCTGGGAACTGCGACAGAGCCTGAGACGGCTTATAGAACCCAATATCCACCTGCAAACGAGGAGGATAGGTTTTTTATTCCGGAGTCACACCCTGTACGTTGTAAAAAGGTCTTGAAATAATATGGCATGGTGTTGACTATAATTCAGGAATATCGCGTGGCTTTGGAGACAGACGGCCGTCCACCACAGCCTCCATTCCCCCAGTTTCAACTCGAAAAGTTTGTTCACGGGTTGAACGACTTGCTAGGTGTACCAGAACCTGCTACGACTTTGGTACCAACAGCTGCAGCAGAACCTGCTTCTGTCCCAACGGCCACTTCGCAGAAGCAGTCTCAAGCTCTGGCACTCCCTGTTCCAACTGTTGAAACTACTACAGAGGTACCAAAAGCTGAACAAGCTGCGACTTCGGTAGCACGTATGTTTGAATAGAATATTGCTTGGATTTAGCATACTTACTTCTACAGAAACCGTTCCAACAAATCCTGTTCCCACAATCTCTCCTCCAACTGAACCGGATCATCCTAAAAGTATGAATGGTCAGGATATTTTCGGGCCTGTTGCGACAGGAGCTGTTCCTGCCAATATCAAGTCTAGACATGATCACCCTGTGCAGAACAAGCATGTAAGCTCACTACTATTTGAGTTACTACGTGAATTCAATACTAATATCATGCAATAGGCCAACACCACTGGTCCAATTGAGACCAACAAGTTCTATGCCGGGCTCTTCCTGGGTACTCAGACCAATGCTTCTTTCACGCAACCCTACTCCCTGGCATGGTCCAAGGGCAGTGGCTCCTTAAAGAGCTGGGGTATGGGAATTTCTCATGTCCAGCCCCACATGCTTGCCTACGGTCCTAAGAACGATAAGATTCCTGGAGAGCCTGTGTCATACTACATCAATCCAGTTGGACTTCAACACCTGATTCTCTCGGCAACCGAGCTCGATGAGTCCAGTGTCTTGGACACCGAGGATCCTAAGGCTTTCTCCGCTCATGCTGTCCTGAAACGCTCTGGAGGCTCAGCCCAACAGATTACTTTCCCCATTGTGCAGGGCATGGGCTACACCACTGCCATCTACAATGACCTGCAGCCTCTGATCGAGAGTGGTGTTTTCTTCCGCAAGGTTGTTAGCGCTGGTTCGCCACGCCAGGGTATCTTCAAGTACAATATTGATCTTGAAGATGACACTACATGGCTCATGTATGCCACTCCTACCGATGACAAAGACCCCAAGTTCGAGCTGGTCTCGAAGTCCAACCTTCGTGGTCCCCACGGATTTTCTGGTACCATCCAGCTAGCCAAGAACCCGGCTGGTAAGTCTGGCGAGAAGTTCTACGACAACTCTGCTGGTGTGTACCCTGTTTCCGGAGAGGTTTCTGGCTCTGTCAGTGCCGATGTAGGTAGCTACAGCCTGTCCTGGACCAAGGCCGGAAAGGATGTCGAGGGAACTCCTCTGCTCATGTTCGCTCTGCCCCATCACGTCCACTCCTTCGATAACGCTACTCAGGGCCGTGCCACGAATATCCACCTCCGCAGCACGACAAAAGGCAACACTACCGCTGTTATCGGAGAAAGCTGGACTATGACCGAGCCGAACCTCCCTATTGATATGAGCTTCGCCCCTTGGACAACCACCCATGGTAGTGTGCACAACCTCTCAGACACCGCCCAACGCGCCATTCTCAAGGCCGCTCCCCACGAACTGAAGCAGAACATCTCCGAGCAAACGGACCTCAACAGCATGTACTATAGCGGCAAAGCACTGAGCAAGTTTGCAACTCTGGTTTACACCGTCAACCAGCTCGGCAACAACGTCGACCTAGCCGCAGACGCCTTTCAAGAAGTAAAGAAAGCCTTCGCCCGCTTTGTAGACAACAAGCAGCAATACCCACTCGCCTACGACACCGTCTGGAAGGGGGTCGTGTCAACAGCCGGGTACGACGGTGACCTGAACCAAGATTTCGGAAACACAGCATACAATGACCACCACTTCCACTACGGCTATTTCATCCAAGCAGCCGCCATCATCGGTGCTCTTGACCCCAACTGGCTGGCAGAGAACAAGGAATGGGTCAACATGCTCGTCCGTGATGCCAGTAATTCGGTCGACAACGACCCTCACTTCCCATTCTCGCGTTCATTCGATTGGTACAATGGTCACTCATGGGCTAAGGGTCTCTTCGAATCTTACGATGGGAAGGATCAGGAATCTACCTCTGAGGATACCATGTTCGCGTATGCTATCAAGATGTGGGGACAGACTACAGGTGACGCAAGTATGGAAGCGCGTGGTAACATGATGCTGGGCATTTTGGGTCGCTCGCTTAACAACTATTTCCTCATGGAAGATGATAATGTGAACCAGCCAGCGAACTTTGTCAAGAACAAGGTTACTGGAATTGTGAGTATCCTCCAATGCACATCATCCCTCATGTCTGTTACCAGTTTGGGTTTGATACTGACACCCCGTCCAGCTATTCGAGAACAAAGTTGACCACACCACCTATTTCGGAGCAAACCTGGAATTCATCCAAGGGTATGCCCGTCCCTCTCTCAGTCCTCTAACTCCGACACCACCCGCTAACCAAATAAACCCATATAGTATCCACATGCTCCCATTGATGCCACACACCCCCTTCACTCGCCGCAAGGAGTTCGTTCGCCAAGAATGGAACGCTATGTTCTCAGCAAACGCCTCCACACCCGCCGATAAGGTCGAGGGCGGATGGAAGGGCGTCCTATACGCCAACCTGGCGCTTGTCGATCCCAAGGCCTCCTGGGAATTCTTTACCCAGCCGGAGTTCGACTACAGTTGGATCGATGGTGGTGCCACGCGTACTTGGTATTTGGCCTTCGCTGCTGGTAAGTTGTTCTTGTTTTGGATTGATTGGGTTGTTTTCGGACCGCTGACTCTTTTTTCCCCCGTTAGGTCTTGGTGGTGCGCCTTGAATGAGTCTTTTAATATTAGATTTTGGTTGTAAGGAATGGAGTTGGGGGAGCTTGTTCCTTTTTTGCTTTCCTTTATTTACTCTTTTCTTGGTTGGATTTAGCTTTTTATGGTCTAATGTTTCAAAATCTTTTTTTTTTTTTTTTTTTTTTTTTTTTGATGAGTTTTCTGGGTGGCTATATTCTGTGCTGCTGTGCGTTTATGCTAGAGTGGACCATTTGTTCAGACATGACTTGCCGGTCTTTTTATAATCTTATCAGCTGGTTTCGTGTCGTAGAAAAATTCGATATTGGTTGGTTGATAATATATCCTGCGGCATGGTTGGCCGTAATATTCTGCACAACCGTATATTTCTAGAAGTAAGACCATGTTACGGTTACGTCTGTGATCGATTACAGGACCTTTACTCTCATATTTGTCAAAATAATTCAATATAAACCTACTGATCTCCCGTGTAAGATTGGCAAGGTAAATATAAAATCCGACAATGCCCTCCCCGGCTCCAATACCCAACAAGAACAATATAAAACCAAGAAAAACAAACCAACTATCCCCTCCCCTCCTTAAGTGGAAGTTCCAAATCAACAACCCAAGGCGCATTTCTCGGCACATAATTAACGGTAACAACACTAGCATTAACAAAAAGCGTCTCCTCCCCAACCTTCAGCGGTCGTTCCGCCCCATTACTAACATCACAGAACGCGCCCCTAAACTCCAACATATCCTCAGCATCCACAGGCACATCTTCAAGCTTCACATTCCCAACCTCAGGCCCATCTTCATCCCAAATCCCCCGCTGCGCACCCCACCCTTCATGGATATGCCCAAAGACATGCAACCGCGGTCTAGCCCGCCAAGCCGCCTTCTTGAGATGCTTACAGCCAACATTCAAATCAGGCGGGACGGCATCGAGGATATCCTTCGGCGGGCCGTGTGTGAGGAGGATATCAATAGCCGGGAAATCAGGAATTGGATTCTTTGGTGGCGGACTTGATGATCCAGATGAGGGAAGATTGAATCGGTCTTCTGTGAGGGGGTATCCGAAGGCCCAGTTGTAGAATTCGGGTTGGTATGGTGATGCGTAGGCAGTGAACGTTGCTCCGGTTGATAATGTAAATGAGTGCACGCCCTCTTCGAGGTAGATGATACCTGCACACCGTGCTGCTTCGCCGGTCCAGAGATCTTTGATCGAGCGTGCGTAGGCTGCTAGCTCGGTCTTGTCTGGTGGATTGGATGATGTACGTAGGGGTCTTTGGATAGTTTCATCATCTGTCAGGAAGGTCGTGCTGTCGCCCAGTGCTTCGGGGTGTTTGTGGCGCTTGTAGCCGTAGCTTGTGAAGTACTCTTCGTCCAAGGTTATGTCGTGGTTGCCTGCGATTACGAGTTTCAGTTCTGCATCTGCTTGTTGCAGCATTTGGAGCATTGCCTCATTCTCCTGGCGGTACCCCACTTTTGTGAGGTCGCCGGCATGGAGGAGGATGTTGGCGCTGGGGAGTGGGTGGCGATAGGCATTGTTTGTTCGCTGTGGTGGATTTGGGGGTAGGGTATGTGTATCTGAGATCAGACAGATGCGAGTTTTGATTGACATGGTGAGAGATGGAGTTGGTGGTTGGTAGTTGGAGAGGGTAGGAGGGGAGTGACGGGAGTCGGTAGGAAGTGGTGGAAACATTTACACAGTACAATGGACGTTACGGGTAACAAATGAACTAGGAATAATTCCCATAGATTGACGGCTCAGAGCTCTACAGACAATTTGCATCTCATGGATGCCCAATTCATGACATAGCTGAAACTCCGATAACCACCCGTTGCAACAACACACACGCGGCCCTCGCCGAATGAGCTTTCCCGAATATTTTATTTTTTCGTTTACTTGCGGATAGCCTTCTGGTAGAAAGCAAGCTCCTCACCCTCCAGAATGTAACCGTCGACACGGCCAGACTGGCCGGGGCGAGAGGCAACAACGGCGAACAGACGACCGGACTCGAACTGGCGCTCAATGGCGGACTCAGCCTTGCCGGACTCGGCGAAGCGGGCAGCCTGCTTCTTGGCGACGGAGGAGGACTTCTTCTCCTCGGTGACCTCGGCGGTCTTCTGCTGGCGTCTACGACCGATGGGCTGGCCGTAGTGGGCCTCGAACCACTGACGGAAGGGGGCAGCGTCGATCTGGACAACGGCGGACTTGGTCAGGGTGTTTGTGCGGACCAGCTCGTTGTTGGAGGGGTGGAAGGACACTCCAATGACACGGGTCTTGCGGGAGATACCCTCGGAGCCCCACGAGAAGTTACCGGAGTCCAGACGGAGGGCACGGAACTTCTGGTTGCCACCACGGGTGCGGACAAGGTGAATGCGCTTGGAGCCAATACGGGTGTTAGCGGGCTGGCGGCCCTTCTCGAACGCTCTGTAGAACGACTGGTAAGAACTTGCTCCGATAGATGTGGTCCACTTGCTCGACGGGAAAACTTCAATCTCAATCTGGGGGTGTAGAATCGTACCTCTTCTTGCGGTAGGAGGCGCGCTTAGCACCAGTGGCGCTGCGCTTGTGGCGAGAATCCCGAGAAATACCCATGTTTGCGGTTGATGGAGGGGTCTAAGCCGAGAGGGAGTGGTTAGATATTGTTGATTGAAAGTCCGGAAGTTTTTTTTTCCAATCCTTCTGTTTCGTCTCAAGCGCCGCACAAATCAATTTTTTGAATATCGAAATAGCCAGGCGACAGGTTGTATGATGGTCGAGAGTAGCAAGGAGGCGAGACACAGTGTAAGTTGACGATTGGCGGTTGATATTGAATTTTGAATATTGATCAAGAGTCGAAATTGGCGGCGCGAGCGAAACAGAGATTTTGAAGGCCAGGAAGGAAGACGTCGATAACTCACCTCTGAATATGCAGCCCTTCACCGGAAACGCGGATAAGTTGTCGTTGGGTTGTCGTGGGAGTTTGAGGTCGTGGAGTCGCTGAATTTCGCAGGGCGCACTGTGTCGCTCGCTTGTGTAGTGCCCTAACCGACACTAGGCTGTGTTCGGATTAGCGTACCCAGTCACTGACCCGGTCAGCTGATTGCTGAGTCAGGTCACGTGTATAATGCTCATACTGAGCGCGTTTACAACATTAACCCAATCACATGAACTAAAATGGCATCCCATGATTATGCAGGCTGTTGCTTCATTACATTATATTCAATTCACATACGGATCATCCAATTGACCTACTAAATCAGAAATATCAAAATACCATTACTCACTCTTGCCCCTCTTCGCCCTCTCCTTCTTAACGATACTCCCAATCCGCTGGAAACACCCAAAGCCCTCCACAAAGCACGACGAAACCCAAGCAAACCACAACCCCGAGAAAACAGGCACACCGAGCGGCTTCAGGCGCAAGACCGCCAACAACACCGATTCAAAAATATGAATGGCCACAACCGCAGGAAACAGGTACGGCTGGATATTGTAGACGAAATGCGCAAAGTTAGGCACGTACTTGTATCCCAAGTACTCGTAGACCACGGAGCCAGGAAGCAAGTTGGTGCGCTGGAAACAGCTGGCGTAGGTGAACAGACACAGTCCAAAGATCACAGCTTGGAAGCCGCGCGGGCCTCGGTATTCGGTGAGGGTTACGTCGCTGCGACCAAGGCGTTTGAGGCTCTCTTTGTGCATAGCGACCATGCAGCCGCGGGCATCGGAGTAGGATTTCATTGCTGGCTCGATTGGGACATGATAGCGCGTGCCTTTGGCTGTGATTGTTAGGCCTGTGAGGCTGATGTCTTCCAGGTGGGCGGTTTTGGCTTCGCTGGCGGAGATGCTGTTGTAGGCTTGTAGGAATAGGGCGAGGGAGTCTTGGTGGTCGGCATTCATATGCTTGATGATAAAGTCTTTGGACGACATTGTATATAGGTGAGAATGAGTATCAATTCGAGAGGTGTAGAGATTGAAGCTCGGACTGAGTTGAGGGTCAGGAGAATATGGATCCGTGCCAAGACCGGGGCCTCGGCTTGTTTCCATGTGTATAAATATAACGTCGACGTACACCGTGCTTATACTTGAGTATACTTGACTACTGTTACTGTGCCTTGACTTGATTTGACTGTACTCCAGTACTCCATTGGGATATACATAAGTGGTACACGCTATGGTGCTCCAAAAACAAACATCCGGCAATATTAAAGATAGCTCTATGGACATCAAACATTGAAATCACTCGTGACGACGTCGAATCTTGGAAACAGAAATGCGATCGGGAATAGAACGGGGAATCACGCCCTGTTGTCGACAAAACGAGATCAACTCCTAATTCGGCCTTTGAGCAGACATCCTCGGTAGGGGGGTAGGGATTAGGGGGGATCTGGTACATCAACTTACATGAGAGCCAGGGTGAGGTCACCGTGAATACGTGCCTTGAGTTCAACCTCGATTTCCAAGTTCAATTCCAGTCGCAGCTTCATGCCCTCCTCGTCCAGCATCGACTTCTCCTCCTTGTGGAGGACGTCCATGCCGCCGTTGGGTTTGAAATTCGAGTCGTTGTTGGAGTAGGGTTGCATGGCGGCATCATCATCGTCTGAGTATTCATCGTCATATTCATCCGAGTATTCGTCTTCGTCTGTGTACTCGTCGTCGTCTTGTTGTTGCAGGGGCTTCCGGCGCTGCACCTGCTTGTTCTTTTTGGTCTGAGGGATCTCCTCTTCGTACTCTTCATCGGTATAGTCGTCGGCACTGTCGTAGTCTTCGCCATCGGAAAGGTCTTCCTGCACGGGGAGCTTTTTGGACTGCTCTTTGGTCTTCTCGGCGGTGGCCATAGTGGATGAGGTGTATTATAGATGGGGAGTATAGACGAGAGAAGAGATTCGAGAACAGAGAGAACAGAGAGAATGGGTATAGATAGAAATGGAAGAGAAACTGAACATAAAAACTAAAAAAAGAAGAGAGGGAAGTAGTATGATATTCATTCAGTATTGGATCGGATATCAAGTCTACGCAGATGACGTTGGGGGCTTCCCGCTTCCTTTCCTACCACCAACTGTCAACAGACCACCCGCGTCATAGTGTCAGACAAGACTCTGCGGAGGACAGGACGTGTCAGTAATGGAGACGACATGCCACGACCGTGGAAACACCGACAGGCCTGAACCAGTCAAGTTGAAACCCGGGAAACCAGGAACCGGGCAATATATTTCCCCTCCTCCTGTGGCTGGAAGATTGCTAAAGTGGCATTAGCTTATACATTACAAGGCTCTTCATACAGGCACAATCCGTCCTGACGTCGACTGGCGTCATACTTAACGGCTCGCTACGTCTACTTAATCTATTTATGTGGAGAGCGTCAGTGCAACAAATTCACCGATATGTTGTGTGATTGGTGCGTGGCCGCGAATAGCGGAGATATCTATTTTTTCCTATGCCGATCCACGTCTCTGGTCCAAGCACATGGCCAGGGTTTGCTTGTCTGTTCTACCAACTCGGCCGGGGTTGTCCGTTGCTCCATACGAAGGCGTTTCAGGTCCCTCATCCTGGCCTACACACGTCATACCGACCCTTTCTTCACGCTGTACACGAGGGCTGGTCTGGTCCCCCAGCCGTCATTTGCGCCAGCCCCATCGGGACCAAGGATGTTAGTATACGGCCACCATTACGACAGGCCAGCCCTGGCGTCTGGTACGAGCCACAGTCGCATCCCGTCTGACGTCGGAGGCGGCTCACAGGTATTGCGACGACCGGTTTTGACCAGCTCCATTGGCTTTTCTAATGGTATAAACGGTTAGAGAAGATGTTCATTTCATATACCAATACGCACAATTACATCGTAGTTCCTGTTGCCCACCTCTCGTGACGCTGTGTCCCATATCTCGTGCTCGAATCAGTTCATATTCCCCTCATCCCCCCTCTTAACTACTTCTCTTCTCTCTTTCTTCTCTTTTCATCATGGCCGATCAGGATCAACCTTCTACTCCAAACCCTGATTCCAACACTACAACCCCCAACAAGCCTAAGCGTGCCCCTCCCAAACTGGGCAAGAAGTCCCCAGCCAAGCAAGAACAAACCCCTCCCCCGTCCGAACAAGGCCAAGCCGAGGACAAGAGTGAAGACTCCGAAAAGAAAGAAGAAAACAACGAAGCGAACAACGAGGAAAACAACGAGCCTGAGCCCGTGAAACAACAAGAGCCAGACTCGGATCAAGAAGAAGACACCCAAGAGCCAGAACCTCAGCCCGAACCTGAACCAGAGCCCAAGCCTGAACGTCGTCGTCGCCCCCGTCGCCCCCAACAACCAGAAATGGAACAACCCCAGCAACAAGAACGTCGCCGCGTGCGTCGCCAGCGCCAGCCCAAGCAGCAGCAGCAGCAGCAAGGACAAGACGGCGGTCCACTCGGTGGTCTCGGCGGTGTCGACCAAGCCGGCCAGCTCGTCCAGAACACAGCCGGCAATGCCCTGAACAGCGCGACAGGTAGTGCAGGCAAGGCCGTTGGCGGCATTCTCGGCGGAGGCGAGAAGAAGGAAGAAGAGGACGGTGGTCGCGACGAGCAGCTTCGTCTGCGGTTGGACCTCAATCTGGATATTGAGGTCCAGCTTAAGGCGAAGATCCATGGTGATTTGACAATTGGTTTGCTGTCAGTATTCCCTTTTTCCTATTCATTCTCCTCTTTCCTATATTTGTCTCGACACTGTGTCGTCGCATTTCCTAACCCCAGTCCATTCTGGCTATTAATCTCTTCTCTACTCTTACTTCTGACTCGATATCTCTGTTGGTGCATTTCACTGACTGACGATGTAGTAATTAAACTTTCATCTTCTACAGCAAATAGAAGATGTTATACCTCACGTTTACCTCGACGTCTACATACTTATCCTATCTCCACGCGATGAACATGAACACCATCCCCGGTGTTGTGTGTGTCTGAAATGACTTGTTTATGGGTTAACGTTACGGTGATGCAAGATGCATAGTCTTTATCCGTGTTCCATGTCTGTTTGTGATATCTGTGTTTCTCCGGCCTATTTTGTTTCTCCTTTGCTAGGCTTATTTTCATATTACCTTTTTCCTTTTTTTCCCCCTTTTTTGGTGCCTTGTTGCTTTATGTTGCGACTGGGATGTTCATTTCCCTAGATCTGGTCTGACTTGGAGTCTTGTCGTTGTACAGTATCTTTGGCCTATAAGTATCGGGTCTGGTGAAATGGATTAATTTGTGGTTTCAGTACATGGATTATTTGGTAGTCGAACAGGTAGACATGTAGAGATGCAAGACGAGGGTATATGAAATACAATGTCTGTCTAGACTTGCTTGGATGTATTGACCTTGTGTGTCCACCTCGTATACATCTATCTACCCACCTCGACAGTATATCGAAAGGGAAAAAAAGGATAAATACAAAAACAAACACATAAACAAAGTCGGACAAGTGCAACAATCTCCATACAGCCATGCATGCATGTATTCGAATTTAGTGCTTACCTCTACTAAATCTCCGGAGAAAGGTAAGGTGTATGCACCCACATTTACACCTACAGCCACACCCACCCACCTACGCACCCAAATTATCCATCCATCCCATTATCCGTACTCTATTATCACATGAAACAAGCCAAAAAAAGCCATAAATTTATTATCCCATGAAAAATAAGGGTATGGTATGAGATATGTATTACGTCTACAAACTATCAAATCTATCTATCGTCATCTGTGCAACAAGTACAAAGCCAAAGCCAAATCTCCGAATACGAGATGGTTTCGAGCAAGAGAGAGAGAGAGAAAGAGGTGGTGAGGTATATGTCAAGGTAGGGGTCAAGAAAGAAAAGGGAGAAAAATGAACGCTCATGAATAGAAGTGAAAAAACGAGACGAATCAATAAAAAGGCCCCAAAGACAAGGTCAAGATTTGACCGGTGGGTGGATATTTTTCTTTTCTTTGTTTATCCATGTTGGTTTAGGTCTTCCGCATCGAGAGGGATAGTCACACGCGTACTCTCACTCTCGCTCATGCGGATATAAAATTGGGAAGAGATGCTTCTTTACAATCCTGCCACATACATCAATCCATAGCCGAGCGTGACAATGACCACGAAACACATGAGACTTGCTGGGATACCGCGGGTGAGGAAGTGACGGACTTGGAGGTAACGCTGGCCTGTTTGGGGGACTTCGGTCATGATGGCAGCTGAGAAGAGGGTATTAGGTTAGTCAACTGTTCATATAGTTCATACAGTGACAGGGGAGCGGAAAGGGGAGCATACTCATGTTGGGGAAACCACTTGTTGGCAAGGCCATGGCGACGGAACACATCAACGCGCTGGCCATGACCAACAGGTTTGGGTGGGGGTTCTCCATATTGACGCCGATTTGACGGACGAGAGGGAGAATGATCAGGGCGGCGACGGTGTGCGAGATGAAGGTTGCGATGACGAGGATCAGAGCGCAGAATACTAATAGCACGCTGTACAGACTGAGATGCTCGACGCGGGTGGTGATACCTCCGGCGATGGTGTTCAGCAAGCCTGAGGAGGTGACGGCCTTTCCCAGGCATAGTCCACCGGCGGCGAGGATGATGATCGTCCATAGGAAGTTGTTGAAGTCCTCTTTGTTTAAGATTCCGGTTCCGAAGAAGAGGACCAGAGGAATGATGGCGATGACACCCATGTCACCAAAGATATGTTCGAGCTGGTGGCTGGCGCACCACAAAGCGATGGTCAGGAGAGTCACAATGCTGATAAAGTACTGCATTCCGGTGAAACGGTCCTTGACAGGGCGGATGGGGATGACTGTTGCGTTGCGGCCGGGGTTGAAGGTTACCAGGAGCAAGCCCCAGATGAGCAGAATTGAGATGATGCAGACAGGGAGCGCGATGAAGAACCATGTTCCCCAGCTGATGTTGGGATACATGTTCTGCAAGGCAATGATGTTCTGCGGCGAGGCAATTGGGGATGCGGCACCACCGACGTTGGCAGCGAGCGCGATACCTAGCACGAGTGCCTTGGCGAAGTCCGACTCTGGGGGCATGTTGCGCAGCAGGGGCTGGATAATGGAGTAGCAGAGCACGGGCGAAGCAACGTTACTGATCCACATGCTCAGGAACATGCTCACGAACATGTTGGTCAGCAGGACAATGGATGGCTTCGATCCGGCTTTGCTCAGCACGAACATGGCCATGCGTCGCGCGATATCATACTTGGAGAGTGCTGCTGCGATTGTGAAACCACCAAGGAGAAGCATGATGACCGGCGTCCACATTGCGGAAAACACCATGCCAACCGACTCCTTCGGTCCCAAACGCTTATGGGGCTTGTCATCTGACCGCATAATACCAAGTGTAACGACCAGGAACGGAATCAAAAGTGAGGTGACAAACAATGGGATAGCCTCAGTAGCCCATAGAATACTGACGAGAACCAACATAGCCAGGCAGTTCTGCTGCTCCGGAGTCTCCATAATCTGCAGCGAGAGCATTGCACCAAAGACAGCAACACTCAAGACCAACGTTCCAAAGCTCAAACTACAGAACCACAACGGGAAGTGGAATCGACCCAGAGGAGTCTTGATCTCCTGGGTGCGAATCTCCTGCTTATCACCTTGTCGCCGAGCAGTAGCAGGATCCTCATCACCACCCAAAAGTGTCCGACGGATACCAACGTTGGCAGCCTGAGCACGACGTTCAATTTCGATCATCTCACGCCAGACGGTGTTCCTCTCCCAGACAACATGCTCTCGCAAGTGCAGACGCAGCTCGCGCCTAGCCAACTGCTGGTTGCCCTTGGTGACAATTTCGGCGTACACGCTCTCAACGCTATCGATATGGCTATCGACAGAAGCCATGGTACTCTCAACAAAAGGCGGTGCTATGTTGACAACAGAAGCCAGGTAATCACGGCGCAGATTGCGGTCGAGGGTCTTGTCGTACTTCTTCAAAGCCTTGGAGAAACCAGTCTTGTTCAGTTCGATAAAAGACCGAAGCTCACAGAGCGAGACATAGACCTCAATCAGACGCTTCTTCAACGAAATTCCGGCGTTATATAGAGCCAAGAAATCGTCATCGTTGAAATGCGACTCGAGGGGCTCGCGTGTACTCGACTGGCCGAAGTAGGTCGAGTCCGCCATATCGAGGTGCTGATCATCAGTGCCGGACTCAAGGTCGGTCGACTGAGCCATTCTCCGGCGTTGGGCAAGCGTCGCCGGCGACCGATCATCATCGCTATCACCCTCATCATCGGCCATCGAGTCATTGCTCACAGCACTGGATCTCCGGCGTGGCAGCGAAGCACTACCATTCCGACGGAAGTTGGCCTTGATGAGAGTCTCACTGACAGGATCCATGTTGAAACCATCCGCCTCAGAAAGATAGACATGAGCGTCTTTGATAATCTCATCCGCAAGCTCAAAGATCTCAACCTGCTTCTTCTGATAGAATGTGCAGATCTTATCCATCTCGGCATCAAGAGCCCGCTTAAAGATCCCATCGGGGTTACTCGTCTGAGCACCCAGCAGCGGCGCAGACTCAACATCGGTAGTAGACTGACCTTCAGTGCGGTTGACCTGCTTCTCGAGTGTGTATATTCTAGCCACAATGCAACATTAGCACACGAAAACAAAACAATTCTCCGAGGCAAGACAGAATGCATGCACCCCGGTACACTGTGCGATGTGAATGTGCAATGTGACACCGACAAATCTCCTCAGCCATGAGCATGGATCGCATCGTATCACACCTCACACGACACATGACACACTCGACCACCGATCTCCAATCCCCGCGCAAAAAGAAAGCATCAACTTACAATTTTTTCAAATTGCTATACGCAATGTAATTCGAGCTCCAATCCGGCACAGCATTAAACTGCACACTATGTGAGAACTTCATCTTGGCGAGTGTTCCAGATACAGATCCAGTATCGGTATTGGAATGGGTATTCGTATCCTTCCGCGAAGAACGACGTCTAAGAGCCTCACTCCAAAATCTCAACCGAGTGAAGCGAAGACCACCGGAGCGACGCTGGCGCGGGCCTTCCTCAGAATAAGGACCAAAACTCTTCTCGTGCGCCTCGTCAAGCTCTAACCCAAGACCAGCTAGCGCAAGCGCCCTCGAGTCAACTACAGGAGCGACTGCAGGAGCGAGCGGCCTTGTATTGGCAGATGAAGAGTGCTGTGCTGTAGCAGTGGGCCCGAGTCCGAGTCCAGGTCCGGTTGCGGCAGTGGTGGTAGCAGCGAGTGCGTCTTGGGGGGGTAGATTATACTCGACAAGTTCGATGGAGTCGGGACGCGTGGGAGCCACTGTCGTGGAGGTGGGAGGCCGGAGGGTGATCGGCCTGGGTCATCCAATGAATGGGGCGGGTGCGCGTTTGAAGCGAGGGTTCGAAAAGTACGAAGTGGGCTTGGGTTTTTGGTTTGGGCGGGGGCTGTGGAGGGTCAAGAATTTCGGACTTGGTGACGGTTATGGTGATTGATAGTGGTCAGCTGGGTCTATGTGTGTTGCACGGCTATGGATCAGCCTGAGGATGGAATGACTCCGGATCACAAGATCAGCTCGCAATGTTCGATGACTTCAACCGTTGAGATGGGGATTGGCTGAGGTAAGCGGGTTTGGCCTATCAGGTGGGGCGATATGCAAAGCAGGGGGAAGTTTGGAGAAGATGTGATGTTCAGCTATAGATGTAAAGATATCGTTAAGCTGGTCTTATGCAGGGCGGGTAAGCCCATCTGCAATGCAGAGGGGGAAAGGCGCTATAGTGCTATATATAGGTGGCGTACACGTGAAAATCGACTAGGCTTGATTTTGATTTTGATAGCAAGGAATACCTTGATGAAGCCGATTTCATTTGACGGACTAATAAATGTACAGATGCTGTGCTTAGAACCCAAACCCCAAAGAACAAATACAGGCTATGGCCAGTTTAACGAGCGCGAACACCCAGGTTGGCACGACCAGAGATACCAATCTTGTGCTGCTGGTCTCTCTTGTCCCAGACAGAGCTACGGCCCTCAGCGACGGCAACCAGCTCGGCCGCAACGCGGTGCGCAAAGAGCGCATCCTTACGCTTGTCCGACTGGTCGAGGATCCACTTGATAGCGGTGCGACGACGCTGGCGCAGAGTCAGCGGGTGGGGGATCTGCACGGCAGTACCACCACCGGCGATACCCTTCTGCTGACGAATACGGAAAAGAGGAGCGACGGAGTCGACAATCAGGGTGAGGTAGAGGACGGGGTCGAGAGGGAGTTGGGAAGCGGGAGGGGCACCGAGGAGACGGCGGCGAGGGTTCACCTGGGGAGGAGAGGCGGTGCGGAGGTGGTCCAGAACAATGGACATGTTCTAGACAAGTCAGCTAACCGCCCCAGTCAATGGCCATAAGAAAAGAAGACGTACCTTTTGCGCCTTGGTCAGTTTCCCACTCTCCATCATCATCTTAGTGAACTGATCCTGCAATGTATCGTAGCGTTTCCGGAAGTTCAATGTGCGAATATTGCTAGGCAGAACGGGCTCGTCGAACTTCAAGCCAGGGTTCTCGGCAATAGCCTGCTCCTGCACCTGCTCAATCATGCTAGCAAGAGCAGCAGCAGCCTCGTCGCTAGCCTGCATGCCCTGTCCAGCACCGGGGACGGGGACGAACTCATTGTTCGGCTCGACGCCCTGCACATCCGGCATGCGGCTACGAGCGGAGGTCGAGAATGAGCGAGAGCCACCGGCCTTCTTAAGTTCGTCTTGCATAACCTTGGGCATGTGCTTCATGGCATTCTTATCGCGGCTGAGGATCTGTTGTACCAATACCAATACTGTTAACACGATTCCCTGCACAGCTAAGTCACCCGGCAGGGTTCTGGAATATTTCTCACCTCTTCAACAGGAGTCCCCTGGTCCAATTCGGGGGTAGAGGGAACACCATCGCACCGCTTCTCCTTATCCATAATGCGCGAGATCTCATTAGCCTCCTCACTAACATCGGGGAGCTGGTCCGAAGTTGGGAAAGTCTGTTCATCGGGCTGGGGCTCGACTTTTTTCGAGCCATCACGCGAAGAGCTCCATCGCTGCTGAAGGTGTACAGACTGGACAGCGCGGAATCGGGCTGGGCTGGCGATGCTCCGGGGGGAAGAGAGGGCGGGAGTAGTGGATTGGCGGAGGGCCGAGACGGCCTTGTTGGCTGTGAAGAGGTTGAGCCTGGGTGGCATTGTGGTGGATGTGAGGATTGGCTCGATTTAATTGTTGGCAATCGAGGTGAGTCGAGATCGAGCGCTGTTGGTGAAGTTTGCGGTCTCCGGCAAATTTCCGGTATGTGCTTAGTCATCGCCAAGACTGCCTTGTGAGGTCATGCATAAACTGTAGAAGTGTTGGAAACAGGATTGTTGGAGGGGTAGTGTGTGATGTGAGTAATTCGAGGCTGTCAAGCTTTGATATTGTTTGGCTCAATACTTGATCCTGTCTTTATGTATATAAAAAATTACATATGTTGAAAGTAAACCGGGGGTAGGAAACAATTATATATTAAACATCAACAACGACCTCAACCCATCTTTAATGCGTAGTTTTTAAAACTTGAAGCATCAAATATTCATTTTATACAGATAAAGAATACAAAACAGTAACTTAATAACATCTAATAAATCAAATGAGAGATCAGAAGCCAACACTTGTTGATCAACGTAGCTCATGTCCATGAGCTCGACAGATCAAGTCTAACATGGGAATTAGCATAGGGCTATACCCTGGACAAAACAATTGACATCGGATTGGACAATAAGTGCCAAAGAGGCACCTCAGCACCACAAGTCTATATATGCAAGGCAAATAATGATCCTTTCTGACCTCAGCGGGTCAAAACTAGAAAGATATAGACAAATGGAATTTTGATGATGATCGACAAGTACATACAGCAGAAGAACGCAAAGAAAACCAAATGTCAGTAGACAAGTCAATTGACAAAAATAAGCAAAAATCACAATCCCAAAGCCAAAAAAAGAAACCCAAAAGACAAGTATAGGACCAAGCCTACAGCTTAGGTAGCAACATTATCAGGGTAGACATAGAAAGCCAACGCAAGAATGATGTACATGCCAAGACACATACCACCCTCAAGATAATTGGACTTTCCATCCTGAATAAGAAGCGTAACAACTAGCCCAGAGATAAAGAAAGCAACCGTCTCAAAGGTCTGGAAATGCAATGTCATCTCGATACCCATGATCCAGCCCAAGATAACGAGGAAAGGAGTAACGAACAGGGCAATCTGCAAACTGCTACCGATTGCCACGCCAATCGCCAGATCCATCTTATCCTTGTATGCGACGACAACGGCGGTGACGTGCTCGGCGGCATTACCGACGATGGGGATAAGGACCAACCCAATGAATGTCTTGCTCATGCCTGTCTTCTGGACCATGCTGTCGATACTGCCGACGAGGTAATCGGCGCAGATGGCAACGAGGACGGTGACGACGACGAGAGCAACAGTCGCAGCCCAGGGGTTGAGGATACGCTCTTCTTCCTCTTCTTCTTCGGGGGCACCGTTCTCGGCATCGCTACCGTTCGTCTCTTCGAAGAGGTCGGAGTGCGAGCGCAGCTGGAAGTAGAGATACATGACGTAGATCAGGAGGAGGATGATGGAGGTACCGTGCGAGAGAATGAGGATATTCTTCTGCGCACTGTCGTCCGGGTTGAGGGCGTTCTCACCGGGCTTAGTGGTTGTGCCGTTGGAAATAGCCGCATAGAGGGTAGCCGGGATGATGAGCGAGGCGGATGCCACGGCCATGAGGGAGGACATGGTTGAAGCAACGGTGCTGTTGAAGGTTTGTTCGCGGTAGCGCAGGCCACCGACGAAGAAGCAGCAGCCAAGCACGAGGAGGATGTTCGAGAGGATGCTGCCGAGCATGCTGGCTTGCACGACACGGACCTGATTATCCTTCAGAGCGATGATGCTGACCTGTACCGGAGGCAATTAGTACGCGCTCACACACATATATATCCCACCATCATGAATCGAATCCACGATACCGAAGCGCGGATCAACGGGTAAAACTCACAATCAACTCAACAGCATTACCAAAAGTAGCATTCATCAACCCACCAAGCGCCTGCCCCATAGTAGCAGCCAATTCCTCCGTAGCAAAACTAAGCAGCGAAGCAAGCGGAATAATAGCAAAGAAATTCAAGGTAAAGACAGCCGTCGAATCCCAGCCAAGAGCACCAGCCACAATACCCAGCGGCACCATGACAAGGAGCAGATTGACATAATCGCGCACAAGAGTCTTCCATGTCAAATGTACAACGTGCATAGGCCACGCCACCCACATGCGATTATCCTTCGGATGGTGGTGATGATGTCCATGCTCGGTCTGCGCGTGTGGTGCAAGACCCGAGAAGGAGGATGCACGATGCGAGCCCAGTAGTGCGTCTTGCTCGCTGGGATTGCGGAGGCCGTTTATGTTGCCGTTGCCGGTACTTCCTGATGACATTCTGCGGCCGGGTCCGAAGCTGTAGCTTCGGAAGTGGGAGCGGAAGTTGACTTGGGCTGGGGTTTATTAGTTGGGGATTTTTCCGTTGCCTGACGGATAAACGATCGATGGAAGGATGGAATAAAATAGTTGGTTTGATTTCAGGGAATGAAGGGTGATGACGATTATGGGGTCATATAGGGACTTTTCCAGAAAGTCGGCAAGGAGTGGTGGAGAGATGGGAGACCAAGGAATCACTCACACATTTTATTTTCAAGAAAAGCCAAGCTTCAAAGGAAATGAATTGGCGGGGTTCAAACCACTGAAACCCTGGATACGCAAGCGAAGTAAGTTAAGTCCGTGAATGAGAGAACAGCACAGCCTCGATGTGTTGGAGAGCTTTCGCTGAATGATCGGAAGCTTGGACGATCTAACCCCACTGTGGAAGGTGGCTGGACACATGATTGGCTGACGGAATGCCAAGATATACACTGCCACAGTATGCACGGACCTTGGTTTTGGGCAGGAGTACGTAGTAACATTATACGAGTATAAGTTATATGAGGGATATCCTTGAAACATTGTAACATTAGGAAATATATAGAGGTTCACACATGGTATCTATCATAACACCAAAACCAGGGAAACAAATCTCAGTCAGACAGAATAAAGAAAAATACATCAGTATATCACATCAAGGAATTAAAAGGAAGGTCAGGACTCAGGGGAATGAAAACAGTCCTATCGGAAAAGAAAGGAGAAGCGAAGAGAAGGAGAGAAGATGAAAATAAGAGAAAGGAATGGAGAAGAGATCATTACTCCTCCTGCAGCGGGCCATTAGCTTTGAAATCCATCCGGCTATTCTTGCGACCAACTCCCTTCCCCTTGAGCATGCTGAACCGCCGGAAGACAGAGTCTCGCATGCCAGTGTGATTCCCGTTGGCACTGCCATTGCTGACGGGAGACAAAGGCGCCGTGCCATTCGTCGTCGTCAGCGTGACAGAGTTCACGTTACTGTCCCGGGTCGCGGGCCTGGAGTAATCACGCGTGGGCGGGAGGGTGGACCAACCACCACTGGAAGCAGGCGCTGGGCGGTCCGGGCCGGCTGCACCGCTGGCTGTTGGGCCGCGGTGTTGGGAGTCGGCGCGGCTGCGGCCATCGTGGGATTGACCGGTTGTGTCTCGGGAGGGATTACGCGACGGTTTGTTTTTGAGGGAGGTTTGGGAGTCATGGCCTGCGCCACCGACCGATGGGGTGGAGCCGTGCTTGTGTGTCCTGTCTCCGCCGAAGAAACTGCGTCGTTTTTCGCTGCGGCCGCCGCGGGAGTGGCTGGTTGTTCGGCTGTGGATTGTGGCCGTGTCGTCTTCAGGTTCTTCTTGGTCGACTATCTGGCCCTTGCTGTCGGATTGCTGGATTGTGAAGATCGAGTTGGAGGCTCCGTGGGATCGCTTGAAGGGATTGATGATGCTGATCCGGTGACTGACGGACTGTCGCTCGGAACGTTTGCGCGTGTGGGCCTTGCCACGGGATGCGCGCAGGTCCTGCTCTGGACTAGCGGCTCGCTGGGCAGATTGGTTTCGGCGGATCTCGCTTGAGTTGGAGGATTGGCGGGCTGTCTGAGTCGGCGTAGGCGAGGAGTAGTCTACCGGAGCAGTGGTGAAAGAAGCCAGCTCAGGCTCAAAAACATCCTCAAAGCGACGGAGGAGTTCAGCTTGAGTAGCTTGATGGGCAGGACGCTGGTAGAGAGACAGAGCATGTTTAATTGCCAGAGCGTGGTCAACAAGTGCTACAACGAGAGCATTCTCCATGGGGTCTGCAGCATCCGGCACTACCTCTGCAACCGAAGCATCTTCATCCACTTCCTCCAGAAGTCTCTCCCTCGCCATTTCAGCATCAGAAAGGAACTGGCGATACAAGGCCACACAGTTCGAAGTAGACGACCGATTCTCCAGCAATTGCTCAAGAGCCTCGGTCAGATTAGACAACGAAGAGTCCTCACCAGAAGCAGCCCGACGCTCGAGAAGCTGTAGCTCCTGTGTCTTCCGCCATGTCCGCTCGATAGCAGTCTGCAAGGGAGACAGAGCAACCTCCTCCGAAGCGATAATCTCACTGCGCCGAAGAATATTGGGGAAAGGATCGGAAACAGTAAAGATGAACTTCTCAACGTACTGCTCGCGAACATCCGAGCTACTCGTGTGTCGGCGCAACGTAGCCGAGAATCTAGAAGGATCCGAGACGAGCAAGTGTTCACGCACAGAGTGCGGCACCTTGGGCCGTTGGTAGACAGGGTGTGTCACGTCACGGTAAGCGCTGACAGCACTGATCTGCAAGAACTGGCCTTCGTAATCAGGGATTTCGCTAGCAGATGTAATCTGCGCAGTAGGGTGTTCGCGCTGCATGCGGTCCACGAACGAGGCCATGCGTTCTGTTGGTGAGCCCTCAAAGATGAACTCCTTATCGCGCAGGCTGGGAGGGAATCCGAGACCCTTGTAGGCCACACGGAAGTACCGTGGGAATTGCTTGCCGCCTTTGGCGATGAAGTCGTAGATCCGAGCCATGGAGCTCTGGGCTCGGGACAATTTGGCAAAGTCCATTGTTGTGTGCTCGTAGTGGGCGGCCAGTTCCTTGTAGCATGCCAGAGCGGGGGCCCAGGCCATGGCGTTCTCGAAGTGCTGGATTACGGAGAAGTACAGTGCTTCTCTGCGATCGAAGGCGCTTTGAGCTGGGAACTCAGGAGTGAGGAGTTCTGGCAGGGCCTTGTTGAGGTCCCATTCGTAGAGATCTGCGTGGAATTGAAGAGCTAGACCAGCTTCGGTGAAGTTGCCTGCGGCGGCTTGCGCTTCGGCTAATTCGTGGACGTAGCGAATGAAGATATCCTCACGACCCATGTCCTTCATGTACTCCATCAACTTCAGAGCGTGGAGACTCTGAGTTGAAGCGCCGCTCTGAGAAGCAACCAAAAGATCTAGAAGTTCGTCGACAGTCCCAACAAGACTCTTGACAGCATTCGACAGCAGTTCATCGGCGATGGTCTCATTCTCGAAGAGATCTAGCAGCTCGCCAATGAAGATCTTCTGACTAACGCTTTCATTCATGTGCTTGGATTTGAACAAGGTATCCAGACTCGAGATGATCTCAGTTTCAATGATTGAGATATCCTGGTTTAGATCCCATTCGCTGAGAATCATAGTCTGGAGAATCTGAACAGCAACATGTCGCAGGCCCTCGTGAACACTGAGACACAGACCAATGATAGGCGGAACCAGGCCAGGAACATACTGCACCTGGTATCCACCGAGACGCTTCAGGTTGAAGCGTTCTCTCTCATCGTCTGTGGTCTCCCAGCCAATGGCTTCCCAGGTAGATTGTAGGAGATCAGCGCCTTGCTCGCGCACATCACCAGCAATTTTCCAAACAGCCCGTCGCTTCTGCTCGGGGAATGTCTCCAGAGCAAGAACATCACTGGAGATCACTTTCAGCAATGTTGTGAAAAATGACTCCCACACCTTGGTGTCGAATGTATCGGCATCATCAGGTGCCGGGAGGAGTCTCTCAATTAGCAAAACAGCAATATGTTCAAGACTTTTGATGGTCGCACGGTGGTTGTACACATGAATACTGAACCAGGTCTCGGGGTACGCCTCGCAATCGAGGATAGAGTTGTGAGCCTCGAAAGTCTGCGCCACGAATGTTGCAAGCTCTAGATCTTTCAAGGCGGGAAGTTTGGGAGACACGATCTTGGCAATAGCAGCCATGAGGGCAGACAACTCCACCAAAGATTCGTCAAAGCTTTGAGGAGTCTTGGCTGTCTTCATCTGGAATGGGAATGCCTTGCTGAAAAGCAAGGACAGGTATTCTGTCTCATCAACTCCTTCAGCTGAGATAGCACAGTACGAGGCAACTATACTGGGCATGAAACCGTAGAGCTGAGGCTCCGGTTGACTGAGCAATTGAGCAACAATCGAACTGCTCAATCGAACCTGATCACGATACAGGTCCGAGACAGTCGCAGTAGCACCCCAGTACGGAGCTAACCAGCCAATACAGCTGGAGATCAAAGTCTGTCTCTCCGCACCCGAGGCGAAAAGCTCGAACTGGGTGTAATTCTGGATCAGAACCAGCTTGTAGAGAATCAACATGCCCGTTACATCCTTGCACGAATCCATGAAACTCAAAGCCATCATAATCATTTCATCCTTGCCCAGGACCTTGGACAACTCGGGCAGCCAGGTGTGAAAGTGCTGGACCACCAGTGTCTTGCTGCCCACCAATGCCGGCGAGGAATTCTTCATCAAGGTTTCAAGAGACTTGAAGATTGTGTGCATGTCTCGGTTGAAGGTAGACTGCACTGTGGTGATACCGATGCCTTCTTCCTTAGCCTTTTGCTGCTCACGAGCCTTGATAATAAACTTCAGGATATGGCGTCCGACCTTGAATGCAGCGCGAAGATTGCGAGACTGCTGGCCGTCGGTGCCTACATTTAGAAGGCGCAGGTAGCTTCGGATGAGGCATGGGGTAGCGAATGGGAAGTTGAATTGGTTATCGGCGTAGTGGTCGACCAGCGGACCGAGGTTGAATCGTCGATCGTGAACAATACCCAGGACAGTGACCACGTTGTTGAAAATCAAATTCTCGTACTCCTCGTTTCCGGCATTCTCCACCAGGATTCCGAACAACGCGTCAAAGACACCGCTGAGCTGCTTCACGATTTCGATCTCGGGAACAAATAGCAATCGCTTGAGTGTATCTAAGACCTCGTCCACAGGGCGTTCACGCCAGTTCAGTAGACTCAGGATTACTTGGTCCTGTGAGTACTCGGTGCTGCACAGGTGAGTCTCAAGGTGAAGGGTGGCCAATGGACCGGTCACATCTTCATCCTTAGCAGATTCATTCTTGCCGAGCGCACTCCAAGGGAGATTCAGATAAGCACCCTTTCCATTCTCGATGCTGGAAGTTTGCTTATCATAGGCATGCAATAGGAGAGAATGACGACCGTCCCTGATGAAAGCCTGCTGGTCCCAAAGGGGCATCCAAGCAAGAGCAAAAGGGAACTCGGGTGCATCGGCAACACTCATTACGATATGAGAGCCTGGAATCTGCTCTGTGGGAATCTTAAGACGGATGGTCTGGTTCCAGGGAGTGCCTCTCTGGGCGATTGTGGTGCGCCATGCCGTATTACAGGTATTGGCAGACGAAGGGTACACGCATTTGTCGATGCGTGCTCCCTTGGTATCACGGACCTCAAGGGTCAGTTGAAGGTTATGGAGACCTGTTGCCGCCTGAAGAGGAATTTGACCAGCCTGCGGATGGGACAGGAGTGCATCTGTGGGGAATACAGCCTGTGAGAGAGTGACGTAGATGTCGGACCGCGGCCGTGTAGGAGCCTTAGAGAACCCAATACGCTGTGTCTGCACAACATCATGCAGAATCGTAGGGTTCTGACGGATCAGAGCATCGGGGTCACTGCTGATGAAAGGATGCAGATGAAGATGCAGACGCGCAGCAGGATCGCAACGCACATACCGGCCGGTGGGGCTGGGAAGCAGTGTTCGAATCAACTTGTCAAACCCTTCTGTCAATCCCTCGCCGTCTTCACCATTTTGACGCGGAGACCAAATGTTGATCACCTGCTCCGCATCTCGATCTTGCCGAAGGATCGGCGAGATCTCCAAGATCCCAATGCCAACGGTGCGGATCGCCAAGATCTCCTTTGATAGGGTAGTCTGAGCAGTAGGTTGCTCTTTAATGTTGGACGAGCTGCTTGATTGTCTGGGAAGTCCTTGACTAGCGGGACTTGACTGATCTAGGCTTGGTCCGCGAGTCTTTGGTGTCCACATCATGCTGCGCCGGGTTTTCAGGCTGCCCTTGACTGATGGCTGAATGCCACTGGCTCCTGCGGCCTTGGTTGGGGCCGGGGTTTCGCGTGAAATCGAGGATCTTGATACAGGGAGTGTGTCAGCTGTGGACCGTGTCTCTGGAGCACGGACTGTAACAACTAGATAGAGTTGGCGCCCATTGGCAGATCCGTCTCCGATATCTGTGGCGGCCAAGTCGGTGAAAAGAGTCTTCAGTTTACAGCTTTGACTCATGTTGATAAACTTGTCGGGAGACGGAATCTCTAGACTAAAGATCTCAGACAAGGGGCTCAATACACCAGAGTCTGTACGCGAAAAAAGCTGGATTCCCACAGTCACAGGCCCCGGGGCATTGCCTGATACCGCATTAATATCCAGTAGTAAATGGTGAAGCGCTGTGGCATCGGAAGTTGAGGTAGGACGGGAGTCCAGCATGCTCATCTCTGACTGCAGCTTCGCAAGTTGAATGGCAGAGTCCTCGCCTGTTAGCAAGCGGCCTCGCTGCTCGGGATCCCGCACAATAACATCTCCGCTGAGCATTTTGTTGGCTTTGACCAGTTTCCAGACAGTCTCATCCCGTAAAGCTTCCTTCTCCTGGCAGGTTAAAACGTTGTGTAGTAATTGGCGCCTCGCGAAATCTAGCTCCTGTACAATGGTGGACATTTCCTCCAACACATGATACTGCCGGGCCAGAAGGAGTTCATGCAAATTCGTCGAATGCCATTCGCGTAAACATGACGCGATCTCATCAACCAACGGCTCTGTGAGGGAAGTTGGGGTCTCGTCGCCGATTTTTAACATCGGAACTGGAGCAGCTGGCTTGGGTGCGTCCGGGTCTCGTGGAGAAAAGGATACGGGGGTATGCGGGATGGAACCAGAGCGCCATGTTTGTACAGACCGCGGACTGGATAAGTCTCGCTCGTCGGTCTTGTGAATGACAATGTGGGAGGGTTTCCCCTTTTTCGCAAACACGGCATCCGATACCTCGGTACCCATGTACGACTCAGAGTAAACCAGACTGTTCCGGGACATGAAGTCTCCTTCAAGCCCAGCCAAGGTCAATTGGTCGATGCTCTTTCGATCACCATTGAGCATCGCTTTCTGCCCATCGCCGTCACCGAGCACTTCCCGAATCTCGACGCAGTTCCGCGGGAAGATACCAGAGAATACGCGAGCTTCGAGAGTCTGGCCTTTGGTGCTTGTCAATCCCGCCAACAATGACGGCGGAGCAACGAGGTATCCTCGGCACCATTCGCCGTCCACTCCACCCTGTTCAATTATGTACAACTCATCGCCAAGTTCCAATGGTAGGTCGGCCGGGGAGGAAGGCTGAAAGGGGTATATAGCGACAGCAAAGGCGATTCGAGGCAGCGGCCGCCAGGGCATGGCTGTGGTATTCTAGTCCACACGCGAGAGAAGCTCGAGAGGGGCTCTGGCGTGCCAGTCCCCACAGATGCGGCAATCCGATCGTAAGGTTTCGGTCGAAGGAGATGTTCAGTTCGAGGAATGTTCGTTCGAGTCAATCGGCTCAATCACACGCGACATGCAGTGGAGGGTTCCAGATCGTCGGGTCTAGGGAGAAAAGACAGGAATGGGCGGTCTAGGGAGAAACGAGAGGAATGTGGAAAGAATGTTATGCGACAACGATCTGAAGTTTCATTAGGAGGTGCACAAGGGCCAATCAACGAGACTCCGGAGGGGTCCAGTGCTCGGAAAGAAACCGGAGGGGACACAGAGACAAAAGAGGTCGCAATGGAGAGACGGGGTCCGGCGTGTCGCATTTGAGATCCGTGCCCCCCCTTGAATATCGGTGGAGACCCCCCTTGGCGAGAACCGTGGGGAAGCGACTTACTGTGTGATAAATGAGCGACTGAGCAGTTGGGTAGTAGAGAAGGAGAGTTTGGTTCCGTTCGCTTTTCAAACCATCAAGGTCTGGGATTATCGCATTGCCCAGGAGTTCATTGTTGAGATTCTAAGTAAATTAAGGTTGGTTTGCCTTAGGCAATAGGTCACATGATGTATACCCACATCGATTTATAGAAATTCCGTTACGCATATATAACTATACCTTCCCGGTAGAACGATAAGATAGAAAGGCAGCTTGCTAGTAATACGTATATATAAGAAGCTCATAAAATGCATCACGCTTGGGAGTGGATACAGACCATATGCCATCGCTTGCTTTATAGGCCACTTTCAAATACCGCCACTAGAATATTAGCATTTTAAGAGATGGTGGGGCTTCATGATATTCAGTCAAGGACTCGAAACACCAATGATAGCACTATCAATATTGTGGCTGCTGTGGGTGTGATGTATACCTGCAGTAAGCCAATAGTGACACTTTAAACACTCAGCCACTTCAGACACGTACCAAGTCCACGAGCAGGTCTTGCGAACAAGCAATCGCAATCAAATAAAATTATTGATCATGATTGAAGAGTGCTTAGGGCGTAATATCGTAGCTTCATCTGCCTCCCTCTCTTCTCGTAGGTGCTGAACAAGCATCAAATTGAAGAAACACAACATGAATGAACATCTAAGACTACCAGGCTAAAGACTTATCTAATACACAGCCAAGCCCCTGACAGAATTTGAATATCTCATCAACTTTTGATGTCTCGAAATGTCGAGGTACTGCTGGCCAAATTTCCTGACCAGCCTCTTCTTCCTCCAGCCGATGCTTAAAGCCAAGTCTCGAACTAGCTTCTGGAAGTATAAAGGTCCATTTTTGCTTGTAATTTAAAGCATTCCACATTGTGAGGGATCATCACGACATACCTTCTCCGCAATAGGATGTACCTATCCGTTGGTGAAGATGCCCGCGTTGAGGTTTTTCTATGCCGCATTGCAAACGACCTGTTTGAAGAAATTACTAAGTTTGTAAATTTAGCTTCTGGTGCATCTTTGTGCCGATACGCCTCATACTCCATGAGAGTTTGAGATTCTGAGACGGGTATACATCTCATCATGTAAAAAAAGATTGGCCTGTTGGAAACCCAATCAGCAATGCTCATGTGAAGCGGATAGGAGACATATGAGATAGCAATGGAGGCATTAGGGAAATAGAACGAGCCGTTGATATCAAATCCCGTCGTGTCTTCCTTTTTTATGTTGTAATGCTCGATGATCCCGCGTTTCACCTCGACGTGATAGCTTGAAAGGTCTGAGACGGCATTTACCCCTGGATGACCAGTGGGACAGTGATAGCACTAATGCGTTTAGATTTGTTACCACTGTTTTACAAGAGACATACTTCGTTGTAGTTGTCAGCGAGTGTCTTCCAGTTGTAATCGCCCATCATACTCCATTGATGACCGAAGCGATATTCCGACATGTTGAAGTGCTGTAAGCATGGCTGCTGGTCATCACCACTAGTGTCTTCCTCCCATGAGAAAGTACTTTTGGTCGGAGTTTCCAAGTTCACCCAGATAAAACCTAGCTTATCGACATGGATGTGGATAGAAACAATCTATTTGTGTTTTTGTTAAACCAGTCGATGTCTTGATATTTCGGTATTTTGGCAAGTTTACCACCCAGATCATACGACTATCCTGGATATATTAGCACAGCCGCGTTCTGTGTTGGTACCGAACTCGCTGTGATATTTGCAGGCCATGATGTTTGCCGTGTCGCACTCCGTTTCCATAACAGGATACGCCCGATGGCGACAAACGGTAGGGAACGCCCGAATGGTGCTTTTGCGATACTTGAAAACTAAAAGGTTATATACAGCGACTGTATACTGCACGTAATCACCCGCATTGAGGAAGCGTGTCTCGAAGATCCATTTCTTGGAGAAGATTGCTCGCCGTTCAAGAGAGTAAAGAGCTGGAGAACGATACCACTGTGCGGGAAGGGCCCGAGTCTCCATATTTCTTGCGGTGCTACTATTTGCAACAGCAATATCTTGTTTGCCAAAGGAGAAAGGACGATTCATGTCCGCTATGCAGATTTCTTGTGCCCGTGGTGGGGATAAAAGGGTGAAGAATGGAAGTGAGTATGTTTTGAATGTCATACCAGAAGGCTTCATGGAAAATGTGGAATGAGTACTCCTCTCGTGTGCAAGTTTAGCTGGATGCGTGGAAATCGATTCGGGTGGTTCCACCGGCAACCTTTCTGACGACGCTCTTGTGACCCGATATTCCAGCCGATCCAAGGGGTTGGAAATCAATATAGCACGGCTTATTGATAATAATAGAGAAGAGAAAATAGAGAAATGAGCACAGAATTGACAAAAGGCAAAGATCCAAAATTGACTTGATATTGACCTACGTTCACCAATCTTCCGGCCACCCTTTTATTACCTTCTTTTGCTCATTTCCAAGTATATCTCAACGTGGGTTAAGAATGTGAATTGATCAGGCAGCAGGTAAGAGGACTTAAAGATTCTTGTCGTATTTACATAAAATCACCCTTGTCCGTTGGTTTCTCAATATCAATCCACTCCACGCAATAAGGTGTCACAGTAGCTTCAGATATACGAATGATCTAATTTGTTCACCTGAATCACTCAAAGCGAGGCGAAAAAAAGGGGTGGAAAAGAGCAGCTAAATTAGGGCATCAATAACGCATGAAATGGTACACTCGGTTTGATGATCTCTTATAAGGATCGCCTGATATTCCATAGCGGTGTAAACCGATTCACGACCCCTGTTGTAATACAAACCCACGGCTGAATATGTAATAGGGATCCCAGTATTACTTTTACCAGATTTAGACCTTCTTTGGAGGGATATACGTTTACGTGAATGAGTAGCCCAGCTGATGAAATAGTCCAAATGCTTCATATCCAAAGGCTAGTAAGGCACTGAGCTTAAACGAACCCTAATCCAATTCTAAAGATAAAAGTCAAGAATTGCTTGACATTGTCTTGATATATGCGCTATGTATACAAACCAAACCCCAAGCCCCACTCGCCATGACAAAAACCCAGAACCGGGTTATAGAAAGAAGAAAAAATAAAGAAATCAAAGAAGAATATCACAGTTCACCACCTATTTCCGGAACATGCTAAGCGTCTCATCCTTCCGCCAATCTAGATCCAATTGACCTTCGTAGACAGTATCAATGATACGACGCGTCCGGTCATAAGCATTCTCATAGCGCTGCTCGCAAGCACGCAGAACCTTTAGGACGAGACTACGGCTGAGACCAGGATCATCAGCATCACCAAAGTGCTTCTCAACACGCTTGCGCAGCATCTCAATACCACGCTTGATTTCCTTGTTGTCATACGAGGAGAGAACCTTCTTAGCCACCATGCGAGAATGACTAGCGCGGGCAGCGATGTCGGTGGGATTACCACCGGCAGCGAGGAGGTTTTCGATCGACTGGACAAAGTCGATGAGCTTGCCTAGCGGGCGGTGGATGACGGAGTCGAGGTAGAGCTTCATGTGCTCTTGGAAGTCTTGGTGGGCGCGGTCTGTCCAGCGTTCCAGGGAGGGGATGTTGTGGACGTCGACTTCCTCGACGTAGTGGTTCATATTTTCGATTAGGAGGATGTGGTAGTTTAAGACTTCTTTATCTTCCGGGTCTCCGGCACCTGCTGCCACGGCGGGTGGTTGGCCGGGTGCTTCCTTTGCGATGAATTTGAGGGATTCCCACATTGCGCGGTTGATGCGGTCGTAGGCGTCGTTGACGCTGACGCGGATGTCGACCATGTCGCCCGATGGGCCTGAGAGCATTGTTTCCACTGCGTTGGAGAAGTTGGGGAATACTCGCATGAAAGAGATTACGCCCTTTCTCTTGTTCACCTTGACTTTGGTGTCTTCGATGCCGCGAATCTGTTCGTCGACGAAGCGGTTGAATAGACCCATTAGGCGGGAGTGCATCTTTTGTAGGGAGTGGAGGATGAACTCTTGATTCGTGTCATCAAACTCGACCATGGCGGTCTCCAAAGCATATAGGATACCGATTCCTTGGAGGGGATCAGCCTGCATCGCCCAATCCACGAGGCTCTGCATGTCATTGGGCCAGAAGGAGTAAATCTCATCCATGATCTGCTCCACTCGTTTCGCCATACCGCGATCGGGGTCGTGCGACTGGCTGACAGAGAAGTCGGGGATCGTTCGGCATTCCGGAATTGATGATGAGACCAGATCAGAGAATTCCGCACTGGAAAGAGAATCGAGGTGGAAGAATTGAACAACAAAGTTCTGTTCCTGGGCCATCATTTTCAAGGTCTCACGCAATGTACCCGAGAAGGCCTCACAAGGCTCAACTCTGCCTTGCTTCTTCTCCCCGGAAGCCAGTCGAAGGCCAGCAGCGGCTCGTACTGTCTTGCCTCGTCGTACGGTCAGTTTCCGTGCGGCCATGGTGAGACCCTCAGTTTCCTTCTCCTTCTCTTGGTGGGTAAAGAGAAGTTCCTGCTCATCTCCAGTGGGCTTGCGAGCGGTTTTCTTCCAAGCGAGATTGTTATCCCGGAAGTCACCCTGATACGAGGGCTTGGACTGTTGCTCATAGAGATTGACCAGACCATGCCATTCTGCCATGCTAACCTCTTTAGCGAAAAGCATCAGTGCATTGTACCGCCAAATCTCTTGACGGAATTGGCCACGCGCGATAGTGTCAAGCTTCAACGTATCCTTGGCACCGTTAGCCGCTGCATCAGCTCGCTTTTGTTCGGCCATCTTGAAGGCCATAGCCATGAATTGCTTTAAGCGCTGCAGGAACACCAAGGCAGTGGAGCGGTACTCTTCCTTCTTTTGTTTGATGGCACGCATCTGACCAATCTCAGTATCGGCATAGACACCAACGCTGGAGTCTACCTGACGCTTCTTGTTCTGACCAATGTCCGAGTCGATCATGAGCATGGCCTTGTACAAGATCGAGAGAGCGTATTCGCTGTCCTTGAGACCATCAAGGTTGCTCAATGAAGCCTCCTTGAGGGGCCCTAGCTCGGACGAAGAGATCGAAAGAGTTTTCAATAGGTTCTGGAGTTCATTCTGAAGGAGCTTCTGGTTGGCTGTCTGCACTTGTAGACCTTGGCCTTGAGCTTCAATGTATGCCACGTCCTCGTGGAGAGTCTGTCATAATACCTTGTTAGCGCAATGAGGGTCGAATTTGTTTAATCCAGACTTACGTTCAACTCATGGGAGTAAAGGGTCAATAGACCATCAAGCTCATCACACTCTTCAATAGTCCTGTCGATAAGGCTGGCAAGTTGCTCAACCTTTCCTTCCTGCTGCTCAAGATTTCCAAGCCAGCTGGTGGCCTCGACGCGGCCAATCTCACGACGAACGTCTGCTTCCAGATCCTCAATCTTCTGCTCATCGGCCAACCGGCCGTTCCACCCGAGATCGGAAAGGATGTCATCAAAGTCAATACCACGTCCATCAAGAACACCCGGATCGATTCCGAGGGCCTGGCAATATTTCAACGTGTTGTCCTCGCGGCGTCTGCGGCGACGTCCTTGACCAGATGGAGATGGTGTTCTCGAACGGTTCTCCACCGGCACAATATTCGTGAGAGTGGTCATGGATGAGTCAGGGATTTCTACACGGGGCACCGTAGGTGCGACTGGAGTTTCCTCAAGTTGAGGCTCTGTGATTTCCACGGTTAGTGTTTCAGGCCCGGAGGGTGGCTGCAGCAGATCCTTGTCAGACGTCTCCGACTTCTCTGCCACTGGGCTTTGGGGAGGATCAGTCGCAGATCTGGTAAGTGAAGGAGCTGGAACGACGCCAGTAATACCATCAGGACCGGCTTCCTCCGCTTGTGACTTCTTTGCGGCTGCCAGCAGTCGCTCACCAGCACCACCAGGTCTAGGTTTGAAGCCACCGTAGGCATTTGCGGCCTTTTTGAATGCACCTGCAATGTCTTTGCCTGGCTTTTTCTTGATCATGGGACCCAGGCCTGGACGGTGTGGCTCAAGCTCTCCAGATTCTCCCACCGAAGCTGAAGTAGGTTCAGACGAGGGTTCCTCTATGGGAGATGTTACTGCAGGAGAGGTTACTGCTGGCGTCGTTTCAGCAGACTTAACTTCCTTGGCAGACTCAATGGGCTGAGCTGGTTGAGGCTCCTCTGATGCCATATTGGCAGCGTATAAAGCGGCAGGCTCTGCGGCCAATCCCTCAATTCCAGGTGAGTATGAGGCTTCCCGCGACTCTGTTTGGCCCGCAACTGAGAGGCTCTCTGGCACACTCCTTTCTTGAGGCAAGGGCGGTTGGTTCAATGGAGACGGTTTATCGCCACCATCGCGTTGTGGTGATCTTTGGCCGAAGCTGCTGTTTGGGCTTGGGACTGCATCCCGACTGTCAGCGGCAGAGGCAGGCGTGATAGGACGAAGTCCATCGGAGTTGCGCATCTTTTCTGTGGACTTGTCTGAAGGAATTTGTGCGGAAAAAGCCGGAGGCTTGGGTCCGTGATCCTGACTACGAGCGGAAGCTGGCCGGAGTGAATCTGGAATACCACTGTGGCTAGAATTGGGAGGGGTGTCTTTGCTCTTCGCTTCCGAGGCGATACGCTCGGTTGCTCGTGGCGGAGGTTGCAACTCTTGAGTCCCCGAAGGAGTCGCTTTGGGCAGATCGAATGGTGATGGCGCCGATTTTCCATGGCCGGTAGATGGTCGAGAACCTGTGGATGGCCGGGACATCTGCTCGCGGCTCTTTTGTGCACGAAGGATGGGGTCTTCGGAAGCCTTCCTCCGGGGTGGTTCTCGCGGTGCATCGCGACCAGGATCACGACCTCGGTATGACGGTTGTAGTGAAGGTGGCACCGCACTCTCCGCAGGGCTTGCCCCAGCTCCTCTTGACGGGGGTCCACTCGACGGCCCGGAGGGTCCAGGTAGTCCTGGGCCTAACAGCTGTTGGCGCTCTCTTTCATCGAAGCCGATGAGGTTAGGAACTCTTCCGTTCGTGTATTTCTTGAAGATCTTGACCAAGCTCCCAATGAAAAACTCCTTTTCTTTAGATGTCCTGGCATGCCAGTAGTAGGGCTTTCCTATCGTGACGGTGAATCCAACGTGTCCAGCCCATTCTTTTTGTTGTTGTTCTGTTGGTGATTGGGGGACGAATGCGGAGAATGATTGAATTGCCGTCAAGTCGTCGAGCATCCAGGTCTTTCCAATTGAAAAAGATCCATCGTTATTCTCACGGGCTTTGTGCATGCGAACCCGGCCTGACCGTCGCACCGAAACGATAATGACACGGGGTTTCTTGTTCTCGGGTGATGCATTTGGCGGGGAAGGACTGGAGGGGTGCGCTGCATCTTCGATGATGCGGACGTGTGTAATGTAGGACTCGACCACTGTAAGTAGAGGAATCAGCAGTAGTCCAAGGGCCAAAGTCGGCGGCCTGGTAGGATAGATGTCATCGGGGCATGCTGAGCGGCAATACGACTTGTCCAGACGAATTGTACGTCACTTTCGCCATGTGTCACCTAAGCAGCTCCGCGCTAGAGCCAGGGATGTGTTGACCAGACCAATGAGTCGGTTCACGGGATACGTACAAGTGCCGTCGGCGTCCTTCTTCGCATAGCAACTATGGATGATGCGCTTCTTCTCGTCGTCGAAATGGTCCGCTTTGGATAGGTTGCTATCGCTCGGGCTTGCACGCGGATCAGGCCCGCGATTTGGCGGAGGTCCGCGGGGACGGTCTCGGCCGTTCATTGCGTCGTTGGAGGGACACGGAGCTCACTGCTGGGTAATGTCGAGATCAAGGGGACATGGTCCGGAGGGTCGGGATCCACACCACGCGCGGAGGGAATTGATATCCACCAAGTGACGATGCAGGTGAGTCAGTGAAGTAAAACAAAGTAAAAAGCACTCGTAGTGGCCGCTCTGGGGTAATGCGAGACAGTAGCTCATCTGTTTGGGTGGGCACTGTAGGGCGGAGAGCTTGGAGCGGGTAATCGAGTTGATCCGGCGTTGCCCAACCTCAGGTATGCAACCTCGCAGGCTGGGACTTCAATGGGAGTAATATAAAAATATCAATTTCTCTTCAATTAGTTATCTCAGACTGACGTTACATGTAGGTTCCCGAGGCAGTCTATCTGCTGCACGTTGGCCTAAATTTTCAGGTTGACGTGTTTGTGCACTTGACCTGGCCTCTATTTCTAAAATATTTCTCAGTCCAGAATCTTTCCAATGGCACAATCTTTTCTTTCCCCATTCAACAAATAGAAGTCAACCAATTTATTCGCAATGCTCTCTCCGAGATCTCTTTGTATAGTCCTCGCTCGATCCACGTGAAAGGCTAGACTTTTACCGCCCTCAATGCCCCAATCACCGTGACGGTATTCCTCACCGCCTCCTACACTTTTTTTCTTTTTTCTCTTTTTTTTTGGTTCCTGGCCAAAGTTCGTCTTATATAGTCCTCCGTTTGACCTTTTCTTCCTTTGTGTTGATCCGGTATCCTGTCATTATGGCTAAAATCTCCTCCAAGGCTTCGGCCAAGGTATGTTGCTTGCTCGAACAATTTGTAGAATCGGTCTGACAGTGCATTCCACAGACTCCTAAGAGCGCAAACACAATTCCTCCCCAACTGATCGCCTCCGTTGCTGCTTTCCTCGCCGAGAACTTTCCTCAGACCGCCGCCACTTTCACCAAGGAATTGAGCCAGTCGGGCAACAAGAGTGACAACAAGAATGTTTCCTCCCTTCTCGACCTTTTCCAGGCCTCTGCCGTGAAGGCTGCCTCTACCAGCTCCGAGGAGTCGGACGTTGAGATGGGAGATGCCAAGTCTTCCTCTTCTTCCTCTTCTTCCTCTTCCTCTTCCAGCTCGGATAGCTCCAGCTCGGACAGCTCCAGTTCTGACAGTGACGCCGACGATGAGGACGACGACAAGTCCCCCGTGGCCCCCGTCCCTGCCAAGAAGACCTCCGGCGTGAAGCGCAAGGCCGAGTCCAGCAGCGAGTCTAGCAGCTCCTCTTCCGACCCATCTTCGGAGTCTGAAGATGACAGCCCCAAGGCTAAGAAGGCCAAGGTTTCCCCCAAGGAGTCACCCAAGAAGGCCACCAAGGAAGATTCCTCTTCCTCTTCGTCTTCGCCTTCGTCTGATTCCTCGTCCGATTCAGCTTCCTCTTCTTCTTCGGACTCTTCCTCTTCCTCGGAATCCTCCAGCTCCGAGTCTGATTCCTCCAGCTCTTCCGACTCCTCCTCCTCCGACTCTGATTCTTCCGACTCGGAAGATGAGAAGAAGTCCAAGGTGGCATTGAAGGCTGCAAAGAAGACTCCCCTCCCCGAATCTGACTCCGACTCCGACTCCGACTCTTCATCCGACACCAGCAACACCCTCGAAGCTGCACCCGTTGTTGTGGAGAAGACCGTTACGTTCGAGGCCCCCTCTTCCAGCGCCAGCCCTGCTCCTTTCAACGGCCAAGGCAAGAAGAAGCACACCGGAGCCCGCCCTACCCCCCTTGCCCTGCTCAGTGAGCTGCCCCACGACCACCCCTCCAACGACTACATGTCGTACGCATACGCAGACCGCGCGTTTGCCGATCTCTCCGTGACCCGCGGCAAGGGCTTCACCAAGGAAAAGAACAAGAAGAAGCGTGGTTCCTACCGCGGCGGCCCCATTGATATCACTGGCGGCAAGTCTTTCAAGTTCGACGACTAACCGACTGGTTCCTCGCTTCATACATTGCATTCGCTATGCCATAATCCTTGGTTTATCTACAGTCCTCAGAAATTCTACCACCAATTCTATGAAGGAATCCCCCCAGCCTGGCTTCTGTCTTGGAGAGAACTTCGTTTTTACTTGGTCACTGCGTTGCGCAGAGCCCACCAAAACCAACGCTTGCTGCGGTGGAGACCGCTGGAGATAGATTTTCATATACCACACGCGTATTTTCCCCTTGATACTTTTTTCCGAATTCACTCAGCACGGCGCACATGGAGCTACGGAGAAGGCTGTTGGGCCCAAATTCTTTTGCTCATTTAGCTTACAATCAAAAGTTTGGGATCTTTTTCTCTCTTCAACCCTTCTCTTCTGGCTTCCGAGTATATCTGTATATACATATCTATATATGCATTCACTCAATTCGTCCAGCCTTAGCAAACTCCACGTACAGTGTACAGAGTACGTGCATATCAAAGAAACCCAAAACAGACACATCAGATTTCAAGCTGCACCCCATAGCTATCCCCTTTAACGTATACCGTTAAATCTTTATTACCATGGACGGCAAGGTTTCAGTCGTTTCCGTCTTCATCATCTGTCTTCCTCCCCTGTCTTCGTCTATCCTTGTCTATCCGCTTCTCACACCGCTCCAGGGCAGCAGCACGAGCATCAAACGTCGGCTGCAAATATCTCTTTTGGATCCTCCTGGCCTCCTGTATTTCCTTGTCAAGCCTCTGCTGCTCGTCGTGCACTTCACGAAATCCAAGAATGATTTCTTGTGACAGCTGACGCCTTATGGCGTGCAGCTCGTGCAGCAGCTGTGGTCTGTCATCATGATTCGACATATTCTAATATTCCTTTATATTATTCTCGTGCTTTGGCTTCATATTGTCCAGTTTGTGAATTTTGTCACGGTTGTTGACAGGCTGTGATAGCTGACTACTCGCGGTAGGGAACGTATTACTAGCTGTCGCACTGGACGGTGATGATGGTATACAGGCCTGCACAGGGGTTTGAAGGTTAACTCATGCGTCACAGGGCAAAGTCTCGAAAAGCCGTGCAATAAAGTCGTCATCGGAATCCTGGAAGAGTAGTTTTACCAGAGGGTCTGGCCGCACCTTGTATTCAGTAGTACATTAAGGGAATAGTACATCAAGGATTAAGAATGTACAGATAAGTTTTTCTAAATCCAACGATCAAAATCAATCGTTCTCGCTAAGAATTGTATGATCACCGTTCTTTTACTATGCATGAGGATACCCAATCCCATCGACATCAATATCAAATCAGTCCCTCCTCCTCCAAGCCCCAGCCTCCTCCAAAGGCTCCCACCTCGAATCCCAACAACCCCCATCCTCCCCACCCTCAACATGAGAAGACGGAATCTCCCAAAACGCCCGCTGATTCCTCAGCTTAGACGTAATAGTCGTAGTACCAACACCGTCGACATCGGGACGCTCATACCCAGCCAAATCAATTGCATCGCGCGTCACATCAGATGACGGCCCCGGTCCGGTATTTAGTCCCAGACGGAGATTATCCTCGTACCATCCCTTCCGCGGTCCGGTTAGATCATCTGTTGATGCGAAATCTAGACGTACGATGCCGTCCACGATGCCGGCGTAGATTGTTGGGGAGGCGGGGGATGGGGTTGACATTGTATAGATTGGACCGCGGTAGGGGAGGCGACGGCGTCGGGGGTTTTGCTGGGTTGGTGGCAGGGGTGCTGGGTTAGAGAGGAAGACTGAGAAGTCTTTTTGGAGATGGAGGAGAGAGTTAGAGGCGTTTTTGTTATTTGGATCTTTGCCGTTGGTGGTGGTGGTGGTGGTGGTGGTGGCTTTTGGTTTGTTGGTATGTATTTGAGATGAAGTGGGTACTTGTGTATCGAGATAACTGTATGTATTACACATGCGCATGTCAAAAATCTTAACCACTGCGTCACCGCCGGCCCCGGCTAAAAAGTGGTTATGTCCGAATGTGTGGAGACTGTAGATTGGATTGAGGTCTGTTATGTCTTTGTAAGCCACTTCGTAGGGTCGTGGTGAGCGTAGGTCGTGCAGTCGGACTGTGTAGTCGTCCCATGCGGCTAAGAAGACTTCACCCGGGGGACCGGCGAGGGGGTGGGTGTTTAGAGGTTCGATGGCGCCGATGTTGGCTTTTCTTGTTAGGGCTTTGAAGTCGGAGTTTAAGCTGTCGATGCTGATTGTTCGGTATGGTGAAATGCCGCTTGGTGTGACTTTTGAGATGCATAGGGATTCTTTGATGTCGCCTGTTGATACTGCGACTAGAGATTGAGATAGAAGTTTTGAATATTTGTTTCGCAGGGCGCCCTCTGTGCGGAGCCATGTGAATGGTTCGACTTCTTCCTTGTCTGTTGATATGTGGTAGAGGGCGATGGCTCCGTTGTCGAAATGGGCTGCCAAAACTGGTTCTGGATCATCACTTAGATCTGTGTTGTCCAGCTGGAGTCCATATGTGAGGAGGTTTTTTTTGTAGCTGTGTGTTGCATCATTCGGTGAAATTGTAATGTGAAGGATGTCACCTCGGATTCGACCAAAGATAAGATGCTCAACATCGGTCTCATGGCTGTATTCCGGCTTCGAGGATAGGAGGTGCAGAGAAGAGATATCGTCATAGCTGCTGACATCCTCAACATCATTGAAAATGATCCACTTTTCTTGGGGATGACCATCAGTCTGTTTGATCCGCATCACCAGCTGGTTGGCAGCACCCCAGGCGAGTACCTCTTTCCTATCCGCCCAACCTTTCCCATTCCAGACTTCATACGAGTCAATCACAGGCCGATACCCGAGGGTAGGGTTGTCTGAGCGTGAGATGTCGTGACAACCGATCTTGGTGGCAGTTTCTGATGGCACAACGAATCGGCCGATGACGGCCTTTCGGTCCAGAGCCCGAGACCGAGAAGTCAAGACCTGAGCTGCATCTTTCCAATATGGCGGTGTCTCAATAGTTGGGAACCTGCTTTGAACAAAAGCTCGGAAAATCCTTGAGTCTTCGGCGGTGATAATCTCGTGCAGTCGATGACATGTCTGAGACAGGTGGGCTAATGCATTGGCAGTTGGGAGATATGTTGCGATGTGGTATATTATCTCTGATGGAAGATCAGACAACATATTGAGTGCTAATATGAGGTGCAGTTGCTGAATGAAGTGTAGGACTTTTAGATCATCCTGATCGTTTTTTGTTAGGCCGCCACTGTTGTGTTTTAACTTTGTTCAAGGACGTGTTGGGGGGGGGGGGGCAACAGGGTATGCAGCAAATAATCGCATCAGACCAATCGCAAGCAGGTTCAAAGAGTGACTCATGCGACAATTGTTGATCGCGTGAGGACATGAACATTTTGATAAACAATTGCGGGCTGGTAGCTATGACGTAAGCATATAGCGGCCTCGCTTGACGTTCTTTTTCTCTCTCTATAGAAGCGATACATAGGGCTAATCTTTGATTATTGGAGTAGCAGGGAGAGTCACAATCATTGAATCGTATATCAAGGTCCAAATATCATCATATTGTCAGACTCGCGTCATATATAAATTCGGCCAGTCTGTATGCGATGCTCTTATCTCTTATCTATAATCGCGGGGAAGGTAATAAGGCAATTCTCGTTGGACAAAGCGTTCAAACTACAACGGCCCCCTTGTTCGAATACAACTCTATCTCCAAATATCTCCAAGCGGGGAGAGTTACCTAAACATTGGCCGTCGGCAAACATCGAGACGAATCGGAGTGAGTTAAAAGCCGATATGGGGGAGCTAGGGTAATCTTGCAATTAGGGATCACCCTCGGCACCACCTGTAATACACGGATGGGGTATACTCCTTATCTATCCCCGTCAACGTTAGTTCTCTCAACTACACTCAACTGCAACTACCAGCTGAGAGACCAGCTCAGAGGGAAGGACGACTTTCCTTCTATTCAACATGACGTTGTCAATCACTACACTGGCTATAGCATGCCTGGCTGTTCTCGCCATCTATAAAGTGATCATTTACCCAGCCTTCCTATCGCCATTATCCAAGATTCCCAATGCTCACTGGAGTGCCTCCTTCTCCCCGGTATGGATGCTCTGGAGGCGATTCACAAGCCGGAACAACAGAACCATCCAAGCAGTCCATGAGAAACTAGGTCCGATAGTTAGACTTGGACCATCCGAGATCTCCATCAACTGCGTCGACGGCGGAATCAAATCTGTCTACACTGGCGGCTTCGAGAAACATGACTGGTACCCACGAGTCTTCGGTTCATTTGGGTGAGTCTCAACCTATTCCCCATACCAACAAGATGAGTAACTAACCAGCCACAATAGAACTGTGAGCATGTTCACCATGACGGGAAGCAAGACCCACTCCAACCGGAAGAGAATGTTATCAAATATCTACTCCAAGTCAACCTTGCAGACATCTCCCCATCTGGGCGTTGCATCCAATGCAGTCATCTTCGACCGTCTGCTACCTCTTCTCCAAGAAACAGCATCATCCGATAAAGACATTGACGTGCACGACCTAAACCAAGGACTAACAATGGACTTCGTCTCATCCTACCTATTCGGTCTTCAAAATGGAACGAATTTCCTTCAAGATGAGTCCCTCCGGAAAGGCTGGCTCCATCTATATCTATGCCGAAAACCGTTCGAGTTCTATGCCCAGGAAGTCCCCTACCTAGATGGCTGGCTGAGACGTATCGGCCTCCGTGTGATACCGAAATACTGCGACGAAGCAAATGCACACCTCGACGCGTGGGCTTTAGATCTATGCGACAGGGGCGATCAATTGATGGCGTCAACTGAGCCGGGCGTTGAACCCAGTGTATACAAGCAGTTGAAACAAGCTCTAGACAAAGATTCCGCGAAGAAAGGCGTCGCGGATGTTAATAGAGCTCAGCAGCGACTTGATATTGCATGTGAGATGTATGATCAGCTGACAGCGGGCTTTGAAACCAGTGCTGTTGGTCTTACGTATTTGCTTTGGCAACTTTCTCGGAATGAAGATGTGCAGAACCAACTTCGTGATGAGTTATTGACTCTCAATCCTCCGATTTCTTATCCGAAGTCTGCGGAACTCCCTTCCGCCAAGTCGATTGATAACCTTCCCTTCCTGGAAGCTATTGTGACTGAGACGTTGAGACTGCATGCTCCCATCCCCGGTATTCAACCTCGAGTTACACCATCTCCGCCTTGTACTTTGGCTGGGTATGGGAATATTCCGCCTAACACTAGAGTGAATGCTCAAGCTTATTCTCTGCACCGCAACCCGGAGGTTTTCCCTGACCCGGAGAGCTGGCAACCGAAGCGGTGGTTGGTTGATGAAAACTCAGCCGCCGAGCTGGATGAGCGACGTCGGTGGTTCTGGGCATTTGGTAGTGGAGGGCGGATGTGTGTTGGAAGTAATCTGGCATTGCAAGGTAGGTCATGGACAGACGATGGACCCAAAACAAGAGGTTAATATCTGCTGAACAGAGATGAAGTTGGCCGTCGCGGCGATATACACAAATTTCCGCACGACCATTGTTAACGATGACAAGATCGAAGCAATTGATGCCTACACCGTCAAACCACAAGGCGACAAACTGATCCTAAAGTTCGAAGCAGTATGAAACCAGCATGACCCCTCGCCCCTTCTATTACCCAGAATAAGCCTGAAATAAGAATACGATCAATTGTTTTGACGAGTAATCCCACATCCCACAGAGTAATATACTGTACAAATGAGCACAAAGCCCAAACCCATAAGCATCCAACTCAGAACTCTCCCAAGGGGATTCAAGGGTCTGCAAAAAAGTGTATAGAAAGAATAACCCAATAACTCCAGATGGACAGCTCGCTTCTGCTGCTAAGCCCCCGATGCAATACCGAGGACAGACGTCCGAAATAATCATATTTAGCCCAGGACACCATCCTTCTTGCGCGGGCCGACGACCTTGGGGTACATCCTCATCAGGTGGTAGTTAACGGTGTTCTTCTTCTTTTCCTGGGATTTCTGGATTGTGCGGATTGCGCGTTAGTGGGAGAGTTCGGTTTGGGTTGGTGTGGACATACCGGTGCGTCCATGCACTTGCGCAATTGGGCTTCCAGAGCAGCGCAGCCTCTCGGCGCCGTAGCCGGATGAGGCCCAGCAGTCTATTGAGGGGAGAGTATGTTAGTGACTGTGTATAACTTTTACTTTTGACACTCCGTGTCTTTGATCGTCTGATTGCGACGTAGGACGACTGGAGATCGACGTTCCTAGCGGTGCAATGTCCCCGGGGGGGGGCACATACTCAACATGGAAGACATGACTGTAACGCAGGGATTCTGCTCATTCTGATTCGGGCGGCGAACACGGAGGTGGTTGATGGTGTTCAGACGCATCGGGTTGAGCCGGGTCGAAAGGGAACCCTTAGGCGCCATAGTGGGCAATTCTGAAGTTCGGCGGAACGGCAGCAAAGAGAATAAACGGAGCAGCAGGAGGCAAGATGCCTTGAAGGATCGTGGACGGGATTGACGTTGAGAAACTGGCGCCGGCGACGGGAAGTCTTCGACAAACAAAATCCAAGTTTTGACTCCGCGGAGGTGGATGAGTCAGCAGTTCATCGGCCACCGAGATTCAGGTATCTTGCCACTTCTTTGTTCTTGTTCTTATATCTGTACATTATTTTGGAGTTTTGATAGCTTTGTTAACGCAAATATGACTGGCAGATATGTCTTGCCAACGCGGCTCCGAGGTGTTTCGTCAGTAGCCACCTTGAGAGCTTCGACAGCTCCTTTGTCTTTGTCCGGGCGATTCTCCGCAGCTTGTCCTCGGAACCAGAGCTCAGCGTCTACGGTCAAGGAAGAAAATAAAAAGAGCAAAGATGAGACTGAAGAGGGAAAGGATAGTGCGATGACGCGCCGTTTGGCCCAGATGACCGAAGATGCCATGTTAGAAGGTGGACGATCAGCGCGTCGTAACATCGAGCATGCCGGTTTTTCGGAAGAATTGAAGAAACAGTTGGAAGAGCGAGTAGCCGCAGCTTCATTCACGAGCAACTATGCTGCAGCTCACTCTATAGTAAATATGCCAGTAAGTAAACCGCCGAGTATACAATCGATCACTTGTTAACCCATACCCTATTACAGGCTGGTGCAGGCCAAGGAACAAGGGAAATGGCCGCTGCTCCTGCATGGACAGGACAAGAACAATTGGAAGATACAACTCTACGCATGCTAGACGACGCAAGCAAACCAATCCGCATGCCCTACAAAATTCCCCAACCAGTCAACCTCCAACCAGCCCCAAAACCAAAGAAGTCTCGTGGCCACCGCTTAGCAGAGGCGAAGGAGCGCACATCCACTTATGCACTGAGCCAAGCACCCGGCTTCTCAGAAGAAGAGCGCGAGAACATGCGCCACCAAATGCGCGAGAACCTATCACCCGGCGCGCGAAGCATGCCCATCTCCATCTCAGGTTTGTCGTCACTAGCAGACGAACGAATCGAAGACGCCATCGCCCGCGGCCAGTTCAAGTCTATCCGTCGCGGCAAGGGCGTCAACACCGAGACGGATCATAATGCGAACAGCGCTTTCATCGATACAACCGAATACTTCATGAACAAGATCATCCAACAACAGGAAATTGTACCGCCATGGATTGAAAAGCAGCAGCAATTAGCTTCGGAAACGAGTCGCTTCCGCAGCCGTCTCCGGGCAGACTGGAAAAGACATGCTGCCATGTTAATATCCAGCAAGGGCGGATCCCTAGAGGCGCAAATGAACCGCGCAAAAGCATACGCAGCTGCCGAAATAAGGCTAGCCGAGAAAGCCAAGCTGGAAGCTTCGCTGAGTGAAGAACAATCCGTTTCTGAGATCAACACCGATGGCCGGATAGTTCACAAAGCCGAGGCATCCTCGTCGTCATCTACAGCCAATGAAAGCAGCGAAGAAGCGTCTGAAAATCTTGCTCCTCTTCCTCCGTTACGGGATGCGAATTACCTTGCTATCGAGCGTGCTTATCATGAACTTGCTGTGAAACAGATCAATTCGCTTGCGCGTTCGTATAACCTCCAGGCTCCGCCTAGTGCTCGAAAAGCTTATCTTAATCTTGAACGAGAACTGAAGGCCTGCTTTGCAGAGGTAGCACCTCAGCTGGCAGAAGAGATTAGACGTCGGGCGACTGAGCGTGCTCGTCCTTCGTCGACTGTTACGCCGGCTTCTAGTGCATTTGGGTCTTTGGGTATGGCTCAGTCTGCGCAGGTTCGTGATGAGGACAAGGCGAAGGGGTATGGGATGAAGGAATTGTGGAGGGATTTATTCTCCAAGTCGTGACTGTATTTCCTTCTTGCTCTTCATACTGTGTACAATATTGAGGTTGAACCGGCTGGATAAGGGTAAAATATTGATTGATATACTCTCCTCATCTCTTTTCACGTCCGGGGTATTTGTGCTTGCATAGCAAAGTCTTAGAATGTGCCCCAGGTCTCACTTCTCAAGATAATCATATAATTCAAGCAAAAGCGTGCCCATACATGGAATCTCAAGACTTCAACACAGGCTCTACCTCCATACATGAGTCGCCAACATGCAGAACGACGAACCCATAGTCGCCAGGCCCCATAGATTCAGCAACGTTCTTCAGTACAGCCAAGTCCACGCCGTAAGCCGTCATAGCGGCCTGAAAATCCTCATAACTCATAGACCCAGGAAGACGAGTACTGCTGGCAGTTTTGCCAACTTCATTGTCCCTAATACGGGTCCGCGGTCTGGTCCTGTACACCAGGTAAAGCAAAAGTCCAATTTTAAAAAGGAGGATTACCACAAAGACAATAGTCAGGTCCCCAATAATCATCATGCCAGCATTGAGCCCCTGTCTTCCTGTCGCAACACCTGGGATTCCTAGGACGACAAAGGCGGCACTGAAGGCAAATTCCAAGAGGAATTTCATGACAAGAAGGCGGAGCGAACGCCGGTATTTAGAGTCCATAATGTTTCGCAGCTGTTCAGGCATGAGGTTGTGGGCTTCACGTAAAAAGATAGCACGGAGCGCCTTGCAGACAGAGCATAAGAAGAGGTTCCAGCCGATGATCAGGAACACAGAACCCACTGCGAGCGCAACGGACTGATCGAATCCCGCGTACATCCCAAGATAGCCATGGGTCGGCAGCCAGTTGTCAACTGGTGGAGGGCCCCTGACGCCGAGGAAGGATTCAGTCATGATATAATCGCCTCGCTTTCGTAGTGGAATAATAAACTGGTGCCAGGGAATCTTTGGCCAGCCCCCTTTCGGCCAACCCGCTTGCTCTTGATCAGAATCGCCGAATGGGAGGCGTGATATGATTTCAACGTTTCCGACCCAGATCTCGTTGATGGCGTTTCCCTGGTCGTAGAAATGTTCTGACTTCACCCCGTGCACAGCGGAGACCTTGGCCCCCATTCAAAGGCCGAGCTGTGGAGAAAGAAATGGATTATGATGATTCGTGTTGGACTAATGTCTTATATCGATGCGGATGAGTGATAGTAGAATGTTCTGATGTACGAGATGAGAGATGAGAGATGCGAGGAAGGGAAATGAAGAGCGCGCAGCCAGAGAAGAAGTCACAGAGAGAGAAGGAGCCTTTCGAGGCCGACTTCCCTTTGGGTGACCACGTCACTTTTCATCATCTCATCGCAAGAAACATCCGTTTTCACACTTTCTGATCTCATTTGAATGGGTTGAGATGGCCACAATTGAAAATGGATTCCCAAACCTGGGAGAGATTCTGTTGAAATCCTACATCTTGGGATTCCGACGTAGATGTGAGGTTAGCAATGAAGCCCTAAATGTTGATGTTGATAGACAGTGAAGAAGTATACTCGATGCCAAGCCTTGATCACCTCAGCCGATCCTCGTGCTGTGAGTGGCCGCCGCCAAGTGACGATCGTGCATGAAGGCGCGTATTTGCGACCAACGACAGGCGCAAACTCACTGATGCTCGATGTTTCTTCACTTCGTCACATCCTATAAGCTGCTCTGATACGAAACCCCTCCCCTGCCGCCCCCATCACTTTGGAACATGTATCACCTCAATCCCTCGAGTGGGATTCGTCTGAGGCTTCGACATGTCGATCAAAAGTGACTGCACCTGCTCTTAAATTTGTTCTTTTCTCTCCTCTCTTATAAATCACACGGGTGCCGGAAATGAATCCCTCCCCGGTTGCCTTTTTTTTGCGTTTGTCTTTTCTATTTCTGCATATCACCCCGGTCCTAGGGGCTCAAAAGATCCGACGTGCCCAACCTGAACCAGATGCTCCTCGCATCGTGAATAAACCACTCCTCGCAATTCAGATTGGGAGTATCGTTGGCGCCTACGTGATCTTCGTTGCTGTCCTCCTAGCTCTGCTTCTGTTCGTCGGACGTCGTCTACGTCGGACAGTCCAGTCCTCCAACTATACACTGCATATGGAGATGCTAAAGCCTGTCAGACCGCCTGTCAGCATGGATCCCAGCCCAATCTCGCCTATGTCGCACAACCTCCCCAGTCCTAAATCCAGTGGGTTCAAGTCCTGGGGCTCATTGCACAGAAGTACCAGACCTTCTCAGCCTTCTGTCAACGGCAGCATGTTGACCGTCGATGAGTCTATCGTCGCCACCGACCGGCAGCGTGCCCAAGATGAGATGGAGATGCTGTATGCTGCTGTCATGGAGCACGATGCCAAAAAGGCCTCAGCCCCTGATGTGTCCGGGAAGGAACCCGAGTACTATGCCCAGTCCCCGGACAGCCAGCTCACCAATCCATTCACGGATCGTGGCTCCCATGGCTCTGACAACTCACTGGCACCGTTGAAATCCCCAACAAAGGGATTCAACAGCTCCCGCCTGTCAAAGCTATTCAACTCGGGCTCCCGTGCGAATCCAGATCCGAGCAAGGTGCGCTCCCCGCGTCTGGCCCTCCGCAAAATGGCCATCTCATCCCCAATGGCTTCGCCAGCGGCTGCTACTCCTCAAGCCCATGAGTTTGATAACCCACCACTCTCACCGCGGATATATAATCCCGGTCCTCCGCCAGTGGTGCCAAGACAGCAGCAGCCGGCAAGCCAACAACCAATGATGCAACAGTCCATGCTCAGTCCAATCAAGCCAGCCCCTGGTCGTGCTCGTGCACCGGCACCTCTAGCCCTAGCCACTGCATCGCCGTCATCATCTCTTCCCTTCCGTGAGGCCTACCCACCACAAAGTGCCCCAGCAACCAAGACCACCATTCTGGAACGACCCGTCAAACCCCGGACGGGCCCGGTTACCGGCATGGCGACACCATACAGCCCATACATGCCCTTCACACCTGTAACCCCCTTCACACCAGGGCGTACAGTGACAAAGCGCCAGCGCAAGCGCGAAGAGCGTAGCAATGGTCTGCAAGTATTAAACGAAGACGATTTGGTCAAAGGCGACGATGATATCTGGGGATGAACAAATTGTACGGAAATCGGCGTTGCAGTGATTTTAACCTAAACTTATAGCCCACGGGCAATGTTCACACACATACACTGGCTGTATATTCAGTCCCCTTTTTTTCATATCTAACATGACATATCAATGAAATCTAACGTTAATGCCCATTCCACCACCCACACCTATACTATGTCCATCTCCATACCATCCCCGTAGCGCATTGAAATCACATCTTCTCCCTCAAATGCTCATTCCCCTGCACAATAGCATCCGCATAATGACTCCTAGCACCCGCCCGCTCAAGCGCCAAAAGCGCCTGAATCGTACAACCCCTAGGACTAGAAATGCTCTCCCGCAGCACAGCAGGATGCGTCCCGGCCTCAAGCGAAGCAGTCAATCCCCGAATCCCCTGTAACACAATCTCCATCGCATCACCCCGTTTTAACCCCTCTGCCACACACCCATCTAGCAATCCCTCAATGGGGAGCGTCAGTGCCGCAATCGATGCGCCCACAAGCACGGTTGCTAGCCCTGTCTGGTTGACGGGGAGATATTTTATCTTTCCAACCTGATTGAAGATCCATTCTGTGATTTCGATCATTGGCGCTGGTGTGTTTGGTGATTCTTCGAGGATTGTCATTGATTCGCCGTATTCGGCGCCCATGTTTGGGATTGCTTTCATTATTACTGGGTCGGGCAACTTCTGGCTTTCGCCTTCTGATCTAGTTGCAGTTGAAGCTCCAGAGCTCTGGATGATCGAGAGAAGATTGTTAGCACTTTGTCCGGCAAGCATGCTGATAACCAATTTGCCGGCCAGGGCTTCGCGCACACCATTTTCGCTGAGGACGTCGTCCGCCATGAATGGTTTGCAGCCTAGGATTATAACGTCCGAATCGCGCATTGTCTGGACGTTTTCTCCCGAGACAATTTCTACTTGGTGGGCATTGTGGCTTGGAATGGATGATTTGAGGCGTTCTGCGGAGGATGCGGTCTTTGTGCAGGCTTTGAAGGTTGTTATTGGTTGTTTGGTGGTTGAGGTGTTTTCTTGGTTGGCTGGGAATGCGGAGGTTAGGATGCCGTTTAGGACGGCTCCGCCCATGTTTCCTGGTGTTTGTTAGTCCTGGATGTGGAATTGGGTTGTATAGATTGGGTGTTTGGTGGGTATTTACCACATCCGATGAAGCCTAGGGTTTGGCCTTTGGACATTGTTGTGGACTTTGAGTTTGTCGAGGTGTTTGGGGCGAATTGAGGTCAATTGAGGAGAAATTGGAGAGTTGGGGAGGGGTTGCCTTGTATGGTCTCTGAGTCACGGGTCTCGGGTGATGCATCCGAGGGGGTCGGTGGTTGGTGCCGATGTTTCGGTTCTGGATATCTGTATAGGCAACTTGATACATAAGATGATCTCCATTGGAGAGATCTAGCTATTTCAATGGCGCTGGAAGAGTGAGGAGAGACAAGGGACATGATACTACTTTCTGGCGTATGATACATCGTTCTACTGGGAGCACTTCATGCTATGGCAATCAGTCGCGAGCAATTCAAACATGATGGCCATGAAGAAAATGGTAAGAAAATAAATGCAACCAAATGCTGATGATTCGTTACTCGTAATGATCTCATTAATGCGACCCTCAAAGAACAGGCGCTTCCCAGAACTCGCGCTTAATCTTCATAACAGCAGATTGCTTATGCGGGAAGCTCACCTCGCCTTCTTTGTAGAAGCCAGCTTCCTGGAGGTAATTGATGAGCCTGAAGAGAAGAGGAAGAGTCAGCATAACGAAGCAGAACACAAGAACAGAGAGGGATGGAGGAAAAACATACTTAAGATTATCAACCCTAGGCTCCAAAACCACCACCTCGGTGCGCATATCAGCCAAAAAACAATGATGAACCAAAGCACTCAACCAAATCGCAACCCGATGCGCACCTCGGAATTCCTGCTCACCAACAAGCAGATGAATTCCCCGATCGTAGTTATCAACCCGGTCAAGCAAACGACCCAGCGGATCCTCCTTCACCCAATAGATCTCAAAGTACCCAAATGGCTTCCCGTCCCAACATCCAATAACAGGGAACTTATGCTTGCTCGTCAAATTCGCAAGCAGGAACTTTTCCTGAGCGGATTTCGGTCCACCCTCTGACCACATCGCCTCGACGCGCGGGACATTCATCCACCTATGCAGGGTGTCCACGTCTGAAGAGACATTCTCGCAGAGGTGCTGTTCGATACTTATCACGGATGATGTAACCGGTGTTCCTGGGCGACTACCACTCGCACTACCGGTGCCGCTACCACCCTGGCCCGCGTTTGGTTGTGTCATGGGCACAAAGGGAATCCGGAATGAGAGGTACTGGCTCACGCTAGGAATATAGCGCACGTAAAAGACCTCGCCCTGGTGCGGTGGTTTCGGTCGCACAGGGTGTCGCACGCCGTGCGTAAAGGTGTATTGGGTTGGAGCGGGCGGATAGTATGTTGGCAGGTGGCTTCCCGACGTGAAGGGGCCTGCCGAGGTGAATGATCCTACATTTGCAGTGTGGAAAGTTGCTTCTGTTGGCGCTAATGTTGTTGAGCTTTGTAGGCCGTCCAGGGTTGGGGATGGGGATGCTTGTCGTGAGTGGTATGGTGTCAACGACGGAGATGGTGAGCCGGGAGCGCGTGGTGTCAGAGTAAAGAGGAACAGACGCGGGTCCAGTTGCCAGAAGCTGCGGCGGCTGACGAACATGTTGGACCAGCTGCTTGAGTCTTTTGTTTCGATTGGCTGTAGGCCTACTGAAGAGTCCTCTGTTGCTATTAGGCCCATTCGCTCGAGCTTCTGGAGCAGGTTTCGGCCTTTAAAGATGCCTTCGCGCTTGATGTTGACGCGCCATTCGCCTTTTGGTCGTCCGCTGTTTGGTGTCAAGCTTGACGCCGCTGTCTCGAGGTGCAGGTCTGGTTCTGGTTCGTGGAAATACCACCACATGGTCGCCCACAGCATCATGGCGATCTGGCGAGTGGGCGACGTAACGGGCTTGAAGTCACTCGAGGGTGGGTTGACTATATATGAGATGTAGAGCGAATCGCGGTTCAAGGTGGGGGTGGTGAAGCGCGTAATGTTATCGTCATCGTTGGCGCGCTCATTACCTGAATTTGAGACTTTGGTCACATCTTTCGGCTTCTCAGTGTGTATAATGATCGTCCATCCCGGTGGAAAGGTGGGGTTCTGCTGGACGTTGAAGTCGGTGGATTTGAAGGTCACTCCACCAAAGACTGGCGAGACAGTAAAGGTGAGGCCATTGGGCAAGTTGCAAGTGGTGTATCGCATGGTGAGGTGGTTCAGAGAGGAAGGGAAAAAAAAAAAGAAAAGAAAAAACCAGGAACAGGTCCTTCTTATTCCTTTGGCTTTGGCCCCTCACTTGCGGGGAATGAACAGGGACACAGCTGATAAAGTCTCTCCAATATTGAGGAATGAATTCGTAATGTGAAGGAGAAGAGTGGGAAAAGGAAGTCCACCCTCAGTCCACACTCTCGAACTCGTCCGATCTTGGACATGGATGACGCATAACATCAGCCCACGCGGAGAGAGCTACCTCATTAAGGTACTTTTGTCTTTTTGACTGCTTCCTTGTACCTTATGCATAGCTATTATTGATATTCTCTCTACTGTTGATATTTTATAGGGTGCTGTTTCCCAGTTTGTTTGTGTGTTCTCGTATTACTTTTCTACATAGCTCGGGCGCTATTCCAACGGCTCGCAGTCGAGAATTTCTTGGCACATTATAGACCAATAGACATGAAGCAATAAACAAGCAAAGGGTATTCTAAAAGTCCTCCACTGTGGTTCCCAGCTTCCGCTCCCGCGCCAAGCGCACCAAATCTCCGCCGGTGACCAGATCCATCAATCCAAGGCCAACCGATTTGTAGATCACATTGCCGCGTTGCGACCATTCGCGCAAGCTCTTCTCCTCATCTACTGTCTCGGCTTGTCGATGAGCATCACGAACCATCAGCAGTTCACCTAGTTCAACAACCTGTTTCGGCTTGATTCCGGCTTGGATAATCTCGCCTGCTTCCTTGACGGCTGCGTCGAGACTGTCAACTACAACCACACCACTGCGGTGGATGTGCTTGTGGAAGTGGCGATGCGGCGGCTGCACGTTGACCTCGTCCCGGAGGATATCGGGGTGAATCTCGGCCATGTGGGCCTTGTATGACCCAATCGCACAGATTAAGCGGCCCTTTTGGCGGCCCTCGCGCGAGGTAATGAATTCCGCAGGGAAGAGCGGCTCAGGCGAGGGAGTGCAACAGAAGATCGCGTCGGCCTTGCGCACATGCTCCTTCAAGATGCGACTGTACTCGCCGAACTCGCTGCTCATCGCTGAGAATTTGATGTCTCGGCGCCATTCGGTGTTCTCGGGCGCGTAGATGTCACGCAAGAGCTTGGCGGCACGGTCAAAGGAACGGTTCACAATGTATACTCGGCGAATGTCCTCGCCACGAAGAACAAGCGCCAAGCGGATGTGCCAATAGGCCTGCGTACCTGCGCCGAACACCAGAAGGGTGCGCACCTTCTTGCGCTTGTTGAACATCATCAGCGAGGCCAGGGCCGTGCGGAAGGCTGTCAACTCATGCGCGTTGATCAAAGCAAACGGCAGACTTTCGCCGTCCAGTAGCGTCACACTGCCGCGAGGCGATGTGTCACGAGTGCCTGTGCCCGGCCAAGCGCCAAGTGTTTTGGAAATGCTGCCGGTCACATTTTGCTGGTTGACACATCCAGTAAGCAGGGTTGAGCTATCTGTGCTGCTTCCCGTTGTGACGGAAGGGCTGACTGATTTGTCGTCGTCCTCTTCCTTATCCTCATGAGAAGAGCCAACAGACAAATCACTCATATCAGAGGAGATTGAAGCCACTGAGTCACGGAATGAGCCCCGCTTGCGGGCCGAGACCTGCTCTTGTTCTTGGACCTCGATGGCGTCACGTTCAACAGCACAACCGGCAGTGCCCCCGTCCTGCAGGGAAATCATCTTGATGCCAATCGTCTCGCCCGTAGTAGCGGGCATGAAGAGTGTTGTACAACCATTGCGACGGGTGATAGCGGTTCTCTGGGGCTGGAAAGCCGCCGAACAGCCCTTATCCTGGGAACCACTGGAGTATTCACGTAGAGCTTCGGCAAGGTTGCGCTGTAGATCGACAACCTCGTCACGAGAGAGGGAGTGCAGCAGAGTGCGGAGCTGCGATCGGGAGAGGACGGTAAGAGGCATGAGGGCGATTTGGGAGAACGGAAGGTTGAAAAGGAAAGTGATCTGGGATGGAGTTCCAGTCAGTCAAGCGCCAAGATAAGAGTGAAACAGCGCGAGACCTGATCTATTTGCCCGCCACAAAAAGGCGTGGGCCCTAGCTTAAAATAGGTCGGGCGTTCAGCAGCGAAATTGGCCGGAGATGACGACTGTGAGGTGGGGGAGGAGCGGGGTGATCAGCAAAGTGATGAATCAGTGTCTCTTGACAGGATGTTTGGACAGCAATAAAGGTCACAAGAGAAGTTCATCAAGGGCAAGTACAAGTGTAGATTGAACGTCAGGTCTGTGCCCAAAGACAAAATCGAGACTATCGCAACCGGAGATCCCTTCCGCATTCGGCAGATGAAGCCAAGCCCAATGCGGAAATCTGTATATCATGATGCCTGAGGCCACAATCTGATAGACGTAGGGCTGCATTCACGCTATTGTTGCTAACTTATGGGGCTACATTGACGTTTTATATATAGCGGAGTAAATAATTTATATTATTATCACGAAGGACAACCCAAGCCTTTTTCTAACTACGTGAACGGATGAAAACATACCTTGACCAACCAATAGCCGAGAAAGTAGTATATTGCGCATTGATATATAAGTGACAAAAGTTTGACAATCTACACACATAGTAGATCTACCCTCAAAAGTCTCCACCTCTTTCAATGCCTTGGCCACCGTATCAACCAACTGCTCACAATCCTTCAACCCAACACTCATCCGCAGAATATGCTGCGGCACCCCATACTTGGGGACCTTCTCCCGATTCCAATAATTAGCCAACTGAACATAAGGAATAACAAGCGTAAAGTTTGTCCCAAAGCTTGATCCTTTGCACACATCAAGTACATTATAGAAATACTCTGCACTCGCCGGATTGTGGAAGATTATACTCAGTACGTTACCGTATCCTCCTTCCTTTCGGCGGAGGCATTCATATGTTGAGGCTGTCGCTGCGGTGGATGGGTGGTGTACCGTTGCGATAGCTTTATGTTTGCTAAGGAGCTCCACCAGTGGCCGTGCATTGGCGTTGCATTGTTTCAGGCGCCAGGTCATGTTTTGGCAAATTTCATTTAGGGTAAAGGTGTCCAGCGGGAAAAAAGATTCTTCGTATTAAATGTATCCTATTACTATAAATAGGTAGAGAAGTATATGACCCAAGAGCTCAGAATTGAGACGTCTCGTTCAAATTGAATAGAGTAGTGGGGGAAATGCTGACTGCATGAAAGTAGCAGTGTATCGGATTCTATGATATAAGACTTGCCATGAGTAGTATAGCAAAACAGACGTCTTTCTCTTCTTTAAACCATTTCTGTTTTCTCCCGTCCTAATTTTCATACTACCCCTAGTGGCCGACCTAGTTCGCAGATCGGCTGCCAGTGTCGGGTCTCCCTCTTCAATGGTTTCTTGCCAAGCATTTCTGAATCCAGCCGTCCATTCCAACAAACAAAATAGATGCGTATAAGGATGATATAATATTGACACCAATATGACCAAATTTCTTGTTAAAATATGATAGATGACAACAAGACTAGGTGTGGTCATACTGACTACAACCACTGACGTTTGGTTGACGGATCAGTACTGGAACGGGGTTGTGACGAAGGTTTTCCGTTCTATCTAAATTACATACGAGTCAAAATCTAGGGCCTGAAGCCCTCAGCAGCCTAACAATTTGTTACTCTTCTTTGTCGCTCCCATGTCCAAGTGACATAGTACGGTAAGGCTGTCTCCACGACTTTGCTAAACATGCGAACTCCCATGCAATCCCAATGCTGTGCAATGATCACTTTCACCCATGTTGTGCTCATGAATTAGTAATTCGAATGACGCTACGATGATTTTAAATGTCTATCATAAGGAGAATAGAATTACTTGGATGTCCAGACCTTGGTAAAGCATTCAATGGTGAATTCTGAAAGTCTCAATGACATCCTCATGGTATGACGAGAACATCGATTCATCATTAACTCATTAAGTTTGCGATGATCTAAATTTTGAGTCATATACATCATGGAGCTAATAATATAACTATGAAGCGTTTCTGAAACTGTATTCAGATTATTCCTCGGTGTTAAAGCGAAACGTACATGATACTCTAGCATCAAGTCCCTTATTTTTTGATATTGACCTCAATATGTTAGCTGGACCAAGACAGCCCGCGCCTCTTCGTCGGATCATAACAGCTCATGATTCCACAAGCGGTCGAGCTATTTTCAGCAACGCTATTGGGGAGCAGGTATCGTTTACTGGCTTCCCGGTCCCGCCTGGCAAACCCACAACATCAGACTATGCTCTGGTCTATAACACAAGTACATTTCCTGTACAAGGGCTTTCTCCTCCAACTTCTGCAACTCCTGAGTCCAAAGCCAATCTTGACATCAAGCACTATCACTCCCAGCTTTTGGATCCATCGCCTTTGAATCCGCCAAACGGCACCTCCTGCACGATTATTGAGGTACCTCCAGGTTCAGAGGTACCGATGCACCGAACAGCGACCCTCGACTATGGTGTCGTGATTGATGGCACTACAGAGTTAATCCTTGATTCCGGCGAGAAAAAATTACTGAAGAAGGGTGATGTATTTGTTCAACGAGGTACGGCTCATTCTTGGCGGAATATGGCTGAAAAGAATGACATTTCTGGTGTTTTACGTGTCTTCTTCGTGTTTCAACCTATCGATCAAGTGCGACTGGAAGGCGGAAAGGTTATTGGTCAGGACTTGAATCTGTCTTTGCGTCAGACTTAAAGTTATGAGTAGGGGATGGGGGTATCACTCGAACCGCAAAAAATTGAAGTAAGCCACGTTAGGTCTGTTAGGTCTCGTCAATTATTTAGTTTCAGAATCTTGAAGAAAAGACCCGGTTTTATGTTTTTACGGGTGTATTCATATCATCACATCATTTCAAGTATGGCAAGCAATGCCTTTCTTTCTCTTCAAGCCTAGGTATAGTATAAAAAGAGATCTTTATTGTGGACGTCTCTATTCAGCACACATGTTACTGGAAGGATTGCGGGGAAATACCCATCACTGTGAATTTCTAGGAGGTCTTTTCTGAGCTTTTGTTGTAAAAGAAACAGAATAGTGAAGGTATATGACATGCTCCCTGGATTCAAGGTGAGTATTCTCAAAATATCTTCGATATTTACTGCAATATGATTTCAAAAGGTATATTTTTCACAATTTTGTTGTTTGAGCGCCCAATCTATAACGAAAAAGAAATGAAACACGCAAATAGCATTTGAACTTGTTAAGAAAAAAACTTTTCTTCAGCATAGTGAAGCTCAGAGTACTGTTAACGTAGGAGCTCCTGGTGCTGGAGGAGCGGAAAACTGTGTTTGGACAAAAACCTTCTGCATACCCTGATGGCGCTTATTGAATAAGTCATACACCGTCTCCATATCCTCGAGCTTGAACCGGTGGGTGACCATGTGCAGGGGATGGATCTTCTCCTGCTGAATACACTTCAGGAGGTCTTTCCAATATTTTTGCACAGGAGATTGTCCATTGCCAGTGAGACGGATCCCAGTTTCCATCAAGGAACCGATGTTAAAGTGGTTACACTGCATTCCGACGTTAATAATGTCTTACCCTAGAAAAGGTACCACATACATAGCCGGCATATACACCCGTGACACCACAGCGCCCGAACGCTCGGACAGAGGTAATCATCTCGTTGATCAACTCAGAAGTATCCGCTTCCATGCCTAGCATTCTCTCGAAGTAATGAGACCATCCTTTCGTATACTCACCGGAGGCGCACTCGATCGCCACATCGGGTCCCCGGCCATCACACATTTTCTTCAGAGTTGAGGTAACAGATTCGCCCGCTGGGAGGTTCGTATACTCAACTGTCTCGAGCTTAGGTAAAATTTTCTTGACAAAGCCTAGTCGCCATTTTCCATCACCACCATCAATAAGGATAACTCTATCGGCACCATTGAAAAAGCTGAATTCAGCTGCCATTTGTCCAACTGGACCAGCTCCCCAGATTGCCACAGTGTCACCCTTCTCAACCCCAGTGTCGACAACGGCGTTCCAAGATGTTCCTAGCACATCTGAAAGGTAGAGTCCTTTTTCATCAGGGACGTCGTCGGGCAGCTGAAGAAGATTCACGTCACCGTAAGGGACGCGAACAAATTCCGCCTGCCCACCGGCAAAGCCCCCCGTGAAGTGGGAGTATCCAAACATGCCTAAGATCGACCTTAGTATGATAGCTTCACTAAGATAAGCATAGCCGATGGAAGAGGAAGCATACCAGCTGTTCGACGCCCATAAAGTTTAGCGGGAGGCTTGCTCGAATTCGTCCGCTCACACATTGAGGACAATTTCTTCTTGCAGTAATAACACTCCCCACAGGCAATTTGAAACGATGCCACAGCGCGGTCGCCTACTTTAACTTTCTTAACTGCCGGTCCCACACTTGCGACAATACCGCAAAACTCGTGGCCGAGGATATCACCTTTCTGGAGATCTGGGATAGCCTCTATAAATCGATAACGAATACCGCATAAGCAGATAGATCCAACGATACTTCGCCAACTGAAAAAGATTCCCGACATACCGTGGAACAGGTGTAAGTCACTCCCACAGATAGTGCTACCGGTCACCTTAAGTATGATATCGCCTTCATCGATGATCTTCGGGCGAGCCGTCTCCACTATGACAAATTGTATAAGCAATAAAATATGAGTCGAAAGAGATTGACATGAAAGTCGTGATGGGCAGAGTCACTAACCAATTTTGACCGAATTCTTCCCTTGCCAGGTCAAAGCTTTCATCTTATGGCCTAGTTCCCCATAACCCTGACTCCCATAGTTGCTGACGTCTGTGGTGACCGAGGTAGGCATTGTGAATGTTAATTGAGGAATTCTGCTCGAATCGATCTTCTGAAGATAATGATGTATTTTCGTTTGATTAATTGGTTTTCGGCCAGACAACTCAAGGACCAAATTACCGAAAGGAGGGATATATATCTCTTCCTGGACAGCGCATTTTCGGGGTTTCTGACATCATCCTTCATGTCTCCGTGTCTACATCACCATGATTGTATCTCAGCCAAACCTATGAAGCGAAGGGGCGAGTTCAGATTGTGAATCTCGTGTCATCTTGGCATCATACACGTCATTGGCCAGGTAGATTTTAGTGAGAAGCTTCGTCTTTACGTGAATCTAGACTGGCTGGGACCTATATGACTTCCACATTATAAACTCATTGATGGGAATGGACCTCCGAAGGGCCTATAGGACCACAGTAGGCTCTTGTCCTTTCAGTAGGCCCACATATAATTGACTGCCAGTAACATTCAACGACCGGGATTGTTCGGGAAAATCCAATTACTGACTAGTAATCCAATTCCACCATGCTTTCCGGTAACAGGTATAACGAGGCCTGGCAGGTGATGGTGGGTCACTCAAGAAAGACCAGTCAGCCTGATTATCCGATTCCTTTTTTCTGAGGGCTCACAGGCCAAGAGGCATTTATAGGGGTTTCACAAGTAAGTTTACGGAAGTATTAAAGCAGAGGCAGAATAATAGTGACTATAAGCCACTGCCCGATTTAGAGTAGCCGGTCCACGTGACGAAGGTCAATTTGAGTGAAATAGAACTTGGCTTGAACAATTACTAGGATGTATATGCTATTCCTCGCAGAATTACTCTGCTAGTAAATATTGCCAGGCGGAAACTACAATTGTACAGTTTAACCTGACTTCTACAGCTCGATAGTTCTTGCGATGTAATATAGTTGATCTTGAACTATATGCAACTATAAAGGTCACTTATTTTAAACGTAGAATCTGTATCAATCAGCTGGCAAAGCCACTAGATCAGATATGGAATTAGAATCCCTACTCATTCCACAGACTTGAAGATTCGATAGAGAGGGCATCAGTCCAATGAAGGAACTCCGTCCCCACTTGCTCAATTGGGCTCTCTACATGCTGTGCATACAATCTGACTCAAAACAGCCAACCACTTCAGCTTAACAATGGCATGGATAATCATGGTCGTTGACAGTATTTGGCCAGGTTGATCGGGGAAGACATTGTCACTTAGTGTTTCTTGGCATTCGGGGGCTGAGAAACAGTACAACAATGCGAATATGGACGACACTAGCCCTTTGGAGTAATTACATATATAACCTGATAATCCTAATAGGAGGATCATATTTGCCATTTCTCAGGTGTTCGCAGCGTCACCCGACACTATTGCCTAAACGCATGCAAGGAGGCAATGGTTTGTTATTTCTTTTCCTTCATTGAAAATCTTTCAGTCTCCATCAAAGCCACAAGAGCTTTCAGGAAACCCCTCTCAACCATATCCAGGTGCTGCATTTGCCTTATCCGGTTGTAAATGACTTCGCTTCCTATGGGTTCGACATGGGGCCGTCACTGGCGCTCGTCAGCATGGTTTATCGTCACGGCGATTGTCATAGCACTCTTCACCGGTAAGAACTCTCTTCGCTGATTTGCGCTAACTACGAAATAAAACCTCTTAATTTGACTGACGTCATACATCAACAGATACATTTCTGAACAGCTTCATCGTCCCCATCCTTCCATATATGCTTGAGAACCGGATCAGCTTAGACCCCTCCCGCACGCAGAGCATCATTACCTGGTTATTTTTCGAAAGCGCTGCTGTTAGTGTCGTTCTTCGAATGCCGTTGGCGCATTTTGCAGATAAGTCTGCTTCGAAGCGCAAGTGGTTCATGTGGGCGTTGGTCATCGCTCTTACTGGTACTATTGCGACGGCAGCCTCATCGTCTTGTATGTAGAAACTCCTCTTCGTCCTACGGCGGATAGATATGAAAGCTAACCTAATTTTCCAGTGGCTGTCTTGTTCGTCAGTCGGTTTGTGCAGGCTTTCGCCAATAGTATCATGTGGGTTGTGGGATACTCGACATTAGCTGCTACTGTTCCCATTCAACATACAGCCAAAGTATATTCTGCTGTGTCTGTCGCTGGCTCGCTGGGTGCCTCTAGTGGTCCCATGTTAGCTGGTTTGTTGTTCCAACTAGCAGGGTACTGGATGGCATGGACCTTGGCCTTTGCGATCATCGCAGTGGATATCGCTTTTCGTCTGTTGATGGTGGAAACAGCCACTGTTGAGAAAATAGGTATACTCCAGCCAATTTTCAAATGCACATGGAATACTAACATGTTACTTTGAAGACACTACTGAAGACCCTGTTGTCAAACAAGACTCACCATCAGAGAACTCACCCCTCCTTTCGTCCCAGCGCATCCCCGACCGTTATGAAAGCCATAAGCCCCAAGATTCTCCTCAAGCAGCACCAAACTTTTACAAGTGTCTTTTCAGAAAACGCAACTACATCGCCGGCCTATGGTGCTCCTTTATGTTCGGCGTCATATTCACAACATTCAACGCCACAGTCCCACTACATGTCCGAGACAAATTCAAATGGGGTGGACTGGAATCCGGACTGATGTTTGCAGCTCTCCAATTCCCCCGTCTCCTAATGTCTCCCTTCGTGGGTTGGCTGAAAGACCGGATAGGAACACGGATACCAACCTTTTATGGATTTAGCGCGCTGACTCCGTTTCTCTGGCTTTTGGGTATTCCAGGCAGTGGGCTGTTTCGATGGGCGGATACTAAAGACCGGGGACCTGCTCTGTATGTGCTTGCTATGATCTTGATTGGAACTAACTCTGCCTTCTTGAATGCGGCTGGAAGCATTGAAGCTACCATGGCAGCCAAGGAGCTACAGAAGGAACATCCCGGGGCATTTGGTCCTGGTGGTGGTAAGGCGCGTGCCATTGCTCTTTCTGGTGTCTCGTTTATTTTAGGATCTTGTGTTGGACCCGTCCTGGCCGGGGTACTCAATCAGAAATTTGGGTACTATACGATGAACTGCGTTATTGGTAATTTGCTCATTTCTTGATAAACTATTCGATGCTAACCGCTTACAGCTTCGTCGTCTGCTCTGAGTGCTGTTGTGGCATATACTTTCCTCCCAAAGAGGAAATTCCCAAATGAATGAAGTCAATGCATGTTCATAGCACAAAAGCGATTCCCATTCCAAATTTCATACCATCAGACTGTTCAATACCGTTGTCCTTTTACCTTTCTCTGCTATCATATCCTCAACATTACCACCCTCGGAACTATACAACAACCCTCCCCGCACTCAACCTCGGACATCCTCGGTCTTGAGAAACTACTAAAGAAGCAAAAAGAAAGAAAAAAATTCCCGAAAGCCACAACTTTTCACTATATGCAAAAATGACCTCCAAAATCCTAACAACCCTAACCCGTCGCAAAAACCGGCACAGGCACAAGCACCCTAGCGCAAATTACAATAACAAGACCCACAAAGCAAAACGCCCTTAACAGCGCCCTCCTATCCCAACTCAGAACAACGATAAGCCAAATAACAAAAGAAAACAAAGACCTCCTCGCCATCATCCTCACAGGCGCAGGACCCAAATCCTTCATCGGCGGTGCAGACCTTCGGGAAATATCCGCGCTGGAATCACCGGCTTCAGCGCGGATGTTCATATCCAAGGTCCATCTCGCCTGTGATGCATTGAGGAAGTGTCCGGTTCCTGTTATTGCGCGTGTGAATGGGTTTGCATTTGGGGCTAGGTTGGAGGTTGCTGCGGCTTGTGATTTTCGGGTTTGTAGGCGGGGGGCTGCTTTTGGGATGCCGGAGGTTTGTACTGTTCTTTTTTTAATTCTGTTTTTCTCATTGGGTAGAGAGATTAAGTTGACTGGTATTAATATGGGACTATTAGGTTCATCTTGGGATTCCCTCCGTTGTTGAAGCGGCCCTTCTACCAGGTTTGATAGGCTGGGGTCGGACGAGACGTCTACTTTTGCTGGGTGATACTATATCAGCGGATGAAGCGTTGAAATGGGGTCTTGTTGAGAAGGTTGTTGAAGATTGTGAATTGGATATTGTTGTTGAGGAGTGGGTGGGAATGTTGGAGAAGAACGGGCCGCTTGCTGTGCGCAGGCAGAAGGCGCTGATTTCGAGGTGGGAGAGCCTTTCCCTTGAACAGGGCATTATGGCCGGCGTCGAGGCGTTTGGGCAGGAAGGGGGCGGGAATGGGGATGTCAATGGGAATGGGGGGACTGAGCCTGGGAGGATGATCGGGGAGTTTTTTAGGGGCAGGGATGAAGGCAAAGGGAGGGTTTGAGGGGTTGGAAGGGGTGAGGTGTACTTTCTTAGTATGGCGAGGGGATATGAGCTGTAGTCAGTGTTGATAGGATACTGGATACTACACATCTACATGTTGAGGCAAGTGAAATTTGAGTAAGAGTATCATTATCAGTTCGTCCATCATACTGGACATACAAACAGAGAAGATAAGTACATCCATAAGATACATAAAGCAGGTTCTAGTCTGGAGGGCAAACAACAAGGACAAACACCCGATCCACGTATTGGAAGAAACCATCCATGAGATAACCATAATGAAACAATAAGCGACATAGATGAGACGCCCGTTGAAAAGAGAGACCGGACACATGAGCATGAACATGAACGCCTTACCGATCCCGAGGCAATGCAATGTAACGAGTGTTATAGAGAGAAAAGGAAGAGAATAGAAAAGAGACAGGAAAAGGAAATAGCGAGATCATCCCATCCATCTCATTTGGGTAAGGAAAGGGAATGAAACACACGAAAAGGCGGTACAGGAAACATCAAATGAAAACCAATGTGAGCGAAGGGTATTGGCACAAGGCGTATCGACGGGGTGAATGCTTTTGAAGCGCAAATAGGTAGAGAGAAAGTAAATAAAAGCAATAAGATGCTGAGCGGGAAAGATGCAGGGATGCACAAATCCATCGGCGATTAGGTCGAGATATTGTAGATAGAGAGAAATACGAAAAGTGAATCAAGGCCAGCTTGATTTAGTGAGATCGACCGACGCGGCCGTTCATGTAATTGCCAGTGGCGGAGGCGAGGAAGCGGGCAACGAGACCACCACCGTGCGTGTGGCCGTTGACCTTCATCTTCTTGCTGGGCTGGCGGAGGGGCTCGAAGTGCTTGTGCTTAGGTTCGATGGGAGCAACGTTGACGTAGCTGTAGTTCAGGGTTGAGGCGCACGATGGGCTGCGGCTGAGGTCTGTGAGCATCACATCGTCGGCACCACCGTGTGAAGAGACGGTGCTGATGCTTGTGGGTGTTCCCCTTGAGCTTGGGGCCAGACTGGAGGAACGCGAGCAGAGAGAGTTGAAGGTCTCGGCGTGGGAGAGAGCCGGCACATCGCGAACCGAGGGTGGGGAGATGGAACGGTTAAGGCGGCTGGGTGATGCACGCTGGCGGTGGTAGGGGTTATAACGATCGTGTTCGGCGGAGACCTGTGCATTGTGGGCGTTGTGTATGCTCGGACAGGAGACATGGCTTGGTAGACGGCGGAGAGAGTTATCATTTGCACGGCGGCTCTCACCACGGCTTTCGAGCTTTTGGCGACGGAGGCGGCTGGCCAGCAGATCCGCTGATGCGTGAAGACGACGCCTGGGTTTTGGGTTAGCAAAGTGTTATCTGAGGAAGCTGTCATATCTTGCTAGGGCTTACCATTCGCGGTGTTGTTGTTGCTGTTGTTGTTGCTTGCGGATGTGCTCCTCTTCGGACTTGCGCTCACGCTCGAGGGCAATGAGACGCTGGCGGTGAGGAGCAAGGAAGGGTTCGAGGTAGGTGAGAAGGTCCTCTTCGGTGACCCGGGTATCCCAGTCGAGGAGGAAGAGAAGTTGGCGTTCCATCAGGTTGACTTCTGGCAGAGAGAAGCCGAAGCCCTCGAATCCCTTCACCACGGTGTATCGGGCCCAATGCTTGTTCTTGGGGCTTGAGTCATTCAAGTTCTTAGCGGCGAGGATGAGCGAGGCGAGGAAGATGCGGTGGACGGTGCAGCGCATGCCCTTGGCAACCGGGGGGAGACGGGCACGAAGGCGACCGAGGTATACCAGGGAGCTCATCAAAGTGGGCACCTGAACCTGGGAGCGGGCGACGAGTGAGGCGATGAATTGTTCGATTGAAGGAAGGGCAGGCAGGTCGGAAGCTTCCATGGGAGGAGTGGATGGCGGCGTAGGTTGGCCATGCTGGCTGACAGTGTTGGTCACATGGGCTTCACAGCGAATGACCTGAGCTGCTTGCTGGGCCAGGTGCGTCACCATTTCCCGTGTCACTCGCTGAGTGACAAACTCGTCGAGAGCCGCTCTGTTGAGCGACAAGGAGTCCATTGTATATGTGAGTGCGACGGTCGAGCTGGTATGATTAAATATGGCGGCAGACTGCAGACCGAAATAGGGAAATCCAGACAGAGACAACTTGTCTCGGGAGAGATTCTTTGTTCGAAAAGAGAAATGACAATGACAATGTAATGGGTATAGATGAGAAGAGGTTCAAGCACAAAGGCGAAAAAACAGAAACAGAAACAACAAAAGCAAAATTGAAGTAATATGAAGCTGGATCGCTTTCAAATTCCTGGCCAGCAGGATAACTTGACAATGAAGTAGTTCTTGAGTGAAGGAATGTTGCTGTAAGGATAGTTGGGGTTGTCGTGTCAACCCTCTTTATCGATAGCCCTAACTGAGCTTCTCCAGAAAAGTGAGACCCGGAGAATTTATTCGAGACAATTTCCACAATTTATAGCAATAGATCGAAAAAGATGCGTCTGAGGAGAGACAACGATTTCCGAGAGAGCGAGGGAAAGCAGCAAAGAAAAAGGAAAGGAAGGATGGGTGACGACGTTGAGCATGTGGATGAGCCCCGTGAAGAATCCGAGGGAATACCTCTAGATATAGCATCTGGTATGCGCCAGAGGGGCGGGAGGGGGAGATGGATTTCCAGCTGCAAGGACTTTCGTCCAGTCAGAGACCCTGGAGGAGAGTAGGCCAAGCACAGGGGTCAGAGAATAGCCAGAGCGGACCTGCATAGTTGGATCTGAGATGCTCGAACCTTTCGCGCGCGGAGTCTAAGCAAATGATTTGTCGCGGAATGTGGTGGAGAATACTTGATAGACTATTGTCTGTATCCCTAGTTTCACAACTCTACTCTACCGGAGTACTATGGATTCTGGACTTTGTACGACCGAATTAATTTGTCTGTACTGTTACGCACTACAGGATTTTCCATTTCCTATTTCATGTGTGAAAAAGTACTGAAAAAAAAAAAAGAACTAAAAAAATATAGTAGGCGAACGTATCAGGGGGATCTCCCGGGGCGTGGCCAGGGCTCCAATTATTCACCAGCCCCGTCATGAAACTCGCGACCGTCTCATCATTGCGCGAGACGCGGGGGGATGCGATAAGTCTATACTTACAATCCATGGAAATAGATTGCCGCTAACACTTCGATCCATGGATCCTCCAACCTTGATCACCCGATCAAGCAACTATAGATCTCTACTGTCAATAGTACAGCACCATGTATTCACTTTTCTACTCTGTTTTATTCTATCTATCTATTCACAGTAGTCTCTCTCACATTAGTGCCCAATACATGTCAGTTGCCGACCGTGGCAATCCGACCTAACGACACCCCCTAATGCCTAACCGTAGCATGATTCGCCCACATCCGTGCCTGGCATGGGGCAAGACACGCCACGATCCCTGTCAACTTTCCCTTCCTACAGTACTGTACAGGTACCTACAGGCACAGGCATAGGCAAACGGAGTAGGCTCCCCCATACCAAATGACCCCCTGTCACGCCCGCGCCACGAGTTAGCGTGTTCGAGGGGCATCCCGAACATACCAGATGACCCCCCCAGGAGAAGAGGGGAGACGGGGAGAAGAAGGATGAAGAATAATAGTCTTTGCACCTCGCATGAGGGGAGTCACATATTCGCGTTCGTGAATCCTCTGATATCATCCCCTTCAGCCATTCACGGGTTGAGTTTCGTTTTCTCGGATCGGGAGTGAAGGGTGGCGTTGGATGTATCGCGTCTGATCGTCCCAGCCTGGTTCAAATTTTCAATGATGTTCGATTTGAATTTGGTTTTGATTTTCTCCCCGACCCTGGCAAGTATGTACCGTGCTGTAGTATGCATACAACTGTCTAGTTCCATGTCTGTATCCATTCGTGTCCGAGGCTGCGGTCCATGCATGCAATGCAATGTTCCGTGTGCATGCAGAAGCAGAACCACTGTATGGAGTACAGTGCTGTGGTGTGCTCGAGTCTAAAAAAAGATACTTACTATACTCCGTGCTTCTCTTGTTCCAGGGTTCGCCATCACTGCATGTATATAAGCGCCCGTCCTTCCCCCTCCGCCAGCGCTTACACGGTTTCAGCACATAGCGCTTGCTGTGACGTTCTTTTACTGTTGCTAATTTAGATGGCGGTTAGAGATGGGGTTTATTCTATTGATAGAAGGCATGCATGGTATGGTTGTTATTCTTAGATATGGAATGGGCGCGACGGCGGGTTCTTGATCTTCGCACTAGCTCCCGCACAGTTGAGTCTTTAGTATATGAAATGCTTGTTCCAGGATTTGGGCGTCTCGCTGGATTCCATGTTGTTGTTTTGTGTGTCATTCGGTTGGTTGGGAGTGTCTTTCAATGGGCAGTCGTCAGATTGTGGAGAGGCTATGCGCATGAAACGATGTTTCATGAACAGCTTGTTTCAGCTGTGACGTGGACGTTCGTCCGGCGGTTAGAAGATGTTTAAGGTGACCCTGAGATGTGGTTCTGGGTTGTAACGCTGGCGGGAAGGCGGGTGGGTGGAAGCCGTTCCGCTTTACTCTGCTGCATGGCTTCTAGATGGCTTCCTACTAAATGGCTAATACATATTTTGCTTTCTTTATGACTAGAATCTGGGTCACACTATTGAGCAGATTTGTCTGGCGAAAATCACCGATCGCTCTGTGACTTTTTTCCATTTCTTCCTGATTCAAGATCCCGATGATCATGGGTTAATGATGTCAGATGATCACAAAAGACGAACTGTATTATCCATGACCAAAGAGAGTCCTGGGTTTCTCCATTTAACAACGAACTACAAGAGTGCGCTTCGGTCAAGCGGATGGTTGTACAGATGATGCTATGACCGTTGCGATGTCTGTCATGGGGCATTTAGCGTGGTCTGAAGACTTGCGCCTACTTCCACAAAGCCATAAGTGGCCTTTGGGTATTAAATGAAGATGCGACTACTAGGAATGATTCCAGTTTCAAAATGATAATTATGAACAGGTATTGATTGAGAAGGGCTAAACCACCCAACTAGTATAAACTATACAATCTTCACTCAACCCGAAGTATCCAGGATCCCATCACTTACGCAACAACAGCAGAGTAAGAGGAAACAGTGAGATCAGAGGTGCCAGTGAAAGGCTCGGTACCAGCCTGAACGTGAGTGAGGTACAAGCTAGAGCTGAGGCCCTGGTTGTTCTCAAGGTAGGTGAAGAAGTCAAGCATGTCACCGGAAAAATTGGTAACGGTGGAGGAAGCGACAAAGCTGTAGACGGTCATGCTGCCGTTGGGGCCCTTGTAGAGCTTCCAGGAGACACCGTTGATGGTGACAGTGGCGATAGCAGAGCCGGTGGAGGAGATGGGGCCAGCGCCGCCCAGGGCAGCGAGCCAGACCATGATCTCGTACTCCTCGTCGCCGTCCGCGGTGGAGCTCAGGAACATGTCGTAGGCGATGTCGGCGACGACGTTAGTGTTGGTGGAGCTTTTGACGATGTTAGCCGGTTTGTTCGATTTGAGTCTGATGCTTGTACATAGGTTCTGCATACCTCCACTTCCAGTTGGACTTGATGCTCTTGACAGCGCTCAGCTTCCTAGCGGTGAACTGCAGAGCAACGTTGGCGTAGCTCTTGACCTGGTTGGAGGTGCCGGCCCACGACCAAGAGGTGTGCCAGGCGATGGTGCTGCCGCTCAGCGAGTCAACACCGGTGCATTGCTTGCCGGAGGTATCATAGCTCTGGCCCCAGAGGTTGTTGTAGACGATATAGCTACCGGTGGTGGTGGAACCCCACTGGTCACAGAAGTCGGAGCGACGGTTGAGAGTCTTGGTTGGGACGGCAGCGGTGTCGCCCACGGCGGCCAGCGCCATGGTAAGGAGCGAAAGAGGAGCGAAGGACCTCATGTTGAAAAGGAGTTGGTCGAAAGAAATGAATGAGTGATTATCGGTGTAGAGAAGGGAGTTGAACAAGCGTTGTCCATTGAAGGGGTCTGGCTGTTTTATACATGGCCCCTTCTTCTCAAGCGGAAGTTCGTCCGATGGGACTTCGTGGGCTCACGTTCCGTATAGATCACGGAGTGGTCCTGTCTCACATTTTGACATCTTATTCTGCTCCGGACTCCACACGGATAAAATCAGGCTTGAGGCTTGCTGTTCACCCCAGCTCTTGCGTTTCGGGATGCTTTATCCTGCCTATCAGCTGGGCTTGTCGAAAAGGATCGCCGCAGCCACATTCCTCATATCCTTAAAGCTCAGATAATTTTCCACGACTGGCGTGGAAAGGAGACGAGATCGTTTGGGGAAGATCTCCGGGTTAATCTGAGACGACGGTGGAGGATAGCGGGCAATTCGGCTGCGGCTTCTAGAATTCGATCAAATTGCATTTCGTAGCAGAACTGGATCCGCAATTCTTGAAGCTGATCCAGACTAATCTAACGGTTGCAGTATTTGCGACAATTCTCCGAGGAATAGGGGTTTCGTGTTTTCACTGTGGAGCTCGCGGTCCCAGCAAGTTCACCAGTGCCAGTGTGAAGAACTGATGCAGAATTCAAGTTGCAGTCCTGTAAATAGTCATTCTGCAAGGGATTGGCGGAAGGTCGTCGCCGAGCCAGCCACGTCGTCAATATTTCTCCATGGTCTTCGGGGATCTGTACCCCGCAAACTGGCGCAACGCGAAAGACTAGGAGAATATGCTCCATAATACTCAGACTCGTGTAAACTGTGATTCACTGTTAAATGGAACGGAAAACTAGCCGCTTTGTAATGGGCGATGATCGACATGGCCAACGGATGTCGAGTTGAAGTATATATATGTGTGCTCTGCGAACATTCAGTATAACCGGAGACCACAGTAATTTGAAAGTGATCTCAATATATATGCGCCAAGAGAAATGCCAGAAGATATCAACCACAAAGCGCATTCAATAAACAGTAAATCACAAAAGATGTTGGTCGTTCCTAAATCTTTGGTGTTCTATGCCGACTTATGTGCCGCTTTCAATAGTAACGATTTCAATGCCTCGGGTAGTCAATTGATGCTTTTCTTTCCAAAACGATTTGGCTGTACAGTTGTTTTCATTGGTCTCAACAAGACGAAATAGTAAGAGAGTTGTTTGAGAGATCATGTAGATTCTCATGCACAGGCCATACAATGCTGTTTCTCCGTGATACTGCCATTGGAATTTCGCCAGTATATTGCGGCTCTGTCCTTGGGATTCGCATGGTTGCTGCTCTGATTCACATACAAAAACCTCGGGTAGCCCTGGCAAACAACTGATATCGGCAATGATGAAGGCACATAGATCGAGTAATTGGCCAATAGAGGAGTCGGTGATTCGGATTGCGACGATCCGGATGGCCTGTTGCTGACTCAGCAGGAGTAGTGCAAACACAACAAACAGACTCAGACACAACCAAACATAAAAATTATAAAGACTATTTTGTATGTATGAGCATGTAGAGGGTCGGGAGTCGAGGAATATTTAATTGAAGAGATACTGCGTCTCTAATAGTAGAGCAATAACCCAATAAATAAACAGCATGAACTGAGTGCTTTGATCGCCCCACGGGTGGAACTCCGGGGTTTTCGCCAGGGGCCCAAAATTCAATTTAAATGTTTGCCTCTTCCTTTCCCCAGGACCATACCAACACACAAGATGCCCTCCAAATCCTCCAAATCCTCCAGCTCCAGCTCCAGCTCCGGCTGTGGCTGCCGCTGCTTCTCTCTGAAGACCCTCAGCTTCCTCGCCATCTTCCTGGCGCTCTTCTCCGCCGTCTACCGCTACCTCGACGCGCGCCTCGAGCAATTCTACGTCTTTGAACCCGAGCATCTGCACGATCTCTCCCAGCGTGCCATCAGCGCCCACGGCGACGACACTCGCTCCATCGTCAACTTCATTGTTGCCGAGCTCGAGCAGAAGGTCGGCCCCAACTACATCAACACCGATGAGGAGTGGGTGTTCAACAACGCCGGCGGTGCTATGGGCGCCATGTACGTGATCCACGCCAGTATTACTGAGTACCTGATTATCTTCGGTGAGTATCCCATCCGCATTGAGCTTCCTCTCCACCGTTTCCCCTTTCTAACCTCTCTTCCTTTCCTAGGTACCGCCATCGGCACCGAGGGCCACACCGGCCGCCACACCGCCGACGACTACTTCAACATCCTCCAGGGCACTCAGCTAGCCTACGTCCCCGGCGAGTTCAAGCCCGAGGTCTACCCGGCCGGTAGCGTGCACCACCTAGTCCGCGGCGAGGTCAAGCAGTACAAGATGGACGCTTCTTGCTTCGCGCTCGAGTACGCCCGTGGCTGGATCCCTCCCATGCTGTTCTTCGGCTATGCCGATACCTTCTCCAGTACCCTGGACTTCCCTACCTTGTGGGCTACCTCGCGCATCACTGCCCGCGAGATGATCGGCAACTTGATGCAGTTCAAGCTGTAAATTATCTTAACACTTTCGGATTCGGTTACAGGGAGCTGCTGTTAGACACGCCCCGATGTGTTATATGTGACATGTACATCATAATTGGAGGGTTTGTTGGATAAAGTGATGAGGTGTTATTTTTCTGGCGCCGCAAAAGTTACTTGCGAGACTACTTAATGGCTACTGCATAGAGAATTAACTAATGAATGATCGGCTGGCATTGCCATGCTGATTCAGAATCATTGATCAATGTCTCGGTAGATTAGGTCACAATTGCCACGAAAGCAAGGGCTTGATGTAGATGAGATCATATCGGAACCACGCAAGGCAAAGTTGCCTCACGCAATATTGGTGGATGAACATGAGACCAGCATAATTATCAATTCTAGGTCTTCAGCCACAGCAACTACTACTGCCCGATTGCCAATTGCCAAATTCTGAATTAAGTTGTCGCATGCATGCCAATCCCTCGACCATGCATGCGCCTTGACGCGGGGGTATTGTTTTGATATCAATCTGCTTTACTGAACACTACCTTACTCATTATCAATTTCTAGCATAGCAAACCGTATCAGTAACCCTAGAAGCACTACCGGTAAGCCTTGGAAATTGTCTATGCCGTACATACCTAAGCAGTCCCCACCCTGAAACTATGTCGGAAATCCGCCGTCGACGCATCGGACATTTACCGCAACAGCACCTAGCAACACAAGTAGATAAATAGACCATCTACAATATCAAATCAACATCAATTCCAAAGCTCAAAGAATCCAAACAGTCCTCCACTCCACCAAACCCTTCCTTCCATTCCAGAAACCACCGCCAAAATGGGCTCAATCCAAGACTCACCAACACCAACCCTCCAAAACCCCTTCCAAACCCGCATCCTTCCCGGAGAAATAACACCCCCTAATCTCCATAAAACACATAACCACCAACGAAATAGCAATGATGACCAAGATGGCCGGCTTCCACGGCATGTTCATCGACATGGAACACTCCACGCTAGACCTACACTCCGTCGGCCAGCTAATCCTCGCCTGCAACTACGTGGGCATCTCAGCGGTTGTGCGCGCGCCCTCAAAATCGCACTGGCACATAAGTCGCATCCTAGACGCGGGCGCGGCGGCCGTCGTCATTCCTCATGTTGAAAATGTGCAGGAAGTGAAGGATCTCGTGCGCTGTGCGAAGTATGCGCCGCTGGGTGCGCGGCATTGCACGAATAATCAGCCTGTGTTGGAATTTGCGACTGTTCCTATTGCTGTGCAGAATAGAATTCTTAATGTGGGGACTATGTTGATTCCTATGATTGAAACGCCTGGGGCTGTGGAGCTTGCGGAGGACATATTGGGGATTGAGGGAGTTGATGGGGTTCTTGTTAGGTCTAATGATCCTTGTGCTGATCTTGGGAGTCCGGGACTGTATGACGATGAGAGGCATTTGGAGTCTGTTGTTAGGGTTCTTGAGGCTGGGAGGAAGGTTGGGAAACCTTGTTGGTATTGGGGGTATTGGGGGGAGACTTGATCTTTTGGAGAGGTGGTTCTCGTTAGGTGCTACTTGGTCGCTTAGTGGTGCTGATGGGGCTATTTTGCAGAGTGGTATGAAGCAGATCACCAAGAACTATGCAGACGTTAGTCGGAAGTTGCAGAAGGTTAAGAACTAGAATGTGGCTTTGGTTTGTTTGTTTGAATTCAATGTACTATGGATAAAATATTATTTATTTCTTCTTTCAGCCATGGTTATTGGAACATGTGTAGGTCAAATGGATCGTCTGAATACAGTGTAGCAGGCGGATCTCCGTAAGCATACTCATTTAGTCCAGCTTCCATATTCCATAGAGTATCGTCGTTGCAGAGGTCCCAAGTAAAAGTAGTAGCATCCGATGTAGAAGGGTTTATCTCAGCATTAGGATATTGAGTGATAGCATCGTGAACACTAGTATATGAGCCCGGGATACCAAGGAAGGCAGAATCATGGTGTTGATGAAGCTGCTCATTTGATAGTGATGATGAGGAGATAGAAGAACCAAGCATGCTTGGATCATGTCTGCCAGAATGGAGAGGTTTCGAACCTTCTAAAGAAAGGGCTTCCTGGAAACGGCGATTGTACTTGCGAAGTACATTGTCACGTAGGGCTTCGTAGACGGCAACATCCCTCTTTGCATCCGGCATTTCTTCACCCATTTGTTTCAATACAGTCTCACCGTGCGTGATGGCACAGATTGCTTCACGGATGGTTTCTAGGTCATGTTCCTTCACAACAGAGAGACAAAAATGATAGATAGACCACCAGTAAACATCATCTGGAAATAGCTCCGGGTGAAAGTGATTTTCTTGCTCTGAAAAAGCTGGCAGAAAAGCGTGATAGCATTGACTGCACAATGTAAGCAGAGGACCACGAGGTCTTTTGGCGGTGTGTTGTTTATCTTCGGAACAAGGTCTCAAACCTTCCGAGCCAGTTGGAGTCTTTCCCTTAGACATAAGAGGTCGTACCATTCTTTCATCTCATAAAGACATGATGAATTTTCGAAAATAAGCGCATACCTGCGCCATCCTTGTAATTCGCTGAGCAATGCATCCAATTTGGCATAGACTGCCCCTCTAGCTATGATGGGATTGTTGTCGTGACCAACCATCCTCTTCTCTCGGAAGGTAGTATGTATCTTCAAACTCATTTGCCGAAGACGAACGAAAGCGAAGAATACAGAAATTTATGTGGTCCGCGCCGTGACCGCTGCCACAGCCGTCAAAGAAGATACAGCACAAAATGAGTTCAGGTCGGTAAATGCGCCTGATCCCTCTGCGGATTCAAGCTCATCATCATTTGCATTAGCGGGGAACCCAATCTGAATGGCTTTGTCTGTCACGGCAAAAGGACGATCCAAAGTAATGGAGCTGTAACGGTCGATCATGTAACTTTCCCAGAACACTCGTCGCTGGAGTTGTTCTTGCAATAAACTGATGTTCTGGGAAATTAGTGGGGGCTTGTGTAGATTTTGCTCGATAAACATGCGCATGCATAGTCTTGTTATTTCCCGGATGGAAATGCCTTGTAAGAGACATGTATTGTTAGCGACTAATGAGTCTAAGCGCCAAAGACGCAGAGGAGCACCTTTAAAGGCGACTGCTTACCTACGTGATGATAAATGCCAAATCGCCCAACTAATAAAAGATCCTGGATGGAGCCAAGTCCCCTGGAGAGCAAACTGTCATCGAAATGCTGCATGGCTGACAAGAAATAGCCATAAGGATGATGTGGATGATCACCCCTGCGATAGAGAAGAACAGAGGCAATGGAGAGTATCATGAAAGTGCGAAATCGGCTGTGAGATGAGATATTGTGATATCTCACCGGCGGTTCATCTGTGTCTGTAATAGGGAACATGTAATGATAGAGTGGTTGAATATCACTTCGAAGGAGAATTGGACTCTGAATATGATATCCGTTCAGTCTGCCGCAGTCAGTCAGGAATCACTTTTTATCATGATATTTTGTGCATGCAAGTGACAACTTACTACTTGTCGAACAAGATTCGAGCCTCTGTAGCTGACGGTAGTGGATTAGGTCTGACCCCAGCCTTAGCGGGACCAGAGAACTTAGATAGATTTTGTAGCAAATCTGGGTCGTGTCCTCGCCAAGATGGATCTATCAAGCTAAAAGTTTTACAGTCAACATTGGTTCTTCGAAGAACATTAAATCCACGAACCTGATTCCACCCCCTTCGACGAAATTTGGAGACTGTGTGGTATCCTGTTTATTGGACTGGCAATTTTCAAAAGGGCTGTCACTTCTGTGATCTTGCGTATCTGAAGATTTCTCAGTCGATGGCACTGGCAAAATGGATGCAATTTCTGATCTCGTTGCAGTCAACTGACCCTCAAATCCTTTGATCTGTTCTTCTAGATCACCAATATATCTATTTAAAGCACCAATATATAAGCAATATAACATGAAGTTTATATGAGGAAGAAGGAAGGACTACACCCTCTCGCCACTGAATCGAACTCATCGACAGAAAGAGTCACGCATTCCTCGCTATGCTTAGTACATGGTTCGCACTTGGGTCGAGAATTGTCACACTTGATTTTCTGGTGTGACAAAATTGACAGGCGGGGAGACGAGGGTTATGTTGCTCAATTGCATCCAAGATAAAAATCAATAAATGGCCGGGATTATGAGATGGTTACTCAATCGACCTGGTGACGATGAATTGAGAAAAAGTTGATACTGGCCTATTCGAGGTGCGCAATATGTTGAGTCAGGTGATGGTTCCAAACAGACCTATCGCGAACACGTGATGCATATTCCCGCGCCCGTGATGAAGAAAATTTTTGACATGGCGATGGACGCTTATGCTTGAATGGAAATCCAGAAGAAAGAATGTCTCTGTCTTTGGAGGAGCTTTCTTTCAGTAGTATCTATGGTGAGGGGATAGCGTCGGCAATCGATTTAGATTGGCGCTTCAAGCCCGCGGGGTAGTCAGTTAGCCCCCTTCCTGGTAAGCAATTAGTCTCTTTCATTTGACGAGAGCGTTTGCCGAGATATATGGGCAGGGATCATTGTTGCATATTGCACCCACTGTGGATTTCTTATTATCCCATGCAAGTCGTGGGATATATGGCATATGCGGAGACTCTGCTGCCGGAAGACTATGATACAAAGTATCAGTAGATAAGCCATCTTTGAGATGCTTTTTCGACTCCAAAAAGCAAGATAGACAAAATGACCGAGCCGCTCGAATCGATCGATGGCGGAAAGCCCTGGTATTACTGCCCCAAGCTGATGGTCCTCGGTGAAAGCCCGATCTATCGAGCTAGCGACTCGACCCTGCACTGGGTAGACTGTCTCTCCGAGCCCCCAGAGCTAAGCATTCTCAAAGTGGACCCTCACACAAGCGACGCCATTGGAGAGGCGCGTGTCCTTCCCCTCGAAGACAGCGTGACAGTGGCGTTCTTCCGCAAAAATCGACCCGGCAGTTACATTGCCGCCTACTACCAAGGAGTATGTTTCTTGGACGAGGAGACGGACCAGTTCGAGGTCGTCAAAGAAATCATCCCCACCGACCAACGGGATGAGCTCCGCTTCAATGATGGCGGCATCGACGCAAAGGGCCGGTTTTGGCTGGCTGAGATCGATAAGCGGGCGATGGCATTTGAACCTAACCAACTTCCGGCTAGCTATGGAACTCTGCGGGGCCGACTATGGAGGTACGATCCGGATGGTACCCTGCACCTGATGATTCCCGAGGGAGTGGTGTGCGGGAATGGGCTTGCATGGAGTCCAGATAACACGACCAGTAGGTGTCTTGCTGCTTTCAACCTTGGGGATGATTGAGAAGGCGAGACTAGTTCGCTAACGGCGGCAGTGTACTTCAATGACTCGGTTGCGATGGTGGTCTTCGCATTCGACTTTGACTTGGAAACGGGTAATATCTCGAACAAACGACTTCTTGTCGATAGACGCTCATCGTACGGGGAGCCACTTGTTTTGAAGCAAGCCAATTACAGCACAATCCAGCTACTGATAATTGGTAGCTCTGAGGGAAATCTTTGGATAGCTGTTCACATCGCATCGAATTATGGTTTTCAGCCCGGAAGGCAAGCACCTGAAAGATATCGTGGTGACCGCCAAGAACCCAGCCTGCACCACATGGGGAGGAGTTAATCAGTTCATGGCCAGTGGGAAAGATCGGTCTGCCAATCCAGAGCCCAATGATGAGGGCGGACATATGTTCAAGTATCATCCTGGGGATGCTCGGGGGTATGCGAAACATGAGTTCACTGGGTAGTTCCAACTGAAATAATATTTTATATTCAATGATGTGATTCACTGGTACTAAGATCCAGTTATGTTTGTCTTTTCTATGACATTAACCCATGTAGTCGGGTGTATGGACATATCATTGGAAGGAAGAAATACATTGCGCTCATCTTTGGGACTTAAGGAATATTCAAAGAGGATTTTTTCCCAGCGCCGTAACTAGAAGGAGTATAGCTAACTTCAGTGTATCTATTCCATTTAACAATATATTCCACAAGCTATGTAGCCCGAAGATTACAAAAGACAGGGTATCTGTCAAAGACTGTTCCTCTCAGACATTATCGTTCATACGTTCCGAGCCAAAACTCTAGAGTTTAGAATGCTCTGTGGAGCGTAAAGTCTCCTCCTTTATCGGAAACTAGCCATTGAGATACTTCCTAGCTATTGTGCACTGCGACAGGCCAGAGGCGGCAAGGCTATGTGGAATTTGATTCAGCTTCACAAAGATGCAGCCCCCAGAGGGAACAGCAAAGGGTTTGACGGCATTTCCTCTCTCCACACAAACGAAACGGATTTCTTGTTTCGCTACAGCTTGTGTGGTGGTGTCCAGATACATTTGTCTTCCACACGCCGTCAGTCTCTAGAAATATCTCTTGGCACCTTGAATTGAACCAGACGGATGTCTGAGACGAATTGTGTCTCGAAATCCTTGTTTTGGGTTCATCATGCCTTAAATTGTGCTGAGATAGCTTGTTCCCACGATTCAATGATATCAGTTACATCAGTCACTCAGGCAAATTGCACCAGCATACTTTATTGCCTGAAATATACAAAAATTTCAGGCTACCAGGCACATAGAAATTTATAGCGGGATGAGATTACGTCGGCTATTGACTATATCTCTAAACTCTTAGAGTACAAATTTCTATCTGAATCCCCACAGTACATGGTCATATACATCCCACATAGCCACGCTTAGAATATTGATTTATCGCATAGTACAGGATGAAGCTGAGATGCGCAAAACGCCTACCAGTAGCAAGATAAGCTATCAGACGCTCGACCCGCTTCCCCATCCCATCCCGTACATTACGTGGGATGTATTCAACCCTTTCTTGCTTCTAGAGGACCTTAGTGCTCGATATAAGGAATTAAAGATCCCCGCTCTCACACTGACAGCAGTATCTCTCCACTCAAAGTCTCCACACAGCTCCACTCTTCCGTCAAGATGGTACATGAAGATAGAAAAGACAAGGATATCTCTCCATCCATCGAGGAAGAACCTATCATGGCCGAAACCGATATAATTTCGCAAAAGATTTGCTTCGACCGGTACAACTCTCCTTTTTGGCAGATTGTGGTCGTTAGCTTCGTCGCGTTTGGGTCTATCCTATCCCACATATATAAGTGGGTCTATAGCAGTCTGACGTGGACAACAGATGTCCTGGAATGTATAATGCGCTCTCCGGCATTGGGAGAGGTGGCCAGCTAGACACTACAACCCAAGCCAAGGGCCATATTGCCCTGGCCTCTATCAGCGCAGCAGGAAACATCTTCATTGCCCCCATCGTGAACAATATTCTAGGACCGAAGTGGACCATCTTTATTGGGGGCATACCTTATGTTCTTTATGCAGGATCGCTGTTGGCTTACACGCACACCGGCAACCAGGGCTTCGTGATCGGTGCCAGCGGAATTCTAGGGATTGGCGCTTCCCTGCTCTGGATCTCCCAAGGCTCAATTATGACTGGCTATCCGCTACCCCAGCAGCAGGGAAGAATGATCGGTATTTTTTGGATCATCTTCAAGTAAGTTGTTAGACCTCTCTTTCCTACAGCTCTTATAGAAGAAAAGTTCGTTAACATAAGCCTACAGCCTAGGCGGTTTTATCGGTTCAATGATTTCGTTTGGCTTGAACTTCCACTCTAAATCTGGAACTGTTTCCGATTCCACATATATCGCATTTATATGCATCATGGCTGCCGGCTGTTGTTGTGGCCTTGGTCTTCTTAAGCCATACAATGTGATTAGAGAGGATAACTCGCGGGCTGAGGTAGTATACTGCACCCGGAAAGAAGGGTGCTTCAACGAAACCAAGGCAAAACCTCAACATCAACAGCCCTGGTGTGTTGTAAACGGCGGATGTGAATCCGCTCACGATGGCCCAAAGAATAATACATGCTGGCTATAGGAAGACTCGGCAAGATACCAAATAAGACAAATATCAAAAAGAGTGCTCACCAAAAAGATGGAAGGGCTGGTCATGAAGGAATTTGCCTCAAGATATATCCAGCCGAGAAGATCAAGATGGCCGTCTGGTATTCGGCACCCTTGACACCAGTATCTTCTTGAAGGCCATACAAACGGGCTTGGGTAATGGAGTTGCGGTCCAAATAATTCAAGAGATGAAACAGGACGATGAGAAGAAGGATGCGAGTATCGATCATTCGTCGCAGTTGGGTCTCAGCTTTCTTCCAAAGCTCAGATTCATACGAAGAACAAACACTCATTGAATTAGAAGGATCAACCGCAGGAGAGTTCTCTACCCATAAATCTTTGTCTTTGTCGGGTTGGGGCTTAAACACGTTGGACGTCGGTGCCTGCCCAAAAGAGAGCACCCTTTGGGTTTCTCAGTTTGTTTATCTTTTTTCCCTCGCTGGTATTTCCTCTCACCTTTGAATCTTCGCTTGTTTGGCGTTTCTGTGACTCTTCATGTTGTGAACTGCGTTGTTTTGTTACTTCAACTGCAGTCACTCGCACCACCACATCTCTCTTCTCTTCTCAGTAGAGCAATTTCACCCTTAATCGACCTACCTCCTTCTTTTCACGTTGAATATCCGCACGATAATTCCCACAGCGAAGCCAAAGACTGCTGCATTTCCTCTTATGCGCCACACCACACTCTATCTTCTCGTTGTCACTCAGAATATCCTCCCCGGTATGTCATAAACAAGGATGCAGGCTCTAGACACTAGACTCTAGGCTTAGGTTACTGGGGTTCTTTCCAAAGCTTATAAGATACCCCAATTGTTCTATGCTAACGAATGATTGATTAGAACATTGAAGATGAGCCGGCTCCAAGGCCATGCTAGTCTCCGACAAGCCCTTCCACCACTGTGTGTTGGTGGAAACCATACCACCACCTCTACTATAAACCTAGAGAGATACTTGGGCAATTTGAGCCCATGGAAAGATTTTTTCGATGATGTCAAGGCCTTTGAACCCGAGTATGGGTGGTCCCGGAGGATCCTGCGGCCCGCCCTTAAGAGCAGGCCTACGGATCCAGAGCTTTTTGTTGTTGGTGATGAGCATGGAATCCAGGGCCGCTTCCAACAGCAAGTGGGACAGGTCGTTGGAGCGGTCTTGGATGTCCAGGAGGTTGAAATTGCTTTTGCCGACTTTAAAGCTGCAGATATTTCGACCATTTACCCTGAATACAGCCATGTGCCCGACGTGGCACTGATCTCGACAAATCGTACGACCTTCCATCATTTGAAAGCTATTGGAGAACTAAAAACGCCCTGGGTTCGTGCTCATAGCCTTCTGAAATGTGTTGAGGACAAACGGTGGCTTAGCAGCTTGTTGGGTCAGTGCATTGGCTATATGTTAGACCTTCGCGTTATGTATGGGTTTATGTCTAGCTATGGTGAGACTATCTTCCTCCGGCAGGTTTCAAACGGCAACGAGTGGGTGATAGAGTACTCTCCAATTGTAGAGAGTAGCTTTGTAGGTTCTAATGAAGCTAGAGGAGAAGAGCCTCCATCTGTTCGAGAGTGCTTTATGTATCTTAGTAGTCTAGCGGCTAAGCAACCTCCTGTAGACAACTTCACCCCCCGTGATGAGTGGATCGGTCAATAATTAGTATATGTTATCAAACTTGCTTTAGTACCTGCAGAGGAAATCAGCATCATTTTTTCTCTCATGCAAGTTCCTCATGCTTCCCCTTTTAAAGTGATTGTTATGGGCGCTAGCGTGGCTGGCATCGACTTTCTGTATCACGCGACCAAATTTCTGCAGACCTCAACGTTGAGATCAAATGTTCTTATAGAATCGCCGAAATAGGTGGCACTTTATGTAAGAGTCGCTTACTACGAGGTGCTTGCGAGAGGCCTTCCCTTAACTATCGGCTCGAATAATGTCCGAACATAAAGTAGTCATGATGTTCGTTTCATTGTCTCTGAAAGCCCAATTCATCTTCTCCACTCTAGCATCAATAATTATATTGATGTCTTTCCTGATCTCGGCAGACAAGCTATCGCCCTTAATGTAGCGAAAATTCGTGAATTGTCGAAAGTTTGAGGGGTGCCTCAGGCAGACACATTGTCTACATTGGTTTCGTCAGGATGTTGCCTACATGTGTTGTTTCTTTCCCCTTCACCTTCCGCTCCGGTGACCCTGTTCACATCAACACCCATAACACCCACCTTTCGTGCCATTTGCAGCCCTAACTCTCTGTGTCACGTACCTGTTACCCACCATGAGTACTCCCAAGTACTTCACGCGCCTCCTCGGCACCAAAGTCACTGTTGATGAATGGCCGCCACCTTCTACTGGCGCTGCGAAGGAGACGTGGGAAATGACTGAAATGACCAAAGAGGTCTTTGCCCCCGTTCATGCAAGCAGTACAGTCAAGGGTATGCCACCAGCGCTCGCTATCGGGACCTTTAAGTGTCGCTCCTCCGCCAACGACAAGAGGCTGGCGATCATGAGGGTCTACAAACAGATCCCCTTTGCTGGATCTGAGTATTATGACCCTGAGGATCGGAAGAATCAAGCCGTTGCCCCCTATGAACCGAAAGAGTTGACTGCTCTTAAGGCGTTCAAGACAGCAGGCTGCCACGCAGTACCCGAATTGTTAGGCTATCAGCTCGCTAAACAAAACATGATGGCGAATGTCCCAGAAGGTTGCCTAATGTATTTGGTGTGGCAAAAGGTTCCCGGGGAGTCCCTCGATGAGGAAGACTTCTGGGCAGCCCCGTTGGCTACCCGAGACCTAATTCGAGCCCAATTTCGGTCTATTTATCAGTAAGTCTAGGCTTCGCTTTCTGTGGACATTCGCTTGATGTGAATAAAACTAATGTGGATTAGGAGCCTAATTGATGCTAGTCTTTATGTTCCAATGAGTTGCGGAACTACCAAGATCATCTACGACTGGAAAACGAACCACATGTAAGCCGCTCGCTGTTCTGCTTATAATGCAATATCGAGCTAACAGTATCTAGGAACATCAGTGGGTTCTTACAGGTGATCAAGCTCGAAGCTACCGAAGAATGGACCGACACTCTCTTTGTGATCTTTGGCCTCGTTTCAGCGAGTAAGACGGAGGAACGCTACTTTCGAATCCGCGCAACTGATACGTACCACGACAAAAATGGACGGAGATGGTGAAGCAAGACAGTTTTTTGAGTACAACAATGATGGAATAGTACTTTTTTCTGTTCAAAGGATCACATGGCTAGTTTCATTCTAGTCCCCTAGTTCAATCAAGTTGATTGTAGGCCTTGACTGATGCACATTTCCAATTACCGATTGTCCCATAAACTTGGTCACAAATTCTTTGGTTTGTAGGAATATGGCTTGCGCGGATTGAGCGAATTTGCAAAGGGATCTGATAAGGCTGAGTTGACTTGTAGCCATCCGGGGAAACTTTCAATGCTGAAACCAGACAAGAAACATTGCATCCATTGTTGTGCAGGCATGTTTCAATGCAAATTTTGACCGTTATAGACCACTAGAACATGAGTATGTTGATACAAAAGAACAAATCGCTTCAATTGTCATAGCAGGGACTGCTTCGGCTGTCTTGGAGCATAGTGAATCTTTTTTGATCGCAGTCACTAACTAAAATGGCATACAATACATGACAGAAAGCTACTCTCAGATAGCTTTGTAATGAGGAAAAATTGTATTTCAGATTCAAATTACTACGGTAGTAATGTCCACATTATTACCATGAGCAATGTCCACCATCAACTCTCAAATCAGACCCAGTCATAAAACTACTCCCATCACCCAATAAGAACAAAACAGGCGCGCGGAACTCATCAGGGGTACTAAGCCTATATAGCATATTATCACCAACCCACTGCGTTTCCATACCGGGCTTCTGCAACGCCTCAGCGGTAGCTGCGGTACGAATATACCCCGGCGAAAGCGAGTTCACGCGAATCAAAGGTATTCCAACACGGGAACCCCACTCAGCAGCCAGGGAACGAGCAAGCTGGTGTACTGCTGCCTTTGACGAGTTATACCCGGCAGTATCAACGCCCTAAATTGCCGTTAGTTTGAGGGTCGATAGATTGTTCAGTGGCAAACTTACTCTGTTGGAGACATATCCGCTCATACTGGCCACTAGTACCAGACTAGCCGTGACATTCTCTTTGATTGTCTCTTTTGCAACACGTTGCGCAACTCTGAATGTCCCCGTTACGTTAATATCGAGCAGTCGGGTGAATGATTGAGAAGGAAACTCTGTCGCGGGCCCATTGTCTGATACGCCTGCGCATGCTGCGAGACCGCGGATGGGATACCTGAGGCTTGGGACTATCTTGTCAAAAGCCGCCTTGACCGAGTCATCGCTCCGCTGGTCGCACTGCACGTATGAGACATGTTTCGAATACTTCTTTGCAGCTGCTTCGATGCTTTCTGTTCCAATTTCATCAGATGGTTCTCGCAGTATTATGTGTAGGGTCTCGGCTTACCCCATTCTTCCTGCTTTGGTGAGCTCATGACATCAAGGCAGACGACATCTGCGCCACTTTCGAGGATGGCTGCGGTCAATGTTGTCCCCATGAAGCCGGCTGCTCCGGTCACTGATTCAAATGCATAAGCAGGTTTCTAATGTGTCATACGTTGTATCGTGTACCTATGATCGTTCTCCCATCAAGTCGGAATAAGTCCGCGACTGCAACTGACGACCCTCCTTGTGGCTGCTTGGCTTCTCGGAATTTCGGGTCATGGACATTTGAGTTTACTTCTTGGTGAGACATCGTGAAAGTAAATCTGCGAGGTTTGTCAAAAAGAGAGCAAGATGTAAATCCTATCTAGAGATGTACAGCAGTGGGCTAGATAAGTTGCACCTGTTCCCCGCATTTCTCTATGCACGAAGATATCGACTCCCCATGTCGGGTCCGCTGGAATACCCAGCACACCGATCGGCTCATTATTGTACGAAGATAGCTCAAAATTTAGTCTACAGTCTAAATTTGCACATTCCGTTGCTTTCTGTGATTTCCGTGTCTATACCGTCATTGCCCGCCCTAAGTTACTGTTCTGAGGTCGGTAATCGGGTGAAAATGGGAAACAGGGTGAGCTATGCCTCATATTATAACTTTGTGATCGTTAGAAAATGCTAATTATCCATGGACTGTAGGATGTGTTCCGCGTTCCCCAGCAAGATCTCTCGTTTTGTCTCTGATCCGAAATCCATCTCTAAACCCTCATCCATTCTTTTCGCCAAAGACTCAGCCAGTGCTACTGGCGTATAGGGATAATCGCTCCCATACAAAATTCTGGAAGAGTCAACCACTCGAAGAAGACCGTGTATCTGGTCAGGAAATGGAACTCCCGCGAGGTCAAAATAGAACCGGGTCTGCAGCAGGCTTTTCATCTTCTCTGCACTCATAGCATTCCCAAGACCGGAGATCATAGGAGAGAACTCTGCAACCCGTTGCAAAATGGGAGGGAAAGTGCCACCACAATGACAAGCCAGGAAAGTAATCCCTGGACACCGATCCACCGTCCCGGAAGTGAGTAGATTCATCAATGCCCGGTTTGAGTCAAACATGAACTCCATCATCGGCGCCGAGAACCCAGGAATGGGGTTGACCTTACTTAAGGAACCGTCTCCGGGATGCGAAATGAGACATGTGGTAGGATGGAAAAAGGCGATTGTTTTGCGTTCGCTCAGCTTATCGAAAACACGATCAAATCGCGGGTCTCCGGGGTAGATGCCATGCGAATTGGTCAGGATTTGAAACCCAACTGCGCCAAGATGGTCTAGTGCAAAATCTATTTCTGCAAGGGAGCCCTCCACGTCTGGGAGGGGGAGAGATGCAAAGAAAAGGAATTTGCCCGAGTGATCAGCGCAGGTTTTGGACATGTCAATGTTGGCGCGGCGTGTCACAGATCGTGCCTCTTCATCATTTTCTGGTGTTAGGTTGGTTCCTGGTGAGGACATGCTGAGAATTGATTTTTTTATCTTGAGCTTTTTCATTAGTTCGATGTGGGCTGATGCGCTCCATTCCTGTGTTTCGGTGTTCAGCGGGAAAAACGACAAAAGTAGTTGTTAGGGGGTGCTAACTGGGATCGCAGGCATTCCATCCGGATGGCCCTTGCCCGCAAACTCGCTTTTCAAGCAATATTCCCGGTATGAGGGTGGAACACAATGAGTGTGGACATCGACTCTTTCCATTTTAGGGTGATGAACAAGGATAGAATTATTGGCATTGACGGTGCAGAGTGACTTGTTCCCCGCATTCTGTGCTGACCGCATATTGGCATTTTTTGGAGGTTCTTTCGGGATGCCTCCCGATAAACCATTTTTCGAATACATTGGATATCCAAGAGCAGAAGTCGTTCCCTTGCCTATGTCTCTATCTTCTGGCAGTGAATGTGGCCAACATGAAGTCAAAGTCTAGTTAGGTAACCTCACTTCCCTATAAAAAAAAATCTTTCTATATCAAATCCGCTGTTGGGAGTTCCTTCGGCTCAACAATCAGTCCTCTCGCAGCCAATAGTCGCGCCTGTGTGAGCTTCAAGAACCGATAGGTATTGTCCAAAATCGGCGTCTGAACCCCCTTCTCTCTAGCAACCCGCAAGGCGTTCCCAAGAATAACCTCCACTTCCATAGGATTCCCCTTGTCAACGTCCACCAACATGCTAGGACGGAAAGACAATTCAAGAGGAGTGGCGTCAACCATTTCATCCACGATCCCGTCTCCGAGATCATAGCCATCAGCCTTGGCAATAGCTGCCATCTCCGCCATACCAGGTCTGATTAGACTGTGCTCACCCCCGAACCGCCTGATCGCCGCGCTGTCCAGTTGTGTGATGGCACACATTGGATTGAAGATTCCATTCCATAGCACTTTGCGCCAGCGATAGAAGACGATATCGTCCACCATATCTGCATCGACGACTTTGCTGCCATTATAGATGGTTGCGAATTCTTCAAGTTTGGCTTTTTCTGTTGCCTCGTTCAAGGCTTTATTGTGGAATGCGCCGATGTGGAAGTTATCATGGTCATCATGGACAACGCTTCCATTGAGCTCGTGTGCACCGATATAACTTGGTGCGGATAGCACAACATTTGTCGGGAATGCTTCAGTGTATTGCGGTTCAATATAGAGCCCATTTTGGAACAGCACGATGGTCGTGTGGTCTGGTGTGACCGCTGGTGCTATGATCTTGGGCACGTTGTTCACTTCTGGGATATTCTTCATTGTGACAATGACATAGTCAAACGGGTTTTCTTGATCCGCGAGCGGGACCGCGTTGACAACTGCTATCTAGATTAGTTCCTTTTCTAAACGTACCCCTGCTGGCTGTGATTTTGCATACCTGAGCTTGGTCTCCAGCCGGAGAGTTTGCCGTGATCGATTGAATCAATCTCAAATCCATGTTTCAGGACTTGCTCGTAGTTCGATCGCAGGACGGCTGTCACTGAGGCCATTCCAGATCTTTCGAGCGCGACACATACCATTGTGCCGACGCCGCCTGCTCCCACCACCAATACTCTGCGCTTTGGCAAGGTTGAATCTGCTGACATGATGGATTGCTTCGATGTGGTCTTTCTATGTATGGCTTCCTCCAAGACTTGTGCAATGAGACACGCTCAAAGATTAAATCTGTTCAGGTCTCATCCTTTTCAATTGTATACGATCTCGGTGCCCCCGCCGACGATATTATGTAAGTCGGGAGCTCCGACATAGGCGGAATTGGGGTATTTGATTGGTCGGTCGGGGTCTGTTGCCTATTTGACTTATCTATATCCTCCTAACTGGATGGTGACGCCGAACCCCAGACAACACTGTCAATTTCATACAGAAAGAATAACAACGCTGTTGATTGTCTACCATCTAACTCGCATTTTAGAATACATATAACCACCCGGTCTTTTCTGTCTGTTCTCATCCATGGTTGAAGCGAGCCTTGCGAGTGTTAAGCATAATTTGTTGACTCACAACAATCAAGAATCCATGATGAATAGTGATGCAACTAGTATGTACAGACCTTTGATATCCACTATAGCTTTCTCGTAGTACACACATTCAAAATGAAGAACCCCATCAAGACCAAAAAGCTTCAGACGTTCGCAAAGTGGTCAAACCCCCAAAAACTCGAGAATATTTTGCAGCTCTCAGAAAAAATAGCAGAAAATTCAGGACGATGGATCTACGCCCAGATCCTCCGCGGCATGCGATATATCTGGTGGGAAACCGACCGAGAAATCTTTCTACAATGGGCACAAGCCATCATCGAGACGGAGCTACGCCTACGCGAAACTACCCAGCGAGAGTCCTATCTCAAAGAAATGATTCAATTCCAACAATCGTATCACACAATTGATGAGAGACTCCGTTTAGAGACGTTTGTCGAAGAACTCATTTCCCTCGATCGCGACTACCGAAACTTAGAGCAGTCTCATGTTAGGGTGATTCTTGAATGTCCAGAAGGGTCGATGAAGAGTGCCTATTTGTCATTCCGACGACAACCTCAGTGGCATATGATGAGTCAATGGCTTCGTCAGGATTGTGCGGATCGAGGAGGATGTTGTGGGCGGGCTTGTCAATGCTGTGAGAACCTACCTGATCCCCGTCGGGTGAAGGGATGGGGTCATTGTACTGAGCAGTGTGGCTGTTGTCACCGTACGCGCGGTTTCTCAGTTACAAAGGAGGATTGGGAGCGCATGAATCCTCATTTTGATCTGACTGCTAATCCGCGGACAGCATATAGTCGGGAAATGTTCCTTGCTCATATCTGGTCACTTTACTAAATTTCAAGTGTTGCGAGTTATGTTGGTGGGAGGATCAGCAGAGGATTTCTTGCAGAACACTGTGGCTTTGGCAGTATTGTCTTTGTCTTCTATTTGGACGGGCTTGGTATGGATTGCTTATTTGTATCGGAACTCTGGTTATGGTTCCAATGAAGATCGCTTGTCAAGCCCTATATTCGCGTGTGACTTGTAAAGTCCAACCGCAGATAGTGAAGAAACATATTAGGATCAGCTTGTTGCTATCTCGAATGTGTCTCATAGAAAAGGGAAACTTGTAGCGGAGGCGTTCTGCCAAGCAAGACACAAGGACATGGGCACTGAAAGCTTGTTTAAATAACGGGATCCCTGCCAAATGAAAACAAGTGAATATAGGTAACCTAGTAGATACGTGCGGAGACTGTTGCAAGTCAAGCCAAACTCAGTCTGGAGCAATGCCAAGCCGGCACATTTCACGCCTTCTGATTCGATATTCTGATATCGTCGGCACCGTCACTTATAGCTTCCCCGCAGCTATACAACTGTTCGATAAGCCCGAGGTCATGGGTGTCCCCCGATATAGTGAGGGCTGGAGGTTTTTAACCCGAGCAATGCCCAGGGACGTTATGTCTATCTGACACTATTCTCTCTTGACTCAATTTGAGTCAAATAAAACATCGCGACATGGAAGCCGACTCTCATAACCGAGACGAGACCTTCTGGCCTCCAGGGACAGTAACTCTAGAAGATAGTATGTGCCCATTGCCCTTATAAGAGCAAGAAAATACTGATGAACAACCCAGTCCACGCCTCTAGAGACCAACTCGTCCTCTTCCCCACCCCCGAATCCGACCCCAACGATCCCCTCAATTGGTCAACAGCCCGCAAAGCCCTCAATTTTACCTTAGTTAGCTTCTTCGTGCTATGGACCTTTGTTCAGCTTGATATCGGCTTCACAGCATGGGGACCCATGCAAGAAGAGCTTGGTTTCACCGTGGATGCATTAAACGCAGAAGCAGCCATCAACTACGGCGGTCTAGCTGTAGGCTGCATATTCTTCATGCCACTAGTACACAAGTACGGACGACGCCCAATCTATATCTTCAGCGTTGCTCTCCAGTTCGCATCATGTATTTGGCAAGCTCAGACATTCACCGTTGGTGATCTGATGGGCAGCGGCCTGATATCCGGCATTGGCGGTGCAATCAGTGAAACAATTGTACAGATGACTATCGCTGATATGTTCTTCGTGCACCAGCATGCTACCATGAATGGATGGTATGTCATTGTCCAATCCGCAGGTGCATTTTTGGGTCCCGTCGCTTCGGGATACATTGTCGTGGCACAAGGGTGGAGGTGGATGTGGTGGTGGTGTGTTATTTTCTTTGGCGTGACGCTTGTTTGTGTTGTATTCCTCTTTGAGGAGTCGAAATATATCCCCGTGCTGAATAGCGTGGAAGCCACCCTGGCAGTGCAATCAATTGAGGGCTCGTCGAAGAATCCTAAGGATGATGACTTGGACGATGGGAAGAATCCTGCTGAAAATATTGCCAGCCGGGTGCCGACGAACACCCAAATCAAGCCGAAGACGTACTTCCAGCGAATGGCTTTGATTACGACAACGGATGAGGCTATCTGGCCTCACTTTTATCAGCCTATCGTTGCTCTTTTCACTTTCCCGGCTGTTACCTACGCAGCTATTACATATGGGTCTACATTGAGCTGGTTTGCTATTATGACCTCGCTTCAAGCATCTTATATGATTCTACCACCATATAACTTCGATGCTGTCGGTGTTGGTCTTATGAACGTGGCTCCCTTTGTTGGCGCAGTTCTTGGATTCCCCTTTGGTGGACACCTGAGCGATAAGTCTATTTTGTGGCTGTCCAAGCGAAATGGTGGTGTTTACGAGCCAGAGATGCGCCTTTGGCTTGCACTTCCCATTGCTGTGATTAGTCCTGCCGGTATATTGATGTTTGGTCTGGGCCTTGCCTATGTGAGTGTCTTGGTTCAGAGCCAGGGTCGATCTTTCTTAACGATGGATAGGGTGTGCACTGGGTTCTTCTGGCAGTCGGCTTTGGTTTCTTCGGGTTTGCACTTGCTGCTATTAGCGGGATTGCACTTTCATATTTAATGGATTGCTATCAGGATGTGAGTATCGCAATTCTTGCGGAAATTTATCTTTGCTAGCTGACATGTCAACTTTTCCTAGATAATTGGTGACGCACTAGTTGGGGTGATCTTCATGCGCAACATCTTCTCCGTGGTGGTTCTTTTCGCGCTCACGCCATGGGTCGAAGGCATGGGCATGCGTGACCTACACATACTAGTTGCTTTTATCGCATTTGTGCTTTTGCTTATTCCTGTGCCTTTGCTGATCTGGGGTAAGAAGGCAAGGGTCGCAACTGCATCGATGTATAAGAAGATGGCATCAAACCAACTCAGTCATCGTACTATTTAGAAACCACAACTAGAGCAAGATCAGGGTTTATCTATTCGTTATTACATTCGAGTATGTCCTAAAACATTGCCATCTAATATTTCTAAATACGGGTTGGAAACGAGACACCAAAATCAAGAGAAGGTATTCAAAAAATGTTATTCAAGAAAAGGTTCCAAAGAAGAGAATGACTATCTGGTATAAGTAAAATCAAAGTAAAGCCTCTACCCATATTACAACATAACATATAAAAACCCCCCATTTCACCATGCACTAGCGCAAAAAAAGACAGTGTGTGAAGCAGGTCTACTCCTTGTTAATCTTGCTGAAGTTGTTGTACCCAGCAATCTCGATATTTTCTTCGGCCACATAGGAAGTGTGTCCTGTCGGCTTTTGAATACTGCCCACGGTATCATTTGAGTTCATAGTACCAGAGTTGTTTGAGTTGTTCGAGACAAGGGTCTTTTCGGATGTGCGGCCTGTGGATCGGAGCTGGGACCAGAAGCCGGACTTGCCAAGCTTGAACAGAGGTCTGAGATTGGGCAGACAGGCTGCAATGATACCAACCGTGGCTTCGATACAGGTCCAGACAACGACTGGGACCTGGTGATCTATGCGGATTGTTAGAATGTGTCAAATGAGGAGAGAGACTAAATACTTACAGGTGATATCGGGGCCAGCATCGACCAGCTTGATCATGGCGTACAGTCGAAATATGTCGAAAACGAAGGTTCTGGGGCGTACTGTGTCAGAATATTGATAGTAGCGTTATTACGAGGGTAGAACTCACAAGCCACCAACCAGGAAGATACCCGACAGAAGCATCTTCTGGGACTTGGGGACTGGCAACGACCACACGACCTTGACGGGCATGAGGAGGATGATGAGATCACAGAGAATGTTTGGGATCTGGATTCCATAGTAGAATTTGTATGGGTCGAGGCAGGCTCCTGGGATAGATTGATCCCAAAACTTATTCGCGGGAATGCAAAGAAGGGCACCCGAAACGAAGACACCAACAACCCAGAGAAGGACGACGACTGTCATAATATGCACTCCGAGAACCATGTATCGAACCGCGAATAGGCGCTTGTATAGGGCCAAGATAGAGAACTTCACGAACGCCACGCAACTCGTGTAAACGAAATTGTTGGAATAGCCGATCTAACTAGAGTTAGTATGGGTGGTAAATGTGCCTTTGTGGGTGGCGTACCTGGAAGTAAACAACCAGGTTTTTGGCTGGAATCATGGTAATGTGAGATCCAAGTCCATTGAACAGAACTGGGCCATAGTCAATATTGTTTCCGAGTCTTTCAAGCAGCTCAAACACCCACGAGTAACAACCCCACTGGAGCATGCATATTTGAAGAACAAAGCCACCAGAATCAGCCAATCGTCCAGGAACAGTCTGCTTCCTGTCATTCGTCGTGCCACAAGACGCAAAACAACGGCGAGTGTAGACAATGTGTAGGCAAAGACAAGCGCAATCTTGATAGGCCGAACAACATCCTGATTCGGGTGCTCAAAGTCGCCCTCCACCCATGTGGCACCGGAAGATTGTTGTGCTGAAGACATGTCGGGCAGTAGTCAAGTGGGTCGGCACCTTAAACAAACAAGCAAAGCCAAACGAGAGAAATTTGTTGGTTTGCAAGATTTGGAATCATTGTGTAGGGCTGCGCCTCTTAATATACTTTGAAGGATTTGAGATAGGGGTGTTAGATTCTTCTTGCCCTGGAGACATATCATATTGTTCATCAGAAATCTAAATGCCGCACAAGTGACATGAACTGTCTACGGATCACAAAGATCATGTATTGGACGCGGTCCGAGTGCATAAACATGCTCGCAGCTAAGGCAGATTTGCTTGCGGACCATAACTCCGGATCGTTAGATGCAACTACCTCGCATTGAAAAACAATAAGTTCTCAATCTATGGCTTGCCAGATCATAAAAAACGTGAATCTAATGTGCGCTTTGATCTTGGGTCTTTGTCCAATCAGATTTGCGCATTGGATCTTTTTTCCGATATATCATCTCGGAAAGTAGATGGATCACATCGGCTCTACCACTTTTACTCCACTTTGTTGCAGAGGCCTCTCCAAGAACCGGGTAATGGGATGTGCTAAAGCAGAATTTATGATCGCTTCCTTCTCTTTTCATATATCTTGACCAGAGTAATTGTAAATTTGGTAAACATTCACTGTTCTTCGAACTGACGTAAATTTCAAAAGACATTATTAGCGGAACCGCAAATCACAAGCCACCCCTTTCTTCCAAGCAAGGGATAAATAAAGAGATTGATGCAAATCTAAAGGTCGCGGGGTAGAGTTTCGGAAACAATGCCCTACCGTGGGAAAGTTCGATGCCGCAGATGTGTCAGGTCACTTCAGTGGAGTCCGGGCGACATTTTCCCAGGAAGAAGCGCCATGATCGCCCAATAATTGAGACATGTGCGGGCCCCTAGATACCACTCCGGGCTTCTTGCATCAAGATACTTTCGTAGGAGTGGATAAGTGACATCTGAACAGTGAAACTATGACGGGAGGAGCTGAGATTGGGGCTCGGCTAGCCCCGTCCGATCCACCAGGCGATACGTCGATTCTATCTCATACAGTACAGGACACCTTCGATCGATCTACATGGCGGCACTTAGTGGGATTTGGCCGTTCTGGTTCGAATTTTACTTGCATGACAGCGCCTTTGTTGTTGATAGTCTACACATCCCATGTCTCAGAGATGAGGATCGACAGACCTTACTCTTTTGGGGTTTGAGGTCCATACATTTCACTGATCTATCCCACAGGCTGCATAATAATCGACTTTATTGTGTACAAACAGTGTAGAAATACTGACTCAGATAACGCCCGATCGAGCTGCCAAAAGAAATTATATTTCACATCATTGCATTGCCTTTGCAAAGGAGATGTTTCAGCACCTTGACCACGAACGTACCAGGGAGTAGCGGATCAGCTCACTTTCATCAGGGCGGATGCAGACAACCTTCTGTCCGAAACTCAGTTCTCCTTTGTAGATCCTTCAAGCATCATCCCTGGGGAGTATTGCGTCAGAAAGTAGGTCCCCGCAACCTTATACCGCGTTTGTCAAGTCTAACTGCCCGCTTGCCACCCTTGCCATTATACTTTGCCTGGTACGCGTAGTGGCCAAGTGGACGCTGGCGCAAAACTTCATAGGCTGTCGTATCACTCTTCCACGTTGTGGCGAAAATTTCATTGGGCGCAGAGCCGTTCTCGACCCAAGCCATCATCGCTAGAACAATGCCGTGGCGCGAGTGCTGTACGTTCCAGTATTGATGGTTGCAACTTGGGTCTGGACCGGCTATGTACTAGGGCCATTCACATTGTCAGAGGTGGAAAGACAGTGTCTGCTAGGGACAGAGAGGCTTTATTTTGGCTAGTTGCCTGGATGTCTGAGCTTACTCCATTCCAGGGACGAGGAACAGGCGATAGAAATCATCCATCTTTTTGCCTTGGGACTTCACGGCGCGGGTTGCCTGATCGTATTAATAAATGCAAGCATCCGGAGAGATAGAAGCATCTGAGGGGCCACGATAATGAAGCAACTTGCCACCGCGTTTGTGAGAATCACTGATATCAAATTTGTTGGCGATCCCATTTCCAGTGTTCAACTTGTGGGCGAGCTGGACATTATCGCTGAGACCATCTTGAGGATCACATTGTTTGATGACTTTCACAGCAAAAAGATCGAACATCTTCTCTGGAATGGTATGAGATGTTGCGGGTGCCTGATAGGTTGTTTGCTTCAAGTTCCACAGTTGCTGGTGGGTAGTTCACCATGCAGGCGCACCAGCAATCACACCGTCAAAGTCTTCGGGGTAGGTCTGCAGATTCTTCCTGCTCTACCGTCCACCGGTTGAGTATCCATAGGAGTAGCTGTACTCGGCGGCTGAGCCGTACCATTCCAGGGCAGCTGTTGCATGCCACGCCCTGTAGCCCCAATTAATGACGGACTCTGGTCTACTAATTTCCCATCAGGTAGGATGATTTCCAGCACTGCGCAAGATCAAAATCAATGATATGTTCTCGCTGAGGAAAGATATTTGACAGTGACCCGAGCATGCATAACTAGCTATTCATCAGAGGTTGAGAGGCTCGCCCATCATAGCACCCCAGGTCTTCTCTGACGCTTCATCATGGAACTCTGGCTTCTCAATAAACAAAAAGTTATTCACTGAGACGTGAATAGCCCGCGCGTACAGCTCATCACCAGACACCTCCATACCCTTTCCGTCCACCATGTCTTCCCCCGAGATCATTTTTGTGATAATGCCGGAGACATAACTGACAGGTATAAACACCTCTCTCGGGAAGATATCCGGAAAATTTCCGCTGTCCGTCAGGAGGGGCGTTTCCACCACTCCAGGACATAAAGCATTAACCCGGACGCCCTCGAGCCAAAATCTTGCTCCTATGGAGCGAGTGAATCCGGTCAGTGCATCTACCTATTGGTCAGTCTTCCTTTTATCCTCATGTTCTTAAGCGATTTTCTCGAAACTCACGCTTGGTAGCCGAATAAACCGGCGTCAGCATACAAGGATAAAGTCCCCCAATACTGGACGTAAGAATCAAATTCCGCTCTCCCTTGGTCTGGTCCGGGGATTGACGGAAATAATGAACTGCCAGGTAGCTAGTATACAGAACACCCTTGAAATTGATATCAACAATATCAAGCTCAGGTTCAGGTGGGATCGCAGTTTCGGAAGTAGGAGGGAAGAAGTCTTTGTATTCAGCTGCTCCCGCGTTTGCAAAGACAAAATCCAGTCGACGAGATCCACAGAAGACCTGATCAAACACAGTGGCTAATCGTTGGTAGTTACGTACGTCGGCTTGATAGAAGGTGGTGTTGGAGAGTGCTGCTGCTGCTTTCTCGCCTCGTTCTTGGTTACTGCCGATGATGTTGATTTGCCAGTTTCCTGTTTCGCTGAGTTCTTCGGCGACGGCGAGGCCGATGCCACTTGCTTTTTCGGAGTTCCGGTTAATGCATGGCATCAGACATGTGGGGCATGCAGAGGGTGCTTACTTCCGCCGGTGATAAGAGCAACTTTCAAATCAGACATATTGGTGTGTAATGGAGAGAGAGCAACAACCGGGATCGGGGTCGGTGAACTACAGGGTTTTATGCCGGGAACAGAGAGGTTGGAGAGATATCCATGTCGGCAAGGAGGGGAATCGAGATCTATTGTGTAGCTTGAAACTAACGGCAGCTGAGATGCACCCGCGCGATAGCATCGCTCTTTCATTTCTCATCATTGGAAGAGCACGATCCGTACCCACGAAGGAGGGGTCGATGACCATTTCACATGGCTGTTATTGGATAGGAACTTCAATCCACTGGAGGTCCACTGTGGAGCCCCATGCAGCCAGGTTCAATTATCCTGGCTGAACTGTGCTTTGAGCTCACGGTGATTGGCGTTGGGCGGCGCAGTACTCTGCCTTGTCAAATTGAGCCTCGCGAAAGGTGTAAGATATGCATTCTTGCATTTTGAGATGTGGAAACCAACAGGGATGGGCTGGGTTGATAGAGACGCCTAGGCACGGGTCGAAAGACCACTTGTATCTGACAAAGAAAGCATAGCTGACCAAGGGCTCAGGTATAAATGAATTGGAATATCACTGTATGCTCAACGAAATTTGCCGTTCAGTTGGATATCCATTCTTCATTTGGTCTCTGCCTTCCCAATGTATTCTCCTAGATCAAACCAGTGGATCTCACCAAATGCCCTCGCGTTCCATACTGAATACATGATGTTCTTGACGCGGACCTGTGACTGTAAGGAAAATGTCACCATTTTATGGCTCTTGGTAATGATTTTCGCCTGTTCTTCGGCGCCTGTGATCTCAAAACTGGCTACCATATAAGCAAGTGCAGTGCATGGTATGGACCTCCCCGTGACTTGCATCACCATGTCAAATTCGGCAGTGATGGCTTTGGATATGAGTAAGGCTTCCTCATCATGTCGCCCAAAGGGATGTTTCAACCGATGGATAATGAGCAACGCAGCAAGACGAAGCACCTCAGTCTGCGCAATCATCCGAACAATCTCATCCTGAACAAACTGTTCAAGAAAGCCAGGCGGTGGTAATGGCTGCCATTGATCTAGACAATCCTGAATAGCCTTCAGTTGTTGTGCAAGGCCGACATCCATTCTTCCGCCCGTGTGTCGCAGTATGCTGGCAACTTCACAAATGTCATACAGATGAGCAAAGAGACCAGAACTCAGCCCAACATACCGATCAACAACATCATTGCGATCGTCTTCCCCGATCCTTATAGTTGGTATCTCCGATTTGAGCAGGCAATCGAGTGTCTCCGTGCTAACAAGACACATCAGGAAATCCATTGTGTCCGAATCCATCGTCAGAAGTCTTGGGTATATCGGCTTCACCAGAGAAAGCGTGTAGCGGGATATAAGAAACGACTGTCCATGCGCAACATGCATAGCAAATGTAACCATCGCTACGCCAATTCTCAATGCAGTGATTAAATCCTGGTCCTGGGATATTTGCAAAGAGCGAAGTCCAGACACGGCCATTGCGGCTCGCCGGTGCCCGATTTCAAAACTGACTTTGTTGTACTGGGCATATTTATCCCCAAATAATACTGCAGCACAGGCTAGTGTTGCATGCTTCAAGATAGGTGTTGGTCGAAGCAGATTTTGGATGAAGGATTGATGGTGTGATTCATGGAAGCTTGGTCCGATGAGAAATTTGTCGAGTGGAGATGGTGCAACGATGTCTTTCATGAGGTTGACGAAATGTCTCTCCCATTGGTCTAAATCTGGAAATAACGCTGCGTTGTTGCCTAGGCCATCGTTGAGCGAGTAGAAGAAATGTGGATAGGGTGTTTCTTGCGATATCGTGGAAATGGTCGTCGGGATGTAGGTATCAGAATTGATGTTGGAATCTGGAAGACTGTATGAAAGCTTTCTTCCATTTCGGGGTCTTCGACCTGCCTTCGCGATATTCCGTGTCGTTTGGCAGTTGTGATTGAGACGGTTGCACCTTTCGCATGGTGCTGCAGGGATCGGTCGACGACACTTTTCTTTGAGAGTATGACATTGATCGCAGGCTTGTTTGAGTGTAGTCTGAGGCATCTTGGGGAGTTCACTTATTTAATCACGGATTCTCTTCGGCATGGCCGCCCTCGAATCTATCGATATTAGATACCCGCAGTTCACGGTATAGACGACAAATGCCTACCTTGGTCAATATGGTTTCTCGTATGCGGTAAACAGAACTTTCAGGGGAGTATAGGTCATGGAAGACCCCATTTGAAGTGAAACCAGACGCCAAAGACCAAAGCCAAGAAGTTGTCCTGATAAGCTCTCGGGTGGACTTGACTAAAACGCTCAAGCGCGAATTTGCGGGGAAGTAAACAGGCTCTCATTGAATACCTTAACATTCATCTCCATGTCTTCACTACTTCACACGCTCCGGTCTTGCACAGAAGATAACCGTCAACAGTTCAAAGTACCCGCCATAGTCCTCCAAACAGCATCGGGTAGTCTCCCATGAATCCAATATCCGCCCTCTCCTCCATCCCGTCCCAGTGCTTTCCACGTCACCAACAAGTCATCCAAGTGGCACTTGGTCTCACGCAGAATACCACAGTAGTCAACACTGCCCTGGACAAAGAGCGGGTTCTCCCCCTGGATGTCGATATCGTAAAGGGGTAGGCTCTTCCATGATGCGACTCGGGGTTGAGCGGCTCGACTGCCGTAGGTCTTTGGTACCATGGGGTTTTTCTTGAGCCGGCGATGCTGCTCTACAACCTCTCCAATACATTCTGGCTGCTGTGCCTCATCGACTGTGTGTCGGATGTGCTGTGCCAAGCGCGCCATTGACGGAGAACTATATTCGCTTGATGGCATTGGATCTGGCAGAGGCATCATATACCACGGGTTATAGAGGTTGGCTTCAGACTGCAGCTGCTGCGAAATGTCAACTACTAGCCCGAAGTTGTGAGCAGTTGGCGGATGTAGAGACGCCTATAAAAGAATTAGTATCAATGGCTTCCGGAGGGTGAGAACCATACATACCTTATAGATGAAAGCAACCAGCAGATCGTGATCAGTAACTTTAGCATTTGCCAGGTCAGCCTCCTTGGCCCACCGTTGAATCTGTCCACGTGGTACCAACATGGTCCTACCAACACGTCGAGACGATCGGTAGCAAATGTTTCGTGCAATCTGCTTCCCTAGAGCCCCGATACCGGAAGACCAAGTTCGATGAGAAGAATGCAGGTGTAAGTCTGCAATTTGATGCGATTCAATCATCTCAGCACACTTCTCAAGGACCTCTGACTTCAGCGACAGAGATGGTCGGGCATGCAGGGTATGCGTGATTCTTTCGCCCCTGAGCAGAGTACAGTAAGCTTGGATAATTCCATGAGCACCTAGAGGCCTACGTTAATGCTGTTCTTCAAGATCCTTTTCCTGTGTGACTTACCACTTGCGTCGCAAAGCGAGTGCAAAAATTTGAACCCTATTATGCAAGCGTCGTTCAAGAACACCGTTCGGATAGAGAAGACCCGCTGTTTCCACGCATTCAAAATTCCATAGCCAAAATCCAATGCTTTATCCAGCGCCTCGGAATTGATCATTTGTGGGAAATCTGGCTCAGGGGATACGTAGAGGATCTCATCAAGGTCCTGGTGCATCTCTCGCCCTTTCCAGACATCCGTTAGATCACCAGGATCTTTCGGTTCAAGAAATTTTGTTTTCTGTTAAATGTCAGCATTTGTTCTATTGCTTGTATCTGCTGCAATTCTTACCAATGCGTCCATTCGCAGGTTCAACACAGGCCATTGTGAGACAAGTGTATCCGCAGCGAACTGAAAGTCCAATGGACTCGGCTTAGTTCTCACGATGACCGATAGGGTAAACTCGAGAGGACGAGCATAACCCAAATCCAGCGGTCCAGGCTTCATGTTGAAAGAAAGATTAGAGATAATTAAGTAAATGGGTATCAACGATTGAATGGAAGAAAAAGATGGAAAAGAACGACTTTCTTGTCCGAATTCTATTCAGTAGTTCATATTAACAACAACCAGAATGATGAGGCTGTACCAGACAAGAAGTATCTTGTCTTTGCTTGTTTATCTCAACTTTAACGAACCTTTCCACATAACTTCTCTCTGGAATGCGCAACTTGTGATCAGCCTTCTACCTCTGCTGTCGTCTTGGCATACACAGTTGGAATGCCAGAGACATCTTTGGAATGCTAAGTAGCACCTTTCTCCTTGCACAGACGTCTCTGTCGCTCATAAATACCCACCATGGCTGGGGTAGCATGGTTGACGGGAATTAGAAAATTATAGCCGGTAGGCCTATAGCCAATGGCTGTAATATGTCATTCCCTAAATTCCAAATTCCGTAAGGTACGGATTCCGGTCTTGTTTCACTATCCGCTATCGTTATGATAGCTGTTGAGGTTCTCTCCGTGTGATTCTTTTCAACCACTGTTGAATATGCATCATAGAATAAACCAGGTAATCAATCTCCAATCAGTATCCAAAATCAATCTCGCTTGAGGTATACTTGATTGACGGGACTTGGCCCGCCAAATACCAACGATTGCCCCTGGGAACTGCTGGTCAGGGAAGTAGATAGTTTGAGAAGGTTTGAAAGAGCGATGATAGCTAGTGTCCAAGCGAGAATGACGGCAGCGGTGTCGATTTTTTTCGAAGGGCAAAGGTTATTCTTGAGTGGTGAAAACTCCAACAAATGGTGATTGGCCGATTAGCTGCAGGTGAAGCAGGGATGGAGCGACTCACGAACGTGGTCAAAGCGCAGCGAAGGGGCGAGAAGGGCCGCTGTATCAGTGGAGAATAGTCAGCTGCGATCCTAGTCACATCTCATTTTGATCTGGTCTGCTTCAAAAAGTGTATAGAGGGCTTGAACATATCTTGCTTGTCGGTGGAAGACTGAGGGGAAATAACTTGAACAGTAAAAGGCACGGGATAGCACGAAGTATCACTGCATGAACTAACAGTCGGACATTGGACAATGGACGACATGCATGCAGAGATCATCATTGAGATTCGTGAATCAAAATGGGCTCGACCCTTGGTCATTGTATCTAGGAACCAGAACTGGTGATCGCAATCCGTTCGGCATGAATCTTGCTTCAGACAGATAATTTTCAAGATCCCGGATGGGCTAATGCACCTCATACACCTCATACACCATAAAAATGTGAATGGGTACGAATCGAGGTTGCACTTCGTCCCGTTGACACCTGGCCAGGTGCTGCATAAAGCGGTGTACTTGATCAAACATTTTCATCTCCACGTTTTGCATTGTTGATTCCTCTCTCGTGGCTTCTCTATCTTGGTAAAAGAAGCATCCTTTGATTTGACCGCAGATCACTGGATAGGTCAAGTCGAATGACCTCAATCGTGACCATCATAGCGCATACTTGCACATGTACGACTGTGGCGGCTGAATGCCGCGACTGCGTAATGACTTACCAAGGCTTAAAGAACGCTAGGAGGTTTTGTTGGTCGACGAAAACCCAAAGGACTGGATAGCTATGCTTTGTTTGTCTATCTGAGTGGCTGGGTGACCCCAGGGTCTTTGGTTTGATGGTTGCACAGAATGTCCCTCTGGCTGCAGATCTGCATGCAGCTGGTTTAGGATTGCACTGCCATCAAGCTCTTTGACATCAGGGGCTGATAGCCAAATAGAGAGGTCGTCTCTAGTATATATTATGTCGGTGGGCCCACCATAGGGTTCGACTGCACGAGCTCGGCTTGATAAATATCTCCTGCCCTGCAGATTTATCATGTTTTCTTTAATCTCTTAGTTTATACTCTTCATCATGGTATGGGACTACTATAATGGCAAGGTTCTCTTTGTGACAGGAGGATCAGGGTTCATTGGGACTGCACTTCTCTGGCGACTCTTAAGTCAATCGTCACCTGAACGAGTATATGTGCTATGTCGAGGTGGATATGCGTGAGTACCTGATTTATTGTACTTCAAATAGGACCGTCTAATTGAATTCAATAGCAAAGCGGAAGAAAAATGGTCAAGCATGCTTCCACCTTCTACTGCAAAGATCCTCACAGATAGTCAACTGCTGACTGTTCTCGACGGTGAATTGGGTAACACTGCCACAATGGATCTCCCAGAAGAAACGTTACAGATGCTCAAAGGAACAGTGCACATAGTCATCCACGCAGCATGTTCAGTCCAACTACAAAACTCTCTCCGAGAACTATCATACAGTGTCATGGCACCGTCCCTGTGCCTGACAAAATATGCCTTAAAATTCCCCAACCTTGAACGTTTTGTCTTTTTCTCAACCGCGTATGCCAACGCCCATTTATGGCAGACAAGCAAGTCATCCGACGTCCGTGTAGATGAAAGGATATACCCCCTCAGCACTGAGAGCGAAGACTACTACCAAAGTGCACTGGATTCATGGCGCGCAGTACAAAGTACTGGCTCGTCAGATGAATACGACGCTCATGATTTCCCCTGGCCCTACGCTTACGCCAAACACCTGACCGAACGACTCGTTCTGCAACAAGTATCAGAACGCAACAAGCTAGACAAAGTTCTCATTATCAGGCCGTCGGTCATCGGCCCTGCCGACAAGCTTCCATATCCCGGGTATGCAACCTCACAAGGTACACCCTCGACAGCCTGTGCTGCGGCATACATGCTACACCCAGGCCGGCAAATCACACTGGCATCTCGATGCGAGAAGCCAGGTCAAGAAGCCACCATCGATGAAGTTCCAGTGGATGTGGTGGTAGATCGGGTGCTGGTCCATGTAGCAATGGGGACTAGTGGATTGGTCCACGCTGTCAGTGGGGAGCAGAGTCGGTTATCTGTTGATGAATGGTGGCATGCGTTTAAGAAAGAGAGGCGAATTCCTTGGAATGCGAAGCTTGCTTGGACGGCTGGGGATTGGCATTCGCCTAACCTTCATCAGATGGCGAGGCGGTTCAAGATTATTGGGACCTCTTTTGCTTTCTCCGAACAGAAGACTGTTCAGGTGGCGGAGAAGTTGCAGGGTCAGAAGGGGAACTTGATGTTATTTGCGGATCGGTCCTTGCCTTATTCTTTGCACTTGAGGAGACATCATATTCATCATATGGCGATTCAGCATGCCAAGTCAAACAAGTGGCCTGCTTGCTATGCCAAGGTGTTTTGTCGCAAGGGGAAGTCGTTGGCTCAGCTAGACAAGCAGGTCAAGGCATGAGATTTGGCTGGTATATTTAAAAGGCACCTAATTGTGTCTCTTTTTGCAACTTGAAGAGAACAATCTTGAACAATCTCTTCCAGATGTTCTTCGGAAAGTCGAGTTACAACAAGGGTCATAAGTCTATTCTGAATGCTATAAAGTATCAGATAAGTTCTTTACAAAGCCCCTGAAGTGACTGCGCCATTGCATGCATTATCTTTGTCCTAAATGAGCCTCTCTATTCTCGCCTCTGTTTTCACTGCCTTTTTACACATATTCAAGTGCCTCGGGTGAGCCATGTTGATCATATAAACGTGGAGGTGGGAAAGGACTTAGGGCCACTATTATATAAAACAATCAAATTTAATTATAACCATGTCCTTCAACGTGGAAATATATATGCAACGTCACCAGCAAAAATACTTGTTTCTGACTGATGGCACTGAACAATGCATTAATAGACGGGGGGAACCGATTATTTCAATTCTCACTCAACTGTTCTTGTCATAATGTCCTACTCAAAATCATATAGTTCCGAGGGGCATCTAGATATCGTGCACGGGCCACCTGATTGATCGCGGGGGGAAAGAAATTCTTGTTGCCCGCCACCTTCTCACAACAACATCATGGCTCCCACAGTGTGTTTCAACTGCAAGGAGGCGCGAGCCGTCATTATCAGGCCTAAGAACAGACACAAACTCTGCCGGGCCTGTTTCATCCAGATCTTTGAAACCGAAGTCCACGAGACAATCATCGGCACCAAACTTTTCTTCCGCGGCGAGCGAGTGGCGATTGGAGCCAGCGGCGGCAAAGACAGCACAGTACTTGCAGCAGTATTGAAAACGTTGAATGAGCGATACGATTATGGTCTGAACCTATGCCTGCTCTCTATCGACGAGGGAATCCGTGGTTATCGCGATGACAGTCTGGAAACTGTAAAGCGCAATGCAGTCCAATACGAGATGCCCCTGGAGATCGTCGGATACGGCGAGCTTTACGGCTGGACAATGGATCAAGTGGTGGCACAAGTTGGCAAGAAGGGTAACTGCACCTACTGTGGTGTATTCCGGCGACAGGCTCTCGACCGAGGCGCTGCTCGTCTGGGCATTAAGCATGTTGTCACCGGCCACAATGCAGACGATGTTGCCGAGACTGTCATGATGAACCTGCTGCGTGGTGATCTTCCCCGTCTGTCGCGTGGAACCAGTATCGTGACCGACTCCGACGCTTCGGATATCAAGCGCAGCAAGCCACTCAAGTATGCTTACGAGAAGGAGATTGTCCTTTACGCCCACCACCGCCAACTCGATTACTTCAGCACTGAATGTATTTACTCGCCTGAGGCGTTCCGTGGTAGCGCGCGCACCTTGATCAAGGACCTGGAAAAGATCAGACCCAGCTCCATTCTTGATATTGTCAAGAGTGGCGAGGATATGGCTGCCCTTGTGCCCGTGGAAGTCCGAGGCTCTGGCAAATCTAAACACGCAGGAGCAGAAGACGAATCTGCCGGTGGCTGCGGTAGTCAGAACGGTCGATCTAGCGGCGGAGAAATGGCCGCTATGGAGAAGCAACTTACTGAGAACGACGCTGCCGAGTCACGCGAGACTGAGATTAAGCTTCCAGTGGCTACATCGAAGAAGTCTAAGCCGGCTAAGCCGGCTAAGCAGATCAAGGGGCAAACCATGGGACACTGCGAGCGCTGTGGCTACATTTCTAGTCAGCGGATTTGCAAAGCCTGCACACTACTAGATGGGCTCAACCGGAACAGACCCAAGACGGCAATCGAAGTTGGCATGGAGGACGAAGAAGGCAGTTCCACTTTGATGAGACAGATGGAACGTGCCCAGCTCGGGGCTACCTGAACGATGACCCAGTGAGGACATCTTCCCATGATGTCCCAACTTCCATACTCCACAGACTCCGGAGTCAGAGTCCTGAGCATTCCCACCACAGCTGCATTGCCTAGGTCGTCCTATCAGCCTCGCTACCACATGCAGCTCCGCGCAGTGAGACTGGGTGCAACACCTAAGTTGGCGTCAAACCATCGCACCACAGCCCATGCGAACTATGCCGGCGAAGCTCAACACTCTGCACCACAAGGCAACCAGCGCAGCTGGAAAAAAGGCCCGAGCCACTTAAAACGGCCAAAGGTCATCGTACATAGCATACAGCAATTCTCCTAGACTTTCAAATATGAGTACAGCACTATACAGAGTCAAGTGGGTAGTTTATTCACGAAATCGCTGGTCGTAGTATACAAATCCCAATAATAATCACAAACAACGCCAGTTTCTATCTATACAGACCATCGGAAGCCATGGGCACGGCGCCATCAATACCGAGACCAGCCGGATGGTTTGTAAGCCCACCAGTCTGACTTTCGATCCCGGTGGGCAAAGTCATGAAGCCAGATCCCGAGACGTTACTCGGAAAAAGGGATTCCGAAAGACATCTCATGCCCAATTCTATCAAAATCTATTTTACTCGGTCTTCTCCTCAGCAGTATGCAACTGAGGCAAATCAAAGCCAACCCGACGAGCTGTAAGACGAATCTTCTCCTCCTCATCCATGCTCATGCCGGGGTTATACCGCTCAAGCAATTCACAGTATGAGCGCTGAGCGCGGGCATACTGAGCCAGTTGTTCGGCTTCTTGCACGCGGAGGGTGATTTCTTCGGGTGTTTTGGGTGTCGAAAAGGGGAGCACGCTGGATGATGTGGATGTAGATGTGGTGGTTGTGGTAGCATTCGGCTCTGAGCGGAAGATTTTGCGCAGAGATTGGTGGATTGGGCTGGGGGTGTTTAGGGTTCTTTTTGGGAGTTCGCGGAGGAGGGCGCGGTAGGTTGCTCTTATTTGGATATGTTGGGGCATTTTGGTTGGTCCTTTTATGGGGGATTGGATTCGAGGGTTCGGACTTTGAGTCAAATTGCTTTTGCTTGGGTTGGAGGTTGACTTGGCTCCTTTGTTGGATGTGAAGGGCGCGGTTTTGGTCGGATCTGGATATCAGATTGGGCGGATCGACTTAAGGCACGTGATCCATGTGAAGTTCGTCGCCAATTATGGTTTAGTGTGGACTTGGAGCTAAACAGTAGATACAGATTGGACTTTCATATAGGGGCCTTTAAATCTACGAATTTGTAACAGATTCCTCGAAAAATGACTTGCTAATTGTCTAAGATCCTGGCGTTTTTCCAACCACATCCTAGTTAGGAACGTTATTGCTGAAGCAAAGATTCAATAGATGGACATCACTTCTCCCCGGTCTTATCCAAGATCATGGTATCCAAGATCTCGAATATCGGAATGAACCATGCACGAAGACTGCTTAATTCCTGTATAGCAGCAACCATTCCCTTGGCGTAGATAGTGTGATCCCGATGATGAAAGCGCAACAGCAGCATTTTGACAACGAGACTGAAGATTCTATGTTAAAGTCGCTACGCAGACTGTGCGAGGTGAAGGATACAGAGCATATCATAGCACGAAAGATTCAGAATTAATTTATATCTGTTGGCGTTGAATATTACGAAGCGCCCTCCCCCAGCCAGAGAAGTTCAATAACCAGTACTGTATGTACATGTATAAGCTACCCTGTAGGGATATGTACAAAGACGTCGTGAGAGCTTTTTTAGATGGATCGCCGCTCCAAGCGTCGTATCTGTTCTCTCAGGGACCGAGATCGTAACGGAAAGCAAAGGCAAAGAACAGAAATTGTTTATCAATCATAGAGGGGCGTGGCGACATGAGAGTGAGGGTGTGTAGGGGAAGGGAAGGAGGGGAGGGGAGAAATGAGGAGGGGATTGGGTGAGGTAGGGGTGGTGTGGGGTAAGCTGGGAGGCGGAAGTACTGTAGATGGATGATATCGGAGATATATGCAAGTCGCTCGATGGAGGAGAGGAGGGGCTAGACGAGAGCTGTGACTGGGCTCTCAGATCTATGAACGTAGCCAGCCGAACTTTTTTCGGCCTTCTGCTCCTGTGGATGGTTCGACGTGTAAGCTTCGGGCATACAAGTCCTAGATGATGTTAGTGAGATTCTACATTCTATGAGATGGCTGATCTTACCTCTTCATCCCCAGAGAGCTTTGATTCCAGGAGCAGTCGTTCGACATCGTCAAACTTCTGCGCCTGGGGGTGAGGGGTCTTCTGGCTACGTTGGATACCCAGAACAACCTCACCCATGACCTCAAATTTCTTCCAATTAATGCGAGATTTGTTCTCGCCAACGAAAGTCTTGTTGCCTTCTTCGGCAGAGACGAGGTCGCGACGGTGGAGAGGGAGGAAGGGGATTCGTTCGGAGAATGAGTTTTCCCAGGCAAGACGGTAGGCGAAGTGACTTCTTTGCGTGCTCATCAGGATAACCAAGCGCATAAACTCTTTTTGAACTGGAATGGGGATAAGTTCTCGAGTCTGCGTTAGGCGGTGGACTGGTGTGCCGTTGATGGCGGCAATTACGGCACCCAGGGAGTTATAGTTGTTTTGGCGGCGGAGTTTCTATCAGGAAGTCAGTTGCTGGTGTAGCTTATGGGTTTAGGGTAACATACCACTGCGATGTTCATGAATTTTTCCATCGCCTTCGCGCGGTGCTTGGGCTTATCTCGTAGGAGGATCATGCTCGCTACGAAGAATGCGAGGTTGTTGAACTGTTTGATCATGCGGTTGACATTCGACAGACTCTTAATCTTGTCCTTGTCTATGCCTGACAGGCTGACATGACGGACCAGATCACGCGACCGGAACGAGTTGTACATGATCCAGTCAATCCGGGTCAATTCTCGGGCAAACTCCTCGTCCGGCGTTTCCATGAAGAAACGCCACTGGAGTTTGCTGAGAGGAGACTTGGGACTCAATTCGAGACGCAAAGCCTCTTTTTGAGCAGCATCAAGACTGAGAAGTGTGAATGACTGATTTGTCGTGGTATTGGGTTTGTCGGCAGTAGAAGAAACCGAAAGAGTGCCAGAAAGTCGGGATGTAGAGTCTTGCGGGCCATCGCTGAGATTCAATGCACTCATACTATATATGGGATCCTGTTCTTCCTCATCTTCGTATGTGCCAGTGCCAATGTTTAGGCCAGTATGGACCGGCGCAGGGGAGCTGCGGCCAGAGTTGTCGAAAAATGTCTCCGTAAGGCTGGCATCATCCGGGTCGCCATCACCGCCGTAGGCCCAACCAACATCATCGTCTTCGGCATTGGAATCCAATTGTGACCCGATTTCCTTAGCAGCAAACATATAAAAGTGGCTCTTTTCGAGAGTAGCAACGAAATCAATAATGCGCTTGCGAAGCTTAGGGTGAGCGAAATCTCCTGGGTATTCCGATGCCCATTGGGCCATAACGTCGAGCAAGCGTAGCTGATCTGCCATGCGGGCAAGCTGGTCGACGTTGCTCTGCTCATTTCGCTCGAATCGATTGATCAGGGCAGTCAAGAGGGTTCCCGGGGCTGCAAATTTGCGGTATAAACATAGGAAGATGGACCCGAACTTCTGCTCCTGCTTCGACATGGGCAGCGAGATCAAGCGGTCGACGAGCTCATCGAAAGATAAGCCTGTCTCGGCGCTGGAATTGCTCTCGCTGCTCGGCTTTGGTCGCACGACGGCGCCAGGACTCGGGGGTCGGCTTTGTCCATCATCCATCTCGTCCTCCATATTCAAAAAGCTGTTGAAGGCGTCCGACCCTCCACTATGTCGCCAGGCGGAATGTAGTCGCTGCTGACGATTGTCGTGGCTTGGGGAGTCGTTTTCTTGTGCTGATGGTCTGCGCTGGTTCAAACGTGCTCCTGGGGGAGTTTGCGGTCGCAACGCTTGCGAATTACGGTGGGCATAGTGGGTGGAACTTGGGGTTGGCGGTAGGCTATTCAAGTGGTCGCTGGAGGAACGATCACCGCCTCCAACACATTGATCTGGAAGGGTCGGTGGGCCGCCAGCGGCTGGGAATGGATTTTCGGAGTTACGGTTCTCGGGAGGGTGAGGTTGGAAAGACTTGGTGGTTGTTCGAGGAGTAGGATCGAGGTCTGGCGAGGAGTTAGATCGGGAGTCCATGAAACTGTCCCCCTGGCATTTGACAGTAGCGAACGCTACGACCCACCTGGCCCGCTCCAGGGGGTCAAGGCACCCAAAGTTTGCTCACCTCGAGTTGAGATCACCGCCCGCAGCACCAACGCAATACACATTCGCTGTGATCGTGGCGAGGAAAAAGACGTGCGGTAAATCTCGTATCTTTCATGGATTGCATCCACTGCTTCTTCCAGAGGCTCTGCGTGGACATCGCACTTGCAGCCAACCTGTAAGAACGGCAGAGTCGACGTTTCCAAGGAGTCTGGATACGATCAGCACGAGAAATAAAGCTACCCATGGTTGACCTACAAATCAGGTTTGTCGTCAGTGCAAGCCTATCTGGCTTAGTGGCATCATGCAAAACCAGCACTCCATCAATGGCTGGCGCAGCTCTGTCTCGTCCTGTCCGAGGCCACAGGACATTGTTCTCCTGGTCGAATTGAATCTGAGTCAAGTCGACCTCCAGTAGCCGCACGATGTAGACCGATCCGTCCAGCGACATCTTCTTTCTATTCAAGGGAGCGACAGGCGAGCTCTTCATATCCAATGCACATCGGACGAAGCTGCTCTTGCCAGCGTTCTCCTCGCCCACCACGGCAATAGTCACTTCGGGGAATCCGGCCTTGGAGTCCTGTAGTAGAAGCCCCATCAGCAATTGAGTTGTCAATTCCCTTGGTCTCTCAAATCAAGTCATACCTCGTTCTGCCGGGTCCTGCGAGCCTCATCAGCAGTTGGGAACCCCTCATCTTCCTCCACCAAAGTGTTCACTGATGCCCCCGGTTTCCGCGCATCCAACTTGTACAGTCCCCCCACTGGGGCTGAGGTAGTCCGACTTCCCATAGTCGGTCGTTGAGCAATTGCAGGCATTGCTTGAGCTCTGTCACTATGGGCCCGCTCTCGGCGGGATGGCGATGCCATGGCGGAAGCAGTCGGAGCTTCTCAAGCAATCCCCGTGTCTACTGTGTAAGATCAGAGACGCACTGCAGTGCCATGGTTGCCTGGACAGGACAAGGGAATTAGAACTAAGAAGTTCGGGTAAAGAATAGTTTAAAGGGATCACAGATCCGCGGAAGCTGGGATCCGGAAGCGAGGTCTTTGTCCCCAGCTGAAAACACGGAGCTGTCCAAGTGGCGACTAGATCTTACTCCACAGGTTTCATACCGTTTAAGATGCATCCAATATTTTCAGCCTTTGACTCGTCAGAAATTTGAAAATAGCCCAAAATTCAGTATTTTCTACCGATCTCCAAAGTTCTGGGCCGTTGCTCCGCCTGAATTTGGGAAACTAAAGGGCCGCTAACCCGCCATTCGGTCTTGGCTTGACTGGTTGGGATATCAAGGATACCCCAGTATCAATTCCTCTACTGTACATGAACACGAGAGAAAAGAATACCTACAAATTTCAGAAAAACAGACCTGAAATAGCAATCATTCAATCTGACAGATGACAGATTTTGACAGATTCGCGGGCGTAGACTTGTGTTCCCAAAAGAGATTGCTGACACTCTATTGGGACGACCAGACGCGCAACTAAGACGCCCCCTTATGTTATGTAGACTTAACACCTGCAGGTCTGACAGGCTCTCCCAAAAGTCCACCTCGTATGCGCTTCCCTTTCCTCCAAAGAGATCACATCTGACTCAGGCTGAGTGTGCTTCCTGGGCCTGGTTGACAAGCGCCATAAACCGCATGAAGGCCTCGGCGACTTGGCCAGTCTCTGTGCCCTCCTCACAGTCCTGTCGCAGCTTTCGGACCTTGCCCAGTCCACGATTGAAGCCTTTCTCGCTGGTCCACGAGCCCCGACTGCGACGAGTGGAACCACCTCGTCCTCGTCCACGACCTCGTCCGCGCGCGGGCGTTGTATGCCATTCTACCCATTCTTCTTCCAGCGTGGCTTGGTACATTTCTTGTAGCTGGCTGCGGAGTTCGGGGTGCTTCTCGAGGAGTTGCTTGATCTCCGCTGATGTCGCTACAGCTGCGACATTCATCGGCCGCTTGGATTCAGCCGGCGGAGCATTTTCAGTCTTGATATCGCCGTTCTGGGATTGATCGGCTTCGGGTGGGTTGCTCGATTCCTCGTTGGAAGGGGCTTTCGGGGCACAGTATATCTTATGGGACTGGGTGCATGCAAGCGAGCAGCTAGAGCAACAAGCAAGGTTAGTCAGTGGTCCACGTATAGAAAGCGCAATCATACCTCATCAGTTCGCAAATCGGACAACGATATTTGGAGGGCTCTGAAGAGCAAACCTCACAGGAACCAGGCATTGTGACGGTTTCCTAAAGAACCCATGAGCTCAATCAAACTTGATCCAGCATGTTTGACTGATCCACGAGCAAGTGGAAAACTTTCGGAAAGTCGACTTCCCCATTTGCTCGATAAAGCTCAGACTTTCTGCCTCAGGCTTACTTTCTGCCTTAACGCCTGAATTGTCTTCATAACGTTGACATTTTCCACGTGATACAGGCCATTACATGAATATCCTGTTTGCTACAGTGCATGGTTTGGCATGAACTGCAGTAACTGATCAGATAGAACAAAAACATCCCAGACCTAACAGTCTATTGGGAAACCCACTCCCATCCCAAGGCCCGATGTGGCCACCGCTCCATGGGCCCCGCCTGCACCATAAAAGCGGCGCATCATACTGTATACATCTGGCCCAAATAACCTCCCAAAGACGAAAACTCAAGGTGGAATTGCAGTCCCCACTCCGGAAGCAAATTGTGGCATGATCACGATCTTCCACGTCCAATACTATTCTAGCCCTAGTCTAGTGGGACAGAACAAAGCAACAATGCACGCGATGCATCATTAACGGCTCCTTCTGTGCCGGCTTTGGAAAGAATAGGTCTTTGATATTAATTGATAGGTAAGATATGGGCAACGGCATGATTTATGACTCGACTGTAAGATCCACCTGTTGGAAAGTGTCAGGCCATGTTTGGGTGGATCCTGATCTTTCTCGATTTGATCTCGATCGTGGCTTTTGTTTGTTGCACACTTTTTGTTTGTTGCACACTTTTTGTTTGTTTCACGCTGTGTTTTGGCTTGTGATGGGATTTCCTTTTTGGTTTGTGGAAGTATACCTTCTCTTTGCCTTGAACAAGAAAGTACAAAATGTTCCACAAGGATTTTCCTAGAACATGCTGTACTGTATACTATGTCAGGGATTCTGAGATAGCAATAAGACTTACATATTACTCTAGTATTCGTATATTCATGTTCCTGTCGTCTTATTACCCGGCCTACTGTGATACGAGTATAGAAAACGTACGTTGTGTTGTTCTAGATTCTAGACATCAGCTTGGGCCTAGACTAGCAATAGACTGCAATCAGAAATAGGTAGGGAAACAAAGTTTACTGCGCATAGCGTCTCTAGTCAACATCTGAAGACGTGGGAGCGCCACCTGTTCCCCAGACCGATGATCGACAGATTTCTTCAGTTTCACACGTGATACCTCTGGTTTAAGCTTCTTTATGTGTCTTAATGGTCAAGACATATGTTAATTTCTATTCTATAACTTGCACCTGTAGAACTCCATGAAAAAAATATGATCTAGGTCAATGATAGAGCTGCTCTTACCTAGAATGTAGTGATCAAAGCAGTGGCAATCTATTTTCTCACAAAATCAAATCAAAATTAAGAGCGAAGACACGACAATATCCAACAAATCACTGGTCTTCAACCTCCGACATTCGGCGAATCCATAAATATAATGCTGCAAAGCCTCGACTCTGATTGGTGCAAACCCCATGTTCATTTGTCAGATTCAAGGTCACGTGGTGGTCAAATTGCGTCAGAGTCGGCCATCGGACAAACGCCTCGAGTGTTTTTCGAGGTTTCTTCAACTACCATCTATCTAAGCATTTTGCTTCATTCCACATAATGTCTATGAGCAACACCTCTACAACAATGCTCCGCCGCGCTCTTCTGAGCAGCCGCCTCGCCACATCCGAGTGCACCGCGCGAACCGTCCGACCGACCTTTGCAGCGTACAGAAATGTCTCCAGCTCAGCCCGTCTCCCTACACTCACAGCATCAGAGACCCGTCGCCGACCAACAGTGCGACCCAACCAGCAGCCTATTGTACAGAACCCGCTTAATGGTCTCTCGCCGACAAGCAAGCGCACCATCTTTATCCAGACTGAGAATACCCCCAACCCTGATGTAAGTCCAGAGACAGTTACAGATTGATATAGTTCCATATTAACCCCCAATTAGGCTCTCAAATTCATCCCCAACCACCGCGTCCTCCCGGAAGACTTCCCTACTACATTCCTCGAGTACCTTTCCCCGCGCTCAACCCTTGCCCCACCGCACCCTTCCCCTCTCGCAGCCAAGCTGCTGGACGTGGAAGGAGTGACCTCCGTCTTCTACGGCCCCGACTTCATCACAGTGACCAAGGCAGGCGACGCCAACTGGGCACACATCAAGCCCGAGGTCTTCAGCATCATCACCCAGGCGGTGACATCCGGCGAGACGATCGTGACGACAGTTGAGTCCGGCGCCGAGGGTGAGGAAGCTGCCGAAGATTCGCTCAGCTACAACGAAGACGATGACGAAGTTGTCGGCATGATCAAGGAACTCCTCGAGACGAGAATCCGTCCTGCTATCCAGGAGGACGGTGGAGACATCGAGTTGCGCGCTTTTGAGGATGGTATTGTCATGTTGAAGCTGCGTGGTGCTTGCCGGACCTGTGATTCCAGCACTGTCACTTTGAAGAACGGCATTGAGTCTATGCTGATGCATTATGTGAGTTTTGCTCTACAATTGGCTTTAGGAATAATTACTGATTTTGATTCTAGATTGAGGAGGTGAAGGGTGTTGAGCAGGTCATGGATGAGGAGGAAGTTGTTTCTATGCACGAGTTCGCTCGGTTTGAGGAGAAGCTGCGCCAGCAAAAGGGCGCTGCTGCTACCGCCTCCGCTCCCTTGGACAGTGCCCCATGAGGGGTTGAGGCCTGAGATGCATATACATGTACATTACGTGGGCTAAAAAAGATGACTATTTTGGTTGCAGATTTCACATGTAGATTTCGACTTGACAAAAGACTAGTCCAGCACTCTTCGTATCTATGTCTGTCTTGCAATATGGTCTATCTTGCCGAGTGGATGCCTGAGCGGCAAGGCCTTTTGCCACAATGATGCCCTTTTTCCTAGGCAACAATCTTTCCTTTTCGCCTGCATGGGCCCTTATGATGCTATAGACGGTCCAATAAAGAGAAATACAGACGATGTGTTCATTTCATAAGCTTAATCTGCAGGTCTGAGGTCAAGTGGCAATGCTGCCGAGGCCCAGCCCCACCTAGGCACATAGAAACATAGGTACATTCTGCGCCAAAGTACGAAAGAACATGAAGTATGGTCTGAAATACAGCAGATACACGGACATTCTCAATCTCCATTTCAAGTCCTTATCCCACCTTTAAATCCCAAGCTCCAACATAGCTACTAAGATCCACTACCATGTCGTGTCTGCCAAGCCCAAGGAATACGGAGCTCCGGAGCGGGGTGTGATTGGAGACGCCGCTTTAATTTCTCTTTACTTTTGACTCTTTACATCTTTACAGACACAGATAGAGGGGCAATATCCCGGACAGTGTACAGGATGCAGTCTGTCCTCTTACTCTCTGGTCCAGACGCATCGGACCCCCGCCACCCAAGGATATTAGTCGCGTGGGGAATTGGGTGCGCTGTGAGAGGCTGTTAGCCCCATGGCATGCATGGACGGGAAAGCTCTCCCCGCAAAGACTGATTCTTTTCCATGGATGGAGGGGGTCAGTTGATGTGTTATTACTTCACCTTTTGTATAGGGGGCTTTGAGGTCTAGGGTGACAGTGACGTTACGAGTTTGTGTGACTATACAGAGTGTAGAGAGGAAGAGGATGAGGATGAGGGTTGAGGGATAATATGAGGGAGAGGTTCCCCAGATCTTCGACCCGCTGCCCCACTGGGACATAAGGAATGTGAATGTCAAGAGTTAATAAATCGTCAACTAATAACTCTCTTCTTACACTAAAATCATACACTACACATACACACACCCACACCCACCCCTGCACTTTGCGTGGTCCGTGTCCATCGCAACGTTGCCAGATCCGTCAGAGGTTACCCCAGTTTCCCTCTTTCCTCTTCCCTCCTCCCTCTTCCCTCTTCCCCTCTTGCTCCTTTCGCCTTCTCCCGTCTTCGCCTTTTCACCCAGCGAGGCAGAGCTCACTTCCCGTTGCGTTTCCACTCTCATCTTTGACGCCCGCACCCACCCTCACCTTACGCTCCGCTCTCGCCTCGTCGCCCGTCGCCTGTCGCCTGTCACTCTTTACGAGACCCACGATCACACGTGCGCACTTCGATTTGAATAGATTTCCGGACATTTTACGCACGTATTATTCCACTAATCCACCATTAGAGTCGTGAGTTGTGCATCGCGCATTCGCTCCATTCCCTCCTCTCCCGAATGCGACTGGCTAATGCATCGGATCGCAACCCAGGCACATTCGCGATCACGCTGCTTTTTTTTTCCGCGACGCCATTTCGTCGATATTCGCCTGATTTCGAGCCATCGATCTTGGCCCCGCGTTACAGTTGAGGTTCTCTTTTTAGATATCTACGGGTCTTTTAGGTACGTGCTGGTCTGGTGTTGCGATCGCAGGTGACTTTTTCGCCGCGAGCTGCGCTTTTTCTTGATACTGTGCTTGAGTTTGTGGTTTTCGCGTGATGGTGGGGGGTACTTTGTCCCTTTTGTTTCTCCTTGCGTCCCTTGCGCTGGGGGGTTACCTGCCACATCGTGGGCGACTTGCGGGTTTCCGCGGGCGTCGGCCGTCTGGAGTCTGGCGGGCTGGGGGCAGACACCGGTGTGGACTTTGACCTCCACTCTGGGGCTCTGGGGCCTCTGGGCCCTGGGAAGAGGGGCCGAGGACTGCAGATATGCATATCCCCGCTTTGAGCTGCGGCTCCTGTCATGCCACCCACACTCTCTTACTTCAGCGTTTCGAGCGTTTTGTTTCTTTCTTCCTGACATGGGCAGAGCTGACTTCCCTCTCTAGCTTTGGACATAGCGCATATACCCAGTCATCCGTGTGTTTGAAAGATCGAGATTGGCTATTTACCCCAACCTCATCGAGCGCGTGGAACATAGACTGGAGTTGTGTGTTCATTTCTTGAACCTAAGACACGTCTATACCGTTCAGTCTTGCAATTGTCGTTCAAAGACAGGTCAGTCAATCGCCTGTGCTTCCAGACCTTCGGACTATTATTTGATCAAACAACCCCGCTCTGGTTGTGTCGCTTCAATGGGTGTCAAGTTGCGCCGTTGGTGACACAGCCAGCAGGGAATGATTACTTTGTCACACAGCTCAAAGAGCCTTGACTGACTTGACAGCAGTGTCCCTCCTATGAAAAGAAGTCATGGCTGCGCCATCTCACCGACCAATTCCGGCACAGTCGTCCCCGCCGCCTGCTGCGGCAACCGCCTCTGCTATTCTCGAAAAGACTCACCCTGGCGTGCGCCGCTCGACTCCTGACTCTGATGCGCTTGCTTCTTCAGATGACGACGGAGACCATGGGGCCCAAGCCCAGAACATAATCCCACCTACTACCCGACCACCGGCACGCCGAACTTCGTGGCTCAATGAAGTACCACTATCAGCCCAACGCAAACATTCCTTGCCAGGCGGTCACCTGTCATCTGCTCCGTCTAATCCTACCAGTCCGGCTACCGACCAGGCTCCCTGGGCGACAAACACGAGCCCCGGGATTCCTGGCTCGTTTGGGTGGAATCAAGCCGGAGGAAGCTCTTTTCCCTGGACAGGTACAGGCATTTGGAATAATGAAACCCGCAAAGAACCGCCACCTCGCCTGTCCGAAATGGTTCCTTCTCCTACTATGACGAATCCGGCTCTCGCGAGCACCATGCAAGATGACATGCTGAGCCCGATTACTCGTACCATGTCTGGTGAATCCGCTATTCCATTCTCTATCCCGCTACACCCTACTCCCAAAACTTATCGATCCCAGTCATATTCTGTTGGCCAAATGGACCCCGAGTTCCTTGGCCTTGCAGGGAAGAATGGCGCTGGCACTGGTGCTGGTGCTAGTGCTGGTGCTGGTACTGGTACTGGCCAATTTGCTGGTCGCGCGCGCGGACCAGGACAGATGTCGGCTGTTCAGCCTCGAACATCACGTCCCAGTGTTCTCGGTGAACTAGGACACGATCCTGCCATGCTTGGTCAGGTCCGTGAGGACGATGATGGTGACGAAAGCCTGAACGGTTCTGACGGTGACATGAGCTATTCGGCCAACCAGGCCCGAAGGATCGAGCAGCTGGCACGCGAGAACGCGCTCCTACGACAACAAGCTGCTGCTGCAAATCAAACAGAAAACAGGTTCCGTGAGCGCGCTGGATCAGCTGCGTCTCTAGGTGGAGGAGCTCATTCGTTGCATCGCATCAGAGGTGGTGTTCCAGAGGAAGACTTGGCCGCGGAAGATCTGGGAGCACTGCGCGATCTTTCTGAATACAACATGCACGGCAACAATAGACGTCGCTTCTCTGAGCACTCGCCACAGCCAGAAGCGCCATTCTCGTCCTATGCTCCCCCGCTTGAGAACCGTGCTTTGGAGAATGTGCGAAAGGCTCACTGGCAAACTTCTCTCGGTTTCGGACGTGTGGCCGACATGCCTCAGAGCCGTCGTCACTCTTTTGCAGATATTCCTATGCGTCATGGTTCTATCGGGTCGGTTGACACTCTCAACTCTGCTACTTCACGCGCAGCTATGGGAGATCGTGATGATGGTTATGGAATCAATGACTACGCTAACCGTGAGTACATCCATTCACTGTTTTATTACATGCTAACCCTCTGCAGCATCATACTACCCCCGCGAGCAAACCTTGCGTGGCGATGGCTCCTCGGGTCTCCCTGCTTCTCTCAACCAATATGCCATGGGTGCGTATGGTCGCCAACAACCCGCCTTGTCCCACGCCCACCAAAATCAGCTTCTATACCTCGTCACCTTCAAATGTCACCGCGCAGATGTTTTCTATATCCAAGAAGATACCGGTCTCCAAGTGAACAAGGGTGATTTGGTAATTGTCGAGGCAGACCGAGGCACAGATCTGGGTACCGTTCAACATGCAAACATCTCCCTGCAAAAGGCCAGAGAGATGAAGCAACAATATGCCGAAGAGCATTACAAGTGGCTTATGATGTTCTCTCGGCAGGGTCAACTTGAAAATTCCAATGTCACCAACCCAGCAAATAATCCCAATGCTAGAAGTGCGACCGGTGGAATGGGTCCTCATGGACCACACAGTGTGCAGGAGCCTGCAACCGACCTCAAGCCTAAGCTCATCAAGCGCTTGGCGCAGCCCCATGAGATTCTGACTTTGCGTGACAAGGAAGGTAACGAGGCCAAAGCCAAGCGTGTCTGCCAGCAAAAGGTTGTTGAGCATCGTCTGAACATGGAGATCCTCGATGCCGAGTTTCAAATGTAAGTTGATTTCATCTTGACACGGACCAGTGACTAACATGTTAGCAGGGATTGGAAGAAGCTCACCTTCTACTACTTTGCGGATTCATATATCAACTTCAACTCGCTAGTGACGGATCTTTTCAAGATCTACAAGACTCGCATCTGGATGTCCGCCATCAACCCCGCCTCATTCGTGACTCCCCCAACCCCCGGTCTGCCAGGCCCCGGTCCAGGCCAAATGCCTAACCCGCTCTACAACCAAGAGACTCCTGACCACCGTCAGCAACATGATGGCAGACAGTATGGAGCGCGAGAGCCTGTTGACGTAGCCCGTGACATACAGAATCCAGTTGGGTTGATGCGCACGGCTTATGGCGATTCCTACCAACCTTTCAACCAGCCTTCCCGTCAGCAAGATTCATCCCAATCGGATCCCTTCGCCCCGTATTCTCCAGGAGGATATGGTCTCGATGGAGCATTCGATTACGGTGCCGCTGGTGCTGTGTCCAACAGTGCCACACGCATGCACCCAGGGCAGGGTGAATGGGTGGGCCGGTTCCAAGGTCTATCCCTCAACTCCTGATATTCCACGTGAATCGACTGCGTTTCGGATAGAACAAGACGCTGACATATGGGCTCGTCCACCGGACCTGCCCTAGACCCAATCATCCACCACGCCTCTTCCATATTTCTTTCTCTGTACAATTCGTCCCCTTCCTTTTCGTCCTTCCATCCAGTTGATTCCCGAAGTTTCCCTCGCGACACGAAAGAAATTTATGAACTTAGACTTGATCAGCCTTGTTTTCGTTTATGACTTCTACACACCACTTTTGATTTCGCTTTGCTTTTTGCCATTGTTTTATGCTCAAAGAATGTTTCCCCGATATGAGATTAGGCTTGCGTTTTTCCTCTTCTTCTTTCTTCTCCTTCAAAGCCCCTCCTCTCAAACACTCCAAACACTTCCTCTCCCTTCCCCTTACTCCTCCACTCGTCTCCTCCCCTCAATCGTCACCAGACTTTCATCCTTCCCTTCTTTGTGGCTAATTCCTGTACTACTGTCAAATGTTAGAATTCATACCCCAGGGTCTGTCGTCCCTGGTTCCTATGTTATCACAGAATCCGGACAGGACGCAACTCCCCGGTCGGTCGTTACCATTACTTGCCTAGTATTTCTATTCTTATCAGTTCCAGTTTCTACTTTTCACGTCCACTTCCACGTCTCTCTTCTATTCTATTCTATTCTATTCTATTGTCGACATAGATTTGATCTTGCATGACGAATCTGCACCGTAATTCGTTTCAGATGAGGGCGATCTTGATCTTGATCTCGGTCCATTCGTGAATGGATTATGTTTTGATTTATTTTCTTGTTCTGCTATCCAATTTGGAAGGCTTTCTTGTTTTCGACTTTATCAGTTGGGCTTGAAGAATGCACTCTTGATTTTCTTTTCTTATCTCAGGTTTCGCCTCTTTGTCTATGCTGTGTCTTTTTCTTTTCGTTATATACAAATTGAGAAGATCATGTTGGGAAAATGATTTTGTGGATTTGATGGAGTATCTGTGGAGATACACTTTGATTTTGACCTGACTATTTCTGCTCTTCCTTTCGCTGGATATATTACGCAATGCAACAAAACGAGATATTTGATAGAAAATGAATCATCAAGGAACATCATTATCATTTGATATATTCTGAATATCATCATCAAAAGCATATCATCCACACCATCGAAACCCAAACCCAAACAAATCAAGCAAACTTGTCATGCTTCCCCTTAACCTTAACATCAAGCAAAACCTCATGGAAATTCCCCTCCCTCCTTCCCCTCCTCAACCTCTTCACCTCATCATCATCAAGCAACCTCCCAACAATCCCCTCAAGCTCCTTCTTACTAATCTTCTCATAAGCCTTACTCTCCTTACTTGCCCGAATCCGCGGCTTGAACTTCGCCTGCATGCGCACGCGCATGGTCGTCTCGAATGAAATTGTACCCGCGTCGCCTCGGATTTCTACACCGGAGGCTGCTTTGCTGTTTTCTTTTATGCAGATGAAGGTTTCGGTGTCGCCGCCGTGCGTTTGCAGGGAGAATGTGCCTGATACTTCTGGGGATGGGATTGCGAGGTAGCTTTCGTGGTGGCTTACTGCGCTGGATGTTGCGCTTAGGAGGCCGTGTGTGTCTGATGTTAGGTATCTAGGGCAGCAGGTTGGTTAGCTTGAGCTTGGATATTGAGGTTGGGATGGAGGGGGTCCACTGACTTCCCATGATGTCCCTTAAAACTAAACCCCTCCGTCCCTGCAACCCTCGACGCAACCCAGACCTGTCGCACATCATGTGGTTCGGCCGTGCTGGGGTCTCCTTCAACTAGGTTATCCAGTTTGCTGGCGAAGACTTGGCCATTGGCGTCGCTGGCTATGCAGGTTGGGTCGTCGGATGGTAGAACTAGGACTACTGGGCCGGCGATGTCACTTGCTGCGTCGGCGCTGACCCAGCTTTGGTCTTCGGGGTTTGTGTCTTCGTCTGGTTCGGTTGTTTTGCGCGTTTTTGGGGTTGGGTGTTCGCTGTCTGTTTGGCGGATCTTGCGTTTCTTTGGCTTGTCGCCTTTGAACGTCAATGGTTTGACCATTTTGTGTGTGTAGGTGTGAGGTGTGAGGTTTGGACTGAGGTTTGAGGTGTTGGAGTTGGAGTTGGAGATTGCTGGTGTGGGTCTGTCTGGTGGGGGACGACTAAGCAGGATCTATATCCGGATGTACTTTTTGATCGGGTTTCTTTTTTTGGGTCTCTTTTCATAGGTTAGCATGTTCTTTTCTCGAATTGGTGCTTTTGTTCATCTACTTCTCTACCTTGGTGGTGTCCCTCAAGGTCCTCACTTTATATAAATGTACTGGATTCCCAACTTCAAGGAAGAATTGTCAATTTCTCTATGCAATCATTCTCTATGAAACAATGAAATGTCAATCACATCAGTCCATATCTAGTCGAAGGTGATGGCAGCCTTGATAGCAGACTTGTTGCGCATAGCCTCAAGACACTCCTCCCACTGCTCAATCTTGTACACCTTGTTGACAATACCATCAACCTTGACCTTTCCAGAATCAAGATAATCAACAGCAGCAGGGAACTTGTAGGTCTCCGAGAAACTACCAAGAATAGTAATCTCATCTCCAACTGGAAGAGGTCAGCAAAGGAACACTGTGCGAAGAAGAGAAGAAAACCTCACAAATTTTGGCGGGCGACCATGAAACCCGAATCTCACTCGAGTAAACACCGTAAACAACAAGCTTACCACCACGACGAACATAGTTAATCGAATCTTCAAGGATCTTCTGGCTCCCAGTAGCCTCAACAACAATATCAAAGCCGTATGGATTCTCAGCCTTCAATGCATCGAACTGAGCCTGTGGGTTCTGGCGCGAAAGTTCAATGTACTTGTCGCCAGCTCCGAGCTGCTGGGCAAGATCCATCTTCAATCCCTGTGGTGCAGCAACAATTACATTGCAGCCACCGTTCTGGCGGAGCATTTGTGCCAATACAAGACCGGTTGGTCCAGCACCAAAGATAAGAACGGATGAGCCCATCTTTGGGGCGATCTTGTCCAGACCGTGGGCGGCGCAGGAGGCTGGTTCGAGGAGGGTTGCGTCGACGTCGGATAGATTCTTGATTTTGAAGACTCGACCGGCTAGAGTAAGGTGTGAGCTTTGGCTTCTTGAGATAGTGGGTCATTGTACTGACCAGGGTAGGCGCAGTATTCGGCGAAACCGCCGTTCATCGTCACACCGTGGGCCTCGAAGTGCTCGCAGAAGAGCTCGTCACCACGACGGCAGTAGAAGCATGTTCCACATAGCTCGGAATTGTCTGCGACGACACGTTCACCGATCTGGAAGTCTTGGACTTTTGGGCCGATGGCGGCGACGACGCCGACAGTTTCGTGGCCGGGGATCAGAGGGAACTACACATTGTCAGCGCTTACATATTCAAAGACTTTGCAGGGCTTAGCATACCTTGGCAATGAATTCACCCTCGTGGATGTGCAAATCGGTACCGCAAACACCGCAAGCCTTGACCTTGATCTATAGATCGAGTGGTTAGCCCACGACTTCATGGGTCAATCAGTCTGATTCCATACCAAGACATCATTCTCACGCATCTGAGGCACAGGGACCTCGACGATACTGTGTTTCTTTGGCTCTGTGTACAACAGAGCCTTCATAGTCTTGGGGATGTCCATGGTGGTAAGTGGGAATGGAAAGGGAACAAGGTGAAGCAAAGAAACTGGAGAAAGCAATGTCAAATACGAAGGAGAGGGAAGCTGTACAGGCCATTTAAATAGCCACGAAAAGAGGGGAAGTTTGGCTTTGAAGCGCTTGATGCTCTCAGCCGCCGAACTATACACAGTACGATGGTGGGTCGAGAACGGCAGGTGTCATACATCTGTCTCCACTATCTACTTCAATTTGGGCTTCGACACTGAATTCGACAGCTTTCGTTTAAAGTACATTTGTGCTAGGATTTACGTCGCCAGGTGAAGTGAATCCAAACTGGAAGAACCACGCGCTGCGTCGTTCCATCTCGGGTTTCGCTTCGAGAGAAGCCTTGACTGGATCGGCGATCTACTAATTTTCGATCTCTTCATTCGATGTATTACGTGTGCTTACTCATTGAATGGCCCCCTGGCAGTCCCAGTCTGAATGAAGCTCGGTACCTGAACAAAACTCACACAACACCCGTGTCACTTCCATCCAACCCACACAGCCCCAGTCCTTGGAAATACAGGTAAAAGTCTCTGCAGCACAGCTGACCAACATCCTCAGAAATCCCCAGCAAATACCCAACAGCAAAGAAACAAAAGCGCCAGATCCAATCCCAATACCCTCACCGCTCCCCTTCTCCCACCGAAAGGAGCAATTCCACAAACCCCCCAGGTCCTGATGCAGACCCGATCACGAGGACATCAATAGCTTAATTTTGAATCCGGGGATGTCTGAGAGGCGCCCAATTCGACTCGTCGAGACATCCATGTGCTGGATTCTTGACCGCCGGTGAGGGGAATGCAGCTATCGGCTATTCTGTACGTGTACAGAGATGCGGTCACACAGGATATGCTGTTGGGCGTTTGATCTTCTTTTCTTTTTCTTGTTTTGCTTTTACCGCGGACAGTCTGTTTTGGTTGGGATGTGCATTTTGCTGCCTCTGATGCATTGTCAACTTATTTTTGGCGGCTGGTGTGCTTCGTTGGGTATAATTTGCTTTTTGCGGGTTATATGGTCTGATATTGGCCAGGCCTTTAATTTTCTAGTGCGTCGTCTTTTTTTTTTTTTGCGGGTGTTGTTGGAGCCGCGAGCCTTGTATATTATTGTCCAAAGCAAGGAAAGGGGGTAAAAGGTTTCAACTGCATGGTGGCCAGGTGACTTGTAAGGTTGTTCTTTTCCAAGACTTCGCCGCTCTTCTGGCATTGACCTGCAATTGTGACACTCAATAATGTGGATACTATACGGGTGTGTACTAACGGGAAACGGGTAAAAGCCACGCAGGTGTCAACCCTACGATGTGATATGGAGAGCCGGAGGCCTCAAGCACGCGAAGCTAGTATAACTGGCTTCAATTTAGGTCAGTCGGTATCATTTTCTCTCTGCACTTTCGATACATATATATTGTGAGACTCAATGAAAGGCTGGCTTGTCTCAACAATTGCATCCTTCACAACTGCCACAATCTTCTCAAGCTCTTCCTCGGTCGTAATATACGGCGGGCAAACGAGAATATGATCAACCTGGTATGTGCCAGTATGACCCAAATTTCCAAGGATATTTACAGCCCGCTTGAGAGCATTGGCAACAACCTTGTTGGAGAAAGTGGCCTCGAGGGAAAAGGCCGTCTTGCTCTTCCTGTCGAACACAAACGCGACTGCCCAGAAGAGACCACGGCCGCGGATGTCTCCCACCAAAGGAAGAGGACCGATCTCGCTCTGGAGCAGAGCTTCCAGCTTCTTACCCAGAAGGACAACCTGCTGGAGCAGGTTGTCGCGTTGGAGAATATTTTGTGCTGCAATTGCCGTGGCACAAGCGAGAGGGTGGGCCTATCTAATATTAGCCTGGAGCTAGGAAGACTATCACCACCACTCACCTGGAAAGTATGGCCATGAGCTAATCCACCAGATCCGGCAGACAGAGCTTGAAATATCTTCTCGTGGAGCAAGACACCGGACAGAGGCACGAATCCTGCACCAAGGGCCTTGCCAATAGTCTGGATATCAGGACCTCGGATATCCTCCTGTTCCCAGGAACGCATAGTACCTGTCGTGCCCATACCTCATCCAAAATCAACAGAACCCCATACCGGGCACAAATCTCCCGAATAGCCTTCCAATAGATTGGCTTATTTAGACCACATGTAGGGCTGACGCTCTCTCTCTCTCGCTTCGAGACCAGCCTACTTTTCTGTACTGGAGCATGATCAGGCGTACGGGACACGAGTCTTTGCTTCAACTGGAAAGAAGCGCCTGCATAGCTATTCGATACTAGATAGGCTGCAACAGGTTCATAGAACTTTGATTGATTGATTGATTGATTGTGGTCAATGTACAGGGCGATGAGAGGGGAGATTCTTGTTGAATTAAGTATGGATTGTTTTGCTATGACAGTGATAATATGATTCCGTCTTGTTGTACAATGTCCAGCCAGTCCACTGTTCCTTTCATCCTTGACTTCTTTCGTTCTAAGTTCAAGCGCCAGAGCTTTTCTAGGCCTCATTTTCTTGGGTTCAACAACGGCCCTCTCAGCAATGGTCAGAGCAGCAGTGATCTTCCTACAAACATCCTGCGGCCTCCCACAAGCCATACTCCTCTGGCGTGGCCGAGACAAAGTCCTCCCAGAACACGCCTTTTCACTAGGTAAACTAGGGCCCGCGGTCAACTTTATTGCCGTGATTTGGATAGTCTTTGTAGATATTATTTTCTTCCTTCCTACCGAAATGCCTGTCACGAAAGAGAACATGAATTATGTCTCTGTTGTCTCGGTGGGACTAACAGGTTTTGTTTTGGGGTTGTATTTCTTTTCGAAGAGGGGTCGCTTTCATGGGCCTGTGGTTCTTGATTTTCGCGTTCAACGGGTTGATGCTGTTCCTGCTGAGCAGGGGGGTGACAGGAACGATCATATGAATAGAGAGTGTGAGAAGAAATAGTGGTATCATAGATAGGAATACTCTAAGCAACGATACTTGAACATCTTCCCTCGATCTCCGTAAGTCTCAGCCTTACAACGTCAAAACCAACTTCTTCAATTCCTGGAAGTTAGGCGTACCAAGCCCAGTAACAGGATCCCAGCCTTCTGTAGCATTCCAGTGCGCACCAGGGATAATCAAGCTACCAGGCACAGCCGCATCACTTTGAGGATCAATGCCACCACACCCATAAGAAGCCCCACCAGTAATATCATTCAGCGCCTTGAATCCCTTCGTGTACAAGAACGGATTCAAGAAGCCCAGAACAGGCTTGCCAGCGCGCAGACGGGCATCATTGAGGAGACCGACTAAGCCAGCAAACGTAGGTGCCGCAGCAGATGTTCCACCTGTGGCGGAGGTTTTACCAGCGGCGATGATTTGGTAACTGGGTGGCGTTTATATCAGACATTGTTGTATACTAGAATGAACTGGAACTTACTCGGGGTATAAACTGTGAGCAGAAACATCTGGGAATCCACGACCTTCGAAGTCGGCATACTTCGAGTAATACTCCTTTGTTTCTTGGGTGACTTGATGCTTCAGGTATTCCTCGACGGCGGAGTTCTGGTACCAAGCTCGAGAGAAGTAGTTGGAGAAACCACCTGACGAGGCGTTCCAGGCTACTTCTGGGCTCACGTCTGAAGTGCCTCCTACGGCGGTGACGTACGGGCATGTCGCTGGGAAGATTGGGTTAAATTGGGGCGTTACACCATCTGTGGCCTGGCAGGCTGAGCCGACACCTATGCGATTTGGTTTAGGATGTATTCCCGGTGGAGTTGAGAGTGCTCTGCTCACCTTCATCGCCGGAAGAGTGGATGATAGTCAATCCACGTAGGGTGTTCAGGCCGATGAGATTGCAAACGCGTTTGGCGTACTTCTCGGGGACAGTCTGGTATACAGTCAGTACACCGTCGGCTAATGATCCATTTTTAAATACTAACCTGTTCATCATCGCCATAAGAGGTAGAAATAACCTGAGGCAGCTCGGCATTGGTCTTAGAGAGCAAATACTCATGGAAAATGAGATACGGCTCGTTCTCATCATCAGCCTCGGTAGGCTCGTCGGCATCAGGAAGAAAAGGTCTTTCAAAAGTCAGCAGATCCATGAGAGCCAGAATCAGCGGGATATTCCATACGCAACACCACCAGTAATAAACTCATGAACAGGCAAAGGATGCGAAACAGCAACAATCAACTGCACATCCAAATTCGCCTCCCCAATATCACTCTTGCTAGCACTTTGATTATTCACTCCACCATTGATCAATTCAACAGTGAAACTCTGTGATGGAATACCAAAACGAGACTCATAGGCCTCCAAATCAGAATATTGGGCCGATTGATTCAGGAAACTGCCAAACCCAACACGACTACCAGCCGCAGGCTCGGGCGTGTAATCACCAATGTTGTACATCTCTTTCAAACAAGAAGGCGTAATAGAAGTCTGACAAGCAGGCGAGATTTCAGTCGAGGAAGCCCTATGCTTATTCTGCACATTCTGGGAGGATGACGGCACAGGAATAGCACTGCGAGTCTTTCCGAAGAAAACAGTCGGCGAGATGAGATCGATATATCCCGCCAGATCATCAGGGATCGAATACTCAGTCGTACGCAACTTGACCGAATCACCATTCTGGTAATACGCAAAACTGGTATTGAGCAGGCTGCCAATAGTCTCAACGCTACCCGTGAAATTGAGCAGGGCGCCATCACGAGCGAAGTTCGAGATTCCGCTGCTCTTCAACCACCTCACGACAGAGGAATCCTCTACGACGGGGAATTGCGCGTCAATTTCATGCTTTTCAAGCCATTGACCGTATTCTGCCTCCCCGGGGGTCGACAGCTTGATCAATTTCGATTCTAGCTGGTCCAGATTCTGACGACTTAATGCGATAGACAGGGCCATTGTTGAGTCTGATGAGGGTGTTTCATGCAGAGTCCAGCTGCTGGGCACGCCTGCGCTTAGACTCTCCCAGACGACACCCATGGCCGGTGCGGCAAGGGTGCAGAGGAGCCCTGTGTAGATGATTGAATGCATGTTGGATTTGTACACTCACTCTGTACCCAAATGGCGTCTCTGGGCGTTTGGGAAACTGATCAGGGTGGGGGATTGATATACTTATCTGGGTCGACGGCTCGTCACATAATGCGTGAATACATCGTGCTCGGCAAGTAACTAACTACTTATGCACTAAACCCCACTCGCCTTCGATGGCGTAGTTGGTGTTGACACTCGGTCGCGATAAACCGACGGAGCTCCGCATTCCTGGGTGAAACCAGTCAACGGGTTACATTCCAATAATCAGGATCTTGGGGAGCTAACTGATATCCCCCGCAAGTTAAGTTTATGGAGGCGTGGAGGTCCTTCAGAAGCATTAGGCAGTGTGTTTGTGGCTGTTCCTGGTTCCTGGTTCCTGAACGCGTCAGCCTATAATTCCAATGCAAAGCACTTTCGATAAGAACAACTAAGGCTCATACGACGTCGATTCTTCTACGCGAAATTTGAGGCGGAGTCCGCCGGGGCCCCGAGAAGCTTGTCCTATCTAAGCTTTTGCCGAGCCGATCAGCTTCCAATATGAAACACTCATAATGAATGTCGTTTATTAGCAAAGTTGCATACATAACAACTTTATGCAGGGAGTCATCAAGACTAATCCAGCAAAGTGTGTATTACAAGCAAAGCGCCTGTCCCAAAAAGCAAGACACGCCATAACCAAAAAGAACAGAAAAAGCCACTCCAAGTATCATATGCTTTGGAAGTGAACGTCCAGCGTCTATACAAATGTGCAAGCACCAGATCCACCGATCAATACTTAAAATCATTTCAAGCCAAATCCTTCGCTGTTAACGACTGCATCAGAGAGCAGGCGTAGGAATTTATCCCGTGAGGAATAGCGATACAGGCCCAGCGTGTTGAAGCATGTACGTGCAATCGGATAGCGGGGAGAGTCATCTCCAAGACAAGCAAGTTTGATGCTGAGACTCGTAGCTCCCATTGCTGGAATTCGATCGCTGCCAGTGACGAAGGACAGGATCTTGCGCTGCTGTTTCGGGGGCGCACTTTCGAAGAAATCCCAGAACCACCGTACAACAGGGACTGACTCTGGCTGTACATATGACCAATTTTCATATGTTGCTACTGCCCGGAGAGAGTTCACATCAAGTGGTTCATCCGAGCCGCGGACCAGCAGCTCAATCTCTTCTGGCCGAAACAGCGAGAGTGCATTGCCACCACAGACAGTGAAGAAACCCCGTTTGAAGGGCTCAAACTGCCGAGCAACAGCAGTATCTAGCAGATAGTGGACGTAGAGATCGACAAACTCACGCCGGTTGGAGTTGGTCACTGGTCGCTTCTCGCCTCCTGCACAGAGTGGAACTGTGACGCTTTCTCCGTAGCGGTCAACTTGGGCAACGAAGTCGTAACAGAACGTCTCTGCAACGTTTCCTTCGAATTCAAGTAGGCCACGAAGTCCTTTGGCTAGGACCGGTCGGTACTCGGCAAGATCTTCCAGTGTACACTTGAAACTCGAACGCATGGAATTTGCAGGCTGTGGCCCACTGGTCTGCGGTGCTGACGCCAGTAGCTTCTTGAATGCAAATGGCGGAAGATCAACGTCCAGAATGGTAGAGTTGTAGATAGCGAGCCCGAGTAGAACTCCAACCAAGAAGAACTGTTCAGATGACTCGAAGCAATAAGGATTGAAGTAGCAATATTGCGAATCGTCATCATAGACGAATAATCCATGGTGAGGATCGAATACCTCTCGTACTAACAAGAGAAACCACTCTTTCCGCAGACCACCGGCGTCAATCCCCTCTTCGCCTGAGAACTCGATCCGAAGACCCTTTTTGATTTCCTCTTGGCCAGAACCAACCACTTCACTAACACCTTTCAGACTGTCTTCAACCAGGCACTCGCGTCGTACCTTCAGCACAAGATACTGACTGACCGCCCTATGATTGAGGATGCTATTGAAGAAAGCCTCGCGGGCTTTGACTTCCATTTGACGGCGTGCATCGTGTTCCATGATGTGAATCTTGGCCCAGATGCTGAGGAAAAATGGGTATTGGCAAAACGAGAACTTCGAGCTTCGAGACTCCCAGATCTCAAAGTCTCCGATCAAATCTGAATAGTCCAGCAGTGTGTTATAAAACGCACTGATAGGAATCATGTGGCCTTGGCGAGGGCCAGGGTTCTTGGGTGATTCAAGATGGCGAGGTGATCCATCAGATTTCCTAGAAGAGCCAGAGATGTTTGCAGTAAAAAGCAACGACATGATCCTTGCAGCAGCTCGGATCTGCCAGTCCTCTGTGTAGACTATTGGATCTTCGGTCTTCTTGACAGGCTTCTTGTTCGGACCCCTTCGATTGATCGCAGCGTGAAGTTCAGCTGGAGTGTTACCTGAAGCGCTAGCAAAGCTTGGTATCAAGTCATCTCCATCTTGAGGCTTCTTAGGAGGTTTCCTTCCATGCTGTCGGCTCAAACGGTAGGTCAAGAAACCACAGATGAGCTCCACCAGGGACTCAAAGTGTCCTATTGAGAAACGTGCAGACCAAGCTACAAAGTAGTGATGGCAATCGTTTGGTAGATTGGACATAAGGCCCAATACTCGCTTGATGATTCCATAGTGATTGGAGCTCGGTGGACGAGGAAGCGGTTTCGCTGAGTCTTTGTGTGTTCCATTGCGGGCTGTTGGATTTGGGTAATCTTTTGGGTGCGATGGACGCCTCTCTTCGCGGTGAGATGTTGATGTCGGTGCATGCTGGGGATAAGATGTAGGAGACGACAGGATGGGATTCGCCAGCAGAATAAATAAGAATCTCGTGTCTTCTGGTTTCTTTAGAACGCGGCGCGGCCGTTTGAGAAGATTCTCAGTGGCTTTCAGCAGTGTTCGTTGAAGATGTGAACGAGACTCGCTGATTTGTTTACCAATCAAGGACGGGTCAATGGACGCCCATCTCTTCGCTCGTAGCATGTCTGCTTCTGAGCGTTCGGGGTCGGGCTTTTTGGCAGTCCACTGGTCAGCCCAAGAACTCCCCGCGCTCAGAACCAAGTGATACCATTGAGATACCTCAGCCCAATTAATCCGGGGGCTTCGAGATGACACCATCCGAGACTTGGGTGTATTCTTCTCTTTAGCAGAGACTGGGGTTTGCCCTTCAGCCTCGGCCCATTCGTTCATCCACCAGGTTGAGTTCTCGGTCAGATCTCCCAAAAGAAGAGTTTTGGCATCTGGTTCAAAAAGAGGCGCATCCTGTACTGGCGCAGGCATTGGCGCGGGGTCCATCTTCATTTTTGGTGGATTGCCACTACTGGCTGATCGAAGAGGTGGATGAGTCGTGAACGATTCATTGAGACAGCCACAGCCTTTAAAGGCAGCTACGATAGTATTTTCCAGCCTCTTGAATATTTCCACTTGGCTCTCCCGACTTTGAATGTCCGGGTGAGCAGACTGCGAACCATCTTGGGGATAACGGTCTGGCTTCGGCGATGATTGAAGATCGGAATTTGCGCGAACTCTGATGGGGGTGCCTTTCTTCTCCCAACGAACGGCATGTGGGGGTAGATGCGCCAGATTCTCCTTTGAAGTCCCGACTCTTTCGTGGTCGCTGGACTGAGAACCACTGCGGCTTCGAGAATCGCCAGCGCCCGGCACTGAAAGATAATTCGAGCCCGAATTGTAGGGTTGAGATGGATCTTGCTTTGGCTTTTCGTACTTGTCGTCGTCCAGCGACAACCACGACCGAGAGCCTTCATCTAGAAGGCTTTCGAAATACGTATTAAGGCACCCTCCGATTATGCCACGAGTCTGATGAGCCGACAAACGAGAGACTGTTATTACAGGTCAGTGCCTTACGGGTATAATTGGACAACAGTACTGATGGCAAATACCTTTGCTTGGGGACTTCGGCGGGCCCTGAGAGCCCTGAGGGTTACCGTTGTGTCCGGTATCGTTTGACTCAAGAGAATCCGGCTCAAGGTCAGTAACCATCAGGCAGTCGGTGCATCGGAAGACCTTCAAGTGCTGGGGCCACCGCACAGTAGCATCGCACGTCTGGCACTTGCCCTGGGCAAGATCAGTAGAATGTCCTCCGCGGACTGCACCTTTCCTAGGACTTGACGACTCGGGCTCGATCGGGTATGTAACATCATCGTCCTCATCATCGGAGTCCCAAGTCTCGTACTTGACAATTGTCTTATCACGCTTTCGCCCGAAACCGGCGAACGGGTTGCTGATCGAGCGGTTATGTCCTCGGTGGTAGTTTTTGGGAAGGCTGCCGGTTACAGAAGGCATATTGGGAGCATCGCGAGGCCGGAGCTGGCGACGCGAGCTACTTTCCGGGCCAGTTCCTGGTGAAGGGTGTGGAGGATTGGGGGCGCTGCCAGAGGTCGAGATCGGAGGGATGGGCGGCAGAGGACGGTCAGACCAAGACGGCATGGAGGCGCATCGAACGAGTTATTCGTAATATATGGGCCTAGTTCAACCACTCCAGCAAGGTATCCAGCTCGTCGAGCTTGTCACTTGTACTGGACACATGCGAGTCGGTGGACGGAGTTGGAGTAAGGCAGTCGAGTAACGGTAACGCAAGCTCGGCTTCTTTGTTTAGTCAAGGACTGATCTGTGGCAGTGCTTCAATGAGCAATCCAGGTCATGTTTCACTGAAAGAACAATCTTACCTGTAAGTCCAATGGAAGGTGAAGTTGCAGCATCTCATAGTCCCCGTGGACGGATTGGGAAAGCGCCGGAGGGGAAGTAAGTGGTTCCTTGGTGGCCTCAGGCACCAGTACCTATTTTTGGACAACCTGAGATCCCATACCTATTTTTGATGTTTTGAGACAGTGTTCACTTTGAAATTTAAGCAGCACATAATAGCGGGTCAAACGTCTTCAATTGTGTCAAATGTTAGTTAACTTCCAAGCCACTGCTGGCGATCACGACGATCCGCCAAAGTATACTATCTGACCCTAAAACTTAGTGCAGCAAGATATCTAGCCAGTGCTCTCCAGGACTACAACTAGGCCTGATCATTAGGCATAATCACTACGTACATCTACAAGTTACTGTCACCAGGCACGGAGTTGAACCAGTCATACTTCGTTAATAGGGGAATTTGAACATTTAACAAGATGGCTTTTTGGCTAACAACAGATCCGGAAGGTCTGCATTAAAGTTGAGCCCAGCGTGGGTGACACTGTCTGGGAAAGAAGTGTTCGGATAAAAAACCACATGCTGTGACCAACATTTTCCAACCCAAATCGCTGCAGAAGTGCACTATCGCACTTAACGGTAACGCCAGTAGCTCTGGGTGTTCTGGCGCTTCCAGGTGTGGCGGCGACCAGCCTTGGTGTTGTTGTAGCGGTGGCCCTTGTTGATACCACGGGACTTCTTGCCGGTGGCGGTGAGACCACGGGACTCGCGGTGCTGTAGAAAAAAATTGATCAGTAAAGTTCTTGACGTGCAATTGAATCTAGAATCACACTCACCTTGTGAACGGGGGCGCAGATCCAGTTGATGCGGGCATCACGACGGATGGCCTTGTGCTGGGGGTCGACACAGATAACCTCGAAGTACTTGTAGGTCGAGTCCTGGTTGATCCAGTAGGAGTTCAGGACACGCAAGTTAGCAGCGCGACGGCCAACACGCTCCTCAGCGGTGGACTTGAGAGCACGCTGGTACTTGAGCTGGTTGACTCCGTGGTTGGTGGGCTTGCCTATTCAGTCTCACATCAGTAAAAGATTTTCCACGATTTTGCAACAAGAACAAAAGTTCTTTTCGGTCTGTATTCGAGGAGAAACGTACCGTAAGTGGCACCCTTGGGGACGGGGCGCTTGCGGCCACCGCGGCGGACGCGGGCACGGTAGATAACGTAACCCTGCTTGGCCTTGTAACCGAGACGACGGGCCTTGTCGGGGCGGGAGGGGCGCGAGGCACGGTGGATGGCGTTCAGCTGGCGGAGCTATATTATGCACTCTCAGCAAAGTTCAACGAGTGTATAGCAAGACACATGAGCCTTTTAAAAAGGATTCTCTTGCGTGCCACAATCATTTCCGCCGAATGAGTTTCGTTCGAGCCACCTAGCAATACCACATAAAACGGCATATCCTATGGCAGCGCACACGAGCGCTCGGCGGAGATGTTAGGCAATCGAGGGGCATGGGGTTTCTCTCACCTCCCAGCATCGGACGCGCAGCAGGAAGCGAATCACATCGGACTGCTTCTTCTTTTGGATTTCTTCCACGTACTTGAGGGCACCCATCTGGACGGTTGGTTAGATGAATGCACTGGAACGAAGTGAATTGGATGTGATAAAAGGTGAACGTACCTTGTCGGCTTACACGAGGTCGTCGGTTGTCGTTGTCGCGAAAAGTTCGAGGAAGAAAACGACTAAGAGCAGAGGGTTGTGTGTGGGACGCTAGTGATTAACCGAGTGTGGGTCCACAACCAATCACGGGATATTGGCCTGGGAAGTCAGGCGCTAACCGAGATTTCTGCCTCAGGCTTCGAGTCAAATGCTATACTACTTGATACATGTATCCAGCTGGAGGACTTCGGGAATGATTTAGATTAGAGGCTTTTTTTCGTTATAGGAAGTTTGAACTCATATGGTAATTAACTCATAAAATACTCCATTTGCTCTATTTAAAAAGTCAAAACGCCATTTTCATGCAATCGCCACCCAGACCGCAATGCTAAATGAATTGCAAATATGCAAGTGTCGCTATCAATTGCTTCTTCACTTCTTTCTCTCTAGCCCAGGATATAATCCATTAAGTCTTCCCTTTAGGTGATTCAAGACAAAATACCCAATAGTTGCGCTATCTTTATAGGGACCGCCTCGAAAGATGCTCTCGTTGAACCATTTCGTTGGTCACAGCAACATGGCAAGTTCCCGGCGGTAGAACGCTCTTCTTGCACAGAGGGCACAAGCAGCTGTTCTCAATAAGGAATGGATCAATGCATCCTGAATCAAATATATGACCGCACGGCAGTTCACGGACCAACGACGATCCAGCGACAAAGTCGTCGATGCAGATAGCACAAGTAGTCTGAGTGTGGCTCAGTCTGTACTTGGCTTTTTGTGACTCCTCTTTCTCTCCTTCTGCCGGTTTGATGTATGCTGGCTCCGGTTTCTTGGGTGAGGCATCGTCCAGATGCTGATGTTGATTGGGAGATGACGGGGCAGTGTTATAACCAGAATTGAGTGTAGCATCGTCGTCCGGTGTAGTCGGTCGAGTAATTGTCGTTTCTTCTTCTGGATTAATCTCGAGGTAGGTGTAGAGTGGCATTTTGTCAACCACTTCTCGAGGAGCCTTCAATGGTGTCATTGTCAAAGCTTCGATGTCGATTTGGCCATCGTTGATACGCTGCAATAGAATATCTCTCCTCTTCCGTAAAACAAGACGATAAATAATGACCAGCAGCAGACTAAGTATCAGGACTGTTCCCGCAATTGCAAGTATGAAAGCCCAGAGACTTGGCATTTCTCCAGAGGAGTCTGTGTCTGTGATATATATCAGTATATGTTTCTTCAGATAAACAAACATAATGACATACCGATATCGACTCTAGCAAACAATCGATCACTTTTGGGTTGCACTGCAAATCCCTCGCTGGAGTTGCTCTTAGCGGTGATATTTGCGCTGTCCGAAAAGTGGGAGAGGTCACGTATCAATGTCGCTCCAGCTGCACCAGGAATGGCATAGACTGGATAATCGTTTTCCATCCTCCATTCATCACCATCATTGATTGTCCATTTGGGATCATCTGATGAAGGCGGTAGCTCGGTCTCGTTGAGTGATGGTTGGAAGAAGATCAGGCCATGTGATCCAGCTTTCCGTGCGGCATCTAGATATGACGAAGAGCATTCGGCGGTAACCCAAGGAGCCAGACCAATGAGAGAGTATCCAAATTCCGACACATCCTCATAACGGGTCACATTTGATGGCACAGACGAAGCAGTAATATTGTTGCATGGATCTTCAGGCCCTAGAGTCGGTACAAACAAGAGACCTGCGACTGATCCACTGTCGGGAATACCGTTACTTGATATCGTTTGGACTTTGTGGTTTAGAACGAATCGATAGCTGACATAGTCCTACATGGTGTCAGAACTGGCCCTCACGCTTCACTTGTATCTAGAATACTCACACTAACATTGGAAGTTGAATTCGAAGCGTGACCAGGGCCTGCATAGAGCGAGGCCACTTTCCCCGCCGTTTGATCTTGGGTATTTCGAGACATGCCTACTGTCGACATAGTGTAAATAATGCTGAGCAGGGGGCTCTTAGATTGTGTGAGGTAGTGAGAGCCGATGCTCAATTTGTTGAAGCGAGGGAAGAATTCGAGACTGAAAGGGAGAAAGGAAACGGAATAGCGGTATATTTAGATAAAGACAGAGTACAGGACTTGATCGATCACGGCTAAAAAGTGCTAAATCGAGCCCTACAGCGGAAGAATGCGAGAGTTTAATCGGGACCGGCACAAGAATGTGAACAAAATTGGTCCCGACCACGAGGGAGGCAAAATGCCTCTTTCCCCAGGATATGCGTTTCAAAATTGGAAAAGAACATCATAAACAAGGGAGAGTTGCCGAGTGCATATTGTATACTTTGCCCGCATTGGACTATGCCGTTCGCGGAAGTGACGCTTGTGGAAATGATCGACATAGGCAACTGTTCAGAGTATACAGAGTACGCCTCTGCCCTCACGAGCAGTTCATAAGTAACTTTTGGCCTTTTCTGGGCACCTTTTGCCTGTTCGGGTTTGCAAAAACAAGCCTCACTCTGGGATTGGAAACTCCTGTTTCGGAGTTGCCGCCAAGACCGTTCGGTGTTCTCTGCAGAATGCTCGATCTATACAGATCCGCCACAAAGCTCAAAGGCCATGCACATTCTTGTAGGCTGAGCCATGTGGGAGAGTGAGGCTTGATCACAAGACTATTCTCCGTACCGAATGGAAGGAACTTGGAAGCTGTACGATGTGTAGTTCCCCAGATCCCTAGATAGGCGCACACGTGATGATAAAGAATATGTCACGTGTAGCGACCGCCAACACCGTCACCTCTGAGCTTCGTAGTTCACCTGTGACCTCGAGGATCTGGAGAATCGCGTTAGCTTCGTTTTCTGGGCAGTTTGGAGGTTGTATAATCTCCTCTTTTTCATCTTCGTTTCGAGTGGCCAACGACAGCATGTGTTGGTCCAGCCCCATCCATACCTCCTAGGAACACCTCTGCCGACCCATTATCGTCTGATTGATAGCAATTTCCATTGCGATCAATTCATCCCTTTCCTTTCACCGCCCACATATCCCCGAACAACATGCCTTCGGCTTACAAGAGCAAAGGCAAAGGCCGCGACGCACGCCAGTCGCGTAGTCGCAATACCACCCCATCCAGCGCTAGTGCCCCTACGATTCCAGGACCTCCGCTTCAGAATTACCTGGAAAATGATGTAACCAAGCTCATTGATTTGGCTAATGGCCAATACTCCAATGTATTGGACCTGTTGGCCGCGCAGAATATCCCCGATTCGAAAACACTCGAAGCCTTAGTGGAACACCTGAAGAGTCTCAGTGATATGGCTGATGCTCGGGGTGAAGTCTGCAATGCGGGGATGCGGGAGATGTCCCAGAAGCGCAAGGAAGTGATGGAGGACCAGGAGCTTGACCGTGAAGTCCGAGACCGAGCAAGATTGAAGCGCGAGACAGAAGAAGAGGATGATATCCACAAGGGCGGGAAGCTGAAAAAGCGGAAAGAGCGCGCGAGTGCAAAGGAGGAGAGGCCATTGACCCATGGAGCTCATCAGATTGGACGCCAGGATGGTGCTGAGACCAAGATTGAGGGAGGTAAGAGAACCAACTCGGCGCTTTATTTCCATCCTTTGTATTCTTTTGCGATTCGTCCCATCTCAACCTCCATCTTTCTCCATCTTCCCCACTATTTCAACATGCACTGACATTTCCAGCGGCCTCCCCAGCATCGAAAATCTCCAAGCGTGCTGCATCCGATGACAGCTCCTCGCTCTCACCACCCTCCATGATGTCTCCCAACGGTGCGACCACCGCTGGTGACGGGGCAGCTCCCCCCGGCTCCCCCGGCTCTGAGACCAGCAATGAATCACACCAACCTGAACCAGCTCCTGCTGTGCCTCAAATCCAAATCTTCGGTGACAATCCACTGAAGTTTGACGATCCTACCATTTACGACATACGCGATGTTCACCCGGATATGACTGATGAGGAGAAGAAAGAGATTTACAGCGTTGCTCGATTCCCCAAGAGCGACCTCGCCCATATGCTAGCTGGTGTTGCTCCCGACAAAGACTTTAGCAACGCGAAGCCATCCAATCAAGTCAGCGCCAATACTTTCCTCACGTACATTGAGCCGTACGTTCGGCCTCTTACTGAGGAGGATATTGCCTGGCTGAGAGAGCGAGTAGGTCGATTGCAACTATCACCATACCACACAAGCTAACATGAAACAGGGAGATCGCGTCACTCCATTCATCATCCCACGTCGCGGAAAGAAGAGCTATCGTCAGCTTTGGGCGGAGGAAGATGGTGTATCCTACGATTCGAGCCAAGATGACAAGGATCAGCTCCCATTAAACCAAGGCCGTGGCAGCATCGACACATTGACTGATGAGAAAGCGGAGACGAACGAGGTCTCTGTCGGACCCCTTCTGAGCCGACTCTGCTCACTCTTACGTTACGAGCACCGAACCCTCCCCGACGATAATGCAAATTCAACTACAAGCGAAAGCGGCCTTGGTGGAGACGCAATGGAGCTTGACCAACCCAATGGCGAACCAGAAATCAAGAACGAGAAACAATCACAACCTCCTGCAACAGCTTTCCGCGACGCCGATCCAAATGGCTTCAAGACTTCTGTCGCAAAACTCGATCATGCCCAACTCGACGAGCGTGCCAAGGCCGAGCTTCGATACATCGGATTCCTCGGCGCGGATGATAACCCAGACTATGACGCGCACTACGACGATGAGGTTGCCGAGCGTCTCCGCCTTCTACAAGGAGAGCTTAAGAAACAAATTGTCACCAATAACGCGCGCAAAGCTCGCATCCTAAAGATCGCCCAGGAGCACATGGCCATGCTCGAATTCACCACTATCCAAGACGACCTCGACACTCAGGTCCAGCAGGCTTATCTCAAGCGCACTCGTACCATGGGCAAGAGCAAAAAGGGTGCTCAGGCTAAACATCGACCCGGCGGTGCGGGTGGTGGCAGCCACGTCGCTGGCGCTGCGGGCATCTCTCGTCCTGCTGTTGGAGACGCCGCCAAGATTGTCATGGATCGTCGCCGCCGCTGGAACGAGGCTTTCCTGCCTATCTTCGATGATATCAAGACTACTATTCCTTCGGAGGAAGAGTCGATCTTCGACCCGGCTGTTATGGCCGAGCATGAAAAGGCTGAACTTGAGAACTGGGAGGAGGAGTAGGATCCATCAATAGACTTGGAGTTCTCCTTTGCCTTTGGGTTTTCTCGTTCCTTGGCTCGTTTCTGGTTCATTTTCTTGCACGATACGATACGAATGGCATGACGGCGGGCTGGCGTTAGCGGATACCTTTTTTTTTACTTTCTCGGTCTCACTTCCATCCTAGATTCGGAGACCGCATGTGGCTTCGTCAGTGTCTATCTCTATTCGCGCGGAGAGAGTAGTCTCGATCTCGTCGATATTTAGGTGGTTAGATGTGGCAATGTTCCTTTATTCTTTAGCTTATTATCACCAATAAGTGATGAAATTCTTTGAACACGTCTTCCAACAAATGTTCCAACGCGTATTCTCATACGTATTCTCTATTCCAAGTTCTATTTCTTCCTCCTTATCATGCTGCCCATCAAAGATATATAACAAGCAAAACCAGGGGTATCGACCAGAACCAAGTATCAAAAAGCACAAAAAAACGCCGATTGCACACAATACCAAATTACAAGTACCTCAACCCGTCACTCACCGATGCAAAATCAAAACCTCCCCAGGATACCTCTTCAACCTAGCCGTCAACTCCCTCTCACTAAGCTCCAACTCGGTACAAATCTGATCAAAGCAATGCGTCCCATCAAGATACCTCTCCAAAACCCGATTATCAACCTCCTCAACCTCATACTCCTCAAAGAAGCCCGCCCCATTCCCAATCCCATGTCCATTCCGTCCTCCACTCAGGATTGACCCAGCCCGTTCCCGACTAGACTCCCTCCCCGAAAGAGGCGCTTCATCCCCAACACTGGAAACAGTATAGGGCGTCGTCGTCCCTGTCGTAGCGCGTGACGACGGACCCGTTGCCACAGGTGTGGGTGTAGCCGTTGGGATAGGCGTAGGCATGGCCGTCCCCGGACCGCGCGGGGTTAGCGCTGCGTGGCCGGTTGCACATGCGTATTTGTGGACGCGGTAGAGGAAGCCCTTGATTACGCCGAAGGTTATGAAGCGGCGGATGTCGATGTTTGTTAGGGTTCTGCTGTGCTGGGCGTACCATTGTTTGACGCTTTGGCCTTGTTTTAGGCTGGCGTAGAGCTCCACTAGGGCTACACCGTCTACTATGGCTGGTTTGTGGAGGGGGATTGTTTGGTTGTTCGATAAGGCTGTGGAGGTGTCGCTTGAGGAGGAGAGTGCTGGGTTTGTGCTGTCGTTTGTGTGGTTCGTGGTGGTGTCTGCTTCTTCTGGGGGTCCGAGGAGGGGCCAGATTTCTTCTGCGTCGAAGCGGGAGTCATCGCGGCTTAGGCTTGGGGCTTGGTCTGTTAGGGAGCTTGAGAGGGGGCCTGTGCCGCTGCCGTTTGCGCTGCTTCCGCCTGGGATGAGGGATGGGGGGAGAGGTGAGCTCGGGCCTATTGGGAAGTGTGGTGCGAAGCGAAGGTTGACGTAGCGGGCACATTCTAGTTGCATTGCTTCGTCGCTGCCGATTGTTGCGCTAATTTGGGCGGTTGGGGCGTAGATGGCTGCGAAGGAGAATATGTCTAGGAGGAATAGACAGCCATAGTAGAGGAGGTGGCGGATTGCACGGCAGGTGAGAGAGAAGTCTGTGTCTGCTAGAATGGAGATGATGCGGACACTGTTGATGCCGTTGATATGAGGGACAATCTGATGGTAATCAGTCATTGTAGCCTATAGAACGAAGGCATATATTCACATACCCGCTGCATGGTCAAGTCCCAATTCTCATCCATAAAGGCCTGATACCGCAATGTGAAGAGTGGCACATGCCAGGCCTTGACCGGTGGAGGAGAGGGATAAATTGGGAACAGCTTAATGTTCAGAGTATTCAACTCATCTAGCCAATTATTAGCAATGAGCCTGTAAAAGCAGTTCATGGACATACCGATAGGAATCATGCACTCGCAATAGTTATTCAAATCTTCCATCAGCATCTCGCATAGACTATGCACCTTGCCCTCCCCACTTCTGGAAAAATCACGGGAGAGAAAACCATTCTGCTCCTCTAGGCCGTGCATCAGATCTGCTATCTTCTGCACCACGCTTTTGTACGTGCTAAAGTCGTCCTCTTCGGCGAGGACGATGCAGAAGTTGAAGATGAACTCATTGCGGTCGTATCGCGCTGACTTCATGCAAATTGGGTATCCCAGGATACGGTATCCATTGGTGCAGACTTGCAGGAGGTTTCCACAGAGCCCCTGGCGGGGAATCACAAAGAAGGAGACGTCGGAGAAGGTCAAGTACAGTGACTGCGCGGGTGCCGTGGGGGGAGGGAACGATAGCCCCATCGGGGACTTGGTGGACGACTTTGGGACCTGGAGATAATTGGTAGCTGGTAATGCATGGTAAAGGTTTGACATACCCTCTTGCGTGTCGAATTTGCTGTAGAAGATTGCCTTGATCATCGTGGGGGTGCTGTCGCGAGAGGTTGGAGTGACACTGCTTGGACCATGGAGCGGACTAAGATTTGAATAAAGCAGCGCAAGACACCAGAGGTCAATCAGGCCTGATTTCCCAACAGCCAGGAAGCTAACAATGTCCAGAGTGAAGTGGCATGCGGAGGTGCGGAGAGCTACAAGCTTATCGGGTGTTTGTTCTATTTGCATCACCGCTCTACAGAAACAAAATACAGAGTACTGAGCATAGAGCATTGAATCAGATATAATATGCTAAATGAAAAATAACTTTTGCCGTTTTCAAGTCCAAACAAGATCACCCGTCAAGAACAGAAACAGAGGCAAGGTAATGAGAGAGGTAAGGGTATTAAGTGGGACGCTGATAACCAAGGAAATCTATGCAGTAGCAAAAGACTCTTGTGAATATGATATGGATAATGGTCAACAGAAGAGAAAGGGGAAAGAAGAAGGAGCCAGTCCACTTCAGACAATGCTAGAGGGAAAAGATGCGCCGAAAGAAATGCATACAGTCATAGCGAAGCCTTGAACAAGGATCACATTCAAGTCAGGCAGTCAGAGCAGTCATCGAGCCGCGCCAGAAGTAGGATTGGAGGTGGATGAAAGAGCCGGGCTTGCAAGGATGCTGTCTGGCAGCGAGAACAGGTATGCATCAGGAAGAGACGCAGCGGTCGACACAACACGAGCCCTAATACGGCGCTGAGATCGCTCCGTGCCGAAGCTCAAGGGTTGGTTTGCACGAATGGCATGCACCATGTCGCCGTATCCGCCGCGTTCTCCTGCCTCCTTCAGCCATTGTTCCCAGTCCTCGTCCAGAGGCACATCAACCCCTTGGTCGCGCGCAGCCATTGCGGCTAGAAGGCGGTTGTTCAGTGCAACGCCACAGCTCTCCATTTCCTCGTCACTGTATTCCTCTTCGGTCTCATGCTCTGCTTTGTCGGAGGGATGGGTGCTAGGGGTGCGAGACGCACTTGGGCGGACGGTGTTGTTACTCTGGGTCTCGATTATCTGGTCCTGCTCCTCTGTCCTGCAGAAGTCATCGTAGTGGACCTCAATGGAAGGAAACGGCTGAGGTGATGCTGGTCGGATCGACTGGGCAGTGGTGTCCCGCACTTTGGTCCCTTCTTCAGCCTCGTACCGTTGTCGCGCGGACTTGGTGCCCTCCCACCGGCACAGATCAGAGATCTCCTCCTCGGTTAATTTGAGCTCATCAAAGACTCGGAATAATCTGCGATGCCATGGGAACCGGCTCAGCCGCATGCGATGCGGCCCGTAGGAGTAGTCCAGCCCCGGATATTGCGCTTCGATGCAGTCTAGCGAACCGTAGAAATGGGATGTCTCGACGCGCACTTCGGGGACGAGGTTTCGGGTAATGTGAGCAGCAAACGAACCGGGTTCGTTTGTGCGAGGTCGTGGAAACGTGGCGTTAAACACGATCTGGGCCAGCGAGGGTTTACGCATGTTGATTGAGGTGAGGTGAGTGATAAGTGCAGATGCAAGAATTAAGGAGGTCCCTGGAATGTCCAGGAATTAAGATCCCCCCTTTGTCGGGAAGAAATGAAAGTCACTGAGACTATGTTAAAGTGAAGTCTTCAAAATGACAAAAATGAAAGACCGATCAGGTGCCCAGCTGACGTTTCGGCTCTTTGACCCTTGAGGATTGGAGGTCTCACAGGCATGAGGAACTATACACATTGAGACCTCTAGGAGGAAAAAGTGAAGAAGGGAGGAAATCGGAAGAATGGGCCTATATAACTACGCATGCGCTGGCAAATGGCTAGATTTGGTGTCCTGCACGGCCAGCTGTTCCGACTAGTGCCTCATAGGTACGGAGTACGGAGTACAGGAACTCGAATCGGATAGGTCAATAATATGCAATTCATTTTATTCAAACCAATGAAGATTTAGCATATTTCACTTTTCTTTTATTCCCACGTCACGTGCATATCCAACTCATACATAGTGGACTGACTTGCGTTCTCCGTCTGGACCTCAGAGTGGCCATGTCGACCTTTGATGGCGTTGTTGAAGGTGAGACCCGTTTATCTTGCACCCCTTCGGTATTAACCTGTTATAGAGTTCCCCGACATCCGGAGTGAGCCTCATCCTATAGTCTCTATACGTCAGCTAAACAGAAGCAGTCGATTACTTTCGGAATTGCCCTGAGCGGCCTGCGCCACTGGCTTGCTTTCTAAGCCATGTGCATAGTGATCATCTGCAGGGCCTTGAGTCATTTCGAGCGCCGTTCATTTACTGTTCGCCAGCGACACGAGAGGTATGTCGTGTGGCATCATTGACATCACTGTGGCTAACCCTTACTTAGTTACTATTACGGATTGAGCAATATCCGCACCGGATGAACTTTAACAAAGGGATCCTAGAGTCACGCAGACTACACTATAAACATCTCGCAAAACTTCTGGTATTGTGTTCTAATCTCTCTCGGTTGAAGTCAAAGCTTATCCTTGAACAGCGCCCTATCCCGTTGAATACGCCAATAGAGATTGAACTTACCCCACGACGACGTGTCAGGGTAACATTGTTCGATGCCAATCACTGTCCTGGGGCGGTGATGTTTCTGATCGAAGGCGACGGCAAGGCAATCATCTACTCGGGTGACATTCGAGGTAAGTATACAGCCTGTCTACATTGATACCATGACTGACCTCTCTTAGCTGAGAAATGGTGGGTAAGTAGTTTGATTCGCCACCCCATCTTGATACCATACACTCTAGGCCAGAAACGGCTGGAAAGGTTGTATCTGGATACCACCTTTGCGAGCAAGAAAAATCCATTTCGCGAGTTTCCTTCCAAGGCCGAGGGTCTCGCGGAGCTGCTGCAGAAGGTGGAAGCCTATTCTGCTGACACCATCTTCTATTTTCGCGCATGGACATTCGGCTATGAAGATGTATGGATAGCGCTGTCAGCAGCGCTGAACACCAAGGTGACTAATTCGTCAATCTTCGGCTTGGCTATATGCTAATAGTATAAGGTACATGTGGATCGCTACCAGATGGGTCTTTACCGGTCTTTGACCCGAATCCTGGGCAACAAGGGCTCCAGTGAAGCACCTCCACTGTGTGGCTTTGAGCTGGGAAACAGAAATATAGAAGGCTGCTTGAGCAACAATGAGAGCAATCGAATTCACAGCTGCGAACCAGGTGTCGCGTGCGCATCATCTCGTGGACCCAAATCAGTCTATATCATGCCGATTGTCAACCGCACCTCTGCCGGTACAGAAATCCCCGAAGTTGGTGCAGGCGGTGGTGTCGGGGATCTATACCAAACCCATGAACTTGAGCTACCGGATGAGTCTGCCATGGCTGAGCTAGAGAAACTTTGTTCTCAGCGTATACAAGATCAAGAGGCGCTGTCTCAGATGCGAAATGCATTGAATAATGCATTTCACTCAAGAAAAAAAGCGCTCTCACTTGATACATACGGCTTGAGTGAAGAAGGGGAGATCACACTAGAAAATCTAGTGACTGCCCTTAGCCATGGTCCTTCGGCTTCCACCGATGAGTCCTCTGGGCCTGATCTGCCCAATACAATAGTGAGTATCCTTTCCCTTTACATTTACAACATCTCTAACAAGGAAACAGCGCTTCCCATATTCCCGACACTCTTCGTACTCCGAATCATGTGAATTGGTCGCTGCATTCCGACCCAAAGACATCCATCCATGCACGGTGGACCCCTCGTCATGGAACGAGAATGTCTCTATTCGAACTTTATTCGGCCACCTCTGTTCGGAAAATAGATTTGCCCACGATGAGCATATGCGGCAGACCTTGGCAGATGAGAGCGATGGAGAAGGTCTGCGCGCAAAGAAGAGACCTCGTCTTGACTTCGACCTTTCTACCCAATCGACAGATACAAGTGATGGGACCGGAGATTTCAGCCTTCACACGATTCACTTGAGTCAACATGTCCAACCTCGAATCACTGCGAATCAAGCGAATATATCCGATGTTTCAATTACACTCGACAAACCCCAGGTCCACGTAGAACAAGCCCTCTCCTCTCAGGCCAGTATCCTACCATCTACATGCTCTACAGATAATGAAGATGGTTATGGACCCATCAATATTAAGGAAGTAGCCCCAGGAAATACAGAGCCTTATCCTACAATCCCAAACCCCGAACCAAAGTCACCAAGCATAATCGATCTAACTACCGACGATATGACCTCCCCCATCCACCCCGACACTCAAAAACGAGAAAGTCAACTCACGGATTCATTCCCTCTCTCGATTTCTGAGTCGGCACTCGCATCATCGGACCAAAGACTTGTGGATAGTGGCACACAAATCTCAGAAAAGGATGATGCAAGTCTACGTCTCTCACGTCGTGCTCGTATTGCCGCTTATCTTGCTGCACGAGAGGATACGTTTACAGCATGGACGAATGTCTCGCTTGTTACTGCGAGGGATAATCATACCGAAGAGGAGATCGAACTATAGGCTAAGCTTAATGCTCGCTCCAATCTTGGTCTAGATCTCTCTTTTGCTACCTCAACTTTTCCTTCCTTGTTAAATATATGATACCCCATTTGAATTGACTACGCTGTTTATTTCCCGGTGTCTCGCAACAAAAAGCATGTTCTTGGTAAATGTTATGACGTTGTCGGACTCCACTGTTTTCTGCATTTGAAAGCGAGGTCAAATGAGGCGCAATCTTATGGGATAAAGAACCACAGAGACTATCATCTTTTAGCTTACATTCTAGTGTGAATCATTTCTCAACAGGCCACGTGACATATCTCGCCGTGAACATTCGCATTCAGCTTTCTAACCCATCATCTTCTCATTTCCACACAAATTTCATATGGCTTCCGAGTCATTCAAGAAGCAGCTCTCATCCTACGCTAAATACTCATCCGCAGACAGATCGTATGGTAATCCCAAGAAACCAACTGACGAGAAAAACTAACTCCGCCAGGTTTGAGGCTCCTCGCCTCACTCTAACCTTTCAAGTGAGACCCCGTTACGACCTTGACTATAAACCCTGGGACGAAATATGTTTCGTGATTACGAGAGCAGCGGATGACCCACAAAAACAAACATGCATTATTCATTGGGACCCTATCGAAGATGGATTCAACAGTGGAGATATACTGCTTCTTCGACACGAAGCCGGCCAACTACGGCCCGTTCCTTCTAACCAGCCATGTACAAAGTCCATCCATCCACGACAAGTATCAGTCTCGAACAAATGCTTCAAACAACTCGATCCAGGCGACAGAGTTGATTGGTTCAAACCGACCATACCCTCTACCTCTTTTGGGTTTGCCAATGGACAGTCCTGGGAGATAGTATGGAAAGGAGGACAAATCCCTTTATGGGATTGGGGAACATTAGCAGAACACGATGGCAGCCAGATCGTTCCAAAATCTCCGGCAATTATCCTTCCCAGCAGACCACCTCAGTCATTCGAGTTCACCGACGAAGAGAGTGACATAGAGGACGAAACGGTCTTATATCCGTCTTCGCCGATCCCTCTTTCCCCCTCTGCTCGAGTAATCGATGCACCGGTGCTCAGCATGAGCATCGCTGGTCCTGAGACCTTATCAATGACTGATCGTGTTCGTGGGAGAATTCACTACCCTGTCACCATCACCATCACATATGATCCGGCTCCTGGGCCCCCCGATGACAGACCTGTTATCTTCCATGTGTGCGTCTTTACCAGTATCGATCGCTACACCGGTGGATTCAAGCTCTACTTCAAAGACAGTGGTGAATGGATTCCATATCAAGTCAACCCTATCTTCATGCACCATGCCTATAGATTCTCCAAGCCCGAGCCGTTTAATGTTGGCCAGAACGATGGGGATCAATTTCAAGCTTTGAGACCTGGAGAATCGTGGTCATTTACGCGGGAAGTGACTGATTTTCCGAAGAATGCAGCACCCGGTCATCAATTTCGGTATCGGTTTAAGGGGACTTCGCCTGAGTGGTGGGATTGGGGTAACTTCCAAGATCATGATAGCACTATAGTATGGCTTGTGGAGGATAGGCTTAGCGATCCAAAAGATAATGATGGCCGGCCTGCGATTGTTATCCCGGCTAGTAACTGGGTCGAGTTTAGGTTAGTTGAATGATACTGCGGTGTCAACTAGGGTTTCAATTGTAGGCTGTTGTACCTGTCATGCAGGTTATAAAAAAGGTGCTGGTATTACTTGTTATGTTATTTAGGTTTGAATAAGCATTTCTATACTTCATGGAAGGCGATTTGCTGTACAAAGAAACATGTCCAGACAATGATCAGGGACCTCTCTTCAATTGACCAGTGAGACATATTGAATATTTCCAGGTAATGAGACATATCACGCCAACTCACCCTTTGATAGCTAGAGAAATATGAGCACAGTATGAGACAGATAACGAGACGGAACAATGCTTTGTCTTCTCCTTTCTACCGTCTTCCCAACGGCAGTTAATCTGTATGCTTTGGTGACAGGCGTATAAATACAAGCCGATAATCAAATCTTTAAACAAACCTCCCAACCAAGCAAAAGCCAAAAATGCCCCGAGGCCCAGTAAAAACCTACCGAGAAACCCAAAAAGTCCTCCTAAACTCCCTCCTCCACCAATCAAAAACCCTACGAACAAACCCAGCATCAGCACCAGAGGTATCAACGGCACTCTTCGGGCTAATCCCACAAGTGGAAGCCCTCAAAGCGGCATCAATGTCCATGGCTAGCTCTACCCGGTACAATGCATATGTGACGTCTAAACCGTATGGGTATTTCAGCCATGAGATTCCGGCTTTGTGTGATAGTATCATTGCTTGTTTGTTTCATTGGGGTGATATACTTGTCTATGGTGATGGGCAGAGGACGGACGGGATTGTTGTTATTGGTATTGAGGGGGTTGCTGGGAGGTTGAGTGTTTAAATTTGATGTTAGTTGTTGGTGCTTGGTGTTTTAACGTACATGGGGAGTTATGGAGTAGATGGGGGTCGATAATCTGAATATCAAAACTAAGACTACGATCAAAGATAAAAGAGATATGAATTGAAAACAAGAGCAGGAGAAAGGATAATAAGTATAAAGAAAAATCGTCACGTTCGTTTGAAAGCTATAACTCATGCACGCAGATAGAAATCAAAAAAAACTCGAGCTGGCTCGCTGTCAAACAACACCAAAATGATATGAAGAAAAAAAAAATAGTAGAAGCAAGAGCGATGAGGTATAACGTAGGACTTGCAAGGCCGTGAAAAGAAGTAAATGCTAGTATGGGGAAGGGGACGGGGAAGGGGAAGGGGGTATGCGAAATGTCTAGAAGATATAGTATGCCTGTGTCAGGGGTAGTTCGGAGGCTGGTTCGGCGTCGCAGAGCATGTCGTCTGCTTCGACGGTCTATTCAGGGTAGATGTTAGTTCTGTATACCAGGTGGATTGCCATAAAACAGCTTGCAAAAGGGAGGTAAACTCACATAACTCTCCGGATCAACTTTCATCTTCGGCATTGTGTCATTGAATTTCATATCCTTTTTCCCGATAGTACGACAGTTCTTAACGGGAATGATCTTTTTCTTCAATCCATATGACTGGACGATTCCAGCATCGATAGAAGCCTGCGAGACGAACATGATGGATGTTTGGGGGACGCGTACACCAAACATCGGCCGCATAATCATCGGTTCAATGGTCGGGATCGAAGCATTCGGATCACCCATCTCCGCAACGGCAATCATACCACTCTTAATCACGGAGACCGGCTTCGTTCCAAAGCTACTAGCCTTCCACATGACCAAGTCGGCCACCTTTCCAACCTCCACACTACCAATGGCATGCGCCATGCCCTGTGCCAAGGCCGGGTTGATGGTATACTTGCTGATATACCGCTTAACGCGGAAGTTATCAGCGCCACTATCGGCATCCGATCCAAGTGGTCCACGCTGCGTCTTGTTCTTGTGCGCTGTGTGCCATGTACGCAGGATGACTTCACCGCAGCGGCCCATGGCCTGTGAGTCTGAGGACATCATGCTGATTGCGCCGAGGTCGTGGAGAACGTCTTCGGCGGCGATGGTTTCCGCGCGGATACGGCTTTCCGCGAAGGCTACGTCCTCTGGGATGTTCTTTGATAGGTGGTGGCAGACCATTAGCATGTCCAAGTGCTCGTCCAGGGTGTTGAGGGTGAAGGGGCGGGTTGGGTTTGTGCTGCTTGGTAGGACGTTGGGGTGTTCGACAACGGAAATGATGTCGGGTGCGTGGCCGCCTCCTGCGCCTTCGGTGTGGTAGGTGTGGATCGTGCGGCCCTTGAAGGCTTCGATTGTTTGCTCGACGAAGCCGGATTCGTTGAGGGTGTCAGTGTGGATCATGCATTGCACGTCGTATTCATCGCAGAGTTCCAAACACTTGTCGATTGCTGCTGGGGTTGAGCCCCAGTCTTCATGGAGCTTGAGACCGGCTGCTCCTGCTAGGATTTGTTCTTCGATGCTCTTTCGGCCGCAGTCGTTGCCCTTTCCTGTGATTCCGATGTTGATGGGTAGACTGTCGCATGCTTGCATCATCTGGCGCAGGTGGTTTGGTCCGGGGGTGCAAGTTGTCGCGTTTGATCCAGTGCTAGGACCGGTTCCACCACCAAGGAAGGTGGTGATACCTGAGGCCAGGGCCTCATCCACTTGCTGAGGACAGATCAAGTGAATATGCGTGTCAATACCACCAGCAGTAATGATCTTGTTCTCGCCAGCAATGACATCCGTCGACGAACCAACAACCAAATCGGGATGCACGCCATCCATGACATCGGGGTTTCCAGCCTTGCCAATGCCAGCAATGATCCCATCCTTGATACCAATATCGGCCTTGTAGATGCCAGTCCAATCGATGATCAAGGCATTCGTAATAACAGTATCAACGCACTCCGCATGGCCGCGACCCGAGGCCTGACCCATACCTTCACGCAGTGTCTTACCACCACCAAAGGCACACTCATCACCATAATTCGTCAGATCCTTCTCGACCCGAATCCAAAGATCAGTCAAGCCCAATCGAACCAGATCACCAGTCGTAGGACCAAACATGCGCGAGTACGCCTCGCGCTCCATGGAGAACCCAGAAACAAGCGCACGATCGGCCTGTGGTTCAGGCACATGCGCAAAACCGGCAGTCTGCAATTTGGTCACGATCTCCTCGGCGCGGTTCATTTCAACAGGTCCATTTGCCAACCAGTTTCCTCCGCGGATGACTCGGTTGCCGCCGATCTCGACCAGTGTCACGGTCTTGGTGTCGCCAGGCTCGAAACGAATGGATGTACCAGCGGGAATATCCAACCGGAATCCATAGGACTGGATGCGGTCGAAGTGCAGCTGCGGGTTCGTTTCAATGAAATGGTAATGCGATCCAACCTAGAAAAAATTAGCACGGAAGTCCAATCATGCCGATTTCCCAGATCGCTGTCCCAGTCTCATTTTCCGCGCACGAATTGTACATGTACATACCTGAATCGGCCGATCGCCCTTACTCATAACCTTCAACTTAATGCGCCTTCGCCCACTGCTCAATTCGACGCGCGCATGCTTGGCCGGAATAACCGCTCCAGGCATCTTCTCCGGGTGGAAGTCCTCGGGATCGGGATCGGGGAAGGCCTCTGGCGCAGGCACGGGCAGGAAACTGCCGTACAGCGCTCTTTCGAGATCACCTTCATTGCTACTTATGGGGTGGTGCACGGTGACGAGGTAGGTGCCAGATATGAAAGTTCCCTCGACTTGTAGCTCGACTAGTGTTGCGACGACGGAGGGGGAGGACGTGGCGACGGCCGAGCATTGTTTTGCCGATTGACATGAGATCGGCGACGGAGTAGTGGCCATCGCGGATTAGCTGGTGTTCGTTAGTCAACTGTTCGATTGTATGGTATGGATGTGGATCTGTATATCCCTGGACGGAGAGTACGCACCTCGTGCAGCACGGACGAGATCAAGGCCTAGTTGGAAGTGGGGATTAGCATGGTGCACAGTATCCCACAAGGCTGAGACAGTCTACATACCACAGCTTCAGCATGGTTGAGCCGCACTCCACGTGCTAGACGTCTCTGTGCCAAGAACCCGAGGTGCGCAATAGTGAGCTTATCAAGCTACCAGGGTGTCAGTTGTTGTTTGTCTCGAATTCCGCGCCACTTACCTCCTTTGGAACGAGCTGCATGGCAGTGGAACCCCAACCTGGGTCTTGGCGTACAGGGTAGGAATAGCACCAGGGTTAAAGATGTCAAGAAAAGAGGTTAGACAGGTGACAGGTAGTATGTGATATGTGATATGTGGTATGGAGGTCAACCTTGAGGTCAAACATAAAAAGAGGAATGTGGGGATATTTGACTGCCGTTCGTTTCCCGAGATAAGAAGTCGGTGATAAGTGCCGCGCAGGCCGATTGGGTCGGGCGATGCTGTTTGGCCGTTTTAGTCAAGGCTTTGCTAATTCGTTGAAATCGAATGGAAAATGACTGTGTGTGAGTGGAGGAGGACCTGAAGAGACCCGCTTATCTGATGGTTATCTGTTTAGCCATTTGGATTTCTATACTCTACTCTATACTTGCACTTCACCCTCGAGATTCTCCGACTTTACAACGTTTACACCTTCTATATATGGAAGCGATCCTGTACAATTGCTAATACGTACATAAGAAATCCCGTCGTTCAATTTTCGCTATAAGAAGGTGAAACAGCATGTCGAGATAGGAATCATTGCTGGGGATGAGGAACAGATCCGAAATGTCGATCTTGACACATGTGTATAGATAATATACAAAATAATACTTTGTACATGAGGATTTCACTACAACAAGAAACCACTTCTCTTTCACCAAGCGGACCCTCTTCAACTAGATACAAATGTTGCGGTGGCTGCAAAGGTGGCTGCCACTATAACCGATGCACTTTCCCGGGATTCCAGGAATGACACAATTGACACAATTAAGATGCGAAAATCGGTGATTTGATATGAACACGTCGGAAAGCTCTGATCTCGTTATGTATAAACCTCCATGGGCCTTAAACGAGCGTCTAACTGCGTTTTAATCTCACTACTGACGTGAGCAACAGGCAGGCCATTGACGTCTTCAATCGTCCAATTGCCGCTTTGAGTATCGACTGTGATATTTGGTCGAGCGACCATGAACTCTGTCAGTTCAATCTCAGTGGCAAGAAGTTCGCCCATAGTTTGGAAAGGCACAGCACTGCCTATGGCAATGCTGAAGAGGTGGAAGAAGAAGATCAAGAAAATGGTGAATAGCATTTTGAATCATAGAGTATCTTTGATGTTCGTTGTTTCAGAACAAATTGGGATAGACTGGCCATGTTTGAGAAACCCAGCAGCCTACTAAGACGATTTCTGATTCTTCATTCCATAACGTGATACAAATCAATCGCTTCGCCAGGTCAAGTTCATTATTCTATCATACCATGTCCCACGGCTTTCGGGCGCCGAAAAAAAAGCCCCCACGAGTAACTCATCAAGGCAAGGCTATTTCCAGAGGTAGCAAAAACAATGTAATTGACACCGTGAGACGACCAGGGGCTTGTCTCACACCTAGCCGAGCACACATCACCCTTGTCTCACAGCCCTCTAGGCTCTAGGCTCAGGTGCCGAAGCATTGACCCTAAAGCTCTTTGTGATCGTTTTCCAAGTGCTGCTTAGACGCGGCTTCAAAGCACTTCCGACAAGGAATCTTTCCCTCGCATACGTCGCATTCCTCGGGTTCCGGCAGCTCACCCGCTGCAATCATGGCATCAATTTCCGCATTTCCGCGGTCGACGTATTCACACAGTTCATCCGAAGCCACAGCGAGAAGCTTGTTATCCATGTCCTTGAAGTAGTGACCACCATTCTCAGGCCACATGCAGGCATCTAGGTTTGCAATTTGGAACTCGCGGGCTTCGTCGTAGTTCTTCAGGATGGGAAGAAACTCTGGAAGAGGGCCTTTGTAACGGGGTGTTGTCATAGCGAGGGTGTGGGTGAGGGTGAGACAGGTGATGGCTAAGAGAGAGATGTGGAACAGCATGGAGGTTGCGATGAAGGTGACGGGGGTGGGTGAAACGAGTAATTCCAAGGGAAAGAGCGAAAGTAGCACAAGTAAACCACGTAAACGTTGGAAGTAACAAGTGTCATGTGATGAATTGTAATGATGAGTAGCTGGGGCTAAATACAGTTCAAGATCGAATTCAGTTCAGTTTTCCCTAACGCCAAAAGCCCAAAGAAAGAGGGATACACAATTCCCACGGCAAATACAGCTTAGACAGACACTTAAGAGGTCTCGCTCTTGCGCTTCTTTCCACCCTTGCGCTTGGTATCAGCGGGTGTTTTGTCCTTGCTGGCAGACGCGGGCTCAACAACGGCAGCCTTGCGGCCTCTCTTCACGGGCGACTTGGCAGGTGTCTCGGCCTCCTTGGCCTTGCTGATACGAGGACGCTTAACGGTGCTGCGGGGAGGAGTGGGAGTCTTGGCCTTGGGGGGAGACGGAGACTCAGACTCGGAGTCGGAAGAGGTGTCCTCGTCAGACTGGGCGGGCTCGGCTTCGGGCTCAGCTTCGTGTTCCGGCTCGGCACCGGCAAAGTCCTGTTGCAGCTGGGTCGCGGCGGGGTCGTGGTCCTCTTCGGCCTTGGTGGCCTTGTATGCGGCCATGTCCTTCTTATACTTTTCATAGTTCTCGGCGTAGATCTGCTTCCAGACCTGTAGTGGGGTTAGTATTGGTACGTATCAATTGGCTGAAGTGGAAGGATATGCTTACCGCGCGGTCCTTCTCATCCATATTTTGCCAGCGGCGGGTACCCTCATCAGCAACATCCTTGGGGCGCGCATTGTCACCAAGATCCTCGGCAATTTGAGGACGGTTGGTCTGCATAAACAGGAAGTAGGGAGTGAGGGCGCGCTTTGGCGCATTGGGGTCGGCGGGGGCGCGCTTGCGCTTCTTAGGACCGCCAGCCTCGGACTTGGCACCGGGGCTGCTGGCGCGGCCGGGGAAATCTCCACCAGTGAATGTGGGACCGAGAGGGAGCTCAATGTGGGCGCCCTCACCGTCGGTGATGCTCTTAACGTGCTGGACGTAGGCTTTGCCCAGGTCGGCGAGGTAGCTTTGGACCTCCATCAGGCGCATGACAATCTGGTATTGTTAGTAATGCCATTGGTATAGACGAGTAACAGTGGTTGCTTGATTGGGGGTTTGCGGGCAATGAATGGGGGTTGATGTTCGGCGCGTGGCTGGTCGAGGTGCGCACCACATTTCAGAGCGCGACATAATGACAGCGAGGGGTTATTTGTAACGGGAAGCTCGGCATGCTGCTGTAAAAGCTTTACAAAGTATCTGTAAAGCTTCAAAAGCACAATTTATAGCTCTGGTGTAGACAAAAAGTAAAGATGAATATGAGACGCGTAACGCGGACAAGAAAACAACACGCAGAAAAGTGACAAAACGAAAAAAGACGGAAAAAAACACGAGGTTTAAAAAGCAAAGAGGCATACCAAGTCACCAGCCCGACGGAGCTCTTCTTTGTTGACCTCAACGGTTTCATTGTTGGAAGACATGGTGGGCGGTCTCTGCAGGGTTGAAAGAAGGTGAAAAGAAAGAGATTTTCGGGGGGGGGGGGGGGGGGGATAGGAGAGCCGAGAGAGGGGCCCACTGGCCATGGACACCCCGAACGCACCGGGCAGTCAACGCTACTTTCGGCTTAGGTTCGACTGGTGTCATGCGACCCCAAACTTCAGGGATTCCTGGGCACCGGTGCTCCCATTCCCAAGCCCCCGGTGACCTGGGGGTGACACTGATGATTTTTTTCTTCTTTCTATAACACACCCATGGTGTGACTGCTTTATGTATCGATTATGTTTTAGACTACTTTAGGCCTTGTCTTTAACCATCTATCACTTTTAGATGGTTTTGGGGGATACGTAACTGGTCTCTTCATGGCTCTTAGCAGGTGCCATGGTGATTTCATATGATTGGGCTTTCATATTGCACGATGGAGTCTATACGTAATTGACATTGTTCGCTTTTTTGGAGGTTTCCTAGTCCAAATTTGTTTTTCCAGTTATCGCCCATGTTGTGGTAGACAGCCTTGAACATGCTGTCCTTTGGGGGGGTGCGGCTGGGAGATGTCGTGCAGGCTAGGCGCCCCGCCTACCCCCCTCCCCTTCTCAATTCTTCAGGGCCGCCGAAGGCTTGCAGAATGCCTACTGAGGGTCCAACTTTGTTTAAACTATCAATGCTGCAGAACATATGTGCTTGCTTGTCCTAACGCCTTTTCGAGGATAGATTTCAAATTGCTAACTTTCAATTTTCTGCTTTATCTTCGCTCACCTTATGAGAGCTCTACATTTTCCTTCCTCTACCCCTCTTTCTAGAGCGTGTACAATGTAGTCCGTACTCTGAATGGTATCTTTTCACCTCGATCGGCATATTCCAGAATACTAGACAGCCCGGTTCCGTTATTGCTTCCCTTTTGACATTTAAATCAATAGCAAACTTCTCATTGGCAAATACTTTTGTACTGCAGAATGCTTCATCTACAAGATATATATATCCACAGTTCCACTTCGCTATACCAATTCTAGATCCCTTGACTTTTACTATTCATTGAGAAAATCTATTTCTATAGATATTTTAACAATTATTTCAATTCAATATCTAATGACGAAATATCAGCCTGAATACGTGGCAGTGCGCTCAAAAATGAAACCAATGTACACGTCTATCCTACACGTATTTCCGGCCATCTATTCTGTAACCATCTAGAACTTGAAAACCTGCTCCTTGCTGTAGCCGAGCTCCTTCAGGATACCGTCAAGCTCACCCTGGTCCTTGGGGCTGACCTTGGGACCAGAGATAGCCTTGTACATGGGGGGAGGACCACAGATGAAGAGCTTGATGTTTTCCTCCTTGGGCTCGGGGAGGACAGTCTTCAGCAGCTCCTTGGAGATGAAGCCCTTGCCGCCGGTCCACTCCTTGGGGGGCTGGTCCAGGACGTAGAAGGCCTTGAAGCGCTGGGGGTAGGTGTTCTCGAGCTCCTCGAGCTCCTTCTTGAGGAGGATGTCCTTCTCGGAGACGTTGCCGAAAACGAGGGTCACCTTGGTCTTGTCCTCGGGGTTCTTGAAGATCTGGCGGGCGAGCTGGTACATGGGGGTGATACCAGTGCCACCGGCGATCAGGCAGACGTGGTTGTGCTTGTTGGCCTCCCAGGGGTACTTGACAATAGGTCCCTTCATGGACAAACGCTGGTCGACGTTGAGGGAGTGGATGTGCTCAGACATGGGGCCACCGGGGTAGGCCTTGACAACGAGCTCAAGGTATCCGGGGATTTCTGATTCGTCAGTAGGGAATTTTGATGTTCATGGTCGTGACTGAACTTACCCTCATCGCTGGTGGGGGTGTAGGGACGGATAACAGCCTTGCCGCCCTCGGGCTTAAACTTGGTCAACAGGGCAGCTGAATGAGGTTAGCGATGGATTTAACGGTGTGGCTCAGACTACTCACAGGCAACGGGAAGACCGGAGACAGCGTCCTTATCCTCATACTCGAAGCGGAGACGCTTGGTGTTGCCGCTGAGGTTCTCAATGGCAGCTACCTTGAGGTCGATCCACTCCTCACCATTGAAGACCTTAGGACGTTCCTTAGGCTCGGCAACAGCGCTAGTGCTGTAACGGTAGACACCAGCAGCCAGACCAGCGAGACCAACACCGACATAGACGGGGGTCAAGTTGGCCTTCTTGGGAGCGGCATCCGCAGAGTACTTGCGGAGGCTCTGTGAGGGGCTTAGCTTGAGTCCCAATAGACAAAATAATGGCAGCTTACCTGCTTAAGGGGCTGTGCGCAGCGGAATGATTGACGGGCAAACATGATGGCTATGAATTGGGGGAGTGTGGAAGGGAGGAAGTGGAAGAATTCGGATTACATATGCGAGAGCGGACAGCTCCCTCCCGAGCATGACGCAATTACGGTTCCTGGATTACTATGTCATCGCGGATTTACGGATTTGCCTGCAGTTGAGTTGATTGGGTGTTTAGTAGATTAATATCTCTATTCGATAGAAAGCTGGCAACTTGCAAATTATATATGGCAATTGAGAACAACAGATTGACACCTAATATGCAAGGCAGCAAGGCAACAAGGCCAACATCGGTAACCGCGGACAGTTGGACTCGGACGCCGAATTCCGGATTCAAATAATCAAAGTCAAGTCCGATATTTTAATTAGAGAATCAGATTGCAATATTGGCCATCTTGGTTTCAGAACCATTGATATGTTCTCCTGAATCCACAGAACATACTTCAATCAACTGCACAAGGTGAATTTGTGCACAGTACGTGAATGAAGATCTAATGTGGGATGCACGTTCTGATAGCCAGATCCCGAGTTCACATGTATCATAATGGCATAATATAAATCTACACCTTACTGGGATATCAATGATTCAAGAAACCCGATGATTTTTTTCAAAATAACCTAGAGATGCCACCATACGGGACTAGAGACATCCAACCATCTCGCCCATCCGGACAGTGGTTTCCACAGACCATCTTTCATGCATGCTTGGCCATAAAACAGTCATTCATCCACACACTCCAAACCCAAACCCAGAACGTTACATTTAAGCAAAGGTTGAGGGGCGAGAGTGAGTGAAGATCTTCTTGCCAACCTTGCCACCAGCGCGGTGGGGCAGGGGGAACTTGAGATCCTTCTGGAGGAGCTGCTTGATGTAGGGGCGGCGGATGCTGTCGTTGTCGTCGATCTCAACAACCTTGAGGATCTGTGGGATTTGTTAGAATTGAACTGGGTATCTCGGATATTCAAACAACGTACGTGGATGGAACCGAAACGGGAACGGTGACGGGCAGCCATGTCCTGGTAGAGGGCCTCAACAGCGTCGGTGCGGCTCATCTCACGGAACTCCTTGTACATGTTGTGGGTACCGGAGCGCGAGTCGTAGCGGATCCAGATACCGAAGTTCTTGACCTTGAGGGGACGCTTCTCGGAGATCTAGAAAGAAATCAGTACTGCTGTTTTTTTCTTCCGTGCGGGTTCAGTCCCAACATACCACGTTGAGGGTGACGATCTCGCCGTTGGCCTTCTTCATCTTGCGGAGAGCAGACATGAAGTACCAGAAGCGCGACTTGGCCACAACGGTGTTGGGCGCAAAGATGCGCATGCGGTACAGCTTGGGCGTGGGGTTCGCCTCGTTGGGCAGGTGACGCCCGATGACCTGGTACTCAGTAAGACGCCCTGGATATATTCCGTCAGTCATGGTTCTGAATGTGATTTCGAGTCTCCAGATATTCAATTCGAGGGGTGTGACGGTGCGCGAAATTAGTTGGCGAGAGTTCGACAAGTTCAAGGATCGGTTGTGGATGTCGAAAATTTCGAGATTCGATAAAATAACCCAGGTCGACAGCATTGTGCCCCTCCATTGCAGTTGATAACAGTCGTTCATTATCTTGTATCCTTCTCTTGGTGATCCCCATGTCGATATCGTGTCGTCTTGTAGCATCTCGAATTTCGTCCAACAATTGCGCGCACCGTCTCTCAAATAATCCAGGAATATCGGGAAGGGAATAGAAATCACTCACCCATCTAGAAGAATTGAATGTTAGTATTAATCTCTCAATAAATCGAGTCAGAGGTACTCACTGTGATTGTCGCTGTGGTGGTTGAGTCGTTAGTGTGCCGTCGGTGGAAAACGAGAATTGTGAGGTTCCGATTGTGCTTAGGGTTACCGCCCTTGCCCTAAGCGAGTGGAGGCTTCCGCCTCACGCTAGTCCCATTATGGATCCCGCATGCGCCACAGGCAGACCACCTTCACCGCCCTCATCGACCACCAGCCACAGGCTGGGCCTACCCCACATGTCTCCAACAATCAATGGCTTTCTGTAAGTCACTTCCCCCGTACACTGTTGTTTCCACAACTCACCCTGCATTTCACTCAGGCCGGTGAGAGCGGAATTGACAATGGGCACCATTACAACCGGCTTCAAAGATGCCTACCTCAGTGGATCTGGCCCGCATCTAGCTGCAGTGCTCACCCCAATCTCGACGCCCGATGATCCAGACCGACTGCGGACTTTCTACCAATTCTCCAACGCCTCGTTCCTTTCTAAGGACCTCCAATACGCGTTACTCCATGGAAAGAGCCTGAGAATTCCCAAGGCAGAGCAGAATGCCTGGGTTGACATCTTCTCCGCATTCTGGGAAGCTGTTGGCGAGATCCTCAAATGTGAAGATCGTCACCCCGGTGCCAGCATTGTCGCTGTCTTCAATGCGTGGAAGAAAGTTGCCAACACTTTGATCAGAGGATACTCGAGCTCTACCAGCCTCCCTGCTTGGACACTGCCATGCTTGTACACGGTGGGAAAATACCTGCGCATCTTTGCGATCAATGCCGACCTCGAGGCCGCATCGCTGGGCTCGGCTGGCTTTGGTTTTTCGGATGATATCGCAGGAGATTTCGAGAAGAATGCTCACCTGGAGAATGCTGCCCAGATCATCAATCGGATGTTTACTCTTTGTCTCAGTGATAGGTAAGTTTTGATGCGATCTGTCGAGCCATCCTACTAATCTGACCAGGGCACCCATCGAGGAGTCTCGCAAGTGGGGTATTTACCAAATGACCAACCTGTTATTCAAAACTTATTTCAAGGTATGTTCTCTCATTACTATCGCCAGATCCCGCTAATTTCTGTCATTTAGATCAACTCTGTCGGCCTTACCAAGAACATTCTACGTGCCATTAAAGCATCGTCCGCGGATTTACCCCCCTCGAAGCTTTCCCTAAAGCTCACATCGTTACTTTCAAGTATTATGTTGGAGTCATCCACTTCCTAGATGAGAATTACGTAGAGGTAAGTCAAAAAAATTGCTACTGGCGTACCGAGACTAATCCATTGTACAGGCGGAAGAGCATTTGACATGGGCCTGGAAGATGTGCCACAAAGATGCGTTCAAGAACCGAGAGTCAGTACTACAGCTATCCACAGGCTTCTTTCGCTAACAGCTCCCAGATTGATACTCACATATCTTATTCCCTGCCACCTCGTGACTACCCATACACTGCCCACCAAGGAACTTCTTGCGCCATTCCCACGACTTGAACAGCTTTTCCGGTCTCTTTCGACATGCATCAAGAAGGGAGATTTGGTTGGATTCGACCAGGCAATGACCGCTGGCGAGGAGCAATTCGTCAAGAGACGCATTTATTTGCCTCTTGAGCGTGGTCGTGATATTGCTCTTCGCAATCTATTCCGCAAAGTTTTCCTCGCTGGAGGCTTTGAGGAGCCTAAGGACGGCCAGCCAGCAATTCGGCGAAGCCGTGTTCCCGTAGCCGAGTTTGCCGCTGCTCTTCGAGTTGGTACCGACACAAACGGTCGGTCCCGAGTGGATATCGACGAAGTGGAATGCCTACTGTCCAACCTCATTTACAAGGTAAGCCTTGTTGATGTTTACTAGAGGCTCACTGACTGATCATTCTTAGGGCCTCATGAAAGGATACATTGCTCGTGAACGTGGCATCATCGTCCTCAACAAGAAAGGCGCTTTCCCGGATACTGGTGTCTAAGGATAGTCAATAATGACAATAGCAGCATTCGCCGTCAACCGATACCTATCGACAAGGTTTCGATTATGTTGAGTATGTCTATGTTGGACTGCATCAACACGACTGACATACTCAGCTCACATTCCGCAGTACTCAAGATACTGATCTAATAGCTGCAACGCTATTACCGACCAAGATGGTACATCCAGACAAGCAGTGTGATCCTTAGCAAAATGTAATGCAGGTCAACTCAATACCTCCGGTCCATACCTTCGTATCGACCGTTGAGAACATGGCCACAGAGCCACAACGGATCACGAAACTTACGAATTGATAACCAATGAATCAACAATCTTGAATATTTCCATTTGAGTAAAACATAGTGGTACATGAGTATCTGCGCAGTAAGCCTAAATTAAACTCAAGAACAACCAATCCTACCAGCACTCCATCCCATCCAAACCATATCCATACAAACCCAACCCAGCCCAATACACATACACATACATATAAATATACCTATGTCCAACCTAACAAGTCGTAGAGACAGAACTAGAAACCAACTCACCAGCATCAAAATCATCCTAAACAACACGTTAGCAGTCAACCCTCACACCATCATCCCCTTCCAACCCCAAAAGAAATGAAAACTCACCATATGATTACACAAAGCAACAAAAAGATCAAAAAACAACAACCCCCCACGCTCCATCTCCATCTGCATAGTCCCACTTCGCATGAATGTCCCCCGACTCCGAACAATAAGCGCAAGATAATGCGCCCGCAGTCTGGACTCCGTATCAGGCGTATTGGCATATGCAAAGCGCGCACTGGATAGGATCGTGCTGACTGATATATTGGTGTGAAGGCCTTGTTTTCGGAGAGAGAGGCGTTGGAGGGTTGGGAGGGTGTATTTTTGGGCGGCGCAGCTATTGCTCCCAAAATATTGGATTAGTCTCTGTCACTTTTTGGGTATTTGGGGTAGGTTCGATGGGGGTGGTTGGGATTGGGAACATACTAAATGGCCGTATCGCGCAAAATAACACAGCCTGCTTTGTGGTGGTATACGGTTGCCATTGCACTGCCGCTTAATTCCCCGTCACTGCCCGTTGTCTCGATGTCTACATCTTCTAGTTCCCAGGTTTGTTTGTTGGTGTTGTGTCTGAGGCGGGGGTAGTAATCGCCTTTGTAGAGGAATTCTAGGACGCAGGAGAGGACTTCGGCTTGTTCGTCGGGCAAGTCGATGAGTTTGTTTCGGGAACGGGTTGTGCGGGTTTGAGTATGAGTTCGACTTGGTGTTGGGGTTGGTTTTTGGACTTGAGCTTGGGCTTGGTTTTGGGATTGGATTTGAGCTGCGAAGAATGGTGATGTGCTTAGGATTGCTTCATGAGCTGCGAAGAGGCGTTTCTGTGGTCCCACACGAAGCATTACTACTGGGGATGCTGGGGGAGATCTATATCTTGGTTAGTATTTGGCTTTGGTTCTGTGTATGGGTGACATACGTTACGTCTGGAGGATTCTCAAATCTCTTCCTCCGCTCAAGACGACGCATTCTGTCCGAGGAACTGGAACAATCTCTTTCTCTGTCACGCGCTCGCTCTCGTTCCCTCCTCTCTCTATCTCTCGGCGTTTGAACAGCCCTCCGCGATTGAGGCGTGAAAGCTGAAGACTTGCCAGCTCGATACCGAGGCATAGAGGGGGTTTCGGGTGTGCGCAACATGATAGCGTTCTATTATGGTAATTCAAATTTTCCAATTGAAGAGGGACAGGATGGGAGAATACAGAGACATCAAGTTGAAGTTGAAGTGGATATGAGAATGGGAAGATTCAGGGGCTACCTATTCCTATTTATAAAGCTCGATACAAATACCAGCAGTTTCAGTCTCAGGTTCAGCTGTACATGTACAAACGGGGAATCACTGATGTTATATACGGCAGAATCAGCGGCTAAAGCTGTCAATGACTCGACGGGACGCGTCACGACTAGTAACACGCGTAACGCGTAAAGTGGAAAAGGGGGCGCGTGGTCACGGGATGTGGGTATATTCGGAGATTGCATGTCAAGCAGGAATATGATAGATCATTTGATCAGGGGTTGCTATTGTGACCTGTGACATTGTCATATTACACAGGGATTGTGCTAGGCATTTTGTTGGTTGGATTCCCTTCATTACCGGGCTACTGCTGCTACAGATTGGACACATACTAAGGTGAAAATTCGATTGCATGTACAGCTCATGAATCCCGCACTAGGTACAATGCAATAATCCAGATGACCACCGAAACGCCGATGCTTGACGCCCCCCGAAAGAAAAGAAAAGAAAAAAAATAAGAATGATCCCCCGCATTCCGCATTCCTCCGTCCGAGCGCCATGTGCCAAAACGAGACAAGAATCGAGAGAAGAGGCTTCACAGGAACACTTTGCGTGCATCCTTGGGGTGGCTCTCACTTGGACAGTATGGGCACTTGAACCGGTTGCTCTTCCCAAGACGCTTGAGTGATTCCTCTGCAATGACATGTCCGCAAGGCATCATCATGGGCGGGTTCTCGTCTGTTGCTTGTTCCTTGGATACTGGGCAGACGAAGATTGAATGGAAGAGGTATGATGGAGGGAGTGAAATTTCGACCTGGAAATAAGGTGTTAGTACTGTATCCATAGACAGCTGGGGAAGGGGGCTCTTACCGGAAGCTCGTTCTCGGATGTCCACTCCGTGCGCTTTGCTCGCATGATGGTCTGCAATTTCAGCAGCGTTGGCAAGGCGATTGCGCCGGCAGTTGCAGCGATGTAAAGTGGCGAGTCTGCGGACAAGCCGAGAAGAGAACAGAACTCGCGAGTGAAGAAGTGAGCCACGTCGTCCCATGCGGATGAAGTGTTGAAGAGGGATGCATAAGGTGATGCTTCGAGGTTGGGAGAGTAGGCCATGGCACCGACTAGCTGTTGCACTTCTCGCAAGTACCGAGGAACAAATACGTAGAACTCACGACGGGCGTATGCTAGGGCTGCCTGCCAGCCTGCTGGTCCGCCTTGGCCACTCGATCCTCCGTGGTATAGCCAGACATACTGTAGCCGGCAGAGTTCAAATTCCAGGTTACTGCCTCGTGCTTCCAGAGACTGGCGGTGCTCCCTTGACCATTCGATTGCTGGTAGAAGGTTCTTGTGTTCTTGTAGTTGCTGGAGGATGTAGTACATGGAGGCGAACTGTTTCCTGATCTCGGTCGAGGGGACTTCGTCGATGTCGAGTAAATTTGCGGTGGCACTGGCGCTGGCACTTTCGCCTTTCTGCTGTGGACTATCCGTCTTGTGGTCTGCGATCTCGGAGAGGAAGGTTGCCGCGACGCCGAATTGACCCTCACGGAGGAGGTGCATTGCAATCGCTCGGTTGATCAGGTTCTCTTGTGAAGAGAGGGCGTCGTGATCGGTGCTTGGAAGAGGACGGTCTTTGAACAGCTAATCACATGTGAGAGGGGTCTTGCTGAGGACTGGAGGACCAAATACCTTATCCAGTGACTTGGTGTATTTGTTCAGGCCACTATGGGTTTCCTTCAAGCTGTCGTTGATTGAGTCGAAAGACGATTTGACGGGCGTCTGAAGCTTCGCCATGGTTACCGGCGCCGAGTCTGGATCTATCAACGAGCAATGTCGTCAGTTGGAGTGAGCGGGGACGGTCTCTACATGGATTACCGACCAGCAGCTATGGCATCTCGCGCAGATTGTAAGAGGTCGATTGTCGACTGCACATTTTTTATGCCTTGGGATGCCTTGACCCTTTTCATAAGCCGGTCATGTTCTTTCTGGACTATTTCCATGTTTGCCAGTGTCGCGGAGGTGATAAGGTTACCGCACACCGATTCCGCTGGCCATGTGGAGTAGATATAAGATGTGTTTATCGCAGCCTCGAAGCAGTATATGGGCAGGCAGTCTGCAGCAACGCAACAAAGATAGGATATGAGGGGAAGATATCCAGTCCGATCCAGGCGGACAGTAGCTTAATCTTGTTCCGGCTGATCGCCTGACGACATGGTCCACGTGATTTCTCTTAATGCGGAAGAAATAGGTATCCAAGAGGTTCAACTTGTATCAACTTTAAAACACTGCTTAAGCTCCAGCACCAATAGATCCGGTCAAAGCAAGGGCGGTTTTCCTTCTATATTATCCCCTGCCTTGTCGAAGCTATTGAATAGTCCGCTGGTGCCATACACCGCCAATTTTCTGCCAACTGACAGCAACCAATGAGCGCTCGGAAAGTGTCTCGGCTAATCATCCTGATACAGACTAGTGCCAACTCTAAGATTGCTCACTCGCGGGTATAAGTACCTCTTGCGCCCCCCAATCTTCCTTCTCTTCTTCTTTCTTCTTCATCCAAGTGCACGGGTTTTACACGCATCAGTGAGGAGACATCCGAGATCGTGTTTTTGCTAGTTGAAAACTACCAAATTGACCACTTCAGCCGGCCCCTTGGGGAAGGCTGGGAATTTTTGAAAAAATACATGCCCTGACTCCTTTTTGTCATCGAGGTCAGAGAGGTATTCGCCATGTGAGGCTTTCCAGCCAACGCGCGGATATCACGGTCGGCTTTTCATCAACGGTTCATCCTTGTGATGGCTTTTGGAGAAGAGAATTTGTTGGTTCAGGTTATTGTAGTTTTGCCGTATCATAGATCTTTGTTGACACGATTATCGCGCCGACTCATGTTGCCGCAACGATGTCAACAAACTCGTCGTGCCCAACGTCTGCTCCCCGCGATCAGTGTTATCGATGTGGTTCATTTCCTCAGCTTGCCCGACTGTTCTCTTATCATCGGTTTCTTTCCCGTCCCCTTAATATTCCACAGTGCCGGAATAACACCGCCTCTGATGCCACACCCTTCTCGCGAACCCCCAACACGTCTACAGTGTACTACCAGATGGACGATCCATTCAAGCAGTGTCTCAGTGCGGCTGAACCGCTGGAGATGTCCCTTTCCCCTTTCTCTCACTCGTCAATAGCTACCCAGCCCCCAGCTGTTCTCCCCACCATCGCCGCTTCCGCGAGACGCTAGAGGCATTAGTCTGGTGATCATCAGGGACTGTTTCTCCCAGCACCAATGAACTGCCCGGTCGCGCTCTGATGGATCTTTTCAAATTTCTCGTGAACTAGGGCAGGTTCCTGATGCTGTCATTCTGACGCTCAAACACGGATACGGTGATTTCGCTGACTTGCAGATCAGCTCCCAACCACCTTGCACATTCCATGATGACGCGCTATTGCTGAACGGATAATGAACGGCAAACCATCTTTTCAGCGAACTGTGGTCGTGCATCATACTAGGCTATGACGTCTCCATGCATGGGCACATTGTCCCGACGAGGCTACGGATCGTACGCAACATAAGGAGGACCCTGGAACAAACTCGTTGGCGTCTACTCTGCCTGCTGATCTCGAGTTCCACGGTCTGGCGATGCAGGATCTACAGCGGTGGCAGGTCACATCCGATACTCCGTGGCATGTATCCTGCGACTTGGTTCCACGACTTCCTATGTGTATACACAGATGCTCTTCCATGCTGGCAGGCTCCTGCGACCGTCGGGCTAGTCGTCGGGCTAGTCGCGCAGTATACACAGCTGCCGGAGCTCTTCATGGGACTTGCTAAATGGATGAGCCGGTGAGCAGTGCTGGTCTGGTTGGATCCTGCTAGATGAGGCTATCCGGCCTTACCCCCTATTATCATCTCTTGATTGGCCATGCCAATTTGGAGTGGTCCTTTTCGCCGGATGTCCGGATATTCACTGCCCCAGCGTCTATGTAGGCTTATATCTCGTGAGAGTAAGTAGCTAGCTACCTGTACAGAGTTCAGGTACCGTTAGCAAAGAGCAGTCCAAGCGGTAGTCTTATGCTACCAATTCTCATTATTCCAACGCTTTTGTCTCAACTTTGACTTCAATGAACATAATGTGCTTTGGTCACGCGACCATTTGGGCCTAATTGTCCGTTTTGTGACTAGCCCCGGATGATGCGCCTCTGCCAAGGCAGAGGCGCAATATCCAATCTAAATTACAATGCACCCCTGTACTTTGCAGCAACCTACATTGTTTCTGTTTCTCTTTTATTTTCTTTATGTATCGATCAAAAATATGTTTCTATTTGATCTTGGTGTAATATGTCCGAGTTGGTTTGTTTATATCCTGGGAATGTATCTGCATTTAGACATATATATGATTGCGAGGGACCATGCACCCTAGGCTTTTATGTGCGGTAATATCGGAGTCCGATACTTGATCCAAGATAGATTTTCCAGCACCGCTAAAAACAAATTATCAACGCCTCCGTTGGATCCGTTGGATCCGGTCGATATGTCTAATACCGAAAACGCCATGAGAATTTGAGACGCCGAGTGTCATATCCGCCTCACTCTTTATTTCCCGACTTCAGATGAGTCTTGGAGACTAGATATCGCTCTGTGTACAGAAGACCAATATCTATGCTTTGAGATAGCCTACCCCCGAACACGAGATTGCGGTGGTTGCCCAGCCAAGACGCCAGAATTTCTAATCTAGCCTGTATGCGCGCTAAAGCCATTCAACGTTTTGCAATCTTTACGGCTCGTCCCGGGTGGCTGATCTCGAGCCATGGCTAGAATGATCATGGAAGAATAATCAATTCCTTTATGCATATTTACAAACCTGTGCCTTTGTATACGAATACGTGGTATTATTCATAGACCCACCCCTGGAATGTGATATTGACTGTTGCATATTTCAACACGACACAAAGCTTAGATTCTTTGTTAGGAAGACAGTTTCAACCCTGCAACATGGTACCTTTCAATACCCACAATGTAATCTTCAATGCATTCAGCTTTCAGATCTTTCTCTCAGGAAACATGGGTTGTGGGGAACCAAAAGTGGGTAAAACATACCTCAACATTGTACTTGCAGCCACGGCGCAGGATATGGCATTCTGATCAAGGGCAACAGCACAACGACCCATGTATATATAGCAAGCCTCGTTTCAAATTGGTAATTTCCAATGATTGAGCATTTCCCACGAAACGCGAGTGTCTTATCCGAAACAATCGAGGGGTCCAATACCCTTAATAGACCCACATACCATAATTGTTGTCATCAGGAGGCAGAGTAAGGATCGACAGGCACAATTCTTTGTCGCCTGATTCCACACGCAAGGTCAACTTCTCCTTATCATCTGCTCAATGCCGATGTGATGTGGCTGGTATCCAACTTCACCAGCCGTCCATCTCTTGTCGTTCCTTATAGACTATGATTACTGCCGAAACACCCTTGTTTATACCTCATGTCGCTCATCTCGCCTCCTCCCTGGGTCTTCCCGACCATTTCGGCCTCGACATGGCTAGGTGAGTGCTGTTCCAATTGTCCACGGTCGCTATTGGGCTCAATTTAACCGCTGTGTTTAGCAATGCTGCTGGCTATGCTGGGACACTGGACTATGATCGGTGAACCGAGATATGGCCTTATGAAACCTGGCCAGAATATACCGTGAGTATTCTTCCTACGACGTCATCGTACCAACGTGCAGACTCTATGGCTGATTCGAACTAACAAATCCAAGCTTCATTTCTGATATAGGAGCCCAGGAATTGAAGCCCTTGTTCATGATCGGATGTATCACAACAGTATTACTTCTCAACCTCTCATTTTACCAATTCATCCAAAACAAGGGATATGTCAACAAGCTCTGCACACACGCATCCTTCTTCTTCACAGTGCTGGGAAGCACAGGATTGATCCTGCTATCCGTGTTCGACAATATCGACCACCATTTAACACATGATGTATTCGTGACTATCTTCATGTAAGTCCCCGCCAAGATATCATATCATATCATGCATTGCTAACGGCCTAAAGTGTGGGGTATCTAATCAGTGCCGCTCTGATGTGTCTAGATTATGTCCATCTAGGTATCTCGCATGCCCTGCGCGAGCCTATGATATTCACCAGTTTCGTCATCAAGCTGTCCTTCATTATCGTTGAACTCTCCCTCGTTATCGTCTTCCGTGTCACCGAGGCTATCCACTATAACGAGAACAACATGGCCGCAACCCTTGAATGGGGTAGGTCCACCCACTGTTGTCAACCTTGTTCAAGTATACTAACCTGTGTCTAGTCATCGCCTTCGTGTTCACCGGTTATATTCTCTCCTTCATCGTCGATCTACTTCCATCGACTCAAAAACAGCTCCATGTCGAAAAAGGATATGAGCAACTCGAGATGGCCATGGCCCACCCATAACTTTCACATTCGCTCTCTTGTATAGACTTGGCAATTCGTTAGCGTTCTTTTCCCTGCCAAGTGTGATTATATGTATATACTTCTACGCTCGTGACATGAACCTCGGACTTTTCAATCCCAACTAGATTAGCTTGGAGGTAGATCCTCGGCTACAATCTACAATGGACCAGCAAGCTGCACGAAGAAATGCCCTTAATACTCTAACTTCTTTTGATCCAGCCCTGTCAAATGGAGACAGGCTAGTGGCAATGGTCTGTTCAGTTTTCCAATTCCAGTGCGCCAACTCGAAACCCGACCTAATAATAAAAGCTAATACCTCCGAAGATTGTCCACGACTCTTCCTCATGTCCAAAATTAGGCTGCCGAATTGCTGCAACGAGAATACCGATTCAACTACAGGGCTGAAGTTGTGGGGAGTGGTACGTACGCATCCGCCTCACAGCCCTAACGCCAAGACTGGGCGGAAGGCCGGCGCCTGCTATTGATGCGCTGCTAGGGAACTTTGTAAAACCCAATATTATGCCAATTCTGCCTGAAAAGCTTGACATACTTGTATGTACGGGTAGAGTAGATAGATGTACAATGGGTGGCTACGAGGTTGGTTTCTCCTACACGGCTTCACCGAAGCCTGATATAGAGTATCTGATCAACCAATCTGAAGACGTGCGAGTACGGCCTAGCACTCTAGTGACGTCCTCCGCTATCGATCGATGCTGGCTCAAGTGGCGGAATCTACCTGGGTCTTGATAGGTCCTCTGCTACTCCACATCTGATAATGGGAGTCGTAAGAGGTGACATTGTTCCCAATTTGAGACTAGCTGGCCAGAGCATCCTAGTTGTTGTTTAGTATCCGGAGTAGTGTTGACGCCACTGCTGTTTATAAAAGGGGACTTGGGCCCCTCCTCTTGTTGGAATCATATTCATATTCACATCTCCATCTCACACTCTTACTCACGTCTTATCCTTCTCTTATCTCCTTCAACACACCACTTCACATCAATACACATAATGGGTCTCTTCCACCACCACGACCACCACAAGGAGGAGGGCCACCACGGAGGCCCTCCCCACGGCGGTCCCCAGCAAGGCCCCGGCGGCCCTGGCGGCCCTGGTTTCGGTGGTCCTCAGGGTGGCCCTCAGCATAACGGTGGTCCCAGTGGCCCTGGAGGATTTGGCGGCCCTGGAGGTCACCAGGAAGGACCTGGCTTCGGAGGACCCCAGGGTGGACCTGGTGGTCCCGGTGGTCACCACGGCGGCCCTGGAGGTCCTGGAGGACAAGGTGGATTTGGCGGTCCTCAGGGCGGTCCTGGAGGACCTGGTGGACATCACGGTGGACATGGAGGCCCCCAGGGAGGTGTACGTATTTCCCTCATTGATTGATATTGGAGTGTTTGCTGACGTTTGTATAGCATGGTGGTTGGTAATAGGGTTGATTGAGGTAGATATACCAGGACTGCAGAGGATTATTTGGTTGGAATTGATTGTGCTATTGGATAGCTTTCACTGTCTTTGAGGGAATCTTTATATCGCAATATGATTGTCATCTTGCTGGACGAGCTTGATGGCTTTGGATGAATTGGTTCTTTGACCCAGCATTTCTATATTATAGAAGAATTAGCACATGAACATAAGATTGTAGGATCATTCCATACCTCTCTTCAGTATCTGTCAAACAACGAAACAAAGTCGAGGATTAAGTGCTGACAATCATCTTGTTAGATCAGCTCACCGCCCAGTGACGTCGCCGCTCTTCGGAGTTCATCTTTCAGGTCTGCGGAAGTTGCCAAGGCACTCGCCAGTCTCGCTGCTCTTCATTCCGGGCTCATAACATGTCCAAAGACTCACTACCTGGATATGTCACAATCGTCCTTACTTGAGGTAAAGCGCAGGAGGATCGCAGGAAGATTGGCACCTCCCCTTGGCATCTTGAGTTTGGGAGAGGCAGCCAGCTAGTCTCGAATGAAACCCCCTAACCCATTCATTCCCGCCTAATAAAAGCCCTCATAGGGGAACCTGTCCATCATGCAGACAAGTGCCCAGGCCACACCATCGGTGGAACGGACAGACCCGTTGCAAACCATACGGACATCGGAGAGCATCAGGAGAAGCCCCGCGTCCAACACAAACGAAATCGACCGCCCGCCCCCGCAAGGTCATCAGAAACTCGTCTTCACCGATCCTGTCGCCCTCCGCTACCTCGAAGAAGATCCCTCGACCGATGTGCTACACCGACGGGAGACGCTGCAGGGCTATGAGATCTACATTGTTGAGCAGTGGGCTTGCTCGCGTGTGCATCCTACGTTTGTTATCTCGACTTATACCGGTGATCCGTCGCATACTGTGTTTGTTGGGGTATTAAGTGTTCCGACAAATGAGGCTACATGGTCGCCGCGGCTGCGAATGTACTTTGATGCTATGAAACAATGCCACGCGCGAAAGAAGGAAACCCCACTAGGCACTGTTATGGTTACGAATCTGAGCTCGTTCCCGTCTGCTTTGAGTGTTATTCCTGTTCCTGGTGGCGATATCAAAAAACATCGGGAGGATTTTATTGTTAATGAGGACTTGAAGAGACTCGGTTGCGCTGGTCGCGCGGGCCTAAAGCTTCAAGCTCCGTCGGCTGCGACCGAGGCCAAATTTCATCAGTTGTACCGAACGAGTGAACGGGTTCCACTATATGCTGCAGTCATGGAATTGGTTAAGCAGTGCCAGATCGCTCTCATGGTGTTTGATAAGCTCGCCCCGGAATACGTGGACGGGCTTCTTTGCGATGTGACTGAAGCAGCCATCAGCGATTGGTGGACGGACATAGGTACGGATCTGTACAACATTGAACCGAGCGACAGTAACTTGGGACCGACAAGTGTGGCTGCTTTACTGGGGACGCTTCTTGGAGCGCGAAACCGTCTGCATGCATATGGTGCCCCGGTGGGCAAAGATGCATTCGACTTTGCCAACCTCAAGAGGGGCATTGGCAGTTTTCAAAAATCCCAGAAAATGAGGAAGTCCCGGCGATTGGACCGTCATACATTGGACCGGTTACACCGCGCTACGGCCAAGGCTGCCAATTCCGAGGGCTGGACCGATGCGGTGAAGTCGACCATGGCGGAACTCAGTGGCCAAGGTGGTGAAATGGTCATGGGGATGGTTCGTGGGCGTGACAAGGGTGGCATTGCCGATATTGAAACACTTGATCTCGACACTTTTGTACAGTGTTGCAATGGAGAACGAGCCAAGTGGTTGTGGTTGGGTAGACCACGCAAGAGTGGGTTTGAAGATGGCTTCACGCGTGGGACTGGCTCGGACATGATGTTTACGACCGATGAACAGGGTGGTTATGTCTGGACCAGTCGCAAGAATCATTCGACAGACGATATGCATGAGCGACTTAGCTCCACCTTTGATCGCCCTTGGAAGATACCAGAGCCCCCAGTCGTTGAAGAAAAAGAACATCGCAAGAAGGGTGTTAGCGGACGTGTTTCAGATGCTCGCGCAGGCTTGGGACGTTTCAAGGATGCAGTTGGTCTACAGGGCCTCCGCTCGCATCACCAACAACAGTCCCGAGAAAGTGCTGAGTTGACACACGATGCTGCCTACCGCCCATCGATTGACAGCGACTCTGAGATGCCCATTGCAAAACCTCGGACCGACTCTGGTTTCCGATCTTCAGAAACAAAGACCGGGACTGAAATGAAAGATCCTATAGGGGAGGAGCAAGAAGAGAAGCCTTCTCAACTTTTGCCCATCCCCGACTCTGCAGAGACTAAAGCTCCAGAAATCCATATCGAGTCTGCACCACCCACTGTTGAATTTGATACACAACCCCAACCTGATCAGCTTGCACCACACCCCGAAGTCATTGACGAGGAGTCTGATATGGAGCGCGTCATGTCTCGATCAACAGCAGCATCAAGTGATCGCGATCGTGAAGGCTCAGTCAACGGCTTTGCTATCATGGCTCTACGGCGACCACAAAGCAGCGAAGATTTTCAAATAAGCGAAAGGGAAATCGAGCGGCGAGACAACGACTGCGCGAGACACCTATCATTCAGCACGGTCGAAGAAGTGGTACTCAAATGGGAGCCAATTGGCAACAAACCAGTGATCAAAGAAACAGACAACCTGGAAGACTCTATCGCTCAAGAAGACATGCTCGCCTCTGAGGGACGTATCTTCAGTTCTCGGATCCTAGAATTGAGCCAGCACACCGTGCCATGGGTTGAGCGGCAAGTCGACTCCGTGGATAGTCTCAACCAAGTCCTTTACGACCGCCATGAAGAACTCAACTCAGTCTACCTGGAACGATTCGCCGATTACCAGAGACTAAGAGAGCGATCCAGTGACATTCTCCTGGATGAAAACCACCACCTCACTGATGGCGTGAAGCGCGTTGAGCTTTTAGGCGCCAAACTGGATTACGAACTACACGTCCTCGAGTCCAAAGTCGAAGACATGGAAGCCGGCCTGAGTGACTTCGAACGTCACATTGTAAATATCGAGACGAGAATCAAAGCCCTGGTCAAAGGCGAAGCACAACACAGCATAACCTGGACAACCTGGCTAGCCCGCACTATGGGCTTCTCACCCCAATGACGACCGTTTGTATGATAAGAAATTCCTTTTTTCATTCTCCTGTTTTTCCTTATTCCACCATATTGTACATATTCAGATAGATCAGCCGTTCCTCGGCTTTCCACCCGGTGATGGTATAAACGTGTGAAACCATCATTGAAACAGATCCGAGTTCCCAGTCGGCCGAACCAGTCATAAAGCCGTACACCAGAAGCCAAGATAGTATCACATCATTGAAACTCTCCAGCTCGATGGCTGCCAGAGTTCAATTCTCCTCTCTCCCCCATTCAAATCTGCAAACTGAATTGAATTGCTTTACATGCTCAAGCCCATGCCGCCACCCTGCTTGTTGGCGGCCTCGCCCTGCATCTTCTCGCTGACCTTGATGTTGACGTCGAAGAACTTGGAGACGCAGCGGTCCAGGCAAACGGACTCGCCCTTGTTCAGGTCGCCTTCGCGGTAGTCGGCGGGGACACACTTCTTTGTGCAGGACTCGGTCAGGCTGCGTGACAGAACGTGTTAGCTGCTGACGAGGAAAGCCAGAACAGTGATTGATTGCATTGGAATAGCTTGGATTGAGAGTTTCGCAAAGTCTGATAGCAACAGAACTCCGATTCCTAAGCCGGGATTCCGCGCAACGACTTACCGGTTGAACATGTCGGAGATCATCTCAACTTCTGTCTCGGCGGCAGCAATCTTCTCTGCCGAGGACATCTTGGGGGCACCGCCGAAGAGGAAAGACATGATGAATGTAGATGTAGAATGTAGATGGTGGATGGTAGTGTAGAGAGAGTAGTGTAGGTGATGGCTATTACGGAGCCCAGGGTGGAACGGGAGAACTGGTCGGAAGCTTGGGCCACCCGCGTGGAAAAACTCGGTCCTTTTCTTCTTTTCTTTCTCTTCTCTTCATCTCAACTCACAATGAATCCAACCAGGTTATTACAACATGGACGAAGGTAAGCTACAATTGCACTTGCTCTTGCATTTGCACCTCTCCTATATGATGATATTATACCCCCTGCATTAGAACCGCTACAGTAATGCCCTCCGGGGCATATGAACACTACTGGATTTTATATCTGACACGCACAATTCATTTTGGATCAATCTCGTCTTCATGCCTTTTCCGAGCATTGCTAACTCCAATTCCAGTGCAGGATCGCGACTCGCTCGCCCATGTCGACTTCCGCTTACCGGGACACTAACGCAGTACATGCCCATGCACATCCGCATGAACAGCTCATCGTCAGAGAAAGCCCTGCAGGATCGATACCAACAATTGAAATATATATGTGGGGATCCATACCCTCGCTTTAAAGTGAAACCAAACACAATGACCTTGTCCGAGTTCCGCTCGCGATATGGCGAACTCGCCAACAAGGATACAGTAGAAACTACGGTCTCCGTCGCTGGTAGGTTGCTTCTGGCCAAGTTCCAATTGCCCAAGTACTTAGATTAGTGTTAGGTAGGGTCCATACCTCTAGAATCGCCGGAAGCAAGCTGGTCTTCTTCGATTTGTGGCAAGAAGACCATAAAGTCCAGGTGATGTGCAACATCCAGAGTGTCGCCTCTGCCGAATTCAAAAGATTCTTCCGCCTACTGCGTCGTGGTGACACCTTCTGTATGTCTGGCCCGCAAGAGTCTTGTTTCGCCTGCTAAGTGGTGATATAGCTGTAACCGGTAAACCGCACCGCACTGCCCGAGGTGAACTCACCATCGATGCTACTGAGCTTCCGACGCTGTTGTCGACTTGTTTCCATGATATTCCTGTTCACGATACAAAGCATGAGGTCTCGCCTTTCCCTCGCCATGTCCAGTTCTTGGCCGATCGTCCCACGATGGATATCATCAAGGCTCGCTCGGCTCTCACCCAGTACCTGCGTTCGTTCTTGTTAGAACGCTCCTTCATGGAGGTCAATACCCCGATTGTTGAAGGTGTGGCCGGCGGTGCCGTTGCTCGGCCGTTCTATACGACTGCCTCGGAATTCTCAGACCGCCAGCTGTCGCTGAGAATTGCGCCAGAGTTATGGCTTAAGCGTATGGTTGTTGGTGGATTTGACAAGGTGTTTGAGATTGGACCGTCATTCCGAAATGAAGGTGCGTGAACGTATATCAGACAAGACCTTGCCCGGCATACTCATAGACCACAGGCTTGGACAAGACACACAACCCAGAGTTTACGACCTGCGAATTCTACTACGCCTACGCCAACCTCGACCACCTCATAAACATGACCGAAGAGCTTCTCTCAGGGGCAGCCGCCCTAGCTCAAACATTGAACACAGCAGGCACACTCAACCCAACAACAGCTAACTTCACAGCCCCCTTCCGCCGCATCGACTTCATCACCGGCATTGAAGAAGCTATCAACCGCAAACTCCCCAACCTGGAAGACCCCTCAGCCCTCGACATAGTCCGCAAAATCTTCACCGACCTCTCCCTTCCTGTGCCCCAAAACCCCTCCCTCCCCCGCCTCCTCGACGAGCTCTGCAGTCAATACGTCGAGCCCCAATGCATCGACCCAACCTTCATCATCAACCCACCGGAATGCCTCTCCCCACTCTCCAAATCATTCATCCACCCCGTCACAAAGCAGCGCGTCGCCGCACGAGGCGAGCTCTTCATTGAAGGCAAGGAACTAATTAATACATATGAAGAGGAGAACTCGCCGTTCGAACAGCGCCGCAAATTCGAGGATCAGATGCGTTTCAGCAAGGACGCTAATGAGCCCGGCGAGATCGATGAGAGCTATCTCGAAGCCCTGGAATGGGGTTTGCCTCCTACTGGTGGATGGGGATGTGGTATCGACCGTCTGGCTATGTTTTTTACGGGTGCCAAGCGCATCGGCGATGTCCTTCCCTTTGGGAACCTTCGTGCTGTGACGAGACGGGCTGGACAGGTTGAGTAATGTTGACTTGGCTGTATGCTGTATTGTACGATAGTAAGATGAATAATATCATAAGTAAGAAGATTATACCGTTACATTGTATTTTAGCGCGAATAACCGCTTTAACTTATTGAGATAAACTGAAGCGGGGAACTTTCATTCTCTTCAATCTTCAATTTACGAGGCCGAAATGGCACCCGTTGCTCAGGCTGTTACTGTGAGTCTGCAGGAGCTCATCGATGGTAAGTCCTGCACTGTAACAAAAAAAGAAAGAGTCGATCCTGAAGTATGCAGGAACCGTCTCCTTCGACACCCTGACCGAAGCCTTCGGTCCAGCCTCGCTAGGCATTATCGTGGTCAAAGACCTCCCCTCAACATTTGCAGAACTACGCAAAACCGTTCTATCAAATGCCTCGTACCTGGCCGCCCTCCCAGAAAGCGAACTAGGTAAGTGTGCGATACTCCAACAGTCCCCAAGCCCAAACCAACTAACACCCCACAGAATCCCTCACCAGCCCAGAATCAAAATACCTAGTCGGCTGGTCCTGCGGCAAGGAAACCCTGAAATCAGGCCATTTTGACACACTCAAGGGCTCATACTATGTCAACTGTGCCTTCTACCAAGATCCTTCATTAGATAGTGCGCCAGCGGAAGGATTCCCCGATCTACCGCAGTACACCGCACCAAATATCTGGCCATCGCCAGAGAAATTGCCCGAGTTCAGGCGTAGCCTTGAAACACTCTGCAGCCTGATAATCGACACGGCAGCCCTAGTCGCTAAAGCATGCGATCGCTACGCCGAGGCAAACATCGACGGCTATAAGCCAGGGTATCTGCACCATGTCGTGACAACCAGCCTAACAACAAAAGCGAGATTGCTACACTACTTCCCCGGAAATGAGACCGACACCACTGCCGATGCACAAGCCGATGACGATGACGATGACTGGTGCGCCACACACCTCGACCACGGCTGTCTAACAGGCCTCACATCAGCCATGTTCCTCGACGAAGCGGCTTCGCCCCCAACCCTGGATTCCGCTACATCGACATCCATGCTGCCTGAATTACCGCAGTCTCCAGACCCTTCAGCTGGCCTGTACATCCGCTCGCGCACAGACGAGATCGTCAAGGTCAATATCCCCAAGGATTGTCTGGCCTTCCAGACGGGTGAGGCGTTGCAGCTGATCACCCGGGGGAAGTTCATGGCTGTGCCGCATTTCGTGAAAGGCGCCAAGGCTAGTCCTGGACAGAAAATTGCTAGGAATACACTTGCTGTGTTTACACAGCCGAACTTGGCGGAGGAGGTTACGTCTGGTCTTAGTTTTGCTGAGTTTGCTAGGGGGGTTGTGCAGAAGAATTATTAGGATTGGGATTAGGGTTGCGAGATTTGCAAAGTATATCTACTCTTCTACAACAATTTCCACGGAAGCCTAACTAGATTGCCTTTGGTCTTTTCGTATTATACGAAATAGTGCGTCCTATGTGGTGGGTACTGTAGTATAACCGAAAACGGCGAACAGCATCGTCTCCAATTCCACTTTCAGGGGCTACCACCCCCAATGGGAAAGTATGTATATTGCCACTATTAGAGCCCAGTGACGCATTCCAAGCACCTCGGCATGAATCGTCGGTATCGAGGGTATTCGACAAAGTTGCCAAGAACCGAACCGAGTCCTTCTCACTCGCCATCTCGATGCCAATTTTCTCCACACGGTCCAACTTTACTCCAACGCAGTCCCCCAAACTACGCGTTAATCGTAGCGTTCTCCGCATTTCCCCATCCTCCGCTGTAGATCATCGCTTGTTGTGTTTTGCGCTAGGGCGTACGGATCTGTAGGTTGTTTCCACTTCTTTCAAGCTGACTCCCTTTTTCTTCTTGTTTTTGGGTATGGTTGATCTGTTGGTTAGGGTTGTTGATCCTTTGCGTATGCGTATGCGGGGAGAGTTTGGACCTTGGGGCTTGGGAGCTTGGACATGCTCATGGTAATTTCTTCAGGGTGCCTGGGGATGTCTCTATAAAGCCAATTGAATCCGCTGGTTAGATGATTCTTCTTCAAGTCTGTTGAATCGTAATCCCAGGCAGTTCCTTGAGCAATCTCTTTCTACGAACTATACGAATTCCTAACCCTAAATATCCTCTTTTATGCCATTCGACACAATCGCCCAAATGACACACGAAGACAACGGCATCAGCGCCAAAGACACAAACGATACCTCCCTCTCCTCCTCAAATGACGACATCGACACTGGCCGCTTCGGCCCCCTAGCCCACGTCAACACCGCCGAAAGTCGCTATGCAGCCTTCGGCGGGCAGGCTCAACCAGGTCTATGGCGAGCACCCAAGGACCGCAAGATTGCCAATCCTGCGCCGTTGGGATTGTGCGGGTTTGCTCTGACGACTTTTATTCTGGGGTGTGTTCAGATGGATGTACGTGGTGTTACGCAGCCTAATATTCTTGTTGGGCCTGCTTTGGTTTATGGAGGTTTCGTGCAGCTTTGCGCAGGGATGTGGTATGTTTTTTTTCTTTTTTTCTGCATTGGTGTAGAAAGTGGTTCTTGAGATTGGGAGTGCTAATTGGTATCTTGTAGGGAAATGGCTATTGGCAATACATTCGGTGCAACCGTCCTCTCCTCCTATGGTGGATTCTGGATGTCTTTGGCAATTACTTTCATCCCCGGTGGATTTAACATTATGGGCGCGCTTGAAGAAGCAGATGGTGGATCACCGATTATGTTTTACAATTCTTTCGCTCTCTACTTGATGGTTCGTACCAACACCAGCCTCTCATTTCCGCCCAGTCAAAAGAGCACATACTAACCCTTCTCCTTGATATTAGGGCTGGTTCATCTTCACAACAATTATCATGTTCCTTACCCTCAAATCAACTGTCGCCTTCTTCTCTCTATTCTTCTTCGTCGATCTAGCTATCCTGATGATCGCCCTTGGATACTTGTATCCCGATGGTGCACTGCCAAACGCGACGTTGCTCAAGGCTGGTGGATTGTTTGCGCTTCTTGGGGCTTTCTTGGCTTGGTATAATGCTTTTGCTGGTATTGCTGATAGCAGTAATAGCTTCTTTTTGCCTCCTGTTGTGCATTTCCCGTGGTCTGAGAAGAGACGGTCTGCTAGGATGAGTGAGCAGAGTCCTGCTTGATATGTGGTTATGACTTTTGAGTTGTTTTATGGATGTATATGAATCAGGACAATGAGAATTGGTTTGATGTGACAGAATGGATTTCAATTTGTTGGATAAGACATGATGACTCTGAAATTCTTAGGGGGTAGCGACAATCGCACTGCTATAGTAATCGCATTATTGTCTGATAGAATTTATTTGCTTTTTCGACACCAGCTACAAAGACGTTACGCTGCTTGTTTCGTGCCATGTTGCGATGTGTAGGAACCTGTCGCGGCTAAGCTTGCAAATATTGACATGAAAAATGATGACTGCTACCACTGTATCCAAAAGAGCCATAGATAGAAAAACAAGGGCAGCTAGAAGGAAAAGCAGATCTATACCAGGTCACGTGCAAGACAATATCAACGCAGCCACACCGTGCGGGGCCGCTAACTCCAATCTATAACAGCCCTGAACCACTTCCCCTTCATTCTCTCTGCTCCTGATTATTTTACTTTATTTACTTCTAGCACCGGAGTAGCTCTTGTGTAATTGAGACAGACCCAAGGTCCAATATGGAGAGGTTTACCGATGCAGAATTGGATTTTCCCTGTAACAGCTGTGGTGTTATGATTGGCGATCATCTCAACACCGATACCCATTGCAAAGGAGAGATAATTCGAGTCGCTTCGCCCTCCCATCCCGCCTGGGCAAACTTTACGTTCTCCACGCCAACCCCATCGCCCAGTCCCCCTCTTATGATCTTCGAGGGTTTGAGGGCTTTTCCTTTTCGGTATCCAATCGCTTCTCCCAGCCCGCCACCTCCGGAGTCTCAAGCTAGAGAAGGCGTTCAGACCACCAGTACTAGAACTATATCGGAATCTAGCATCCCCACGGTATTCGTGCCGCGACGTGGGAATGACACGCCTGATTTACTCTTCCAACCTGGTAGCCCGCCCAAGGCGTCACCAGTCCCTCGTCGATTTATCAACCAAGACGACCCCACGCAATTTCTCATCTACACTGATGGGGCCTGTTTGGGCAACGGCCAAGCCAACCCCAAAGCTGGCTGCTCAGTTGTCTTCCGACCGCCGACTCGATCACGCCAGTTCTATGGCCGCTTGAGTTTTGCCCTCGAGCATCAAGGCCCCTCAGGCGAGACGCACCCACAAACAAGTAACCGTGCAGAGCTGCGGGCCGTCATTGCTGCTCTCCGGTTCCGACGGTGGACTGGGGAGGGATTCCATAGCCTAGTCATTGCTACCGACTCGACTTATGTGGTCGACGGTAGCACAAACTGGGTATATGCATGGATGCAGAACGACTGGAACACAAGGGCAGGAACGCCGGTGAAAAACCAGGACCTTTGGCAGTGTCTTTTTGGCGAGATTGAAAAGGCACATAGGGCGGGGTTGAAGATTCAATTCTGGCATGTCTCGAGAGAGTTGAACGAGATAGCGGATATGTATGCCAAAGAAGGGGCCGAATTGAACCGACCGGATAGTTTTACGGATTTGGTGTGCCCTCAGAATTGGCCTTGAAATTTTGGTTGCTTACTGGGATTTTGATACTTATCGCCCATCAACCCATGTCGATAACGGGCCCAGTCATGTCAGTAGACCGATAGATCTTAAATATTCCCAAGATATAAATCAGGGCTTGTTTCTCCAATCGACATACCGCCTTCAAGTGCACTACGCAGGTCAGCACAAGCCGTGATTGATCCCCCTGTATGTTCAGCGATTGCCGCGGTGGGCCCAAAACGGCAGGTCGCCAGACACCACAATGCAGTATCGATGTATACACTGACTATATCATTCAATGAACCCGAGTTAGGGCAAAGCTAATATCGGAGCACGTCTGTTGTGGCCTTTCGACGCAAATGATCAGATCGGAATGATCGGTTGAACTATCTCGGAAAGTTGAACTTAAGGCAAGAAAGCGGCAATTCTGGGCTAAGAGATTGTAAGGAGAACAGTGCATAGTCATGGGGTGAGAGTTAGCAGGAACGAATGATCTCAGCTGTACGGAAAAGGTCGAGATCCAATTGACTTTGTGTTCGATCTTCGGTAAGTGGCTTGAACTAAGAGATCCACTCTATCTTCCCAACTACTTGTTGACTTTGTCGACGAAGACTGCAGTATGGAAACATATGAGCAGCCAAAATTCTATTCATTGGAACCAGGTCCTCCTAGTTGACTTGAGTGGATCCAATGTAGGCGTCGTACAGCTGTTCATGTCAATTTGCAAACACATTGAGCTTCATCCCTGAGGTCGGCAGCTGTACGGTTGATCGTCATTTATACCCAGCTACAGACGCGTTTTAATTGAACGATCTCAGTGGGTCAATGGATAGTTCGATTTGAAGAACCTGAAATCTCGCCGATCACTTCCACGGTATAGTTAGTGGTGTCAATCATCACCTCTACGAGCAATAAGTGGAACTCTTAGCATCGGTACTTCTCCACGACGCCGGTGTGGAATATTTAATAAGTCCCTCCCTGCTGTCATTCTCTCTCAGATCTCTTATTCCTCCAACTCCCAGTCTTTCATTTACCAAATTCCCATTCCACTCCTTCAACTTTCACCATGTACGCCGCCAGCATCGTCGTCTTCGCCTTGAGCGCTCTGACTGCCACCGCCACCCCGGTGACTCCTTCTCCTCTCCTCTCGCTGAAGGCCTACTGCCCCGGCAAGTACTTTGTCAACCCTCAGTGCTGCTCTACCGATCTCAAACTCGCCGCTTTCGACTGCAAGATCCCCAGTGGTACCCCCTCCAGCCTTGAGGACTTCAAGAGCACCTGCTCTGCTGAGGAGAAGACTGCTCTGTGCTGTCTCATCCCGCTCGTAAGTTTGATCGACCGCAGAATGTTTGGTTATGATATCTAACAGCTGTATAGGGTGGTGCCGACCTTGTTTGCAAGGAGCCTCAGGACCTGTAAGGTATCTCTATAGACGAGAACCTCTACCACGATACCCGAATGTCCGACAACCCGAGATCTATCGCCGATCTTCTCCCAAAGTCAATATGAGAGAAAGGTCGGTGGATATCCCAGCAGATTGGGTCAAAGATATGATGTACATAAAGAACCGATGAGTCGCAGAAACCTAATCAGATGTGCCAGTGAGACCTATTACGCTCAAAGAACACGAGAGCCAGAAACTATTCCTCATTCTTCGTGTACTACATGAGAGGGCGGAGATCAATAGTGAATTCAGTCCATCAATTAATGAGAGGCAGATATCTATACACTCGATCAAACACAACAGGGCGGTCCAGCCTTACGCTGTTGCGATATCTTCTCCTCAACGGGTTCCCAAGACCCGCCAAGCGAAATAGCCTTGCCATGAGAGAAATCCAGACCGCGATGACGGCCTCTCAATGCAGTGACAATTAACAAAAGTTTGCTGAATGGGTGCCACTCGCCACAGAAGGCATAGCTCTTGCCGGGGTATCCAATGCTCACACCGACACAGCTGTATGCGGATATAATTTCGAAGATGATGTTGAAAGTGGAAAATGAAACGGGGTGGGCTTTGTAGTGGTCTGATTCGGCGACAGTTACGAGGAGGACCACGAGGGAGATTAGCCAGATGTCGTGGCTGAATTGAGAACGGAGTTGATTGCAGAAGAATTGGCCGCGGGCGAGTTTTGAGGGGGTTGGGTCGACGGTGGGATCGAGTTCTTTGTCAGGGATACTCATGGATCTCTCTTTGATTGCGTCTCTTCCACTGCTCGATGTCAGTCTGGGTTCTTTGGCCAGTTGGCTGGGGATTCCATACCTGATAATAGTTGATACTGGGAAGGCAGAAAGATACTATAATGGAATGGTTAGATACTCATATCATGATTCCGGCATCATGGAATCTCTTACCATCATCAGGGCTAGAAAGGATGTGTTAGCATGTCTTCTCATCCTGGGGACTGATTGAAGGACATACCGTATAAGATAAGTAATGCCTGTGGCAGACCATCAAATGCCACGACTGAGAAACCACCACCACGCACGGCTTTGTATAATCCGATTAGTTCAATTCAAATACAACGGCTCATAGGAACATACCTAAAGCCTGGAAGAGTCCATCTAAGACCTGGTATTTAGGAGAAAGAGCCGCAATCTCAACGTTGTATAAAGCAGCAAGCTCGAAAGCTCCCCACATGATGCCATTGAGCACCAAGACTGTGCCGAGCAGGAACCATGTATGCCAGGAAGGGTATAAATAAGCACAGACCTACAGATGAAGTTAGTCTCACCTTTTGATGGATAGCTCGGGCCAACTTACATCTTGGGAATGAGCAAGAGTCAAATCGAACACTCGTCGCCACGCCTGCCAGGCTGGTTTCTCTGGGATCATCCTTCGGACAGCCCAGATGGAAAGCCGGAGCAAGCACGGGAAAAGTGTATTCCCAGCGAGGATGAGGAGGCCACTGGCGAGAAGTGGAACAGGCCTATCCAAGTCGGTTAACAAACGTCTCAATGGTTATCGGACAGCAATGAACCACTCACTCTCGTTGAAAGGGACCCATATTGGCACTGAGCAGAGACATGCCATTGTTGGCAAATGCAGATGTAGCAAGGAAAGCACCAGTCCAGAAAGGAGATACTCCATCTACTTCGGCGATTTCTGGGCGGCAGTATTTCATCCAAAGCCCTAAGCATAAAATGCCGACGGAGAGGAAGGCGATGTAGTAGAGTATGACCAGGGCTGAGATCAAGGAAAGTGCCTTGTACTCTGTCCATCCTGGCTCATCACAGTCGATTGAACTGACCATTGTCAGGTTCGTCTTGCTCTGTTTAATAGTGCTCCTGAGTTTGCCAATCATGCGGAACACGCGGGTTTTTGCGTCGCAGACGTCGGCATTGTCGCCTATGACTGTGATGGTAGTGACTCTTTGGCATTCATCTGACATATCTGGATGAGTGATCATAATGAAGTCGGGATCGTTTAATGATACATCGTGTTCTGACTTTCCAAATGTCGAGATATCGGCTGGTAGTTCTCCTACCGTCGCGCTTATTTTGGGCAAACTGGTGATAATGACAGAGGGGACGCCATTCTTCTCTTCAAGACTCTGCTCTGTCTGTATATGCACGGTCGACGTTTGAGTAACAGTCTGATCGCAGGTCTTTCGTTGCACATCTTTCAAAACAGAGCGAAGAGTCCGGGCGCGTAGGAAAGAGAGGATTCCAACAATGAAGATAGCATGGCCCAAGATCAAAAGCGTGAAGAGGGTGCCCTGCTGTATACCATTAAGGGTGGCCAAGTCCACCTATATAAAAAAACAGTCAGCTATTTCATCCCGATCTCAAATGATCAGCTGTATAGACTTACCACGTTCAGCCCTGTGCCTGTCATAGCACTGAAACTCATGAATAACGCGTCAGCATAGTGGAGATCATGGATCGGCGTCGCAGTCGTGTACAATATGACACTGCCGATCGTAGACATGAAGATGAAATATGCATAATGGACAGTAAGGGAACCCAATCCCCGTAGAGAAGCCATGATCGGCATACTCAACTGGGAGTCGTCGTAAGCATAGTGAGCAGGTCTAGAGAAGGGATATCCAAATCAATATAAGAATCAGAGCTGCTCCCTGTTTGTGCAATTGGGCCTCCCACGTTCTATACTGGGCACCCTTCCTGCAAGGAATGCTGGCGCGGTATTTTCTGGCACGGTCTGGTCCTCCCCTGGCATCTCCTTTTCGGAGATAATAGCTGGGCACATTACTTGTTGCATCAGGCTCCATCAATTTCAAAATGGCGGGTAACACAAATAAACGCAAGGCTAAATGGGCTCTAAGGGACCGACCCGCCAGATTCTGCAGACGCAAGGCTCAGGTATGTGGGCTTCAGCTATTCGGAATTCTCCGAAATCCAACGGTCTGGACAGATGCCGATTGATGAATACCTTCTGGTCATGTTGATGCATGTCATGTGTCAATTGGTTGTGGTAAATATCGGAAATATGTATAGACCATGAGTTGCTGCAACATGACTTGGCACTCCATGCATGTTCGCCATGTCCTGACCTCAATGCCCAGCCCTCCTGATCTTGTCATTCTTGAAGTAATCTCTCGGAAGACCGGCTGATAAACTTGGCGGAATCCCTAGTTTAATTGATCTGTGTATCTGGGAGCAACACCCCCCCTGCATATGATCTAGTTTGATATTGAACGCTCGGTCCAACCAGCACAGCCATTCTTTTTCTCACTATGAATATCAATTGGCTACAGATACACCTTATATCAGCCCCTACCACGACACCGTGGCTAGTTGATAGGTCTGCATGTGCCCAAGGCGGCTGACCAAAGTGCAGCGGAAATCCATGATATCCGATATCAAACCTTGATTTTTCAAGTATACTACTGTACATTATAGACTGCAGCTAGTTTGGCCTAGACTAGAATACCCCCGAAAGATGTATCAACGAGGCGATGCACTGGCCATGATATCCACAATTCTTATCGGTCTGAAGAATGAACAGGTTATGCAGGAAAAAGTTGTGGCGTAGACGGCTCCAAACTTCATCCCTTGAAGGGAGACTGTGGAACTCTTCAAACAAGTTCGAGTATATTCCATCTACCAGATATAAAGATACCGGGGAGTCCGCATGTTGGCAAACGATGACATGTCAGGAATGCTCTCCCTTTTTTTTACTGGTTTTCTTCACTCGTAGGACCCATCATGACTATACAGCCCACTTCAGATACAACGGTTACAGTACAGCATCACTTGAGCGGCGTTCTACTCAAGGGATGTCGTGACCAAGCATAGCTCTACGGCGGATGAAATAAGAAGGTCCTAAATGCCCGTGACAAGACTACTGACAAGCTCCGTAATCAAAGATGATCGCCCACGAGATGTAACCTGGCTCTAATTGAGGTATAATGCGGTTTCGACATGGCGAAATCCAGCCAAAGTCCAGGAGCTTGAGCATTGGTGTTTGTTTTCCGTCTTGCTCAGTGAAGTATAACCAAGAATAAATTTCGAAATAGTCCTTTGCGTGCACGAGCTAAGTAAATCGCATGCTTGCTGGTATATTAGGAATTGTCGTGGGGGGAGAAGAGCTGGAGATATTTGCAACTGATTTTCGAGTGCAGGAGGCAAGATTGTCGCATGAAAGCCGTCCACGGGAGGGATAAAAGTGGTTGATGTATCAGTTGACTTGCTCCAAAGAAGGAGTTTCAACACGGTTCCAAGTGCCCGGGGAAAGAGAGTCGTATGAGGCTCATTCACATAGGACGGTAGACAGTTAATGGGAATGACAGTGGCGGGCATGGAAACTGGTATACTTGAAGAAGAACAATGTTGAGGTTTGTAAGGAGAACGGTTTAGGAGTGGAAAGGAGATAGAAAAAGAAAGAGGTAGTGGCTATTTATGTATAGCGTAGGACATGGGAGACCTCCACCAGTGGGTACACATCGGTGGCTTAAGTGGCCATCCCACTTGAGTACCAAATACACTACAACACTCGAAGAACAATCTTCCAAATTGTAAAAGGAGGTTCAATTGCTAAAACTAAACAGCCTAGCCTCGCTCATTCAAATAACCTCGTAACTCCAGGGTATCACATTGCGCATTAAAGGAGAAAAAAGCCCATCAGAAAACAAAATCATAGGGCGAAATCGCTCTCACCCTCACGTCCAGAGAGAGGCAGACCAGCAAGATCCGGACCAGGCACATCGTCAATATCATCAGAAGTCTCTTCCTCAGGAGCACTGCCGATAGCAGAACTAACCATCTTACTAGTTCGAGCCACCTGTGCAAGACCACTCTGCCTCCTGGGAGCCCTAGGTTTCTTGTCCTTGGCTCCCTTGGGACGACCACCCTTACGACTAACGTTGCCCATAGTGGGAGGAATGCCCGCGCGCTTGACCAGTCCCGGGGTAGCCTCCCCGTTCATAATCCTGAAGATGGCTCGCCACTTGGCGGGGGTGTCGCGCTGGGGTGCGGTCAAGTCGCATTCTATGCCGTTAATCTCGACTATGCCCAGGGTTTCGATGCGGCTATCGCCCCAGAACCAGGTCTTATCCTTTGCAATGCGGGTGTCGACGCCCTCGGAGAAGTTGCGGCCGTGCATGACGCCGCCGAGGTCGTAGCCGAATTCGCGTCTATTGAAGAGCAGGTCGGCGGCGAGTGGCTCGTAGCAGCGGCCGAGGATCATGTGCTGGCTGATGGTGACACTAGGGGTCTTGTCTCCGGCGATGCGGTACCAGGGACCATAGGCGGACATGCCGACCTGGCGGAAGGTCGCGGTTGCTTCTTCGTTGGTCATTTGCTGGAGAGGGAATCTGCTGAGGGGCTCGAAGTCGTTCTTGGTTCGGTTTGGGTTTGTTGTGTATGTTTTGCCGGTGATGAGTACCGAGTACTTGCTGGCAAGATTGGGAGAGGTTGGGTCATCGATGCAGTCCGTAAGAACGAGGGTGATGCTTTCAATTACCATAACATCATTCAACTGAACGACCTTGCCATCCAGCAGATCCTCAAACTTGTAGCGGAGAGGCTTGAGGCGAACAGTATCATGCACGGCGAGTAGCTCGGCACCGATCCAAACTCCCTTGCAGCTGATTTCCATGGTTGGCCAGATGCCTTTGACATGAAATTTGTGTACCACACTCCAGGAAGACATGACGGTCAGGGCGTTCTCAGTCGAAGGATGGAGCTCATCGCGGGATTGACCTTCCAGGTAAAGCTGCCAAGTATTCAATGGCTTGATACATCGGAGCGGAATGTACTTGGATTGAACGGAGTATGACTTGTCGAGGCCAACAGGGTCGGGAAGAAGCTCAATGCGGAATCCGTGGTCACTCAATTCTTCAGTGGTGTAAGAGTTCTCAGCAATATCCAGCATGTGAATTTCGGTCTCGGGAACTTGAGTCACCACACCAGCACGCCAGTTAGGCACATGCCAGCGGTTGTGACTGTCGCGGATTTCAAGGTGACCATTTTCAGGATTGCGAAGGAGACTCGAGCTATCCTCCAGGTCCCAAACACAAAGCACGAGCTCACCACAGCGAGGAACGAAGGCTGGGTCGAGAACAAGCTTGTTGAAATAATCGGAAAGTAACTCCTCAGATAGAGCCCAATCAAAGTTCAAAGGTTGCTTATTAGGTTCATCGATGGTGCCCTTGGCCTTCAGCTTTCGTATGTAGTCACGCCAGTAATCAGGATTCTTGTCGTCAGTGGGGCGACCAGGACCACGAAGACCAGGACCGCGAACTGATTCCATGTTAGCGACTGATCAGTGTGCAAGCCATGGATATCAGAGTATAGAACTCACCAGGTCGAGCTGCAGCCGGTTTGGCAGTTGCTTTAGTGCCTCCCATTCTGCTGCAGGGCTTGCACTCGCACTCGCTCAGCTTGCCCTGAGCGAGGGCAAGAAAGTGAGCAAAAAAAGTTGCCTGAGACTGAAAGTACTGTCCGCTGGGATGTCCGAAGAGGAAGGAGTCACGCTGGAGGTGAAGTTGTTAGCTGATGAATGCATGTAGGAGCAAGCGAACATACTCACCATCGAGGGGTTGGTACCGCGGGGCCTGTCAAAGAGGGCATAACCGTCAGGCAACTCGGCGATAATGCAATCGTCTCCTGCCCACGTCGTTTGTCAGTCCAGATGGATCAAGAAAGAGCAGAGCGCGTCGCAAAAATGCGTCTTCCCATGTGTTCAACCCTATCACCAAACACGATAATGGGAACATAACATCTGGGTAAACTTACCTTCAACGTAGCTGCCCTGGGATTTGAGCCAGTTCTCTGCAAGCAGTTGTCTCCAGCGTGTATCGTCGCGTTGATTGTACGGGAACGAAGGCCAGGTGTTGATGTCACCGTCACTTTGGAAACCGTTCATTGAGATGACGACCTTGGAGGCATCCCCATCACTGTCGGAGTCCACCATGGTGCAATTGAAGTGCTCAAGACTTGCGTAAACAAGATACAAAGAAAGGGACTAATCGGACAGAAAACGCGATGCTTATCGATAAGTAAACTGCTGGGGTTTCTGGGCGGTGTGGATATATGCATTAGGCGGTGTATTGATATCTACATCAAAGGACTTTTGTATCAGCGTGAAGCTGGCTTTTCTATAGTATATCCAGGTTAATATTCTGCATTGCAGTACAACGGTCAAGATAGAATCAAGAGCCCCTTAGAAAAGTGTTTCCCAGACAAGACCTCTCCAGAAGTATGTAGAAAGCTTCATTTTTGCTCAAGCTGGAGTCAACTGGCAGTCCCCTCAACAACAGCCTCAACAACCTCAGAACCAGAATCTTCTTCCTGATAGGGAGGAGGAGCGATTTCACCTTCAGCTCCACTAGCCCAAACCTTCTGAAGCTCACTATCGATATCATCACGACGCTGCTTCCACTCATCAACCTTATCCAAACGCTTGCGAAGCTCCTGCAATTCCTTCTCAACACCCAACTTCTCCTTCTCAGTTCCAATCCTCTCAAATTCCCAGGCCTCCCCTTCAGCACCAAGGCCAAGAGTCAGGTTGTAGGTATGATACTTCTTCAACGACGCCCGCGTCGAGATGGTAATCAATGTAATTCCCCGCTCCTTTGCTCGCTCGTATAGCAAACCCTCGACATCGGAGGAAACGGCTGAGGTTCCCTCATCCATGAATGCATACCGTGGCTCGTGGTAGAACAGCCGGGCCATGCCCATGCGTTGCTTCTCTCCACCGCTGAGCACGTCTTTCCATTCTTTGCGCGCATCCCAGCCGCCTTCGCGTTGTGGTAGGTAGCCGAGATGGGCGTCGTCGAGAATCTTCTGGAGTGCTGCGTCTGATTCACCGGCTTCGCGCATGTCGATCTCGGTGTGGGGGTAGATTACTTGGTCGCGGAGGGTGCCGACGCTGAGGTAGGGTCGTTGAGGGAGGAACATTATGCCGTCTAGGCCGAAGCCTCGGGGACGGCTAACGAGTCCGCGGTAGACGGGCCATAGACCTGCTACGATGCGTGGGATGGCAGATTTGCCGACGCCATTCGGGCCAGAGATTAGGAGGTGGTCGCCTGAGTGGACGATGAAGGAGAGTGATTCGATTAGTTCGTCGCCGCCCATTGGATAGAGGGATGGGGCGACTATCGGGACCTGCTCCAGGCGGATCCCGTCGAAGCCGTTGTGAGTTGTGCCTTGTGAATCGGCGAGGGAGTATAGTTCAGGGTGTGAGCCGCGAGGGGTGTAGTAAGCATTGGCGTGGACTCTGTGTAGGGTGGCGATGAGGCCATAGACACGGGATGTGTAGCCGGCCAGTTCTGAGATGTCCTTGATACTGTACATCATGCGGCCTCCGGCGTCGGCTAAGGAAAGCATGAGACGCTTGTTGGTGATAAAGTCCTTCATGCGGCCACGCTCGCGACCAAAGCCTTCCGGTACATCAGCCAGCTCGGTTGCACCGCCAGTGCCACCCCAGGCTGGGAGGAAGACGGGCAAGGAGGTAACCAGATAACCGAATGCAGACCAGGAGTACTTAAGAATCATGTCTTCGAGCATATTGTAGCGAATCTTGAGACTGTAGATTCCCTCCATCCATCGTTGCAGATCCTTGAAGCTTCTGACCAGGAAGACACGCTCGATATCAGCTCCACCATAGAACGAGATTTCCTCGGCATTGGCAAGGAGCCTGGAGTGCAGACCTCGGAAGTCTCCTTCCTTCTTGCCCTCGACTGCCTTGAGCTTTCCGAACGGCGGTGATAGCTTCCGGAGTACCACGGCTGTGCTGAAGTATCCAGCCAAGATACCGCTCAATGCTAGAGGACCAAGTGAGCGATACAGTTGGTAGTTGAATACAAAGAGATCCACCAATGGCTTGCCCATTGAAGAGTACAATGAAGCGGCAGCCGTACAGAACAGGGTGAGATCTTGTGTGATGAATTGATCGGGACCTTGGCCAATCCCACCGTCTAAGTTCATCAATTTGTAGTAATTGTTATTATCAGTCAGGTATAGGTCGTGGATATACCTTGTCAACCGAGTGCGGAAGGCAATGGATACCTTCGATTGGAGGAACTTGATCATGGCGTTTGTGTACGAAGCAAGAGTTCCAATACCACACCATTTGAAGATACCCCAAAGGAAAGCTTTGCCTTTGCCGGCGACAAGGTCCCTCACAATCTCACCATCAAGCCGTGCAATCAACAAGGAGAGATATGTTCGCATCAGAAGAAATAGCCCGTGGCTCATCAACAGCCCGGTTTCCTTGCTCCCCCATCTTGGGACCATAATACTTCCAAGACTCAGAAACTGATGTAGGAATGCCAGGTTTAACCCTGGTTTCGTTGTAGGCGGAGGTATCTGACTCGTCGAACCGTCATCTTTACTACGGGCAGATGCCGGAGGGTTGAGAAATAGGCGTCGATGAGCATCGAATGTAGTCGGTTTAGTCGGATGGATCAAGACCTTGGAGGTCAGGGTGCCCTTGTATGGCACATAGATCGTACGGGAACCATCTTTACCGCGTATACCCGAGTTTCGACGTAGTAGACGGCGACCCTGGGCTCGTTCCTTTGCGCGCCTTCGGAACCATTTGTAGCCTCCATACCCTGAGCTGATAATCGAGAGCAGCAGGGCTATTGTTGCAATCAAGCGCGTTGTCTGGGATGTTCGGCGGAACCTGGATCGTATTACATCGGAGTAATGTTGATACAGCGCTAGAAGGGGATCTTCTGGACGCCGTAGTGTTGATTGGACGGCCATATTCCAGGAAGTGACGCGAAATGGGCGATACTTCCTAGCCTTGACTGACAGTCATGTAGAGGTGAAAAGGAAAGCAGGACCTGGGGAATGTGAGGGAATACATCATTGCATGTGAACCTCGGATGCGGAGAACCTCACGTGGGGAAGCTGACTGTACAGCCCTGGAGTGAGGCAAGACAACGCAAGGCAGGCAACTTATGCTTGTTAATTATAGATGAAGGGACCATGCGCAAACTAGTATCTCACGTGGGGATATCCTGGATGTTACCATGTTATGATTAGGAACAATTAGGAACTCAATAGGAACCAGACAGGGAGTAATAGGGAGGAAACAGTACAACTGTAGTGAATACATAGTGCCATATATTCCCTATTCCCTATTCCCTATTGCCAAAGACAAAGACGAAAAGAAACAGTACCGTGGTAACCTGGAGCCAACAATATAGTCAACAGTCCAACAAAAACCAACTATAACGCAGTTCTACTTGCACGGACAAATCCCGAGTTGAAACAGGCCATAGCTCCCTAAAAAAAAAGGGGCATGGAGTTATCCGATCCAATCTGTTTTGGTCCAGACCCATGAAATGAGCGTAGCCGCTGAGGGCTTGAGTAGCGTGTGAAATGGGCCAGTTAGCGTCGAAAAAAGGAATTAAACAAGACTCGAGTCACTTTCCCCCGTTCTCACACCGTACACGTGACATCCCCGACTCCTCTCTCCTCTTCCCTATCCCTATTGACTGCATTTGCTCTCCCCTGCTTTCTTGCCCTTGGCTTATTGCAACATAGTGGTGTTGGCTGACGGCCAAAGCGGTGCCACATTTGCTCCCCCAAGGCGCTTGCTTACCAGAACAACCCCCATAGCCGCGATCGACCCGTGAGCGTTCCAGCATTGCTTCAGGTCTTTTGAATTGCTCGTCACTTTGACACTGCTTTCTGTTCACTCGTGTCATTCACCCTGACACGGCCGTTTTCGATGAGTGGAGAGAGCACGGGGCGAGATATCTCACCCTCAGCTCCGGAGTCCACAGACAAAGCAACCATGGCCACCAACAATCCTGGCTCAGCCAGTAAGTGATTTGCGCATGCAATGCAATCTGTGTTTCGAGAGCAATAATGACTGACATATTTCGCCACCATAGACCCTGAGTCCTCGGAGCAGGCTCGGTCCCCCAATGCGACCGAGACGCAGGACACAACTGCTGTCGCATCTTCTGGCCCAACCCCGTCCGCTGCAGCTTCCATTGCTCCGACTGGCGAGGCCGCAGAGACCCCCAAGAAACGTCTGTTGTCGATCCCGATCCCTTCGCGACGATCCTCCAAAAACAACAAGCAGAACCCCTCGGAGAAGACCGAAGAAGCGCAAGATGAGGCTCAGCCTACTCGCAGAAGTTCGAAAGTGAGCATTCTGCGTGCAAAGAGAGATCCAAGTCGGGCTAGTAGTCGTCGGTCGCGCCGGACTCAGGACGTGGCGAACGGCGAGGAGAGCAAAGCGGCCGCTACGCCCGAAAGCACTTCGAAGCCCCAGCCCAAGAAGGGCCCATCCAAGCTTTTGGCTTTCCTGGGCTGCTGCTCTTCAGCGGATGTTGATACCGACGACACCATCGTGCCCCCCAAGAAAACGAACAGGCAGCAACCGGCCTCGAACCGACTTCCCACCCCCGACAAGGCGGACGCTCACACCGGTGACTCTAGCACTGCGGAATCGAGGGAGCCATATTTCGACGAGAAGGCGCACTCGACCGTCAGTGCGGATCAGCCTGGCGAAGAAGAGCGCAACGTCAATGCGACCGCGACTGGGGCACAGAGCGAGGGTCCTTCTGCAGCCGTCCAATCTGAAGCTTCTGGTCAAAACAAGAAACCCGAAGTGTCTGCGCCTGTGGAGACTGCAGATGCAAATGGGTCAGTAGATGAAAGTAAGCCAGAGGAATCCACTCAGGCTTTGGAAGCGCAAACAAAGTCCGTTGAGGAGCCTGCTCCTTCAACCGCCCCCAAGAAATCTCTCGACGAGGATCAATCAGAGACTGTCAACCAAGCGGACATTGTGACACAAGCCCCGATGGTGCTGCCTCCTCCCCCGCCAGTTCCTGCTCCTCCTGCTCGGGCTGTATCAGAGGATGGGATGCGTCCGTTACTTCCTGCACCTCTACCTCATCTCAGCGGCCGAAAGTGTCTTGTTCTCGATCTAGATGAAACGCTTGTTCACAGTAGCTTCAAGGTAAGCGTTTGCGTATCTGACATCTCACGTACCCCCGCTAACCCACTGTCAGGTTCTCGAGCGTGCCGACTTCACCATTCCCGTAGAGATTGAAGGACAATACCACAACATCTATGTCATCAAGCGGCCAGGCGTGGATCAATTCATGAAGCGTGTTGGTGAGCTGTACGAAGTAGTGGTCTTCACGGCCTCTGTATCAAAGGTAAGATCATTGTCCCTTGTCTTGGAGCCCACACTAACTTTGTATAGTATGGTGATCCTTTGCTAGACCAACTGGATATTCACAACGTGGTTCACCACCGCCTCTTCCGAGAGAGTTGCTACAACCACCAGGGAAACTACGTCAAGGTGAGTGTCTATTTACATATCAACATTGACATACCTAACAACCATTAGGACCTTTCACAAGTCGGTCGTGACTTGAAGGAGACGATCATCATCGATAACTCCCCCACGTCTTACATCTTCCACCCTGAGCATGCGATTCCCATCAGTAGCTGGTTCTCTGACGCTCACGACAACGAGTTGCTTGACCTCATCCCGGTTCTCGAGGATCTTGCTGGGGTGCAAGTCCAAGATGTCAGCATGGTCCTGGACTGTACCTTGTAAATTCCTCGGATCTTTCTTACGCCTGAGATTCCCATTTTGAGCGAGTTGTTTTCTTTTCTGCGCGAGAAAAGCCCTTCCTTTTGCATTCCTCCCACTGCCATTGACGGGTAGTCACCCTGTTCTCCTACTGCCGATTTGATTCCCCTCTCGACGATGACCATCCCCAATGGAACTGGTATTCTCCTGGGTCACGGCTCGTCTGCATCTGTTGTCGTTGGATAGCCCGACCTGCCCATCGACCATTTGCATTGCGATTTGTTTTATCTGACCATGCTCCGAGCGAGCTTCATTCCCCCATTGTTTTCTTTCCTTGTGCTTTATCACCACATGCCCAGATCTTTCCTTGTCTTTGTATCCCCCTTCCAACAAGTCCGCTTTTCATGCATTCCGCAGGCGTCTCTTGGTTCTCATGTCCTCGCTGTATCCCCTCTATGTTTCCCCTTCTCTTCTTTCCTTTTCTGTCTCGCTACACAGCCCTACTGGTTTGATCTCAGCGCAATACACGGGCGTGCATTCTGCGTTGACGTTCTTGCCATCCCCCTAGTCAGCATCAACAGTGTCTAATAATCCCTTTACGCTGCCATTTGATTTTCCTGTACATGTCACGACGTAGGTCGGAAGAGTAGACCAAATTGTGTTAGAGTAGAAATGAAATTTATCTCGGACCATTCCGCATTGAGCACTGCCGCATTGAGCGATGATGTAGTCAAAAGTTTTAGTTCCTGAACATCATTTACACAACAACTTCGATAAATCATCCCAACTATTCCAGTGACTTCACTCACAACTTGCAGTCGCGAAGATCTCCTCGAGAAAGCAAAAAGCTCCCCGCACTCCGACCGCCCACTCCGAACATCCCACTTTCCACCATGAAGAACAAAGAAGGCTGGGACGGCAAAATGAGGGTCGAACCCAAGGCTGTGATCACGAATCCAGAGGCCCTGGAGGACTCTGACTACTCGGATCCTGATGCACCGCCAGTGGACGAGATCCAGGCTGATGAAGGTACCCTCCCCGAAGATTTACTTGCTCGGCGCGCAACCACCGCCGGAGAATCGATGGACTAACAGCTTTCCAGATCTCTTGGCCGATGAAGACCCGAACGCAGAGGTGAGTGCAGCATTAAATAGGGCTATTCCTTCTCGGAGCTGCTCGACTGCACAAGGCCACCACGACCTGATTGCTAATCGCGATTCTGTTAGGATATCGACCTCGTTCACTGCAAAATCCAGTCGATCCCCGCTCTGAAATTGGATCGGTTTCCTAAACTCCAGGTATGCACCCTTATCGAGCTATACAGATGGTCCCAGCCAGCGAAATGAACCAGTGGCACCATCTACGCCGGCGCACGACGCGCGCGCCGTACCAAGAAAGCTTTGAGCATAGCATATGGCTAATACGTGGATGGTTTCATAGCGACTATGCATGCGCCAAAACCAAATAACACGCATCGAATTCCCGTCCAACGTCGCTGCCAGCTTGACAGAGCTCGATCTCTACGATAACCTAATTTCGCATCTGAAGGGTCTGGATGAGTTCCATGATCTGACAAGCTTGGATCTGAGCTTCAATAAGATCAAGCATATTAAGAATATCTCGCATCTCAAGAAATTGACGGAGATTTTCTTTGTGCAGAATAAAATTGGCAAAATTGAAGGTTTGGACGGTCTGACTGGGATTACGAATTTGGAGTTGGGTGGGAATAAGATTCGGGTTCGTATTATACACTCTTGGCGATTGAGAGAAGAGAGGAGAAAGGGAGAGCATATAGTAGGTATATACTGACTGCTCATGTAGGAACTGGAGAACTTGGAAACCTTGACGGCGTTGACACAACTCTGGGTTGGAAAGAACAAGATCGCCGAGATGAAAGTGTGTCATTGAACGCCTCCCCTGAACATGGAAAAAGAATCATATACTGACATACGTCCAGAACCTAGACGCCCTCTCCAACCTTAAAATCATCTCCATTCAATCCAACCGCCTGACCCAAATCACAGGCCTCTCCTCCCTCAAGAACCTCGAAGAAATATACCTCTCCCACAACGCCATTACCGACCTATCAGGCCTGGAACAAAACGAGAACCTGCGCGTGCTAGACTTCTCCAACAACCAAGTCTCTCACTTGGAACACCTTTCCACGCTAAAGAATCTCGAAGAACTATGGGGCTCTAATAACCAGCTCGCGAGCTTTGAAGAGGTCGAGCGTGAGCTGAAGGACAAGGAGCACCTTGAGACCGTTTACTTCGAGGGTAATCCGTTGCAGATGAAGGGTCCTGCTGTTTATCGGAATAAGGTGCGCTTGGCGCTGCCTCAGATTAAGCAGATAGATGCTAGTAAGTTTTTCTTTTGATTGGGGGGGTTTTTTTTGCTAACTTTGTGTTTCTGTGCAGCTTTTGTCAAGATCTGAGACTTATATCCTTGTGGTGTATTGACTGTTTGTTATAAGTTCCTCTTGACGTGTCCTGTCCTGTCTTGTCTCATCTACTTGGCCTTGACTTGTGGCTCTGATATCCTCTGTTCTATGGTCCAGTGCGTGGATCAAATTTTGAAATGAGAAATGAATCTTGGAATGAATTCTTAAAGGATGTACGAAATAGGAGTAGTGCATGTTGCAAAGTGGTGTATAGAACTTCCAGTATGGGTGTATGTCTAGCCGTCTCTGTGAAGCTCCCTCGTCCTTTCTATGGATGTCTACCAGATCTTTCGAGTCGGGACTTCTAGACATGGTCTAACCCTTCAGAACTCTCCTTGTGTTCTATACTGGAATTGTTTGCCTATCATTGAAGGTGCTCCCGGGAATGTTTGTCAACCTTTCATGGCCTTATTAAAAGCGATTACGGCCGTGGCCATCTTCTTTCCATTTCTTTTTCCGACCCTCCTCAATCCCCTGTGCTTTTGTGTTTCTCTCTATCAGCCACACCCACGCCCATGGACGTTTCAAGTTCAAGGGTATGTCTCTCGGTATGTCTCTCCTCGTGAAACTTCATCGTCACTAACACAAATTTGATAATCGCAGAAAATGTTCTCCCATCTATAGTGGCTTCAACGGATAGCCCTTCGTCTAGCCGTATCCTGTGGTGCATCCGTTATTTCTACGGTGCTATCAAGCAGTGACAGAATGGAGAGCAGTGCGGTAAAGCCTTCAAGGTCTTCTGTGTATTCGACGCCTCGAGCGTCGCATCTTTGCTATGGCTGCGCTGGCAAGATGGGTTGTAACCAGGTGAGCACCATCGCACGCGAACCGTTCCAAAAAGACAGTATTCGGCCTTGTGCACATGAGAAAGAGCCATTTGCCTCGAGGGTGGTTCTTGGGGCATATAAGGTGGGCTCAGGAAGGACGTGTATTGGTACATGCAGCCCAATAGTTCGCTGAACCCGTCATGGGTTAAGTCCTCATGGACGGCCAAATTATGCGATTGTGAACAAGGCCAGACGAAAGCAATAAAAAGTGAGTGTTGGCAATTCAAATTTAAATAAAATAATATGCCAGAGGTCGGATTTGAGCTATGGAGTGCACAAGGCTCCAAAAGTAAAGACAAATTTCCTATTTGGGAAATGGGTATGATATCAACGCAGAAAAGGGCTCCTACCTCACCAAGATGTCCCTGTTGTGTAACTGCACCCAGTTCCGAATTTGGCGGAAGAGTCTTCCCCCTCCACGCTGGAACAGAATAGCCACTAAGTTGGTGCTAATCTCTCTCCCAAAGTGGGCATCACGCCCACCCACGGAGAACGCAGGCTGCACTAACGGCCCTGGAAAGCCGCCGGTCTTGGGTCGAGGGAACCCAGGAACGGGGGACACCTCTTTTTTTCTTTTGCTGTGAGGGGCCTTTCTTCTCTGGTCTTTTGTCTCCTTTAGATGTCTGCCATGGGCTTGTCATCTTGGGAACCACCATCAAAGTCCATATCCGAGGCTCAGTATCCAAGTCGGGGAACTCATTGTAACTCTCCAAACTCCTCATACTCCTTCCTCTTCTCTGTCGAATCCCCAAGTCCCTTCTGGTCCTCTTCTTCCTTGAACCCCTCCTTCCAAAGATCCATCAAACTCATCGCCCCCATCCATCGATTCTCCTCCTGGATGTTCTCCTTAACTCCAACTCCAATATGATACTTCTTGCTCGGCAAGCAATCCGCCAACTCCCGCACAGGCACGCCCTCACGGATTAAATCCTTGTACATCGGACTTGTCTTGTGCATATTATATGTTGAGTAGAAGGGATTGCGACTGATGTTGGAGGGATGATTATGGCGCGAGGATTGGATTTGGATAATTATTGAGGGTGGATCATCCGGTGAGCTGTTTGATCTGGATTTGAGTGGGTTGGCGTGTTTATTTGATTGTGGGATTGGCGTTGAGCCTGGTGGTAGTGGAATTGTTACGGGTGATGAGTCGATTGCGCGCTCTGCTGCTTCCGCGTTTTCGAAGATTGCCAGCATTGGCCGGTGCCGGTTTGGGGAGTCATTTGTTGTGTCGTACTGTATTGGCATGTCGGTTAGGTTTGGTTCAATGCTTTGCACTGTTGGGGATCGCATTGGAGTGTACCTTGAGGTTTCGGTATGACACAATTTCACCGTGCTTCTGGAGGGCCTTCAGGACTAATTTGCTTTCTGCTATATTCCTTGGCGTCGGCCATGCTGTGATGTGTACTTGCGATGCTTGTCGCACCGCGGCTGAGGGAAACATTGTGGAGATTGAGGTTTGGATGTTGGAGAGAGCGGCGGTTGGAGAAAAATGGCCGGAGATCGGCAAGTCTTGGCACTCAGCATATAGATCTATGAATCAGTTACTCTACTATCCTTTCTACTAGTTACAAATTCAAGGTGGAAAAAGCGCTGAACTGTTTTTATTCATTTATGCTATCAAACTCATTATCCTTGTCCTTTCTTCGGACACCGGATATCCTCCGTCTCTAAACAGCCAAGGCTTAGAAGATAGGAATGCCGAGACCATACTAGAAATCCAGTTAGTAAACGCAACAAACCATGAATTGAAGAAAAACTCACAGCCATAGGGTCATTGAACCGAAGGCCCTTGTCAAGAGCACTGATAGCCTCAATCTCAGAACCCTCAAGATCAAAGTCGGTAACCTGCAAGTTCTGCGCAAGACGAGTAGGATCATTACTCTTAGGAATGACAGCAATCTTACGCTGCGTAGCCCAACGCAGCAGAATCTGCGCAGGGGTACGACCATGCTTCTCGGAAATACCCTTGATAGTAGCATGCTCAAACAGCAACGGCGTATCCTGCGCATGCTTAAGGTTCAACTCCAAGAAACTCAACGGCCCAAAGGACGAGTAGGCAGTAACAGCAAGACCCTCGCTCTGCGCAAAGTCCACCAAGCGCGTCTGCGTCAGGTAGGGGTGGTGCTCGATCTGCAAGGTCGCAGGTCGGACACGCGCATACCGCAGCAGATCCATCAGCAGCTGTACGCTGAAGTTGCTCACTCCAATGCTGCGCGCGAGCTTCTTGTCAACGAGTGACTCCATTGCGGCCCAGGTCTCATGGATGGGAGCGTTGGCTAGCTCGATCTTGCCGTCGGCGGTTGTCCAGCTGGGTGGGTAGCGCACGCTTGGGTCTAGGTACTTCAGTGCAATTGGGAAGTGCACGATGTACAGGTCGAAGTAGTCGACTCCCCAGTCTGCTAATTGCTTGCGGCAGATTGGTTCCACTTTGTCGCCTTCGTGGAAGCTGTTCCAGAGTTTGGAGACGATGAAGAGGTCTTCGCGCTTGACGAGGCCGTCTTTGATGGCGCGGGCTACGCCTTGGCCACATTCGACTTCGTTGCCGTAGTCTGGAACAGTCAGTCTATGTTGTTTCGTAATTTTGGAGCTTGGGGGGTTGTACCGCAGGCGCCGTCGAAGAGACGGTAGCCGGCCTTGATGGCGTTGTAGACTTGGTCGGCGCAAGTGTCATTGTTGACCTTCCAGAGACCGAAGCCCACAAGGGGCATCTCGTAGCCATTGTTGAGCTTGACGGTAGGGGCGACCATTGTGAATGTTTAGATTCTGGTCTGGTGTTAGCGATACTCGGTGCAGAAAATTGGAACAGTGACTGACTTGAGGGGTATATTCTGGAAAAGAAAACCCCCGCGGGGACAGGCTATTTATTATATTAAGCCACAATTCAGCAAAAGGTACAGGTCCAGGCTAAATGGCCGAATACAGTTCCAATAGCCTCTTTGCCAGGCCCCACTGGTATACCGGCTAAACACGGCGCTTCACTTTAGCCGGCAAAAATATACATGACATATTCCATGGATAAGGTAATAGAGAAATGAATTGAAATAAATATATTGAATCCTTCAACTCCCCGTACTCCAGTGCTTCTCCACAAACAAGCTCACAAAAAAAAATGAAGGCAGAAAAATACAAAAGTCACAGAGATGGAATCACAGACCACTGCCAGAATGATTATCATTACCACTAATATTTTGTTAAGGTTTCATTATACCGTATCCACCGTAGTATTATCACCATAGCCGTTCGCATGATCGGGGCCTGCCCCATGCATGCCGGAGCCATTGGGCATGCGCCCGACAAGCTTATCCATCAAGTCTTCAGACGGCAAAAGCTGATCGAAGTGATGAGGTTGCTGCGACTCCCGCGAGACAGACGCATGGTGCTCTGGTTGGAAAGGAAGGTGGTGATAGCTGCCTGTGCCGACATCGCCGGGAATAGAGGCGGAGTGCGTGGCCCACGAGGGCTGGCCGTGGCTCAGGTCGTCGAGGGATTGCGGGTTTGATCCGAAGAAGCCGTTGAGCACGCTGTTGCTGTCGTGCATGTTCACGCTGTGCTGTTGGGATGGCACGTAGTGTGAGGTGTCGTGGCCCATTGTGTAGCCCATGCTTGGGTGGGAGAGGGGAAGGTCGTGCACGTTTAGCATCACTGGTGCGCTGCTGGATGAGTGCAGACTTGTTGATGGGGCTGTTTCCGGTGCGAGGCTTGTTGAGAAGGAGTCTAGCACGGAGGTAACGGCTGTCTTGTCGTTCAGGCTGTCTTCAGCCTTGGTGATCGATGTCATAAAGTCGAGGTTGCCCGACGAATTAAATAGATTAGCCACATTGTCGTGGGATGGTTGATACATGGGCCATTGAGATTGAGACTGGCCCTGGTGATGGATGAGGTCCTGGGGATGAGGAGCCTGGTAGACGTTTTGGTGTGAGGGCTTGTTGAGAAGAATAGAGTCCAACGAGAGAGGGGGAAGATCGACTCCAGTTGCCGGTCTTGGGCTGTTGGTAGTAGTACGGTCCGGGGCAGGGATCAGTCGTCTCCATGTCGTAGTACCGACTTCACCTGGCCGGGTTTGACGGAACTTCCAGGCCAAGATGGCCATGCGCTTGCTCTCGTCACCCTGGTGACTCTGGTATTGGTTAGAAAGACGGCGAGCATTGGGGGAGGTGGCTCGAAGTTCCTGTACTGCAGACAGGGAGCGGAAGTAGCGACGGGTACGGGCATCAGTGTCTTGAGCGTCTTGAGGGGAGCCCGAGTCTTCAGCAATGCGCTTGTCTTGGGTCAAGTCTGTGAAAAGCTTGGCCCACCAAGATGATTCAAAGAGAGGCTTGACCTTGGTGGGGTGGGTCTTTGGTAGATCGTGGTAAGTCTCGAGGATCTTCTGACCCTCATTGTACATGTGCGTACTGCAAGTCCAGTTGTCCATCTGGCCAACTCCCAAAATGTCACCCGCAGTGGGGTGACCATAGTCGAGGTCAAGCTGGATACCAAGACGAGATCCCGCAGGGGGGAAGTCAGTCATGAGTTGGAGGCTCACTTCTAATAAGATGATATCGCAGTCGATTGGGTTGTGAATGTCATCCACCATGGTGGCCAGCTGCGGGAAAGATGACCGCCAGCCGGGGACATGCTCAAGAGGCATAGGAGGGGCCACAGGTTGGTGGAGATCTCCTTGGAGACGAGTGTATGCATGCAACGCCTTGTCAACGTTGTTGGCCTGTTGAGGGGCACTGACCCACATATCGAAGCTGAAGCCATGGACGGAGCTGGAAGGAGTCCCTTGCATGTTGGAGCCGAGAGTATAGTGTGGTGGAGGGAGGTCACCAGCGTAAGGCTGCATAGATCTCATGTGGTCATGGTAGGCGGGATGGGTTCCATAGTGGCTGGACGCCGAAGGGTGTTCCATCGAGGTTCTCCACTTGGGAGCAGGCGCTGAGCTATGCACACTCGATGATCGTTCCGTTGATGCCTCTCGGACAAGTCGTTCCCCTAATGAATGATATTAGTAAAGCTCGCGGGTCTGAATGTTTGGATCACTCACAATCAGGATCTCCCTTAAGGAAAGAGTCGAGAACCTGCAGGTGGCTAGAGACTTGCTTGCGAGTCCTCCGCTTGCCAGTCAACTTAAAGATGTACTCGGCAATGAGTTCGTTTCTTCCATAGGACTTGCCCCGTTCCGACCACTTTCTCCGACCCATCGGAGGGTTTGCTTCGAGGGCTATATGAAATTATTATGCTTGGTCTGTACAATATGGCCTTGCATCGACTTACCCTGCTGGAAAGCATCCTCTAGCTCATCAGACCATACTGGCTCCCCATCCTTGCCAGTATCACGGCGAGGACGTGCCCGATATTCGAGATACTTCTGGGACTTGAGGTAGCTGCTCCTTGCACGGCGAGACTGTGAGTTAGGCCCGACGGAATGAAGCCGACGAAGCTTGCGTTGATGCAAGCGAGCAGCTACCTGCTGCTGGTGCTGCTGCAGGCCATGTCCTGACAAGGGCTGCGGGGGAGCAGCGTGGGGATACTTGTATGCGAGCTGTTGAAGATGATCATCACGGCCAGCAACATCGTGTGCTAGATGGTCCGAGTATGACTGGACATTACCAGAGGTATTCTGGAGAGCACGTTCTGAATGAGCGCTCACAGGATCCAGGGACGGCTGGTTCTGAGGCACGAGGCACCCGGATTGCCAGTCAGTAGCCATGGGAGGGGACCAAGGACGGGCTTCTCGAAAAGAATGACAGATTCCAACGAGGAGGGGGGATTGAGAGGCACCGTCAAATGCTTACTGCCTGGCAAAGAACGCAGCTCAGTCACAAAACAGTGACCCAAGAACGCAAGTCTGGAAGAGAATGTAAGAACCTGGGAAAGAGAATGTGAGAGCGAGCAAGATGGTGTTTATAGGGAACCATATCTCCCCTTGGAGGGGGTCACTGTGTAGTCCCAGTAGCGACATTGTTCCGCCAGGTCTCTACGTCCCTCGAACGCCTATGCTCCTAGGCCAGGTCGTGGTCCTGGCTCGTGTCCAGGCACCGGAGAGCAAAGGACAACGGCAAGCCGTCCTTGCCGCAGCAAATCAGGAGTCAAGACAGGGCTCGATATGAAGGAAGTCGACCAGGAAGCAAGGGATGCTCAGCAGCACGACCCAGTGATGAGCGCTTCGGAGATTTTGAGCAGCACAAAGTGACCATGAAGATCAGTTGCTCGGACCAGTGTCAACAACAATTGTCAATAATCAGTGGCAATCATGGCGGCGTTGGAATGTTGGTGGTCCAACGACGTCGCCTGAAGGCGCGGGACAAGGAATGCTCTGCTACCATCGGGTACTACCCAAGGAATGAAGGCTTGGATGATCTCTGTTGATGGCGGTCCTGCGTACCATCAGTAAATTAAGCTAGACTAGCTTGAGATGACCCTGCAATCCAAGGTGAAGTCTAGTTGGGGAAGTGTGGGGATGGGAAGTGTTGGCACAGGGCGACAAGTAGGGTTATACACTAAGAGAACACTAAACTACGCCTTAGATGCACGAGGACGGGAGACTGCAGTGAACAATTGACAGGAACGTGTTCGGGGTATCTTTTTTACCTACGTGTAGTAGTATGCAAGTAATCGTACATTGGACATCAATCTGCAAGGGGTGGTGAGCAGCCAATCCTATGGCGCCGGTAGCAAAGGGAGAAAGGAGAGCTTCATGCCTCTTCCTCCTGCCCTCCTACGGTGAATTTCTTGCGGCCAGCGCCAGCAGTAAGCTGTTGGAGCTTGACCCTGTCCACCTGTTCCCCTACCTTCTTCTCTAAGCGCGCCAGTTCCTCTTCGGGATCGACAGCCTCCTCGTTGACGAATTCCAAAACCAATCTTCTGCCCAGGAGATGCGTGTTTTTCAACGCGTCCATGGCATTCTCCGCTTCGCGAGCGCTTACAAAGTCCGCAAAACCGAAACCACGAGCCGACCGATCGAATTTTTGAGGAACACGCACTGACCGAAGTTGTCCGTAGGCCCCGAACAGGGATCGAATATCTTTCTTGGTGGCCTGGAACGGCAAGTTCTTGATGATGATCTTGGTGCGGCGTGCAGCAACCTTCTTCGCTGTGTCTTCACGTCTCCGTTCTTCGGCAGCATCCTTGCCCTTGTGAGAGGCTCGGATGACAAGCTCGTGCTGATCCAACTTGTAACCGTTCATGGTTGCAAGAGCTGCCTGGGCTTGAGCCTTGGTCTTGAAGTCCGCGAAACCGAAACCCATGCTGAGAGTCTGTCCGGGTCGCTTGGGGTCGGGCTTGGTCTTGATGCGTCCAGCAACAAAGCCGTCCAGCGGCCGGAAGACTTCCAAGAACTTTTCGTTGGTGGTTATGAAGTTGAGGTTCTTTACAAAGAGGGTCGTGGTTTCTACGCTCTCGTCGGCCTCTGCAGCAAATGTGTCGGCAGTTGAGAATCCCTGATCCTTGCCCCGCAACTCTGGAGCAACAGGGCGTGGTGTCACTGACAAATCAAACAGGTCCTTGGGCGCCTTCTCAAGGAATAATATGGAATCACCCATCTTGCGATATGCCATCCCCTTGAAAGCCTTCTGGGCTTCATCAGGTCGGCCAAACTCCACAATAGCAATCGTACCACTAGGTGGCATCAGGAGGCGAATGATCGTGCCGTAAGGTTCGAACAAGCTCCTCAGCTCCTGGGAGCTGACGCCATATGAGAAGTTCTTGACTAGGATAGCCGTATTTCCACGCTCACGCTGCTTGAAAGCGTCGATGTTGACGCCGTTGTTGGCGAAGTAAGCTTTCGTTTCCTGAATAACATGCGTTTCAGCATGTGCTTGCTTGACAGCAGCATCAGACGATGTGGGATCCAGAAGATCTGATTTGGAGACTCCAAGCCTGCCAGCCACTGAAGACATTACAGCATCGGCCTGTGTCGGGTTAGCTTTTTTCTTTTTCTTTGGACGAAGTAGAAATATAACTCACGTTCATGTACAAGGAGTTCCAGCTAAAAGTAGATGACGAAGCGTTCATCTTCCGCTTTATCTCCTTCTGTTTCTTGAGAGGAAGCTTTGATAGCTCGTACTCGTCAATCTTGTAAGTCTTCTTCGCAGACGCTGGCAAGATGTGTAAAAGTCGACCCTGAAATTGCTTTCCATCAAGACCTTGGTAGGCCTGGACGGCAGCTTCGGCATCGGCATACTGTACATAAGCGAAACCTTTGCTGGTTGTGGAGCGGGTATCGAAAGCAACATGAATCTGTACCCAATTAGTATTCAATCTTCAAGGCATTGGTGTATGAATATATATCGATGAGTTGCTCTTCAGATAGTCAAGAAGCATCTACTAAAATCTCTTGTCCAGGTCACATCATCTGCTATTGCATCGGATGTCCCTATCGGGAAAATCATCATTTGAGCACTCGGCAAGCGGCTGAAAGCCAGCAAGCCTTGGGGAATGGGCAGGGTAGAAAGAGAGAGAAAGAAGAGCAAGAACTAACCTCGTCAATCTTTCCGAAGCGTTCAAACAGCGGCTGAAGATCCGCTTCGGTTGTGTCGTATGCAAGGTTCCTGAGGAACAGACGAGCGGAGTTCCGAATGAGATCCAGATTAGGATCTTCCGGAGCCGGGACCTCTGGCTCTGGAGCTTCTCGGATTTCGCTGTCAACGTCAATCATATTGGGCGCAATGTTCTCAACGGCCTCAGTGCGCGATTCACTGCGCACTGGTGGCAACTTATCACCAGCCGAGGATCCCGAATCAGAATCAGCAGGTGCCTCAGGCTTGTGTTGATCGAATTCATCTTGCTCTTCCTCATCGAGAAGACCCAACAGACGACTAGTCTTTGATCGCAACCAATCCGCATCAGATACAGGTGCAGCCTCTTCAGGTTCCGCATTGTCCTGCTCTGGCTCCTCTTGATTCTTTTCCTCACCAGACTTGTCAATCACCATGGGCTCGGGTTGAGCTTTTTCTACCACAGAAGACTTTTCTGTCTTGACCTTCTTTGGGTGTGAAGGTAGCTCTTCCGGTTGAGTATTTTCCTGGACGGGTTGGTTAATCACGGGAGCAGCCACTGCAGACGGCTTAGCCATGTCATCATCATTGGCCCATGTCCGAGTCTTGGATGACTGTCCCATCAGTGAAAGGTACTCCTGTAGCTTAGGGTCCTGGGATTTGTCTTCTCCGTCGCGCTTGCGCTTCTTGTCCAACGATGTATCCTTATCATTCGTGGCATCACGTCTGCGTGTGGGATGAACATCCTCAGCGGCATTGGATTCGATCTGCAATAAAACGGGTCAGTCTCAAGACCACCTTCATTGGTCAGCTTGCACGGGCGAAACTAAGTGGCTGAATCAATGGAGCAGAGGGAACATACCGGACGAGCGATGTCTACAGAGATTTTCGACATCTTCATGTATGTTCTGTTGAAATGTGTAACAGCTTGCTGAGCTACTTCATGGCTCTTGAAGCCAACGAAGCCCATCCTACGTTTAGGCAGGACATGAGCGTCTGTGACCTGGAAGCGTGTTGAAAAGTGCTTCTTAAGCTGGTCATTAGAGCATGTTGGTGGAAGACCACTCACGAACACTCTGGTGCTCTCCATGGTGTTCGGTGGTCAAGCCTTCTGAAGTGTGAAGACTGAAAAGTTATTCGGAGAAAACTTTTTTTTCTTGTATAGTGCCAGAAGCGGTGGATGGGGCGGTGAGAGCTCGGACCCGGCAGTAAAGTCGATTTGCCTGGGGTCGTCGGGTTATCACCGCGCAATTGGTTTGCCCATCTCATTCTCCCATATTCTCTCTTAAATCCTTGTCGCATTCTTCTTCGCCTTCAAAGCATAACCCTTTACCTTTAGACTCGCAAATATGACCACTTCCGCTGGAGACAAGAATGAGAAGATGGAGGGTAAGTTTGGCCCCAAGGCACAAATGATTCGGGCTAAATACGTTCCTACAGCGCAGATCAAGTCCGTCGACATGGTAAGGTCACAGGCACACTGAGCTTTGCATATATCATTCTAATCTTCCCTAGACCGAGGATATGCAGCAGGAGGCCATTGCCCTTGGTATGACCCCCCGAAAGCCCCGCGCGTGACTCAAGCTAAATTATGTCGCAGCCATTGATGCCATGGAGAAGTACCATGTGGAAAAGGTATGCACCTGCAGTAGACAATCCGGAAAACAAAGTTGATGCTAACGATTCTTCAGGACATCGCCCAATACATCAAGAAAGAGGTCCGCGACTCTACCTACCCCGCTTCAATCGCGTCGCTAACCCCATACACAGTTCGATTCTCGCAAGGGCGCTACCTGGCACTGTGTTGTTGGACGCAACTTTGGCAGCTTCGTGACACACGGTACGCTGAGCACATCACATTCTACATGGCTCGAGACTGACATGTCGATAGAAACGAAGCACTTCATCTACTTCTACCTCGGCCACTGCGCCATCCTCCTTTTCAAAACCCAGTGAACGCGACTGAACCAACCTGAGCGTATACATACGTCCAACAATTTTGGAGGTGATATCCCGGAAAACATGTGGTTTTTCAAGCGATTTTCTTATTCTACGATCAATTTGTGCATGGCTTCTTCATGCTGGAATCAATCGCCGCCCGTTATAGGCGCATTTGTTCAAGCAACTCAAGAATAGAGCCTTGATCATGTAAAACAAGATCATGTTGAAGTATCAAAGTAAACAGTACTGCGGAAAGGGGCCAATCACATGTCATGATATTGGGTCACGTGATACTGCCAAGCCACAGCGCCACACCCCAAAGCCGCTGCCTTCGCTTTCAATCGATCTGCAATTCCTCAAATAGCCCCCGATTCAATCTCTTCAGTACTTGTGCGCTGCTTCATTCATCCCTAGATATCACCATGGCTTTCTGTATCACTTTCGGAACTCATGGTAAGTCGTCCAGGAAAGACCCGCGATCCAGGCACCAAGTGGACCCTGTCCCTGGAGCTGTTGCGGCGGGTATCTGTGCTGTTGATGCAATGGGCCCCGTCGTGTCCAGGTGGTTACATTAAGCATACTAATACATTATCCAGAGTTCTCGTCTCAGCTTGAAGGCTATGAGCATGTCCGCGCATACTGCTACAACTGTGAGTTCTGACGTCACTGTATATGGGGAGTTTTATTTACCTTTTCAATCAGGCCAACATTGGAATGGGCACTGCATTACTCGATGGTATGTTGACAGTTCCGAATATATTCCCGTTCTCTTCTGGGACATTGGACTTAGCTAATACATTTTCAGGCCATTCTTCACCGTCTGTTTCATTGTAAGTTGAGGCTCGAGTGTTGTCCAAGGATCACTCAACATATCTAACAATGTTCCCAATATAGCCTCTGATTCCCCTTGCCATTCACAAGTACAAGGTAAGCATCCTTATAATGGAGCACATTGCCATTATCCTATACTAATACACCGAATAGGAGGTCCAATGCTACACATGCCGATACACTCAAGACCTACGGTAGGCTCCACCTCAATATTGAGCCAAGTCCTCCACTCTTGGACATGCCCACTAACCAATTGATCAACAGCGACCGGCCGGATATCACACCGGAGACTCGACCTCCAGCAGGTGGGCAGTACGGCATCCAGCCACCCCCGGGAGCTCAAAACTGGCAGCAGCCCCCCGGTCCTCCCCCTCAGGCACAGGGTGGTCTAGGATACAAGTGAGCAGAGCTTCAATGTGGTTGATTCTTGATAGCATGAGAAAGCAGGTGATTCGGAGAGTGTTGAGGGGTTTGGTGGTGAGGTGCATTCCTTGGCTTAACTTCGTGGGCTTAAGCCTATTGGCGTTGTGTTCATCTTTTAATTTGCCATATTGGCATCTAGCAATTTATTCATTGGGCTGTTTCCATATTTTTGTTGCACGAAATGCGCTTTATCATTGTTCGGTGTGTAATGGCATGACAGTTGTGCGGTAATTTGCCATCTTCCATCAACAAACAATTCAGATTTTTTGTTTTCAGTGACTATAATTGACCTCTTCTGCTCCTTGTTCTTCTTCTTATTCTTCTTCTTCTTACAATCTTTCAATCTTTCCTATACATCACTCCTCACAGAAAATAGACACATCTATACATATGTAACTGGTAAGACATACAAGTTGCTGTCCAAGTGCATTGCTATTTCACTTTATTTAGCACTTCGAGACCATCATGTCACAGGCAAGTTCATGAGAAACAAACTCATTGATCTGGCTTTTTCCCAAGGGACATTCCGCTTTCTATACCTCTAAGTATAGTTTCCCCCCGTGTACTGATTTATCGGGATGATTTTGCTAAACAGCATACCAATCAATCTGACATAAAATTCGTATGCATCTTAATTCAAACATATAACAAGGGGGTATAGAAAGCTCAAACAAATATAAAGAAACCCACAAAAGTCGTAATCACACCTCATACCCCTTAACCTTCTCCCGCTTCTCCCCAACAACATCAGGAGTCTGCACACCAGAAGGCGTCGCCTCCCCAGTTTCTGCACCAGCCTTCCGTCCCCGATAAACAGCAGGCCTCACACCAACACAATCAAACGCCATCATTCTAGCAACACGCCAGATACTCTCACGACCCTCATAAAGTGGGAAAACAACAACACCAAACAGCGTAAAGAACAACCAAATAATGCCCACAACAACCCAGCCGGTAAAGAACTTCCGACTGAATACATAGGAAGATCCGTACATGGGAATCGGCCAGAGAATTAGGAATGCCAATGCCATGAAGATCGTCAGGGTTCGCGCGTACAATGCTGAGCGGTTTAGTTGCCGGTTTTCTTCTTCTGTTTGACCTGCTTCAGGGGCTGTTTCACCAGGTACGAGTTCGAGATCGATGTGTGCTGCTGCGGCCACTTCTGTGTCGTCCACTTTGCGGATTGCGCGCATGGACTCGTAGTCGTAGTTTTGCGGGCCGAATGCGTAGGTCAGGATTGGACTGAAGACTACTGGGCTCAGGAGGGCAGCGACGTTCCCCGCTAGCATTGGGTAGCTGGGGTTTCTGTTAGTATCGTATTTTGGTCTGAACGGTGGGATGGATGCTCACTTGGCGCCGGTTGTGTCGACCGTCAGGATGCCGGACTCTTTCTTTGCTGTGACTAGCCAGGCAATGAGGGAAACTGCCAGGCCGAGTGGTGGTGAGACTGCAGCTGCGATGTGATTCTGGCCCTTCCAGAGGAGGGTCATTGCGCCTGGGAATACAGCTGACGAGATGATGACACCCATGAGTAGGTAGAGGTATCCCATTCCAATACCGGCATAGTAGAGACCGGTAGCGAAGCCAGCCATGATGATCGAGTAGACGATACAAGACATGTGCGAGATCCAAACTAGTCTCTTGCCCTTCGCAGAGGGATCGATATAGGCCTGGTAGATATCATAGGTAAAGATCGAAGAAACGGCAATCAACTGAGCCGAGAAAGCAGATGTAACAGCCATGAAGATCATCAATGTCGTGGCAACAGCACCACTGTACCCTAGTAGCTTAACAGCCGCAAAGGGGAGAACAAGTCCAGCAGTGACATCGTCGGTGCTCATACGCTGCGTTCCTTCCAGTGCCAATGCAGAAATTCCCATTGTGCTAGCGCAAAGCCAGGGAATGGCAAACCAGCACAAACCGCCAATAACGTAGCCGGGGAAAGCATGCACGGGGCTGGCGGCGATTGCCTTATTGTAGTAGCCGTTGTCAAGGAAGACGGTACCGAAGTTACCGATCAAGTTGATGATCCAGAAGATACCGCCTTCCTTTGAGCGCATAGTCAGATAGCTGCCTTCTGCGTTGCCTTCGACCGGGTGGCGCTTAGAGGCTGCTACTAGGGCGTCGTAGACTTTCGATGGGGAGCCTAGTTCGGCATTGGTGGCGTAGGCTGAGAAGGCGAAGAGGAAGATTACCACTAGAATGACCACTGTGTGCATATAATCTGTGATAAAGGTCGCTTTGATACCTCCGAACAGGGTGTATAGAACCACACCGATTGGGAGGAGGAAACAGGCTGCTGCTGTTGGTACGCCGGTCAGAGAGGTCATCACGGCTGCACCGCCGGTGAGGAGCATTGCTGTGACGAGAATGTTGGTCATGAGGCAGAATACAATGAAGACGCAGTGGACGATTGTTCCATAGCGCGCGCGGATAACTTCTAGGAAGGTGTGGGCATTTGGTGCGCGACGTTTTAGTTCAATTGCGATTGTTGCGAAGAGAAGGATCTGGACGGTGGCGCCTATGGGAGATGTTAATTGTCCTGTTATTTCCCTCTGTTCGGCGGATACGAACCCGATGCGTAGAAGAATGGACCCGAGACCCCGTATTTATATGCCACTGCGGACGACTGAAGAAGGGTGGCAGCCCATGTCCAACTACTGACTACAGCAGCAGCGACAAGTCCTGACTTTACTGACCGGCCGGCAGTTGAGAACATTTCTGATGTTTGGACTTCATTTTGGTAGCTATCACGGGTATTATTAGCTTACTTGAGCTGAATCAAGGGAGGTATAGAGTCCTACCGTTTTAGAGCCCAAGTAATAAAGATCATCAACAGGGCAAAGGCAAACCCCAGTCCAAGGATGATTCCATATCCAAAAGCCTTGGACAAAGGCGCCGTGAAGGTAAGAGAGTCCGCCATAGCTGGATGAGGTAGGACCAGCAACAAATGGGGGGTATAAAATGTTACTTTCAATAGGTAGACTTAGCCAATGGTATTCCAGATGTAAGTGGTACTTTTGGCTCAAGTATAGGTCCTGTATTTGGAAGTGCATAGACCGGAGGGTCGCGACTTCATATAGGGTAAGACATCGGAGCATACCACTACTCCGAACTCGCATCTGGGGCACATGCTGATTCCTGATTGAAGCTTAGATAGGATGGGTTTCGATTGTCAGATAAGCTGTGGCTCTCGTAATGCCATGCGGTTTTGCGTCTGGGGCGGCACATGGCAATTGAGACTAACAGTAGGTCCCGGTATATCAAGAGCCACTCTGGGGCAGTTTCGAGTCAATTGAACATTCCATTGGTGAATTGCACACTTTGGGATGTTCGCCATTGGTGGGTGCGTGTTATCAGTTAGGGTTGTGGCGTGGCCGTGATTGGTTCATCAGGGGGCAAGATAAGACCTCCCGAGAGAACTAAGAGTTGCTCGGCAGTGAGCTTTTCTTCCAGCGCCAATTACATACGCCTTTTTATGCTAAATGGATCCGGGGATATCGGGTCTAATAGGAGGGTTATCACTCTTTTACTCGATCGCATTATTTCTGTTCAGGGTCCACTATCTACCTCTGCTTGGCATGTTTATATGTGACATACCAATAAGGTCGCGTACTCTGTCTGTGAATTAGGTTAAATGCTCGCCAGGCATTTAGTGGCGTACTCATTCTAAACTTGCGTAGGGCATACTATGCCGGTCTAGATGGTCTACTCAATATCATATGGCTAGGTATATTGACCTTCTGCTATCGAGTCTATTCAAGAGAACTTAAGCTTCCAAGTCTGTCAGAACCAGGATTATCTTCCCGGTATGGATGAATCCTAGACACCTGTACTTGCAAAGGTCTTCCATTGAGACTAAAGGCTATGCATCATCAAACGTTCCCCAGTTATTTTACCGACCACACAGTCCATGCGCGATCTAGAACAAGGCATTTGGTAAAAAAAAAATTCGAGAAATATCTTATAATGATAGACTACCAGGGTAGACTAACGTAATGTGTCAGGCCTTAACAAAAAGCCCTAACTGGATCATCCATGGTATGGTGGCCGACGGCCCGTCGGCCACCCATCCTGGCCGGCGGTGAGCTACCACGGAACCATATTGAGTTATTCTGCGTAACTAAAAAGCTTCGACACAAGTTATATAATGCCCCTCACTACATGTAGGTACTTATACAAATATAAAATACATACACATCGTCATAAGGAACCTTTTTATATCGTCGTGACTAAGTCGCCCGACCTCCCTCACCCCAGATCCACGGTCAATCCCTACGCTTTCAAGTTCTATATTCTTCGGGCGTGGGAGCTCTGGGTTTTATAAACTTTCATTGTACGTGATGTATGGCTGTATGTGCTCTGATATGTTTCTCACAGACGCCCAATATTCGATATAACATGCGGTCACCGGTATATGGAATTACAGCTGCTTTTGCTACGCTATTGCTCAGCTCAATACCCTTAGACTATTTCTCCGGTGACATTCTGTGATGTCTGTTTCTAAGCGGGATATTGAGTGGATTGGGTGGTGATGAAATTGTGGTTGATCTTAGCCTGATACATTGTCCATCGCATATTGTGCTGGCTGGGAATGACAACAAGACACAATTCAGACTACTAAGGCTGTACGATCTAGGCAATTAGGAGCCAAGCAACCCTTGAGCCACTGCGGGTACTGAATCCTGCAAGATGGTCGCAAGATTCGTCGTGGCGATTTGGTAGTAATACCAGATGTGGCGGACTGACTACTCACTACAACGGTGTATGCATCTGAAGAGGAAAACAAGGCAAAAAGAATGACTATGCATGAAGAAGACGAGCCAAAGTTCAGGGTACCAAGTTAGTTCAATGTCAGGTACACATTGAATTCTCATATTGTACAGACAACGTCTGGATACAAGTCCATGATACTCCAGGTCTAATTGCTGCGGTTGAATCCAGCGCATAATATCGCCAAGGAACAAACGGCAGACACCAGAAACCAAGAAATACCATAGGATCAAGTCTATCCAGACTGACCTATACCGCCGATAGGTCTTTGAGGGACTCTTTTGCAACCGCAAATGAAACACCACAAAATGAAAACGGAATCACGCCAGCTGTTTCGGAATGAATAATTCCAGCGCCATCAATAGAAAACAGCCGAAAGTTCATAGGGTATAGAGGAGGTGGTAGGAGGAAGGGGGGTCGAGTTCGTGTTCAAGGTTCGCATAGTCAATGTCCGGAGCACATGGGCCGTGTCGGGCTATCTCACGAGACATCGACCGTGCGAGAAAGGAGGTTGTTCAGATTTATGCAGAGAACTTGCGGGTGACCTTGGCGATGACTAAAGGAGTAATTAGCACACATTCATGTCTGAGCTGTCGACCAGCAATTAGATTCCGCATGTTCTTACCGTGAAGACCAACAACCGAGAAAATGAAACCCAAGCTCAGAACCAGAACAACAACCGGGTCAACGCGGAGACCGGGGCTCTCGTCAGTGTAGAGCTTCAGCATGGTACCGGAGGAACCACCGGCGCCAGCAGAGCGGGTAGAGCTAGGGCGGGCATTGCGCAGAGTCTCCTTGTGGTCGGCAGCAGCACGGCGGCGCATGGCAGCGCGAGGTCCACCGGGGGTAGAGGGAGAGGAGGGACGGCTGACGGAGGAGCCAGTGGCAGCAGCACCGGCGGACTTCGAGTCAGCGCCGGACTCGGCGCCGGACGTCAAAGGGGAGGCGGGACGGGGAGAGGCCTGATAGAAATGTCAGTTGCTGTGGCATTGTTGGGTGGTGTGGCTTCAATAGACGGTGATGGATGGTAGATGGGGTAGAATGCTGGCTTTATCGTCGCGGTCAGTGGACTGGATGGAGCTTACCATTGTAATTAGTCGGGAATGAAGGATTGTGAAGAAATTAGAGAAATGGAATTGAGTTCCAGAAGAAAAGAAAGAAGTTGAGAGAGGATCTGGACAAAAAGAGGGAGAAGGAGGTTTGCGGAGTTGAGGCCACGATCACGGTTTCTTAGGTCTTACCGTATTCGAATTGTACCGTGTGGCTGTTGTAGGCAAAATTTGCGATCATTACACGTATTATCAGTACACTTAGATCCACCAATAAAACAGCCAACTTCAAAGTAGTTCCTCGTCTTGGCCAGTTCGGACATTTGACACTTGCTAGTCTTGCAATCTCTGAGATTTACATGTAGTCAACTACTGAGGTAAATAGCTTTTTTCTTTTGAATCAGCATACTCACCTTCTATGAAGCCTCATGGGACTTGAAATATATAATGTAGTCCGTAGAGTGGTTTGTACAAAAACTTGACATTTATAGAAACAACGACACAAATAATAATCCCTATGATGTTTGCCCAAATCGATCGAACGGCATCATAAAAGAACAGCTCTTCCCTCCAGCCGGTCTGCCTTCCTATTTCTCCATATAATTGAGCTTTATCTACTATTGACTTATATAATTCAATGTCGACTAAGGTACATTATGATTACTTTTATTCAGTACATACGTCCTCTAGTAAAGCTAATCTATATATCTTGTTTTTCCACTACTAACTTCGTTATAGATAGATAAAGCTCTATACTACTGGGTATATCGACAGAAAAGAAAAGAATAAAAGAAAGAAACCCGCCTATACCCTATTACAGCCACTATCCTACTGGTCTTACCTCAAGTACTTGCTTATAGCGGAACCTCTTCGCTTTGATCATCTGCCTTAAGTCTAGAATACTTTATACATAGATTTATCAAGTATTGTGACCAGGAATAGAGAAATGCTGCACAGTCGCGGCTCCATTTGTGGACAACGAGCTTCGACCACGCTCGGTCTCGGATACCTAAGGAAGTCGTAGAGCAAATCACTCCGCACTTTGACAGTACCAGACTAATTTACACTGGTGACAGCATTGATTCGCGATTGACATTATTATCCAACGTCATCATCAACCTCATCAAACCTGTTGTCATCCGACCTTTCATCCACAGTCCTGCCATTTGAAATACAAGGATCAACGCCTCCAAAAATCATCAGTCCTCGCAGTTTGACACCTTGCTCACGCGCCAATTGCTCAATTTGGGCATTGATATCTAGATCAGATTCGTAATCCAGATAGGGGTTATCTGCGGACTGTCCGTGCCCGTAAACCTGGAGAGACCTAAGAGTAGACGGGATATGATCAACAAGATTGAAAGACTTCAAGTCAAGCTGCTTCTTTCCATCTCCTGTATTTCGAGCTAAATAGCATAGCGTATGGGCTCCAATACTGAGATTCTTGAGCCGTGGAAAGTCTTTTAGGGAGACGCGCACGGGTGCGATGTCTAGGGCGACTAGCTCCTGCAGCTCGTCTGCCCATTGCTCCTTATAATCTTTTCGGTCCTCTTCGGTAATATGAGATGAACAACGGAGAAGACAGGCTATGACATCAGGGTATGAGAATAAGTTATGAGGACAGGTTATGCGGAGGAGAAATTGCGCAGGACTTGATTATAACCGCTAATACCGCAAAGACCTTTAGCGAATGCCATCTCGAGGTTTCGGTGTGATGAACAAGTACCAGTGAGAAGTAGAAGTGAGAATGAGAGTGAGATCTTTTCGTTCTTTACCTTTTGCGGCGACATCTGTGGAATCATGCTTCTTGGATATTGAGCCAAAAAAATCCCAACCCGATGGAGAACTTTTCCATGAGGATTTGATTTCAGTGTTTTCTATCATTTTAAATTGACATTTAATACGTATACTCATACAACCAAGAAGGAGCGAGAATAGCATTTGAGATAAAACAGAGGCGGGAGAGAGTAGCATTGAACGTTTCAACCCATTCATACTCCAAACTCTATATAGAAAGCGATTACAAGGAAACGTTCCAGATGTCTAGTCTATTAATATTAAAGACTAGCACACATTCATATTGTAGCGTTGAAGGGCTGTCATACAGACATGGAGAACACCTCCGGGGAATCAAATCAACCAGATAACGCCGTCGGTAGTACTCGTGCAGAGAGAAAAGGGGGTATGTAAAGGAGAGTAAGAGAAGAAAGAGAAAGCAGTCACAAGGGGAAGAAAACAGGGAGGGAAAATAGAATCACAGGAATTTTGGGGATGCGATAAGAGGTGGTTAACATCTGTATGACACCAAAGCTGAAAACCACAGATAAAAGGAAAGACAAAAGTATCAGGCTAAATTCAAGATGTGACCACTGGATAGTTGTTCACATATGTGAGATGTGAGAAGGAAAAGGAAAGGGAAAAAAGACATGACGCCCCGGAAATCAACGCCCCGAAATAATTATAGAAACAAATACCCTTTTTGTTCTCGTTGATTTGATCGGTTAGTCGATCATCATCCGTGAGGGGACTTGGGTGAGGTTTGAAGAGAGCTCGGTCGTCTTTTCTTCCGACTTGTTCTTCTTCTTATTGATGTGGGGCTTGAGGCCGCGGTTGAAGTTGTTCGTGCACAGACAGGCGTTGATGATGGTGATCACAATCAGGACTAGGGTGATGATTGCGAAGAAGGTCATCGAAGGTCGTGCGGGCAGGTATTGTGGGCTGGTTAGCGGATCGTACATGCGGAACAACTTGAAGATGAAGTAGGCCATGGCTGCGAACAAGAGGAGCTGCCATATTGTCAGTGGTAGTTGAAGAGTAGGAAGTAAAGAGATATCTTACAATAATGCAGACCATGCCCGTCGTGGTTTCGCGTCGCACGAACCATGCGCCGCAAACCAGAATGAGAATTGTCACTGGGATAGCGGCTACAGTGAGCGCGAACTCGGCGTCCATCTTGGACGAGGAGACCAAGACCAGGAACTGGACTGTGAAACCAAGGAAGAAGAAGAAATCGAATTTCAACAGCGCGATGTAGATCTAAGCAGTTAGTTGTGTTGGTTGGAGGTGCGGGCGAAAGACGAACCTGATAGGTAAGATAACGGCGTTTCATCTGCAGATCGGCACTAATGTGCTTGTAGATTGTCCAGGCGAACTCATCGTACAGCTTCCAAGCGACAAATGTCATCAAGAATGTCCCCAATGCGACAATACACGGAATGATGATCAGGAACGGCTCAGACTGAGCCCAGACGACTGGGCTGATGGTGTTCATATCGGCCAAAACCGAAACTGCAGTTCGAATCTGGTTCACTTGAACAGCGCCATAAATCAAGAGTCCAATATTGCAAATACACAACCCGATGACCTGAATCGTGTTCTTCATGCGAAGGGCATCGTAGACCAAAACGAGTTCGTAGAGGAAACCGAAGGAGTAAAGAGCGAGGAAAGTGGGGATAGTTTTGGACGAGGGACTGTCGTTCGGAATCTCTTGGATCTGGAAGTTGGCGAAGATATAACTAGACGCGATCAGTATTCGATTTCCTTCCAAGCAGGTGAATTCCATACCATTCAAGACCCAGTGTCACTAGTGTTTGGATGAGCGTGACGATCGCAAAGGACCAGGTCCAGTGGGTGTTGGGCATGTACATCCCGCCGGGCTTGCTCGCAGGAGCGACGTTCGCATACCCTTCTCTGGAGCGAAAGCCTCCCCCTCGTCTAAAGGCAGGATCAAAGGAGCCCCCTAAGAGCGAGGCGCGCGAACCGTGTGAAGGAATCTTGCCGAGAGGCTCCGTCACGGAGCTCGGGTCGATGTTATGAGGGAAAGGCACGATGACGGTGTGACCACCTGACGGCGGCTTTTGTTTATATGTCAGGTGGCAGTCAAATGAACGGAGGGGGCTTGGGTGCTTGGCACACAGCCGGGACTGGCAGTCTCAGGGACGTCAAACTCTCGACCCAGTCGAGGTTTGTGTTTTCTCCCGCGTGTTTCCGAGGCGGGGAGGAATGGGATCAGCGACAGGACAGCAAGGGTGAAAGTAGGGACCCAATGCTGGATGGTGAACGAGTGAATGGAATGGAAAGAGAGAAGAGAGAAGAGAGTTACTAGGGGGGAAAGTATCTGGGGTTTGGAGCACATACCACAACAGAGCATGCCGAGACTCTCAGCCCTGCTTACTACTCTACACGGGATGTCTAGAATCTCTCAATCTACACTTTCTCCTGAATGGTGGAGTTGATCCATATTGTGCGCCGACAGGTACAAACCTTTAATTTTCGAGTCCAGAACACTTCCATCTTTCGACTTGCGTCTGTGTGGGTTTAATCTGGCTGCCTAGGCTAACCCCGCTAACTTAACACCTAAGCCTAACTTAAGGAGGGTTTTCTACCCTCCGATCCAGGGTCTTTTCACTCCGAAGTGACAACACGTCAAGCCACAGAATGTGCGAGTCAAGTGGCTGAGAGATCACGGGATCCACCACGTACCGTGTCTTCTACGGAGAACGGAGCACACCGTTGCGTTTCAAGTTGTTTCCTCGGTTCTGCAATTTCATCACTTGAAACGATCCAACCCAGGGGTGTTCGTATGGTACTTTTGGAGCCGCGTACCAGGTTCCTGCCAACCATGCATATGATACACCTTGCTTGAGGTCCAGAACTAAGCCCAGTTCCAGACCAGATCCATCCTATCTTGAGTCAGCAAATGGAGTACACTCGAAAAACACATTTCTATATCAAAGAATTCGACTCAGATATTGATGGATCTGCATATCCGGCTCAGCCGGCACGCCTAACACCCTGACAATGAAACGGGACAGCCACATCCACAGTGGCAGTGCTGGTCCACCGCAACCCTGCTTATTGTGAGGCCGACCAAAGAGATAGCAGCTGGATTAACCAGCCACAGTCTCGTCATACCGTGTCCGGAGCGTCTTCACTTGGGCACGTGACAGGTAGGTTGTCAGGCAGTAGACAAAATATGGCACTAAAATACACATGCTGCTCGGGGTATGCTTAGCTCGCTTAGTAGAATTAGAAATAGAGAGATTTGGCTTTGGGGCTTTGGGGCCGGCCTCGGCTATGGCCGTTAAGTATATCCGAGTAGTCGACACTAACACATGCATATCCAACGTTGGGCAATATTCAAGTACATTGAACCAAATTGAGTTAGTATCAAATATGAATATCTCATAATATACTTTCTCCAAGGTAAGGCGCGAATGCCCAATCATTATATTGAACACGTTTCTGTTGTAAAGGCGACCTTATCTGTAGATCCAAGCGCCACGAAATACAGGTATAAGTTTGAATAGGGAACCACTAACACATCTCCAATTACTCAAGCCTCCGAACTTCGATTCTCCTATGGTTTCCCTATTTGGCGTGGGGTGTTCCAACGTTATCGCGCTTACCCCCGCACTCCAATGATATCGGCTAACCTTAGCCGTTTGAGTTAGGACTATGTATGTCTTCTCCATGCAATGTGATAAGGTCTATATAAGGATGCAAAGATCTGCATCTTCGCTTGTCAAGATCCTAAATATTGTCTTCTGCATCTCTGGGACATATTGTCCTACAACGTCAATATGCTGTCACTGTGGGCAGGTGCCATCTTAATCTTCGGATATATCACTATTCAAGGCCTTCTTTCGCCGTTATCAAAGATACCAGGGCCATGGTATACGCATTTCACAAGTCTATGGATCAAGTATCAAGAATTTACTGCCAATCGACGCGAATCTATCCACCGATTGCATAAGATCTATGGGCCGGTCGTCCGACTCGGACCTAATGAGGTATCATTCACGAGCCTGGATGCTATCAAGGAGATCTATGCCTCCAGTGGAAGTGGGTATGATAAGACCGAGTATTATGATCTGTTCAGGCAGTTCCGGATTAAGTGAGTACTTGTCATCCCCCATGTATATGCCGAGCAGACATTGATGGAAAGCCAGGACGATGTTCTCTACTTTACAGAAAGATGAGGTGAGACTTGCGAACTGTGTTAGGCAGCTCGGTACTGATAATAAATAGCATAGCAAGAGAAAACGCCTCTTTGCGGAAAGATATGCCATGTCCAATATTATGAAAGAAAAGCCCATGGCCGCTATCCACGAACGAGCCACGACATTCGTGTCCAAGTGTGCCGAAGCCGGTCAGAAGAGCGTGGATATCTATGTACGTCCAGCCCATAGACTACATAGTCGCATATACTAACCAATCTCACCAACCAGTCCCTACTCCACTGCTACGCCCTCGACTGCGTAACCCATTTCATGTTCAGCCCCGGCGGTCTCAAATCCCTCGACAACCCCAAAGACTATGAAATCATGCACGAATTAACCTACCACCAAAGCCTACAGAGTAAGCCCTCCTCTCCACCCCAATCCAAACCCAGCACTATCCATGCTAACATAGCCTAGAAAACCTCCTGGAATACTACCTCCCATCCATTTCACCCTACTTCCCAACCTTCCTACACCCCCGCAGCGCCCCCAAAGCAAACGTATACGTCCAAGAAAGCGCATCCATTGCCACCCACGATCCCCACAGCCTAATCGAAAAACTGACCCGCAAAGAATCAAACCTGACAATAATGCAAGCAGCAGCAGAATGCAAAGACCACATGGCGGCCGGAATCGACACGACAGGCGACGGCCTCTGTTTCCTAATGTGGGAATTATCCCAGCCACCAAACCAACCATTCCAGCAGCGCCTGCATCAGGAACTGGTTTCGGCGCCTGCTGATGCTCCGCTTGATAGTTATGTTTACCTTGATGCTGTTATCAAGGAGGCTTTGCGTTGTGCGCCTCCTATTCCTATGTCTTTGCCGAGATATGTTCCGACGGGTGGTCGGGTTATTGATGGGGTTTTCGTGCCCGGTGGTGTTATTGTTGGGTGTCAGCCTTATTCTGTGCACCGGGTTGATGAGGATGTTTTTCCTGAGCCTGACCGATTTTGGCCGGAGAGGTGGCTCGTTGAACCGGGTGCTGCCGAGAGGAATAGGCTTTTCTTTGCTTTTGCTACGGGTGGTAGGGGATGTACTGGGAAAAAGTAAGTTGTCTATATTCCTGTTGGTTGGTGTTTTGTTGCTAATGGGTTTGTGGCTTAGTCTTGCACTTGTTGAGATGAAGATGCTTCTTAGGGAGGTTTATTCGAGGTTTAGGACTACGGTTGCTGCGGATATGACTGCTTCTATGAAATTGGATGATCAGATTATTTCTTCGAGGCCTAAGGGGCAGAGTTGTAGATTAACTTTCACTGCTGTTGACAAGAGTTAGGATTAAGAGGTGGATAGTATGAGCAGTTACCAATAAATAAGATCAGGATTGGTAAATGAAGTGTTCAATATCTTTCTGACATGTAGTATTTCGATGCACAATAACATACTTCCAAGCGGCAAACTCCGCCAGATCTTAACTTGTAAGCGATGCGGGGTGAGGGGAAAGATAAGAAAAGCAACATCTCGACCTCAGCTACCCGTCTCTTCTACATTCCCAATTCATCTCTACATCTCCAATTCCAACAAAGCACCAATTACCCCGATAAACCCACAAATAGCCTCCCTACCCTATAACTGATGACCAACCCAACCCACCACATCCAACACCCAAAGACCCAAAGACACCACTCTATATCCAGCACCAACCCCAAACATTAACCAAAGAAAATGCCCGCATCAAAACCCGCCCAGTCTGAATGCCGCTTCTCAACCCGGATTTCAATCCGCTGGCTCCCAGACCCACCCTCAGAAACAACAGATACAATCGTCATGTCCGTAAAAGACTGGTATCTAGACCTCCGCATGGAAAAGGGAACAGGAGCAATCGACTGGGCCATTGCCGGACGGCGAATTGTCGAGGGTCAAGATCCTTGTACGTGTACATAAAACACGTCGCCAGTCGGGAAAGCGTGACCTTCTAACATCTATCACCGCAGTACGAGTATCTTTCTCCCACGAACTTGATTCCCATGATGCCTTTGAAAGCGTCGATTGTGGGACTTTTGTTACTTTGCCTAATGGCGATGATCTTGAAACGGGTATCATGCCGAGACCTGATTTACCTGGTGCGCCTGAGTGTGCGTATGAGGAGGTTTGGAGGGAGTTGGCGTTTCGGGGTGGGCCTGGGGGGGAGGGGGGTTTCGGTATTTCTTGGGTTCTTGAGTCTGATAATGAAAATGGAGATGGGGATGGTGAAAAAGAAAGAGGTGTGCAGGTTGTCAAGACTTTCCTTGGGCGCATTTGGGGGACGTATCTGGCTTTGCGGCAAGTTCAGACCCATGCGCGGTTGAGGGATCCGTCGGGTGCATTAGTTGTTAGGAAGTCTGGTGCTGGTGTTAGTGCTAGGAGGGAGGAGTGGGATGGGGGGTGGAAGGAAAGGTATGTTGTTGAGGAGGGTGCTGGTTCTTTGCCTTCTATGGTGAATGGGTTTACTGGGGAGGCACGTTGGAAGGTCGGAGATAAAGTGGATGTTAATGGGACAAGGTATATTGTGAGGGCATTTGAGAATTTGGGCGTTGACACTAAGCTATAAGTTTGGAAATCCACAGCTGTCGACCAGTTGCTACGCAGGATAGCTCCATTCCAGAGCTTGCATCTTCTGACCTCTGATAAATCAAAAGGATAGAAAATAAACCGTATCGTGGAGCATATGCATGCAATAGTTAAACCATTGATGCAGCTTCTAATACAATATTGGACGATCGTCACTGGATCTGTCACTTTCAAAGACAGTGTTTTCCCTTGGTTGTTCGAACTGCGCCTGAGGTGACACTACCCTTGAAAGAAACTGGCCAGTTCTCTTTCTTAAATTTGCCCAATTTGGTTTCTCTGAGCTTCAAGGGTTGGAGGTGCTAAGATCAATTTCAATAACGACCAGATCTCTGCGCCCCTGTCTTGAACGTAACTCATTATGAGGAGGGCAATGTCACCCCAGGGTACATATTCCTGACTCCTTATCATCTTACCAATCATAAAAACGGTCCATATATCTACAGTCATACTGGACTAAGTCATTCACTGTCATTGTCCAACTAAGCCTTGCCGGTCTACAATCATGCATTTGACTAAAAAGTAGCACAGGACCTAGTTTGGAATGGCGCTCAAGAAGGTGGCTTCGCACAAAATCTCCATCTCTGTCATAGAAATGGTCACGAAAAACTATGCATGACAAACTTGAACCATGGAATTGGAATCAAAGCCACAGGATCTGCTATGTTCCTCGACAGAGATCTACACATGATCAAAAGAAAACGAGACTCCACTGACATCCAAGCTGGCAAAGAATCTGACATTCACGAATTGAGAATCGCTGAAAATAAAACTTCCGTTTCGACAGCATGGCTGATGACCAAACCGTGGGATCTTTCATCAGTAAGTGGACCAGTAGATGGGTGTCTGAGGGCTACTGGATTCCAAGAAGTCGATATCAAATCCAAAGAGGTTCTCTTTACATGGGACGCGACGGATCAAATTGACATCAAGGATTCCAATATGGAAATGGGATGGTCAATCACGGGCGATGGTCGGACCTTCGAGACAGATTGGGATTACTTGTATGTCCACCTCCATGTCCACGTCCCTCCAAGCCATGCAATGCAGCACACAATGACTATTATTCTCGCTGACACTTACTTTAGTCACCTCGATTCAATCGACAAGATGCAAGACGGAAGTTACTTGACCTCTGGACGACACACAAGTACTATATACAAGATGTCCCCCAAAGATGGATCCATTCTATGGCGACTCGGCGGTAACAAGTCAGACTTTACACTCAAACCCGGCTTAAATTTGAGCTCTCAACACCATGTCCGAGTTCGGGGTGAAGATGAAAATGGCATGACAATATCATTACTTAATAACGCAAATGATGAACACCATCAGACGGCACTTTCATCATCTGGTCTCGTCTTGCGTATTGGTATGGATACTATGCATGTCACTCTTGTGCATCGATACTATTCGCCTCAGGGTCTTCTCGCTGATAGAGAAGATAGTGTGCAGCCGCTGTATAGCGGGAATGTCTTCGTTTCTTGGGGGTGCTGAACGATAGCTCACCGAGCACATTTTGGACGACTCGCACATGGTTTTCGAGACAAAACTAGAAGATCCAACTGGTTATTGGTATCGGAATTGGAAGGTTAATTTGACTACTGCGCCCGCGACTTCGCCGGTTGTTTATGCTTTGTCTGAGGTCACTGGGGGTCCGACAGTTTGGTATGTTTCTTGGAATGGGGCAATCCAAGTGCATCTGTGGAGGATCTATGCCTCGCAGGAGCAGTGGGATGGGTATCAGTTTGTCGGGAATTTTGAGAAAGTTGGATTTGAGACTCGGATTGAGAGTGAGGAGTACTTTGCTTGGACTATTATTGAGGCTGTTGATGGTGCTGGACGGGCACTTCGCAATTCGTCGGTGTCTGTTACTACTTTCACTCGAGATTTGGATCTAATTGAACAGCAGAATATCCTGTGATCTTTGAAGAAGACGTCGATTTGTATGATACCAAATGTTCCGATGCAGATTTCAGGAGCAGTTCGGACACTTTCGCTGCATTTCGTAACTAAGCGGTTAACAGGAAGACAAGTCTATAATCTCAACATGACAGGATATTACAAGCCTATCAAAAACCAGCAATACAAAGCAACAGAAAAAGAAACAAAACGAGCAATATACCTCCGCAACTCAACCAATGAAAACCCAAACCAAACAAGCCAAACACACCCCAAAACAGAAAGCGGTAAACCCCCCACCCACCAATTGCCCACTATAAATAAAATCCCAGCGCCCAAAACTTCCTCTCCTCAGGCGCCATCCCCACCAATGCTGCGTTTCTTTGCTACACACGACGGGCTCACGCCCGTCCTCAACGGAATCCTGGGTCAAGCCCAGGAGTCCAACGAGAACCCTTGCAAATGAGAAATTCGGAGGAATCTTCAAACCCAAAACCCGCGCCGTCGTTCTTCATTGCGCGGCGGCGCCGGTCCTGCCCGCGAGGGCCTGGTGTGATCCTAGATCACTCTTCCACACCTGCACTTGGCATCAGAAACATCGGGGGGAGAGAGAACCAGGGCTCCGGTCTTGCGTTTTCTTGAGCCCCATGGGAGAGTCGGTGCGGAGATTGTGTGTGATGACACTTTAGTGCAATACGCAGCATACTTGCTCTGCTTCTTCCTTCCTCTGGGAGGGGGAGTGGATGGTATCATTCGATTCCGATCATTCTGGTGGGGATGGCGCTTCACTTTTTTTTTCAGGTCAGTTTTGCACACCCTGCTCCCCTTTCCTTTCCTGTGTTGGGGAGTGCTGGAAAGAAATATTTTTTTTTGACCTTGCTAATTTGTGGAGGTTGGCCATCTCCCTTGAGGTCTTTAGGGGTTTCCCTTGGACGCTCGGGTTTGGTTGCTGGTGGGTTGGTCGGATTTGAGTCATTGGAGTTAGATACTAGTGAAATCCATTCTATGTCTGTACAGTTACTGTGTAACACCTATAATCTGTGTCGTATTCCTTGTACGCTTTTAACTGCCTCGAATGCGGAAAAGAATTGACTTTTTTTTTTTTTTTTTTGGAAAGTTGCGATGTCGAAACCTCGACCGCTGAATTGTGAATTATCGTGAAAATCTTGGTATCCCCTCCATTGTCTGGGATGCAGTGAAAGAAATACCCTCCCTCCATTCTCTCCATTATCATAGAGTTTCATTTTAGCATATCCCGTATCCCCCCATGAACCACAAATGGTTTGTTTACTCTTCGTCACCGATCTGCGTGGACACGTCAGCTCAATTCCCATTATGTGACTCAAGTAACTTACCTTGGGAGCCAGATAGAACCGCAGGTGGCCACTGCCGAGACCGTACTCGACAAGGAGCGGCACTTCCTGGGAGAGGTGCAGGATCACAGACGAGGACAGGTTGGAGGCCTTGCAGAAGTTGACGAGGTACTTGAGGGAGAAGGTCAGGGCGACGGGTTCGGAGAGGGAGATGGCGACGTTCTGGTCGGGCTTGTCGACGTTGGTGTGCTGGCGGATGGTAACGGATCCGTTACCGATGTCACCCTGGCAGGAGAACTTGACTCCCTCCTTGCTGGCCTCGATCACGACTGCGAGGGGTTTAGCACGGCGGTCTCTTCTCTGCGAGCCTGGCTTGGCTGTTTCTCAGAATTGCATATAACGTACCTGACTCAGACAGTGCGTTGAGGTCTCGGCAAATGCGCTGGAACTCGGCAGAAGGCATCTCAACAGTAGCAGCGTACTCGGTCTCGGGGATGGCCAGGTGCTCCTGGTCAATGTCCATAAGCTTAATATCATACTCGCTGAGACGGTCGGTCTCTGCGCTTTCGAACATCAGGTTGACGGCATCGGGTGAGTCCTCAGCCTTGAGGGTCAGAATGTCTTCGTTCTGGGCGGCGCGGAGGACCTTGGTCAAAGAGAGCAGGTTGATGCCGAGGGCGATGTTACGGTCGCAGCGGTAGGGGGAGAAACCCTCAGCGCGGAGAAGCATGGAGACCAGAGCAACGTGGGAGTTGTCCATGGCCTGGAGGGCGATGCCGGAGTCATTGCAGTCGAAGTTGCAGTCCTGGACGAGGTCCTTGATGGCGTCGACGACCTGGCCACAACAGTCAGTATTTTGTGCGTCGGGGAATTGGAAATTGCGTGTCACATACGCGCTTCAGAAGGCTGGCCTGTTCCAAACGAGCTTCCAACACTAGAGAAGGTCAATTGATTTGTTTTTCGCACAAAAGAATCTATTGATTTTGGCGGTGGCGGACTTACTCTTGTCGGTTTTGTGTGTTTTATGGGTCGTAAAAGGAAAACGTGAGGGTATTTATGAACGTGAAAGAGGTGGCAGAGGGAATGGGGCAAAGACAGTGGAAGGGTATGTATTTGGGTGAAGGTGAAAGAGGCAGCGGTCTAATATAAGGATCGCGTTCGAGGGTGGGGAAGAACGCGGTTAGTCGCGTTTGGCGATATGTCCCTTTTGGGTAAAGTTTGATACCTCAGGCGACAAGGCCTCCATTTTATACATCCCTCCGGGGCTATAGGGGCAACCCTACATTTCTACTTAGTTCACCATGTGTAGTCAAGAATTGATAAAATTGTTTACACAAGTACCGGCGGTTATATACAAATAGTCATCTGGTGGCTGTCAATCTGACACCCCAAGACAAAAACTCCGCCAGAAATCACTGTACAGACAGAATAATAGCTAGTAATCACACAAAAGAAAAAGAAGGCCAAGTAAAGAGCTAAAAACAAAGCAAACCCAATAAAACACCGCTGTCGCCGGTCCTGTCTATAAATGTTGTGGGTATCAATTTGTGACTTCCAGCTGCTAGCGCTGGTTGAGGTCAAACCTGTCGAATGGGTGAAAAGAAAGTAGGTCTTGTCAAAGGTGCCGAGCAAGCGAAAGAGGTCGCAGCTTGTTTAAATGCTGGTCACCCTTTTGGAAGAGTGATTCCCAGGTCGTTGCTTAATCACCATTTCCAGCTCCTTGAGCATATTAGTATTTGCATCAACCTTTTCACGAGCAGTCGCCTGTCTGGCACGATCTTCGCGTACGCGTGCAAGACGCTCATCTCGGGTCAAGGATACTCGCTTGTTTCTAGATGCGGGAAGGACAACAGCTTCGAAAATCTCCTCATCGTCGTAGGTTTGGGTCAGATCCGGCCGGCCCTCGCCATTCAAGGCTTTGAGAGCATCGGTCGGGCTGCCCTCAACCGCCGTGGAGCCTCCCAGGCTGGGCGTGGGAGACATGGGCATCAGCAACGTACTTGGTGGCCGTGAGCGATCCACACTAAGTCGGTCTTGGTTGACCAGTGCGGCCTTGCCAGCTTCCCACTCTTGAAGGAGGGCTCTCAAGTCACCGCCAACTGAGTCGTATTGTGTAAGGAGGGCAGCCTCATAGTCAGCAGAGTCAGGTCGCTCTAGACTGGCGTGTGACTCCTCGCTGACAATGTGCATTTTGGCATGCAAGGCACGGACCCCTTGAGACAAGGAACTGAATCGTCGAATTTGGGCCCGCAAATAATCCTTGCTTGGCGACACGGAAGCAGAAGGCAACGGAGATGGAGGGATGTTGTCACCTGGAAAGGTTAGCTAGTTTCAAGTCGATGTTGAAGTTTGATACTCACGATCTTCCTCGTTGAGGATAGCAGTCATCTTCAACATGCTGTCTCCGGTCACTGCGGCAAGTTCACGCATCTCTTCGACAGCTGAACTCCATCTCCCAATGTCGGAGCCTCCACCGTCGGCACTGAGGGCCAACAAGCAGCATAGGACGCTCTTCCGCACACTGTAGAGCTTTCCAAATAGATCCCGGAGGGCACGCAGCGAGTATTGATCATCGTTTGCTCGCTGCGATAGGGACGACTCAATAGCCGCAAGTTCCTCCAATCCAATGTCATAAATATCGTAATATTTGGCGAGGTTGGCCTCGTCAGTAAGTGGGCGCAATGTGTTTTCGGATCGCACGTATCGCTCGAGCATAGAGTAGAAGCACTCTGAAACTGTTCTGCGCAGTCTCAAGCATCGGCGCGTTTGTATTTGATCTTCGAGTCGGCTGATAGGAGGGAGGGGTGTGCTTCTATGGATTTGGTCAGTTTTCTGTGATCGTCCACATGGATTCGGTAGCCTTACATGCGATAACCCCGGGAAACGAGCTCAACCTCCTGTATAAAAACCACAGAAGCTGAGGCTGCAGAATCAAAGCCCTGGGCATTTCCAATAAATGTGCCAGCTGCGTCCACAGCCTGATGCCGGAGGTATTTCAACCATTGCCGTTTCGCGAAGGCGTAGAACAAAACACCAAGAACTGGAACAAGAATCAGGAGCACTCCAACCTTTTTAGGATTGAGCCCTGACCCTGTCCTTGAACGACTCCAATGTAATAACCAAGCAATAGAGAAAGATGTGCAGGCTGTGACAATCGCGCCTTGAATTCCAAACGTCGTAGATAATGAAGGGAGGGCTGTTGGTTGTGTTGCTGAGAGGACATCGGAGGCGGAGGTATAGGAAGGGGCGCTATGCTCGTTCAGCAGTTGCGATGCGACAATCACGTAGCCGAATTGTTCCAAAAATCGTTCATTGTCGCTGCGCGGTAGCCGGACGTTCAAGGCAGACTAGAAATGAGGGATCTGTGAGCACGACGAAATCACCGCAAGCTGGAAATGGACGTACCGAGCAAGCATCGTAGAGTTTACCGGCGAACTCGCCTTGCGGTGTACCTCTGAGATCGAGAGGCTTTGGTAGCTTGTTGCGAACGCGGGTCTGGAATTTGGAAGCCCCTCGGGGGGCAAAGTCGAAGGCACTGGTATGATCATCGTCGCTTTGGTTCTCCTCCACCGGCCAACTCTCTTGGTGTCCACCCTCCCCTGGCGCAGGTGTCAGTTCGTTTGCATTCCATAATTCGGGTTGATATGACGAACCTTCGAGGTATTCGGCCAAGGGCGAGTTCTCATAAACGAGTGATTCCATGATGCGGGATCATGCCGTGGGGGGAAAGGAGAACGGAGAAAGCGAAACGGTAATGTGAGACGGTAAGGCAGGCGCTTATAACAGGGCCATGCCGTAGAAGAGACTCCTGGCACACAAGATCCCGAGAACTGTGTAAGCAATGACTAGGGCCACGTTGGATCATGTCCGGGGAAAGGAGGTCGCGGTCACGAGAGGCTAATTTAGGCCAGACCCACCTGCCTGTTCCTGGTGATTTCACCACAAGTAAGGGTTTGATGTGGGAGATGAAGGAGAATATATCATATGTGTAGTCAACTCGATCTAGTCCTTACATCTATAAGTTGTAAACAATGCGGATAGGGCTCGCTTGCCGTATGCAAACTGTTGCTTAATGCACATTATAATTAGTCAGATTATGCAAGCATAAGTAGGAGATCTGCATTATTCTAGAAGGCGATCATGTTCTTTTGTTATTTGTCTTTTTTCGCTTTACTATAGTTAGGGTCTGGTGTATCTTAGCATTGGGAAATTCCATTTTTTAGCTGAAACCAACATCCCAGAGTATATTTCTAGGCAGAAATCATCAACTTTGTATTACTGTGCATAGAGAACAACCCCGCTCGCCAAAGCCGTTGCTCCTATTGGTCAGCACATTAACAACCACCGGTGTGCGTTAGCCTCTCCTATCATTCTATCCGAACCTTGGAGTGTGGTACAGAATAGATCCGAAATCGTACACATGATCTGTCTAGTGTACTCGGAGAATTGTGAAATAGTCCGGAGAAAATAAGCTGAGGTAATGAGTCTCCAAGTCGGACTACTCCCCCTATATCTAATTAACACATCCAATGTTTCAGGACTATACGCCAAGGTCCAGCCCCAATATGTCAAACAAAAGCACCCAGTCAGACTGGAGCGACTATCTAGCTGCTAGAAACGCCGGGCTCCCATGTCTCCCGGCGGTTACGCAGCTCAGCCCAGAGGTTGTGCGAATCATGGGTGGGAACCCGGGTGACATGCAACTACAAGGAACCAACACATATCTGGTTGGAAACGGCCAGAGCAGAATCTTAGTAGACACGGGCGAGGTTCGTTATTTTGACAGCCAATCTGTTTGCATTGATAGGAAAGTTAAGCTAACCTGAATTGACAGGGCTGTCCAATCTGGCTCAAAACTCTGGTTGAATACCTCGATAAAAACCAGCTGAAGATATCCTATGTACTGCTGACGCACTGGCATTCCGATCATGTTGGCGGTGTTCCGGCGTTACTCGCTCAGTACCCTGATCTTACTATGGCTGTCTACAAGGCAAATCCCGATCGGGGCCAGAACCCAATCAAAGACGGACAGACGTTCATTACTGAAGGAGCCACACTACAAGCTTTGTTCACTCCTGGGCATAGCACAGATCACATGTGTTTTGTTATGGAAGAGAACGGAGCCATGTTCACAGGTGACAATATCCTTGGGCATGGAACCAGTGTGGCTCTGGAAGACTTAAGAACATACATGGAAAGTCTACGGATTATGACGCATGACATGCGTATTGGGGGTCTCCAAATTGGGTATCCTGGACACGGCGCTAAGATTGAAGACCTATCAGCAAGCCTTATGACTTACACCAGACATTGGGAGATGAGAGAGAAGAGAGTTCTTTCTGCTTTCTCTGAGGGCAATGGCATGCCCATGTTGACGACGCGAGAGGTCACAGCCAGTATCTACGGGCCAGGGATGGACGCGTTGGCTGGGCCGTCCGTAACGCACGTTTTATTGAAGCTCCATGAAGAGGGGACTATCGAGTTCACTTTAGTCGGACAAGAGAAGAAATGGTATATGTAAATAGATTGCCATGTCTTATAGATAGAATCTTTATAGACCTTCCGTTCAAACCGTGCCCACTTTTACCTGCCTAGGCCACCCGTGGACCAACTCGCATTGATTATGATCTGCTGCAACCGCCCTCGCAAGGAAATAGCTAGTGAGGGAAGAATGCCAAGTGGTAGCTCCGAGCCATTCCTGAAGCCATTTATCCCATTCCCATAGTTATAACCCTCAATGAATTGCAATATCACCTTGGCGATCTCAGAAAGTTCCCCCATCACCAAACAAGCCCCAGTTTCAAACTGAGGCCCAATGTTGGGGCTATCCCAAGGCGTTATTGAACCTTGTGCCATGCCATGGGGGTAGTCCCTCCTTAGTATGGCAATTGATACAGTATGAATATCAATGATGCTCATACATATAGCAGAAACAAGCATTCCGACCTCAGCCCGCTCGGAGCATGAACAGGCTAGAATTTTGCATAGGCGATCGATTGTTGCTCCTATAGCTTGTGCCGTTGCGCCGAGGAGAATGTCATCTATTGGGTTTGAGTTCCTGAGTTGTGTGGCGGGGACCTCTAGCAATGAGATAAGGTCCAGGGCGATCAATACACAGTCTGGATCAGAACTATCATGGGTGTTTGGGGAATTCAGAGCCAGCCATGAGGTGTTGGTCGTATCGAATTGGTTGATTGGGCTGATTGAAGGTGAGCTGTCTGAATTTAGGTCGACTGGTGTGGAAAACGTGTTGAGGTGGGGGTAGTGTTTAACACTTTCGTCTATGAAACAAGCCGTTGGAGCGTTCGATTGGTTCTTTGGTTCTTTGGTCGTTTTTGCTTCTGGGGTTGACTCTTTTGGTCTATATGGTCGGCCGACTCGTCGTGCTGGGCTGTAGAAGCATATGTACCCTAGCTTATCGCAACGCGCACAGGAAGGCTTTCCTTTTGTGCAGCGCACTTTAGAGGTAGAGCATCGATCGCAGGAATCTTTGAGCTTCGGGCTTGGCGGTGCTGGTCTTGATGATAGTGAAGGCCGAATACGATGACCGCTCATGTTTTCCGCCTAAGTGGGTACTGATTGATTATATGCTAAATCCACGTTAGTTTTGCATTTATGAAAGGGACAAGCTCAGTCATCATACTTATTGAATGATTCTGATTTGCTTTTTCGTGATTCATCCACTCTTCAACGTCAGCAATGGACCGAGACAGCCGATTCCAAGAAGCGATTGGACTATTTTGAAGAGGTTCTAGGCATCCATTATGTATTGCTTCTGGGTTGATTCCAGAAGAAAAGAAGAAAAAAAAAAAAAAAAAAAAAAAAAAAAGGAAAGTCACGCAGTATAAATGAACCTCGTATCGAAACCCCGAAATTCCATGCTGTATCTCCGAAGCCTCACCCCTCTGCATGTCAAGTCTCAAATAAGCACTAACTCCTTGGAGATACTCCATGGAGACACTCCACTCCACCCTCGGTTAGCGCCGACTGGGAAAATTATGATCCTATTGGGAGTCTTCTAGGCGAGATCAAAAAAAAAAGTAGATACAAAAAGCCTCGAGTACTCTAATAGACTTCAGATTCGTAAGCATCAGATATAGTTAGACAAAGAGATGTGTAATGCTGTATCGAAATTGGCGGGTCTACCCGTGGATCAACAGAAACGGCATTCTACCGCAATCATAAAACGCCTGACAAGACAACATCTTCAATCGGTGGGATGACACTGTTTAGATCATGACTGAATAAGTTCCAACAATGCTGATTTGACATTGTTTGACCCTTCTCTGCCTCAGGTTCAACGATTGAGGCTCTAGTCCAGATCGAGCGAACTATGGAAAGCGGACCGGTAAGTTCCATGGTTGAGAATGGGTTATCCCGGCCCTACATAAGCACGGAAACCGACCGTAGAAGAACAAGGGAAGCACGTTGAATGCATTAGCGTAAGGTGACCTGCATGAAACTCCTCGGAATCCGTCCAACCCCCACCCTCCGACTTATTTGGCCTTGCCTTCCTTCAATGTCGTTCGTGTTTGCCAATTGCCCTCCTCCCATCAGATCAACCAACAATCTAGTCTCTGATTATATTCCTTTCCTTCTTGGTACAAGGCTCGAGGCTGTTCTACCGGGTCTGGTCGTAACATCTAGGCTGCAGCACAATGGAGGTTCTAGGTTCAAACAAAGATCTGTACTTCCACAGGGACCCTACGTCTTTCCCCACTCCTCCTGAATATAACGACTGGGATCCCATACTAGCGCAATGTCAAGCCCCCGAAGACATACTTTATCCATCTGTGGAGATACCTGCCAGTGACAGTTTGTATACAGACTGCCTGTCAGACCAAAGCCTCGATCTAAATGTCAATCTCAATCGCGATCTATACCTGGATCCATCGTTTCCCACGTCAGCTCCAATTGATACTGTTTGCGACCCAAGACAATCGGAGTTCGTCGGCAATAACGACTATCATGAGCCGGGTCTAGATTGCTTCATGCTTCCCGACCATCTCACCCCGACAATGCCCCAAAACCTCTCAATTCCACCATTCGAAGTGACAGAACCAGGACTGTCACCCTTGGCAATACCCACAAACCCGACTACTCCGGATTTATGTCTAAGTCAAAACCGAGCTCTCTGCATTATTACTGCAACGCAATCCCTCCGCTCTCTCCATATCCCCCAGACCAACTGTCTATCCCGCCAAAACGGAAGCAATGGCCAAGACGTGCCGAAGCCCTCGCGCATGTCCGGCTCAGTCCTTAAATGCAACAAAGATGCAGGAATGGCAGTCTGCAGTATGCTGCAATGCGGATGTTCTCTCCGTCCACAAAACCAGCTTTTACTGGCAATCATATGTTCACGTCTAATCTCTTGGTACCGTGCAATGATCCGCACATGCTTCTTGAGCAGCCCAAGTGAGCTCGGGAACAACGCACCCGAAAGCGATTTCGTGTCACCTGAGAAGGTCGTCCACCAACCCGTAACGATCGGCGATCATTCAGTCGATGACCAGGTGCTGGGATGGACGATCCAAGCGCAAGTCACATTGGGTGAGTTGCGGCATATGCAGCGCTTGGTCGGGACGCTTTCCCTTCGTATTCGGGAAACGCCCAATATGCAGCCAAATGGGAGTTTGGGTTTTGCGGCTGATACCCAGGTCCCGTTGGTTGGGCTTCCGGGACCTGCGCATGATCGCTTGGTGGCGCATCTGATGGAAGAGGTTCATGCCGCTAAGGCCGATTTGGTTTCGGGTTGGGTGGAAGTGTAGATACTTCGATGTTTCTGTTGAATGATAGACCGTATAAATATAGACGGATACTGGTTCTTTAACAGACTTGTGTTAAAAAAACAACTTCTTTGTTAGCCTTTGGTGGGTTAGCAGGGTATTTTCCTGGAGGTCAGGATGACTGCGGAGAAGACGTGGGAAAGAGTCAAAAGTCATAGTTAATTCTGAGATCTACTGAAGAGTGGGCTGGGGTTTATATAGTAGCAAAATGTAGGTCGGGGAATTATGCTTGCTAAATTTAGAAGGCATCGGGGGATGAATGGCCTTCAGGTATCATGGATCTTTCGAGAACGTAGTACAATCTCATGTCCCTATTTATACCCCGTCCTTTCCTACAGAGCTACCAATGAGCAGTTAATTATTCTCTGCATTGTATACTGTCTCTTTTAATCAGACATATTGTCGGCTCTAAGATTACATTATAGCCCATCATACAATTCATAACGCTGAAGATGATCACTCCCCTAGGTAAAAAGTAAGACCCATAAAAAAGAGAATAAGAAGATATAGCCCAAACAGTGAGCCAAAGGAAGGAATAGTTCGTTGTAGTCCGTTGTTGGTATCGGTATGTGTGGGAGCCGGATGACTTGTTGTAGTCGAGGCCTTGGTTTCCAAGCAAACTTTCTTCGGGCAAAATCCATAATAGCATGCAAAAGAGCACAGTCCTTCGTAGCTGTCATCTCCATTCTTCGGGTAACCTTTGTCCTTGGTGGCTTTCGGTTTCTCCTTCGGAGCACCCATGGCAGTGCAGTAGCATGTGGCAAGGGGGCAATAGCCATATTTGCAGGTGAATTCACACAGCTCTGTGAAGTTTGAGGATCCAGCTCCCTCAATGCAGGTCTGCTCGGATACTGAGAACTCTGGCGAAACAGAGGCTATGGTTTTTCCTGACGTTGCGCTTCCAACCCATGCATTCAAATTGGCGAGGTCGCCAGTGCAATCCTTGGTGAGAGCGCGGCCTTTGACGGATACAGTCTCCTTGCCACTGCGCACAATGGTGACCTCTGTTTCCCCAAGGTGCTTAGCATCATAATAAAAGCTGCCGTGATAAACGCCAACACCGCCATCCGGTTCGAATTCCCAATTTGCGTCTTTCTCTACGCCACCAATACTCACCTTCACTGAGGCGTTCGAAGCAAGAAGTGCTGAGAAGAATACCTTGTCCGCAATCCAAGTATCAGCATCTTCTTCAACTTGGAGTTGAGCCGTAAAACCTGTGGTATTTCCTCCGCCGCAAGAGATCCGAGGTTGTGTCCGATACCACACGACTAGGCTTTCTTCTGCCACAGAAGCGGTTCCCTTTTTGTACAAATCAATAACGTATGGAAGCTGCAGTCTCCAGCCATCGTGTGGCATCCCTCTGGCATAGTTGTATGGTGCTTTTCCGGCGGCAAACACTCCATAGCCTTTTTCGTTGAGAGGTCCGATGTAATGTGACTCGCCATAGTCATTCCAGGAAATTATCTCGACCCACTCGGGATTGAGGAAACCAACCTCCACCCATCGGTCATACCACAAATCGTCTCCGTGACATGCGAAGTTCTTGTCGTAGCCAGGCATGTTAGTATAGAACCACGGGGAGGCTGGCATCATGTATGGCTTGCCAGCATTTCCGAGACTGCCGAGAAACGCTGCATCCACGTAGGTAGTCATCCGACGAGAGTCTGTTGGCCATGCAGCCCACGAGAACAAGCCGTCAACAACACCCCCAGCAAGCTCAAGGGCAGAGGTGGCTGCCACGGACGACCAGTCGGGGACAAAGAAACAGCCCGTCTTTTGTTTGATGGTAATCCAGTCATCAGCGTTTTTGGTTCCTTCGAACGTAGAGACAAAAGGCTTTTTATCGTGGTGAAAATAGGCGGAACTCGGGGCGTATTTCTGCAGCATGTCGATGACCTGTTCCTTTGGCCAAGCTCCATTGCCGGCGTAGTCGAAAGAGAAAAATAGATGGAAACCAAGGTTCTCTGCCATGGCGAAGGCATTGGAAACAGACTGCTCGTTTGTCTTCACACCATACGCCATGTTGAGTGCAAACGCATCGATGTGAGCCTCCTTGGCCAGGGACATGTCTTGCCTCCAATCCGAGGGCCCATATATGCCAGTGTTTGCCATCTAGGAGGAATATTTGTTGATTAAGATGATTTTATCAAGAGGAGACGTACTTACCATAAAATGAGCAAACACTGCCTTACTAGAGGCCCGCGATGCAAGACTTAATAGTCGAAAGAGGATGATTAAGTTCCTCTTTATGGAGAATTTTGTCAATTCCATGATGATATTGAGTAAGAAAATCTCTTCCTCTACCCTGAATAAGACTTAGCGCAAGTACAAAATAAATAGACAGAAGAGTCAGCTCAGAGCGGATCCTGATGTACATATACCTACTACGCCACAAGAAGCCAATTCTCACAGGTGATACCTGCTGTGGAACAAGAGTGCGTAATATGGCTTCTTCTAACTCTCTAGTGTATCCCGGTAGACTATTACCGGAATCATGTTTACCATAATGCCTTCGCTATCCGGATCCCGGATCCCATAGGTTCATACTTTGCAATCTACGCCGCGCTATCCGAGATCGCTGAAACCGACTCTAAATTATATTAAAGGTCTCAAAGTATCAAATCGGTCTACCTCTAATGCTCCTCGATACGATGTGACCTTTCTTGACGAGATACGTTCCAAGAAGGTCCGGTGAGACCCGATTCGGTAAGACCAAGATTGTTTTAGCACTGGGCATGGGATGATCCGGAATATGCGCAATTGTACCTGTAAATTAGTGTGATAGAAAGAACACGGCAACTCTGCACATGAATAATTACTTGCCATCTATTTTAGGAGGTCTGGATTTACCATGTCTCACTTCAAAGCGATAAGAAAACACGAGGTATCCATGTCTAGGATCAGATGTCTCGATTAGACACCCCACCAGCATAGATGTTTGAGTTGTTCTCGCGCAAATGGTTGATTTCTGAGGAACCGACAGTTTCTTGTTTCTAGTCTGGTTTCCGAAATAGACTGGTGTGTTTTAAGTCTTGACTGGAGGCAACGTATGACAAGATCCTTTCTTATGTCTTTTTCTTCTTCAATCACATATATTCTTCCCCCACTTTTAATCAATTTAGAAGGTAAGTGGCTATTTACGTATCAATATAAACCAAGTTCTATGTTATTTTGTTCCTCTCTTTGGGGCACTGTTTGTTGCCATTGGAAACCCTCTTTTAGTATCTTTGGAGCTGACTGGACACGACATCACGTTTTAGATGATACAAACATGCCACCGTTAATGTACAACAATAACCTTACATCCAATAAATTGAGTTCAAATTTGACTATGGTCATAATAATTGGATCTTGTTGCGGATGCAGCTAATTAGGTCAAAGGCCCATAATTGAATTCTGCTTATGGCCATGGAAGTTCTGGATTGATAGTAGACAGTATTGTGGAGTCTGTGTGACTAATTTATGATACACAGGTGGATCTGATATTCATAATTGAGTCATATCATGTCACAGAATTGGGTTGCAATCTATTGTCAAAGCTGTCCTGGACTTGTCGAGCAGATCGGGAATATCAATGTTTAAATTCAATTTCAAGCTTCGTTGATCTAACTCTTAGTGTTTGATTTCATGGACCAGATATGATATACTAGTTGTAAAGCTTAAGAGATTGGGTTGAAAGTGCGAAGTCCCTCACACCTTGTCCCGGAATGATGCATACAATCGTGCGGCAAACAGAGCGCCAGGATACATGGAAACAACAGGCAATTAAGACACCAGCTATCTACAACAGGGAACATAGATCTGTTGATCGTGCTAAGAAGTATTAGAATATTTCTATGCGAAATCTTCGCAGTGAGTGAGCATTGGTTTACGTATTATTTGAGCACATATCTGGCGTCTCTTTTCATTCCTCTTTTCTGCCTATTTTCGAGTGTCATTGGGTGAGCCCAACAGATCATCCAAAAGCGAGGGAGTGAACAAACTTGTGTCAATTCTTGTACTTCATCAGGTCGACGTAAACGAGAGTAGAAATGTACATCATTGACTCTGGTGCAGGATGATGAAGAACAGTTGCGGCAATGTTGGGGAGGCTAGAGCTACGGGAGGGCGTTGAAGCCCAAAGCTAGGGCTAACACCTTACCTTGCCTAGCAAACAAACAACCTGGTTGTTTGATGGTTGTTTGGTTTGCCCTGCTGCCTTGGCACCGCATTTCATCCCACCCCGGGGTTTCCCGGCTTCTTCCTCAACCCCAATTCCGGTTCTTCCCGATATCCTCACACCGCCCTCCAGTCTCGGCATCTCATTTGCTTCATTCTGTCAACTTTTGTCCATCTTCACCAGACCGCTTCGAGGTCACGTATAAGTATCCAGTCACGTGTAAATCTGACTCCACTCTCCCAGCTGACATAAGGATGGTTGCCCTGGACAACTGCACGTCAACAACGGATCTTGGAGTATTCGACTGTTCCAGACACGCGATCCTCGATCGATTGACTTGCACAGTGTATATGGGTGCTTATTAGCATTCCATTGAACCCCACCATCACGTCCCCGCGTTGAAGCCGATCCCTTGATTGACTTCACCGCTTCTCTGAACATCAAACCCCGTTTACATACATACTTCGCAAGCACATTGAAATTACATACTAACGTACTCTGATGTGCCCATAAGAAAACGCCCTATTGCGTGCAAGGACCGCTTGTCACCATGTCTAGTTTCCTGAATGAACCTGTGACCCCACGTCCATGGAAGTCGGGGTCTGCAGGATTCACCGAGCACAATGGTGAAAGTGACACTTTCGATAGTCGATTGGGTGAGAACCCTTTTGAGGTCACAGAAGGAAACGATTTCACGACCGAAGTACGTGCACCGGTTTTGAGAGGGTCGCGTCCGCAACGCGCGAATAAGACCAGACAAACATTTTATATCCGCGAAGAAAATGAAGATGCAAGTGCGGGTCGCGAAACGCGACGACGAACTGCCGAGGTGATCAAGTCATCAGAAGGCCGCAAACCGTCACTTCTTGCTCAGCCAGCTCAACGATTCCGTTCAAATCCTGGCTTTCCTCAAGAGACCAAACATGAGATACTGGCGCTGCCCAAGGTTTTAGTTATTGAAGCCAGAAATAAGAACAAACCCTCGATTCTGCTTGGTGACAAGGACCTAAACAAGAAGACTGCGGGAAATTCTCTGAAGGAAAACGCTCGACGCAACACAGTTTACATCCCCCCTGATGACAGGGCTGTCCCCAGTGTTTTCATGAGTATTTTCAGTCCACCCAAACAACGCTCTGGGACTTCCATGTCACAGGCATCAGACAAAACTGAAATCAACAGGTTCGAGCCACAGATCACCAAACGCCAGGCACGGAAGACTTTGGCGGCGTCTGGTCAACGAGCACCACTGCAGCAAAGCTTGAAGATTGCCCAGGTAGATCCAACAGCACCTGACATTCCTGGAACCGGCGGCGGCAAAGAGAACTTGCCTCCTGGGAAGTTGCTCCTCCCCAAGGACAAAGATGTTACGTCCGATGATGTCCCATCAAAGCCACTATTCGCTCGACGCTCGGCGACAAATGCCGCTGCCTTGCAAGCCCCCCGTGTCAATCGAGCTCCCACTCAACTTCCCCCTGCCAGCCAAGCCACCTCTGTCAATCGAACCTCCACTGATCTATCCGCTGCCAATCAAACCCCCGCCCTCAATGGAGTCTCCGATGTCAGTCGAACTTCCGTTGCCAAGCAAGCCACCACAGCCAGCCAAACCCCCACTGCCAATCGACCCTTCGCTGCCAGCAAAGCCTCCGCTTCCAATCAAACCCATGCAACCAGGCACAGAGGGGAGAAGAAAGCGCCTCCAATGATTGTGACACTTGGTAAAATGCAAGGGAATGCTGGCAATGCTCTCAAAAGGCCAGTGAGACCTGCAGTGCCTCTCAGTACCCGAGCTTCTCTTTTGCCAGATAGGCTGGGCTCCTTTGAGTCGTCTCAGAATCTTTCGATCGATCACATCAAAACTACACTCAGCGAAGCAAATCATCAGTTCTCGTTGGTTGTCGATAATATTGCGGAAACGGCTTTGTACGAGGACAATTGGCTGTCGTACCAGGAGACCGTTATCAGTCAGCTTGCGAATGGCCTATTCGAACATTTTGATTCCAGCATGGCTACCTACGATGCAGATGCTTTTCGACTCGGCTTGCTCAGTATCTACCATACAGCCCCATTTATCAATCTCTACAAACGCCTCCAAAACTCCTTGTCTTGTGGTTATCTGAAGATTCCCAAGGAAAGCCTCACTCGGGGTACACGACTTCATCAAAACCTTGGTCTCAAGAGAACATTCCTGGATATATGGCTTAAATCCTATGATCTCCGTGCATTGGTTCCAGCCCTGGAAACTGTCGTTGGTCGGCAAGTTTTCGATGACTTGACTTGGCTTGATGGTCTCAATGATGGCCCAGGAAGCGTGTCTTCGAACAAGATGGTCATCAGAACCGTGGAATCATATTTGGAAACATTCTTGCTTCGCAATGACGATATTGGTCAGTCCACTGCCAGCGTCAATGACTTTGGCGTTGGAAGGTATGCGAAGATTTACCACCGCGCTGTTCTGCGAAGCATCATGCTTATCGCCCTGTTGGACAAAAGCAAAGAGTGTCTTGGTGCCGATTTTCCTTGCCGACTCTTCGAGCCTTCTTCTGCTTTCAAATCTTCCGCCGGTGTCTTCCGAGCTTTGCTGAGTCTCCTAATTCCATCTTGCGGCGCCATCAACAGGCTGCTTGCTCACCTGAACTTCCAATTTTCTCACAAGCAGCATCCGCTGCAAGAGTACAACTACAAGATCAACATCATGGCAGTTGACTTCCAAGATGGCGTGCGGCTGGCTCGTATTGTCGAGCTTCTTCTCATCCTGCCGCAACATCTGCAATCTGACCCATATGCTTCAACCTTTGTATCTCTGCCTACAGGCGAAGTTTTCTCACTGGTCGAGGGCAACCTCAATTTGCCTCTGTCTCAGCATCTGAAATTCCCTTGTGTGAGCCATGCAGTCAAGATGTTCAATGTCCGCTTTGTCCTTGGGGCTCTGGCCTCTCAGAATAGCGCCGCCACAGTTCTTAACAGCATTCAAGCCACAGATATTGTGCTCGGCTACCGCGAGAAGACGATCGCTCTGCTTTGGCCTCTTCTCGGCAAATGGGTACTGACAGGCCTTGTTGATTGGAAGGATGTCCGCAAAGAAGTTACCCGCCTGAAGCACAAGGCTGTTGCTCAGCTTGGCTACGAAGCAGTCAAGGACGAAAATTGGTTCTTGGGTACAGAATTGCTTGATGATGAACATGCACACCTTTTACAGCGATGGGCAGGAATTCTTGCAGCCTTGCGAGTACTTCGTGTGAGCGACCTGACCGCAAGCTTCGCGAATGGAAAGATCTACCGAAGCATCATGGATGAATATGAGCCATACATTGCTGGCGGAGTCAGCGAGAGTAAAAATTCAAGCTTCCCTTTTAGCTCGATATCTTTGCAGTCGCGTCTTCAGCAACTGGGGTGCAGTGCACAATTTGGTAAGTACACTTGAGCCGTCTTTGGTTCTCTGGTTGATACTAACTTTGTTCTACTAGCATGCCTTATTGCGCCGCACACAACATCACATGTCCTCAACTGCGATACTACACTTGCCGCATTGGTATTCATCTGCTCTCGCATGCTGTCCGCGTCGAAGCGCGCCCGAGCCGCTACAGCCATCCAGCGGGCGTGGCGCTCTCACTCAGCAAAGAAGATGGAGGGTCGGCGTGAGGTAGCCCGCGAACTGGCACAGAATTGTGCTACCGCTGTTCAAGTCCGGACTGAAGTGTTGGGTGCAGTGGAGGTGATCACCCGTTGGTGGTGGGAGGTGAAATCCCGCAAGCAGCGAGAGAAGACCTTCCAACGGAAGGCTATGCGCAAGTCGTCAGCTCGCCGGAGCATCGGTCGTAAGGGTGTCCGTCGGCTCTAAATGAGTCTTACGTTCTTTTCGTTTTTTGATTACTTGTATTGATACCCCCTGAAGCATTTTTAGCCTTTTTTTTTTATGTATTTTAACTATCATTTGTTGGTCACCTGCCTACCTGCTTGTAATGAGTGGGTAGGTGATTTGAGCGAGTACTCACGTGCACATGAAAAAACCTGCTGTCTATTATTTTATTCATATTGCTGGCTTTAGATGGTTAATCAGCCTTTTTTGCACGGGTTATAGTCCCATCGCGGGAGTCCCGCGGGACGGGTGCTGTTCCTAGTGCCATGTGGTCCCGTCCCGTCCCGTGGGTAGTCAGTCCCGTGGGTAATCCCACGATCCCACGATCCCTGTAAGCTCAAGGCATAAACTAATTACTGCCAATGGCGTTCGCGTGGATATCCTTGCAGACCCACTGGCAATAGTCATATTGAGCCACTAATCAGTAATATAGGGCTTCGAAATCCCTGCATGTGCAGGTATGTAGCAACCTATGGTCCCTTTCTACTCTTCCTCCAATTACGGAAACTTGTGCACATGCTCAAACTCCTCCCAAAGGGAATTAACCCCAACATGGTACTTCGTCTCATTCCGGACCATAAAGGTGAAAATGTCAGGTCTAGAGTAGTGACCAATTGGGTTAATCACAAAATTTTGCCCATACCTTAGGCTCATCAACCTATTCAGATCGCCGCTGCTTGCAATTGCGGCAAGCACTAGATACACGGGGCTCAGACCGCTGCGTGGCTCAGTCTTTAGCTATTGGCAATATTATTGCAAAGTGTACAATGGCAGACCACACTCAGAATCTTTTCAACGCTCAGAATATTTTCAAGGGTTTGCTGCAATTGCTCAAGTCTGTACGATAAGGCATAGTGTCAGGAGTCGCCCTACGTCTGGCTTTTCAACCCATCTTGGTGATTGTTGATTTCTCTTAGTTCCTCGTTGACCACAGCTGGCAGACTTTTGCTTCTATATTGAGCTGCTTTCTTGGACCTCGATTACAAATAGGGGTTATAGATCTGTTGATAATGTTATTAATAATTAGACAATGTGTATGCAATATCCTGGTAAAGAGTGTAGTATTTCATGCATTTTTTGAGTCCTAACTTGACCTCTATTTTCTCACTTCTTTTTTGTCCATTTTCGAGTGCCTTCGGTGAATCAACTAGATCATGAGGGTGAGGGATGTAGGCTTAAGACGACTGTTGTATCACATTCATCAGATAGGTAATATTTCTAGCTCACATATATTATACAATTATGTGACAGGTCTATTCCGGATCCCTATGGTTGATCACCGGATCAATACTACCCATATCAGACGTCCCATCTCCATCCTGCCTATTACTTTCGATATCAGAACTCCCCCAACTTTTCCCAGCCGTACAATTACCACCCTTTGATATCGTTGACACTGTGCGATCGCGATCACTTCCAAGTTCTCGAAATCCGGTTTTATTCCCCCGCATTGATTGTAGGTGATGGCTGGATCCGGTGTAGGGCTGGGAGGTATATTTCGAGCCGCCGCTTTTACTGCGTAGGCCCTGCACTAGTGGGTTTAGGAGTGGGAGGGAGCCGCAAATAATCGCCACGTCGAGTTCGAGGCAGGTCCAAATTGATTCTTTAGCGCTGGATGCTGTTTGATATTGATATTAGCTGGAGTAATAACTGGAGTTGGAACCGGCACTTACAGGCAAGATCTGTAAGTTGGAATTTGCGAAATTCGATCAGGCGCATCAGACTGAATATACAGACGCTGCCAGCTGTTAGACTAGCAATTTCGTGATTTTTTGAGGGTGCCTTACAGTCCACCGAGAGAAAAGACCATTGTTAACGCGATCTTTTGTCGCTTGTTGATCTTCAACTTCCAGAAAACAGGAAGAGGAAGACAAAGAATGATGACGTCTTCTACTAATGCGATTGATCCCATGGCCTGGAAGAAATGAACCTGTCCCTTCATGCAGTGTCCATCCAAGTCTTTATCGTAATAGTATTGCACCGGTATGCATTGGAAGGTATTGACCAATAGTGCGGCGAGGGCCCATAGGCTGATGAATCCGATCAAACAGTAGGAGATAATGGTGTATGCGCGAATGGAGCCAAAGAGACGTTTAATAAAAACGACGATCGAGATCTTGACGAAGGCCATTGAGGGGGCCCAGAATTTCTGTATCATCCAAGATCCCTGCGCGAATAATTAGAATTTCCATGCCAGTCGCAGGGTCGCAATACTGTAGGTAAATTGGTACATACAAATTGAATGCGCATTTGTTCATGTTTGGGCAGTGTTGCGACGTGTAGGCCGACGCCATTGAAAGCGGCTTGTATATTTAGTATCCTGGTGAGAGGAAGGGTTGAAAGACTCACTGTCGATCACAAAAGCTGTAGCACAATAAGAGATGATCAAACCAGTGCCCATCAGATAATCTTCCAGTAGAAGCCCCAGAGCTTTCATGCGCCTGCAGTAGAGGCGTAACAGGTAGATGATAGTCGCCACCACGGCCCCGATGATTGGCACAATAATGAGGACATTTTTCCAATATGTATTCACCTTGTTCGCCATCTTCGAAGTGGTAAAGATAAAGAGGGGACCTAGTCTCTGCGATCCGAGACTCAGGCCAGCGCTAAGATTAAGGGGTCTATGATATTTTATTCGACCTCGTATATATTAGCGCAATTCAACTTCTCAGGCGAGAAGAAGAACTCTAAAAAAAAAAAAATCCGAAACCGGACCACTCCTTTAGTTTAACGAACAGGCCGATCGACATTTGACCATGGCACGAGCGGAGGTGGTTGATCCAATGGCGAGTAGACATATTTGGCCCCCGCCGGAGCCGTTTGGATCTTGAGGTCACCGGTAAAAAGCTGTTTCATTCATTCGCCCGTCCAATTTGGAAGTGGAACATCCCGACTCTTTTGCGCCCGCAAGCCGAGAGATTATATTGCATTAGTCTCGCAGGGTTCATTTGATATAATAAGTTGGTAGCCAATCACAGAACTAAGACACTCGGTCGTCCCGTGCCTAAACCAGCTTAATCCTATGTGTACATATTAGGCCCCCGTCTTGGTGATTCTTAGTTTCTCTTAGTTTCTCTTAGTTCCTCCTCGACCGAAGCTGAAGAATTCTTCAATTGAGTTTTTCTTTCCTCGGAACAATTGCTATTTTGTGATCTCACATTCTTCTTGATCGCCATGGTGCCCAACTTGTCCAGGGTGATCTTGTTGGCCTTATTAGGCTCTACTGTCGCAGAGCAATGTACTTTGAATGCCTTTAATGCAACCGTCGGAGGACATGTACAGCCTCTCCTTCCTTTCTCGTTGCCCTGTTTCTCCAGCTACAATGGCAAGCCGCTGCCTCGCGATGATGCCGCCTGCGCCGTCATCCAGGCGAACTACTCGGACCCATGGCTGCGAACCAACTCTCCCAGTGGTTATATGAACAACCAGGATGAGATGTGGGCATCTGATCCCACTGATCAGTGTCTCCTCGACAGCAGTGATCCCACAGATCCCCTGGCGTACGCAGATGCCGACTGCCGTCAGGGTAATCTGCCCTCTCACTATCTCGAAGTAAAGAGCCCAAGGGATGTAATTGAAGCTTTCAAGTTCTCCAACTGCTCTGGCAAGCAGCTCGTCATCAAAAACAGTGGCCATGACTATCTCACCCGCAGCAGTGGACGTGACACGCTATCTCTGTGGACACGTAACCTGCGATCTATGCAATACAGTCCGGGCTTCGTCCCTCGCGGCTCCAAGAACGCCACTCGATACAACGCTATCACCGTCGGTGCCGGCGTCAACTTCGCTGAGGCGTATGAATTTGCACAAAAGCACAACGTCACGATCCTGGGTGGCTACTCAGGCACCGTCGGTGTCTCGGGTGGCTGGGTTCAAAATGGCGGCCACTCCATCTTGAGTCCGGTGTACGGTCTTGGTGTTGACCGTGTGCTCGAGTACAAGGTCGTCACCCCAGACGGTGTCTACCGCGTCGCCAACGAGTTCCAGAACCCCGATCTCTTCTGGGCCCTCCGCGGTGGTGGCGGTGGAACGTTCGGCGTAGTCCTCGAAAGCACCCACCTCGTCGAGCCTGCTTTTCGTTTCGTCTCTGCCAACATCCAATTCCCCGCCAACTCGACCAACATGCTCCCATTCATGGAGATTGTTGTCAATAACACGCTCAAATGGAGTCAGGAAGGATGGGGTGGTCACATCACCGGTAACACCCTCATTAATGTCTCTCCTCTGCTCTCTGTCGAGCAGGCCCAAGCTTCCCTGGCAAGTGTGATTGCTTATGCCAGAGCAAACGGCGGCTCCGCCACTATCGAGGAGTTCACCTCTTGGTACTCTTTCTATGAAAAATATGTTGAGTCCAGCTCCGTGGCAGTCGGCGTCACTCGCTTCCCCGGAAGCCGTCTGATCTCCCGCTCCGTTTTTGAGACTGCCGAGGGTCGCTCGAACCTCATGAGCTTCTTCACTACTATCCAGTCACTCGGTCAAACACCGTACATCCCTGTTGTCGGACCAGTATTGTACAACTATACTGAAGGCTCGACTAGTGCCGCTCCCGCCTGGCGCGATGCTATCTGGGAATTGGGTTCTGGTGCTTCCTGGGCGTGGAACAGTACCGTTTCCACCCGCATGCAGAAAATCGAGTCTATCCAGGACACCACCGCTATTATTGAGGGTATCACGCCCGGTGGTGGTGCGTATAGCAATGAGGCCAACCCTTTCACCATCGATTGGGTTGAGTCATGGTGGGGCGATAACTATGAGAAGCTGGTGAGCATTAAGAAGAAGTATGATCCTGCTGGCTTGTTGAGTTGCTGGAAGTGTGTTGGCTGGAAGGAGTCGCAGATTGCTGATTCTTCGTATGCTGCTCTGCTCTAATTCTGGGGCCTCTTTGCTCCGTTAGTTGTACCATATAGACTTTACACCATATACATACAATAGACGTCACACTGCTTCCAATTTGGGATCTTCTTGCGCCACTGCTCTATTACTAGGCAAGCAGAGGATGTTTGCCATGGTTTCCTTGTCAGAACTCACGCTTCCTGGGGCTATATAAGCTCGCTGCCTTCCCTCCCTCTCTCTCTCTCTCTCTCTCTCTTCTGATCATAGATACATATATAATTCACACTGTGCATATGAAACAGATTTCATGTTTCACTGCCCGGAAAATGCACCGAGGCATAGACCATGGGGAAATGCTCACATCAAATTCCATTGCCAGAATAAACGGATATGAACATATCTCTGGCAGGTAAACATGCCAATACAATCAATGTATTGCCCGACTGGGTAAGACGCAGTCACTGGATCACAAATCACGCCTTCGTCTATCATTGGTAGACCCCGGTGCTCCTAGGTGGTGATAAAGCCACGCTAAAGGTGCCGTAGAGTCTGTTCAAGGAAGCGACTCTCCAGCAATGGTACACACAGACGACGACCATGACCGGAAACATCCAGATCATCGAAAAGGAAGCAGACATCCCAGCTTCTGAGCTTATCAGTTTTTGACCTGGTGTTTTCTCCGAGCTCCCTACCCGAACACTCTTCTTCTTCTGTCAAAAGAAGAAGCTCTACACATACTGTTGCAGTAGTGAAGTCTGCTCACTTGCGAGTGTAAGTCTTCTCTCTATTCTGGTTTGACTCAAGACAAGCATATCTCTCATATCTAATATTCCTTCACAGAGAAGTTGACACTCTCGCTTTCTTCCGAATGACATTTCCATACATCAGGCAACAGACTCCGGCGTGGAAAGGTCCAAGGGCAAGTTCGATTTCCTACTCCTTGGTTCATGATGAGCTCTGTGTCTCTCTTGTCTGTGTTCTTCCTCTCGGAGTTAATCTCACTTTTCTGATTCTGACGGTTGTTATTTCACTAGAACCGGCGACATCATAGCCAGGAGTACTCATCTGAGACTGGGTGGCGCTCTATACCCATCAAGAGGTTGTTTTCATCAATCAACACTAGGAAAACATTTGAATTCCGATACTGTCACCGAGAAGTTATCCTTGGACTTCTCCGTGAGCGCTGTGCTCTGTGATCAAGATCATTGGCCCAAAGCATCCGAAAAGAGGACAACGTAGGGCATGGTTATTGTACCAAATAGAATGCTTAAATTGATTCTCTTTTAAAGAGATGATTGTACAGTTTCTACACTTTACAATTCCTTGTTTGCCCAGCCAGGTAACTGGACTGGACAAACGCAATGCGGGTTTAGTGAACCCCATTATAAACGGTATAGACTATTATTATTCCTTGAATAATCGCCCGTCTCCCAGGATATCGTCTGAAACCTATGTCAGCTTACGATACAAACAATTAATTTCGTATCTATACAATTCCGCCACAGCCATCACAGGTGGACAAGCCCTCAGACAATGACATCATAGGGCGCACCCATATAACAACCTCATCTTTTGACCCATCAACATTTCATTCCTACAATCACAGCCATCTACTCCATTACACTTCAACCCCTGTCTTAGCCCCAACCGAATACCTCTCCAAGACCTCTCCTCCTCTCTCAATCCATACAAACAAACCACCATGCCGATCGACACATCCTCTCAAGACAAAGGCGTCACAGGCGCAGCCAAATTCGTCACCTCCACATTTGGAAACACAGTCGGTGGAGTTACCCGCACGCTGGGTGGAGTGACTGGCACTGCAGGCCGCGGTATTGGGGATACCATCACCAGCGCGACAGGAAGTACTGGCGAGCCCGTTGGGAATATGCTTGGCAGTGCGACTACTGGGCTTGAGGATGGTGCCAAGCAGGTTGCTAAGGGGGTTGAAGATGCTGGGAAATGGAAATAAGGGACATGTGTTGCGTTGATTGTTTGTATATAAGTCTGTCTGGGGATTGTAGTCCTCTTTTGTATTGATCCTGTTCCTGCTTCAGTGGAGATTTTGTTATTTTGAAGTAATGCTATACCCTTCCAGCTTTGAGGTTGTGTGTTTGTTCAAGTCGCTTGAAGAGTGTGTGTCCTATGGCTCTGAGCTTTAAGCTTGGAAGCATACACACTGAATGCTTGATACCAACCGTTCTCCTTATGCTTGAATCCTTTGGATATCTCGTTCTCGGGCCTATTAGATCATAAGAAATGCATGTCTTGCTCAATCATATCCTTTTTGTTGCTTTTCAAGGCTTGTCTGCTTCTAGGTTTCATGGAAATGATATCATACCCATAGCCAGGAACAATTATCCCCGACACATGGCTTGTGTAACTGCCTTTCCCAGGATCCCACGCGATATCAAATCCAAGCCGAGGGTATCGGTCATTTTTGCAATGCAAATACATGGAGTATAACTCAAAATCATCATCTGAAATTCAAATACAAGGTCCGGGTTGCCAATTCAGGAAGAAAGACACCGAGATCAACCCCTCGTATCCAAGTCAAAAGCATCAACGCATCAAATGAGACGTAAAAGGTCATCCCAATGACTGAACCCCATTCCGACCATCAACACCCTCATCCTGCCTAATGACTTCAACACCGAAATGCTTCATGTATGCCCATCCTTCCAACTGCAGATATAGCATCATACCTCACAACGATCGTCTTGGAATAAATGAAACCCACCACGCTACTTCCAATGGAGGTTTCCGTCTCCATGGCACGGTCACCGCATTTCTCCATTGATATACACTACGTCCCCTGCAGGGCAAACACTGACGTACCCGCTACTGATGTTATAGATCAAACCCTCGATCTGACGTGGAAGCTTCTCATCTCGGAAAGAACCGCTAGTGTCCAAGACATGTATATACAGCAGTACAGTGACCAAAAAAAAGGCTACCATGGCAATGAGTAACACGAACGCACGCGTGTTCAGCAGGGTGAGTTTTGACGGTAGTGACATCACCGGTAGAGCATCAAGTCTACACTGTACACTGAATACTCGTAGTATTTGGTGGCTGGACTAGACATCCCACACGGAGCACCGTACTAAATATATCCAACAAACCAAAGCCAGCCTCTAAGCCCTATACGAATACAGACACCGCCATTCCCTAGGCCATAGCATATCCAACGGCGTCATAAGCAGGGGATTGACGGATATTGCGATTACGTAGGCGGGATTCTGTCCAATCGAAAGGAGCTGCCGTTTCCGTTGATGATCTTCGTTTCGGATGTGGTTGGGTGGTCAGGATGATTGCGATAGACACCTTCTCATTGCCGCTCGTGTCTTTATTCCACTGGTTTCCTTGTACGGAGTACTGTACGCGTTGATGCCTCTAGGGACATGAAACGTGTTTCAGTCATTCCTATGCCTATCAACGTCGTAAATGGGAGTGACATCACGGATGTTTTCGAGGCGAACGACGGTCTCGTTCGTATTGTGGGCCTTGCGACCGTGTATCCGTCTAAGTGAGTTATTTACATGTACATGTACTGTATGCGTACCGTCTGGTTGAGCTGACTCTGTGAGGATTTTGGAGCTTGGGTTGTGCTCAGCGGCTGATGGCACACTTTTGCGACCGACAGAGTTTCATGTATCAGTCGCTTATTTTGGCACGAGCACCTGGGACTATGTCCTCGGTGCCAGGTTGGGAACCCCATGTTGCTACGCGGCATCTTCATTGGCAAGTTGATTGACATCCGATGACCAGAGTGTTATCTGAGCGGGGAGAGGGGTTGTCGATCAACTTCCAGAAGATTTGGAAGTCGGTTTGGTTGTACAAGTAAGTAAAGTATTGTAAGGATGTTGCATAGACATGTTACTGAGACTAACGTGTTGATGCCTACAGGATTGAGGCTATGGCTGAATTGTATACGTAGAGCTCAAATGTAAATGTATATCTGACGTGGTCTCGACCAGGATGACCTGGGTGAAGTCTCATGGCGTGTGCCAAGGTCATTGATGTTTCTATATTTGTTTCAAGGTCGTGCTTGACAAGGGATGGGATCGTAGAAACCCAGTAGTAGCATGCAGGGATGTTGATCGGACAGTCCGATATGAACCGTTCCCAAGGCACCCAGATAAACCCCAGGCTGTGCTGTGTATACACATCTCATCGGACCGGACCGAGTCAGAGGGCCAAGAAGTATAGCCCGTCGATCCCGAACCCCCTAACTTGTCACTCCGTGCAACCGCTGGGCCATGTACAGTCAAGAGTCGACCTGTTTGAATGCTCGCCAAGGCCTGCATGATCGCTCATGATCGCCCTTGGCACGCCTCCATACTCAGCACTGCCGAGTCTGAGGGTTGATTTGAGACTCAATATGTAGGACAGATGCTTGGCGAGGAGTGCCCCTATCATGTTCTGTTTTGTTATCGAAGGTCATCAATGCCAAGAGAAAAATAAAGGGGGTGGACCTGAAGCTATTTGCATTCGCATTTTGCTCTGTAGGAGAGTATCGGCCTCGAACTCCCCTTTTGTGGAGTCTAGATGTCCACCTTGCTTCATCCCCATACTCTGACCCCAGGATCCCCGTTGACAGGCTTACTCCAGAATGGCCCAGACACTGTGTTCCAAGTTGAAGTCGTACCGGGCGCATTCTGAAGACCGCCGAGATCTTGGCGGGAGGTGAACTCGCGCTGCTGCCAAGCATTCCTCTCTCAGTCTCCCTGCCCAGGTGCACTGGTAGATTATTGATCTGCCTGTACTCCGTAGTCCGTATTGTATGGGTGAATGAAATTTGGCTTGGCAAGGTATTGTATCACCCATCTTGTATTCGTGTATTCTTTCGGTTCCGAGAGGACTTGGCATTCTTTGACAATGCAGTGTCTTTGTAGCTCTGGAGGTATGTCTTTGAAGTGATGAAGACCAGGGCTGGGGTAGACTCAAAGCCAACACGGACCAATTGATCGAGGCAGAGAAAGCAATTGAAATAGAATATGAAAAGTTACAGTCACAAACATCCCGTCTTAGCTTAACTACATCTGGCGAATTGCAGTAGCCGGTCCTAAAATGCCTCATACTTTACCACGCGCTACTGTAGAGGTAAATCCTCGCTGCAATTCAGCCTTTTAACCCCCTAGTTACCGCTTACCGCGCAGTCTGCATTGCAGCGTGCAGCTCCAGCTATCCAATCTCACCTCGTAGTTCCCTCCACTTCCCCAGGTGGTGCTCCCGGTCAATCCTTTGTGTACACGCCTATTTAGATGATGTAGAGATCCCGCTCGTGCCATCTGTCCGGAGTCCGGTCTCCACCTGCACAGTTCACACCTTATTGCGGGACAGTCCTTGGCTCCATTTACATACATTTACGTGGTCAGTTATGGAGCACATCGTATGCTGTTGGGGTAGGCTCGGAGATGGAGACGGAGAACAGTGGGTCGGATTAGTTGTTAACGATCAATTGAGTATCTGCCACGATTGATGTTTCCATCCGTGCCACGAGCACAGTGCAACTATACAATCTCATCTCCAGTTCCCGTTTCACAATCTTCCCTATACTTGTATAGAATAGTATAGAATACGACGTGATCATTTGCTCTAGATACAGTACATCCACAGATCGGCGGAGATTAACAGTACTGCACGCCGCAAGGACATCCAACATTCAATTCAACATTCCCAGCATTTACTCGTAGGATTAGCAAATCTGTGGCCAAAATTGGGCGTGCGGAGAGCAAGGAAATGCAAGCCCAGCTTTCGGTGCTTTTCGTGAGGGGAGGCCAAGCCATTCTTTTCCCGTCGTCGCGGGAACTTTTGTTGTCCCGTACTGCATTAGTACACCTGTACGGACTACATTATTTACTCTACTTTGTACCTGTAAGCGATTCGATGGTGTTCTCTGCGCCCGGCGACCTTCCTGTAGGATGCAAAAAGGCAATCCCCCATATATGAAAGCGCGAATCGCTTTGCTTAGACCTTCCCGTCCCTGTTACAAGTAAAGTATGCTTCTGTTGGGGGTAAATTATAGATACATAGATACAGTACGTAAACCGATTGAGTGGTCGGAACGCTACTCTCAAACAGGAACTCCAACGCGAATGCGAACCGAGTCCATACTTAGGCCGCTCTACTACGGAGTATACGTAGCCAACGTCAATGCTAATCGCATCACTGCGCCTATCCTCACAATTTACCAGGTCCATCCCAGCTGCAACCCCGTTGCATTGCTAACAAGCTTCTTCTACAGTAAACATTCCATGTCAAAGCTCCCAACCGCTCAAGCTGTCTTGTCCTGTACTATGGGCTCGAGTGTTGCATTTGCATTTCGCATACTTCCGCACCACTGAGCTTGGCCTTTTACTACAGGGTCCATGCCTGCTCGCACAGATGCAGTGTGGGGAAGGGGGATCCCCTTGGATTCGCGAAGCTTTTCGAGATCTCAACTGGCTGCTGCATTACTGTCTACTTCTTTCATGTAGGGCCCTACCGGTTTTTTGTTGTTGGTTTGGTTTGGGAAATTATGGGCTGTTGGGCTGATTATTTCCGGGCCGGTTTTGCGACTCTTGGGCCTATGGTATTATGTTTTGTTTCTGTTTCTCTTCGGTTATTGTCCGGATTACTATACTGTATACATTATACAGGGAGTCAGCTGTTGGTTGGCTGTTTCTAGGGCTGATCCCGATCGCGGCTGACCGCTTCTCGTGCTTTTAACGTGGGCCCCTGTGTATGCCCCGATGCAGTGTCGAGTCATCGGGTCAGACATCGGATGGTTTTGGGGTTTCTATTTGTGTTCTTTGGGGCTATTGTGGAGATGATGATTAAGAGATAAACAACGCTGCCTATTAAATAACTCATTGTACAGGGTTGATCGGTGAAGAGGCATTGTATATGTATGCCCAATACTCTGCGATCATCGCTTCGCCTCTTTGAATGACGAAACAATGATGGATTACAGTATAGCTCAGCAAAGGGAGAGCCTGGCATCCCTATCACATTATTCGACTGCCTTTGGGCTTGGCATAGAAATCCGATAAACTGCAACTCTGTTTCTATGTTTATACATCTGTGCATGTATACCAGCAAAAGTGAAAGTAGCCAAGAGACTTCTTGCGGATCATGATGTGGATACTGCATACAAAAACACCATGTAGACTCCACCCGAGAAGCTCCGATAAAGTTCAGTCATGGGGGAAGACGATTCAGGTGGTGACTGTTTGGTTCATGTAACTCTACGTCACGATTCACTACCGCACTAGGAGTAAGGAATAAGCATCCAGGTATGACTCGGGGGATCGAAAACCGCCAAGCTACTAATGTGATAATCAGCGAACGTAGCGCGCACAGCGCGTTTATAGTTTCAAGACATTTTAGCAGAAATTCTGTTAGGGCAAGTTCAGGGCTCCGCTGTGTTCAGGCACCCCAATCGGCAGATCGTACAGGGGAATACCGTGGTTGGCTACTGTGAATGGCCACTATGACGGGAAAATGACAATACTTAGCTTGTGGCGATCAAACTTTGGCTACAGTGCAAGAGTGCACTGGTAAGTAACATTCACGTAGTAAGGAATATCTGGTGCTCGTATTTTCGTGTTTTGCTATAGGTCGGCTATTATTCGTGTGTTCAGAATTTTCTCCGTTCACCGATGGTTCGTGGGTGGATATAGCTGTCACTAGAAGTATTGGTCTAATGTGAGGGTGAAAGTAGGCCCTGAACCGGTTTAGCCTAAGCACAAAATCCCTCATAGACTCCACTACGGATTGACCCCTCGAAATGAAACCTTGGCTTTGTCTGTTTGACGCTATTAATATTAGTAGATGGCCGTAGCATTGGCATTGATTGTTAAGAATTCTGCTTTGCTGTACTATTACTAAGTTTTTGTAACTATTGAGTACTGTAGAATAACTAAATCCTTAGCGCAGTGGCAATGCAAATCTTTCTCGCATCTTACAAAAAATTACTAATTCTAATACTAATACCAATACCAATACAGTAAATGACCAAAAGGGAAATTAAAAAATCACCGCGCTAGTCCGAAAACGACAGTGCCGGACTGCCGTATCGTCACTCCCACTTCCTCCCCTCTCTGCACTTTCTACTCTTATGCTTCTTTATTTTGAACCTCTTCCCCCGTCTTTTTACCCCTTCTTTTCCTTTATATCTCCCTCTCCACTCTTCCATTTTCAACTCTTCACATTCTTGCTTTTTTCGCTGCACGGGCCCCAACGCAGTTCTAGCCTCAACATTGAGCCCATTCCTGAACACGGACAATTATCGATCTTGGCGAATATCCCACATTCGACACGATTACCCCCCTACTCTAGCCATGCGTTTTATATCATGACAAGCGTCCTCTCACGGGACATCTTGTGCTGCCCTCTGGGTCGATTCATATACCTGTGATCGATATCAGAGCATTGTTGGTTGAAAGACTTTGATACTTCGTCTATCAAGCAATAATTTACTGTCACCTTCGACTCGAGCCTACGCCAACCGCTTCGCCTTACCCTCCGGTTCCGATACGGACCACCTTACCTTTTCTTACTCTCTTGAAAGATGGCACAGACTCGCGGCGAAAGATCGTTTTCTTTTCACAACCTTTTGAAGATGCTCATTTCATCAAACTCGTCTACCACTCCCTCTCATGAGGAGGCTGAGATTGCGGAGGACGTCGATGAACCCCCGGATCACATCATGCACGCCACCCACATGAACCACATCAACTCCGACCAAATCGTCCTTGCGCGTCCCTCTGTGGACCGGAAGGAATCTCTGCTCACGCGCGCATTGAAGAGCAGCCCCGACATGCACCCCACCGACCCTCAGACTTCCATGCACGACTCCTACATGTACCGATCCTACCCTCACAGCAACATCAGTGGCATCTCCACAGCCGAACTCACCAGCGACGGTGGCCTTACAAGCCCTTCTCTATCCAACACACCCAGCCCGCCTCTACCTCCTCAAATGATGGGAAAGGCAGCAATGATGGGAAAGAAGGATTTGACCCCGAAGGTCAAGGTCGTTGATTCAAGCGAGACGACCGTGGAAGCCAACCTGGGCCGCAAGCGTTGCATTAGCTTTGCATGTGGCCGTAAGACAGATGACCAACCGAAAACACCCATATCACCCTCTGGGTCACAAACACTTCCGCCTCCGAAAGAAGTTTCTGAGGAGGAGGCCCCAATTCAGGAGATCAAGCGCCGGACGACCCTGACCTTTGTGTGTCCGGGCCGTGAGACTGTCAGCCCGAGAACTCGTTCTCCAGCTCGCAAGGGCATGTTTCGGTCACGGTGCCGCGGTTCCCCTGCTCCAGCTTCCCGCAAGCCCTCTATCGAGAAGACTCCCAAGCAAGCACAAACACCTACGGAGGAATCCGCTTCTGGATCTACCATTCGTACAGGTGTCCCCACTAGTGGACTTGGAAAGTTTGAAGAATCAGAAGCTACCCGCTTCCACGAGTTTGCTAGCTCCTTGGACGAAGACGATGAGTGGGTGATCAGGGAACCTACTTATACGGAGAAGATTACTTTGAACGACTGTATGAAGAAGGAATTTGCCATTCGACGACTTGGTGAACAGGCAGAGGAAGAGGCACTTGAGGAGGAAGACGATGCGGAAGACATCGCCGATGATGACTCAACGGTGCACGACTTTTCTTCTGACGATGGTAACGAGTCGGACAACGAGGCTGGATTTGCCGAGTCAGATGAGAGTGACGATGATGGCTCGGACTATGAGTTCTGGGCTCCATCGCTTGCTATTTCGGAGGTCACCGTACAACCTACCACCCAACCAAAAGAAACCCGCCCCGCACCTATGGAACGCCGTATTTCGAATATCTCCTTTGACTCCATGACGGATGACCACTCTAGTTGGCTCCCTGCCCCCGTTCAAAGATTGAACGCCCGTCGCCTTTCAAAAACCAAGAGTATCAAGATTCGCCCGAGAACTCCCAACCTGCCCGACAGTACCGATTTTGTCTGTGGAACCCTCGATGAGGACCGTCCCCTGGAAGCCGCCTACAAGTCCTGCTTGGAACAGCGCCGCCTCTCGAAGCAGATTCCTATCCCTCAGGACATCGACCCCAGTTTCCCTACCAGCGACCCCGAGGACGAGGAGGACATTGATCAATCTGACGATGATATCTCCGACATTCCTGTTGCGACTCACCGTGAGGAACCTAGAGGACGTCCAGAGGGGGATTCCCGTCACCCATCCCCCCTTCGCTCCCCTAAGCGTTTGATGTCCCCGCCGCCTCGTCGCCCTGGCCGTACCTCTCCCAAGCGACTCAAGTCTCCCCCTCCCCGCGTCCGTGCCAAGTCCCCACCTCCTCATGTGCGAGCCAAGTCTCCTACCCCGGCGAAGTGGGAATTTGCAGAGGACTTGCCTGTGGTCGAATCTCCTGAAGGTCTCAACATCAGTCACCTGGTCCAACGTCGTCCCTTGGTCCGCACCAAGTCTCTTCCCCGCACCCCTAATCCTTTCTTCGCCGACATGGACAAGGAACACCGCTGGCAGGGAATCCCACCCTTGTCTGAATCTCCCGAGCTCGAACATTCTCGCTCTCGCGAACTACACACTCGAGGTCCTGTTGACATTGTCGAGGGTCTCGAGAAAAAGCGCCAGAAACGCAAAGAAAAGTTCTGGCGCCAACACTGCCGCAAAGCTGCCAAAGAGCAGATGGGCAAACGGCCGGTCCCCGGCAAAGGAGCCGAACGGATGAAGGAGCTTGGCCTCGAAGTTGCTGAGAGGTGCAGAGCTTACGGCGTCGGTCAAGACGCCCAGCTCGTCCTATCCGTTTAGGTTTTCCATTCCTCGAACTTGCAAAGAAAGTTCCACCCTCCCGTTACGAACTGTACATATCTACATTACCTTCTTTCTACTTTTGGTTTGGGGTCTTTTTGCTTACCCTGCTCGGTTAGCGATCCGAGTGCCTTTCGCTTTTCGCTTTACATATTATTTTGCCTGCTTTGTGTTATCCACACAAGAGGTCTTTCCTTTTTCTCACTATATCCCTGTTGCTTTTAATTCCCACACGGAGGTGGTTCTTTCTTTGCATTTTCTGTTGGAAGTATATCTATATCTTTCCTTTCCCTCTCTTTCCTTGGGCTTGTCCTGGACTTGCTTCTGTGAGGTCGCTTTCTTTGGTCTTTTGCATGGTTATGGTGCATATACCCCCTTGAATTTGCTGCATTGTGAATAAAGAGATCCATCAGTTGATGAGAGTGAATATGAAATATTCGAGATATACTTGGAGTCATAGTAAGGGTAGACCAATAGTAGCAACGACGATAAGCAAATTGTCACGAAAACAGCACCAGCAACCTAAGAAAAGAGAATAACTATCACTAATACCCAAGCTAATTCCCCAAAAAAAATCCCAATACAAACCCAAGATAAGGCTTTGGGTACTAACTTATTAAGTCCTGACCTTCGCGGCGATTCCGCTCTCTGCCTGAGGCCTAAGGCCACAATCCCGAAAACAACATCAAACCTGTCTTCTTGGCCAACCCCCATCCACCATCCATCCACTTCTCTCCATTCACTGCTCCTCTGTGATCCCCCCCCCGCCCTGTCGCCTGTTTCTACTTGATTCACCTCTGACTTTGGCTTCTCAATATGTGGATCATTAACTGGTGTAAGTTTCCCCGATATCTCCATCGCAGCACGGCACCACACCACACCGCACCATACCATACACACCGCATACCGCCATCCTCATGGGACATGCTGAGACTGCGATATCATACCCACCAGCGAGATAAATAGTTTGCTTGGATATGAATATGGATATGAATAGAACTATACGACGTCTCTGTTCGAGCTGGGGCAGGGTGTGATGTCTCTCGGCTTCGGGTCTCGGGTCATGGCTGTTGCGCCGCGGTTGGGCCGCGGCTTGCTTTTGTGGTTGTTGCTTGTGATATGGGATCGTGTGCTGTGCTGGCAGATTATTCTACGAGGATGTACTGACATTCTTGATTTCTTGCAGTTTACGATGTTCTTGCTTCGCTTGGTCTGTTGAACAAGCATGCCAAGCTTCTCTTCCTTGGTCTTGATAATGCCGGAAAGACGACTTTGTTGCATATGTTGAAGGTAAGTTCTCTGGTTTTTAGTACTTTGGATATTGATGGAGAGAGATTGGGCTTGATGGTGCTGCATGGTTGTTTGGATCTAGTGCTTGAATTAAGCATTGAAGACTGGAGACCGGACGGACGTGGTATATGGATCCGATTGCTAATCATTTGTGAACCTACAGAACGACCGTGTCGCTGTCCTTCAGCCTACTGCTCACCCTACCTCCGAGGAGCTTGCCATCGGCAACAACCGCTTCACCACCTTTGATCTGGGTGGTCACCAGCAGGGTGAGTAAACCCCCCCCCCTCCCCCACAGTGCCAACAAGACATCAAAAGAACAGCGCACTATATGCACAGGCAAACCCATAAGCACAATTGACTAACAACAAACCTCCAATATAGCCCGTCGTCTCTGGAAGGACTACTTCCCCGAAGTTAGCGGCATCGTCTTCCTAGTCGACGCCAAGGACTACGAGCGTTTCCCCGAATCCAAGGCCGAGCTCGACGCTCTCCTCGCCATGGAGGAGCTCTCCAAGGTCCCTTTCCTCGTCCTCGGAAACAAGATCGACCACCCCGACGCCGTCAGCGAGGATGAGCTCCGCCACCAGCTTGGTCTGTACCAGACTACTGGTAAGGGCAAGGTCCCTCTCGAGGGTATCCGACCTATCGAGGTGTTCATGTGCAGTGTTGTCATGAGACAGGGTGAGTTATTGTCAATTTTCATCTCCAGCTCGAGTCAGAGTTGGGTTTGGCGCGGAGATGAATTCCGTATACAGCTACAATTTCGCGCGGACATCCATGCTCGTGCTGCAACTCGTTTCAGACCCCCAATTCTATTTCTTGATCATGGCTAACCTAATTTTTTTTCTCTGCAGGATACGGCGAGGGTATCAGATGGTTGTCCCAATACGTCTAAACGAGCTCCAAGCCTAATCCCCTCTTCCGCTATCGACACATCCACCATATCATACCCTTCCGATCCTGTTCAAAATGATATACAATCAAGTCTTTTGAATATCCCATCCCTCCCTCGCTTCCCCTTCTCACCACAACCTCCCCCCAATTCGAATCGAACTCAATCCAATTCAAATCCCCACATCTGAAAACCACCCGTGATCCAATGTTAAGCTTGCTTGCTTTCCTTGCTATACAACCTGCCATTGGACCGGTTTTACCTACATCACATAAACATCTTGCTGGTTTCGGCTGATGCTACGTCTTGATATGTATCCTTTTTTTATTATTGCTTTTCGCGCTTGGTCTGCTAGCTAGCCGGTTTTTTGTTCCTATAGTTCAAAGACTTTACTATTCTATTTTTGTTTGGGATTGTCTGGTGTATGTAGTGTAGCTTTCTTTTGAAGAACAGCGGAGGTGCTGCTCGAGTATGAAGCTTCGTTTTATAGGTATGGACGTCTTGGGGGATCTGAAGTGATGCAGTGGGGAATGAACTGTTTATTCATTTCAATTAAAGAATGACATGGACTTGCTACCTGCAACACAACAATGAACATAACCCACTCCAGGGACATCAAATGGGATCACATGGACAAATTCAACATCATCGGTCTTGTTTAGAGCGCTCGCTATGACGCAGAACCAAACTGGGACTGGCAAATAGCACAACACTTACGTTAGAGACAGACTTATCGGCCTCACTTCAAGACTTCAAGACCTCAAGACTTGTGGCTAGACAAGAAGGAAGGATGAGATAGACGAATAGAATTCGAAGTAAAGAGGAAAAAGAAATAACCAAAGCACACATGCGGTAAAGGGACACGGACACAAATAAGGAAGTCGAGAGAGAAAATAAAAAAAAGAAAGGAGAAAAGATATCTCAAATCCGATTCCCCTTCCTTCCTCCATTGCATCCAGAACAGACATGGGTTAGAAACAAGAACAGAGAAAGGGAACTCGAATAAGAAACGGTGTGAAAAAGACGAGGAAATAAGCATTTGAACTCCGCTCCGGAAGTACAGAGGTCGCGGTGGATCGGGTCAGGAAATGATGGAGACTGGTTTGTTTTTTTTGTTCGCATGTCGCACTGGGAGAGTCCGTGGGTTTGTGGCGAGAGAGATATGTTGAGACAGATTGATATTATCGGGGGTTGGCGGAGTTGAAGAATATCGGACTGTCCTCAGTGCGGATGAGGGGTTCCTCGGTCGTTCATCGTTTTCGTGGATCCGGAGGGACTCGCGGCGGGGGTTGTAGGTAGGATGGATGTCATGAGGGCGCTGTGAATGAGATTTGTGAAAGGCTTATCTCCGCCCGAACCTGCTGCAGATGGGGAAGCTCGTATTGATTCTTTTATTTCTTCTTTTGCTTTCGCGGAGGAGTGACGGGACCGCCGGCGCTCATGCCACCGTAAACGTACTTTTGCTTTTTCTCGGCTGGTTTCAGGATCTGCAGGAGTGAAATAGGTTAGAAAGAGGAGATAGAAGTCGAGGGGATTGAAGAACTCACCTGGAAGGAGCAGAGCAGACTCTCGTCTACGCTCATCATTGCACCTGCATTGTCGAATTCACCGCAGTAGTTGGGTGCACTGAATAGTGTAACCAGCTGGCGCTTGGAGAAGAATTCATATCCATCCTCAACAACTTGGTGTGCACGGCAGATCAGATCCATGTCGTGTTTTTGCAGGAAGCGTGAAACCACATCGGGGCCGAATGTGAATGAGACACCGCGATCGTTCTCGCTCCAGCCGGTGATATCTTTATCGGGGTCGGACCACAGGAGATCGCAAAGGAGACCGCAGTCGGGAATCTGTTTCAGTCAGTCATTTGGCCCTTAGCCGCGAGAAGCCCAGCGCCTCAAATTTATTCCCGCTATCAACTCCAGCCACAGGGGAATCAGAAATGAGGGGAAACTTACATCCGTGGGGCGCATGACACGACGAATCTGTTCCATCGAGTTGAGATCGGGGCTCAGACCACCGTGCATGGTGAAAATCTTCTCATCAATGATGGCGGCAATGGGGAGACAGTTGAAGCAGTCGGTAAAAGTCTTCCAGAGCTTGATGTTGTAACGGCGCTTGCATTCATCGTAGAAACCGTAAATACGGTTGATCGAGGCGCACTCGTGGTTGCCACGCAAAATGAAGAAGTTTTCGGGGTACTTGATCTTGTAAGCGAGCAAAAGGCAGATAGTCTCGAGAGACTGCTTGCCACGGTCGACATAGTCACCGAGGAAGAGGTAGTTTGCCTCTGGGGGGAAACCGCCGTATTCGAAAAGACGCAGGAGATCGTAGTATTGACCGTGGATATCACCGCAAATCTAGGGAGAGCCGACGCGTTAGACAAGCACTTTCGTGGGGTATCAGAGACAAAAACTCACCTTGATGGGCGCTTCCAGCTCCAGCAAAATCGGCTGAGAGATGAAGATTTCACGAGCCTTGGTGCAAAGATAACGGATTTCCGATTCGAGCAGCTGAACCTGCTTTCCAGGGCGGCTACCCCTCACCTCCAAGAGGCGGTCGATGATTGAGTCCAAATCGACTTCCTGGTCGGCCATAGCGTCGTTCTAAGGAAAAAAAACGAAAGAAAGAAATTGATGAAGAAAAGAGGAAGGGAACGCGGGAAGAGGGACTTCCGGAGCGATCGGGCGAGGAGAGCAGAGATTTGATGACGCGGCTATGTCCTGTTACTGTTTAACAAACAAGTTAACAACTCATTCAAAATTGAAATGATGTCCAGTCTGTGTCTCAAAATGCCCTGGGAGGCAAATTCGACGGACGCGCTCGGTTTTTCCCGTTGGGTTTTTTCTCCCCCCTTGGCGGTGGAGTTGGGAGCGAGCAACATCGGGAACAACAAAAAAAAACACTGGTGCCTACCAGAGATATTTCAAGACCAAAGAGATCTGAAGAAGGGCCCTAAACGGCCGCGTGAAGAATGATTTGGCAAAGATGCCCAGACGGGAGGGGACGGTGGTGCCTTATCCGACTCGCTTTCTGTACGATGCGCGGGGAGGAGGAAGGGGCGGGCTCGTAGACGCCTCAAAAGATAGATGAGGCTGAGCAAAGGCCGGAAACTAATGGGTTCGATGAAAGAAGCCGGAGGTCGAGATGAGGGATGAAGGTGAGCAGAAGAGCGAAAGAGAAGAATCTGGGAAAGGGAGGAAGATCTCAATCAAGGGAGAAAGATGAAAGAGAAGAGAAAAGGAGAATCACAGAGGAAGAGAGACAAGAGACAAGAAAGAGAGAACCTGTCGAGAGTTGTGAAGGAGAGAATCTTTTTGCAAAGCGGGAACTTCCATTTGTGTTCTTGTTTGGTCGGTTATATATAGACCTTGTTTTCCTACACTTGATCTACTACGTTTATTCCCCGTTGGATTTCTCTACGCTTTGACTGTTTATGCAAAATCTGTTGCATGACTTTCTGGCGTAGGTCGAGACTGCGCGCCGCGACGCCAAATGGGGTCCAAGCACATAGAGGCTGATAGAGTCTCGACGTGGACATGGGTCTATAATGGCATTGTAAGTTGCATTTCGATGTGTGTTTTATGGGATGGTTTATCTTATTGAGAATAAGTTTAAATTATATAGACTCTACGGCCAGGCAAGTGTTCTTATGGTAATGTTACAATCAGGGCCCTTTGGCGCCCTTCATACAATCTACATGGATAATCCGAGTCACTCGAGGATGTGCATAAGTGTGGTAGAAAGAGGGGTCAAATTAGAGTGAAAGCAATGCATAAGGCAGTATTCTAACTTCGAAGCTTCGTATAGAAACACTTTAATGTTTTGGAGCTTACCCATTCAAGACTCCTGTCGTACTGCTTTCCAGGGATGTCCTCAGATCCTACCAAGTATACAGAGAAGAGAAGTCAATATTCTCACGATGATATTATTCAAACTGATCGTATCTTGTGCCTCATGCTGCTAGTCCAGAAGTCATGGCTGATGCACAGGTAATCGCTCGAGAGAACCAGAGAAAAATATCAAGAGAAGGATGAACAAGAGGGGAATTAAGACAAAGATCCACCAACGCCAGCGTGCCCAAAAATCAAAAATCATACAATACACGCTCTAGCCGAAAACAAACCAAAATGTCTTTCACTGTGCCATCCATGAATCAAGATGACCAAGGGTCATCAGTGCATGCATTTTGAAAAGTGTAGAGGAATGGACAGAAACAGTGCGAAATCAAAGGCCGTAAATAAATCATACATCCAACCCACCATGGCTCGTAAGTCATCGAACGCCGAAAACAATGCATAGAATGGTTACCTGCCTGTATCAAGCGGCAAATACGTTGGTCAAATAGTCACTGGGGACTTTATGGGGTTGTCCCCATATAGAAGAGAAGAATCCGCCGGGCAGATTATGCCCACGGGAAAGGCGGAGATACCCAGGGTATGAGTAGGAAGCCCTGGGGCATATGAAGATGCAAATCGCAAATGCTTTTTATCCGCTAAGGGCATGGCCTCCACTGAGGATCGCTTGGGTGTTCGAGCGGGAAAGTGGCGGAGTGGAAAGATGAGCAGAATGATCTAAACCAACTCCTGAGATGTGGGCAAAGTCCTTATGAGAATTATTCCAGTCGCCTTCGCCGAGCACAGTAAGCCAATTATGTCCGACGTCCTGTCGGAGAACTTCCAAGTGCTGATGACAGAACTCTTCATCCATAGTCCTCTCTTTGCCTTGTGCCGGGTGTTTTAGTGCCGGGTTTGGGGAGTGCATAGGCTTGACAGGACTTTGGATGCTCGATGATCCGGATTGTGGTCCGCTATCCAGCCTCCACGGCTGTTCAACGGGGACCACAATGGAATGATCGACCGGCGCTTGGATATGCTGAATGGGAAGGACGGGAAGAGCGGTACTTCCCGAGGTCCCCAGTCCATCAGTGATGAATGGATTCTCCGCTGAGTGGTCAACTATCCTGCGTCGCTGGGTCTTCTTTCGGCGGTTGGTCGCACCATCAATCTCTTTCGGCGCTCCGTTCACACGCGAGTCTCCCTCGTCTTGTACCGGCTTGAGGACTGCAGTTTCTGGGGGAATGATAGTGATGGTAGACTTTTGCACGACCGTTGATTCATCAGCAGGCGCAGGCCGCATTATGGGCGCACCTTGAGGTTCTGCTACGCGCTCAGCGAGCTGCTTCCTCTCGGTATAACCCGGCCCTCTGCCGTCAATGATCATGTCCTCGGAATAACCAGGCGTTCGGCGGAACAGGTTCATGATCACGATTCGATATCCAGAGTGAGTCTTGACAAAGGGATTGCCGGAGACCCAGATCTCCCGTATCTCAGGGAGACTAGTCAACCGAGCGATCTCTGTCGGGTCCGTGAGGTTGTTGTCACGGAGATCCAATCTTTCCAACGAAAGCAATCGTTCAATACCCGCAAGTGATCGAAGGCGGTTTCCGCGGAGGTTGAGAGCAGTGATAGCAGGGAGAGGGTTCCGAGTAAGCGAGTGGAGCGATTCAATCATGCAATAGGACAAATTGAGAGCTCGCAGAGCCATCAAGGAAGCCAGACCATCGGGAATCTCGGTCAAGAGGTTCGACGACAGGTCTAGCGAGTTGAGAGAGTTGGCGACTGGGGCAAGACTGGCGGCGGAGACAGAGGTCAGGGAATTTTCGGGAAGCCCCAGGTGTCGCAGGAATCGCCATTTCGCGGGCGATAGAACATCGGCAAGGAGATTGGAGGAGCTTCCATTGCGATGGCCAGCTGAAATCTCACTAGATTCCGAGCTCGCAGAGCCAGTGCGTCGAATAATGCGATGGGACTGGCCTCGACGGTGGCCATGCTTGATTGGAGGACGAGTGGGCGAGATACTTCCGGCTCTCGTACGAATCTTGGCGCCTTCCGATCCCGCTCGCATCATCGGGGTGGACTTAGGACTGGAGCTAGTTCCAAGTGAAGTGTTCGCGATAGGAGACCCAGGCGCGGAGAGGGAAGAGTGATCGGAAGTGTGAACGGGTTGCGTGCTGGAGCTGTTGGTCCATCCCAAGGGCGGTGATTGTTGAGACTTGGCAGATCGTCGGCGTCGCTTATCAATGTCGTCCAATACGATCCTCGTCAACAGGTCGGCGGGATCATCCAGGTGCGCTCTCTTGATTGTCAAGCTGCGAAGTTGCTCGGACAATCGGTCCCAGCCGTAAAAGGAACGGTAGTCTAAATCAATAATCTCTAAAGCGCTCAAGTTCTTAAAAGAATGCAGCGGCACAGCCGTATCGAAAGGAAATTCTTCATATCCACTGATCAAAGGAGCTCGGTGGTCCGGGGCAAGGCGTAGGCAGGGAATCTTAGTGAAGGCGGAATAAAGGTACTTCAGATCCATATCCAAGGCAGCCTTTGCCTTTTCCGACTTGGAAGGGCTGTCCTTGGATCCCAGTCGGAAGGATGACCAGAGGTCGGTCATACCAGACATCACGCTACGCACGCTGGATACGGAGTGGATCGAGGCGCCATCGCCTCGAGACCTTTGTGGTTTATTCAAAAAGGAAACATAAGACTGCGAAACCTCGGTGTGGATGTTCTCCAGTCTGACATTCATAGGGCCCACGGTAATGCCCAGGTCCTCGAAGCTGGAGAGGAGGTAGAAGAGGTGATGGGGGGTCAGGGTCAATTTGGCGGTTTTGCTATTCTGCGAGGTAAATTTGAAAAAAGCGGCGGCTAAGTTCAGAGGAGCAGAGGAGAAGGAGCCAGAGCCCGAGGCGTTTGGGGACTGGGGAGTCACGGCATTTTTGGGTTGGCGGCGGAGTTGTAGCGCATTTGCGAGGGCCTTTTCATGGGTGCGAACGAAGCTGGCGACATTCTAATAAAGCAAACAACCGAGTTAATTCTCTGGGATTTCCACAAACAGAGTGGAGTCGCATATCCACAGAAATGTGAAAGTACCAACCTTGATAAAAAGCTGTCCATCCCCAGTGTTCAACTTCTCCATGGTGCGAATGGGTCCGGTGAAGCCGGGGGAAATCTGAAGATGAAGAACTCAACAGATACAACCAGGAGTAGTCGACATCTTGCTTGTGCGACCCGAGCGAGATCCCGAAGAAAAGATCGAGCGACGGCTCTGCAGGCGAGGGTTAGCCTGAATGGAGTTACAAGGGGAAATGACCACAGTACCTAGGAAAGAAGAAGAAAGGTGAGTCAACGTTATGACTCGACCTTGACCCGAAAAGGAGGGAGGGGAAAGATAAGTAGGTGAGGGAGAAGAAGAGAAGTCGAGGGTTTGAGGGCCACGGGGTAACTAAATAATAATACGCTTATCCTCAATACGATACGCAAATTTACCACTTGTATCAGCTGAGAGATAATAGATAGTCGCATGATATTCGATTTACTCTACGAATTTACGGTTTACTTATAAACTTATATCTGGCTTCTCTTCTGTTTTCTTTCTTTTCTTTTTACTTTCTCTCCTTTCCCTGTTTCAACTCAATTGTCCGTATCCAATTCGACCTATCGACTAATCTATCCCATGTACATGTAAAGCCCGGGATATTTACTAAACCCAGGTGGGTAGTGGCGAGCCTATGAAGGCGCCTAACAATTTAGTTTGATTTCCTGCCGCGTCTATATCAAAAGCCCGGTGTTTGCGAGGTAAATATTATATATGATTAGTCCGATGTGCTCCCCCCCCCCTCTCTCCCTGCATAAATTGGAACCGAAGAGCGTCAAACACTCACAGAGTAAAGAAACTCAGACCATAGTGGATCTGAGGGGCTCTCTTTGATCGACACAAAAATTATATACACCGGTAACATCTTCCCATTCATGCATTTGCAGCCCCTCCTACATATACACAGTCGAAACTTTCCCATGGTGGCGTTGATCAATCTCCGACGCAGCCACACGCAGGCAACTTTAGCCCACGATGCAGACCGGGTGGGAATGCCGAGAGGTTTAGTTGCCCCGTGCTCCCGTTGGCCCGCTTTTTTTCTCTTTTTTGTTGTCTTGTATTTTTTGGTAGATGCCCTTGCCGGAAATGCGGTTGGTCATCTGTAGGCGCTGAAGGGGGCAGCCGATCAAATTTGGGTTTAGGGGGTTGTGATCTCACGAGGCATGCCATTGGGCACATGCGGATATTTGCATACTCGGATGCCTCGTAGGAATATAGTGGCTCCCGGTCATTCGGAAAGAATTATAATAAAAAAGAGGACCTCTATAAAGTCGGGCAGAGCCAATCAGTCGGTGATTTAAATTCGCCATTACGCTATCTGGGATCGTCAAAGTCTCTGTTTTTCGCACTGACATCTGACATTCTTAAGTGGGTACTTGATGATTTTGACCCAAATGACATCAACTGATTTCTATAGTAAGACATGATCCCAAGTTGTGTATAGGATCCGGTAGACAATGGAGTCACACCGCTTGTATAGCGGGTACGGACGGTTGGTGGTTGCAAGGTTCGACTCAGCCCCTTCATCTATAGCCTCAACGTCTGACGGCATAGTATACGAGCCGTAGAATTATGTTTCTGTTATGTTTCAAGAGGTGAATTACCGTTATCCCTGGCGCGGGGTATAATTTTTATCTTAACATTCCTGTGAAAATGCGCCGCAAACGCTCGGTTCAACCTTTTTGACTCCGACGCATACAACTCTCTGCATCTTTCATGCGAGGAGCTCGCAGCATCCCTGCCGTTATTTAAGTATGTCTATCCTAGCACACACATGTACATATGGCCTCACCCTTTTGCTTCATCTTATTTCACGTTTCCCAGCCGATCGGGGGCTGAATGCCCCTCCTATCTCCCCCAGGAATGTTCACCACATGGTAATCAGGTAATCACCCAAGGGGGCGGGCACATGATGACGATTGACGCCCCTCCAGTGCATACTCCGTACTGGAGAGAGGTTACTGTATCAACAGTAAGTTGGCAGTAAATGCCTTCGGGCGTTGACCGGCCTCGGAGATCCGAGGCCACTTTCCCCACCCTTGGACGATCCCTCGAAGCGTGCGTGCGATATGATGAGCGTTTAAGCATGCTGATTGGGTGACACCCGGCATGATCATTTGGCTACCGCAATCCCTTTCGCAGTGATTGTGGCTCGCTGAATTTTTGCTTTTGTTCAGTTTGGGGGGTACTTACTGGTGGGTAATCTTCGTAAGGGGGGGGGAAGCTTTCTTGCTCGAGCAACGCCACACAATCTATACATATTTACCTCGATCAATGAGCAATCTGCATAGGGCTAAATAGGGAACCAGGGCGGACTCACAGAGATAGAAAATGCCAAGGGCCCTGAGAGCGGGGCATTGGAGGGCAGGGTTGCCTTGACATAGAATTCGCACTTAAGTTCGGGGCCGCCGGCAAGTTCAGGGATGTTGAAGAGGCTAACTCAACTTAATAAACCGTGCGGCTACGGCGCAAATGGGTCATTAATAAACTCCATGGGTCGCCACGAGGCAGGGGAGTGTGAGTTCGATTGTTCAAGAGTCGCTGATATACAGAGTCGATTGTGGCATCGCAAGTGGCAACAAGAAGCGATGGCTTGCGCAATGTTTACTTTTTTTTGGCACTGGATTTAGGAATTTAGCAGAATGATCAGCATGATCAGCGTCAAGGACGAACATGACCGAATGGAAAAACAAGTCCGGATTATCTTCGCTCGAAAGAGCCTAATTAGGGGACTCGTCCTGCATCCTCGTACACGACGCTAATGATTAGTTGCTGCCAATCATCCTAATCTGTGAATGGAGGCGTCTTCCAACACTCAGATCAGGTGATCAAGTTCACCTCTGACCTGACCTATAGTAGAAGATGGTGGCTGATATCTGATCTACTTTTTATGTCCGACATTGCGTACAAAAAACATTTCCCGGTCCTTGGTGCATGCAGCTAGAGGGATATTGACCCCGCCAACCCATGGGATGCTTTCCTGGGTCTCCAATTCGGCTGCGACAAACAAACTCTGCCGTCATGCCTACCAATCAGGGAAGGACACTGGTATCTTCCTTGGGATTCATGCTACCTCATCTAGCGGTGAGATTGAGTATACTTCTTTGAGACGAGAACGAAAAAATCTTGGATTTGCCTTTGAGATGAGCAGGACTGCCCCGCTCATTGGAACAACAGAGGAATTTGAGTTGAGGAATGTCAATTCCTCGCAGGGCGTGCGTGGAGGGGCACATTCCGAACACTCCCAATGCTGTCGCACGGTGGTATGGTCATACTCGAATGCCGTAGCATAGCATGGTAGGTTAATGCTAGCATTAGCCTTGTTGTCAAGGAACAAATCACTTACAGAGAACGTTGAGTTTAGGATGTTTGCCAGAGGTTGGCAACTATCGTCAATAGTTCACTTATCTTCACTTATCTCTCCCAGGACGGGACGATACCTCAAGTTCTCAATTCTTGGTACTTCCACTGTTTGGTACCTCGGCATCCATGGTTGACGATTTCTTATCTCGCGGGGAAGACATAGATGACTCAGCAGGTACAGTTGGTCTAGCCAGATCCGGCACTAGCGCAACGTGCGCGGAGATGGACAGACACGTGATATCAGCGTCATAGCTTCCCCAACCGGATTCCAGGTACCTTTGACGCCTCAACATTTGTTCTCGTCACTCCAGCATGTATTGAACATGACCACTGAGAAGAAGCCTGCAGTGTACGACCCCTACGATCCGGCCGGTCTACCCGATTTCGACCGCGATTTTATCGAACCCGATGAACTCGACCGATTCGAGAGGGCCCTGAATGCCCCAGAAGCGTCCCCATTGGTGGCCATCAATGACTGGCGCCCAATCAATCAAAGAGTCCGCAAGACCCGTGGCCGTCGCAAACCACCTAAACGAAGCAAGGATGAGACAAGAGAGGGGGTGTTATACACGGTGTTGAAATGGCCATTCCTGTTCACTGTTTTCACATGGATTACCGTCTTGGGCTTTGGATATGTGCTTATTCGAGTCTACATTTTCCTTTATGAGCAATGGGTAACATGGCGCGGCAAGAGGGAAAGACTGCGCCGGGAATTGTCTGCGCAGAGGAACTACCCAGATTGGTTGAAAGCGGCCCAGGCGCTAGACGTCCACCTCGGGACCCAAAATTGGAAACAGACCGATGAATACGCTTACTATGATCATCTTACAATCAACAAAGTGGTGGGACAGCTGAAGAAGGTCAGAGCGGACGTAGAACGCGAAACAGGAAATGGGCAGAGTGACTCGAGCGAAGTGTCGGCTATTGAAGAGCTTCGTACGTTATTGGAAGCTTGCGTCAAGAACAATTTCGCCGGTGTGGAGAACCCTCGGATATACAGCGAAACATACTCTGGGACCAAAGACTTGGTTCAAGAGTACATCGACGAGGTGCACGCGTGCATTGAACTCGTCCAAAACAGCAAGCAGGTTGACAAGGATGCCAAGTATCAGCTCTTCAAACACCTCGATACGAACTTCGGTCGCACTGCTCTTTGTCTGTCTGGTGGAGCTACATTCGCTTATTACCACTTTGGTGTAGTCAAGGCTCTGCTGGACAATGATGTCCTCCCAGAGATTATCACCGGAACATCAGGTGGAGCGCTAGTGGCGGGCTTGGTTGCGACCAGAACTGATGAGGAGCTGAAACAGCTGCTCGTTCCAGCCTTAGCACATCGGATTCGCGCATGTCACGAAAGGTTTCCTACATGGGTCCGTCGCTGGTGGCGAACTGGTGCTAGGTTTGATACTGTCGACTGGGCCCGACAGTGTGGTTGGTTCTGCAGGGGCTCAACTACGTTTCGGGAAGCTTACGAGCGGACCGGGCGCATCTTGAATGTCACCTGTGTGCCCTCAGATCCTCACTCGCCGACCATCCTGGCCAATTATCTGACATGCCCCGATTGCGTCATATGGAGTGCAGTGCTTGCTTCTGCGGCTGTTCCGGGCATTCTCAATCCGGTAGTCTTGATGACCAAAAAGCGTGATGGCACACTCAAGCCTTACTCGTTCGGACATAAATGGAAGGATGGTAGCCTGCGGACTGATATACCAATCAAAGCGCTGAATCTACATTTCAACGTCAACTTTACGATAGTATCCCAGGTAAGATTACCCTCGCTTCATTGTGCTATTTTGCCACTGACACTATCAGGTGAACCCCCACATCAACCTTTTCTTCTTTAGCTCTCGGGGAACCGTAGGGCGACCAGTCACGCACCGCAAGGGTCGTGGCTGGCGCGGCGGCTTCCTCGGCACTGCAATCGAACAGTATATCAAACTAGACCTCAACAAATGGCTCCGAGTTCTTCGGCATCTGGAGCTTCTCCCACGACCGATGGGGCAAGACTGGAGTGAGATTTGGTTGCAAAAATTCAGTGGCACTGTCACTATCTGGCCTAAGAGCATTCCCTCCGATTTTATCCACATTCTCTCCGACCCAAGCCCTGAACGTCTCGCTCGCATGATTCATGTCGGTCAGCAAAGCACATTCCCCAAAATCCAATTCATTCAAAACCGACTCAAAATCGAGAATGAAATTATGACAGGGCTTCAAGAATCCAAAATGGGTGGGCGCAGTCTCTCCCCAATTCTCTCTCGTCGTCTCCACAATACAGAAAGTGAGCATTCAGATCCCATGGAGGAACGTCTAGACGAAAATCTTCCAGAGCGCGAAAGCTCCAGCTACAAAGACGAGTCGCGGTTCGTCGACCTATCGGATAGCATATCCCAATCAACAGCCTCATCACGTCCTCAGACCCCGAGTTCCCGGCGGGGGAGCATCATGGAGGAAATGCGACGCCAGTCTGCTGTTTTCTTTGATGATGCGGACTCCTACGGGGACGAAGATCCAACGGTCATCTAAAATAAAACAAAAAAAATGATACATATATTCGCGGCTTGAGCGCTTCGGCAGTTCACTTCGAGCGGAGTCTTTCTGCTTCGGGGCACCTGCAGCTCTGCCTTGCGTCATTATACTTCCCGTCTCTACGTGAGATTCTGACAGGCGGCTCTTGCCGGTATTTGCGGGCACTTTCGGACACCACGCCCTACTATTCTTGTCTAGTGTTTTCCCATTTGGTTCTCGTTTAACTTCCTTTCATCAGCATAGCAGGGTGTCTTAAATCTTTTATTGATTATGCATATGGTCTTTTTGGCTTCGGCTATCTTTGCATTTGCCTAACACGCTACTTTATCTACTTTTTTGAGACGAGGGCTTTGTAATATACATAACCTACTGTACGAATATTATCTCGGTAATTTTAAACGAAGTGAAGTGGCTTAAACGTAGTCTCTAGTAAATACTAAAGGACATCATCTGCTGCATATCACCTTGGCGGAGCGGGGATGCGCCGTATGTGACATCAGTCTCTAGCCTTTTTAGAGACCCGTGGTATAATTAGGCTTTGCAAATTATGCTAGGCTTAATATATATATATGCGTTGTACTTTACTATTAGTGTAGATCAAACAACAACCAATATCAATATTGGTTAGGCCTACCTGTCATAGATATGTCATGTTGTAGATCAAATATATGTCCTACCCCTGCAGGGGAACAGCGCGCTGAACGCTTCTGCACGATTACATAGAGATACACATTACCCTATGCAAGGCTAAAGTAGTTTAAAGTAATTATATATGAAGCCGGGGGAATCGATGGATATGTTGACACCATTGAATGAGTTGGCTATAGACGAATATCGAATCCAGCATCGATGACATCTTGGGGTCAATGGTGAAATAAAGAAACGCTTATAGGCTGTAAGAGTTGTGGTTATGATATAAATTAAACGCTGTTGTTGAGTTAGTCTGTACGCTATAGATTGAGAACTCGACTGGTTCACGTCATTGTACATGAGATGGCTTGTTAGCTTCTTGTTGTATGGAGGTACAAAGCTTGGTATTAGGGATGTCTTATAACAACAAAGACGAAGCTTATTGTAAGAAAACTCGAATTGAGGAGCGAGAAGCGAAAACTTCAGTACTCGTGGTTGGCGTAGATGACTCAGACCCTGAAATCAACAGTGAGTGCTTGTATATCTTACAAGAACATGATCAACAAGCCAAAGACGACTATGTGATTGAAGTAAAGGAGATTGGCTTGTTTTTGAGATGGGCTATAGAGGGGCGCTGCGATATCAATTGCAACTTCCTTGTGGACTTCTTTAATCAAAATGTCATCCCTAGGACTGTAGACAAGACCCCTAGCGACAAAAAAGTTCTGCAAAAGCCTTTTGGTCGGATCATGGAGCAACTTGGTTCTGATTCTAACCTCCACGTTTTACGATTGATTTCTGAAAACTTGAACACCCTAAAGGCGACGTAGGCACCCTACCCCCTTTCATAATATTAAAGATTTTTTACTAACTTCTGTTAACTAGCTCTAGGGAAGTGTAGATGATCTCGCAACTAGTATGTATAGCAATAAAATGTGGGGAAAATTGCTCAATGATGATAACCCTGGAGCGGCCTTGACCCTGCTACGAAACGTGAGTCTATCTACTAATATTGTTTTCGTTTTTTGTTTTATCTTGAATTATACGCGCTGATTTACTGTAGACATCTGCCGTTTTCAATTATCGCAATTGGGGGCAAATCTTGGCGCACTCTAATAAAAAGCCTTGAATTCCGAGGTACAATTGAAAAGAGGGCGTATAAGAATATTGTCGTCTACAAGCTTATTGTCTGAGGTATATTAAAAAGTGTAGGTTCGTAATAGAGATACGCAATATTTTAGGGAAAAGACGTGCCCCCGACCCGCGGGCGGTTCCACTCGGGCTTCAATTACAGAAACAGACAGCGAAACAACTCATATTTGTGAGAATCTCTACAACTCTGATACTACAATTATGATTATATATACCTCGGAGAATTGCTGAGAGATTGATGTCAAGGTAATCTAACAATTCACCACCTTATAGACATCTCCGCAACAACCGTTTCCTTGATCCTTTGGTGTAGGAGTCCCGAGGCGGCAAAAGCATGGCAATTTGATTGGTACAACCGCAATTGCTAGCGATCAGTCGAGCGCCTGCTTGATGATACGCGCCTCAGGCTCATGGCCGAGACACGTAAGACATTCATGGTAGCCACGCAAGGCCCATACATTATTTGGGTGCTGATGAGCCCGGGTAAGAGAACCTTCAAGTCCAAGATCCTCCTGGGAAGATTTTTCCACATGACCTTGCTCGAGCATCAAAGCAGCATATGCGTGTCGGGTTGGTACCATCCACCCCCAAGGCTCGGTGTACCGGAGAGCATCGTCCGCGCGTACGGCTCTTCGCAGAATCTCGAAAGCTTTGTCATAGTCACCTCGACGGTATTCAATTTTGCCGTCTAACATAGCATCTGAGATTTTGAGGACGTCGGTTATCAGGTTCGGGAAGTCTTTGCGAGTAGGAGGGATAGTCTTTGCGGCAGCGTGATGAAGGTCTCGTTCCGTATCAGCCTTCCCAAGGTCGCCCGTTGCGGCCCAGGCAATAACTTTGCCATAGTGAATCATGGTGGTCGTGACACAATATAAAGCTTGGTCTTCTGGCAACAAGAGTTCTTTGATTTCATCCCACATCCCGAAACGAATGTAAACGTGCACTCTCACAGCCGCGAAAACTCCATCCAGTCAGCCATCGGCGGAGATCCGACTCGCAAAAGCTCGTCAGTGATAGAAGCTTCCATCAGGTCGGTAGCCTCCAGGGCGATCCTGCGCTGTCCAGACAACAAAGCCGCATATATTAGAGAGTGATAGTTGTGGAATCCATAGAAACTGTAGAAGTTCCTGGCCCCACGCTTTGCTAGAAATCTCTCGTCTGCCTTGACTGCCTCAGTGTTTGGGTCAATAGAAGCACGGTAGTCACCGACTAGGACATCTAGATGCGTCGGCATGTGGTGAATATGGCCTCCGTTTGGAACGATGTGCCGAAGCTTGTTAGCAGCAGGGAGTGCGACGGCGGGCGTATTTGACATTTCCATAAAATGGACCCAGAAGTGCAGAATGCCGGGGTGTATATCGGAAGCTCGATTTGCCAGAGCGGTTTCAAAGATTCCCGGACTTGATGAACAGGAGATCCCTTGATGGGAGCACCACTATGGACATGATACATCTTCCGAAGGGCGGTATGCATCAATGCATCCACGTAGAGAGTCGTATTATTCAGGTCATTTACCCCGTACGCCTGGTATACCTGTTCCATAGCAGCTGCGTAGGCTTTGTCCAGGGCTGAGCAGTCAGATACTGGGTTATTGACTGGGAAGTGGGATTGCATTGCCTTGATCAACGCCCGTTCGACCGGCGTGATCTCTCGTTCGTCAATCAAGTCCTCGGCCTCCTTGGATGCATGGTAGCAAATTTTGAAGACATGTTTCAGATCCGTGGGATCAAAGAGCCGCCTTGTTGTAGTTTGGGCCAGCTGCGTCGCAGAGCCCCCAGTAGGCCATGAGGCAGTTGGGGTCATGAGCAACAACTTGTTCAAAGCAACAATAAAATTCTTCATGATCGAAGGCGTATGACCGGAGCATGCCACGATCAACCCAAATCTGAGCATTCCGGCTTTCGCAGCTGACAAGAAAGGTGTTGGATCCCAAATCAAAATACTGTTCTGTTGGCGAAATTGGCGAAGGTAGCTGGGAAAGCTGGAAAGCAGACATATTCGCTGAACCGCTCACAGGATCTCGATCTAGAAAGGTGCCAATAGGGTCAAGAGACAGGTGGTTGTAAATTCAAGAAGTAATGAGTCGCACGGAACTGCAAGGTTTGGCAACTCTTATAGTCGCGGTGCTCTGTAGAATCCAGCCAATGACCAATTGGGATGGATTAATTTGAACTTCCAAAGAAGCCGTCGGCGGTTGTTTCGGTGCTTGCATCGGTGATTGTTCCGGCGAATGAATTGCAATATATCTTGTTCTCGCGGAGAGGTAAAGATAAATGGGTTAGAAAGAAAAAGTCTATTTGAAGTCCTTGAGGAAACGAGTAATTAAAATTTTGTTTCAAAGGATACCACCATAAGCCAATAAGCGTCGTAACTCCGCGGGCATTCGGTATCTCTCGTCGAAATTGAAACTCAGGTCTTGCTGTTTTTTATGAGCTACTGGAGCTCGGCGCCGAACACTTTCCCCCGATTACTTCGAGTCATACTGCCAAAATCTTCATGTCATCTAGTCATCTACAATTTCTTACATCCTTGACGTAACAATGGAGGCTAACCCTGACCAACAATGGCTCTGTTGTGATCATCTGGATTGGTGCTCACATATGGTACCGCTGCCCATGGTGGGTCAATGCGAGCACGATCAACCCAGACGAATTCCGACGGTTTTATGAGCCCCAAACTGGGTGATAAACAGTGTAAACATCCCGAGACTCGTGACTGCATAACTTGTGCAGTTTTTGGCTGTATTTTTGGGTATTTGACTTACAAGAAAGGCCTCTTTCTATGACCATAGAATCAGATATGCGTTTAATGAGCACTTGAGGCTACGGGACTACTATTCTGAACAGTGGAACTAAATGCAGCAAGTGCTTTGAACATATTCCATTGGGATTGGGGTTCAGCTCCACCAAACACCACCGACATCCAAAGCACTAGATAGATCCCTGAGGGTTCAGAGGCAAGTCCAGATTTCAGCCACTGAGCTCTAGTTCGATCTAGTCCCACTTTTGCTATGGGACGGCCCGGCTAGTGTGCAAAAGTACTCCCCATTTTGCCCAAACTTCAAGGCTTCTGTTTAGGGCTAATCATTAGCCGGTCTTGCTTACATGGTTTGTTCTTTATCAAGTGCACCCCGATCTCAACAAACTTTGTTCTTTTGGCTTTGGCTGCAAATTCAAACCGACGACTTGCATGGTTGAGGTATTTAAAAGATCCTGCGTATGTACGTCAGCTACTCCGCACTCGCTTAGAAATATACACATCTTGACGTGGCTTTGCATGAGCGATACATTGAAGTACTTCTGCCTAATAGGTCTAGCACCCAAGCAAGAGCCTAAGTATTTGCTAGTCAAAAAGGTGGTATCTCTTCATTGAGCTTCAGATCTGGAGCATTGTTCAAATCCACATTCAGTTGTTCTTTCTCACCCCCACGAGCCTTTCTCATTATTATCATGTCTGCTTCTGCCATTGCACCTGATATCTCCCATGAACCTGATTTTGAGACATACCAAAATCGGACAAAGCGCCGCCTGGCATGCGAAGACACGTCGCAACCTCTCCCCGATGGATTTCCGCTGCAATTGAGGTCTGATCTGGCGTGGGCTGTGAGTGATTTACCTCTCGCTGGCAGTGGAGACGAGCCCTGGGTCTATAATCTCACTGTGATGGAACTGGAAGAGATCGACCAAGCACTGGCGTACTTCAAAGGGTTTGTATTAATCAGCCCGCAGCTATGTACAACAAGGCTTGTCAGCTTGTCATTAACCATATCTCAGATCTTCAGAAGCCTTTGGGATATATTCAGCCTGAAACTTTCCCATTGCCAACTTTGCATTCGAGACTTCGTTCCTTGTCGCATGACTTACATTTCAAACGTGGGTTTTGCGTGCTCCGTCGGCTTCCAGTCGAGAAGTGGACCCGCGAGGAGAATATCATTGTCTATGCAGGCGTGTCTTCCCACATTGGCTCTATCCGTGGGCGTCAGGATATCACACACGAGGGTGCCCCAGCAGATGTGATGCTTTGTCACATCACCAATCTCATCACAACCGGGAATCAGAAAGCGCTAGGTGCCCCGGCGTTTACGATGGATAGACAGGTTTTCCATACCGATACGGGCGATGTTGTGTCTCTGTTAGCCTTGAGCGAAGCTGTTGAAGGTGGCGAGAGCCAAGTTGTGAGCGGCTGGACAGTTTACAATGAGATTGCTCAGTCACGCCCGGATCTGATTCGGACATTGGCGGAAGAATGGATCATCGATGGGTATTCAAACACTTTGCAAAATAACAAGGATGACTTTTGTGCTAATGGTGTGACGTCACAGATTTAAAGACGCTGAACGACCGTACTTCCAGCGCCCTCTACTCTACTATCAGCCCGCGACGGATGAAGCACCAGAACGAGTGGCGTTTCAATTTGCCCGCCGTACCTTCACTGGCTTTGGTGCTTTACCTAGATCGGCTCATATTCCGCCGATTACAGAGGCTCAGGCTGAAGCTCTCGATGCTCTTCACTTTGTAGCAGAGAAGCATTGTCTGGAATTTAAGATCAAGAAAGGAGACATCCAATACATCAACAACCTCTCTATCATTCATGCCAGACGGGGGTACAAGGATGACGAACAGGAACCGTAAGTTCAGCCCTGCAAAAGTATGGAACATGGCTAATTTATTGGATGTAGACGACACTTGCTGAGGCTGTGGCTGAGAGATCCTGAACACGCTTGGATTACCCCAGAGCCCCTCCAGGAGCGATGGCAAGGTATTTATCATGGAATTACTGCCGAGAAAGAGGTCTTTCCTCTTGAGCCGTTCATCCGTACTGCCTCGAATGGCACTGCGACAAAAGATGGAATCTAGCCGGGGAGGCATGCTGGCAAGAAGACTTTCCTTTGAATTATGTCTAGGCTCATGCAATGACTGGCGTGATGAGGAAACGATATTCTTCTACAAGACACTGTGACTGCTCATGGCCAGAAGCAATTAATGCGCCCTACGTATTTCAACATCCCCATACCGATCGGCCTCGACTTTTTGGATCGGGTGGGTAACAGATCCATTAGCTAATAACATAAAGATGAATATTAGTATTCATCAAAACGTTGTTGTATACGTCTGTACGCAATATATGGGAAAGTCGACTGGTCTACGTCATTGTAGATGAGATGACTCCTTGGTTTCTAATTCTGACCTATGTACTTGATTTCCTCTGCCACTTCTTGGTGGTCCCTTTCCGTTTTAGTGCTCAGACCTGCTTTGGGATGATACTGATTGATTTTATGAAACACGGCCATGGGTTTTTTTCAGGCGGTGCATGAGACAGTGAGGATGTGCAACCTGTATACAACCATGGGCAACTGCAGTCCCGTGATCGACAGGCAATCCCCGAATACCATTCAGCGTGCCAGACGATCATGCTCGGCCGGAAACCGAAAGGAACTAACCGCATCAGAATGAAGCAATGCGAAGATTCCTGCCAAGCCACTCGCGTGCACTTACGCTATCCAGTGGCTCGGTTGTTAGCGCTGCACTACTGTACGAATTAGATATACTCCGTCTTGACCGGCTCAGAATCTGCCACTGTCACCCCCTACGCTCCACGTCCCATAGTATGGACGACCAAATTCGCCCCTATGTTACCGTCACTGGGACCAACCGCTCGTGAGTTTTCCCGACGTTGGATTCCTTTCGGTCCAAACTCTGGAAAAAGAGCGTTTGGCAAATTAACCATCGTTAGGCTTGATACCCCCTGTCTGCAGCTGGAAATACACAACGCCCCCCGCATCCTCTGCACCATTCGGCGACTTCCGACTCACAGGGGCTCCGATAGCAGACCGTGTCTGTTCAAGTGGAGCCCCGTTGGGGATGGCTTCGTGCCTAACGGATTTATCCTGCTCTGCCATGTCCGATCTGCTGAAGAGAGGATCACGCTGCAGAGGGTCGAGATCGCACCGGATCCTGCATACAACCCGGCCCTGGTCCAATCCAGTTCGGTCCAGATTTCCCCGTGGACTTCGAGTCTCTGGGAGTTGAAGACCGGAGACTCGGTGTCCTTTCGGACTAGCTTGCCTGATCATTGGGAAAGGCAGCTCCGGCCAGGAACGACATATGAGCTCCTTTGGCCGGGGGGCACGATTGGGCTGTGGGAATGGGGGACGATACAGCAGCATCTTGAAGAGGAGCTGACGCCTTGTTCAGGGTCCGGGAGGAATCTCGTCGAATTACCAGGGGGAGCGCGGACTCTGCTCTCGGTGGACAGTGTGCCCTCTCTTCCGGCGCCCAAGGTGTCTCCAGAGCCTGTTGGAGGCGGGGCTCGGGTGTACGTTCTCTCGCTTTCTTGCATTTTTCACTTGTGGTGACATCTAACCAGAGGAGAACTGTAGGCCTGGAGCCCCAATTCTCAGTGTGGAACTGCAATGTCCTCCCACAATCTATTGCCAGGGTCCATTCCAGATCACTGGAAAAGTCCACTACCACCGCCCGATCTCATCGGAGGCCAGGGCGATCATATTTCACACCTGGATCTTCACAGACGATTTCAGCCTCTATCGGTGCAAAGGCACCGATCTTCAATTTATCGACACTGAATCGCCCATCGACGGATACGCTATCTACGATGATCCGGACGTGCTCAGCAACGTGACCGCACACAACGATTTCACCACCCTCCAGCCGGGGGAATCGTGGGAATTTTCACGGCATATCCAGGGGCAAAGCTGGACGAGTATTCCCCGCGATGCGCACGTGGGTGAGACCTTCGGCGTGCGGTACAATGGTGGGACTGTCGACTGGTGGGATTGGGGTGGGAAGGAGGACCATGCCAACACAAGGGTGACGCTACCCTGTTATTTAACTGGAAGGGTGGTCGACCCGGCCGAGAATGAGGGAAGACCGCGGCTAGTCATTCCGGCGTCGAATCTAGCCAACTTCACCTTGGCTGATTCGGACTGAGAAGTTTTCATCTTGGTCATTCATCCCCGTCGGACAGGGAATCTTGGTTCATAATCTTGTAGTTCCTTGTAGACATTAAATAGCATGGCAGTCCTACTCGCGCGCAGCCCCCAAGAGAGGCTCCCTCTCGGCATCATTCATCTTCACCCCTCCATGTTCCCGCGCAAGACAGAACAGCGAGATCGCCACCACGGCAAATACAACCCCCTGGGTCAGGAATCCTTGCCTGTATAGTAACCTATATACAGGTAAAGGGTTTTCAGTTGGGTCATTCACCATCGTCGCCAGACGAGCCGATTTTGCCCGACCCAAGATAATCCGTCAACGTATTCGTATCACAGCCAAACCAACGCTTCAGTACCGGAAACTTGGCTGCATGTTTGCGGAAGCTCGGGGCATTGATTGTTGGAACATTGGCGGGATTATCGTAAACCTCGTGATCGTTAGTAACGCTCACTTGAATCTCCTCGAGCGTATCACGATGCGGGAGCAAAGCCGCTACAAAGTCAGCCACTGTTGATTCGTTAATTTCTGCGTTCTTCAGCTCATGGTGCCAGAGGCTCTCCGAATGGCAGATCCTAAGACGTTTCAATGCCCTGGGAGCACGCAAGATCTTCGCTATAGCTTCAAAGTTCACATAGCTCCTTTCAATGCGCAGAGACTGAAGTTCGGTTTGGCGTACAAAGTGCTGATCAAACTCGCCATCTTCTTCTTCGAGCATAAAGCCACGTAATGTGAGATCATGGAGTTGTGGGATGATGAAGACGTGCGAATAGTGAATGAATGATGCTTGGCCATTGCGCTCAGTGCGATCGAGAGTAACTGATACATAGATGTTAGTTCCGAGTGCAGCTTTTGAATCTCAGTCATTAACTTACGAGATCGAAGATTCGTAGAAACTCGCGATTCTAGCGGTTGTTGCAAGCTTGCCTTTTCAAGGTAATCCCAAAGACATCCTTCAAGGGTATCCCAGTTTTCTTCATCGGTGTCCCACATCCAGTAGCCACCGTCCAGAGTGAGGCTCTCCAGATTCTTTAGCTTCTCAAGACATGGTACAACACGACAGGGCGAGATATTGGTCCTCCAATCATCAATCGTGACTGTGACATAGCGGACCAGCTCGGCATATTTTGTTTCAACTGTCTGTCCAAATTCGTTGCTTTTGCCGTGTCGAATGTCTGCCGATTCGTAGAGATATGGGGTTGTCAAGAGGTTGAGAGCGTGGCATGTTCGTGCCAGGGCCGCGCGACTCGGGCCGTCCGAGTATTCGATCACAGAGACAAGAAGTTCATTTGAAAGAGTCCAGATCATTGGCCTTCTCCCCATTTTGTTTGTGTAGATCGACAAGACGGTGAAGGTGGAATATGCGGCTTAATAAATCTAACATAACATCACTTTCCCTTATGCTCTAACAATTTGGCACACCACTTGGTAAAAGCCAGATGAAAGGACTTTGGCAATGATGAGGCTGATAACAGCACATTCATATGCGCATTTATATAGACAGGATGCCGCCTCGGTGGGGCTGGTCCGCCTAAAGATCTGCCTTGAGCTGCCGCTTTTACTAGCCCCGAATTTCCTAGTTGAGACGCCGCTTTTCTTTTATCTGCGTTTCGTTTCTCTATCTATTTCATTGGACACTTGAATTGCTCTTCATGATCTCTGGGTATTCTTCGCAAATCCGAGTAAACCGGTTACATCGTCTGGCTCTCCCTTCATTGCGACTGAAGATCCTAGCCTTTCATAGCAAGGCGCTTCGAAATATTCGGGGAAGAACCCAGCATGCTCCCAATCAATGATTACTCCAATCTTGAGTATCTCTGGATCAACAATGATGTTCAACTGCGAAAGGTCATGAAAACAAATATATAACAACCGTAGGCGTTACTCCGCTCGCCGAATTCGAATACCACCATGCCAACCAATCCATCCCTTCTCAGCCGGACCACGAGAAAGACAGATAAGAAGCGCCGCCCCAATAAATGCCAAGCTAACACTTCCAGTCAGAATCCAACCCCCTTCACTATAAATTCGATTCCCAACGGAAGTACCCATCAACTGACCACAAAACACACCTATCATGTAACCAGTATTGATCCTATTGCGAGCCTTTGGGGCAACGCTATAGATAGCAGTACGATTCGCGATCTGTGTCATCTGGAGACCAAAATCTTGAAGCGCAGCTTGGATAATTGGACCGGCGACACTGTAGGTCCCGGTATAGGTACCGATACTCACGCCAATGATGAGGATGCTCAAACTGACGAGGATGGATAGCTGCGGCACAAATTTATCGATCATGTACCGTGAATAAAGCGGGCCCAAGAACATTGGCGTTAATCCTGCCAGGGAGAATAGTCCTATCGTCAAGGTTGGATAGTTGTATGGATCTCCTGATAGGAGGAAGGTTAGGGTTGTCCAGAAACTGGTGAATGTGGCGGAGAGGAAGAATCCCATGAGCGTTGCCTGGACCAGGACTGGTGATGTCCAGTAATAGCCGATTATGGAGTACAGGATTTTGACGTAGGAGATGTTGATGTTAGTCCGGGGATAGTCGGGCATGAACATCCAGAGGAGGGCGAAGATGAGGAATTGGAGGGCTAGGGATAGCCAGTAGATGTTTCGCCAGTAGGAATATTCTGCTACGATTCCCGATAGAAGGCGGGCGAAGAGGAGTCCTAGGACCAGCCCGGAAGAGACGATAGAGAGGGCTGTTGCGCGGCGAGCTGGGGGTACGAGATCACCAACGAGGGGAAGCATGATTTGCTATAGGAAATTAGCTCTAAAGTTAATGATGAACACGGAGTTTTCACTTACTGGAGTCACGGTAGTCACAGAGCTTAAATAGCTGATAACAAGAAATGCCTCGAATGATTTTGTTATGCAAAGTCCAACCCACAGGGCCGCAGTGATAAAGGTCAACAGTAGGACAAAATGTCTTCTTCTCACCAAGTCCCCTAAGGGACAGAGCAAAATCAGACCCGTCGCATACCCAGCCTGACTGCAAGTCGGAATTAATGAGACTCGCTCATGGGTGACGCCAAAGAATTGGGCGAGCACATCGAGAATAGGGTGCGAATAGTACAAATTGGCAACCTACAGTATCAATATTAGCTTAAAAAATCAGAATCTTCTGGATTTATGAATTCCATACGGTGAATGTCCCGGAGAATGCGAACAGGATGTTCAAAGGCATTCCGAACGTGAACGGATTCTCCGCATCCCATCGACATCGCGGCGGCGTCCAGAATATGACATCGACAAAACGAGTCCAATACTGGTGTTTTGCTGCTGCTTCCTCTGTATCTTGGACATTATATTCGAGGCTCTTTTCATCTTGCTCATACGACTGCGGCGTTGGCCCATTGGAATGTGCCGAGGTGATCGGACTATCTCCGCTGGATAATCCAGGAGGTTCAAAAGGAGAGTCGGGTTGATCTTCCACTCTGTGGCTGTTTGTTACAGTCATTGAACTGTGGAATATCCCAATATTCCCTCGTCTGTTCTATCGCCCGTTCAATAAGGAGTAGACATGGGGGATGTTGAGGGGAAGGACAAGATAAGAGAAGCAAGAAACCCTCCGAATCAATGAGAGCTGCAGATCACACGCATATAAGCCCGTAATTCTCCGTGAAAGAAAAGGCCCGAAGTGCGAAGTGCTCAAACATTCCCCGAGTTGCCATTGTCATCCCCGATTTCCGCTCTCGGCTTCGGCCCCACATTTACACTGTCGATGATGGCAGAGACTATTACTGCGTCTGACTTCATTGTTTAGCTGATTCTTGTTTCAGATTCGAGCAATATCATACATCGTACAAACTAGCTAGGTCATTAAAGCAATTGGCTCCTTTCAAGAGAACCACTGTTGGAACATGAATCAGATAACGAGCCACTGCTCAGTGACAGCCTGTGCGGCTGTTGCATCCCCACTGAGAACATAGATGCACTGCATCGCATACGCAGCCTCGCGTGTGAAGTCCTCGACAAAAGGCGGGATCGCGAGGAATGCTTCATGCTGATCAGTATCGCCCATGACTACATCGCCGCCATTTTCTGAGGCATTCTCTGTCTGGTTATCCTGTGCCTCCTTTTTAATCTGTTCGCCCAGTTTCAGTACTTTGTCGTATCCCTCGATCGCCAGATGGGCGAGACCAAGGGAATGCCACACGCGAGCGAAATTAAATTCCATCTCTTGCTTTTCTGCCAAGAGGCTACCGGGTCTCTCGCGGACACGTCGGTATTCGTGCATGAAAGATAGTCCTTGCATGATGAGGTAGTGTCGATTTTCGGCCTGCCGTTTGAGGGAATGGTGGATGAAAGAGAGGCCGATGGATAGGAGGACGGCTGGGTTTTGATCGTCGAGTGCATAGGCTCGGAAGAAATAGTTCAAGGCAGGGTAGAAACTGTTTCCAGAGTACAGAATGTGGCCGTAGAGTACTAGGAGCGCGATGTCTAGTTCCATAGCAGGGATTGGGTCACCGGCTTCGTCGCGTGTGGATAGAGTCGCGCGTTCTTTCCAGATGGACTGTCGGGTTGGTCGGGGGATATCACTAGGCAGGGTAAAGTCCATCGCTTTGATTTGGCGAAGCATGAACTTCATGTTTGGTGAGGAATGGAAGAGGGATCGGTGAGGATCACCACACAGGTGGCTCAACATGGAGAAAAGGCGATAAGTGTCGGTGACAAACTGGTACTCCTTGATGAACCAGCGTGCTTCGTTAGCTAGAGTATCTTCATCTCCCACGCGAAGCGCACAAGCTAAACAGGCGTAAGCTAAGAAACTTGTATCAAAGAGGCAGAGACTTACTAAACCAGCACACATGGATTAATCGAGATTTGGGCTTGGAGTGCAACCAGATGCTTGCAAGTGATGCTGAATCAAGGGCCTCGTAAGACTCCTCTGGCTCGCCCTGTTCTGCCGTGAGCAGGGCATACTGAAGGAAAATATCGAGCCACTCATCAAAAGGTATTCCGTGATAGTCCGTTGGGATTGCACCCTGGAGGGGTTCTTGTGTCCCTTCTCCTGAGATACTGTCAGTATAATAACTTCAAACTGGTTTGGTCGACTCACCCAGACTCTCATGAAGACGGCCTGCCATTTCATGCATCTCATCCATCCATGTTCGATCTTTACCCTTTCCGCCCTTGCGTTGCTGAGGGCGCGAATATCCCATAAATGCGACGCTGCGGATTTCTGGATAGAAAGCTCTATTGGAGCGGAAGTCTCGCAACAGAGCATCAGCAATATCAAGCCAATCCTCGATGGCGTCTGATGCACCCTCCTTTACGCGAGGTAGCAGATCCAGCATCTTTGCATAAAGGAACTGAATATCATCGGTTCGAGTACCTTCACCTCTTCTCCCTTGGGCTGAAGGAGTAGCGTTCATAAGTGGCACTGTTGGAGCTGTTGGTTTGGGCGCAAGTGGCCGGAGGGCTGCTGTTTCAGCCAGTTTGAATTCAATGGCAAGCTGCTCAAGCCTGGTATCCTTTCTTTTTCGCTTGGATCTGTTCTCCTGTCTGCCAATCAAGACCGCTTCGTTGACATATTTTAAGGCTTGTTCACTCATTTCAAGGCTCTCATATAGTCTCGCTAAAGCCACCCGCGACTCCATGTGCTTCGGATCGTGCTCGGCGACGAGCAGAAAGCAGCTTTCGGCATCTTCCACTTTTCCAAGCTGTATACAACATTCGCCCATAGCCATGAAAAAGCTTATGTCCGCATGATCTGACGTTTGCTGAATGGGGGTATAGTATCGCAGAGCTTCTTCTAGCAGACCAGCCTTTTTCAGTGCATCCGCCGCTTCTCTGAAAAGATCGCCATAGTCGAAGATCCGAGCTCCTTCGGAGTCATCCTCGGGATTGAGCCATTCGAAATGATGCTAGTTTCACTGGTTAGGGCTTGATCGTCCATTATCTGCAAAACATCACACTTACTAATGCTTCAGACTGGTTCTTTTCACCCATGTTCAGGCGGAAGACACCTAATTTGACTCGAAGCTCCAAAGGAAGTCCGAGTCCATAGCTTTCTCGAGGCCATTGTTTAGGTACGTATCCTTCTGTTTTGATACGTCGAGGTGAATCATCAGCATCCCATTCACGATCGTCGTCATCCATATCCTCCCACATAGTATCATCAACCCGTCCTAGGAGCCACCGCGCGAGCATTTTCAGAGAGTTCAGTCCTTCCGCAGGCTGCTGAAGGTAGCCAAAAAGTTCAACATAAATGTTGACATCGGACCACGAGAACTCGCATTCTTCAGGATCAAGAGTCAAGTAGTGATTAATGCTATCTGTATAGTGATCCACTGCTTTCTGAATCTCATCCGAGTCAATGTATGTCTCTGCAAGATGACGCAGGGCCTTGACGCTGTGTGGTCGTTCCTTGAGTAACCTTTCATACTCCGTTGCAGCTCGACCATTATGACCTAGCTCACGGTAGATCGCCGCTCTTTGAAACCGGATGTTGTAGTTCTCGGGGCTGACTTCGAGGATGCGACTGTAACAGTAGACCACATCATTCAAAGCAGACTTTCGATTATCCCCTGCACGGTCCAAGATAAGCTTAGCAACTTTGACCCAAACGCCAGGATCCTTCGGCCTGGTATGAGCTCCGTTGAAAAGAGCCGCCAGGGCTTTGTCGTTTTCTCCTTGTGCAAGGAAGATTTCAGAGAGTAGAGAATGCGCAGCAAACATCTCAGGATTGGCTTGAATCGCCTGCATGACCTGCTCAATGGCATAATCGTAATTGCCATCAATGAATGCAGATGTGGCCTCTGAATGGAAGTGCTTGAACTCTGGACCGGGTTCAATTGGTTTGCGTGGACCTCTCTTGATGCCCTTTCCACCGCGGGCACCATATCTTCCGGAGAAGCGCCCGCCTCCTCGGCGTCGGCGTCTCCTGGCAGCAGAATCATCATCGTCATCATCTTCTGCTGCTGCTTCGTCGTCATCATCATCGCTATAATTGTCTTAGCTTCATCCAGATATAGAGCTTTGACCAACATACCTATCCGTTTCCTCCTCACCGGATATGACAAAGTCGTTGTCAGATGCAGCCTCATCGAATTGTCCTGGGATATGAGGTACTGGGGGATATTGCTGATCGTACTCGCCCGAGGAGAACTCTTCTTCTTCTATCTCTGGTTCAACTTTGCCTGGAAAGCGATAAATGTCTTCAGGAGGCTGCATCTGATCTCCAAAAAGACGAGGATCAAGTACCGAGGAAAGGGCATTTCCATCATCCATAGGTTGACCATGCTGCCATGAATAGTGAACATTTTCATCGATCTCCGGATACTCCGAATCCTCCTTTGAGGGAGAGGTTATGTCTGGGTAATACCTGTCAGCCATGGCCAAGAATTGTCTGACCAGCCTGTAAGGGATAGTGTCAGACTTGACAGCTGCGTGGGATCAACGTGGTTATCAAGCCAGTATACAGCGCACTGGGACGTTTCAGGCCTGGTCTTGGCAGATATTCATAGTAACATCTCCACCAGGCCCTAGATATCTAGAGAAGAATAGACGAAATTAGACGAAATAGCGCAGAAAGTAGAAAAAGCGCAAATCGCAGAGCTCGCGTCGAAGAATGTTGAGGTCGGAACCCGTGATCGCGGCCTGAAACAGAAAAGCCTCTGCACCAGGGTTCGACTTCTTCTCTTCTCCTCTTCCTCCCTCCTCACCCTTTTTTTCTTTCCTTTCCTTTCGGGACTGTGGCTTTCTTGTGTTTGACACACTATTGCTTCACGTCTCTTTCTTTCGTTTCAGGCCTTAATTTCTCTCATACTTTCTTCACACTTTTCGAGGTGCAGCCCACTGGACTGGTCTGTACCCGATCGTTGTCGAAGTCGAGATTTGGGTCTTTTCAAGCCTGATACTCTAGAATTCCTGGTTTGGGGATTTCTGATTCTTTTTGTTACGCAAACTCAGCAGGCGCTGCAGGTGTTTTGCAGTAATTTCCCCTGTATTTACTATTCGCAACACGTTGCAAACCATGGCCAGTCATATCATTGGCAATCGCAATAGCACCCCCGACGCTTCGAATTCCACGCTTCGTCCTCCGTCATCCTCTCGAAACCTCGGATCCCACCAGCTGCGGGCGTCGGCAGACATGTCCGGGTTTCCTTCGCCCTTGTCCGCCCGAAGCATCCGTCCATCATCTGAAGTCTTCTTCAGTCAGCAATCCCAGGGCCAGAACAATTCGGAAGATGCGATGGACCGTGCGGCTCAACAGTGGCTCTCTGACATTGATCAATACGAGACTACATTGGAGGAGATGGCAGCTGCTACACTGGACCAGGATTTCAAGGATGAACTGAGTGCCATCGAACAATGGTTCCGGGTGTTGAGCGAGGCCGAGAGAACTGCGGCTCTGTATGCTTTGCTACAGCAGACCACTCAGGTGCAGATTCGATTCTTCATCCAAGTCCTGCAGCAAATGTCTCAGAGTCACCCAATGTCTGGTCTGCTGTCCCCCGCCAACTTTGGCGAAAAAGGTATGGTCCTATCTGCAAATCATTTGTGTGACTATCACTGACTCTCATAGATGCCATGTCAAGCCGCCTGAGCGATGCCATGTCGAAGCTTAATATGGATACCTCCCGTAACTCTCTCGGACGTCCCCCTCCCTCCCCTGGCGCCAAGCGAAACTCTGGCCTCGACTCCTCGACCATCAATGCGATGTTCCCAGATGCCGCCGCTGCCATTGCGAAGAAGAAGGCCGAGTTCACCCAGCAAACGGGTAACGCACCTCCATCGAACCGGAACAGCGCTGTCTTCGACCGTGCTTCATTTGTCGCCCCCACCATTTCTGCGCCTGACAGCGGCTCGGACAGCCTGGGCCAGCCGCCGGCGTCCCCTTGGGCCCAGCGTGGTCTTTCAGACACCCAGCCCCCGATTGCCCGGCCCAAGTCATCCTCCGGACATCAGCCTATGGGCCAGTTCAGCCAGTCTTCGGGCATGCGCTCGCCTCTTCCGCAAACCGCTAATATCCCTGCTCCTGACATTGAGCCTCCTCTTCTGTCTCCTTACAACGTTGGTAACCACAGCTGGGCTTCAATGACCAATACTCCGATGACTGCTACTTTCGGTCAGCAGCAGCACCAGAACCCTAACACGCATGCGGATATGGTTGCAAACGCCACGGCAATGAAGCTGGCAGCTTTGTCGACGGTGAACAACCGAATTGCTCTGGACGATGCTCGCAAGTACCGCCGTGCCCGCTCCAACGATGGCCAAGGAAAGAACTCCCACGGCAACCCGACCTTCTCCCAGGGTTTGGCTAGCCCAGGTCTTGGTGGACAACATCTGGTTGCCGGTCAGCTTCTCAATGCTCAGCAGCTGGCAGCTTTGCAGGCTCAGCAACAGGCCGCTATGGCAGGCCGACGATCTCGCCCATCGTCTCCGGGTGTTGCCATGCAGGGCGGAAGTTTGACCCCTATGGGCTTCACCTCCCCGCAGAACAACGGATTTCTGGCAGCTTATGATCCCAACAACCCTCTTATGGGCAATGGAATGGGCTCGCTTAATATTGGACAGTTCGGTCTGGGTAGCGAGGGCTACCTGTCGGATCACTCGGAGGTTGCCCGAGGCCGCTCTCCGCGTGGTCGCCGTGGCAGCTCCAAGCCCCCAGAAGACCCCACTGACCCTGCCCTTCTGAAGGATATCCCCAGCTGGCTGCGATCCCTCAGGCTCCACAAGTACACCGACAATCTGAAGGATTTGCAATGGACGGAATTGGTTGAGCTTGACGACAAAGCTTTGGAGGACCGCGGTGTCAACGCTCTTGGTGCCCGTAACAAAATGCTCAAGGTAAGCTCTCTTGAACCCGACTCCCCCACTTATCAGCACGCTAACATTCCCCACAGGTATTTGAGCAGGTTAAGGAGGCCCGCACCGATGGCAAGCTCGAAAATCTTGTGTGATTCTTACATTTATTTGCGGCATAATCGAGGGATCTGGAATGTATCAAACGCTGCCATGTGAACGGATTCATGAGATGGGCTCGGGAATTATTGAACATTGCATTCGGGTTAATAGTAGATAAGGACATGAATTATTGGATTTACGTGTAAACTGTACAAATGTTCCAGTTCTTGTTCTATGTAGGCGGATTGGATACTCGAGACGGGTGATGTGGCCCGTGCACCCATAGAACCCGCGCTGCCACCTCTGGGCATCTGTCAAGCCGCGATCTTCCCAAGCTCCTCCATCTCAGGCTGTGCCACAGAACCAATATTGCAATTCCCGCTGGGCTCAACACACGACCCTCTCGAGGCTTGATAGGCACCTCCGACAAGACCGAGCCACAGATCGACCTCTCAACCGGGAATATCCTCCACCCCATCGACAGCGAACAAAAGACCACACCACCCAAAATGGCACCAACAAAGCAGGAACTCTCCCTGCTAATCAACCCCCCTCGTCCCCGAATCAGTTCAACACAACAACCGCGTAAGCAAGATCCCTCATTCCACCCCTATCCCGCACTACACGGCCACCACCATATCCCGAAGCCACAACCTCCCACTACCATCCTTTAACAAAACCACAAACTAACAAACCAACACACAGGTCCTCTCAACCCTCCACAGCCTAACCTCCTTTCTCCTAGGCCTCTCAGCAGGAATCCTAGCCCTGCAATCAACCTACGGCTTCGCCTTCTACTTCCTAGGCACAATCTTAGTCTCAGGACTCTTCCACCTAGTCCTAATCCACCGCTCAAACGGCGGTGGTGCGGGCTCCTTCTTCCCGGGTAGCAATGCTGGCGAGATTGAGGGTATTGTCGAGATGGATGACAAGAGTAAGGTTGTGAAGATGCAGCTTGGTGGGAAGGCTGGTTCGAGGCGCATTTTGCGCAAGGGTGCTTGGAGGGACGTTTGGTTTGGGGGTGGTGTTATGAGTGAGGCGCTTAGTGGGTTTGTGCTTGGGTGGGCTGGTGTTGGGGGTGTTTTGAGGTGATTTGTTTAGTTGGGTATTCGGAAGGAGTAGGTGTGGATTGTAGGAATTGTATATGTGTATTGATTTGATCTGGTTGAATTGCTGAGCCTGTTCCTTGACTCTCTTTGGCTCGAAGTAGATATGTGTTGGTGTGGAGGGATGTATGCTTGGGCTCCCCCTCAAGCCATATATATATCTGTCAAGCCTAGAACACGCACACACGCACCCTCCTCCTCAAGTTGTGGTTCAACATCAGTTTACATTCGAGTAGTTGCTAAATATCTAACTATAAACCCATCCCAACTCATTCCTCCTTCTCAATAGGTATCCCCTCAACAATCCTCTCAAATTCAGCCAAAGCCTCCTGATCAACCGCATAAGTAAACTCCTTGGAAGGAAAAGCCCGACTCTTGACCTCCCCCCGATAGGCCTCAATCCCCCGTCTCGCCTCCCCCCAAACATCCCCATAAGTTTTCACAAACTTAGGCAAAAACCTCCCCTCGGGGAAATTCCCCAGCATATCAACCTGAACAAGAACCTGCCCAGAGCACCCATTCCCAGACCCAATGCCGATAGTAGGCACGCTCAACCGCGATGTCACAACCGCCGCAATCTCAGCCGGCACGGCTTCAATGAGCACCAGGCACGCGCCGGCCTTTTGTACGGCTAGTGCGTCATTGAGTAGTTTCACGGCGCCGCTGACGGATTTGCCTTGCACGCGGAACCCGCCCAGACTGTGTTGTCGTTGTGGGGTCAGTCCTATGTGTGCCATTACGGGGATTCCGGCTGATGAGATCTTCGAGATTGTGGCTGCCATTTCGGCGCCGCCTTCTAGTTTTATGCCTTGCATGCCGCCTTCTTTTATCATGCGGATTGCGGATGTTAGAGCTTTTTCGGGGTTTGTTTCGTACGATCCCATTGGGAGGTCGGCAATCTTGGACGGTTGTTAATTTGTGTTTGTTTGTTGGATGGGGTGTGGATGTTGTCTATTTGGATTGGAATTGGGGGTGGGAGACTGAAGCTGAGATGGGTACTCACTGTAAAGGCACTCTTAACGGCTCGATTCACACTGCGGCAGTGTAGAAGCATCTCGTCCATTGTTACTTCATTTGTATCTTCCATGCCCATAGCAACCATGGCAAGGCTATCGCCAACAAGAACGATTTCCATACCCGCTGTGTCGGCGACATACCCGCTGGGAAAGTCGGATGCTGTAAGGACTGTGATGGGTTCGTTCCTTTTGTAGAGCGTGCGGAGGGTTTGGATGGTTACTTTCTTGCGGGTGGTTGTTGTTGATCCCATTGGAGAGTGGGAGCTATATCGGAGGCATATCCGGGCTGGTGAGACGCATGAAGTGATCGCGCCAAGGTGAAGTGCGGGACGCCGCAGAGAGCTTAGTTTCAAAGACATTGTGAAATTTCAATGGTTGGACTTGAAGCGGAAGTCGTTAAATACTGAGGTTGGGTGTTCTGGTGGATGCAGCGTACTTCGCATCTCGGGAGGGTCTTGAACCGAGGCCCTTTCTATCGGCTTTATACCTCCTTTGTTTACTCGGTATATTTTCCTTTTCTTGACTTGTTATTGCGGGCTTACATGTGTTTCATTTAGCTATCTAGCCATACAAGTTCTCGAGCTGTCGGTTGTCGGATAAATACTCCCTCAACAGCCATTGGGTTAGCCAGCTCTCATAGATGCACCTACCTTGTGTCTAGCTAGATAGAATATGCCAGACTAAGGGCCAGGTTCTAAGGCTATCTCTGAACTTTGACCCTTAGCATCAAAAGAAATGCATCCCATGAGTTGAGCGGCTACTCTCGGAAGATGTGGAGCCGGTGGAGAGAACGCTCAGCATAGGAATGTTGAGTATAGGAGGGTACTCAGGTGTCTACTATCAGGATACAGCACCTACTCCAAGCCCCTCAGTTCTCGCGGAAGAGATAATCCCAAATAACGGCAACGGATTGGGCCAAGTCCTCAGAGATGTGCTACCTTTTAACATCGCCAAATACTGTTGAAGTTCCTACTCGGCTTTAGTGACAACTCTTGATCCTGATCCTTCGACTCTCCTAAGGAAACCACTCTCAGCAATTCCCCCTTCATGATACAAAAACAGCCCATCAACACCCTTATGGCATTCGCGAGGCTACAATGAGGCTCTGATATATAATCTATCGAAGAGGTGCAGCCTAGTTTGAATTTCCAAGGCCCTTTGTTCTTACCTCGATTGTAGAAATCAGTAGAATAAGAATGACATCCTCCCTAATGGGGCTGCGAGAAGTGGAGAGGGGCTCCTTTGAAGCTCCGCCGTCTGCAACGGTATTGCAGTCAATGTACCGTAAAGCAAACATTCATCTGTCTACGAGTTACGCAGTACAGTTGCATAATCACACGAGAAGTAAATCACCAAAGAACGATCTATAAATTCGATATATTCAAAATATCAAGGGGTATATCTAGGAAGCAATTCAGCCAAAGCCGAAGAATTCCAGTTCCATTCCTTTTCTTCCAATAAACCAACCCACGTAAACCAAGGGAATAGCGCCGAAAGAATACACAACAGGATGTCCATTTTTCCAGGAATGCATCCGATCAATATAGACAGTGCTAAGTGACAAGACAAGACAAGATAAGACAAGAACGAGAACAGGCACAAAAGACAACGGGTGTCAAATGTCAATTGTGAAATGTAACATGTGAGTGTGGAAGGGGAAATGATTAACAGGTCATTATCGGGGCATATCAGATCAGATCAATTCAGACTCCAAACCAGGGAGGATAGCATGATCGATGCAGAGGGAGAAGAGATGCAATGCAAATCAGATGAAGATGAAAGGGAAGAGAAATCAACCAAGGTGAGGAACCTCGTCGGACGAATTGGCAACAGCACTCTGCAACGCGCTCGTCAGGTCGATGTGGAAGAAAGGTCTGTTCATGCCTTGCACGAGCGCAACCTTGCGACGACTGCGGTAAGCCTTGCTGTCGGTGATATCGCGCTGGAACTTGTCTTCAGTGATGACGTCGTTCGAGTCTGCGGAGGATGTCTCGATGCCGTAGGTCTCGCGCTCTGTGGTGTTGGACTCCGACTTGAGGCCTGCTTCCACGTCTTCATGCTTGTGGTAGGCCTGTTCGCGCTGGTTGTTGATGATCTCGGCGTGGGCCGCAGCTGAGGCACTGCCTTCGATCTCGGCGACGGAGAAGATTGGCTTCCACCGGTGGAAACCTTCGTTGGAGACGGGGGTTGGGTAGCCGAAGCCTGCGGCGGCGAGACCGCGCTTTGTCCAGCGGTTGTTGATGTGGGCGAAGTGCCATTGGACCGAGCGGGGGGAGGCGTAAAGGTCTAATTGATTGCGAACGTCGATCAGGTTCTGAATGGAGGTTACATCGACGTTGTTCACGGACGAGAAGTCGAGAATGACAGCTTGGAGCAGGGGGAGGTGTGAGTCGTCGTCGCTGCCTTCCTTGCCGCGGCGAGGACCGGAATCGTTCCAAGGACGATCGCCGCGAGTGCGGTAGGCGTGGGGGTTGGTTCGGCGGGTGTTTTTGAAGATGGTTTGAACAAGGAAGTCGGTGTAATGGTTGGCGTTGGGGTAGTTGAAGCCCTCTGCGAAGCGGTAGATGAAGATACCGGGGAGAGGCTGCTCGACCTGAATGTCCGGGTTGGAACCATCGCCGTGGTTGATGGGAAGGAAGATGGTGCGGTGGTGGTGCTCCTCGTCGTCGGAAGGAGTCTTGTTGTTTCCGAAAGATCCATACTTTCCATCGGTGTCCAACAGGTGATCGCCGACCACAGAGTGGATGGTGACACGGCCCAAGAACTGGCCACGGGCTTTGGCCACGCGGAAGAGCAGAACTGCAACTGAGACACAGATAGTACAGTAAATACCGTACTCGATAGAAGTGAACACGGTGACAAAGACACCGATGAAAAAGATGATTGCATCGAGCGGGGACACACGCCAGAACTGGTACACGGTGTTGGGGGGAGTGATCAAATCACCGACCGCGTGGATAATGACACCGGCCAGAGACGCCTTAGGGATATAGAAGAACAGAGCCGGCAGAGCGTAAATAGCCAACAGCACAACGACTGCAGTAATGCAACCAGCCAGGGGCGTGCGAACACCAGCCTTGGACTTGATGGCAGTACGGGAGAAGGAACCAGTAGCAGGGTAAGCACCAAGGAAAGGTCCAAGGAGGTTGCTCACGCCAATAGCCACAAATTCTTGGGAGGGGTCGATAGTGTAGTTGTTGACGCGGCCGAAAGACTTGGAGATGGCGATATGTTCAATAAGAAGAACAATCACAGCAGCTGGAAGCTGGTTGGCGTATGCGGCAATGATCTTGCGGTCCATGACGGGTACAGCAGCCTGCTGGAAACCACGAGGAACTGTGCCGAGGAGCTGGAACATGGGATCATCCCTGCGGTGCAAGTTCACGGCGGCACTGATCATAGTGTAGAACAGGATCACGAAGACGGTCCGGAGCGTTGAGATGAAGAACCAAACCTTGGCCCTCTGAGGCTGCTTCTTAGCAGCATATGTGCATGCGGAACGAATGATGTAAAGCATCGCACAAGCAGTAACTCCCATAGCAGCATCGATGGTGGAAGATGGGAGGTACTTGAGGGTGTTGATGATGACCATGTAGGTAGCACCGCGGGTACTGAAGTCAGCAGTCTCACCCAGCATGGTGGAAACCTGGCCTGAGCAAATGCTCAAAGCGGAACCAGTCATGAAGGCAGAGATGGCAGGGAGAGGGATGAAATCCACGATGAAACCAACGCGGAAAAGACCCAGCACAAAGACAATGCCACCACAAATAACAGCGAGAGAAGAAGCAATCAGATGGGCAGGGTAATCAGGGTAAATCTTCTGGACATCGAGCACAATTGTTCCAGTCAAAGTCGACATAACCGCCACGGGCTGGTAAAGTCAGTACGCATTCTCTCTTTCATTGGCCGGGCATCACTTACTCCGATGGTAATATCCTTGGACGTGGCAAAGAACCAATAGATCAAAACACCCATAAAGGACGAGTACAAACCAAACTGCACTGGCAGCTCAGCGAGCTTGGCATAGGCCATACCCTGCGGCACGACGACGGCACCAACAGTGATACCGGCAACCATGTCACCAAACAGCCATTGGAGGTTGTAGTTGGAAATCCAAGTGAGGAAAGGGAACAGGTTGATGAGATATTGCACGAATTGGCGTCCGGAGGGGGTGATCTCGCGAATCCAGTCGAGACTTGTTGGCTCAGGTTCATTGTAGGAATATGTGTCGACGGTGCCCATAGAAAAGGTCGATTCACCTCTTGTGACGGGCTCGGAACCCGATGTAGCCCCCAGAGGGTCTCTGTAGGTGGTTTTGATACCGAGGCCCTTGGCCAGGGTATGACCCAGCTTGGAGGTGGTCTCACGGCTCATGATTGCTACCGGAATTCAAATATAGCCGGCGTTGACAGCCACGAGGACCACGTGTGAAACGGAGAATTCGAAGTAGGAGTGAAGACCCCAAAAACTGGTGATGATCAAAGATATAAAAGGAAGTCAAATTAAATCAAACCAGCATGTCGAAAAGGGTATAGGGGCCGTTCGTGATTCGGATGCAAATGGCGCAATATCAAAATGTCCAAATGCAATCTAGGATTTGATTTTTCCCACGCTTAGCTCGCTTGGCTGAACACGAGGTTTGGGAGATGTGAAGAAGAAACAAAAATGGCACATCAAAGCGAAGGTCCGTCTGAAGAACAACAATTTCACACGGCTCCCGCCCGATGATCGCAAGCCGATCAAGTCTGAGCATCCACAGGTCCCACTCCGCCGGTCTGGAAGGATGACGACGGATGGAGCACTGCTTCCGCCCAGCGGGGTTCCAAGGAGGCGGACACTTGGCTTTATTTACAAGAGACATTCATTCTGTGCCAGATATATTAGCCAATCCTTACAAATTAGATACCAAGAGCACAGAACAAGCCCGTTGCCCCCATGACTTTGGCTCACAGACTCATGTTCATAGATGACTTCTTTCCCGAATGCCAAGCAGCCGCATGACGAATGAAAGTGCGCCTCCACCCAATTTGCCCCGAGACGATCAGGGGTGGGTCTGAACCGCCAATCAAAAGGCATACAGAACACGCAATCTCAACGTGCGATGGTGAAAGCTGTGAGGAATCTGGTTCCACGTCGAATTTCAAGAATCTTCTCATCTTTCTGTCTGGTGTCACCGCCTTGGCTGACCAAGGAAATACACTTCCATGACATTCTAATTTTACATCCGATAACTTAATTATTCACAGCTACGGGAGTACCGAGTACACAGCATTACACAGCATAACGCTTCTTAGTTACGTACTCGTATACGTCTCCCGCCAGATCCCCACATCCGCCGCGTGGTCCAAACCCCCTATCTTATTAACCTCGTCTATCCGCATCCCCTTGGCAGGGTCCGTGTGGGCTCGGCGCCCCCTACTCTATCTGTTAGGTGCATACAGTGAACACCTCTCTCCTAATGATCGGCCCACGACCGGGGTTCCGGTCGTTCTAGTGGTGTCAGACCCTGGCCTCAAAGGTTGGGATGATACACTAGCCGTCACGACAAATGCACGTTTACGTCGAGGCAACCTACTGTAGTAAAAAGGCAAAGACACCTGAATCCAAGCCCGACAATCCGATGTACGCTAAAATATGCATGAATCCCCAAAACGTTAAACCCGATGATGCCATCTAGATCTTGATTGCGTCTTTGCGGTGTCTGAAGTTTATTTTTTTGGCTGTCAGTTAACTTCAACTTGCTTGCCTTCTATACTGGTGATAGCTATGATATTATAATCCTCGGCGGTTGGCTCAGATATCACGCAACACGACGATATCCCCCTATACCCTGCACAGAACTGACCTAGATCCAACCCACCTATGGCCAGCAAACGAACCCGATATCCTTACAAATTACAACCTCAAGAAGAGTTCGTGGCGCCGGGCCATACTGCACCTGACCCTCCAATCTATGCGAGATCTGCAAACGCAGACAGACGCCTTCGGTCGTACAGGACCGCACGTGCTAAGCTAGCTGATCGCGACATGTAACTCTCTCTCCCTTGGAGAGGCATGTTCACGCCCACTCACTTGGCTCTGTTTCAGCCTCCCAGCTGCATCAATACGAGTTTCTGTCATCCATCCCGACGGGCTTATCAAGCTTGATTAATCTTCTTAGTCGACCAGCCTACAAAGGCGTTTTTTCTTCTTCTATTGTTTTCCCCTTCGCTATACCGCTGCCGCTGATATTACTTATATTACTTTTGTGTTGATATTGGGTTAGTGTCGCTAGGATAAACCCCTTTTCTTTCCGGAGTGCGGAGTACCTCGGTCTCCGTATACAAGATTAGCTATGGCGATGATGTGTTAGTCTTGGTGATCTCAGTCCCTGAGTACGCCATGAAATTGTTTCGATTTGCTGTGCTTTGATCTTTTTCGCCGTGGCTGATGTCAGGATGCAGCTTTTTTTGGGGTGCGAGGGGTCTCGGACCTGGAAGCTGCATATGCAGGGTTCCAGCGGGTTGTTTGGTTTGGGATTCCCGGTCTCTTGGGTTTACTGGGGTATTTGGATAAGCTTGCTTGGGGATTTCAAGGTTCTTTGGGAGTTGAGTTCGGTACACTGCTCTGGTGGGGTCGGAATGATTGAACTTTGCCTCCCATGTGACAAGAACTGACATTTGGCTTACTTCTGATTAGTCGATCGCGTTATTTTATGCTTCGATTCATACACTTTCTAAGTAGATGGGAAGGTAGGTACAAGTCTTCGAGTCATCTCAGCTCACTTCCAAATTTGACTCTCCCCGTTTGGTAAATACAACTTTCAACGGCGCAGGAACAGTAGTAAATGTATCCCGATACCCATTCAAAAACGCAGTTTCGGTTTGTTCCTCCGCAAACGACACATCATACCGAATTACAATTTCCGCAGTGACACGGCGAAGCTCCATCAGAGCAAGCTGCTTCCCGACACAAGAGTACGGACCTGGTTGGCAGTGTCAGCACTGGAAAACGGAAATGGGGGCAGTGACAACTTACCGGTGTAGAAGGGTATGAATACAGATGGATCGTTGACAAGCTCTGGCTGTGTCGTCCATCGTTCAGGCAGAAACTCGTCTGGTCGCGGGAAGAGACGCTCGTCTGGGATACTCACTTAGTATTGGATATACTCTTAAAGGGATCTTTTCAGATAGACTTGCCTCTGAACAAGGTATGCATTGGTATGGCAACCATCGTATTCCCAGGAATATAGGTCTCGCCAATCTTGATTCCCTCGGCTGGAGTTACGCGTTGGACGCCAGATGGCACGGCTGGGTGCAACCGGAGTGTTTCATTGATCACTGCGTCGAGAAGTTTGGAGCTCGTCAGTTTGACGTAGGAAAGCTCTGGCAAGTATGACTCTAGTTCAGTCTGGAGCTCCTTGTATAGCGCCTGGTTTTTGACGAGATGGAACAGAATGTTGGTTAATGCGGCGGCGGTTGTGTCACTGTTTTTCGGGTTGTCTTAACCCTATCCTCTATTCTCTCGGTGAGATTATTGTAAACTCACCTGCCGGCAACAATAATAAGATAAGCATCACCCTGAAGATTAAGGTGGTCCTGCTCTGCTTTCGGCCCATCGTCAAATGCTTTCAGGATCCACGAGAACACATCGGGTATCTCTGGGGGATTCTAGGGCCTCGGTCGTCAGTACTTACTACCTCATATCATGCCCGGACAGATGTAATGTAGCTGACCTGAATCCGATGTAGAACATGGGAAGTGACCCAATTCCATAATCTCAGGTAGTCCTTATTGACCCCTGGTATTCTTTTGACAAAAGGAAATAGCCAGGTCAAGTGACTGAAAAGCCCAATCTTCTTCATATCATCGTGAACTTGTCGTAAGATATAAGAATCCTCCCCAGTAACGAGCATGTCGAATGAGTGTCCAAATGCCATGTCTCCCATAACGTCAAAACTGTAATAGTTGAACCAAGGCGTCATGTTCATGGGACTCCCGACATGCTTTTCGATGCCTGCGATTAATTGATCTGTATAAAGGGTGATTCTTGGCTCATAATCGCGGAGTGCTAGAAGGGAAATGAATCATTAGAACCGAAACACAGAGGAAAAGCTTTGAAGAGATATTGTTGTACCTCTGGTGCTGAAGCCTCGGTCCCAGGCCTTTCTTCTCTGCGCATGCGTCTGTTTATTTCTGTCTGTCTGAAGAGAGGTTCTAGGTTCAATTATAGTGTACCAGGGCCCCTTCTCAAATTTGGAGGTTGCGCCATGGATAACTTTTATGGCAGCTGGGTCAATGATGGAGATCTCGGTGGGTCCTATTATGAGAAACGTAAGTATGGTTGAGAGATACTGTATAAAAGGTTCAAAGTATCATACCAACGCGAACATAATCTCCGTACTGGTGGTGAAGCTTTTGGATTTCATCACATAGCTGTAATTTCTTTCCTGACAGGACAGTCACATAAAAATTTGACAGTCGGGCAAAGAAAGGTCCAGGAAATCTAGAGAGGCGATGCAAGAAGGCTCGGTACACGAGCATACTTAGATATACACCTGCTATATGACACATGACCAACTTTCTAGACGCGATGTCTTGAGCTTTTGAACAGACCACAGTATCGAAAGCTGTAGTTGCTAGCAGAAGGAATACATAACCAATGAAAACAACAGGGGCATTCATGTCCCATTCTCCATGACGGAAAAAGAGAGTGTGGGCGCTTACACCGCTCAACCCAGCCAGGGCAACCAGCTTGTGTGAGTTTTGAAGCATCCTGGGTGAGAAATTTGGGTAAACAGAGGATCAAAAGATTCTTGACAGGTCTTGAAGCCAGGGGAGGTGGTATCCTGCCATAAAAATCTTGATGTGAGGCGGGGCTAGCTGCGAGGCAACGCCTTCATAAGCAATTCTGCGGCTGGGGGCCAAGAAGAGATTAGGACATTCTTTTCAACCTATCTAGGCGTCGAATGGTGTCTGCAAAGTTGGAAACTGGGGCTTATGATTGGCCACTTGTCGTACGCTACAGTAGTGCGCATATAGCTGCAGCGTAGCCTCAACTTGGGCCCCGTAGAGTAGATTGAATTGAGTCCGTCAATGAGTGGCTGTAGACCTTGGGTCAGCAACATGTCAGCTTGAAAAATCACCACACAGGTCTAGGCCGTTGCATTAACATTGTTATTGCACAATGCTTGAGGAAGACTGATTCAAAATTTGATCCATCAACCATGTTGTACCACCTTCGACATCTGCGCATAGAAAAAGTAACTTTATATTAATCTTGTGGTAAATCCGAAAAGCTCCATACCATTGACGAAATTCAACCGAAAAGTCACCTTCGTTGACAAGCGATCAAAGATAACTGCCTCGTGAAATAATTAGATCTAACATCAACATTCTGTTGCAATAATCAAAATACCGCTATTGGTCAACGCAATAGCCGGCAAAGTTCTTACATTCCCTTTAAGAGCGCGTGCAGCGCTACTGATCAAGCTGTCGTATTGCTGACCGTTCTGAAAAACCTCAAGGTTGACACAACGGTGAAATCCTTTTTATGTGCAAGTTCTGGGAATTTGTTGATATCGACAGACACGAAGTAGATATATGCTCGGTAATGTTCTAGTTGCGCGTATTTCTTGGACATACAGCGGGGTCCGCCAGGCATGTCAGCTTTGAATTCGACGGCGACTTTCGCGTATGCCCGCATAACTTGGTTGTATTGTTCTTCACTAAATTTATGTACTAGTAGTCTCTCCAACTAGGTATGGACTAAAACAAGAGTATCTTGCCTCTCAATTTTCACAACAACACCTAAAGCGCTAAAGACTGGTTGAAAATGTTAGCGGAGGGAAGTAGTGAACCAGAAGTTTAGATGATTTTTTTTATTGCTGAAGAAGAACGGCAGCAGACTTGTAAGATGGATGCATATTGGCTCTCTTAGGGTCAAGAAGTCTTTTGAGATGTGTTTTTTTTTGTTTTTTTCTTTTTTCTTTTTTTGTTATTTTTCGATGTCGTGCTCAGTAGGGTGCTCTGTGGAAAGTAGTGTGGAGGGGACAAGCTAGAATCCATATCTTGTTCTCATGGTCCCATTAGGGTAGCCTTCTTTCCAATACACAAGACGCATGTTGTGAATCATAACTGCGCAGCGATGTGTCAGTAGCTTGCATAAAATAAAGATCATGGATCATGTGCTAGTCAGTTGCCAAGAAGCTCTCCTCATGCATGGCCTATGCCCATTTTCAGCTTTGCGTCTGACTTGATTGAGTCCGAGAATCGGAAAGACTATGCGTGATTTTCTAAATACAATCTGCATAAATAAACACCTTGCTCGCTCCAGGGAGAGGCTCGCCAACATGAATAGAAAATTGGGTGCCTTTGTTTGAACTTACCTCCTTGGGATTATTTAAGTCTGCGCGCAACCTCCTATGAAAAGCTGCCAGGCAAGTAGTATTCGTTCGCCCTAGTTAGGTCTAAAGAGACACTAACATCTCGTTCTGTTTATCCTCTAAAATTGGACTTTTTGGCTGATATTTCGAGGAACATGTTAGGTAACTTTGCTACTTTTTACAGCTCCCTAGTAGAGGACGCCTTGCTTATGAAGTATTGCCTTTCCACGATCTGTTTACAACTTATCAGACTTTAATATAGACCTCGATCATAGGATTCTATAAAAGACCCCTAGACCCCTAGACCCCTTTACTAAGTCTAAGAATCAGTCTCGTTACGAAGAGAGCCCTACTTTACCTTCTATACACCAAGCCAGCTTCCTTCGCCTAATCACGCATCTTACTCCCACCGCGGTTCCTTCGCGCTTTTACAAATGCTGTCACCTAAGGCCACCGCGTAGGAAAGAACTGATGGTGTGAAAGAAAAAGCCCCTTTTGCTACGGACCAATCATTAAATTGAAAAGCATTTAAAATTCAGGCCGATTGGGTAACTGGTCATAGAATAGGCTAAGGTAATACATTCAGCCACACACAAGCTCATATAAGCTTTAAGGGGTCGAGTTCAGCTCGGGAGCCCCCGCTTGTGGGTCGACCCGAGATTCCCGCGCGATACAGTTTTTGCTTGCGCCCACGTTCAAGCTGGACTCTTTCGCCACAGTTTACTGATATAGGATACCATGTTTGATGACTCAAGATATGTTTTCATTTTAAAGAAGAAATTTTTCTTTCTTTGCTAGCCTAAGATCCTGTGTCTCATCTTGCCCCGACGACTTTGGGATTATTCATCTTTGAGTCCGTCTTACTGCAGGCGGAGATATTCCATGACTCGCTAAGGTTACATTGGCAAATACCACGGCGGCTAAACACCAAATTCAGTATAGTTCACTTCAGGTGAGGCACTGGATAACAATGTGAGAAAGAAACGAGGCAAAGCCGATTTTGGCTACTATCGTGATGTAAAGGGTACCTAAGGACGTATGCTGTATCCAGCACATTTCTCGTAGTTGTTAGAACACATACTTGTCAAATCGCAGATACGGACAGCTCGGTTCCAACTTCACGTATCATTTTGCATGTAAGACAAGTTGTAAGCCTCCAAGATACGTTGCATGCTCGGTTATCAGCTCCATAATTTGGGAACTAGAAAGACGGTGAAAAATTGGGATCCAAAAGAGAGTATAAAAGGCAACGTCTTGACCTGGGGATATTGGTTATCCTACTTCTCTAAGATCACTTGTTTCCTAACTGAACCATTCATCATGCGTTTCACTACAGCCTTCCTGATGCTCGCTACTGCTATTGGCAGTGTCACCGCCGCCCCTAGCGCTGAGCCCATCGACCTCAAGACCCGCACCCTCCAGGCGAGAAATGATTATATCACTGTTTATGTTTGTTCAGACGTCAACTTGGAGGCCTGCATTAGTATTGGGATCTACACTCAAAATGATTGCTGTACGTGGCCACATCCACCATAACCCAGCCCCGTCTTTTGATTCCTTTCAAGCTATCAACCTCACTGTCAAGTCAACCGTCATGGCTATATCTAATCCTTTGCTTGCATACAGTCAGCTTGAATGGCAGTCCCGTCATGGACAATGTCAAGTCCGTCAGCATCCCTAATGGGTACCGTTGTCGCTTCTGGGAGTATGTGCTCTCCGCTTGTGTTTTGGAGGTGATATACTAGCTGACTTGTACTTTTCTGTAGCTCAACCAAATGCAATGGCGGTAGTACGGGCGACATCCAAGCCCCTGGTAATAACGACATCACTGCGGGCTCATTGAGCTCTGTCAAGTGCTACAAGAACTGAACTGCGTTTGGAATCGCTCAAGCCATCTGTAAGTAATTGTCCTTGCAAAGGAGAAGATATCGGTTATTGGTGGGTCCAATATCTTTTGTTGAGATGGATGTCTGGTGGCAAGATTGAGATGCGTGGCTAGAGTGTCAGACCAGAAGCATAGAATGTCTGTAGATAGTTGCAAGAGCTTGTCTCTTCATCCAATCAATAGATATCGTCTCGTCTCTCTGCCTTTTACCTTGTAGGCTAGGCACATTTATTACTGGGCAGGGCTTATTGCTAAAATTAGAACACAGTGGGTAGATACAAAAAAGACGGATGGATTATTTTATTACTCCAACCCCTCGCCGAACTTGATCATAAACCATGACTTTGCTCCAGTATGGACTATCCAAAACTCAGGTGGATGAACAATGGTGTAAAGTAGGGCTATATCCAGCTAACTTGGGTTTAGCGTACAATGTATACGACGGCAATCAAGACTAGGTGGTAGGACCATGACTTTGGCTGTCTGTCAGTAGTTGTCGCCCAGTGGGAAAGTAGAAAACTTATCATTTCGTCAAGACAACTACCATGACTGGCTCTATTGTTATCTCATGCCCGAAAAAAGAAAATGTACGAACAAAAGATATTAGCGATCTCAGGCAGAAATAATATAGTCAAGCAGATCGGATAGCTCAAAGTATCACAGCTTCCATGTAGAATTACCTTGCGGCCGAATCCCTGGGCTAGCATATATTTCTCTCCATGATCACTACTGCTGGCTTTCTCGGCAGTATTTATCTTTCCAAACCTAGCAGCAAAGGGTGTTTCTTCCGAACGCCAGCGACTCAACTCGGAGCTCATCCAAGGGGCAACAGTATCAGCAGAGCATTGAGAAACCTCTTGAGGAATCAAGTGCCCAACCCGATCCAACATTATCTCCTTCACGCGACCTTTCGCTGCACCCCCCATTACCGCCCCTTGCTGTGCCGATATTTCGGAGTTTATCGGCCTAAATGGTCCCAAATTGGCCCTGTGAACATGAACACTTCTTGGTGGCTGGTCGTCGTCAATGCAACTTGTTGCATGGTCCTCTATCTGAAAGATAGATTGCTATCGGGGTGTCGCGCAGTGCGTATTTGATCCATATCTTCAAAACTCGTGGACTTCAGATTTTGTTATGAGGACTGCGTTGGAAGCTTACTGCTGCCGCCTCGCGGGACGACCACTTGTCACACCTGAACAGTTGGTGAATAGCAATATAATGATCTGGTCTTACAGATGTAAGCCACCTATGCTGTGTCCAATGCCAATTATAGGCTGTGGCATCTCAGTGGAAATCAGGTGCAACAGAAGGACAAGTTAAGAAAGGAGCAGAAGTAAAGTTCATCGATCTCACAACAGCCGAAGAAAGAAACAAGAAAACAGATGGAAATAAACACCTCCAACATTAGACTGCCCCGCGGCAGATTTTATGAGCTCCTGCGCTCAGGGAAGCAACTCTCTTCTTCTTCACCTTACCATCCACAACGTGCATACCATCCACAACACCCACCTTGATTCCATCACATGCTGGAACATTCAACATCATTGCAGAGACCAATCGCTTGTAGCCATACTCGAATATTGGAGATGGTCAGTCCCACTACGACTCAAGCCTGAGGACCTTGAGGGTTTGAAGCTATGTCGTATCTCCACCGCGCACCTCGTGCCTCTCCTACTTCCTCTTACGCCTCATCTACCTTCTACACTACACTCTACACGTGTCTATGTCCATATTTGACATACATCTACAAATTGAATGTCATCACAGAAACCATCCATACGGATGAACGATTCATTGAAACGAAAAACCACGCAATGTCTATTCAAGGGTCATCAGAGTGCATGCTAGAACAAAAAAAAAGATATCAAGAGAGAAAAAAAACGAGTCCATCATGATCACACGCCACAATCCCACCCCAGAGTTTCGAAAAGAAAAACCAAATCAGTATTTTTGAGTCCCTCTGCCAAACACCTGGGCCGTCGTGGTCTCATTCTCCATTCTTCGGTTTCGGTTTCGTTACTCGTTCCCGTATCGCTTCGACGTACAACTCCAACCCGCCGCAACCCCCCGAGATGAAAAGCAAAGGTAAAGGTAAAAGCAAGATGGGAGGAAATAGTATGCAAGAACGTGGAGAGGGGGACGCGAATGTAAAGAGATTACAGGGAATGAGAAGGAGAATAAGGGAAACCGAGAGAAAGAAAGGATATCATTATGGTATCTTCCGGGGTCTTCGGAGAAACGCCATTTGCAAAGCACAAAGACAAACACGAAAGATTGTTCCGGTTCAGATGGAGGGGTGAGAGTGCCCGCTTCACATTGGTATCATAAGCGAAGTTCGTCACGGGTGGACATTCCCCCAGTCTGGCCGTGTGGAACGGTCTTCGAAATTCTTTTACTGCGAAGCGCACTGCACGCGCTCGGCACCACCGGGCACATCGTCATCATCGTCTTCCAGGCCGGCACCGGCGGCACCGTGGGCACGAGCCTTCTCGCCTTCGCTGCCTTCGATGCTCTCCAGCTCGAAGTCCTCGACCATGGCGTCGGCTGGGGGCTGGGTCTGCTCGAGACGAGGGGGGAGAACCTTCTCCAGGAGATCCAAGTTCTGGAGCTGATCTTTCTGGGGGAACTTGACATCGAACTTGATGTACAGGTTGCCGTGGTCATGGTGACGGAACGAGGGCATACCCTGGCCGGGGATGACCTTGATGGCATCTACAGAGGGTTAGCAATTGTTCTTTGGCAGATTGATGGAACATGGTACGTACCAGGAGTGATAACTTCACCAGGGGCAATGTTGACAGTCATCCATCGGTCGTCGAGGTGCTCGATGTGGATGGAACCGCCAGCAAGAGCGGTAAGCAGATCAATCTCAGCCTGGTAGAATAGGTCGTCGTTCTTGCGCTGGAAGCGGGGGTGGGGCTTCTGCTCGATCTCGAAGACGACATCGCCGGGCATGACACCAGGCATCTGGTCACCCTCGCCGCGGAACTCGATCTTGTGACCATCGCGCACACCCTTGTCGACGTGGACGTGGAGCACCTTGCGTTCCACAACGGTCTTCTTACCACTGCACTTCTTGCAGCGGTCCTTGTCCTTGACAATCTCACCCTCACCGTTACAGTCAGGGCAGACGGTCTGGAAGCGCTGGATCATGGGACCCATCTGGCGCATCATGGTCTTCATACCGCTACCGTTGCAGCCTGTGCAGTCCTTGACGGCACCCTCCTTACCGCCGCGGCCATCACAGCCACCACAGATGACGGACTTCTGCAGAGCGAGCTTGGAAACCTTGCCCTTGTAGATGTCCTCCAGGTTGACCTTGTGAACGTGGTGGATTGTGCGGGCCTTCTTGGGGCCGGGGTCGCGCATACCACCACCGCCGAACATTCCACCGAAGGGACCGCCGCCGCCGCCTCCGAAGAATTGCGAGAACAGATCCTCGGCGTTCATGCCACCGCCCGCACCACCGTGCTCCAGACCCTCCTCACCAAGCTGGTCGTACAGTTGACGCTTCTCGGGGTCGGAGAGACACTCGTAAGCGGCCGACAGTTCCTTGAACTTCTCTGCGGCCTCGGGGTTGTCGGCATTCTTGTCTACAGACAGATTCGATGTCAGTTTTGGGGGGTTTCTGGAAAACGCTATCGGATTGTTTCACGTACCAGGGTGGTACCGGAGAGCACCCTTTTTGTAGGCAGTTTTAAGCTGGGCCTCACTACAGCCGGGGGCAACCTGAAATCAATGAAACACGGTCAGTTTTGGACAAGCGAACTGGAGGGACGGATCAAACATACGCCCAAGAGGTCGTAGAACTTTGTTTCCTTGACCATTGTGAAAGGGAAATGAGAAAGGGTCGAAAAGAAGGAATGAGGGACTGATGGAAACCCAGGGAGATATGGAGGGGCACAAGGGTCAAGAGCGATGAGAAGTGGATGGAGAAGAGATGGTTATGTTATCTGCGGATACCAAAAAAAAAGGCTGAGTAACTTTTTTGCCCAGGTACTGTATGGGACTCGTATTAATTACCAGGGCAACCTAGGATCTGGATTTGATCTCGATTTCTTTGTTGAAACTACTGAAGAAAAAGGCGATTTCTCTACTAATATCTCATTATTTACAGCTATTTACTCTAATGCCTTCTTCTGGCGGTTTCTTTCTATGGCCCGAGCGTTGATTCTACGGGGTTCCGCGGTCTTCGATGGACTTCGACGTGTTTCTATAAATTTGGCTGACTAAGATTATGCCCTATCTGTCTGCCTATGTATTCAGGACATGCATAAGACTCTACATGGACAACTTATATTCTATTGCATTCCTCTTCAATACATTACCAACAATAATACAAACTTTGTAATCGAAAAATCTCAACTCGCCACTTGCCACTTACGGTACCACTTATCGATAAAGGCGGAGGGGAAGGCTTTTCATGGTCCACCCGTCATAGAGGGGCGGAAGTCTCCGATTGTAGATAACTAGACATAACTTATACATATCCCATTTTCTCTTCTTGAACCGCCACAACTCAACTATGGAACAAGATCCAGGATTCATCGCCGCTGTCGAGGAGGCCAAGCAAGGTCTGGCCGAGGGAGGCGTCCCAATCGGCGCCGCTCTAGTATCCAAAGACGGCAAGATCCTAGGCCGAGGCCACAACATGCGCGTGCAGAAGGGGAGCGCTGTCTTGCATGTCAGTCACCACCTTGATACTATCTAATATACTATATACTATATCCGATCAATTCTAGATCAGATCTAGATCTACTAGTAGGGATCATGATATGCTAACGCTAATTGTCTAAGGCTGAGATGTCGGCGCTTGAAAACTCCGGCCGGCTTCCTGCTTCCGCTTATGAGGGTGCCACTATGTATACCACTCTCTCGCCTTGTGATATGTGTACTGGCGCCTGCATCCTCTACAAGGTGAAGCGTGTGGTTGTTGGTGAGAACGTGAGCTTTATGGGTGGTGAAGAGCTGCTCAAGAACCGTGGGAAGGAGGTTGTTGTCCTTGATAGTGCTGAGTGCAAGGAATTGATGGCCAATTTTATGAAGGAAAAGCCGGAGCTATGGTATGTTTCTGTTTCTTTCTTGCCTTTGGCTTTTGCTTTCCCGTTTATTTGTGCTTTTAGGTGCTGTGATGCGCGTGGCTGCATTGGCTTTCTTGTGTTCACAGTCTTTGATACTGATGCTGGATTCGGTACAGGAATGAGGATATCGCTGTCTAGTTTCATTAGGCTGCGTTGTATAGCCTTAAATACCCTGAGAATTGAAAAGAGTCATATCGTGAGCTGGGAGTGCTTTCCTTTCCTATGTAGTCGTAGTCCTTTATGATCTCAGTCGGGGAAGAAGCCGACCACTTTTAATGTTCATGGTCCAACTATACGGTCAATCGGTGGATCTCCTCAAAGAAGAACTTGAGGTGCTCGGGGTCAACAAATGGCGTGACACCTACATGGCCAATTAGCTTTTGATATAACCCTAATATGAGGCACACTTACCGTGACCCAGGTTACAGATCCACCCCTGCTTGTCCTTCTTGAATCCCTTCACCATATGCTCGACAGTCTCGGTAATAGCAGGGGGGCCACCGTACAGCATGCCGGGGTCCGCATTACCCTGGATGGTGACACGGCCATTGGCAATGCGCATAGCCTCACCAGCATCGTGCAGCCAGTCCAGACCAACGACATTGTAGCCCGAATTGCAAAGGTCGTCCAGAGCGTACCAAGCGCCCTTGGCGAAGACAGTCATAGGAACAGGCTCCAAGCCCATCTCCTGCAGGCGCTTGGGCAGATTGGCGGAAATGTGACGCAGGTAGGGAAGCGAGAAGGAAGCAAACGAAGTGGGAGACAGCTCGCCAGCCCATGAGTCAAAGACCTGCACTAACTGCGCACCGGCGGCGACCTGGAGGGCGAGGTATTCCACGCAGATCTCAGCGATCTTCTGAAGCAGAGCCTGTGCCTCCTTCGGGTACTTGTACACCCACTTCTTAGACTGCACGAAGAGCTTGCTACCACCGCCTTCGACCATGTAGCACAGCAGTGTCCACGGCGCGCCACAAAAGCCAATGAGAGGCACGCGGCCTTTCAGCTTGAAGCGTGTGAGGGAAATTGCCTTGTAGACGTAATCCAGCTCTGTCTTCACATCCACTTCCTTCTCCATCACCTTGGCGTATTGTCCGTCGTCGGGCGACTGGAGGGGTTCGGGGAAATGAGGTCCCTTCTTATCCACCATCTCTACGGCCATACCCATAGCCTGGGGAATAACCAGGATATCGGAGAAGATGATAGCGGCATCGATGAGGCCTTCATAACGTTCGATAGGCTGGAGAGTCAGGGTCGAGGCGATTTCGGGTGTGCGGCAGCATTCGAAGAAGTCACGTCCTCCCTTTGCTTCATGGTACTCGGGGAGATAGCGACCAGCTGTTAAAGAGAGGATCAAGGTCAGATAGATGCTTCAGTTTGTGAGCTCGGTAGTAATAACTTACCCTGTCGCATGACCCAAATGGGAGGACGCTCCACCTTCTCGCCTGCGATTATCAGCTCCGGTCAAGTTGAAAAAAATCAGATTCGACATACCCCGAGCAGCCCTCAGCAGCAAATCGTTCTTCAGTGGCTCAAATTGCTCCTGCATTGTGTGATGTGGTGGGATGAAGGAGGGGAAGTCGAATTCAAGTTCTCCGGGTGCCGCGGGCCGCGATTGGATCGGAACCTCGGGAGGTTCGATCTAGAAAGGCGCTACGTTGAACGTAATAAGCTGCTTCACATTTTTTCTAGTGTTGAAATCATTTACATCAGAAATTCAATATGCAGACTACTGAATATCTGTTCACTCGGAGAATAAAGAAGAACCAAAATCTCTGTTGATCCACGACCCGTATATATATACTCAAAGATCCGAGCGATTTCTACATACTATTTCTCATTTTTTGCCAATTAAACATAGATTACTCTTCATAGTCTCATGCGAATTTGGAGATATCTAAACTATTTGCTGAACCTACATAGAAACATGCCCACTTTTAATCCCACGCAGGGTTCTTCCGGAGAACAGACAAACCGTACAATTGTTCGTTTAGCGACTTGGTGGTCTTCTCGTCCAATTCCGCCTCAACGATTGTGCTGTCCTTATCGTTGATTTTGGAAACAACTGAGTCCTCCGTAGGGATCCATTTTCCATATTCAACTCGGAAGGTTTCCAGAAGAGCCTGGGGAGATGATCTCCAGACACTGGTCGAGTTGGGTTCGCGCAGGTTGTCTAGGGAAACAACAATGCTGCCCTTGGAGCTGATCGAAACCAGATCAATTACATTGCCTGAGAGCTGAAGGGTCTCTTGTTGCTTTAGCGTGTTGTCGTTTTCGAGGGTGTAGCAAAGAAGTTGCGAAGATCTGCTTCCTGTATTAGTTTTGATAGTGATCACGACTTCAGTGGCACATACCCTTCAATTGCAACAAAGATGTTGTTCGTATCATTGATGGAGACAGCCCAGATTCCAGAAACACTGATGTCGGTTTCAGACTCAGACAGAGAGACCTTCTGCAAGACCTGACCCCCAACCCAGTTCCACACAAGCAAATGCTTGTCGCCACCACCTGAGACGAGAACATCCGGTGCCCAGGAAGGAATGCAAAGCTTGCTAATGAAAGAAGTGTGACCAAAGCAGTATTGTTCAATGACATGCGCTTGGGGGTGACCACGGGATACACGGATATGCTCATCACGATCCGCAGTCAGGATGTAACTCCTTGGGTGACTGATGCTTGAGTCTGCAGGCCTGGTGACAGAGACCATATCTGTCAGCATGGAAACATGACCAATGATGGCCTGATGCTCGAAGTTGAGTGCAGTGGTCTCTACTGAGGCTTTCTTCTTCAACGCAGCTTGTCTCTTCTGCTGCTCCAAAGATTCCAGGTTGCGTCTCGTATGCACAGTGAGATTAGTGGCAGATGGAGTATACTCCTTCTCTTCGGCCACGGTTCGCTTGTACTCTGAGCTGGGAATCACGGGAATGATGTACACATCGCCGAACTTGTCGGCGCACAGGATGTCATTTTCATCAGGTGTCAGAGCCAACACACTTGGCCGCTTTGGCATTGTTCTAAAACAAATGAGCTTGATGAAATTGAAACGGACAAACGATAACCTACCGGACGCTCTCCTTTACGAATTGTCCATTGCCGCTCAAGCTGTAGACTCGGACACACTTGTCCTCGGCAGTAAGGAAGATTACATATTTGCTTTTGGCCACAATTAGGAGGGGAATGTTGGACCAAGTGAGCTTGACCTCTTCCTTCGACCCCTTATCTGCAGACTCGGATTGCTCATCCTTCTGCTCAGGCGAAGATAGCTTGCGTCTCTTGCCCGGGGGACTCTTGAGATCGTCCGAGACGGCCAATTCATACGCACTCGGGAAAACATCTAGACATTCGCCAGTAGAAGCAGAGTATGAATAGACCTTGGCACCAGCAGTAGCAATTAGCAAATCAGACTGGCCTGCTGATTCTCTTGCGACATATCGCAGACACTGAAACGGGTGCTGCAGAGAAGGCATGTTGAAGCGGGCGACCCAGCTGGATATATAAACCAATCCAACTCCAGATAAGACCACGAATGCACAGAATAGACTCGTATCGCAATGGCAATCGAAGTCCGTCGTCTCTCGTCAAGTCCATATGGGCGGGTCTACTTTTTACGTCACGTGACCCACTAGCGAACGCACCAAAAAGTTTTCCCGAAATCGCACCAAACCTTTTCTCTTCTTCATTAACCACAACAACGACCTTGTCCTTAAACAACCTATCTTCAGCGAAATTAAGGAGAAATGGGGGGCAAGTCAGCTACCAAGACCGCTTACTTCGAGAAGCTCAAGCAGCTTCTCGATGAGTACCGCACCGTCTTCATTGTCGGTGTCGACAATGTCAGCTCTCAGCAGATGCACGAGATCCGTATCTCCCTCCGTGGAGAGGGTGTCGTCCTGATGGGAAAGAACACCATGGTATGTCTCTCAATTGACAATGGCTGTCTTGAACTGCTCGTTGACTGAATGTATTTTAGGTTCGTCGTGCTCTCAAGGGCTTCATCACCGAGAACCCCGAGTTCGAGCGTCTTCTGCCTCACGTTAAGGGTGTGTATTACTTTTACTTGTCGCATATGACCAATTGGCTAACATGAAAACTCCCAGGCAACGTTGGTTTCATCTTCACCAACGCCGACCTGAAGGCCATCAAGGAGAAGATCCTTGCCAACCGTGTCGCTGCCCCCGCTCGTGCCGGTGCCGTCGCCCCCGGTGACGTCTGGATCCCCGGTGGTAACACCGGTATGGAACCCGGTAAGACCGCGTTCTTCCAGGCTCTTGGTGTCCCCACCAAGATTGCTCGTGGTACCATCGAAATTGTCTCCGACCTCAAGCTCGTTGAGGCCGGTAACAAGGTCGGTGCCTCCGAGGCTACCCTCCTTAACCTGCTGAACATCTCTCCCTTCACCTACGGTATGACCATTCAGCAGGTCTACGACAACGGCCAGTGCTTCGGCGCTGATGTCCTCGACATCACCGATGAGCAGCTCCTGAAGACCTTCTCCCAGGCCATTCAGACCATCACTGCCATCTCCCTGGCTGCCAACTACCCTACCCTCCCCGCCGTCATGCACTCTCTCATCAACGGCTACAAGAAGGTCCTCGCTGTCGCCATCGAGACCGACTACAGCTGGCCCGAGATTGATGAGCTCAAGGACCGCATCGCTAACCCCGATGCTTACGCCTCTGCTGCTCCCGCTGCCGCTGCCGCTGCCACCTCCGGTGGTGACGCTCCCGCTGCCGCCGCTCCCGCTGAGGATGAGGAGGAGTCCGATGAGGACATGGGCTTCGGTCTCTTTGACTAAACGCCTCTTCCACAGGACGATGCCATGTATTAGATTTACTTGAACCGGCGCTTGAAAAAGCTACTGGCAATGAAATATAATGCTTTGGCAATGGACTCTTCGGAAACCCAGGACTCGTATAATGGAACGTAGCCGCGCTCCATTGTCGTCTCCAATGAATTGGTGAGTTTTAACCATTCTTTTACACTCTTTTCTTTCCCCGACACACATTACCCTCTCACGCTGGCGGATGATTATACATTTTTAACCCCGAGCATCATGTCCCTCTCTGGGACGCTTTGAAGATTAAAAACAGCAACAACAACACTCTAATTTTTTGATGACGCCATACCCTTCACACATTGCTTTTGCCTCTCACTTTGTTTTGACTCAATTTGCAAACAATTGCTAACTTGCGAAAAGATTACAGATCCTCGCCTTGCAACAGTAGGCTGATATCTCGTAGGCAATTCTGTAGCTGGATGATGCCATTAGGATATATGTTCGCTTGTGTTGTTGTCTTAGTTGATTTTCAACACTCAATGGAATTATTAAGTTACATTCCGTTCACTATTCGTAGCAATCCTTGTACTCATTTTGTTCGAAATCGAATTGTATGTGTCTTATTCAAATATGCTTAAGGTCATGCCTGCTGTGGTGCTACCTAGCCCGTGATACCAACGGTGATCTCAGGCAAGGTCCCGCGATTGTCTTTCTTGTCTCTGCTGGTATCTGTCCTGCTGTCCGCTCCTAGTTACATGGAGAACTAGTTGGCCTCAAAGTATCATGAAAGTAGCAAGAAAGTAGCACAGTATGTCCAAATGGTATACAAATGCCAGATACAACCCCATCAAACATTAACTATAGAAAGGACGCCTGGATATAAGCTATGTACCTTCTAACCACAACACGTGGTATCCACGCTCCAACAAAATAGAAAAGCATAAAGAAAAAAGAATAATCAAACAAGAGCAGTGCCCACCACTAAGCTCCATCTTCAGTACTCCGACCGAACCTCCCACCAAATCCACCCAGATCCCGACGGAAGAATTTCCCAATATTCTTCAAGTTCTCATTGAGATTACCTCCCGCCGTCCCTTCCGAGGTCTGCACATTATTAGGCTGAAGCATGGACCCAGACGGAGCAGGAGATGATGTCCCCGATGGACTTGTGATGCCCGATCCAGAGGCGGGGCCTCCTCCAGCGCCGAGGGTCGTGAGACTTGGGTTTCCGAAACGGTCGACCCCATCCTTTGCTGCGGAGATGATTGCTGAACCGAGCATTGAGGCATCGAAGCGAGATGGCATGGCTGAGCTGGCGCTGCCGAGTCCTAGGCCTTGAGATACGGAGGTCGTCCCCGTGGCTGTGGGGCCTTGGAGGGCGGCGAGGATGGGATTGTTTGACTGGAGGCTTGAGGCGTAGCGATCTGAGGCGCGGTGGAGCTGGAATAGTTCCACGAGGTGATTTTGTTCTTGGCGGCTGCGGATGCCTTTTAGGTCGAGAATCTTGCGGAAATTGTTGTTGTTTCGGTCCGCGATGTGGATTAGGTATGCTTGGACTAGAGCTTCTGGTGGTGATGGGCGGACCTGGAGGGTTTTGAGGAGGGTTTCAATCTTGAAGAAGCTTGTGTTTACGCGCTTGACGAAGCCGGTTGGAGCGGGGGCGGGGAGAAGAGATGAAAGGCCGCTCTTGAGGGTATAGGAGTCGAGAAGCATCTGGAGGTTGAGTTAATGAGATGAAAGGAGGAGGCGGGGGGTTTCATACCTGTTCAGCACCAGTTTCCGATACAGGCTTGCATTGGAAAACATTACTGATGAACTGAGTCGTCATGAGCTCCACCAAATGATCAGAGAAGGCACGCGCATATTGCTGCTTGTGCAACAGCTGGAGGATCTCTGATGCTTTATCTTTCGTGTGAGAAAGCATTTCGCCCACATACGAGCTCTGGTCGCTGACAGCCTCAATCTTGGCCCACGGCGTATTACGCATCTCTCGCCAGGAGGGCTCAAGCTCGACTTCGACTTGTCGCACCAGACCCCGTACAGCAGCAGATGCAATGCCCATAAAGGAATCCGCTTGGCTTTGCAAATCCACAGATTGCTTCAGGTTCTCGTCCAGCCTGCCCCTGATCTTCTCTTCCAGCTGATTGCAGGTTGTGTAGCAGTAATCGGCGGTGTTCAAGACTGAAACCAGCTCTTCTATCGTAGGCACTCGAGAAGGCGTGTGCCCTGTTGGTCGCTCACTTATATAGTTGAGAAGAACTTGCTGGGCATATTGATCCAGATATTTCGCAAATACCTTTGCCAGCTCCACCAGACTGCCTCCAGTTGAGAGCTTGGCACACTGTTGCAATGCATGCCTGTAGAATGCGAAAAGTTCGGTCGAGGATGATATGACAATGTGAGAGTTGAACTCTTCATCTGGAACTTTAAGGGGCTGTTGACGGTACTTGGGTAGCAACGCCGCGAGCTGTTTATCCTGGGCCTCAACCCAGACACTTAGGTACGGCTCGAATGCCTCGGAGATAGACTGGCTAAATACTGGCGGCTCAGTAGAAGTGAAAGTGTCAGTAGATGCACGCGATGCGGGGGCAAAGCGGCGCTCAAGAGAATGCTCAAAATCGAGTGTCTCTTGCAAACACGAAAGCAGCAAATTGACATCAAAATTCTGTCCACTGCGCACAGACCGAGACAAGATACCCTTGAAGTCATCCCGTGTGCCTTCACAAAAGACATTGGCCAGAATCTCATTGACCCGCCACGAAGCCGGGAAGATGGCCGCATTCTCCTCATCATAAATCTTTAATATGCGACGGAACCACGAATACCGGCGGGAGATGTTATCTAATGATCCAGCTTCTTCATTATTCCGGAAGACCTGCCTGTACTCGCGGAGCTGTGTATTGCAGTACCAAGTCACCAGACGAGACCGTGCATGATCACCCAGGGCATCTGCGACCAGACAGGCCTCCGCGAGCATCGCCCGCTTGGGGCCTACTTCGCCCTTTGCAAAGGCAATCTCAAAGTCCTCACAGACCTGCTCTTGGAGGTCACGTTGTATATCTGCCACATTCCGACTCAGCATGGCGATCTGGTCAATGGAGCGGTATGACTTGAAGTGGGCCATTAACTGGATCACGGCCTGGAGTAGCTGTGCACAATCCCCGTATTGTCGCGTCCGGCTGAGAGCCTGAAGCTGATCGTATGCTGTAGTCAACATTTGCAATCGCTTCAGCGCCGTCATCGAAAGTGTCAGGTTCTTCTTCGCATTGTCCAGCTGCTTGATATCCGCCGTCATATCGGTGATGGCCTGCTCGGTCTTCAATGCGCGTTCCCGGACGTCGTCAATTTTCTTGAATAGCTCCGACAGATCAGCCTTGGCTGCCTGTATCCGTTCCACACTGTCGGCATTGGAGGTGACCTGCTCCTCCACGAGGGTGCCGATGTCATCGTCGAGTTCATCTTCGCATTGGTGCAGGGCGTCGGAGATTTGAGAGACGGAGGAGAGGGTGGAAGGATGGGAGAAAACAGCGTTCAAGTGTTCAATTGGATCGTAGTCCACTGTTATTGCTTTGGTGTTAGTTAGCATGCACAATGGTCACGAAAGGCCAATTGTTCCGCACCTGCATCCAAGGCATCGAGGTGTTCCTCATCTGGCGGCATATGGCCGGTCGTTGGGGCAGTAATCGCAGTCATTCCATCAGCTTGTTGCAACAATCATCCCGCCCTTGGCCTCGAGACAGTTTAGGCGGAATGCGTGGGAGAGGTGGAATGGCGGAGGTGAATCGCGGCCCGCATGGCTCTAGCGCGCCAGCTTGGCATCTTACGCAACCCTACATTGTGTCTAATGTACTTAACTTGGATACTGGTTTATGTACCGAACAACCCCAATTTACTCAATTTACGAAGAATGAAGTGACTATCTAAGTTTTGTTTGTTTTTTGGGGGGTTGGGTTTCGCCCATTGGCCCCAATGTTCAGAAATATAACATTTGTCCCCCATCGCCGGAACCATGCAAATAGAAAATATTGAGACATTTAGAAAAGAAAACAAAATCCGATGCATCGTACGTTCGACCCCTTTTGGGGTACATATGTATAGCTAAAAACGAAAGCAGTCAAGCCAAGGCGCGAGTAAATGGGAATCTAAACGTGAGATGAAGCAAAGCTCACACAGGAGCAAGGAAAGCATCTGGTGGCAACTGGTTTTGTGCCTGTTAAGGCCATTAGTATATGGCTGTAATCCCAGGGGACAATATGTTTGCTTACCTTTAGCTGTTCGAAATTCTTCCACGCAGCCTCAGGATTCCAGTCATTGCTCGACAAGGCCATTTCCGAGAACTGAGGGGTCATGCCAGACTTCGCGCTCAGCTGTGCGATCAACTGTTCACGTTGAGCTTGGTCGCCACCAAGAACTGCACTCGGAGCGGCAGAGACAGGGCCCGAAGCAGGGGGAGCAATAGCCTGAGGAATATCTGTGTTCTCGGGGATCCAGGCCTCGTGTCCACCGTAGGCACGGAGACAGAACATGTCGTTGACCACTCGAATAGCTCCAGGTACCGCACCAGGTCCGATGACGAGGGTACGATCGAAACTGCGCATCTCAACCTTTCCACCAACGCTCTCTTCGAGATGGCCGTGAATCGTCAGGAGGAGACCACCCACTCCAGTGGGGCTTTGTCCAGTGGGATCGGGCAGGCCGGGAACTGGGTTGCACTCGATGAGCCATTTCTCGGGGAACGCGGCCATATCAGGGTGGCGGGTGGGAGGGAGTGCATTCCAAACTTCGCGGATCTTCTCAGCACCCTTGAAGGAGCGCGACATGCGAGCACTAAGGTGGTTGATCTTTTGCAGGTTGCGACTCTTTTTGATGTATTCATCCCAGGCAGCTGTTTCGCTGTTGGGGGCTCTGGGAGCTGAGGTGTTGATGTTGAGTGAGAAGACCGAGTTGTCATCGTAGACATTGTTGATCACGGTGTTGCGGTCATTATCGTAGCCGGTAAAGAATCCACGGACGAATGTCTCGCCGATTTGAGATTCATCTAGGAAGTGGGGAGACCGGACTGGAATAGGCGTCTTCTTTTGAGCAGCGACTTCCTCCGGAGTGCGAACCTGGACATTATTGAGCTTTTGTAGCCTGGGGTACCACTTGAGCATAGTGTCCTTGAATGCAGGATCGGTGCAGAAAGGATTGCCAGTCATGTCCAAAAATTCGAGGCTGCGGAATTTCCACCGCCAGCCAATAAGAGATTGGGCATCTTTGAGGTTGTTGTTGGAAAGATCGAGATTCTTGATATCGGGAACAGCGTGCGCGAGGGTTGTAACGACAGTAATGTTGTTCAACTGGTTGTCTGCAAGACTGGCGCTTTCGACTGCAGCTCGCCTCTCAGAAGCAGTCTTGAAACCCATGTCCCACACCTTCATGAGAGCAGGGAAGAACTTGGACTCGGTGGAAGTGGTGTTGAAAATTCCCATAGCCTGCAGATCGGGATCGCTGGCCAGCTTTGACATATCGAGAAGCTTGGTATCGGGGTAGAATCGCTTGCCCAGGATAGTAGTCATCTTTGCCTTGGTGTCGGCTGTCGATCCAGGACCAGTTTGCACAGCAGCGATTTCTTGCTCGGCCAAAGTGTTGGGGTCGTACGGTTCAACGCTGATGTTGATTCCAGCGAAGGTGTTGTTGTTGATTCGGAGCATTGTGTCGACAAGATCAGGATGAACAAATGCCACAACAGTGTCGCCTTCCACACGCGACTAGTTGAAAGTTAGAGAGGTGCCAAAGGACCTTGATCTGGGGTCACCCAGAGGAGGAAAAGCCAAAATGCCCAGAAATTGTTGATGATCGTTCGGTAGGAGGACCATCCTCGGAAACGAGAGGACAAGATAGCGGGGAATGTCGAGCATTGAAGTTGGTGACCGCCAATTCGAGTGTTGAACTTACCTTTGTAACTCTTACGCGAGGACCAGTCTTGGTGAGGGAATTGAGGCGTCGTTCGATAAATGCGAGAACAGCTTCGACGCCGCCGTCCTTGTCGGAAGCAACCTTGCTTTTTTTCCATCCACGGACACTGAAAGGAACCGATTCGCGCTTGCGGGCGTTCCTGTCATTTTGGCGATTTTGTCGAATAGTAGCTTGGGATTCGGTACTGGTGATTGCACGCTGAATCGCATCCACGTTCATGTCGCGCGGCGGGCCTCGGCCACCTCGACCAGGTCTGCCAGAACCTCGACCACCGGCAGTAGTGCCTCCGGTGCGTGGAACCGCAGGACGGCCTCCGCCAGCGCCAGAGCGGCTTGCCTCAGGACGTGAACCTTTGCCCCGAGAGCCACCTGCATCCATATCCATATCTCCATCTCGATCGGTGCGAGTGGGACCCCGCTTGCGAATGCCCCCGCGATCACTACCGCCGCCACGGCGGGATTTCATCGAAGGCATGATGGCTCTTGGGTGGGGTTGAAGGATGTAGGACGATAGAGACGATTGGTGGAAAGTAAGGGAAGTCGCCGGAACGTGAAAAAGCTGTAGCAAAGAAAGCTACGCGCGATGCGCCTCAGATCAGGCACGGAAAAAAAGTTGCAAGCATGCAAGAGCGTCGCAAACGGACATGCAAGTCGAAAGGGCGGGTATCGAGGAGTAAATAAAGAGAGAAAAGATGATAAAGAGAAGTTGCAGGTGCAACACTCCAAGAAACCCGACAGAATAATCGTCAATAGACACATGAACAACGGTCGACTCTTCAAGCAAAAAGTGACGTGAAGGGCACGTGATGCGGCGGTTAGTAGTCAAGTGACTGGTGTGATGACTCATCTAGGAATTGGCCAATCAGATGTTGTTTTCTGGCCTTTGAACGGTATCTCCATACATCGAGCTGCAGGTATGTCGGACTGGCATTGGTTTGTCTAGCTCTACACACTCCTTCACAGCTAGAACAATACAGCATTTGAACTGGGTTACACATACTGGATTATTGGTATGATTGTTTCTATTCTCGATTGATTGTTTGTCTATTGAGTCGATGGGTCCAAGACGTGCGCGTTCAATGACCACCCAGCTAACGTGTTCACGTTCTCTTTGATTTACAGGCACTTCTGATATTCACGCTGTCCCCAGACCCTGACCAAGCCCTGCGCCTCACCATATGGTCCCCAACTGACCGGCGAGATGGCAAAATCGCGATTCACAAGGCTCGACGCCTTCGCCAAGACGGTTGAAGATGCTCGGATTCGCACAAACTCCGGAGGTGTTATCACCATTGTCTCCCTTTTGATTGTAATGTGGCTGGTATGGGGAGAATGGGCTGATTACCGACGCATTGTCGTGGAACCAGAGCTCGTAGTCGACAAATCGCGAGGTATGGATAGATCCCGATCAGATTGGACCCACGATGGTATCCGTAAGACAATTGGAGAAAGTTGGCTGACAATTCATGTTTGATGCACAGGGGAGAGAATGGAGATTCATCTGAACATGACCTTCCCTCGGTTGCCATGTGAGCTCTTGACACTGGATGTCATGGATGTCTCTGGCGAGCAGCAGGTTGGTGTCGCACACGGTGTGAACAAGGTCCGCCTCAGTTCCCACTTGGAGGGAGGAAAGGTTATTGATGTCCAGGCTTTGGACCTGTAAGTTATAGCTCTCGGAAACCCCTTCCACAGTCACAACCTGACATCTCTTAGACACTCCCCGCAAGACGCTGCTAAGCACTTGGCCCCAGACTACTGCGGACAGTGTGGAGGAGTACCAGACGCACCCCCGAACGCCATCAAGCCCGGATGCTGCAGCACTTGTGACGAAGTGCGCGAGGCCTACGCCCAGAAGCAGTGGGCATTTGGCGATGGCGGCGGTATTGAGCAGTGTATTCGTGAAGGGTACGCTGAGAAGCTCGCTGAACAGCGCAAGGAGGGATGCCGTATCGAAGGTGTGCTGCGTGTAAACAAGGTGGTAGGAAACTTCCACATTGCACCAGGCCGCAGTTTCACAACCGGCAACATGCATGTCCACGACCTCGACACCTACGTCGTTCCCAATGCACCTCCTTCAGACCAGCACACTATGTCCCACTTCATCCATGAGCTTCGTTTCGGACCTCAGCTCCCTGCCGAGCTCGCTGACCGCTGGCAGTGGTCTGACCACCACCACACTAACCCGCTCGACGATACCCAGCAGGAGACCGACGAGCCCGGCTACAACTTCATGTACTTTGTCAAGGTCGTATCGACATCTTACCTGCCCCTTGGCTGGGATCCTCTCTTCTCCTCCTCCATTCACAGTGCCTACGACAAGGCACCACTCGGTGCCCAAGGTCTTGGATATGGCTCTCAGGGAAGTATCGAGGCACACCAATACTCGGTCACCTCGCACAAGCGTCCCCTTATGGGAGGCAACGATGCCGCAGATGGCCACAAGGAGCGCGTGCACGCCGGTGGTGGTATCCCCGGTGTTTTCTTCAACTACGATATCTCTCCAATGAAGGTTGTCAACCGCGAGGCCCGCCCTAAGACTTTCACTAGCTTCCTCACCGGAGTCTGTGCTATTATTGGTGGTACTCTGACTGTCGCTGCTGCTCTGGACCGTGGTCTCTATGAGGGTGCTATGCGCGTCAAGAAGTCGCACTCGAACTGAATCCTTTTGTTGGAGTGATAGGGGTTTTTAGCATATACAGAGCATCTCTGCATGATTGATCTATTTTGATTTTGAGTTGTGGAGCTTTGTGGGATTGAGAAGTGGCACTTGCGGCGTTCTTGGGATACCTATGCATGCTTTTTTGCGGTTGTGTTTGGTACTAGATGTAAATGTTCATCTAGCAATAGCATCGAATTTTGTTCATAAAAAGGGCCGCCATCGTAGAACTTCACAGGAGGTAGTGCCTAGGCAAGTACACAAAAATGCCCCTAAGTTGCACCCACTGTGGCTACCTACAAGAGCCAGACCTACTACACAAATATACAATAAAGACAAGAACTCAATCTTCAAGACAATATCATGAATCATATACATGAATCTATACTAAAAGGATATCATATACAAGAAACCCGCTCATGCACATCATACGCACAAGCCCCACCTCACGCACGAACAGACCCACGCGCATAACTAACCCTCCTCGACTCCGAATGCTTCTCCCGATCAGCAGCAAGCTGCTGCGCAAACTTACTCTTAGCCCGAATAGCCGGTCCCTTCCAATAGAAGACATAAATAGGAATAAGCACCAGGAAGCCAACACATCCCAGCAACGTACTCGCCCACTGCAGATGATACTTGCTGCCCATATTCTGGTACATAGGCGTGGAATACATAGTAGCAATACCAGCGAGGAAATCTCGTGCGAAGCCATTGCCACCTGTCGCGGATGCAGAGTACGGCCCGTACGCCGCGACCATATAGTCGATTGTTGCCATGTAGATGGCGTAGTTTGCCATTGCGATTAGGCCGGCGAAGATGCACGGTGCGATCCAGGGGATTGGCGGGCCCATTGATGTCCAGGCAAAGCCTAGGAGGCCGATTGGTTCCAGGGGCGCTATGAAGAGGAGGAGGAGGAGACGGCGCTCGGCGAGTCGGCTTGCTGCGCCGTTTGCGCGGCGGACTTTCATTTGGCGGTAGATGTCTGGTAGGAAGATGATGTAGGCTATTATGTAGCCGATTAGGATTGAGCCGAAGGTCAGGCCCACTGCTAGGGTTGAGAAGTTCCATTGTTCGAAGACTAGGGTGAAGGATTCGGTGAAGACGAAGATCAGGGCGTCTGAGAAACCTGATAGGAGGGAGAGGAAGAGGACGATTGGTTCGCGGAGGAACATTTCGAAGGGTCGGATCCAGATACGGAGAACGTCGTGGATGTCTAGACGGGGGGTTTTCAGTTCGTTTGGACCCCAGATGTCTTCGCCGTTTTGGCGGCGGCGTTTGGCTTCGCGGTCAATTAGGATTGTTGCGCGAGTTTCGGGGACGATGAAGAAATGCATTGCTTGTGTTACGCCTCCGACTATTAGTTGAACCCAGAAGACCCAATGCCAGGAGAGCCATTGACCGATGAAGCCGCCGAAGAATGGTCCTATTGTTGAGCCACCGACGGAGGATAGAACCACGAAGGCTACGGCGAAGCCTTGATCATCGGCTTCCCACATATCGGCTGTCATGCCAAGGGTGACAGAGCCACCGGCTGAACTGAGACCACCAAGGATACGGCAGACCACGATGGTACCGAAGTTGGGTGCGAGGGCACAGGGGATTTGCCAGATATTCACCAGGAAGAGAGAGAGCTGCATGATGGGCCAACGGCCGAACTCCTCACTCCATGGTGCCCAAAGTTCACATCCAAAGGCGTACGCAACTAAGAAGACACACTGGCCGACTCGGGCCGCTTGCTCGCTAATATGGAATTCCTCTGTCATACCCGTCACGGCGTTGGCATAGACACCCGTGTTGAAGTTCATGGACATCTGTACGACGAAAATGACACTGAGAATCGACCATTTCTTCCAGAATGGGAAGCAGAAACCAAGCTTATCGTAGCAGTCGTCTTCTGTGAGTTCGGGCTTACCGCCAGTACGGAGTTTGGGCGAGTTTGAGTGACTGCCTACGTCGGAGTCGGAGGCATGTTCGGCGTGGGCATCGGCGCCACGATCTCGTTCGATCTTTTCTTTTTGTATACCGGCTTCGTCTTTGATTGAGGAGTCATTAGAATTGGAATTCGAGGCCTCCGGCTTCTCAGAAGCCGGAAAGTCGTTTGAAGCCATGGGGAAGGCTTTAGTTGTAGACTATTGTATAGAGTCCACAATCATGTACATATATGGGGATCTGAGGAAGTGGAGACCAGAAGAGTGGAGAAGAAAGGTTGACGACCGTTCTATGTACGAATTGCTTGTAATAAATGCATTGCAATGAGAGGCGACATGGCTGTTTATAAGATATCTCCCAATAGCGCACCGTGCCATTCGGAACCCGGATGGCCATGTTGGGTGGTTGGCAGCTCATTGGATATCAGCTAAGTCATCAACCAATTATAGCTGAATGGAAAAGGGCTTTAGCACTTGTTGGCACTGATTGGCAGTGGGCAAAACCTGTCTGTCAGTTGGGCCCTTACTGTAACGGCAACCCGAACAGACTACGTCATACTCACCTGAACTACGTCAAACCTCAACTCGGACTGTACACTTTTCTCCACGCTCATTTGATTGAATTGAGAAGATGGACTGGGGCTCCAAGTCTATGTTGTCATAGCTGGTGGCTTGAGTTATCAATTGTACTCCCTTGGTTTGGATAGCCCTATGTCCTGTTCCTACCAAGCCACTTCGTAGTATAAAACAAATCATTTATTTCGCTACTCAAATTCTCAACGAAATACAACGATGTTATTCAGACTAAATTGTCGACACAAAGACTAAGCAGTGAAGCTATGAAGTAAACCTAGACAAGCAAAAGCAGGATCAAGAACAGGCTGCAGTCCTTGTACGTCACATCAGCCTCCTGGGGCCAAATTCTAGACTAAGCAACAAGTCTACATATCAACCAATAACTATACCGCGGGTCGTCAGCGTGCTTAAATACACTACACTACAGTATAAAAGTCCAGACCAAGTCCCAACACAACATAAACTTATGTTCTCGGGTAGATGTACCTGCTGATGGTGGCCGCTGGAGCCTGGAATGTCGGTTTAATCCGAATTTACAATTTGTGTATGATGTCCTATCTGGTGAACAGTGCATGTTTCTGATATCTTACGCTCTCTTTTTCAATATGCATGGCTCTTTAGATTAGTAGATAAACATATCTACTGTATGGGCGAAGCGGAGTTCTCCGACTCGGTGATCGGCGTTTACATTGCCGACGAAGCAAAGGGCTTTTACTAGAACCTTAAGTACATCTAGACCTGCACATCTGAAGTAAAAGCCACAGAACTAAGTATAATGTTTCGGTCTGATCAAAAAACAATCAATCAGTCTAATCAGATCAGAGATATATGCCAAGCAGACACATCTACACTCGGAGAGATGATAAAAGACGTAGAAAAAGATGAGCCAGGTTGAAATAGACAAACGGCATAGACGAAATGGCCAGAGTAAAGTGAATTTCCAATGAAAAGATATGAATCTGAATCTGAAAATGAAAAGCAAATCGCATGTAATGAGACGAGACACCCGCGCCAATCTGCAACTCCGGTTGGATGCGATGCAACAAGGTAATAGGACAGTAACTTGCAATGAATGAGGTATGGAATGAAATGAGATGAGCAATGATACTGGTAATGACAGTGTGTGCCGTGGAGGTGAGTTGAGTAAAGGAGAAGAGTGCGTGTGTGGTGAACCTGGTTGTGTTCCAGGCTGGAATAGTTATGCGAATGGAAGGGACAAAAGATATGCTGATGATAAAGATGTGCAAGGAATGTAGGTTGACGGAAAGGAAAGTTGGTTTAGTGGTAGTGATAGGGATGATAGGAAAATGGATTGTGATCCGCGGATTCACCCCGTCTATTTAGCGTAGCCGTAGAAGCCCGGGTTCTGGGTGTGCTGGCTTTGCGGGTAGACGGACGGAGCCTGAGGGGTCTGCTGGGAAAGCTGACCGTACCAGGAGGACCGGCGAGGCTCATCGGGGCGATTCATTTGGTTAAGGGCGTCCCATGTATGACTGGCAACAGGCATGTTGTACATGGATGCCTGGCCACCATGTTGAGGTGGGTACACGGAGGCGGCCTGTTGGGGCGACATGGATTGGTGCAACATTGGCTGGGGTGCGTACTGTTGCTGGTGCATCATGTGCTGCTGGCGGTGTGCAATGGCTTGCTGGACCATCTGGTTCGACATTCCCTCTTTCATCTCACGCTTCTCGCGCTCGCGAGCGTCAATGGCAGAGACGAGACCACCAGGATTCACCGGTGCATGGGGCTTGCGGGTATCATTGTTCATGTTGAAAAATGACGAACCGGTCATGCGGGCGACGTGCTCCTGCTCACGGGCAGAAAGATGGATTGAGGCATCATTGTGGTTGAGCATGCTGGTGGCACCGCGAGATGAGGGACGGTAGTTGGGATCTCTGTTCATGGGCGAACTGGAGCGGTAGTTAGGATCCCGGTTCATAGGCGAGCTAGAGCGCGCGAGCTGAGCCCAATCACCGGATACCGGGCGTTGCACCATTGTGGCTCCAGAGGGGGTACGATTGTGCATGTGCATCGGAGGGCTGGGAGCGGCCCGTTGCTGTACATATTGCTCCGGGGTAAGGCCACCAGGTGTGACAGGGCGACCAGATGCCATTCCAGGTTGCCACAGCATACTCCGCCGGTACTCCTCTTGGGAGGATGGTCTTCCATTAGCCTGGTCCATTTGATGAGTAGGGATCGTGAGCTTCGTTCCCTCCGAATCCCTCCGTTGATGAAGTGGCTTCTTCAAAGCATCCCCAGTGCTCGGGCGTCCAGTGGTAGGCATGTAGGTCATAGTTGGCCCGAAGTCCACGTTGGGGATGTCGGGATTCGAGGTTGGCGCTTTGTCCGTAGTATAGCGAGCGTCACCAATGACAAGATCTTTAGCAGCTGGAACTCCCACGGTCTTCATAACACCCATTCTGGGCTTGGTCGACTTGGTCGAATTCTTGCTGTAGACAGAGCCATGGGTACTGGCATAGTCAGGCGACACCGTCGAAGCATCATCGTAGACGCTTTCCTCGTCGTTTCTGGCTGCTGACGAGATCGGGGACGGAAGGTGGGGAGCAATTTGGTTCAGCACATCCTCGTCAAGGGTGTGGCGCAGATCATCATAGCTCGGTTCGCCTTGTCCTTGTGACTCGTCGGCGAATATGTCGCGCTGTGGGACTGGCTTGCGTCGGACGGACTTGCTAGTGTCAATTGGAACACGCTGGGGGGATGACCGCTGAGGGGAGGGGCCGCCAGTGTTGGTGGTATTAGGGCGGTGTTCCGGAACCTTGGGCGGGCGAACTGGGACTGCCATGGTCATGGACTCGTCGCTCGAGGAGTGTGCAAGAGAATTGTTAGAGGCGATGTGACTAGGGTGGTAGATGTTGTTAGGGTCCCGTTGCTGAGGCTGCTGCTCGTTTGGTTGCTGCGACTGTTTCCAAGCGGCGGCGGCGGCGGCGGCGCTCAACCCAGCCCCTCCAACCGATGTGAGTTGAGAAAGGGTGGCGTGAGACATGCGATTGTTTTGAAGCCTCTGCTCCGATGATGCTTCCGGCCGGTTGGCTGGCATCTCTCTGGGACCATGCGAAAATGCGGGCGGACTCATAACGGGCGATGGTGGAGTAGGAGGTGGATGCTGCTCTCTCACAGGCTCGAGATGTCCATTTTCAAGGGCTGGAAGACTATCGGAGCTTGAATTCTCGGCAATGGGAGCCACGGTCGGGGTTCCATCACGGGGCGCTAGGTCTTGAGCAGATGAGTTAGGGGAGCTCTCGGCCAATCCACGACCGGTTGTGGGGGCACTGTTGAAACCGGTGGTGTCGGAGAATCCACGAGTGTGATACGAAAGTGGCGATCCGTCGATCCTGGGAACTTCTTGAATAACTGCCTCCGCGGAGTGGTTGAATTCGGGCTTGTTCTGGAAAGCAGAGACTTGACGGCGAGGGTCAACGGGGACATCGCTGTAGCGGCCAGACATGCTAGAGCGATAACGAGGCTTCGAACTGTTGACGCTGTTGGTTCTGCTTCTGCCTGCCGAGATTCGTCGCTGGGTTGCTGCTTTCAACTGTTTCCGCCACTCTGCCTCGCTCCACTCCTGGCTTCCGGGTGTCTGTAGGAGACTGGCAATATCCAGCACATCCAAATATCCATAGCGTCGCTCCTTGGGGAATGCAAACATGATACTCTTAATGTGGTTGGTATCGGCCACCAGGCGAGTCGGACGGCCGTATAAATTGAAAGTGTCGAATGTTGGGAAGAGGAATCGCAGCATCATCTCGAATCCAGATACAGCAGCATGCAGTTCAGGCATAACAAACACAAGACCCTCCTTGGAGCTTCCATCTGCATGGGTAGTAATCCGACCCTCCAACTTCACCAGTGTCGATGCATCGATTAAAGCCTTGGACTGTGGGTAAATTGCATATGCCGAATACACATTAGTGATGGTGGCAATTGGTGTCACCTTTTTGGTCTTCTTGGTCTCGTAGAATTTGATATTTCCAGTGACCGGAATTGACAAGCGGTCATATGCCGATTTCTTGATGATCTTGCGCGCTTTTTGCATCTCTTTCTCGTCTGGCGGACTGATGACGAACCAGCACCGTCTCCATGGAGTTCCAGCTCCAAATCGCACGCGCGCCCAGTCTTCGTATTTGAATTTCGTGGGTACTAGGATGGTGTTGATTCCATTGAGAGTCCTTCCTTTGGCTGCAATCAGAGATCCGGTATAAGCTTCATATAAAGATGTGTGTTCGAACAGCGCGAGACGAATCGCGGCGGTCCATTGCGTCAAGGAGTGGAAGGAGTTGAAATGCAAAAGGTATCGGTTTTTGCCTGCAGATGAAAGGCTCAGGACATTCTTCAATGGCTGTACAGCACCATTTCGGATCGGCAGGGTCTCAATCTGTGAATGTAAGCGCATGTCCGGTATCGGCAGAGATCCAGACTCACCATCTTGATTGACGCATCGGCCAAATTGATAAAGGTCGCAGGGACCTCTTCGCCACCTGCTGCGTCCAGCGCAGCACCATCCCATAGCGAAAGAACGGTCCCGACAAGTTGCGCATAGCATTCCACCCATTGCCGATCACCAGAAGGTCGACCAACTGCATTTGTTAGCGGCTTCCCCGCAAAGATAGTCGGTCCACCTACGAGAATCCAGATCATTCAATTTCAAGAAATATCCTTCCTGGTAGACCTTGTTGGTGTGAATGTTCAGAAAGGAAAAAATTGGCGACAGCTCCGGCGGGGTGTCGTTCGCCTGCTGGAGTAACGGCGGATTGCGCGAGAACACCATGGATGCCGGACGTGAGCCTCCGTTGTTTCTTGGAGCAGATCCCACCGGTGATAACTCAGAGGGGGGCGATGTCGATGCTGTCTCGGGGGGAGGAGTTTGCCACCGGGGTGGTGTATCGGCGGGCGTCACACTCTCCGGAGTGGCGTTACTGGACGATAGCCTGCTTCCTTTGCCGGAGTCATTGTTTTTCTGACCCCCGAAGCTGGAAATAAACGAGCGAACTGCAGAAAATGCAAGGGATAGTCAACATCGGGCTCTAGTCAATTTTCCGGCGGCGCCGACGATCAACTTACCACGCGAACGACCCATGACGTCGGAAGACGTGCAGAGATGACTCCGAAGAAGCCCCTCAACGAGTGCAACACTGAAAGGTTAGAAGCGAATGAAGATCAGTGGGATCTAAAAAGGAGCCGTTCAGTCTGAACAGGACTGAGGAAGTTTAATCCATGGAGAAAGGTAAGGCAAACAAAAAGTAAAGAGAAGAACGAGCGGTTAGGCCGGAAAGGTGTGTCTGCCAAGGAAGATGACGTTGACCTAAGAGAAAGAGGGTATTTTGGGGATTTAGGGAGATTTGGGTATATGAGAGAAAGAAGATGAAGATGAAGAAGATTTGACAACGGCGACTAATCTGGGGACTCTCCGTTTAACTCTGTGTGACCTCAGGCCAAGATATTGCCTATTTTTACATTCTACACTCTATACATTCTTGATCACTTTGCATGCTTATGAACCCTAGACAATTAGACCTAGACTAGCCGATCCGCGACGAACTAAGACATAAGTAAAATTAGCAGTGCATGTCTTAGCCAAGTTAGAACTATGACCCATCCACTATTCAACTCTTTCATATAAGGCAATATTGTTTCCCCTTTCAACCCCCTAATTCTCTCCTTTCCCCTAATCTAACGTGATTCATCATTCTGGCTCATTTTGGTTATGGCGTCGCTTTAATTTGCGCCACATACCATCTAAAATGGACGCTTGACCCAGATAGATGACCACGGCCGGAGCGAACAATGTGCCTCATTTCGCTACACTTTGGGTTAGTGGCTTGCCACAGCTCATCTTCTTCCACGTTGCGCTTGCGGATCCACCATGGCGTGGCCCAAGGCGAACCTTGCCTTTCCCCGGCCTTCGGACGCGTACTCATATTGGTCGAGCTCACCGCCAAGCTCGAAATATCCTGCTTTTCGCTGACATAGGCAACTCGCGAATCATAGCGTCTTTGAAATTTCAATAATGCCCTCATGCCCTCTCTTTCTTCTTAGGCTCGGCACTTGCATCAGTGGACTCTAAGCGACCCACGGACCTTTTTTTGCGCTCCTGCATTAGGGTCTCCCCAGTCCCAGCCACAATTTTCACGGGGACTTGGAATCTTGGCGCAGATCGAGGTCAGAGATCATGCAGTGATGTAAGACGCCTGGAGAAGACCCCTGATACCCAATCTGATCAGGTGGGTTTGCAGGGTTATAATCAACTAATCCCCTTTAGGACAATAGACTAGGCCTAATGTAGATGTTGATCTTTGGTAACTCGTAGATTATGCTTAATTCTATACTTACATCCATGGCTCCAGAACAAGTATACGTGTGAATTCATAAGTCTACCCCTAAATCAAATCTGAGATCGACACTATATGTCTCTTGGCGTAGCTTTCCCAGCACTTTGGGGATATACGAGGGAAAGCCTGCATTGATCTGCTGTAAGATGCCCCACGACTGCTCTCCATCGGTAGTGCACGGAACTGTCCCTGCAAGACCCATCGTGTTGAAAGATGCGTATACCAATGGAACGGTGTCAAACGACATCGATGCGTAAACCAGTGATATCCGAACCCTAGCGGTCAAGGAATCTTGAATTCCCCACAGTAGCAAAAGCAAAGGGAGCACAGGCGCATAGAGATTGTTCTTGATGAAATTTGGGATGACCTATATATGGTAGAGTAGTAGCAGCTGGAGAAAGATAAGCAGATAGCCGGTAATCTTCCCGGGAGCACGCCATACCCGCCTATCAATATCAACGTCCTCCCGTCTTAACCTCGTAGAATGAATTTGACGTTATCTCACATGGCTGCAGACTCTAGAGGGTCGGAAGAAATGTTACTATACTTCAGGCGATTGGTGGGATAGCCTGATTTGCTCGAATCTCCGAGTTAGATTGTTCGGTTCCGATGATAGGAATTTGATGGCAAAAGCATATAAATTGCGTCTTCTTAGCCAGGTTATTTTTGCGGTAGCAAAGAAATTTGGCGGCTGGAAAGGCAGGCCCGAGTTTATCATTGATATCCTCTTGGGTCATAAACACTGATGACTCTTTGAGTTTCTCGGTGATGATCCATGTCTGGGAAGGTAATTGAGGGCTTTGCTTGGCCTCTGTGATAACCCCGCTACTATTAGGGCAACCTAGAAGGTTGGATTCATCGCTATATATGTTGAATCAACGAATTTCTATGAGTTATAGTAAGATCTGTATTGGTATAGCCATAGCTATGAGGGCAGCGAAAGAGAAAGGTAGGGCAGAAGAAAAGGGTGAAAGTTAACTCAGAACCTATGACGGATCTATGATAAGAAGTGAAGTCAAGTAGGAGCCAAGTAAGGGTGAAAGCCGGACCACTGGCTACTTGGACTAACTTGAAGTTTTCAATAAAGAAGTTCAAAGCGAGTGAGAGCCTCGCGCTATCAGGATCACCATTTTTTAAACTAGTGAGCTTTTACGGCTTGACAAATAGGCTATTTTGTGGTAAACTGGTAGAGGGGTCAATATCCCCCTTATTTGCTAAGCTCCACCATGTGTAGCATCTACAGATCGGCGATACTTCGTTTAATCCCTGGGGCCTAGCTCCCTGAAGCGAGAACAGAAGAATCAGTATTGTGAAAGCTTTTTGCCGATACTTCGTGCAGTCCTCAAATCGCAACTGATCTGTAATTCAGGACCTCGGCATTTTTTTACTGTGGCTCGTGCAGCTTGGACGTGACTTGCAGAAGTAGCAAAAAAAGACATTCGGACAGTCTCATTTTTCAGTGTTGGAGGAATGATACGCCTGACATAGTCAGTGGCTGATGCTTCGGTCAGGTTCAGACTAGGAGCAACGTTTTCATAAACTTAGCACGTTCATCAGCGTTGTCTCTGCGATGAGGAATGATGGCACCAAGCCAATTACAATTTTGCAACAACCGCGGAGGTAAGGCAAGGCGACTCCGTATTGGGGAGGCTTGAGCTGCTGTATCTTCCAAAGCTGCCATATAGTCTGGTCCAAATGAGGCATTGAGCTTTGCATCCTGAACTATCCACCGGAAAACACCTTGATCTGAGTGAGTATCCCGATAGCCACGGGTAGCAAAAGACCGTATAGATTGAATCAGCGCTAAAGCGCATTGCATCCTGCCATCCACGGTTTGTTGTAAGTTCGCTTCCGCAGATCGAAGGCGGATAACTTCGGCTTTAAATTCGTTGATATAAGTTTGAGTTCGTTATCGATGGTCCCTATACACGCCTCAGCCATCTTCTCATGAGACTTGCGTGCCATTCTTACCGTTGTGCACGTAAGACTTGTTCTCGCTTCTTGCTTGGTGGGACTTTCTGGGTCCTAGCTGTCAGCCCTCGACGGCTTTGAGTAACAGGCGCTTGGAACTGGAAATTACCGAGGAGCTTTGGTTGTCGTTTCACTATTGAAGAGCGATTTTCTGTTTTGTCCATGGTCAGACTGTCAATAGAACTGGAGTTGCTGGCCTCGTCAATTGAGCACAGATGTCCCTGCATTATCTACGGTGTACTGTCCACCTGTCTTGGAGAACCGTATAGGATTACAGGCTGGGAAGTGATAGCTTTTGAGCATGCGTTTGCTGAATAATAGATGTGCGCGTATGACGGATAGAGCCTTCCATAGACACCAGTTGTATAGGACTAGATCTCGCCAAGGCTCGCTGTATAGGTAAGGTCCAGATCGCAGGCCAATAGGCCCGGTCTACTCTTGGTCGTGGATTTGCTTTATCCGGACCTCATAGGAAGCTTTGATCAGAACGTAATGTGAACGTTGGAGAATTAATAGAACTGACAAGGAGGGGTTGATATAAAAGAGTTGAAAGTGCTGGAAGGAAGCAAAGTGATCAGGCAAGGCAACGCCACAAATATAGTAGAAATACGTCGTGCAGACCTATATTAGAGAAATGAAAAGGGAAAAAGTATTTTGCTATGCCGCTATATAGTCATAAAAGTCGTAAAGATGATCCTGTTCATTGCTCCATCAAATTGTAAGCAAGAACAGGGTCGATCATAGCCATATCATTATGGCCGGATATCACAGAATCAATTTCGCCGCTTGCACCCGCTGCAAAGTCATCTTGCGCCAAATAATCGGTATTCAGACCTTGCTTGCCGGGAAGGTAGTTCGAGTCGTTCGACTGTGAGCCGAAAGCCATATCTGATGAGCCGTCGCCCCCAATATAATTTTCCCTGAAGAAAGACTGGCCCTCCTGATCAAGACCGAGACCATACATGCCCAATGAGTTGCCTCCAGTGATGGAGTCATCAGCAAGCAGGGCACGTTGCATGAACAGACCCTGCACCTCGTCTTCGGAGCAGCCATGTTTGCTGCTCATGTGCACCCAGAGATCGTAGTCGCGATGGAAACGATGAGGACACTGATCGTAGAAGCAGGCAATGTGTCGGCCTGTTTCTTCAACATAACCCTGGCCTGTGAGGGCGGCCAAGGTAGAAATAGAGCCATGCGAGGGTTTGCTGCTCAGTCCCAATCGTTGACGCCGCTCGGCCTTGGCATTCTGAAGTCCCATATGGGCAGTGCGTATATGTTCCTCGAGTGCGAGTTTACTACCGTAACGGTTTCCGCATCCAATTGCATCCCAGCCTGCAACCTTTTTGGAGGATGAAAGGTCTGTTTCGCCACAGACAAACCGCTTTTCGCCTTCGTGGACGGTGCGAATATGGACTGTCAGGTTGCCCTGCTTCGTAAAGCTGCGATCACAGCCAGAGTAGGTGCAAACGAACACTTTACGCTCTTCAAGGCTGACATCTCCGTGAGCAACCTCAAGATGGCGTCGGAGCTCTCGTGATGTGGAGCACACAATCGGGCAATGAGGACACTTGGGAGGGTGAACGATCCGGATATGATCTTGTAGAAGGGCATAGGTGGGAAATGTCGCTTCTTGGTTCGGACTGTCGGTACGGTTCATGTCTGATGATTGATCTGGCAAGGTTCCAGAACACTCTGTACAAGTGAATCGCTTTTCGGCATGGACCCTGCTTTCGTGGGCTCGCAGGTTTCCAGCGGTGTCAAAGGCCATTTGACATTTCTGGCTCGTTACTGGATCTGTATGTGTACACGGGTATGGTTTCTGCTTGAGATGAACGGTCGTGACATGTTTCTGAAGCGTCGTGTGCTTTCGGAATGTCTCGTTGCACGGTGGATACTCAGTACAGCGGAACTTGTCCCTTCCATCATGCGCAGCTTCATGTCGGCGGAGTCGTGAGCCGGTCACGAAGCTTTTACCGCACCCCGGTCTGTTACAAACGTAATCTCGGACACCAGTATGGGCACTTTTAATGTGGTGGTTCAGATGCGAAGTGCGTAGAAATGTCTTGTCACAGCCCTCGAATGTGCACTGGAAGAGTCTTTCGTTGTTGTGTGATCGAATATGTTCCTGGAGACGAGCTGGACGATTGAAGGCTTTGTCGCATCCCTCAAATGGGCAACGGTGGATTTTGAGCTCGGATGGATAGCGGGAGGACGTAGTTGAGTATGGAGTGGCAGGAGTCTCGTTCAAGTCTTGGCTCATAGCACTCGGAGTGCCTGGGGCTGAGTATTCAGCATCAGAATGAGTCTCCTCATAAATGGGGTCTGTGGATGATCAGCAGTTTGGTCCCTTTATCATTATCTAGAGATGAAGCGTACCAGAGGTGTCCAGGAGTGTTTCCTTCTGGTGGCGCTTGGGAGTCGACGCTCCTTGTGACAGAGACTTCCTTTTCTGGGCCATGATGATAGGTCCCTAAGAAGACGATTGAAGAAAAAGGGAATTCCCATGCAGGGAATGGAACATCTGACGTGAACGTCAAAATAATTTTATTTTGCCAAAAAGGCGGTGACGGGGAACGCGAGAGGAAGTTTTTCCGCTCCAAGGATTTTACAAGCATCAATCCCACCAAGGTCTCCGGGTCGCTTCTCTCCATTCGGGTCTTTTCTCGATCTCTACGGCTTACGGATCTTCCGCTCATTCAGCCTACCAGCCATCATGTCTGACTACGGTGACAACGACGCTGAACCGTAAGAGCTACCTCCCCACATCTTGAGGTTGATCAGACCCGGGGCGCAACAGAGCTCAGGTTCTGTCTCGCCTCCGACCACCCTCAAATTGTTTTCGCCCGAATCGCCACAAAAACTGTTGCTAATTTGATTGTTTGCGCAGCTATGACTATGAGCCCGGCGAGGATGTGTTCGAGGAGATGGAGCCCGAGGATTTGGCTGACCAAGAGGGCCTCGAGGGCGAGGAAGGCGATGGCGATATCTACAACCCTGCTGTCAATGGCGACAACGTCGTCACTTCGGGCGACCCCAATGCCGGATACACCGGGAAGGTGATGGAACAGTCGCGCGAGAAGAAGGTTCCCAATGACCAGCGCACCACTACCCCGTACTTGACCAAGTACGAGCGTGCGCGCGTCCTCGGCACCCGTGCCTTGCAGATCAGGTGCGTCCCCAGCTATATAAAATATTGCCGAAATGGACCGGAGACAAGATCGAAATGCTGACATCTCTCTAGTATGAACGCTCCCGTTCTCGTTGATCTCGAGGGTGAAACCGATCCCCTCCAGATTGCCATGAAAGAGTTGAACCAGAAGAAGATTCCCCTGATCGTGCGCCGATACTTGCCCGATGGATGGTAAGGATACCCCGATAAGACATAAGTGGTGGGCTATATCTAACAATGACTTCAGGTACGAGGACTGGACTTGCGAGGAGCTGCTGTAGAAGCTCCACAAGTATCAATTATTCTCACGGTGGCTGTTTACCATCTTTTCCTTTTCTTTGGGTTTCAGCATAGCGTTTGGAGTTCCGGGATTCGAAGAAGCTGTCAAAAAAAGAGCTTTGAATGTCTTGGATGCATGGACAGAAGGTCTTTGCACATTTAAAAGACCCAAAAAAGATATCCAGAAATAATATGACGCTTTCTTCATTTCTCCCGATGTATGTAGTATGCAGACCACGTGCCGAGTCGGTCAATCATTTGCCGCAAGTGGAATCCTGACGTACTCAAGTCTCTTCACCTCTCATATTTTAGTCAAGGAATCAACTCCCAGTCTCCTATCTCCGAGGCATTAGAGAGGTATCAGAATGCACAAAGGCCCACTAAGATCCCTGTCATTTGGGGTCAGACGCACTAATCTGATCTTGGGGTCGGTTCGCCTGGATAACCGGCACGTAGACTACGGATCATCATTGGATCATCTGTCGATGTCCACCGGCAGACAGGTGAAAAGATGTCTCCGTCGTGGATGAGGACCCAGTGGGCCCTATGCCGCTGCCTGAAAGGCCCTTCCATTCGGCACCTTCCGCCCCCAGGGCAGCTTGGCCCTGGTGAGCCCCGCTTGGCTCGGGGTTTCTGATCAACTCCGACGATTTTTTATAAAAGGGTCCCATGGCTTCATGAAACCAGTGTCTTGCCTCGTTGCTTGTGGTGGACTCTTTAGCTCACTCTCGTCGCCCACTCAACCACTTTGTCCACTCTCGACTCTCACGCCTGTGATCTTGCGCATTGTTCAATCATTGCAAGACACTGAATATGGGTTCCACTAATTTGGATCTAGAGCAGAAGGCGTTTACTGAACCTTCGGCCGCTCAACATGACAATTTTGTCACCTCTCCCAATGCCTCGGATTCTGTGGCCGAAAAAGAGCCCGAGTCTGAGTTCGTTTATGATACAGGCCTCAAGCAATGGCTCCAAGTGCTGGGCTCATTTTTCCTCTTCTTCAACTCATGGTATGTCTCCACTGAATCCACATGGAGTATACCGAGCTGACGAGGTTCAATGAACAGGGGCGTCATCAACACCTGGGGTGCGTATCAATCCTATTATGAGCAGGAACTACTCGTCGGCACTTCGTCATCCACAATTGCCTGGATTGGGTCGTTGCAATCATTCCTGTTGATGATGGTTGGAGCCATCACAGGCCCACTGTTCGATGCAGGCTACTTCCGGGCCCTCATCAGCGTTGCCGCCTTTCTTATGCCATTTGGCTTGATGATGACCAGCCTGGCCACTCAATACTGGCAGCTGATCCTTTCTCAAGGTATCTGCTGTGGTCTGGCAGCAGGTTGTCTTTTTGTTCCATCCGTTGCCATCCTGCCACACTACTTCAAGAACAAGAAAGGATTGGCGAACGGCCTTGCTGCCAGTGGTAGCAGTATCGGCGGCGTTGTCTATCCAATCATGTTTGACCAGCTGCAAAACAAGGTCGGCTTTGCCTGGGCCACTCGGGCCCTGGGTTTTGTCTCTTTCGGTACAATTTGCTTTTCCGTTAGCATCATGCGTGCGCGTTTCCAGCCAAAGGAGAAGCGCAAGCTCTGGCAATTTTCTGCCTTCAAAGAACCCGCTTTCACTATCTTTGTCATTGCCATGTTTGTGGGGTTCCTGGGATTCTACAATTTCCTGTTTTATGTGCAGTCGTACGCAATTGAGACACACATTGTCGACCCGAATCTAGGGTTCTATCTCCTGTCCATGCTGAATGCCGCTTCAACATGCGGCCGTATTGGCCCCAATTTCCTCGCTGATCACGTCGGTCCTCTGAACATGCTCACTCCCTTAGTTACCATCACCGCGATTCTTGCCTTTATCTGGATTCGGGTTCACACCGTACCTGGTATCATCATTCTGGCCGTGCTTTACGGCTTCTTCTCTGGGGGCTTTGTTTCTCTGCCGCCTGTGGTGATGGCTACGATGACTCCAGATGTCCGCGATTTAGGCACACGGCTAGGCATGGTCTTTACTGTGACCTCCATCGGTCTGTTAATCGGGACACCCATCGGTGGTGCAATTCTGGGCGACAACAAGAACTTCCTCGGATTGCAACTCTTTACGGCTTGTTGTCTAATCACATCTACATTCCTCTTTGCAACTGTGCGGTTCTTGCGCACAGGTCCTAACCTTCGTACGAAAGCCTAATCAAAAGTGCGGCACCTCACATCTCAAAATTCTGGAAACCGCATTTCCTCTTCTATGAACGCACGGTGGAGGTGACTTTACTTTGCTACAGAAAGGTGGCTGTGCAACCCTCAACATTGTCACTCGGATCAAATGAAAACTGGAAACACAGGCCTTCCATCGACATGACAAACTCCCCTAGTATAGGGTATGACATACCCACGAAAAGCTTTGCATACATTTAGCTCCTGGGAGACCCTTGTTTGCATTTTATGGAGTGGGTGGTAAGCATGACGCAATAGCCACGCTACATGGGCGAAACAAAATAGGCTAGTTGCTTTTAACTCTAATTCTTCATGATACGAACTTTGCCGTCCAGTCTAACAATTGTAGTAAACTTGATGTCCGGCATGATGACCGATGCCATGTCAAAGTTGAGAAACGTATTAACAAGAAACGCATTAGTAAAAGGTATCATCGCTACATAACATCTTCAGGCCCAACCCGGAACTCCTCCCCATTTTCTCGCACATGCTCGAGCTTCTTGTCCCGACTGCATGGTTTCCGCATGTCGAATGCGTCCTCCCCGGTATCCGACATGCCTGATGGATCATCACTGTAGTAATTGACCACACGCCGGAAGACAGAGTATCTGATTTGATTCAAATTTGTCAGGAATCATCTTCCCAGGCTTGTTCAGTGTCTCACTCACCCCATGTCTCTGTACATATTACTGGCTACCTTATTTCCGGCACGGACGTATAGATCCACGAACCAGGCGTCATTGCTGTCGGATCCACGTTCCAGCTGCTCGGTCAGGCGACGGGCAAAGCCTAAACGGCGCCAGGCGGGTGCAACGGTCAAGACAGTAATGTGACCGTGCCACGGTGTGTAATGCTCGGAGTGTCGCATAGAGGGGTGTTGCTCTTCGAGCTTGCCCATGACTTGTAAGGAGAACAAGAGTCAGCCAATACATTCTTGGTCGCCAGTTGAGGTTTCAGATGTCAAGTATAGCATACTGTAACCCACAATGCCTGCATCACGGTCTTTCACCGTGCTGAATAGTGATGGCCACTTATTCAAGTAATTGAGGTAGAAACCAAGGTCATAGTTCTCAGTGAGGGGGTCGAGGTTTGTGCGGTTCGTTTTGAGGAGGTCCAAGGGGGACATGCGCTCTACGGAGCTCATTTTGGCGTCTTGAAGTTGAGAAACTGAGAGAAGATCTAACTTATCGAAAGAATGTGGGGTTTGATACCTTCGTCATTTTCTGCCGAGCGGTGACGCTTGTTCGGTGAATTAATCTCCGTGTTGATTGCTTCGTATACAACTGTGCCCCTCTTGCATCCTGGCGATGCAATTGCTTTGACACTTCGATCTTTTTAAACATATCATCTTCATTATCTCCTTTATTTCTCGCTATCTATTCTGGATTATTGACTCGGAACGGAGACATCCACACTAGCGGATATCGGAATCAACATTGCGCCTACAGCTCGACCAAGACAACCCTTGTTTCATTCGCCTAGGTATTTCGCTTATAAATTGGCTACCGTCGATTCCTGTTAAAATTTGCTCCAACTAAGATTGTTGCAAGATCCTTGCAGTCGATACAATGCCCCTCCCTCCTTCTCCCCTGAAACTCTCTCACCGCTACCCATCAACAATGGACGACTCACCAATTTCACCCGGGACTTCAAATATGAATGGATTTGCATTACCAAGTCCTCGGTCACCGCAAACACCCCGTCTCTCAGCTCCTCCGTCCCCAATCGCGTCTCGCCATAACTCAACGGCCATGAGTGGATCCCACCGCGAATCCGGGGATTTTTCTGGCGCCGCCGAGGCAGGTGGCGGAGGCTTGGGGAATCTGGCAGATGAGCTAGCTGATGCTTGGGATCAAGAAGATGAGGGCTATGGGTATGCTTCAGGTCAGGAAAATGGCCGCGCGGGGTCACAGCAGATGGATCAGAGTGATATGGAAGATGCATATATGCAGTCTGTGCACGATATGCGCACTCGGACGCCATCTCCGTCTCCAGAGCGGGACTCGCTTCATTCAGAGAGGACTAAGAACCGCGCAAACCATCTGCGACAACACCGACGACAGGAGTCGCAATATGATGGTTCAGATTATGGCCCGGATTCGGACCTAGACGAGGCTGCGGATATCTCTCCAGCACTGGAGAATCAAATGGCTGAAATTGAAAGCCTTGTTCGGCGAGGCATAGAAAATAATGGAAGTGAGAATGACTATGTCATTCAGCGGACAGTCGAGTCTTTGAAAGACCTCGGCGGGCAGAGCGGCATTGAGAACAGTGCCATGAGGTAAGGCATCCATTTCATGAAACACCAGTATCGGGTATTAATCTTCATGTACAGACTCATCACTGCCCATTCCTCAATCACATCGCATCTCACACATCAAACCCGCACCCTCCAATCCCTTATCCACCCACTCCTGTTCTCTCCCTTCCCCCTCCTCTCCGAAGATGCCATCGACTCTCTCATGCCCCTAATTGACGAAGGTTTATTGCCAAACCTCCCATACCCTTTTCCCGAACAGTCTCGTCGCGGCTCCAGGCCAACTACTCCACAGTCATCTGCTCATAACCCGCTAGTCTCTCTACAAGCGCTCATCTCCCAAACTGCCGATATCACTCATTCACTTCGCGGTCTAAGTGACACGCTCTACGAGTCAAGACAATTAACATCTACCGCTTCCCGCCGACTACGATCTGCGCGTGAACTCGTCGCTGAAATCCGACGGGAAGAAGAAAGCCGCGAAGAAGGCTCGCGGTGGATCGAGCGAGGTGAATGGGACCGCCGACTGAAAGACCGAGAAGCCGGTAAAGTCTGCGGAGATGTAGTCAGTGGCTTTGAAGCTGTCTGTGGGGAGTGGCGAGAGAAGCTGTTCGGGGCGAATGCTGAAGTTGCTGCTGCATAGCCTCATGTTCCTGGTTGTTGATCATATCTGGGATGTTTCATTATTATACAGGTCTATGGTCTAGATTGCTGTCCTTTATTTTTGTTATTTTGTCGGATATCCATATTGATTTGATCGGGCCGTTTCTTCATTTGGCCCTTGTTTATATTGAGACTGAGCTTCTTAGATTACATACAGATAAGCTCGAAACAGTGATACCATTTCTTCTATTTGACAGCTGGAGCAATCCATGTTCTTCGTACCGTCGATCGTAGTGCTGTCATATAAGAAGCCAACCTACAGTAAGTAACGCAGCAAACACGGCATGACATAGCGCCGATCAATCTTCGATTATGTTGCCCGATGAGGAGAAAAGTAAAATGTTGGTATGGCTGTCATCTTATAATTCTTTTTTCTTTTTGCTCCCTTTACGCCTAACCCTACACTCATCAAAGTTATACGAGGGTTGAGGCTATTTATAGGGTGAGGCTGGATCTCCTCTTTTCGTCAGCCTGAAGAAGCTTCTCGCCATTTTCACCATTGGGAGCCCGCCATACTCAAGCATTCCAAACGCATCATCATCAGTATGACAGTGGAGGTTCCAACTATGGCGGACCCACGCCAACAACTCCGAGAGTTCATTGATTTCTCTCCTTGCAATGATCATATCATTCAAGATGGCGAATATTGCCGCAGTGCTGACTTCGTGACACAGTTCAGCGACGAGGAAGTCCAACAGCTCATCCAGGTCTATAAATGTCACCAGCCGAACGTGCGCCCAGGGCTGCTGGCAACGAAATGCGAAGCGTCACTTGGTTTGTACTTTCGGACCAAAGAGACTTCTTACCTGCCAAAAGCAGTGGCCTTGGCTCTCTAATTGCTTATCATGTCTCGCTCGACACGAGTAATTTCGATCGCGGTGTGCTGCTCAGCATTTTCGCGAGAGCACTGCTGGTTCACCGGCAATATACACCATCGGACGCGCCCTCAGATGGCAAACTACTCGACGACTCGATATACTATTGCCGCAAGGCCGTGGAGCTAGGTCCCCTGGAAGAAATTAATCGTGCACTACATTTCTATGACCTCGGCGACCAGCTAACATCGAGGTACGCCGAGCGGCACGATGCAGCAGACTTCGCGGAAGCAGAGAGGTGTTTCCAACAGGCATCTACCCTGAAACCGGCCGGGCGACCCATCTTTGTGTTTCGATGGGCGAGACTTCTTAAAGAGCGTGATGAGTTTGCAAACCTTGAGAAGACCGAGATGCTGCGCACCTACATGGGCAAGCTGAAAGAAGCCGTGATCAGCGAAACCAACGCGTTTAGGCCCGCCGAGTATCGTACCTCCCTCAGCAACGTATGGTGGCATTTCGGATATAGCTTCTGGGAGCGCTCTGAGGTTACACATAATTCGGATGACCTGAAGCATGCTGCTGGTTGTTTTGAACAGGCCAGGCTAGCACCCCTTCATGGTTCAATCGACCGCTTTCGTGCTTATCAAGACCTGGGACGAGTCAAGGCAATTCAGTTCATGCAGAACGGGAATTTGGAGGACGGGAACACTGCGGTGGAGATGTTAACCGAAGCCCTCAAGATCCAGCCAGAGTCATCGCTGGCAATGGAGTCTCTTGGGAACCATCTACGCGTTTTCGCAGACTACACCAATTCAGATGAAATGCTCTCAAGGTCAGCAGAGATTCTGAGAAAGGTCCTTTGTGCCAGTGAACAGCCTAGTGAGTCGAAAATCTCAACCAGGCAATCGCACATTACGAAGAAGCGTTGTCGAAACCTGGCAATGATGGGAAAACCACATATACAATGCACAATGATCTCGCAAATGCGTACTACTTCAATTTCAAGATCAATTTGCTGGTGGAGGATCTCTCTGCATCGATTCGGGGATATCAGTCCGCTCTCAAGACCTTGGAAGAAAGTGGACTGGAAAACGCTAAGAGGGCTAATTTGATGGTCACGCATGGGCTAGCTATTTCACTCACAGCACAATTCGAGGTCACTCAACAGCAACGAGACATTGACAGAGCCATCGAATGCTACAAGAGATGTTTGCAGGGCGCCACGGAGAAATCCCTACAATATGTCACTCGTGCAACCAATCTCGCTTCTGCTTATCAAGAGCGATACAAGCTCACGGAGAAAATAGCGGACGTCAAAGAGTCCCAGAGAATTCTACTGGAGGTGCTTGAGTGGAAACTTGGTCTTCCAGCGGACCACCGATCCAACTTGTGCAACCATCTTGGACGGGCATATCTATTCTCCTATATCGTGTACCGAGAGCCAGTGTACCTGGACTTTGCAAAGGAGCAGTTCCAAAATGCCCTTTCCTCGGGCAGCACGCGCCATGCCTTCCAATTGGCTGCCTCAAACAACCTAACCCGTGTGCTGAGATACAAGGCTCGACAAACGAAAACCCTTTCAGACCAGATCGCTGCGCTGGCACAAATGAAAGATAACCTTGAACGACTGAAGCCACTTCAAGAGAGTAGCCAGCACGTGCATCAAGATTCATTCATGTACAACTTTATCGACTTTATTCTCGATACCTGGGAAGACTCAGGGTACAACGCTACCTCAATGTTTGGGCAGATGTACCTCAGTTCTGTCTTGACGATGCTCCCCAGAATGAGGACACTGCAGGTCTCTGCCATTGTCCGACTCTATATGTACGCGGCATTGGCGCAAGATATCATAGCCAAGAAGCCAGGAGAAGCTCGCAACATGATTCGGGCAGCGGCTGATCTCTTACCTAAAGCCATACTCCTCAGCTTTGGCCGCAAGGACACCCTCAATAATCTAGGCAACTTGGTTGCTCTGCCAAGCTTCACCATCTCGTACTCGCTAGAGGCAGGAGACTCACCGTCCCAGGCTCTCCAACTCTTCGACAAAGTCCGCAGTGTCATGTGGGATCAGGTACTATCCAGTCAATTGACATTGCAAGGGAAGCGCATTGAGGAATTTCCGGCTCTCCAAGTCAAATTGGAAACGATTCAAAGGCCCCTTTCGAAGGCCAAGGCCCGTCAAACGAAGAATGCACTTTCGGGAGATATCAACGAGAGTCTAGTGCAACAACACGAGATTTATTGCGAGTCGGTAGCATATCAAGAGATCTTGGGTGAGTCGAAAGCAGATCCCGAGCTGGAGGCCTTTCTACGCTTGCCAGCAGATACTTCCGACCTGGTCAAGTATGCACAGGAAGGACCAGTAATCATTGTTAACAGCAGCCTATTCCGCAGCGATGCTATCATCGTGACTACAGAAGGAGTCGACTCGCTTCGCCTCCCAATGCTAGAGGGACGATCAATGACAGAACGAGAAAATTGGTATGCAGCAGCCCTCCATCTCATGAGCAGCGATCTTCCTGCCGCAACGCAGCAACTGAACCAAGTCCTCGAGTGGCTGTGGGACGCCATTGCGGAGCCAATCTTTCAACATCTTGGATTCAATGGCGATGTAACTGCAGACAGCGAGCTACCACGAACATGGTGGATCACCACAGGCCGGATTGGTACATTCCCTCTTCACGCTGCAGGTAATTTGACGAAGGGGCCCAGCTGCACCGTTCTGCACCGGACCGTGCCATCCTATATCAACAGCCTTCGTGCTCTTGCATATACACGCAGCCGACGACGCACCCGGCTAGAGTCACAATTTCAGACCGAACAACGCGCACTCCTGATCTCTATGGCGATTACACCCGGAATGGGAGAAGATACCGACCTACCAATGCCGAGCGCGAGGTAACCAGTATCCAAGAGATTGTGGACAGTCGAGGTGGGAAGAGCAAGGTTCTTCTGAGTCCTAATCGGGACGTTGCACTGCGCCACCTTGGACGAGCTGACTTCGCCCATTTCGCCTGCCATGGTGTCTGCGATGGTGACGATCCCGCGCGCAGTGCACTCCGTCTGATGGATTGGACAGCTAAGCCCCTTGACGTAGGATGCCTCCTTCAACAGGAGAATCTTGGTTGTCAGCTCGTGTATCTCTCTGCATGTGAGAGTGCGTCCAACAAGTCGAAGTTTCGCGATGAAGGACTTCATTTGGCTGGCGGATTCCAGATGGCTGGGGTCCCTCATTCCATTGCAAGTCTGTGGCACGTGGATGATTTCTACAGTGTTGACGTTTCTGAGAGATTCTAGAAAGCGCTAGGAGCGCTGGGGACGAATCTCGATGCGAGTCAATCTGCGAAGACGCTTCGGGGGGTCGTTTTGGATTTGCGAGCTTCGGGTGTTAGTCCAGTATTTTGGGCTGCGTATATACATATGGGTCCTTGAAAGCTTGAACGAAATGCCATCTTATTGGACTTATGAATCTCAATTCCCGTTTTTACCAGTCATCGTCGGAGTCATCTTCAGCCTCGTCCTCTGGGTCATCATAGTCCTCGCTATCTCCCGATCCTGAAGTGTTTTCCTTCGGACAAAGATTCTTATCCTCGAGAACCTCCTCGCAAGACAGGTCATATTCCATACCATCATCGGTTTGCAGTGAAGCTGCCACGGTCTCTTTCTCCGTGGCATCACCACGAAATTTGTTCGCTTTATTCTGCGACCCGAGTCCCCATAGGCAGAGTGTAAATATAACACACATATCAAGCCGTGGTTACGATACACATACCCCAATGACAGGCCTATACTTAAACCTAAGACCCCCAAAGAAAACAACTCTCCTCCCCCCGGACTCCTATGTCCATAAATTAGCAACACACACGAAGAACAAACGCAGGAAACCAACCTCATTCCCCTTCCCCTTCAACCAACCAGCCGCAGCGCCAGAATCAACCCAACTTCCCTTAGGCACAACCTCTCCAACCTCAACAACCCCAACCTCAAAGCCCACATCGACTCCCTTTCGACAATCCCTCCAACAATTAACAGCAGCCTCCTCCGCAGCCCATGTACTAGTAACAACCCACAAAGCACATTTCCTCAAGTCAGCCCTTTCAGCAAGTAAAGCCCCCGCATTGGCAACAACCCACTGTTTCGTGGTAGAAACGCTCGTGTACAATTGGGGCACTAGTGACAAGAACTGCACCACTCGACCCCTCACTTTCGAAGCGGAAGTGCGAAGTTAGACTTATCGGTGCGCCCGTTGCTGCGAGGAGCGCTTGAGATATGCCTGCTTCGAGGGAGATTTGGTGGCTATGGGGTTTATAGCCGAGTTTTGGCCCCCAGGTTTGGTTCTCTGGTTTTGCGAGGGGTGGGAGGGTTGCCGGAGGTTTCAGAGTGGATGTGGAAGTGGAATACGGCTCAGATAGATCGATAATTGGATTCCAATTTCCCGTTCTGTCGAAATAGGCTGCCATTCCCGGGTGGAAGATACTGTGTGGCTGGGGGTTGTATAGGGCTGTGCCGTAGGGATGGACGCGCATTTGGTCTGCATATTCTATGTCGAGGGATTTGTCTTCGAGGTGCATATTTGCTTTGATTGAATCCTGTGTGCTTGGACCAAGCGTGATCCACGCCTTGTAAATTTAGATATAACTTGTTAGAGGATTGTACGAGTTGTAAGAATGCAGTAGAAGTATGCCGTGGTAACACAACTTTTCGGATGTGTCAGTTGACTATGCTACATCGAAAGGCGACAATCAGCAGTCATATCTAAACATAGGATGCAGCTAATGCAATAAGCTTCGTATTTGGTCGGGTTGTTAACCACTTATATTGCGTGTGCGCCACCATGAGGGGTCGAGTGTCCTCGCTCTTTGGGATGGCATTCATACTGTTTTTTTAAGCTCATGGCTGACTAAAACAGAGATTTTCAATACTATATAGTAGGGCCGCTCTTTATTTCATCACGTACGATCTCTGGAGATCTTCGAGGTGCCCGGTTGTATGGATTTCGACAACTGTTTAGGGCCAGACGATCACGTGGCAACCACTTCTCAGGCAATTATTCCCGACAGCAATCGCAGCCTGAAAATCGGTTTAAGGATTGTAGATCTATGTAGGTGGTTGTCAGTAGATATGGCTATAAAGATATTGAATGCTCTTCTGCATGGTCAACGGCCATCGGAGACGTAGTCACGACACTATTTGGAGCTGAAGCTGGTGTGCAAGGAAAACCTACATGCTCGCTGTATAAAGCATGAGCGAGAATTCACCATTCCTGATCTTTATATACCAATAAGAGTACCTATAGGCTTATTTTGGGCCATCGTTGTCTCCTTCTCGGTGAATACTCTTCTATAGTTTGTCGGCGATTCCAATACTAGTCGAATCCGCATCTCCATACCATCTACTGGCTCTGCTGTAACCCTGACAATATCAAAGCTGAGAATGATTCTAATCCATAAAGAATCGGCTGTTCCCTTGGATCAAATAGCTCTGATTCCACCAGGTACTATCGATTCAATTTGAGGACGCAAATCTCCAGGCTAACGTGCGCAACCTGTCCCAGACCAACTTTCTCAATGTCGTGACGCGATAAGGCCAAACCCAAAATGATCCGTGCTTCTATATCAACCAGTTCCTGTCGAATACAGTCGCGAGGGCCGCGCGAAACTGGCCGCCATGCACTAGGCGGAACGAAGAAAACAGAACCCAGACCTACACGGACTGTACCTAGGTATGCAGGAAAATGGATAATCAGTAGATTCAGACTCTAATATCATCAAGGCCATGCCTTTTAACACTGGGTACTATCATAAGACCTAAAACACATACACATAGAGACACAAGCATGACTTGGCATTGGCATCAGCATTGGCATCAAAGACGGCACGCGCCATCCATCCATTCGAAAGAGGAAATAATTAAAGACATTGACATTGAAACGCAAAAGCGACAGACCAATTGACCCCATGGGGCCGATGATACAGGAAATATGCAGAAAAGAGGTCATGAGAACAGCGCCAAAGAGAAAAGAGCTTCCATACACTTTTTGAGAGGGAAAGAGTCATTGCTATCTACTCGTTGAGCCGGTCGTTTACTGCTGCTGCTTCCATCTCGGCACCCACTTGCCACCGCTGCCCTCGGCCTTGGGGGCTGAGGCGGCGGGAGCAGGAGTGGGAGCAGGAGACTGGGAAGAAGACTCGCGCGCGTGGCGGGGGGCCCAGCGCTCGGTGGGGGCTTCGCGGGGCTCGCGGGGCTCACGGGGGGGAGGGGCAGAGCCAGAGCCACCGGAGGCACCGGCGCGCAGGTGAGGGGGCACGTAGCCACCACCACCCATCCTGCGAGGCTCCTCGCGGGCCGGGGCAGGGGCCGGGGCACCACCCGCCTCTCTGGCAGCTTCGCGCTCTCTCCAGCTGGAGGGAGCTGCAGTGCGGGGGGCAACATTGAGACGGGGGGCAGTTCGGTCGGTAGATTCTGCAAATCCACCACCGGTCCTCCGGGCTGCGCGGCGGGCTTCGGCCTCCTCCTCGCGCTGCAGTTGCTTTTGAGCCATCTCGTCGAGTTTGCTATTGAAATGGTTAGCTTGAAGGCGTGGAATCGGTGTGGAGAGTGGGAAAACGAACGATCGCTCCTCCTCGCGCTTGGCCTTCTCTTCGGCGAGAGCACGACGACGCTCCTCCTCGCGAGCAGTGCGCTCTTCCTGCTCGCGGGCAACGCGCTCTTCCTCTTCTTTGCGACGGAGTTCCTCCTCCTCGCGCTCCTGGCGCTCGCGGCGGCGGCGCTCCTGGACTTCCTTGACACGCTGCTTCTTCTTGGCCTCGAACTCGCGCTCGGCGGCCTTGCGGCGCTTCTCGAACTCCTCGTGGCGCTTCTCGGAAACCTCCTTGCGGAAGCTGCTGAACTGGGGAACGAGACGGCCCAGACGGTGCTTCAGGGCAACAGCCTCGGCGTGCTTCTGCTTGGACTCCTTGAGCGCCTCGGCGTTCTGCTTTTCGTAGAGTTCCATATCGAGCTTCTTCTGGGCCTCGTAATCGGATGAAATGTGCTTCAACTCCTCGCGACGGAAAGCACGCTCCAAGTGGTCGATACGCTTGGCGGTGGTGCGGATGCGGTCGTTGAGCTCGTTTTTCTCCTTCTCGAGCTGAGCGAGCTTCATGGCACGCAGGCGGTTGGCATCAAGTTCCTCAAGATCGATCTCGCTGACATCAATACCCTTGACACCAGTCTTGAGTTCCTCGAGCTGCTTCTTGAGCTCCTCCTGGCGGATGCGATCTTGCTCATCCTTGATGCGCTTGAGCTCACGGTCACGCTGTTCATCAGCCAGGCGCTGCTTCTCGGCATCCTGGAGCTGCTGGGTGCGGATACGCTTGCGGTTCTCCTCCTCACGCTGCTTCTTCTGAAGGGCATCGGTGGCGGCCTCCTTCTTCTTGTCGATGAGAACGCGACGGGCGAGAGTTTCTTCGTGCTCCTGGGCAGCACCAGCAAGGGCGCGGGCCTGGGCAGTCTGCTTGGCCTGGAGACGAGCCTCGTTGTATGAGGGATCCACGTACATACATGTGACGTGGAGAGTCTTGGCGAGACGAGCGACGGAGTAGCGGGCGATCTCAGCGGGGGTGTTCTGGAGACGCTGGACCTCGCTCTCGGCGGAGCCAGCACCGCTGCCGGCGTGGGAGGCCTTGGAGGAAGAGAAGACATCGGAGTCGAAGGTGAGAACGCCGGAGATGTGGTCGACGCGAATGGAAAGGTCGCCCTTCTTGCAGCCGTTCATGATGAACTTCTCAATCATGGCGGGGGTGATCTGGAAAGGCTCGGGGAACTGAGCAAGCTCGTAAACGAACTTGAGCTCAACGGACTCGTAGACCTGGGACAGCTGCTGGAACAGACGGGTCAGGATAACCTGCTGGAGAGGCACAACGTACTTCTCCATCTCGGGGTCGGAACCGATCTGCTTGAGGATGGGAGTGATCTTCTTGCAAATCGACAGAGGGTGGAAGTCGACTTCCAGAATGTTGTAGAGCTCGCGGATCTCGGGGCGGACACGACGGAGCAGACCCTTGTTCAAGGCATCACGGAAAAGGACGGTACGGGTGGGGGCGGTGGCCATGCCGAGCAGGTTGGTAAGACGGGTGTTCTTGTTCTTGCGGGCCTCGTCCACATCGACCAGAGCACCGCGCGAGCGGGAAGTGCTGATGACAGGGATGGAGAGAGCGGAGAGCAGAACAAAGGAGGCAGCCTTGGTCATCTCAGCCTCGGTCACGGAGGGGTTCTCCTTCTTGGAGCTCTGACCGCTGGCCAGGGCGACGGAGGAGAGACGGAGGAGGTTGTAGTAGCGGTTGTAGGCGGCGGCGTGGAACAAGTAGTTCTCGCTGACAAGGAAGATGCGAGCAAGCTTCTCGTAGTAGTTGGCCATCATGATGTTCTTAGCGGGGCGCTTGCTCAGGTTGAGCAAAGTGTGGATATCCTCGATGGAGCGGAAAGCCTCCTGCCAGAGCTCGAGCTCAACGGCCACGTTCAACTGCTGGAAGCGAGTGTCGAGGTGACGCTGGAGGGTGTCCGGGTCGCTCAGGTTAATGGCGTGCATCTGGGTAGAGTACTTGGCGGCATTCTGGACGTGGTTGCGGAGCAGCTCACAGAGACGGCGGAACTCGGTCTTGCGGGTATACTTTTGGCAGAACTTGAAGGCCTGGAGAGCGGTCGACTGGTACATAATCTCGAGACGGGCGTTATTCTTCAGGATCTCGAGGACGGTACGGTAAGTCTCCCAGAGGAACTTGAGCCATGGGGTGACGACGGCGCGGTCGGTGCGGTCGCGGGACTGCTCGCCAGAGACGGTAGCGAGGAGGATGGTCTCGGGGGTTTCGATAGCCTCCAGATCCTCGACGTTGCTGGAGGGAGCGGCGGACTCGAGGGACGACTGGATCTCGTCGGCCTTGGCTTGGGCCTCGGTAACCTTCTGCTCGGCGAGCTCGATGAACTTCTTGAGGACGATCTCGATGGTGCCGACGTTGGTGTTCTGGGCGATGTTCTTGTACTGGTAGAGACCATCCTTGGCGGCCTTACCCTTGCGAAGGTCGACACAAAGCTCAACGAACAGGAGCATCACCGGCTCGAGGGAGGCGATAGGGCTGCTGCGCGTCCGCTTGGAGGTGACATGTTCGTGCAAAACAGTCAAGGCAGCGGGAGCCTGACCGACGGCGATAAGTTCCTGGGCCCTCTATCCACGTTATATCTATCAGCAATCCGTCCGTTGTCCATCGATCGTTGTTCGTATGTCGCGACTCACCTTGAGAACATTCTCAGGCTTAATATGCGGAGGAGGAGGCATGATGGGTGGATGCCCCTTTGGGGAAATAAATTTTCAAAAAAAAACCTGGGGACAAGTCGTCGAAAAAAAGTCGAGATCAACCCAGTGACACACACACGGGCAGCTGATTAGATGCGATGGGAGATGCTGCCACGCGAAGACCCGATAATGAGGGGAAGATTCACAATGTGCGTGAAGCAGCGAAAATTGGAACCCGCCGCTGTTCCCACTCGGGTTAAGCGATGGCGATCACGTGTGGTGGCCTGAGGGATTAGGCCGATTAGAGGCATCAACTCCAAGTATTGGAGGTACATGTATTGATTACTTGCATATTTCATATTCTACCAGTTATATTTGGTTAATTCACCTCTGTAGTCACTAGCAATGTTCTGATCTGAACTATCTCATTCCGAGTCTCTATCTCTCTCCCGAATCTCCTCAAGTACCCGGTACCGCCTAGAATACGTCCCGTCAATAGTAACACAATAGTGTTCCCCGATCCATCCGAAGTACCAGGTACTTCTTTACGTGTAAAAGAAAAGGCGCCCACGGACCTAGGAGAAAATCCCTCTCCAGGTTAACCTTCCCTTCGTCACTCATTCTCTCTCTCTGACCTCCTCACCCTCTTTTTGATTACTTTCTTTGTTCCCCTGAAAATCCAGACCTAATTTCTCCCCTTGTGAAAACTGCCGATCCAATCCCCCCTCTTCCCCCTTTCTCACATCGCGTCTCCCTAAACCCTCCCCCCCCCAAACCACCCACGATGCCTGCCTACGAACTCCGATCCGGTGGTGATGTCAAGAACAAGAAGCAAAGTGTCGCCGACCTCAAGTACCGTCGGCTCACTGAGCTCAATGCCCGTCTGAAGGAAGACTTGGACCGCCCGCGTGTCAAGGTCTCCGAGGCCGCTCTCTCGTCCGTTCACCCGCCCTTGGTGCGCAAGCCATCGCTAACAGTCCAAACAGCCTCATCAGCTACTGCAACAACACTCGCGACTTTATGGTGCCATCCGTATGGGGACAGGTATGCGACCGGCATTTCGACGCAATGCACTCATGCGCGCACCCACTAACACAACCTCCTAGGTCGACAAGCGCGAGGACCCCTATGCTCCCCAGCAGCAGGGCGGTTGCTGCACTGTCATGTAATGGACTCACGACGCCAATTTTCGCCATGACATCTCGCTCTCTTTTTCCTTTCTCACTTCTACTTAATTTCGGACCATTCACGACTCCCCCTCTGGACCCTGAACGGAACTTTGCGATCGCGCACACAAGCGAGATGTCGGCCTGAAAGAATCGTCTGCTGGTCCTGCACGAACCCTTCCACGCCTCTCATTTGGACTCTTTCGAGTCTGCGAGTTTGCGATGCGAGTCCGCCTTTTTGCACCCGTGGTCCGCCCCCTTTTTTCTTCCGATATGCAGGCAGTGCACTTGACGATGCACCTGTTGCACCCCGGCTTTTATTTTTCTCTGGATCGCACCATTACCCTTTGTGCTTGGAAGCCTTTTTCTTTACTGTTTTCCTTCTCCTTTGTATCCTTGTTACGGTTCTCTTCAAAAGCCTCATTTTGGCAAGGCAGAGTCGGTTGCCATGTATCATAGATTCGCTTCGCGTCCATGACCAATTCAATACCGATGTAATCTTTTACGATGGCCCCAAATGCCGAGGCTCTAGGGCCCGGTGGGTTGGATCCGAGCTAAGCCGTTGTTTTGGCCTTGCATGATCCTCTAATATAGAAGCAGAAACGCGTCAGGGTTGTTTCATATCCTTGGAATACCGAAACACCACATAGCTCTACTCATGTATCAAGTGTATCTACAGTCACAAGAAGGCAGCCCTGGCATAATCCCCGCTGACATCATGCACCATCCAGGTGTTCTATACTGCTGTACTCCGTACGTTGTACTCAGGCCCCCATTTGACCTGCACTCTTCGGCTCCAAGCCCCACTCACATCCGAACATCGCATCACCACCACATCATATCATGTCATATCATTCACAACACCTCTACGCACATCCCACAAATACTCTCACACAATGTCTACCAACGAAGATAAAAAGACATCCCTCGAACACGTCCACCTCCCTCGCATCTCTATCAAATTCTGCACCCAGTGCCGATGGATGCTCCGCGCCGCCTACGTAAGTCAAATCCCACCTATCAGACCTATCACAGTGTCGCCTATCGCCTACGGAGCATTCGAGTTGGACTTTTGCCTGGCGAGGCGGGATATCATTGGCGTACTTTATACGCAGTATCCATCTGATACATAACCCTGAATACCTATCTTACAGCACTATCATACCACCAAATACCACCTAACATCCAGCTTTATATGTTTCTATGAACTAACACAGATATACAGTTCGCCCAAGAACTCCTCTCAACATTCAGTACAGACCTAGGCGAAGTCGCGCTTGTCCCTATGACCGGGGGTGTTTTCACCGTGACGATTTGGCATGGCGTGACATCTGATGATGGGACCGTTACCACCCAGGAGAATATTCTTTGGGATCGGAAGAGGGATGGGGGTTTCCCTGGTATGTTTTTTTTCCCCTTCTTTTTCTTCCCCTTTATATACAAGGGAGGGGTGTTTGTGGATAAATATCTAATCATCATCGTAGAGGTTAAAGCGCTTAAATCTCTTGTACGCAATGTTATTGCTCCTGAGCGGGATTTGGGACATACGGATCGGGCTTTGAAGGCGCAGCAGAGTGGACAGAAGGAGAAGATGAAGGAGGAAGAAGGGAAGGAGCAGGAGGATAAGGAAGACAAGGATACTAAGGCTTGTGAGGATTGCCAATAGGTGAGAATGGTGTTTTGGCTTGGTTGGGACTTTATTTCCTTATGGTACATAGTATATTAATAGAAGGAAGATTTATCTCAAAATTGACTCTTTGATTCTCACTATACACATAACATTCATTATTCCGCAAATCAGATTCTACACAAAAAGGAAACCATGCCAGAACAAGACAGAGGGAGAGAGAGGAAGAAGGAAACCACCAGGTACATGGGTAAATCGAACATAGATAGGAGAGGAAAGCAGAGACGGCCAAGATCATAAAGATAGAACCTCGGAGATCGAGGTGAAATGGAGAAACCCCCCCCCCCCCCCCAAAGCCCACTCCTTAACTGAAAGAGATTCAACGCCACCGGGCTCCGTGCCAATTCTAAGATATGGCGTGAAAGAGCCACCCTGGGCATGACATAAGGGACATAGAGAAATGAGAGGCGAAGGTGAAGGGAAGAAAGAAGAGATGAGGGAATGGGCGAAGAAAAGGTACAAACGTTCATGGTAATCACACAAGGCACATCCGATGTAAACATCAGATCGAGTAACAATGGTTGCTGAACACATCCACTCGTACATACGCCAGTATTCGTTTTTTTGATTTTGTAAGTGAAAGTCACAATGAAGCGTGACTCTCGACTTGGAAGTGAGAGGAGAGGAAACGTGATAGACACGGCGCAGGTTGTCTGTTGTCATATCTAAATTGTGCAGTAGGCTTTGCTGTGCCCAAGAAGCCCAGACGTTCAGTAGCGTCATCGACTTCGTAGGGGGTCGTGACTGGGAGAGCCAAAATATCCGATGAAAGATTGATACATGGGATGAGAAAGGCTCAAGTAGCTTCTCCTTAGTCGAGTCGTGAATCATGTAACACCATTGAGGTCTCATGGCTCATCACAAGAATGGAATGTTCATAAGACCATGGCAGCATTATACTCAGTCGGTGATAGTAAACACCAACCGCGACGAAAAGAGATCAGGTCTCGCCGCGAACCTCGGATGTATGGTTGCGACGTTTCCAGAAAGCGAGGCGTAGTCTGCTCCGCCGTTTAGGGAGCTTGCGGTGCCCACGAGGGTCCTCTTGCGGATTTTCATTTTTGATGCTCTCGCCCGTAGTGGTTGACTGAGCCGGGCTACGGCCATTCCTAGAAATGTCTTTGGTGACACCATCTTCGGATTGAGAATATCCAGCGTCAATTCCGGAACTGCGTCCAGGGCTGTAGCCACTTGAATGCTCTGGAATGCTTGCGGGATAGGCGTCCGCCGTGCTGGGGCGGGTGCTACTATCATCTGGTCCTCCAATATCACTCTGTGGCGCGCTTTCCCCAGAAACTCGCTTTTCATCTCCACTATCAACAGCCAAAAAGCTTGTGGCGTTGGTTGCGGGAGAGATTGGTGTCATTGTGTTGCTGTAGGTACTCTGTGTCCGGGTGCAGCTATTACGGTTGGAGCCTGTACGAGCAGATGAGCTGTGGTGCGCGTGGTGGCGTTGAGAGCCGTGCATGATGCCTTGGCGGGAGCTGCTCGGTCTATCGGCAGATTCGGACGCATGATCACGTTCCCTAGTTCCTGCGGGGACGTTGCCACTCGCAGAATTGGCATACAGAACAGCTGCGAGCACAGCTGGATCGTCTGTGGAAGGATTGGACTCCGGGAGGGGGCTAAAGTACTGTGTTCCAACAGATCCACGATGCGACTCTGGAGCACCTGGAATCGAGAAATAGGACATGTCGGGCATGGCACTTGATGACTTGCGAGAGGGGAATTCAGACGGCGCGAGAGGTGTTCCCGTGATCTCAATTTGAGGACCTGTGGTATCCGGCGAAACGACCGGCTCAATGGTGTTTTCGTTGATTGAAGCCGAGGTTGTATCTGCAGATGATGCAGGAGACTTCAGCTCCGAATTAGCACGTCCCTTTTCGGTGCCGGTCGATTCAGTGGCCGGACTATGGGAACGAGGCGAAACAGTGATCTCAGCCCGGTTCTCAATAGGCAACCCCTGCTTCTTTAGTTCGTCATTGGAAAGTTTCTGCCATTGTGCTTGGTTGCGACGAATATGGTCTGCGGTGAACTCCAATTGCGGCAGAAGGTCGGATATGCCCTCGAAAAGTGGGAGCGCGAAGATTGACATGAATCCAATTTGGCCAGTGGCCAGCTTGTAGACATTGCCTAACTCTGGCGGTCCACCAAAGAGCGCAGTTTCCATACCAACTTCCCTCTCCATCTCACCCTGATTGGCGAATTCCTCCTGCAAGATTTGGGTCCACTTCTCTGCGATTTTCCACGGCCGAGCAACATTGCTGATATCGGCACATTTGATCAATAATCCACAGACAAGTGTTTTGAACAAGTCGACATCCTGTGGTTTCCAGCCATCAACACTTTTATGATTCTCGTAGAATCGTTCTTGCAATGAACCCATCCGTTGCATAAATTTCTGGTGAACACCCATATCTGTCGCCAGAATAGAGCTGATCAGAAGTTTTCGCAAAGATTTATCCTTGAATGCTGCTGGCCAGTGTCGGCGGAGGATCTGAGAGAAAGCAGCGCAGTGGAATGCTTCGAGAACGGAGTTGTCGTTGTAAAGTTGTGCGAGAGGGGCGTTAAGCTTGACCAAGAAAAAGTTGTTGACACCTGGGTGACCAACATCATGACCAATAGCCGAGATCAAGAGAGTGAGTGCATCAAATGGCGCGAGGAGAGAGGCGATCGGAGATTCGGGAACGCGGGTTTGCCCAGCTGGTCGGTATGGCGGCAAGGCACCGATGTTCAATAAGAAGCAAAAGACGGATTGTAGCACATCAATCGCGTGGCGGAAATTGTGGTAAAGCACAAACGAGTTGTAGGCAGCACGACAGGCAAGCAAAAAGTTTTGCAGTTCATCAGGGGTTAACCTCCAATGATCTAGACCTGGCATAGTGAGAGCATGCTGGAGGATTTCACAAGCGCCAAACACCAGTTCATCTTCGGTAAATTCATGAGCCGAAAACTTCCAGCTGGCTAGCTGCTCTTTAATAAAAGGCACACGGTCAAGATCAATATCGAGCTCCCCTTCTTGGAACTCAGAAATGACCTCTTCCGGGTCGCAAATTCCTTTCATGAGCTTGGAAACCATAGCCTCTCTCAAGTAAGAGTATGGCTGTTCATTGTTGTTAACACCAACCCATGAAAGCTTGCGTAGCTTTCTTCTTGCGAGGAAACCGGACATCTCTCGCTGTGCCGTTTTACGCGTGCGATAGGCATGGACCACAAGACCTTGGATTCGTGCCCGATCGAGCGGGGTCGTCAAAACGTCTGCTGCCCCAGCATCAAGGCAACGGGCGATCTGTTTATGCTCTAGCGTGAGAGGCCCACGAGATAGCGGGTCACTGGTTGGACCGGCATCCCCGGCAGGCGTGTCTGGACTGGGTAGTCGCAGAACCGCAATAGGGATGATCAATTTCGGTCCTTCTTGAACTTGGATGTCGTTCGAGATTCCCGATAGAAGTGAAAGCCCACGTGCTTCGTCGGATTGGGTTGAAAAGGTGAATGTGCGATGAATGGAACCGGGTGATGGAGGCCCGTTGTCCATCCACGAAGCCCGGCTGGCTTTTCGGCGAGCCAAATTCGATTCTTCGCCGCTAAAGTCTACATCGAAGAAAGCGAAAATCGGGTTGCACTCGTTACCCGCACGGTCGCTGAGCTCGGCCAACTTGTTGGCAAAAGTGGTTCCGTTGTGGCAAAGATAGACTAAGAAGCAATCAGTGGGGTTCAGGCGCAAAACAATAGCGGGACCTACCTTGTTTGCAGGTTTCCAGAAGCAGCTCCACATCGGCCTGTAAGGCCACCGGCTCATCTGGAGTCCCAAAGGAACCTGCTGACGATATAGTTGATGCATCGATTGAATTTCTGCGCACCCATCGTTCTGACCGCACTCGGTCGTCTATATAGACGCCCGAGCAATCCACGCGATCCACCATGGTATCGAAAGGGAAGCGAAACCCCGATCAGGCAGTGTCGCCGAAATCACAAGACCGCAGATAAGACGTCAATCAAAGGTAAGGAAGGAAACGAGCCGATCGGACCTATCCTAGTTCGCATATGGCTTAGATGGCAGAGATCGAGGGAGAGTTGAGGGGGAATATAGGAGAAACGAGGCCGTTTGGCAAAAGCGGCCAAGGTGAAAAAACGAGCGGCGAGCTGGTACGGAGGTCCGCACCGAAAGTGACAGGGCACAAGGAAAGTCGGAGGAGAAGGAATGACAAAAGTCGAACAGGTTCGCCGTGCGCTCGAACAATGGAGTTGTTTCCTGCAGCGAAGCAGTCCGAGTCGCGTTGTGGACTGGAGGATCCGAGACACCCCCCAGAGCCTAGACTGGTGTCGCACTAGGCAGATCAAGTCGAGGGAGCGCGCAACCCAACCACTCCGAAGAGGAATGAGAAAAGCGACACGTGAGGAATGTCGAGTGAAGGGGGTATGGAGGGGAGGTCAATTGAAGCGCCGAGGTTGAAAGAAATGCAGACGGGAGGCAGCGGCAACGGCAAGGACGTCAGTCCGACATGGCCGTTAGAGCGGTAGATATGAAAGAGAATAAAGAGAGAGCAACGAGAGGGAAGTAAAGGGAAGAGAGGTTGAAATGGCAAAACAGAGTGGAGGGGGCGAACACGGGGAAGGGGCTTCTTTCCTCCTTCCAGAAGGCCTTGGGGCGGGACGGGATGATCCTCAGGTAATCTTGTTCAGTTAAGTACGTACTTTGTCACTATTCCTCCCTTTAAATAGATAATATTATGCTTGAATATACACATAAGTAGCTACAATACTATCCTACTAGTTTATCTAATTTATCCATTTCTTTTCTCTACTAGCAGAGCCTCGCACTCAGTGGGCCCCAATGACGCTTCTCAATTTTTTTTTTTCTTTCTAGAAGGGTTAGGTAAGCGCAGATTCTGTAACCGGAAGTATGAGCCTGCAGATAGCCGAAATGGAAATAATATCTATTATATTTATCAGTAATATCACACATTTAACAAATTACTGACCAAACTACTGTAGATATATAGTCCAATATAATGTAAAGAAATAGTAGAATAAGTGTAGAAAGGAAGGCAAATTGGGGTCCAAAGGAACAAAGATAATCCGGATGATCTCATCGACTTTAGCCGAGTTGACCCTAGTCTAGACTATTCTAGATATACTTGATCACATAGATCACTCTTAATTCATTCTCTTATACTAGCCTCTAATAAATATAGCAGCTTACTCGGTACAAAATACTCTACGAAGTATTCTACAGTAAGTACACCAGAATGCAGCTGCAGTCCACGGTTCAATTGCTGATCACTCCTCTCTGATTGGGGCCCAGCCCCTCCAATCACATCAATAAGACAGGGGTTGCCTGCACCTAGGACTTTGACACTTTCAGTTTGAAGGAATTGGGTAGTATGCAGCTGAACATCCCATTTAGCCCCTGATGTAAAAGGTAGATTAGACTTCCTATTTAATCATCTTACATGCTACTCCGTACATGCACTATAATAAGAGGCACGGCACGGTGGCGTCGCGATACTTGAAACACTCTGAGTTAATCGAGGTCACTCTCCAAATATGACGTATTATACAGCAGAAAGTCCTCAGCAGACCGAGTGGGACGGAAAACTTACACACCACAAGGTATTCTGAGTGGATGTGCTGAGTCCACTTTGCTGCACTTCTACTCACTTTGCGGATGTAGACTGTAGATGCTGTACATAGTAACTACCTATGTAGATCCATATATATCACACATCTACTCGAACTGACAAATAATCTTGCCCTTGGTAGTGTTACTTTCCAGCAAGTTATGCGCCTCCTCAATCTTCTCAAAGGGAAAGACCTTCTCGACAAAAACCTTGAATGTCCCATCACAGAACTTGGGTAGCGCATGTTCGACAAGGGTATCCCGCAGTTTCCGCTGATAGTCCTCATCCCGGCTGCGCAGGGTACTTCCCTCAATCCGCACACGCTTAAAGAGTAATGGAGCAATGTTAACACCGTCGGGCAACTTGCCACCACCCATCAAGCCCAATAACACAATGCGACTGTCGCGCGCAGCCACATCCAGGTTTCCCTGGAAATAGGTCGCGCCAATGAAGTCAATAGTTAGGTCTACGCCTGCACCGCCGGTTGCTTTTTGGATCTCTGCGGCCCAGTCTTCGGTCTTGTAGTTGAAGGCTTTTGTCACGCCCAGTTCCTTTTCAAGAAAGTCGATCTTCTCCTGCGAACCTGCTGTCGCATAGATTGCTTTTGCGCCTTCAGCCTTGGCAAGCTGGATACCGGATATGGAGACTGATGACGCGCCTGCATGCCACAGGACGGTTTGGCCGGATTTAAATTCACCGATTAGGAAGAGGGCCTGCGAGGCTGTGATCCAGGTCTTGGTTTGGTTAGCCTGGATGATTGCTTCTTCTCTGCTTGCTTCTTTGTTCGGTGCTTACTTCTGGAACACCGGCTGCCTGCTCCCATGACAGTTCCGACGGCTTGTGCACCAACATCTTGGTCGAGACGGCAATGTACTCTGCGTATGCACCTATTGATATTTGTCAATATCACATTCGCTATATCAGGACTTCTCCTGCCCCTCCCTCTATCCGAGACACTGTTGGTTCCGGTGGCAAATGATACATGTACATACCTCCGTAAGCAAGGCCGAGAACTGCATCCCCAACCTTGAAATCTTCGTGCCCGTCTGGTCCAAAGCTCTCAATCACGCCAGAGAACTCCACTCCCATGGTCTCGGGTGCCTGCGGCGGAAGCGGGTACAGACCCTCCCGCTGCAGGAGGTCCATGCGGTTCAAACCGAATGCATGGATCTTGACGATGGCTTGGCCGGCTGTTGGTGTGGGCTTGGCGATTTGGTCGACAAAGAGGGATGTTGCGGGGCCTTTGCCGCCCTTGATGCCTGGAATTGGTTAGCTTGATATGAAACATGTTGTAGAGGGCAAAGGTAAGAGCAGAAGAGGAGGAGCGTGTGAAAAGTGAGTGAAAAATGAGAGATCGTGTGAGGTTCGCATGGGATTAAGCTCAAGGTTGGTATGCTCGGCTATGATGAAATAAGGTGGGGGTTCTTCAGAGATCCAAGTTCTTCAACAGCTTCCACTTACCAATAGCTCGCATAGTCTCGCTCATTTTGGGTGGAATGGATAACGTTAGATGGTTTTCTGATTCAATTTCTGTAGGATATAACCTTTTTATACCTGGTGGAGATCTCCAACAAGCTGACCTCATCCAAGTAGTTCGCCATTTGTCATCAACAGCTCCCGAGGTCAATCGTGGCGGTTAATCGGCACATCGTCCCCGACAGCCCCTCAGGATTTTCTTTCCTTGGATGTCGTAGTTTGCGATCAATAACCCCGATGGGCAAAAAAAACAAACATAATCCCATTGGCTCTGATCTCCAATCTTCTTAGGCGACTGTATCGCATTCCCCGAGTTTCGGCCCTCTCTTAATCAAGCTCGTCGCCGCCGCGGGAGCTTGAAGCTGAAAGACATTTCATGAGTTTTCTAGGCAATGTGAGAAAGGGGCCATGAATATATACCTTCAATATGACCAAATTCTGAATATTGGAGAAGACAACTGATCGTACCATATGACCTGTTTTTGAGAATCCAAGTACTCACTTGATCAGTTCATCAGTATAGGCACAAAGTATATAGTATAAGGAGAGTGAACAACATACATTCCTAGATAGCTTGGGTCCTGTTGTCATTAACACGGTCTCGAGACAGAATATCAAGTGTTGCTGAAGGCCCAGTAGAAAAGAAGGAGGAGGAGGAGGAGGAGGAGGAAGGGAATAAATAAGAATCTTTGTACAGCAAATCAGTGTACATGTAAGCACTGATTCTGCACGCCGTGTGTACACTAACTTACATCACAAGCTAGCTACCAAATATACAACCTACAAATTACAAAGGACATCTACAGTTCACAAACTAAATTCAAAAGAATAGAGTCAATAGCAATGCATTGATTCCTCTATTCATAAACAACAGAAAAGAATTCTAATTATAAGCGGCCAGAAACCAGAGTACTCCATGCATTCAGAATAATAATAATAAAGAATAAAAATAAGAGCCACATGCACATCATACCAAGTTCAGCCTCCTTTCTTTTCCTTTTCCGCCAAGCTATAGCACAGACTCCACAACTTTACCCAGGTGCCATACATCAAAGACGCCGGGGAATAATAGTGAAAAGGATGGAAATCAAAACAAAGACAACGACAAAGACAAAGGGAAGACGAAGAAAGAATAATGAATAGAATAGAACGGATGGAACAGAAGAAACATGGAACGAGCAAATAGGATGTGAGAATAGATGATTTCCTCCTGAGGGACACCGACACCCGTGGGTGTTTGAAGGGAATCGAGGAAATGGAAACAACAAAAAACAGACATAGCTTGTGGAAAGAAAGCAAAACCCGTGTAGACTTTTTGTTTTCGGAAAATGCCACGCAGATGCAGTAGAAGCGAAAGAGGAAGAAAGACTAAGACAAAGTTATAGGGTACTATCATACAAGTTTGATAAAGAGCTCTGGAAGGGCAATGCGAGGTCTTCATGCGTTAGGGGGTCATTATGAGAGGAGGTTCTTCAGCGAGGGGCTGGCGCTGGCTCCGGTTCCTGCGCTTGTGCCGTTCACACCGGTATGTCTACCGGCGCTGGGTGGTCCTGCCATGAGAGAGGGTGGTGTATCCTCAGGTCGGGTGGGAGGGGTAGATGTAGGACCACGGGGGTCGAGACGGGCTTGAGCCACCGGTGGTGAATGAGATGGGGCCCCTAGGCCGCGGTCGACGGAGTACATGCGAGGTGGGGGGCCACCGTTCAATGCGCTAAGCGAGGTCTGCGGCGAGCGGTTGACCGTTGTTGCTTGCACGATTGGGGGAGACGCAGAAGCCGCGTACGAACGAGGAGGCGGTTGTGAGAGATGCGGCGAGCGTGCTGGAACAGGACCATATGGGCTCTGGTGGGCTGCATAAGGAGGCGGTGGGGGACCGGGTCCAGCGCTAGCGTAGTGTGGTGGTGGAGGTCCTGCGGCATGAGGTGGCGGGGGGAAGTTGTTCATGTGATGGGGAGGTGGAGGTGCTACAGGGTAAGGAGACGAAGACATGCCGTTGCGAAGGCCATTGTCAGGCGGGGGTCGCTCGTACGGTCCAGTGTAGCCTGACACGGGGATGCCATTGTGCGGATGAGCTGGCATTGGTCGCCCAAGCACACTGCTCGGGGGAGGAGGGTGTGGGTGTTGGTGTGGATGTGGGTGCGGCACGAATGCATGGCCAGGCATACGGGAAAGTGATGGCATAGGTTGACGTTGCTCGGAGTAAGGCGAGGGGCGAGGCACTGGCGAAGGCTCAGGTGCAGGCGGAGGGGGTGGTGCCGGGTTCTTCAAATGACACTTGTGGCATTCATATATCGGTTCGCCATGGTCTCCGTTGGCAGCAAAGGCCGGTGGATGATGGTGTCCTGTTCCATTCGACATAGGCGGCCTGTACTCAGGGCGTCTTGGGATTGTCCACCACTTGGGGCTAAAGCCGGTTGAACAGCGGAAACACTTTCGGTTGGTCTCAACCTCAGTAGTTGGTCGTGGAGCAACGTGATTATCTGTGTCGATTTCCATTGGATCCTCGGGCGCATCCTCACTAGCCGGTTGAGCCTTGATAGTATCCTTGGGAGCATCCTTGGGGGCCGGCGCGGTGCTTGTCGAGGCTCGTCGGTTCACAGCATGAGCATGAGCATGAGCATGGTGTTGCGGTGCTGGAACAGACTGGTGCATGTAGTCCGCCTTGCGAATGGTGCCGGTGATAGTAAGATCGGCCTGCTTGTACGTCTGAGCGAAAAGCTGCAGCGCATTGAGCTGGTCATTGCTAGTCTGCTCGCCGAGGTCATGCAGAGTGCTTGACACGCTGTGGTTTGGGCAGTATACAACAGGCGTTACCGAGCCAACTTCGTCACCTAGACGGATGGCTCGCATGCTGTCGCGACGAGAATGCTTGACAGGAGTGACGTCAAAGCCGAATCGGTAATTTGCCTGGAAAGCACAGCCAACATGGAAGTGACCATTACAGCCGCTAAAGCTACAAGGGACACATGCACCCTTGCGGGACTTGCAGATCTTACATGTCTCCCGCCAACGGTCCTTAGGAATAGTCCCGAATCCTTCGGCTGGCTCGAGTTCCTCCGCATTGCCATATTTCAGCTCGGGGGTCCACAAAGTGCAAAGCACATGCGCCCAGTTGTTTCCTGCAGTGCGCTTTAGAGGTTCCCGAGGGCCAACGGGCTTCCCAACGGCCTCCTGTCGCTGACGGTAGAGCTTGATAGCCTCGTTGACCATCTCTTTCTCCATGCGCTCCTTCTCCTTGTCGCGTTCGGTCTTCTTCCGGGCGTTGTTCTTGGGCGTCTCCATGAGTTCGTGCTCAGTCCATGATACGGGGCAAAGAACGCATTCGTAGTTGGTAGAGATCGATGGGCTGCGGTCGTTAGAACACATATCACACAGCCATTTGTTGTTAGCGCGCGAATCTCGCACACCATAGCAATTGCGATGAACAGTAAGACGACAATCGCGACATGAAAGATGCTCCTCGCCGGATGGCTCAACTTGGTTGCAGATCGCACATGGTAGCGTCTTGGCTTTCGGTGGATCAGGGACAATCGGTGGAGCTTCCACCGGCTTTTCGGGAACCGTCTTCTTCTTCGGCATGGGCTCGACTGACGTTCTGGTCGAGGTCGCGGTGCTTTCTTTATCAGGGCGAGCCTTCTTCTTGGTTAGATCCAGCTTGCCTTCCTGAAGCAGTCGAGGGTTCGAGTCGAGCGGAATGCCCATCGAATTCGCGGTGGTTGCTGTGATGTTATTGATGGTGAAGGGAGTTTCAGTGGCGACAATCAGCTGAGCCAGCAGTTCCTCGTCGATACGGCGTCGCCATGACTTGTTGCCGCTGTTTGCAATTCTCTTTGCGACCTCGTCAACGTCCTCATATTGAATACCGTACTTTCGCCACAATAAAGCACAACGCAGACAGAGTGAAACAGTAAGTAGAGGGCCCTTGTCCTTCTTGTTTGAAGGGTCAGCGGGAATGGTTGTACCCGGGGGAACCAAGGGCGCACGACGCCATTGTCGGGAGCTGCGAGTGGAACAGAACTTGCAGTGGAATCCGCGCTTTTGAACTACGGCTTTCTCCGAGTCAAAGGCAGAATCGTCATGATCATCAGCTACGTCGTCGACCAGTTTAGATGAAGTGACACTGTGGCGTCGGACCTCCTTCTTGCCGCGTCTTCCTTCATAGCTACCCCAAATCTGCCGACCGCGGGGGGTCTTCTTCCACATGTAGTAAAACCGAACAATCTGGTAAATAGGAACGGTCTTGACGTGTTTCATGATGTTGCGCCATTCTGATCCATACTTGGCGACACCCTGTTCGAAAAGCTTCAATTCCTCCGGTCGAAGATGAGGCTCCTTGAGGTCCTTGTACTTATTGGCCTTCTTCAGCTTGACAAGAGCGGCCTGCACATTGAAACTCTCGGCGTAGAGAATTGAAAGAGCCTTGTCCAAGAAGTTGGTGTTGTGCTTCTCGACACCAATACCAGGCGCCAGTTCCTTGGCTTGGCGCATGTAGTCGTCGATAAATTTCTCGCGTTCCTCCAGGCTGAGATGTGATCCTGGAGCATTGTCTTCACCTCGGGTGGGGATCTGCTCCGAAGTCGGCATCTTGAACAGGGGCTCAGCGGTCCGCACTTGCTTTCCAGTCTTCTCGTTAATGGTAACCGGCTCATCCATTCCGCGGTGGATATAGCCTGTGGGCTCATCTTGAATCCATTTCGGCCGGTTGGCTCTCTCATGCTTGGCGGCTTCCAGAGCAGCTTGGGCAGCAGATTTGCCGTCCTTCTTCGCACCGGCAGCCTTGGCTTTCTTCTTCAAGTCCAGAGGCTTCACATATTCGATTGCGCGACCTGGCCAGGCTGCGACCATGGCCTGGTGTCGTGTTCCTAAACGTGAGCTTGCGCGAGGGTAAATCCGATCGTCGTAGTCGAGAGCATCTTCGACACGGCAGTGAATACCCAGGTAGCGGTAAGGCCACATCTTCGCCTGTGCAATCTGCTCCACTGTCGCAGGCTGGGGCATAGGGTCTTCCTCGGCTGTAGGGGTGCCATCGGAGTTGCCATTCGCAGTGCCGTTCGCATGGTGGTGGTCCTCCTCCTCCTCCTCTTCCATAACCACATCCTCCCCGTCCGCTCGAATTGCGCCCATCAAAGGTGTATTGCGCGCCTCAAGCTTGCGTTCCTGGGCGCGGCTGCAGGCGGCACAGGCCCACGCAAATCCGCGAGCGGGTTTCTTGGTCAATGCGGGCCGTACGCAATGCATGTGATATGTGGAGTGGCACACTGCACAGTCGACGGATTCCGAGTTTGCGGCGTATAACCGGCATCGCTTGCACGTCTTGACGGCGCCTGTCAATTCCTTCCCTTTGCCGATCTCAACGAGAATGAATTTCCACCGCTCATCAAGAACCTTCTTGACATTGCCGGGAACATTAATAATATCTTTTGTCGGGATAACATCATACATTCGATGGATGTATCGATCAAACATCTTGTCGTACCAGAAGCTGTTGCGGGCCTTCTTATAGGAACTGATGTCATCGATTTCTGAGACATGGCGAATCTCACACTTTCCCCTCAAGGATGATAGAGGACATGTGTCGGAGTGCATTGATGCAAAAACAAAGCGAGAGTCGGGAGAATGACGCTGGATGTCTCGTGGACGATAGTACCAGTTGACTCTCAAAGCCTCGATGAAACCGTTTGGCTTTGTTTTGGATGGAAGGAACTCCATAATTCGAGCTAAGTAATATGGTTCACCTGGTGGCTCACAAATTAAATAGACATGGTCTAGAGATGGTTAATGCTGCGAAATGGGCGAAGAAAGATGAAACAAACCATTAAGACCGAAAGCGGTGCCATCATCAGCTATTAATTGACCATCCTTGAGATAGGGTCCGGAGTTCTCGAAACTCATCATATTGGTGAAATACTCCCCATCCGAGTCGGGGGGCGAGGTGAAAAGTTTCTTGGCGGCCGAGCTTGAATTTGGGGTGCTGGCGGGTTGTTTGCGTTTGCGCAAGTTAGAACCATTCACATCGTCAGGTCTGGCGGAGAATGATGAAGTGCCCGGGATGGTATCTTTTGCCGATCCATTTGTACCGTTGCCATTGGTTAGACTCTTGCGTTGCGCCGGCGAGGTCTTCTCATCGGGATTGGAGCCGTTGACAATATTGGTGAGGGCCAGGCTGTTGCGTTTGGCTTTTGGTGCAGACGCATCCATGTCCACATCTAGGTCACGGTCCTCGGCATAATTAGGCCGCGGCGCATTGCGACCTCTCGATCGCGTGCCATACGCGGTGGCGGAGCCGTTGGCCGAATCGGCCACAGCCTCCGGAGAGTTGGGAGTGGTCATTGAGTGTGGCCGTTAGTCATCCACTTGAACGCGTGAATGGGATATATCAGCTTGTGGCGGGTTAGTTTGAACTCAACACGTTCGTTCAATGGTATGTAGGGGAAGATACACGAGGGGGGGCGAAAATCTCAAAATACGGGTGGGCAGTTATGAGAGATGATTCAATGTGCGCGGGTGTCGCGAACATCAAATGAGGGAAGAAGTTGGGAAGAAGGAAAATTTAGGGAAAGTGGGAACAAAGAGTGGACCGTGTCAGATCTTATCCTGTCTGCAGGGGTGAAGGGCGTACAGATATCAAGTTGATAGGGGAGACTTACAGAAGATGGAATAGTATAGAAACAAGGGGGAGAGATGAGAGTAAACTAAAAGAGTAGAAGAGAGGTTGAGAGTGGGAGGGAAGAAGAGGAAGGTGGAAGAGAGCGCAAGTGAGAAAGTGAAAGTGTGAAAGTGTGAAAGTGCTAGAGTATGTAGAAAGGAAGATGGGTCGGGAGTGGAGATGGATATACGGGGGGGAAGGGGGAAAAGAGAAGAGAACTGTGGGAAAGTCGAGGATGGCCCCTAGTCCCGATATGTTAATATGACGGATCCTCCAACTTGCTTCCAACGTTCTCTGGGAATGTTGTCACGTATGCGCGTCTATAAAAGCATTCCCTCTGGTAAATTACCAGTGCGACGACACACGGATTTGGACCCCCCTTGGGATCCCAGTCTTTTTCGCATGGACCTTACGAGGACATATATCGCCTCATTCACCGGTGCAATCCGGGATTATTACACAGAAGCAAGGGAACGTGTGGCTAGTCTACATTCAAACGGGGAATCAAGAGCCAACATGAGATTGGGGGGTGTGGGAGTATAATAGGGAAAGGTCAAGTCAGACATAACTCAAAGTCACAAGTCAATGGGCACATTTCGCAAAAGAGCTCGGTCGAAGCTCGGTTGGAAAAGTGAATATTGTAGGGACAAATCAGAACATATGCGTTGGCAAGGTATCAAACCACTACATTCGGAACACCAGGAACCGTCAAGTATAATTTGTCCAGTGGCGCTCGGAACTGAATTCTACAACTACAGAGAAGAGACCAGAAATGTACACCGTTGAAATATCCACTATAAGACCTAGAACAAAAGACTCATCAAAGTGCAAGTGTAGAGTCGAAGTGCAGATATAATTTCACGTCGATCAATACCGAGACAATACCGGTAATTGAACATCCAATGATGATTTACTTCCGTTGCCACCTATGCCGGCATGCTCCGTTCACGGTCCGATTTGAATGCCTTTCCGATTATATTGATATAGATAGATTGTAGGATAAAGTCGCTATTCAGCTAAGTCGATTGGGATATGAATATCGCATTCCGCTGCGCAATAGGTGGTACGCGACTCATGATACAGTCGTTATGACGCCTCCACCGAGTCTCAGAATTTGTCCAATTTTGGATCCGATTTTTAGCCCGTGTGTTCCGGATTACAGTACAGCGGGGTCTTGCTGCCTGTTTAAGAGGTCCAGACTAGGTAGAACCCAACGGTGCCCAGGTTGCCCAGATCCAGGGATTCATTACCTGATTAGATATATAGGCACTCGTTTCAGGCTATAACTCAACGAGTCTCGAGTTTGCAGCCTAGCTTGAAAAGCCAATGGCTGGAGAGGCGTCTCGCGATAGCTACTGGATAATCTCGTGCAAGGGATCAATCATTTAAAGAATCCCATTTTCGATCCAGGCACAGGAACACTCCCGATGTCTCGATTAGCTCGGCTGACTAACTCTCCTGCCTGAGGATTAGACACCCGTGACAACAAAAACAAACAAAGTCGAAATACATTTCTTCCATATGGACTGTTTCAGGCATGTCGACATCGGGCATCCAGTCGCGTGGATTCCTTACCACCATTGATCTCGCCCGAGGATATCAGTCAGCGCCCGTGGCCGGCCACAAGCGACCACCAGAAACCGAGCAGACTTCCGACCTCAACCCAGGTCCCGTCAAGCAAGCGACTGTTTTAAGTCATGGCCAAAATACCAATGCTGACATCGTAGTGGATTCCCCGTGGGAATCGGCGCGGGCTTTACTAATCGCTCCCGCGAAGCGTTTTACTGCGAGTAAGATCCATTTCGGCGCAGCTAGTGAGACATCGCCTGATGATGAAAAAAGGAGGGGTGACAGTACTTCTGCCCCGGGTTCTAGTCAGAATCCCCTGCTGTCATTGTCAAATCCGAAGTATGGGCTTCCGCCTTCCCTTACGGCCAATTTTGCCGCTTTGGGTGTGTCTAGTATCTATCCATGGCAGGCGTCTTGTTTACTAGCCAAAGGTCTGCTTTCTGGGGAGCGGAATTTAGTTTATACTGCCCCGACGGGAGGAGGCAAGTCTCTTGTTGCGGATGTTTTACTCTTGAAGCGGATCATTGAGAACCCCACGCGCAAAGCATTGCTCATTTTGCCTTATGTTGCTTTGGTTCAGGAGAAGCTGAAGTGGATGAGGCGGATTGTGCAAGATGTGGAGAAGAATATTCCAGATGAAGAAGATGAAGGCTCTTCGTTTCCTCGCGGGCGATGGAAGCGTGCTCGGAAAAATATCCGCGTAACTGGGTTCTTTGGTGGAAGCCGGACGACAGCTACTTGGGCTGATACTGATATTGCCATTTGTACGATAGAAAAGGTATGTGTGCTTGTGATTGATATGGCTCACAGGTTCTGATTGTTTTCCTTAGGCCAACTCGTTGATCAACAGTGCTATCGAAGAGTGTACTATTGGAGATCTGGGAGTCGTGGTTCTTGATGAGTTACATATGCTTGATGATGAGCATAGAGGGTATCTCTTGGAGCTCATGGTTACCAAGCTATTACTGCTCCAGCAAGATATCCAAATCGTTGGCATGAGTGCCACACTCTCCGTATGTTCCCATTCCCAGATTGGATGGCTTTTCTAACAAGACCATAGAACACTGAGATGCTGGCAGAGTGGATGAATGCCAGATTCTACATTTCCACGTACAGACCAATCCCCATTGACGAATACCTGGTCTACGAGAATGCTATTTACCCAGTTGCAACATCAAGACAGCTCTTTCAAACAGCATCCAAGTTGACTGCTGCTGCATCTGTGGCCGACACTATCCCTCCACACCGAGTCATTGAACCTTCTAGCTATAAACAGCTCAGCAACTCAGCCACAAATGCCATGGTAGCTTTGGCAGTCGAGACTGCAGTCGCAGGGTTCGGTGTGTTGGTATTTTGTAGCAGTCGCCAAGCGTGCCAAAATCAAGCTGCTACCATCGGTGAAGCAATGCCGACAGCAGAGCCAGATGAAATGAACCAACGCATGGATCTCCTTGCTGAGCTGCGGAGTCTTGCATGTGGCTTAGATCCAGTTCTGGAGACTACAATCCCCAGGGGAACCGGATTTCACAGTGAGTATCTCTTCGGGATCAAACATACAATTACTCACCATTGTTTAGATGCCGGTATGACAACAGAAGAGCGGGAACTTATTGCACAGGCTTATGATCAGGGTGTGCTGCGAGTTCTCGTTGCCACATGCAGTCTTGCTGCCGGAGTAAATTTACCCGCAAGACGAGTCATTATCAACGGGGCACGAATGGGCCGTGATCTGGTAGGCCCAGCAATGCTGTATTAATTACCTATATCCCAGGTCGGGTAGATGAAGCTGACAGAAACAGTCGACAGATGTGTGGACGTGCTGGACGCAAAGGCAAGGACGAAGCCGGCGAGACCTATCTGATATGTGTCAAAGCAGACATGCAAGCTGTATGTGATCTATTGGATGCCGACATGCCTGCCATTGAGAGCTGTTTAGCACCAGAGAAAAGGGGACTAAAAAGGTATGTCTTACTTCTTCTTTTCTGTTCTTAACTCACACCCCACAGAGCACTCTTGGAAGCTATAGCAACAGGCTTGGTATCAGGCTGCGACGCAATCAAAGAATACGTTCGATGTACGCTCCTTTGGCGATCAGTGGACAGAAGAATTGCATACATCATCATGAAATCTGCACTTCAGGAATTGGTCGATGAAGAACTCATCATCTTCCGAGACGACGAATCTTACGGATCCACGCCCTTGGGACAGGCAATTGTGGCTTCAGCCTTTTCCCCCGAAGATGGCATATTCGTCCACGAAGAACTAAAACGAGCAATACAAGCCTTCGTCATGGACGGCGACATGCACGTCTTCTACATGTTCACCCCCCTCCAAGCAGCAATGAACACACCAATCGACTGGCAAATCTTCCGAGACCAACTAGACAGACTGGATGAGAGCGGTCTCCGAGCATTACAATTCGTCGGCGTGCAACCCGGCTTCGTGAACACAATGTGCCATCCCTTCTATACCCTCGCCCCAAATCAAAGTTTGCTAACCACCATCCAGGGTCCAATCCGGTGCCTCCCTAAAAGAAACAAACCCATCCGAAATAAAAACAGCCCGCATCTACCGCCGCGCCTATACAGCCTTCCAACTCCGAGATTTTAGCAACGAAACCCCCCTCTCGACAATAGCATCCCGCTATAAAATCCCCCGCGGAACAGTCCAAACCCTCGCCCAACAATGCCACGGCTTTGCGGCGGGTATTGTTAAATTTTGCCAGCGTATGAACTGGGGTATGATGGCTGCTGTGCTGGATCATATGCGGGACCGTCTGGAAGCGGGTGCGCGTGCTGATTTGCTGGAAATGGCCCAGGTTACTTTTGTTAAGAGTTGGACGGCGAGATTGCTTAGGGAGAATGGGTTTCGGAATTTGAGGGCTTTGGCAGATGCTGAAGCTAAGGATTTGGTACCTGTTCTTATGATGGTGGGCTTTGATTCTTTGGTTTGCTTGAATAAAGACTGTGGTACTGATTTGGTTGTTAGGTTAATCCTCGGAAAGTGCAAAAGAATCAGCTCTCGTCTGCTGAGTCGGAGCGCTATGCGGCGAAGCTGTTGGTTAAGGCTGAGACTATCATTTCTCATGCTAATAAGATCTGGGGTAAGCCTTTTGTTTGGTTATGTATGTTGATATATATATGTGTGCTAATGCTGTCTATCTAGATCGGGAAACGCAGGTCGAGTTGGAGGATTGAGTTTTGATGGTTTCGTTTGGATTTTTGGATTCTTGCATACTAGGAGTGTGATATGGATAGCATTGACATTTAGATACCATTGACTTTCACTATATGTTTGGACCAGACTGGACTTCGCACTCCGAATTGTATCCGATTGTGGACACTGAGGTCCCAGCCCTTTTTTCAATTGCTTCTCTCATATCTGAATCGTTGTAGTAGTGAAATATGAAACCAAGGGTCTTGTTATCCTGCAGATGCTCAACCCAAAATATATATTCACCCTACTCTACAACTATATATATCCCCATCATCCACAATCACTCAAAATCCATTTAAAGCATCCTGCGCTCTAATAACAGCCCCCTTATCAACAAAATCCGCCAAAAGCACATTCGGATTCCGATTATACAACCCCTCACACAAACTTGCCTGCGCACCAATACTCCCCTCCCCAGTAGCAGCATTGGTACTATCAGCCTTATCACGATCCGGAATCAAAACTCCGAGAATATCGACATCTAGGAAGTGATTGACGATGTACATCCGGCCTGTAGCTGAGGCATCAGATGGACGGTCGATTTTGCAGCTTGAGAATTTCGCGTCGGTTACGTCGTAGGGCGTTTCGAAGTAGTAGGTGAATTCGTCGAGGATATAGTTTACCTTGGTTGTGTCTGCGCCGTAGTCTGTTATTATGAATTAGTATTGTATAGATATGATTTAGGTTGTATTTGAGGGAGCGTTTGACGTGTAAGTGTTGATGTGGTTGGATGTAAACATACCGAGGAACACGACTAGTCTCTTGCCGCTGGATATCATTTCGCCCAGTGTTGGCCAGTCAGATAATGATAGAGGGCTTGCGGAAGGGGTATATGTGTAGCTGTTGATACCGCTGCTAGAGAAAGTATCGCCGAACTCACTGATCGCTACCGAGTCTCCGTTTGTGAGAAGGAGCGTGACGATTTCGTTTGGGTTTGCGTCTAGCCACTTTTTCACGGTTTCGAGGAATGCTTTGAGTGTTCCTGCATCTTCGAGGAAACAGGATGTATGACATAGCTCCAGGACATTCTTGTCGAAGACTGAATGGTGTGTTTGGGCTTGGAGGTAGCGGATTCCCATGTCCAGCTGGGCTGTTACGTCGATGTTTTGGTTTTGTTGGGGGAGGGGTCCGACAAAGGGTGAGTCGTGGGAGCCGACAAAGGTTATGTTTGAGTAGGATCTTGTGCAGTACTCGGCGTGGCCGTTGCAGGTTGTTGCCGTGGCTAGGCTAGACATTGATACCGATGGGGTTGGTGTGGATATAGATGTAGACAGAGATGTCGATATAGACGAGGGTGGCGATGCTCGTGGTAGCAGTGTTCCTATCCCTGGCACTGACAGCACAGGCTGGAGGAATAGGATCGTGCTGAGCAGGGCTCGCGTCAGTCCGTGGTGTTTCGGAGCCATCGTGGCTAGCTGCGAGTTTGAGTGGTTGATCTTGTGGTGGCCAGAGTGAGAAGAGTGCTTTTTTCACGTCTTTATTCACTGCACCCCTGTCATAAACTTGCATCCATCGTGATCAAGAATAGTAGTCATCGGTCACGCCGAACAGCCCGCTGCCCCCGCGAAGGAGGTGATAAGTCCATGCCGACCACATTCCACATGTCGATCCCTGACCAAACGAAAACTTCGACAACAAAACATCACCGACTGACCATCGTGTCTCATGTCAGAGTCATGGTTGGTGATAGGATATGACCCCGGTCACAAGAAACGAGACCGATGTAACTGCAGCCCACCAATAACAGAGCCAAGTCAGCTCTCAACTATTGTAGGTGTCGCCGGGCCCAATTGTGATTTAGTTTCGGGGATTCTCCGTTCATGCAAGTGATTAAGCTAAGTTAACTTAGTTGCTGCCATGTTGCATTTGGTCACCCCGCTAGCAAATGGCCCCTGTGATAGGATCTCGAGTCAGGGGTATAGAACGTTTGTGTTGATAGGAATATATATGCTCTGGCGATAATGAGATTTATCTAGATCATACCATGGAGGATCATATGAAGACATCAGCTTGAATAGCTGCGTAAACTGCCGAGTAGTGGATGAGTGCTTGCTGCTTTATTGATCCGTGAAGCTAATTAAAAGAAGCTATTAGTCCTCTCATAGGATCTAGCTTTCCATCATTATAGCAGCACATATAACATGTAACACTGTGCAATATCCTATGATGCTCTAATGTAGTTGTTCGAGCGATGTAGCTCCACACGGGCGGCGTGACGTTCACTTGAGTTTAACACAATATATATTGAACTTTCAATGTGAACGAACAAACCAATAATATATAACTAAGTAATAACTCAATAGTCCAAAGTAGCAAAGTCAAGTGAATATCGCGGATAGCGGATGTCCCTGACAGCCACAAGTGGCTGGAGTTCCCCTAAAACGGCCCCATTGGAACATCATCTCCACCGTTCCTTGACACTTCGAGCTCAACACGTCTCCGACCTACCTCTCGCATATTCGATTAATTCCTGATCTCCCATATCACCGCACCGCCGCATCACCGTCACTGCCACCGCACCGCTGGTTCGCTCTACTCCACCCCAGCTAAACAACGGAGCAATGGTCATTCGGAGATCTCGCTCATGAGCTCGATGGCTGAGGGCAGTGAGGGTTGGTCGCGCGAGGATGAGCTTGACCTAGACCAGGAAGACGATCCCCAGCAACCCGACCATGGCGCCCTCGACTACGCCTTGCCTTCCCCGCAGGAACCAGCGGAAGGCGAATCGAACACGTTGGACGATGCGGAGGACCGGGTTGTCGAGAAGACGGTGGAAGCAGCAGATCCGGATCTTCCAGAAACTCCTCCACCGCGAAATGCCGAATGGGCTCGATCAGGGAGCGTGGATGGAACAGGCTCAACCCCCGACGATTCCCCATCCTTACATGTCAGTGCTACTATTGACGCGCAACTTGGATAGCAAGCTGATTGATTATAGGGCTCTGTTCCGTCTTCTTTGAGCAGCAGTGCTCTGGCTCTCCGAGGGTCTCCGCGAGTTAGCCCAAGCCCGGCCCGCCGTCCTTTCGATCTCCGCTTCCAGTCTCGACTATCTTCTTCGCCGCAGAGTGTGTCTAGGTCTGGCTCGCCATTCCTGGCGCATCTACACTCTCGGCAATCCTCGATCACTAGTCAGGTCTCACCGGCACCAGAAACCGAAAATGAACCGCTCCAGGGGCCTTGGGATGTCGTGCGATGGACCAAGTTGCGGAAGATCACCGGGCAGGCATTTTCGGAAATTGGGAAACGCAACTTCGGACGGCCAACGTGTCTGGCTGTATCTACGTCGATTGTTATTGGTACATCAAAGGGTATCATACTTGTGTTCGACTATCAACAAAGCTTGAAGACCATCATTGGAACGGGCACATCAGGTTTGTCAAATGCTGTTTACACTGAGGGTGCATTATGCTGACAATCAAAGCTGTTGAATGTGGAGCCGTTACCTCTCTAGCACTTTCTGCGGATCACACTACCGTTGCAGGAGGTCATGACTCGGGTGATATCTTTACATGGGAAATCTCCCGCTCAGCACGGCCATTCCTTCATATCCCGCCAATTCCGGCCAACCAAGTAGAGACGCGGATATCAGATGGCCATCTATCGGGATCCGCACTCATCCATATAGGGTTCCTTGGCACCAGACGAACTGCGCTTGTGTCGGCTGATACACGGGGCATGGCGTTCTCGCACCTGGCAACAAGAGGAACGGGTGCTCTAGGACGGACAGTAAAAACGACCCGAATCCTGGGTCGATACCCTCAACCTTCGTTGGATGAAACGCGGCGACGAAAGCCCAGCTCGGTCCTCGCTTTCTCTCCACTGCCACTTGGCAATGTGGAACAGCCTACCGATTCTTTGGGCCTTGTTGCCATGCTGACTCCCTATCTTTTGGTCATTGTGTCCACTACTCCAGTGGCACAAACACAACACAAGGCACCGCGACCAAAAGAAGTGCCGGCTCATAGTGCTATGACCGGAGCGTTGGCATGGTTCCCAGCCATTCGATTGAAAGGCAAAGATACTCAGACTTCAAACACAAAGCTGGTATACTGCTGGTCAAATGTATTGACTGTGCTCGAGGTCACAGAAGTGGAGACAGATGAACCCATGGACCGAGACCGACCTCCTAGCCTTGTCTTCCAAGCGCGTAGCAGATGGAAGGCCGATGAAGCTATTGTTGCTGTTCAGTGGCTCAGTCGGTCGGTGCTTGCCGTATTTACGATTACGCAGCGACTATTGATCATTGAGGATTATTCCATGCATGTGACGGATTCCATCGATTTGGCGAATCGACATATTTATCACGCGGATCTTTTCTCATCCCAGCTCCATACGCTAGTGGAGCAGCTTGACGAAGAGGATGAGTCCATGCATGGGGTGGTAGCCGACGCTTTTTATATGAGTTTCCGATCCTATAAAGGTCGCTTGTTCTTGCTAGGCTACAGTGAAGCCTTGGTCGGCAACCTATCAAACTGGGCCGACCGACTGCTGGCGTTGATGGAGGCTGGTGACTTCATTGGCGCTATCCGTTTGGCAACATCTTACTACACAGGGAATACCGAGAAATTAACGGTTGGGCTCCCCGAAGAGGACACTCTGAGACAGCCAATTGTGCAAGAAAAGCTTCTAGAGATGATCTCTGCATCTCTAAAGTATGCTTTCGGTCGGAATGCTGAAGCGAGCAATGCTCGACTGGATAACCAGGAATTGGCAGAGCTAGCAGAGGTTTCCATCGCAGCTTGTATCCACATGGCGGATGAGGAGTTCCTCTGGGAGGAAGTTTTCAATTGGTATGAAGAGCAAGACTCGGTGGGAATCTTCCTGGATGCCCTTGAACCACGTATCATCGATGGAACGCTGCGATCGCTACCTCCTACTGCAGTCAAAGCCTTGATCAACCATTTCATTGGAACACACTCGGCTGGTAGTCTAGAGGAGATTATTTGTCTCCTTGATACTACCACAATGGACATTGACCAGGTTACAACGTTGTGCAAGCGGCATAATCTGTACGATGCCTTCATATATGTGTGGAATCGCTGTCTGATGGACTACGTTGGACCGTTGGAAGAGCTGCTACGTCAAATTCCAACGCAAACCGAGACCTTGGTCAACGGTGACTATGCAATCGAAATGAGACGGCAAAACAATGCGATGAAAATGTTCCCCTACCTTTCTTTCGTCTTGACAGGTCGCATCTATCCCACTGGTGATGATATGGACGAAGCCGAAGCATCGCGTGCCAAAACCGAATTGTACCAATATCTCTTCTCAGGTCACGGGTCTGGTACGTCTGGCGATGTCGCAGATTCATTCTCCCAACTTCGTGCTTTGCTCAAATTTGATGCCTCGAGCTTCATGAGCATGCTCAACGAAGCTTTCGAGGATAGCTTCCTGAACGAGTCGGATAACGAGGAGGCACCTACCGGTGTATCGATCAATCGACAGTACCTGATCAGCATTTTGCTTCAAGTTACGACGGCCGAGTTCTTCACGCCTTTTGATACCATCTACCTGGACATGTTTGTTGCGCGCAATCTTCCCAAATACCCCCAGTATATTCTTCTTTCAGGCACAACTCTGCACCAGGTTCTGGTGCGTGTTTGTCAGTACCCCGAGGCGGATATGGCAGATGACTGTGAACTGAGTGCAGAGTATCTGCTGTCCTTCTATCATCCACCCGATATCCAAAGTATGATTCCACTCTTCAAGGAAGCACGCTTTTTCCGCATTCTGAAGTCGACATATCGATCCGAGAAACAATACTCTCAGTTGATTATGACATACCTTGAGGACCCGAATGATCGTGCGGCCATCTTTACTTGTCTACATGACTGTCTTCGCTCAGGATCCAGACTCGGCGCGAAATCGAGACGAGATGTGATGGATGTGGTGAAACAGCGCGCTCACGATATTGTTGCCATTGATGTGACACTTACCTCTCAAACAATGCAAGACTTGGCCCCTGAAACACACTCTACGTTTTTGCGGGTTCTAGAGGATGACCCCCAGAATCAGTATCAGTACTTGCTGGTACTGGTTGAGCCACAGGCTCAACGTACGGAAACTCGCTCATCACCCTCTGTTGAGAACTGGATGATCGAGCGCTACGTGCAGCTCCTATGCAAGTACAATCCCACTCATGTCGCGGATTACGTTGACGGACTACGCGTTGGCGACATCCATCTGGAAGAGCTGCTCCCCGCTATAGAAGAGAGCGGAGCCATTGATGCCGCTGTCATTTTACTTGCTCGACAAGGCCAAGTGCGCCAGGCCCTTGACCGTCTCGTTGCACACCTTAGCATCCTCGAATCCGGCCTGGTCGGTATACTCCAGAGCGTCCGCGAGAGCCCCGACTCAGCGAGCACAGCAGAGGCAATCGACGATCTTATCGAGTCGCTCAGCAAGTATGTAGGCGTCGGAACCTGGCTTTGCCAGGGCCAAAGCAAGACTATCAAGCAGTCACGAACAGACAGCGCAAACGGCAAACGCGGCGCGGCAGCCCTCGACACCCTTCTGGCATTCGATGAAACCCTTTGGCTCGACCACATTGAAGCCGTCGTCCGCATCGCCGGCAACGTCTTTACATTCATGCGGGGGGTGAACACTCAAATCACCGTCGCCTCTCAGCCCACCACCACACTCGGCGGCGAAAGCGGCCGTCTAACAACCTTCTTCCGAACCCTCGTCCAACAAGTCTTCACAGCTCTTCTCGCCAGCACCGTCAAGGCAGGCCCATCAACCTCCGAAAGAACAGACATGTCCTTCCTCCGCATCCTGCGCGCATTCCTCACCCGCGCCGCAACCTGGTCCCCCTCTCTCCTCGAACTCCGCGCCGTCCTGGCCTCCATCTTCTCCGCATACTCTTACGAGAAATCCCTCCTGACCCTCGCCAACGGCATGCTAGACCGCGACCTCTTCGTCCACGTGGACGAAGTCACCCGCCTCCGCCAACAAGGCTGGCGACCCCGCGGGCACATCTGCGAGATCTGCCGACAAAGAATCTGGGGCCCCAGCGTCGGCGACAGCCACTGGTCCGCCTGGGAAGACAAGCAATCGGAAGCCCACCAGCGCCGCATCGCCAAGTGGCACGAGGAAGCCTACAACCCAGACGAAAGGGGCAAAGGCAAAGCAGCCGTCCTAGGCACAGGTCATCTATCCCATCTAGATCGTGCGGCAGCAGCACATGCACTGGCGCATCGCGGCGACGACCATGACACCGACCACGCTGACTCGGACACAGCCGAACCAGGAAAGGGTCCTCCGAATGGGAATGGCTCGGTCGGAGGAACGCCAAACGCACCCCTGGCGCCGGTCATCGTCTTCTCCTGTCGACATCTCTACCATAGACACTGTGTTCTAGACGCAGTCAGCGCCCGCGCCCACACCCGCGTCTCCACTGGCTCCTTTCGGCGTGACCATTCGCCCGACTGGTCGGGGGCTGAAATGTTCTGTCCGGCATGTACATAGCAGCGAGACGCTTGCATGACTTGGTTTCCTTGTTACTTGTGGGTATTATGATTTTTCTTTCTTTCTTGTTTTGCTGGGGATATCCATGGTCGATCATCTTGCATGTATAGCCCGCTGTTAGTTTTGTTGTTCTAGCTGGGGATGTATCCCTGCAATTGCATTTGAGCGTTCTGTCGCTGTCGTATCTATACATGTAGATGCAGTGCAGTGTAGTGTGGTGTATTGTAGTACAACGTCAGAAACAATGTCTCAAACTGTTCTTTGTTTCCCAGTTTTCAGCTCACTTTACGGAGTATCGCAATGGGCATTTCAAACTGCTTGGTAATGTACATGTACTCTCTGAACATCCTGGGGTGTCAGCTGTTAACTCATGCTACTAAGGAGACACATGCACTGCATTGATTCCAGTTAAGTCACCGACCTCCCCAGTCTCATTCCAGCCCCGGGTCTCATCCCTCAGCCCTCAGCCCCCATTCTGTGGTCGGTGCACATGGCCCTTTCTAATAAACCTGCGACTGCATGAATCTGGTTTTGGAGTGGACTGAGAGGGTCGAGGGTCTTGCTAGGTAGTGATCTACTACTCTTGGCCTGACGGGGTAATGAGGTTATCAGAGGGGGCTGATCGTGTTTCAGATGTTGATCGTCGTCTGATACATTGACCTTTATGGATGTTTTCATTTCTATTTGATTCATTTGATAATGCACCTAGTCCGTAGTGGCGCATACTACCGTGAGTACTTACATGTCCCTTGTCACAGATGTTGGGTGTTGGTGACTTCGGCTCAAGTTACTTGCAGTAGTAGATCACTTGTGGGGGTACTTGGGTCTAGGTACTCTTGGCGGTGTGGAAATCGATTCCCTCGCCACGCCACCTCACTTGACAGTTTGTCACTTCACCTCTCATCTTCTGTAAGCTTCAAGTCTAGACCGGTGACGGACACCTGCCGAGGTTTACCCCCGAGGAAGAAAGCATAAAGAACAGAACCACAGATCCAAGAATGAAAATCTTGCAGCCACATCCTTCTTCAGGGACTCTGTCCTATCAACTGTCGATCTCCCCTTTGCCACACTAGGTAGGCGGCAAGTGAGCTGATTGGCATTCGGCTCAGCTGGCGACAACCAGTGACAGTGTCAGAACGGCCTTTTAAGCCTGTTCGGTGCGGCGAAAAGGTTGGCCGAGCGAATGAACGGCCTCAGCGTGGTGATCGTCTTTTGGTTCCGAAACATCAGCAAAGTCAGTTTCAGCGCTTGAAGTTTCCGCCTTTCCCGTCTTTAGTTACTTGACATGTACCATCGACATATACATGGTTGCAATGGTTCTGCATTGACATTTGCGTGTGCATCTGCATTTGCATTCTGCAGGTTTATACCATCCACGATGGTGCTAACAAGTACCATACTTATCATGTACCCCAGCCCGGTTCGATCGGCAAGATAACTATGATTTACACGGTGTTCTGGTTCAGTTCCACAACGGCCATGACTCGCAACCCTGGATATTAAGTCCTGGTCGAGAACCATGTGGATAAATCATCCTCCATTTTTCAGGGCATAGGCCCACCGTTCTCTCCTACCGCGTTTTGTATCTCTCACATGGTCCCTGTCACTGGAGGAGATCGGGTGGATACATCAGGGACCGTACGTGGACCTTTTTCTTTTTTTCCCATTTTTCCATTTTGTGATATGTGGAGACATTAGTCTCATGTATAAGAATGGAGTCCCCCTCGCTTCTCAACTTTTAAGCATTATGTCCGTCTAGTCTCTCCTTTTGCATTGTCCATTGTCCACTCTCTTCCTTGCGATACACTCCTTATTGCTTTGAGGTGCATTCATCGCCCTCGCCTTCTTTTGGAAATATCTGGATATATCTCCGGCTCCACGTCTTCGACAGACTTGCCACTTTCTTGCTTTCGCATCGCATCTCACTTCGAATCGGAAATCTCCTGCGTTCTGGACAATGCACGTTCTTTCGACCCTCCTGCCCGTTGTTGGCTTGTTGTCCCAGCTCAGTGCTGCCAAGTATAGCCTCAAGGATGACTATGGTAGCACCGACTCGTTCTTTGACAAGTTCAACTTCTTCACAGTATGTTTGATTCAAAGAACACATAAACAAAATACTAAATCCAACAGGACACCGACCCAACCAATGGCTATGTCAGCTACGTCGACCGCAACACCGCCTCCAGCGGTGGTCTGATCAACGCCTCCAGCAGCAACGGCGTCTACATCGGTGTTGACCACTCCAACACCGCCAGCAAGCCTGGCCGTCAATCTGTCCGCCTGGAGAGCACCAACACCTACACCCACGGTCTCGTCATCCTCGACTTAGCCCACATGCCCGGCAGCGTCTGCGGCAGCTGGCCTGCCTTTTGGATGCTGGGCTCCGACTGGCCCAAGAACGGCGAGATCGACATCATCGAGGGCGTCAACGACCAATCTTCCAACCAGATGACCCTGCACACCAGCTCCGACTGCTCGATCTCCAACTCTGGTTTCACAGGCACCATCAGCACGGACGACTGCTACGTCGATGCCTCTGGCCAAACTGTTAACGCAGGCTGCGCCATCGATAACGGTAACTCGGAGTCATTCGGTTCGGGCTTTAACAATGCTGGCGGCGGCGTCTACGCCACTGAGTGGACTGGCTCTGCTATCAACGTCTGGCATTTCCCCTCTTACTCCGTTCCCTCGGATATCTCCTCTGGAAACCCCGTCCCTTCAAACTGGGGAACGCCCGCTGCTCGGTTCGCCGGATCTTGTGACATCGACTCGCACTTCAACAACTTGCAAATAGTCTTCGATATCACCTTCTGCGGCGATTGGGCTGGTGAATCGTCCGTCTGGAGCTCGGGAAGCTGCGCTTCCAAGGCTGATACCTGCAACTCCTATGTTCAGAACAACCCCTCTGCCTTTGAGGAGACCTACTGGCGTGTCAATTCGCTCAAGGTTTATCAGGAGTCTAGTTTGCTGGATGTTGATGTCGGCATTGATATCAATGTCGATATTGATATTGATGGAAAGTCGAATTCGAAGTCCTCCAAGTCTGACTCCAAGTCTGACTCCAAGTCGGATTCCAAGTCGAATTCGAAGTCTGACTCCAAGTCTGACTCCAAGTCGGATTCCAAGTCGAGTTCGAAGTCTGACTCCAAGTCTGACTCCAAGTCGGATTCCAAGTCGAGTTCCAAGTCTGACTCCAAGAAGTCTTCGTCGAAACAGTCGACTCGCGATACCGCCCCCTACGTCCGTCCCGGACCCCGTCCTTCAACCAAGCACCGTCGCGACCACTACCGTCGCGGTCACGGTCACGGCCACGTCCACGCCTAGATGGTGTGACTGCCATTGGCGAAGATAAGGACAAGGATATCAATGCCAATATTGAGTATCACGTTGACAGAAAGATGAACAGTCATCCGCGATGACATTCAACTGGAGTGAAATCCGAGAAGGAAAGAAAGAGACCGTTGTTGAAAACCTCCTGGTGTGGCTTTTTGCTTGGTTTCGTTATGATGATTGCATGGGATTGTTTCCCTCTATACGCTTCTATCCTACCCTATGCCTGTGCTAGTCGACGGTTATGGTGGGATCTGGTGTTGCGGCTGACGACCCTTTTTTTATGGCTTATGTTTATGGGCGCTGTTGTTTTGTGAATACCCCTTCCTCTCGTTAAAATTTGATTGCATTTGCATTGCATTTGGTTCTATATATCGGTAGAGGTGACATGAGTATTGTACTTGTAGAAGTTCTAAGAAAATTCCTGGTAGAGATCTGGATATTCCGTAGTGGGTCCCTAGTGGGCCTAAATGCGCCAACATCTGGGCCGTGGAGATGAACATTAAGAATCATGGCTAACAAAGATGTATGAGTACCTTGATATATATGTACCATTTGACATTACCATTAAAACCAAAACTAAAGCCAAACTCAACACCCCCAATGCAAGCCCAAAACTCAAGGCTTATAAGCAAGGACATCACGCTGATCATCAGTAACACGCCCCCACTCCAACAAAAGCCTAAAGAAATAAATCTCCATATCCTCCTTCCTGAGCGCTTTCCGCGCCCAATCCCGTCCTTGCTCGGCAATCGCCTTGCCCTGCTTATCATGCGCCTTCATACGCACCTGCGGCGCACCAGGGCCAGGACCCTGAGAAGCTGCTGGAGAGGGAACGCCTGCGAAATAAGCTAGTGTACTCCAGAGCCCGTGGAGACGGATGTCCACTGGTACGAAGTGTAGCCAAGATGTGACGCGTGAGTCAAACCATTGTCTGAATAGGCCCGTTTTTAGTGGCAGGCTGTGGCTGTGTAGGAAGGGGAGGAAGCGACCGCTGAATCCGGCGCCGTCGAGGTCGAAGAGGAATTTGTGGGACCAGTGCGCTTGGAATTCGCGCCAGCCTACTGTGCCCATTTCTGCCGCTTGTTCGTCGCAGTCGCCACAGCGGACGATTGGGTCGGCTAGGTGGACGTTGGTTTCTAGGTGGAGGGTTTCGCTTGGGGCGGCGCCGTCCATTATTTCGTAGCGGAATGTGCCTGTGCCGTCGTTTGTTGGGAGGAGGACGGATACTTCGTTGTTGGTATTGTTGTTGATTAAGTGGGCGAAGCGTTGCCGGGGCATGCCTTTCCATTCACCGAAGCGGCTGACACCTTCTGATGTACTGCCGACCCAGTAGAGGGATGTTGCTTTGTGGCTATATTCTGGGTCGGGATGTTCGTCTGTAGGTTGGTATTTAACCTTGTCGATGTAATTCCATGGGCTGGGGAAGAGTATGTCGTTGAAGCCCGAGAGAGCACTTTGACTGAAGACTGGGACTAAGTCTTGTGAGACCTTGAATGAAGCTGGGGAGATGAGAAGTCCGTGGATGAACGCGAGGTCGGGTTGGTGGCAGATGTCGGAGGCGATGTTGAAGTCCAGTGGGAATTGGCCCATGGAGTGAGGTGCCGCGCATGATAAACAGAGATCACGTCGGTTCCAGATTCTCTGCGAGCGTGCCTTCGACGAAGGTGGGCATATAGCGCTCACATATGGATCGAAGACACCTCTCCACGCACCATCAGTAAAGATGGTGGTGTTGGTCAGATCGGCGGGTTCGATTGGACCCCAGCCCTCTGGTCGGTTCGCCGACCAACGGTTCACTGCCTGCTCTTCAGGGACCATCGGCTGGGCGTGAGCATGGCGGTTTAACAGTGACACCTTCTCCCAGGGAACTGCAACACGCGGTTCATCATTCAAATTGAACACCAGATCCATATCTGGGAGGAATTCGACAAAGTTCTCCATCATGTCGGCAGCTCCCTGTACCATCCACGCATGTGTCGGCTTAATCCCTTCTTGAACCCTAGCCTTTCCATCCCGAATGCTGATAGCGCCGAGATCGTTGAACGGATTGGTTGCTAATTGAGATGTCATTTCTCGTATTTGCTGTGGAGCCAGTGCTCGGAAAGGAAGTACGTTGTGATAGATCTGATCGAAGTCGTCGATGATTACTGATGACTTCTTAGTGGCGTATTGATACCACTTGTCGAATCCAGGTGGTGGATGCTGGTTGTATCGCCTCCGATATTCCCCAACAGCATCTCGGAGGGACTTGCTCGCAGATGCCTGGGCCATGTAATTGTCATGCTGAATTGTGCCTTCATGTATGAGGAAATCAATTGGATGGATGGGAGAGACGCGATGTTTATTCACTGCAAAACCCAGACTGATTCCACAAAGAACAACGAAAAGTATCTGTATGGCAATGTTGGTGCGGTACAGAGGTTTGTATTCTTCGTCATGAACCACTCGCGCGAGGAGGAAGAGAATAGCACCGGTGAGAGATGCTACCATCGGAAGAACCGAGTGTGTCAAGGAGATGAATGGGTAAGACGAGTGTCCACCAACAAGGGCCGACACAGAAGAGAAGTAAATGACCATGAAACCGCCAATGATTGATATACCAACAATATCAAAATGCGGTAACTGGAAAGTCAGTTGATAGTTCAGCAGATAAGCGGGACGAACTTACCATATGCCAAGCTGACAAGACCAGAAGTAGCAGTAGTATAGCTTGACTGAAAGCACCACGCGAGTACTCGAGGTCCAATGTGGGTTGCCCAGCCAGTTCGGGTGAACTGTCTGATACCTTGAGACCTAGGATACACCAGAACACAGAAAGGCCCTAACAAAATGTCAGCAGGCGTCACCCTTAATTGTAATGTCGCCACTTACAAGGAGACCAGCTCCAAGGAACATCAGAGTGCGCTTTCTCCGCGACTCATCAAATTGACTGCCAATTCGACATAGCTCGGTGATTCCAATCAGTAATGCAGAGTCGGCAAATATATTGAAGACCCTAAATGAGCGCATCTTCGATGCGCCATGCAACACCACAGGACATATGTAGGTCGATCGATTTCCAGCTGAGAATGACGAAGCTAGGAGCCCACTGATCGATAGGAAGGCAGCTGCAATAACACCTCTAAAGCAGCTCTGCGTGAGATAATGGAAGCTCCGACGGCAAACCGAGTAAGTCACCTGCAGCGGCAGCTTGTCAAATCGTTGCGCAGGGACATAAGCCTCCACTTGTCGCGATCGCTGGTTGCGCCAGTAGTCGTAGAGCGAAATAACGAATGGAATAGTATACTGTTGGTGGCATTTGGTCAGTCGCGGATCGAATGGCCGGGCTATTCAGTCACATACAGCATATCCAAACGGCACGCATTCGCTGTGTCGAGTAACTTGACGGAAAGACTCGACTCGCAAGCCACCCAGCCCCACCAATAAACTAAGTTTTATCCACCATGATCGGTTTCGCAACGAGGGGCGATTCTCAGCTTCGCCAAATGTGAATGAGGAGGTCGATGCACGTGAAGGTAGCTCATACTGCTCCGCGAGGGGTACACCCGGTCGTTTGAATGTCGGCGACGAGAGTTGTGACCCTGTTGGAACAAAGCGACCCCATAGCAAGAGGACAAGCCCGCTAAGGAAGCAGACTAGAACTGATGTACTGACAGGGCGATCTGAGGCGACACGACAGTCAGGTCACGTTACGGAACTGGCGCATGCTCGGTGGCGACTTACCAAAAGCGAACGTGGTGTTGTATGAGGTAGTAAGGAATAGCGAGCTCGTTAGGAATATTCTGCAAGAGTGCAATCATAAGCTTCTGTCTTCAAGGTGGTCCCGCCAGTACTCCATACTCACCCCACAGAGACCTTCAGCCCGAGGTCGGGGGATAATTGGACCATCATGCGCCCGGTCGTCTAAACCCGCTTGAGAGCGTCTCCTGCCATCGCGTGCAATTTATATCAAGAGAAGAGAAAAATCGAAGAGCAGTGGAGCCTCAGGGGATTGACAGGAAACATGGCACAAAGCAGGGAAGGGTCGAAGGGCCAGAGATCGGCTAATCAGAGGCATTGGGAGTGCTGATCCATTAGGGTTGCGTCAACGGGCGGGCTAGGGACATTGGCATCAACCACGGACCTTACATGGAGACTGACTGTATCTTTGCCCAATGGCAAATCAAACGGCAGTGGACATTCCCAGCCACTGGGTTAATGTCCGGATCTGTTAGCTCCTTGTATTAGCCGCTGTTGTTCTGGGGTTATGGCTGGTCAGCAGGAAATGCTGGGCCGATCAACGGCCAGAATCAAGCCTCAGTTGATTCGTGACCCACTTAACATCGTGAGGTCACTAAGACTGTATACGGTCGCATATACCACGCCCAGCCTCGTTCACAACCCATGTGATTGGTGTGCAGACATGACAATACATCCAAGGCTGACATGCTTCAAGGAGGTCAAGCTGTTCATGCATCGAAATAAAGATGGCCGAACGGACCCATAGAAGGTTTAGCGTCAAACGACCGAATGGGGCAAGGGAAAGTATGCTAGGCTCAATTGGGAATGGTGTCATGCATGCTCATATGGGAAAAGGCACGGGCGGCCATGTCAGGTGACTCACAGGGTCTTGGGCAGTGACAAAGGACATTTGATCAGGTGATCTGCTAGCTTGATGCCTTGTGGATCTGGCGTGAAGGCGGTATCCATCACTAGGCGGTGTCAGGGAGCAGTATCATTTTTTTCTATCCGTAGGGTTTTTGGCTGCAAGACAAGACTGCAGTGTTTTCGATCAACACCAGTCCAATTCACCTGTGTCTCCTGTTTATCAAGGAGCTTGACCAAGGAGAACTTCCTTTGGTTTATACCCAGGCCTACTCTTACCGAAAAGAGGGACATACAATCACCTCAAGGCCAGCTCCGCGCCTCACATTCGGTCATCATGCCCCGCAAGGCTATTGACTCGCGGATTCCCGCTCTTATTCGAAATGGTGTCCAAGAGAAGAAGCGCAGCTTCTTTGTGGTGGTTGGCGATCATGCCAAGGATGTCATTGTACACCTGCACTACATCATGTCCAGTGTGGACGTGAAGCAGAACAAGTCCGTTCTGTGGGCTTACAAGAAGGACCTGCTCGGTTTTACGAGTCACCGCAAGAAGCGCGAAGCGAAGATTAAGAAGGAGGTCAAACGAGGCATCCGCGAGCCGAACCAGGAAGATCCCTTCGAGCTTTTTATCACCCTCAACAACATTCGATATGTCTACTACAAGGAAACCGAGAAGATTCTGGGTAACACCTACGGAATGTGTGTGCTGCAGGACTTTGAAGCCATGACCCCCAACTTGCTGGCTCGAACCGTCGAGACTGTCGAGGGTGGTGGTATGGTCATCCTGCTGTTGAAGAGCATGACCAGTCTTAAGCAGCTCTACACCATGTCCATGGATATTCACTCGAGATACCGAACGGAAGCACACGACGATGTGGTCGCTCGTTTCAACGAGCGTTTTATCCTGTCTCTCGGAAGCTGCGACTCATGTCTGGTTGTCGACGACGAGCTGAACGTGCTGCCCATCTCCGGTGGTAAGACCGTCAAGCCGCTTCCTCCCCCCGAAACTACCGACGAGGCTGCCTCTGGACCCAAGAAGGAATTGAAGGAAATCAAGGAAAGCTTGGCTGATACCAAGCCTGTCGGTCCTCTGCTCAGCCTGGCCCGTACCGTAGATCAGGCAAAGGCTCTCTTGACCTTTGTTGATGCTATCGCCGAGAAGACACTTAAGAGCACCGTTGCCCTCACTGCCGGTCGTGGACGAGGAAAGTCCGCTGCCCTCGGTGTTGCTATCGCCGCAGCCATCGCTCACGGCTACAGCAACATCTTCATTACCTCCCCTAGCCCGGAGAACCTGAAGACTCTCTTCGAGTTCGTTTTCAAGGGCTTCGATGCTCTTGGATACCTCGATCATGTCGACTACACTATCCTGCAGTCAACCAACCCCGACTTCAACAAGGCCGTTGTGCGCGTCAATGTTCACCGTAACCACCGTCAAACCATCCAATACATCCAACCCCAGGATGCACAGGTTCTCGGACAGGCTGAGCTTCTAGTTATTGATGAGGCTGCCGCTATTCCTCTCCCATTGGTGCGGAAGCTGATGGGACCTTACCTGGTGTTCATGTCGTCTACTATCAACGGTTACGAAGGCACGGGCCGGTCCCTGTCTCTGAAGCTGATCCAGCAGTTGCGTGAACAATCTCGTGGTGGTCTCAAGACGGACGATACCGATATTGCAGACCGTGACACAGGAAAGGCGACCAAGAATGCCGACAAGAACCTTACAGGTCGCTCATTGAGAGAAATCACTCTCGCAGAGCCCATTCGTTATGCTCCCGGCGACTCTGTCGAGAAGTGGTTGAACAAGGTTCTCTGCCTTGACGCTACTCTTCCCAAGTCTCGCATGAACACACAGGGTTGTCCTCACCCGTCTCAATGCCAATTGCTCCAGGTCAACCGCGACACGCTCTTCTCTTTCCATCCTGTTTCCGAGAAGTTCTTGCAGCAGATGATGGCGCTCTACGTTGCTAGTCACTACAAGAACACACCTAACGACCTCCAGCTTATGAGTGATGCCCCCGCTCACCAGCTCTACGTGCTTGTTCCTCCTATTGATGAAGAGGCCACCAAGCTCCCTGAGCCTCTTTGTGTCATTCAGGTCGCCCTTGAAGGTCGCATCAGTCGCCAGAGTGTCCTCAACAGTCTCAGCCGTGGCCAGCGCGCCGGAGGTGATCTGATTCCGTGGTTGGTCAGCCAGCAGTTCCAGGATGAGACTTTTGCCAGTCTCTCCGGTGCTCGTATAGTTCGCATTGCCACTAACCCCGAGTATGTTGGCATGGGCTACGGTTCCCGCGCCATGGAGCTCCTCGTCGATTACTTCGAGGGTAAGTTCACCAACCTCGACGAGAACACCGCTGCCCCCGAGGAAGAGATGGTTCGTGTCACCGACGAAGAGCTCGCCGGTTCCAGCCTCCTGGATGACAACATCCAAGTCCGTGATATCCGCACCATGCCTCCTCTCTTCGGCAAGCTGTCTGAGCGTCGCCCCGACGCCCTCGACTACGTCGGTGTCAGCTACGGTCTCACCCCCTCCCTTCACAAGTTCTGGAAGCGCGGCTCCTTCTCCCCTGTGTACTTGCGCCAGACCCCCAACGAGCTCACTGGTGAGCACTCCTGCGTGATGCTCCGCACCTTGACCAGCGGACCCAACGACCCTGCCTGGCTCGGCGCCTTCGCGCGTGATTTCCAGCGCCGATTCCTCTCCCTCCTGTCCTACCAGTTCGGCCAATTCCCCTCCGTGCTCTCCCTCAGCATCTGCGAGTCTGCCAACGCTGGCGCCAAGCTCGACGACTCCATCAAGCCCCGCGCTCTGACAGCCCCCGAACTCAAGCAGACCTTTTCGGCCTTCGACCAGAAGCGTCTGGAAAGCTACGCCAACAACCTCTTGGACTACCACGTCATCCTCGACATGGTGCCCACCCTCTCCGAATTCTACTTCGCCAACCGTCTCTCCGGCAAGGTCAGCCTCTCCGGCGTGCAGCAGTCCATCCTCCTCGCCATTGGTCTGCAGCACAAGAGCCTGGATGCCCTAGAGAAGGAGTTGAACCTCCCCTCTTCCCAGCTCCTCGCCATGTTCCTCAAGATTGTCCGCAAGATCTCCACCCATTTCCGCACCTTGCTCGAGGAGGATGTCGAGAAGACCCTGCCCGCCAGAAAGGTCCGTCTTGAGACCTCCGCCGCCCATGACGACGAGCCCGATAGCCAGCATAAGCCCCTGCCTGTGAACCTGGATGATGAGCTCCGCGAGGGAGGCAAGGAGATCGAGGAGGAGATGCTCGCTAAGCAGCACGCCTTGATTGAAGCTGACGGGTAAGCCATATCTCCTAGTCTAATTACCTCCTTGTTCTATTTGAATGAACAATAACTGATTCACAGCCTCCAGAGACGCAAGCTTTAAGCTGCCCAAGCAGACCAAGCGCAAGAAGGGCGAGACGGCGCGCGAGATCTACGATCAGGAAATTGACTCGAAGAGACAGAAGGTCATCAAGAGGGGCACTGAGGGCCGCAAGAACAAAAAGCACTAAATGTATTAAGTCAGGGTCTGGACTATTTTTCTTCTCTTTCTCTGCATTTGTGTTCGGTGTTCGGTTTGGTCTGAATGACTTGCTCTCTCTGTCTCTAGTATTGTCTGTACTCTTCGATTCATGTTTCTAATAGGGCTTTCGTCCCTTGTATATATGAATCATATGTTATGTCTACATTTTGTTGGTGCTACGTAGAGTTGGTTTAGATATGCTGTAATGTTTTGTTACTATTTTAGCTTACAGGCATATGCGCGCTGTCAAGGATGCATACTGAATTGCAGGTAGCCGGAATGGACATCGGCATTTTCCGATGAGAGTTCCTCACAGCTCATCGTGCTCAGGCTCGACCTGCTCCTCGGCCTCAGCTTCAGCTTCAGCTTCGGGCTCAGGGGCAGTCTCGGTCTCGGTCTCGGCCTCTGCCACAGGCTCGGCCTCCTCAGCGCCAGCAACAAGACCCTCAGGCAGCTTCTCCTTAGCACCCTCGCCAAGACGAATAGCATCAACCCAAGACTCAACAGCAACAGCTCCAAAGTCCTCACCCTCAGCGGTGAACCGGCGCCACCAGCTCCGGCGAGCATTAAGCGCAACAACCTCCACAGTAGGTCCCTTGGTCAGACTCAATGCAGTGCGCAGGATATGGGAGACAGGGTTGCTAGCGGGGATAGCATACAACGGGAACAGGTGCGTACCACGCTGAGCATGCTTGTGACCAATCTCAGCTAGGCTGGCTAGCGCAGCTGTAGCAGGGACTGGGAGGGCTTCGTCGGACTCGCTCGCCTCGGGGAGGATGGCTAGCACACATGTTCCGGACTTGGGGGCTAGGCAGGCTGCTTGGAGGGACTCGGGGGTTGAGAGGGTGGGGATTGCGGGTGCGGGGACGAGGGTTGGGACGGGCTTGGTTTCTTCCTGTGCGGCTGTTGGCTCGTCGTCGGGCTCTTCGGCGACGGAGGTTGGCTTTGCTGCGGGCTTAGACTTCTTAGCCTTGGGCTTCGTCTTGGGCTTGGAGTCTGCGGATGCGGGTGCGTTGGGTGCGGCAGCTTGGCTCAGGAACTCGGTGATAGGCTTCTTCTTCAGGTCGCCCTGGTAGATCTGGGGTTCGTCGCCGGCGACGAGGACAAGCGCCGGGAGCGAGGTGACTCCGAACTTCTTGACAGATGCGGTTTCCTTGTTGCGCACCTGGGCGATGTCAATGGCGCCGAGGAAGTCGATTGCCAGGGCGCGGATCAACGCGCTTGTTGTGCCCTTCTCCGTGAAGAGGACGGCCTTGGGCCGACCTTCGTTCTGTCCGAGCCACTTGTCCAGGTCTTTGTCTGTTGCGCGCTTCACATGGTTGGGAATGTGATCGACGACTGCGTCGACGATGCCTTTGGCACTGCGCGCGCCTTGGTAGTCCTCCACGCGTGGCTTTCCGGGTTTCTTGGATGGCGTCATGATCTTGAGGGTTGGGAAGCCCTGCACGCCCATCTGGCCGCAGAAGGCTTTGTTCTCGTCATCGTCGCAGTTGATCGCGGCGACGTTCGCCAGACCATCGAGGTTCTTCGCGGCTTTCTCGTAGGCGGGCTTGAGGCTTTGGCAGTGACCGCACCAGGGAGCGTAGAACCTAAACAATGCGCATGAGTAAAGGTCCGAGACGCGGAGTGGGGAGCTTACTCGACGATCTATACCAGTCAGTCAATTAGTTCATTGCGCGTGCAGTGTGGGCATGGCACTTACCGAGGTGTGATTTGACTTCGCGATGAGCGAGTTGTAAGTTTTGGGGTTCAGCTGCAGCACCGGGGAGTTCTTGGTGTATAGTCCATCGGCGTTCACAGGCAGCGCTGCAAGCAGCGACGTGACGAGCAGGAGACTGCTGTACATGATGAAGGTGTTGAATCAAATCAGGTCAGGTCACCGTAGAATGTTAGAGATTCTGAAGAGAGAAAAGCCAGCTGGCCCCAAACATCACGCAAGGTGTCCTGAAGCTCTTGGCATGCGGAGGGTATTTTGTCAATAACCTCAAAAGTCGGATACGCAATTTTATTATAAGAGTTGACTTATTTAGAATAGTATTGTTTGCTTGCTTCTAAAGGATTGTTATAATTGCCTGTCACTACTGTTCAACTGTCTATAAATGTAGTCCAGCTGTATAATCTCCTACCTCCAACACTCTCCCTTCTATACATCCAGCAATGCCTCCGGAATGCCATGACTTGGCCTTTCTACCCCGCGACGTCTTCTGGATGATTCTTGCGTATCTCGAACCTCACGATATCATCCGCAATCGTCGAGTCTCGCGTGCCTGGCGCGAAGCCTTTAGCAACCCCTCCATTCTCGTTCCACGCCTGAGATGGGAGTTCCCACGGACAAGAGAAGCAAAGGCCCTTGACAATGGGACTGCAGACCCACATCGAGGTTGTCAACTCTTTGACCAAGTCGCCGCAAGATATGATCATCTAGAGCGGGCAAAGCCCCGCTCTATCAAGAAGTATGGATTGTGCGGTGCCTTCGGCAGCTCGCGCCAGCGTGAATGGTTCCCTGTTCAGCCCTGGGAATATCACTGCAGTCATGACACGGGCATTGTCGATATCCAATTTGAAGAGGCTTTGTGGTCTTTCGATGGTGGGCTGCTAGTATTCCCCAGTGCCGAGAGTCAAGGTCTCATGCTCTTGGATTTGGAAACGGACCGCCAGTTCGAGGTGCCGTTCACCATTACCGGCAGGGTTGTTCGCCGAGTCAGGATTCAGAAGCGGCTCCTTGTTGTCGAGTGGGCTGAGCCTATGGCTTTCCACTGGCTAAATGATAGCGACGGTGTACATCGTCACTTTGCGTCTTCGTTCGATATCGTCCAGGGCGGGAAAGATGTCTGGAGTATTACCCAGCGCAATGAATGGAAGATCATGTTCTTGGGCCATCCTCTCAGCGAGCGAGATCGTTTTTTCTCTACGCACAACAACACACATTATGTGATCTACATGTGGCAGCCCAATCGTAGCCTATACACCGCAGACGAGGATGCACCGATTGAATCCTTGTTCGTATGGGACATCTCACAGGTGTCATCTCACCGGCCATCTGAATCCTCTTCAGGAGTACTGCGCGGTGGAGTTCCTGAAGATGCCCCAAGAATCGTGGCACGTTTCGGTTTCCGAGACCTTGACTTCTTCTGCGTCCGCCAACGAGGCACCCCAGCCATCTCCCGGCTTTCTATCACGGATGATTCCCAGGCGATACAAATTGTTGATAATTTCCTGCATGAAATTGAAGGTCAAGGGACGCCTGACCCAGAAGCTGGAACTGGTATTCGTTTGTGTCGGACCACATCCATCCCAGTCATCGGGAATGGACCCCACAATCGTACATTGCATGTCGACTTGTTACCAGTATACCGCGGTAACTGCAGCTTGCAATCGGAGTTCCTTGGCTACTCGACTACATACGGGAATAACTGGACCGATGTCATCGCTCAAGTTAGCGATCCTGATCTAGAGCTTGGCTTTTGCCTCTATTTTGAGCTCAATGATCCCCACCATAAAACTATCAGGCTGGGGGTCTGGGCGCCTGGCTCGAATGAGAATCGTGTGAATGTTGATTTTACGGGGAGAGCGAAACTGTGTGGCTGTGATAGATATCTGGTTGGTGAGAATACTTCCCGGGAGCTGGTTATCTATCGTTTTGATCGATGAAAAGAGGGCATGAGATGTACATCTTATGGGAGAAGGTGTGCGGCATTGGATCTTCGTTCTCCTCCGTGGAAAATGACGGGCAACTAATTCGGAAGGTATCCAACGTTGGCAGACTACGCTCCCTCTATCTACTACATACAGTACCACGAGGGTCTTAGACTCCGGTGCATCTATGCGCATAGATCTGTTACATAGAGCCGGTCTCATTTACGAAAATCTAACAAACACTAAGCGGGAAAAGATAGGGGTCCGATATATCCTTGTTTTTGTTCTGTCGTACATTTCATTGTCCTCGCAGGCATTGAAGCCAAAGTAGCTAATCATGTCGGACCCTCGTCCTAACGTACACATGTCAAAAAATCAATCGTCAGATTCATCGTGAGATGCACCGCATATATCGGCCTTTTCCTCCTCAGGTACCTGCAAAACAAGGGTCCGTAAACTTGCATCGGACGCACGCCTTCAGACCGCATCCAGGGCACGTAAGTACATACAGTGGCTTGCAGAGACCACACCGGTCACACTTCGCAAGGTTGAACTCCTTTTTCCAGGAGCCAATGTGTGCACAATCAACCGGTTTATTCAAATGGTGCGGGGGCTCGACATCTCTGACTGAGCTTCGGAGTGCCACCAACCAACCGATGTAGGTCTCCAAGATGACTCCGTTAAGCTCCCCATACAGTTCATTTGCTGTGTACTGCTCAGGATGAGCGCGGATCTTCTGTTGGAAGAAAGGAACCAGATGCTTCAGGGCCTCGCAAGTTCCCAACTGCGAGTTAATGTATGAGTTCTTGTTGGTTGAATCCTCACTGAAGTCCTTGTTGGTAGGCTGAAGAGGTGGGGAGCTGTCGATTGGGTCTGTGAAGCCTGCGGGTGCGTCTTTGATCGAGTTCTCGGTGGTATCGGTAGTATTGGCAGTATGAGCAGCTTTGGGGGGCTTGGCAGCGTGGCTTTGAGTTGGGACTTTGTCAACCGAGCTAGCAGCAGAGTTGCAGCCGGTGAAACGCTTGTGGGAAATCCGATTGGCGCTGGGGCTGAAATAGGGCTGAGCTTCGTTGGTGACTTTGGGTCCAAAAACATGTCCAGTGGAGCGAGATGTAGGCTTTTGCCGGTAAAAATGGTTGCCATCGTCCTCATCCGTGTCAACATCACGCGTGTCGGGAGTAAAACCGAGGTCTTCTTCCCCATAAGGTGGGTCAGTGGACTCAGCAGGCTTAGATTTGGCAGCCTTGTGTTCGGCAAACTTGTCTGCAGCAGGCTTGTAGTCGGTAGGCTTGAAGGGGCCAGTGCTTGTGCCAGCGTAATGTTCCTTTTCAACAAACTTGTTGGAACGATCTGGCCTACGGGGATTGAACACACTGCGGTTAAAGCCATCTCCAGCCTGAGTCGCCATAGCATCTGGGCCACGGTTGGACTCAGGCCGATAGACCACGTCGGGTTCAAAGTCACCAGCTTCTGTCACCATATCACTCCTGTCATACGCCATGTATCTTGCCTTCTTCTTCTTGAGCAATTTAGCACGCAGATCTTCCATCTCAGGGTCAATGCCTTGCCATTCACGGCTCCATTGGTCGCTCTCTTTTTGGAAATCCGCACGTTTGGCCTTACTATCTTCAGAGTTTGGGTCCATGTGAACACTATTGCCGTAACTGTGCATATAGTTCAAATCTTTGCAGGCATCAAAGGTATCGCGGTGTCTGAAAGTCTCAGGATTGGGAGGCGTTCGGCGTCTTCTCTCTCTGGGGCAACGTTTCTTTCTTGGGTAGGAGTTGCCATAGGCTCCTGAGGTCCCAGTTGGCAACTTGCATTCAGGCTTGAGTGAAGCGAATCTAGCTTTGCACAGTGAGCGGTCGAGTTGGCTCCGACGAACAGGGTCTCGAAGAATTTCAACCGCATCTGTTATCTGTAAGCAAGGTGTCAGCAATGTATGTCTCAAGTGAAGAGCCGTAGGTCGATTTATATACCGCGCGAAAACGCTCAGTGGCAGCATCAGTATGGCCCGCCTTGTCAGGATGCGACTTTAGCGCAAGCCCTCTGTAAACGGCGTTGATATCTTTGATATCAGCGTCGCGGCTGACGCCCAGGACGGCGTAGCAGTCAATAGTCAAGCCAACAGTAGACATACTTTTTTGTCACACCACTGTGAACTTAGAAGTAAGAGTGAGCCGGATGAAGATGAATGAGACAGAGACAGAGAGAACAAGGCTCGACGAGAAAGAGCAAAGCAAATATGGATGCGCATAGTTCAGATTAACGCCGCGACCCTTACCTTGAAAACAACCCAAGATGCGAAGTGAGAAAAAGAGAGTGAGGAGCGAGAGGGCAAGATATTCCAGCAAGGACAAGAGACTGGAGAAAAGTGAGATCATGGGGGAAAGAAATCACAGCGAAGGACAAGAATGAAGGGGAAAGCGAGTATCGTAAGAATAAGAGCAAGACAATGACGAGGTAATCTCAACGTGGACAAAGATAAGATCAAAAATGATATTGGCTATTGACCAGAACAGAAAGACAAGGGTCCAACGACCAGTGTACATATGAAATTGAAATGGATTGACTCTGATTTTACACAAGCTGAAGGTCGATCTAAATATGAAGTCTAACTAGAAGCGACTTCTTCCAATAGAAGCAAGCTTCTACATGTCCGCACTGGCGGTGGCACCGGTAATAATCTCAACCAGCTCACCGGTAATGGCGGCCTGGCGCTGACGGTTGTACAAGATCTGGAACCTGAGAGTTTGTTAGAATGAAGTCTTGCACATGATGGGGATACACATACTTGTTGATCATCTCACCAGCGTTCTTGGAGGCGTTCTCCATGGCGTTGCGACGAGCCTGATAGACCGATTAGCAACGTTAATGATAAGGAGTTCATAACACTTACGGAGATCTCGCAGGCGTGGCCCTCAGCCATAGCCCAGAAGAGATTGTTGGCAAGAGCGTACTCGCGGAGGCTGGACAGAGCCTCCTCGTCAACCTCGTAGGAGGAGATGTTGGCTATATAGATTGTCAGCATGGATATGACGTGTCTCGTCATGATATCAACTCACCGGACTGGGTAATAGCCTCCTCGGAGTAGGCCTCAATGGAGGAAGCCTCGTAGCTCTGAGCGTTGACGAAGGAGTTGTAGATGATGCGGACGCTGGCGTAGTCCTCGGGAAGGAGAGCAATCTGGTCGGCAATGGCCTGGGCATCGGCGAAGGTGGGGATGTCCTTGCAGACGTTGGAGAAGCTCAGAAGGATCTTGTCGGCGACAACACGGGACAGCTGGGCCTTGGCCTTCTCACCGAGAATGACGATGTCGGCGTTGGGGTTGGCCTCCAAGATACGGCGAGTGGCCTTGCTCAGACCGGAGTGGATACCACCGCAAAGACCCTTATCGGAGCTGGCGACGACCAGCAGAGTCTTCTTGTCCTCCAGAGCCTTGGTCTCGGCCTGCTCGAAGACGTTGTTGGAGGTCTTACCGTAAACACGGGACTCATCCATAGCCTTCTGGGCACGGGTGAGACGGGTGGAAGCAACAATCTTCATGGTGTTGGTGATCTTCTCGATGTTCTTGATGGACTTGAGACGACCCTCGATCTCACGCAGAGTCGCGAAGGTGGCGGCGTTGGCGGGCGCAGGACTTTTGGAACTCGCTGTTAGCAATTGTCGTCATTGTTTCCATTTCACATCGATATTTCGCCAGATTGTTGATGTCGAGGTGGTGGTCGGGGTACGTCGGGTGGAAGGGCCCTGGCACGTTTCGGATGAGAACTTACCGAGCGATGGCAGAACCACCAGCCCGCAGGGCCGGGCGGACGGCACGGGAGAACATTATGGGAGGTATGTAGAGAAGAGAGTAGATGAGCAGGGGAGTAGCTGCGGAGGGGGGGTGACGAAGGTAGAGAGGCCGTCGGGAAGTGCGAAGTTCAGAACTCCTGGTTCTGTCCCGGCTGCGCCGCTAAACTCAAAGTGGTAAGCAACTACGGCGAGGCATTCCGACTTCCGGCGCAACAGGCCTCAGGCCACAATTTAGGTAATATATGCCTCAGGCATTATTTACACGTTACGCTGTCGTTACCTTTGACACCTCAGGCCATAAACTGTCCAAGACCTCGTTTTCCCATTCCATTCCCATTCCCCCAAACTCCCAACCTCTTTCCCTCTTTCCCTCTCTTCACTTCTGATCTTACATCTCTTCCCTTCCGATTCCACCCGCATTACCCCCTCTTCAGCTGCACTATTGATGCAGCTCAGCTTCTAAAACTTTCTCTGGCTCTTCATTGGTCAGTATTTCTTTGCCTTCATTCATCTATCAGCCGGCTCGATTTGCCCGACTCGGCGCACGAGGACTCCTCCTTGCACCACAACATCGATTCTATTCAATATATCCTCGATCTCCGGCCACGCCATTTCGGAATACCATTATGAGCTCTTCGGAGGACGATATGCCCCTCGCGCGCGTGAATGGCCGTGCCAAGTGTAAGTTCTGTCTCAGCTGAATCAGTCTCATACACCTCGTTTTTTGGTCGCAAACTCTTACTTCATCCAAAAATGACTTCATATCTTCTCTCTGCTTCCTCTCCAAATGTCTATACTTCATGGGCACCCATTCTCAATCGTGAATTTCCTTTTTGACGTCACTACATACTTCAGCCGCATCGTCGAGCTTCACTAACGTTGCAACTTTCAATATAGCGTCTCCGAAGTCCCCGGAAATGAAAATGCCGGCATCGAGTTCTCCAGGTGTCAATGGTCATGTTGACCCTGGTGTGTCAATTCGATTTGGTCCCGTGGAAGACAAAGAAGACAAAGATGTGAAGATGGAAGACGTGGATACGGATGGGCCCGGCGCTGCTAAGCGCAAATCTCGCACAAGTATCACACAGCAGAAAAACTATACAGAGAGCAGTGAAGAAGATGAACCTTTGGTACGCCTACCCCCCATTGCGGCATGAGCTTCCTCTCCCCCACTCGTGACACTACCTTTGCTCTCGGTTACACGTCTAACCATTGGGCAGAGCAAACGTCGGCGCACATCCGTGAAACATGAAGATCCTGAGACGGATGAAGATGTTCCCTTAGCCCGCAATGGCCGAAAGCTTCCCAAGGCCACCGAGACCGCCATTGGGGAAGAATCCGACTCGGACGTGCCACTTGACAAGAAGCTTACCGCCCAGAAGAAGAAGATCGAAGCAATGGCGGCGAAGGATGCGCGCAAATCTGCGGTGAAGAACGAGATCAAGCCTGCACCCAAGAAGCAGGCCAACGGTGTCAAGAAGGAGCCCGCGACCAAAACACCTGCCAAGAAGGAGCCTGCTGCCGCTAAGAAGGGCAAGGCAAAGTCTGCCCCAGTCAAAGCAGAAAGTCAGGACGCTGAAGACAATGACGAGGACGAGGGTTACCGCTGGTGGGAGGACCAGAGCAAAGGAGATGGAACCATCAAGTGGACCACACTTGAACACAGCGGTGTTGTGTTCCCTCCTGAGTATGAGTTGCTTCCAAAGAACGTCAAGATGCGCTATGATGGTGTCCCAGTCACTCTCGAACCCGAGGCGGAAGAAGTTGCCAGCTTCTTCGGAACCATGCTGAACTCGACCCACAACGTGGAAAACCCTGTGTTCCAGAAGAACTTCTTCTCCGACTTCAAGGATGTCATCAAGAAGACCGGTGGAGCCAAGGACTCCAACGGCAATAAGATCGATATCAAGGAGTTCACCAAGTGCGACTTTAAGCCTATCTTCGAATTCTACGACGCCCAGCGGGAGGAGAAGAGGAACCTGCCACCAGCAGAGAAGAAGCGCCTCAAGGCTGAAAAGGACGAACAAGAAGCTGCGTATCAGTACTGTATTTGGGATGGTCGCAAGCAAAAGGTGGGCAACTTCCGTGTGGAACCTCCTTCCTTGTTCCGAGGTCGTGGCGAGCACCCCAAGACTGGTCGTGTCAAGACTCGTGTGCAACCTGAGCAGATCACCATCAACATTGGCAAGGATGCGAAAGTTCCTCCCCCGCCTGCAGGCCACCAGTGGAAGGAAGTGAAGCACGACCAAGAAGGTACATGGCTCGCCATGTGGCAGGAAAACATCAACGGCAACTACAAGTATGTCATGTTGGCTGCCAACTCTGATGTCAAGGGCCAAAGTGACTTCAAGAAGTTCGAGAAGGCCCGTGAACTCAAGAAGCATATTGAGAAGATCCGCAAAGATTACGAGAAGAACCTGAAGCACGACATGATGGTTGAGCGTCAAAAGGCTACCGCAGTATATCTCATTGATCAGTTTGCTCTGCGTGCTGGAAACGAGAAGGGCGAAGACGAGGCCGAGACTGTCGGCTGCTGCTCTCTCAAATACGAGAACGTTACGCTGAAGCCCCCACAGACCGTCGTCTTCGACTTCTTGGGTAAGGATAGTATTCGTTTCTATGATGAAGTCAAGGTCGACTTGCAAGTCTTCAAGAACCTGAAGATCTTCAAGAAGGCTCCGAAGAAAAACGGTGACGAGATTTTCGATCGTCTGACGGTATGTTTCCATCTTCCTTGTGTTAACTGGATATTACTAATGAGTGATAGACCTCTGCTTTGAACAAGCATCTCCAGAACTACATGCCTGGCCTGACTGCTAAGGTCTTCCGTACCTACAACGCCTCCTACACAATGGGCTCTGTGCTCAAGGAAATCAAAACCACCGGCAGCACTATTGCCGAGAAGGTCAAGGCTTACAACGATGCCAATCGCAAGGTCGCCATCTTGTGTAATCACAAGCGAACAGTCACCGCCGGCCATGCTAACGCAATGGAAAAGATGGGCGAACGGGTAAGTTGAAACTGAACCAATGAGAAGAATAAACACAGATAACTAATTCATCCAACAGATCAAGGGACTTCGCTATCAGAAGTGGCGTCTGAAGCAGCAAATGCTTGACTTGGACCCCACTCTGAAGAAGAAGAAGGGTGCTGCCTTCTTCGAGATTGACGAAGATCTCGATCAAGAATGGATCAATGAACACCAGGCTTTCTTGATGGAAGAGCAGACCACAAAAATCAACAAGAAGTTCGAGAAAGACAACGAGAAGCGCGTTGCAGATGGGGAGAAAGAAATGAAGGCAACAGAGCTCGAGGAACGTCTGCAAGCCGTCAAGGAGATGGACAAGAAGTTCAAGAAAGAGAATAAGACCGGCAAGGTGGAGGCCGAGGCCCGTGGTGCCACCGTCGAGAAGCTGGAAGCTGCGATCACCAAGATCGATCAGCGTGTTGAGACCATGTCCGTCCAAGCTCAGGACAAGGAAGATAACAAGGAGGTTGCCTTAGGCACGTCTAAAATTGTGAGTTTAATTTATCTGCATAATCGATCACCTGCTAATATCTTCTCCAGAACTATATCGACCCTCGCCTAACGGTCGTATTCAGCAAGAAGTTCGATGTTCCCATCGAAAAGTTCTTCTCTAAGGCCCTGCGTGAGAAGTTCGAGTGGGCTATCAAGTCCGTCGAGGAAGACTGGGAGTTCTAAACGCCCACAGCCCTCCCTTGCAGTGCTCTTTTCCGCACATTACATTCTCGTACAATATTTCGGTTTTCACAGTCTCTATACAGACCGTTTGCCCTCCCTCCATTCTGTTCTATAACACTTCAAAATTCACTATTCGCCTTGCCACATTTTTACACCATGCTTGAAGAGAAAATGCCTACATTGACATTGCAACGAAATGGGTGAGCTCAGAACGAGCTTACGACAGGGTGGAAGTGGGTAAGATAGGTAGGTACACCTGGGATAGATACCAGCAAAGGAAGAAAAGAAAGGAAATTCCCAAGAAAACGAGAAAACAGACACCTTGAATTGCATTTTGGCTTGGTGGCTTTCTTTAGATGCATATTCGCATATGCATGGGATTCTGGCATTTGCACATTTTTCTCCGTTGTTCGGTCAATCGGTAGATCTCTGATTCAAAGATAGCAATGCATATCGTCATTTCTGTTCCATCAACTTCCAGTTAAATAAATACTGTGCTCCTGTGCTTCGTAGTGGGTTAGCTTGTCTGTGGGACCTGCACAACATACCTGCAGCGCCAATGCATGTATGAAACGAGTGGGACTGGAGCCAGATCCTGCAATTAGAATCATAAGCGAAAATGCCATGTGGTGATTTGTTCGCATGCATTTCATGCAGTCCTTAGTATATGCATTCTGTATGCATGTGTAAAGATCAGTTAATATTGGAGCATTTCATAAGATCACTAACATTCTATCAAATATGTACACGAAAACAATACGAACCCGATCCGGAACTAAGTTAGACATGGAAAAGGCTCCATATGCTATGTTATGCAAAATAGGTAAGAGAGAGAATGAAAGCATATATGCATAGAAAATAAGATCCAGAGAAGAGAAGACCGCCGAGAAGAAGTATCAATTACAGTACAAGGCAGAGCCAGGTATGAGAATGGAATGCTGTACAGGCCTGACTGATATTTGCTTCTCTGGGTTGTCAGGTAGAGAAAGATGCAGGTGTAGGGATGGGATCATGAAGGGGGTCGTGTCATGTGGGTTCAATGCTTTCTTTTCAGACACAATGCGATGCGAGACCGGGGTTTTCCTCATCGGATATGGGGACCGTTAATGAATCATGGAGGAAAGAAGAAAACGAAAGAAAGGGGAAAAGAAAAGTGGAAAGAGAAAAGATAAAATAACCGACAGACGGGATATCTTAATGAAGAAGGATCAAAAAAAAAAGAAAAAACATGAAAGAAAAAGATTCTCATGGCCACCAACCCATACGCTTGTAGCTGTCGACGATTTCGCGAATACTGTCGGCGCCAAAGTTGGGATATTTCGGTCTCCAGTCAGTCTCAGCCTCGAATTTCGAACCATCAATCGACATATCCTGGTCCTTGAGGATATCGCGCTCCAGGAACGGACTGATCGGGCCCGGCCGTGTAATGCCCGCCTTTTCAACGAGCTCAGCCCAAGTCTGCAGACTATCCTCATTCATATCATCGACGACATCGTCGAGGTTCAGCTTGGCAAGCTGCGAAGCAAGCGATCCAACGAACGTAACCTTCAGACCGAAGACCTCAGTCAGCGCGTTGGCAACGTGCTCCTGTCGTGTATTGTTGTGGTCGACGACATTGAACGCGACTGGACCTTCCTGCGGGTCAATGGGGCCCACGCGGGCGAGCCACTTGGCCGCCTCGAACAGCGCGCTGGCGGCGTCCTTGACGTGCAGCGTGTTTACCTTCAGGTCCTTGGTGTGTAGGAGCGTGAGGTCCTGTTGGAGGTCGACGTGCACGGCCGACAGGCAGATACCTGTGGCGAAGTAGCCTGTCTCGTAGGCGCCGTAGACGTGCGGCAGGCGCATGGCGCAGTACTGCAGGCCGGGGATCTTGCGCAGTTCCTCAGCCGCCTTCAATTTCCAGTCGGCGAGTTTGTGCCATGGGACGAGCTTATCGGTTTCCTTGCGCGGTGTAGAGCCGCCCTTGTAAACGTGGGCGGTGGAGGTTTCGATGAAGGCGGGGATGCCACGGCGGGCGATCTCCTTGCCCAGTGCGATAGATAATGCGTAGCTGCGCACTTCGTAGACATCATCTGGTTGGGAGTGCCTTGATTCGCCGCCGCAGTTGATCACGTAGTCGAATTGTTTTCCATTGGCTCGGTCGAAAATGCGCGGGAAATGTTCTGGGGGGGGGAGATTTTGGTGAGAAAGGCTCAGGATGGGAGAAAGTGGGCGTGTCTCTTACGCTCACGACTGGCATCGGCTTGGACGAACTTGTCCTTGGAACAGGCCTCTGCAAACTCTGGGGCTAGCCAAGCCAACTGGGGCAGGACTTTGTCGACCAATCGTACCTCGGAGGCCAAGTCGTTTTCGTGGAGGTATAGTGCCAGATGGCGGCCGATGAAGCCTAGGAGGGGTTAGTCTGAACGTGAGGGGAAGACTAGACACATACCAAGACCACCGACAATCAAGACAGCAGGCTTTTCCATTGTGTGTAACCCCGCAAGTTCAGGAGAGTGAAAAGGGGAAAGTGAAAGGAGAGGGGGGATTAAAAGTTCCTTGAAATCCCCTGCCAAGACCGCTCGAGGCCGTTGACTATTAGAAAACCAAGTGGGTTACAGTGGGCACAATCAAATTTGGGAGTTAAGAACTCTGTGACGTCGGGGGGCGAATAGTGCGACTTAATTAGTTTTAGCGGTTTGAAATAAGTTTCTAAGCCCGAAGCCCGAAGTGTAGTGTCAGCTCCGTTATGTACTCCGTAGTCTATACTCCGTGGCCCATGGTACTGGGTTCCGATCGCCCGAGATGCTAAGCCTCCGCTTATCTGGTTCCCTTCCCTTCTTTGCACTGTACTATATTACGTTTCTATGCTCTAAGGGCTTTGGTTACCACGTGAGTATGAGTCAAGGTAGAGTATAGCATTACAGCTACCAGGCATGTATATTCTAATCCCCCAAATTGTCTACATGTAGCGTGTCTTTTCCTTCTGAGATGATTGCCTCGTGCAGGACATCGGATCTAGAAAGGTACTGTGCAGCTCACGATGACCCAACAGATCCAGGGGATTGGGGTCTTGAACAGATGGAAGGCCCAAGATGCCGAAGAGCATGACTTGCTATTGACAATGGATGTGTCTACACTGATCAACCCTCCAGCACAGCCCTTTATATTCACCTTTCTACCTGAGCTCCTCGTGTCGATCTTCCAATATGGATCCCTGCTGGAGAAAGTATCATTACCTTTGATAAGAATGTTCGATTGCAAGTCCTCAAACACCTCGCCATAGAAAATACTTGAATCCGATTCAACTTTGTCAGCATCTTGGACTTCGCAAAACTATCAGAAAGCATTTGGGAATGTGCGTTACCCCATATAGATTCCACTACCAGGCTCTCCACGGTTCATTTGCTATTTGCGGGCACAATGTTGCATGTGCCGAAACCACACCGGTATGGGAATGCGCCGATTGTGAGTCAGTTGCTCATGTTTATCATAATATCGATTGGACGTTGAGGACAATCGCCTTCGAGCGGAGTTTTAGTTCAAAGGAGTTGTCAGAAGAACACAATGAAATATGGACGAAGACTGCCTAGTCCACGGTCCTATGTTGAATGTGGGATTTGCTTATACTTGCTAATGTTGTCATTCGCTGCTTACTTCGATTGTTAATCGTGATACTCAGTATTTTGTATTATCTTTCTGGAGTTTATTTACCGATGCATGTTGCATGCAAAAACTTTGCTTATGTGTCTGTCTATAGATTTGGTCTTGCTTTCAATGATATATGAATCTTCTTCTTCTAGGCATACCATTATTTTCTAGCATCCCCCACTACTATCATTCATGCCCTTGCTTCTACAATAGTACGAGGACACAAAAAGGAGTTAAATTAGCGTCTCATACTATTTGAATATGAGCCACCTCGCTAGTTATGAAAGGTATATCGACCAGGGCAGATACCAATAAAAATCCAAACGAAACCACATCACGACGCACCGAGTAACTTCAGCGAATTCTTCAGCTCTTTGATAGCAGTATCAACATCATCAAATGTCAACGCAGACACCGCCCAGCGAGCATGCTTCTGCGCCATCTGAACCGAGTTATCATCTATCCCGTGGGATGGCTGAGGGGGAACATAGGGTGCAGACGCGGGAGGCGAGTAAGCAGCTGGGGCCGGTGCAGCTGGTGGAGCAGCTGGGGGAGTAAGATGTGCGCTGGCGTTGGTGGCGGGATCGTAGAAAGAGGCCGGGTTTACGGATGGGTTGTTGGATGGTGGAGGGAAAGATTGGAAGGCTGTTGGGGCATCTGGAAGGATTGGGCCTGCTCCTGAGGATAATCCCCCGATTGTTGCTGGGGTTGAAGGGAGTTCCAGGCCTGAACCGGAGTTGTCGGTGTCCATTGGTTGAGCGGGTGAGCCTGGTGCGTTGCGTGGGACGGAAGGGATCTCGGGCTCGGCAGTGAAGGTTGGACGGGGTGCTGATGAAGTGCGCGATGGGTGAAGCGATTCGTCGAGTGTTGACTTGCGTGCTAGGTCTCGTCCGAGACGATCTGATTCGTCTGGGATCTCTTCGATCGAGGGTTGGGTTGGTTGGGAGGCTTGCTCTGCGACCGACTCGTCGAATGCCTGCACTTCGGGGTCGTCAATTACTTGCTCTTCTTCCTTTGGTGCAGGGTTCGTCTCATTGGGGTCTTCGCCAGCTTTGAAGGCCTTAACTATGCGAAGGGCGTGGAATTTGGCGAATTTGATGCGCCCAGCTATCTCTGGGTCGGCACCCCAAATTGAGCACAGTTCGAGGAAAGTAGCTGCTGCCTGGAATGTATCTGCCGTTTGCCTTTGAGTAGAGTCAGTCGTCTGTGGCTCTGTATGGCACTCCCAGAGCTCACTTTGTGACTTTGTTGGCGTTCATGGCGGCTTCGGCGCGACCAAAGACCTCCAGTCCAAATTGTTCGACATAGGCATTCGCCGCGACCTCATCCGTGACCGTTTCATCACCAGGGTTCTCGACTTTGAACTATCATATCCAATCTGATCAGTCATCCAGTCCCAGGATACGCTGCTTAAGGAGCTGCGGAACACATGCGGGGCGTTCGACTCACCTGCTCCAATTTGTCCACCAGACAGGTCGTGTATTGCATGATCTCATCATCAGAATTGTGGAGGCCCCTTTCAATGATTTGGCTCACGATATGGAAATTGCCTTCGTTGGGGTTCAGTCAACATGTCCAGTTGCGCGCGGGGGTACTCACACCAGTAGGCAACCACCGGTTTGGCCTTTTCGATCTGGGCAGCCCGGATGGCAAAGCGCCCAATGTCGGCGGACCGTAGTCCAGCTGGGATGTTATTCATGTTGTCTGGTGGGTAAAAGGGAGGAGAGGTGCCAGATGACGTTTGGTGCGGGTTCCCACCGCCCGGTGCGGGGACTACTTCGGAGATATCTCTATACTCTAACTTGCACTTCTATACTGCTGGGTATCATTCATCTTCAATCAACCACTTCCCAATCTCCACTTTCTCTTCTGCCAGCGCCTCAACTTCGAAATGGTCTTCCACTTGTCCTCCAGGTCCACCAATGCGCTCAATCACAATCCAGACACTGCGCGACTCGGCGTTGGGATATAGATCAAAGTCCTCTACCCGAACTCCTGATACTGTATCACTGTGAACCCCATCTTCCGAGGTAGCTAGAATCTCTTTATATGGACCTTGACCCAGCTCGACGGTCATCAGTACAGGCGATGGAGCCACAGCCCGCGAGCCTATCGTAGACTGTTTGTTCTTCGCAATAAGCCGGATTCGCGTGAGGCGAGATACTCGCAGTGACGCCAACATGCGATCTTTACCTGGTGGTAGAATACCGACATCAGATAAAATGACGCGCCGTCCAGCGGACTCCGACGCCAATGGCTGCACTATACATGGGATCGTAGAGGAAATCCATAGCGTGAAGCGGCCGAGCTGGTCGGCTGCAAATGTGGAGCAGACTATGGTGTATGTGCCCTTATCTAGGGATTTGGCCTCGGCCAATGCACATCCCCGGCGGTAATCACCACTATCTGCGATGATATCTCGGCTTCTCACCCGTGAGATGCGCTGGCCGTTGGACCAGAATAGCTTCACGTGCGTTGCTAGTTCGGGCTCTGCTACCTCGAGCAAGATAGAAAGGTCCGTTCTCTCCGAAATTTGTAGGCTGAACTGTGGGTTCGAGTGGTATCGAGGTGACTCGGCGTTACCACCAGCTGTCATTGCAGTCCAGGAACTGCTTGCCTTTGTCACGCATAAATACTTATCTAGTGACGGCGCCACTGACACAGGGGAGGTTGAGAATGATGACAGGGTGAAGCTTTGACTGGATGATGGGAGAGACTGCTCTGAGACCACCACGGTCCATCTTGACCTGGGGGGCATTTCCAGTCGCATAAGAGTATTTGGAGAGTCGACATATGGACCGCGATGGAGGTAGCCATCACTCAGGGACACTCTTCGGCCATCTGCCTGGAATATATAGATGCTGATGAAGCCAATCGCGCTTTGAATCTCACCTGTTTTGAAATGCCTCCCAAGAAGTAGCCAAACAGTGCCCCCGCACTCGCTAGAGAGGCAGAACTGTGGGTTCTTCACGAAGCAGCCGGAAATGACACGTCCATGAGACAAATCCCATGTGAAATGAATGTCCTCACGGTGTTTGAACAACCCAGGATTCCAATTCAAGTAAAGATTTTCGAAGTTCTGAAACACCTGCTCACAGTCCATCCAAAAGGTTCCTGGAGCAAGAGGAGATTTGCCGGGATCAAGGTTGAGATTATTTGGGATGTGTGGATCTGCTCCAGCCCACGGGTTCTTCAAGAGGAACTGGCGACGCCCTTGGGATTCTTTCAGTTCGAGAATGGCGTAGTCGTGCTCGCCCACCAAGCCCATACCTTGCTGTTCGCTTTCCGTCAGACTGCCGGTTCCAATGGTGAGAACCACATCTCCGTGGTAAAAGGCCTTGTATAATCGGCCCCAGATCTCATCAGAGGTGAAATCGTCATTGTGTATAAATACTTGTTCGGGAATCCATCCGGTCAGCACCCATAGGTCAGTCCCTGAGTTGCTTCCGGGGAAATCATAGCCCCCTCGGATTTTCAGGTATGCTTTCTCGACAAGAGCAGGCCATAAAAAGTTCGGGTTGTTCCGATCGATCACATGTAATGATCGTGAGGTCTTGGAGGAAGGCAGTCTGTCGTCTATGACCACCCTGCGGAATGATCCGTTGAAGTATAAGCGGAATATGTACTTCCCAGACAGCGATAAGACAGGGTTCCCTTCATCATTGCACGGATACATTGTAGGTGTCGCATTCTGTTCCTGTTAGCTTGAGTCTGTATAATAGAATAGACTGTTCTCATACCTGTCCAAGCTTTCGTTCTGATCGAGACGTTGTGGCACATAAGCTGGCCACAACTGAACAATCAGTCAAGACATCTTGCACCAGATCGGTTTGGCCGGAAGCTGAGATAGTTGGGTTAGTTGTACCTGGGGTAGCCGGGTCCCTTAGTAAATCATGCGGCCGTTTCCATCCTGCAAATATATCCCTCTGGACGTCGGAGAGGTGCAGGTCGGGTGAATCCCTATATTCAATTAGAACATGTGCATGGTGACCGAGGCGTTCTCAACATACGTGAAAGGCCGATCTTTGAGGATGAATTCATCTTCATTCGGTGCCCGGCTCCAGGGTGGAAAGATGTACCCATTTAGTTTCGCACCCTCGAGTATAATGATCTCTTCCCGAGTGGTGAGCTTCCGCGTGGATGTAGGCGGGCGCAAGCTCTGAATGACTTGGGGCCCCGCAGCAGCATTCCAGTCAGTGGCGCGTTTGATCTTTTCAGCTCGAACGATCAATTCTTTGCATTTGGTATCGAGTTGTTTCTTCTCGTCGGCGGGGGCCAGACGTAGGGCTTTCATGTAGTGCTCCGCGGCAGTGATAGCCGCTTCCAGTGCCGCTTTCTGCGAAGTCGCCCCTGCTATGCCATCTTCGGCCTTCTATCAACTTGTTAGCCTCTTTGCCTTTTGAAAACTGGAGAGGATGGTGTACTAAGGCTTCCGATACATGAGGTTGTTGCGGCCTCGACATACTGGTGGTTTGTGTAGAAGAGAGGAATGAGGTGGTGGAGAGAACTAGGAAGTGAATAGTGCATAGGAGAGGGAATCGATATATCATAAATACATTGTAGACTCAAGTCTAACAGCAGGCTCTATAACATGCATCTCTGCTCGCCTATATCTTTCTTTCCACCTAATTGTATACGTTTCGTCACTTCCTAAGTGTCTTTCTAAATGAAGGCGGTGTTATATGGCAATATATGCACCGGGATGTGAAGCTGCCGAAGTGAAGTGTTTAGCGTGGACTCCTTTGAGAGTGCAGATCTAAGATATTTCTTAGGATCTGATTTCCCCAGAGCATATTGAAATGAACTTATGTAGGTAATGGTCCCAATTACATGTATATGCATCTACAACCAATGATGGTTCGCAGTGATGTAACTGCAATACGCATCTCTATGCCGAGTCGATGGATCTGATAAATACCATCACGTGACCAGCGCATGGATACCGAAGTGGACCTCGGCAAGTTTTAAGGTGAGCGCCGAGGTGCAATGTGCAGTAACAGGTAATTCCGAACTCGGTTCCTTGACTTTGATACTCGGGTGTCCTCGGTATGCACTGTACTTTCTGAGTTATACCTCCCTTCTCTGCGTTTTTGATCTCTGCAACGCAGTACAGAGTACGGCCCCGCTTAACTATTTCCCCTAACTACAGGCCGCTCCGCAAGCGAGCCCTCTCCTGAGCCTCTCTATTTGTCGACCTTCCTTAATTTCACATACCCTCCGCATATATTATGGCCGGTCAATCGAAGCCAACACTCTCGCCATGGGGCAGTGCCGTTGCAGGTGCGACGGGCGCCGTCCTCGCGAACGCAATGGTCTACCCGCTTGATCTGTGAGCCCACTACATGCGCCAGTTGTAAGAGTGTTGGGACGAGGTCGCTGATTCTCCTTTTATTTAGTGTGAAGACCAAACTTCAAGTACAGGTCAAGCAAAAAGAAGGAGCCGAGAAGAGCGACGACCTCGACCGCTATGAATCAACCGTCGATGCTATAAACAAGATCGTGGAGAAGGAGGGTGTCAGTGGTCTGTACTCTGGTATGGCTGGAGCCCTGCTTGGTGTCGCCTCTACAAACTTCGCATACTTTTACTGGTATAGCGTTGTAAGAACACTTTATATGGCCTCGGTCAAGTCCCCCAAGCCCCCCGGTACAGCGATCGAGCTTTCCCTCGGTGCTGCTGCTGGTGCTGTCGCTCAGATCTTCACCATCCCGGTGGCTGTCATCACAACCCGACAGCAGACACAGCCCAAGGGCGAGAAGAAGGGTCTGATCGAGACTGGTCGCGAGGTGGTCGAGAGTGAGGACGGCTGGTCCGGCCTGTGGCGCGGTCTGAAGGCTAGCTTGATCTTGGTCGTCAACCCTGCTATCACATATGGGGCTTACCAGCGCCTGAAGGAGGTTATCTTTCCAGGGAAAAATAATCTCAAGCCCTGGGAGGCATTCCGTGAGTGATATCCCACCCAGAAAAGATGGCCCGCTAACGAAGAAAAGTCCTCGGTGCCATGTCCAAGGCTTTGGCTACTATCGCAACCCAGCCTTTAATCGTCGCAAAGGTTGGTCTGCAGTCTCGCCCGCCACCAGAGCGCAATGGCAAGCCCTTCAAGACCTTTGGTGAGGTCATGAAGTTCATTATCGATAATGAGGGTGTCCTGTCCCTCTTCAAGGGAATTGGACCCCAGATCCTGAAGGGTCTTTTGGTCCAGGGTCTGCTCATGATGACCAAGGAGAGGTATGTTTTTTCTAGAGCTCTATTACTTAGGTTTATTTGCTGACACTTCCATAGAATGGAGCTTCTCTTCATCGTCCTGTTTGCCTACCTCCAGAGAATGAAGAAGGAGAAGCTGCAGAAGGCAGTTGATACTGCCGCATCAAAGGCTAAGACTAGCGTCCCCGCCACCCTGAAATAATTGCTCTCTTTGGAATGAACGGTCGCTATTTTCCATTCTGGTCTCTATGCTTGTTATGCTCGGCGCTTGGTTCTTCTTTCCCAATTTGTTTCTGTACAGTCTAGACACTTGAATGTAAAGGCCTGGTTGATAGAACACCGTGTTTCTTTTCTCGGGTATTACTATGTCTCTAGCATGATAGTGGTACCCGAGTACAATATATGAAAAAGGCCGATACGATACATATTGTCTCAGCCAGCTATATGAACCTCATGAAGCTTTCCAAGGTTGTTATGCAATCAAAGTCGTAGTAAGCCACTACATAATTTAGATGAACCCTAAATCCCTGCATACAGGTCAAATGAGCTGGAAAAAAAAAATCCAAAACATTCATTATTGTGACAAAGGCATTGTAGTTTGTCGCCCTGGAGAAGATCCTCGGCTTAGCTCTCGCGTCGATCACCCCAACAACACCCTCCACTCCCACCACCAAACACCTGAATCACACCCCCGATCTCCAACACCTGCAAAAAAGCAGGGGCATGGGCCGTGATGAGATGGCCGCCATGGAGTCCCGAGTCGACCAATGACGAAAAACAATCAATCTGGAGCTCCTCAAACAACTCAAGCTCCGTCCTAGACTGGCGAGCCTTCGTCGAACCAAGAACCCTAGTCCCAACCATCCTCCTAACAAGCGGTATCCTAATCTCCGTCCGCATCCACCGAACCTACCTACGCCGCATCCCAGATGCGCCTAGCATCTCGCCCTCGTTCCTCCGTCGCCGCAGCGTCTTCGGTCAGGTTACTTCCGTCGGCGATGGTGATAACTTTCGCATTTTCCATACGCCCGGCGGGGAGGCTTGCGGGCTGGGGTTGGATGCCCTGGAAGAAGGTTCCAAAAGTTAAGAAAGAGTTGAAAGATAATACTGTTCGTCTCCACCACTACACCCAGGTATACAACCAACAGATCAGATCATACTTACACATCCAACCCACACCACAGATCCACATTCGTCTGGCAGGCATAGATGCACCAGAACTAGCGCACTTCGGTCGCCCTGAACAACCCTTCGCGCGCGACGCCCATACCTGGTTAACAAATTACCTGACCAGCAAACGCGTGCGCGCCCTCGTCCACCGACAAGACCAATACTCGCGTGTTGTAGCGAGTGTATACGTGCGCCGGGCTTTTGATTTCCCGCCTTTTCGGCGGCGAGATGTTTCCTATGAAATGCTGAGGAGAGGGCTGGCGACTGTATATGAGGCGAAGGTTGGGTCAGAGTTTGGCGGGGAGAAGATGGAGAAGAAGTATCGAAGGGCTGAGTGGTGGGCTAAGAAGAGGGCTAAGGGGCTTTGGAGGGATTATAAGGCTGTTGGAGGGAATTGGGAGAGTCCAAGGGAGTATAAGAATCGGATGGGCATGGGCGATTCCACGCTTGAGAAGAAGAAGTAGAGGTCGTGATGGCTGGGCTTGCGGCTCTCTCTTATTTGAGTTTATTTGCATTTGCATTTGATGGAATGGTATGACTACTTGGTATTTTTTTCTCTTTTTTTTTTGTACATTTATGCGATGTGATTATGATTAGGTTAAACCGAATGTTGAATATTGATTATCATACACCAATTGAGTTAGCTATACATGCGCTGGAGATATCTCCAACATTCCCATTAACGGGTATTAAACTCAGGGTATCCCCTCCAGGGATTCATCGTGTATCGTCTCGTCCAAATACATATAAGAATAAGTATACATGCATCATTCACAGTCAGCAGAACCGTTTCTCGAATTCTGCAAATAACTGCGGAGTGATCTCGTCACTGCTGTTGCCCTCTACCCTCCAGAGAACACCCCGACGGTCATAGTGCTCCAGAAGTGTCTTGCTCGTTTCCTCGAACTTTCGTAGCCGCTGCTGCCACGTCTCGATTGAGTCGTCTTGTCGCTGCGTCAGCGTCTCGCCTGTGACGTCGTCCTTGCCTGGCACCTTGGGCGGGTGGAAGTCTGTGTTGTACACTCGGCCTGAGGGCTCGTGGACCCAACGGGATGCGATTCGGGAGAGGATTACCGAGGGAGGAGTGTTGAGGTGCACGACGAAGTTCACGGGTACTAAGCTGTCCAGGCTGGTGGCTTGGCTGTCTGTGCGGGGAAATCCGTCGAGAATGAAAGAAGCAGAGGGGTCGATTTTAGGCGAGGATGAATTGGCTGATGGTGTGGATTCGGATTGTGGTAGGAGCCAGCCCTTGGTTTTCATATCGTCCGAGATCAAGCTCAGAATCATAGAGTCTGGAACGAGATTGCCGGACTGCATTGTGACTTCGGCTTGGATGCCTGGGCTTATGTTAGACATCTGCTTCCCTTGCGCAATTGGTCTGCTGCTTACCAAGTGGTGTGCGTCGGCGCACATTTTCGCGCAACAGATCACCCGAGCTGATCGAGGCTAGCTGTGGGAAGCGAGATAGCAGTCGCTCGGACTGTGTGCCCTTTCCTACACCCGGAGCACCAATAAGGATGATACGGGCAGCCTTGGTGAGCTGCTTCGCGGGCGACATGTTGATGCGGAGAGATCGGGGTTAAGGTCTCGTTCCTGGATTTGGTCTGAAAGTTGGGATGGCGAAACAAGAACCACGGATGAGGAAAGTATGCAAGAAGCCCTATTGCGATGGCATTATGGAAGAAGTTGAAAGCTCTCAAAAGATAAGCAATGGTCAGAGCATCAGGACATGATTCTGTGGGGTTACTAGCTAGATTCTTTCGGCTGTCGGTGAGCGGGATGCTCCGAGGGCTATCCGAATGGGGAAGTGTTGAAGGGATCTAATATACCCCAGGTATCGAGTATTACACTACGGACAGTATCACGAGGCCGATGCGGGTTTTGGCATATGATCGAGTACTTTTTGATTTGTATCAAATCCACTCACATATTCACATGCTTTGCACATGGAGGCCATAGCCTGTATTATATAAGCAGGCTCGTAAATTACATCACGTGATCATTCGCGCGTGGCACGCGTCGCGTTGACCAATTTAGTGACGGAGATTTGATTCTTTTCAACATCGACAACACCATGATTCGACAAGACGCCCATCGTATCGACCCCAAAAGGCGGGCTGTGATCGATCATAAGAAAAGACAATTCGCTGTCCCAATATACAAGCAGCAGGAATACCCTCATCGTCTGAACTTCTATGAGACGCCTCCTACCGCCGAAATCACTCTCGAACAATTTGAGCAATGGGCCATTGACAGACTGAAGAGTATGTAAAATTGTCAATCTTGATATTTTCCGCCTTCTAACGCGCAGACAGTCCTCGCCGAGATCGAAGCATGCTCTTATCGCAACAAATCCCCCGCGGAGACGGCGACTTATATCACGCCTCTTTTGCAGAAATTCCTCCCTCTTTCCTCGAATACATCCTCTTCCAATGGCGCCAATGATTCGCGCTTGAAAAATGAGCGCCAAAAGGACCATTATTCCCACTTCATCCTCCGATTGGCCTTCTCAGCTACAGAAGACCTCCGTCGGCGATTCGCGCGCGCCGAAACCATGCTTTTCAGATTCCGTTTCCAGAATGACGACTCGAGGGAAAAGCGTGCATTCATCGACAGTCTCAGTCTAGACTGGGAGCCAGTCAGTGATTTTGAGAGAACGGAGGTTGCGGAGAGCCTGGCCAGTTCCACCCCGGGCTTGCGTCGAGTAGATGAAGAGACTTGGTACAAAGTCGATTGGGAGAAGGTGCCTGAGCTGATCGAAAAGCGATCAGTTTACTTGAAGAAAGGAAAAGCATATGTTCCTGGAAGGGAACAGCTTAGCATGATCATGGCTGAGTTCACTGCTCGCTTGGAGCGTGCACTTGAGGTATGTCTTTAGAAGAGGATTGAAAGATGGTTGCTAATTAAATTTAGCTCACGAGCCGTGCTCTCCCCCGATTGGATGAGGATGATCGTCTCACGCCTATTTTGAACCACCTCTCGAAGAACTTCGGCAGTGCCGAATCAGTATACTCAGAGGGCGAAGGATATGTGGACGGTGCTCCGATCACAGCCAGCTCTATTGATCAGCTTGCGCAGCAACACTTCCCTCTGTGCATGAAGAGCTTGCATGGGAATTTGCGGAAGAACAACCACCTGAAGCACTTTGGTCGACTCCAGTATACTCTTTTCTTAAAAGGTATTGGTTTATCCCTGGAGGAGTGTATTCTGTTCTGGCGCCAGTCTTTTAAGGGTAAGACGGATGATGAATTTAACTCCCAGTACAAGTACAACATTCGCCACGCCTATGGTGAAGTTGGTGGAGATGTGAACCGTCGCGGAAAGGGCTATACTCCCTACTCGTGCCAGAAGATCCTCGGCGATTCCAACCCCGGCATTGGACAGACTCACGGCTGTCCCTATCGTCATTTCTCCGTTGATAACCTGGTTGGTTTCCTCCAAGCTACAGGCGTCAATGATAAAGAGACTCTGCGGGGTGTGCGTGAGGATGTTGGCAAGCAGCGGTACCATATTGCATGCAACCGAGTCTTCGAGTCGACGCACAAGAACGAGATCAAGAAGGTCAAGGAGGACGGAACCTGGAGCCAGACTGATCTTGATACAATTGTTCACCCGAACACATACTTCAAGCGGAGCTTCCTGCTCAAGCAGATGGCCAGGGCGCCGAAGGATAGTTAAGGCTCACATGTCAAATTTTCACGAGGTTATGGGCAGTTCGCATGTTTCAGTAGGCAATAGGCGTTTAGGAGAGCATTGGATATGGGAATATTGATTAATTCAAATATAATTCTATCGATAGCTAGAGTAGCTAAGGAGCTAAGAGTGTGACCACAGCTGATTCCCAGAAGATCGGAAAGGATCAGAATGACCTTTCAAAACCAGGTGCCCAGCAACGGGCCATTATCGATCTCCGCTCACCACGAGAACAACGAACATCACTAGAAGATGAGGCTGTTGAGTATATACGTTTGCACATATATTGGTCGGCGTGAATGAAGAAGAGAAATGGATCAGCGGCCCGCCGAGTTTTTAAGGAATGTTTTGCTCCGGTGGACGGTAGAGACCCATTGTGCTGCAACCTGGCCTTACTGCCGTACCTTCACACAACATACTCCTCCACTTCAATCCAATCCCAAGCTATTTCCGGGGTTCTTGCTTTTCTTTCTGGTAGATTATGCTCCGGGTGGTGCTCTTACTTTTTTTCTTGGAGTAGACCCTTATATCCGAAGTTCCCCTTTCTTTGCGACTTCTCACCCGCCCCCCTCTTCTTGATCAACACACCGAGATCCGGAACATCTACCGACAACATGGATTTCGAGGCGCTGAAGGATCAATGGAGTGATGTCGAGGACCGCGATGGAATCAGACTCAGCTGGAACACCTTCCCGAGCACTCGTATGGTTCGTGATATCGGCCCTTGACCTACACCGCATCATCCACTAAGACTTGATATAGGAAGCGTCCCGCCTGGTCGTTCCTATTGCCGCCGTGTACACACCGTTGAAGGAGAAGCCCGATAACCCGTTGCTCCAATATGAGCCCGTCACTTGCAAGCAGCCCTGCCGAGCTGTGCTGAACCCATATGCGTATGTGAAAGCCATTACCCCGGATTGGATAGGAACTGACCTTGGGCTAGCACTGTTGATGTTCGCGCGCGAATCTGGATCTGTCCTTTCTGTCTCTCTCGCAATCCTCTTCCCCCGCACTACAAGGATATCACAGAGAACACGATACCCCCCGAACTCCACCCGCAGAGCACAACTATCGAGTACCAATTGGCACGGCCAGCCCCCGCTCCCCCGATCTTCGTCTTTGTCGTCGACACCTGCCAGGAAGATGACAGCCTGCAGGCTGTGAAGGACTCGCTCATCATGAGCTTATCTCTTCTCCCGCCCAATGCGCTGGTTGGTCTGATTACTTTCGGCACCATGGTAGGACAACAATCTTTACATGGAATATGGCATTTTATTGATCTTTTTCTAGGCCCAAGTTCACGAGCTCGGTTACACTGAATGCGCCAAGTCATACGTTTTCCGAGGCAGCAAGGAATACACTGCAAAGCAAGTTCAGGAGATGCTGGGCTTGGCCGGTGGCGTGCGCCCTGGTGTTCCTCAGCAGCAACCCGCCCGTCCTCCCCTCGGCCCGGCTGCCCGCTTCCTGATGCCCGTCCAGCAGGCTGAATTCCAGATCACCAATGTTCTCGAGCAATTGCAGCGTGATCCCTGGCCCGTGGCCAACGACAAGCGTCCCTTGCGCTGTACTGGTGTTGCCCTGAGCGTCGCCGTTGGTCTACTTGAGACTTCTTTCCAGAATGCCGGAGCCCGCATTATGGCTTTCACCAGCGGTGCTGCCACTGAAGGCCCTGGTCACGTTGTTTCGCCTGAGCTGAAGGAGCCCATTCGCTCTCACCACGATATTGACCGGGACAACATCAAGTACTACAAGAAGGCTGTTAAGGTATGCTTCGAATGCGCCAGTCTGTCTGGTTTCCTGCTAATTCAGTATAGTTCTATGACGCGCTTGCCAAGCGAGCTGCTAACAATGGCCACATTGTCGATATCTTTGCCGGATGTCTCGATCAAGTTGGTCTCTTGGAAATGAAGAACCTCTCCAACTATACCGGAGGTCACATGCTTCTCACCGACAGCTTCACATCTTCACAATTCAAGCAGTCATTCGTGCGCGTGTTCGACAAGGATGCCAACGACAACCTCTTGATGGGCTTCAACGCGTCTCTCGAGGTTCTTACAACCAAGGAGCTCAAGGTCACTGGTCTTATCGGTCACGCCATTTCCCTCAACAAGAAGTCCAGCTCTGTTGGCGAGACAGAATGTGGTATCGGTAACACATGCGCATGGAAGATGTGTGGAATCGACCCCTCTTCCAGCTATGGCGTTTACTTCGAGATTGCCAACCAGGGCGGTCCTGCTGCTGTGCAGCCTGGTCCTCAACGCGGTATGATGCAGTTCTTGACATACTACCAGCACTCTTCTGGCCACTACCACCTGCGAGTGACCACCACTGCCCGTCCTCTGAGTGGGCCTGCTGGCGACCCAACCCTCGCACAGTCCTTCGACCAGGAGGCTGCTGCTGTTCTCATGGCCCGTATCGCAGTCTTCAAGGCGGAGGTTGATGACGGTCCTGATGTTTTGCGCTGGGTTGACCGCATGTTGATCAGACTCTGCTCTCGCTTTGCCGACTACCGCAAGGATGACCCGACATCATTCCGATTGGAAAAGAACTTCACGCTCTACCCTCAGTTCATGTTCCATCTTCGCCGAAGCCAGTTCTTGCAGGTGTTCAACAACTCCCCTGATGAGACAGCTTTCTACCGTCATGTCCTGAACCACGAGGATGCTGGCGACTCTCTTGTCATGATCCAGCCTACCCTCGACTCATACTCCCTGGAGGTTGAGGGTGCTCAACCCGTGCTTCTGGACTCCGCTTCTATCCAGCCCGCACACATTCTTCTCCTCGATACCTTCTTCCACATCCTCATTTTCCACGGTGAGACCATTGCCGAATGGAGGAAAGCGGGTTACCAGGACCAGGAAGGATACGAAAACCTCAAGGTGCTCCTTGAGCAGCCTAAGGAGGACGCTAGGGTTCGTTTCGCCTCTCCGAAACTTATGTATTATTTTACTAACTCATGGCTTACAGGATCTTATTGCCGACCGATTCCCTCTGCCCCGTTTCATCGTGTGTGATGCCGGTGGCTCTCAAGCCCGTTTCTTGCTGTCTAAGCTGAACCCGTCGACTACCCACACCACGGGTGGATACGGTGGGGGTGTTTCGTCTCAGACCATCTTCACTGACGATGTGTCCCTGCAGACATTTATGGACCACCTGATGAAGTAAGCGGCCCCTTTATAGCTTATGTGGATCTCTGCTAACATTTCCTAGGCTTGCTGTTTCCGGAACCAGCTAAGTGTGATGAGAACATGGCCATGAGAGCAAAGGGCGGTCGTCGACCCTCGGGTCTTGTGTATCTTTAGCGGTGATTTGATTCCTTTGACGCAATATAGTAGATTGAATGGATTGATACCATGACAAAGGAATTGTGTTCAACCTTGAGCTTTGTAAGAATTGTATGGTCGCTCCCGAGTCCCGAGGTCCGTAGTAGCGTCTCCACTAGATACAGAGTACCCAAAGGGGCAAACAGCTCTGCGTGTAGGTCACGTGGTCAGGGCATACCCTGATTGCCCAATTGGGTCACTCGCTTAGTTGGTCGGTCGGGTGGGTCCCGCTAGCACGCCGAGCCTTCAAGTCAATTTCTCGCGCTCTTCCCCCTTCTCTTCTGTAACCATCCTCTTCGACAACCAAGGAAGATCGACTACCTTTCGCACTCGCCATGCGTAAGTATCATCAACTTGGGTTTCTGCATAATGGCGACTAACATATCCTCGTGGTTTAGCTCCCAAGTTCGACCCCAATGAGGTGAAGATCATGTAAGTCAAAAATTCTCTTTTCGCAATTTCACTGTTCAAAATACTAACAATTTTTTCCATAGTCACCTCCGTGTGACTGGTGGTGAGGTCGGTGCCCAGTCCGCTCTGGCCCCCAAGATCGGTCCCCTCGGTCTGTCTCCCAAGAAGATTGGTGAAGATATCGCCAAGAACACTGGCGACTGGAAGGGTATCCGTGTCACCGTTCGCTTGACCATCCAGAACCGTCAGGCCGCCGTCTCCGTTGTTCCCTCCGCCTCTTCCCTGGTTATCAAGGCCCTCAAGGAGCCTCCTCGTGACCGCAAGAAGGAGAAGAACATCAAGCACTCCAAGTCCGTCCCTCTCGACGAGATCATCGACATGGCCCGCGTCATGCGCGAGCGCTCCATGGCTAAGGAACTCCGCGGCACCGTCCTCGAGATCCTCGGTACTGCCTTCTCCGTCGGCTGCCAGGTCGACGGCCGCAGCCCCAAGGATGTGTCCGACGACGTCAAGGCTGGCGAGATTGACAGTGAGTTGACTCGACCGTGTACAGCTTGAGACAATGCTAATAGTTTCTAGTTCCCGAGGAATAAATTCTTTCGCTCCCGAGTGTCAAAAAAAGAGGTGACCTATCTGATTTCTAAGGCGTGCATTTCTTAATGATGAGATGCTAGTTGCAGAATACGAATGGTTTCTCAACCCAAACCAAAAATGTTCATGAGTCATGACTTTGATACCTTTTCTTAATTCTCTCGCGAGTGTTCAATTGGACAAATGGAATCAGCTCGCTGCTTGTTCTTCCAGTTGTATTTCTCTTTCTTCCTGTGCTTTTTCTCGTTCTCCTTTCATGATTCTCTTGCTTGCTCCTACGCGATGAGAATGGTGGAAGGCTGCCCGGCTTCGCCGACAGTCTCCTTTGATGGAAACCCCCACAACACTCTGGCCCTTACCGTTCTCTCTCTACGGAGTTTGATCATATCACGACGTGGTATGTGGCTTATTTTAAGTGGGGAAGATTGAATTCGGTCCCATTACTCATCGCGGTACACTTGGAGTACGCTCCGTGGGTGCAGTGATCCATCATACGGGTCTACATCTCGTAAAGATGCAAGATACTTGCTTTCGTAGGCGTAGTCAATAGACATCTCGACAGATCTTGACTCCTGGACAGGATGTGATGCTTAATTCAAGAAAATAAATGAAATACCACCTGGTTCAGAAAATCCAAATTTGCAGATCTTTTCATGCTGTACCTCTCCCCTAAAGGCTATCTTACTTGCGAATCCTCGTGTGTAGCGTTGTGGTACACTACATTCATAACGTTATTCTGACCTGGTTCGTGTCTCTACATTTATTCAGATGAATCCTATAGACGTCCCTCAAATGCTACTGGCCATCCTGCGCCTCCGCCTCATACTCTCGTTGCAGTTCCTCGTTCATAGCCTCCGTCTCATCCCAGAATTTCGCCCACTTCTCCAGCCTCTCCCATATCATCTTCACTACCTGTTCCTCCTTCTACTGCCTCTCTTCCTCAATATTCTCCTCCGTCATGCCCTCACACTTAATTTCGTCGAATTTTCAGGGGAAACCCTCTCCTTCTGGGACCTCCTCCTCCTCCTCCTCCTCCTCCTCCTCCTCCTCCTCCTCCTTCTCCTCCTCCTCCTCCTCCTCCTCCTTTGCCTTTCCCTCTGCCTCCTCTGCGCCTGTCTTTACAATATCATAGAACCCATCGTCAGCCATGACACGCTTGACTTTCTCAACCCCTCTAAGTCTTCCCTCTTCGTTGTGGATGGCTTGATGGGCCGTAGGGCCGTCGACGCTGCGGCCACTTCCTTGAAAGGCTACATTCTGTTAGATGACATGTTCGTCTGTGGGCATTGTAGATATTGTAAATACTCACTGAGTTTCTGAAGAACTTGGTAAATTTGTGAGGCTTGAATTTGAATCCGCTGAAGGAGACAACACGTCCCTTTCTGTCCTATACAGTGGAAATTCATTAGCATTGCAATGTAAATGAGAGCTTTGTGAACTTACTGATTCAGACTTGTATGCCGTCCACCTTTCACTATCGAGCTTTTCGACAAGTGCTCTTCCACCACCAACCTTCCCGAACCCAGTTGCACCCACATCGAGTGCGACGTCGACGTCGCGGTTGTTACCACTGCTCATCGTGATGGCGCAGGCATCCGTGATCCAGACAGCCTGGATAGCCCAGATTCCATACTCTTTGGCAGCATCTTTGTATTTTGCGAAGAGTTTCTCTGCGTTCTCGTGAATCCATTCCTTGCCTCCCTCCCCCCCCCCCAACGCGGAAATCCCTCTTGTATTTTTCCATCTTGACTCAACCGTCGCAAACGAGAGCTGCTTTCCCTTCCAAGCCTGTCTTGTATTTCACTTCACCGGAAGCCTCGACTGGGGGCTCCGCTTGCTGCAGCAGATGCACCCGCTTTGCTGCGGAAGTTTTATTCTGATAGGCTTGAGGAGGATCTAGTTTTCCAGTCTGCCACATCGTGAGATAGAGATGATAGTTCGCGACCAAATGGCGTCCATCCCCCCTTCTGCAATCTCTCTGGGCTGGACAAATCGGTGATTTCGATCCAGTCATTTTGATCATCGAAATAGCCAACTGTTGCGGGATGCAAATCCTCGTCTTTCAAGGGTCTATAGAGGTAATTTCCCTCGCGGCCCGGCCTTGGAAGAGACGCATATACTGTCGAGACTGTTCTGCATTGGACATAATGGCGGCTAGGATGAAAACGTAATGCGACGATGGGTGCAAGGTTTGGATGTTTCGCAAAGGCAGGGCGAGATAATTGGTCAACTTTATACAGTCGTTGTTCCTACGGCATCATTGAACCTCTCGGGTCGCCAAAAGTGGACACAGCAACTTTTCTATGCTATAGATATGATGTTATGGACTACTACATCGGTACAGCTCCAGAGAAGTCCCGCAGTTATGCAGGCAGATCTCAGCTGCCTCCACTCGGCAGCAGCATAGTTGCCGTTCAAGGACAAAGGCTTAACCCCAATTGTCCGTCAGATGAGACGTATGGGTGGCCATTATGGCCTGTACTCGCCAACATGATTTTCAGTCCGGTCCTTTGGTTCTACTTAAGTCTATATTCGAGGTCTCCTTGTCTCGATGATATTCCACAGATGCGGTGGGTCCGGTATAAACCCATGAACAATGAAATCATAAACTGATCTCCACAGTAGCGGCTGGGAGATTTGCCGATGCCTTTCAGCTGTTGAATGGGGTCAAAAATACGGGTCGCCCTTCTTTTGATTCATTTCCCTGCTGTTGGGGCTGGAAACTGAGTGCTGGAACTTTTACCGAGATGGCTGAGTATCACATCATACTGCATAGACCGGGTACGCGGGGTCCCAATCTTGGGGTTTGATCGTCCATGAAGGGTTCATCAGCTCCCACATTCAATAAGTCAATGGAAATTACGAAGGCTCGGGTAACCCGAGAGATATTTTGTCCCTTGTCCCATATTCTCTCGTCGCCTCCCCCATGTGCTCCCCACACCGGGGCGGCCTTTGTTTTGGCGAGGGCATCCGAAACAAACGAAATCAGTTAATTAGCCTTAGTCGAAGAGAAGTTCTACATCTAGAATGTTTAAATTGCCAGGTAAAAGTAAATATGTAGCGCATATTGCCTTTCTTCTGAAGCTCTATTCTATGCAATAGGTAGCTTACAGTTAGTCAGTATCCACTACTAACAGCCAATGCAGCTGAATACAACAAACGAACGAGTAAGGATACCCTCTAGATATTATGATGACCTCTCAATGTCTCGATGTACGAAGTTAAGTACTAAGATCCAAATGAAGCGGGCGGTCTTTCACATGTACATGTCCTGGGGTACAGGGATGATAATTGGCATATCACTTGTTGTTACAGTACATGTAGGTGATCCATCAATTACCTGAAATTGATTACCTTGCCGATTTTCGTGACTCGGCTGAATTCGCCAACAGTAGACAATCTTGCCTATATTTCCCAAAGCCAATCACATGATGTCAGTGCATCCGGTAGCTGAGATAGGGTGCTTGGTCAGTATGTCTTGGCGATTGTTCACGTGATTGGGTCACATGATCGTGTCAGCGTCTACTGAGTAATCCTGAGCCTGAGCTGGGCTCAACCCATGGATTTAGCTGCATTAGCTGCATATGCATCAGCAGGGCTGCGCCCGGCACTGCCGCACCCAACGGTTTCTATTTGCAGGCCTTGGGCCATGATAGAGTGACAAGCACAATCAAAAGACGGTCAAACAAGTATCGAAGGTATGTGGGAGTGGTCGGTAAGGGATCTCGATAGTGTAAAGTCTGGTCGGGATGCATAAGTACATCTGTAGTTATTTATGTGGTTGATATAGAGATGCCGATGTGTACATCAATTGATCAGGTGTCTGTAGTTTGACTGGAAATATCCCAGTCATCTCGAATATTGTACTTGTAGGTACTGTAGAGGGACGGAGTAGATGTACAATTATACTCCGTGATTATATATATTGACCTAATAACTTGGAATCTGAAACAGCCAAACAACCACGAAAAGCCTCGACCACGTCCCTACCAATAATAATCTCCTTAATGCTATCTGTTGTCGTATTTATTCAAATCCTATTTTACATGCACCGTACTCTGGACATACGTGGCTCACCGGTGTGAGACGTGTAATTTTATATATTTTGCCTACTCCACCGGGGATCAGCCCCTGATAAGACGATGTTCGTGCTCATCCACATGTGGAGCGCTGATCGCTTGATTTTCGTGTTTTCTCCATTTTGTTTGGTGCAGTCTATTGAGCCATGGAACAAGTGCCTTGGGCTAACTGGGACGAATTGGGGCCGGGGAATATCGTGTGGGATATCTGTGTCTCTGTGTCGGTGTCTCTTTGTTCTGACTCTAGTATACACGAGTACTGTATGTCTCTTAAGAACTACGCTATGATTTTTACTATTCTGGTTTGATCTTGTACTACCCGACTCGCATCCCCACAGGAACGTCGTGCAGGCCAAGGATGCGAAGGAGGGTGCCAATCTCGACTGGCATTTGCGGTGACTTGCGACCGTACATTCAAGAGACATGTGGACTCTCATATGAGGATCTGCGATAGTTAAAGTCCAGGTCTCCAGATTGTACGAATCAAAGGGGAAAATAGCCCTCCCTGGCTAACCCCAGAATCCAACCGGTTTAGGAAAAGATCAGAGGTGCATGAGCAGGGGGATGAATTGAGCGATTACTTATATTATATACTTGAGTTGGAGGGAGGGAGGGAGTAAAAAGAGAGCAGTGAAGTAAAGCGTAATTTGTATAGTTAGAATCTAAGCAAGATATAACCAAATACTAAGCTACAGACTCTGTACAAGTAGACAAAAGGAACGGGCACTCGATTATCGGCGGGGCCTTATGGATCCAAATGATCCACAAGGGCGTCTGGATGGCCAGAGAGGCCGTTGCGTGTGGGTCGAGTTAGGTGATGGTGATGGTGATGGTGATGGTGATGGCTACAGTATGGCTCTGGCTCTGGCTATGGCGAGAGTAGCTAGATGTTCCAGAGTGAATAGTACGTTATATAGGTAGTACTCGGTAGATACTATATTGGCTCTCAACACGGTTTAAAAATACTATTCTATCTATTCTATCGCACTATTAATTTACCTCGACTCTCACCCCCCACCCGAACCCACTGCGTTTTCAGCTTCAACTTTGATCTTTTCTTCTTCACCTCTCTCACCTTGATCCTCCTTCATTATCCCCTGTGCAATTTTCGCCAAGATCGCCGATTATTGGACTATTTTGTACTGCGGCAGCTGGACATTCTGTCTCCCTTGCGTCTTTCCCTTTCCCACCTGTCCTTATCAAATGACGTGAAAGCTGCCTCTCAACTTCAGTTCTGGCATCACATAATGAGGCATCGGAAACGCTTCAAGGATGATAGTTAAATGTCCAGTTTGACGTGTTAAGTCTTTGGCTGTGCCCTCGGCCTCGAGGTCCCTCCCTCACAAGACCGTGAAGATGATTCCAACCGTCGCGCCTTTCCCCACGGTCCAACCGCATCACCGCACACACCACTTTGCGACTCACGATGGCTCTCAGCCCATGTACGATGCAAGCGATAATCTCCCCTTTCACAACGACCCCTCCAAACCTTTCTTGAACGCGGTCTCGCGATCGCGCCTCCAGCTCCCCCACCCGGTGCAACGTCTCGATTCCCGCGATGCTTCAGGCTCCAACTCCACCGGAAACCTGGGGGAACATGCCCTGCGACGGAAGACTCCCAACGGAACTCTAGCCGCGGGGTACGATGGGACCCCGGGCGATACCACCATCCAGCCAGCATCCAAGCACATCTTGGTCTCACCGATGGAACCGGGCCAATTTCTATCCCAGGCTGGGATGCAGCCCGAAACTTGGCAACCAATGCTGGACCAATCTGCCACCAAAAATATGAACTTTCCACCGGTCTTCAAAAATGACGGCAATGCGATACCTGGCGAAGTCATCCAGGATGCGAACGGAACTAGTTGGGTTCGTCCGGTCAACTATCCTCCAGGGGTGGACTCGGTCTTAAATCAGAGTCTACCTTTGCATGGAAATCAGCGCATACTCCTACAGAACGGGGCATACGTGCCCACAGTCCTCCCGGCAACCCTGCAGTCATGTCTAGGACCAACCGCTTCGGCGGGCAGTGGTCCCTATGGACCGTACTGGCCGGATGGGGTCTATATCCCATACCGTCCTGCTGCCTTCCGTGATGCGCGTTACGAATCTCCGACTCCCTTTGCAAAGCAGCTGAGCCCTACGGGACAGCTTTTCTATGACCTGAACCAGCCTGTATTTAACCAACCCCAGGTGCCCCTGGGCAGCCGTGCAGATCCAGGACTTGGATGGGGTCAATCTATGCCTGGATTACCCCAGGACCCTCTCATGAAAACCCACTTCCCTCCACGCCACTCCGATCAACTACCATTCCACGCCCGTGTCAACCGACCTGTATCAGCATATCCACCGCAAGCGCCGCAGCCTCTGAACGATCCTATCACCTGGAACAATCGCCCGCCGACTCACAGATTCCAACAGCCAGGGCCCGCTGTAGCGGCCAATGTGGAATTCAAAGAGAAGGTCCTGTCTTGGGCTCATGGTGTTTATGTCGATCTCCTTGCAAACATTCACCAGGCCCGCCGCAACAGCATCTCCAACGGCACTGCGGATTCTCACCCCCGATTCCAGAAACCTGTCATTTACCCTAAACCTCCTCGCCAACCCGGCCTCGATTTCTCTCATCCTACTCCCCCAGATCTAACCCGTCATAATAGTTACCCTGCCAGTCAATATGATCTTCAACGACAGAAACTGCATGCCATGGGCAACGCCAGACCGCATGGTGCGCAGCAAATACCGATACCCCGTGTCCACAGTCGACGCCCATCCTTGAATCAATTCGCCCACAACAGAGGTTCCGATACTCAAATGCTCGGATTGCGAGACACTGGTCGTC